GCTGATAGATCTGCTGCTGCAGAACTGGCCACACCTCTCTCCATACTCTAGTCGTTAGACCATCCCTCCCTGCTGCACGATCATGGCTTGTTGCAGATAGTGCTCTTCTATCTCCTCTATCGTCAATCCTCTTAGCATGAACTGTTCCGCATTGTCGTCCCTAGTCTCGTCTGATTGCTGAGGTTCTGGCGGTGGCGGGAAGAAGCTAGCTAGGAGTTCCTTTGCTATGCTTGGTTTGTCTTGTGTCAATTCACCGTTTTGGCTCTTAATTGACGTGATCCTGCCAAAGCTTGATCCTGCTCCTGGGTCTAGGTATCTTGTTGCTTTCCAGATGTTCTTCGTGTCATCTAGAAACTCGGTCCAGTGCCGCTTCTTAGCTCTCCTGATTGCGTGATGGAAGTCATGTCTTGCTATCTTTGCTGCAACTTCAAGTTCCCTGTCCCTGTTGCCTTGCCTACGTCTCGATCTTGCACGGTTTCGCGTTCGTGTGTAATCCCGGCGGAGTGCCGTTAGATCTGGTACCCACCATCTCTTCGCATGTGCTGACGGCTTTGCCTTAGGACAATGTTGCTTAATTGCATCCTCAGTTGCATTCTGGATGTATTGTTGCATTCCCTCTATGTCTGCAGTTGGGAACGGTGAAGTTGCAAGTGTCTGCGTTATTGTCTCGCGGACAGCGTTCCAGTCTGCTTTCTGAAGAAGGTATCTTTCGGCTTGCTGTTGTTCCTGGTCCTGGTCCACGGAAAATGCTGTGTGCACTGCTCTATGGTCTGATCCGTACTCACTGTCCCATGTCTTGCAGTTAATCCTGTCTTCGTATAGCTGTTCGCTTGCCATCATTAGGTCGATGGTGGACCTTTGCTCATTCCTTTCCCACGTAATCATTCCCCTTGGTGTGAGCACTTGCAAGTCGTTGCACTCAAGGGAAGTCAAGGATTTGCACTCCTTCTCCTTGCCTTTGCTCTAATGCTACATGGGATCCTCCCCATAGACTGTCGTGCCGGTTGAAATCGCCTGCAACTATGATTTCCAGATCTGGATTTGTGTTCTTCTCCTTATCGATTATCCTCTGAATATCCTGTACGCGGTCTGCAAGTTGCTGTTCGTTCTCTTCTCTGTTTGATGTGACATGGGAATGTAAACCGATGCAACTAGAATGCTCCGGCCTGCCCTCTGCACTGTAATTGCTGTAATGTCGCTGCTAGTCGTTGTGTGTTGCATATACTCCATCGTTCTGCTTGCCCAAATGCAAGACCGAGTTCTTCTTTCCTGGCCGTCTTGTTGTGTGATTTTTGGTTTTATTGTTTCAAAGTTGGGTCCAGTTCCTGTGATATGTATGCTGTTGCCGAAATCCAGATAGTGTGGCTCTTGGATTAATATAAGATCAAATCCCCATAACTCCTCGTCGTTGTATAGCGCATCCTGAACTCCTGACATCTTTCTCAGATTTGCTTGAAGAATGTTGAGTGTACTAGTCATGACGGCGTATGTTGATGGCTCTCTCTTGCTGCTTCCTATACTCTGGGCATTTCTTGTGTGATGCTGGGTGGTCGCCTCCACAGTTGCTGCACTTTGGTTTGCCTGTCTTGCAGCTGTTGTGGCCTACTTGCGCGCACCATGAGCATCTAGTGGCGTTCTTGCATTCCTTCTGGATGTGACCAAACTGATGGCAATTGTAGCAACTCCTTGGTCCCCTGTTGTCATGAAAGCTTGATACGTTGACCATGCACCCAAATAGCTGTACTTCTTCGCCATCCGCTTGCCTCTGGAGTAGCCTCTCTACTTGTTCCTTTGTTGCTAGTTTAGCAACTGCGGACGCGTGGGAGGCGTATTCCTTCGGCCTTCCTAGCCATCTCATCATCTTAACTTCGACATCATTTTCCTTTGAGAAAGCCTCTTGGGTTTCTTGGCTGATTCTTCCTGTCTCCGGATCCGTAGCTTCCCTTTTCATAACAAAGTCTACCTTGATTGGGTACCAGGTGGGTTCCATAAGTCTTGCTCCTTTTAGGAACGTGTCGATCCATTTGTCCGCGTGGGCTCTTGCTACCTTCTCTGCATCTTTGTCGATCTTAAAGTAGGCTAGATGAACATCTTTATTTGTGTGTCGAATCATGAATTGATTCAATACGACCTTGTCAAGTCCTTCAGTAGATCTGATTGCCGCTAGGATTCGGTGTCTGGTTCGTGCCATGTGATTTGCTCCCGTGCGTCCTTCTGCATCAAGGTTCTTTATGTCTAGCACCATGTCCGTTTCTTGTGAATGCATCGTTTTCTTCATTGCACTTCTAATTGATGTCCCTACGGAAATTGGTGGCGATCTTGGGGGACTAGACTGGTCCGAGAGGTCGAACGACACTGACGTTCTTGGTGATCTAAACGGCGTTCTTACCGCTTCCTGGCTTGTTAACTGTACCCCTTGAGCAGTTACACTTGCATATGAGTCGGCTGTGCCTGTCTGTTGAGAGGATGACTGGAGTGATCCCCAGTTCGGGGCTGCCTCTTGTAGGCTCTTAATGTCAAGTACAAGGGTTGTGACCGTGGTCTGTAGTTGTCTAATCTCCTCTCTGTACTGTTCTTCCTTCTCTTGGGCTCTCTTTTGGGTGTCTAACAAGTGCTTCATTATGTCGTTCATCGTTATTTCCCTAGGAGTGTCGTTGCCGTTGCCGCTAGGTGTTGGGCTGCCTTCAACATGGATGGCGGTCTCCCTGCTTGTGGCAGTGCCTTCTTTTCGGCGCTTCGAGTCATCATTCTTGTAGTCATGGGCGATGTCTTCTTTCTAGGTGTCGCCTCTGCTGACGCAGTGTCGGAATCGTTGTTAATCGGTCGGCGTATGTGGCTGTCCTCGGCTCCTCCTTGTCTGCCTTCTCTTTTTCTCTTTTCTGGGTGTCCATTGTCCCTCATGAACTCATCCTCATCCTCCTGTCTCTCTGCGCCGCCTTGCGCTAATGATTCGAACCTCCCTCCTCCTGCTATACCTCCACCTCTTGCACCTCCTCGGCCTCTTGGAGCTGGCATCTCGACCCCGCACCGTGGCGCTTCGCTGGAAATTCGAGGGAATCACCAGGAGACACTACTCCAGCTCGTAGTTCAATAAAAATTGGATATTTCAATCAAAAATTCAGAAGTCCCAGAATCCCCTCCCTAAGTTGTCTGATGGACAGGTGTTCTTCATATCGTATTCAATAATCAGAACCAGGGTTGTCCCCTCGGCGTGGAGGTTGAGGTCCGTGCACTCAATGCCAAAGCCATGATTGATATGGTGAGTTGGCGAGACTGTGAGATCGTGAAGCGTGGTCTTCGATAACATCGATACCACGAATAGCGAGCCGGATCGGTAGATCGTCGTTTGTCCGAGTCGCTCAAAGATACTTCTTCGCAGCCGCCGCAACACGACCCCTAAAGACCGGACTGGTCACAGGACCATTAACAACATAGAATGGATTCATGATACACTTGATCCAAGCCTCGTAAACATCAGTCATAAACTGCCTTACAGCTTCCTCGGTCTGAGCACTAGTCGGATTGTTGGCCAGTAATGTGCTCTGCCTAGCAGTGATGGAAGGATGTTGTCTCTGCGGTGCAGCAGTTGGGTAAGTAGAGTAGGTAGTAGAGGAAGGATCTGGATTCATGAGTAACATGAATTTGACATTTCCGCCTGTGATGAAGCAGTGTATGTGATTATTTTGGAAGCGGTCGACATTCTTGAGATAGNNCTTGTTGGATTAGAGTCAGTAAGAGTCGAGCATGTAGTGATGGCAAATAACACACAGTCCATTGTTTCCCCATTGTACTTCTTCGACAATGTCGAGGCTGCTGTGAACGATGAATTGGTTCATGTGTCTGGCCTCATCACGAAAGCGAGCAATGCCATCTCCACCAGCCTTGGAAGTACCGAATTCATGTTCGAAAAGAGGGTTGTCTCTTGTGCCGATGATGGTGAAATAGTATGACATTCTCTTGATTTTTTTTGAGCAAAAGGCTGAGATAGAACGTTGTCTGTCCGAAAATCAGATTGCTCAAGGGTCTGATAGAGAGGAAGTGCCTCCTGTTGTTGGTGGTGGAGCGGAAGTCAGACTGACCGGGGAAATGTCTTGGCACCACCGAAGCATCAGCGACGACAACGAATCTTTTGAAGATTGCGGGCCAAGCGCATTGCATACAGCACCAGCTCAACATGTTCGGCGCATTCAAACCCACCTCAGCTCTATCGGGAGGTCTGCTCTGGTACGCGCCTCGCCTCAAGTCCACCGCACAAGCCGACACCACTGACACGCGACTGCAGGNNAAAATCCCATGGCGACTTTCAGCACCGCAANAGTTGCGCCAGCGCCGTCGCCTTCGTCGTGTCGACAACATCGTCTCGGTCCTTGATAGCGCACTACAGAGACAGGTCCAATCACAACCCGCTACTACTGCCACCAAGGGAATTGGCGCCACCCAGGCCACTACCGAAGAGCTCTCTCAAACCGCTCAAGGCCAGCGCTTGATGAATGCAGAGACCAACGCCCCGCTCAACGACCTTAGACATGGCAGAGGCCCGAGGCAGGGCGATATCCTCAGTGGTAGCTTGCCCGCGGGTACTGTTACTATGACCGGCGATCAGGCAAGGAAAATGGGCACCATCAAGTTGATCGAGCGATGGAAGGCCGACATGCCTACCGAGGCTGAGATGCTACCAAGAGACAAATACACAATGTTCGACCGCAAGGAGAAGAAGTACAGAAAGGGCATTCACAGTAAGTCGTGCGCCTGCCAAGTATGGATATTACAATCTTGCTGACCATCTTCTTTCAGAGNNCTGCCCAAGTGGACCAGAGTCTCACAGCGCGTGAACCCTCCTGGTTTCTAGGCCATCTCTTATCACTTTCTGTATTTTCTTTGCATAGGGCGGCGTTTGACCTTGGTTGGTCTCAGGTTTTGTACAAAAATATTATGTTAAAGAATGTTGCCATACTTGTCTCTTATCAATACCCACGACCAGTCATGTTGTCTCTGGCAAGCTAACTGTGTCGGCGAACAACGCTCTTACTGCCCTCAGGTGGTCTTCTCTCGCCCAGATTGTGTAGTCTTTCTCCAATAAGATACACTTCATCCTTGATGCGACCCCTCCAGCGACGCATTCCCTCGCTCAGCTCCCATGTACACCACAAACCTAGCACCTGACTGGCGCATATCGGATAGCTGTAACGATAGACCTTGGTACGGACAGCAGCGGAGATCACGTTCGTGACATCCAGCACCGAAGCGATGAGTGGAGGACAAATCAGGACGATCGAGAACAGCAGCAGTGTTGGCAAAACGAATGCACGAGTTGCCAACCCAGCGTTGGGATTAGTGAATCCATCACGAGTGATCATACGGAACGCCGCAGCTGGTCGGGAGTTACGTGACAAGAGCAGCAGGCGTAAGACCACTCTTCCATAGATGAATCCAAGTGTCCAATCTTGAAGGNNGATATGGAAAGAGTGCGACGCCACTGCTACTTGCGCAACTTGGGTCTCTGTGAAGTCCGTGAGAGTTGTGTTGTTAAGGGTGACGTGAGCTCCTGGCGAGTTGTTCAGAATGTTGTTGGCACTCTCCTGGTTCATAGCTGCTGGACCCATATAGGTGCGAAGAGGCAGAATGAGGTAAAGCTCTAGGACAAGCGCAAAGAGAGACGGGACGATCACAATAGCAAATCCATACACATAAGCGCTGCGAATTGAACGCCATGTTTGCTTCTTGATGTTGGCACTGACAGCAGCCAAGTTTTGTCGTGATGTCATGTTCTTGAGAGCCCCAATTGCTTTTCGTCCATTGAAAAGTGATTGAAGCACTATGCCCAAGGCAGTAATACCGACGGCAAAATTGTACAGATCATTGGGCGCGAGATGGTCAGGAGCAAGGATTGATATGATCTGTCGCCCAAAGATCATGGGCACAACAGTGACGCCAAAGCCCATAGCGATGGCGAACATCCACAAACACGAGATGAATGTGAGAATGCGTAAGCGGAACCATGGCGGAATGTACACCTGAATGAAGTTTTCAGGTTGTCGCCCATGTACGCCGTTGCTGGTGTTTGTACCATCTACTCGTTGATCGCTCTCGTTAACCTCGAGGAACACTCTTTCGCCCCGAGGGATCCTAACCTGGTCGGTGGCTGGTGCTCGAACGTACTTGCCGTCCTTGACGAAATTTTCAGATTTTACGATGGCGCGCTGATCCTTCCAAATGTTGAGTTTGCTGAGCCACGATTCTCCTCTCAGATGCCCCTCTTCGATTTTTCGTCTCTCGCCAAAGAGAAATTGAGAGAGGCGTAATGAACGTGCGCAGAGCTTGAGCCATTTCCCAAAGACTCTCTCCATTCCTTTAGAAGGGAAAAGGTAGAGGGCCACCACTGGAGCAAGGAGATTATATCCTAGGAAGTCGATGGGGAACTCCAAATCCGCCTCTGGTCTGGCCCATCGAATGGGGAATACACCGAATCGCGAAGTGCCCCAGATAGCACCACCAAGACAAACGATCACGAGTCCACCATACACAAGACCACTAAATGCTATCTTGCGAAGTTGAGTTGTGACACTGCGCTCCAGGACGTCACGAACAGGATGGAAAGTCGGATCATCAGGATCTCTGATGAAGTAGAGAACGCCACTTCGCAACACTCTGCGACACATGGACACGAANAGAGCGAAGTGGAACATGTAGCAAGTGCCAATGAACCAATGCAAGAATACGAACAGCCATGGCGACCGGCTGGCAAAAGCAAGTCGGGAAGTGAGTGAAGCGTTCTCGAAGAGCGGAAGCAAAGCACAATCCAAGAGCATGCCGCAGTAAAGTGGAAACGCGAGCATTTCAATGCTTATGATCAAGATTACCTTCAGCACACCACCGGCTTGCTTGAGGAGATCAGCGAAGCTCTTCTCAATCAGCTGTAAGCCTGGCGAGCTGAACAGCGATTCCTTGCGGAGTAGATACATAGTTCCCAACATGGCGAGAAGGATGTATCCGGCGAGGACGGTCAAGCAACGATCTTCGTTGGTCCAGACAGCCAAAGCGGGATCCAAAGAGCTTTTATCGTGCTTGACAGTGAAGGTAAAGGTACCATCGGTCATAGCCTCCGACAGCCCTTCTCGCAGCATCGCACGAATCCATGTGTAGCTCGTTGTTGTATGCTGCAGTGTTCTCATGGCTGTTTTGTTGATCATACTGAGCATATCCGATGCTGTCGAGTTCTGCATATGATACGAGAAGCCCGATACACAGTTGACGATAAATCTTCCCAACTGCGCAGCTTCGGTTTTTAGATTAAGAAGAGATTGATGTGCCTGCATGGATATCATCAATGGTCCCAGCTCCACTGGTCCGTCACCATCGAATAAATCAGCCAAACGTGCGCCAGCTCCGTTAGCTGCGTGGTGCGCACGGTTTGCCAAAGCTTGCACATATCCTAGGCCTAGCTTCTGAAGAACAGAGCCCAGTAGGAGCGAGAGCAGTTGTGTCACAATCTGAGATCCAAAGTATGTAGCTGCACCGCCAACATAGACCGTAACGTCAACAATGGCGTCTGCAACAACAGAAACAACGCGCAAAGGGGTCATGACCATGGATGTGATTGGATCTCCGAGGAAGAGTAACGCGATCTTTCCGAAGAAGTAAGGTAGACCAATTCCGATCCAGAGGGTGGCTGTGATGAGGAAACCGCAGAACACAGCTGTTTGTGCTAACCCAGCCAGAGGACCTTGCATGCCGATCAGCTCGAGGACACCTTCAAGATCTTCAGCATCTTCGATAGCTTCAGCATCCAAGCCAACCTCGGCTGCGGCTTGGAGAACTTCAGGATCCTGCGCATTTTCAGGCATGTGGACGTGCTCTCCAGCATGGATGTGAACAAATGGCGGTTCTTCTGCTTCGTTACGGACAATCTCCTCGTCGAAAATGCCAGGCAAAGGGTCGTTTTCATCCTCCTCAATCACAATATCAGCCCAGAACCAGTCAAACAATCTAGCAATTGGACCTTTGTGTGGTTCATCAGGTTGTGCCGGCTGGGGTACAATGTTTTGCTCTGATGTAGTCGGTGCCTCAGCGGAACTCTCTGGGGCCCGTTGCAGATCAGCTGGAGGCTCCTCTTCCGTGGTCTGATCGGCTTCTGTCGGTGATTCCTGCGACATGACTTCGTCTGTGGGACTCCTATTCGATTCTATGGCGGCAACACCGGATCGAGATTCTGTCGAATGACCGGGCGCTGTTATGTTGAGAACATCAGTGTCCTGGTCGTCTTCCCGATGTTCTTCATCAAGGTGGATAGATCGCGAAGTTGTTGTGATATTCAATGGCTCTGAGTCAGAGGAAGCGATGATTGATTGCCAACTCCCACGACTGCTATTGCCATCGAGTTCAGTGTCGCGATGATTGCTAGATCCAAAGTCGATTGAGGGCTCTTCTAGCGATTGTATGACCCTCTGTGCGTGTGATGATGCGTCTCTCGGAGGCATTGCCGGTCGCCTTCGTGGCTCACTTAAAAGNTCATCGTCTGCATCGTGGTCCATATCAGATGCAGAATGTGCAGTGCCTGCTTCGGGATACTCGTCGTCGGACACGCCAATCTTGTCTTGAGGAGGGTTACTAGACATCATGTATTTAGTTTGGTCCTCGTTGAGCAGAAATTCGCGCCAGAGATCCCTCTCGGGGTGACCTAGGTTGTCCAGAATAGCCCATAGGTTCTGTGCGATGTCAGGGCGAGATATGCCAGAATCTCCCGCAAGTTTGATTTGTTCGAGTAACTCCTCAGTGGACTCCTCGAATCCTTCCATAAACTCCTCATGGTCCTCACCCTCGAATTCATGGGGCACGCCTGCGTTGTCCATCAGAGTTTCCATGGCGTACCAACCAATGAACTGAGTACCATCTTCTTCAGGAGCTTCGACTTCGCCCGGGAGCTGGTCAAAGATATGCCTATAACGCTCTAGTGCAGGTCGAAGGTTCTCATCCTCCAATGCGGCGGCCTCAAGGTCGTGCAAGCGTTGAGCGGCTCGTTCGGCAACATCCAATTGTACCTCTGCGTCGCGGATATGGGCGGCAGCATTGATTATTGGTTGCTGTTGAACAACCCACTCCCGAATCAGAAAAACAAGAATGAAAGCGACTACGACGTTGATGGTGATTATGTCGCCCTCGAGCACATCTAGAATGAAACGATTGAGCCAGATGTGAGACGTCAGATTGTTTACAGCCTTGACATCGGATAACAAGCTAGAATAGGGCGGTACGAAGGACGATTCAGATTGTGTATTCAGCGAAGAATAGAGGGCGGGTTGGCTCAGAGGCTTCAAAGGATAGAAAAAGGTGCTCACTAGGAACTTGCCTAGACTCAGGCCGAATGGCTCCTTGTCGGGAGGTGTGCCGGTAGCAGAAGTGGAGGTGTTGTGTTGTTGGGCAGCATGAGCCATCTTAGCCAACCAAGGGTCTCTTGCCCAACCTGCATCCAAGATCCAGAAGAGACCCCTCCATGACCAACGGATGCACCACGGGAGCACAACAAGCCAGACGAGGGCGACGGTGACAGCGCGAGCCCATGTCAAAAGGTAATTCAAAGCGTGAAGACAGGCTTTCTTTGCGAAGATGGGCAGCGGCAGGGTTTGAGGCATGTGCGAGTCGTAAAGCTTTGTGAAGCGAAAGGGGGTCTTGCAGAGCTCGCAGTGCTTCTTGTTGGAATGTGAGAGCCACTCCATCAAGCAGTCCTGGTGGACGAACTTGATGCTGCCACTGCACTTGCAGGGGTAGAAGAGCGGCTCTGCAGCAGAACCCTCGCTACGACATATTCTGCATGTGTCGCCCTCGGAAGGCGATTTGTCGCTGGCTTCGGTAGGGTCAAACTGCGGATCGTTCATGATGTCGGGCGAGGACGCGGGGTCTGTGGCCGACATTTTGTGATGGCGTCAAAGAGGAAGCGAAAGGCTTAGGGAGAGCCGTCAAGGCGGTATTGGTTCTTCAAGGCGACATCTAAGAGTGATGAGTCGAGGCTGATGGAGAGCGGACGACAGTGTTGTTGAATGTTCAGTAGGCAGGTACTCTCGTACACAGCAAGATAAAGTAGAAAGAGCAACACCGACCGTAAACCATCACCACCCGTACCTACCTTGCTCGATGTGGACCCGGAAACACGTGAAGAGCCAAGACCACGGGTCGGACAAGATGCCCTCTCTTAATGCTGCATCTACTCCCACGACAGGTATTTCAAGTTTCAGTTTCGATCTCTCAATGGGTTGATCATATCCATAGGACCTATTATTTTTGGAGTAGAGAGAGTCATTGTTAACAATACACAATTGCTTGCGATAGCGACAATTGAAGTGTGAAAATCGGGGTCTCGTCAAAGCCAACAACGTCATTGTGCATTTGCACGCGAGCAGGAGCAGCGCAGAACCAAGTTGGAGCACAAGCACAAGCTGCCCGGTTTACTCGTCAATCTCCCCTGACAAGTACAACAGGCTTGTGGTATTAAGACAAGTCCGCCGTCTGTTGCCTACACCCCATCCCTCTCTCCAGCAAGCTTCATGCAGGTCTAACCTTTGCCTGCTGTCACCATGGCCATCCGAAACGAGAAGGCGCCGAACGGCTCCATCTCGACATCATCAACAAGAGGCCGCCAGGTCAAGAGACGAGGCTTCTTCTCGCGACTCATCAGCATAGCCCTGAGGTATCCACCCGATCTGGTTGCTCAGTCCTGCCATTCGTTACTGATTCTGCCGCNNAGATTGTCCATATGGTACACGCTCCTCACTGTCGTCTTCCGTTGCCCGTCATCGCCCAAACAACTCACCAAAGACTCTCCCAACGTTTGCGAGCCTTACTTCCAGCTGAGAGACTTTGCTGTTCCCCACCTCCAGCCCTACTACGATACCTATGCCTCTCCTTACGTTCAACAAGTCCAACCCTACTTTGACCGCGTCAAGGAACAGGCCTACGTCCCTGCTGCTGCCTTTGCTCAGAAACATGGTGCCCCTCGTGCCGCCCAGATTCAGAAGTACGCCACCAAGGAGTGGAAGAGATCCGTCCGCCCTCAGTTGGACGTCGCTCGCAAGCACGCCTTGAAGCAGTACGACTCTACCTTGGGTCCTCACGTCCAAAAGATTCAAGACGCCGTATCTCCCTACTACACCAACGTCAAGGCCTCGGCCACTGACTTTTACGAGCTCGAGTTGCTGCCCGCCTACAAGCACACAGCTCCTTACGCCAAGAAGTTTTACAGCCAAGCCCATCGCTTCTCCGTCAACACTGCTCTGCCTTACGCTCGCTGGGGCACCGACTTGACTTTCACCTTCGTTCGCCGACAGATCTGGCCTAGAATACAGGTCCTCTACGGAGAAAATGTTGAGCCTCAAATCTTCAAGATCAGCCAGAGACTTGGTCGCTACCGCGATGAGAAGAAGATTGAAGCCGCCGTCGAGTCCGCTGAGAGTTCCGCATCCTCTTCGTCTTCTTCCGTCTCGTCAGCTGCATCTGCTTCTTCTACCATTGTCANNCCAGCTCCCCCCTCCGCCGTGGTCTCGAGTGCTAGTTCCGTTATTGAGTCTATCATGACAAAGGCATCCAGTGTTGTTGTTGCTTCGCCTTCGATGGCACCTACTGAGGAAGAGCCCAGTGCTGCCGAGCAATTCTCCCAGGATTTGAAGGTCTGGGAGGAGCATGTTTCCATCGCTGTGCGTGAGGGTCTCGACCACTTGCGCGAACGTATTCAGGAGATTTGCGACCGCCAAGTCGAGACTCAGACCAACGGTGTTGGCCAAGCTTTGATCGTTCAGCTGGAAGAAAGCTCCTCGTCGGCTTTCAGAAGTCTCAAGGCAAGAGTTGAAACTGTTATCGAACATCTCCCTGAAGAACCTTCAGAGTCTGATATCTCATCTGCTCAAGACTCCATCAACAAGGAAGTAAAGAAGGCTGGTCAAACTATCAAGCAAAAGGCTCAGAACGTCCGCGATTGGAAACAAACCTTTGACCAAGACATTACCCGACTTATCGAGGCTGCCGCCAACTCTACTCTTGAGACTATTGACAACATCCGTGACCTCCGTCTGCAGGAGATTGGCAGACGTTGGGCTTCCAATGCTGCTATCACTCACCGAGACTGGACTAAGTACAACGACCTCAAGAAAGCCTCGAGCAAGGGTCGTGATGAAGTTGCCGCTCTCGCCACCTCAGACGAGCTTACCGAAGCCAAGAAGGGCGCCCACTCAATCGAGGAAAGAGCCATGGCCATTGCTGAGAACGCTGCCAAAGAGCTTGCCAGACTCAAGAGTGTTTCTCAATGGAAACTCGAGGCTAGAGATTCTTCCGACGACTTCAACACAAAGTACACACCAGCTGCCGCTGCTAGAGCCAAGCAGCAAGTTGTCGAAAAGATCTCCGATGCCAAAGAGGCCATCGCCGGAAGTTCCCAGGGTACTGTTGAGTCAGCAACGTCGGCATTGTCCTCTCAAGGCTCCGAGGTAGCTTCCAGCATGTCCACCCAAGGATCGCAAGCAGCCTCGAGCATTTCTGCTGAGGGCTCTCGTATGGCTTCCGGTGCGTCCGAGGCTATTCTAGGAACAAGCACTGGTTCCGTAGAAAGCGCCGCATCTAAGGTATCCGAGAAGGTTCTTGGCTCTGAGCAAGCTACTGTCGAGAGCATTGCTTCTGTTGTTTCCGAGAGTGCTAAGAGCGCAGCCACGGTTGCCTCAGAGTCAGTTCTGGGCACTCAACCTGGTGTCGCGGAACAGGCTGCCACGAAGGTGTCCGAGGCTGTGGTTGGCCGTGACACACCTGTGATCGAGAGCATTTCCTCTGCAGCCAGCTCAGCCAGTTCGCGAGTCGCTGACCAATCTCTTGACGTTGAGATGGCAAAGAGCCTGAGTGCTGCCAAGTCTAGCGCCTCTTCTGCTGCCAGTGAAGTCTCTTCCAGCGTTGCCTCAGTTGCATCCAGTGTATCTGCTCCCTCAATTGTTTCGGAAGCTTCTTCCAGCGCCGCCTCAATTGCATCCAGTCTGTCGGCTCCATCGATTGTGTCTAAAGCTTCTTCGAGCATCAGCTCTGTTGCTCAGCAAGGGTCATCGAGCGCATCATCTGTAGCATCCCAGGTGTCCGAGAGTGTGTCTGACGCTTCTGAACAGGCTTCTAAGAAGGTCTGGGGTGGAGCTATGGCTCAGGCAGTTCCCTCGGCACGTTCAATCGTTCTTGACGATGACATTGTCGACGACGAGTACACGTACTCAAGCAAACTCCAGGACATTCTTGGAAAGGCTGGCAGCCAAGCAAGTCAGCTCACCCAAGCAGTTCAGGATGCTATCAAGCCCGCGCCTACCCAGGGCAGTGTCGAATCGGTCACTTCTCTTGCTAGTGAGCAGTACGAACGGGCTCTCTCTGCAGCAAGCAGTGTGATCTTTGGTACCGAGCAAGGTGTTGGAGAGTCCATGTCAAGTGTCGCAAGTGACCGATATGCCTCTGCAGTTTCTGCCGCATCCAGTGCTATCTATGGAGCACCCATTCCTGCCACCAAGTCCATTGCTTCTCAAGTCGCTTCCGTAGCAGCTTCTGTTACCGCTGGCGCTAGCAGCAACGTGGACTCTCTCCAGTCACAGGCTAGTTCAATCTACACTGAGGTCCAGTCTGCGTACTCGGAGTCTATCGCAGACCCGCTGCAATCTGTCTACTCTAGTTCCATCGCGGACCCGATGCAGTCAGCTCTGTCCTCCATCTCGTCGATAGCATCGTCAAGACTCCAAGAAGGTCTTTCATCCGCAAGTGCTCAGTTCGAGCATGCTAAGAGCGCTGTCGGCGCTTCGCCAACACCAGTTCAACAAGGTGTCTTGGCAGACGCTCAGCGCAGATACTACGAAATGGTGGGCTACGCTTATGACCGTTACTCCGCCTTCGAGTCTGCTGGAAGGGNNGATATGGTTGCGGCTCGCCCTACATCGACTTCTGGATATTCCAATGCCCTTGCTGCCGCCCAGAGCCAGTACAGCAGTGCCGTTGACGCTGCTTCGAGAAACATGGACAGCATCCTCTCATCGGCACGTTCTGTTGTCAGTGGCACCACTCAATCTCCAGCTCAAAGCTTGGTTGACCAAGCGTCGAGCCAATATGACGCTGCAACTTCCAGTGCTTCCTCTTACCTTGTCATCGCCTCGTCCAAGGCCAGCGAGGCTATTTATGGCACTCAGCCTGCTATGTATGAAAACCTTCTCGCCTCTGCCCAGAGCCAATATGATGCTGCTTACAGTGCTGCAAGCTCCAACCTGAACAGCATTATGGACTCGGCCAGCTCTACTGCTGGACCCGCACTCGACACTGCATTCGAACAGTACGAGTTAGCAGTCTCCGCTGCTGGCGAGCAGTACTCATTGGCAAGTGCCAAGGCCAGCGAAGCAATCTACGGAACGTCGACAGGCTCAATTGAGTCGATCGCCAACGCTGCTAGCACTGCCATCTACGGAAGTGAGACTCCTTGGACGGAAGCCGCTGCTTCGCAGGCCAGCGAGAACTGGGAGATGTTGGTCTCCAAGGCTAGCNGAACAAGTTTACGGTTCTCCTACCCCTTCCTCTCCCAGGCTGGTGAGTATGCTTCTCAAGCTACGGTTGCTGTAGTTGAACAGTACGCCGCAGTCTCTGCGCTTNTTGACGAGCTCGTGAATGGACGCGAGCCAGAGTTCACCGAGAGTGTTTGGAACCGCCTCCAATCTGCATATTCGACTGGTGCTCCGGCCATCGCATCGAGTGCATCGAGTTATGCTCAAGACGCTTACGCCAGCGCATCTTCATTCTATGAGTCGGCCTTCACTCCACCACCAACTGTCGAGGCTCTTCTGGACAATGTCAACGAGCAAATCAACTCTGCAGTCGACGCCGTCTCGGCCCAGATCTACGGCACCACAAAGGGCAACATGGAACAGATGACCGAAGCTGTCGGCAGCGCATATAACGACGCTGCATCTCGCGCCAGTGAGGCCGTCTATGGAACCACCACCGGTTATGCCGAAGCAGCTCAGAGCTCGATCTCAGAGGCTGCTTCGTCCGCCCAGCAAGCTATCAGCGAAGCTTTGTTTGGAACCCCATCTGCAGCAGCTGCAGCTAGCATCTACACGTCGATCGCATCGGTTGCATCCGAGAATCGCGATGCTGTGGTATCAAAGGCTGCGGAACAGTACGAGGCAGCTACATCAGCTGCTAGCAGCGCCATTTACGGGTCCGAGAAGGGCGCTTTCGAGAGTGCTCAGAGCAGACTCTCAGTCGCCATGGCTAGTGCATCTAGCAGACTGGCAGAATTTGGCGAGACTGCAAGCAAGGCTACCGATGACTCGGTATCAAAAGTGGTAGAAGCGGCTCAGGACGCAGCCTCATCAGCGAGTAGCGTGGCCGAGTCAGTCAGTGCCAGGGTTAGAGATGAGCTCTAAGTGAAGTGAAGTGAAGTTGTGATGACGATGCATAGATGAAGAAGAGGAGAAGGAAAAAGGAGTTCATGAGTTATTCACGAAAGCGTTGTCTATTTTCACCAATATAAACATGATTCGCTCTTATAAAAATGCTTGTGAATGTGACTTGGCTGATGCTATATTGTGCATTTCTATGCGTTACATAAGAGGGCGTCGGTGCGCTGGGAGCGACCCCATTCCCCGACCTCGGCAAGAACCCCGCAATTGATAGGCGTGGTGATAAGGGAAGGAGCTCCACCATGGGGCAGGCCGCAGTGGCCGCAATTGCCGTCCATCAAACCAACTTGTGCCTTCTTGACAACTTCTCGTCCTTGTCAGAAGTTCTAGGAGCAGGCAGCAGAGTGTTCACATAATCATACAATGGCAGGTCGACGAGCGGTAGCACGTCGTGCTCTACAGAGCATCTATCTCCAACCTGGAGTCAGTCGGCCAGCACTGACAAACACATTACGATTCGGCCAGACAGCAAACACATGCAAGCTGGGAGGCAGAAAGCTACACGTTTCTGCCAGACAACTGAAGCCTGCCACGGCATCAGCCCTCGCATCTACCGCCACCGACTACCCCACCACTCACGACCAGATCCAACAACCCATTGATACCCAGAATTTCCTCGACAACCAGTTTGTAGCCTCCAACGCCACACAATGGATCGATCTCCATGATCCTGCCACCAACAATCTCGTCACCCGCGTCCCTCAGTCTACCGATGAAGAGCTCAAGGCAGCAGTGGCATCCGCCGAGAAGGCCTTCCCTGCGTGGAAGGCTACTAGCTTGCTGCACAGACAACAGATCATGTTCAAGTTTGTCCATCTGATCAGAGAGCACTGGGACCGCCTGGCTTCCTCGATCACCTTGGAGCAGGGCAAGACCTTTGCTGATGCTAAGGGCGATGTCCTCCGTGGACTCCAGGTCGCCGAGACAGCATGCGGCATTACGACACAGTTAACTGGCGAGGTCCTCGAGGTCGCCAAGGACATGGAGACACGCTCATACAAGGAGCCCCTGGGTGTTGTTGCTGCCATCTGCCCCTTCAACTTCCCTGCCATGATTCCTCTATGGGTCATCCCTACCGCTACCATTACCGGAAACACAGTCGTCGTCAAGCCTTCCGAGCGCGACCCCGGTGCCATGATGATTCTCTGTGAGCTTGCAGAGAAGGCTGGCTTCCCTCCTGGTGTCATCAACGTTGTTCACGGTGCTGCAAAGACTGTCGACTTCATGATTGACGAGCCTGCCATCAAGGCTATCAGCTTCGTTGGTAGCAACAAGGCTGGTGAATACATCTTTACTCGCGGATCTGCCAACGGAAAGCGTGTCCAGGCCAACTTGGGTGCAAAGAACCACGCTGCTGTCCTTCCCGACTGCAACAGAAATGCCACCATCAACGCCATTGCAGGTGCCGCTTTCGGTGCTGCTGGTCAGAGATGTATGGCTCTGTCCACTGTCGTTTTTGTTGGCGACACCAAGAACTGGGTCGATGACATTGCCGACCGTGCTAAGGCTCTCAACGTCAACGGAGGTTTCGAGAAGGACGCCGAACTCGGCCCCGTCATCAGCCCCCAGGCAAAGGAGAGAATCGAGTCTATGATCGCCAGCGCCGAGAAGGAGGGTGCCACCATTGTTCTCGATGGCCGCGGCTTCAAGCCCGAGAAGTACCCCAACGGCAACTTTGTCGGCCCAACCATTATCACAAACGTCACAAAAGACATGACTTGCTACAAGGAAGAGATCTTCGGTCCTGTGCTTGTCTGTTTGTCCGTCGACACCCTCGAGGAGGCTGTGGATTTGATCAATGCCAACGAATACGGAAACGTAAGTCTTGCCCTTCTCATCCTGTCTCGAGATAACAATACTAACCATGTCTTTCTCAGGNGTGTTGCCATTTTCACAAACTCGGGCTCCACAGCCGCACGCTTCCAACGCGATATCGAGGCCGGCCAAGTCGGCATCAACGTCCCCATCCCCGTTCCTCTCCCCATGTTCTCCTTCACCGGAAACAAGAAGTCGGTTGCTGGCGGCGGTGCCAGCACTTTCTACGGCAAGCCCGGTCTTGCCTTCTTCACTCAGACAAAGACTGTGACGAGTTTGTGGAGAAGCGAGGATGCTATTGCTACCAAGGCTGAGAGTGTCATGCCTACCATGCGTTAAGAAACAAGGTGTTTGAGATTCTTTAGCAGATACATATATGATGAACAAAATGATTCTCTGGTTCGCGGAAGTTTTCACGCTTCTCATAACCTTTGCCAGAAAATGGATGAATGTAGGAGAGTAATGTGCAACAGGTGATATGTCTTGCCCACCAGCACAACATCTCCACACAGGAGATTGAGCTGCGCCTCGTTCTTGAGCAGTAACGTTATGAATGCTAGATGAACTAAATTTCAGAAATGTTTTGTCATTGCATCAATTCTGACTAAGGGACGAGATGAGTTGGCTTAAAATATAGACCGTGATATATTCCAGATGTCAAATCATTTCAGTATACATGGTCTGTTATGTTGCCATCGCTGTCGCTCTGTATATATACTGACAGGGTGTTGCAATTAGCCATATTCGGAATCTTCCGCTCCGGCTATCATAACGGCTATCACATCCGGCTGTGTGATGTGCAATCATATGCATCTGATCTTACGTCTTCGTCAAGCAGAAGGAGATCATTGCGACAACTTGGAGGTCCCCTGGACTTACAATATCTAGAGCCGCCGAGTTGTCTTCCGGATTGGAGCAAAGGTCTCGAGATGGACCATACAACATCACACAAGCTTGTTCACAAGATCCGAGCACCATCAAGATAAACAACAATCATATTCTTCGACTATAACTCGACTGCGATATATGTATTGATGACCCCTCCTCGTCATACAATGTCCTCGAAACCATTCATCTGAAGTCCATCATGCAGACGGAAAGGCAGGACACGATAGAGATATGGAGAAGCAGGTGACCTTGTCCATTTGTCCACAGACATCAGCTTTCTCCAGCAGACGATCTGTATGCCTCAGTTCCTAGATTGCCTCTAGCCAACCTGGCTTGACAGTCTTCGAGGCATCGTATACGCCGAAGTAGTACATGCAAACGAAGGTGAGGTTGCTCAACCCAAAAGCCATGCTTACAGTGTTTCTCCACTCTGGACTCTCTGCCCTCAACAGTGGGTTCCATCTTTCGCGCAGTTGATCTTGAGGCAGCCCTGGATCTTCTCTGTCTCCCTGTAGTGACTCTTGTGCGCTGCTGCGTCGTCGATCGGCTTTGCGAAGAATCCTGGTGACAACAGACACGAGGGCCAGATGCAAGACCACGACAGCAAATGCAGCCAATGGGATGAAGATTGTTCTCCATGCGGTATCGGATGGGGTACTTATTGCAATCACAAACGCCACAATAAAAGCCCTGTGTCGGTCGTCTTCTGCCCAGTTTGCCAGAGCCCAGCGGCCCATTAGAATCCTTGGTCTCCAATGCGCGTGTGGTGCGGCTTGTTGTGCTTCCTGCTCGTCGGGCTGGTTCCCTTGGACATCCTCTTTTGGGGAAAAATAGGAAGTCAAGGCAGGAAAGATTACCATCACCAGTACAGTGATGACGACTGCCGCATTGGGCTCAGCAAAGAATTCGAGCTTGCCAAAGATTTCAATCCAGAAATGGAACTGAGCCGAGTAAGCGAGGTCGTAGAGGAAGTCCGCGGTCTTGAAGAGTCGTTCTGGCCTGGAATTTGCGAGCTCTTGAATCGCGTTTTCGTCTTCGCAACGCCTGCTCAGGGTGTTGACGGAGACGCGCACGATGTACGCAGTGACGAACATGGCAGCAGCGAATGTTTGCAACCATGGTGCGGTTCCTGTTGCTCCAAAGGCAAAGAGCTTTATTGCCTCTAACATGGGTCCAGCGAGGAACACGATCATGAGGACAATGTTCCAAGGCCAACCCTTCCCTTTGACAAGTGTATCTTCCTCTTCCGAGAAGCCAAAGTCTTTGAAGAGCATCTTTGCAGAGACCTTGAAGCCAATCCTCTTGAAGAGCACTCCATAGCCAAGCCAGAGCACTGTGGTGAGTATATCTGCTAGGCATATGAACGGAGAGGTACGGGCTGGCGAGAGGTGTACGTTGGCGAAGTGATCGGCTCCTGACCTCTGAGTCGCTGCGTTGACCCCGAGGATGATCAGGCACAATAAGGCATTGAACGGAGACACGTGGACTGGCTCGTCTGCTGGCATGATCTCGCTGGTAGCGTTCGACTTCTCAGCATCTGGTCTTCAGATCAGCTAAGGTGTATCAACATCAGAGCGGACGAAAGACCTACACTCGAAGGTGGGGTTTGCAGCATGTGCAGGGGTGATGAGTGATCCCACTATGAAGCAAAAACAAAATAAGGATATGAATCGAGACATGTTTGCCAAGTTCTTTTGGTAGACAGAAGGTTTGACCCAAAGTTCAGGGAGAGTGGGCTCTGAAATAGAGAGCAAAGAGGGCCTCTTATGAGGAGGGCCGTCTCACACAACCCTCACATCTGATGCAATCGAGTGGTCACCGACACTCACTACGCAAGCCTGGAAGAAAACCGATATTCCATCCATCCATTCTGGGCATGACAGTCGTTTCAAGAGGTCTACTTTCTACTCTGCCCCTGTGGCTTGATAGCTCTCTGCCGTTTTGAGGACGGATCAACCCATTTTGGGGTTGGTTTACCTGCACGAGCGGTCGATGCCGACGAATCACGACGAAACGCGGTTCGTCTCTCGAGGATTCAAACGACTATACCACGCACATCACGTCATGTCCGAAGCAACTTTGACGTGGTTCGTCGGGTAAGAAGATCCGCCTGCAACGACGTTGGTATCGAAGAACAAGAAGTCGCAACTTTAGGCTTTGTGCCCCTGACGAGGCTGAAAAAAAACACCATGTGCCTGGACCCAAAATAGAAAATGCTCTTTCCGGATCCATCACGTCGCTCTATACTTGGAAAACCAATTCCCGAATTCCGGGTTATTGTATCGGACATCTTGATCAGCGAACATGACGATGATGCTGGTCAGAGGTCGTAGTCTTGACCTTTCACACAATCCTTCGAGGCTGTGTTATGAGGCGCCTGTAGACAGAAGTACGGAGTATATTAGACTGTCCGGTTGGCTGTTCTAGGTCGGAACATCACTGATCTACCACTCATCCACTACTTACTCACAAACATTATCTACTCATCTTCCCATCATCATCTTCCACTCTATCTTCATCTCTCCTCAACAACAATGGGTGGCACTTGTAGCAAAGTATCGGCAGCCGCCGATCAAACATCTCAAACCATGCCGCTCGTGAGAGAATCCCTCGGCACCGCAGAGACCTGTCTCGACACCATAAAATACAGCGCCGGAATATCCACCGCGATATCTGGAATGTGCACAGCGTACAAAGCCCTGGACGAAAAGCAATACAGAACCCATCTTGCTCGGCTTGGACAAGACATTTCCGATCAAGTCAAGCAGATGAATCAATCTCTGATTGCTGGAAACTGTCTCGACGAGCCTGAGAAGCTGTCTCGTCACGTCTATTGCGTGGCAAAACAGCGTATTCAAGAGTTGAGTGGCAAGAACGCAGGCACGGGCACACCAAGTTACTTTTTCGTGTTCCATCCTGGCAACAATTGGCACAATGAGTTCAAGTGCAGACTTGTTGAAAACCCTCGAGACCCTGAATCAGGGCCCTTGGCTGGCCTCTGCGGTATCTTTGACAACATAGAGGCCATGGCTGTCACTCTCAAAAGTTCAGAGAAGTTGTTGGTTCGGCCCCTGTCTTTTACATACTGGTCCCTACTGCACACGTCTACGCCGTTCCTCAGCGGATGGGCTTTCCTACCGAACTTGGACCTTTGAAGGTCATTGGCGAGAAAGGCAGAAACCAACAGCCATTTGTGTACTTGACTGGTGGAGAGGAATGGCAGGAACATGTCAAAGATGTTAGCGTTCTCCCATGCCCGGAAGATACTTTGACAGCCATGGACAATTTCAGGGCAAACGTTGGTGGGGTTGCAGCTGGCTCTGGTGGAGCTGCAGCTGGTGCTATAGTCGGGTCAGCCCTTGGCCCTGTCGGCGCTTTGGTCGGTGCGGCAGTTGGTGGTGTGTTGGCTGGTGCTGTTGCGAAGGAAGATATCGAGAAGAATCGAAAGGATGCACGCAAGAGAGAGCGGGAGCAACAAAACGCTGCTATCGTGGATGGAAGAGCTGCTATGAGATGAGAGCGAGTCGTGTAGATATACATATCAGCGTATCGTAGTCTGAGACACTGTCCCTTCGAGAGTACAGGACTTGGTTGATTGTTCATATTACCATTACTTGTTTATCCTCCTCAATCACTCCCAACAACGTCTTCGCATTTCCTCCTCACCTCGTCCACGCCCTTGACACCTTCCCACTTATCCAACAACCCTCGTACCTCATCCCACTCCTTCTTCATACCCTCTTCCTTTCCTTGCTCTTTGAAACCCTTTAATCTTTCCGGTGCACCCAACACCCACCTCACAACCTCTTTTTGTCTTTCCTTCTCCACATCCCCAGCATTCCTACTCTCCTTGATGCTTTTCGCAACATCAGCGATATGTTTAACCGCGGGCTCCAAGGTCGTCGTCACTGGCGCCATCGGATCCACATTTTCTCTCATTCTACTGATTGTACTCGTTGCAGAAAGTAATGTCGTGTAGTTATCATACACCAATGCTTTTTTATCGCCTTCAAGCCCCAAAGCAGATATTGTGATGGCGTTTAAAGTGCGTAACAGTGTTTCCGCATTGGAGGAGTTGAGTAACTCGTCTGTGTATGTTTTTGCTGAGAAGGAGGGGGAGNNGTCGAGAGCGGAAAGTGCATCTTGTGGTCCTGAGTCTTGTGGAGCAGGTGCTGAAGGAGGGGGTTTTGTGGATGGTTCTGCGGCTTGGAGGTTGTAGAATTCGCGGAGGGCGGCGCGGTCGCGGCGGCGTGAGGATGCTGGGATGGGTGTGCTGGTTGCTGAGGCGGTGTCGCGAATTGAAGCTGGTCGTGAGGTTGAGGGGGAGCGGGTGGAGTTTATGGTGCTGGTTGAGCCGCGGCGGCTTGAGGGCAGATTGAGACTTGGTCGTGGTGAAGCGATGGACATTGTGAATGGTGCTTGTGGTTGTGTTGCGATGTGATGTGCTCTGATTGTCTGTTCTACTCAAGGTGCAACTTGTTGATGTCAAGGGTCAAGTTGGCGACCTTCTGACATGTGCGTTTGTGGGGTATTATTGGTCAGGGTCACCACGAACTTGATGGTTCTCGAGAAGAAAAAGATATCATGTCTGGACCGTGGTCCAAATGCTATATAACAATCCTGCTCCCAAAGTTCCGTAAACGCCATGCTCATGCATCTACTTTCTGAAAGTCATACTCTTGCCAGCCCTCTCCTTCTGCCCTCTAGGCATACCCTTCATCGTGTCTAGCGCCTTGACGAAAGGATTGAATGCTTTCGTCTTGGGCTCCTTCTTGTTCTTCTTTCTGTCACGAGGATCCTCCTTGTTGGCATCTAGCACACTTGGTGCAGCTGCATAATCGAATTCTTCCTCCTCCAGATCAACTTCTGCCGCATGTTGGGCTGCTAGTTCCTTGCTGCTTTCTTCGCCTCCNTTACGTTGGCGCTTGGCTTCGCGCTTAGCTTCCAAGCTATCATCAGCTGTGATGTCGATCTCATCGGCGTTTGTCGCGAGATTGTCGTTGCCGGTCGACATGGCGTCAGAATCACGCTTACGTCCACGCTCCTTGAGTGTGAAGACGCGATCCTTAGGTGTTGGTAGCGCGCTTGAAGGTGTGGCGGATGTGGGTGTAGCGCTAGCAGGGGTAGGTGGTGCTGTCAACGGAGCCGATGAAGCAAACACTTCTGCTGTCAATGGAGGAAGAGGAACGGAGAGTGAGATGTTTGAAGAGTAAGGACGAGGCTGTTCGCTCTGGCTCTTGCCACCAAACAGACCGCCCCAGAATTGGGACACCTTTGCGCGGACTCCTGATGGTTCGCTGCTGTCTGTACGGCTCAGAACCGGTGGTTGAGGTGCTGGTGTAGTCGCCACAACGGCTTGTTTAGGCTGTGACTGTTTGAGAGCAGCAAAGTGAGTAGGTGTCTCGTGAAGCGGAACTCCCAGCAGTTGTGCTTCGATCTCTTTCATGGTAGTAACCATGTCAGGTCCGTTCTCGCCTTGCTCCTTGGCTTTGATGATCACGGACAACAGCTCGTCGGCTCTCAGGCGCACAGTCTGACTTGTGTTTTGGGCAACAGCGAACAGTTGAGCTTTCTCAGTAGGCATCTCCTTTGCGAGACTGAAAATGTTGTGATTGGCCATGACGTAGTGAGTGCTATCATCCTGCTCACGAGCAACTTGGTCGCGCCATTGGTGTACAGCGCGGAAGACAGCGAATTGCTGCTTCTCCAAAAGGGCTGGTGTGCGGCTCAGCATCTTGTACCAACCNCCAGCACCCAGACCTTGTGCGGCATCGTACACAGGGTGTTCGTATCGTTGTAGAGCGGTATCTCGGGAGCGTGTCAAGACGTCGTGAATCTTGTCCTGTTCGTGGTTGGAAACGGAAAAGTCGGACTTCTCGATAAGCTCGTTGCGCATGTTGTCGTAGATGTAAAGAAGGAAGTGTGTGTCTGATCGAGCGTATTCAAACATCTCCTGAGGAAGGGGTCTGATGCGCCAGTCGGCTGTCTGGTATTGTTTCTGTGCGTCAAAGTTGACAAACTTCTTAAGCAAAAATGCCAGACTTCCTCCTGTGTATCCCAAAGCTCTTGATGCAAAATGCGTGTCGAACAGACCCACGACGTACAAGCCCAAATCTCTCTGCAACCAGGTGATATCCATGAAAGCGCCGTGCAAGACCTTGAGGATGTTGGGATCGGCGAAGACTTCGTTAAGTTTGCTTAGCTTTCTTCTCCAGGGTTGAAGAGTGTCGACAATCCAGTCCTTGTCGCGAGTGCTGATCTGCATTAATGACACAATACCGATATATGAGCGCGAATCGTGGTGTTCCAGATCAATAGCAATCTCCTTGGCCTTCTTGAGCTCCTGAAGCATCTCGTCTACCTTTTCTTCCGTGTCGACAAAGATAGCGGTAGTAGATTCGTAGGGGTGGTAAGGGATGGGCTCTGCCTGAGTGTAGACAAATGACGGGTACTCGTACTGCTCGATTTCTTTCTGGTAAGGATGCGGGTGGTGCTCGACATCGTTGTGGTCCTTGAACAACTCCAGAGCTTTGGCGAAAGGTACAGTTGCGTGAGGTTTTGATTGAAGAAGGGGTTTGAAGGGTCCTGTTTCGGCGTTGGTGGGAACATGGTTGAAGTTTAGTTGAGGTTTGGGAATGTCTTGTGTTCGGAGAGCTTGGGAGATGCGAGAGAACTTTTGCGACTTGGTTGGTGTTTGTGCCTAGGTGGAGTTAGCAGCATGTCAGGGAAAGGAGTGTAGATGGCTGACCTGTTCTCTAGCCGGGCTCAAGCGCTTAACAGCACCGGTATATTCGTCCAGGCTTATGTCTGCTTTCTCAAGCAAGCTGTCGATTACATCAACGACGCTGCTCCACTGTGCGTCTACAGCGTCTGTGTCGGGCAACTTGGGACGTACAAGCTCCGTATTCGAAGCCGCATTGCCCAGAAGGCGTTCCGCAAGCCCCAGAAGCCGCGCATTCTGTGTGTCGAGAGCGCGACCTAGCGATGGATCCAGAGATCGGTGGAAGCCCAAGTCCTCGGATGAGATGGCCTGCGATGATCGAGTGACGGCGACGAGGGATACTTGGATCTGCTGTTGTAGGGCGTTAAAATCACTCAGCGCCTCCATTGTTTGTGCAGGCGCAGTGTCGTGTTGTGAAGAGACTTGAAATCTTGCACGCCTTCCAAAGATGGAATCTTCAAAGTTCTGCGCACAGACGCAAGAAACCGCCATCTCCGCATTTCTTGGCAGCCTCCTCGCCGTCACTCTTTCCTCTTCGGGCGCTGCGCTCTTCTTGCTCTTTACGAGGATGATTATATCGTGTTGTCAATCCGTACATCCTGCCCCTTCATCAACAAAGGCGCGACATCAACGCAGAACTCTCACGACGAGTACTTGGCTCTTTCGGCCGTAGTCACCTGAAGTTCAGCATTCGATTGACTTCCCATCAATTTTCGAGCTAAACAACACTCGTGCTTTCCGTCCGTAGCTTCTGTTATCTTGCTGACACCACGAGCGTCTTGACAAACTCCATGTCGACACCGACCCGGATATCGAACATCGGTCGCATTGTTATCTTCGTAGGCAGCAGAGAAGCCAAAATCCTCGTCGCTGAAGCTTGCGTCGGTGTAGCAGAAGCTGGTGCTGGTGCTGATGAAGCAGAAGCTGGAGGCGCAGTTGGAGTAGTTCCTTGCCGCGAAGAGGTCCGTTTTTATAGACCTTGCTTCCAAATGAAGCATGAGCAGAACCTTCACATGTGCTTGTAGAGTCTTCTCTCTGGTGCTATTGCTGATCACCTGTCTATCACAAGATTCGACGGCCCTCAGCCTCGCCCATTATTATCCCGAAGCTTGCCTCCCCATGTGCTAACGCCTCACGCGTATAGCTATGAAAATGCACAATAGTGATAGGAAATAAGATGGTGTCCACTGAGAGGTAACTTGTTGCCGAATCTCTGTGGACATGCCTCTAACCCCAACACAATTGTGCCTTTTCATAGTCTGAATTTTGCTCTTAGCTATAGTCGGAGTACGGTATCTACAGATTTTAGTACACGAGGAGGCAGTCGATCTTGATAGACAGCGCATCCTTCTTGCCCATATTGAGTAGGTAAGCGGGGACAACACAGACGGTCAATGACGATCCGGACAAATTCATAAACTTGTTCCCATGCACCCCTCATTGCACCACAAGCGGAGAAATGGCTTTATATATGGCTGTTCCTCATATGTTGTGGTATTACCGCCTTGATCGCGTCTCGCCATGAATTCCCCCACATCGCACAGCTTGTTGCTTGTGTTTTGCCTGATGCAGAGCATTCATGCTAGATCTCTATGGTCAACAGAGCCAGCAAATAACTTCACAGATATAATCAGAACGGCATATCCAATCGGCAATGGGAGATTAGCAGNNGTACTGATCCCACTCAACTACCCAAGCACGTTGAATTCAACTCATCCAGTCACAGCACTTCCATTTGGCAATCCTGGACACGAAAAGATTAGCCTCAATGTAGACTCTTTGTGGAGTGGTGGGCCATTTGAGAATTCGAGCTACAATGGAGGCAATCCCCAATCTTCTGTGTCATCTGCGCTACCAGGAGTCCGTGACTGGATCTTCAAGAATGGCACAGGAAACGTCACCGCTCTGATGGGAGACAATAACAACTATGGCAGCTATGCTGTTCTTGGTAATCTGTCCATCTCGATTGACAATATATCGAACTTCACAGGCTACAACAGATCTCTTGATCTGGTCACTGGTGTGCATACAACGACGTTCGAAGCAGGCGAAAGCAAGTATACAAGGTGAGTAAACACTGAGCCAGAGCCATACTATCTTCAGGCACTAACATGAAATAGCCAAATTTATTGCTCCTATCCAGATAATGTTTGCGTCTACGAGCTGACTTCGCGTGACTTTCTACCGACTATTCACATCTCATTTGAGAATCAGCAATCCAATACAACGCTTGTCAAGTCTGCATGTTCAGCGTCCACGAGGACTGCGTCACTATCGGGCATAACTCGAGCAGATATTGGCATGTCTTATCGTGCCGAAGCAAAATTTGTCGGTAAACCCTTATCGCTTTCTTGCTCCTCAGGAGTCCTCACAATCAAGCCTGGCTCGAAGCAGAGATCGCTCGCTCTTGTGGTTGCGGCCAGCACTAACTACGCAGAGGCAGAAGGAAACGCAACAGCCAACTACTCATTCAAGGGCCCAGATCCAGGCGACTACGTCGCTACCGAAGCAGGATCTGCAGCAGCAAAAGGCGCCAAAGTCTTACTACGACGCCACATTACAGACTACTCGGCTCTATCCTCGCGCTTCGCACTCGAGCTCCCAGATACCGCTGGATCAGCAGGTAAACCAACAGCAAATCTGATAGCTGCCTATCAAGGCACGGTGAACATCACAAGCGACCCTTACTACGAGTCTCTTCAATTCGACTACGGCCGCCACCTTTTCATCTCCTCTTCACGCCAAAACTCACTTCCACCAAATCTCCAAGGGAAATGGGCCTATGGGCTCGAGAATGCGTGGGGTGCAGACTATCACGCCAACATCAACCTGCAAATGAATCATTGGGGAGTAGACCAGACCGGACTAGGCGAACTTCAAGAGGCGTTGTGGCGATACATGACAGAAACCTGGGTCCCTCGCGGTACCGAAACTGCGAATCTGCTTTACGATGCACCGGGCTGGGTAACTCACGACGAGATGAATATCTTTGGCCACACAGGGATGAAGACTGGCGATGAGTATTGGGCAGATTATCCAGCATCGGCAGCTTGGATGATGTTGCACGTGTTTGACCACTTCTCATATTCGCAAAATATTGACTGGCTGCGTGAGACAGGGTACCATTTACTTGAAGGTGTATCGTCGTTTTGGCTCAGCCAGCTGCAAGAGGATAAATGGCTCCACGATGGAAGTTTAGTGGTCAATCCTTGCTCCTCGCCAGAACATGGATCCACTACTTTCGGCTGTGCTCATTATCAACAGCTCATCCACTCTCTCTTCATGAATACCATAGCTTCTGCCGGAGCCTTGAATTACTCATCTCCTCTCCTTCCAAAACTCACCGAGGCACTACAGAGGCTAGACAAAGGGCTCCATATCAACCCTACCCTCCACACAATCCAAGAATGGAAGATCACTTCCCTTGACACGTTATACAACACAAAGTCCACCCACCGCCACCTCTCCCACCTCGTAGGCTGGTTCCCAGGCTCCTCCCTCTCCGGCCTCCTAAACGGCTACACCAACATCTCCATCTCCTCCGCCATCAAACAAACACTCATCGACCGCGGCCCCGGCATCGCCGACGCAAACGCCGGCTGGGAANAAGTCTGGCGAGCAGCTTGTTGGGCCCGTCTAAATGCTTCCTCTCAAGCTTACGATGAACTCCGCCTCACCATATCCCAAAACATAGCTAGCAATGGGCTTTCTATGTATTCGGGCAAGAATGAGCCTTTTCAGATTGATGCGAATTGTGGATATGTAGGGGCGGTGTTGGCGATGTTGGTGGTGGATATCGAGGAACTGGGGGACGTGATCTTGGGACCAGCGATACCGAGAGAGTGGGCTGGGGGTAGTGTTAAAGGGTTGAGGGTTAGAGGTGGTGGAAGTGTAGGTTTTGGTTGGGATGATGAGGGATTAGTGCAGTGGGCGAAGTGTTTAGGAGTTAAGAGAAAGGTCGTCAATCTCGAAGGGACAGTATTGTGTTAGGTATCTGAGACAAAAGGTAGGTAGTTTTCCAATCAGAAACGAGATAGAAAATAAGTAACAAAAAAGGGCCTCTCATAACTCCTCACCAACCGTCTTTATTCCGCTCGAGCGGGCACGGATCAGTCGATAAAGCGAAATGATCAGACATAGCGGCCACGCCTGGGATCGAACCAGTAACTTGGCGCGAAGGCCAGCCATTGCGCCAACGGACCGCTACACGAGGGAAAGCAAGTTCTTTGACTCATGACCTTGGATGCCTCATGTTGATTGTGAACAGCAAAGTGAGGAAATGTGCATCTCATTGTCCATTGTTAAAGTTGGCATTTATGCGCTTCTGTCTCTTCGAACCCGCACTCCCACCCCCTTACTCGCCAGGGAACCCTTTCCTCAAGTTGTCAAACTTGCTCTGTGGATACTCCAGACAGTTGTCCACTTTCTGCATATGCTTGCCTTCATAGCCACCCATACCATTGACAACCAGAGTGATAAGACTGCCCTCACCAACCCTGTCTCCACTGCTCTCCCACCACATGGCACCTCCCAATCCTCTCTGCTGGACGTAGTTTACCTTTGCGGCTGAAGAGGCTGGATTGTCGTAGGTGATCATAACACGAGTTGATGAGTCGTAGCTCCAAGAGGCACCGACAGAAGGGTCATGGTGTTCGGTTGCGCCTGGGCGAGGAAGAGCCTAGTGACCAAAGTTAGTGTCTTTGTCTTGCAGCTTCTGATGGATGAGAGGATGGAAGTCGCGTAGAGGGTCAGATTAGATCAAGTTATTTTTGGCGCTCATGGACCCAGGCAAGAGGATAAAGCAGCACAGGAACCGCAGTGGGGACAGGGGCTTCTGATACATGCTGAGATTCTCTTGCCATGTATCCGGTGTTTAGTAAGAACGATGGAAAAGGTCGTGCGAGGTCTTTTATGCATCATGGAAGTTGTGTTTGACAAAAACAAGAGGGAGTTAATTGAAAGAGACTTACTTTGTAATCCCAGATACCAGATCCGGCTTCCCAGCTGGCTCCAGAATCAACACCAGAATACGATGCGCCAGGCCCACTGGTGTTGGCAAAGCTGCGGCCGTACAACGGCATACCAATGACAAGCTTGCTTGGATGAATGCCACAATGCTGAGTGTACCAGCTAACAGCATCCACGGTACTAACGGGGGTGCTTTGCGGGTTGTCTCGAGAAGGGGCGATGTTGGCCTGATGGCCAGCATGTGTGCTCCATGTGCCTGTATAGTCGTATGCCATCAAGTTCCAGAAATCGAGGTATTGGTCCATCTCACGAAGATGCATGCGATGCAAATTCTCAGGACCGCAGGGTGCAGCAACTGTGAGGGCGAAGTGTGGGTTCCCTGGCAGAGACTGCGAGTATGCGTCCAGCGCAAGCCTTGTAGCTCTCAAGAGAAGCACGTAGTTGTGGGCCTGGGCGTCATCTGCTGGGTATTCCCAGTCAACATCCAGACCGTCGAGGCCATGGTCCTTGAGCAAAGCAACAGCGCTATTGGCGAAGCACTGGCGACCAGCCTCAGTCGATGCAGGTCCAGCAAAATTAGGCGAGTATGTCCAGCCACCAATACTAAGCAGAACCTTGAGGTTACGATTACGCTTTTTGAGCAAGAAGAGCTGCTTCATACAGCCATAGACATTAGTGCCGACATCGTTCCAGGAGTCTCCAGCATAATGCTTGTCGGTGTCTGACCATGCATCGGTGAGGTGAACTTCGCCAGAATCAGGCTTGATGTTCGCAAACGCATAGAGAACGTGCGTAAGCTTGTCAGCTGGTAGGTCTTGCGGCTGATGGTTACGGCCATAGATTGCCTTGTCTCTGTTAGTGGCCTGACAACCAACTCTTCTGGCGGTCTTACCCAGTTGACAAAGTATGAGACAGCGCGATAGCCGTTCTGATATGCCATGATCGAATTGTTGTAGAGTGAAGGGTTGAGTAAACGTTGTTGTTGATATATAAAGCCTTGAGGCTGTGATTCGTAAGTGTCGTGTGGCTGTGCAAAGACCGCTTGGGTAAAGAAGATGAGGAATTCAAAAGTCTAGTGCACTATCAGTGGGCTGTTCTTATAGACTGAGCAGCGGCCGTAGCAGCATGTATCTTATGATCGTTCTGACAATGATCTTCTATATGCTGGTGTCCTTGAGACCAGCCGTTTGAACTTCTCTGGACACTAAGAATCAGGAGATGGGACTTACGCCAACAGTATGCATGCAAATCAGATGTGATTATTCTCCTATTACACCTGTGACTGAACCAGCAGTCTACTTTGATGTTTGTCCTAACGATATGCCAAAAGATGCTTGATGTTCAGGCAGCAAGCGGTAATATGGGTGAACTTCGGCATTGAAGCCGAGCAAGCTCTGCGAGGGCATCCGGAACACGCTGCATCGAAACATCATGGACAGTTCACATAGTCCTGCCAGACTCTCTCATTGCGGTTCCTCAGCGCTGAATACTTTCCTGAAGGAATCCATGGTATTCTGGAGGAAAACGAGTCAGTCGACTGAAGGTCGAGAAAACGGTTAGAGCTCCCATGAGCAAGAGCCTGTCACGCTGGAGCTGTAGAAATGCACGAATCTTTCGAGATCGGAGTTGTGTCCAAGGAGAGTGGAAAATTTAGCGGCTCTCGCTGGATATTGCCTGACTTCGAACACTATTGTGCATTTTTACAGCTCACATGTTGTCGCATCGCAGTCGGGGAAGGTCGTCAGGCGCATGCAGGAACACGGGTGTGGCGCAGGGCAATGACGGGGTACCGATAAGGAGGCTTATCGGGTTTCACGCGGTCATGTGGGCCTATCGTTGCTGCATGACCAGGTGCTCCTACCTCAGGTCGTCAACGTGTCTGACCTTTTGACTCTTCTCTCATGACAACCGTTTGAGCGTCTCCTTGCTGCATCACTTCAGTCTGGTTCCTTCCCTCCCACGCACGAAGAGAGCAGTATCGATTTCCCACCTAGATCCATCAAGGTGTTCGTTCCCGCAACAACAACACTATGGTCGTGATCGCGCCTGCCGACTTCTGGTCGAACCTGGCCGACAAGGCGCCTTCGGTTCCCTCAGTTAAATCAATGCTACTTGGTAGCTCTCAGGTTATCCTGGGTGCTCAGTCATTCTTGGGTGGCCTAGACGCCGGCAATGCTCCGTCCTGCTCAAACCCACAATTGAGCTGTCACAACACTTCAGTTGTCGAAGATCTGTGCTGCTTCAACTACCCAGGCGGCCAAATGCTGCAGACACAGTTCTGGGATACAAACCCACCCACAGGACCTGACGACGCCTGGACCATACACGGCCTTTGGTGCATTCATCGTCTTCAAACCTCACTGAATATCGCTAACACCTTTGACATAGGCNCCGACCGCTGCGACGGCAGTTACGAAGCCAACTGCGATGATAGCCGCGCATACCACAACATCCGGGACATTCTCGAGTCCTTCGGTGCCACCGATCTCCTGTCCAACATGACCATGTACTGGAAAGACTACAAAGGCAACGACGAGAGCCTGTGGATGCACGAGTGGAGCAAGCACGGCACCTGCGTTTCCACTCTCAACCCTGACTGCTACTCCTCGTACCGTAGCAAAGAAGAAGTCGTCGACTATTTCGCCGCCGCTGTATCGCTGTACACCCAGCGTCCTACATACCAGTGGCTTTTGGATGCTGGCATTGAGCCCAGCACTTCCAAGACATACACAAGAGATCAGATTCAGAGTGCTCTGAGCTCAAGACATGGCCGTCCTGTGACGCTAGGCTGCAAGGGCGGTAAGCTGGATGAGGTCTGGTACCACTTCGAGGTCCGCGGCAGCGTTCAAACTGGCGTTTTTGAGGCAGCAGATCCAGACGGTGGTAAAAGCACATGTCCCTACAGCGGTATTCGCTACCCACCCAAAGCAGCAAAACGTCCTGCTCCAACAGCTACACACACCCGTACTCGCACCCACCTGCCTGAGCCAACTGGCCCAGCATTCAGTGGCAGAGGCAACTTGATCGCCAAAACCGGCGGTAGAAGCAAAGGTTGCATCATCTCTGGTGGATCGTGGTATGATACTAGGAGTTGCGCGCGATTCCATGCCACTCAAGAGCATGAAAATGGCTTCAGCCTAGAGAGCTCCAAGGGCAAGTGCGCCATTGTCGATGGTATATTCCGCTGCTCATCAGATGTCTCATATGCCACCGTCTTCGGCAGGACCGGCAACGATACAATGACCTTCTATGCCGACGAAGTACCTTACCGCTTCAACAAAATTGACATCTATATCGATGGAGAGGGTCATGGCACTGAGTTGACTGTGGAATGGCAAGCTGCTTAGATAGAGGCTGATTGGCAAATCACTATGAACCCGTTTACGCTGGTCTCGCGCGCCGTCGAGCAATTGGAACCATACAGGGCAGGTCCAAACAAGAGTTCGCAGAACATGCTCGACGTCTGCAGCTATCCTCGCTTCAGGCACAATCAGACGCTCTGTCAAACCGTCAGGGCATTCGTTTTGCTAGCAATCACTGTTCTGGTCCTGGTACTCGTAACTCATTTCATACATACTAGATAGCAAATTCCAACCAAGATTCATTTTTTTTGATTACTCTCCTGCAACATCAGTGGTTGATAGCATGTTGCTGAAATGCATGATGTCTTAACAAGTGAGTGGCCGTCCAAGGAGAGCTGGTCAGAAGAGGGACTCTCAGTGGATCTCTGCCATATCATGATATCTTTGTGACTTTTTATAGCAGTCTTTTGAGGCATCACTTCAGTGGGGATAGCTTGTAAATTTTGTGATTTGCTGAGAGCTGAATACTTTGGAAGACTCTGCCTCTCTTTTCTCTGACGAATAGGTAAACAGTGTGTGTATGACCATGCTAAGTCAGCAATCTTGGTAAGCAATGCACGTGACTCTGCCGTCCTCCCAACTATAAATTCTTCATCCCTCTCATCTCTCCTTCTCCTTCTCATACTCGTTCCTCTGAATCTGGCTTCCAGATAGATAGAAGTGAATGGCGTGGCCAGCATTCTGTGCTTTGCACGCTTTGGCGTATTTTGGCTTTGGCCCTCATACCTAGCCTCTATGAAGCCGTCGCGGCATACCACTCTTGTTAAGAATATATGCTTGGATTTAGAGTGTTTCGGTTACTTGGTTAAGTCTTGTATCAATTTTTGGAAAATAGGATAGGATTATCTTTGGATCTGCAGGTCCTCTTTTATTTTTTTCATCTGTTACTTTGGCTTTAAGCTGGGTGCCGAGGAAGATACAAAGGGTTGGTGTTGCCGCTATTAGCTTACTAGATGGTATGTGTTTGTAGTGCGCTTCTGAGATCGTCTCTTGCCTTCTCGTGAACCTTTTCGACAGAGTTTACTGGAAGTTCAAACTCATAATGCTTGATACCCACACAGTGAGCATGATACCAAGAGTAAGCTTGGTAGGTGTAAACCTGCGTTCACCATATGTTTTCTTCTCTTCTTCGTCCTGGACTTTCTGGTCGTTTCCCACTTGCATTTCTTTGCTACAGAGCGAGTTGAAACACCATGTTCTTCAGCCTACACTTCGGGCCATCAAAGAAAGCAACTAAGAAGTCAGGCCAACAAACGCTTGATAAAATTGCAAAACAGCGTACGCATTTAACAAGCTAGACTCGTAGCTTAAACACAGGTCACTGATTTGAGTAGCCACCGATGACTGCTGGAAATACTATGGCATGAATGTCTGGATGCGGAGATGCAAAGATCACAAGACAGATTCTATCTGGAGAGTTGCTGTTGACATTGCAGGCTATGCTGCTGGCCGGAGAGGGCAGCTGCTCTTCACCTTGAATCCACAGCATCACAATGAAGGCAAGAAGTAACAAGATATGTAGTTCACCGTTTGAGCATCATTAACTGCACTAGGCAAAGTAATCAACCCTTCCTTTAACTTCGGCAACGCCATAGACTAGAGGCAGTCGACTGAGCCGCAGGGAGGCTGAATTGGGCCAGGGCAGCTAATTCAAATGAATGCAAGCGCATTATTCAAGGGTGAAAAGTCACAAATGCGCACCTTTAGACCAACCATTTCGGGGGTTCGCTATATCCATCATTCAACCAGCTTGAGGATAGTATTAGATGTAAAGGCCCAGTCTCCAGGGAGACGGTACACTTCTCTCTGTCTAATGGGAGCTTATGGCATTGAGGCCAGCAATACGTCCAAAGACGAGTGCCCGCATAACGGCCACTGCATTTGGAGCCTTGTCGTAGAAATGGCCAGTAATCTCACCTGCAGCATATAGATTAGGAATGATGCCTCTCTGGCCAAGAACGCGCGCTTCCACATCAGTCGCAATGCCGCCGAAAGTGTAGACAATGGCCGCGGCTAAGGGGAAAGCGGTATACGGCGGAGCGTCGAGCGGCCTAGCCCAGTTCGATTTCGATGGTTGCAAGCCTGAGGTAGTGGCGAGATTATCAAGCCGGCCCGCCGTAAAGCCAGACATGTTTGCGTTACAGGCTGCGTTGTAGTTTAAGATTGTGTTCAGAAGCGCTTGTTCCGGCACCCCCATCTGTGCCGCCAGACCATCAATCGTGTCCGCTGTCACCGGCGGCATATCGGAGCGGATAGCTGCGTCATGGTCCTCCAATTGAAAAAATCTGGAATCACAAATTGCCCAGGCTAAGCGGCCCGGTGTGTCAAAATGTATGGTTCTGGAAAGATGCTCCCACGTGTCATGCACGAGTCCAGCACCTTCATCTACGAACCGCTTTCCCTCCTGATTCACCACAACCCCGTACGGGTAATTGAGGACCAGTGGCGCTGGCTGACTGCTCCGTGGGTCGATTACTTCGCTGTGCATTCCGTTCCAATCGCCAGAGGCCTTGGCTCCGTTAGCCAGTGCCATCTGGATGCCGTCGCCGGCGTTCCAGGCCGTCCCAGGTGATATCGGTCTCAACGTCTCCGCACCAGGACCAAGATGAGTACGCAGCATGTCTGGACTGCCTTGAAACCCACCACTGGCGAGCACAACAGACCGGGCAATGATTCGTCGCCCATCAGCTGCCTCAACTATGGCCTGTCCTCGGCCAAGATGAAGTCGCTGGGCACGGCAATTATACACCAGTTGGACACCCTTCGATTTGGCTGATTGCTTGAGGGCTTCGACAATGGCAGCACCTTTGCCAATAGGCTGGATCCTGTTAGGCCAAGATTTCAAGAAATAGTCCATGGCGTGAAACTGCACCCCCTGCTTTTCGGAGCCATCGGAGGGCTTCAGGGGCCTGGCTAGCAAGCCTTTCGAAATACGCGCGGTCGCCACCACTTCCGCTTGCAGCCACCATGTCGTCCACGAAGCCTGGTAATACCTCATTGACAGATGGCATTCGCATGTTGGCAGGGCTCCAGCGTGAGTTTCCACCACTCGCATGCTCTGGTGCATGCTCTAGCACGGCTATCTGCGCCGAGGGCGAGAGTTCTGCAGCTGATGCTGCGGCGGCGAGGCCGGCAATGCCATGACCAACTACGACAAGGTCGTACATGCTGATATACTCGAGTCTGGAAATCTTAGAGGACTAGCGCGAGGCAGCGTGAGGCAGCGTGAGGCAGCGTGAGGCAATATGAGGCACTGTGAGGCAGCGTGAGGCAACTTGAAGCAGCGCAAGGCAGCGCGAGGCAGCTTAGTGTGAGGCAGCGTAAGGCAACTTGATTTGTAATGCCTTGAGAGGCTCTTCGTGCAGGTGGCTTGCATATCGGCCGACATGATTTGTCGATAAAAGGCACCAAAAGGTCATGTGAGTAGATGACGAAATTCATCATCCCAAACATGTGTACTAGAAACCGAACATAGTACTCCAAATAACAAAGCGTGTAAAGTTTGACGGCAACGGCGGAATCTTGGATCAGATGAAGTTTGAGGTGTGCCAGGGTGACTCCCAAATTGACGAACCTCGGAGGAAAGAGCTCCCCCGCATGACGCCCTTCCTGCCACTACTGAATGGATACAAAAACACAAACCTTTGATCAATCATTGTATAGGTACAACCATCCAGGTTCTTCTTCCAGCATTCCCAAGATGCCTATTCGTCTAACCACCCGCCGGGTATCCACCATTCTCAAACCCTCCCTCTACAACGTCCGTCTCTACAGCACTCCCACATCGACAATAAAAGTTACACGAGTACCCGCACCACACGCTGGCAATATACGCATTCTATCACTCAACCGTCCTTCGGCTAGGAATGCGATTTCCAAACAGCTTCTGTCAGAACTCCGTCAGCAAGTCGAGGAGATCAGCAATGAACCTGAGGATGGTCCTACAAGAGCCTTGATCCTGGCTTCCGAGTCCGATCAAGCATTCTGCGCTGGCGCAGATTTGAAGGAGAGATTGACCATGAGTGGAGACGAGTACGTCCTCTACTCTACTGTCTCCAAGATCCAAGTGCTAACCAAGAATCTAGAANCAAAACACTTCCTCGCCCTCCTCCGTGATACTTTTACCCGCCTCTCCCTCCTCCCCATTCCCACAATCTCAGCAGTCTCCTCAGTCGCATTCGGTGGTGGTCTAGAACTAGCCCTCACAACCACCTTCCGCGTCTTCGGCTCCACATCCACCGTCGCTCTGCCAGAAACAAGACTAGCCATCATCCCCGGCGCAGGAGGAACCTTCCGTCTCCCATCTTTGATCGGCACGGCAAGAGCCAGAGACATGATCTTGACAGGCAGAAGAGTGACAGCAGCCGAAGCATACTTCCTGGGTCTCTGCGATCGGTTGGTGGAAGTGGACGAGGTGCAGGGAGACAAGGCAAAAGAAAGGGATTTGGTGCTTACACAGGCTGTGGCTTTGGCGAGAGATGTTTGTGAGGGTGGGCCTGTGGCCACAAGAGCTGCGCTGCAGGCAGTGAATAGCTGGGGTGCTGGTGAGGAGGCTGAGAACCTCGCTTACGAGCGTGTCTTGGTTACTCAGGACAGGATTGAGGCTCTCAAGGCCTTTGGCGAGAAGAGACCGCCTGTCTTCAAGGGAAAATAGAGACGTACAATTCAGATACAATCACCTCCAGGGACGCTGACTCCTTGCGAAGAGAATGCAGAAGGTGAGAGTATACTCGACTAATGCTTCCTCTAGACATCAAGAATGGTCTTATGTTACCTGCACGACGGCAAAAGAGTTTGATAATGTCGAGCAATGCGTTATTGTATTACAGTAATGCTAATCGCCTTCGATGCATTAACAGTCCCGTCGTATGAGACAGCAACTCTATAAGCATAACCCCCGAGCAATTCAGTCATGTCTCCTTGACCATGCACTAACTCTTCAAAGAATGCAACATTCCATCCTTATGCCGCCAAAGCCATTTCTTTCGAGCAATAATCTTCTCTTTCAGTTTCTTGTACTACTGTCCCAAGCGACGAGCTCTTCGATATGTGAGGAGCGGCTTCTTCTTAGGTTTCTGCTCGGGCTTGGTAACTGCGCCTTTGTGGTTCAATCGACGACCGTCTAGGGGAGGAGTGGTGGTGATGGTCTAGGAAGAAAGCAGTGAGTAGACTGCTCTGATATTCTTCACCAGGCCTACCAATTCTCTACCGGTTGGTCTCTCTTGTCCCAGTCTCCTTCCACTTTGATACTGCTTGGTGCTATTTCTGTTGGATCGAATGGAGCAGTCGTTTCAGGTGTCGGTTCGAATGAAGCAGGTGCGTCGGGCATCGGCTCGTCGACTAATTCTTCGACATTACGGCACAGTGGCTCCACGTATTGCTCTTTGGTATCGTCTCGGACGTATACAGCATATGTGGGTGTACCCTGCTGCCAGGTTTCTGCGCTGAGGATGTCGTCAAGCCTGTTGACCTGTTCTACCTTCTCATCGTTGTACAAACGCCAGATGTTGTGTTGAATGTCGTAAATGCATGTCCAGTAGTGACCATGACCAGTGCTGCCGCGATGGAAGAAGACAGCATGAAGGCGGTATTTAACCTTCTCGAATTCAGGTCCAGAGAATTGCTTTACAATCTTGTCTTCCAGCTCTTTGACTTCCCGGTCAATGATTGTGAGGCGCGCACGCTGAAGAGCACTTTCCTGCTGGAGATCTGATGGGAGTGACTCGGGCACATTTATCGGTTCAATTCCAACTTCCAGAAGGGTTGTGTCACACTCAGATACAGTGGATAACCAGGCACTCACAGCATCGAGTGTGGATGGACCATCGATACCAGTGTCTGTCTTTTGAATGGTCTCTTTCTCGGCCTGTAGGCTGCGTAAACATCTACGCCACTCCCAGCATTGCTTGCGTTTAGCGAGCACGATCTCGTCATCTGAGAAGCGATCCATGTACAGAGTTTCTTCGAGTCTTATGCGATCAACACTCTTGACTGGTTTACCATCGCGGCCTAAACGAATGCGGTTGATGCTGATTTGAAGAATTGGTGGGAATGACTTCAAGGTTTTGTACACGTTGACCGGCTTGCTAGCTTCGGGTTCTGGGTGTAGATCAAGGACTCGACTAAGAGCGGAGTAAATGTCGGTAGGCTCGTAAGGCGGCAGAAGCATCAAGTTGGTAAAGTCGTCTTCTTTTGTGGAAGGTTGCTGGCCTTCTGGGATGATCGTATCGACAATGCGCATGTTGAAGATGCTACAGGCATGAAGTTAGTAAATCGTTGACATGAGCAGAAACAATACGTACTCTCGAAGCTGGTCCAACTGTTCACCCTGAGGATCTTGGCCAAGCGGCTTGATTGACGCTCTCAGCCTTGTCAGCAACTCTTCCATGACTTCAGCGACATCTTGCTGTTGTCTGGCGGCTTCTTCTGCTTTTTCCAGGTTGGTTTTGGTTTGTTGTGATGGGGTTGCAGGCCTTCTAGGCGGCAGTGGTGGGGCGAGGAGCTCGCCCTCTTTCTCGGCTTTAGGCGTGTCTGGCGGAGTAAGCACAGCGTTGCCTTGAAGTGTCGTCGAGCTGGTCTGGGAGATTGTTGAAGAGTCATCTGCATTCACGGCCACGCTAGCGGGATGGCTCTCACTCTCGGTTGAGGTCATGTTGACGTCTACTTCATCACCCTGTTGTGAACTTGTTGTGTCGGCTTCAGGGCTGGTCGGCTTCAAGAAAGCTCGGCAGACCAAGTCTGCCTCAGGTTTTACGGCTGGTCCACGGTCTCTGATCATGCGCTCGAAGAGGTGACGGAGGTCGTTCGTAAGACTTTGGAATGACTCGATCTCATACTCAGGACGATGAAGGTTTCCAACTCGCTCTGTTTTGGCACCTTGAGTTGAGAGATCGTACTTGTACCTGTCGAAATCAAGTACAAGCTCTCGAAGAGGCTTGATAGTGAAGTAATACTGGAGGAGACTGTTGAGGTAGCAGGTGTTTCCATGGCTGATCAAGCCAACAGGCCAGGTCTGTGTAGAGTATTGTCCGAACTGACGTTCATCCATGGCTTTGCGAACGACTGTAATGGCCTTGTCGGTTGTGGGTCCGGGTTTACCCTCTCTAACAATGTCGAATTGAAATCCGATCATTTCCGGGGCGACCTCATCAAGATTTGGGATTTCCAGGTGTTTGCACGCATCCTCAAGAGTCATTGTTTTTGAAGTCATTTCACCGGTAGCAAGCCAACTGTGCAGGATTTCGCTCTTGCGATGCTCAGCAATCAAGCTGATTGCACGGCGAGCGAGATCTTTAGTCATTGGGTCGTTGTAGCCGTCCTCGAGCTAGAAAAGATGTGTTAGTGGTGGTGGTAAACAGAATGCGTCAAGGCAACATGTGAGGAAACAGCAAATAATGACAGTGAACGCATGAGACTTTGTCTTATGATGTCGTTTGCATGCGCGAACGGCCAAGAGGTACTAAGACGTGCAGAAGACCCCAAGTTGTCGCGCAAGATTATACCGCTCTCCACCCCTCCCATGTTATGGTGCTTTTTCAACTTACTTTAACGCCATATAATGCGACGATTGTATCGTCTGCTTGGGTTGCATCAGCACCAAGCCACGCAAGTGCCTGTTCGTATGTTTCCACAGCTGCTTCAGTCAGAAATCTTGAATGCATGCATGTCTCAAAAAGCTAGACTTACTGTCCGCGGCAGTGTCAAGTATATATCGGCTGTTTCTGGCCTGGCCGAGTGTTTTCAAAGCTGTCTTCAAATCGACCTGGCCTGTAGCACTAGAGTCTGACCAGCGTGATTTGTAGATTCCAATCAGTTGTTCGTCGTCGACAGTCTTCTGCATTTCCGGATCGATTCCCAAGGCCTTATATGCTTGATTGATGTCCTGAATGCCAATTAGCAGCCAATAAGGCTGATGGGGTCACACCGACTGATACCTTTCTACTCAGAACATTCTGCGATGCAAGCGTAGCTGACTTTGTGATAAGAATATCACTTTGTCGACCCGTTGCGAGGTCTTGAAGGCAATCGAAGTAGTACGGTCCTTCCATAGGATCGCATGCTGCCTGCCTTTCATAAGAAAAAGCGATCAGACGATCTGAGAAGTCGCCAAGGGCACCAAGACTGGCATAGCAGCTATTTTACGGTAAGTGTACGCTACTAACTTGGGCTAGACTGCTGTACTCACGGGTGGTCCTCTTCGGTTGAATCCAAGTTGCGTCCAGGAACTTTGTCATCTGCAAGGTATCAGTGGGATTCAGATTCAAATACGCGGAACACATCATACAGTCTTGTGCGCTCAGCGTACGGGCAAGATCCACTTTGCAGCTTGATATGTCGGGCGAGAGGGGTTGGGAAGCGCGTGGCTTGCGCAGTACTCATCGTTCAGGTATTGCAGCTCGATCGCCAATCTCTCAAGCATAGGACGCAATGAATCTGGGTCGTCAACTGGTTTGGGTGAAGGCAAGTGCCACTGCTCCTCGCCCTTCTCATCCTCGCCCATCCTGAATCCTATGCGGTGGAGTATCGAGTCGCAGTCTGTGCCAAAGGCTTCCATAAATCTCTTATTCCTTGCAGGAAAGCTGCGCCTTGCGTTGCGCTCGATCAAAGAGTCTGAAACATATCTCTTAAACCGGAAGAAGACATCTCCAGGTGTAGCCTGGCGTACACCCTCACGGTCCGGGGTAGCTTCGAGAACTTGCTCGTAGCGACGAGTCAAAGCTTGGGGGTCGGTGAGGACTAGAATGTCTTCTTTGGACAAGACGGGAGTCTCGTAGGTAACGTGCACGTGGGCTTGACAGGCAAGATTCGAGCATTCGAAGTGATAACTGATTCGTGACGGATTGGTATCAGTCGATGTGTGACGAAGATGGTGGAGTGGGTGATCTCGATTGGGACAAGGTTGTACGCAACCAGATTCCGGGTAGTCGATGGAGAGGGTAAGATAAAGACGACATTTCCTGCAGCAAGCTGCAACCTTCCAGCAAGTGTCTTGTTGTGCAGACTCGTCGAGACGCGGCAGATTACAGCATCCTAAATGCGAGTAGTATTCATGCTTGCAGCTGCCTCTGTCCAAGACCAAGGGCGGGCCTGAGCGAGCCTTGCCATCGAATTGCGGAGCGTGATCGATGAGGATGTTTCGGTTCGGGACGACAGATCGGGGATCGAGTCGAAGAAGGTCTTGAAGGAACTTGGGCGCAGTCTTACCTGTCGCAAAATCGTGGTTAGCGAGTCTATCTCAAAGCATATTTGAATGGCGTCTGAGATGGTACCAGGTTGCGAAGCCCGGGAAGGCATGGCCTTGGAAGAGTCGGCGAGACTCTTGATTGAAGATGAAGGTTGGCCGAAGAAGGCTCAACAAATAGAGAAAGAACTCGAGTTGAGAGTATAGGAAATGGCTTCCTACAAGAGTCTTGCTAGGCAATCACAAGATTTGGCCCAGTCGCTGCGTTGCACATTCACATGGAAGGTACGTCAGCGAAGCCTGTCCCGAACGTGGAAAGAGCGGGCCACCAGCCACAAAGACTATTCTGTCAGCCACAGGCTTGTCCGCGCCGTCTTCCGCTGTCCTCGACCTTAGCATGTCCAAGCGTCGAAGGTCAGCATCGAACGCCAAGAGCGGAAAGCGCGACCTCATGCGAGCCGACGCCAGCGACAGCATTATCTCGAATTGAGCTCGTCAATCCCCCCTGCCCACGACGTACTCGACCAACACCAACATGGCCGCACAAGAGGAGCAGCCCTACCGCCCCAAGGATGCCCTGGGCTCCGCAATCAAGGCCGGCATGATCACCACCGGCGCTGGTCTTTTCGTCTCGACCATTCAAAACACCCTCACCAAACAGAACTATGGCTCTATGGGCGCCTTTACCAAGTTTGGTGGCACTACCGCCGTCTACGGTATCTTTTCTTCCTGGATCGGCGTGCTCGACTGAGCTAACGAGTCTCCAGGTGCTATGGGAGCTGCCTACGAATTCACCAGATGCGCCTCGGCCAACCTTAGACAACGCGACGATGCCTGGAACTCTTTCTGGGGTGGTCTCGCTGGTGGCTCAATGCTCGGCCTCAGANTGTATGCCATTTTCGACTTCAATTGACCCACCTACGCAATCGCTAAGCTCCATACAGTCCGCACCGCTCCTGCCGTCGCTGGTTACGGAACCGCTCTCGCTGTCGTCCTCGGCACCTGGCAGTACGCCGGTGGCAAGATCACCGGTTACGAAATTGATCCCACAGTCGACGAAGTGGCCCGAAAAGAATACTTGCGCAAGAACAGAAGGAGACCAATGGAGGAGACGCTCGAGCAGATTGGCGAGGGACGCGGTATGGAAATTCTGCTTTTACGACATGAGAAAACACACTGACTATAGCAGNGAATCTTCGGACCCGGATACCAGGAGAGAAGAGCAGAGAGACTCCAGCAAAACTACGGCATTGAGGTGCCCACAGCTGCTTCTTCTTAGACTTTCAACGTTCGTAGATACCTTTCACGCCATTGTTTCCTCTGTTCAATACTCGACCCACATGCGTTTCAATGAAGCACGACAGTCGCCTCGTTTCAGATTTTGTTCGGATGTAAGGACCTCAGAAGGCCACAACATGGAGGTACAAAACTCCTGTACTTGCCCTAGAACCATTCCTATCCCTATTCCTGTAGACACTGTCGAAACTCTTCCGGGGCAGCTCACATATACCGTCTATTCTGCTATGTAGCCATTGATGCTGTAACTTCTGTCTAAACGTGATCATCCTTTGACTACAGACCGTTATCTTATCTGCACTCGTCTCTCCTGCTTCGTTTTCCCATCTCATAATCTGATCGTATTCATGGATACACCAACAAAAGACTCTTGACATGTCTTGTGGTGCCTGTGAGTGCCACAGCAGTTTGGCTGAAGAAAGTGTACCTCCCCGGTCCTTCCTCCCGTGGCCGCTTCTTCAGCCCCGCATCCACGATCGAAGTGGGGGACGAGGGGATCAACAACCATAGAGGCACGAACACGAAAACCACTCATGCGCATTGCGAAATCTGCATGGTGCTAATGTCCTAACAGATAGGTAAGATCCACAAGTACTCCGCACACAGCACCTGCATGGCACACCACTTCCACGAGGCTCTCTGGAAAATGTCTGGCTAAACTCTCCGCGGGGTTTGGTTATTCGTCCAAGACATCTAGTACAACTCTACATCCATATCAGAACTGGTGACATCAGGATTCAGCTGTTGTGTCCATGTGCCGTCCAGCGATCTAACATGTACATCTATATCTCTCATGCCTTTTGCTTTCTCAATCTTTTTCTTTCCTCCGGCAGTATTTTCTGACAAGATCTTTTCCACAGACACACTCACCACCATCCACCTTCTCTATGACTACTATTGCTATATCTCAACCTTCCAGGCTCGAGATGAGTGAACAAGAACGTTTCTTCCGGTACTTCCAGACCGAAGTTGCTGGTGCGTGTCCTGGCTTGCATCTGCTACGACCAGCACGGGACTCATTTGCTGACTTGTGCACTCTGGACCTCANNGCACTGCAGGAGCAAATGCAAATCATTCAAGACCACGGCACTTCTGGCGGCGAACGAGCTGATGCTATTGACCATTGTCTAGCTGGCATCTCGAGGCTGTCTAACGACGTGAAAGACATATCTGGATCTCTTCCGGCACACGATCAAAGAACGTACAGCGAGGTCAGCCACTGAATGATCGTATACAATTGGAAGACTCACACTAAAGACTATCCAGNNGCGATCAAAGCACTATCGGAGAAGCTGCAANAGACGCGGGCTCAAGCAGCACCTAAGCCAAAGTTCTCTTTCAAGAAGAAGAATGCATCTGCGATCTCTATCAACGATGCAGCAGAATTGGCAGCGAAANAGCGTCTTCTCCAACCAAACAGCAATTTCTCATCAGAAGTCTCCTCGTTTGCGACGACCCCATTGACAATGCCACAAACACCTGCCAATGGACCCGCTATCGAAGAATCCAAACCCGCCGAAGCCACATCTGATGCCTCCAATGGGATTACTGAAGGCGTGCGGAAACTCTCCTTCTCCAAAGCTGACAAGATACAAATCTCAAACCACAACAAAATTCACATCATGCTCCCGTCGTCGGCCACGCACGCAACATCCGGAACTTCTGGTACAGTCACCAATGTCCGTGACAGCGTGATCGACATGAGTATCTCCGCAGCTTCTGCCTTTGCTAATCTCACTCTGAAGAATATCAAGGGTTCGCTGATAGTCTGTGGGCACGTTGACGGCTCTGTTCACATTACGGGTGTCAAAGACTCGGTGTTGGTGGTAGCAACGAGACAATTCCGCATGCATGAGAGTAAGAACGTCAAGGTCTATATGCTCTGCAAAAGCAGACCGATCATTGAGGATTGCGAGGGTATCGAGTTTGCGGAAATGCCTGACTGCTATGTAAGTCTGCTTCAACCCGTCTTGTTGCATAAGAATTGAGAGACGTTCGTGCTAATGATCAAAATCAGACCATNNGGAAAGGACAAGGACGTCAAGAATCTGTACGACCAAGTTGACGACTTCAAGTGGCTCAAGGCAGAACACAGTCCAAACTGGAGTGTACTGGACACAGACAAACGTATCCAAGACGAGATTTGGACAGATGTCGTACCAGGAAGCCCTAAGAGTGGTGTGGAGGAAATTCTCAAGGCAGTTGGACTATGAGTTGTGGTCAGTGTCTATTCTAGACAATCGATCCTATAATACAAGATTCAGTAGCTCATTTCGCAACATGCTATTTTCGTCCCCCCTGTGTGCTCAAGTATATAACTTTCACCATACTCCGACTATAGCTAAGAGCAAGATTTAGACTATAAAAGGCACAGTTGTTTTCGGAAACAAGGCTTATCCACAGAGAGTCGACAACTCATTGCTTCTCAGTGGATACTACCTTGTTCCCTATTGCTATCGTGCATTTCTACAACCACACGCGTTACAAATTTTTCCACACGAAGGATACAATTATGTTTAACCATGAATCGCACAAGGAGTCACCGAAGTGACAAAACGTATCTTCATCTATTTTTCGGCCGAATTCGAGGCCTTGTGACCATCGGATTCACCCGTCACCCGTGGTCGATGTCATAAAGCACGGCATCGTCATGGGCAGACGTTGAGATCTGCCATAACGAGAATAGTGTTTCGAGAGCGACTCGTGGAGAAGGCTGGGAGTGATCAACAAGCTTCTCCAACCACCAACGCGTGTCGCCAAGTCGGATTCTTCTCGCTCCTTCATATACACGACTTGCCCTTCGTCCGCATTACATTGCAATATGTATAGCATACCAATCTCGACTCAGGAGTTCTGAGTTCTCAAGAATAGATGAGTAGATGCGAAGGGATGTCATGGCTTGGCAGTTGGATTGTGAAACAACGAGGCAGGTACCACGATTGCAGATCATGGCTCCTAACAGCTTGACGAGGTTGTGATGAGCAGGGGTGCACTTTCCTTTGCCCAGACACACACGCTTGAAAGTGTTGATCGTTCCTGTCCATCAACGTGGGAAGGAACTACCACCGACCCTGATGATGACATGTGATGCTGTTTCCTGCTGTGCACGACCGTCCTGTTTTCCAACAAAACCAGACGAGTGCCCTCTTCTGTTGCTTTCAACCACAACATCTTTGCATCCATCAAAAGCATACAACCATCCATTGCTCTTCAAAACCATCAAGTACCCATCAACAACGAACACACATTGTCTCCAAGGGCATCAAGAACAATTCATATCCTCTTGTCGCCGACATCATCCATCAAATTTCCACCTCGAATCCATCATGCAGTTCTTCACAACCGTCATCTCGCTCTTCGCAGCAGCTGCCACTGCCTTCCCTACCAAGCCTAGCTTCTCCACTCAGCCTATCTCCCGTGACGCTGGCAATGTAAGTGTTACTTTTCTGCCTTCCGACATCACCTTATCAATGTCTTCTTCATATCGAGATTCATCATCTGTTCCTGCCTGATCCTAGCTGACATTGCTACTCAGGNTCTACATCTGCACCGGTCCCAACTACACAGATCATTGCGAGTATCTGAAGCAACCCTTGGACACCTGCGTCATTCTGCCCGAGAGTCTCAGCAAGAAAGTGTCTTCATTCGGACCTGACGCTGGCTCAACTTGCTTGTTGATGCAGGGTTCATGCAACGATGCCATGCCTTACCGACACGCTTCTTACCCCGGTGTCTCAGACCTGCGCAACGTTACATTCGATGACATGGCAACAAGCTTCATCTGTCTGCACCACTAATGGATTGGGAGTGCGATACTCATGACTTGCTACTGAGTAGGAGTCTTCTCTTCCCTATGATGACTTTTTTCTTTTGTTTGGCATTGGGCTTCCGGAGTTTGATAGCCTCAAAGGCATACTATTATACAGCACTTGAGCTAGGTTGCTCGTGTTAATGAATGATTGTTTCTTCTATATGCTCTTGTGTTTCTCGTGTGTCCGCATGTTATATTGGTGACCATATTCACACCCTCCCCGTGTGAAAGGATGTGACTCCCATTGCTCCGACTGTAGCACAGAGCATATTACGCGCTATAGAAATGCACAATCTCATTCAGAAACGAAGACTGGCCAAAGAGAGCTGCTAAGAGATTACTTCTCAGTGGACACTATCCTGTTTTCTGATAGTATCGTGCATTTTTATAGATATACGCGTTACATACTTCGCACACGGGGAGGTTGCAAGTTGTGTTCTAAAAGTCCTCCATCTTATAAATCTCATACACAGGAACTTCGTAAGGATGAGCTCTGGCCTCTGTTAGTATACAGTCTTCCCTCGACGAAAAAGAAAAGGGAAAGACTTACTTCTTCAACACCTCAACAACCTTTTTCACATTTTCTCTTCCTAGTACCTGCATCTCCACTCTAACCTCCTCTAGAACTTCGAGTTTGCCTCGTGTGCCGATGTCAGGAGTGCTGTCTGGACCAGGAATGAATTGGCCTGTTCCGCTTGTTTCCCAACANCTGTTTGAATCAGCCATCAGGTCAGTATCTATCCTTCAAAATAACAATGAGGGGGAGTGTATGAGAGTGAAGAGGGTGAGGGGGATATCATGATGTTTGCAGGAGGTAAGGGCAACACTTACAACATTGGTATATAGTACTTTTGAAGCATCTGTCAGAGACGAAAACACACCCGCAAGGTTTGTAGCGAAGATTGCGGTTTTAGTGGCTTGGAGAGAAGATGGAGGGACGAAATAGCAGAGTTTGTATTTTGTTTGGTCGGTGGTAGACATGATTGCTGCTCTCAAGATGTTGATGGTCGTAGATGTAAGACAGTTCGAACGGACAGGGTGGGTAATTCAACAAGGATGGTCGCAAACAGGAAGATGGATGATAGATACAGAGAGACACGGAACACGTGGGAATAGTATTTCTTTTGTATTTCTCTTAAAAGTGTTCTTATCTCACAGAAAAGGCACGATATCGGAAATTTGGCAAGTTTTGGTTGAGCGTGTGCGGATTGTGTAACAGCAATCGCTATGGGAAAGACAAGACGGTCGTGATCGCTATGGGAAAGGGTAAGCGGCCAAAAAGGTCCCTTCACCCTCAACGCGATTCAAGGAAGGAAAAAGCATCCATGTGCCGACGCGAAAAGAGAAATATCAAAAGGAGAAATCAACTCCGGCAGGTAGTATAACTGCTCCTGGATCCATCCTGTGAACGCCGTCTTGTAAACATTAGAGAGGGAAGAAACCCATCCAGTGGGCAACAGCACATATCCTCAGGCCTTGATCTTGTCGCTCCACTCCTTGAACTCGGCATAACTCAAGTCGACCTTCTTGCCCTCGTAGGTGACCAACTCCATGCCAGCAGCAACTTTTCTCCAATCGTCCTTCCTACCCGACCAGCCAGCCTTCCTCATCAGACTGATCAAGGCCTCCTCTTTGGTCCACCCTTGCTCTTTAGCCACATCAGGCAGATAGGTAGCTCCCAGCTTTCTACCCTGGTATGAGAAGCTGATTCTGATGCCATGCTTGCCCACCTCCCACGCCATGATGTCACGAGAAGGGTCGCTGAAGTTAGTCAGTAGGGTAACACAACACTGCAGTTGTGGAAGTTGAGACGAAGGGATAGGCGGGAAGCGGGAGTCTTCAAAGGCAGAAGTCAAGGCGTAATCAGCGAGTCCTTGTTCCAAGGGTAGGGGCTTGAAGGTGCCGATACAACCGCGAAGGGACTTTTGGCCGCTGCGTGGGGAGACTGTGTTCCAGGTCACGAAGAGAGGGTACGAGTCCGAAGGAGAGATATTGGAGCGGGAGGATAGGGAGGTGCGGCTGGAGGAGGTCGAGGCTTGAGTCGAGGTAGAGCGAGACGTCAAGCTCGACGAGGACGAGTTGTATCTGGAAGTGTCGCTGTTGAGCAGACGTGAGATGGCGGGTACGCGGGAGGTACTTGGCTCTGGCTCGTCGTCTGCACCATCGACATCTGTTATGTCATCCTCCTCTTCCCTTCCATTCTGTTTGGTCCAGAGCTGTTCAACTTGGGACAAAGATAGTGGCTGGCGTCTTTCGAAACTAGCAACGAGAGATTCGAAGCAGTAAGCACAGTGAGCCTTGGTGGCCATGACTGTATTCGAGCTCGATAAGCTGTGTAGTAGCGATAGTGCTGGTAGGATATGTGTGAGCAACGACTGAAGCTGGATCGAAGGAGCAGCTTGAATCGGGAAGTGAATGAGGTGTCAAGCAAGTAATCAGAACGTCACAAAAGGAGAAAGATCCAACGCGGTCAAAGCTGACGTGGAACGAGCAACTGAAGGGGAGGCAACACGAAGGGACGAGATGGCAAGTTGAAGACCGACACAGGCCTTGTCTATCATGTGTCTAGCACAGCGTATGCTGACTGCTTTGAGCTGTTGTCTTGATTCCTGCTGGACTGAGCTGCAACTTCGGAGGGCGAATAAGCAGAATAAGCTGTTGACCGCGTGCCTGCTGGGTTGGACGAACGCATGATGCAAGCGGGGTCTACCGACTTCCCATGATAACTTGGAACAAGGAAGCCCGTTTGGTATTGCTTTTTGCACAACATCTATTGTGCCACTTTATGCAAGCGTTTGCAGGGGGTATCACCCTGGCATCATCATATCCTTGACCTCTCAATGACAGTATGCATTGATAACTACATTATATAACGTTATCCAAATGTGTCTTTGTTCTCTCGAGGTATAACGCTATATAGGACATTGAAATTGGCAGGTTTGAATGAGATCCGGGCCGAGTGTGGTCGTATCACGATTTCAAGCTGAATATAGTGACTCGACCTTGAGGAAGACACCTAGACACCACCAGACTCCTCCACATCATGGATCACGTTTTTAAACAGTAAGCATACAGACATCTTCAGAGATTCTCGAACATGTCGATTCAAGACCGGCTTGGGCGTGGTTTTGAATGACCCAAACCACTCTGTCCTATTCTTCGTTCTTGACTGCGCTCATATACAAACAGATCAAACATTCGCACACGCCATACCGCAATGCTGTACGCAACAAACACAGAGAACAAAAGACTGATAACAGGATCAGAGTGGTTTCGCCTTACCGTGTCTTGTATGGCAACCCTCTTCACACACAGTCATCGAGCGAAAATGGAGAAAGGGAGAAGAAGGTCCAAGAAGGAAAAACGTAACTTGAAAAAGAGTGAACACCCGAGAAAAGAAAGAGAATAAAAACCACAAAAAAACGTATCAAAGATTTGCCCCCTTGATCCATCTCCTCCCATGATCATCAGTAGACCTTGCCCCTTCCGCCCACTGGTAAAGTCTGTGAAGGAGAAAAACTACCTTCGTGCCTGGTTGCAAATGTACCTCAAACGCAGTCCCGTCCTGATCGAAAGCGCCTCGTTTCCAAGAGAGAAAAACAACAGACTTGACTCCTTACAAGCTCCTCCATCCCCATTCCATCCCTCATGCGTAGAATATATGAGTTTTTTGCGTGTTGTATAGTCATTGTTGAAGCACCCGTATCGTGTCGTGGACATCAAGCTTATCGGTGTCTGTGGTCATTCGAACCATGCCCAAAGTCTGCTTCCGATCTCTTCGATTCCTTCCTGACTTTTACCGCGAACTCGGCCACAAGAGCGATGTGGTCAGAGGGATGGTAAATGTGTGGGAATCCAGGAACTCGGCTGAGGTATTGCTTATCGATCTCGCCAAGAAGACCGGTCACATTCAGAGCATTGGTCGAGTACCAGATGTAATCGATGCAGCCAACAAATGTAGGCGTGTAGTTAGTGAACTCGAGCTCACCAATGTGGGAGTAGGATGACTTCAGACTGAAAGGATGGGTCATACCCTCTTTCGTGAAGTTTCCATACTTGCGGCCCGCTAAGTCGTCGTGCGAAGATGAGAGTGAGCCGTGAGCCAACAAGTCGTACACACCGCTTTCCGAAGTACTGTTGAAATCGCCACAGATAATGAGCGGAATGTCAGTGTTGGATGCATATTCTTGCGAAGGTGCAGGCGGTGCTTTCTCAACAGGCTCTTCGTCCACTTCATCACCATTTGCGTAGCGGAAGAGTTCCTTGTCCTTGAGTGCAGGCCACTTGGCGTACTCTCTGCTCAGACGATTAAGCTGCTCCAGCAGAATGGCAACTTGAACAACCTTGACATCCTTGAATTGTGGATCCCAGAACAAGTGAAGATTGACTACCATTTGACGAGCACCAGTCTGGCGACTCTCGAGGAAGGCGACGGTTGCTATATCGTCACGAGTCATGACTCTATTGAAGATGTCATGCTCGCCCTTCATGTCGGGTCTGTTGATGGCCGTCCGTCCGAACTCGACGACTTGCTTGTCAAGCAAGATGTACTTGGTGTTGTTGTAGAAAGTGGCGCATCCATCAACCAATTTCGCATTCTTTTCGGACATGGTATGAGCGCGCGACTTTTGCCAGAACATTCCTCTGTAATCGTCGTGTGCGAGTTGCGGGCGGAAGTATTCGTTGAAGGATTCGGCGTCGATTTCTTGCAGACAGATGATGTCGGCCCGGCGTTGTCTTATCTCACCCAAGAGGACCTCTCTGCGGTTCTCCCATAGCAGCGCGTGCGAAGGGGCATAACCGTATTGGGCTTCTGTCGTGTACTTGTCACAAAGAATGTTGTGACTATAAACCATGAATCTTTCTTGCTCTCCAGCAGGTGCCTCATCAAGGACAATCCAGTCACGCTCGTTCGGCGGCTCGGGACCTTGAGCGTGCTCACGCAGAGTACGGATCAATTCTCCAGTACCCGACTCAGCGATGATGTCTTTGATATTCTCGTTGAGAGGATTCCCCTCCAGGCCGAGGGTTTCCAATTGATAGAGGTAACCCAACTCGCTAGGCAGGTCCACGAGGTTGTTGTCGATAAGCAGAAGAGTGCGAAGGTTTGTGAGCATACCAATCTCTGGCGGAATGTTTGAGAGATCGTTCTGTGAGAGGTCGAGGAAGGTAAGCCGGCGCAGCATACCAATCTCGGGCACCAACCAGTTGAGCTTGTTCTGGTTGACGTACAGCTTCTCGAGGAAATAGTACTTGAAAAGATTGTTGGCAAGAGCACGCAGACCCTGTCCACCAAAATCGATGGCAGTGAATGGGTGCTTCTCATCGTGGTACGGCATTCTTCTCCCACGCTCCTCCTTGTTCTCCTCGGTCTTCTTAGCACCAGGACCTAGCTGAGCGATCGCCTGCCGGCTTGCGACATGGGCGTTCCTGGCATAGTAGTGGGGCTGTGTAGCCTCACGCGAGGTTTGAGCCAGACGCTGTTGCTCCTGCCAGTGCTCGCTAGTAGGCTTGCTGAGTTGACTGTGCGTGCTAAGTGGTGTTTGGCTCTGCATGTGACTGGGCGTGAAGTGAGGAGTCGAGCTCGAGAGGTTGTGCGAGTGAGAAGCAAAGGCATCGTGGTGGTGTTGGTGCTGAGTATGGTGAGATTGCTGCTGCTGCTGTTGAGAGTGGGCTTGAGTTTGGTGGTGAGACTGCAAATTCTGCTGCGACTGCTGTTGCTGGCCGAACTGCTTGGTCATGTTCATGTGCATCTGGAAGCGCTGGTGACTATTGCCATTGAGGATACCATGTTGATTAAACATGTTATTGAAGGCAGGCGAGTTGGCGCCGGGAGAGCGGTTGGGCGAGGGAGTGTCTTGAGTGTGGAAAGGGATGCGCTGGGAGGTGGTAATGGGCGAGCCGTGACGAGTCTGTAGCTGGCGCTGCGACTGTGGTTGGTAGAAATACTGGCCGGCTCCTTGGAACCGAAAGGCACCATCGGCCATCTAGGAATGGAGGGAGGCGGTGACGAGAGACGGGCGACGGCTTCTTCTTTTCTTCAACATTGAACCAATCCCACGTGTCAAATGGCCAGCCGCTGCTGGATTGGCTGAGCGAGAGCGGCGGCGAAGGAGTGGGCAGAGATGGCGCTGTCGGTGGAGCTTCGCGACGTGTCCGGGGCGAGTACGAGCGGCGCGGGAAGAAGGTCGGCACAGTTTTCAGCGGCGGGAGCAGTTGTGTATGAGCAGTGGTATCGTAGCAGGTTGTGAGCGACGGTGTCGGGAGTAGATAGCGAGCGATGGCAATGCTAGATAATTGGGAGCCAAGTATGTGCTTTGCTGGAGGACGAGGGTCAGTGTCAGGCTCTTAGTCACAGGCTCGTGGCTCGTACGACTCTCCGTCTCGGCGGCCACGAGCTTGCCAGGGTACAGAGCAGGGAAACAAACTTACCCTCAGCACTCAATGCTCGTCGGAAAGAATACTACACGTCTTCGATAGATGGAGGTCGTGATGACGGGGGAAGTGCGGTCTTGCCCAGCCCAGCTTTGGACATGTCCTACTGACGTGCCAAGACAATCGAGAGACAAGTCGAATCTGCTGCCAACTCACCCTGTTCCAAATACACTTCAATGCAACCAAGTTTGACATAGACATCGCTATAGAGCGCTCTATAAAGCTGGTATCGAGTTGTGCAGACACCTGCTGGTTATCATGCCCGGTAACCAGTCAATTTCTGCCAACACGTCAAGCTTCGAAGGCTGCTCTCATCCAGTTCAATGCCTTGTGTCCTCTTTTCCATGTAGGAAACGCTTGGTAACACTCCAAGTTGCACACGTCAAACCTTTCGAAACCTGCACATGAACTATCGAGCTCACATGTCCGTTTCAAAGCTGTGCTGCCATCAATTGAAGACAGCTACGATGTGATCAGCAGCTCTCTAAAAGCACTTTTCGTATCAGATCCTACGGCCGCCATCCACCTCGGCCCGCAGCCATGAACGAGAAACAGCGGCTTCGCAATTCCGCCTTCTGCAAGGGCCATTCCCGTCAGATCAATGTCGCTTGCTTGACAGACAGCCACAATTGAGACACAACAACTGTTCGCAGCAAGAGTGAAAAGAGGCTGGACGGAGCAATGGCTCTAGGCCACTCCTTGATTAAACCATCATATCTGCTTCAAACGCGGGGCTGAACAAGCGTTCCAGCTGAAGGCGGGTCATGAGATGTATACCTTAAGCGACAACGAACCTTTTCCCTCCCTTCAAAAGTGAGGAGAGTATATAGCTATGCCGTCCTACCTCTTTCTGTTTCGGATAGGAGGCACCGTCGTACCTACACCAGCCTGATTTGACGCGTTCAGTCGACTTAGTGTCTCACAAACACTCTGCGATAACTTCCGCCTTGCTGACCTGTTGGATACAGAAACAGAGACCCATCGGCAAAGCAATATCAATAGAGATACATGTTGAAGTACTCAGGCCTTCAAACAAGTTATTGCTTCACCATTCAACGGTTCTCGCTCTTATCGAAACGGTATCTACCACACCCAAATCTCTCCTCTTTCACAGAGTCAGAGACACACCCTCTCCGCACAAGAGCCCGTGCACAGTGTTGGAGCGTTCGAGCTTCGTGAGTCGTGGTGGGTCTTTTGGACTCTCAATCCGAGTCCCGCCATGGATGGCTTCGCCTATTTTTATTTGAACAATGCGCCCAGACACCATAATGGTACTGCCTATCGCCAGTCGCAGCGTGCTGCTTCTGGCCAGGTGAATCCTACTTCTTCTCAACCCTCCTCGCCTCCGTCTCCTTCTGCTTCTCTCCCATCCTCGCCTCCAACATCGCCGCTCTCCCTGTCCCGCTCGACTTCACCTTTTCGTAGATCACGTCGCAGACGGACTTCTGCTGCAACCACCGGCTCAGATCCTCTCTTCGACCTTTACAGAAAAGACTCTGCTTCTTCGGACGTGACAACGAAGCCTGGAGACATGGACGCAGCGACAATTCGCGAACAACGACAAGGCACAAGCGGTAGCATTTCTTCTACTGCCAGCGGTTCATCTCACAACTTGCTCGCCAACCCTTTCGAACTACGCCACGGTCGACGGTACCTACGCGATGTACCCTACCCTCTACCGTGCGACCTCTCAGAGATACAACGCCAGTCACTACGAACACTGTTAGGCGCTACAGTCCTCGGCAAACCATCATGCGTACCGAACATTGCCAAAAACGTACCGAAAAGAGTTTTGGAACTGGGTTGTGGAAGTGCTTTCTGGACGGGCAGTTGCCACGAATGGTTCACAAGCCTGGGACATCCCGATGTTGAGTTTACAGGACTGGACTTTGCACCGCTGGCACCGGATCTTCGACGACAGGGTGTGAATTGGAAATTCGTACAGCATGATTTCAGACGCTATCCTTGGCCTTTTGAGAATGATTCATTCGACTACATTATGCTGAAGGATTTGTCCTTGACTGTACAGATGGGTCACGACTCACAGCGGTTTGTGGACGAAACATTACGAATCCTGGCTCCTAAAGGCACACTTGAGATCTGGGAATCAGACCATGTATTGCGATGTCTGCTACCACAACCGACACCGCCCAAAGGCATGACAGCAGAAGAAGAAAAGACGTGTCGAGACACAAAAACCTATCTCATTTCCACAGCCACGCCATTCGCACCCGCACAGAACAGATACATAGCAAACTCCAATACCTGGATTCATACTGCCCTGGACAAGCTCAACCTGCCCTCTTCACCCTGCACCCGCATGGCCGAGATTCTGTACCAGGAAACTTCGCTTGTGGATGTGACGTCTCGCCGCATCGCCATCCCACTAGGACAAATGCGATGGGAGAAAGACTCGGAGGGAAAGCTGATCCGCTCAGGCAGCAGTGGCAATCTCTTCGGCACCATCTCGCCCAAAGCAGGCAAATCGAAGGCAAGCGGAGAAGCAATGCTCACAGACGACCAAGCAGCCGTACGCTCCACAGCCATGCTAACCGTCATCCAAAAGATCGAGTCATTAGAACCTCTGCTCAAAGAAGCCAGTGGCAAGAACTCTGAAGAGTGGACGAGGTGGTGGGCTGGTATGATGGCCTCGTTGCTCGATCAAGAGAATAGTGGAGGTGGCAGTGAAGTTCTGGAGATCGGAGCTTGGTGGGCTACCAAGTGTTGAGTAAACTTCTTGAAATTGGAAATCTGGCATTTTCTCTCTTCGAGGTGCTTTGCCTTTCCTTTCACTGCGGTGTCGAGTATCGTTTTTGAGGGCGCGGTAGCGTTTGAGGTAATATCTGTACATTGTCAGTCTACCTCTGTAGCAGAGTCAGGCCTTGTGTAGTCATTGTAAATAAGGGCAAAGGAAGAGGGCGAAATGGAAACAACAGCACATTTCCCTCTTCCTTCTCATTGAACATATAAAAATCTGTGTTCCCACTGGATGGGAGCTAATCACTTACAAAGCTTCAATTTCCTTCTTTACGTATTCTGCACTTTCGATTCCTTTNTTGATGTCGGTTTCGTTTGTGAGGTTGGCTTTGCTGGCGAATGCTTTATGCAGTCGAGGACGAAAGTAGTCATATCCTAGTGGGTATTCTCGACCAAGGTAGAGTAGTTCTTTGTAGATCCGAATGACCTGATAGCGCAGCGGTGTGCTCATCTTGTGCTGTAATCTTTCAGAGATATAGATGTGTGTGGTATGCAGTTGAAAGAAGCTCAAGTAGTTGTAGTAACGGGAATGCAGCAAGACAGCAGCCACAAAAGTGACAATGATGTGTGCAAAACCATGACGCTGTGTTGATGTTTTTGCGGGGTGGGTGGATGCAGAGATGCACCTCGGCAATCCTTCCCGTGAGCGGTTCCTGAGGTTTGTTGTGCATCTTTAATTCCACCAAGGTTGCTGCTTCTTGCTGCTGTTTTCTGTCTCAATTATGCGTGTCGCCCTTCGCACCCTCGCTCCTATACATGCTAGACCGCTAGCTGCTCAGAAACTCGTCCGTTCCGTATCTTTACGCCAGCGATCCACCGCTACCGAATCAGCGACCGAGAAATTGAGCCCGCGATGGCTGGGAGACGTCAAGCAGAGATTGGGGAAATGCATGACGTTTGGGATGAAGCCTGAGCAAGTGGTCAGAGCAGGTGCCGTGCTAGAGACGGTAGCAAGAGATTGGCGAGAATTGGTTGCTGGTAGCGAGGGTTTCTTGACATCAGAGAATCGCAGAGGATTCTATCGACATGCAGTTGTTTGGGGGGAGATGGACAGTATGNGTGAGTTTGCTCTGTCAACCACACAAAACTCGCTGGGCGCAGAACTGATTCATCAAAGGGGTGAGTGTCAGAGAAAGGGAAAGGACAGAACGGTAGAAACTGAGAGGACAAACAGCCATGTCAACAACGTGATGTACAACCGCTACGCCGAGTCCGCTCGCGTGAACTGGACGAGGAACTTTGCTGTGGACATTGATCCTCAGCACAGAAAAGAATGGACCGAACTTATGACGCCCAAGAGCCTGGGTTTGATCCTGAGGTCCATCACTACTAACTACAAGTTTCCCATGAAATGGCCCGATCACATTTCAGTGTACCACAAACTTGCCTCCGAACCGACAGCAGAAACCGACTCTTTCATCTTGGACGTTATCATCATGTCTGAGTTGCAGCAAAGGCCAGCAGCACGCTGTGTGGAAGACATAGTTGTGTACGACTACCGAGTGGGTAAGAAGGCACCTCTCTTACCATTCATGGTAGATGCCTTCCGGGAAACTTGGAAATTGCAAGAGGAAGCAAAGAAAGAGAATAGCGAGAAAGTCAAACGATTGCTTGAAGAGGTTAGAGCACTTGAGAAAGAGACCTGGGATAGGCCCGATGCTGTCGAGGACATGGGTGTTGCTGGGCCATAACAACATGCGCTATGATGAGTGATAGATAAGACGGGTCCATTCATATGCCGACAACGATACTCGAGGGACTTTCCGGATAGTCAGATGCGATCAACAAGCTTGATGCAGCCACAAATTGCGGAGACCAGGGACTGGCCGAGTGACCATATTGCACATGCCCCGCAGTTTGGAGTACTTGAGATAGCCGTTGACTTGATCAAGAGGATGTCCAGGGACTGTTCAGGCATACGAGTTATCAGCATCAAATCTTAGAGAAGATGTGAGGTCCAAATGTAAGTTTGGTAGTGCTGTCTGAAAAGAAAACAGCAAGCCAGTTGGCGTTGGGAAGTAACGTGGACGGCATGAGAGATCTACAGCGCCAGTCCATGATTCAAGTCGCCAGTCTTGCAGACACATTCGGGTGTGCATGCAGCAGTAGTTTTGCATAGATTCTTGCTGCGTGCTTCTTGCTCGTGCTTTTCTCGGTCACACGAGCTACTCGAAGATGTGTCGAGACATGCAGATAGCGATACGGTGAGGATGCGCGAGTGAGGGGAAGCAGAAAAGACGAGAGTGGAGTTGGGTCAAGGTCGGTCGAGAAACAAGCTCTTACCGCAACAAAGCGAACAGAGTGCCTACAAGCTTAGCTTTGGGTCTAAAGGCAACCTAATTGTCAGAAAAAACCAGGAGCGTGAGACAGCAGGTTCGGTTTCGAGGAAAACAGACGTCACATGATCCATTACATGGTGTCGGTAGCATAGCGGACTTTTCATAGCGGCTCGGTGGCTCTTACGCATCGCGAGTGCCCGCAGGCCCGTTTGTTCCCCTAAGAAGCCGCCCATCTTTTGACATTTGCATACTGAGCATTTTCTCCGCGCCACCACCCTCCCTCTATACCGACACCTCTCCTATCCCATTCTCGTCCCTGCAGCCCCGCGACCCAATCGCCGGGCTCTGTTGTACGAGACATCCACACGCTGGCGGCGCGCTGATGCCGCCAAAGGCCAAGCAAAAGAATACCGCAAATCAGCACCGTCATGAGAGCGGTTTGGCCAAACCCGCCCCTGGCAAGCGAGTCACCAAGCAGCGATCCAACAACCACCTCCCCACCACCAATGGTCAGGCAAACCACTCGCTCCCTGCTACCGCTACCGACGCTCTAAATGACCCCGACATCGCCGACGACTCGCCCGCTTCGCTGCCCGACGACGACATGGCTGCAGTTACCACCGCAAGCAGCACTCCGCCCGTCACAGCTGCCCCCTCCGAGTCCTCTCGTCGCGTGTCCGATGCCCCCGCCTACAGCTCCTCCGTCAATACCTCCAAGCTTGCGGGACGTTCGGCCACCAGCAGTTTCTCTATGGCCATGACCATCCTCAGCGCGTGCCCGCTGTCAGATGCAATTGCCATTCTGATCCTGTTGATGTCGCTTCCCNCGGCACTCGTCATGCTCATCCACAGTCTCTTCGCCTCTCTTACGTTTGTCCCTTCCACCGCCGGTGTCTCGTTGAGCTCCTGGAACGCAATGCCTGCTGTTGCGGACTGGTTCCATGCCACGTCTGTTGGTGGACCCTCGCTCTTTACAATTCTCTTTACGGACGCTGTCATGACAGTAATCTATTTGTGCAGCGGCCTGTTTCTACAAAACATCTATCTGGATCTAGGGCAGGCAGTCATAGCTATCTCTCTGAGCGGCGCTACTGCAGCGACAGACCGCTCGGGTCAGAGTGTTGCTGCCTGCAGTGCCCTCGTCTGCATTTCTCATTTCCTTCGTTATAACAAAATCCATCTCATGGGCTTGGAACAGCTGCGCTCGCTCTTGCAGAATCTTGGTATCGGCCAACATTGGAATCCCATCCCCTCGTCCGAATTTTCTTCTTCGCCCTATGCCGCCTATGGGTGGTACCGTGCTCTGCTTGGATGTCACATTCTGGCTCAAGGCATACTAACTCTTGGTCGTCGCTCTCTCTCAGGGTATTCTAATCAATCTCGCGGTAGTGCGAGCAAGAAACAAGATCCGGAGGCAGCATCGTATGGAGACGGAGCGAAGTCGTCGACGAGTGCTGGCGATTCGGGCCAGGAACTTGCTGGGAGCCTGGGCTCGGATGGCCGGCCTCTCGCACCGTCTTCAGCGATGCGCGATGGCAATCAACGTGTTTTGAAAACCAGGAATAAGAAAAAGCATGCGAATGTAGTTCGCAGTCGACAGCCGTTATGGGCGGCCATAGCCAGTACAAAAGTAACATTTTTGAAAGAGATGGAACAGAAACAAGCTTCCGAAGACCAAGCAGAAGCTACTGCTCACGACCTGACCAACGACAACCAGCTCCTCCCACGCATTTCTACCGAAGACCGCATCTCGATAGTAGACATTCGTCCTGCCGATATCTTGTTCCGTGCCCACCTTCCCTCTCTCTCCAACACTTCCAGATCAAAGCCAGATCCCGCCCATCCTGTTGGTGCGGGTATTGATAAATCGAAGCCTTTCTTTGTTCGTATGAACGGGGCTGATTGGGGATCAACCAAGATCAGTGAAGAAGGAGAAGGAGCAGATATAGTGTGGCATGGTGAGATACTTGGTTTGACCCCTTTAACTAACTACAGTTGTGAGCTAGTCAGCATGTCTGACCAGAGCGTTCTGTGCAGCACCAGCCTTGTTACCCTACCTGCTCCTAGCGCCGAGCAGACCTCGATTGTTACCGCACCCCCTCAACCGCAATCTCTCCGTCCACTTTCGCCTATCTCAACCTTGAAGCAGTCTATTGCCGCCGCCGAGATGAAACGCGAAGATGCCAGAAACAAGCTTAAGCGTGCACGCCGTGATCACAAAAACGCCGCCTCTGCTGTACGCAAAGAGATCGATCAGCTCAATGCCAAGGTTGCTTCTAGCGGAGGCCAGGACGAACGCCAGCGACAGAGGATCTTGCAGTTGACTCAACACTTGCGCCAAGCCAACGAGGCGACTGTTGCTCTCAAGGACGAGACCGACGCTTTGGGAGAGATTCCTCAGGCTGAGCTTCGCGAGTACAATGAGAAGAAGCGTGCTTGGCAGGCTGCTTGTGACAAGAAGTCTGCCGCCATTGCTGATCTCGAAGCTGCCAAATCTCAAGCCCAGCGTGAAGTCTCGCAAGTGACATCCGAGTTGACTTCAGCTGCCCAGAAGCGTGAACGACTCAGTACCCGCAAAGGAAAGCTGACGGAGCAACTCGACCGCCTGACCAACCAAAAGAGAGCAGACTTGAGCGCCAAACAAAAGCACGAGCAGGAGCGAGCCAACAGAATCTCCGAGTATCAGCGCCAGGAAGCAAACCTCTTGTACTGGACGCAGCAAAGCAACAAAGATGCCGAAGACAATACTGTTCGTGCTAATGAGGCATTTGCACACATGGAATACCTCAGCAATGTTGTCGCACAACAGCAACAAGCTCTCTCTGGACCTCCTACTCCTGAAGGCAACCTCCCTGGTACCAACGGACCCACCAATCGCCAACCCACCGCATTTGACTTCAGCATGTTTGGTGGTGGATTTGGACAAGGATTTGGGGGTCTGAGCAATGGCGGTGCGACTCAAGTCAGAGGACGCAGCAGCTCGATGCTTTCGGGCTACAGCGGATTCACTGATGACGATTTTGACACCATGGCTGGGGCAGAGAGTGCACAACACGAAGCGCTGTTGCTGGAGAACGACAAAGGCAAGGGCAGGTTGGCTAGCAGTCCGATCGGTAGCAAGTAACATTGGTCATAGTAAATCTTGGAAGAAAAGCTTGTGCCTGTTTTAGATCTAGTGTTTGCGTGTCTATATCTTTGGATGTGTGCGTGTGTGACAGATAGAGCTGTGCTGGTGGACGTTTTGTAATTGAAGGGCGGACAGGTTGTGCATTGATCGACGCTAACTCGTCATATTTCGGCGGCTTGAGAATGAGGGGCGTCTTCAATGAGGACACGCCAGACCCCTACAAACAAAATAATCTACCCAACTCCAACTACCCAACCTTCTTCACCATCTACCCGCCCTTTGCCGATTCCATTCTTGACGAAAGACTCGGCTACTACTCAGACACTCCTTTGTTGTTTTTACAGCTCAATACCAAATACCCCCTTTTAAATCTAGCCGACGACAGCGACAGCTGGACTAGCACTTCACAATGGCCTCGATCACCCAGGACCCCAAGTACGACCACTACGACTTCCCCACCGTCTCCAACACCAACCAGAGCGGACACCCCGGCCACACCACACCCGAGCAGGATGCCCAAGTCCACCAGCTCCGCGCTGCTCTCGAGCAGGCTGGTTACCACGAGCGCCTCGACACCCTGACCATGCTTCGTTTCCTGCGCGCCAGAAAGTTCAACGTCGAGCATGCTAAGCAGATGTATGTGTCGGCAGCTGCCAGCGAGTAGAACGATTAGAGCTGACACATGCGTTAGGNNTTCGTCGATTGCGAGAAGTGGAGAAAGGAGTTCGGTGGCGGTGTCGACCACTTGTTGCAGACTTTCGAGTACAAGGAGAAGACTGAGGTCTTCAAGTACTACNCCCAGTACTACCACAAGACCGACAAGGTGCGCAAAACCATAGACTGGAAACATTGAGCCATTCAGCGACTGACACCGACACAGGATGGACGCCCCCTTTACATTGAGCAGCTCGGCAAGATCAACCTCAACGCCATGTACAAGATCACCTCCGAGGACCGCATGTTGCAAAACCTCGTCGTCGAGTACGAGAAGGTCGCTGACCCTCGTCTGCCCGCCTGCTCGCGCAAGTCTGGCCACCTCCTCGAAACCTCCTGCACCATCATGGACCTTAAGGGTGTCGGTCTCACCAACGTTAGCAGCGTTTACGGATACGTGCAAAAGGCTTCTGCCATCTCGCAAAACTACTACCCCGAACGCATGGGCAAGCTCTACCTCATCAACGCTCCCTGGGGCTTTTCATCCGTCTTCAGCATGGTCAAGAAGTTCCTCGACCCCGTCACTGTCGCAAAGATCCACGTTCTCGGCAGCGGTTACGAGAAGGAGTTGCTCGCCCAGATCCCTAAGGAGAACCTGCCCAAGCAATTCGGTGGTTCCTGCCAGTGCCAGGGCGGCTGTGAGCTGTCCGACGCCGGCCCATGGCAAGACTCGCAGTGGGTCAAGCCCGCTGCTTGGGAGAAGAAGGGTGACAATGTCATCGAAAACCCCGATGCCTCAGTCAGCCACGGTCTTCCTGGTGACGCTCCTGCCGGCATGACCGCTGGTACTGCTCCTCAGGGCCACACTCACGGTGTTCCCGCCCCGCAATAAACGTCCAAGACCATCCGCATGTCTAGATAAAAACTCATTTTCGTATTTGGTGTGCATGTGTTCTTTCTTTGGGGGGTTTGCTAGTTTTGGGGTACGCGTTGTTCAAAGATGTGGTATGTCTTGTTAATGCAGAGAAGCCAAGAGGAATACCATTGGGAGAAAGCGTATACAAGAGAACGATTCAGCAAACCAGCAGTCATCTTTCAGCGTTCTTGTCTTGTAATCTGTCTCATAATATTGCCGGTAGCTCTTGCATTGTAGAGTGATGTTCTGTTCTTGGAAAGAGGCGGTGGCAGGAGCGACTTGGTGCACGGACACAAAGTGTCAATTTCTTGTCCAACCACCTTCTATCCCAAAGTGATGGCTTCTGTTATCTATCCTCTGTTTCTGTCTCAACTGCTTCCAATACTTCTTCATATGTTCGGCATTACTTCAAATTTGTGACGATGATTCTCCATACACTACGAACCACATTCGATGCATGCAAGCCATTACGCAAAGTTTCTTCAGCCTTGCGTTTCTTCTCAGCCAGCAAGGTGGGGTACGAGTCTCCAAAAGATACTCTCAGCGCAGAAGACAAGAAGCGGAGAGAACAATCCCGTCAATGGGATGACATTCCTGGTTTCAAGAGTAATGTAGATCCAGAGTATCGCAGAGATCTTAGAAAGATTGTAGCCGCCGCCAATCGCGGATACTACCGCAACCCTGATCATCGCGAAAAGCTTATGGCAAAGAGCAAGACCACCAATGCATTGTACAGAGCTGAGCCTGATTTCTATGTCAAGCAGAGACTGCGCGTATGGTTGCCCACGTCTGCTTGGGCTAGAGACGAACTTGACTGGAAAGCTCACAGGCCTGTCTGGTCTGCTGTCAAGGTGTCCAGGACCTGCGAGAGCTGCCAGATTGAGCGGTTGAATGGGGCTCATCTGTGGTGGGTACGTATGCNNGCTTGTACAGACCGCCAGGATTTGGTATCTGTCATGATCTTGCAGTCCCGTATTATTCTCCATACAAGAAACATGCTGATTCTGTTCCTTGGTGGTTAGCAACGCAAGTATGATCCATCCCTCTTTGACTGCATGCATTGTTATCTTGGGTCCGATCCTCGACAGGCTTACCCCAAAGGTTGTGAGGATGTCACATCGCTACCGGAGCTGCGAAAGCGCAAACAGGAACTGGACCTTGGGATGAAGCCTGGATCTTTGTCTCAGAGCAAGTCGTCTGCTGTTGAAGACATCCAGTCCTGAGGCTTCAGCAACCATTCAATATCTGGCTGTCACTCCAGGCCTTGTCGCTTACCACTTCCATATACATCTAAAGGCAGAGTTCGGTCCCGGAATTAATGGTTGCCAGAGAGACACCTCGAAATCTCGAGAGCAGAGAGAGGCTAGGCTATGACAATTTATGGTGTCTTCTGGTTTTCTGACGAAAGAGGATCGTTGCTATGATATGAAAGTGACTGGTTTCATTTAGTGCAGTTGTTGAAGGCGTTGTTTGCTGGAAGTAGGTTGCCAGGGGCAGCGAGACGGGTTCCGACAAACACCAAGATCGGGCTGTTCGCGCAACAACTACTGCAGTGAGCGGCCAGCCGCGACGTTCACCCTGATTTCCACTCTTGAGCGCACCGATCAAAGTTTTTGATCGCGCGAGTAACATCAACACACGTCAAAACTCGCCGGCACCAGGGCACATGCTTGGTCGCTCATCTTCCCACACCCTGATCACACTCACAAGACGCATAGTAAAACTGCATATGGTCCTTCCAAACACACACGCCATTGCGAGACGACTTAGAAGCGCTAGAGGCAGTGGTCCCTCGTTATGTCTGATCATAACACCTACCTCGCCTGTAAGAGGGAAACGAGGTACATCCTCTGGTGGCTTTGTCATACGTCAAACGCTATTCTGCAGTCTACCTCAAGGAAGCAGAATGGTCTTCCCGAGGCTATGGTGAACACTACGGGTAAAGTCACGAACAAAGAGGTTGTGACAATGGCAAAACGAGTGGCTGCGCATGTGTCACAACAACATGTTCCATCCACCATCTTTCGACTATTTCGCTCGGTGATAGCGGAGCGTACTTCGGCTCACGCGATGTTTGTGGAAATAGCATCGCACTGCAACGACGAAGCGACGGAAAAGAGCAACAAAACCCACAAAAGCTTCATCGATTGCCTGTCCGAAGCTTTCGAGATACTCGGAGGTCTCGTATGGGCTTCTAGTCAACAGAGTGAGGCACATGAGCTTCAGTCCTGCGAAGATATCGAGAAGGCCATTTCCAACGCCTTCTCCGTCCTTGACATTCATCAGTGTACTGACGACGCAAGCGATAATGATAACGAAAGCGATACANTCATTGACTGAAAAGCCCTCTCGAATGTCAGGCAAGTCAAAACGAAACCAGAGATCGAAGCAGAAAAAGCATCAGAGGAAGAAAGCAGCAGACAGCTCAGTCGTTCCTNNGATGTGCCGCTGGAGAACTACTGTATCGTTGATGGTTCTGAAGATGTCTACGATGACTACCTCATGGCGTCTATCTCGGTGCTACGAGAATGGGTTGCTCTACGCAGCCATGTCCAAGTTCTATGGCACATCGTTGCACATGGAGACATGAACATTGCAATTGCAGGGGCAACTTCCGAGATGACGATCGCGATGATAAAGAGAACAGCTTTGTCTGTTTTCGTCGAATTTCCTGCAGGCTACGACAGCTTTGAAAATATGTCCCACCCCTTCCAGGACGGACGCCACTCAGACTTCTCTCCAATCCACTATGATGTCAGGGAACGATTCTCAGTACATACCTGCCTTGATCTTCTAGACGTCTTGATCGACTTTCAAAAGAACCGCAGCGGCAAACCAACGAAGCGTATGCAATCAACACTCTCGACCTGGGATCCTAATCTTGATCTACATCAAGCCAGCCATGAAGAGAGAGTGGCATGGCGCCGTCTATACACCTTGAACTGGCTCTTCGACATGGTCAATCTCTTTTCTCGTATTGTCATTCGCGAAAACAAGATCGACATCGAGCCTAGAGCTTACGACACTGTTGAGTGGTCCATCAAGAGTGTGTATCATCGTCCATGCAGGCTGTTTGGTCTAGAAGGATTCGCCGAAACCATCACCACTTTGGCAATGCAGAAACCAGGGACCGACGTCCGTTCTAGGATTCTCCCGCACCACGTCTTCCAACTGCAATGCATTGTGGACTCTTTCACAACATCTCGCGGTTGGTCACCAGGCATGCTAGAGCTTACTGAACATTTGACTTCAACACCAGTAAGAAACGTCCTGCCTACAGAAAGCTTGACACAATTCCTTGGTACCGAGAGCTCTGGGTTCTTGGCAGGAGCTCAAGCTGTCTACGGATACTTGACAGACAATGTGATGATCGGCGACCAGATACCTTCACGTCCGAAGCAGGCTTATGAAATATTGAGATCGTTGATGAGCCAAGTTCGCGGATGGTTAGGCAAGTCCGACGGCGTCTTCACGAGTGAAAACCTGTCACGATTCTCGCGCCTTGATGCCAACGGGTTCTGGAATTACAGTCCCTTCCTATGCGGCGTCGGACTGATGGAAGCCCTCGAGATGTCCTATCGCTTAGGCATGATCGTCTGGGATAATCTGCTTCCCGAGCCATGGTTGTTGATGGTGTNNCGTTGGAGTGAAGTGCTGAGGGCTAGGGGCCATCTCGAAGGATTTGGTGATCTTTTGTCTTTACTGCTGTTCCGTGCCATCAGCCATGCACCTGTCAACGAATCTTCTCACGCGCTTGGCGTGGGTGAGGATATGACAAGCGCGCTGAGCTTAGCACAAAATGACAAATTTCGACGCACCACTAATCTGATGCTTTATCGCCAATGTGACTGGGATCCGGAACGCATCTTGCGCAGCGATGAGTCTCAAGACTCAGCCATGAAAGCTTTCGGCACGATTTGGGAAAAGACAAGCAGAACGTCCAATCTGAAAACGACGGTCTGGCATTCTTTCGGGCCAATCCAGACCAAGCCCAAACCATGTGGGGCAGACCTCTGCCGCCCCCGGCTAGTGGCAATACTTTCTTCCCAGCAAGTGCAAGAAGACTTGGCCACAACGAGTACGGGCCATGGGGTGAAGGGCAACTCGTTATTGGTGAGACTGACATACACCAAGATATCTGCAGCCATACGCCATTATTAGGATTGGATTACATGCGGATATCGATGAAGATCTTGAACATCTTCCAAACAGTCGAGCAGCAGTTGGCCGGAATGCACAACCCGTTGTTCCTTCGAACTAACCGTGGCTACCAGTCGACAGCCAGGTTCTCTCTGTGGGACAAAGTCATAGATAGAGAGCCTGGTTACGAGGAGTGCCAGCGATTGTTGATACAGGAATTGGAGAAGCAGAATCTAAGTATCGCACATTTCACGTACTGGGGAAAGGTGGATGACAAGACTTCAAGCTACTTGATTTGGACAATCGAGAGGGACAAGAGAAAGACCGAGGCAAAGGAGAGTTCAACACAGGTATAGACTGTGGCAGCAGAAGATGGTCAGAACAGCGGCCAGGAGAGCGATCAGGAAAAAGGCGATGGCCAGGTTGTGAATTGGACATACGAGCAACCGAGAAATAAACGCTTTCTGCTATTTCATTGCAGTTCTTCTCAATAAAGAGACCGATCTCTGGGAGTACAGTCAAGTACCTTTGCTAGCGAGTCAACCTCTGACACTGCAGACACCTGCGAAGTTCCAGCAAGTACGCAGACTTGAATACAGTGAGTACAGACTGGACCATGAGCTTCAGGTAGTTACTCCTTTGTACTCTTATGTCAAGCTTCTACCTATAAAAATGCACGATACTTGAAAAGATCAGAGCAATATCGATTGAGAGCCAGTATCTTGACGGCTTTCTCTGGATGCAACCCTTGGACAACAAGTATTGTGTCTTTTTACAACCTATTTCTGCTCTACGGCTCTATAGGAGAACACCGGAACAAGTAGAGTTCGATGACAACCTGCTGCACCTGGTTGTGGGCGTTCCGCTCCTGTTACCTTGTGTCACTTTATTGATATTCACCTGTAGAGCAGCCGAGAAAAATAAGATCTCTGATAAAAATCTCAAGAAAGAGTTCGTTAGCGTTATAGGAAGATGCGAATCTTGGTTGCTTAAAGCAAGGACTACTCCTCCTCATCACCCCTCATTCGATTCAAGTTCATCCGACTGGTTGATGCAGTCTTCCCCATTGCAGTTTTCCTTTCCACAAACGAAACAGTAGAACCCAGCCCAATAAGTGCAGTTTGCTTTGAATACATTGATGCTCTGGAGTACTTGGGCGATAGTCTCAGCACATCTCTTGTGATCTGGAGACGAACAGTCACGAATTTGTTTCATGAGAATGAGACGCCTGAGTCCTTGATTCATTCCGCTGATCGCTGTGTACAGTGGTGATTGGAGTTTCTCCAGCTTATCCTCGATTTTGGCCCAGGTTGCGAGCATTATGGCTGCGAGCCACAGATAGTTGAAGCCACAGAGTGGGTGACGGCCGCAAATGTCGTCGAAAACATCTGCTTGCAATAGACCCCATAGATGAAATGTTGACAACATAGCGTCCTTGTCGATGGAGACACCCAAGCCTTGTGAGCTGGCCGTGATATCCTTGTAGCCGAGACTGGCGGCCGGCGTGTGATGTTTTTCGAGATGTTTGGCTGCTGTCACCATTCCACTTACCACGACTTCCGAGTAGCGCCTGAGATGTTCGTCATCGTCGTTTCCCTCAGATCGTGATTGTTTTCTAGCATTNTTGATGAACTCCGTGTCCTCGAATCGCATCTTGCCGGTCTCAGGGTGGATTGTGCGTTTCGTGCGAGCTATGCGAAGCGCGCCTAGTGTGCTGGATGGGATGATCTTTTCCTCTGGAATGCACCAGAACTTCCAGTCGAACTCTTGATATAGCAACACATTAGGCTTGGAGCGTATCAAGAGATTTCCTTCCAAGTCCAGCCATTCTTCAAGTCTCGTGGCCGAACGTGACAGAGTTCGAGCTTGTGGTCCAGCCGGTCCCGGAAAATACNNTCTCTTCTTGACATGTTCAGTAGGAGCGGTCGCCTTGTGAAAAGCTTTTCTGGTGAACATGATATCAAGATCCACGAATCGGTCCAGTTCCTGCGCAAGATATCCTTTATCGGCAAGTATCGTGTGCATCTTGCAAAGTTGAACAGGCTCAACTAGCTCATTCCACACGATAATGCTGATCCTGTAGGCGACATCAAGAGCTTCAGCCAGGCCAACAGCGCACAAGAAAGGGGAATATCTCCATAAACCGTTGCGACTGCTCTCCCGAGTATTGTGTTCCTGCTCAAAATGTGAGGGTGGACCGTTCTCAGCATCGAAAGCATGGTCAGACACACCAAGCCAGGTCTCGAACTGCGTCAAAAGAAACTCCAATTCTTGCAAGATGTTGTTCCTGTGAGCGAACCTCGACAAGGAAGGCGTGTGTTGGATAGCATTAAGCAACGATTTTGCTCCTCTGACAAAACCAACACTATCTCCATCAGTGTGACGATCGAGGAATCGATCTATCGCCAATCTAGGGTCAGAATGGAGTGTTTTTGGCAAGTATTGTTCGCACTCTTTACGATTTGGTGACCAGCCACATGAAGTTGTGAAAGAGTCGGCGATGCAGTGAAGCTGGAAAACATGATGTAAGAGGATCTTTCGTTGAAATTTTGTGCCAGGCTTCTGCATTGCCCAAGTTGTGACACTAGAGGCAAAGTCTTCAAGGCCGAATAACCGAGCGTCCCGACGATATGGCCCCTTCAGGGACCAGGTAATGGTTTCCGGTGGGTCTCTTCCGACACCATTCTCGTGCCTTATGATATGCGAGAAGACATTAACGAGGTCGTAAAGCCAGTTGAGGATGTACAAACGCCGCCAATGGAGTCGCTCGTCTGGCGAAAGCTCACGGAGATTGCAGATCGGATCCCACTTATCCAAATCAGCCTGCAGACGTTTAGTCGGTTTACCAGTGCGATTGGTCTGGTAGTCGGTGACAAACTCGACGAGGTAGTTGAAAATGTGAAGGCTGAATGATTCACGAAAGCTGACGCCCCCTCTGGCTTGCACGAGTTCGTCTGCTCTGTCAAACTCTCCGCTCGTGAATCCCATGATGAGGTCGATGTACGAATCACCTGATCCTCCTCGGCTGTCCGATTCCACAAAGATGGCTGAGGCTGTTGACTTGACCAATGCAACCGCCATATTGGACATGACTCCCGCTACAGCGATATTGAGTTGAGAGTGTACGACTGACTTCCAATAGTTTTCCATAAGCTCTCGTAATCTTTTACCTTCCACGAAGACCATGAAGACTGTGACAGCATACTCTTTAGACTCATCTGGTCCGTCAGTGACACAATAGTCCTTGATGGGAACCTCAGGTGTGTCACATTTTGTTGATTCGCTAGTTTCGTCGTCGATATGATGGACCGGAAGACTTAAGAAAGGATTGGTGAATATGACATTCTCAACCTCCTTTGTAGAGCCGAAAGTTTCTTGTCGCTTCTGACTCTCGCTTGACAGCCACTGTTCGCCCCCAAGAACCTCGAAAGCAGAGACCAGGGTTTCGATAAAGTGCTTGTGAGTGTTGTTACTGTGCTCCAGATTCTCATCTTGGATACCGAGAGACATGGCTGTGTAGCTCTCGTGTACTTCTTATCAAGCTTTGATGACGGAGTCGAACAAGTAGAGGACTGTCGAGGGGACTTGTTCTCCACGCTGAAGATAGCGAGCACCCACTCGTCGAGACATAGTCTTGAGTTCAGAACAAGTCACATGGCCTGAGATGTTCAAGACATCAGTCGCAGCTTTCTGATCATCAGGTATCGCTTGAACGATGGTGTTCGAAGCATGTATCAGCCACCATAGTATGTACCGGGTATCCCTCTTACAATCAAGGTATGGTATACAAAGTGAGTCATTGAGGCTCGTATGCATGCTGTCCAGGTTGTCTGATGCCCAGAACTCGGTTGAAATGGATATTTTGGAATGAGAAGGTATGGCCGGCTGGAAGATAGAGCATCGCAGCGGGATATTTGAATGCTGGAAGTGCATGAAAGACGCGTCCATGTCATGGGGCAGCAAAATTGCCTCCATTATTCACTTCCAATCAATTATTGTAAAATCAGAAAGTGACGAGAAGTGACTAGAGCCTGAGACTTCTTTGTGAGCTGTAACCTTGATGCAGTAAACAGACACAAAAGAATCAATGGGCACTTGCTGGAGTTCGCCGAGTGCGAGGAAGCTTAACAAATGAATCAAAAAGGAGCGAGGCGGTGGAGTGGCGAGTGCTCCAGAATGGCCAGGCAGTGGGCGTCTCACAAAGATGAAATTGACTGCATGATCCAACAAAATGAATTGCGGCGAGTGAGATTCGAACTCACGATCTCTGCATCGTCATATTACCAGGCCAAGGACCGAAGCCCACTAGCAATGGGCGGTAATATTAAGAGCTTGTGTTTGCAAGACGTATTGATGCAGCGTCTTACCACTAGACCACCGCCGCTTTTGTTGGACTCGAGTCACTTTCTCGGATATATCGAGATTGCACAACTCTGAAACTTGCATCCGTTGTCTTCGGCTGGTCACTGCAACCTTCAGAATGGACAACCAGCAAAACGGAAAGAGCGAAGGCAGTCAAGCGGATACCCATTCGTTCCGAGTAGTCTAGGCTTTGCCAGAGAACGGCAAGCAGTGGTTTCCTCTATGCCCTCTTCTGGCTTTTTTTGTCGGTCTCAACCAGGCTTTGTTTCATGTGTTGTTGCTCTGACGTGAGTGTCTCAGAGCGGTGTTGGTACAAACGCGCGCTGCGATCAACAACCCGCCATGCAACTTTCACACCGGTGAATATAAAGCCAGCATCCCGCTGCTTATACATTTCAACTTGTCTCTTCAATCAGCTTCTCAACAGATCGGTTCATCCAATGACAAACTTCTTGAGTCTACCACCCGAACTTCGGGAGCAGATCTATCTTGAGCTGCTTGTCGATTCGTCGAAAAACCAAGATCGGATCATGCTCACCCTTGACAAAGATGGCCACTTTGTATGGAATCGGATCACCCAGCTTTCACCTCCAGACGATGAGCTCATCACGGACGATCAGCCTGCGCCCACTCCATCTTCGATCAAGCACCTGGACTACAGCAATCTTTGGTCGCTTGCTCGAGTTAACAGCCTGCTCTACGCAGAAGCAACTCCGATCATGTACGCTAATGCGAACCTCGAGTACACTTTTGGCGACAGTTGCTTTGTCGACGGAAATTCTGTCCTTCTCCAAACCTTTCTCAACAAGCTCCGACCTGCAACATGCGCCCTCTACCGTCAAATGACTATTGTCAATGGCAAGAATCTGTCTGCTAAGGCCATGAGGTTCATCGTCAACATTCTCAATTCCAAACTACCCTGTGTGATGTCGCTCAGTCTACGAGCCATCGATCCGCACACTGAGGTTTGGCTGAACAATGAATCTCCTGAATGGCTCAAGGAACACATGCAACTCATGGCAGCTGCCAGGCCTTTGTCCTGTCTCACCTCAAGTCCCAAAATCTCTCTGAAGACACGGCTCTGCTTCTGCCTTGACTACAACTATTTTGACCCGGATCCGGAAACACAGTTGATCATGCTTATTCTGCGAGGACTAATGGAGACGGAAGTTGTACCTACGTTGTTGGACATCNAAAAGTGGCGCCGTCAAGCTCAAAACGATCATGCCATGAACTGCGAAGAAGGTCATTATCTTCAGCTCACTTATGCTTTGCGCTCTACAATGACCGAGACAACGAACGATGAGACAACGACTGAGGATGTGGAAGAGATCGATGATATTGAGGCCAGGCTCATGGAACACCAGGCGTCTATGAAGCAGATCGAGGAGTGCAAGCATTGGAGAATGACCATGGATGGCAAGTTGCGCGAGATGCCTTCCTAGCCGACGCGCTCAGGCTTGGTCCAACGTTTGGGCCAGACACATAGCATGATACTTCCCCCTCAATTTTTGTAACTCTTCGTGTGTTCCCATCTCTTCAATCTTGCCATCCTCAATCACAAAAATGACATCAGCGTGCCTAATAGTGCTCAGACGATGAGCGACGGCGATCGTCGTCCTTCCAGCAGCTGCTTCATCAAGTGCCTTCTGTACCACACGCTCGCTTTGTGTGTCCAGTGCCGACGTGGCTTCGTCAAGAAGCAGTAATGAAGGTTTGCGAATCAGTGCTCGAGCAACAGCAATACGTTGGCGTTGACCTCCACTAAATTGAAGGCCGCGAGATCCGCACGGCGTTGCAAGCCCTTCTGGCAAGGGAAGTGATGAAGTCCAAAGCATTAGCCTGGCGACACGCCTCCATGATCTCCGCATCCGAGGGTTCGTAGTCTAGTCCGATAGTGATATTCTGACGCACAGAGCCGATGTACAATGGTGGTTCTTGTTGCACCAGAGACATGCAGCCTCTATACTGTTTCGGGGACATGAGCGAGATATCATCATCATTTAGTGTAATGCGACCGGATGTTGGATCATAAAATCGCTCGAGAAGAGATATGATGGTACTTTTGCCGCAACCTGAAGGACCGACAAATGCAGCATATGTCCCGGCATTAATCTTCATCGAGATGTCACTCAAGACTTTTGCAACTCTTCGTTGCTTGTACTGAAAGTCGACATGTTCGAGCTCCATATTCACATTGTCTCCTCGTGGTCCTTTGCCGTGATTTTCGTTGGTCTCGCAGATTCGAGGCTTGATTTTGCGCAGCCAGAGGATGTAGTTCACACCGCCGCGTGCTTTCGTGATCGACGTCGTGTACCCGAAGAATTGAGCAGCTCCTTGACCACCGAAGATGACGCACAGAAAGATGACAAAGAACTGAGTTGTGGAGTACTCTCCTTCTGTAATCAGTTTTGATCCATACCAGAATCCGAGTCCCATGACTAGAAAATCAGCGGATTGAGATAACGCGTATGGTATCAAGGTGATTATCTAAACACGCAGATCAGTCAGTAAAATTTAGATGTCTTTGTCCCCACCACTTACCAGACTTCGAATAACCTTGTGTACGATGCTATCCAGTTTTTCGCTATATTCGCGCATCACGGACCTTTCGAGCGCAAGAAAACTGACGGTTCTAATCGACGAGACAGCTTCAGAGGCCAAACCAGCACTGCTGGCGAACTGCTCCTCTGTCGACATCTCCAACTTCTGATCCAGTCTGATACGAACATATCCGCCAGCAACAATGACAGTGAGTCCAGCAAATACTAACGTGAGACCAAGTTTCCAGCCAAACGCTATAGCAACTACGCTTGTAGCTATGATGTTGACTATCACGTTGAGCATAAGACCAAGATTTCCAGACATCAGCTCCTGCACTGAATCGGGGGCAGAGGATAGCTTTGCAGTCAAAGCACCAGAAGAGTCCTCAGGTCGATCGAAGAAGTCTTGATCGAAATTAACAATTCGCTCGATCATTTCTCGACGATAGCGATGGGTGAGCCTTTGGCCAAGGACATTGTAGCATACTCCGACAAGGAAATAGCAGACGAGGTTCACAAGTGCCAGGACGAAGAACATGAGGGCGAAGAAATCTGCTTGCCGTTTGGCTTCCGAACCTTCCAGTGTAAAGACCCGAATGAGGCGAGAGAATATGATGGCTTGAGCTGGCTGGGTACCACCAACGGTCAGATAGACAAGCGCAATCAGCAAATACCACGGATATAAATCCGGATGCTCTCTGAGCATGATGAGTATACATTTTATCAGCGAGAAGTTGAGGGTACCGGCAACGAGTTTGTGGGCCTCAGGTGATGCCATGCTAGCTTCTGCGCTTGCTTCCTTGATCGAGGATGCGTCGATTGTAGGGTATGTCTTTCCAGTGTTGTCATCTCTCTGTGGGTTGTGTGTCAAGACGTCTGACTCCTTGTCTGTAGATCCAACTCCCAGATCCTGTGCGCGAACCATAGCTGCGTAAAGACCATCACGCTCAAGGAGTTCGCTATGTGTGCCCTGTTCGACCACCTTCCCGTTAGTCATGACCGCGATGTTATCAGCAGCCATGACTGTTGCAAGTTTGTGTGCGATGATCAGTGTTGTCTTGTTGATTGAGACGCGGTTGAGAGCAGCCTGAACGACTCTTTCAGCACGCGGATCGAGTGCACTAGTTGCTTCGTCAAATAGTAAGATCTTAGGATCCGCAACAATACTTCCTGCAATGGAGATACGCTGACGCTGACCACCACTGAGCATACTTGCCCGCTCTCCGAGCTGAGTGCCGTAGCCTTGAGGAAACTTTTTGATGAATTCGTGTGCATCTGCTGCCACACATGCACGCTGGATAAGCTGCATCTGCTGCTCTTCACTAAGGTCTAGTTGCTTTCCAACCAAGCCCTTGGCGACATTAGATCTTACTGTGCCCTGGAATAACGTAGGCTCTTGTTGTACAAGTCTAATGTTGCTTCGCAGCCAGTTTGTATTATAAGTATCGAGCTCATGCCCGTCCAGGAGGATATGGCCAGATGTAGGTTGGTACCATCGTTCCAACAGGCCGACAAGGGTTGACTTGCCACAACCGCTAGGTCCAACAAGAGCAGTTGTCTAAGTAAGTGTTTCTCCTTCCTCTTTCCCTAATTCTTTAGATACCTTACCTCTCTATACCATTTATAGAGGACTATAAGACACTTACCCTCTAAGGCGACGTCTTTAAACTAGAGCGACGTAAATTTAGCCTAAGGTAGCATTATTATTAATGAAAATTATGCTAATTTTAGGCTCTAAGACAGGCTTCGAAGACTATGTTAAGAGGTGGTAACGACTACGTTAGCCAAGTGGCCTCTCGGAAGCCTCTTGCCGATAGCTACAGCAACAATGTAGCTATCATACACCGGTAATTGCTACAAAGGACTGCTACTTGTCGCTAACTTGTTGCTAACGTAGCAGATAACAACCATACTCCAGAGTCCTAAAGGTGCGGACGTCAGTCGAGAACTGTCCGTTAAGTTATTTTGCGATGACCCAGGCTTTGCTCGATTCAAACAAATTGTCATGGATGTTTTCCAAGAGTCCAAGACTGAAACGGTTCGCTGAGATAGCGGATACTTTCCTATTCTAACCTGCGAACGACAACATATCGTGGAAGCCATGGTTTTATACGTAGTCCTCTACAAGTGTATCGTACAAGCATAGGTATGCATTTGCAGATGTTGGCAGATGCATACAGAGTGCAAGAAATGATTAGCCAAAAATAAGCTTGCAGCCGGCAAGGCGCGTGGACTTGAAAAGGAAAGAACGCAGGAACGCGAACATGAGGCGGTTCCGACGGCGAGTGCCGTCGAGCTCTTTCAACTGAATGAGAGGCATTTTTGTTCCACCACGACCTCGTAGAAGCATTCGGCGAGGTATCGTCTCTGCATTGAGGTCGTTCTACACATCGAGACTGGGAGACACGCGTGCAGTCAGTGTGAATCGCATAGTAATCACCATGATGTTACACAGCATCCTTAGGCTAGCTGTGCCGCTGATATGCATGCGACGGCAGATTGCATATTCAAAGTGAGGTGAATCAATGGGTTCGTTTGTCTTGATGCTGCTCGCATCTATTGCTCAAGCATGTTTCCTCACTTTGACCGCCACTCTGAAGTTGTCAGCCATCATTCTGTTTCTCCGTCTACTTTCCCTCTACAAAACGACTTCCTCGTTTCTTCCTTCCTACTTCACCATCATAAGTCCCAGTCTTTTTACCATCGCCAAAGCGGAAGCTGTATGTAAGATCCTTTACGAGTCGATCTTACAGCAATCGCTATCATGGAGGTGTTCATCAACTGCATACCTCATCATTGCACAGAGCGCGATCTGAAGCGGTTCATGCGCTCACCTCTTGCCGAATTTGGCATCGCCGACTTTGTATGCGAGAAGTTCGGCAACAAGGCCTGCGCAAAGTTGGTATTCCTAGACGCCGAGAAAGGCAAGCGCTTCATCGCCAGGTATGGCAAGTCTAACGGCCAGCGAAGACCTTTGGTTCAGCTCAACATGAATGGCCATTACATCAATTGCGCAGTGTCGAGAAACCAGCCCGAGGAGTATATCCTGCGCAGTCTCAAGTCAAGAGCCACTCAATCAGTCGCGTCAAGCCAGATCGTTCCTGCCACTCGTTACGGAGCCAATTCGAGTTTCGAGTTCTCCCAGCTGCGATGTGGGGTGTGGTCTTTCATCAATGGCGAGCTTGTTTTTGTGCCGCACTTTGTCGACTCACGACGTGGCAGAGTCTTGTTTGGTCACCGTCAATTAGCTCTCCTCTACGAGGACAGAGACAGCCTCGACAGCGAGTCTGCATATCGCATCAGCATCAAATACATCGATGTCGACACAGCAACCACAGGAGACTACAAATGTCCAACTGTGACTTTCACTNTGGAGATCCCACCCGCCTTCTATTCCACACCTTCGGTAGACCTCGCTGCAGCACTTGCAACTCTCAACATGATAGGCATCAATGGACTCAGGCTACCCCCCTTGAAGAACAAGAGGCGAATCACGAGTATCAACAAAGCTCATTCCGACGTGGTCAGTACTTGTATGGTGTATCAGATACAGCTCGCCGACTATAGGCAGCTGGCTGATGTCTACCAATTTCTGAAGCATAATCGTCACCTGGCACCAGCTGCCATCAATCACTCAACTCCCACTGTGTACCCTTCTGTCAGCCTTGCATCTTCCTTTAAACGTCTTGACACGACACTCTCGGATGCGTCACCATACAACACTTTGCCATTTGATGTCAAATTCCAGCTGCTTCGTCTGGCCAGGAACGGCGCGCTCTCGCCCGATCAAGTTGTTGCAATTCTTCCCACGATCACTTTACTGACGGCCAACCATGACGGCCCCACCATTGTCGAATCTTTGAGACGTTTGTACCAGAGTCTCAAGCCGATCGGGCCCCATTCAGAAGCAGTAGACTATTCAGTCAAGACAATCGCCAACAATCTGCTGGACTATGCTCAGAATTATGACAACTCTCGGTTCCAGAACCCGTACGAGCTGATGAATCGCCATGCTCATATCGTCCTTGTGCATAGACTTACTGTCACGGTTGCCGGTGTCTATCTGGAAGGACCAGAACCTGAAGTCAGCAATCGTGTGCTAAGAGAGCACCAAGACCACTCGGATCACTTTATTCGAGTTACCTTCGCGGACGAGGATGGCGAAGCTGTTCGCTATGATGGTCAATGTGATCAGAAAGAGGTATACGCTCGGTTCAGGAACTTTATGGACTCAACATACTCGATTGCAGGAAGAGGATTCTCTTTCTTGGGATTCTCGCATTCAAGTCTTCGCTCCCGGACTTGTTGGTTCATGGCTCCTTTCGAATTCAGGGGAACTTCGCTGAATGCTTCACAACTGATCAGAACTCTGGGACATTTTGGTTCCATCCGCACCCCAGCCCGATGTGCGGCGCGTATCGGACAAGCTTTCACCGATACTACTGGTACTGTAGAAGTGGAGGCTGCGATGCAGACGAGGATGCCCGATTTTGAACGCAATGGTCGATGTTTTAGCGATGGTTGTGGTACCATTTCGCTTGGACTTCTCCAGCAGGTTTGGCGTATGTATGGATCGAGACGTAATCTCAAGCCTGTCATCCTTCAGATCAGATTTGCTGGTGCCAAGGGAGTGGTGTCGTTGGATTCTCGTCTGATTGAGGATCAATTCAACATCAGACCTTCTATGGAAAAGTTCACAGGCTCCAAATCGATCACGCTCGAAGTCTGCGGTGCCGCATGGCGACCATATCCTATGGTCCTTAACCGCCAGTTCATCAAAATCCTCGAAGATTTGCTTGTTCCTCTCGAATCTTTCATTACATTGCAAGATGAGGCAGTGGAGAAATCGAGGATGATGACTACTAATACCTTCAACGCTTCGTTGCTTCTCAATGACACACAGACGAGCAAGGCTGCAAGACTGCCAAGCTTTCTCGAAATGCTGGCCGATATTGGTCTTGAGTATCACGACGACTCATTCCTCCGTGGAGTTGTTGAGATGGCTGTGATCACAAAGTTGCGCGAGATCAAGTACAGAGGTCGCATACCTGTCAAAAATGGAGTCACTCTCTACGGCATCATGGATGAGACTGGATATCTCAAGGAAGGCCAGATCTATGCCGTCAATCAAAGCTCGCCGGATGAACCCAGAAAGGTTATCACAAAAGACAAAGTCATTATCACACGCTCTCCAGCACTCCATCCCGGCGACATCCGAATCGTGGAGGCCGTCGATGTACCTGAAGACTCGCCTCTAAAATATCTTCGCAATTGTGTCGTGTTCAGTCAACACGGCAACCGTGATCTCTCGAGTCAGCTTTCGGGTGGTGATCTTGATGGTGATCTTTACAATGTCATCTACGAGCCCACTTTGATGCCTCAGAGAGACATCGCGGCCCCTGCGGACTATCCTCGCGTGCCTGGTCTGGAGCTCAACCGTGAGGTTACAATCCAAGACATGAGCTCTTTCTTCGTTCAATTTATGGAATCTGATCAACTAGGTCACATCTGCACACGTCATCTCCAGATGGCAGACCAGAAGCCAATGGGTGTGTTCGATGCCGGCTGTATTGAGCTTGCAAGTATGGCTTCCACAGCTGTCGACTTCTCCAAAACTGGTATAGCGGTAAGTTCAGCTACTACTCCGCATGAGACTGAGTGACATGCCATTGTTTCCGAGGGATCATCTCGATGGCTCATTCACGATACTTTTCTCGATCAGGAATAACGGTGCTGACTTCTATAGGTGAGCATGGATAGAGCTCCACGCGCCCAGCCCGCCAAACCTGATTTCATGGCTCCCAGCCCACGTGTCATCATCGAGGCTGGTGGATATGCAAGTCTCGAAGACGTAGCCCAGAACGAAGAAGAAGATGAAACCGATCCTATCGGTGATCTGGACGACCTCCGCCCAGCCCGTTACTACAGAAGCGAGAAGGCGCTTGGTCACCTTTACCGTAGCATCGACGAACAGGAGTTCTTGAAGACTCTACAAGAGGCTACACAGAGTCTGCCTGGCCGAGATGATACTGTTCTCTCGACGCTTTGGGCATACATTCAGCAGTACACTAAAGTTATTCAGTGGGAACATCATCTGGACTTGGCCAGACAAATCAGAGATGGGTGAGCTTGATTTGACACGTCAAACGCTCGCAGTTGCTGACTACTAGACAGATACGAGCAGACTTTGCTCCAGTCCCTCTACCAATTCGCCTCCTCACCACGCCACCCCCTAACCGAGACCGAAATCTTCTCCGGCACCATTCTCGGCCGTGATGGCGGCAAACAATCCAGACGCGTCCGTGAAACCACCCAAGCCATGCGCGAACAACTCGAAGGAGTCCTGACCTTCACCATCTCTCGTATCATCGATGGCGACTACGACGACAACGATCGCAATGAAGAAGCTCTGCCTAGAGCCATCGCTTGTCTTGCTATTGGCATGAACGAACAGCCTATGGGAGACAAGAAGGTTGGAGAGCTTCAGAGTTGGAAATACATTGCTGCTGGAGTGTGCTTGAGGGAGATTAAGAGATGGTTCGCTGTTGATATGGGAAGACATGCCTTGCCGCGTGTTCGTCGCTCATAAAATCAAAGCGCTTTGAGCAAGGATGTAAGATATCGAGGGAGGAAAGAAGCTTTCGAAAACGAAAGACTCTTGAAGTAGCAAGAGCAATAATCACAAGGAATTTACAATCAAGGGACTTGTGGCACGAAGATATGATTCAATGGAAATGAGGTTTACATTCGAAGACGTAGCAAGCCATTCTGAAAAGAGCTAAAGACCGAAGATTCGCAGTCTCAGATGTCCGGAAACACTGGCACGAGCGGTTTTGCACACCCTGACACACTGTGTCCACCCTTGTAAACTTCTGGGCAATGTGTCTTTCCACATTTATCAAAGCCCTCTCCTCAACTCTTATCCTCCATGTTCTTCCTCGACACATTCCGCTCGTAGAGTGCGAACACTTTCTCAGACCATGGTCCCCATGTGGCTCTTTCTTCCTCGACCGCGTCTTCAACGCCTTCTCTCACTTTCCAACCATTGCGCCAATAACCATGGTAACGAACTTCCCATCTCTCTTTGGGCGCGATCTGGCTGCTGATGACAGGGCAGCCAGCCATTTCTGAGCGCGTACCCAGAGTGTCTTACAAAAGAGAACCGTCAGTATGACGTTCTTCGTTTTGTGCTCTAAAAGCGGCGTGGATCTGAGTTTTGTTGCGCAATCCTTCGAAGTAGAGGTTGTAATTCCAGCTTGTCATGGTCTCCCAACCCACTATATCGCTCATGTCGACATCGCCACCTTTCAAGAGGTAAATTACTAGACGGGGAAGTGGNCTGTTGTACGGGTGAATGCAAACTTTGACGTTGACGAAGATGTTTAAAGGGAGGCAGGTGATGGCCCTCAACCCGTCACCAATGTCCGGCTCTGTGTCTTCAGTGTCTTCGCGGGTCACGCAGATGGTGAGATTCTCTAGATCCGGCAGTCGTTTGGTGATGAATTTTGCAGTCTGTTGAGCATAGGAAGCTGACCAGTCGACCTTTCCGACGTCGATACACAGCTTTCGAATCATCTGGCAGGTTTCTTTCGACAGACAGCGGTCGAAAATGTGGAAGACATCGTCCTTGAAGCGATCGTTGAGTGTATAGATTGTGATATCTGCATTTGACCAGGCGATGTGGAGCACCTCGACGCGGATCTGGTGACAAGTGCTTGCAAGGGCGAGCAGGGCGTCGATGTCGGCGTGATGAACGGCTCTTCTGCACACATCAGGTCCGTACTTGTGGTGGCCAACTACTAGAGATGTGATGCGACGTTGATGGTTCATCTCGCAATCCATGACTGAGCGAGACCATCCTACTACCCCACACTCTAGCTGAGGATCGACGGATGTATGGTCTTCAGACGAAGAATCTGGCTTGTCGTGTTGATCATCTTTATGGTGGTACACGATACGCCTACCGCGGGAAAGGCCATCTCGAAGTAGATGGATGTAAACCATTGTGCGCAGCTCTGGGGGAAGACTTGTGAAGGAGTCCATGCTTCTCTGATTCTGGTGCTGACTGTTAAGGTTGGAGTCAACGTGAACTATAATGGATTGAGACCAAGGTAAAGAGCAGATTTTCGAGCGCCGATAAGGAGAAAAACCAGATGAGAGTTGTGTGCGAAGGGAGTTTCATGGATTCGCCAAGTCAAGGACCGAGGTCGAAATCAGGAAGTTGTTGCTCTGCCAGACGCTCGCTCTTTCCTCACTTCTGTGTCTCGATTCAACTGAAGACCGCCGTACACTCTCGAACGGAAGTCTCACTGCGCTTGGCGTCTCACAACATCATCACTTTCAACCAACTTCTTTTTGCGCACTCTTTCTCCTCCGCAACCACTTAACTATCGTAACCTTTCTGCATCTCGAAGCACTCTTTTAAAATTCATCTTACTTACTTTTATCTATACTAACCAAAATGCCCAGACTTTCCACTCCTTCCGAGCTTCCTATCGACACCATTGTCGACTGGCTCCGCAAGCAGGAGCACTTCCCTCCTGTGCTCGAAGTTGGACCTACGACAGTAATGAACTGGATGATGGCCATGAACTCCGGCCAGACGGTCAACCGCTTGCATAAGAAGGTCGACCAAGTCCTGAAGACCTTGCAGCGAAAAGCCAAGGTCACAAGAGCCCGGTGCACCAAGTTCAGACAGGATCATGGCGAAAACCAAGATGAGCCTGTCGTCTCGAGCGCTTTCCGTCCAGGCGCTCCTACTTCTGCTTCCCGCAGTGAGCAGNCAAGAGAGAAGGGACAGAAGGGCTGCCAACAAAGCAGCCAAAAAGAGGCTCGGCGCAAGCAGAACGCTGCTGCCGTGGCCAAGGCCAAGGCCAGGTCCAAGGCCAAATCCAAGATCCAGACTGGGCCCGAGGAAGATGCAGAGGAGTTCTCCGAATGGGAGGGCCTCAGTGATAACGATGACAAAGCCATGGACGTCAAGCTCTTGCTGCCTTTTCCTCTAAAAGTCGTCGCTCCTGCCCCTCCCGCCAACAGCCGCGCTTGAGACCACTAAGAAGTGTGTTCTCTCATGATTGTGTGAGCATTTGCGCTGTAGTCTGGAGTGTCTTTGAAGAGCCCTATACGAAGGTGCTTGTACATTTTCAGAAGCCCTCTACAAAGGTGCTGGTCCTGATTGTTCACAAGCCCGATACGAAGGTGCTTTTTCGCTTCTCTTTGTTGTCTCTGTTCTTGCCACTTAAGAGCCCTATACGAAGGTGCTTGTCTTCAAAGTTTGAAAGCCTGATACAAAGGTACTTCTCATATTCGCCTGCCGAATGTCTTCCATGATTACTGACCTGGCGCTGCTAGTCGAAGGAGATTGACGTCTGGGTGTGAGGTTGGCAACCCGGATTATCACGTTGTGGGGCCAAAGCTTGACACGCTGGGGCAGTTGCCTTCAAGACGTTGAGAACATGCAGCTAGGTCTACATACATCCATAGGTACCACCATTTCCAATAACGATACTTCCATACTCCGCCAAGTATTCAATGCTTCCACATCGTGCCTTTCGTTTCTAGCATGACCCATACTGTCATTACAATGTCTTCACTCTTGCCCTACATTTCTTCCGCCTATCCATTGTCCATACGGGCACACGCAGAAGGGAAGTTCAGGCAATTGACAGATTCGATCGATGTTGTTCACGAAAATCAAATCATCATCTACTTAGATCAGCTTTATAACGAAAAGTGGATGATTATTATTCTTTGGCTGGGAACCATTTCGATGCAGTGACTATCTGCATGAAGCGAAATTGCTTGAGAATCATCCCAAGCTTTCTAGTTGCGGGTATGTGCATTGCCTTCTTGTTGTACATCCTTGGGTGACCACCACCAACCATTCATCCGATCATGAGAGCACGCAGTTGTTCAGTGACCTCAAGCGCATCCTCGACTCCTAGCTCCTGTTGTGTGTTGATTCTCGGCAGTTGAGTGTTCAGTCTCGATGAGTGGATGCCGACTGTCTCTCCAAGTCCATTAACAGCTTCATTCTTGCGTTGCTTCTCAATCTCCTTCTGTCTGCGTCTCTGATGTCTCGCACGCATGGTATCCAGACGTGCCTTGTCTTCGTTGTCCATGAACTCGCGAACAACCTCAAGCTTGGTGGTGTACTGCTCGTTTCGCCAAGATCCGAATCCAGGGGGATAGTTTCGAAATCTGACATTGATACGTATAGGCAGGCATGCAACGACAGACATAGCTGCTTGTGAGAAGAGGATGGTTTGGCCATGACAAAGAGACAGAGTGAGCTCCTCGAGCTGAGGCAGTCGATGGTGGATGAGTAGGGCGATCTCTACCATGTAGCCGAGCCCTTCCGTGGGTCTCGGGATGTCGATGTGCAAGGTACGGATGAAGTCGCAACATTCGGTGGAGAGGCAGTCATCAAAGATGTGAATCATGGTTCTGGTGAGGCTGTCCGACTTGATGAAGATGTCCGCATTCGACCAGACAAGAACCAAGATCTCAGATCGGAGAACTTTACAGGTGGCTGCGAGTCTGAGCAGATCGCCGAAGTCTGCGAGGTGAACATAAAGTTTGTCCTTAGGGAAAGGATGAGCTTCGAGTTTTCTGGTAGCGAAAGGTAAGGCTTTGTCATGCTTTTCTGGTTGTTGACAGGACGTTTCGGGACACTTGGGACAGAAGCCGTAGTATATGAGGCGTTTGTTGTTCGAGAGCGTGTCCTGAAGCAAGATGTCGTAGACAAGCGAGCGGATTTCGGGCGGTAGGGCCGTGAACGAGGACATCATGTTGGCTGTCATGAGTCTGACTGGTAAATGCTGAGCGGTTGTAGAGCGAGAGTGGAGAGGGGGGCGGTGATGTAGGAAAGACTCATGGAGTGCGAGTGCGCACGATATCCCAGCGTCATATCCCGCACCGAGTGATTCTAAAAGTGAGGAAATGTTGTTCTATCTTCAGCAGACCTACCCTCCAAAAACAATCACCTCTATACTCACTCTCAGTGAGCTTCTCACACAACAAGATGCTACTTGCACTATGCCGAGATTGTGGCTCGTGTTCCATTGGCATCACAAAGCGATACACTGGCATGCGAAAGTGTGCAATTCTGGTGTGAAGTCGACATAGTATTTTGATATATGAAAAAATGCCGCTAATTAGGCGTACTGTTCAAGGAAAGTCGTGAAAGGAAATAGTTGTCTTCTGCACATAGTCAGAGCGTGACAAGAAGGTTGCGTGAGAGCTAAAAACAACGCTATACATTCATTCTTCAATACCAGACCGGAGACGATTGAGCGCTTTTTTGGTTCGAGGTACTCCGTCCATTACATCCTCCATATCCGATCCTCCCCTAAACTACTCTCAAACAAGAAAGGAAATGTCTGTACAGTGATTCAATGCTCTACATTTACAGAACAAGAATGGCAGCAACGGCAGCGAGACCGAGGCCAGCGAGCGAGCCACCGACCTTGGCACCAGCTCCAGTGTAGGATATGGGGCTACCGGTAGGCATAGCAGGAATGTTGTAAGTGCTAGCCAGAGTAGAAGACTTGGGAGCAAAGCCTGAGCTGGCAGCAGAGCCTGCAGGTGCAGAGACTGCGGGAGTAGCAGCACCTGCAACGGGGCTTGTAGGCATGACCTCAGGAGTGGTGGTGGCAGGAACGGCCGAAGGGTAGGTAAGACCAACAGTGGGCTTGCCGCCAACAGTCTCAGTGATGAACTGGACCTGGGGAACGGTGAGGGTCTTGTGGATGGTCGAGGTGATCTTGGAGCTGGGGATAGTGGCACCCTGAGATTCACCGGCGGTGTAAGTGGCAGGAACCACGAGCTCAGAAGAGTAGGTGATGGTGGTCATAGGCTGGGTAGCGCTGCTGGTAACAACTGCTGGAGCAGTGGTTGCAGGGGCAGCCTCTGAAGGCCCAGTCACAGCGGGAACGCTAGACATCTCTGAGACAGTGGTACCGACGGCGTAGAATGAAGTCGACTCGACTGTGGAAGATGCAGGGCAGTTTGTAACGTCAGGGGCACACGAGGTGATGGTAGCCACAACTGAAGAGTAGATAGTCAGAGTCTTGGGACCTGCGGGTGCCGAAGTCATGGCAGCAGATGATGGCATGACAGCATCAGCTGAAGAAGATCCGGGTGAGACGACGGTCTGGGTCTGAGCAAGAACGGTGGTCGAGATGGTGCTCTTGATGGTGATCTGAGAGGTGATAACACTAGGAGCAGTCAAAACAGTGGCGCTGCCTGAGGCGGTGATACTAGAAAATGTTAGTTAGGTTCATCAAATCGATGGAAAACAGAACGCTTACGTTTCGCCGGCAGGACATGTGGTAACGGTGGTCTTGACGACATCAGTGACAATAACAGTGCTCTGGACCTCAGGAACAGCAGGTGCCGAAGAAGCGGGAACAGCGCCGGTCTCGTAAGACTGAGGAGCAGTGGTAACACCGGTTGCAATCAGAGAAGTTGAAGTTCTGGCCGGACAATTTGTGACGTCAGGAGCGCAGCTGGTGATGGTATCGACCTTGGTGCTGAAGAGGGTGACAGTCTTGGGGACCGAGGGAGCCTGAGTGGTCTCAGCGGGCGAGGTCTCGTAAGCACCAGAAGAAGCAGGGCTTGAGGCCGAAGACATCTCGACACCAGATGAGATAGCACCAGATGAGACACCAGAAACAACACCTGATGAAGCAGCTGCGGAAGTGGCTTGAGCAGGCGAGGTTTCCTGGGCAGAGGAGGCAGGAGAAGTCTCTTGAGCAGAGGTGACAGGGATCCAGATGTTGCTGGTGCTGACGCCAGTTGAGATCAAAGATGTCTTCTTAGATGCTGGGCAATCAGTGACTTCAGGGGCGCACGAGGTAATGGTGGCAATCTGAGTGCTGAACAGAGTTACGGTGTGAGGAACCTGGACGTGGACAGATGCAGATGAAGTCTCAGCAGGTGAAGCCTCGGAAGGAGAAGCACCTGAAGGCGAAGTCTGAACGGGCGAGGTCTCGTAAGCAGATTCGCCCGAAGGAAGGGCGCCAGTAACTGAAGAGATGATCGAAGCAGTGATGGTCGACTTGGTGGTAATCTCAGTAGCGATAACCGATGGTGCAGTCAAGACTGTGGTGCTGCCAGAAGCGGTGATACTAAAAATGTTAGTCAAACTCAACAAATAGAGAAAAAGGATATTTATTACGTGTGGCCGACAGGGCATGTGGTCAGAGTGCTCTTAACGACGTCGGTGACATAAACGATTGAGTCGGTGGCGGAGCTGGCAGGAACTGATCCTGAAGGAACATCCGAGGTAGGTACTGCAGAGGTCAATGAACCGGTGGCAGCGTTGACAGTCGACGATGAAGGCTGAATATCAATGCTCGAGGGGACAGCGGTGACAATGGCAGGGTTGGAAGGGATAGCCTTTGCACAGATACCGACCATGTAGGACATAGCCTGAGAAACGTTCTCATCCGAACCACCGTAAGCATCGATACACTGGTAAACGCTGTTGATGAAGTCCTCATCTTTGCAGTAGCAGTCTGCATCGGCGTTGTTGGCGCAGTTGGTGTTGTGGAGGTAAGTCTAGAAAATGTTAGTTAGGCTCAAAAAATCGAGGAAAAACAGAAGACTTTCGTTGAGACAAGAGGGGACAGTTCCTGGGCAGTCTGCAGAAGGTGCAGGGCTGGCGGCGGACGAGGTCGAAGCAGATGAAACAGTGCTGTTGCCGTAGAGACCAGCGCTTGATGAGGGGCTCGATCCAGTGCCAACGGGAATGACAGAGCTAGCAGCTGAGGAAGGGAAGTAACCAGTGCCGACAGGGACCGATCCTGAGGGGTAAAGACCAGTACCAACGGGAACGGAAGGAACGACCGACGATTGGGGAGAAACTTCGGTGCTGCTGAGAGTGGAGGGAGCGCTGTTATCACCAGTAGGCTGGGTGGCAGTCTGGTTCTGGTAGCCAACAGGGAAGGGGAGCAGAAGAGGTTCCAGGAACCACGATGCTGCCGCTTGAGACGGCGACGGTGCTGCTGACAGAGTCGACGGACGATGGAGTGGTGGAAGGGAGCTCAACTGAAATGGTCTCGGGGACAACAGAGCCCATCTCAGATGATGTGGTCTCAGGTGAGGCGGTGCTGAAAGACAGGAACTCGGAAGAAGAGTAGACAGCTGAAGAAGATGGAGTGAAGACCGACGAGGGGAGAGAGACACTGGTAGAAGACGAGCCAGAGCCGCAAGCAAAGCCGACGGAGTGGATGTTGAGGTTGCAGTCACCCTTGTTAGAGCTAGTGCTACCAGAGCTGGGCTTGCCGTGAGCGAAAGAGACAGAGATGGCACCACCACACTGAGTGTTCTTGATAATGGAACCACCAGCGCTGCAAGGAACGTTCTGCTTGCAAATAGAGCCATCAGGCATGTTGTAGTGGCAGTCAACGTGAGTGTCGTAGGTGGAGGAGATGTGCATCTCAGAGATGGAGAACTTGTTCTTTTCGCCGCTGCATCCAATGGAAAGGCTACCAGCGCCGTGGTTGGATGAAGAGCCGAAAGAACCCCAAGCAGGGAGCTTACCAGAGACACACTTGCTGTTGAAAGTGCGCTTGGTCAGTTCATCACGCTTCGACTTGATGCTGTTGCAAGTCCAGCCACCAGAGAAGGTGTTAGCACCGAAGCTAGTAACAGGGTGGCCAATGGTAAGGCCAGCCCAGTCGTAGCCTTGGTGTTGCTCTGCTGAACACTGGGTGTCAGCGTTGCTGCAAGTGCTGAACTTGCCGGCATCAATAGCCCATGGGAAATGAGCAGAAGCCTGCTGGGCGGCCAGGCCGGCCACGAGGAGAGTGGCAGATGTGAGCTGCATGGCTCTGGTTTAACGATTAGAGAGAGAAAACTGATTGAATTGACAGGAAGCTGCCGTGGTTTGTTGTATGACAATCAACTAGGGTATAATTTAAAAGACAAGGGAGTAGAGAAAACGAATGACTCTAACTCTCCAACAAAGAAAGAATGGATATGTTGTGAAAGAAGAAAAACCGGATGAGCAGAAACAACCAGCGTTGGAGGGACATGTCCATGCCTTATAGACAGCTCGCCTCCTCAATCTACCTGGTCGCATTGAGTATCGGGTGTAATGTCAGTGTGACCTGGCACGAGCTCGATGCGCCGCTGTCGCTTGTATGGCCATCAGTAGGTCACCAAGCAAGCCATGATCCGAGCATGAGCGCCACCAAGGTCCGGTCTAATGCAGGTACCAAGTCATAGAACACGGGGCAGGCTGCAGCCGGCGTTTCATGTGGAGGTGTCCAAGAAGCGGGAGATCGTTCACCGGAGAAGGTCTTCCTCGTGGCCATGGTCGCGATTCGTTTCAAGCTGAGCCGAATCCGTCTGTCGCGTAGTCCGCATGTCTTTCTCTGGAAGTCCTTCAATCAAGGGAAATGATGATAGACCTCTTTACCATCAATTTCCGGAAGACAACATCCTTGGCTAGGGCAAATCATCCGCTGCTATTTGTGTCGCAGGCGAATAGTTGTACAAACCTGCCGGTGGATCTAGAGATGATGATTTCCACTGCACACCTGCTAAATACCTGTGTTCCCTCATGGTATTAGATGCAGTCAGAATAAGAGTATAACAGGCATGCATTTCTATCAACGGCCCTGCAAGCTGCAAAGATGAGCTGCGATTCGTCGACCGTTGCACAGCGAAACGCCCAAAAGTTCGCTGTTGGTCCAAGCTTGAGCGCCTCACAGTCGAGCGCTTGCCATTTGCTGCATCGTATTGGTGACTTCACCTTGATTACTTCCTCGCTCCATCGAGAAGCTTGTACTGTGGCAGTGCTTCTTCGCGTCTTGCACCGAAAGCGCTTGGCTACTGTGTTCGATGGCTAACCACGAGGTATATCGATTGGTACAAGGGCTTGTGGGCCGAAGAGACCCTTTCTGGATCAAGCGAGCGTCGGCTGCTGCAGATCAGGGGCTTCCTCTGTTTACCTTGATTGCACTCAAGTTTACCCGATATGCGAACAGCCAGTCCCATTGCAGAGAGTCTGGCATAATACGAGCCATGGTGAAATTCGTCTGCTATGTGCTGGGTACAACCTTCCTACAGTGTTTGAGGTTTGTTCTCCGCTGACCGTTGAGCGAAGAACGTTGGAGGCGTCCTTGCCCGAAACGCTGGCTTCTTGCAGACCCCGCTCAGCACTGGTTCCTGAAACACACAGTTCCGAACCTGAGAGCACTCTCGAATCAGGAAGGCAAGAGAATGCCCTCATCGTTCTCTGCGTCAAGATTCGGAGGAAAGAAAGGCTTTCGGCACAGCTCAGGGCAAGTGTGAATCGCGTACTATTTCCAAATCATTCGAAACATTAGGGCGATCTTGACAAAGCCTCTACCTGCTGACTACAGCACCAGACCGGCACATGTTGACATAGACACCCAGATTCAGCTTCAAAGTGTCTGCTATCTCGGGATTAAGCCAATGGAATCACTCAATCTTCATCCGTCTTGGATGCCCCTAAAGACTCGGCGTCAAATCTCTCGAGTCTTACTAACCATTTACCCTCATCTGCATGAGCTGCATTCTTCAGCATTCGGCCGAACCAATCTATTGGTCGCTTAGATCTTCTGAATCACCTCGCATCGCGCATCTTCGCATTCCAGGTCTTCCGCCAATACTTCCTCCATTAGGTCGATTGAGCAGTGGCATCACCCCACGTATCAGGTTCACGATGATCCGCATGGGCAGGTGCGTGGATCCATGCATCTCCCGCCATTCCGCTTTTCCCGACTACTTCTACTTTTGTAAAGCTCTGGCCATATCCGACTGCTACCCATCGATGGCTTTCAACTTTGGTAGAGAAAGCATCTAAATCTTGCCCTAGTCGACCTCGTCGTGAGCAAGCGACCTTACTCGTACTTTGGCCCAGGAGAGGTGCAAGCCACACACTTGTCAGAACGCATCGAACGCCAGAACATACCACACTGAGGAGCGAAAGCCTCCGGCCAAGGACAGACTTTTGTCAGTGGTGTTCATCACTGACGCACTTCGTTTCACCATACTTCAATCTCGCACCGACTAAGGTATCGTTGAGGCAGCCTCACAACACCGGGGGCTTCGTTCTTGATCAGCAGTGCACTTTTGCCACGCTACTATCCTGGTTGACAGATGAACGACAGCAGATTCTGGATGGTTCGAAACTGGACAGCCGCGGATGCCGCCATCCAAGCAATGAGGTCAGAGCCATATGGACGGTACACTAGCTGTCTGATACGCCGTCGTTGTCTCGCACAAACACTTCTTCGCTATCGGATTGCAGAAGCATCAGATCACTGCATGGTAAAAGTATAGAATCCCTTGTGTCATCTCGAGTCTTTGTCGCCATTCGACTGTTGAGGTTTAGACAAAGGCATGTCAGCACCATTGAAATGCTTGAAGAGACTTTTAACATACGAACCAGGCGAAGGAAGAGCTCGCTTGGTCAGACAAGCATCTCAAGAGCACACCAATGCCTAATAATAGATTGCTTGCAGCCCTTGACTTCACGGAATATGAGGACTCTGCTTCGTTGGTTGAGTTGCTGTACATATCGGGTTATCAGACACGCCGGCTGGCATGAGGACTTTATTCGTACCAGGGGACCATCACCGCTGACAACTGGAAGATGACTCTCGATCGTACCAGGCCGCAACAATGCTTTTGACAGAGATCTAGCAACCCTTCTTACCGACTGGCTTCTAAGCAACCAAGATGCGGTAGGGACATTCTGCGCTATCCACAGAGGAACCGAGACCATTTATCACACCTCGGAAAGTCACAAACACGCCTCGCGGAGCTGCCTTGCTGGATATGATACCTGGAGAGCCGAAGGACCTTGACCTGCGAATAGGTGTGAGACTTTAAATGAATGCTCAAAGCTTGCCAAACACGACCTGACTGGCAAATGTGAGAGAGACTGTTCTCGAAGGCAGGTAGCCGGAGTCCACCGTGTGTGGATGAAAGGTGTCTGACCACTTTCGACCATTTCCATCTTTGCTAAGAATCTCATGGGAGGAAGTCCAGACTTGAAACAGCTGTAAGGTTCAAGAAACAGCTACGTGACTGAAGTTTCCGATACGAGAATGACCATCTCCCACAACTTGATGGCTGCACTCTTGGCAGGCATACTCATCTGATCTCTATAGTCTCGGGTAGGTTGTTTCTTCTTTTATCTTTCCTTGTTGCCCTCTCTTTACTCGTTATTGCCGCTACAAAAAAGTCGAATTGTTTCTCACTCTCTTTGCTTATTCTTCTTTGACGTGGCTGCCCAACTTCAGCTGTGCGTCTTTTCCCAAAGCACAAACTTAACCATACCCTTCCTCTCTTCCTTTCCTGACTTCTTTACTTCCAATCTCTTTCTTGTTTTGTTCTCGGTGTCCTTTACTCACTCTTCGGCTGCCTTACGTCCACATAGCCATCGCTTCTTCGATCTGGCTGGATGGTATGCTGGTGATATCAGATATACTGTATGCTTCTATTTAGATTATAATCTGGTTTCAATAGGCATCCGATCCGTCTATTCACGTATCCGATCTGTAGCACGGATCTTAGATAGAAGTCAAAGTATAGCATAGAGCAAAGATCATTGACCTGATTGGAAGTCATCGGGCAATCGTAAAGTGTTCCCAAGATCGATTTGGGCACGTGTTGGTAGAGTGACCCTGCTCTTGCCTATGATCTACCTCTTATACAGGTCTACGATTTTGTTCACAACCGCACTGCATTTAAACATCTGGAGTGGCTTCGAAGCAATCTAGCATGGTCATCACGATTGATGTACACGCGGGTGGTTGTCACAATCCTTGTTCTACTACCGTCAAGCCTAAGAAGATCGAACGGCTCGTCCGATCCTCGCGCATTAAGATACGAGCGAGGAACGGAAAAAAGAAGAGCCAATGGATTCATGCAATTTCTATCAATTTTCTTTTCTCCCTGCAGAAATGATGAAACCAACCAAACTACTGGACTTCGTGATCTCAGAGTATCAAATCCAGCTCTTCTCGTAACCATGAACAGGAAAGAAAAAGCAATGTCCGCCCAACACAACAAGCCTCCGTGCTATGAAAGAAACGCCGCCGCTGCGTACACCAATATCATTATGAGGAATGAAGAAAGAAAACAAAAGGTGCAGTAATGTAAAACAAGAAACGAGTGTTTAGCACCAACAAGTCAAGATGCTCATCTGCGTTGACTGCTATTGCGACCAGCATCAATGCTGCTTCTAAAGCTGTCGACACTAGCTCGCATGGATGAATGACTGCTGCTCCTGCGGCGTCGACGTCTAGTCTCGTCGGGATCTAAGGGGTTAAGTCCGGACACACGAGCAAAGAGATTGAGCACATCTGTCAAGCTGACGACACCGTTCAGATGACCACCGAGAGTGGCTCCTGGAAGCGTCGATGCTGATACGGACACATTGGGCTGGGCCGGCGTGTATGGTGGGCCTGCGGTAGTCGACGAGAGCTGGGAGAGCATGGGGGTGGGGCCNGTGACCGAGGGACCAAGGTGGGGAGAGGCAGGGATGGAAGAAGAGGGTGAAGGGGCTTCGACCATCCACATGCGATGAGAACGAGTTGCGACAAGCTTTGCGACGGTATGGGCGAGAGTGCTAGTGGGGTTGACGTGGAAGACAGGGTAAGAGTCTTGGCCGTCATTCATACCACGCTCAGAAAGGATGACAGTAATGAAGTGGATGCAGGAAGAGTCGAGAAGAGGGAGGGCCGAGGTGTTGGTAAGAAGCTTGATGTCGACGTGCGAGATGTTACCAATGACGTTCTTGTGGTTGTCAAGCACAGGTAGCGAGGTGATGCCTTCGCTGTGCATAAGGAGCAGAGCGTCCTTAAGTGGACGATCGCCGTTGATGGATATGACTGAGTGACTGCCCAGATCAAGCTCTTTCAGCGAACGGTTGTGCAGCTGCTCGACGGGGTGAAAGCTGGCACGGTTCTCCCACAAGAATCGCACCAGTCTCAATTGACTCAATATGCCCACAACATCTTCCGAACCAGGTGCGCGAACGATGATGCGATGGCAGCCACCACCAAAGATCTCGACGGCACGAGCTAGTGTGGCCGAGGCCTCACAGAAAGCAGGCGACTCTTTACGGCCGATTAGGTTCTTAACAGTTCCAAGCTCTACGGGTTGGTTTGTGCGTGCGCGAGAGACAATCTTATCAACTTGGTCGAGGTCTGAGTCTTGAGGACGAGCGAGGCCAGTAACGAGGAGGAGATAGGCGTTGAGGTCGTCGTAGTCGAACTGACCAATGGCTTGGCGGGTCGAGGAAGATTCACGGATGAGGATGACATTGGGCGCTCCAGATTCGATCAGAAGCNNTAGAGAAACATCAGACAAAGCTTCATTCGAGGTTGGAATATGGTGGAGTACCTTGGTGGCAGCCTCAATGGTGCTGTCGACCTCGACGAAGCGCACCTCGTCAGGCACCAGGATCTCTTCTAGAGTGATGCTACGCCAGTCGCGTCCAGCAAACTTAGGAAGGGCATCGTCCTTGCGGCCAACAGGAGGATTGTTAATCAAATCCTGGATGGCCTGCTGCGATAACGAGGGATTGCGCTGGCGTGGGGAGTTGGGAATGCCTCGCTCGCTGAATGACTGGCGGTGCGACGATGACATGTCTCTGCTGTCTCTCCTGCCGAGCGGAGAACGTAACGGACTCGGAGACCCGACGCTGGAGAGTTTGAGCGATGGCGATGCTGCGGCTGTATCTATATTCTGAACCATGTTTGGAAAGAGGGTTGGATAATAAGGAAGGAGACCCCCACCTCTGCTTTTACCTTGTTGCGTCAATTGCTCCTTCCCCACATTCGGCCCGCCTTTTGACATTCGCTTGACATTCAGGGCTCTGGGGCACATGAAACAATCGCATCAAGATTAGATATCAAGCTATTATTGATACATGACAATCAAGCTACATTCAAGCCATCCCTCCATATTGAATCCTTTCGCATCAGCAAATCTTCGAGTGGACATTTCCTCCCTGATATGTTTCCTCCGCACTGTCCATGATCACAGTGCCTTCTGTAACCATCCTTCCTCATTCAACATTGTCGTGTTTCTATCCGCATCTCTTCATCTCATCCTCGCTAGGCCCATGCTCGTGGTATCTCGAACACATACCCTTCAGCCACGGCTTGCAAGCCCCCACATCCCCCNNTCCTAGGGCAGGCGTTCTGCCAGCACCAGCACATCCACAGCAGAAGGCTCTTTCGCAAATCTCGCATTTCTCGCAGCTGATGTTGGGTGTGAGTATCTCCCTGCAAACTTCACAAGCCTTCGTCTTCTGCCAGCTGATGGGGCGCCATGGTGCCAATGAGTGTCTGTCTAGCGATTCAAGGCCAGGTCGCTTGAGCTTGACGACCAGTTCTCGGAGAAAGCGCGGGTGCCATTCGTCTTTGTGGCTCTCGAGCAACTTGTCTGTTTTCTTGTACGCGAACAGATCGAGAATTAGCTTGCGCATGGGGGCATTGTCACGGATCGTATCGTAAAGGATCCATGTGTCTGATGGGGTAGGTACGGAGTTGGTACTTTCTGACAGTCGTGCGATCGTGTCGACGATGTGATTGCAGAGTGTGGTTGTCATCAGCTTGTCCGAGAGCGCATACAGGTCGAGTAGTAGGAAATACTTGGGAGAGCCGGCTGGATTGCGCAGGTCGCCATCTGTATGCGTGACGTGCTGTGGCAGTCCTGGACCTGGGAACCCAGTCATTGCATCCATGGCACGTAACCGATGATGTCTTGGTTCAACATGGCAGTTCGTAGATGTAGGCGTGGTAAGCGAACCCGTGTACAGCCACCACAAGAACCATTCGAAGATCTCTGGCTTCTCCTCGGGAAGATGCACGGTTTGGTCAAGACCCTCCGCAAATGCGCCATTGAGGGCGGCCGAGAAGAACGGTGACTCGGCTGTCAGAAGGTCTTTGTGGATTGTGTAGGTTGTTTGTCCTTGGCCACGTGCTAATGAGTCTGGCGCGTGCTGTCCGCCGACGACGATGGTTGCGACCTCGTGAAAGCTCTTAAAGTTCGTTCGAATGTTACCTCGCGCTGTAGGATGGAGGGGTGTGGGTGCATAGCGCACTCCAGTCCCGCGCAGAGGTGTGTCTGCCATGACTGATGTAGAGTTAGACCCAGCTGTTGCCATTGGCCTTGTGTGGTTATCGATTGGGTATTGATATTGATTGTGCGTCAGTCCTTCGAGCATTCAACGACGTAAAAGTATGTAAAATATTTCTCTGCCGAGGTGGGCAGCTGAGTTAGTCGAGAAGTAAAGTAGAACAAACGAGTGTGAGCTGTCCCGAGTGTGCCAACGCCAGCAAACCCGAAACAAACTGTGATCGATCAGGAGTGTGATCTGCTGAGCAAACGATCAGGCAGATCTCCCACATGTGAAAACCTCTTTTAAATCAACCACGACTGGTGCCCATGACTTACTGTCGCATGCGTTGTGTGCTTTGTTCACCAAATCCCATGTTTGCTCAATTGTCCGAAAGCGGAAATCTCCTGAAAGTCGTCCCAGACATGTGCCCAGCAATGCGACTGGAGCGACAATTTGCGATGGAATATAATTGTTCTCCATGTTTGGATATCATATACTGCGTATTCTGTCAACAGTTGTAGATTTGTTCATCATCGTCATGGTCGTCAGTCGATATCTAAATCTTGTATTACTGACATCCTATCACAAATCACCGTGCGATGTTGGAAAACCGGGTGCTAGGTGGACAATGGCTTGTGGCATTGGAATGTGTCGTACCTGCTTCTCCCTGTTGCGGCAACCCGAATCTGGCCAACAGCGTGCCTCTACTAAAAATACATTCCAAGTCTGCCCCTTGACTGGTCCTATCGTCAACTTTTTCATGCCAATCCCGCTCCACTGACGGATGCGGCCTGGTGGTCGTTTCGCCAGAAAATTCGTTTCGTTTCGCGTTTACTTTTGACCCGCCTGAACCTGGCCTGTTTGACAAATTAGCTTCTTATTCGACTACTTTTGCGAAATTCACGTTACTGACCAAGACGAGAGTAGAGCATGAAGAGCGCCATCTGGTTGCACTCTTGAGTTCCGGTAATGGTCACAAGGCGCTCATTGCTGTTGTCCTGAGGCTCGTTGATCTTGATGACACTTCCACTAAGCTGGCGGATCTCATTAATCTTTGCACCACCCTTTCCGATGATAGCGCCGACCATGTCGTTGGGGATGAAGATCTGCTGAGTCAGAGGCTGGCCAGGCACCATACCTTGCATGGGCTGCTGAGGAGGTCCTGCGTGTGCAGCAGTTGCTGCGGCGGCGGGCTGAGCAGGGTAGGCAGCGGCATGAGGAGCTGGAGCGTGAGGGCCTGCGCCAACGTACGGTTGTCTGGGCGATGCAGCAGGGTAGTGAACAGGTGCTTGAGGATGCACGGGAGTAGGTGCGCCGCCGTAAGGGTGTTGCTGTTGCATACCATAGCCAGCCGGNGGAGGACCGCGCTGGGTAGGAGGTTGGCGGCGGAAGTGGTCTGGGGGTCCCCATTGTCCACCAGCAGGCTGAGGAACATAAGGAACGACCTGCATACCACCAGGCACAACACCAGCAGGAGCGCCACTGCGAGTAGCGTAGGCCGAAGCTGCAGGGCCTCCGAAGCGCTCGGTCAGCTGCTCAACGAGGGTGCTGCCGACGTAGTAGGTAGCGATGTGAACGGCGTCTGCCACACCGAGGACAACAAGCGAGCGCTCGGTCGACAAAGGCAGACAAGAATCAGATGCGTTCAAGCGAGCACCAGAAGCTTCTTGAATCTCGCGAATTCTGACACCTCCTTTGCCTATGATTGAGCCGATCAGAATGTGCGGGATGAGTAGACGCAGAGGGTAGGTCTTGGACTGAGGAGTCGAGGGTGCTTCGAGGGGTTCGTTGTTCAGCGTGCGGATGATAAGGCCAAAAGCCNNTGGCAGCTTGTTAGTCAAAACTCAGCAAATGATTTGCATAAACACTACCTTTGCAACAGCATCGACCAGACCGCTGACGGTCAATACACGCTCGACAGCGCCGCGCGAGTAGTCACTGACAGTGCATTTAGCTCCACTCATGCGGCGGATTTGAGTCACGTTCTCTCCGCCCTTTCCAATAACTGTTGCAGCCTCAGCGCTCGAGATGATGGCTCTGATGTGCAGCCAGTTACTCTCATCTTGTTGTTGTGCTGAATATTGATCTTGACCACCAGCAGATGCGCCGTTGGCGGCAGTAGATTGAACGGGCTGTGTCTCGAGGACTTGAGTGGCTGAAGGCATTCCAGCTGGGGGAGCGTCAAGTACGACTGTGTCTCCATGCGAGTCAGCAGGGCCTTCGTTGGATCCTGCATCTGCAGCGACAGCAGCGGGAGCAGCAGTCTCGGGTTCGGGCTTGACGTCGGCTGCAGAGGGCGATGCAGGAGCGGCCTCTTGGTCAGGCTCTTCGTCCTTGACCTTGTCGAGAGCAGGTCTCTTAGCATCAGGTTGGTCGGTAGGTCCGTTGGGTGATGAGGGCTCTTCGAGAGGGCGCTTTTGCGAAGGCGCAGTTGCGGGAGCTGGGGAAGTCGACATGGCTGGTTGTGAATCAAGCGTGTACAACAATAGTCACGCTACGAGTGGATTGTGCGAGAATCTTGTTCTGTATAGGTCCTTCTATTCGCGTCTTTTACGTACACTTTGGGGGAGTGTGCTGGTGTCCAAAGAAAACGGGATCGGGATGGACAGGGCGAAGGGCGATCGAGATGGGGATCGTGCAGAACTGGTATAAGAAGCGGAAGGTGGTAGTGCTGGTGAGTGCGGGTGATGAGTGTGCACGGAAGAGATGTCGGCTAGTCAAACTTGACAATAGCTGGTATCTGGGAAGCTGGTGCTGCGAGATTTGGCGAAAGGCTGTGGGCAGTGTGCAGCGAGTATAACAACACTCTGGATGGGTGGTGTAGAGAAGCTTGAGAGGAACGCGCCCGAAGAGAACAACTAAGGGGACCCTTGCGCAACTGAATCGACAGAGAAGGAGAGAAAAGGTCCTGCCAAACCTGTGTGCTGCGCTTGAAGCTGCTGCGATGGCGATGGGTTTGAGATGATAAGACGATGGAGTGCTGCAAAGCGTAGGGGTTCGAGGAGACTCATCAGAAGCAGGAGCGCGCAACGGTGGCAGCAACGAATGAGCTCGGTGAAAGTCTGGGCGTGGACCGTGCTTCCGTTCGTTGGCTCACGTTGGCTCAGGGCCCTCTGCCATTCACTTCTACTTCACTATTTGACACCTCCTGACCAACCAGACGATCACTTTGAGGTAGCACAACATTGTTTGTGTGTCAGGACCATAATGCAGTTTCCCGCCTCTTCATCTCAAATCCACGCATTGGACTGACACTACTACTATGGTTGAAACCTGAAGCTGTTAGCGAGCATGACCTAGACTGCGCCCAACCTAGCCGCTAACAGCCAATTCGGCAGAGGTAGAGCAGCATGTTCCATACCTGTAAGTTTTCATACTTCAGCTGAGCAGGTACGCAAGATTCAAAATCAAGACAAACATCGGATATTCAGAGCGGCATTTGTCGTCTGGAGAGGCATTTGAACGGCGACAACATTCCGGATCTCGACGCAGCAAGCGACTGATCACTCGGGATGTCGTGCATAAGTCGAATGATGGACGATCAAATCGAGGGGTAACATCTGTGGGCGTCTCGAGATATCATGATTCTTGGCATGGAGGATCTCCTGATGCTCGTCCTCATATCGTCAACAGAGAAAGTCCATAGGTTGTTATATATGGAGGTTGTTCTTCGCAGGGGCATACTCTTAAAACATTGCAAAGCAACAAACACACAGCAAAGCATAAATTCAAAGTAATGGCAGCAGATATTGGGCTTTGGCAAATGATGCAAGAGCCAAAGACTCCCAGAACGACATCTAGAAAAGACTACATCTCGGCACTCTGGTCTGAATACAAGAGTAAGTAAGTTCGAATAGTATGTATGAGTGTATACTAACTGTAACAAGGAGAGCAATCAGACAGAGTGTTAGGCCATATGGTTGGCGACATGGCTGAACAGAGTCCAGCCGAGCAGCAACGACCTCGTCGACCATCCTTGACCAGAATGCCAGCGATGAGTCGCAGCAATTCGATTGATTCTTCAGTCACAAACGAAGCTACAACAGAGGCTCACGTTATGGCCTCACCATCTTCACCAGCAGGAGCAGAGCAGCCGAGAAGAGAGAGCTGGTGGAGGCGACCACCTTCCAGTTCAAAGGACATGGAAAGCTTCATTCATATGGCGTTTGCAGTGTCTTAAGGGTTGGACGGTGTGATGTTACGACATTGATGATTTACGACTTCTTTATTGTGGACGGACTTTTGCATGGAAAATGGCTGGTACGACCTGGAGTTGTATTGTGTAATATGGCGTTCTTGACAAGAATGACAAACCTGAACATTTGGTATTCGCAATGTCGCTGTGATTTTGGACCTGGTGATTGTGGCTCGAAAAGTCTATATCCATGACAGTGGTTAAATGGACGTCGAAGTGATCAGAAGGTTTTGGTGTGCTTGGCAGGTGGAAAGCGAACGTCACATTTCCGAATCATAATATTCCCCGTCGACCTTGATCCTTACGCTTCCCGAGTATCACATACCAGCTGGAGTCAGTGTTGCCGTCTACTACTACACTCTGAGGTGATTTGGTTCATCTTAGCCTACGCAACTCGGATCTTTTGCCTGCCTATCCGCATCCGCGCACTCGCCCTCGCCATAGCCCCCCCGCCGCTCTCGCAGATTTATCGACAATTCAACTTATTGCAGCCCGTGGCTTTGATTAGTACCATGGCTCAACCTACCCAACTCGCATGTACGCCGCCTTGCCAATTCCCGATCCGACGCAAGACACGGCTGACACGTCCCAGATCGCACGGCTAGAGGTGTTGGCATCTTGAATGCTGCGCCTGCATATGAAGCGCTCCCAGGCTTCACGCGGCCAGAGGGCAACCTCCGCTGCTGTGTCTACTCGCCCGACGGCCGCTTCTTCGCCTGGGCTTCTCCTGACCAGTAAGTCTCTTGCTTCTTTCAATTGTCCTGTCCGCGCTGACAGATCGTCCAGGNNGTGACTGTGGTCGACGCAGCCCAGGGCAACACGGTCGCGACTCTGCCCACCCAGAACGTCTTCGAACTGGGCTTCTCCCCCCTCGGTACCTACATCATTACCTGGCAGAGACCCACCAAGGACGAGAACGGTGATGCTGTCAAGAACCTCAAGGTCTGGCGCACCCTCGACGCCGACGCCGACCGCCAAGTCGTTGGCCAGTTCGTGCAGAAGAACCAGACTGGCTGGAACTTGCAATACACTCTGGATGAGGAGTTCTGTGCCCGTGCCGTCACCAACGAGGTGCACTTCTACAAGACATCGGATCTAGGCACTGTTCATAACAAGCTACGCGTCGAGGGTGTTCAAGACTTTGCTCTGTCCAAGGGACGCAATGCCAACATTGCCGTCTTTGTGCCAGAGCGCAAGGGCATGCCTGCTCAGGTCAAGGTCTTCAACGTCCCCCACTTCGCTTCGCCTGTCTCGCAGAAGACCTTCTTCAAGGCCGACAAAGTCCAACTCAAGTGGAACAACGAGGGTACCAGCTTGATCGTCCTGGCCCAGACCGATGTCGACAAGACCAACAAGAGTTACTACGGCGAGACCAACATGTACATTCTTAGCTCCAGCGGAGCCTTTGACTCGCGCATCACCCTGGACAAGGACGGTCCGATTCACGATGTCTCGTGGTCTCCCAACTCCAAGGAATTCGGTGTCGTCTATGGCTACATGCCTGCTAAGACAACCATCTTCAACCAGCGTGCCATTCCTCAGCACAGCTTCAACCTTGGTCCTCGCAACACAATTATTTTCTCTCCTCATGGTCGCTTCGTTATTGTCGCTGGTTTCGGCAACTTGGCTGGTACCATGGACATCTACGATATGGAGAAGAACTACCAAAAGGTCTCAACCATTGAGGCCAGCAACGCCAGTATCTGTGAGTGGTCTCCTGATGGCCAGCACATTCTTACCGCCACTACCAGCCCTCGTCTGCGTGTTGACAACGGCATTCGTATGTGGCACGTTTCAGGTTCATTCATGTACAACGAGGAGATGAACGAGCTGTACCACGTTACTTGGCGCCCCGAGTCGGTTGAGAAGCACCCTCTCGGCAACCCCCTTGTAAACGTCCCTGCTCCTCACTCCTCTGCTGCTGCCCACCTTGCCACTAAGAAGGCCCCCTCTAAGCCTATGGGTGCTTACAGACCTCCCGGTGCTCGTGGATCATCGACTCCGTTGCACTTCAAGCGCGAGGATGAAGGTGGTGCTGCCTTTATCAACCAGGGCATCTCTTCCGCTAACATCGGTGCTAACGGCTTCGGATCCCGCCCTAGAAGACGCGAGGTTCCCGGTGCCGAAACTGCCGACTCTTCTGCTTCCGGCGCCGCTCCTGGCGGTGGTGTCAGTCTTGCTGGCGCCGATGGTGACGAGAACCTTAGCAAGGCTGCTCTGAAGAACAAGAAGAAGAGAGAGGCGAAGAAGGCCAAGGAGGCTGAGGCCAAGGCTGCCGGTCTCGCCCCTGAGGCCAACGGTGATGGTCAGCAGCGCAGAGAGCGCAGCAGATCAAAGTCTGGTCAACAGGGTCCTGCACGCGGCCAGTCTCACCGTGGTGATGCCNCCGCAACCCCCGCTAAGCAGGCACCCGCCCCTGCCGCTGCTCCTGAGGTCACCGTCAGCAGCCCGGCCGTCGAGTCCAGCCAGGACAAGAAGGTCCGTGCTCTGTTGAAGAAGCTGCGCGCTATTGACGATTTGAAAATGCGCCAGGCTGGCGGTGAGAAGTTGGAGAACACCCAAGTATCCAAGATCTCAACTGAGGAGGGTGTTCGCAAAGAACTCTCTGCTCTTGGCTACAACGAGTAGATGGATGAGAGACTAAAGAAGAACGCCGCCTTATGCATAACACAGGAAAGTTCAAAAAGTTTAAAATCTTTGTTGACGATGGAAATGCGAAAATGATTCTTCTCATCTTCTGTCGATGATGCTCTCTGCAGCCTATTGTATTCATGTGAAATGCCTTGTTTGGCTATAAACCCAGGATCAGGAAGGATCATGTCTTTGTTGTTATCTACAATGTTCTCTTTTGTTTCCTTAACCGAACATGGAGCTGACCCATGGCTTCCACCACTTCTCTACACCCTCGGGGTAATTCCACCCATCCCAGTCGTAGTTGCCCAATGCCCAAGTATCACCCACACCCTGCGCACCACTTCTAATCCTATAACTTCCCGCCAAACTCCACATGGCCCACGAAACATTATTCTGCAACGTAAAGTCCTTGAGACAATTCATCAATGTATCGTTAAACAGCGTGACATCCTGCGCAGCCCCAAACTCTGAGATAATAACCGGGGTTTGTCGGACTGCAGGCGAGCAATTTTTAGTAATGTTGCAGGCGGGAGGAGGTGTCATGCCGATAGCATTGAAGCCCACGGTGTAGAGTTCTGCAAACACGATGGGGCAGGAGCCTGTATCTAGGTCTTCGGACATGCTGTATAAGTGCAGTTCGTAGACTACTTTGTTGGACCAGGGGTGTGAGGCTAGATCGAAGATTATGGGGTCGCGGCGTAGGCCATCGCGGATAGCATCGCATTTGTAGCAGGGTGCTGTGTTGAGATTCTTGCCTTGGGTCAGAGCGGAGAGGTCTTGATCATATTGCATCCCTGACCAAGTCACCAGCAAATCTGGGTTTGCGGAGTGAATGGCATCAGTAGCTGCTGTGTAGTTTCCAACCAGAGTTACCCAATTGTAGCCTAGAGAAGAAGTTGGAGAAGTCTCATTGATGGCTCTGCGAAGTTCGTTGCGCAGAGACATGGAGACTACGTTGTTGTGCTTGGAGGCCCAGGTTGCTACGTATTGGAGCCCGCGCTTCCAGTTCGCGACGGGGAAGTTGTAGTCGTCGAACCAGGCGTTGCCGTCTGTGTTGTTGCAGCACCATTGGGCTTTGCCGACGTGCACGTCAGGGTGGATGTAGATGTTCTTAGACAGGGCGACTTTGGCAATGTGGTCCCAGATTTCGAAACGGGTGGTGTCTTTGTTGAAGGTCGGGTTCTTGGCTATGATCTCGTTGGTCACTTTTGTTCTTTGGTGTAGTGTCAGTATTTGAATCTTTTCTAGCAGATGTTATGTCTTACCCNNATTTTCATAACCAAGACCATTTATCATGGTGATCTCCAAGCCAATGTCTGAACCATTTCGTTCATAGATTTGGTCAATCATCTCAATGGCATATGTCAAGCGGATGAAGTTGAATCCTACACTCTGCACTCGCGACAGAATGTCCTCGATTGATGCCCATTCCAGGCCTTCAGGAACCATGGTCTCGCCGCTACCGGGCCAGTTGACACCGGCAAAGGTCACTGCCTCGCCCTTTGTGTTGACAATATCGCGCCCTTGTGTGCTGAACGGACCATAAGGCCATGATGAAGATGCGTTCGTCGTTTCCTGACGTCCATAGACAAAAGAAGAAACATCTCTTTCCGGCAGCAATGCGCCAGAGACCTCTACACACAAGGTGGAGACACTGACGATTGCAGCAAACAATCGCGTAGACAGAAACATGACTTGCTAAGCGCTCTCTACTTCGACTTACCTTTCGTCCTTGAGGAGACACCCAATATACTTATACCCAAGCATATTCGCCTGATCTCTCATGCCTTACTCTACCTTGCCTCTCGATTCAAACTCGTCGGTCAAATTGTCCTATACCCCTCTTTGTATATTAGCCGAACGCGAGAGATCTGCATCCTTCAATTGCTTGGCTGCGCATGTTGACAAAGATGTTGCAGCAGGAAGCGTAAGGTTTACAAAACTCGGTGGCTGAGTCTTGCAGATGCTGTCATGGTTTGTGGAAGCAAGGTTTGATCTCGGCAACAGATGACCCGTCGAAGCGAGGGATTCACGTGGGATGAAAATCCGATACCTTGGACTTGGGTGGAGGTACTCATGGACTCGTCCTGGATGATTTCAGACAACAAGATAGTTACTAGAATTCTAAGGTGTATGCGTCAAACGGTGCGAATTCGGAAAAAATGAGTCGTCCTGGTGAACTCCTTATTATGCAAGGACCACTGTATGGTACGTTTGATCAGTGAACAGTGAAAACAAAGGATGTCAAGTATTGAGCTACTAACGACACCACAACAGAGCACTGCCAAAGCAAGCAACAACAAGCAGGAAAACATCCATATCCTAGATCATATCCTTACATCGTATATAGGCACAAAAGTTGGTTTGAAGAGGGCACGGCGTGAGCTGATAAGGAGACAGGGTGATATCATCAGCAGCATGATATGATCAAAAGAGCCATCGATTCTTAACATATATAAATAGCAAAGCTCAGATGATAATAGACAAGTCAGTAATGTATACAATCAGACAGCGATTCTTTGTCCCATGCTGCTGAGAGGTAGCTCGTCAACCACCAACCCATCAAGACCTTGATCTGCGACCCGTGGCGTCTTGACCAATCGGTCTGCCATACGATCAGGCACGAGATCTGGAGTCACCGCTCTCAGCTCAGGCGTCCTTGAAAGTCTATCTGACATGCGGTCTGGTACGAGTTCTGGCGTGATGGGTCGCTGAACTGGTGTGTTCACGGACAGCTTGGCGTGCGCAGGAGAAGGAGAAGGCGGGAGTCTATCAGCCATTCTGTCCAGCACAGGTTCAGGCGTGACTGGTCGTTGTGAGTCTGCGTCTGTGTTGTGTAGCGATAGTGTTTTGCTTGTACTGTCGAGAGATGTGGGAGAGGTTGGTGTGGAGCTCGAAGTGATCACGAATGGTGACGATGATTTGGGTGAGCGAGGACTATCCAGCTTTTCGATGATTGAGTCACGCTTCGAAGTGGTGATGCTGATGTCAGGCAGAACTTGATTCCAGCCTTGTGTCGAGGCGACCTGCTCAATCGACTTGAAATACNNTGGTGTATTGTTAGCATGCTGCCGTGTTCAAGTAAGGAACCCATATACCTTAACAGTCTTGACTTGCAACTCCAGTGTGGCATCGTCATCTGCGACGATCATTGCATGCGGGTGCATTTGTAGACTTGACAGAGTCCACATATGGTTGACACCACCTTCGATACATTTCTGAAGCGCGAGTGCTTTGTGTGAGCCAGTGATTATAATGATCACCTCTCTTGCGTCCATTACTGTCTGCACACCGACGGTCAACGCCATACGAGGCACTTTGGCAATGTCTCCACCGAAGAATCTGGAGTTTGCAACAATAGTATCGTAAGCAAGCGTCTTGACTCTAGTACGAGATGCAAGACTGGATCCAGGCTCGTTGAAAGCGATGTGACCATCAGGACCAATACCGCCCAAGAAGAGTTCGATGCCGCCTGCACGCTTGATCTTTTCTTCGTAGGCGATACAGTCGGCCTCCAAATCATGGGCGTTGCCATTCAGAATGTTTATATTCGATGGCAGTATGTCGATATGTGAGAAGAAGTGTCGGTACATGAAGCTGTGGTATGACTCTGGGTGCTCGCGAGGGAGGCCGACGTATTCGTCNCTACAAGGTAGAACAAGCTTAGCTCCAAGTTTTCCTATTGATCACAAAGACATCACTTGTGTGGAACTCACCATGTTGAAGGTCACTACATCACGGAAAGAGATATCGCCATTCTTGTGATGCCTGACCAGATTCTTATATACACCTTCAGGAGAACTGCCTGTAGGTAGACCAAGCACAAATGGCTTGCTTGGAGTTGGACCGAAGGCCTTGATACGATCTNNAGCAGAATTAGAATTTGTGCGACTTGCCAGGAAGGTCTGCTACTAACCAATGATATAGCTCGCAATGAATGCGGAAGCCGTGTCCTTGTCGTCTCGGATGATAAGACGCATCTTTGTGGATAAGAATGATAGCTCTTGACAAGGTATATCTCTGGAGGTTGGGCTGGGACAAAGGAACTACCAGGGCGGACCTGGGATTATATTGAACCAAAAGAAACACCACAAGCAACCTACCTACATCATCGAGTCGCTGGGTTTGACAAGCACACATGTCAAGCTGGACCATTATCACTGGCCGATCGACTGTCACGGTTTCATCAATCCTCAGGTCGAGGACCATGAGGGTCACCTCGATGAGAATGCTACGCAAAGAAGGATTCAGGACATCTTTACGATGAGATAAGGTTCTGGAACAATGATCTCAGGTAGTCGAGGGCTTCGACGTTGACAGGTCGCACCACGACACTCCTCGTGGAGACAGTGTGCCTATCACGGTGTTACATGAAGGGACGCCGGCCAACAAGCTGTGGTTGCATCGCGAGTTTTGATTGACCATTCGGGAGCATTCGGCTGATAACGGCGGAGCCGACGCAAGGACGCACCGGTGTGGATCCAAGACGTAGCTAAAATTGGGGCGAGATAAGCTGTACCGCTAGTGGTGCGTGGAAAGTCAAGCTTGCGGAGATCTCAGACCGGGGCACGCGACGTTCCAAGTCGCTGGTGTTATCTGCAGGCAAGGCTGACACGAGACCAATTCCTCCTTACTTATCTCAATTCACGCTCCTACACACCTTACTGGAGCCAGCCTTGCAGTGGTTACACGAACTTGACATAAAGTACCACATCCTCCCACCGCTGTTTCCAGCTGGTCCAGTCGCGTGTGTACCATTCGCTCGTGCTTTCTCCTAGGGTACTTCTTCATAGGCCTAAAAAACCTAGCCCTTGCCGCCCCCGCATTTGATTGTCTCTTATTATACCGTTCAGTCTCACACGACACTTTCTTCTGTTTGTCTCTCGCTACCGCCAAGCCTTTTCTGACCAAGTCGAGTCGACATGGCTCCTTCTACCGAGAAGAACCTACATGAGGTCGAATCGGCCAGTGACTCCGTCGACAATGGCACAGCAGAAGTCGTCATGCCCGTCGGCCGAAAGTACAGATCCGTTAAGATTGGTCCTGTAACACTACCTCACTATGCCAGCCCTGCCACACAGCTGGTTATTGTCGCTTTCGTCTGCTTTCTGTGCCCCGGCATGTTCAATGCTCTGTCGGGCATGGGTGGAGGTGGTCAAGTTTCTGCTGAAGCTGCTGACGAGGCCAACATTGCCCTCTATGCCTGCTTCTCCGTCGTTGGTGAGTATTCAATGTTCGGGTTTGTTTCGAGTCATGTCTAACAATACGACAAGGCTTCTTTGCTGGTAGCATCGTCAACTACATCGGCATTAGATGGTCTTTGTCTTTTGGTGGTCTGGGCTACTGCATTTACGTGGCTTCGTTCCTTTGCTACACCCACACTCAAAACACAGGCTTCAACATCTTTGCCGGTGCCCTGCTTGGTTGCTGTGCCGGTATGCTGTGGTCAGCTCAGGGTGCTATCATGATGTCTTATCCTCCTGAAAATTCCAAGGGCAGATACATCTCTTGGTTCTGGATGATCTTCAACCTTGGTGCTGTCATAGGAAGTCTGGTGAGTCGAGTTGTTCAATCAGTGATCCAAGAGTTCGTGCTGACGGTTGTAGATCCCCCTTGGTGAGAACATCAACGCCACTAGTAGTGGTACAGTCTCGGATGGAACCTATATCGGCTTTATCGTCTTGACAGCTTGCGGTGCTGGACTAGCCTGGTTCCTGGTAGACGCTAAATCAGTTGTTCGCAACGATGGCTCTCGCATTATTCTCATGAAAAACCCTACTTGGAAGTCTGAGCTGTTGGGGCTTTGGGAGACGATCAGAAGCGACCCATACATCATCTGTCTTTTCCCGATGTTTTTCGCTTCCAACTGTAAGTCACAGTCTTTGACGACAAAATACTTGATTACTGACGTCCTATCAGGGTTTTATACGTATGTTAACCTGAAGGTACAAACCCCACGACTAGCGCTGGCGCTTTGTCTCAGTCTGTAGGCAAGGCCCGTACGGAGTGAATTGGAACACCGTTAGGGACAGCGCCTCGCGGAGTTGAGTACACTCGTCTAGCAAAGTCGTGGTGTTCTTGCCCTCCAACTTTGTGAAATCATACTAATTTTAACTTGGCTTTAGGTATCAATTCAATGGTAGGTCCCTTCTGAAGGGTCAAAAATGTCCTTGGGGTGGTGGTGGTGTTGTGTTTTGGGGGAGCTTTTTCACCTACCGTGACCCTTCCCTTTCCCCCAACGCACACACCACACACAACAGCATCCCGTGACGTTACATACACTCTTTCGTTACTGCTGTTGTCTCGTTGCCGTGCGATTTTATGGGATCATGCTAATAGTGCCGTTGTTCAGGTGTAAACTTGGCTTACTTCAACACAAGGACTCGAGCTTTGAACAACACCCTCTACTGGACCGCACAAATCGTCGGTGCATTCGTCTTCGGTTATTGCCTGGATTACTCCAAGATTCGCCGAACTGTTAGAGCAAAGGTCGCCTGGGTCGCCATCCTGGTCTTGACACTCGCAATCTTTGGCGGCGGGTATGCCTTCCAGACAGGCTACACTCGCGAATCCGTTTCAAAGGAAGCGGGTTACGTCTCCAAGGATTGGAGCGATCCAGGCTATGTTGGGCCGATGTTCTTGTACATCTTCTATGGCTTCTACGATGCCGCGTGGCAAACTTGTGTATACTGGTTCATGGGCTCGTTGACCAACAACGGTCGCAAGCTCACCAACTTTGCTGGTTTCTACAAGGGCATCCAATCTGCTGGAGCTGCTGTCATCTGGCGCCTGGACTCAAAGAACCTAGCGTATATGAGCGAGTTTGCCTCGAGCTGGGCACTCCTGCTAGGCGCTCTGGTTTGTGCTCTGCCAGTCCTGCTCATCAGAGTTAAGGATCACGTCAGTGTTGAGGAAGATGTGAAGTTTTCGGACGAGACGGTCGCAGAGATCATTGGCACAGCGGACGGAAAACCTATGGCTCATGATTCTGAGAAGGTCTGATCAAGATCAGTCATTCTGATGACGAGTTTCGGTCAATACTGCCTCTCGATTTTGGGCGAATGAGTTAACGAAAGTGAATTTGTCTTAGGGTTAGTTCCTCGTACAACGTACCTACTATTTTGTAATGATCAAAGAATTTATTAAGCATTTTGTGACACCCTCCCCATGTACTAAAAGACTGTCACAGTGCAGCTGCATCAATACACAATACTTTCGCAACGAATGTGGTCTCCACAGAGAACACCGTTAAAGGCTACATCCATGGCCAGAGTTACATTTGTATCGTAACTGTGCATTATCATAGCGTATCATGATTCTCTCACTTGTGATGGAGAAGAGGTCAATCGCAAAATTGTGACAGTCTTCAGCGCCTTGGGGTGTAACATGAAATGCTTGGCAAAATGGTCGTGTGAACACGATGCGCTACTCAGTAAGACAAGGTCACGACAACACAAAAGGCTTTTTAGTACGTAAAGGCTTATCGGTATGACAGGCATAAGGAATTTTGCCGGGAGTGAAAAGGTGGAAGAATTGCGGCTCTGCTCGAGTAGAAGGAAGGATAAAAAGCATTGTCTGGAAAGCGATCACGGACCAAAGGTTGCTGCCGATCACGGTCCCGATGTAACATCACCAACTTGTTAGTTATTGATGACCATTGTGGAGAGCGGAGATAACGAATGAAACAGCAGTCGAGGGCAGCCTGAAGATTGCGATACGTTGATATTGTCTCGTGGCTGGTANNGTGCGACCAGGCCGTAAGAGGATGCACAATGCGAGTGGGCGTATCGCTGGTGCCGTGTGTTGAATAGTGTAGAGGGTGGATGGAACGGTGAAGCGTCAGGGAATGTCCCCGCCGCTTTTGATCCACTTGTCGCGATTCGCTGCAACCAAACATCTCGCTGCGACTGCAACTTGACTGACCATGCCCCATGCCGTGCTGGACGCGAGCCATCACGTCTGGGAGCACTCGTATTGCTTCCATCTCGCTTTCTGCTAATCCCAATCCCTGTCCTCTCCGAAACGCCTGCGGCGGACCGTCTCCATCCCTCNNACAGCTGTGATACATAACTAAANNCACAACATCTAACAAGTGACTGGTCAACAAACCAACAAGCATCCTTTGCCGAGCAAATTTCCATCACCAAATCACCACAACTGCACCATCTTCGTCAACCGCCATTACCGTCACTCACTACTCGTCGAAGCCTACAGAAGCGTCACCCGCCTGCCTTGACTGCCATGCTAGCCTCGTTGATCCAACCTCTACAACTGCCGTCGCCCAACAAAGATGCCTTTGGCATAGAAACACAAAGCTCGCGCACAAGGAGCATGGACAAACTCTTGCATGACGTCGAGACTCTCTTTGAGGCACCTCTGCGTCCAAGGAGCCTGCACGCCATGTCAGAACAACTCCAGGCAGAGTTTCGCACAAAATTACAAGCCTCAAACATATGCATGCTGCCGTCCTTTCACTACGCTTTGCCTACCGGTGCAGAATCCGGTGACTTTGTTGCCCTCGACGTCGGCGGCTCGACTTTTCGCATCGCACTCGTACATCTCAGCGGGAAAGACGCGGCAAAAGATGGAATGGACATCAAGAGAATGAAGAGCTTTGTCATAGACGAGCCTATACGGGACTTGAAGGGCAAGGCCTTCTTCGACTGGATGGCCGCCAAAATTGAAGAAGTCCTCGGCTCAGACAAGGACCTTGTTGTTCCATTGTCCATGGCAATGTCATGGTCGTTCCCAATTGAGCAGACCTCTACGCGGACTGGTTCCATCCTGACTATGGGCAAGGGCTTCTGTGCTACTCACGGCGTCGAAGGCCAGGATTTGTACGAGCTTCTCATGGATTCTTGCAAACAACGCGGTCTCCAAGTACAACTTCAAGCAATCATCAATGACTCTTCAGCCACATTACTTTCACAGGCCTATCGAGACCCTTCAACTCGACTATCACTCATCCTTGGCACTGGCATGAACTCGGCTATCTACCTGCCGGTGTCTGCATTAGCACAAGAAAAATACGGCAGTCGCTCAGAGAGTTGGCATGCATCTGCTAAAGACGTGCTTGTGAATACTGAGCTCAGTATGTTTGGCAGGGATGTACTTCCAGCTTCAAGGTGGGACCAGTATCTCAATGCCACCCACGATCTTCCAGACTTCCAGCCTTTGGAATACAGGGTCAGTGGAAGATATCTAGGCGAACTGGTGCGCCTCATTCTCATCGAAGCCATCGAGACTGCTGACTTGTTTGGTGGTATGATGCCTGCTAAGCTGCAGGAGCCATACTCATTGGATACTGGAACGGTCGCTGCTTTCGAGAGCGACCCGTCTCTCACACTATGCAGCGCTGCAAAAGCTNTCACATCTACACATCCTCTACCAGCAGGCCGCATGCCTTCGTCTCGGGACCTTTACTTTGTCAAGCAAGTCAGCCGACTTGTGTCTGGTCGTGCAGCTGCTTTGGTCGCGACAGCTGTTCATGCGCTCTGGTCGCTTCAACGTGGGCTCTTAGCTTCGTCGAACACTGTTGAGACTCAGCTTGCGAGTCAACCTCAAGCGAGAGCAACAGTTGCATGCAACGGCACGGTGATGGAAAAGTACCCAGGTTTCCGCTCAAGGTGTCAAGACTATCTCGACGAGCTGGCTGTCATTAGCGGCCAGAGCCGAGGCGCCATATTGATCGAGATGGCTTTGGAGAGTTCAGTGTTTGGTGCAGCTGTCGCCGCTGCATCGGAATCTGAAACTTAGCACATCTGATGCTCAAGTCAAAAGTGAGCAGACTGCATTTGATATTTTCTGGAGGCGTCAGGGACATAAGGAGCGTTTTTGCATACCACATGCAGGTAGAGGGTTTCGCATTTAGCCAACTGACGAATTTGGCATTAGCGACAGTAAAGCACAGAATCATACAATACTAATACACAATCCATAGAAATGATCTATCAACACACGATCCCAGCAGAAGTCAATTGATATAAGCGTTGTTGTCTCTAGATGATAGCAAAAGGTGTGGCTGTGCCTGCTCGCACAACAGTCTGAGCCTCAGTAGCGAAGGACAAGCGGCGAGTTGATCATAACATAATGCAAGTTTCTCGTCATAATGGCAGGTCGAGTATGCACCGACAGGTCAATGCCACGGGTTCGCTCCAGACCGAGGGCGATAAGATAAGCTTTGGGAGCGTTTTCGGAACGACCAAATTGAGAGGGGGAAGCATGGGAAGGGCGCTCCGAGTCTCCGCATATCATGTCGCATCCGATCTCCCCTCCAACCATGTTTCCATAGCACATTTTGACATGGCGAAAGTCGCAACTGACTGTCGCCATATTTCGGAAAGGTCGAGTGACACACGCTGAAGCTTGGTCCGGTCGGTGAGCAGAAGGCAGGCACGGCAGGCTGTCCGACGTATCACACAGAGACGAGCAAACTGCGACTTCCTCAAACAACTTGCTTTACTTGCCGTTCCTTCCATCGCTGCATCTGTTAGCTTATCGCGACGCTGAATAGATTCTCTGGTATTTCGCATAGTTCTTGTTCATATTTCTTCCCTTTACGACCATATTCGCATGCTCCGGCAACCATATCGCATTCGCAAAGACAGTACACCACGACGCAATCATGGAGGGTTTCGACCCGATATCCATGACCTACATGGCCACCAACTTCGAGACGGTCAATAACACGGCTCCGGCTACCACCATGTACAACAATATGATGATGATGCCAAACGACTTTATGGAACAATACTCGACCTACGACTCACAAACCATCTATCCAGNNGGTACTTACAATCGCCATGTTCTTGTCTGCTGTACTATGGCCGCTAACCACTATCGGAGTAGGGATGAATATTACCAACTGCCGCCTCCTCAGACGACTCCCTCACTCAAACGATTCTCCAGCACCTTTGACGACGCCTTCTCCGATGCCGTAGGAGCCTTTGAAACGATTGCCGAAACGGGAACTCAAGACGCTCAAGATACACAAGATGCGAAAGAGATAGCGATAGAGCAGGGTCATAAATATTTGAAGTTCACTCCGCCCGTGTACGACTTTGCTCTGCTCGATTACAACTTCCGCCAGGTATCAGTAAGCTTGACTGCGGATCTACTAGGACTCTTCTTTGCTGAGAAGTCAGCTTGGGTGAATCCAGCCGAGAACACCGAGTTGATGTGCTACCGTCGCAACATCTTCCAGGTCTCGGGCAGTGTTGTGGTTCCGCGGGCCCTGCGCAACATCGTCACTGAGCAGACGGAACAAATCTCCATCGTTTCTCAAGAACTCATTATTTCGGCAACTGAATCTGCTGAGGGAAGTCCTACGAAGATCATTTGTGTTCCTTGGAAGACACCACCGAATGGTAATTCTATTGTGGACGAAAGAGCTGAGAAGGAACCGCCGTCAATACCGCTGGACCCATCCACTGCATCTGAAGGAGACTCCAATTTTGCGACATTCCCGTTTCATTGGAAGCGCTTGCAGTTCCGGAGCGCTACCGCCAACAACGGAAGAAGAAAAGAGCTACAACAGCATTTCATCGTTCATCTCAAGGTTGTGGCTACGCTAGCGACGGGTGGTAAAGTCACGATTTGCCATACCAAATCAAACCCTATTGTTGTGAGAGGTCGAAGTCCTAGGAACTTTCAATCTAGAAAAGACATTCTGCTCACTGGAAATGGCACGCATGCGAAGAAGCCTACTACAGCAGCTCCGAAACCGCGCGCGCCATCGCAAGCAGATCATGGTCATGCTCGGAAGCCTTCTCGCAATAGTGGGGCTACAGTTCCTAGAAACGAAACACCTGCTGTTGTGGGCTTCGACAACGCCGACTTCCAGATGCCTGCGCTTTTTAATAACACATTTCAGCAAGGCGCAATGACTGCGGTACCGCCAACTGCACGGATTTCCGAGCCCAAGGACTACGCTGTCTCGACTCCTGATCTAGTACGACAGTCATCAAATATGCCTGCGCCAGCGCGAGTCCCATTGAAGCTGTCCTTGACCGACGAGGAGGAGCCCAAACAATCTTCCATGAGCCCTCCCAAGAACGGCAATACGGGCAAGCGCGTAGCCGGAGGTCGTGCTGCGAGTACCCCATCTGCACTAGCTCTACAGGTGGGGAGTAGTCCAGATGAGAGCGCAGACTTGCTGTACGAGTACTTTCCTCTCAGCCTGGATGACTGGCAACCACCTGTCGATGCTGTGTACCGACCCCACGTCGTCCATCACATCAATCCACTGCCAGAGAACAAGGCTCGCGATCGCTTGAGTCGTCTCAAGAACAAACGATATTTTAGTGAGGATGTGGGATGAGGAAGTGATACCCCACTCTGCGCTCTCGCACAAACAATATAACCATGACCAGAGATTCAAACAGCAATCTTCATAGTTCACCCTGCTTCGACGCCCGAGTCACATACAAAGACTAATTCTGGCACACGGAGACTAGCATGTTCAGAGTCGAGGCAGGCGCAATGCGCATCTTGCGTTTGCAATTAGAAGTAGATGCTAGCATTTCCGCAAGCAGTTGATGTCGGCCTTTTCACCAGTATCACCTGGGAGATCTGGCCTCAAAGTCACATGCGATGGCTAGAAGTTCGTAGAGGCAAGCCTGAACAGTGGCTAGGAAACCCAGCAGACATGAGGGTCTAGAACTAAGCGGAAAGGGATATCTGGTACCTGAGAATGAGGAGATTCATAATCCAAGCTTACTCGAAGAATCAACGAGGCCATTGAACCTCCTTGCCTTGTTTCAAAACACTCGAAAGATATCAAGATCTTTGTGGATACCACTCTCCTTCGAGAGATCGTGCTTTTCTTCAATGGCTACACTAGAACAGTCTATTGCGCATCTGAGACATCGTCTCCTCAGGGGTCTGTCATGAACCCCATGCACTGTGTGAGGTGTGGTTGTTGACGCAATCGCGTGTGTCTCTCTCGGTAGTGAAGTTCAAGCGTCGTTAGTGGTTATTTTCCAGTTGTCGCGACATTCGTAGTTGATGAAGAGATGCGAGTAACAGTAGGAAGTTCTTGTTGTGGTGGTGGTGGTGATGGTGGTGCGGCTTTACATAGAGACCAGTTCTCGACCTCAGCACGCATAGTTTGCCATTGTTGACTATCTCCAGGCTATCTATGCTATTTGTTCTCGTTTCGAGTCTTGACTAATGCTGGGATCTGCGAAATGTACGCCAACCTGAACATTTGCATTCTCATAGCTATATACTGAGTACAAGTCATTGCGCTCTCCAGAAGGCTCCAGAACAATAACATACCTTTCTCCTTCACTTCGACTTAATAGTCGCCGCATCGCAGCTAACTTCCTCAAAAGTATGCATAGTACTGAATCCCATAGCCGACAAGCCATCAAAATTACCATCTCCATCCATATAATCCAATACACAAAGAGCACACCCTTGTTTCTTGACTTGCTTGACTCCCAACAAGATTAAACTCTGCAAGATAGTCGCGTATTCGCCTGCAGAAGGTGATATAACTGGAGAACTCACGCCTCCACTGACTGAAACTTCATACTCTGATCCTTCGTCTTTAAGCGCGGGGATGAACTCGGCGAGGGCCGAGGTGGCGTTGTAGAGGATTACCGTGCCTACTATACTGCCATCTTCAGGTCGTATGGCGCGCACGATACCGCAAGAATTCGGGTCTGAAAGCGCGAGTTTGTAGACTTCGGCTAGCCCTTGGCGGTTGTTTGTTTTTACGTGATCGAAGATTGCGCGTGAGTGTTCCCATCCCCTGACGAGATCAAATTCTGCGCCCGCGCCTTGGAGTGATTGTGCCATTCCTTCTGGTGGAGACCAGGATTGGAGGTTGCGCATTACCATGCTGCAGACCGGGCGAGAGAGCGCTGTGTTCCAACCTACGTTTGCAAACCAGGATCGTAAGCGTTTGCGTTCGGAGCTATGGTCGGAGGGGATGCCGAGGTAGATGCTTGGGAGCCTGGAGCCTAGTTGGAAGCGCTTGATGCCTTCTCTCTGTAGCAAAGTTCGAATAGCACGATCATGCAAGCTTTGACCAATAGAGAGTTTGCGTCTCCCTGGATCGACAAAGAGGGCGCCGATGGCTCCTGTACCAGTAGACTTGAAGAAGTACGTTGAGCAGAATCCATACAAAGCTGATGTACTGCTGTTGCGAACGACGAAATGCGTCTCCAGGACATTTTGTTGGCGAAGGAGGAAAGAGTTTGAGGTTGCTCCTTTGAGCTCTGATCGTTGATTCGGTGATGACCATTCGATAATCTCTTTGATCAAAGTGTCTAGAGCCAGTGCATCTCGTTCTTCGTTAAAGATTTCGACTAGCCAATGCGTCTTTGATTGAGTAAGCTTCTCGCTACGACTGATTGTTCCAGGCAACGAGCCAGTCGGCGTGATATCGCCGTGCAATACTCTGACCAGTGACACCAGTGCGGTCTCAGTAAAATCGTAAGTGCAGACATATGTGCCGATAGACGTATCAGTGGAGAAGTCGTAGGGCGAGCTGACGGCCACAACAATCAAAGGTTTGCTCTTTTTCTCGCCACCAGCAGTGTACTGCATATTGCAAATCATCGAAACGTGTTTCGTGAAACCGTTTTGGTACATGTTTCTATTGGCATCTGCTGTGACGACAATGACGGCACTTGCTCTGTTAATCAAGCTCTCGTGCTGAGGTCGGACTCCGTTTGCTGTGTAGCTGGTGTGGAGTACTCTGCCGGTCCGTTGACGAGCAAGAGAACGGCCGAGCTCTCGGAATACTCTCTCACCACTGAGACCAGGATTGCCCCGCTCCCATTGCGGCTCTGGTGAATCAACAGAAGTGTGTGATGATATCTCACGCGAAGCTGCAGATGCCGCGAGGGGTTTTACTAGCGGTGTAAGAAGTAGCAGCTCTTCTTCCGGCTCAATAATATTTGTCAGGGGCAGATACCCATTCTGGTCTCGCACAACCGTGATACTTGAGTTGTATGCTCTGGTTGACAGACTTGTATGTGATGGCTGGAGTCTCGATAAGAGGCTGATGCCTGGTGGGTTCAAAGCCTTCTCCCAGGATGTACATCTTGACTTCATCGCTAGTACCCTGTTGAGAGACCGACGCACTCTATCCGTGGTGATCATTGAGTTTTCCAAGCCAAGCTTGAAGCCATTGATGGCTTCTAATTGGTGCTGGAATGATCTGCATAGTAGAAGGATATCACAGCCAGCATTAGCAGCCATGACCGTGCCACCATTGACACCAATATTCTGGCAAAGTGAGTCCATCTCGAGGCATTCGCTAACTACAACGCCGTCGAAGCCAAGCTCTTTCCTCAATAGTCCATCGACGACTCGATCTGAGAGACAAGCGTGCATGACATTGAGACCAGCAGATGACATAGCACAACCTCCAACCATGATAGAGTCGAGTCCTTGTTTGATGGCATCCCGAAAGGGTATTAAAGCACTCAAGCTCAGCTGTTCCAGAGACTCCGTGATCGTAGGGACATCCAAGGAGGATCCTAAGAATTCAAGATTGCCGTATGACGGAAAGTGCTTGCCCATGGTGCAAATACCAGCTTCCTGGTAACCTTTCATGAATGCAACTCCGTACTCGGAGCATTGCACTGGGTCGTCACCAGTTGTGCGGACGCCGAGCGGCTGGTTTCGTGTATTCGTAAGAACGTCCAGGCAGGGTCCCATTATCCAGTTCACTCCGCATGCAGAGATCTCTTCCGCACTAGCCTTTGCGACCTTATATGCAAGTTCAGGGTCTCCTGAGGCAGCGATACCCATAGCCGATGGGTATTGTCGAATGAAGATGTCGTCGAAGAGAGAGTTGACTCCGCCATTTTCTTGATCGATGCCAATTAGTAGAGGCACTGGATGGCCGGCGTCGAAAGCACACTTTTGTAGTTCGTAAACAAGGGCGCTTGTGTCTTCAGCAGCNTGAACACAGTGTCAGTACACTACTGAATATTGCAGATGGACAGATAAATTGATGAGTGTCCGAATAACCTCGGGGTGCGATGATGATATCACGGTGTGTTCGGGAAGTGCTAGAGAAGCGTTTCTACGTATGCTGACCGCTACTTCCTCGTGTCTTCATCGTGGCCCTACATGCGGTTTGCATATGGAAGTGACTACCCGCAGATAACTTGATAAGGAAGTGGCCTACTCACATTTGAGGTTCTTGGCAGTCAGAAGGATCGACCCAAGATGATGTTCTTGTATAAGAGTACGTATTTGAGGAGTCACTGCCGTCCCATCGAATCCCTACATACATCTGTCAATCATTGGTCAAGGACACGTCGACAATCAACTTTACCATCATAAACAATTGGCCCAGGGCCCTGGAAGAAACACCATTGTTAGCAGATCGCCTTTGATGCATGATCGCATGGTCTTCCACGCGAACATGGCAGCTTACCTGTCCATGTTGTCCCAGAGCCCACTACTAGCGTCGGAGGTCCCCATTTTCGGTATCTTCTACAATGACATGCGTCCAGACGCCGAGAAGCTTCGACCGAAGCCGTAGGGCTGACCGAATGGGATCGAGATACGATAGCGGTCACTAATTCACAGCTTGACGACGTAGCGTGGCATCCGACAGAAGCAGTTCATGCTGTAGAGTGGTAACGAAACGTCCTCTCGTAATGATAAGCAACAGCTGGGGTGGTGGATGTAACCTCGTGCTTGCCTTCTCCACACTCGGCCAAAGTGACACGCGCCGGGGAGTGAGTCCGTGCTTGCCGAGGCGCTTCGATAAGCCGGCCGCAACGACGTCTCGTCGTTTGTCGTTCCTTCTTCTTGTCAAATACCACACCATGTAGCAACCAGACAAGATCGTAGAGTGCGAAGGCTTGTCTGCCCCACGTGCACTGATCGGTTATCTCACTCGAAGCTTCTGTCACAACTCTCAAATGTTACCTTCTGCTGTACTTCCTTATCAAGAAGATTGGCTCTGACCAGTAAACCGTCAAGGTTGCAGAAATGTTGAATCGATAGGTCTGACGAGAAACATGTGGATCAAGGTATTTGCAATCTCGTCATGAAACTTCCGCAGGATGTGGAAGCATTCTCTGGACATGTACAGTTTCATTGGTAGGTTGCCGATCTCGCTGTCGTAAATATTCGTTCTCCTGGACATTTTCTTCCTGCCTGTCCCTCTTTCTCCTGCAAGATCGCCAAATTGTTCCTACCTAAAACGCACATCTCTTGCAAGTTCGCTTAATACACTCACAACTTCGATCAATCCTCGCCCAGGCCTACTTCTTGATAGAGCTGTCATATCAAGATGCCAGCCGCCGTGTCACCAGAAAGACCCCGAAGCGGAATCACTCGATTGACTGGATGCCGATTAGTCAAAGACAACACACTCGTAGAAGAAGACCTCTGGCTTTCCTCAGTTACTGGTCGCATCCTACGCAGTCAAGAAGTCTTCTACGAACATCAAGCAGCTCCAGACGAAGTCATTGACCTCGGCGGCCGTATCGTCTGTCCCGGCTTCATCGATGTACAATTCAACGGCGCTTTTGGTTTCGACTTTTCGCAAGCACCACAAGATCCTGTTTCCCACCGCAAGGGTCTAAAAGAGCTGAATAGACGATTGATCGCAACTGGTCTCACATCATATCTTCCCACCATTACTAGTCAAAAGCCGGAACTCTATCACAGCGCGTTACCTTACCTGGGTCCGTCAGGTACAGCTCGTGACGCAGACGAAGGTGCAGAGTCACTAGGCGCCCACGTCGAAGGTCCGTTTCTTAGTCCGACCAAGAATGGCATCCACAGCCCCGAAGTCTTACAATCTGCCACATCCTTCGCCGATCTCGAAGCCTGTTACGGTGCTCACAACTTGTCCAACATCAGAAAATTGACCGCCGCACCAGAAGTTGGCAACATGACATCGATAATCCCTGATGTGGTAATACGCAACATCATCTTCAGCATCGGTCACACAGAAGCTACCTACGAGGNNGAAGCATCTGCAGCTGTAGCTGCTGGAGCGAAAATGATCACACATCTGTTCAATGCCATGAAGCCGTTGCACCACAGAAATCCAGGCGTCTTCGGCATCTTGGGTCATCCTTCCACACATACACCTTTCTTTGGCGTCATCGCTGATGGCATACATTTGCACCCTACCACCGTCAAGATAGCCTACGCCGCGCACCCTGAAGGCATGATCTTGGTGACCGATGCCATGAGTCTTGCCGGCCTGCCAGATGGCACATACAACTGGACCAATGGCGACAGTATCGTCAAGAAAGGCTCGAATCTAACACTGGACGGTACAGACAAGATTGCTGGTGGCTGTGCGACGTTGCTAGACTGTGTGAACAACTTTCTCAACTGGTCAAATGCCAGCATTCCTGAAGCTGTTAGGGCTGTTACTGTTACGCCAGCCAAGATGCTAGGGCTGGAAGGTGTCAAAGGGTCTCTGGAAGCTGATGCCGATGCTGATCTGCTGGTCTTGTCTGAAGAGATCGATGGTGACGGAAGACGTTTACTGGTTGACCAAGTGTGGAAGTTTGGTAGATTGGTTCATGAGAGGTCTTGATTGTACATGTGTGCGCACTTGCTATCTGTCTAATAAATTGAGTGTCTCAACCTATTCTTTGTTCCATCCATCCGTCGCTCAGTCACCAAGAGTGCCTTCAAGACTGCCAAACACTGCCCTGCCGAACGCTCACCCACTACATTGATTTGCCGATGGTGGCTCCGCATAGGCCAAACGAAACGATCTCGTCCATGAACGTGCAGGAGCCACAGTCTCTCTCTCGGAATCGAGATTATTGAGGACAGGCATGAAGCACTTCACGATACTTTGCCAAGGAACAAGTTGACACTGTGCGAAGAAGTGAAAGATGGACATTTCCACACGACCTAGTTCCCCCGTCTCTGCATTTGATGATCAGGGGTGCTATGGAACTGTGTTTTGATTTCTTGGGTGATCATCTCTTGTGTGAATGCTGTGTATTCCGTTGAACCCCAGCGTTGTGGCAAATTAAGAGTAGAAAGGAGAGTCCTTGCATAAAGCACAAAGCTCTGCGACCTTTTTATCTTCCAGTGCACCGCCCTTCTCTCTGCTCATGCATGTTCTCTTCTGATCGATCGTGACCATAGCAACTTGAAGTCCATCATTATGACCAAACCCAACACCTCCTCAAACACCAGACTCCTGCTGTCCTCTCTTAGCCTCCTGATCCTCCTTCTTCTTGATCCAAGAAGCCTCAGCAGTGGATCTGGTGCAGAGAACACACTCGCACTCAAGACGATCAGGCTGCTTCAAGAACTCAGGTCTCAACTCCAGCGAATCGACCAAGTCCAGTCTCATGATAGCAATAGCATGTTTCAGGAACTGAGGGGCCGAAACAAAAGAGCCAATACCAGAGAAGTTTCCATGAATCTCGGTATCCTGGGTTTTGTCGGGGCGTTTGTGCTTGACTACGGTGTAGCCGGTGGGAAGGGCTGTGAACTTGACTTCGGCGCCNTAAAGGAGGTAAAGTCAGCAGGGATGTATTAAGGACATACATGTTAGAGGCTACTTACCGTGGTAGTGATGACCGAATTCTGCCTTCAGAACAGGGTCAGAGGCCAACTGCTTGTTGAAGTGCTTGCTGAGAGACTTGAGGAAGTCTTCAGGGCCGGGGAAGGTGTAGTCATTGCCAGTAGGTCTGTAGCCCGTGCCAGTGTGTCTGTAAGCGCTGAGGTCGATCTTGACAACTTGGTCAGAGCCGTCAGAGGGGATGGAAGAGCTCATTGTTGCGTTAAGGGGAGTGGAAGAGCTCATCGTTGATGTCGTGATCAGATTCAGGGGAGGTTAGTCAGCTCCGTGAGAGTAGCATTTATACCTGATCTGCGGAACTTGCTAGAACCCCGACAGTTTCCTGAGCATCCAATGGGTGGTAAACGACAAAGGCAGCGGAATATGGAAGAACACGATGGCAGCATAACAGGCAGCAACTCAACTTTGGTTTGCTTTCGTGAAAGAATGCAATCTTCTAGATCATACTGTTTGCTTGTTGTTCAAAGACAGACCACATGAGAAGCAGTTTCCGGGCGTATCTCCGCACTCGATGCTAGCCAGGTTTCTTCTTGTACAGATACAACATGCTATGTTCAATGAGAGTTGAGACTGCTAGAAGTGTCCCCTAATTGTTACTTTGGACGGGCTCTTCATGATGCCGACTCTAATGCAGTAGAGCACCATGTACGTCGACAGAAGGATTGTTTAGGTGGGAAGGAAGGAAGGAAGGAAGTCGATATCAAGCTGAATCGACAACCCGCCCATCGTTCAGAAGTGTGCCCGATGTGCCTGCATGGTTTGCAAAACGCAGAACAATTTCACAAAATCACATAGGAAGAAGAAATTCAATGCCTGGAGAGTCTTAGGTTATATTGGTACGAGCAAAATAATTAAGACTATCCCCTGAATCCCACCTCCTTCTCCCTCAACCCCTGAATCATCACCCGCAGAGGTCGCACTCGCAGTGATCGACACTGAGTGTCAACAGGAAAACGACGTGCGGCAAGAACTTGGCTGCCGAGTTGTAGAATCTGCCGGAGGGATGGCCATAGATGCGAATGTCGCGGCGACCATTCGGATCCTTTCTGACGTGGGTGTAGCCCACGGGCATCTGACCACCAACAAATTCGTAGTCGTCGGTGCCTACAGTCAATCGTTAGTTGATGGCATGCACGAGGTGGATAGGAGTGGAGAGTCTGGCNTTACCGAACATTGCTCTCATGGCGTCGCCTTGGGGACCTGCCTTACGAAGCTGGCGGCGGAAGGCGTTCTTGAGGGCGACGAGGAACTCGTCAGCAGCCTCAGCCCTCTCGCCGGGCTCGTTGGGCACGATCCCCGTGCCATCGCTGCCATAGATTGGCGCGGATAGATTGATCTTGATGGCGGACATCTCGTTTGCAGTTGCTGGTTTTGTGGTCGAGGTGGTCCGTGCGCGAAGCAGAGCAAAGCACGTGAGCACGTGAATTTTGAGGCAGTTTGTGACGAGATCTGCCAAGGATAGAAATTCAGGGTCCAGCGCAAGTGAAGACCAAATGTGAGCACAGTGAGCAACAACTGAAGCTGCACACGTGGCTTTTGCTTGTGAAGGAGAGCAAGGCAAGTCGCTCTCAATGGACTGTTCCTCCTGCTGACTTGCTTTGTGTATTTTGACATTGCTGTTTGCTGCCGCCTTCTGCTTGGGGATACAACAATCTTCAGAGCCTGACTGGCCATTGATCAGCTCTCGATGGATACTACTTCAAGTGCGGTTGTGTTTCTGCATTTTGACAGAATAAATTGTTGTGTCTCTCATGCGAGATTATGACAGGGGTAGACAAGATGAAGATGTTGTACCGGGCAGGTCCATAGCACGAGCTCTCATCAACCATTGTAGGTTATATGTTGCCATTCATGTAGATCGACAACAGGCCAGAGATTGCTCTATCAGGGGCAAGGTCCACCTTAACCAGGAGTTTTGTCCGTGGACCAACTGGTTTTGAAGGGCAACATTGCAAGGTCTCCTAGTAACTTATGTCCGGGTCCATGCATTCTGTGAGATTCTACAGGCAGCTCCATTGTAACAGTTACGATTGATCCTCGGTCGACCTCTTCTTTGGCTTCCGTAAATCCTGGGAACCTTAGGGGCGTAAATCGAACTCCTTACTAAACCATTGGAAAAGAGTGGAACAAACCGTGCAATCACAAAGCTGGTAATTGCAGTCTTGAATTCTAGAGGGAGCATGAAGACAGAACCAGACTGACTTCACGATGCCATGTCGACATCTGGATTGCTTTCAGCATCGGAGCCATCATCACTCTCATCTGCATTGTCTCCCTCTTTGCCAGCAGCCTTCTTGGCCTTGTCTCTTGCTCTCTTCTTGAATTTCTTTTCTCTGTTTCTTCTTGCCTTCTTTTCGCGTTCAAGTCTCTCCTTCTCTTCTTTTGATTTGCTTTCTTCCTCCTTCTTTGCCTTGAGAGTGGCCAGCTTCTGTCTCTTCTTTATCCTGTCCTTCTTACCCAGGCGGGTGCGCTTCTTTGGTACGTCTGGTAGGAAGGCTTCGGCTGCGGGATTCTGGGTTGCCGCTGCTGCGAGGGCAGCTTTGGCTTGTGACGATGGGATAGTGATGACTTTCCAAGGGTAAGCACAGCCAGTACATGATAGCTTAGACATGGCCAGCACGTCTGCACCAGACACGGCTGCAATTTCGAATTCCTTAGCGCGGACGGGATCAGGCTTTCCGGGATGATAGTAGCTCAAGGGACGTCCTGGACCGATGATTCCTGGTTCTCCGACTTCTTCTGAGGGTGAACGAATGCGAATCTTCTGGGCGACTGGAGCGGGAGTAGAGGCATCGGTTGCGGTTTTTGTAGGAGCGAACAGTTGAAATTCGAGTTCTTCATCTTCATCTTCCTGGTTTTCAGTCGTTTCCAGGGGCTGAGGCGTATTGTCTATTACTTCGAATTGTAGATTTGCGCCTAGTCGTTCCAATGTATCCAGATCCGGAGAAGATGCTCGGGATGATTGTGGTGATCCATTAAGGTCTGACCTTGACACTCTATGGCACGATTGTCAGTGTTTGGAGGTCGTTTGAATGGCTCGTAGTGACCATACTGTACAGCACCTGCTACCGTCGCCATTGTTCTGTCGTTCGGGTTGTGGTTTGTAGGACGAGTATCGACATCAGAATTTGGACGGAAGCCGGCATGCGGCTCTTCGAGGAAGGAGCTAGCGAGACCAGACCCCGCAAGATCTTGCCGAGAGATAAGATGGCACCCCTAGATTTCACATGCGACAAGGCCATATCAACATTCTAGACCATCGACTTATTTCTTTCCATGTTTTGTCGCTCTTTCCTCGCCAAATCCACTCAATCTTTGTCGCGAACCTATACAACCGCCAGAATGACTCTCGGTCCGTCCACACCAACAACATACATGCAGAGTCAAGGCCATTGGTTGACATAAATCGCTCCTTCCAGAACAGGCCAACCGTCCCATTGTCATATCCGGGCCTTCTGGCTCTGGCAAATCGACTCACTTGAACCGTCTGCTCAAGGAGTACCCCGACCGCTTCGGCTTCTCCATCTCTCGTACGAACACGTCAAACACATCTCCCTGATCAACTTCGGAGACTGATTGTATGCACACAAGACNNACTACTCGCCAACCTAGAGGCCAAGAACAGAACGGTGTCGAGTACCACTTTGTTACAAAGGAGGAGTTCTTGAAGCTCGTTGATCAGAATGGCTTCATCGAGCACGCCCAGTTCGGTAGCAACTACTACGGCACCAGCGTCCAGGCTGTCAAGGATGTTGCTCAAAAGGACCGCACCTGCATCCTAGACATTGAGATGGAGGTACGCATGGCCCTCAGTCATTCTCATCCCAAGTGCGACTCTAATCTGAACTATCACAGGNGCGTCAAGCAAGTAAAGAAGAAGGACCTCAACGCCCGCTACCTCTCTCTGCAACCACCATCGCTCGAGACTCTCGAGTCGCGTCTGCGCGGCCGTGCCACCGATTCCGAAGACGCCATCACCCAACGTCTTGCTCAAGCCAAGAACGAGCTCGAATTTGCGAAGACCCCTGGTGTCTTCGACAAGGTCATTATCAACGACGACCTTGAGAAGGCCTGGACAGAATTTAAGGCCTTCTGTGTGTCTGAAGAGTAAAAAGATATGACAACAAGATACCAAACAAATGCTAGAATACAACAAACTTAATACACCAAATTCCATATTCACTTTTGCTAGTCATAGTACATATAAATATAAGTCCAAGATACACATTCGTCACGATAAACTGCGGTCCTCGCAACACAAGACGTTGTTCCACAGCGACCAACAGACCTGACTTGAGCAACGAAAGATCATAGAGAACCACCTGCAGCCTCCTGTCTTGCTCTAAGACAACGCACACCAAAGTCCTTAAGCAGGTCAGTATATGTACTCATCGGCAAGCACATCTCCTAGCTCATAACACCTGCCACTGTTCTTTTGATTACAAGCATAGAGGTTTTACCATCAAAAAGGGGTAAGGAGTATCAACTACATAGGGGTCTACCACCAGCACTATAACTTACCCCTAAAGGATCTCCTAACCTCCCACACCCTATTCGATCCATTGCATCAATTCACAATACATCTGCCAAATAAACCTCTTCCGCAGAGATGATAGCTAAAAGATAGACAGTCATCGACGTCATGCGCGTCTTTACTCTACTCGACCTCGATCACCTTAGCCATACTATACATTATCACCACAGCGGGCAGCACAGCCAGTATACCGAGACGCTTCTGAGGTCTCAATAAAGAGGAGGTTCAAGTGGAGTTGTTTTGCTGAAATGGTGGCAAAGGGTATTCTTATATACTGCACCAAAAACCCTCCCTTGCAGGCATTCACTCCCTTGCTTAGATGGCAGTATGTTTTGCACATGCCAAAACTCTGTTATATCTTTATCTCTCTTCTCTCCTGCTGCAACGGACGGTAAATCCATAAGCTATTAAAATGCACAGTGTTTTGTGGGAACTGGGAGTGTCCAGAGAGCTGCGAGAATCACCTCTCTCTGTGGACATGCTCCATTATAGAAAAATATTGTGCATTTTTATAGTATACTGTAAACCATGTCTCGAATTCGGGAGGAGCTTCAAATGGCCTTACCATATCTCTTGTACTGCGATTCCATTTGATCCGAGTTGAAATCAGGCAGTCACAAACATGCATAATCATTTCTCAAAGAATCAATAAAACTTTGTTTTGATTTTTGGTCTTGGTCTCTCGCTCTTGCTCTTGCTCTCTTTCTTCTCGGGTTATGTTCACTTTTTATTGCCATTCTCAACTTCCGTCCAACGCCATGCTGAATCAAAGCTCTCGCATCAAGCACAACCCCCATAGCAGAAAAAGAAACAGAACAAGGAAAAGAGACAAGAAGGGGGAAAAAGATATAAAGAATAAATGGGAGAAGGAAGAACTATCAATTGTCCACCTAGGCAGTCGGCTTTTGCCAAACTTGAGTTTGAACTTTGGCTTCTTCTCCTCGCCACCTTCAGAGGGACGTGGGCTCATTGTACCAGTCGCAGTGGCGGTGCCGTTGCTGGTTCCTGGATGGTTTGTGGTCATGGGGCTGATGGCGCTCATTGGTGCCGAATCTGTCTCCTGTTTGATCGCGCTTATGCCATTCCAGCTCCTGAATGCGCCAACGCTTGCGCCCGTTGTGAGTGCAGAGGTGACCTCAGGGCTTGCGAAGAAGTCGCCATTGCTGCCGCGAGCTTGCGAACCACCGGCAGCTGATGGTGCAGGGCTGGGCCGAGCTGATGTAGAAGTGTTGATCTTGGCAGGGATAGCAGGTTTCTGTTTTTGGGGTCTGTAGCCTGGTTGAGGTGCTTGTGAAAGAATCCTTTGCAGGCGTTTCTGCTTTGTGATTCTCAAGCGAACAACCTTAGACTTGCTTGGCCTGTCGCTTGCCGTCGGTTTTCGTGACGGTGCAGCGGATCCAGGGGCAGATGCGCCAGATACCGTACGCGATGGCGTTTGCGCGTGTATCTTTCCCAGATTGAGACTCGGGCTCTTTTCCACCTTTGGCGTTGCAGCTGTACCGTTCGTTGCAGGCTGAACAAGATAAGGGCGCTTAGGACTACTCGCGCGTGGCTCCGCCGTTGAGCTCTGCTTACGCTTGAGGGTGATTTTCATAGAGCCACCCGGTGTGGATACAGGCACTGGTGGAGGAGACATGGCCGTCGTAGGCACATGTACAGGCTTTGGGACTGGAGGAGGTTGAGCCTGATGCTGCGCGGTAAGCTTTCTCTGGAGCGCCTCCTGTGCTGCAGCCAGTTCGCTTTCCAATCTTTGTTTCTCCTGTTTTTGCGTCTTGATGTGGTCCTTGGCAGCCTTAGAGAGTGGCCCGTTGTACTTGAGATTATGTTGCTGCACCAACTCAAATTCGTCGAGACCAAGACCTGTAGTCGGCGCCGTGCGGTATCTTTCCTTCTCCTTGAACTGCACTTTACCTTTGCCAAGGTGCCTGGCGGTGTAGAAGCGAGGCAAGCGAAGACGTACAATGAGACCATTCGATGCGTCATAAATCAAGGCTGCAATATCCAGGAGCGAGACCACTTCAGGTATGGCTAGCGTTGGCGATTGTATAACATGCCACAGCGCTGCTTTGAACACCTCGTCGTCTATGAGAGCGGCCTTGAGTGCAATCAAAGCAAGTTCCGGTGGACTCTTCCCAGCGATGTCTTGTGGCACTGGCTGGACAGCCAAGGGTTCTTCCTGTTCGAGAACAAGACCCCCAGTTTCGATAGGCTTAGGAGCCGGTTTTTCGGCTTCTTGTATCTTTAAAGCAATCGATCCCAAAGCGCGACCTAATACTCGTAGTAACTGGTCTCTGAAGTAGGGTGAGGAATCGTCGCACAACGAGTGCAGCAGATATTTGAGGATCTGGGGCCGCCTTGCAAGTTTGAGTTGTACAAGAGAATCCCATGCTGCTAGGCGGACCTCGTCGGCATTGCCTGATTGTGTGTACTGCAGAATTTCGACTTTCTTGTTTTTCACCACACCATGTTCGAGCAGCTTTTGCATGCATTCAAGAGCTGTGACAGAATAAATGTTTCGATAAGAGGAAATCCACTCATCAATGCGGCGATAGCGTTCGAGTTCGTTGATGGCTTCCTTCTGAAACTTCTCATCTTCGATGTTTTCTTGCATCAAGTCATCCTCGTCATCGGGATTGATGGCAAAGGTCTGCTGTGGTGCTGCAGAGGCTATCAAGGACTCTGCGAGACATCGCATAAGCGTGGATACGTAGTAGCAATCAGAGAANCTGTTTGTCTGTCAGAGTCTAGCAATTTGACATCGGCATGTGTATCTTACCTCATTGTTGGAGTTATCGTTGAACTTGAGCTTGTCAACGAAGAACCTCCTCACACTCATTGGCACCTTGCCACGTTCATCTTTGATATGAGACAACGCAACTGGAATCGCTTTCTGGAGCAGATAGCTCATGCGGTCCGAGAAATCGTTGGCTCGAGGCATGGTTGAATCAGCGAAGCAGAAGAACTCCTGGAAAGCTTTCTCCAGATGGTACTGGCCTACCCAGTTTAAGCTTGGCGTAGCACACTTGGTGAGACCTTCGGCCGCTAGCGTACGGATACCGTGGAAGTATCGACGATCCATTAATGTTCTGACGAGAATGGTAGACATCAAAGGATGTGCGTTCTGTTTCAGGACGTGCTGCAGTGANCTGTGGAAGAGTTAGCCTGCTATCAAACACTCTCAAAACCCATCACTGCTTACCTCGTATTGTGCGACGACGTCTCTGTCTTGTTGCAGCTGACTGACGTACATGTAGATGGGCATGATCAGGTCAATCTTACCGATCCACTCGAAGTCGGCGTCCATACGGATCCACTCGTAACTTTCTTGGCCCATTCGATCTTCCNNCTCTTCTTTGCCCCAGTCAACCAGACGCCAATCTTTGACTTCATCTTCTGATTGAAGAACATCACCAAGACAATAAAGCAGCACGTCGTTCTCGGCTTCTCCACCAAGATCGATGCCATTGGCAGCCATGGCTCGCTCCTTCGCACGCTTCGATCTTTTTAAACGCTTGTACTTGGTGTTGTAAGGAATCTCGATCTTGGTGTGCGTATCCTTGATCTCCACAATGTGCTCATATGGTGTACCATCAGCTTCGTGGATACGAATAGTCATAGGCCCGGTAAAGGGNTCTGAAACTTCTGGAGCCCAGACTTCCGAGACTTGCTCTTTCGCTTCTCTCATGAAATTCGAAGGCTGAAGATCAGGCTTGATCTTACGCTCGCGCTGCGTTTGGTAAATGTTCATCTCCACGACCAGTTTCTTCTTGTTGAAACGCTGGTTCACCTTGAAGAGCGGACAACCAGCGCCATATACCCACTGTTTGAAGAATGCGTCGAGTTTGGTATGACCGAGCTTCTCACAAAGACGATGGAACCAATCAGTGGAAAGCTCTCCGTTCTGTAGGTCGCCGGTTTTTGCATTGAGCAACAGCCTGGTGATGATTCGCCCAACACCCGACGATCCACTCGCTTTGGTGAGTCGGCGATCTAGGATGAACAGGACGACCGCAGATTTAAGAGCCATGAAATCGTACTCTGAAGGATCAATGTCGAGCTGAGCGCCAAGTTGATGGATACTGTATCGCTCAACGTCTTGCTCGAACACTTGTTCCGAGGCAAGCTTNTGCTGATAGCGGTACTCGTTATTGCCAGCAAGCTTCCTCATGAACGTGTCTCGCATAAACCCAGAGATACCAGTGATGGCCCACATGTCTCGAGCTTCTTTAGGAATGACATTCACGCCGACCCATTGGCTCGCAAGAGCATTTACGAGTATGCGAGTGTTTGCATCCAGAGGTTCGATAATGTCCTCAGGGAACAATAGTCTTGTGCTGCAGATCGACAAGGAAGCCGTGTGCGTCACATCTTGTAACAAGTCATCAACGAAGATGAGCTTGTAGCTGGAGAATGGAAAGGAGCCGTAGACAACGGTAAAATAGTCGATCGCCTGATACAATTGTCAGAAGAGCTTAAAAGTGGTCAGGAAGTTTGAAATACATACCTTGGCCATTGGCATGCAAGTGTTCCGTAGCTCTTCTGCCCTGCCTGGTAAGCAGAAGCCGTCTACTTTGATAGCATTTTGGCCAAGCTTGTCGTCCTCATCAACTTCTCTAAAATCAGTAAGGTCAACGTGCTCAAAGGGACCGATGGCAAAGCCGATATGACGAGCAGTAACCGGAGCAAAGCAGGCAAAAGAGACGGTTCGCCAAGTAGGATCCTGAGGGTCAAGAATNCTGAAATCTGTCAGATAACGCAATACTAGTATATGTTTGAGACTGCATACATCGTCTGTCATTTCACCTGAGCACACGATGCTCAAGTCCAAGGATTTTTCTTCCTCGCTGAGGTTAATCAGGTACTCATCCCGCGGCTTCTTGTCTTTCTGGTCGGTCCCAGTCATCTCCACATCCCCCTCAGCAGAAGTCCTTTGTGGCGTTTTCTTGAACGCATCGCCCAGAGTTTTGTGGCATCGTATTGAGATCTCCCACATGCACCGAGTCGTCGCATCATCAACGCACGGAAACACAGAGCAGATAGCACCCGGTCCCAATGTGTTCCTGGTGTAAAGATGTGGATATCGTGAGTCTTGATCCGAGAAACCAACGAAGTGGAGACCATCCCGGAAACTTGTGACCTCAAATTCTATCGTGACTCTCAAGGGAGCATATCTGAGCAATGGTTCTTGGGCATGTGATGTGGTTGGAGTCTCGGCTTGAGCGGGATAATCGCTCTCTTGTCTTCTGAGGCTATCCCTGACCAGAGCCGAAGAAGCATCAGTGTTCAGCTCCTTGATTTTGACGCGCAAAGGGATTTCCAGGGCCAATTCAGGGTCTGGCGATTGCTTGATAGCGCCCTCGATCTTGCTACGGAGGTATTCATGCTGGTTGGCTGTTGTTCTCCCTGGAAGCTTGATCTTCCGGTATGGGTCGGAGTAGGCAACTTCTGCTTTCGAGCCCTCGACGTTGGCGCTTAGAATACGAGCCTGGCGACAGTTCAAGCGGATAGTCTTAAGATCCTTGATTTCGGGTTGGATTGTGATTTCGGTAGAACCAGAGATGGACTGCCTCGCGAAATTGACGGTCAAATCAACCTTCTGCGAGACAACTGAGAAGCCGAGATCCAGTGATTGCTCGGTTGGAAGGGCGTTGTCAAAGTAGCCCGGCATGGCGCCCACTGCGCGCAACCTCTTGACCAAGTGTCAGCTCAGTTTGCATTTCCCATGCCACTAGACATGCGCGATGCGGTCGCGTTGGCTCGCTAAGTTCTGTCGTATGTCGCGCTTGCGTGTATCGAGGAAGGACGACTGGTAACGTGTAGTGGGGGCGGCGTTCGATGAAGGCGCGTGAGTGCGGCAGTCGTTCAGCGCTGGACGAGGTGTCGAGTGGCGAGAGAGGTGAGCGGGTGATAAGGCGACGTGAGAGGGCGAGTATAGATGCTTGACTTGATGCGGCGCAAGGCTCAGATCGACGGTCCAAAACGAGCTCTACAAGTCGGCGCTGGCTGTCGAGAGAGAAGTGACGGTGGAAGGTGGCCCGAGCTTTCGCGACTGCCTGCTGCTGTTGCAGCACCTCACTCTGAAACTCCTTGTGGCTTTCCATACCATTTTCTAGACCTCGCGCAGTCACTAGTCACTTGGCCGAATTGACATCTGTGTCAGATGATGAGGATACTGTTCTGGGCGCAAGCAATACCCAAAGCATGAAGACTCTGGCAGGCTAGGTCTTTCTCACAAAGACACATCGCGTGACAAGGTAAACGACAATCTAAATGTGGTTTATAATGCCAATATATGAATCGAGCAACCATTAAATGATATCCCTCAGGGTATTTCGCTAAGTCCATACGCCAAAACGCCCTCATGTATGCTAACAATATGTCATCCTGTACACCTGTCTCTCTGTTTCTCCTCTCAAGCCTTGCCTGAATCCATTGCCGTCTCACGCTTCATTCTCCTGCGTTTTCTTGCATTGTCTCTCAGTGCTTCTGGAGTCACGTAGTCTTCCGGCAAAGCGAAATCACGTTCCTCGACCTCCGGTATTGCCACCCCGAATGCTGTGAGGGTTCGACCATGTCTGGTATTTCCCAAGGCCGCTGCCCGCAGATGGGGTTTGGAGTAGAAGCTGACAAAGGGACCTTCTGGTGTTGGCTCTCGATATATCGTCGGAAAAGGAGCTGGAGGTGGAGGGGCGGGCTCGGGAACTGGAGCGGATGGCCGAGTCTTGCTTTTAAGCTTTCCAGGTTTACTGTCTTTCGCACCTTTGGCTCCTCCTGAAGCTTCGATTTGTAATTGGCGAGCTGCTGAGGCATCCAGATCGGCGGAAGACACCTCACTCTCGCTCTCGTCTTCTTCTTCATCATCATCCCCTGCCATGGCAGCAGCTTCCTTTCATACCGTATTCGCCTTTCTTCGTCCCTTCCACGTTTTGAACTTCAACAACAGTGCATTGACTTCATCAACAAAGTACTTTCTCTTTGGCTCGTACTTCTTGGCATCTGCATCCGCTACGCTGACAATGCCCATAACGCGCAGCCAATCGTGCCCNTGCAAGGCTTCGAGGAGTCTTTCAAGTTGGGCCTTCTCGTGCATCGCTCTCTCCTTTTCGATATTACGTAACTGCTTCTCCTTGCGCTCCGCTCGACGATGCGACTTGAAGTAGAAAGCATCTGTCAAAGGGTCTTTTGGATGATGGCCCACACTTTTCTCAATTGACGAGAAGTCAATGACCTGGGCGCCATTATATTGGTTTCTCTGCTTTGGCGAAAGTGGTGCTTTTGTAGGAGATATCGAAGCACGTTGGCTCTTCGAATTGCTCAATGAAGGGTCGGGTTTGAAGTTCGGATCTTGTGCAGGATCATAGGGCTCGTCACTGATGTGAATGATTGTGTCCGTAGTGATGAATTCTGTATAAGATCAGCCATGCCCGCTACAAGTGCTTGGGTTGGTCTTACCTGGTTCCTTGTTGGAGTCGTAGATGATGTCCTCGTAATTGGGAAAATATACAGCCAGCTCGCTCTTCAATCGCGGACCTTCATCGTGAGAGCGCAGACTACGCCTCTCTGACGTCTTTCGAGTTTGTCTTTGTGAGGGGTTCAGAGTTGAAGCCGTAGTTACAGAAGGTGACGTGTTGGTGGGTATTGAGTCTTCGGTGACACTCAGGGGTTTGCGTACGCCGTTGGTAGTCTGCAATAGAGGACCATGTGGTTCGGAGAGAGTCAGCTTGACGGGCGGTCTCGGAGACGGGATGGTCGCGTTTGTGTCGCTAACGTCAGCAGGTACCGCAGCAAGCTTCGGCCCTTTGAGCGTCAGCTTGAGGCGTTTGGCAGGCCTGTCGCCCTGTGCTGGGCTCTCGACAGCTTGATGGTCGTCGGCCAGGGGGTGCGGCGACGTGCTTGAGAGCTTGGAGGGTGGTGGTGTGGGGTGTCTGGCGGAGGCGCGCCGGGTGGGTGACCGGGTCGAGGTAGGTCTGAGAGAATTGACCATGCTTTTGATGGCAGACGACCATGATTCTTGCTCGACTGTGCCGCTTTGGTCCGTCGCAGCGTGGCCTGGTTGCTGCTGTGCCGAATCCTGCTGCCCTGCTGCACCTGCACCTGCTTCGCGCTTGCTTTCAGGACCCTTTGAGAGCCAGATCTGGAGAGGAGTCATCCGACAACATCTGGCCGGCCTATTTTGCGGCTGCGAATCAATCCTGAGCCCTGAACCTCCTCTTCTATCCGTAAGTTTGGCTATTGTCACTTTGGAAACGAGTGCCGTCTCATTACGGGTTGTCAAGCTCTCGCGTCTCCCTTCGCTGACTCCAACGTATAATCTTGGCAATCCCCTCTTCTCTTCGGCACATGGTCCTCAGGCATGCAACATGTCATTATGAGATAAATCAAATTTGAATTACGATATGAGTAGAGATACGGGACAGGCTCGGCAGAGTTTTGGAGGCCATCAGGTCACAAATCCTAGAATTTTCATTGTGGAAGGAGAAGACGTAGGTGCGTTGAAGTGTTCTGAGATCAGATGCTTTCGAGATATATGGATATTCTTCCGAAGCGCCATTGACAACTACAGCCACGAATGTAGGTCACATAACGCGTCGATCACGCTCATCTAGGAAACAAAAGTGTTCTCAAACCATAAAAGATGTCAGATAAACAGTTTGGAGGCTGTACGAACGATTGATTGTCTAGAAAAAGTCGTTGTCAGAGAAACCCTGTCCGCAAGCTATGCACACAAGAAAGCACATGCTAAAAACACATCAATGGAAAGAGATTCGTGATTAGCCATTAGTCGCTCGCTAAATGTCGGGTTCCGGGCGTGTCCCATATGTACAAATCGTAACTTAATAGGATCATGTGTTGATGAATTCCGTGACGATAGGGGATCGTGAGAACTGTGGGTTGAGAAGAATACANTCTGTTGACGGGAATTAGCATAGCTTTTGCTGCAAGATTATCAGGTCATCATACGTGAGGAAGTGTGCAAGACCTACTCTCCTCTGCTCAAGAAACTTGGTTCGAAATCGTGCNTGTTGAGAGTTAAGTAAGCAACATGGAAACACACGACTCGACGAGATTAACTTACAAACAAGGCTCTTCCTTGGCAGCTCTGGGATAGAGGCTTCAGAAAGTGGGAATGCTCCCACGAGGTTCTGCCTGAGCGTGTCGAATTCGGAATATCTTGGGGATGAGTCAGCATGGTTTGCTAGCAAGGGGAAGCATGTGAGCGACAAACCTTTACGGAGAGTGATACTGCCACCTTTGAACGTTTCGATGGTACAGTTCCATACCACATATGCACCTATCCCTGTAGGACCACTCACAACCACATAGTCATCGACAGAGACATTGCTTGCCCAGCATGCTCGACCAATTTCATGATCTTCGTCTGATTGATCAACAAGATCTATACCATGTCCTGTGGCCGGCGTAACTGAGTCTGTTCGCTCAAGCCGACCACCATTGAAGTACGGCGGTATTACATGAGTAGACTCTTCGCCAGGTGTGACTGATGACGCGGCCGTGTGATCCGAGGCGTTTACATCCTGCTGTTCTTGTGTAGTAGACGTGGCGGCGGCACCGGCGGCCAGAGGCTGGTCCTTTGCGGGGTGATTGCCGTTGTCAAGAGTTTCCGACTCCGCAGACTCCATCCATCAATCCGTGTTTGGGGGAGAAAAAATAGATAGAGTTAGCGGATCCTGTGCTCTGGAGAGGTTCAACTATCCATGGGGCAAGCAGAAATGGTTTGTGAACGGATGACAGTCGTAAGCGTTTGCTGGTCAACCCGCTCGGTCGACTAGCGCGTCAAGAAGACGTTCAGATGGCGAGAGAGAGGTTGGAGAAGCAGAGCCGCGAGAAAGGCTTGGCTAGAGGGTCGTCCTATCGGCTCACATCCAAGAGACAAGATTAGCCACAGCTCCTCGGCTCTGCTATTCTCCGGAGTTCTCTAAATTTCCTTGACTCGCTATTTCAATCAGAGCACGCAACTCAAAGGTCACACTACATCACAAGCCCGCTCATTGTCCGACAAAACTCATACCCTTTCGAAAAGAGAGACATCGAGACTGTTTCCCGGGCCTATTTCACAAAATAGGACAGACCATGACTCCACTTGTACCAGAGCATGCCGTCGTTTGATAGGCCTGGATGCACCCTAAGCCGCGGTCGGACGACCCCAGAAACGCATGCAGATACGGGAAGGGCGTTGACCACTGCTTTCGCCGCCCGCCATCCCCGTTTATGCTCTAGCAAGTAAAGCAAGCGGCGAGCTATGGCCCTTGAGCGTACAGGATAAAGACTCAACGTCTCTCCTGCTGGGGCAACTCTCTATATATCTCTCGTTACCTGCAGGACCATCACCTATAATACCTGTACCTACCCACTTTCGTTGTTGAAGAACATCTTTTCTTCGAAACCATCACCTGTCGCTACACTTTTCAAAAGTACTCATATCTATTCTTTCAAGCAGAAATCCAACAAGATGCGTGGTGTCGGTCTTCTCCTCCTGCCCGTGGTTGCCAAGTTGGCTTCCGCCCAAACTCAGTACAACATCAACGTTACTGCTATCCCTGAGGCCACAAGAGGTTTGTAGTGCCGCTTCGCCCTGATCATATGTGCACGTTTCTAATCTGCCACAGATATCTGGTGCACCAACCAGCAGAATGCTTGCCCTCTGATCTGTCTCCAGACTCCCGCCAACTCCTCGGACACCATTGAGGTATATACACATTCAGACCGCAACAATACAAAGAGTGCATACTGACTCTATATCTTAGNNAACGACTGCGACCCCGAGACCCTCGACTTCTCCTGCATCTGTGCAGACAACGTTGCCCCCAACGCTTCCGAGTACTCCCAAACGATCCCATACTACATCTGCACCGAACAGGGCACCCAGTGTATCGCAGGCTGCGGTGGAAACACGTGAGTAGAAAGATCTCCATCTACCACGACATCATGCTAACCTATATGGAAGTNNGATTGCGAGTACAACTGCAGAGCCCAACACCCCTGCGGTGCTCAGAACCCCAAGCGCGTCAACGTCACATCCACCTCTTCCTCCGCAACAGCCTCAAAGACCGGCTCCAACCAAGGAGAGGCCACAAACTCTGCCGGCCAGACCATATACTCTGGTCTCGGTGGTAGCGGCGGTGCTGCTCAGACCAGCACCAGCAGTACCAAGACTGGTTCTGCTGCTGCTCTCCAGCTCGGCCAGGCTTACGGCCTGTTTGCCGTTACTGCTGGTATCTTCGGAGGCTTTGCTCTTCTCCTGTAAAAAAGCAGACCACCAACCTTTTGCTTTTCCTCTTCTTCTATCTCTGATTTTCTCGTTCGATACCTCACACTCTTTTTTTGTAATCTGAAAGCATAGCAAAGCGATAGCGATACCTGACCTTCTTCATTCCTTATTTAGCGATTGGGACAGGGCACTAAGGGCATTTGTTTCCGGGAAAGGCGTCTATCTTTGCTTCGAACAGCTAATCGAAATTATTGAAATGATTTATTTCTTGACACCCCTGAGTTGTTCTTTATCATCTCTTCTGCATGTGAAATGTACTATTGTATTTCCTCAACTTCCCCAGATACAGATGTTGATCCTTGCCGCCTCCGGTATTTGCAGTAGTGTTTCATCGTCCCGAGATTCCCATTCTGCATTGGTATTTTGTGCTTTTTTGTCTTGATGGGGCACTGCTTGTGAGTCGTGAGTCGATATCTCATGTCGCTACAATGAGTGGAGGCGTTGCTGATCAGACACACCGCTTCCGTATACCAGTCCATTCTCAAGTGATCAGATGACCAAAGACGAGTAGATCAAGCAGTATCAAGAAAGGCGGACGAGAAGCCAAGGAGCCAAAGACCGTCAGATAAGATTGTCATCATCAATGTATGCGTCTCAAGGACAAGCAGGGCATGGTTTCGCTACAACTGTACAGAAATGTCGATTGCTGCATCATCACCCAAATAAGGGTATCTTCATATAAACTTTTTTTGCTCTTTGTCTCAGATAAACATCTTCTACATCATTCAACTTCGTCTAGCTGGTCTTGGGAGCGGCAGCAGCGGCCTCGTCAAGGTTCGTTGTGTCGAGTTTCTCAGCGACTGCATCGACGCTGGTCAATTGTGCTTGTTTGCTGGCGTCGATCTTTGCGGCAACGGCCTCCTCGAGCTTGTCCATACTGTAGGGGACACCGTCCTTCTCGGGGTGGCCTTCAGGCAGACCCATCTCCTTGAGCTTGAACTGACCGTTCTTGAGTTCTTCCTCGGCAAGAATAATTGCAAAGGGAACGCCGTTGGTCTCGGCAGCCTTGAATTGCGCAGGCAACTTAGGCTTGACTTTCCAGCTGAATTCGGCCTTGATGCCGGCATCCCATAGACGCTTGGCGACTTGCATGCGCTCAGGCAGGAGACCCTCGAAGCCCTTACCACCAAAGGCCATAACGAAGACGTCCACTTCATTTGTGCGGACAGACTTGTTGCCCTCGGCCTCCATTCTAGCCTTTGTGATACTGAAGATGCGCTCGACACCGAATGAGATACCAACGCAGGGGNNGAGGTTGTTCTTGCCGCTGAACATGCCGACAAGCTCGTCGTAACGGCCTCCTGCAGCGACGGAACCGACACCGACGCTGGGGTCATTGCTGCGGTCTTCGTCCTCGTTCTTGGGCTTCTTGCTCTTGGCCTGCACCTTCTGGCCTTCTGAGGTCTTGGGTGCGGAACCCTCAGTGACAATTTCGTAGATGACGCCAGTGTAGTAGTCAAGACCACGGGCGAGGGACATGTCGAACGAGATTCTGTCGAGGACGCCGAATGTGTCGAGGTAGTTGAAGAGGATCTCGATGTTGTCGAGACCAGCCTTTGCAGACTCATTTGCGCTGAGAGTCGCGTCGGCCTGGAGGTCCTTAAGAAGATCTCTTCCACCCTTGCGAACAACGTAGTTTCCAATCTTGTCTGCAATCTCGGGGTCGAGGCCCTTCTCCTCAGTCATCTCTCTCTTAACCTCATCCCATGGTGACTTGTCGAGCTTGTCAACAGCAGATGAAATGGTTCTCAGCTTGTCGGTGGGGACACCACACACCGAGAAGATACCGTCGAGGATCTTGCGGTGGTTAAGCTTGATTGTGTATTTGCCCTTCCAGCCCAGCTCGTCAAAGATCTCGCATGCGATTCTCAGAATCTCGGCATCGGGAATCATGGGGTCGTAGGAACCGGCAATATCGAAGTCGCATTGGTAGAACTCGCGCATACGGCCCTTGGTCATGGCAGGCTGGTCACGGCGGTAGACCTTTGCGATGTGGTAGCGCTTGATGTTCTGGACGGACGTGTTCATGGCGAGCCATCTGGCGAAGGGGACGGTCAAATCGTAGCGCAGAGAGCACAGCTCTCCACCTTGGTCGGCCAAATCATAGATGAGCTTGCTGTCCTCACCGTACTTGCCAGAGAGGATCTCCTTGAGCTCAAAGACAGGACTGTCGCATGCGGAGTCAGCATACCAAGCAGGCGATTGTTTCGCATGGTCCTTGACTCACGTATCGATCGTCACAGCACCGTGACGCTTGAAGACGTTGGTGATGGTGCTGAAGATCTTGTCGCGGATGACCATGTCCTTGCCTTCCCAGTCCTTGGTACCCTTGGGCACCTTGAGCTGGAAGCCACCCTTGTCTCCCTTATCCCTTGCCCATGTTGAATTGTTCGTTTCGATTCTGGTAGTGGATTGATGTAGAGAGTGCGCGGTTGGCCAGATATTGGAGTGTAGGCCTCGAAAATCGGAGTTGAGAAGAGAAAGGCCTTGCGAATGATACAACAGCCTTCATGCAAGTATGCAAAGCCAGTCCAGAGGTATACAATTGAGAGTCACAAGAGCAGATGGAGGGGTACCAGGTCGGCCATGGAAATTGTACGCGATAGAGTCATGCTCTTGGCATTTTTGTCGTCTTCACGACAGTGTCAAGGCCACACGTTTGTTTCATCTCAACTTCGATCCGCGACTTTGCACCAACTTGACTTTCTTTCTCCCACGCCTTCGTGATTGCAGGATGTGATGGCGCCCCATGCAGAGATAAACCCTCAAGACATCACCGAAAGGGCCCGCAGAGATCTGCTCCAACTGCTCGAAGGCGTACGTAAGGCTACCTGGAAACTGGTCAATTGCCCTCCTGTTGCACCTGCTCACATCCATTGCGCAGGTACCTGGCAAGAAGAACCTTGTGATTGAAAAGTCTCTTGCTGGTCCAATTGGCTTGCTCGTCAAGTTCAGCACTTTGCAGGAGTATGGCGTCGACAAGGTCTTCTACGTAGAGAACCGCAATGTTGACGAGTCTCAACGCAACATCGTCTTTCTCGCTAGAGGCGAGAAGCCAAAGGATGTTCAACTCATAGCTGGTAGGTTATGATTGCTTGCTTGCCACCGTCTGAGAGCTGTGTCTTTGCCTCTTGCATTTTCCCTAGCTAGATGTACCCTTCACCACCACATGGGCCTTAAAGTAGAGTGCGCAGGTTTACACCTACCCTGCACGTTCAGTCTTGTGCCCTACATCAAAATCGTTACATCGACTAGCCAGTTGATGCAGCATGAATCATTAACTCTCTCTGTTGCGCCGCCGTTCCGAGAGATGTTATCATTACATGCTAACATATCCATAGAACAGATTAGTCAAATTCGTCAAGAAAGCAAAATCGACCATGAATTCTCCGTCTTCTGGGTGCCCAGGCGAACCCTCGTCAGTGATAGAATTCTCGAGGAGAACGGTGTACTGGGAGAGGTGACCATTGGCGAATGTCCGCTTTTCTTGATTCCTCTGGAGTCTGACCTGTTGTCGCTCGAGCTTGAAGATGCATTCAGTGACTTGTATCTGGTATGTGTTCTATCCAGAGAGAGACTCGAGCTGTACTAACCTCAAAACAGCNGCAAGGATCCTACATCGATCTTCCTCACTGCCAAAGCATTGATGCGCTTACAAAAATCTACTGGCCTCTTCCCACGCATACTAGGAAAAGGTGACAACGCAAAGAAACTTGCCGACTTGCTCATCCGTATGCGTTCCGAAGAGGAAGTCAGTGCTTCTTCTACCACCACCAAGTCACCATCAACCTTTGGGCTAACACCAAGCGCGGTCGTGGAGAATGTTGTCATCATCGACCGCGAAGTCGACTTCTTCACACCCCTAATGACTCAACTAACATACGAGGGCTTGATCGACGAGGTCTTCGGCGTCCGTCACAACCAAACCGAAGTAGACACGTCTATTGTTGGAGCAGCGCCTCAAACACAGAAGCCACAAGGAGCAGCGGCAGCAGCAGGCAACTCCACTCAAGCTGCTACCAAACGCAGGATTCAGCTTGATAGTTCCGACAAACTGTACCCTCAATTGCGTGACTGTAACTTTGCTGTCGTAGGACCTTTGCTCAACAGAACCGCTCGCCGCCTCCAAGCAGACTACGAATCGCGACACAAAGCCGATCAATCAATTTCCGACCTCAAGACCTTCGTCGCAAAACTGCCATCATATCAAGCCGAGCAAGCTTCGCTGAAGATCCACACTTCTATGGCCGAAGAAATCATGAAGACCACCCGCAGCGAAATCTTCGGCCGTGTCCTTGAAGTCCAGCAGAACTTTGCCGCTGGAGCCGATCCCAACAGCATGAACGACAACCTCGAAGAACTCATCGCCAGAGACATCCCTCTCTCTACTATCCTCCGCCTCTTATCTCTAGAATCGTGCATTGGCGGCGGCATCCGTCCCCGCGAGCTCGAAAACCTCAAACGGCAAATCATGTACGCGTATGGCCACCAACACCTACTCACCTTTGCCGCACTCGAGAAAATGGGCTTGGTGGTTACGAGACAGAGCAACACTGGCTACCTCAACCCCATGAGCGGAGTCAATTCTGGAAACACGGATTATAATTCTGTGCGCAAGACGTTGAAGTTGTTTGTTGATGAGGTGGACGAGCAAGATCCTACGGATGTTTCGTATGTGTTTTCGGGATATGCGCCGTTGAGTGTGAGATTGGTGCAGTGTGTGCTTCAGAAACAGATGCTGGCTCGTCTTTCCAACCCGAGGTCTTCAAGTACGCCCAATGTCAATGGTGCTACTGGGAACGTTACACCTACCACGCAAGCAGCTGGGTGGAAAGGCTTTGAAGACGTGCTTGCGAGGATCAAAGGCGCTACTGTGGATGAAGTGCAGAAAGGCTCTAACGCAGAGGCTTCACAGGCGAGACAAACACTCAGAGGCGGTGCTGCTGGTGGTTGCAAGACTACGATTGTGGTGTTCCTGGGTGGTGTCACGTTTGCTGAGGTTGCGGCGCTCAGATTCATGGGCGAGCAGTTGGGTGAGAAGAAGAAGATTGTTATTGTGACTACGGGTATGTTGTCTGGTAATGCCACTGTCGAGGCGGCTATGGAGAAGAGGGCTTGGGGTCGCAAGTAGATGTACAGTAAATAGTAATGACGCAGATGTTTTTGTGCAAGAAAGTCTGCAAATGTCGTTGTTCATGCTTTCGTGTACAAGGCTATTGAGGTTCTACAGATAGCCACCGCCGGAGAACTTTGAGCCAAAGTTGGAAGCCTTGTTGAGCAGGTCCTTTTGTCGACAAGACCGAGCGAGCTGCCACCAATGTCTTTCTCTCTGTTGAAAGCGCGTTTACTGGGGTCGTCATCCTTGTTTTCTGGATTTGACTCTTTGTGTTGTGCCATCAACGATGGTCCTCTTGCTTTGTCCTGTAGTGATATGTCAGCTTGATTATCCAGGATTGCAGATACAAGCGAACTCACAGTCTGTTCGCGTATGCGTCTTGCCTCTGCCTCCTTCTCCTTGTTCCTGGCTGCTTCTTGAGCATCAAAGTGTCCAGCAGTAGCTGGCTTTACACCCATTGCCTCGTTTTGCAGACGCTTCAGTTTCTCCTCTGGTGTCTCTGTCCATGCTGCGGCGATATTTCCTCCGGCGGGAGTTGTGTTGCCACCTCTTGCATTCTTGCCGGTGTTGAAGCCTCGAGCACGCATCTTGGACGGATCCATACGGGCTGCGAGATCGTCTTGCTGGGGTGGTAGTGTCATCCATTCGTCGCGCTGAGCTCTGACAGGAGCTGCTGCTGGCTGTGGTATTGAGGGCCCGATGTTATTGATGGAAGGGTTCAGATCGGCTGCAGTTGGCAGAGCTGGACCGAAATCATCGTCATCATCCGACTCGTCGTCCGAGTCTGGTGGTGCCGTTGGACGTTCATCGAGGGGAGCTGGTGGTGGTGCAGGTCCGGCGATGGGACGAGTTGGTTGAGGATCCGAGGGCGGTAAGGTAGGACCAACAGTCGTTGATGGGACTGAGGGCGGTAGAGAGGGACCTGCTGTTGTTGGCGAAGGGGATGGTGGCAGTTCTGAATCAGTGAGTTTTTGGCGTTTGTCCTTGGGGCTCTCTTGATTTGCGCCGGAAGAGGTGGTTGGCTGATTCTTCTCCTCTTCCTCTTGCTGACGCTTCCTCTTGGCTAGGAGATGTGGCGGGAGCTCTGGACCTGCTGCCGACATGGTGAATAGATGTGTATGGATTGTTGTTAATGAAAGTTGATAGTTGTTTGGTGGTTGGAGCGCGTCATCGGTATCGCAGTAACTTCGGATTCTCGTTGTCGCCATGGACTTAGGCTCCAACTGTCAAGGCATTATCTCCACACGATCGTATACCACCACCGCGAACTGTTCTCACCACTTGTATATTGTGTATCGATTCTGTTAGCCTGGTTCTGTGACTTGACAGCAAAAGAAAGACTCGGCGAAGTCGCAACAAAGCAATAGCAAGAGAAGGAAACGAGCAATGTCCACAGGCCGACACGTTGGTCAATGAGCTCCCCGCCCGGCCATACCCATCTGGATGGCCATGACGCTGATGGCGCCTTCNCCTTTCCACACCACCAGGACGCCAATCAGGACCATGAAGACTCGTTCTTGACGACCGACGAGACCGCGAGCCGTGCCGCCAGCCCCGTGTTCTTCCCAGACCAATCCGTCCGCTCCCTCGAAGATGAACTTGGTCAACAAGACATTGACGAAGTCGACGACGTCGCTGGCCTTGGTCCACAAACCCCCGACCTCGCTAGCCCTTCCGAGTCTGCTTCTATCCCTGATGACACTCCCTCTGTCCAAGGCTCTGTAGCCTCTTCGATACCCATCCGCCGTCCTCGCCTGAATCCGCGTGCCTCGACCAACTCTCCTCGAACCCCTTCTGGTGCCCTACAACCCTTTGAGCGACGCTTCAGCTCTAGGTTCACCTCGCCCTCGCCTTCGCCACGTGCTGCCTCTCCTGCCTTCCNNCTGACCCCGCACTCTCGCCAATCCTCGCTCTCCTCTCAGATTGTCCTGTCGCAAGGTGGTAGTGATATTGCAGATGCTCCAGATGCTCCTTGGGAAGTTGTACGATGGACAAGATTACGGAAAATCACTTCTCAGGCTTTCTCAGAAGCCGGTAGACGTAACTTTGGTACCCCCGTCTGTCTGGCCGTCTCGTCTTCCATAACCATTGGCACGTCAAAAGGTCTGATCCTGGTCTTCGACTACCATCAGACCCTGAAGGGCATCATCGGACAAGGTACAAAAGCGGTCGAGTGTGGCGCTATCACCGCTTTGGCTATTTCTGCCGATTACTCTGCGATAGCCGCCGGTCATGCCACAGGCCACATCTTTACCTGGGAACTCGCCCATCCTGCTAAGCCCTTTNTGCACATTCCGCCCGTACCGAGGGATGGTCAATCGCACTCTCCAGACGGTCACGTACCAGGTCGTTCAGTCTTACATATAGGCTTTCTTGGTACTCGTCGTACCGCTCTGGTGTCTGCTGACGACGGTGGTATGGCCTTCTCTCACCTTGCAAGTCGTGGAATGGGTGCCATCTCTCGTTCTGTCAAGACCACTCGCTTGCTTGGACGCTACCCCGCTCCTAATCTGCAAGAAGAAGCACGAATCAAACCTAGTTCTGTGCTTGCTTTCGCACCACTTCCTCTAGGAAACGTCGAGCAGGCTACTGATGCCATGGGACTTACAGCTCTACTAACACCATATCTGCTTGTCATCGTGTCCACTACACCAGTTGCACAAACACAGCATAAGGCTCCAAGACCAAAATCAATATCACGCCACAGTGCCATGAGTGGCTGTCTCGCTTGGTTCCCAGCTGTCAAGTTAAAAAGCAGCAACAGCACAACCGAGCGGGACACTTCAGAAACCAAACTCGTTTATTGTTGGTCAAATGTTCTGACAGTACTCGACGTTGACGTAAGGGTGTCACAAGATCCAGCCGACAAAGATAAGCCTCCCACTCTGTCCTTCCTACCAAGGAGTACTTGGGAGTGTGAAGAAGCTATTGTCGCAGTTCAGTGGCTCAGTCGATCAGTTATCGGCGTGCTGACCATCAGCCAACAGTTGATTATCATAGAAGATGGCGAGTTACATGTCATGGACTCGGTGGATCTTCTGCACAGGCAAATACATCATCGTGATATCTTCTCGAAGCAGCTGCATCCTGTCGTTGAACAGGCCGATAATGAACACTCGGAGATGCACGGAGTCGTTGCAGATGCTTTCTATCAGAGTTTCAGAGTCTACAAGAACCGCCTCTTTCTCCTTGGAGCAAGCGATCTTTCAGTCGGTACTCTCTCAAATTGGGCGGACAGGTTGACTGCATTGATCGAACATGGCGACTACATCGCAGCTATACAGCTTGCCAGAGCATACTATACTGGACAAGCTGGTGGTGTCACAGTGGGCTTACCAGATAATGCAGATGCCCGACATGAGCTGGTCAACGGGAGACTACTGGAACTCATGTCTGCGTCCATCCTCTTCTCTTTCTCAGAAAACAACAACAGTGGGCGACCGCTGTCAGATCTTGTGGCGGAGTGTTTTGATGCTTGTGTAAGCATGGACAACCAAAGCTTCTTATTTGATGATATCTATGAGCCACTAAGAGATGCTGGCCAAAGAGAGGTGTTCCTCGAGATCCTACAATCATACATCATGGACGAAGAAGTTACAGCTTTGCCACCGCCATTGGTGAAAGATCTGGTAGAGAGTTGCACTGCGAAGAATCAGGTCGCTCACTTAGAAGAGCTCTTGTGTCGGCTGGATCCGCGCACATTCGATTTGGACCAGATCACCACCCTTTGCAAAACACATTACTTGTACGATGCGTTAACCTTTGTCTGGAACGAGGCATTGAACGACTACGTTACTCCGTTGTCTGATCTGTTGGCACTCCTGCGGGATGTCAAAGACGTTCAAGATCAAACGGAGGAAGCAGCATTGGAGTCGGCTGTAAAGGTGTTCCCCTATCTTGCATTTATCCTGACAGGAAGGAAGTACCCACAAGGAGACTTCCTCGATGACGAAAAAGCCGACACTCAGAAAGGAAACATCTACCGCTATCTGTTTTCACACGAAATCACTGCATGGCCTCCAGGATCTTCCTTTATCTTGAAGACCCGACAAAATTCCTCAGATGAACCTGCCTTCCCTTATCTACGACTTTTGCTCGAGTATGACTCGGCAAGTTTTATGAGCATGATGACGGAAGCCTTCGAAGACCCCTATCTCAACGACTCTCAAGAAGACGATACCACGGCTGTTCAACCACAGACAAATGGTGCTGGTTTGAAAATCACCCGACAGTATATCGTCAGCGTTCTGCTCGACATCATGTCCTCAGGTGATTTTGTACCCGAGCAAACAATTTATCTTGACATGTTCATCGCAAGAAACCTGCCAAAATACCCCCAATTCATGGTGTTGTCAAGCTCCTCACTACACCAAGTACTCGACCGACTTTGCAGCTTCCGTGAGGACGACTTGGTCGATGACTGTCAACTCAGTGCCGAGTACCTTCTATCTGTATATCATCCTCCTGTCACGACTTCGCTTATCGAACAGCTTCGAGATGCCCAGTTCTACCGCGTCCTCAAGACACTTTACAGAACCGAACATAGGTCTGTCGATCTCATCACCACATACTTCGAAGATCCGCAAGGGAAGAATGGTATATTCGACGATCTAGCGTACGCTCTACAAGAGTCGCATGACAAGCGAGCAACCCAGTTGAAGGACGTCTTGTGCGAACACGCTCAAGAGTTGGCATCTATCAACACTTCAAAGACTGCAAACACACTCGCGAGATATGCCGATGACGTTCTAGAACGTTTCGTCGACGCTATCGAGGAGTCGTATACTCGGTTCCACTTCTTACGTACATTGCTTGAGCCTTCCCTGCTCGACAATCGTTCGAAGAAGGGTACAAGCGAGCCGGTAGCAGAAGCTCTAGTGTCACGCTTCTGCGAACAATACGTTGAGCTCATGTGTGTCCACGACCCACGACACGTGGCTGACTATGTCGGACTATTGAGGTCTGGCGATCTGGACCTTGACCGTGTACTTCCGTCAATGGAAGAGAATGGCGTAATCGATGCAGCAGTTCTGCTTATGGCTCAGGACGGGTTGGCGAGAGACGCTATAGCTCGACTCTGCAAGCATTTACGGACATTGCAGAATGCCATCTGCAGTCTGATCGAAACTGCATCAGAAGCGCCAGACGTACAAAGCACAGAAGAAGCCACCGATGACCTGATAGAAGCCGTTGAGAAGTACACACGTCTAGGCATCTGGCTCTGCAACGGACAAAGCGCAGCAATGCATCAACACCGCCAACCACGTCAACGCACGAACGTCGCTTGGGACATCAAGGAAGACGATCTTGAGCTGGATGAACTGCTCTGGCTAAATCTCATTGACGCCATCGTCTCTGTGTCCAAATCTGTAACCGCAGCGACCAATGATCTTGTGGATGACACCTCCTTCGACATTGACAGAACAAACAATGCTCTCCGCGGTACCGTCCAACAAACCTTTACAGCCCTCCTTGGCGCCACTTCAACCACGATCACAAAGTTTGATAATGAAGATGAGCAACATACTACATCTCGTCGCGGTCAACACAACCAATCCTTCCTCTACATCTTCCGCGCATTCCTCTCCCGCGCGTCTTCCTCCTATGCACCCACCCTCTCCGATCTTCGCGCCGTCCTCCTTGACGTCTTTGCAGCTTACGCCCATGAGTCATCTGTTCTAAACTTGGCCTCTTCACTCCTCGACGTCGATGTCTTTGCAGATATGGACAGCATCCACAGCCTACGAAATCGAGGCTGGCGCACCCAAATATGCGAGCTTTGTAAGAAGCGTACTTGGGGCACGGGCGTAAGTGCCGTGGAGCACGATCACGAAGCCATTTGGGAAGAGTTTGAAAGGCTGGACGAGCAGAGGATAGCCAAGAAGATTGAGAAGACTCGACCACAAGATAACGGCAAAGGCAAGTCCGCGGTGATGGNNGGATGTGGTAGAAGCAAAGAAAGAGAAGAAGTGGTTAAGAAGATGACATTGGTGGTATTTGCTTGTAGGCATACTGTGCACAGGGTTTGTCTCGAGATCGAAATGGCTGGGGATGGCAACGCGAGTGAGGACGAGAGGAGTGGATATTCTTGTCCTGTGTGCCATGAGCAATAGCAATGTCAAGGTCGATGCAAGAGAAGACAGGATAATGTGTTTAGTTGTTGATACTTTGGGATAAGTAGACCTGGTGACAGTCTCAGTTTAAGGGAGGTCTCTATTTCTTGCTTCCTTCCCCTTTCTCTCTGCCCGCTTCTGTTCAATAATTATTCCTCCCTGCCCTTCGATCCACTGCTCATTTCCATTTGAAGATTGATTCACACCTTGCACGTGCCCAAAGCCTCTTTCTCCAATGTCCAATGCTGAATCTGTGCAAAACCGCTCTTCCTTGATCATCGAAGGCACGGTGAGTGTGTATAAAACCGCTCTTCCCTAATCACCAAGGCCCAGCCCTCTTAAATTTTAGCCTCCCAATCATCGAGTCTCTCCATGCAGTTCTCATAATAAACCTCACTCATCAACTTGCGAAAGTCTGGGTCTTCAGTGCTGTTGTAAATTTTGGTAAGTTCGTCGACGGTTTTCTCCTTGAGTTTGTTGCGGATACTGTTCATTTTGTTTCTGCGACCGAGCTTTTGGGAGGGTTTTGAAGAGGTCGATGTGCGAGGGGTTGGATTTGGAGACTTTTGAGGAAGAGGAGGTGGTGGTGGTAGAAGCTCTGGAGGTTTTGGTGTGGCTGGTGGTGTGGGACATAGGAGGTTGAGCAGGGGCTCGAGTGGAATTGTGAGTTGGAGATTGAGAAGGAGATGTGCTTCTTGTGTAGCTGTCCAATGATGCCTCGAGCTCAGCCCTGTCAGCCAACTCCCAGAAGTTGTGGCCATTCGGCATGTTGATTGTTCTTCCGACAGGGCCGCCGAAGAGGCTCTGGCGACCTGTGGGAAGATCTGAGTTTCTGAAAGATCATTTTGTTAGATGTATTCGGTTTCACGCAATCAAGGCGGCTTACTCGTTGGCAGACTTCTCGTGGTTACCAGGGGTCTTCTCGCGTGAACTGGCGCGTGCCGTTCTATCTCCTGGCGCAAGTGGTTTTTGTGCAGGTCTGCGCTTCATGCTTGTGTGGGCTGTAGGTTTGTTGCTTTGTTCGTTGTTTGTGTTGACGGCAGCTGAGTTCATGGTGTTGTTTGTGCGGTGGGAACTTTTGAAGACCAACACTTCGATGCTGAAAAGTCATGTGGTCAGTCAGGTTCGAGAAAATAATTTGGTTCACACGAACTCATCCTCGGAATCCTCGATGCACGCGGTGGACTGGTAATATGGGAATTCAGGCATTGTTTGTTTTCTTGGTCTGACGAGAAGAGATGGTCGATGTTTGAACGGTGCGCGCTGTAGTTCTTTGTAAACAAGTGGATCTACGCAGTTGGCAATTGTATAGTGACAATGAAAAAGTGCTGAAGTGAAAGAGTGATAATTACACAAAGTGATGTAGCCTTTAGTGAAATTGAATCAGCAGAGTGGTATTTTCACTTTACGATCAAGATTATTGAGGAACTTCGGTAACCACTATATCGTGATGGCTATCTTCCGCCATTTCTTGATATCGATATGCCAATTCGATTTTTTGAAGACTCCAGTCTCAATCTCCAATCTGCTCTTCCCATTCCTTGAGCATAGCCATACGTTTCTCGTGGTATGCGTCTTTTATGATATCGCGGAACAGCTCTTGCGTTGTTTCATCATGCATCTTGAGAAGCTCCTCAAGCGTTTTCCCTCTCAGCTTCTGATTGAGTTTTCCAAGTTGCTTGTTGTAGACTACTTTTGATGCACTGTGAGCCGAGAGTGTAATGTGACTGTTGACTTCTTTTGAGTACTGGGTTTCGTCACTTTCGAAGCGGTCCCTTTGGTGGCAAGGGTTTTCGAAGACGTTGCGACGCTACCAGGACCAGGTATTCTTTGGGATACCTTCTGGCCTTTGCTGTTGTATAGATTAGCTGTAGCAGTAGTGATGTTGGTATCCGTGACTTGCTTTGCCTGGTTTGCTAAGGCCCTGTGAAACATGATGTTAGATAAGTCTAAGCCCCTGCAATTAGCGAGACTCACTGCTCGTCAGACTCCTCTACGTCAATAATCTCTTCATCTGAACTGTCTCCAAAGGGCTTCATGTCTCTCATCAGAAGGCCCCTGTCGTTCAAGGGAATGAAATAAGTGGGATCAATGACCATGTTGCTTGTGGTGAGAGAAACAAAGATGTCTTGATCAGCTAAGGAAAGAGGTCTCGATCAGAAGAAGAAAGAGAGATTTATGTATCTTTGAGGAAAGGTTAGCAACCAAGTGCTTTCAAGGATGTGAAAGTAGGGGAAGGAAGGAGCAATGGTGAAATCCAAAAGGTACCAGAGTTCCAAGCGGATAGAAGTTTTCGTCTTTGAAATTCATCAAGTGTTGTCTTCACTTCTGAACTAAAAGCAACCAAGAGTCTTTGAACTTGGAATGGTCGCGTATGCTAAATCTTGTGGTGTAGTTCACTTGATGGTGACGGGATCTGCTCTATTCAATTTATATAAACGCTCGAAATATAGGAAGAATGTGAAAGACAACGTTATTTTAGATTCCATCCTCATGCTAACCAAAAGATCAAATCCTAGATTTTTGCATGCGAAGTGACCTTGTTCCTGATGCTCAGAAATGTTCTGCTGATGTTGAAGTTCTAACTTTTCCGAAGTCCTTGTATCTCCTGGTTATCTGTTCTTGTTCTCGGCTCATCTCGGGAATTCTTGGACCAAACGTCAAGTTGACTTTCCCATTCTTTCATCTCGGCCAGGTGCTTCTCGAAGAGAGTGTTCTGAATCAAGTTTTTGATTTTGTTGCTGGCATGACATGTCGAAGCCTTGTGTTGCAGCATCTGGAGTTGCGATATCGTTTTGGTTTCAAGCTTTCTGATGAGCTGGGTTTCCTTCCGACGCAGCATGTAGAGTTGGTGTTGGTTCAGATAGGATCCAATGCATCTTTCCTCATTCGTGAGCTTCGTGACCTTCGCTGGGTTTATGAAGCGAGGAGGAGGGGCAGCATCTTTGCCAGTCGACGGCCGAGCCATGTGGTTTTGATATATAATTCGCTCCTCATTTTCTGAGCCCGCTTCCGGACTACTGGAACCGAGTCTCAAAGGGTTCACATGTTTGTCACTACTNATGTCAAGTGCTGATTAGCAATGTCGAAGATCCAAGATATCGGGAAAAGCTCACCTCGGCTCCCACCCCTTCTCGAGAGAAGATAGCGTCTTGTTGCTGGCATCGATTAGATCTGGGGCAAGATTCGCATGCATGTTATCGTCCAGAGAGTGAGATGGAATCAGTCGCGGTTCGCTCTCGGTTGTATACCTTGCAGAGTTGTCCTGCTCCACTGTTGGTAATGCAGCCTCTATGTTGCTGGATGAGGGTGTCTCCGGTACCACATACGAACGACTGCTAGATTGAGAGTCAGTCAACGAGATCGAGATCTCAGGCAGTGTTGCCAACTCACATCCAACTGGAAGGGCTGTACATGTGTGCAAGCCGATAGGGACAACTGATTCACGTCTGAAAGCCTCCAAGTTACTTCTTCTGGACAGTGAACGGAGCATGGTTAGCTTATCCAATGTTTTTATGCATGGTATTCTTGGGACGTTAGGGCGGGAAAGGACCTGACAGAGGACAAAACAACGTCTCCGAGCAGCAGAAGATGCCGAGTTGAGAAGAAACGATGGAAAACCTTGGGAGCCAGTGCGAAGATGGCACTTTTCCAGAAGGAAGGTTCTGTATGCAAAGACAGTGATGCAGTGAAGCGGCTGATTGCGACTCGGAGGGAAATGGGTCTGTATTGAGGAGACCTTGAAGGAGATCTTGATCAATATTTGTATCGCGTGAGGGATTCAAAATATAAGAGTAGAAGCCGAAAAAGTTTCATTGTTATGTATCAGGCTTATTCGTGTCACAAAGACAGGATTGAAGAAAAGTTGACTTGAGCTCTGAGGATTTGCGTATCCACCCGTCCAGTTTCGCTCTGGTTTCGAACCAATTGAACCAAGAAGTCAAACAGCTTTCTGGCCCCTGAAAGACCTGAGCCCCCACGGGTGTACTTGTTCTTGCTTATCTAAGAAGACTCAAACCGATCTCCATTTCCACTGTCTCCCTCTCAAGGATAACCCTTTTCACATACAGCCGGAAGTAGTCAAGAGAAGGGTCGATGGTCTTCTCGAGGTCGAGCAACTCTTCGTATGTATAAGTAGCCAACTTGTCCCCAAGGCGACGAGAGACTCCATCATGTAGCTGTAACTGATAATCCCATGATTGCTTCAAAATGTCAAAGTCGTGTTTCTTGTTGTACAGGGGCACACGAGATTTGGACGGTTTGGATTGAGGCATTCCAGCAGACGCGCTGGACTTCTTTTCGGCCTCTGATTTGGTGCTAGACGTGCATAAGCTTTTGATCCTCAAACTTTTTGACGTGTAGTTCTCGCATACCTTGATCCGGAGCTGACCGTAGACTCCTCAGTCTTCAGAGAGCTGTTGAGAGGCTGATTACTGAATCTCACACTACGTAGGAATTAGCAGAATGGACCGGCGATCGAAATCGAGATATTGACTTACTTCTTCTTTGTGTTGGCAGCAGACTTCTCGCTCTTCAAAGAGCTCGAGGAAGAGGAGCGATTGAAAAGCGCCATGGTGTTTGGAAACGCCAGCAGCGAAAGTCTGCGCTTTGAGATAGAAAGCGCGAAGGGGAAGAAAAACAAAGAGAAGTCGCCGCACGGAGTTGTTGGAAGCGCAAACATTCACACCTCCAAAAGTGAAACAACCAACTCCTTCACTTCCATCCACCATCTCCCACACATCCAGTCACTACTATCCTTCATCCAACCAAAAACAGCAAAAAACCAGAGCCCTGCTCTAAGGGAAAACCACCCCTCGATCCCTTGATTATAGTCACCCAATGGCGGACATTGGGCTGCATCAAGTCAATTAAGACATACACGGCGGGATTCGAACGGTGGTTTTATTACCGTCAATCTTGAGTTGTAGACCGTTACACCAAACTCAGCGGACTGGGGGTTTTGGCGCAGACTTTAGTTGAATATAAGGTCGGTTTGCATAAACGTACGTGGGCCTCGAATCTCTTTGGTGTAAATTCTCGGCGACACCCCCTGCATTCATATTTCCCAGTATCGGTAATGCGCGGCATCTTGACGACGCTGTGTATTATGAGGTGAATACCCGGCGCTATGGTTTACAAGTGGACGTGTTTTTGAAATGTGAAGCTGTCGTTGGAAGTGTTCGTCAAGATGATGCTGACGGGGTGGTTATTGTTGCCAACAGAATGCCTTCATGTACATAATCCACCTGTGAGAATGTAGTCGGCACGAATTGCCCATCGTGTGAGCATGCATAACGTGAGCATAAGTCGACTCTAACAAGCATGAGCCAACCATTGACTTTACGAGTAATTTATTCCGACTTGGGAAACGCACAAGGGCCTGCGGAGGCATCGGACAATAGAAAGCTATAATTCACTTATTTAACACAAATGCATGCAAGGGAAGCCGAAACATGAGCTAGCATTTCTTTTATCATCTCAGTGAGCAATATGATACGATGGACTGCTAGAATGATTGTAAAGCAATAGAGCTAAGCAGGCAAAAGAGCTATCGTTTAAGAACGTGATAGCTTCCGATCACTCATCACTATCATCATCCACAACCTGTCTTCTCCTACCCAGCTTTTTGCGAACAGGAGCAACATCCTCATCCTCATTTTCATCAGACACAACCTCAACAACTTCCTCCGGCATACTAGACGGTCCAAAGTCAGGCAAGTCCTCGTCACTTCCCTCAGCAATATCGTCTTGAGTGAACAGATTGAGTCTGTTCTTCTTGGGAGGTTTGTAAACATGAGGCTGAGAGCTTGAAGCGAACTCGATGGGCGCATCGCTACCAACGACAAAGTCGTCGAGCTCTGAGTCTGCTTCATCTTCTTGATCATGACCTTCTTCACCAGATGTGTCTGCAGAGCCGAGATCGATGCCTTGAGTACCGATACGCAGGTGAGCAGGTGTAGGGTCTGGGCTAGAAGATGATCCTTCCATGTCTGAGCTGTTTTGCCTGGGTGCTTGTTTTCTTGGACGACCACGAGGCTTAGGCGTTTTTGCTTCAGCTGGTGGTTTGGGTGCTTTGGGCGCCTTAGCAGCCTTCGGTGCTTTGGGCTCTTTCGGTGCCTTCGGCTCTTTTGGCGCTTTGGGAACCTTTGGAGCTCTTGGTTTTGCAGGTGCCTTCTTTGCTTTGGTCGTTGTGGCGACTGGCAACTCAGAGTCTGACACCTGTACAGCGGTCGGATTACCCAGCATGTCAGACACATCACCCTCGAGGTCTGACTGGTGGTAGGCGTCTTTGAAACTTTGTATAACATCGTCATTGATGCTGCCCAAGCGTTTCATCAGACCTGAAGCTGCTTGCGCGCCTCTTCCATGTGTTATGAATTTGGTCGGCCCAGGGAATGAGCTTGAGAATCGGTCTAGTCGTGGTAGGCCGACAGTAAGAGCATGGTCGTTTGTGACGTACTTGTATTTGCGGTCAAGCTCGCGATCACAGATCTTGTTCAGATAGACCTCGTCAAGCGATGGTATGGAAACCGCCTCAATGCCTGGAGGAGGACGGAACATCTTCTTGACCGAGGCAGCCGTCGCTTTCTTGCCCTTGGCTTTACCTCGTGGTGCTAACTCCTCTGCATCCTCATCGTCCATTCTGCCCGCTTTAACAAACCCTGTTCGGACATTTNNGTCAGGCATGTGGAACTTCTTGGGAGGTGCCTTAGGAGCTCGTCCACGTTTTTTCGGCTCAGGCAGATCAGCCTGCGAGTTCTCCACAGGAATCTCAACGACTCTTTTGTCCACAGTCGGTTGAGTTTCTCTTGGAAGAATACGAGGCGATCTGTCATCATGAAAGGTGAAGTCTTTGCCAGAAGCAATCATGCCTTGCATCTTCTCGTAGTTGTCTTTTGCCTTTTCGAAATCAGGAACTTCTTTTCGTTCATANAGAAGCAGAACAATGTTACCCCTCCGCTTTCTTCCAGTACGTCCCATACGTTGGAGCATTCTGATGGGTGATGCAGAAGCATCATAACAGACAATGAGATCAACTTCTCCGATATCGAGACCCTCTTCACCGATTGATGTGGCAACCAAGGTGTTGTATTTGCCCTCCTTGAACTGCTTGATGACCTCGAGTTGACGCTTCTGATTCATGCCTTCCGAGTTCTTCGAGTCAGCTTGACCAACAAACACATGTGGTCTGATCATAGGCTGGTTTCTGTTCAAGACGCGCACAATCTCTTCAGCACTGTCACGGTATGCTGCAAAGATCATGATCTTGGTGCTTGAAGGTTGTCCTCCTGGCACAGCCGCCTTCTCTTCAGCATCTAGGAAGTGGTTCAAGACCACAGTTCTGAGATGCTCCAACTTTGGATGTCCAAGGAATTCGGGGTTGCGAGTCCAGGTCAGCATCATATTCATCATCTTGGTGAAGTTCTCGTCGTCGCGAATTTGTGCACCGTATTTGCCCTTGAGCTCACCTCCATCAACTTTGTTTCTGAATTCGACCATGCCGTTATAGAAAGGGGTAATGCCATGGAATCTGAGCATAGAGACAGCGTGGCCGAGACTTCCGAGCACTGTGAAAATACTGTTGACCATGCCCTTGACGGCTTGTGGAGCTTTNTTGCCAGCATCAGTTGCAAACCACTTTCTTCGAGCTTCGGTGCAGCCAAAAGCCGTAAGTTTCATGGGGTCTTTGTTCCAGTAGGCGTTCTGACTTGCAAGCTTAAGTAGTACAGGTCGGATAGCATTTCCTGCAAGCTCCATGATGATTTGTTGCTCTTCTGAATAGTCAAACTTGATGACATCAATGTCCCGACTATGGACATATTGCCTGATGTCAAGAGATGTTTCTGTACGAATTTCGCACCGTGAAATATCGAGACCGTCGATGACTTGCTGTACTGCTGGAACATCAGAGCCAGGGGTGGCAGTCAAGGCGAGTACACGAAAGCTTGTGTTGAATCGACGAACAAACTTGATGACTTCGACATAAGCGTAGTTGCCAGTTGCTCGATGCGCTTCATCAACGACGATCAGGACGAGTCGCTTCGGATCACAGAGACCTGTTTTGAGATCGTTGATGATTGTCTGCGGAGTCATGAANAAGACTCTCTTCGTCTTCCACTCTTCCGCTCTCAAGCCCGGCGAAGTTTCGCCGGTAAGCATGACAGTCTGCGAACGAGGAATGCCTACAATGTTGAAACAAGCATCGACTTGTTGAGCAACAAGAGGTTTGGTAGGTGCTACAAAGACAATTTGCGCACTTTCCGTCCAGCGGAACCAGTTTAGCATGATTGTAGCTGCAATGAATGTTTTACCCAGACCGGTAGGCAACGCAACCAGTAAATTGTGAAATAGACCTCGACTGACGATATTGAATTGATAGTCACGAGTAGTTCCCAAGTTGGTGGGGTATACCCAGGTCTGAGTGGCTTCTTCATTGAGCTTGTGATGAGTTGGTGGCTCTCTTTGTGTTGCCAATGGCCAGGCATGCCTCTTGTTTGCTTGGGTAGCTGGGCCCATCGGTACAACTGTTCCACCAAACAGAGTCTTTTGAACCAGTCCACCACGCGGAGGAGCCAGGTTTGGCTTCGGTACTGCTGCTGCTACTCTGGGTGGCGACGAAGATATACAGATTGGGTCTCCAAGGTTCTTAGCCGGAGTTTCATTATCCGAGTCGAATGCGTCTGATGGCAAATCTGCAAGCTCGTCCGCGTAGTCGACAATTGACGGGACTGTTGTCTGTGGTGCTGGAGCTGTCCTCCGTGTTGAGGCGATAGCAGAGGCCATCTTTGCAGGAGGCGGACTACGGGTTGGCGACTTGTAGAGTTCATCTGCAGAATCCACAACNTGGTAGACTTGTCGTGCGTTGTGGGGAGGGAAGTTCGCTGGGACAGTTTTCGCAGGCGGTGGACTGCTTGTCGGTGATCTAGTGGCTACTGATTCTTCCACTCGCGGAGCAGTAGCATCTAGCATGATGAGATCCTCAGTATCGAAGTCATCACTACTGGAGTCTTCCAGAAAAGGTTGAGCTTTTGGCACGCTGGTGGCTTGATGAGGTTGATCCGCTACCAAGCCCATCAAGAGTTCAGAATCGATGTCATCGCTGAGGTCTCCCCAGGCATCCGAATGTGTTTTAGGCGTTGTGGCAGCTATATCCTGTGGGCGGGTTTCATGAGCGGGAGGCTGGCGCACAGATGCGGTGTTCGCCGTCACATGTGGGTTGCGAACTGGCGTAGTACGGCTCTGAGCAGCATCGTTGTTTCTGAGCGCCGAATGATTGAGAGTACTTTTTAGTAGTGAAGGCTGACGAGCTGGTGTAGGCACCACTGGCGATGGCTTCGAAACCAACACCTCCTTCTTCCAGATGGGTCCTCTGATACTCCACGGAGCAGACGATTCCGGTGGTTCCTCGTCCGCAAACCTGTCTGTTAGAAGGTCTACCATAACCGGTACGTGAATGCGATGCTTCGGCTTTGCCGCTTTCTTGTCGTCCTCATCGTCAACATCCTCAGAGCCAGATCCAGTAGATGCCCTTTTCGTGAGNTTACGTTTTGGTTCTGCGGCACTTCGACCTATGGTGTCGTCGGAATCACCAAGCAGACTTTCATCATCCTTGGTGGAAGCCTTTTTCGAAATCCGTGGCTTGCGTTTTGGTTTCGGTGCAACAACTGGTGGATCGAACGCGTCCTCCTCGTCGTTAACAATGGAATCTTCGTTGACAACTTTCTTCTTGGTGGTTGTCTTCTTGGTTGCAGCTTGCTTGCGAGCCGTTGGTTGCTTCTTCGCCTTGGCCGCTGGTGTTACAGTTGTCCTGCGTCGCTTTGCTGGTCGAGGTGATGAATCGAACTCATCGTCTTGGATATCCTCAGCTCCTGCCCTCCGACCAACATCACCATCGTCGTCAGAATCCATGGTCGGGTTGGACTCTACAGTTTCGACACCCGCCACTTCAAATGTTCAGGAAGACGCGTCGGGGGCAAGAAGACGCGTTATAGGCATCGGCCTCGGCTCGAGCTTCTGACTTTGTCACATGCACAACTTCACAAAATCTCACGAGTAACAATATGCATATTTTGTGCAGTAAGGTTCGAGAGCTTTACGATCATGATATATTCTGTTTCTATCGGCCTAAAGAACCAATGATACTCCCGACCATAACGGCAGCTTCTCGCTCCCAGTTTCCTACCACCTTCTTCGAACCTGTCGACGACGGCAGTTGACTACCCCTGTGCACACATTCTCTAACCGCGTCTCGCACTTTGTCGCGATTCGTCTTCAGAGTTCGTGCGCTGACACCTCCACGAGCGATGATCTCTTGAACTCTCGGTGCTAATGAGGAGGCCAAAGAACGCCAGAAGTAAGATGGTAGAGAGGAAGTGTCTAAAGCTGCAAGAAGAGGACCCAAGAAGCTGGACGGAGGTTCAAGTGGGGCAGGTCTGGTGTTGTCGGGAGCATTAGGTAAGAGAGGGTGGACTGGAGGTTTTGCAGTTGATAGCAAAGACTCCAACGCCACTATATTTTGACATCTTGCACTGATGTCGAGGAGCGTTCGATCGAGAGTTGGAAGCGTAGCTAGAGCGCGTGCTAGAGAAGTGACTGACGCTGTGAGAGAGGTTTGCAGATACGACTGCAATGCCGCTACGAGTACAGTTGGGTTGAAAGTTGCACCTTGTGCGGCGGACGATTTCGGCGGCAGACTCACTGGAGAAAGCAGGTATAGTGTATGTAGTGCTGCCAGCGTCCTTGCTCTTGTATCATCATGCTGTGCAAACACCGAGCCTGCTCCTCCAGATGAGCCGGTGAGGGTCGACATACTGAACTCGCGCACACTCTGCTGTGACTTCGCCAGCAAGCTCCGCTCAGATGGATCCAGTAATTCTGTCCGTAATGCGGTAATGGCATTTACACGTGCCAACAACCTTGCCTCGACCACGTCGTCAGGAGCCAGAGCCTGTCTGAGTGACAGGACCAATCTAGCTGCTGGTGCAAGGGTACGATAACCCTCACGTGGTTTGTCTGTATCTGCCATGCTACTCTCTAGCGTCCTACCAATCTGTAGACATCTTGCGACAGCCCTGGCAAGCCGTAGGGTGGTGGCTAGTCTGTCCGCAGCGAGGCGCACTTGGTCGGCCTGTTCGTATCTTTCAACCACATCCTGATGTAGCCTTGTATATGCTTGTTGCAATCCCTGAACCTGGGATTCGAGAGTGTCGAGGATGTGTGTGCTGGCCTTTGCGCGAGTCGATGTGTGTTCAAGTAGAGGCAGTGCGGATGAAGTCGTGAGAGAGTCAATGTGCGTATCGACTTCCTGTACGTCGAACAAAACACGCGATAACGGTGTGGAGAGGTCGAGGGATGTATCGTTGGCATCATTGGTGGACAGGACGAGCGTGTTTGCGAATGATGGTGCATGGAAGTCCGGCGATGCGAATGCCTCGTAGTCAATGTAAGATGCTTCTGCATCCGTGTCTGCCATCATGATATGTGCACTGAGACCCGGTCGTGCGTTTATCGTCTTTAAAGTGGTGTTTTGATATGAACAATAATCGCCCAGGGAGATGACGCCGAGGGGATTCGGGGAAGCTGCGACCGAGCGGTATACAATTTCAAGCTCCATCTCCGCCAAGAACTAATGCGCATCTGAAGAGCAATATAGTGGTGTTGATGAATAGAGTATCATGCATCGCTAACTAATACTGCCTTTTCATGATTGCTTTGTGCCTGAATCTACAAGTCTTCGATCGAAAGAATAAAAGGCGCCATTTGCCATCTCTCGACACCACCCTAATGATTCGATAAATCTATGTCCTATCCTATGCTCTGTTGACGAATTTCCTATGGCCTCGGCCTCAGGATTTTCCAACACCAGTGACTCTAGTACCCTTCTTTTCGACAGTCTGCTTCAGAGCGGCAAGCACTCTCTTGCGCTGTGCAGCTCTGTCCTGGTATCTTCTGACCTCCTCAATACTCACATCTGCCATCTTTCTGCGAGGAGTACCATCCAGCATGATACTGCTGCGTCCAAATTCAGCGTCACCATTGTCGCGACGCAACGAGCCGCCGAATCTACCGAGCATGCCCGAGATACCGAGAGGAGTGGCGCCGTTTGCTGCAGCATTCTTGCCGCGTGTCGCAGGTGGTGTTCCAAACAGATTACCACTAGTTGAGCGTTCCAAAGGACGGACGCTGCGGATGCTGCTGCGAAGAATGTCTTCGTTGCTATCCGAGATGTTAAGATTGGCGAGACCACCAGGTAAGCGGCGAATCTGTGCTTCGAGCACGTCTACATCGCCTGACTTCTGCTCAATCATGGCAGTCATCTTCATGATTGTGTTAGTGACAGCCTCGACAGTGGGAACGCGTGCAGCAGGTCCTTGAGAAGGAGCGGCAGCCAGATCAGCGCGGAGAACACTCAAAGCCTCCTCGGCGTCTTGAAGCAGCTTTTGCACCTTGGCTACACCTTCTCTAAGCTCATTCTGCTGCATCTGAGCGTCGTTGGTGAGTGCTGAAGCACGGTGTGTTGCACGCTGCTGAGGATCAGCACGGGCGCCAATCTGCTTTCTCATGTCAACCGTTCTGGTACGCAGTCTTGTGGCATCCTTCTGCAGCTCAGCAAGTTCTTCGAGTTTCTGTGCAACGCTGTCGACCTTTCCAGCGTCGAGGTCGCTGGCAATTTCTTTCTGGACGACACCGAGCTCGTTGACCTCGACAAGACACCATTCCTCAGCTTCTTCAAGATCGCTGCGTTCACGACCAGCTTGCTTGTATTGAGTCTCGTGGCCTTTGACGAATGACTCGAGGGAGCGTGCATTCAAACCAAGCGTGTCGATCATGCTGTTGATATCGCGGTAGACCTTCTCGATCTGACCTGCAATACCAAGCTTGTTGACGCGACCGACGTAATCTTGATGGGCGATGAATGGCTCAAGATCCATGGAGGGCTCGACCTCAGAAGCAAGTAGTTCTCGGACACGAACATCTTCCTCGTCGCTGAGTTCTCCAGCATCTGGCACTTGAGGTGATTCTGGTCTTGGTGGGGAAGATGCCTTGGTGCTCTTGAATGATTGTCCCTTCAGCGAAGGCACAGTGATTGGTTGCGAGTGTTGTCTTGATGCTGGAAGGCCTGCTGGTGTGCCTGATGATTGTCTGATTGGTGATGGCGAGCGTGGTGAATCTTGTGATTTCGACGGCGGTGCGAAGAAGGGACCCTTGGGCAGACCAGCGGGGGTGGTAGAGGGAACTGGAGAGGTTGGTTGTAAGAGATTGCCAGCGTTTCCTGTCGAGTGAGAAAGAGAAGGGAAGCTAAGACGGGAGCCGAAGGGAGTTTTCGATGCCTTCTCGATGTCGAATGTGTTCTCCGGTTCTTCAGCTTCACTCTCATCTTCGTCTTCCTCGTCCTCTTCGTCGTACTCTTCTTCCTCTCCAGATTCACCCTCTTCTTCGTCTCCCTCAGATCCTTCACCATCATCTTGAACCCATGATCCATCCTCTTCTTCTTCTTCTTCATCATCTTCGTCCTCTTCTTCATCGTCGCTGGCGGGCAGCTGACCAGATTCATCGCCCAGGTCGACAGGGGGACTGCCTGCAATGGGAGGAACATCCTCCTCCACTGACTGCTTGGGCTTGGAAGATGTGAAGTCAGGGGGAAGGGGAGCCTCCTCAGGCTGGTCAGCAGGCTCGTCAGCCTTTTGAGATGACGGTATATCATTCAACTTTGGCGCTTCAGTGCCAGGCTCCTTCTTGATGGCTGTAGGTAGTTTAGTCTGCTTGCTTGCTTCACCAAGCATGTTGCTGAAACTGGATCCGAACAGAGATCCACCACCTTGCTTAGGAGCAGGCAAGTCGTCCTTTGCGCTACCATCACCTTGGAAAGTGGAGCCAAGCTTGAACCCACCCAATGTAGGCAGTTTTGAGGGCTTATCTGGCGAAGATTCTCTGCTGAGTGGAGAAGTGGGCTTTCCAGAGGGCTTACCAAACTGGAACCCAGTCTGCTTAGCAGGTTGCCCAAAGACTGACGCAGGCGACTTAGAGCTATCAGTAGATTGCCCGAACAAGCCCGATGTTTTGGGCTTGTCTGGCGTTGTACCAAATAGTGATGAGGTCTTTGGCTTTTCAGATGTTTGACCGAAGGCAGATGATTGCGGTTTCTCAGAAGGCTGTCCAAATACGGTAGTTGCGGGCTTAGGAGCTTCAACGACATTGGTTGCAGGGGTCTCCTTAGTAGGCTCCTCCTTAGGAGTTTCCTCAGGTTCGTCTTCCATAGTCTCCTCCTTAGTTTCCTCTGCTGCCTTCTCAGGGGTGGCGGCAGCTGTACTTGGCTTACCGAAGCTGAATGATAGAGGCGAGGACTTGGCAGGCGCAAATGCTGCGAATGGAGAGGAAGGCTTGTTTTGATCCTTGTTGCCGATGGCTGAGAAAGGAGATAAAGACGGCTTGTTTTCATCCTTGGCGGGTGTAGTAAACTTCGCGAAACCAGATGCGCCAGATTCTGAAGGCTTGGCGAAAGCAGACTGTGAGCCGCCCGATGAAGTTGCCCAGGCTGGTGTTTTATTTCCTAGTGCACTAGATGATCCAAATGTTGCATTGCCGCTGGCACCACCCAGAGCGGAGCCAAAGACCTGACCCTTCGGCGGGGTCGCAATCGTGGACTGTGTAGCAGGTTGACCCCATGGCGAAGCTTTGCTTCCAAGTGCGTTTGCGCCGAATACTGGTTGAGAGGGCTGTCCGAAAGCTGGCGTAGATGTTTTACCAAAGGCTGGTGCACCTGTTTGTCCGAAAACGGGCTTTGATGGCTGGCCGAAGGCTGGTGTTGATGCTTTTCCAAAGGCTGGCGTGGATGCTTGTCCGAATGCAGGTGTAGCAGCCTGTCCAAACGCAGGCTTTCCGAATGCTGCAAAACCTGTGACAGCCGGGGTGGAGGGTGTGGCTGGCGTAGGGGGAACAGCTTGTGTTTGTGTAGAAGCCACTGATGCAAGACCAGGGTAAGGGAGTCCTTGACGAACAGCGTCCTTGTAGACAACCCACCAAGTACAGAGGAGACCCTCGTTGTTCAAGACCATGACCGCTGGCAGAGGGCCCGATGACTCAAGATCGTCTCCAGGAATGGGCTGCATGACTTTGTCCGTTGAAGCAAGATCCAGATCCATTCCAACGGCGGATGTATCAGACATACCATCCAGAATGCTCATAGGCAATGTAGCACGAGCCGAATCGCTCTCCATACTGCTCACAGTGTAAGTGTTGGCAGGTGCATCATTCGCTAGAGGCTGTGAACTGTTGGTGATGAGACCAACCTCGCTTCCAGCAGAAGAGCATAGGAGCAACATGTCATCCAAGCTTGGGGGGAACTTTCTCAGTCTGGATAGAAGGAAGTGTGAAGGGAAGCGCTTAGCATCTAAGGCAGGCATGCATGGTTCTCCGGCAAGAGTTTGTGAAGTAAAAGCGCCCGTGGCCTTCTCTCTGCGCACCAGGTGGTAAGTCGAAATCTGTGCTTCATCCTCAGAGTTGGGAGTGTGGATGAACAAGAAGTCATCGTTTGCAATCCAGACGATGGCCGACATGGGAGCTGCTTGGTCGAGCTGGGGCGGTTTAGGAATCTGAGCCTTGAGGACGCCTTGAGGGTCGAATTGCTCAGCACCTCCTTCTTCTAAACCAGCAACAAGCTGCTTGCCCTTGACACTCCACGAAACACATCTTACACCTTCACGGAAAACGGAACTGAACGACCGCTGCTTCAAGTCGGCGAGCATCAATTTGCCATCAGTCAGGACGACTGCAAAGAAGTGCGCGTTGTCGGGACTCGGGTTGGGTGCGAGTGCGCGGACGGAGATGCCATTGGTGGACAGTTGGAATGCCGACTCTTTGTTTCCCTGAAGCAGTGCTTGAAGATCGTATACGGCCAGACCACCTCCTTCTTGTGCAGCAATGACCAGTGAACTCTCATCAGCCGAGAAGGCGACGTGCGAGACTTGTGGGACCGAGAGGGAAAGCTGGGGAGTGATATGCTTAGGTTGCTTCTCGGCGCTAGTATCGGCTTCCCAGTATGTCTTTCGCACAGTGTCAGAGGACACCAAGATGACAGACTCAGAGGTTCCAGCAGCAATAAGCTTCTTGGAGGAGGCAATGGACAAGAGAGAAGCCCAGGCGGGAGGCTGTTTGTCTGCTGGCCATGGTTGCGACAGGCGGACCTTTGTTTCTCCTCCGATATCTTTGAAACCAATGGAGTCCTGGAAGATCTCGGGAGCCTCATCCAGGGTGTTGACTTGAGGGCCTGCGTTTGCGAAAGACCACGACATGATGGGTGACGTGTGGGAGCGAGCTCTAGCCTATGTGCAGATGCGCACGCGCGATGCGCATAAGGTCGTGATGTTTGTGGAGTCCTTCGATATTATGCTGGATTGGACGGATAGTAGATGCCGGAGCTAGAAGAAGCAGTATAACAGCGTGACAACGCTTTGTGCGAGAAGACGTGGTGAAGTGACAAACAAAAGTTATTTGACCATCACTTGAGCTTTGCTGCTTGCTTGCTTGTCGCGCATCTCTCACTCGCGCTAGCGATTCACTCATGTCTTGGCGCTGATGGTAAATGATTCGCCCAAGTTCGTCAAAACTTGCCGTAAGACAACACACTCGCGGTCATTCTCAGCACTGATACTTGTAGAGCAGTTGAATTTGATCATCTCTGTTGGCTTCTCTATTCGTTCTGGTATCTCCCAATCCGACTAACATGACCCCATTTTGGCTTGCTATGGTATGTATGCCTGAGAACGCCTTTTCGCCCATGCCCCATGTCTCATTATTTGCATCTCTTCTCGATGATACTAGAGCCATGCTCCTCGTATTCCTTCTTGGATATCCACATCTGCTTTGGTCAGTATGTTGTCAGGCAGCATGAACGGAAGTGAAGCTTACCTGGTGGAAAGTGCCCAAACTAGCGAGAATGCTACCACCAACCCATGACCCGTACTTTCTGTCAGTCACAATGTTGCTTGCATGTACCCTGACGCGTGGGTTAGGGTATAGTGCTGAAAGCTCGCCGTGTAGACGTTCTGCGAGCTTATCGAGCAGACTGCCACCTCCGGTGAGGACAATGTTGTTCAAGAGCACTGGTCTGATCTCAACATCTACAGCAGACAAAGCAGCCTGGACCATTGCTGTGATTGTGTGCTTTTGATCTGGCGTAGGGTGACTGTCGTCGGTGAGTGCTGCCTTGGCGTCGAACAATCCCTCGGCGACTCGGAAGCGTTCAATGCCGAAGACCTGGTTCCAGCCGTCTGGCATCTCGAAGGGTCGTGGAGGCAGATTCTTGACAGTATCGACATTGACGTGGTTGCCCATACCATCCGTCATATCAAGCTTGCCAGGACCTTGCCATACTTGTACCATGCTTTCTTTGAAAGACGTGAAGATGCGCTCTTCTTCGTTCTTTCTAAATGAATCTGTCGGTGGAACATCGAACGTTGCGTATGAAGCGTTGGGAGCTTGACCAGCATCGACGGGCGATTTAGACTTGACCATGTAGTGAGGCTTTAGAGAGACCACGGGATCCATCTTGGAGAATTGCAGGCGCAGTTGTTCTGAGACAAAGTTGCCGCCCAGTGATGATTTTTGAATGCCTGGGGAATGTTAGCTACTGTCATACAAACATTCGGCGCGAATTATATGGGCAGGGTGTGCTATTGTCAGTATGGAGCCTTGTCACAGGCATCTTCGTCACAGTCCAACTTGTGGCTACGTTGACCGTCGTGAGATGATTGAAATGTTTCATCACAGAGAATAGCGGAAATATACAGCGTTTGAAAGGGAAAATGCAAGCCTACCTTTTTCAAAACAAATCCATCGTGCACAGGGGTAACCGAGGTGGTGCTGGCTCCAATGTCGATGACTAGCGCGTTAGGCTTGCCTGAAGCGAATCTACAAGATGATCAGTAAAGCATACTTTGTCTTAGAAAGAGTCGACGTACGCTGCCAGAACACCGGTCTTGCCTAGCCAGAAGGCAGGAGCACCCCAGTCTTCGAGAGCGATTTCCATGCACTTTGCGCGATGCTTCGCAGGATTCCAGGCAGGCTCTGACATGAGCAATGGATGTTCACTCATTGGCTTCTCTTGCTCCTCAATACCCTCCATAGCAACATCACCGTCGCCATCTCCAGCTTCATCTCCTTCCCTTTTGATCGTCATTGAGACCATTCTTGGCAGCAGGTGTTGGTCGAGCACCAGTCAAACGCGAGGTGATACTGTATTCCCACAGTCTTGCAGCAGCATCCCAATCTTCGACGATGCCATCTGAGTCGTATGGGCTACGGATCTCCATATGCGGTTGAGGGTTGTGAATGGCATTCTCGCCAAAGAGGTAACGCGATTTCGAGTCGGCATCGGGACCTGCAATAGAGCCATAGACGGAGGGAACTACAGACTTGGGAGTGTCTTCTCCAGCAAAGCCAGCGCGAGTGGTGAAGGAACCGGGATCGAGGACCAGAGCATTGATCTCATCTGCGGCGCGTCAATGAGTGCCCGAGGGTCGCCATCGTGCGGATGGAGGCATCCTACCTCCAGCATATTCCTGCGGCGCAGGTGCGTTGTATGAGTTCATTTTGATTGAATGCGATTGTGTCAAATGCGATGGAGGAGAGTTGCGACAATTGAAGCTCGTCCACTATTCTGGGAACACGCGCCTGCCAAGCTTTTGGCATCTGTCTCCGCGTCCAAGGGTCTCTACCACATATACCAATATACCGCCCCCTGATCTTTGACTCCATATCCCAAAATCTAATATTGAGTGTTGCTAGCGAGCAATCTACGGGTTACGTATCGACAATCAACTCAGTCTACTTCATGGGTCGCTAGTCAGAATGTCCTGGCTCTCCTTCATAAAGAAGCTATACTCTCTCGACACTCTAGACACACGTTTCACCACATCGACAAAGACTCCACACAAACTCACAACCGAGGACTCAATAGCAGATTCAAAACTTCCTGCCCAACAAACTCTGCAATCAGGAAAGAATCAATCTTTGCCAAGGGCTCAGCCATCAAAATGGAACACTCCAGAGTTCTACTTTTACTACCTTTGCTTTCTTACCATTCCTGTTTTCATGGTGAAAGCTGTGTATGATGTTTCTCAAGGTAGCTATTCCTCGGTACATCCATTTTCTTCCTCTAATGGCATTGCAGAATCTCATCCCAATTACTCTCGTTATTCACATCTATTGTCAGACGGCTGGATCCCTGGCCGCAAAGTGGTATGTATATGCATGGCTTCAGAGGGTTTCTTTGGCTAAGTCATTTCANAGGACAACTCAGACTCTCAGTATGCTGGTTTTCGTGATAACATTCCTTACATGACACTTCTTTTGATCTTGCATCCATTACTCCGCAAGGCCTACAACTCTTTCTGGCGCATCGACTCATATACCAAGCCTGCTCCTGCTAGCAGCAGAAATTCTGGACTCACACAGGGCCTGAGCCCTCCTGCTGCTGCAGATGCCAGGATGGACTACAGAATATCCTTCGATGTCATGTTTGCTGTCATCTTCATATTTGCACTACATGGCTTCTCTGCATTGAAAGTCCTGCTCATCTTGTACACCAACTACAAACTGGCCACTCAGCTTCCCAAGGCATACGTCCCTGCTGCTACCTGGATATTCAATGTCGGGATCTTATTTGCAAACGAGTTATGCCATGGCTACCCCTTAGCTGAAGTTGCTGCCTTCGTTTTGCCCTCGCAGACTAGTGCCGCGGAAAAGAGCAATCAGACACCCGGATGGGCTGGTTGGATTGACAGCTATGGTGGAATCCTGCCTCGCTGGGAGATCCTTTTCAATATCACTGTGCTGCGCCTGATCAGTTTCAACCTTGATTATTATTGGAGTCTGGGTGCGCCTTCTTCTATTGAGGTATGTCATGCAACAATTGATACTGTTTGGTCAGAACATGAGCTGATAGCCTGAAGANAGAAACAGCTCGATCCTTCGAATCTGTCAGAGCGCGACAGAGTTTCTGTATCTGCTAAGCCAGCAGACTTTAGCTTCCGCAACTATCTTGCTTACGCCCTCTACTCACCTCTGTACCTTGCAGGACCTATACTGACATTTAACGACTACATCTCGCAATCGCGTTACCCGCTTGCGTCCATCAGCACTAAACGCACATTGATGTACGGAATACGCTTTCTTGTCTGCGTGCTTACCATGGAGTTGTGCTTACACTTCCTGTACGCTGTGGCCATCAGTAAAGCACAACCAGCCTGGGAGGTCTACACACCCATGCAGTTGAGTATGCTTGGCTACTTCAACCTTCACATCATCTGGCTGAAGTTGTTGATTCCTTGGCGGTTCTTCCGATTGTGGTCACTCGTGGATGGCATCGACCCACCTGAAAACATGGTGCGCTGCATGAGTGACAACTACTCAGCACTCGCTTTCTGGCGTGGCTGGCACAGGAGTTTCAACCGCTGGATTGTCAGGTACATCTACATTCCTATTGGTGGCAGTGGACAAGGCAAAGTGCGCGCCATCGGCAACTTCCTTGCTGTCTTTACTTTCGTCGCACTTTGGCACGATATCAACCTCAAGCTACTTATCTGGGGCTGGCTCATTACGTTGTTCGTTCTGCCCGAAGTCATCTGCACACTCCTGTTCCCAGCCAAGAAGTGGAAGGATAGTCCAGACGTCTACCGCTGGATCTGTGGTGTTGGTGCTACTGGAAACATCTTGATGATGATGGCCGCCAATCTTGTCGGCTTTGCCATTGGTGTTGATGGCTTAAAGGCGATGGTCGGCAACATCATAGGAAGCCTCGGTGGTTGGGCATTCCTGCTCGGTGCTTGTGGCACGCTTTTCGTCGGTGTTCAAGTCATGTTCGAGGTCCGTGAAAGTGAANAGAGGAAGGGCATTAACTTGAAGTGTTAAACCAAGTTTATTTACAGCATATGTATAACAGAAATCGCATAAGAAATCGTGTTCAGATACGTATCGCTAACTTTGTGATTCTGGAGTTGTCTGAGGTCGAGCTTTTCATGCTGGGCTCAGCGGCGGCACATTGAAGCTTCTCCAACCAGCAAACATGAACCGGGTTCAAATATGACTCAACACTGGATGTGTCTTCACCAATTCTATTCCTTGTGTTGCGGTGTCTGATTCCAGGAGTAGGATCTTGACCAGAAAGTCAAAAATGACTTCATCGATCAAGGCACCAAATCTTGCCGCGGACTACTCGAGCGGTGTCTCCTCTGGGAACAACTTTGGTATATCACATTTTCAACGTCGAAGATCTTGTCCATTGGTGCTTTACTCTTTCTCAAAATACAATTTCACTGACTTCTATTTTTCTGTCTTGACTACTCCGGACGCCTGCAACTATTCGGGCTAAGCATTACTTGCTTGCGCTGCACTGCTCTTTATCATCATGCAAGCATCAGCGACATTGATTCACAACCTCAAAGGCCACACTGACGAGGTCGGGCGACTATTATTCTCTCCAGATGGCAAAACGCTGGCTGCTTCCGATGACTCAATCATCACCCTCTGGGATGTGGAGACTGGTTCTCTACAAAGCAAAACCGAAGAGATAGACGACATGTACTTCGAGATGGCCTTTTCACCAGACAGTAAATGGATAGCAGCAGCATCCGGTGATGGAAACGGTCGAGTCTGGAGCACGGAGACGGGCGAGTTGGTCCACACCCTGAGCGTTGAGGACGAGCGAATGCTATCGTTGGTATTCTCTGCGAACAGCAGGTCAATCGCTACCGGTTCTGAGAACCTAAGACTTTGGGATGTGGCTACAGGAGAATTACAACACACGCTCTCTGCCCCAGACGACCGATCATTATCCTTCACAGCGGTACATGAGAGAGGGGAATACCCATACCCATCGGAAATTTCTGAAGTCAAGTTTTCTCCAGATGGCAGGTTGTTGGCTTCTGCGTGTCCGAACACATCGACAGTATGTCTCTGGAATACAGGATCATGGACTCTAGGACACACAATCCCGGGATGTGGCATAGNNATTTCTCGCCCGACAGCAAATATCTGGCAGTTTGGGCCAGTGAGCACGGAACCATTCATATCTACGAGACACTCAGTTGGCTGCTGCAGGAGCACCATAAAGAACAACGAACCTGAGTCCTTTCCGGCCGTGTTCTCGCCCGACAGCCAGGCAATCGTCACGAAAGCAAGCAGTCAAATAACAATATGGTCTGTCAAAGATGGCAAACCCATCAAAGCATTTGTAGATCACAGGGAAAGAGTTCTTACGGCTCTTGAAGATCCTCAAGAAGATGTCTGGAAGCTTGCCTTCTCACCAGATGAANAAATCTTGATCTCGGGTGCAGAACAGTGCAGTCTTATGCTTCGAAACGTTGAAGACGGAGATGTTCTGTTGGAACTCAAGCACCAGGATGGTGCTAGGGATCCCTGGAAACCTGAAGGGACTAGAGGTGATCCTCCGGCGGTTGAGGTCTTGTTTGGTGATAGTGGAGGAAAGGTCGCTATTGCATTCCCTGATGGTAGTGTCAGGCTTTGGCAGTTGGATTGGAAATCGACTTGAGTATTCAAACGTTCGTGGGATAGAATATAAAATGTCCGACGACATCATGCTCATTGGCCAAATATAGCTTGGAGGAGAAAAGGCTCAGAACACGGAAGGTGGTGTGCTTCGAGCAGGAACAGATGTATAGAGCAACTCGCAACTTTGGGTCTATTTTTTATGGACGAAACATCATCGTTTCGGTCCTTGAGTGATTGTGGCAGCACTTTGTTTTGAGTTATCGTGAAAGATCGCCGTTATATGACAGTCGAAGAAACGACCCTGCTCCGCATGACGCGTTTGGTATAGCTGAATCCTTCCAACCTCGGCCACCAACACGCGTTCCAGACAACGTCTGCCTACTTCATGAGCACATCCAGTACATTCAGTGACACATCTCTTCTGTTGGATTATTTCACACTCCGACGCATAATCAAAGCAAGACGAGAACGTTCTCCATCATCATCAGAGTCAATGGCAGAAAGAAAGCCCAAACGCCAACGCATCAGCTTGGGAGGACCAGCTATAGACGCGTCTTTCGAAGACTATCTCACCGGAAAAACTGCAGAAGTACCTTCAGAAGACGAAGAAGAATTCGATCAAGAAAACCAAGATCCCGAGGACTATCTCGAAAACGAGGACGAAGAATTCGACGATGAATACGACCAAGAAGAAGCACTACCAGCAAGACCACCTTCTACTTCCACAACCACAGCACCAAACCCCAGCGACATCATCCTAAGAATCCACGCCCACCAAAACAACACCCCCACCACTTCTGCAAAACACATTTTCTACCTCATACAAATCTGGGCAGTTTTCGGCGAAGTCCCTGTAGAGACAACACGATTGCTTCGTGTTCCTGCTACTTTGCTTTTCCAACAATTCTCAGAAGCCATTTGTGCAGCACTAGACTGGAATGAAATCCACCTGTGGAAATTTACTCTCGAGGAAAGGCCAAAGACTTGCAATGCTCTAACCAACAAATACAAATACCCAAACCCGCGCAAGGAAATTGCGAGTATCAAAGATTGTGGACTGGGGGGAATGCATAATCTGGGTGCTGATGTTGCCAGCTCCAAAGATTTGGATTCGAAANAAGTGCGGTTGATGGATGTTTGGAATGCGACTCAGGCTGAAGAGGTCAGGAAGTTGAGGATGTTTNTTACGTATAATTCGGTCATGGATCCCTCATCATGCTTGGTGACATTCATGGGGGTCGCGGCGGAGGGATTGCAAGCTGCGGATCTGGGGATCAAAATCAAGAAAAACCAACCTATTTGGTGTGCTGGTGGGACTGGTGCTAGTGTGCCGGTGGGTGTGCCAGAAGATGAGTTCGATGAATGGGAGGCGGAGGCTAATAAGCATGAGTGGGAGATTGATGATGTGAATAAGCACCTGGCTGAGATTAAGGCTAGGTAAGTGTGATCACAAGGACAAGGTTGATTAATGGGTGCTGTACATAATGAAGAGGATGGGAAGACTTGAAGATACACTCATTGCTTTATAGATTACAAAATTCATGTCTAATATCATCCTTTGTTATTCTTACAAGTTCTATCTTACAGCTACCATGCAAATGCTCCATCATAATCAAGCTTTAATGCCATTACCGGACACACTCACAGTGCCCTTGAACTTCTGCGTTGCGCTAGCAGCAGGACGATCCAACATTTCCTTTGCTCTCATCTCGAAGGCCTCAATCATCTTGTCTGCAACCTTTGGCGCCGCAGCCGCACTCAATGTCGTATAAAGTGGGTTGGCAAATTGGTAATCGATAACCAGATTGACCTCAGTCTGCATCCTGGGCGGCACATCCGAGGTGACTTCTTGAGGTCTGTCATTGCCCATAGGTCCAGGTTTGTAAGGGAAGGGACTCAACTGCCAGCGAGAGCGTAGATGTGTAAGAATCGTGGCGTTACGAGCGGGATCTTGGTCTGCAGAGGGACGGACAGTGTGGTGTGCTATGCTTGCAGCAGGAAGATTGGTATTGGTTTCTCCGCTCACAGATTCGACGATAAAGTCTTGTGGTGCGCAGTAAACACGGCTAAAGAAGGATTCACGCATGACATCCTTGTATCCAATAACCAGTTCTGCTTCTTCAGGCCATGTCTTTCCCTCGGCGTCGGGCGAAGATTGCTTGGTGACGTTGGAGGAGATGCAGAAAGGCAGGAACTTGTGGTAGCTTTGAATGTCGGCGACGATTGCGTAGAGAGTTTTTGCGTCGTAGGGTAGAATACGAGATGCAGTTAATGATTGAATAGGCTGAGCGCCAAAGGGATTCGGGAAGAAGGAGCGAGTCTGTGTGGATGAGGCTGTGCGAGATGCAATTGCTGCTCGTGAGCATGTCGTGGCCGAGACTTGAGATGCGAGGGCCGAAGTAGCACGAATTGACTTCATCTTGGGTGTCTTGTAGAGCCAATTGACCAAGGAGAGATGTTGGGATGTGCTGAGGAGAAGTTGGAGAAGGGGCCGGTTCTTGTACGACTGGACCGAGTGTCGTAAGATTGACAGGTGACTTGGATAGAGATCAAATGTTTGGCTGCATGACGCGCTGACAGATTGCGGAGAATCGACGAGAGATCGAGACCGTCGGCCTGTTCCTGAACTGCGGGCCGAGCCAGCGAAGGCGGTGACTTTCTGCCAGACCCCTCATGCTCCGAATGTTCTGAACTTTTCCAGTCTCAAGGTCATAATCAGATGCTGAGATACTCGAGGTGTGCGACAAATCTTTTCGTTCGAACCGACAGAACCCAAACGCGAAATACAAGTAGACTCGTTAATTCCTTGATTGCTGGACAAGGTCAAGAAGCCATGGCCGACATCCAGAACACGCAGCCTGAAGGCGCAGACAAAAGAAGACTCCCAAGCAGCAGCTCTCCAAGGGCATGGAACACATGCGCGAATGGGTCACAGTCCCTGACGCTCCCTCGACTCCTCAGACCGATTCCGCTGCCGACGTCGAAGAGGAAGCAGCATATGGTGTACCCGCCTCGATTCAACCCATTCGCAAGCCTCAGACCGATTCTGCAAACAACGACCAAAAACGCACCGACCCTTTCCAGTTCGGCACACGCTACTTGGAAGAAGGCGACAACATCTTTGCTCACAACGCATGGGACCACGTCGAGACTGACGACACATACAAAGAGTTCATCAAGACTCAGGAAGAGTTCCAACGATCCGCCCCTGTCACAGATTTTGACAAGAAGCGCTTCAACCAGCACCCCGAGAAGTGGTGGGACAAGTTCTACAGCAACAACCGTGCAAACTTCTTCAAGGACCGCAAGTGGCTGGCCCAAGAGTTTCCAGTCTTGGGAGAGATTACCAAGGAAGATTACGGTGCTGCGACCATGCTCGAAGTTGGTGCAGGTGCAGGAAACACGGCATACCCAGTTCTCAACCTGAACAAGAACCCTTTGTTGAAGATCCACGCTTGCGATTATTCCAAGAAGGCCATTGAGATTATTCGCACACAAGAGGCATACCAAAATCAGACCACTCTGCAGGCAGACGTCTGGGATGCCGCTGGAACTGGCGAGAACGCCCTGCCTCCTAGTCTGGAAGCTGGCAGCGTTGACGTCGTCGTGATGATTTTCATCTTCTCTGCTCTCTCCCCAAGGCAGTGGGCACAGGCTGTGAAGAACGTTTGGAATGTCCTCAAGCCCGGTGGTGTGGTTCTTTTCCGTGATTATGGCCGTGGTGACTTGGCTCAGGTCCGATTCAAGAAGGGCCGCTACCTCGAGGAGAACTTCTACATTCGTGGTGATGGTACTCGTGTTTACTTCTTCGAACGAGACGAGCTCGCAGACATCTGGTCTGGCAAGCTCCCAGCAAACAGTNTTCAGATTGACGTCTCAGAACATACTGGAGACGAGGATGAGCTTGCTGAAAGGCTTAAGAACACTGAGATTTCGGAAGAGAACAAGATGCCAGCATTCGAGATCTTGAACCTGGGCGTTGACAACAGAATGCTTGTCAACCGACAGAGAAAGTTGAAAATGTACCGTTGCTGGATGCAAGGTCGTTTCCAGAAGCCCGCCACTACTGCAAGCTGAACGCAGTCCACACACTCACTGCCTTTTGTTGACAACGACAACGACTTCACGCCTGAGAGTGATACTCAACAATGCGCCGCGCCCTATCCGGAAGACATACAAAGGCCAAAAGAGCCACGCTAACAACGTCGAGCGGCTGCAGAAAGGCGTGCTCTCGAGCAGAGATGCAAGCATCCCCTCCAGTGATGCGACAGATCCGCAGCTTCGTTTTTCGTTCTCCCAAGGACATCAGGGGACAATTGGAAGGATCTGATATAGTGACTTGTGTGGCCATGAGGCGATACTCGGCTCTAGACCTTCATCAAGAAGGCTGCTGGTGGACATTTGTTTAGATATGGTGATCAATATGATGCCTTCTTTCTTCTCTTTGCTTTCTTGACAATGTTGTGTTTCGTCTCGACAAGCTTCTGTTCGTCCTCCTCGGCTTCTCTCTTGATGCCCTTAACCAAAGTCTTGTCCTCTTCAATAATGGTCTCTGTGACGGGTACACCGTCTTCAGTCTTGACTTCTGTCACTTCGTCCTTGACTTCGGTCTTGGCCACGAGTCGCTCCGAGAAGGCCTTGAGATCAGCAGTGAAGAGGACTGAATGTGCCCAACCAGCCTCTTGGCCCCAGAGACTACGGAACTTGTTCGCGACAGCATCATAAGTGGCCTTGGTCAGGCTCGAGTGCTTGCCTTTGCCAAATTTGTAATCGCGAACGGCAATCTGCCAGACNTGGAGGACTGTTAGACGTGATCATCGCTGAAGCAGAAAAACAACAAGCTTACCATGTGTGTCGACTGGAACAGCCTCTCCCCAGCCTAGACCCATGAGACATACACAGTCGGCGACCTTCGGACCTACACCTTGGAGTGCAAGCAGTTCTTCATGTGCTTTTCTATATCCTTCTCTTCCTTCATTTGCCCATTCACCAGCCGGTGCTGGCTTGACACCTAGAACAGGGCTCTCAGGGTTCCGTAGAGCATCCAACCACCCATCTTCTTTGTCTGCAACCATGCAGGCTGTCTTGTACAAGTACTTTGCTCTGTATCCGAAGCCCAATTCTCTCAGTTTTTGTTCGACACCCGGCTTCGCCAATGAAGATGGAGTAGGGAAGTCATAGTAGTCTTTGTTGTCGAATTGGCCGATGAGGGGACCATAATTTGTACACAGCTTGTCGACCATTTGGGATATGCGAGCAATATTGTTGTTCGAGCTGCAGATGAAGCCCACAAGAGCTTCCCATGCATCTTGCTTCAGGATGCGAATGCCAGTAAATTTAGGAGCTTTGCGACTGAAGTTTGCATCGGCTGAAGACCATTCGGTATATAGCTGAGTAAGGTTGGGACCAAGATTGAGGTAGTGTCTCAGAAGTGGTAGGGTGTCATCGTCAGATTCAACTTTAGAGGCGTACGACTGTTTTGTAGGAATGATGGAGCGGTAGTATAGATACTCAGGGTCCTGGTGCAATGCTAGGATACGGCCATGAAGAGCCATGGACCAGACACCTTCGTCTGATTTGCGCCATCTGAAGCATTGTCCGCAGCGAAGAGTCGTGTTTATGCAAAGTTCACCGAGTCCAATTGGAAGCTTCTGCCATTCCTGGAGGTTCAACATGATTCCGTGGTCAATGAACGAGACGTAGAGGACTGATCACGACCTTGACGCGGTAGACATGGCTGAGTTGATAATCAATCATGTTTCCATTTTGGGTATGGCGGCTTGGCCTCGGAGTAGACGCTCTGGCTCTGGCTCTCGCAGCAGCGCGCAACCAAGCTCAAGGGATCCATCAAGCACTCATATTCATCGCCTTTACTAAACCCATTCATTGGATTGTCATTGCCACTTTTGTGCTACACAGTCCGCCAAAATGAACGGTGATTCATATTCCAGCCGTGGTAATACGCTTGCACTCCCACAACTAACAACTTTCTAACTTTTCATGCTCAGATCGTCCCAGTGGCAGACACGCGTCTTCGCGCGATCACTACGTATGTTTAACAAGTGCGCAGTATCGCAAATAACTGACANAGCCCCAGTCATCCAGAGACGACCGTCGCGACCGAGACCGTGGTGGAGATAGAGAACGCGAGAGAGAGAGACCACGCAGACGCTCGCGCTCACCCGGACACCGCCCGCGCAGGGACGAATACCAGGGAGACACATACTCGTCGAGCCGCGACTACAGAGAGCGTGAGAGAGAAGACAGATATGCCGGAAGACGCGGAGGAGGTGGTCGCGAATGGGACAGAGGAGACCGTGGCGCTGACCGACGAGGAGACCGTCGCGATGATCCACGCGGTGGCAGAGAGCGCGGTGACCGTGGCGGTGATCTGTTCGACGACCGCAGAGGAGGTGCCAGAGGAGGTCGCGATCGTGCTCCTCAGCAATCCATCGACCAGAAGCGCAGCCCCAGCCCTCCGAGAAAGCCCAAGGAGCCCACTCCCGACTTGACCGATGTCGTGCCCATTCTCGAGCGCAAGCGTCGTCTGACTCAGTGGGATATCAAGCCTCCTGGCTACGAGAATGTCACAGCTGAGCAGGCCAAGCTCTCAGGCATGTTCCCTCTTCCTGGTGCTCCCCGCCAGCAACCTATGGACCCCACGAGACTCCAGGCTTTCATGAACCAGCCTGCCAATGCTGGCGCAAACACTGCTCTCAAGCCCTCAAACGCTCGCCAGTCAAAACGTCTCTTTGTTCACGGCATCCCTCCTAACTCGACCGAGGACAACATCATCGACTTTTTCAACCTTCAGCTCAATGGCCTCAACATTGTTAGGGGCATGGATCCCTGTGTGTCGGCACAGATCTCGCCCGACCAGGATTTTGCTCTCTGCGAGTTCAAGACACCCGAAGATGCTACAACCGCTTTGGCTTTCGATAACATCTCTATGAGCAACGACGCTGCCAACGGCTCGGCAAATGGAAGACCAGCCGGTTTGCAAATTCGCCGTCCCAAGGACTACATCGTTCCTGCCGTCACAGACGAGAGTGAGCAGACAGAAGGCATCATTTCCGAGAACGTTCCAGACACACAGAACAAGCTGAGAATGACCAACATCCCCACATTTATCGAGGATGGACAGGTCAGAGAGCTGCTTACCACCTTCGGTGAACTCAAGTCCTTCGTTCTTGCCAAAGACACTTCTTCTGGCGCAAGCCGTGGATTTGCTTTCTTCGAGTACATGGACCCCACAAAGACCGACGAAGCTGTCACAGGCTTGAACGGTATCGAGTTGGGTGATGGTGCACTAAGAGCTGCAAGAGCCGCTGTTGGTGTGCAGCAGGTTGGTGGTGACATGAGCGTGAACGCCATGAGCATGCTTGCTGGTACCACAAGCGCAGATGTTGAGCAAGGTCGTGTGCTCTGTTTGTTGAACATGGTTACAGCAGAGGAACTTTTGGATAACGATGAATACGAAGGTAAGCAGAGACGTACGTTGATTGTTCTATGACATGACTAACATTCATCTANNGAAATCGTCGAAGACGTCAAGGAGGAATGCAGCAAGTACGGATCAGTACTGGACATGAAGGTTCCCCGTCCTTCTGGCGGCAGCAGACAGTCCAACGGTGTTGGAAAGATCTACGTCAAGTACGACAACAATGAGTCTGCTTCGAAGGCTCTGCGTGCTCTGGCTGGCAGAAAGTTTGCTGACCGCACTGTGGTCGTTACCTTCTTTGGCGAGGTTAGTGATCACCCTTCTATTTACCCGAGTCTGACATATACTAATTCATGTTTTAGGNAGTACTTTGATGTTAACGCATGGTAAATTAACGATAATCTGATACCTGGAAGATATTGGCAATCTTGCGACGTGCTCTTTCCGACACGTTTTGGGCATGGAAAAGCAGGGATTTCGTTGTACAATAAGAAGCAGTCCAGCCACTGAAATGCAGCTATTGCTTGCAAAAGCGCTCTCACATCTGTTGTTTGCACTCCGAACACTATTCTGTTATTCTCTCCACTGTGACAAAGTCTTTGGTGTTCTGAATGTGACCAACCAAACGGTGGTTTCAGCAAAAGTCCGGGGGCGGAGCACAGCCAGTGAACAGCCTCATCTATATTGGGCATCAGACCCCTCTTGATAACTCCCCTCCAATCTTTTGAATCTTGTGAACTTTTTTCTTTTGTTACATACCTCTCGACAGCACAAAGTAATCATGCCTTTCGGAATGGGAAAGAAAGAGAAGGAGGTGGCCGAGGAGAAGGCATCCCGCTCGTCATTGTTCTCACGCTCCAAGGGCAAGGACAAGGCAGCAGCGCCAGCAGCAAACCCCTACGCCGCACAATCGACTCCCGATCCTTATGGCGCCAAACCTTCAGATCCCTATGCCAAAACCTCAGGTCCCCCTCCTGCTTACGACAGTCGTTCCACCATCTCCACAATGAGTGACAAGTCTCCTGTCCCGCCTGGTGGTTACGGTGGTAGCGCACCACGATATGGAGGTTCTGGCAACTACGCACAACAGAGTGGATACGGTAGCAACCCATATGGCAGCGAACAACCACAAGCCTCTCGCTACGGTGCTGGCGGATATGGTGGCCTTGGACGACGACCCAGTTTGGACACCCTCAGCACTGATGGTGGANAGGCAGCACTCTTCGGCGATGCTCCTCAGAGACAAATGCAACAACAACTACAAGCCAATCAAGCCGCACAGGAACCCTCGTCCGACAACAGCTACGCAAACAGCGGCATGCAAGGAGGTTACGGCGGTAGCTCCAGCGAACTATACGGCCAGCCCGACCGCTACCTAACCGCCGAAGAGCAAGAGGAAGAAGATGTCAAGGCATCCAAAGACGAAATCAGATTCATCAAACAACAAGATGTATCCTCGACCCGCAACGCTCGCCGCATTGCCGAACAAGCAGAAGCCACTGGTCGCGAGACTCTAGCTCGTCTGGGTGCTCAAGGCGAACGTATCCATAACACAGAGCGCAACCTCGACATGGCATCACACCAAAACAGATTGGCTGAGGAGAAGGCACGCGAGCTCAAGACACTGAACAGAAGCATGTTTGCCGTCCACGTCTCCAACCCTTTTACCGCCAAGAAGCGCGAGGAGGCTGCCAATGCAATTGCGCTCGAGAAGCACAGAGTGGAAAGAGAGCGTGCAGACGACACAAGAGCAAATGCCTGGTCTACAACAGCACGTCACGCAGGCCAGGAAAGAACTATGCGCAACACTGGCAAGACACACGACAAAGCCACTCTGGCCAACAGAGCCAAGTACCAATTTGAAGCCGATAGTGAAGATGAGGCTATGGAAGGCGAGATTGAAGAGAATTTGGACATTATCCACAGAAGTGCAAAGACATTGCATGCATTGGGCAACGCTATGGGCGATGAGCTCGACGAGCAGAACAAGCATATCAACCGCATCATCGGANAAGGTAAGATTGTCCTCCTCTACGCGTATTTTGCTTTCGATTTACTAACTCATCTCTTTCCACAGACTGAGACCGTCGATGACGAGATTGCTATGAACAGAATCAAGCTCGGCAGAATTAGGTAGAGCAAAGCTCAAGCATGTAATCTTACCTGTACTGCTGGTTTTACTCGGAGTTTGGGAATGGGAAGGCTCCGCATTGGAGGTTTATAGATGGGTAATTGTGCAAAGAAGGGACTAGCATTAAGGAGTCAGTGCTCTCAAACAACAAACACTTCCAACATTGCTGTTGTACTAAGACTGTGCCTTCACGTGGAGACTTGCAGAACCATGAGTGCAATTGTTTTTCGTTCAGACTAGAGAAACTGCCTTACTGTTATGCGATCTACTGGAGGCAGGCGATCTACGAACGAGGAAGGCACGGCTGAGAATTGTAGAGGCAGGTGCAACACCTTCCATTACTTGTCAAACAACACACCTTTTGACTCGGGGTTTCGAGGACAGTCGAAGTTCCAATACCATATCCATTGCTTGTATTAATCGGAGCAAGCTATTGACTCTGTCTCTACACCATGTTCATAGTAAGTTTCCTCGCGGGTGAGTAGTCTCGAGAGTTGTATTGCTTCTGCATATGGTGAATGGTACAAGATATGTAAGGTCGGTCTCACATGTTTTCTGTCAAGTAAGTAGGTAGTCCAAGATGCGTGTTGGACCTCACACCTTCTCTGCCGATTTCTGACGGAAACGGTATATCGTTTGGTTACCCTTGTCAATGCTTTGTGTCGAACAGCAGTAGCTGTGGCAGCTGCCGGGTATCAATGGTTGCTTCAGTGGTCGCTCCTGCCTCGAGCAAGTTCGTTTTGCCGCTGGTATCACCCAGTGCGGTACTATCCTGGCAAGCCTGGAGCCTCTAGTTGGCTGGACCACCCACCACCCATTGTCGAGTTCAACGGAGAATGGTACCTCCTCTACCACAACTCATCGCTGTCTGGAGGTAAGAACCAGCTGGGTTAAGTCAAGGCGAAACTTCTTTGTCAGTGGTATTCTGCATCCTGGACGACTCGTTGTCAGATGAATATCTGACTTTGCCGAAGACAATGGCTCTCACATATCAGATCCTTTGAGCTTGCACGAGAGAGCTCAACACCAGAATGGCGATGACAGCTACAAAATCAGCTCTTGATGACGACTCATCGTGGTAAGACCGACCTATCCATTGAACCTGGAATGAACGAGCAACTTGCACGCCAAATGCTGGGCCACTTAAGCGGAATGTACCTACCAACTCTCGCAACCACATTGCTCTGAGATGGAAGCACATTGGCAAGGAAGAGTCTGGAGTCATATCGACGGCAACTGCTTCTTACCTGGTCAATTGTCGCCACGAGTGCGAGAAGCTCATCAGATATTGAATTGACAAGCCGCCATGAGCTGCGGTCGCAGTGAATTAAGCGAGAAAGTAGTCAAGTCGCGGTTGCCACTCCAAGTCGACATTCTCGAGGAAGTTGCTTCAACGAAAAGGGCAATTGCCTCACCAAAAGCAACATCAACTCGGACCAGCTCAGCAAANNCATACCGACCAACTACCGCATCAACCGGCCAAAGGTCACTCGTTCAGGTTGCTAGGGGGAGTGAATAAGGGCTTGGCATCCAGACCTCGGACGAAATGGNGAAGTGAAAAANAGATGGGATGCACAGACCGCGNNGAAAATCGAAAATCGCCTACCCGCAAGCCTTTTCTTAAGCTCCCAGCACCTCTCACCTCTTCCTCCTTCCATCCCTCCCCATCTTTTTTCCCTTTATACCCCTCTATATCCTTCATCATGAGCGACGAGGTTTACGACGGTGCCGTCGGTATCGATCTTGGTAAGTTTTTGCGCACAACCACATTGCCGAAGCGCAATCCCACAAGACCAAAATTGCTAACAGAGCTTCAGGTACCACCTACTCTTGCGTTGCCAACTACGACGGTAACAATGTCGAGATCAGTATGTCTTCTCTCTGGAGCTGTTTCTGCAGCTTTGCCTGCTCTGAGCGCACAATTCTGACTAGCATGTCCCACAGTCGCCAACGAGCAGGGTTCCTTCACCACCCCTTCTTTCGTCTCTTTCACTGCTGAGGAGCGTCTGATCGGTGAGGCCGCCAAGAACCAGGCCGCCATGAACCCCGAGAACACCGTCTTCGATGTCAAGCGTTTGATCGGTCGTAGATTCGATGACCCCACCGTCAAGAAGGACATTGAGTCGTGGCCCTTCAAGATTACCGACAACAACGGTTCCCCCATGGTCCAGGTTGAGTACCTCGGCGAGACCAAGACTTTCTCTCCCAGGAGATCTCCTCCATGGTCCTCCTCAAGATGAAGGAGGTCGCTGAGACCAAGCTCGGCAAGAAGGTCGCTAAGGCCGTCGTTACCGTCCCCGCCTACTTCAACGACAACCAGCGTCAAGCCACCAAGGACGCCGGTGCCATTGCTGGCCTCAACGTTCTCCGTATCATCAACGAGCCTACCGCTGCCGCCATTGCCTACGGTCTCGGTTCCGGCAAGTCTGACAAGGAGCGCAACGTCCTCATCTACGATCTCGGTGGTGGTACTTTCGATGTTTCCCTCCTCCACATCCAGGGTGGTGTCTTCACTGTCAAGGCCACCGCTGGTGACACCCACTTGGGTGGCCAGGACTTCGACACCAACCTCCTCGAGCACTTCAAGAAAGAATTCACCCGCAAGACCAAGAAGGACCTTTCCGGTGATGCTCGTGCCCTCCGTCGTCTGAGAACTGCTTGCGAGCGTGCCAAGCGTACTCTTTCCAACGGTACCCAGGCCACCGTCGAGATCGACTCCCTCTTCGACGGCGAGGACTTCAACGCCAACATCACCCGTGCCCGTTTCGAGGACATCAACGCCAAGGCCTTCAACGGCACCATCCAGCCTGTTGAGCAGGTCCTTAAGGATGCCTCCATTGACAAGTCCAAGGTTGACGAGATCGTCCTTGTTGGTGGTTCCACCCGTATCCCCCGCATCCAGAAGCTCCTTTCCGACTTCTTCAACGGCAAGAAGCTCGAGAAGAGCATCAACCCCGATGAGGCTGTCGCCTACGGTGCCGCCGTCCAGGCCGGTATCCTCTCCGGAAAGGCCACCTCCGCTGACACAGCTGACCTCCTCCTTCTCGATGTCTGCCCTCTCTCCCTTGGTGTTGCCATGGAGGGTAACATCTTCGCTCCCGTCGTTCCCCGCGGTACCACCGTCCCTACTATCAAGAAGCGTACCTTCACCACGTAAGTTCTGACCATGAGAATGTATATGAGGAATTCTTACTGACTTTCGATTAGCGTCGCTGACGGCCAGACAACTGCAAGTCTCCCTGAATCACTCCCATACTCCCTGCCCCAATTTCCACCCCCTATCGCAATGCACAGTGTGAAGCTGTTACCACTACGCTCCACTGAGAGCCTTGATTTTACATGCTCTCAGTGGACTCGCGAGCAGCTTTTCAACTGTCAAAATGCAGAATACCATTCGGATTGTACCAGTATCCAAGGAGATGTCGTTAATCCGCGGCTCTCAGTGGAGGCTTTGTGTTTTGAGTCGACATTCTGCATTTTGATGGTTGAAAATCTTGGCATGGCTTCGCTCGGAGCGTCGTCGTTCAGGGTCCACCATATCTCCGCCAAAGCTTCACCATATCACAACACAACTTTTTCTATACCATCAGAACATCTTGCTGACTATTTTAATAGGTACAATTCCCCGTGTACCAGGGTGAAAGATCAGAGTGCGCCCACAACACTTCTTTGGTATCCAAGCCTTCCATTCCAAAATGCATTTCAATATACTGACAAATCTCCCAGGGTGAATTCACTCTTGCTCCCATCCCCCACATGCGTGCCGGTGAGGCCGTTCTCGAGTGTGTCTTCGAGGTCGATGTCAACGGTATCCTGAAGGTCACCGCCACTGAGAAGACCTCCGGCCGCAGCGCCAACATCACCATCTCCAACTCTGTTGGTAAGCTCAGCTCCGCTGAGATCGACAAGATGGTTGAGGATGCCGCCAAGTTCAAGTCCTCCGACGAGGCCTTCACCAAGAGATTCGAGTCCCGCCAGCAGCTCGAGTCTTACATCTCCCGTGTTGAGGAGATCGTCTCCGACCCAACTCTCTCCCTCAAGCTCAAGCGCAACCAGAAGGAGAAGATCGAGTCTGCTCTCAGCGACGCCATGGCCCAGCTCGAGATCGAGGACTCCTCTGCCGACGACCTCAAGAAGAAGGAGTTGGCCCTCAAGCGTGTCGTTACCAAGGCCATGTCCACCAGGTAAACGTCTTGCATCATATGACGGTTTAATGGGCGTTCTTCTTTCTTCATGTGTTTTAGATTGGTACAGCTGGGTTCAAAAAGCTATGCTCGATTTTTCTTTTATGAGATGCAAGGTGACGCTTGCATGGCAGCGGGCATCTCAAACAGGCAGTTTAGGGTGTTGCTGGCTTGCTTTTTGCGAGATGGAAAGCTACACGAAAAGCAGTCAAAAACTTCAATGAACAATCATGTCAAAAGAATATTCTTATGTGTCGTGCATATACAAGTGAATCCTCCTGGTCTATCTTGGTACAACATTGTGAATTTCTACGCCACCAGAAGGACAATCTCTCATCTATGTAATGTATACCCGTTCGCCTTGAATTGTGGACGTTCTTAATAAAGTTTATCAGCCAAGTCAAGCTGTTGTTTTTCCATCATCGCCGGTATTGCTCCAACATTCTTGCGGTGAGCATTTGAAGCTGTCAAAGTCACGCTCGGCATGTCATGTTTGCAAGAGCACTCTGCCACATTCTCTGTGACTGTGTCAATGTTTGGAAGAATGATCATTTACATCCAGACAACTGAATCGACGACGTGATATGATCTCGCGATGACATCGCCACGAAGTGACACTGGCGCATTGGTTCGTGGTTATGCCCCCACACCGTACAGAGCGTATCCCGTTCAGGAGAGCTTTGCGAACAGTGCGGCTTTCGGTCGAGTTGCGGTCCGGACGGTTCCTTGTTGTTTGCTTGACTAAGGTTCTTTTTTTATTAGTGTCGCCGGTTTGGAAATGAAGTCCAGTAAGTTTTATTCTTCCACACTATGAGCGAGTTGCTGCAGCAAGAATACAAGAGACTGACAGGGCAAGATTCGTCGACCCTTGAGGGGCCTCTCTCAGAAGACGCCTTGGCCAACCTGAAGCTCTACAAGTACTCATCTGTCGACAAGTCATTCACCTCGCGCTATGTCCTGAAACACTATGTACGTTGATCGCGACCCCTCAATCCTCAAATTGCTCGGCAGGACGACGACAAACATATCCAACAAGAAAGAGCATGGGAAGGGGCATGACGGAACCCTGCATACAACCAGGCATTGAAGATACGATCAGACAACAAAGGCTGACTTGGGGGTGTCGTCAAACAGTGGAACGCATGCGTCGAATTTCTGCCACTATGGCTGGCTCCCAACATGGTGACATTGCTGGGCTTCTTCTGCATTCTCAGCAATGTCATTCTCATGCTCATCTATGACCCCGGTTTGACCGGTCTCGCTCCTTCATGGGTATACTACAGCTATGCTCTCGGCATCTGGGCCTACAGCACCATGGACAACATTGATGGAAAGCAAGCTCGTCGTACTGGAACCTCGTCTCCATTGGGTGAGCTTTTTGAGTNNAAGTGCTACCCACCTACTCAATCTGGCACGAAGGGCAATGCTGACAATGTTGAACCAAACAGTCACGGTATCGACAGTCTCAACTGCACGCTCGCATCTCTCCTCGAAACATCGGCCATGGGTCTTGGTTCAACACGTCTCGGTGCCCTCACTGCACTCATCCCTACGCTGCCCATGTTCTTCTCGACCTGGGAGACATACCACACCCACACCCTGTTCCTTGGCTACTTCAATGGTCCCACCGAAGGTCTCATCATTGCTGCGCTCATCATGATCCTCTCTGGTTACTATGGCCCCACACTCTGGACATCTCCGCTAGCCACTCTCTTCGGCCACGAGCAATTCCTCGGCAAGACCAGTTTTCTTGATCTGTGGGGTCCCATCTTGATTCTCGGACTCTGTCTGGCACACATTCCCGATTGCGTCAACAATGTATACCAGGCAAGAAAGGGCAGAAATCAACCTTTGATCCCTGTCTTGTTAGAATGGGCTCCCATCTTCATCTTTACTGGTTCTCTGTGCGCATGGCTGGGATCACCGTATTCGCATCTGCTCAAGGATAACCATCTATCCCTGCTTTGCTTTACTCTTTCGCCAGCTTTTGGCCGCATGACGACAAAGATCATTCTTGCGCATCTTACTCGCCAGGACTTCCCTATGTGGACTGTGATGCTGGCTCCTCTCCTTATCGGCAGCATCCTCGTCAACCTACCCTACATCGGTCTCCCTGGTCTGTCCGCAAGCGCTGAGCTCTGGTTCCTGAGAGGATACTTTGCATTCGCAACTATTGTGTATGCGCGCTGGGCCGTCTATGTTTGCAACAGCATCTGCAACTACTTGGGCATCAACTGCTTGACCATTCCCGAAGACAAGTGGATGGCCTTGAAGGCTGGCGCACCTCCAGTCCAGAGACCTGAGGCAAACCGCTTGGCTTCTGGATCGATCAGGTTGCAGAAGGGTGGTGCCAATGGCAAGTTTGCTTGACCAGCTTACCACCACAACTCTCCTACCAGGATGCCCCATTCCGCGCGGGTTTCTGAGAAGATAAGGATGAAAAGAATTAAAGAATTGGATGATGACACGCTCGTTTATTGACAACTGCTTTTGTCAAGGGTGAGATGAGATGTTTGAAGCTCGCCCCTTTTTCGTTTTATGCATACATGTAATGAGTCTGATTTTTCTGCGATACGATAGAACAAGGCCTGAAAGCCAGATTAGAAATGAGAAAACTAATGCCTTCTGATCTTTCGATACTGTATTGTCACAGTTCCTCTGCGCAGTTCAGGATTATCATATCAGTGGTTCTGACTTTGTTGCTTTCTTTGTACACATAGCGAGCTCCCAGCTAGTTCAGTCCGTTGACAAAGCTTTTTGTAAAATCGAAGTTGCTACTGAAGCCAACCTTTCAGGAGCTCCAAGTGATCTCACAAGATGAGCGAGATATGCTGAAGTAGTCTGCGGTCGTCATGAGGTCTCTGGTTTGAAGCAGAATTGCTCTTCATTTGATAGGTGTTGATAGCGTGCAACATGCGGTTGCTATCTTGAGATGGTCACGAATCGAAAGTCGCAAACCAGTTGTAGAGCTCTAGGACACCAAAAGCATCGGGGTCTAGAAAGGCTGCGATGACATCTTGCAGGAATGATCAATACTCAAGGCGACGGAGGATCTGAAAACAAGAACATTGGTATACACAGTAGTCAGTAGGTATGCATCGGTCGATCGAATCCGCGCCATCCCATAAGCATCGCAGAGACGCCCAAACTCCCAGCCTGCTGAATCAAAAAGGTCTGTTTGATCTTCTAGTGTCCTGAGTCTCTTCCTCGTCTAGCTTCTCAGAGCTCTCAACCTCTCGCCCAGATTGTCTTCCTCGACTTCGGTGGGGTTGGCAGGGGCCTTGATACCCTGTGCTGGGGTTGCGCCTGCCATCTCTTGGTTGAGTTCGACTCCGGCTTCGTCGGCGACTTGCGACATGAGTCTGTCGACGTCTTCTTGGGGTGTGCCTACAGCGGTAGCGCTGGAAGTGGCGTTCTCGTAGTATCCGGTCGCGACATCCAGATCCTCGAATTGCGTCTCGAATTTGTCCATGACGGCTGAGATCNNTGAGTGTTCCTCTTTGTCAGCCACACAGCTCTTCTTACGACCAGTTCCACCATCTGAAGTAGCTCAAGGCAGCAGCATAACACTCACCTTTTCCAAGTCCATGGCCTTCATAGCTCCATCCATGCCTTTTACCACATTCGCCATACTGCCCGTGACTTGACGCATAGTCACAGCAGTCTGGACTCTGCTAGCGACAGCATCAATCCTCGAAGCCAGGCGCAATAAGTTGAGCTTCTCATTCTGCTTGCGGATAGCGTTCTGAGCATAGATTTTGGCAATGTCGCCGTGGTTTTGCTGGATTGCCTTTTTCAGTTTTGCCTTTTCGGCATTTTCGTCTTTGCCGGCTTTGGCGGATTGGCGGTTGAGTTGTTTGGCGGTGAANCTGGGTGAAGAGTCGTGTGTTAGTGGGTGGTCGCAGAGGTATGACGAGGGTTGTGGTGGGGTGGCTGAGGTATGTACCTTGAGGTTGAAGAGAGCCTTTTCGAGGCCTGACATGATGACTGTGTGTTAGTCGTGAGACTTGAAGAGCATAAAGGTGTGTGTTTGGACAAAAGATGTGGGCGATATGCTTGGGTACTGGTCTGGATGCGCGATGATGGACGGCGGCCGAGGCCGATGAGAGTGTGGGGTCTTGGCCCTTCGTCACTGTCACATGCGCCTTTTCAGATGTCACCAATCTTGTCAAAGACTCAGTTCTTCAAGTAAAGGAAAGCTCGATTGCAAAAGTGATTGCCATATGCTGTCATGCTCCTTCATGCCACGTTGCGCCATAGTCTAACAAAAACCAGTAGAGATGGGGTATCTAAAGAAGAATCGTATCGTCCCAAACGCCTGTGACGCCTTTGGTCCCAGCTGCTGTATCTCTCTTTTGTCTTTCATCATGCTGCCGGCTCGGCAGGCTCTGCGGGTCCAGCATTGAACTTCTCGTTTGCTGATCTGAACAGCTCTTCTTGCTGTCTAAGCAGTTCTTCTTCGGTCATTCCAGACTGCTCGATCTTGCTCTGCTTCTTTTCGCGACTCNNTGGGGACTTTGTGTCAGCATCTTCCTTGACCAAGCTGTGTTTTCGTTTCCAACTCACTGCTTGTTGTGATTTGAACTGCTGTGCGACCTCGAGCAAGTCTGGGACGTATTCATTGAAGCCCAGCTCTTCCAAAGCCTTGACAATGTGTTCGCAGGCAATTGTCTTCTTCGCATCCTTTTCGGCAATCTCGTTGGCTTCGGAGGATATCATGGTAATGAACTCGACGCAACATTCTATGAGTAGGTCTCGTGTTTCCTTGGCGAAGGACATTCCTTGGTCGTTGGCTAAGACTTCGGTGATGATCTTTTGGACGGTCGCNTGTCGTGTCTGTGTCAGTCGCGTTGATCGGTCGGTCTCGTTACTAGAGCGGCGCATACCTCTGGGCAGAGTGAGCTCGTCACTGCCTGTAAATTGTTAGCATGCTTTGGTCGCAAAAGAGTTTCATGATCAAGTGTGTTTCCCTACCAGCAAATTCTTTGTCCGACATATTTGGATTGATATTTTGAAGCCTGGTTACACAGTGAAATCAACGATTCGGCCAGAGAAGTGTCGATGCCAACATCCTATAACAGCGGCGCGCAAGTTTGGGGGAATGCAGCAGCTTTAAGTCTCACATGAAGCATGACGACCGGGGAATGCCGCAGCACGGCTTCCGTCACCAACGCGTCCGAGCTTCACTGCCTATTTCTTCGGACGCGACTTTTTTTCTTTTGCTTCCTCCTTCCAACAATCAACAGCGCAAAAGGTATGTGACCACTTCCTTCTCCTCCTCTCTCCCAGCACATTCAAGGATGAACATTCGTGTCGCCCCTATCTTACCTTTACGTGGTGATTTACCTGTCTCAACCAAACGGACTCTCTGAAAGAATTCTTGCACAACCCGCTTATTTCTCAATCTCATCTTTGACGAATTGTCAGCTAACATTGCAATTAAGACAGATCTCTCACCTTTTCCTGCTTCACTCAAGCTCTGCATAGATCATGCATCTTGTCAAAGCATTGGCTCTGATGAAGGACTTTGGCTGCGCGTGCTGAGTGCGCCTGGAGCGACACTCGGCTGGAACACTCGAGGTTAGTAATGCTCGGGCATCATCTCTTCTTTCTACTACATGATGAGAAAATTATGTTATATACACCTCCTATTACCCTGAGGAATAAAATAATGGTTCGATTACCTGAAAACCTTCTTCTCCTCTTCCACTGTTCTACAATCTTGTCAGTTTCATGTTTACCAACACACGTCTAGGTACAGTTAGAACAATCAACATTGTCAGCCCTTCCAAAGTTCCATGCATGCATCGTAAGGTTAGTACCTCCTTCACCCCACCTCCACTCCCCCTTGCGTGATGAACAAAATCATTCCATGCTAAACCTGAAGGCTTACGCCGTATGGTGATCAAAATGTATTGCTTTTCATCTTTCAACTGACTGCACACCCTTGTTCAACTCTTGCTTCAGAAAACATCTTGAAGTACATTTGACTAACGTCTGAAAAGTTTGTTGATAGTCTACTACTCCTGGAAAGCTGCGAGCTTCTCATCGTTCCAGCTCAAGAACTTGCCGCTCAAGTCCTTGGGCGCATCAATTGCCAACTTGGCCATGACATGACCAGGCTGCTCAGGCTCGAGCAAACCCCCTGTCTCCTTCAACTCTTTGAACTTGGCTGCATCCTTTGCATGAAAGACGCCTCTGTAGACCATATATAAGCAAACTGTTTCTCCCAGCCTAATCCTCTCCTCTACCTACCGTTCTAAAGTAGGGAACAGACCGTCGCTCGATATTGCGTTTTCTCCAACTTGACCATGGGTTTCAATTTTTTGAGGTCAACGACGGGCTGCTCCAAGGTTGACATTCAATGTTGACCATAGCCTGCCTCCTGACTTGGGGACCAACTTCAAGTCCGCCATCAGCTTCGCCAGCAACCTCGAGCATGAGCATCTTTGACTCTGACCTTGGCTCTCACCATGATTGATCCAACCCTGCAGCACATTTCGACAGCAGCATTAGTGTCGGCCGGCAAGTTCCTCGCCATAACTACACCTTCTCGCTCGTGGCTTGAGACCTTGGCCAACAAGAGCTCTCAAGTTCCGTGTGCTTGCTGCCATCGTCAAGTTTCCGGGTGGCCACGGACGTCAACCAAGTTCAGTCGACGAAGGGGTCTACTTCACCACTGCCACTGAGTTTTCTTAGACTTGTTCTTGCGAGTGACTCTCGACATTGCCTGATCGCGGCTTCCTAAGTGCTCACGTCTTCACAATGCCCTGCTCGCTACGCGTTCGGATATTTAAAGGATTTGCTTCACCATCTCCACGAAGTTTCCTGGACCTGCTCTTGGGAGTGACTCTCAACCTCGCTTGACCGCGACTTTCTGAGCTGTCGTCTTACTGCACAAGCTGAAACCCCTACTCTCTCCTCTTGAAGCATGTCTTCGGTGCTTCACTCAAGTCTTTGCCAGCGAGCATTAAACACTGCTTCCTTCTACTTGAGCTTGAGCACCAAGTTTATCGAGGTCAAGCAGTTTATCAGCTGGATTCAGCTGATGGAAGGCTCTACTTGATCATGGCCTTGAAATCTGCTGCACTCGAGCACCAAAAATCTCTTTTCTCGAGGTGCTTTACTTGACCGCCACCGTCAAATTCCCAAGGGTCAAGCAGTTGCTGCTGGTCTCTGATGGAAGGTCTCCTTCATCATGGTTGCCAAGTTGAGGTCTTGAGAGTGACTCTAGGCTGCACCCAACAGCGTCTCTCAGCAACCAACCTTGTGCTCGAAAACGAGTATTCGTTTTTAGAGGTATCAGCTTGAGCGTCGCCACCAAGTTTCTCATGCCTCTACTTGAGAGTGACTCTCAATTCCGCTCGAAAGCCACTTTTGAAAACGAGTATTGGTTTTTGGAAGGTCTGCCTTGAGCTTGACCGTCAAGTTTTTCAGACTTGTTCTTCTACAACGCCTTCTAAGCTCACGTGACTACATCCTTCCGTGATGCCAAGCTCACACAACTTCATGCCCATCAGCTGAATCCAGCTGATGGAGGGTACGCTTGTTCATCACGGTCATATCATCAGCTGGATCCAGATGATGGAGAGTCTACTTGATCATCTTCATCAAGTTACTCGTTGCGGTCTTGTTCCTTCCTTCGGAGGTATCGCCCCCTCTCAGTCACTTCTGAGGGTACCTTCGGTATTCGTCTTGGATATGATGGTTTCGTAGGTGAAGGAGGTCTACCCAGCATTCTCACATGCTGTCTGCACCTTCCTATCTACACTCCATCCTTATCTGTAGACAGATCATATGATGCTGCTGTCACTATTGTCTCGTGCAATGCTCCTGCCTTGTTTGGTATACCATTCACTCGTAGAGCTTGTGTTTGCATGTGATCGCAGCACTATATAAGGAGGCTTCTCCCCCAACCAAACTCTTCCATCTACACTCCACTCGAGATGGTGGGCAGAAATTTTCTTGTACCGTACAAGAAAATTTTGCTTTTTTTGTGCCGCACAAGAAAAAACACCGCACAAGCACGGCATTGCCTCTCTCTCCGCCGCAGCAGTCATGTCCACGGTCGCTGTCAAAATCCAGGGTACCACTTTGATCAGCAGCTTGGCCATAGAGAGCAAGAAGATCAAGCTTCTCTTAGTGGACATCTCGCTCGTGCTTTCAGCTTTCTGCATTGCAGCAGGCATGTGAGCCCATGATCCAATCTCGGGGATGCCTCTGAAAAGCATGCTATAAAAGCAGTCTTTTCTTCCAAACCAACCCTCTCCTCTACGTCCCACTCCGGTTTTGGGGCGGGGGCCGGCGGGGTTTTTCCTGCTGTTTTGGGTTTTTCTGGCTTCCACCACCAACATGAGGAAGGAGCAACCACCACCCCACCTGCCTTGACCATCATGTCTGCGCGACTCGCGGTCAGGCGCGCTTCGCTGCTGCTGCTGCTGCCTGCCTGCCACCTGGCAAACTTCATCGTCGCCGTCAACCTGACCTTGACTGCGTCTTCAACCACAGTCGACAACCATTGTCAACCGCCATCAGCTGCCATCGAGTAACTTGTTCTTCACGCTTACCTGACCTTTACTCTCAAGTGCTCCGAACGGAGCCTTCGTTGACCTTGACTTTGCCATCAAGGTTGACATCCATTGTCAACCGCCCTCAGGCCATCAACGAGTCACTTGTTCCTCACGCTCGTCTGACCTTTGAGGGTCACCCCCAAGTGCTCCGAACGGCGCCTTGGTCGACATCTATTGTCAACCTCATCAGCTTTGACTTGATCATCATCATCTCGTAGGTCAAGTTGAGATTCACTCCCAACTTGCTCTAGCTGACCTTTGAGAGTGACTCCCAAGTCCTCAACGGAGGCTTCGTTGCCTATCATGGCCGTCGACATCTCCGCCATGGTCATCTCGCAAGCCATGCTCGCAATGATGTGGGCTGCATTGAACGTCAAAACCTACAAGAACCCGCTGTTCCTCACTGTTTTCACATCTACTGAACTTCTGGAAGATGTCTTTCTCTTGGCTTCTCTCTCTTTCTGTCCTGGTCTCCTCGAGGCCCTTCAAGGGTTTGGACCTCCATCGGTTGCCTGGTTCTACTCGTTAAGCATGAACAACGTACCATACAAGAGCAAGGAAATCTGGGGTATCTACATCATCATCCTCGAGAAACCTGGGTGCCGTACTCTAATTTACATTGGATCCGCAACTAGCTTTGACGCGGGCCTCCGGGGTCGATGGTCCGTCTACGACGGTCAGACTCATCACACGACTTTGCCTCGGTTTGTCTTGCAGGCTCTTCTCGATGGATACAAGATCAAGCACAAAGGCCTCCTTGTTTGGTGCCCTATCCCCAAGCCTGCCGACGTACCTATCATACGATGCTTCATGATCGTCATTGAAACCGTCCTCTCCTTCTGGTTTTGGTCGATGTACAGCGACACAAAGGATTACGGCATAGGAAGCTGCTGCCCTTGGGCTCGCGAAGACTTCGAGTACGGAGGTCTCTGCGGTCACAACGCGCTCATCGAAGGAGTCCGTGGCGAGTTCAACTTGTCTGCTGAGGAGCTTGAAGCCCTGGCCGCCGCTGCAAAGGAAAGAGGTCGGGAGCTCTCTAAGGCTCGGAAACGCGAAGCCTACTACAAGGCCGTGGCCATTGACGTCTATGATGTGAGGGCCAAAGAACGCGAAAGGCAGACGCGCGCAAGAGAAGCTAGACCCGAGTACCACAACGACAGAAAAAGGTCTGGGCAGAAGCCAATCCAGAGAGGATTCGCGAGACCCAGAGTAACTCCATCAAACGCGCCAAGCTCTCGAAGAAATGGTGTTGCGACCCTTGCACTTACCCTTGCCAGAGTCAATCTGCATTTGATAGACATCTCGACGGCCCACGTCATAAGGCCAACCTCATACGAACTGCCGCCGGTCGTCAACTCCAATATCGATGTTACATCTGTGGCACGTCGTTCGACGAATACAAACGTGGGCTTCTCCAGCACTTCTCCAAGTCGTCTCACAAGCAGAAAGCTGCTGAGCCTGGTGCTGCCGAAAAGGCGAAGGCTGCAGAGGCCAAGGCTCGTGCTAACAACCCTGACGCGATCAAGGCTGCCAAGGCTGCCATTCGAGAGTGTAACGGTGACTTCAGTAAGGCCATCTCCAAGTTCAATCAGGAGATTGACCCTGTGCCTGAGCATGTGCCTCTCGTCATCGACTGGAAGCAAGCTCCTAAGCCGGTCCTTCCCGTCTCACCCGCGCCCATCCCTGACTTCGACTTCAACAAAAGTTCAACGAGTTACTCGATTGCTCTTGACCGCGCTTACAATTCCGTCGCCACTGAGCCACTTCAGGGTGACTCTCAAGGTCCGACCCAGCTCTCATACACGCCTTGGCAACCTCCTGTTGTTCCACCGTCAACGGAGGTTCCGTTGTCCGAGCCTATTGGCGTGACCTTGCCCAAGTTCGAGATCACGTCCAACTTTGACCATGACAGCGTTCAAGACTTCATGGCGTCCTCGAACGAGGCGCCCACTGTTCTGCCCAGCAAGTCGAAGTCCGTTACTACGAAGAAGCAAAGAAGTCTAAGGCGCCTCCCGGGCCCAAGACCTCGGCCGTCTCCTCCGAAACGAAGTCTATGTTCATCAAGAAAGAGTACAAGCCCGCCAAGCAGACTAGGCTGTCCTTCGGCGGTACCAAGCCCAAGCCATGATGAAGTGTATTGTTTGAGACACGAGTAGCTCTGATGGCGTATTCTTATCCATCACTTTTGCTGGGAAAGAATAGCATTTGATTACCATGGCTGGCTTTGAAGTCTTGAGCATGAATATCTGGTCACATCACACTATATAGCTCTCTCTAATCAATACATATTTACTGACTCTTCTGTTTCAACGTTGTCGTAGTGTCCTTGACTAACGTTTCGAAAGTTGTTCTACTCTTGGAAAGCCGCGAGCTTCTCATCATTCCAACTTAAAAACATTCCGTTTAAGTTCTTAGGCGCATCGAGTGCTAATTTAGCCATAACATGGCCGGGCTGCTCGGGTTCAAGCAAGCTTCCAGTCTCCTTTAGCTCTCTAAACTTAGCTGTATCTTTGGCGTCCATCTGAGTATGGTGCACTTCGCGGATAGAGTCTTGCATTGCACTATTAACCGTTCCAGGCCGAATACTCAAAGTAGTCACATCGGGTTCCTCAACAGCAAGAGTCATGGCAAGGTGGTTTAACACAGCCTTGGATGCACCATACGCTCCCCAAGTCGAGTAGGCGCCAGTGGCCGCACCAGAAGAGCAAAGGATGATACTGCCCTTCGATTCACGGAGTGCTGGCAAAGATGCCTTGACCTGTGTCATTGGTTAGCTCTGACCCTCTACTTCAACAGTAAAGGGTCAACTGACCAGTGCGATGGCTGAGAAGACATTGACGTCGAACAATTGTCTCCACTCTTCAGCTTCGACATTTGAAATGCGCTTGACAGGATCAAGAATGCCGTGGTTGACAATGATGCTGTCCAGGCGCTGCCATTTAGACTTGGCCAGGTCTGCTGCCTTTTGTCCAAGCGAAAGATCTGACAGGTCGCCAGCGAGGACTTCGACTTGGCCAGGGTATTGCTCGCTCAGCTTGTCCATAGGCTCGCGGCTTCTGGCAACAGTCACAACGCGACATGATTGTTTAAGCAGATAGTGTGCAATTGCAAGACCAATGCCNTATCACTTCTATCAATTTCTGAATTTCCTTTTCATGCGCTGTTGCTGTTTACCTCGCGATGCTCCAGTCAGAATTACAACTTTGCTGGCGGCCATGATGATTTCCTATTGGTTGTTGATACAAGAAGCTGTGTTTGCTGGACAAGAAAACTTCGGATGAAGTTGCTGCAGAGCCCCACCGCCCCGCACACGTCACCAAGCGTCCCTTCCACTCACCTTCCCTTTTGCCTCAGCATATATCTATCCATATCAGAATATACAAGTAAGTTTTATCTTCTATATAAAAGCATCCAGTGTGTGTGACTTTGGCCGAGAGACGATCATTCTCTTTGCCCTATCTTCTCAACACTTATACAAGTATAAAACTTTTAGCATCTATCATCTTCCTTAACACTAATAGTCCTTCACATAGCAACTCTTCCAAAATGAACACTCCTGAAACCACCGTGATTCTGGGAGCAGGCATCATCGGCGTGTCCACTGCTTACTACCTTTCTCAATCTAAGCCTGGCTCCTCCATCCATCTCATCGAGTCATCACCCGAACTCTTCGCCTCTGCTTCAGGCAAAGCAGGAGGGTTTCTCGCTGCTGACTGGTATGGACCTGCATCTGCACCTCTAGGCTTGCTGTCCTTTAAACTCCACAAGCAGCTTGCTGACGAGCATGATGGTGCTAACAAGTGGGGGTATGCGAGGAGTACCGGTGCTTCGTTTGCTGAGAGTGAGGACCCTGTGCAAGAGGAAGATAGGCAAGGCGAGTGGTTTGAGAATGGAAGGAGTAGAGCTGAGGTTGCTGGCACTCATGAGTTTGTTGAGGGTGAAGGGCCAGCTTGGTTGACGAGGAGGAAGGGAGATGGTTATGATGTTATCTCTGCGGATGAAACTGTTGCTCAAGTGTAAGTTATAGCGTTCGATGGTAGTTGATCGAGGCTGACAGGTAACAGAGATCCACTGAGATTATCACAGTTTCTGTTGGATGAGTGCAGGAAGAGAGGTGTACAAGTTCATCAACCAGCAACACCAATATCCGTGGTTACAGATACTGATAACACCATAACTTCCCTCAACGTCATACAAGAAGACGGCTCAGAAACACAGAGTAAACCCGTCCCTCCTCATTTCTTAAACGCTTTCCTTGTACTAACACGATGGACAGTCCCATGCACATCCCTCCTCTTCGCCTGCGGTGCCTGGACACCAAAAGTCTTTAGCACACTCTTCCCCTCCTCGCCCCTCAAACTCCCCATCTCGCCCTATGCAGGCCACAGCATAGTCATCTCCTCTCCAAACTGGACAACCTCGCATGAACAGAACGGCTGCCATGCAATCTTCAGCACCTCATCCTCAGGATTCAGTCCCGAACTCATCAGCCGCATAGGTGGAGAAATCTATATCGCAGGCTTAAACAACGGTACCATCCCCCTACCAAATCTAGCCACAGAAGCANAAATCGAAACCTCTGCTATTGCAGAATTGAAAAACACGGCAGAGAGGATGTGTGGGATACCCGGTCACGAGATCAAGGTTTTGAGGGAGGGATTGTGCTTTAGACCTGTTACGCCTAGAGGAGAACCTATTGTTTGTAAGGTTGATGAGAAGAAATTGGGAGGTGTTCAAAGTCGAGGTGGTGTTTTTGTGGCTGCTGGACATGGTCCTTGGGGTATTTCGTTGAGTTTGGGAACGGGGTTGGTTATAAGTGAGATGATTAGGGGTGTCAAGACTAGTTGTAAGGTTGGGAGGTTGGGTATGCAGTAGACGAATATCTTTATGCATGGTCAAAACTTTTTCTATCAATACTTTTTTTAACATCCAGCTCTCCACTGATAACAGAGTTAGTTCTGGGTTTATTGACTCTGCATTGAGTTGAAAGAAATGGAATACACTACCGTGGGGAGGCACGATTTGACCAAGTCTGGGCTGCTGGTGTAGCGACCCTGGTCTTATATTAGCTCTGCTGCATCAGTTCATCAACCATCGGATTCGATATCATATATGTTCGTGATGGTCTCTTCTAGTTTCTGAAGTCCAAAGAGGCTTTCTCCGATGCTGTCAGTCTTGTTCATGATGGTTTCGTCAGCCATACAGATTAAAATCTTTTCATATCAAGAAGCTCCCATGTTATGTCTAGAGCGAACCCGGAGTATCACTAACATCTCTTCATTCACAAACAAGCATGAAACGTTTTAAACACACTGTTCAATTGCTTTGCACACGTAGATAAAACTATCATAGTTCAGGTATCTTCTCCTCTTAAGTGTATGTGATGTGCGTCCAAAATGGCTCTGAGCTGCTCTTTAAACGTCGAGAGCATCACAAGCAAACCACATCCGACCTTGTCTAACTGCTTGCGTCTTTCTCAGATGCATAGACCATGATAGATTCGTAGCTCTGTCGGAGTGGACGACTGAAGAGCCTATATTCGCCAGGGGTACCGGAATGTCCAAGATCATCATGGGTTGGACTGGATCTTGCTGGACGTGTAGCTTCGAAGTATCACTGACTGACCTGAGCATCGTGCAATGTACCTGGCATTGGCACCACAAGTCTTCCAACGCTGCATTGTAAGACGAAGCTGTCAGCCCGATAGCCATCGCTCTTTCAAACCCGTCGACAGGCCTGGAAAGGCCGTGGTGAGAGCAAAACTTCGAATCCACTTTGCTGCCACCTGCACTGATATAAGACCACTTCATGTGTTACAAGCAGATCCGCAGTGGGTTCGACCGACGAAGTCAGGCAGCTTCAGTCATGGTAAGTATGAATACTCGAAAACTCTTGACGTTGGCGTGTCATAGTTGATGATATTCAATCAAGCAAAATGCGACTCAACGTGATGTGCAACTGCCGTCTCATCACCCTCAAAGTTTCCACAAACAGGGCAGGTAGCAGTAGTCGCAGCTTCCTTGATCGGCTCCTCTTCCTCAAGTGCAGCCTGAGCCTTCGCGCCTGCCTTTTTCTTCTGCTTCGCCGGCTTCATGTATGCGAAAAGATCAATCTCCTCAGCTGGCGCTTCGCCATCTTCATCCAATCTAATATCTCGAGATTGAAACTTAGAACGACGATTATCTCGTTCCCTAGGTGGTCTTGAGTTTCTTGATGCAGAGCTGGGTGTTGTAGAAGCTTCTTGGGGAGGTATGTCGCCAGTGTGCATTCTTTGTACGCGACCGACTCTACCATCGCTGAGCCGCACTTTGATGCCTCGAGGATGGTTTCCAGATGTCAACACGTTTTGAACCACGCCTTGAACTTGACGACCGGTGGGCTGATCTGCTTTTAGGACGATGGAGACTGCTGCGCCTGGCACTACTTGGCTAATATTTGGGACTGGCATGTTGGTCTGATGGAAAGATTTCTTCCTGAATCTCTTTCAAGATTGTGTGTAGTTGATGCAAAGAGACACGGGATGCTCCGAGATTATCAGAATTTGTCCTTAGATGATGGAAGAAAATGTTGATGATAATGTTGCTGATATGTCGTGCGAAGAAGACTCATCACTGCGACAAGCATGCACGCAAAGTTCTGATGCGTGCTTGCCACGAGTGAACGAGCTCAGACCATCACCACTTTCTCAAGCAAATTCACATCTACACACTGCACTCCCATCTCAATCATATAACCTCTATACCGATGCTAACCAGCGATCTCTACAACCTAGTCAATATTTGCTTCTTCGCCTCACTCAATCCTCGCCCCATACCAACCACCTCCGAAACATCCCTTGGCCAAAACGCCGTCATCGGAAGCCTTGCAATATTACATCCGAAACTTGACCCACGCTTTGCGGCCATGTCTCGGGGATAATTCTCTCTCACACACACAACTCTCCGCCTTGCTTCCTCCACGCTTCCACAACCTCAATTGGGGAATTGTTTGCTTTGCGCGGATGAAACGTCATTGATGTGCGGGCGGTGAAAAGAAAAACGCCAACTTGCGCGTAAAATTATTCCAAGGCACGGCGTGCACTCGGCACGTTTAAACACGGTCTTGGAAAAGCTGGTTGTTGAGGAGAAAAGAGCCTTTAAAAAGCGCATGTAGGATCGCGATAACCCTGATTCAAGGAAGGAGCGACGTGGAGTGTGCTTTTCTGATGGGTTTTAACCGAGTTGGTTGAACTTGTCTAGTGGAAAACCCGTTGGATGGTTATTTGATAATCGTTGACGTGTTTAACGATGCATTTACTCTTGCAGTGCTTTGGTATGCATGGCTGTATGAGTACGGTGCGCGCATCTCTGTCGACTATTGGCAGGCCTTGATGTGTGTTCAGGTCCGAATGTTTTTGGCCATGGTTAAATGAAGCCTTTGAACCCAAGGTCGTGGCACGATGAAGCTACAGAGCGTTAAAAAGATAGTCAGGTACGAACCTGATACAGGCAAGTCTCGCAATCAAGCAACATGGGGCCCCAGAGATGCTGCATTGCCTTCTAGATGAATGACCATTGATGACGATGTGTTCCTAGCTCACAGCACGAGACAACAAGGGACGAGAGTTGCTTTGAAGAGGGTTGGGAAATGTTGATAGTAAATGCGATATGTACAGTAACCCAAATGCATCTATGTTGTATACGCAAATAGACATGTAATCCAACAAGCCAGTAAAGTACAGCATCGAAGCACATATATACAGATGATGCTTGCTTTTGAATTCTCCCTTCATAATCCAAGTCCAAAACAAGTCGCTAGTCATAATATCAAAAAAAGCAGAAAGACGTTAAAGAGACATGAAGACATGATTCATCAGTGAATCTTGTCCTGAACGACATCGGCAGTAGCTGAGGGGTTGGCGATATTGGCAACCGCGCTCTGCAGAGCACTGGTCAGATCAATGTGGAAGAAAGGTCTGTTGAGACCATGCACAACGATCTTCTTCTGATTGGCCTGCGCGCCGTACGCCTTGCTGTTCTGGATGGTCTGGTTGATGTCGCTAGAAGCTTCACTGCTCTCGCCATGAATCTCTCTGCTCTGCGAACGGCCAAGCTCAAGATCGCGGTGCTTCTTGTGCTCGGGGTGGTTGTAAGCGTATTCGGCATCAGCAGCAGCACTCGATGAACCACCGAGTTCAGCGACACTGAAGATGGGCTTCCAGCGCTGGAAGTCTTCACCCTCTTCAGTAGGGTAGCCAAAGCCAGCAGCTGCAAGAGCTCGTCGAGTCCAGCGGTTGTTGATGTGAGCGAAATGCCATTGAACCTTCTCTGGAGTGGTGTAACGATCGAGCTGGTTACGAACATCGATGAGATGTTGTACAGAAGTCACATCGACGTTGTTGACAGACGAGAAGTCCAGGATGACAGCCTTGAGAGTTGGCAGATGATCTTCGACGAGAGCAGCCTTACCACGACGCGGGCCAGGGTCATTCCAGGGACGGTCTCCAGGTCTGTTATACGGGTTGGGATCATTGCGGCGAGTTTGCTTGAAGATCGAGGACACCATGTAATCCAAGTAGTGGTTGGCGTTGGGGTAGTTGTATCCCTCAGAGAATCTGTAGATGAAGACACCAGGGTAAGGAGACTCAGTCTCAATCATGGGGTTGGAACCGTCATCGTGCTCGATGGGCAGGAAGATGCTGCGGTCTGCCTTCTCATGATCGTAGTGGCTGACATGCGCGTCCTTGTCATCAAGAAGATGGTCTCCGATGACAGAGTGAACCTGGACTTTTCCAAGGAAACGGCCGCGAGCTTTGACGACACGGAAGAGGAGCAGCGCGATAGATACACAGATGGTTGTGTAGATGCCGTACTCAATCGAAGTGAAGACAGTGACAAGAACACCAGCGAAGAAGATGAGGACTTCAATTGGAGAGATTCTCCAGAACTGGTACACAGTGTTGGGAGGAGTGATGAGGTCACCAACAGCATGAATGATGACAGCTGAGAGAACCGCATTAGGGATGTAGAAGAAAACCGCGGGCAAGGCATAGATGGCCAAGAGGACGATGATAGCGGTAATGACTCCGGCGAAAGGGGTGCGAACGCCTGCTTTAGACTTGATGGCGGTACGTGAGAAGGAACCAGTAACAGGATAAGCGCCAAGGAAAGGTCCTAGAAGGTTCGAGACACCAATAGCAACAAGCTCTTGGGAAGGATCGATGGTGTAGTTGTTAACTCTGCCAAAGGACTTTGCGATGGAAATGTGCTCAATGAGCAAGACAATAACCGAGACAGGAATCTGGCTAGCAAAAGTCTTGATGATTCCGGTAGTAACATCAGGGACGGCAGCATGCTGGAAGCCACGAGGAACAGTTCCCAGGAGCTTGAACTTTGCCAATTTGTTGTTCTTGTGAATGTGGGGTATATTGCGGTTGACCAACCAACTCACGAGAGTGTATAGAAGAATGATGAAGACGGTGCGCAGAGTCGAGCAGAAGAACAAAATTCTGCGGTGCTTGGGAAACCTGTTTCCGGCGTATTGGAAACCAAACCTCAAGAGGTAGAGGAACAGGAGAGCAGTAAGACCAATCGCGGCGTCGAGTGATGTCCTTCCGAGATGCTGCAGGGTGTGAATGATGACAAGATATGTCGAATCGCGGGTCGAGAAACCAGTGATACCCATCAAAGTAGGCACTTGACCGACACAGATGTTGATAGCAGATCCAGTCATGAATGCGGAGATTGAAGTAAGAGAGATGAAGTCGACGATCCAGCCGAGACGTATGAGGCCCAAGAAACACACGATGGCGCCGACGATGATTGAGAGTGCAGATGCGATAACATGACCCTGGTATTGTGGGTGAGTTTTNGCAGCTTCAAGTACGACGTTTCCCACGATAGTAGACATGACGGCGACAGGCNNTGTAGACAATGTAAGCAAGCAGTCTTTCAGATTGGCGAACATGGAACCTACACCGATGGTGATATCTTTGGAAGTAGCGAAGAACCAGTAGATCAATACACCCATGAAAGACGAGTACAGACCGTACTCTACAGGGNNGAGCTCAGCGAGTTTGGCGTACGCCATACCCTGAGGCACGACAACAGCACCAATGGTAATACCAGCGACGAGATCACCACCAAGCCACTGAAGGTTGTAACGACCGATCCAGCGAGTGAATGGGAAGAGGTTGCGACCGTAAGTAACCATATCAGAACCATTTGGGGTGACATCCCTGAACCACTCCCAGACTGTGGGCTCGGCTTCGACAAAGGTGTCGGCACTGGAGACGGAAAAGACAGATTCTCCTCTGGTGATCTTCTCAGCCGCCATCTCCTGGCGGTAGTCGAGTTTGATGCCTAGGACTTTGGCCAGGCCATGGCCAACTTGAGCCCTTCTAGAAGGCATGTTGAAGATGTGTGTTGATAGTATCGATCAGCACAACAGGGGCCAAGGTGAACGATATAAAAAGTGGATATGAACAATCAAGAAGTTTGCCGAGAGACAAGGTGAGGGTTTATAGACCTTGGTTGCTTCAGAATGAGCGTTGGATTATCCAATAGAGGGCTTGGATGAGCAATCTGGGGTCTGGAAATGATGTACTCCAGAACGTGTGGGAGGCGTATTTGGAAGCGGGAAGGGCTGCAACCCAAAGATCAAGAAGTCAACAAGGATTGGTAGAGACTCTAGCCAGAGCAGCTAGACCTAGGACGAACGGTGGTAAGCCGAACGGGTTTGGCGAATCACAGGCACGACGAAAGAGTCGGACAAGGCGTGCTGCACACGAAAGAACGAAGGTGCAGGAATGCAATTGAGAAAAGACAAACTAGGAGAGAACTGCGGTAGAGACGACGAGGTATATCGATCCAGATCTCAACCGGCGGCCATCAAGCTTTGAATCGACGTCGACCTTTCGTCGTCGTATGGGAGTAGTGGGCCGCCCAGCAAAGCATTGGTATCACATCATTGACGTGATACCAATTTGGGGTTAGACGTTTCGCTTTAGTACCGATCCCCGCTGAATTTGGACCCAATCACAGACGTATGTCATGGCGTGCTTTGTTGAGGGTTGACGACATTCCAAAGATCGATATTTTCCCAATCCTCAAGCAACTTGAAGATGAGGCAAGCCTTGTGAAAAGCATCCAGGTACCGCGGATGTGCTGTGAGATGGCGCCAGGGCTCAGGCAAGCAAAAATCTAGAAGCAACGACATGGATTTCTCAAGGCTGAGAAACGGCTCATGGACAAGAGCAGTCGACAAAGCATTGTCATACTTGACGAGTTCGGAGAAGATCAAGAGCCGCATCCGAGTAGCAGGTTGCATCACGACCAAAGAACAATGGAAATAAATCGATCCAGGGGGGCAAAAAAATTTCATGTTGGTGATATTTGTGCTCCTGAACTTGGCAACGCGTAACACGGTGGGCAGAGCATCTTCTAAGCTCTGACTGATAGACGTTCGCAAAGTGTCGCACTCGTAGGAAAGTAATGGAAAATAGATTTGATATGTCAAGAATTCAGGATGTGGGCTCTGAGCCTCTTCGTCTCACTCCATGCCCCACAGAGGAGGCTGACTGGTACCGCGGAGACAGGTGATGATGATGTCGGAGAGACGCCGGTGGAGAGTTCGGTTGAAGCAAAAGGACTCAGGAGTGAACGCTCAGACACGAGCCGCCACGCTTTCAAGTTTCGGCGTCGTTCCCGGCACTTCAAACTTGAAGAGCCAAATCACGTGGGTTTTGCAAACACCAGATTGGCGGGAGCAGCCGTTCTAAGAAAGCTTAAACGCGATGCGCGTATTGCGAGCTGCTGCAGGACATGGAGATGGGCGTATGGACAACAACGACGGCGCGTGTCGACAGGATATTCGTAACAACATGACGAGTCTCGAAACAATGGTCCTCAAAGGCCCTGTGGGTGATGTCGAGTCGGGTCTGGAACAATTGCGCTATACGGTCTTGTCAGATGGCATAACCAGCAACAGCGATGGCATGGTGAGCACCTCATGTAAACAAAGCCCGCGAGCAACGTCTGACGAGTCTGCCATTTCAGNNTCCGAATTGCGCATCTACATCTGGCTGATCCTGCTTAACGTGCCTCCGCTCCGCACCGATGCCTACCTCGATCTTGTGCGCCAGGGTGCCTCGCCTGCTTATACCAAGATCCGCAACGACACCTTCCGCACCCTGACCACCGATCCTCTGTTCCGCCGTCGCGTCACCGAAAACAGTCTCACCCGTGTCCTCAATGCCATCGCCTGGAAACTGCATGATGCTCACGAGGCCCGCGTCAATGGCTGGATGTCACCACCTACTCTGTCTGTACCCAGGAGCATCGATGGCCAGTCGGACCAGGTCACCTCGCCCACCTCGAGACACCGCGCATCCATAACTGGTACAGAGGGCTCTGAAGCTGGCGACGGCGCTTCTCACGTCGGTTATGTTCAAGGCATGAACGTCATGGCTGCTCCTTTCTTGTACGCTGCCCGTAGCGAGGCAGAGGCTTTCGCTGCATTCGATCGCTTTATCACTGTAGAGTGCCCTGGCTATGTCAGAGGTTCCATGGATGGTGTCCATAGAGGCCTGGCTTTGGTTGACAAGATTCTTGCCATTGTGGATCCCAAACTGTCAGCATATCTGGCAAGCAAAGGCATGGAGGCTCGCATTTATGCTTTTGCCAGCGTCCTGACCATGTGTGCTTGTACACCACCTCTACCTGAAGTCCTCCAGTTGTGGGATTTCTGCTTTGCTTATGGCCCGCATCTGAACCTGCTCTGCATTGTCGCTCAGCTGGTTCTCATTCGAGATCAGCTTCTAACCAGTCCAAGGTATGTCAAGATTCACTCCACTGTATATATCCCGTCTGAACGTTGTTGTCACAGCCCAAACCAGATCTTGAGATCATTCCCACCTCTACAGGCATCCAAGATCAAGCCCATGGCTATCAGCTTTGTGCGAAAACTTCCCGACGATCTCTATCAACAAATCGTCGACCATGCGAAATGAGCAACCTCAACCAAAAGCATAACGAATAACGACCAAAACCATACGACCTAACGATCTGACGACAGGCGCTGTTGTCAACACTCATGGTAATCCTCCTCGACAACGAACAATGCGCTTGAGAATGGATGCAGGACTATTTGCTCTGGCCACTGAGATTGCCTAAGCGCTCCACCTCATATGCGCGCTTAACGCAGATAGACAAGTAGAAGATTTTGCGGCAAAACAATGTCAAGATTATGAAAGCCGAGATCGAAAGCGGAAATGCATTATTGGGTGTATGTTCGAGGAATGCGACCTGCTTCTGCCGAGGCCCACATCCCAGCTTCGAGATCAAAGAACCATCGTCTACCCATCAACCCGGAAGCAGAACTTCCCATACATCATTCTTTGTTTCCTGCATCGTCATTGTCTCGCAAAGAGTTCGAACCTCTACATCAATCTGCAATATGTACTTCTTTGTGTCTCAGGTGTTTGCCTGCCATGATTCAATCTTCTATAGCGTAGATGCTACAGGATGTTCATCGATTCAAAGCCGACATCTCTATTCTCTGGCGCTTCTCATAGCTCGAGAAGCTCCTTCGCCGAGATGGAGTATCCGAGAACTCAACTGCGGCGGCCACCAGCTGCCCTAAACCATTCATCTTCGTCTCTAAGTTTGAGCGGCTTCGAGAAATCGGCTCCATCATTTCAATCATTTATCAGAAGGACACCGACACCAAACCAAGAAAAACCTCTGCCACCCGTCCCGATAGCAGAAACCCCAGAAACATCTCCAATCTCAATACGACGTACTTCGAGTATCTATAGCCGCACTGTCTCCCAATACGCACCGACTCCTGAATCATGGAGGGACGAAGAGCATTTAGTGCCAACTTTCTTTCTGCAACCGTCTGTGTACAGTTTGAGTACTCCCGAGCTCACTTTAGAAGACACACCGCAATCAAATGTACCACCAAGACCGTATGCACCACTGATCACCAGTCCATCCCCGAGTCCGAGCCGTACGTCAACACCTTCACCACCCCCAGATCGTTTCTGGCAAGAGCGGCTTCTGCCCAATCCGCCACAAATGTTGCGTGTAGCGACACAACACATGAGGACTGTGTCATTGGACAAGGCAAAGGCTGCATTACGCTCGCCAGGAGCGCAGCAACTTCCAGAGGAGATGAGGGCATTGGCTGCAGCCAAAAGGNCAAATCAGCAACATCTGATAAGAGGCAGCAGATCGTTTGAAGGCATCGTACCTCTGCGGACACCCGTGCTCTCCCCAGTCCNNCTTCCGAGTCCGAGCCTTCCATCGCCAACTCCGCATGACTGGCCTTTACAAGCAAATACCGACTCTGACAAGCACGAATCGAAATTGTCAGACGAGTACTTTGAAATGAATGACGAAAAGCGTATGTCAATGTCGTCAGTTGAGAGACAGCTGAAAATCCCAATCGAGGTATCAATCACCCGTCCGACAGAGCCTCCAGTAACGGATTACGAGCCTCGTGGCAGGCCTCGTCAGCAGTCACGAACAGGGTCTAGCAGACGACTCAATGACTATGAGAGCAAGGTGATTGATGCCTACGAAGACAAAACTCTAGATGCATCTTCAAACGAGAGCCTGATGGATGAGGCTAAGCGGTTGGCTAACGAATACCATGCCTTGTTCAGAGAAGACGCCAAAGCTTCTGGTTTCCGAAAGCACAGTGCTTCATCCAATAGTATCAAAGAAAAGATGAAGCTTGTGCCACAACCGCTGTTCTTCAATCCTAGACAGATATCCAAACAGCGAGAGTTGGAGTATCAGAGGGCTCGCAACAAAGCTTACTCGCCAGCAGCAAGCAGATCTCCAGACCCACGGACTATGTCTCGCGAGCAGCGAAACAGCCCCAAGATCAAAGAGCGCCCCCTCAACTTCCCCTTTAAGCTCTCTCTTACGCCGGAGTCTACAGGCGCAAGGCGTCGCCGCAGCACAAGTGGCAGCATACCCATTTCACCGCCGTTCCCTGGACATGAAGTAATAAAGACAAAAGAGCCGCCCTCTCCTGTACAAAGAAAACAAAGCATCGACGACTCCAACCGCTTCTCGGCCTTTTATCATCGCATCAATGCTGACGCTGAGCAACTAGCCAGGGAATACAGTAAGCCGAACAATAAAGTCACCTTCGAGATGAACACACTGCCCACCATACTCTCACATCCTTCAGATGAGACCGCGCGGTCCTCGCAAGCCTCGCCTTACGGCAAGAGGAAGCAATCTTACGATAGTGGAATTAGCAGTGGAGCATCTTCGAAGGGCTCAAAGGTTCCCTTGAAGTCGCTTACGTCCAAAGTGACTTCGGTATTCGGCCATCATGTTCGGAAGTCTTCTGTCACTGCTGTTGAGGGACTATCAAATCTTGTCGAGAACTTCAAACAGCGGACACCTTCGTTTCCAATCATAAGTGCGCCGCAACCTATATCAATGACCGAAGCGTACGATCCTTTAAGATTGCAAGCATCGTCGTCTGCAGCTTCTAACACGGCGAAGAAACGACCAAGTGTGTTTGCTGGAATCAAGGATCACAGGCGTGAGAGCAAAGCAAATAAGCGGAGGGAGGAGCTCAAGAAGACGATTAAGATGGTGCCACTGGAAGGAGTGCCTCAAGTGAGCCGCAAAAATGGTGAATGGCTTTAGGGGTTGGAAGTCGAGTGTGCAAATAGTCCAAACCATATCGTTCAATCACAAATGACCGCCAAGAGCATCAACAAGACGTGTGTGTGAATAACCCTTCACCCAACTCACCATAAACACGCATATCTTTGAATCAAAACAAAATCAGAAACACAGCCAGTATGGGCAAAACAGAAACCCTTCCTAGCCGCCGTACTACTAGGAGGGGAAGAGAAAGCTTCTTTCGTCTTAATTGTTGTCGGGTGAGGATTACTGGGACCTCTGGCATTGCTGAGAATCGAACCGGTGGACTTTTGGCTAACTACATGGGAGACACGAGCTTCGACCACTGCGCCATTCCACCAGTTCGATGTGAATAAGGCTAACTGGCACCAACATAACGCTTTCTTGAAGTTCACTTCATCTGTTGTCCAAGATTCAGGGGTTGGCAGGTCTTCTTGATCGCACCTTCCTCAATCACAATGTGTGCCAGATCAGTCGTCTGCAATCCATCGTGACTTCTACATCACAGATAGGATGGTTTCGAGTGTCAATTCAGCCAGTGTCTCTGGATTCTTTGAGACAATCAAAGTCCAGCACATGATCCAGAATCTCAAATCCGCGAGACAAAGCAACCACGCGAATCTAATCTCAGGCCATCCTTTGTCTTACGCAGAAGCATGTCTTAGTGGCTGATTTTGTCTTGCACGTCGAGTGAAACAAAAGACATGTCATGAAAGACGCGGCACTCCTGTCCAATAAGTATTGCTTTGCCCCTGGCTCTTCTCCATCATCCATTGTCACCTTTTCCTCCTCTGCTGTCTGTGTCGTCCACAATTTACCTCCTCTCCGAACACTTTTCGCTGGTCGAAAACTCAAGACACGACATCGGTAACTTCACCACAAAAGCCATCTCAAATCATCATTCGTCTTAAGTCAACCCAAACAAAAATGTCGACATCTACCAAANAAGACCAGCTCGCCGCTCGCATCGCACACCTCAAACTCCGCCTCGCACCTCTCGTGCCCCTTCCAACCGGAGCTCCACACCCAGACTTCCCTCGCACACTGTTGGACTACCATCTCTTGAGCGAGGAACAACTGGACGCTATTGCCTCTTACTACCATCAATCCACCCCCAGCGTTTACACACACCAATACCCTGCATGTATGAACTGGGACAAAGATATGCTAGCCAAACGCCGAGCTAGCGTTGCTCAACATCTGCGTCGAGCAAGCCAAGTAGAAGACAATCAGTGGTGGGAGAAACTGTTGGCTGCCGAGGAGGCAGAGAATGCACTTATGGTGAAGAGAAGGCCGAGTGTGCAGTTTGCTGAGGGACTTACAGATGCAGAGAGGCTTGCGATCAAGAGACGCAAGTTTGGAAAGTTTATTGGATTGCTGAATTGTGAGACACCGGTCGAGGAGATCGAGGGGCGTTTGAGGACTTCGATGGAGAAGGCTATTCAGCTTGCGCAGGAGGAGTTGAGGAGGGCTGAAGAATGGGAACTCAGGCGATCGAAGATGGTGTAAGGGTTCTATTTGTCCGGATTGCTATAGCGAGCACTCATCATATTGCCTTCTTTGATTCCTTTGATCCGTTGTGTTTGGATGTACTCATTAAAGTTCTTCGTATAAAGGGTATCAAATTATGTATATATAGGGAATCAGATGTAGATAGAAATAAGCCTATACTTCAAGTCGACTCGAAGCTATTTCGTTCTCTTCCCGTCGAGCCATTGACGTTTGCGAGAGTTGATCCCATGATGTCTGCATCATCAGAATCTTCCCTGCGGTGTCGATGCTTTCTGTGCTTGCGTCTACTTGAGCCTGCTCTATGGCTGGAAGACGACAATCCCGCATCAGCCTTTAGTCGCTCCACATCAGGTCCCAACTCGTACATGCTATCGCCACGATCGTGGTTACAGCAAGGTGAGTGTCGCAATGGTAGGAACCAGTCGTACCAATGATTACCCATGATAGATTTCAAGTTTCTGAAGGCCCCAAGATTCCAAGGGTTCATGCCAGGATGTGTACGTAAGATGGCGAATGTCCTAGGTGGTGATGATGTAGGTGGTGGTAACGTGGTCTCTGAAGAGGCATCCGGCATCACACTCAACGGATATGTTATTGTACCCTGCCAAGGATCTTCATATTCTGATGCATGTGATGGTTTGAGATGACCTGTTGACATAGGTCTAGGTTGACGGGTGGTAGGCGAATCGACTAGTACGGCGATGTGCATTACTCTTCTCTGGTGACCAATGTTGTCGATGGTGGTCAGGTTCTTAAGAGCGAGCCCGATACTAGTCATCGCCATGCCGCCTGCGAACAACGTGAAAACAGCTCCGAGAGTCAATCCAGCGATCCAGTTGCCACCTGGTGTGTTTCCCNNTATCACCGAGTCAGCATCTGAAGAACAGAAAATTGCGAATAGATGAAGGGAAGCACATACTCTGCCTCTAGCTTCAGCAACAAAGATAGCCATAACAATCATAACAAATAGAGCATATATGCCAGCGTAAGAGCAAAACTGGATGAANAAGTTGAAGTTACGCTCTCCAACGACTCCTCCGACCCACTGTAGCAAAAATCTAGATTAGTATGGCACTTGTTAAGATTCATAAGAAACACATACTGGACAGAAATGATCCATCTTCAAGACGCATCTACCAACATCGCTGCCGTGATGTGATCGATCGGGCTTCCAGTTATTGCAAACGCCACACCATATTGGGAGACCATTCTGATCGCAAGCGAATACATCTTTTGAGTAGAAGCGTTCCGTGCCGGGTGGTGGTGGTAATTCGCCACTCAGAATAGCTTTAGTATCTAGTTGGGTAATATCCGGCTCTACAGGAGCGAGAGCTTGAGACTTCTTGCTGGTCTGGTTCGTGCCATCTTGAACTTTGGTACTTGTGCATGAAGCCTGAATGTTGTGCTGGGGAGGTGCTTCCTTTGCAGGCTTGACTGGCGTGGCAGCGGTCGGAGTTCCTTTNTCGATATATCCAGGATGTGGTATGGTTGTGAGCAGTCGTAGGTAGCTAGATGCCATAGGAAATAAGAATACGAAATAAAGTACTATAACAGCAATTCCAGCGCCATTTCGACTTTCATGTTTGATGAGATAATTGGCTNNAGGAAAGTCAGCTTTGAATTTTCCAATAATCGCCTGTCTCGAGGTTGCAGGCTGAGCTTGCGCCAAAAGGGTTTACTCTCATAACCGACAACTATCCAAGGCGAACTCAAGTACAGACTTGAGGCAAAAACAGCACGTACCGCCTATAAGAACGACCACAACCCAGGTGGCATAACCAACAACTCCGATCAACAAAGCCGGAACAATGATAGCCGTGGTCTTGTTCGCGGCTTGCCTGTTCTCCAGTGGTGTTGGCGGCGGCCGCGGTTCACACAGTGTCATATTTCAATACTTCGATTCGAGGTTCGGAAATTCTCGAAATATCGTATCGACTCGTGGGTATTGCTAGCATGGAAGTCGCATGGTTTCCATATTCGACGCGCCAATGCGTACGTCATCGGCAGTCGCGTTTTCTGCCCCCTGCCACCTGCTGCCAACTTCCTAATTTATTTCATTGATCTCATCAACAATCAGGAATTTGACATTTTTGACACGACCTTGATGTTGTGAGTCGACTACAAACACGTGTAACAATAAAATTCGAACTCATCGGTTTTTTCGAATATCAGGATGGTGATGATGCAACTGAGTATGTATACATGAAATGTGCATATTAGTCAAGGATACTATTAGCCCTGATGAGCGATGCAGGAATAGAATGTATAGCAAAACGAGACAAAAATGCAGATGCAGACTCAGTATCCAAAAATCCACCAACCCTATACTCATCCAAAGATCAAGTCTGCGGACCATTCTACTCAGTACAAAATCTAACTGTGGGCTTCGTCCTCGATAGGCGGATAGATTGCACTGTCATCGGTCAGTACGATAGCATTATTGTTAATCGTCCGAAAAACTTACCCCCATGCAACCGTTGGCACCGTGGTGAGTGCACCTGTCAAGTTCAGAGCATTGTATTCGTTGCCAGCAGCATTGCCTACGTAATCCATAGGATAAGTCTTGCAGGCGTTGATATGATCTGCTGGAAGGGTAAAATCACTGGCAGCGAGTTTTTCCGGAGCTTCTATGAAGGTAGCGGTAAAGCCAGCTTCGACGTGCAGCTCAATGTGGCAGTGGAAGAGCCAGATACCTNNATCTCTGTCAGTATCCTGTGCGTTTCTATTATTTCCATTCTACCAACCTGGATTGTCGGCCCTGAATCTGACGACAGCATAGCCCTCGTTCTGAACCATGATCGTGTCTCGTCTGATGGGTGTGGGTGGCAACTTCGAGTATGATCCACTGAATGAACCAGCTTTGGGGTCCGATCTTTCGATGACTTGGAACTGATGTCCATGAAGATGCATTGGATGCNNTTTGAGAACATAACATCAGTATAGGTTAGAAATGGAACAATATTAGGTCGAACTTACGAGGTTGGAGTGCAGGTTGTTCATGACCACTTCGACGACTTCGCCGTACTTGAACACGTAAGGATTGATGTCTCCATACATATCTGGGTTGGATGCCTCAGTCTCGTTGACAGTAAGAGTCGTGTACAATGTCGGCACTTTGGCACCTAGGTATGTGTGGCCGTTCAAAATGTATCTTCAGGTCTCGGTCAGTATTGTTGATTCGAGTATACTAACAAGTACATACCTTGAGATGCCTGTTATGTTCTCCATGGACATATCGATGACCAACTGTCGATCGACTGGTTCGAGAAGAGGTTCTTTGTCCAATGGAACATAATTTACATCATCAAAGAAGTCGTCATTCCCGAGGTTATACAGAACAGGTGGCGGTGGGTAGTCTGCACTAGTGTTGTAAACCAACCAGGCGGTCGCGTTGAGAGGATAGGTTGGGGTGGGCGTCTGCCCTTTGTTGATGAACAACATGTTAGGGTCCATGAAGTCAAGGATAGCATAATTCTTGCTTGTGTCATCTTTGGTCCTCATCAAGAATGACTGTCTCTGTCCAGGAGCGATTCGAACATTNTTGCCTCCAGCAGTGACAACGACAGGCACCGTGTATACACCGTCGACTTCAACCGTCGTTTGATTGTGACCATCGAAAACCCAACCGTGACCACTGAAAGCAGCTGGGCAGATGATTCGAACCAGATAAGTCGTGCTTGGTTTGACATGAATTGAGACATTTACGCCAGAATTGATCAAGGCACCTCCTGATGGATCAGGAGTACCATCTTCCGCCGCACCATCAGCAGATTGATACTGATGGATTATGTAAGGCATTTGCTCATTGTACCAATCCGAAAGAGTAATTATAAGTTCTTCATCGTAGTGGAAAGGCGGGTTGGGATCGCGAACGATGAGTGGGCCCCAAAGGCCATCGGGGTATTGACCCATGTTATGAGAATGCCACCAGTATGTGCCTGCTTGGTCGGCCTGTATATACTATGTCAGTATCTGTCTGTCCATTTCGTAAACCAACTTACGATCCAGTCGNTATGTGAAACTCTGGCCAGGGGCTATCGGGCATTGCGTTGCTCCGCTTGGCCCATCCATGTGATTCGTGCCTCTCTGATGTATTCCGTGCCAGTGAAGCGACGTGCTTTCGTTTCCCAGGCCGTTGTAGACATTGACAACCACGCGATCTCCTTGCATGACATCGATAGATGGACATGGCNNCTGTGAGAAATTAGTCACACCTGTTACCAGATGAAGATCAAAGTGGACATACCATTGACCATTAACGCCGATTACCGGGCGAGCATATCCGTTTGGTGCAGCGATCATCCACTCCAGTTTCCAGTCGTACGTCACTGTTTTGCCAGTTGTTGAAGAAGCATGACTGGTAAGTGCAGAGCCTGTTTCCGAAGGAGATTTAGATTGGTCGGAGACACTCAAGTTGTTTGGAGGGTGAGGTGAAGGAGTAGCGATGGTGGATTGAGTTGTCCACTTGATGGAAGCTGTTTCAGAAGCGACAGCCGTAGTAGTGGACCAGTAAGACGAAGATGTCTCTTGCCACACAGATGAAGGTTTTGCAACGACAGCTGAGGATGTAGGATCTTGTTCGGTAGAAGAGAATGGAGAATCCCATTCATTCTGATAGTCTCCATAAGGATGACTCCAAGCAGGATTCGAGCCTCCTGCTGCGATGTGTTGGATCAGAGATGCCCAGACGAAGCAATAGGCTAGTGTTGTAGAAGACAACATCGCCGGTGAGGAATGGAAGAAAACGAGATGTAAGATGCCGAGACCACACTAAGTGGATTGAGGTTGAGGAATGTTCGCTGCCTCTTATAAGAGGTTGCACATCTGCCAATCTTTGCAATGGAAGAGGGAAGGAAGGCGCGAGCACCGGCAGTATATACTACATGTTGGCCGAGGCTTGGAAGGCTGGTTGGCAGTCCTGAAATGTCTTTCTAGTCACAGTGAATCATTAGTCGATGGTGTGGTGATCTCTAACTAGGCTTGTCATCTCTCGTGCCGTGAAGCCGTGAGGGTTTATTTTTGCAAGAGGTAGATTTGATAGAGACTATTTCCGTCTGACACCGGAAGGGAATCAAGGAGGTACCAGATCCTTGTACCAGTTGAGGCTACAATCAACCACTATCATCAAGCTAGAACCTGTGTAGAGCAAGGCTTAGTACCAATTATGTCAGTCGGTTCTCTATGGAGTGATTCAGGTAACAGAGCGACGTCGTACCAGAGTCTGTGCATAACAATCGAGGCTGTATGGTAGGTATACCTGACTACCTATGCAGGTAAGCCTACACGCTGCATATACAAGCACTACATATTCGGTGATACCTACTCGAGTAGAAGCTTGGGACGAGGTAGGATGTGAGGAAGGAGCTCGGAGATCTGCAAGCCCGAGTGCCGAGCTCGTCCCTGCCGTTCACCACTCTTTACCTTCCACTTGGCTTCATAGACAAGCTTCCGCCATGAACATCATCCTTGTAGCTCGGAATCATCATAGCCTCTAGAAGGTACATTCCTCGCATGACTGAGGTGTACTGGCGATGTACTCAGCTATGCATGTCAGATTTACTCCGAAAAGATACAGTAGAGCTCTGATCTGGACAACGTCGAAACATGTTGTCAGCTTTACCACGGTCGCAATCCTTGTTCGAGGATCCGTCTTACATCCAACCAAAAGAGCGCGGCTTCTGCCATCACAGCTCTGCGACTACTAAGAATACGCACCACGATCTAAGAGAACGGGTAAGCTGTGCAACACAGTCGCGTGTACAGAGGGTACTCAAACGCTATTTTTCGGGAACTTTAGCCAGCAGGATCAGGAATCTCCAAACAATCTCGCAATTGATGACCCAAAAGCTCACGGGCTATGTGTTGTTCCTTTTCCTGACCAACAGGTCTGATCCTCAGCTGACCATCTAGGGAAGAGTTTGTTGTCTTCGATGCTTGCACCTGAGCTGCGGATCCATCGAGTAGCTCAGTATTCTGGGATTTCCAGATTCCCGCAGTGCTGTAGCCTACCATGACGCTGACTCGAGTCTTTGGCCATCAGGCTACGACAAATGACACTAAAATAGCAAGATGGGGCTCAGGACCAATCGCCTTTTCGAATGACCGAGCAGGCGAGTTGTATTCGAGAAGAGCATCTAAAGAATATAGACACCCCGCAAGCCTTTGATATCACTGACCTTGGCTGCACTTGTGTCATTCCTGCAAAACAAGACATGCGCCAAGGTATATACGGAAGGGAAGCACCAATATAACCAAGACAGCAATGAGTGAACACTCGCCCTACCCACGACATGCCGTGAACGGTATCCCCCATGCAGAGCGCATAACTGCAGATTCCTCGAGCGAAGCATTTTCTTTTGATGAAACCCATGCATCAAGGACCGATTTTGCTCGTTCCGAAACAACTCTTGGGCAGGCTTCGAACTATCCACAAATACCCATCGGCCAGGCTGTATCATTTGACTTCGACTTTAATAATGTCTCACTCAACACAAGCAAGGTTCCCACTTTACATGGCTGTGCTTCAGACGAAGCCATAACACCTATCAATCATGAGCCTCGAATTGAGAAAAGCGACCACACAACAGCTCCATCCGCGCCCGAGACACCTGCAAAGGCCAGATTGAACGCTCGCGAACTTCTTTTCATCATCAATGTCTGCATGGCTCAGTTTCTCACACTCGGCGGACTTGGCCAGTCCGTAGCACCGCTCTTCATCATCGGCAAAGACCTGGGAGTTGCCGCGACGGACCTTGGAACGATGAGCTGGTACACTGCAGCGTTCAGTTTAACAGTTGGTGCATTCATATTGCCTGCAGGTATGTCTCGTATATGCTTCACGCTCGCAACAAGATGCTAAATCAAGCCAGGTCGTCTGGGAGACATGTACGGGCATAAACGCATGTTCATCGTCGGATGGATATGGTATGCCATCACTTCAATCATTGTAGGCTTCAGCTACGCACCCAAGTCGAATGGTTCCATAATGCTCAGCGTCACACGCGGATTTCAAGGCATAGGACCCGCCATCCTGGTGCCGAATGCCATGGCGCTCGTCGGTACCACTTTCCCTGTTGGCTTGAAACGCAACATGGTATTCTCGGCATTCGGCGCATGTGGTCCCACTGGTTTTGTTTCTGGGGCCATCTTCTCTGCTCTTTNNGTCACAGTTTGCGTGTAAGTCATCAAATTCTGCCCTTCGTGAACATGCAAGCTGACGTATCAAGGGTGGCCCTGGGCGTTCTGGGTCCTCGCTATACTCTGCATCGGCATGGCGGCCCTATCATTCATGGTTATACCTGCTCCGCTTCCGCGAGAGTTCAACAACTCCACTTTCGATTTTGCAGGCGCTTGCACAGGTGTATCTGGACTCGTCCTGTTCAATTTTGCACTCAACCAGGCTCCTGTGGTAGGCTGGAACAAGGCGTACATTCCTTTTACTCTAGGAATGNGGGTGATGCTGCTCATTGCTTTCGTCTACCTCGAGATGAACCACGCACAGCAAGCCTTGGTGCCCGTTCGAGGTCTCAGCAAAGAGGCTGTGTTAGCACTCTCGTGCATCGCTGCCGGCTGGAGTAGCCATGGCATCTGGCTCTTCTACCTATNNTTCCAGTTTGTGCAGCGTTTCAGAGGATCCAGCGCCATCGCCGCTGCAGCACAAATATCCCCAGTGGCCATCACGGGAGTCGGCTTTGCCATGTCCGCGGGTTGGCTGGCCCGAAAGTTCAAGACATCATATATCATGTTGTGCGCCATGCTCGGTTTCTTCATCGGCACACTCTTCCTGGCTTTCGTGCCTGTACACCAGACCTACTGGGTTCTCACCNTTCTGAGTGTCCTTGTCATGCCCATCGGCATGAATTGGAGCTTCCCATCCGGCACCATCTTGCTCAGTAACGCCATGGCCAAGGAACATCAGGGCATTTCTGCGAGTCTGGTGTCCACTGTGGTCAATTACAGTATCAGTATTGGCTTGGGTATTGCAGGTACCGTGGAGAGATATGTGAGCCAGAACCACGGCCCCTTGTGGGGAATCCGAGGGGCGTGGTGTCTGGCGCTCGGGCTCGATGCCATCGGCGTGGGCATTGCGGTGTATTTCGTCGTGATATCACGACGGCAGCAAGCGTCATGAAACAAGAACAAGAAGAACCTCATCCTCTTTGCCGAATCCCGGGTCTGTGAGGCTTTCTTGTATGTAAAACAGTATTGCTATAGAACTATTCCGTTCATGAAATCCAAAGATCGCATGACTATGATCATCGACGCAAAGCCTTGCACACTCCGCTGTTTGCACTACAATCGGTTGTTCGAAACAGCGGCTGACCTGATGCCACATCCACATGGTCACTTGAGCCTCAAACATGTGGTAATGCTGCATGCAAAAGAGGTTTTGCCCTGCAGAGAGGACCATGTACGAAGCCGTGTCCCGTGCATATCCTGCTTTTCATCATCGTTTGCTTTTCCGTGCGTTCTTGCTTTCAACTGGTTTTGCTTCTTGGATTGCCGCTTTGCCAATTTGTTCACACCATGAATCCATAAGATCATATGATGGAGGGTGCATTAGATGCAATCGCCTCGCTGTCAGTATGCCGCTTGCGAGAAACGTATAAAACAGCACAACAGGGGGCACAGTTATGAAAACGAAAGCGCGTTTGTGTTGAGAATGTGTTCTTCTTATTTCAAAGAAGGAAAGAGCAATCTGCTTAATCACCTCCTTCCCACATCCGTGGGGTCTTGTTTGCTCTTTCCTTCTTTTGAGTTTTCCTCGGCTAGAGTCAGAGGGGTATCATCGGTAAATAATTCATCAGTACAGTGTAACGCAAAGCTCCCCCGAGTGCAAAATGCATCAAACGCTCAAACTCCATGCCATCATCTCTTTATCTCCAGCAGCTCATCAGAAGGATCCATCCTCAACCTTGTCAAACAAGACGCCATTCGACTTGAGTGAAACCTGCTCAGCGGCTCTCTGGGCAGCGTTCTTCTCCATCAGGACCTTTCTCTGAGAGGCGAATTTCTGTTGCTCTTCCAGATTGCCGAGCATAGCTTCCATACCGTTCTTCCAATCTTGATCACCATACATGGCCTTGAGCTCCCAGGCAGTGCTGCGTGTGAGGTGGGTGTTCAACATAGCAAGAGCTCTGGCCTTTTGGTTCTCGTAGTCTGCACTGCGTGTCTCTTCATCAATCTCGCGTTGGCGCTTCTTCTTGGCGGCAAGGGCAGCTTTGCCTTCTTCGTAGGCCTTGCGACGGGCGACGATTTCTTGGGTGCGACGCGACTTCTCGGCCATGTAGTGGAGGCTGTGGCCAAGATTCTTGTTGGGGTCGTTGGCCTCTTCGGCGAGCTGAACGGGAGGTGCAGAGAAGAAGAGTATGCGACCCTGATCGTCTGTTTGATACATGTCGCGGATTTCAGATGGAATGCTGGCGTTGGCTGCATCGGGCAGCGTCCAGACTTCGATAGGAACGGGATCGCGGTATGATGAGCGGCTTTGTGAGGCAGACGGAGCTGGTGGGATAGCAGGAGCCTGTGGTTGGAAGGTCGAGGGGTGGCTAGCAGTGCGAGGCAGAGGCATTGCAGTCATGTGCTGAGGAGTGGCAGGATTGAATTGGCCAGAGGAGGCACGTTGCAGACTAGGCATTGGCGCGGGCGAGGCCGAGTGATTCTGTGTGTAGGGTTGGACAGGAGCCGGAGTGTGCGAGGGACGAGCCATGGTTTGCATGGGACGAACGGGTTGGGTAGCCGTTTGCATGGGCGTCATCTGAGACTGCATGGGCGAATAGGCTTGCATGGTAGCAGCCGGCATGGACGGTGACATGTGTGAAGACTGAGACTGACGAGCCTGAGATTGAGCGATAGCAGGCTGAGGCGGAGGCGAGGGAGTTGGCTCTGGGGGTGGAGAGTCTCTGGGGTCGCGAGGGCGTCTGTGGACAGCGCCAATTTTAGGAGGAGCATTCTCCGCTCCCCACTCAGGCTTGGGCATGTCGTCGGTCTCCTTGTCAGTGTCCTTGAGCAGGTATGCAATCGGACTGGGTATCTTTCTCATCTTGCGCGGCATGTCGAACAGATCCATCTCGTAGTCCCTGTCGCGCACCTCGTCTGGCAAACAGCTGGCCCACGTCTTGATCTTGTTGAACTTGAATTTCTCTTCGTTGTAGCGAGCTTCGCACACATAGATGTCCAAATCGGCGGGTTGGCGACGTGGGCGGCCTTTGTAGTAGCGTGTTGTAAACATGATGAAACATCTGCCAACAATCTCATCCACGCGATGATCGCGGTATTGGCCAGTCTTGACCACTTCGTTCTCTAGGAAGTGCTTGTCGAAGCGATGTACCGTCTGTTCAGGGCGGTAGTACCAGCAGACGTTGACCCACTGGCCGCCTTGTGGATCTTGCCAGGTGCGGTAGATTTGGCAGGGGATGGGCTTGGTCAGATCGTTTGCGTTTTGGACGTGGACCCAGTCGCCGACTTTGTATAGCTCGCCGTTGTAGAGAATGCCGTTGGGCAGAGGGATCCTTCCTTCGTCCATGACATAGTCGGTATCGGGTTTGTTGCGTTCTTCGTCGGCCAGGCGGTGCGCCTCGGCCTGCAGCTCAACAGCGTCCTTGTAAATCTGACTCTCGTCCTGGTTGTAAGACTTGGCGTTGTCAAACATGAGATCGACATCCTTCATGAACTGCTCGAGCGACTGGTACTTCTTCCTCTTAAGTTTGCGCTTGAGCACGTCGAATGCCATGGGTTCTCTTATCTCGGTGTAGTATTCGGGCATGATAGCCTTGTCGGGAAGGCGTTCGAAAGAGGTAATTTTGAGACCACCGGCGCCCTTGGGCTTTCTGATGCCCTTGAGGACAGCCTGGATGCGAGCTTCGACCGGAGTGAGGACCTTTGGTGGTCTTCCGCGTTTCTTTCTGGTCTCGGGGTCGTCGTCTTTGTCCAGATCACGGTCCCGTTTTGATGGACGACCACGTTTTCTCTTTCGCTTGCCGCCATCGTCGTCCGAGTCATCTCCACCAATGTCATCGTCTTCTTCGTCATCCTCATCTTCGTCGTCGTCCTCTTCCTCAGGCGGCACGTCGTCCTGGGGTGGGATTTCGCCCAGGTAGGGGAACTGCGAAACTTCTTCTGAGATGACCTTGAGATCGACCAGCTTTTCGAATTCGGCGCCGACGACATCTCGAAGGGTTACGGCATCCTGGTATGCGCCAGCGTCGGCTCGGTTGAAGACTTGGGCGTTGTGGACAATCTGAGCCCAGTCTCGTACAAACTCGGACCAGTTCTTGTATTCCTTGTTGTTGATCTTGGCCTTGATGGTGCTCATAGCCATGGGGTCTTTGATGATTTCGTAGTAATGAGGGAGGGCGCGCTTGTTGACCTTGCGATGAAAGACTTTAGAAGGGTCATGGCCGCTGCGCAGTCGTCAGTTCAGAGTCGCATAATCATGTATAACGAGTTGCGCATACTCGGGAGTTCTGTAGTCATAGACGAAGTCGAGGATGCTCTGCATCTGGTCCAGCTCGGCTTCAGACATGGTCTGACCTTGGGTTGCGCCCTCGGTCGAGGGAACGGGCGTGTTGTCCTGGCTCATTGCGGCTTCAGACGCCATGATGCGCAGTCCAGAAAACGAAGCCTCCCGTTGTGATTTCCTGGTCGAGAAACGTGTCGGGACAATTCCTCGAGCAGTCGCAGGTCGCGAAACCATCGAGGGCGGCGCGTCGATTCAGCTATGCGCGCGCCTTGGCAGTCCTGTCGGATTTATGCGTCATAACGCCGCTAGCGCCTTGATGGTCAGAAGAGCTACCTTTGCTTCACCCTCCGTCTCGTCTTAATGTTTTGGTTTGTACTATAATGTTGACTGTCATCGACTTATGAACGGCTTGCTACGTCTTCTCCTCAAGACTAGGTAGAGTCCGATCTGAGTCTCATTCGTTACATTCGCTTTCTCATTAGCACAAAAGAACCACACCCTAAGGATTCATTGACCCAGCACAAATTGCTTCTTTGATTCCCTCGCATGCATTTTCTAGGCTCATGCTGGTTTCAACTGTTGCTGACACACTGAATCAACCAGTGTCTTTCTCTATATAATCATAAGAATGTGATTGAACGTCTTCACAACCATGCTAAATGCTCATAGATCTTGCTGAGAGGGGAACCCGGCTACTATGACGTTTGGCCGCGGCTATCACTATCACCGTCACCTGTCGATGACTGTAGTATTCAAGACACCTCACTCTTCACATCTCCTTTCGTTTCTCACCATACACGGTGCTACATACAACAGTTACTGCAATCAGCATAGAGAAGACACAAAACTAGACCAGTCAACAACCATCATGCGCATCAGGATTCGCGGCCCTTCGGGCATGTCCCAGGTCAACATGCCAGAGACGGCAACATGGGGAGAGCTCAAGCACGAGATATCCACCAAAACATCAGTCGCAGATTTTGATGTCAAGTACGGCTATCCACCTCAGAATCTGGATACGACAAGCATCGACAACGAGACCAAGTTAACCGATGTTGGCATCAAACTCGATGGCGAACAACTCATCATCTTGCCACGCGATGTTCAGCAATCACTACACAACCCTATGTCTGGCCATGTCGACCCCAAGAACCACGGTACCCTGCCCTCTCTGAAGAATATACAGCCTCCTCAGCACAGCCCTGGTGATTTCCCTTCTGGTCAGATGAGTGGGGAGCAAGCCGCGCCACTGTCCCTGCAGCGAAAACCGAACGATGTGGAAAGCGACCCGCCTGAGGTTCCTGTGCCTGGTCTAGAAGGTGTTCTCGTCCTTCGTGTGATGCCAGACGACAACAGCTGCATGTTCAGAGCCTTAGGAAGCGCTGTCTTGGGTGACGCGCTGGACGCCATGAACGAGGTTTGTCACAACGACCAATACTTACCATACTTTTAGCTAACCTAGCGATCAGNNTTGCGCTCTATGGTGGCTCAGACAATCCAATCGAATCCAGAACTTTACACTGCTGGCATGCTCGAGAAAGCACCCGACGATTACTGTCGCTGGATCCAACGCGAAGACTCTTGGGGCGGTGGCATTGAGCTTGCCATCCTTTCCCAGCAATTCGACATCGAAATCTGCAGCATCAACGTCCAGGATCTACGAATCGATCGCTTCAACGAGGGCAAGCCAAGACGTTGCATTTTGATTTATTCTGGAATTCACTATGATGTTGTTGCTGTCTCGCCTGGGCCTGGCACAAGTCCCGAGTTCGATAGGAAAATGTTCGAGGTCGCGCAGATTGAGGGCATGGAGGGCGAAGATGGTGGTGCTCTGCAAGCTGCCAGAGAGCTTTGTCAGATCCTGCAACAGAGACACTACTTTACCGACACTCATGGCTTCACCATCAAGTGTAACATTTGTGGCTGGACAGGCAAGGGAGAGAAGGGTGCTACCGAGCACGCAAAACAGACAGGACATATGAATTTTGGCGAAGCATAAAGGAGCATATTATTATCACAGACATAGCGTAGCATATCTCTTAGGTGGTTTATCTACAATTCGTAAGATGCAAGCAGCAACCCAACATTACTTGGCTTTCCATCGGACCTTGCTGACCCAGATTGCCCATTTTTGGACATCATCCCTTTCCAGCAACAGTTCAATGCTATACCACTCTTTAGCCAATTCCTCGTTGGTCGCAAGTCGATGCACAAAGCTGTGACAAGCTCTGCACAACCAAGCTACTTTGTTCAACTCCCAACTAGCATGCCAGCCACGCTTAACAACCTTTGCATGCACCGCCCTCGGAATCAAGTGATGGTAAGTAAGAGGAAGATGTTCCCTCTCGCAAATCTCACACTCGGTGGCTCGACTAGAAGGTGCAAATTCTGGTGGTGCAGTGGTTCTGCTCGTGATGTATGATGTGAAGACTGGCTCGAGTAATCGTGGCAGATCTGTGGGATCAGATAGTAGACCGTAAGAAGTCAATGAATCTGATACCGAGAGTGGCATTGGTTGTAGTAGGTCCTCATAGACGTCTGAATCCAGAGGCACGCTATACTTTTCAGCTAGCTGAGCATCATTCTGGACATCGCTGTATGATAGGCTTCGCAAATCATCAGGCAGAGAAGGGAATATCTCAGAAGCGAGATACNNTTTGATTCATGTCAGCATAAAGACATAAAATCTAGTTATATCAGGTGAAGCTGGACCCACCTCTATGGTCTCTCCCAAATCAGCAGCGAGAGCATCGTTATCCTCATGATCTTGCTCTGGCCTAGTCACAGGCTTAATCTCATTCTTGCGGCCCTTGGTGGCTTTCTTTTTCTTTTTGTCTGCAGTGCCAGAGAGTCTTGAGATCAACAATTCGGAGACACAGTCTCTAAAGTCTTCGTAATTGGCAATCTCATCTTCGGCGATCATGAATTGAATAGATTATTTTGGTTGTGAGGTCGCAGTGGCAAGACGGAGAGTGGTATAGAAACATTACAAGAGTGTGGGGACGATGATGATGCTGGGCCGATAAGGAAAGCGATAAGCGCACGGACGACGGGGTTCGATGGTAAAGGTGTCGCTTTGGGTTTGGAGATGCTGAGCAAGCATCAAGCACTCAGTTTTCAGGGTTGTCTTGTTGTGTTTTGATTCTTTGCTGTAGACATCCAAGATGAAAGCAGCTGGGGCATGGTTCATTGCAGCCGCATCAATTGCATCTGCCGCTTCAGAGCCCTCGCGGCCTCGTGGTGTCGGCCCTGAGTGTAAGTTTACCATTGTAGCTTTCCAAATTGTACTCAAATTGACATCACATTCTCTCGTTCTCANNGTTGCAAAGTTCTACAAGGATGCTGAATCATTTACTTGCATTTCAAATCCTTCCATCAAGATCCCTTTCTCGCAGGTCAACGACGACTACTGTGACTGCCCTGATGGCTCCGATGAGCCTGGCACTTCGGCCTGCTCCTACCTCTCCCCACTGTCACCTTCGACGCTCTCCGATACCACAAACAAGGACCAAATAAACTCCACGCAAGTCTTGCCTGGATTCTACTGCAAGAACAAGGGTCACCAGCCCAGCTACGTCCCATACACGAGCGTCAACGATGGCTTCTGCGACTACGACCTATGCTGCGATGGCAGCGAAGAGTGGCAAGGAGTCGGCGGTGTCAAGTGCCAGAACAAGTGCGACGAGATTGGTAAGGAATGGAGGAAGAAGACCGAGTCGCGTCAACGTGCTCTCAACAACGCCAACAAGAAGAGAAAGGAATACACCAACGAGGCTCAGCGCTTGAGAAAGGAGGTTGAAGACAGAATCAAGACTCTGCACACTCAACTTGCCGCTTCTGAGATGCACGTCACTGATATGGAGAAAGAGTTGGCTGAAGTCGAGCGTCGCGAGAAGGGCAAGGTTGTCAAGAGCCAGGGTGCCAAGCAGGGCAGGATGGGTGTGCTTGTCGGTCTTGCAAAGCAGAGAACTGAGGAATTAAGAGACCATCTCGTTCGCGTCCGTCAGGAGCGTGATTCCTCCAAGGATCGTGTCAAGGAGCTGGAAGCTATTCTCTCGACTTTCAAGGAGGAGTACAACCCCAACTTCAACGACGAAGGTGTCAAGAGAGCTGTTCGTGCTTGGGAAGATTACGCTGCTCGTGACAAGAGTGGTGATGATACTTCGGCTCATGACAGAGATCTCAACGAGGTTACCAAGACTGACAAGGACAATGGTCTCGACTGGGAGTCATACCTCGAGGCCGATGGTGAAGACGTCGAAGTTTGTAAGTCATGTCTTCTGGTCGTCCTCTATAATGTTTACTAACAGCCTCTAGTGTACGAGATCGAAAACTACCTCCCTAAGCCTCTTCGTGATTGGGTTGACCAGAAGCTGCGCAACCTTCGTGTTATGTTGATCGAAAATGGTATCCTCGCTGATCTCTCTTCGGAGGGTGGTGAGTCGGCTGCAGTCAACGACGCAAAGAACCGTCTCAAGTCTGCCCAAGATGCTGTCAACTCGCAACGCAGAGACCTCGATTCCCACAATGAGGACTTGAACAAGGAATACGGTCCTGATGGAGTCTTCCGTGCCCTCAAAGGCCAATGCATCTCTGTCGACTCCGGCGAATATACCTACGAACTCTGCTTCATGGAGCACACCACCCAAANNAAGTCCAAGAAGGGCGGCAGCAACACACGCATGGGCAACTTCGTCCGCTTCGACAAGATCACCGTCGACGAAGAAGTTTCTGCCGATGGCAAGGGTCTTGGTTCTGGCGAGCGTATCACCATGAAGCACGAGAATGGACAACACTGCTGGAACGGACCTAACCGCAGCACAACCGTCATCCTGGCTTGTGCCGAGCAAAACGAGATCTGGAAGGTCTTTGAGGAGGAAAAGTGTGTGTATCGCATGGAGGTTGGCACACCTGCTGTTTGTGAGGCTCTTCAGAAGGCAGAGATTGTCAAGGATGAGTTGTAGAAGTTTGGCATGATAAAACGTGGATATATCTTGTTGCTATAGAGTGCCATCAAAGAACGTTTTGCTCTTTAGCCATTCCTGGCATGTTTACATTGTGTGACCTCTTAACTCTGGATGTCATCCTTGGTCTAAACCAACCTCAAGTCGATGTCAAGGCTGGTCACGTTTCATTTCTGTACTAAAAGCTCCATAGTCAGCTCCAATCCCGCAGCGACACCAACAACTGTGTAAACATCAGAATGCACACTGTTTTCTTATATCGGAAACATGGTCGGAGAGAGCAGACTCAAATTCCGACGTGATATCCTCTGGACGAGTCTACAAAACCACACTTCTACCTGCTATTCTGGTTTGTTGTCACTAGACTGCATCTGCAACTGCAACGATTCCAACGAACAGGAGCCCAAACTCCATTTGGGGACCAGAGAGCCATGACTGGTGGTATCTTGGTGGTATCATACAGTAGTATCGTCGGTGGGTTTCTCACCGATGACAGGTTCAGACATGCTTCCAGCTCGAACACTCCCAATCAACTCCCTGTAGAACTGCAGAAAGTTTTTAGGGGGTGAGCTGTTCCAGGGAGAACAGAAGTTGCTATGCTCTACCATATGTGGCTCCGACTGTTGCCGGCTGTTCTCTCAGAAGCTCTGCCAGACGAGGGTTGATCCAGGGGATCAGGGCGTACCACAAGCCCTACAAGAGGTCCCAGATCCATTTGTACAGGATCGCACCGACCACAAATTGCGTGTATGCCCATTCCTGGACAGTGGCCAGGGCGGGGTCGGCACAGGGGCAGACGGCGGCGGACGTGGGTAGGCCAGTGGCCGGAAGAGTGGTCGACGTGCCAGCCGGGATCATGATGGTAGAAGGGATGGCAGGGACCCAGATCAATGCCGCTGTTATCCGTTATACGGAAGACTCGTATTCAGCCAAGGACAAGAAGACTAAGATGTTGAGGTCTACGCCCAAGAACATTAGCAACTCGAACACGCGATATGCGCTCCAGGGTGGTCAATGTCGTTCGGTTTCGACCAAACAGAGGCAAAGAATGGCGCACAAAGAGCCTAGAGTAAGCTCAGTTCGCATCACGAACTTTATCAACTACGACTTCGATCTTATTGTTGTTGTTGGTAGAGCTAGCAGAGCAGGCGATGTAAAGCATAACAGGCCCATGGATCTTTGGAATATATCCTACTGATCGTCTCATTACTACCACCTTCACCACCACCACTGCCATGATCGACACCTCAAGTGTCCAGACTGCAATTGCAACGAACAGGAGCCCGGACTGCATCTCAGAGGACCAGAGAGCCACGACTGATTACATGATATCATCGATGGGTCTCCGATTGATCATACTTTGAAGCATGCTCCCAGCTCGCAAAACACAAACAGAAATAACTATAGAAATGCACAAAATCTTTTTGGGGATGAGTTGTGCCAGAGAGAGCAGGAATTTGCTATGCTCTCACCGGAAATCAGGGGTTGTGAGGAGTCTGTCAAAAGTCACAGTAGTATCCAGATCGAGGTCTTGTCCAGAGAGAAAGCGCAAACCACGCTCGCGTCTCCCTTGTTGTGTTCACGACATTTCACTTTTTCCGCGTCTCGTCATTGGAAAGCGCGATCAAAACACTCAGTCACTTCTCTTTTCACTCACTCTTGCCAACCTATAAATCCCCATCCATCACAAATCTCTCCTCTCCTTTTCATCAACACAACATCAACGACATTCTCGTAGCAACCAACTGCGCGTTACCCCTTTCATTGACAAGTCTCTCTGAGCATCTGTGGCCTTCACGGCATTGTGTTCTTAAACCACTTTCGCAATCATGGCAGACGTTCTAGACAGGTAAGATCATTGCGCACACAACTCATTCGTGTTGGGTGTTGACTTTTTGTTTAGTGGCCATCCAGCTGTCTTCAGACTTCTGGATCTCCCCAACGAACTCATCAGAAAGATCTGTAACGATGGCGGATTCAAAGTCAAAGATCTCAAATCGATTCGTCTTACAAACAAACTCTTGTGCGAGTTTGTCACAGACAGATTTGGCGCCAAAGCCTTCTTCGAAGTCACGGTAGTGATGTCGCGACCTTCTCTCCAAGCTCTCATTGAGATAANNTCACAACATCCCCGCTTCGGAAAATGCGTACAATACGTAGGTTCCTCTATCGTTTTCACTTCCAAGACTGGGTCAGTCGCCTGCAGTCTAGAGAATATGCGGATGTACATGAACAGAGCAAGTGGAGAGAGCAATGGAGATGCAGAGCAGATGCTTGGAATTGCTTTCAAGGCATTCGCAGAACGCAGACAAGTCATATGTCTTATCATCACAGATGACGAAGCAAAAATGGTCGGTGGTGCAACTCTTCTGAGCAACACCAACTCCAAGATTGACGTGCCCTGGATCTTCAACCCGAAAGAGACGATTGAAATCACCATCAAAGCAGCTCATGACAGCGGTTGCAAAATTCCCGAACTACGAATTGAAGGTCTAGGATGGGTGCCCTCCAGAAACTATGTATCGAGCTTCGACACGGAAGGAATTGCGGCTCAATTTGAGTCTCTCTGCTCTCGCCTGACCCCGCTTTTTGTCTTACAAGACCATGAAGATTGTGAAGTTACTGAAAAGTCCGTCAAGCGTATAGTCAAGGCAGCCAACAATCTGAAGAAGCTTAACCTGCTTCTGGTGACCGGCTCAGACGACATTCCGGAAATTATCCAGAATGTAGCATCTGTGTCGCTAGAAGAAATTTGCATCACACACTGCGAGATTCAGTTGTCAGAGCTGCTCGCTTTTCTGGATATCCACAAACGAACACTCATCGATTTTGACTTCGGCAGTACGTGCCTCGTGGATGGAACCTGCAAGGACCTGGTCGCCTGGATTAGGGACCATCTCGTTCGTCTGGACCGCCTTGTATTGGAGAATATTTGCGATCATGGCACGGGAGTATACTGTAGCGGCGTCACCAAGACCTATTCCATCGGAAAAGATGAGGATATGCAAGCTTGTCTTGCCGGCATTCTTGACGGAAAGAGAGAATGGGAGGACAGAATCGTGGAGATTGAAGACTAAGGAGCTGCTTTGGGTCAGAGGGAAGTGGAAGCAAACAAGAACAGGCTTGACAATAACAAGCACGGAGAAGACATTTGAGGTTCTGGGAGCAGACAATAGCAAATTTCCTCTTCCCGCAATATGGCTAGGACCAACGCGTGTAGATACAAAACTGCACAATACTACAACCTTCCCGTGTGCAAAAGTTTGTAACGCATGTGACTATCAATTTGCACAACACTACTAGAAAAGCAGGATAGTGTCCACTGAGAGGCGGGTTTACTCTATGCTATAGCCGTAGTAATGGAAGTTACGTGCTTTGATAGGAAGAAAAAGACAGTATCCACTGAGAAGTAACAATCTATCGGCTCTCAGCGGACACGCCTCTGCTTTGGAATGCGATTGTGTCTTTTATAGTATAACCTTGGCTCTTTGAGACAGTCGGACTAAGAAGCCAAAGACTAGCACACAGAGATGTTGGAAATGGAACAGCAAGATCCCTGTCTCTTCTAATCTCCGCCAAACATCTCAGCCATGCCTTCCAGCTTCGGACTCTGCTCCCTNTTACCTCCAGCAGGCTTTTGCTCGACCTCCATATACTGTTGTTGCATCGCACTTCTCTTAGCCTTGGTATCTCTCCTGTCGATCTTTCCAGCTTCATGGATAGAAACACCTCTGACTCCCTCCAACAACTCTAATACCAGAATCCTTTGCGTGCGTTCACTGCTAGTACCCACGATCTTTTCAATCGCTTGATCCACTTTCTGCTGACCCATGTCAGGGNNGAGACTAAGAAGCACATTCCTGGCCGTAGAAGAATGAGGAGAGTACAACGCCACGATGTTGGCGATCAAGTTTGCGAGATCTCGTTGCACGTCGACAAAGTAAGGCTCGTTGAGCGAGGTAATGCAAGCCTTGAGGACTTCTGTGCTGATAAACTCGCGGACTTGAGGTGCTGGCGGAGCTTCGGCGACAAAGGTTGGAAGGATAGAGCGCAGGAGACGGCAGATGAGGGTGCAACAGCGTGAATCGCGCATGCGCAGGGCGTGAGTGCAGAAGAGGATTAGAGGTTCAAGGATGGAAGGTTCGGAAAGAATGAGAGTGCGCATGGTGAACTGTGAAGATTGAGGTTGGGTAACGGAAGTGACATCTGTACGTGTAAGTGTGCGTGCATCAATAGGGACATAGGGGGAACACAAACCTGCTGCTCGTTGATCGAGGATAGTCGAGGCAAAATTGACGACTGCATAGGTTGTTGCACGCAGTACGCTCTCAGCCTTCATCTCGTCGTTCAATTGATCTTCTCCTTCGACAGACTGTGTGCTCGACCTTTCGATCACTTCCCACTCAGCACTGATCTTCTTGTCGGTTTGCGAGAAGAATAAGGCTAGTATCGGAGGCATAAAGTGTTTTCTGTGATGTGGCGGACATCTCTGGACGAGTCGTTCCACCAATGCGATGAGTCTTTGCAAGTGATGCGTGGATAAGGACGAAGCGTCTGTAAGCAATGCCTCAGCCAATGGCACAGGCAGCTCCTTGAGACCGAAGAACTCTTCTTCAAATCTCGTCATGCCGTAGATAATGTGGTAGCACCAGTCGCGAATTTGTCGAGGAATACCGCGAATAGCAGAGGCGAAACCCTCATATGTATCACCACTCTCAGCGATGCGAGCATAGAATTCATCTCTGCTTTCGTTCGAGATGCCTGCTTGCCAGAACCTGTCGACAAGCATCTTCTGCATCACCATCTGCAGCTCGGGAGGGAAGTTTGACCAGTTGCTGTTGTTAGGGAATGAAGTCGCGTGTCTGGTCATTTGCAGTACGTTTGAAAGCATGGCTTGAATTGCAGGACCCCAAACCTGGGCACCAATCTGATACTCACGTGATGACTCCTTCAGCTTCTCGGTAGTAGCTGCAAGGAGGTTCTTGGTGGCGTTGAGAGGCAGGCGCATGACCTTCATTTGTACGTCTGTTTGACGAGCCTTGCCTTGCTGGTCCAAAGGTTGACTGGGCCAATCCTGGACTGAAGCATATCTTTGGGCTGTGAGGTACTCTGGCAAGCCTTCGAGACCAACAACACTACAGAAACCAGAGAAAGTCGACAAAGCTTCCGTTAATTGAGGATCTTGCCAAGTCTCTACCACAGGCTGGATGATCTGTTGAAGACGAGCAAGCCGCGCTTGAGAATCAACGGCAGATGCTCGATGTACAACGATGAACAAGAATGCCTGGAGACCCCATCTGGTGCGCTCATCAGCGCCCTCGGCAGACATCAGAGTGTTGACCCGGGCCTCCAGATCAGAATAGACGTCAAGAAGATAGTCTGGGAAAGACATGGCGATTCTTTGCATCTCACCCAAACGTGCTCCTTGGAAGTTCTTGACAGCAGCCGAGTAGTCCTTGTTGGACCCGTCGTCAGGATATTGTAGGCTCAAGCAGTAGTCCAGAATTTTGACAACCAATTCAGGCTGTCCTTGCAACGTCTTCACCAGAACATTGACCGCAATATGAGTTGTAAGGCGGGCTATCTCAGGATGTTGTGGTTTTAGAGTCATCAACTTGTAACAGAAGTCTCGCAAATTCGTGAGCGTCACACCGTAAATGTTGTTAGTGGTATGCTGATCAGACTTCGACTCTGGCCGTGAAGCTTTGCTATACCATTGGATGAAGCCATTCATCGTACTCCTAAGAACGGATGCTTGGGACTCCAATTGCAGCACGGGAATTGGTGTTTTNGAAGGACCAGTAGATGGGAAGGGTGGTCTGAACTCTTGGCAGATTGTGTCGACCATCTGCACCGTCTGATCTAGTATGTGACCAACAGCTTCTTGCGGCATGTGGTAAGCAATGTTCTCGATGACTGTAATGCAGTATCTCCGATAGTTGCCAAGGAAGGAATGAAGCTCTGGAGGGTTCTCGAAATCCTCGTTCAGATACAGGATTACCGGCAGCTCTTCGTGTGAGAGTGACTCGTACTTGATAAGACGTTGACTGCAGGTTCCCAAAAGAATGGCTACTCTTTGACTCATGGTACTCGAGATGGTCGGACTTTTCGCGACTAGAAGCTTAGTGAAACTGTGCAAGACAGGAATGGAAACAAGAAGGCTGTCATGCTGGAAAGCGAGCATCATTACGTCAATTAAGGCAGCGCAAGTTTCGGGCATGGCAAGAATTGATGGATTAGAAGCAGCAGCGTCTCCCAAGATTGATAAAACCNNTACTGAAGTTAGCATGCTTATACTTGGGGTGATCAGGACAGGACTCACCTCGGATAGCTTCTTCTGCAGAGTGTACTTAGGCTCATCGATATCGTCGGCGGAGGTATTGCAGCTGAGGTGAATGTTCTTGAGCAGCTCAATGTGATCAAGTTGCAGTACAGAAAGCATGATTTGAGACCACGATTCACGGAAATGTTCGTTGTACGGACGGCTCAAGATGGCCTGCAAAACGTCGATAGTGGCNCTAGACACGATTCAGTTTGGTTATGCAATCAAGTTGACGAATATCAGTCTTACAGTCTGCACAGTAGCATCACCAGCAGCAAGCATCTTGTACAGAGATTGAGCACACTGGGTCTCGGTCAAGGCTCTCAAGCTAAGCCATGTCACCGTTGGTCTCAAAGCTTCGAGAGTCTTTGTGGCAGAGACGACGACCCGTTGATCGCCTTGCTGGATAACTGTAGAGCACTGGAAGAGAAAGGCGCACATGCGGGAAAGCCAACCGTCTTGAGTATGGCGCACGTTCTGCGAGCTGCCACGCGATTCGAGATGGTCTGTATACAATTGACTGGGGATGACAATCTCGTTCAAGCATTGGCCCAAGACATCTTGTCGAAGGCCAGCGACTGGGTCTTCTCTGTTGCAGATGTCCTCGGACAGACACTCAAGTATGTATAGCACCATCTGCCTGTATACAAGCTGCTTGCTGTTGTCTGATGTCTCCCACAAGGCTACCAGGAGAGCATCCATATCTAACCAATCTGCACCCCAGCATCTTTTGGCAACCTCGACCCATAGTGAGGCTACTTTGTTGCGGAAGTATTGAGGGTCGGATTCGGACACGTTCTGGGCGAGGTTGAGGATCCAGCTACGGAGAGTATCGGCCTCGTTCTGGCCATAGTCCTCCCATCTATAGCGCAGAGCAAACTCTAGTAGTGACAGGCCGAAGTGACGGATGGCAGGTTGTTGCGAGGGATCGCTAGCTAGCGAGTAGCCGTGTTGCGGCGCGTCTGGTTGCTTCTTGGCGCTGTCGAGAAATTCGAGAGCTGCTCTTCGTGTATCGTTGGTCGAACGCGCATCGTAGGTAGCTTCGAGAGCTTGTGTTATCTGCGATAGCCTGTCTCCATCGATCTGAGATGTCATGGTGCCATACAAAGAGAGTCGTTAAATGAATAAAGATGAATGATGTTCAGTTGTGGAAGTTTTGTTTGTGTGGAGGAGATTGTTGACTGCCTGTTGCTTGCTCGAACCACCGCTTTATACATTGTGCATGGCAGTCGCGCCCGACCTCCTTCCCTGTCTCAGTCGACTGCAAATCTCAGACCAAGCCAAGGCAACTGCTGAGACTGCAATGACTGCCATATTCACACATGCTCGAACCTGGGATTTAGTCTCAGGGTCGCAACTGTCTCTGACACCATATCACATGACTCTAATCTGTTCCCAATTGGGTAATTTGAGATTCAGCTCTGATTAGGTACTTTTGTTTCATTTCATTATCCTCCATAACATCGTGTCTCACTACATCATAACGCACGCCTTGCCCGTCTCTTTGCATTGGTCCAGATAGCTCGCATCTGTTTCTGATCCAATCGCCGTGCCTTGCCGTCTTTTGAGGCCCCTGACAGTCAGCTTTTGCTCGCCTGCTGCGTGCCACCATCTCAGCACTTGCTGTGTTGCACCCTCTATCTCGTCCACACCGATCTTCCACTGTCCTCCCGACACCTCGACTTCTGTCTTGCCTTGCGGGAAGTGGTATTCTGGCAAAAACACCTCGGTAGGTAGGTCCTCGGACGTTGAGCTGGGCGCGGCAAGCGTCAGTTGGAAGACGCAATTCTTGAGGTCGAATCCGTGAGACACGACACGCCCGTGTGTTGCTGTCTGAGTCGGTCGTACGTAAGCTTCAGCTGCACGCATGCCAACGCCATCTGAGTTGATCGAAGGTGTTTTTGAGGCGCTCATTCGATCTACGGATAATGTCCTCTTCAGTATTGATGGGTTGATTGATGTGTCTCCGGATGTTCTACCTTCTGAATATGATGGTGACTCTGGGTTCAATGTCGCGCTGTCTACCTCAGGAGATGTAGGCAGTTGCTTGTCATCTCTAGAGTAGATGGACAAGTCTTCGCCGTTCCAGTTGTCGCCCCAATAGTGGGTGTTCGAAGGCACATATGTCCACAGTGTGAAACCTGCTACTCCGGAGCCTTCAAGCGCATAGTGATTCGCATCCATGGCGAGAGTCTGGCTGGTAAAGTTGCCAGTCTTGTAAGCGTATTTTTCGTCCATGTCGTACGGAATACCAATCTCTGTGAAAACAGTTGGACGAGGACCCATCTTCTCCTCGGCTTCTTCACGCAGATACTTGAGTTGGTCACGGAAGCAGTTTCTGATAGCACTCTCACCGATCTTCACTGCGAAAGCAGGGCTCAAGTATTTGCCACGCATGATGCCGACCACATCAACGTTCCAGAACCGGTTNCCTGTAGGCTGTTAACGAATATCATCGGTGGCAGGTAGGACAACTTACCATTTCTTTGTGATGAGGGTTATACCATCGTAGAAGTGAGGAGCGAAGACGGTCTGCGGATCATCGTCCTTGGTGCCTTTGATAGATGGTGGGACCTCGAAGGGCGAAGACTGGCAGAACATGATCGTGTCAGGGAAGATACCCCTGATCACGTCTTTGTAGGCGCGATAGTGGTTCAACCAGAAGTTGTTGGTGTAGTACTCGTGCGTAATTGTCTCGCCTGAAACAGGCACCTTCAAAAAGTAATCTTTCTTCAAGAGCTTGTCGTTCTTGGGATCCCAGACTCCGTGTTGTGCCCAAAGACATTCGCCCAACTTCCAACCGGGATCTCTTTCCCAGCCGTACCGCGAATCATCGTAGTCTGCCGGTAGCCATGCGATTTCTCCTTTGGGATCCACAAGCTCGCTGCCAGACTTGTAAGGACCGAGGTTGCCGAACTCGAATGTATCTTGCTCGACAGCCCTACCGAGACCAGTAAGCATGGACTGGAAAGCCGTCGGTGCAGTGCCCTTNTTCAGGTTCTGGTCTGCTGGCCATTTTGATAGATCTTCCCAACCAATGTAGCCTTTGTTTGGCTCGTTCATGCTTTCCCAGCCGATGACGACGTGGTCTTCGAGGTCGCCTGCCTCTTTGATACGCTGGGCCAGAATCTTGTTAGCACCTAGGAAGTGTCCTTGGAGATAGTCCTGGATGTTCATGCCGTCCAGCACAGCCTTAGGGGCAAACTCTTTGCCAGCAAAGAAGAGGGTGAGAATGGTTTGACAAGCGAGGCGTTGATAGTTGGTAGCCCAGACCATCTTGGGGAACTCTTCAGGCTTTGGCCATGTGTTTTGTACGAAAGCGGCTTGTGTAGCGAGGAAAGCCTGAGGGTTCAGACCGCATGCATAGATGGTCCACATGGGAGCACCTGAACCACCGGTGTATCTAGACCAGACGTCTTGGTGAGGGTCCATAAAGACGTAGAAGCGGTACTTCTTGGCCAGGCGCAGGACGCTGATGGTATGCTGAATCCACTCTTCATCATATTTTCCGGGACCAGCATGCTCGATGGCCTCCCAGGTGTAGATATAACGGATTGTATTGTATCCCCATCTCTTCAAGCGGTCGAAGTGGGTATGGGCTTCTTCGAGACTGAAAGGTCGTCCAGTGAAGGAGACGTCATCACCTTCGAAGAACTTCTCTTTGATATGCGAACATTGATCCGGGTTCAGGGGGTATTTCGCATCGCCAGCAACGTTTATTCCGTGTAAGGTGACCTCGCGGTTGTGGGCATCACGGAAGACGGTTCCATCGACTCGAAGACGGAGAGGCATGATGAGCAGGGTTGCTCGAAGTCGATTGGTGTTGCGTTACTGTGTTCACGCAGTATGTACGAAGCAAGCCGAAAAATGCTATGAGGCACGCTCCGAAGGTCACGAAGATCAGATGATGATGGAGAAAAGTCCTAGGATACAGAATATGTTGGGTGCGACGGATGAGTTGACGACCACGAGAGCAGGATGTACGCGGCCGAAATTCCATGACGTCTTATCGCCCGCCGCGGAGGAATACGAGATACGGTCAATACGGAAGAGAGTCTGGAGTCGACATGTGTATCGAACGTTTGCTACAGAACGCTGGCTGGACTGGACAATATGTAAAGAGAGGTCGTTCACGTTGATTGTAGCTACGAATGAGAGACAGATACGACGTGTATAGTCACCAAATATCTAGAAGTTGTCTTCTATTCAACAAGGCAAGTTGTGCACGAGAAGAATGACAAGTTGTAGACGGAAGTGGGCTTGGTTGGCCGCAGTTTCCTGGCTTTAGGCAACGTGGCATCTGTTCGGTAGCAAGAGCGCCTTAAACAGTCCAAGTGGCTCTTTCACATGCTTGGACTTCTGGCTTTCTTGGACCGGCCAGTTGTTGATGTTTCTTTGATTATCGATACTCGTTGTCGTCGCCATGATTCTTCCGCTGCACACTCTGGCCCTGGGTGCCGCCTTCGCTCTCACCAGTCTTCCTCTCGCTCAAGCCTTGAGTGCTGGCGACATTCCTGCCGACATCCCCGTCTCGCAATTGATTTCATCCGCTACCGCTGCTCTCGCTCAAGGCAAAGGCCAGGATGCCTTGACCTACTTCGACGTTGCCATCACCCGCGACCCTCAGAACTACCTCACCATCTTCCGCCGAGGTGCTGCCTACCTCCAACTCGGCAAACATTCCCAGGCTAGCCACGACTTCGACCGCGTTCTATCCATTAAGCCCACCTTCGAAGGTGCCCTGGTTCAGAGAGCAAAGATCAAGAGCAGGAATGGTGACTGGACTGGTGCAAAGTCCGACTATGAGACTGCTGGCAAGAAAGATGGAGACGAAGTTCGCGAGTTGCTCGACGCTCAAAATGCTGCCACCTTGGCCCAGAAAGCAGAGAAGGACGGACACTGGGCCGACTGTACCGCACACGCCGACATTGCAGTTTTGGTTGCTGGAGCCGCCATGGACCTGAGACACACACGAGCAAAGTGCCGTTTCGAGAAGGGAGATATCGTTGAGGCTCTTAGCGACTTGATGCACATTGCTCAGGTCTCTTCTGGCTCGGATGAACACCTTCAGATCTCTGCCACATCATTCTACGCTCTCAACGAACCCGTCAACGGCATGGGCCAGGTCAAANAGTGCCTCCACTCAGATCCCGATTCCAAGCCTTGCAGGAAACTCTTGAAAGCCGAAAAAGCCATTGACAAGCAAATAAAGAAGATGAAGGAAGCCATGGAGAAGAGGAGATATGTGAATGCTGTCAACATGCTGGTTCCCACCACCGATGACGAGGGACTTTTGAAGACTGTCAAAGACGCTACACAACAACATCGCGACGAGGGTCTTATCCACAAGAACGCTCCGGACCGCCTGTACAACGATTTGATCGAGGTGACATGCGAAGCCTACACAGAGATGAACAACCTCAAGAAGGCCCAGCCGTATTGTGACGAGGCTTTGACCCACAACCCCAACTGTCTGCCAGCCCTGATCGGTAAAGCTACACGCCAGATAGACGCCGACGAATTTGAACCTGCTATACAGACCCTCAACCAAGCCAAGGAACACCATCAGAACTCACAANAAGTTCAAGAGTTGTTGCAGAAGGCTCACACATTACTCAAGAGATCAAAGCAANAAGACTACTACAAGGTCCTTGGTGTCACCAGAGACTCCGATGAGCGAGATATTAAGAAGGCGTATCGCAAGCTCACTGTTCAACACCATCCTGACAAAGCTGCACAGAAGGGAATTAGTCCCGAGGAAGCACAGAAGAAGATGGCTGAGATTAATGAGGCATACGAAGTTCTCTCAGACCCAGAGCTCAAGGCCAGGTTCGACCGAGGCGATGATCCTAACGACCAATCTCAACAAGGCAACCCCTTCCAAGGCCAGCCATTTGGCTTCCCGGGCGGTGGCCACCAACAGTTCTTCCATCAACGAGGCGGCGGTGGCGGTGGCTTCCAATTTAAGCAGCAAGGAGGCTTCCAATTCCCTGGCGGAGGCTTCCCATTCTAGGAGAACATTGTTTTGCGTTCTGGCGTTGCATTCCTTTGGGGCGTTGTTTTATGGGTGACCATACCACCGGTCTTTTTCCTTATTATCCGGTATCTTGTCACGTTGGCATTCTATGTTCTCTTTGTTTAGTGGGCGTTTCGATACGACTTCCTCCTTCTTTAGATTGATTCTTGACTTCCTAAGATGTCACAATGCTTTCCAAGCATAAATCAGCCATCCCCACATGCTAAAGATCGTCCCAGTGTACTTGTCTGAAATGTATGATACTTTCGCAAAGAATATTGTTTCTATGGAGATATGCCCACCAGAGGTTAATTCAAGACCGGACTCGGTTTGCGAACGCAATTGTGCAATTCCTTAGCTTACAATACACTTTCATTTCGAGATGGAAAGCAAGTCAATCCAGCCACTTTTGCGAAAGCCTTGCCTCCTTCTTGAGCCGCAGTTTAGCGGTGTAGTTCTTTTGACCCTGGGTACCTGTTGCTTTAGAATGTATCAGTCGTTGAAATATTGGACATTGATGGTCGAAAGATCGGCAAACGACGACAGCGACTGTGCGTGAACCACGCAAACAAAACCTCCACCACCTACTATTTATGTGTGCCCCGCCAATATCTGCCATACTACATACCATTACGCGTAACTACAGGAATAGCATTTCGGACTTTGATTTCGCGCTTCGGAGTCTGATGCTTCTGAAGGAATTGGTGAGACGTGTATGCTCACCAAATGTGTGGTGATGTAACCACTTCTCATGCGTCACGATGATCCTACTGAGCTCGATTCCCGAACGCGTTTATATAAACAATGGTTGCTCTGCTGTGTTAGGAAGTCTTCCATACACATACAACTACTTTTAATCACTCAACTTCTTCAAAACACATATACAACATGCCTTCCGACGTCAAGCCTCAGGACATCACCGAGAAGAATGACCCTAGTGTCATGAGACAGTGGGATGAAGCCGACTTCTCCACCAAGTTCGAGGAGTTTTACCAGATCGTGGATAACCTCAAGATTGGTCTTCTAGGCACATACCGTCCTGGTGTCGGAGTAAGCTTTCCTCAATTATCCCACACCATGAACTTTCTTACTAACACACACCTCTACAGCNCCGTCACCCGCTCCATGGCCCTAGCCAAGCGCACCGGCCCCGACTTTCTTTTCCTCGCCAACGCACACTCGCAAAAGTTCAAGGACATTGAAGCAAGCAAGGAAGTCAACATTTCCTTCCAAGACACCAAGAGCCAAGACTGGATCTCGGTATCCGGCACTGCCACCACTGCTTCCAACAGCGATCCGCGTATCAAGGAGGTCTGGAGCCGTGGTGCTGCAGCCTGGTTCGGAGACCTGGGCGATGGTGTCCACAACGGTACTGCCGAAGACCCCAGAATGAGTTTGATTGAGGTTAAGAGCAAGTNNGTATGTTGTTCCTGTTATGATATGTGTGGTTTAGGAGCAAAGGACTAATGTGTTGCAGATATTTCATACTACAAGACCAATGTGGGCGCTCTTGGGTACCTTAAGGAAGTTGTTGCTGCTAATGTTACTGGTGGTGTTGCCAACACTGGTAACCTCAGACAGATGAAGGAGGATGAGATTACAAAGGCCAGACAGCAGCACTCCAGCATGAGCTCGTAAATACTGCTCTCTTTCTTACGATGATAATGACACAACAAAAACTGAATGATACAGTTCTTCGAAGCTGTAGTTTACAAACCCCAGTCAAATCCACGAAGTCCTAATGACGATAACTACCTTTCGATCTCCATAAGTGTACTATGTGATTTAGTTAGAGGTAGCTCTATTATTGTCTTTGCGTCACTCATCGTGTTTGTAGCATTCGTTCTCCAATGTCATGAAGAGTGTTTGATAGGTATTATCGAATATATAATGTCTATGCGAGTCTTCTATTACATTTATACATGCTTCATTATACGTTTGCAGTCGACACCCCCCTCAGATAGAGTAAAGGAACTTAGGATTCTCGTCACCCAAGTCAGCGATCTCTTCCTCACTCAAATCCTCAATCTTGTAGTCACGTTCGCCATTGATTCTCTTCTTGTTCTCGTGGCTGAAAAACCACCACATGAAGGCATAAACGATCATAGCAAATGACACCATGCCCAATGAGACAGCATGGCCCCTGATGAAACGAGGTCCCTGCTCTTTGGGGTATAGGAAAGATGACATGATACCAGCGCAGTTGCCAAACATGAGTTGCAAGCCAGTAGCTGTGGTGCGCTTGCCGAAGCGAGGGTTGTTGGCCAGCAGCCAAGCAATGGGAAGACCAACGGCGACGTAAAGGCCCAAGGCGACCAGGAAGCAGCCAGCGTAGTGAACGCCTGAGCCACCGTCTGAGATCAACATGGCATAGCCAGCAATAGAGATGACACCGAAAATAATGGTGTAGACACCGCGTTTTTGTGACCAGTCCGAAATGCGTGCCATGATCAGATAACTGATCGCTCCAATTGCATAGCAAGGGATGGTGAGGACTTGCACCAAGGCGCTTGAGTATGTTGGGTCAATATTCTTGATGATGGTTGGCAAGAATGTCGAGTAGCCGTAGAGCATGGTGTCAGCACCGAACAGAGCGCAGCAGAATGCCCACATCTTCCAGTCTTTGAGACCAGCCCGCACATCTCGCCAGGCAAATTCATCGGTGACACCAACTTGTTGCAAACGGCGAATTTCCATCATTTTCTTCTCCTCTTGAGTGAGGAACCAGGCAGTCTCTGGACCATCGGCTAGCCACCACCAACACGCGATGCCGAGAACAAAGGTTGGTATGCCTTCGAGAATGAAAATCCAGCGCCATCCACCCTGACCAGCGACTCCGTCCATGTGGCCGATACCATAGGCTAGCAACCCTCCAAATGCACCAGCTAAGGCTGCGCTGACAAANAGGTAGCCAATTCGAAGTCCAATCTCTCTCTTGGTGTAGAAGAATGAGAGATATACTGCCAATCCAGGGAACAGACCGGATTCGAAGAGTCCTAGAAGCAATCTACAAGCGATCAGACCTCCGAAGGATTGCACGATACCAGTCAACGTCGCAACGATACCCCAGCATACAGAAATGAAAGCTATCCATCTTGAAGGGCGACAATAATGTTTCAGGATGATGTTTGAAGGCACCTCGAAGAGAAGGTATGTGACGAAGAGTAAAGACACTGCGGTCTGGTATTGTTCAGATGATAGATTGAGGTCCTCTTCCAGTCCGTCCAGACGAGCATTTCCTATGTTGACACGATCCAGAAAGCTGAACAAGTATAGTAACGTGACTGGTGGGATGATGGAAAGGTCGAGTTTGCGAACCAGTTTNTTCTCTGCAGCAGGGTCTATTTCCAGTCGCTGAGTAGAGGTACCAGTAGAGACCTTGTCATTCTTGAATTGACTTTCATTGTCATCCATGTTGTTAGATATGGTCGCTGTCTAAACAGACAAACTGGCGAAAGTTTCGTCAAAGGCAATTGACTTTGTTCTACGCGTGTTCTCCCGCAGGGGAGAGAAGGACAACAAGTAGGCGGAGCCGAAGAAAAATTTATCGCTTCTTACACGGAGCTAATTTCACAACGCTTCGAGATGGACCAAGGTTGTAGATGGCTGCTTGAAAATCCAGTTTGTCTCGTGCATGATAGAGAGCGAAGACCGAATGATAGAGCGAGAATGTGACTCTTTGTCGGCGCTACTACGCTCGCCGGGGTGGCACTGGTGTGCTTGTGAGTCGTGACATATCGATCACGCCGTCAGAGAGATCAACCATTTTATGCCATTTTTGTGCAAACCAACGAGACGGCGCTTTTGGTACTCTCAACCGCCGAATCTTGGCCTTTCTTGTCCAAGGGCTGATGAGAGAGGACATTCTAAGCATTACGCCCTAGGGCGTTGGACTCGGTAAAATTCAAGTGACAAAGACAGCATGTTCAGCATGCCGGTGGGTGAGATGACACTATTGTACACCTCAGATGGTGGTAGATAAAGTCGCATGAGGAAGGTGCGATAGGAGGACGACTAAGGGCACTTCACGTGACCCGAGTCTACCTGCGCGCTTGGTCGCGATAGACCGAGAAAATATTTTCTAGCCATCTCGAGCCAGTTTTGGATAAAAGACACCGAAAGCTTTTGCAAATCGACCAGAAGCAAAAACAGTAAAAAGCATCTTTAAATCAAAATGAGCGACATGATCAAAGAGGAGCAGCCGATCGACGGCCAGGAGCATGCCGAAGGCAGTGAAGACTCGAGTTCGGCAGTGCGCAGACGCTCTTCTTTTGAGGGCCGTGAATCTAAGAGACAGCGTCAGTCACTGCAATTGCAATCTCTCCCATCGCAGCAACAACACCAACCATCACAAGCCCGCGCAACTTCTTACCATCACCATCTCCATCACCATCTCCATCACCAATCCATCCCAACACGCACACTTGTTGCTGCTCAACCGTCACACAGTGTTTCAAGAAGTTCTTCCAACAAGAACCTCGCCATGGCTGACATCAAACCCGAACCTCAAGGCACCCAAAGTCTCCCACCTCCATCTCTGCCTCAGCTCGTAGCCGAGCAGCACGTTCCCATCCCTTCGAGCGACAAGGACTCGCAGCGTCTAATTGTCGTCCTCTCCAATGCCAGTCTCGAAACATACAAGGCCTCGTCTGGTGGCCGCGGTGGTGCCAAGGACGACAAGTACTCGTTGCTCAACAGCGACGAGCACATTGGTGTCATGCGCAAGATGAACCGCGACATCTCAGACGCTCGTCCCGACATCACTCACCAGGTAGCTCACTTCTCTGTTCTCTTCTCTGTTTTCACCTCTAACCAATGCGNNCAGTGTCTCCTCACTCTTCTCGACTCGCCTCTCAACAAGGCCGGCAAACTCCAAATCTACATTCACACAGCCAAGGGTGTCTTGATCGAAGTCAGCCCCACTGTCCGCATTCCCCGTACCTTCAAGCGTTTCGCTGGTTTGATGGTCCAGCTCCTCCACAGACTTTCCATTCGCTCAACCACATCGCAAGAGAAGCTATTGAAGGTTATCAAGAACCCCATCACCGACCATCTCCCTCCCAACTGCCGCAAGGTCACCCTCAGTTTCGATGCCCCCGTCGTTCGTGTTAGCGACTACATTGGCGATCTCGCCCCTAAGGAGAGCATTTGCGTCTTTGTCGGTGCCATGGCCAAGGGTAACGACAACTTCGCCGACGAGTTCAAGGATGACTCGATCAGTATCAGCAACTTCAGCTTGAGTGCTAGTGTTGCCTGCAGCAGATTCTGCCACGCCGCTGAAGAAGTCTGGGACGTCATTTAAATTCGCAACGCTCATCGCTAAGATGCTACCCATTTAACCTACCAGAAACAACCCAAAGAACGCCGCCTGTCCAGCAGTACGTGGAGGGGCTTAATTCTAGTGCACGCACTGCGCTTCCGCTGGACGGCCGTCATCACAACATCTCGTTGGCCCTCAGAGCGCACACGTACCAATCGCTTGCTGCTACTGCATGTATAGCGCCGGGTCTATTGGTGATGCTTGTTTGCGGGATATTCGTTTTGGATAGTCAGCAGGAGTTCGGTTGAGTTGTCGAGTGCCCGCGCTCTGATATGACCAATAGAGTCAAAGAATAAAACAAGCTTCCATAACCTCTTTCAGAGCCGTTCCTGCTTCGATCAAGTACTTGTCTCGTTGTTACGTTTGTCGGCCTACGCGTGACCTGGCAGACTATTGCAAGCCTTCGGCCACTTGACCGTCTCTCGTTGGACGGGTTTTGTCGGATCAAGAGCTGGTCGGCAAAGCTTCAGGTACTAGGCATCTGCCGTCTGATAAGCTGTCATTCTATTTAGCTGCATGAAGCGCGCGCTTTCTACGTGGCACGTTCACCATGCGCATACCGCTCCTGATCTGCCGCCGCACAGACGGTCGACTATATAGGCGATCTTCGCCCAGGTTCCTATTGGCGCTGAGCAGCTTCTCCCGGTCGGACCCGCCTACTCTCCCTCACCTGTCTGCTGTCCACCTTACCGAGGCGCATCTTCCGGCCGCAGGAACATATCCTCTTCAGCCGCGTATTGTATAGGGCGTGCAGTAGTCTGAACGCGATCTCAACGTGTCCGTGATCGAGTCGATACGGCCGCTTGGCCTATTAACAATGTAAGTCATGGGACTGATCGTGACATATCTCGCTCAATCATATATCTATATCCTCATCTGTACTTTCTCCACTGGTCACTCTTTGTGCAAAGCCTGTCATGCCAGTATCACATGTTGGGTTGACTGTTTCTCACGTACCTTCTGCGTGCTCCTTCTTCCTCTCAGCACTCCAACCTCTCGGATACAGATACGTCGGAAACCAAGGTGATTCTGTTGGGTTCGGCACTGACGACGCTGACTTCTTTCTGAGCCCTGAACTACCTGGGTGAGACCTGACTGGTAATGGTACATCTTGGTAACCAAGCTGACAGAAATCACACAGTATTGCTCGTAGTAACGCGCATGTGGCATTTTCCGCGACCAGCAGATCGGCGGTGAGAGACTTTTACGCGGCTGCACTCACCGCTGGCGGCCAACCGAATGGTGCGCCTGCTTTCAGAGGCTGTAACGATTGCATATTCAACGCTGCAGTGCTCGATCTAGATGGCAACAGCATTGAGGTTATCTACCACCAAGTGGACGATGAGGACAGATACACTACTACATCAGGAGGCAGCCGCGTTCTGACATGGAGAAGAGGCATAGTAAATGTCCTGGGTGATGAGGACAGAACAACTCTCGTGTCAACACCACCAAAAGATGTATCTCCATCAAGCGTCGTCGAAGAAACACCTCGATCCAAAGCTCCGAGTGTCACCAGGAGTTCGTCAACACCCACCGTCTCAACTTCAGACTCAGGGCCCGGATTTCAGATTACTGGCAAAGCCATCATAGGCACTATCCTCGGAGCAGCAGCTGGTGCAGCAGTCGCTTATGCAATGGTAAAGAGCGAACAAGATAGTACGCAGCAAGAAGCAGATTTCGCCGAGGCCATGAGTAGGAAATCTGCTTCGAGTAGAACATCCAGTAAGGCATCTAGCAAGATGGTCCCGAGTCAAGCTCAGACTAGCAAGGCGAAGACTGTATTGAGCTCCGCGACAACGAGCAAGACAACGAAAACGAGCAGAGTGCCCGAACGGGACGCTGAGACTGCGCCCCCTCGACCCAGAACACGAGTACATCGCAACTATAGCACCACAGATTCTGTGGTCGCGTCCAGAGTAATGGAACAATTCAGCGACGTCGAGTCCAAAGTCTCACTTCGATCACGCAAGACACGCTCGGTGCGAGCCATTGAAGCAGCGCCCGAACCTCAGACAATCGGTACCATGAGCTACCACAGTCTCACCTACGTTTCGTTAGCACCAACCTCGAGAGCCAGCAAGAAGCCTGAAAATTCCGAGGCAGTCTATCTACCAGCGTCGCAAATGGTTGTCCAAAACCCATCTAGATCTCAATCTAGACCATCCTCGGTAGCACCAACCGAGAGGCAGATCGAATACATCCCGGCGTCCAGAGTCAGTCAACGGCCCCCTATAGTAACTCGTCGGGCAGTCACATCGCCCCCATCTATCTGCAATACAGACCGCCAAATCGAATACGTCCCGGCACAAGTTCAAGAATGGCCGCCACACGACCTTGTGGTTGCACGTCGGGACAGTGCTATGAGCATGTACTCGGCACATTCGAGCAAGAGCAAGCATAGTAAACATTCTCACAGAGACTCACCTAGAGGTCATCAAGGTGAGGGAGGGNATGTCTCTTCTGACCGAGCCAGCAGGCACTCTCATCGGTCTAGCAAGCATCGAGAACATTCGACTGTCAGTCGTCGAAGCGATCACCGAGCGATTTCCCAGGACCGATCAAGCAGACATCATGATCCATCTAGCCATCGCTCTCTGACATCGACGAGATCATCGAGACATGGATCTACTATTCGCAGAGATGAATCGCCATTTGATGGTTCCGATACGAGCACCATCAAGGCCAGTCAAGTCAACAAATCACGTTGTGATTCTGCCGCTGGTGTACCACTACCAGGATCTCGCAAGACATCGGTCGTCTCAGCAGCAGAGCTTCCCTTGCCAGGTTCAAGAAAGACTTCAGTAGTGTCTGCCGCCGAGTGTGCATTGCCAGTCTCAAGAAGAACATCGGTTGTCTCAGGTGCAGATATGCCGTTGCCAGATTCCAGAAGACCATCCCTGGTGTCAGCCATTGATAGACCTTTACCAATGTCCAGGGCAGCTTCTGCAGTATCAGCTCACCAGATCGCTCTGCCAGAGTCCCGAGCAGGAAGTATTATCGGCAGCATCCTCGGACGTCAAGCACCAGTACATGAAGGAGTATCAGCCGCTGGTGTACCATTGCCAGAGTCACGCAAGACCAGCATCGTAGGCAGTCTCCTCGACAACGACCCAATACCTCGAATCGATGATCTTGAGACTGTAGCTCCAGATGACAGCATATCCTGCGTTGCGTCTCGTCACACGCGCCACAAACGCGATGAGTCTCGCCATCGCGAGCGCAGCCACGACCGCGAGTCCAGAAAATCGAGTTCAAGCAAGAAGCATAGACCGAGATCGTTACACGGCGAAGGTTCGAGACGATCTGGCAGACACTCAGAAGCGGATAGCGATGCTACGGTGAAGCCATCAAAGAGCAGTAGATATAGTGCTGCTAGTTCGCCTGTGCATGCTAGAAGCAGAACTGGTATCGAGAAGGACGAGAAGAGGGGCCAGAGAAGTTTTGTTAGCGTTGCTTTCGGTGGACGATGAATGGGACAACAATCTAGAGAGTCATAACATGATGATTATAAACTATTCGACATGCTCTTCCATTGTTGCGTGAAAGGGACAGNNGTCTCGGAGAGCTTGGGGGTGCCGTCTTCGGAGAAGCCAAAATGTCGATCGGGCCGAGGCTTCCTTGAGCCTCGACCCCGACCATTTTGTGGATGAGAGAACATACGACTCATCGTTTTTGCAGAAGTGACCATCAGCATGATCGGCATAAAGACATCTACTTTGTTTTCTTGAATTATTGGGACTGTTGCAGGGGTGTGCTTTCCTTCTTTATCGGTGTTTCTTCCAAAATTAAGAGTATCGATCTTTAAACAAGCTACGGGGAAAATTACTAGGAAACGACGGCTGGACAATTCTATCAGCCAAAACATCATTGGATAACAATGGATACGGAGAAGAAACCAAACCGAGGCTTGACTTCCGCTGCGGCCTCGCAGACATCACATCTAGAAAAGAGTCTCGCTCTCGCCCTGTCACGGCGTCGACAAGCCTCAACGCTTCGCAACCTGACTCTTCCTGCTGCCAATGCCATCGACTTCAGCTCTAACGATTTCCTCTCATTGTCAAACTCTTCTGCTCTCCGGGACCTGTATCTTCGCGAACTAGCTGCACGTCCAGACTTCCCTCTCGGTAGTGGCGGCTCACGATTACTTGATGGCAACAGCAAATACGCTGAAACATTGGAGAAGGATATCGCAGCTTTCCATGGTGCAGAAGATGGCTTACTGTGCAATTCTGGTTTCGATGCCAACGCGGGCTTGTTCTCCGTTCTACCACAACCTGGAGATATAGTGGTGTACGACAGCTACATCCACGCAAGTGTGCACGATGGCATGAGAGCGAGTCGTGCTGGGGCGAACTTTGCTTTCATACACAATTCTGTCGAGGATTTGCGAGCGGTGCTAAAGAGGTGCATCAGTTCTGATGAAAAGTTCAGATCTGGTCGACGTAGCATTTTTATTGCCGTCGAGGCGATTTACAGCATGGATGGCGACGTCGCACCTTTAAAGGAGATCGTTGAGGCAGTGGATGATTTACTACCTAATGGCAATGGACATATCATCGTGGATGAGGCACACTCCACAGGCGTTCTAGGTCCACAAGGAAGAGGATTGGTCTCGGCGCTTGGACTAGAGGACAAAATCACTATTCGTTTGCATACATTTGGCAAGGCGATGGCTTGTAACGGTGGTAAGACCTTCTTGTCAACTTTGACCAGATTGATTTCATCTCTAATTANNGCGGTCACAGCCATAATACTTTGCAGTCCGACGATCAAGCATTACCTGATCAACTACGCACGACCACTAATCTACACAACCTTTNTGTCCTTCCCAGCGCTCGCAGCTATCAGAGTTGCCTACACATTCCTGTGGAAGGACAAAAGTACTGCACTTGCTACACATCTCTTCGACCTGATTGGCCTTTTGCACGAAAGGTTGTTCGCTCTCACTTCAAGCTTACCACAACATCAACGCCACCTTCTTCAGGTTCTTGAAGAGTGTCCACCCTCGCCCATATTTTCGGTGCTCAGTTCGGACCCTCGTGGTCTAGCCAGATTTTGTCAGGAAAGAAATTATGTGGTCAGGCCTATTGTACCACCAACTGTGCCGCTGGGCTCCGAACGAATTCGCGTGTGCTTACATGCTGGTAACACGAGGGCAGAAGTCGAGGCGCTGGTAGCAAGGATTACGGCATGGGTGGAACAGAAGACAACGCTTACACTAGCCAAGTTGTAGTTAGGGATTTCTACGAACTCACCAGATAGCTCAGCCGATACTAAAGCATGCTTCGAGCCAAAAGAAGAAGAATGTTGTGGTGTAAGGTCGTGAAGCAGAACGAGAGGGACTAAGGGTGGTTCATTCTTCCGCTCATTGTGCTGTCACAATTTCGTGATTGATGTTTCTTCCGTCGCGAGTAAGAGTGTTGTTATGTGCTATAACAATGCACAGTTATAACCTCGATGTGACACTGGCCATGGAGACAGCCTTCTCTGGGGGTTCCCTGGAGAGAGCACATTCTTCGCATAAGTAATGTGCATTTGTGCAAAAATGCTATGACAGCACATTGGGAGGCTAGAGAACGTCAGATCTTGCGATCTCGAACATCTTGAAGCTGCTCAGAGAACATTGTCATCTCGACTCCATCAACCTTCGCGATCAGTAAAGCAAAATCAGCATAGTAGCATCATGTAATGAGATCTTGTTCTGGCTTGATTGATATGTCGTGCGAGCTTTTATTCTTGGTACTATAATATAGCTTGATGGTGATCAAGACACCACTTTGCGTTCCATACGAACTCGAAGAGCTCGGCTAAGCTCGCTTGGACCGAAGGCCTCGCGCTTTAGAAAACGCGACCACACGAATATTGACAACATAACAGCAATGTTAGAAGGTCTAGAAGAATACGCAGAGAAGGCCGACAAGCCCGAGAAGCACAAAAGACAGCGGTGGCCAAGACCTTGCAGCATCTGTCAATTCCGTAAAGTCAAGTGCGACCGAGCGACACCGTGTACCAACTGCCAGCGCCGAGGAGAGGAGCATCTCTGCATACCTGAGGTAGAACGTTCTCATGGCCTCAGGCGTAAACGAAAATCAGCGACCCAAAAAGCTCCAGTGGGAGATATCGTGGTCGAGGATTCTGCACCTGTCATCACCGCTACCCCAGATGCCCAAAGCGAGCCCACTGAGCTCACCAGGTCTGCGTCCGAGATTGAGGATACCCAACCACAACATAGCTTCGAAAGCTTCGATCAAGTGTGTGTGAAAGCATTGTCTAAGACGCAGATTCATCTCAGACCACAGCCGAAATGGAACCAGTTGGTGCTTCCAAACAGCAAAACCAGCACGGCTCTTGTAGCGCATGACAAAATATGGAATTCATGGATGCACAACGCACTCAACTACACTCGATTCGAANAAGAGCATGAGACCTTCATGATCATGCGTCAGTCTGGAAAACCAATCACATCTATGGAGTCCTCGTGGTTAGCCTTGTACTTTGCCGTTCTTGCTGTTAGATCCCTCATGTCCATGCGATATCTGCGATAACCAGCTGACTTGATTCATAGGNCTTCTTTCTTGAGCATGAGCGAGAAGCAAGCGGAAGCGATGGAGCTCCCCTTAGCCGACCATCCAACATTGTTTCGACGATGGTATGATGCTGCGCTCTTCTGTCTCGACGAAGCAGAGTATATGCGAAAACCCAGTGTACGAACGGTCCAAACAATCGCTGTCCTGGGCATATGTTTCGACAACGTTGGCGATCACGATCTTCGGCAAACAATGTGGGCTGTCGCGGTTAGAATTGCCCTCAGACTCAATCTGAACTATCCTGAGAAAATGGCTGCTCCGCTTCCTCTGCCTGTGGAACAATGCATACGACTTTGGTGGACAATTGTGGTGTACGACTGGGTCTTAGTGCCAGGATACATCCCTCTTGTTCCCGAACATGAGACCAGGTGCTCACTGCCTGATAGCACTCCCAATGCAAACGACTTGACTATCGAACGCGACGGGAGCACAATATCGTCCAATCGCTACCTGGCCTTCATGGCTCGTACAGCGATAGTCTACAACAACTTCCACAGCTCCCTTCAGAAACGCACCATGACTAAGAGCGAATCTGTCAGACAAGCCGACGAACGACTTCGTCAGCTCACTGCGAGACTACCTGAATATCTCACACCAAACAGCTCGATACGCAACGCCACCATCACCAAGCTCGAAGCCGATCACCCTTGGATATACTGGCAGCGTGTGAACGTTACACTTACATATCTAACGCATCGTCTCTCAATATACTCGACACTGGAGCCCAACTGGAGAAGCCATCCGTCCGAGTTCAACTGGGCGAAGTCGATCTGTCTGCAGGCAGCATTTGACATCACAACTATTGACACGACTTGGGAAATGCCAAAATCCTATCGCCGACACTGGTTAGTAATATCCTCCACGATGCTGCAGAGTTCTGAACCTTACTGAACTTCGTCTTTGATAGGTNCTTATTCTATGAGTTTACTCAGAGCTGCATATGTGATCACACGTGAAGCTCCTCGAAGCCCTTCCACTAGCATACCTCCCGGAATAGATTTGAAAGCCCACATCACTGGTTGCATCACACACCTCGAAGAAATCCAGGCTTGGAACAACTTTGCAGGAACTGCGGCTCAGACAATCAGGCAGATGGCCATAGCAGCCTTGAAAGAACCGTCAAAATGACCAACGACATAGAATAGCCAAGGAGATGAATACGGAAATTGCCTCTGGCTGGGACTAGACCTATTCCAGATACCTGCTCACTATTGACACGTTTGTTCTGAATCCTAAACTACATGATCACATGGGAAGCCACTGAAAGCAATCCCACTAGCATATATTCTGGAATGGATGGGCAAGCACGCATCACTGGCTGCATTGCATACCTCGAAGGAACTCAGGTTTGGGTCGAATGATCCAGATGAAAGCAACGACAAAAGCAACGACACATATACAAACGATGCATAGCTCGTCTCCATCAGTCAAGCCCTCTAGCACGACACGTTTTCGCAAGTCCGGACGTCCTTGAACATCGACGAGGTGTTTTTTGCCCATATACGTTGTAGCGTTGAAACAACCGCAACAACAGATCCTGTCATGGAGATGGATGGCGTTTCGGACACTCGTATGCACAATCTCGGTATTGGTGCATAATCTGGTCGTCCTTCGGCGTGATTCTCCTGTCACGATATACGACAGGTCGCAGTGGCACATAGCCTTGTTTCGATGGGCTGCCAGAGCATTCGTGACTTCACGGCAAGCGTCCAAAATGATTTCGTGATCGTAGCGCGAGTAGTAATGGAACATCCCACAAGTAAACCAGAGCGAGGGTTTCATCGCACCGGGCTTTTCGCTGATTCCATGGCTAATCTGGATACTCGAATTTACTCCTTGTGAACGTCGGATCCAGGTATTAGGGGCTTGATATTGCCATTTCGCATCAGAAACTGATTGGGTGCCGAAGCGGTCAGAATAGAATCATCATGAAGTCATCACTTTCTCAGGAGCACACGAACTTTCAGAGCCGACTGACCAATTTTCATGGCAACCTATCTCAGCAAATATCTCCCACTTTATCAATACTAGCTTCCACCAGATGTTACTGAAGTCGGTAAAGACCTCGCTCGGGAGATTCAGAAGATTCATGGTTGTCCTACCAATCCAGTCTTTGAATCGAAGAGCGATCAAAGGCAAATTCGGAGTGTGAAGAAATAATAGTTCACAGGGAGGCAGGCGCTTTTGAAAAAGAGAGCCAACAAGGTTTGTGCTTGAGAGAATTTGCTCACATTCATCTTCGTGGCGAGTGAGCTGAGTCCAAATAACTGCTCACTACCACGTTCGTAGATTTGAAAGATAACTCTAACATTTAGACATCTTGCATAGCATGTAAATAGTAAGAGCCCTTTGCAGATCGATGAGGTTAAGGCCTTTCGAAACTAATCGACCTGCCATTATCGATTATCACGATCTTGTCCCAGTCCTCTGACGAAGGGCGATGCGTGACCGCAAGTACAGTACAATCTGAGAATTTCTCTCGAACGACTTTCCTGATGATCTTTCGTTCCGTCTCTGCATCAACAGCACTGCCAACTTCGTCGAGGAGTACAAGCTTCGTCTTGGGTTTCAGGATTGCTGTAGCCAGGGAGAACAATTGAAGTTGACCTTGCGATAATCCAACAGCGTCCATGTCCGCATCCAGACCTCCATTGCTCTGTAGATATGTCCAAAGATCGACTTCTTCAAGTGCTAGGACGAGTGATGTATCTGGAACGTGAGATGTGGGATCCAAGTTGGATCTGATAGTACCAGGCAATTTGAAAACGTCTTGGGAGATAGCGACGATCTTGGAACGAAGCAACTCTGGGTCTATAGACCTGATGTCGAGCCCATCTAGCTTGATCGAGCCTTCAGTGATATCGAGAAGACGCATGACGGCAAGTAGTAGAGAGCTCTTACCACTGTGTACGAGTCAGGTCAATATATGGGCAGAAACATCCATTGCAGTGTCACATACCTCCCAGTTCTGCCGCATACAGCGACTTTCTCTCCTTGTGCGACATTCATCTGGATCTTGTGCAAGACGCGGTGCAAGCTGGGACTATCCTCGTGAGTGACATACACCTTCTAGGTAAAGGTATGTTTCGCGACTTACCCATACGATGCGCCATCGATTCGAATCTCCAATTCGCCCTTGGACGGCCAGTCTTCAGGAATTGGCTGGATAGACGATAACCTGGTCTCGTCCGGCGTCTCCTGTACAAAAGACTTAAGCCTGGCTATGGCTCCTAGAGAAGTCTCGAGATTGGTCCAAGAGTTTATCAGCTGTGAGAGGCTCTGACTGAGATTGATGATGTTGACAAGCGCGAGGCCCACAGTACCACCAGTCGAAGTGTTTTCCAGCTTTATAGCCATAGCGACAAGCACCACCGCGATACCCGCAACGAACAGGTCTAATACGAGGTTTAGCCATCGTTGTATGCAGAATAGGAGATAATATGGTTTCTGAGAAGCATCCAGACGCGTCAGGTTTTCTTCTCTGAATCTCGATTGCCATCCAAAAGCGCGAATGGTAGCAAGGCCGCTCATGGTTTCTGTAAAGTGCGTGTACAGCGGAGACTTAGTCTCCAGATCCAGAAGTCTCATTTGCCGGGATGTCTGGAGATAATACTTTTGTAATGCATAGCAGACGAGTATACACACAGGAATGATTGCGGATAGGTACTTCGCTCCCCGAGCGATCAAGGCAATCTCCGCAATGATGGTCAGGACATCTATTAGTGGTTAGCCGTGCTGATCTTGATAGGTATTGACTTGTCGTACCAAGACAGGTCGTGAAAGCTGCAAGAGGTAGTGTCTTGTCAACCAATGACATGTCCTGACTGAATCTGTACAGCCAAGGTTAGAACAAGTCACAAGATGCTACAGCTTCTTCGCAGGGCCTGAGAGAGATCCATACCGATTGAGCAGACTACCACTATCAGTCGCACAAACAAACCAGTATGGGGCCCTGGTCCAGATCAGTATCATAGAGTCAGCCTTTCAATAATGAAAATACCTCATAACGCTTTTGGTCAATAACCAGTGGAGATACTGTGCTGACTTTGGTAGGACAACGACAAAATAGAAACTAAATCATCAGTCGTCGTGTTAATCATCGGCAAGTACAGTGACTGACCCCATCGAGAGAAATGCTGCTACGGTACACCCTGCTGCAAGGGCAACGTAAACACTGATGTACATAACTGGACGAGCAGAGGTCCCTGCTCCAATCCACATCTCCAGCCAAATCTCTTTGGTTTCTGTCAGTGTGCAGCTGTCATATTCGCTGAGTTAAGACTTACGCGGGAACTTGCCCAGAAAAATGTAAACGATGGCCAGTCCAAGGAATGAAACACCTCTAACCCAACCAATAGATCTGAAGTAATAAGTATACAGACTCATATCACCTGTCTTGCGTTTCAGATCGAGTTTCTCTTGTTCGCTCTTGGAAGCGGGAGTAGGGGCAGCGCCGCGTTGGATTTGTCTTGGTTCTCATCTTTGTTCGACTTGAGAGCCTCTTTAGCATCACTGTCGCCTTCAAGGAGTGATGACGAAAGGTCCTCGATCTTGTCATGGACTGAGATGTTTCCATGACTGTCTAGGATGATCACACGATCTGCGACGCGTAGTTCATTGACTGGTTTTATTAGATCGCTTCCTCTACTTGCGACTCATATGACTTACCGTCATGGGTGACGAGCACGACAGCTATACCGTACCGACGAAGGAATCCTTCCACGGAAAAAGACGATCAAATACTGTTGTTCGTGTCCTGTGGTCCAGAGCACTAAAGATGTCATCTAAGAGCAACAAAGGTCGTCTTGCATACAGTGCTCGCGCAAGTGCCTGTTCACTTTAATGAATCACAGGTGACGTAGATTTCGCACGAAAACAATCTCTTACCAAGCGCTGTTTCTGGCCTCCGCTTAAGGCCATCCCGCCATGTCCAACCATAGAAGCGTCACCATCTGGTAGGTTATCAAGGTCTTCTTGCAATGCGCAAACAAATATGACAAGTCGGTACCAGTATTCGTCGAATTCCTTGTTACCAAGGATGTTATGTTGGAATGTGTCGTTCTGCAACCATGCGTCTTGATCGCAATAAGACACGCTTTTGCTTTGTAGAGCAACTGTGCCCTCTCTACATGGTATCTCCCCCAGAACACTTTTGAGTAACTTCGATTTACCGGACCCAACAGGACCAGATATCATGGTGATCGATCCGTGTGTGATATCCAGGTTGATCTTGCTGAACGTAGGCACGCGCGAAGTCTCTGAACCAAACGAAGCGTCTACTATGGAAACCAGAGGCCTTGATTGGTGAAGCTTTGGAGGTGCAACCTGCTGGAGTTCGAAGGCCTTGACGTTTGAGCTGTCTTCTGCGGTCACGTAGGCTTCGTTGACCTTCGGTCGACAATCAACACTCACCAGTCGATCGTCAGCAAGCTCCTGAGAAGTTAAATACTCCTCAATGCGGGTAAAGCAGCCAAGTGTGCCTGCGAGCTGTGGAACCGAGGTAAGCAGATTTGTGACTGGAGAGCTGACAAGAGCTACGATGGACAATCCGGTAAAACCTTCTGCCATCGTCAGACCATGGTTAGATGGCGTTCCGATACGCCAACAGACGGCCGCGATGAACGTTAGTACAGGTGTAAAAGCATCCGCAAAGTTTGCTAATGTGTTTCAGCACGAGGTGAGCCGACATTAAGTTGAGTCTTTTTCTAACCTATCAAGTTCATCCAGACGATCAACTTTCTGGCATCCTTGGATCGATTCAGCTCAGCCACTCTCAACTCTTGCATAGCAGATGATACAAATCCAGTCATGCCAGTGAACTTGATGGCTTTGATCTGCTTGAGCACAGCTGACGTGAAGGAAACCCTTGTCTGCACCGCGCTATTCCACGCCATCATGCTGCTGCCCATACCTTTTGAAACGGGTGTCATCAATAGGGTGCATCCTAAGAGAGGTAAGCACAGGGCAATATCCTCAGGTACACTCCATGAACATACCGACAGTCAGGATTACCACAAAAAAGCAGGAGACGCCGACTTGCTGTTCCAATAGATAGACGCCTATTCCAACCTGTATAAAATCAGCCCAGATATCATGAAGGTTTTGTACGCCAGTGGTGAGCCCGTCGATATCAGTGCTCATCAAAGTGACAGGTGCGGAATCGTGAAGTTTGTCAGAAGACAGATACAATGTCTTGTCATAGATTAAAGCGACAAGCGAGCCCCTCAGCATGGTAACCAAGCGATATGTTTGGTGCTTGTAGAGAGCATTGGTTATCTAGCTCATTAGTTGATTTCAGCTTGAGTCAAGTAATCTGAAACACTCACAGCAATACCGATGTAAACAAGTAAAGTGGCACCGATCAGTCCATCTCCACTTGCATCTTTTCGGCTGTTGTAGGTTCCATCTGATACGTGTCGAACGATAGCATTGACCAGAAGGGCTGTGCCAGCCTAAATCCAAGATTGGCAAGGCGCGGCATTATCGCAAGAAGGAAAGGCGACCTGAATGTGCAGAAAGTAGCTAACAACAAGGATCGTTTCGCTGTGGTGTCGCCATCTACATTGTCAGTCAGTCACTGTCACATACAGTTTGAACATGCACATACTCCTGGTCCAATGTAAATAGAATCTATTTTGCAGTGTCTTAGATCCAAGTGCATCGTCAAGCTTCTGTAGATCACTGAGGGCGAGCAGCTTGCGATACCCCTGCCAGATCAATGGGTTCAACCATAGGAAGACACTTCGGTTTCCGATGCCACTAGTGGACTCGATGGCGATGGTCTTGTATGGATGCCTCAACAGTGATCTCTTTTCTGTCGCTTCAAATAACAGAAGGGAGACTTTGCAGACCAGAGTAGCCGTTGAAACCGCTGCGAGAGTGTGATCAACGGGGAGCAACCAGAGGGTCCGAACTTGTGCAGCGTCAAAGACCGATGAAAATGACAGATACAGATTCAGGATACTGGATGGCTGGAAAGATCGGGTGTGTTCGAAGAATGACAGATGGGCTAAGGCAAAACAACCTAAGGTACCTAGTACACCGGCAGGAGTGGAAGCTGAAGTATGAGGTGACACAGAGAGAGCATTGAGAACCAATAGGGAGAACTCTAAGCAACCGAGTATAGCGACAATGGTCTGGAGAGGATTAGTGTAAATCTTGTGGACAACAAAAGATGTCTTACCAACTTTATCCAAGCGAGAACACCGGGCCTTACCACAGGCTTGGACCTCGATTGTAGCTGAAACAAGCGTATTGGATACACAAGTAAGAGCAAAATGACGGTCCGATAGACAAAACCGATTGCTCAAAGAGTAGTGTGAAATCAAATCTGTCTTGACAATGGGGAGATTGTGCTGGGCCAAAGTCGTCGATTATGCAATTTGGATGCGCCATATTGTGCAAGATGCTTGGTGTCGCGCACCAGTATGGAAGCAATGTCAAGATTATAGACACAATCCTGAGCGCTGGAGAACGGTCGATATATGTAGAGTAGAGTTCACCCGTACGAGAAACATCACCTCGGCAGATCACGTCAAGATAAGCATGATGCACTGACTACTTTGTACAGGGTGTGCCTGCGTCTGTTTGATAGCGTACAGCTTGCAGACTGCCTATTTTGACCTCGGTAACACCTGCTATTCACTGTAATCTTGAATATGCAGACGCGTGGATGTGCGCGCTATCTAACGGATGTGGAAACACTCTGTAAAGCAAGGTAACGCGAGAAAGCTGGCGATAATCAGTTGAGTATGGTAGGGCCCCGCGTAGCAACTGAGATAGACATATGCCGGCAGATATGAATGTTTCATGGAGGTTAACGTGGAGCATAGGAACCCAGGAAAACCAGATTCGCCAGCGCAAAAGTGCTGCGAAATTTGAGTCACCCAGTACAGAATGTACGCACAGGCACACGCCGAATCTCGGTTCCCCCTCATCTCCATGCTCCACGTTATCACTTCCTATGATCAGAAACCTGCGGCGCAGCATTTGATGGATTGGACGCATCCTGCAGGCAGTTCATTCCGAGATCGGTAGCACCTCTGATTCGTTAAGTCATTGGATGACCTAATGCACTGGTGTGTGCGCAATCAAATGGCGGTGGGGCTAATCTACATACGTGAATCTACGTACGTAGCTTGTATTATCACTGTAAGATACAAGAAACAGATATCGCAATCTGCAGGTTAACAAACGAAAAGCACATTTCAAACATATTCTCTCCGTGTTGTACGCGGCTCCGTGCGAAGCTACACAAGATCGCGCAAGACCGTCGAGTCTCAACCCACCAGACTCATCACGCAATCGATCTTCTTGCGGAGTCCGCTCTGCTTGACATTTAGGGTCTGTCTTGATGTTTTTGCTCGAGATCATGGCCCAGCTTGTCTTGTTCATCGCGGACAGCCCCGACTCGATTACCATTCAGACCTACGACCGCTTTGGTTGAAATTTCCTCCAGTGCGTTGCGTTGAAGAAACATCTTCCCACAATGAACAATGTGGCTCTCACGGTCGTATCGTCCTTCCACCTTCAACCCTCGATTACGCATGCGAAACTCTTTTCGCCAGTAAAACGAACAATGCATGAGATGCCATTCGAAAGACGCAAAAAAGTAGCTTCTGTCAGGGGTAGTTCGGCAAGACTGGCCACTTCGTCCAAGGTCATGGGCTTTGTAGCTTCTGAGTCCGCATAGTACAGCCAAGCTCCTTCGGGACCAGGACCAGCGCGTTCGAATTCATCCAGTAATTTATCATCGCGACAGAGGGGTGGAAGCCATGAAACAGCGAGAGAGTCAAACCGACAACCTTTTGCTTCGGCTTCTTTTATACTACTCCCACAGTCGCAATCGACAACATGCGGAACATGGAACTTGTCGCCTCTGGACACTATCCACACTATCATGACCAAGCTGGTATGCTTGTCCGTCGCGTCGATATCGTCTGCGGACTCGCTTGTTTCTTCTAGCTTCGTGTACTTTGCTTGATCTTCCATATTCGATGAATGGGACATGGAGGTCCTAAAGCGGCGAGAGAACCAGGGCTGAAGAGATGTGCTAATCGGCATTGTTAGGGACGATGGTAGGTCAAGACTCTTGGACGGGGTCGAGAGGAGAACCAATGCTGGCACGGTTCTCTTACACCGGGTACCCAAATGTCTAGTACCTTCTCCTACTATTCCATTATCTGTGGTGTCTTGATAACGTTGATAGGCATTTTGCCTCAGTGCATCATACTTGCCCACATGACCATATGAAGTTGGTGCTAGTAATGTAAGTTTAATTGAATAATTGATCTATCCGGTTACCCGTACCCAGTGGTGATAGCCATACAAGCGGGAAATATATGGTCTAAGTGGCACAATCAATGTTTATGCATGCGGATGTTTCCCAAGATGGCGTGATGGGATGCTATAAAGCTGACATTCACGGGGCAATTTGCCGAGTATCCGATAGTTATGCGCTAGGGCTGGCTGCAACCATCAACGATTCGTTCAAGAGACGCCTCTTAGAGCCTTCCAGTCACGAAGAATTGCTTGAGTAACCCAAAGGAGGTTTTCTCGGTGGCCCGCACGTATCCTCAAAAGTAGCCCCAAGCTGCGTATGACTTGTATGAACCGCGTACCGAAGCTCGAGATACTGGAACCGAGCAGATACGCGAGGACAATACTTTTATAGTACATCACTGCTTGGAAACACCTCTGTTGATCTGGACTATCTTATCTGACTTCCGACCATCTTCATTCAGTAACTATCGCCGACACATCCACCGCTTTCATTTGTCAAAGATAGGACTTATCCGGGGCAAGAATGAGATCCTTGTTCTGCACAGTGGCCCTGCTCCTCATGATCGATGAACCCCTTGAAAGGAGCTGCACGATGTTCGCTCGCCCATGCCTTGATCTGCCATCACTTGGTCAGCTATACTCGTACTCCTGAAACTCTCGATCTGCCTGACCTTATCGAAATCGCGGCATTGGCGTACGACTGTAGCGTGTGCTTCTACACGCTCATGAGTTGTCCATTGAAATACATTAGGAGTGATGTCGGAAGTACACATAACGCTTTGTCTCAGCGCATCGATGCAGTGGTCGACATGCTCAATATCCACATCGCGCCCTCCAAAAGCCCACAAAGCTGTGTCGATCGGTGAGCCGTCAGCTAAAACATAAGGATTGTAAGTCGCATTCCAGGCCGTGTCATCCACGAAATAGTAAAGAGCCTTTCGAATACTGTCTAGACAATGCAGATTGTGGAACACAGTCAACACAATCAAGTAGCCGCTGCCGGGATAAGACAACTCTGCGGTGGTTCGATTCGGAAGATTCACTGCTTCCTCTTTCAATATATGGCTCGTCTCGTCTTGTAAGGGTTGTCAGCATCTTTTGGACCATGATCGTTGCAGATACTCACGCGCGTATAAGCCTTCCCAGAGCTTGTCATTGGTGTCCGTAGGTTTCCCTTGGTAAGGTGTCAATGCGCCCAGTAGTCCACTGTCAAACTTGATGATTTTCTCTTCGACGGCGGCGGCTGCTGGAGCTGTTTCAAGGGTCAGCGGATGCAGAATCATGATATCTAAGGTACATACAATACAGCAAGAACTTATCTGCTGTTCCCCTGACTCCAGTGCTCGGGGCAAGTATCGCGACGTTGACAAGTAAAGAGCAGCAAAGGACTCCAATCAGAACATACTGCCACAAGGCAATGCGATTTTGGTACGATACTATGATCTTTTCCGTTGGATCCGACTCGGTATCCTCGTTTAAGAGACGGTCGTAGGAGACTGTATGATCCATTTTGATGTTGCTGGGAAGACTAGGCGTAGGCAAGCGGAAGTTGAAGCAAGATATGAAGAGAGAGGCCCATGAAACTATCGGGATTCAGACCAAAGAGATAAGGTCTTCCGGTCAGATGTCTAATCACAGACACAGAAAAGTCCAAGCGAAATTTACTCAGCCGTCAAGCTTGGGAACATGTGGAGTGTTGCATATGCATCAAGGAATCTGCATGGTGGGAACGTGTGGGCCAACAAAACCAAGAACATTCTGAAGCCGCTGTTATCTCGCATGACGGTTCAGCAGGATCAACGCTCGTATGGCCTGATTGATTATTGCAAGCATTCATCGCCATAAGTCCAGTCAGACGAGCGCATACAGATTTGACCCAACCACCGCAACCGTTCAATTGGGAGTTCAAGGCGTCATGTTAATCTAGATAAGAACTATCAGGCTGCCTGATACTCTATCGACTGACATCTCCATACTCACACACCTGCTCTTCGCGGTCAAGGGCCCATTGTAGCGGGTAACTCGCATTGAAAGACTAGATTGCATAAGAGGGGAAGATATTGCTATATTGCACATGAGGGGAAGATATCGCTAAATTGCACAAGAGGGGAAGATATTGTTGAAGATCTCGGTACATCAGGTATCTGGCCTTGCGTATCAAGAGTTCTGATACAATAACAAAACATAAATACAGAGCCGAGACTGCTCTCTCCACTGCATACTTTCAGTCTCATCTACGGTCTACCAACCTCCAATCATACCCTGAAACCCCAACAACTTCCTGTTAGTGCTATAGCGAGTTTGGTCGAATTCTGTTCTTCTATAAACACTCACTGATTACCCTCCAGTACTATGAAAGTCATCAATTGCGCCATTGGACTGCTGTCCGCTACCGCTGCACTTGCGTTGCCATTTGAGGCTTCCGATAGGATTCAGAAAGCGAGCCAGCATGGGGCAAGGGACGCCTTGTATCCCGTTACCTGGACCAAAGCTGATGCTTAGGAGGAGCGTGGAATCCAAGAGACCAAGGGTGCCGTGTATCCTATTCTCTAGTTGATAGGTTGGTTGGTTGGTTGGTTGGTCGATACTTACAAGCTCTTTATAGTCCTCTCATCTGCATGGGCTATTCTAAACATTGCTTGATCCCTATGCTCGCTACCTGGGCAATTTGCCACCGCTCCTCTTCCACGATCTCTCCGTTGATTGCTTACAGACTCATTTGAGTGAGTCCCGTCGCTTCAAAACTTCGGGCATAGCAACAAGAAGCAGTATCAAGCTCGTTGATGTTATTCAATACCTTCCCCAGCTCGAGATCGTTGTTTGCAACACGTGCCAAGTTGCCGTTTGCTTCAATGACACTGACTATCACCTTTTGCGAGACATGGAGGTTGTCATTCTTCAGTCAGACGCGCTGTAGCCAAGCGGTTGCAGTCCCATGCCATGCCTCAATATCTAGAAGAACGGTAAAGTTGGTTCTTACGCCGCCACATCACTACTGGCTCATACACCAAGCAATCTCTTAATTCGTGTCCATCGCGTGTCTCCTTGACCCATAGAGACAGCCTGACCAACATCGACACCAAAAGTTCTTTTCTCTCCACCTTCCTTTTCCCACCATCCTAAACTGAACAGATGATCCTTAAAAGGTGTTGTCTCAGCAAGCTTTTCGTCAGAGAGACTTTCCGCTCCAGGAGGTATCAGATCAATGAACTCGGAATCAGCAAAGAGACTAGCCTGAGCCGCGATACTGCAAGGATCCTTTGGAAGCAGCTCTTTACTGTCAAAAGGACAAGCGCAATCACTGTGCATACCCAGATGATGCCAAGCAGCCCTTCGAGAATACTTGTAGAAAGCCGGCTTTGGAAACAAGCGTTGGCGATGATTGTCAACAAGTGTCATCGGCACTTGTGGTACCCCGGCTGTGAAGTTGGTGTTGCGCAGATTGAGGCTGAAATACTGGGCCAAGAAGGTATTGTAGATCTGGCCTATTCGGCTTGCGAAAGCATCGGCATTGTAAGGCGTGAAGAGCGTTTGTTCATCGCTTCCGTTAGATGCAGCCATGAAAAGACTATCATACGATGCAGATGCATTGTTTGCCAGGTAGTCGTTGATGCTATACAAGCTGAAGGGCCAGCAGCTAGGATCTGCCTGAACGAGCGATGAGGGCTCCACAGGGTATACTCCAGTCACGCTTTGCTGTGGAAATGCATATGATGTGTTGAGTTGAGCCTGTTCCATGTTGTAGTAGCACGCAACGCCCCGTAGATCCAACGACGAGTTGGACCGTGAATCCCAATCACCATAGATCATCGTCATGTTAGGACATTGACGATGGGAGTGGACCAGTGCAGAGGAATTTGGCCATCCTTCTGGACTCATCCAACCAACTGGAAAGGCGTATCCGATGTCCATTGTTTCCTGAAAGATAGTGTTGTTAGGGCTCAACTCCATGCCGAGCGACAACAGTTCTGATGCAGCGCAGTATGTATCGGGAAACTGTGGCGCAGAACAATCACAACCCGTGAGATCAGGGTGGGTGAAGTTAAGGTAGTAGTTGTAAGGTTTAGTTGGCCAATTGGGACCATTATTTGATCCGTCGCTGCTCAATGTGTATTGGAATTGCGATGGATCCATAGCTTGGCACACCTGGAGTTTTTTTTGTTAGCAAAGATCTTGAAAATATCGAGCCTATAGTTTGGTTCGATGCCTTCTTGCAACTTGTGCAAGGGATCAAATATGGACTCAGAGTGACGTGTCATTATGAACTCAAGAACATTATAATTCACTTACCGTATGGGGGTGATAACCTGGGGTGACTGCTGAAAAGGACGATGCATTGAACACTCCTGTCATGCTCGTGTTGCCAGAGATATCTGTCATCAGAGGATAGATGTAGTTGTCGAAGGTTCCTTCTGGAAATGGGATTACATCTTGTATGAGAAGGTTGGCAGCATTAAGTGTGGCCTGGTCCCATCCAAGTTGCTCACAGTCCTGGTAAGTACTGTCGTCAAATCTAGTCAAATTATCCACAGCATTAGTACTCAGCGTCTGGTACTGTGGTACAGGTCGTTCCTCGAATAGACCACTGACGATGATCGTGAGGAACGGGCTGAGTAGTGTTGATAGCGAGACGCTAAGCACCGCCCATCTACCAAATCGAACACTGCTCAGACATCTAGGCAGAGAAGTCTGATAGAGATAGTCGTGGAACAGAGTTTGTTTTGCAGTACCGCCGCCTGCTTTCAAGACCAGATGGGGATCCAAGATCTCGATAGAAAAAGCTAGAGATTGGCCAAGGACTTTGATGATCGTCAAGATCAAAGCAGGTATGACAGTCCATGTGTAGTGTAGGTAGCCGCGATCAGTAACATCACCCAGCCCCTGATGCTTTACTGACCTGTGATAGGTGATCTCCAGTGAGACTATGACTGCGAGTGGAAGTAGCACAAGAAGTGTCTGCATCCATGCCGAGAGTGCGAGAGGTCGCCACCAGGTTGTGCGTCGTTCTGGCAGCGTAGATGTAGGGTATGATCGTAGCTCTTTGATCGTCACTGCCTTACTACCGAGCTGTAAATCCATTGTATATCGATGTTGCAAGATAAGATGTTCCATATCTGGCCTAGACTGGGCTCCGGTATGTCTGAAAGTATTCATCAAATCCTCGCTTCGGGCCAGTATAGCAGCCACACGGCCCAGAGATGGTGATCCTTCCAGATCTGGGACTATCGGTCTCACGAAGAGCATAATAAGCGTGCATATCAGAACTGCTATTATACCAGCCTCCATTATGTACAATGTGACGGGTCGGAGTAGAAGACGAAGCTGACTGACACGATATGTTCCTGTATCCCCCTTGGCCGCATTCGACAGGAGGTGTTGATTTGCAATTTGCGCCCAGACAGCGGTGACCAGGCGTCGAGAATCTGCTTCAAGAATCTCAGAGTCCAAATACTTTGCTTCAGCTCCAGGCGATATGGCCTGCAAGATCTTGAAGTATGTATCATATGGCGCCATACCCGCTGCAAGGTTCAGGTCGTCTCTGTTCGTAAAGGACTTGCTGGCGCTAGAAACAGTGTTGTTGAAGGCTAACGCCATATCCCATGAAGACAGATTGAGCCTCGAAGTGCTATATCCATCTGCCACATCAAGGATAGCATCGGAAGAGTTAGTGGTCACTAAAGCCTTCTCCATGTTGTTCGTGGGTTTGCAGAAAAGCACGGTTGCATTAAACTCAAATGAGCCCATGGGCAACTGTTCTGTTTTACCTTTGTCATAAAAGGCAGGAGGCTTTTTCTTTGGTTTGATGGCTTGTGCAAATGTAAGTACCAGAGATCCCGAGTCAAAGTTCGCGCTTTCCTGACATCTTTGTAGCGATGCAGCACCCACAGTCTTCCAACTCCCGTCAACAGTGGCATTGCCGGTGTCGTAACGTGTCCCAATGTCGACAAGATTCGTAGTACACACGGAGTCTGATAGATTGGCTACCAATTGCCAGTTGTCGTCCTGAGCAAGCATTGTGACATTTGCAACGTGACCAGGGTGACAATCGAGATTCGACAAGAAAACGCTAACATTGGCAGTCTTAGACACTTGGGAGCCTGGATCGTTGTTAGTTCTTAGCATTGGAAAGCTTTGGCGTCTTCTGCTTGCTGAAGAGATGTAGAGATGCTTTGTGAAAACTGTGATTTCCCACAGAAAGGACCCCTTAAAGGCTCTCTCTGTGGCCGATGTCATGCCACAACGTGACTGTGAATTTCGATAGCTTATGACACACTTATGCCTTGAGACAAGAGTGATAAATCGTGAAGTTGTGACTGTCCTTAGCACACGTGGAGGTGTCACTCACCAGAGATGTTTTGGACAGGCCCGAATGCTTCGACCGCGATGAATTCATTCGTGTGCGACGGATATGCGACTGAGATATTTCCCGACATGATGCTTGAGACAGCTAGTACTGGCAGAGCATCGACAAGACTGATATCGAAGTTGGAGGCGTCAAATCTTCTAACTGCCATCGGGACTTCTTTTGATGGACTTCGATAGATTCCAAGACAAACAGACCGGTGGAGATGATGGTTATCAAGATGATTAGTTGAGAGCCCAAGACCGAAACCAGAACAGGCCAATGCTTAGCTCGCATGGATTTCCAGAGTACTACGAGTGAGTTCGGCGAGACATAGTCTAGCAGTAGACTATCTTTTGCTGTTTGTGGGCTACCTACCATCAGTTTCCAAGGCATCATGACCTTTGTCTGGTATTCGAGAGCGCCCCAGAATATCGCGAGGACGGAGAATACTAGACGCGGTCAGTCGGAGTAAAGTCGAATTTGAAGCATAAAAATTACCAGCAGTAGGGCCATATGTCCATAAGTAATGAATCCTCTGGGTTGTGGTTGCCAGACCTTGGTTCTTGTTCGAGATGTATTGCGTAACTTCCAAAGCAATGATCATCAGTACGAGGACGACGACGAGGCATAGCAAGTGCAGCCGGCGGAGTGCCCAGGGAGCATGATAAGTTCGATGGTAATCAGAGTTCTCTTCGCCAGCAAGAGGATGGACTGAAATGTCGTGTCCTTTGGCGATTGAAGATGCATGATTGTTATCGTCATTCGCGTCCGAGAGCTCTAAATTCTGGATGCTTTCTATCGTCGTTCTATCGGCCGGGTATAGGGATGTTGTTGCTGAATGCGACTGCGACCCACGGTCGTCGAGGGAAACTTCTTCAGTTGCGAAGCGCGAATCGAGAAGTCTGCTGAGCTCGATGACTTCCTCGCTTACCGCCATCGTGAGTGAGGAACAAATTTCGCTTCATCTTGGGAAGGAAGGCAACCAAAATATATTAGGCGGCAAGATCAATGGATACAAGGCTGAATATCCTTGTCAGCAAATGCAGCGCGGGCGGCTACAGCCTGCAAATTAAAAGATAGTGCCATCTAAGATCTTGAAGATCCTGTATCCACACATAGATAACCAGGCTATGGTTACGCCAACAGATATGGGCAACAGATCTTAATTGCGGTCGAATTAGGTAGGAAGAAAAGTGCGAGGAAATGGGTACTCATAAGAAACGAGCTTGGTCCGATCGGCACTAATTCCGCAGAAGAAAGAAAAATAAAAATATAAAGAAAAAGAAAAAAAAGAAGAGAAAAGGATCCCGGCACCACCCAAGCGAGTCCAAGCAAACATGAGCCAGCCCTACACTGGATTTTTGCTACCTCTCCGAGTACGAAAAGATAGTCAAGTATACACTATAAAAATGCATAATACTATCATAGAATAAGATGGTGTCCGCTAAGAGGCGATCTCTTAGTAGCTCTCTTTGGCTATATCCTTAATTCTAGATAGAACTGTGCATTTTTATAGTGTGTACGCTACATATCTTCGCATACGGGACGTGGTGAATGGCTCATGTTTCCTTGGACCCCCTTGACCGTCCCGCGTCGATCTTGCTGTGTCTTCGACGACTTTGTTGTAGTTGTGCAGATCACATGGCTTGCACAAACTGGAACCTGGGCAAGTATACAAAGGGGGAAAAGGTATATATGACATATCTCCAACAGGCCCTATGACCAAAATCGGCAACTTTAGAGTAGAAGGCTGAATCAATAATATATAGCATGAAACGAAAAGATGCGAGGTCGAAAGAGGAGATGTAGTTCTACGTAGAGGAGAGCGCCACAATAGTACTGGTACATTGATGGTACAAAGATTGCCTTTTCATTGCCTCACAGACCCTCAAAAACTGGATCGAAATCCATCGCACCCCAACTGTATCCATTATTCAGCACTGCGACGTCGTCAGTGAAGGACTGCCAATTGAACCAAGATGCCTGTAACGGATCGGGTGCTACAGCATTCCAATTCTGGTTGACATCCATGACTGGTTGCATTGGCATCAGATTCATCGCCGAGGTCGTGTATGTTGACAAATCGTTGACAAAATCGTCAGAGGGCCCTGGGATGATCATGTTCGATGTTACTATTGATCTCTCCTGGCGTTTCTTCTGTGCGATACGCATCAGTTTCTTGATTGGTTTCCACAGAGGACCCTGAGTTCCTTCTGCAATCTGGCCGGAGAGCTCGTCGAACGAGAGCAGCCCAACTTTCCAGGCTCTTTCTAAAAGTTGTGAATCGTACTGGTCAGGATTGCATAACTCGGCCAGCATAACAGCCAAACCGTGCCAATCCACGAATCCTTTGATAACCCAATGCCATGGCTCAGTAGTCTCACTTAGCAAGCCCCGCTTGACTTCGAGTGCTTCCACCGCGAGAAGTAATATGTTAAGATGTTCGGGAGGAGGTTGGGTCAAAGCAGGATGTCGCTGCAGGGGGCGGACTGCATACAATTGTGCGCACCTGAGAAGTACCTTGGTGAAGCTGATGCAGGCGAAGCGGAACACGCCATTGTCTGGTATCCGTGCTAAAATGTTCTCATTGAAGGTACGCTCAAGTCGCGCGATTGATTCTTGCCTCACCATCCATGAGCTCTGCATCGGCGTGGGTGGCTTTTCTGCGTCGCCTGGTAGGACCCAATTCAGCTCTCTCAAGAGCCGGTTGCTATGGCAGTGAATACTGTAGAAGACCATGCTAGTCGGAGGAATCGTAATTGGCGGGACTTCAGGCGTTTCCAGCGAGAAATCCGAGTCAACATGATCAGTTGGACTTTTGGTTGTCCATCCTCTTGAAACGATCATTAGGTCACTTCCTCGGTCCATGGCGCCTTGGTAATCTAGTGCTATTAGAGTGTACCACGTGCGACGACGCAGTTCAGCATGGCCCCAGGGTAATTTGTTGTAGGATTCTTCGCGATGTAGTTGCAAAGATTGAGCCATCCTAACGGCCAGCGAGATCAGCATCCAGCTTTGTTGATCGTCCTGATGTGACCTTAAAGCGGCNCTGCCAGTACGTTAGCCGAGGGGCCTTAAACCTTTGTGTGGCTGGCTCACTATATAAAGCAATAGTGCCTGCAGGGTCACTAAGCTTGGTCTNTTGACAATTTCAACCTGAGCGAGGCATTGGAAGGTTGCTTGCTGCCACTCATTCCTCAGATCCTCTCTCTTNTTGTTGAAGACGAACAAGCAATGAGAATTGCTGATGCTGCAGATGCAAGCATAAAAAGCGCTTGCGATTAGTGCTTGAGTGGCTGGGCTCTCCGGCAAATGACCCAGGTATGGCTCTTTTGCTGTCAAGAGCATTTCGAAACTGGGCAGGTGAACGAATTTCAGAATGTAATCGACGTTCCGTCTAAAAATCTTGATGTATTCCAATATATCGCTGTTCGAGACCACAGGAGTGACAATTGACTGCGAAGTAAAAAGCAGATCTCCTGGTGTCCCACTACAATCTGTAGGTACAGAAGGCGGGCTCGAGTCAATGTCTTCGTCATGGTCATCATCGTCGTCCTCATTGTCAAGGACTGTGTGAATATCGTTAAGTTCATGAGCCAGTTGGGTCCAGAGTGTTGAGCCCAAGGGCCATCTCGTAACATCCGGAGTAGCCTCGCGTGAGTCAAAAGGCTGTTGCTTTATCGGAGACGGGATTGAGAAAGTGGATGTTTGATTGTCGATATTTGTGCGCGTCTTTGGCGGCGCAGAGTCAAGGTTGGCATTATCCGGTAGCAGACCCGAGTTGAGAGACTGTACGAGGCCTTCCAGGCGGTTGATTCTGTTGCGTAGTTCAGAGTTTATGCCCTTGCGACCTCCGTTTCTCCCACGCGGCAATCTGGCGCGAACGACGGGAACACACTCCTTTTGGGCAGCGACACAATTTGAACATGGGTTCTGCTTATCACACTTGATTTTACCTAGAAGAAGTCAAAACAGAGAGGCATGAAGTATTGGTTAAAGCGACTCACGCTTCCTGCATAGGGTGCACGACAGAGGCACGGCAGCCGGAGACTGAGGAGCGGCAGGCCGTGGCACCGTCGCGCCTTCCATGTTGCTGACGGAAAAAATTGATGTTTAGATTAAATCTCACTCTTACAGTCAGGTATCATGGGTGAATCAACCTGAAGGATTAGGCAGCGACTATGCATGCAGCATCATAGACTGCAAAGCATAAAATTCGTGGGCACAGACGTTGGATCCTTCAGGGAAGGAGCTTCCAAAAGGGTCTTTCATGTGATTGGCAGCAAAGGCATCCAACACCAAGGCAATCTCCAGGCCCACAACAATTGCAAGGCTTCCTGTCGTCTCCTTGACGACCAAAATTGATATGCTCGGCAGTATTCAATCATAGGTGAAAGCTTACCGGGCATGGTTTCCCGATGGCGAGAGTCGTTAGACCCCTGACCAGACGGACTTGTCAACAATCAACCTCGGCTTCTCCACAGCGCGTCTCGTGGGCTTGATGGAGCAGAAGCTTGTTTTGTTCAAGTATCCGCTCCTTCATCCCTGTCACCCTTGATCAATCTTCATGGTGTTTTCTGAGAGGAGGGCAATCAATCATGGTACAGTCGGCGTCTTCGTCAGCAGCCAGCTCTGCTTCCAGTGGCAGCCGACAGAAGCTGGATCCCGTCACACGCAATGCGCTTCGGTATACCGTTAGCGCGAAAGAGTATGAAGTATTGCATCAGTACCTCGCTTCACGCGCCCCCTCGGTGCAAAAGCGTGCTCTTCCACCACGCAAATATGAGGCCATAGTACAAACCAAACATGATGCCAGCGTCTCAACAGTACGAGCCAGTCTGCGCGTCTTTGCCATGACCTATGCCGCCCTTAAGGGCTGGGATGTTATCTCGCGCAGACTACGGCCTAACAAGTAAGACAGCCTACCTCCTGCACTTGCACCTAGCACCTAGCACTGACGAACGTCTAACAGCACAAACACAAAGAACACAGGCCCAAAAGCATCCAATCTGCGCCTGTCAGCCTCGTTGTCTCTCATCCTACTCTTCCACAGACTACTATACCGCTTCTTCCTCCGTCTCCGCGCTTCGTTACTCGAGCCCTCTGCCCGTCCCTTCCGCCGTCGAAATCCTCGAATCAGTCTCGGTTTGACATCGCGATACACACCTGCCGTGGGCGCAGCACTGTCTGGTCTCTTTCTAGGCGTGTGCCCTGCCTCTCAGCTGCGCATCAGCGCCGCAATCTACGCCTTCAGTCGGTCGCTCGAATTTGCCTACAACGCTGCCGAAGAGAAGGGTATCTGGGGGAAGAGAGGCAAGCCAGACTGGGTAGGAAGCTGGATGCTCATGCCGTTTGCTTGTGGTCAACTTTTGCACGCTTTCGTTTTCGACCGGGAATGCTTTCCTACAAACTATGGCAGCTTCATCCTGAAACGCAGCCCCGAATATATCCAGCAAAGACCATCCACATATCCCGCCGACAAGGCCTGGCCTGCCACGTTCGATATTGTCGATGGTCTGGCTGAAATCTCGCGCCTCCGTTGGCCGGCTTTCGTCTCTCCAATCCTCTTCCCTGCAGCTAAACAATATCTACCTGCGTCAATTTCGCATCTATCGCCCATCACTGCACCGGCCCACCCTGCCATCACGAATACTTCCTGCGCTCTCTTACATCCTCACGACCCGTCATGCATGCGAACATACGTCAAATACTTCATCGCCGCTTTTCCTTCCACCGCCCGCTTCTTCACCGTCATCTATGCTGTCTTTGCTCTCATGTCTTACAAATCTTTCATCCAAAACCCTATGCAACAGCTTAATCGCTTAGCTGCCAAGATCCTGCGTATGTCTCTCTTCATCACCGGATCCATCGGCACAGCATGGGGAAGCATTTGTTTGTTCGCAACATATCTGCCTCGCAACACTCTGGCCACACAACGCTGGTTCCTCAGCGGTTTCCTCGGTGGTTTTTGGGCTTTTGTTGCTAGAAGAGGTCAGCGTAGCAGTTTCATCTACTCTGCACGAATGAGTCTTGATTCCTTCTGGAAAGTTGGCGTCAAAAGGGGTTGGTGGAAGGGGGTCAAAGGCGGAGATGTTATGCTCTTTGCCACCAGTCTGGCGCTTATCAATGCCTTGTATGAGACGCAACCCAAGGCTGTCAGAGGCGCTATGATTCGCAAGGGTATGGGTGTACTGAGGGGTGAGGGATGGGTTGACCGCACAGTCACTCAGGAAGAGCAGAACATACCTCCATCAGAACTTGAAGAGAAGAAGGAGGAGTAGAGGTTGTGCCTTTTGCTGTCGCACGACTGGGTGGAAACGAATTACGAATCAAACTCATGAAGACTGAGGTTTTGTATGATAGGTATTGGTTTGGTTGTACTTTTTGATCTAATTTTTTCTTCTATCTCTGTGTAATCAGGTTATTTGTTCTTGCGCCTGCATTCTCGTTTTACTTGTCCAGCGAGATGGGAGGAGGGCAACACTGGCATGAGATCTCTTCCTCTAACTATGCTTCTTCAAACCAATTCTGCTCTGTATCAAGAAGAAGGACTGCTACAGACTCTAGACAAGGAGAGCCCCTAACCGCCCACTAGCTAGAGCCCTCCCCGTCCATAATACTATACTCCGACTATACCGAAAAGCAAAATATAGACTATAAAAAGGCACAATGGTTTCATACGAGACGTCCACTCCACATGGTGTTTGTGAAGAGCAATCGTTTGATATAAAGCTACATCCTAAACACGCCCCACTCGGTCTTCTTGTCTTCTACGCTTCCCGAGAGGGCAGCTTGCAGACCCATCGCCAATACCCTTCTTGTATGCGAGGGAGGGATGATGCCGTCGTCCCATAGCCTGGCAGTTGCGAATGTCGATTCGCTTTCACGTTCAATGCGATCGCGGAGGTTTGGGTCGACTTTCTTGCCTACGGCTTCCATGACTGAGGATAGTTGTTCGGCTCCCATTACGCTGGTCTTTGCTGTTGGCCAGGCCCAGAGGAAGCGTGGTGAGTATGCACGACCGCTGNNCGAGGAGTCGTTAGCCATTGTCTTGAGAATGAGTTCACGAGGATCAACTTACCACATGCCATAGTTTCCTGCTCCGGCAGAGCTACCAAAGACAACAGTGAACTTTGGCACGTCGGCGCAAGCCACAGCAGTCACCAGCTTAGCACCATTCTTTGCAATGCCACCTTTTTCAGCATCGCGGCCAACCATGAAGCCAGAAATGTTTTGTAGGAAGACCAGGGGAATGCGGCGTTTGTTGCAGAGTTGTACGAAATGGGCACCCTTGAGTGAAGACTCTGAAAACAGGATACCATTGTTAGCGACGAAACCAACTTGATGGCCTTGGATACGTCCGAAGCCTGTGACCAGAGTGCTGCCATACAGAGGTTTGAATTCTGCAAACTCGCTGCCATCGACAATGCGAGCGATGACTTCGTGGACGTCGACTTGTGTTTTGAGGTTTGTGCCCATGATTCCATCTAGTTCTGCAGGATCGTGTAGAGGCTCTTTCCAAGGCCCTGGTTGAGGGGCTGAGGCAGGGTAATTGAGGTTGGCGACACAGCGGCGGGCTAACACAAGTGCGTGAGCATCGTCGACGGCAAGATAGTCTGTCACGCCGCTGGTTTCGCTGTGTAGTTTACCACCACCAAGGTCCTCTGCGCTGACGACTTCTCCAGTAGCGGCCTTGACTAGTGGTGGGCCGGCAAGGAAAATGTGGCCTTGCTCTTGGACAATGATGCTTTCATCACTCATAGATGGAACGTAGGCACCTCCAGCAGTACAAGGACCCATGACGACCGAAAGTTGTGGAATGCCCATTGAAGACATCTGGGCTTGGTTGTAGAAGATGCGTCCAAAGTGGTCGCGGTCGGGGAAGACATCTGCTTGATGAGGGAGATTGGCACCACCACTGTCGACCAGGTAGATGCAAGGCAAGCGATTTTGCCGAGCAATCTCTTGTGCTCGAAGATGTTTTTTGACGGTGATAGGATAGTAGGTGCCGCCCTTGACACTACTCCTGTCAATGTATGTAATGCAGATGTTTCGTTCGGCAACTTACGTGCTGTCATTGGCAACAATCATGCACATGGTGCCTTCTACTGTGCCAATGCCTGTTACAATACCTCCGGCAGGTACTTCTTCTCCAGGATATACTTCATGACCAGCCAGAGCTGACAGTTCGAGAAACGACGTGCCCGGGTCGACCAGAGCAGTAATTCGACTAGAGAGACTAAGTTGCCGTACACATTAATCACAGTAGAGCTCGACTTACTCTCGCACCAACATCTTTCCTCTTGCGACATGCTTCTCACGTGCCTTTTCGGAACCTCCTAGGGCGGCATTGCGGTGTAGCGTTGTGAAGCTATCGAGCAGCTCTTGCATTGACTTNTTGTTGTCGACATAGCTCGTCGAGTTTGTATCAACCGCGGTTTGCAGGACCGAGATCTGAGCAGCCTGATGGCGAGATGTGTACGTGGCGGCTGACCTAGCCCCAAGGCATGCTTGAGCTGGAGGAGCGAATTGGAGAAGGGATTGAGGACGAGGACGAGGTATAGCTGATCGAAGAGTAGAAGCGCGCAGCCAACGGGCCGGCGCAGCTGCAATCATTGTGTATATAGCTACATGATCATCTAAAGGTCGTCGACGTATTATCATGTCCACACAGGTGATGACCCCATACCCCTCGGCTGCTCCCCTTTGCCCCGCATGAAACACACGAACCCCTGCCGAAAGGGCGTGCAGGGCGCGGAATTCAGTCCGCTAAACCTTGCCCTCGGTCGATTGCTGCCTCTCCTCCGCAATAATACCCCCACACAGCCACCTTTCTGCAACCAGACCATACGTATCGCGGTACATCATGTCTGCTATCAGACCCTCGAGAAGTGCTCTCAGAGCATTTGCACAAGTCTCAAAACCGCAACGCCGTGCACTATCGACCACTCAGTCATGTCTTGCCAGAAAGCACCCGAATGGCTACGCCCCACCTGCACGAGAAGATCTAGAAGAACTGCGGGAGAGGACTAGAGAGTTTGCACGTATGTCAGTCTATATCTCGTGTTTTACATTGCCTGACATCGTCTTCTAGNTTCGCGAGATTCCAGAAGATGTTGCTGTAAAGACGGACCAGGACAATGAGTTTCCTAATGACATGTGGCGTAAAATGGGTGAAGCTGGGTACTTGAGAACGACCATCTGATTTGATCTTAACTAAATCTGCATAGTCNTACTGGGAATCACCGCCGACGAAGACTATGGCGGTCTTGCCATGGGTTACCAGGCACATTGCACTGTCATGGAAGAGCTGTCTAGAGCATCAGGTAAGTTTCTCACATCTTCGCTACGTCTTATTGCTCACAATGTCTAGNGCAGCATTGGGCTCTCATATGCCGCACACTCGCAGCTATGTGTAAATCAATTGATGTTGAACGGCAACACAGACCAGAAGCAAAGATTTCTTCCAGATTTGATTTCTGGTAAGAAGGTCGGTGCTTTGGCGATGTCTGAAGTCTCGGCCGGAAGTGATGTTGTGAGCATGAAAATGACGGCCAAGGAGGTTGGTGGCGGTTATCTCCTGAACGGCACAAAATTCTGGATTACCAATGTGAGTTGATCTACCAGACTTCTTGAAGAGGTCTAACAGTTGAGCAGGNGCCCTGATGCAGACACGATGGTCGTATACGCAAAGACAACACCAGATGCCGGCTCGAAAGGCATCACTGCCTTCATCGTAGACACTACAGCCAAAGGTTTCTCCTGTGCTCGCAAGCTCGACAAACTCGGAATGAGAGGATCGAACACTGGCGAGATTGTCTTCGAGGATGTTTTTGTTCCCACCGAGAACATTCTTGGCGAAGTCAACAAGGGCGTCCGAGTACTCATGGAAGGCCTTGACTTGGAGCGATTGGTCTTGAGTGCAGGCCCACTCGGACTGATGAAAGCAGCCTTGGATGTGACTCTACCGTACGTTCATGAACGCAAGCAGTTCGGTCAACCAATCGCGACGAATCAGTTCATCCATGGAAAGCTCGCAGACATGTACACGAAGTACATGGCATCATCGGCCTTCACATACTCGGTGGCTGCTGCGATTGATAACGATCCAGACAACGCCCAGATCAAGACGCAAGACTGTGCCGGTGCAATTCTCTACGCCGCAGAAAGAGCTACCGAATGTGGAATGGATGCTATCCAGTGCATGGGCGGCATGGGTTACATGAGCGAGATTGCTGCAGGCAGAATCATGCGAGATGCTAAGCTGTATGAGATTGGAGCGGGAACCAGTGAGATCAGAAGAATGGTCATTGGAAGAGCGTTCAACAAGGAATACCTTAGGTAAGCGGTTTGTACTTCAGTAATGAACTCTTCACCTATGCAAAAGGATTTGAGTATTTGAAGCTGTTTGAGCATAGGCCACCGCACTTGAACGCCTTACGATAAAACATTGGCTTTTGCAAGCGAATACAACTGTGTCATAAGAAGTCGATGCTGCTTGACCTGACATGGAGGCGTGGGATCGTAAACAGCCTTGTATCGGATCGATCATTTTCTCGGTAATCACCATCTGTCGTCGTTGATTACCATTGCACGGCAAAAGCCGTCATAACAGGGAGCGTTAAAGCGGTGCCACGAAACCGAGAGAAACGTGGTTTGCTAACGGAGTTTGCCATGGAACATGAGGGTGGAGGCGAGGTGGTTGGAGAGTGGGCAGTACGTACTCGAAGTACAGATTCGCACTGCAAAGTCGATGATCGTGAGGGATGAGCGTTTCTCCGGGGAAACTGCCTGGTAAAGTGCTTCATCGACGGCACTTACCATTCAATGGTCATCTCTATCAGACTGGTGTCTTCATACTGAAGTTCCGCTGAGTGCTAATGCCGTGTCGTAGGCTATCTCACGGATAATTGCACATGCGAAGCTCGTGTCATTGGTATGCCTTAAACCTGGAACACATGGAAACACACATCGCTTCGCTTCGTGGATAGCTGGATACAGTGGATGTCGATGTCAAGATAAACTCTAAATCTATGATGTGAATAACAGGCAATGTGATTGGTCAGACTCACGACAAGCGGCTCATACCGATCACGCTACGTCATGGAATCTACCAAAGTTCCAGCACGAGCTGCTAGCTCGAGGAGTCGAGGGCGGCAATTGTGGATGTATATATCAGGAGCTGCAATCCTGCCTTAAGTTGCTTTTCCTACTCCTCCATACTACACACAATCACACAAAATGGCACCTTCAGCAACAACACACGCCCCTGACGGCAGACAGAACGGTGACCTCCACCGTGACTACAACGATGACCGCAATGCATCGTCCGAGGACACTTTGTACACGACAAGCAACGGTGTCCCTATGCCTCACCCCTATGAGGTTCAGCGTGTCGGCGAGAACGGTCCTCTTCTCCTCCAGGACTTCCACTTGGTAGACCTTCTCTCCCACTTCGACCGCGAGCGTATTCCCGAGCGTGTCGTTCACGCCAAGGGTGGTGGTGCCCATGGTTACTACCAGACCACCGACCCCCTTGATGACCTCTGCATGGCCGACATCTTCCAGGCCGGCAAGAAGTGTCCCATCACTGTTAGATTCTCTACCGTTGGTGGCGAGTCTGGCTCGCACGACTGTGCCAGAGACCCTCGTGGTTTCTCCGTCAAGTTCCGTACCGACGAGGGTAACTGGGATGTCGTCGCCAACAACACCCCCGTTTTCTTCTTGAGAGACCCCGCCAAGTTCCCCCTCTTCATTCACACCCAGAAGCGTGATCCCGCCACCCACTTGACCCACGCCGATGACTCGACCATGTTCTGGGACTACCTTTCTCAGAACCCCGAGTCAGTCCACCAAGTAATGATCCTCATGGGTGACAGGGGCATCCCTGAGAACTGGCGCAAGATGCACGGATACTATGGCCACACCACCAAGCTCGTCAACAAGAAGGGCGAGTGGGTCTACGCCCAGATTCATTTCAAGTCCAAGCAAGGCACTGGTTTCATTACTCAGGAGGACTCCAACAACTACTCCCCTGACGCTCACCAGAAGGATCTTTACAACGCCATCGAGAACGGCGACTTCCCTGGCTGGGACGTCAAGGTTCAGACCATGACTCCCAAGGAGGCCGAGGATCTTTGGGAGAACCAGAAGATTAACGTTTTCGATCTGACCCACGTCTGGCCTCAGAGCCAATTCCCTCTCCGCAAGGTCGGAGAGTTCTTCTTGAACGAGAACGTCAAGAACTACTTTGCCGAGATTGAGCAGATCGCCTTCAACCCTGCCCACAACCCTCCCGGTATTGAGCCCTCGGCCGACCCTGTCCTCCAGTCGCGTCTGTTCTCATACCCCGACACCCACCGTCACCGTATCGGTGTCAACTACCAGCAATTGCCTGTCAACGCTCCCCGGGTTCCCTACAGAATTGGTAACTTTCAACGTGTACGTGCTGTCCAAGTGAAAAAATACCACCTTTGAGAGATTATGCTAATTTTTTTTTCAGNNGATGGATCCATGGCCTTCTACAACCAAGGCTCTCGCCCTGCATACCTTTCCTCGATCCAGCCTACCCAGTTCCGCCAGCGTACCCTCGACCTTGACAGAACTCACGGTCACTTCTCAGGAAAGGCCATCACCTTCCTGTCTGAGATTCGTGAGGAGGACTTCAACGCTCCCCGTGCCTTGTGGGAGAAGGTCTTCGACGATGGCGCCAAGGAGCGTTTCGTCAAGAACGTGTCTGGCCACATGAGCACCTGCCGCAAGGAGGAGATCATCAAGAGACAGATCACCATCTTCCGCCACGTCTCCGAGGACCTTGCCAGCCGTCTCGAGAAGGCTACTGGCGTCAAGGGCTACGAGAGCATAAAAAACATGCAGTTCAACGNNGGCGAGTACTATCTGCTTCTATCTTCAAAAACGTATGCTAACGAATCACCTAGAACTCACAATGGCTTCGCTACTGATGAAAGCAAGAAGTACGCCAATGGCCAGGTGCCCGTCAAAATCGATTCATCGGTGACGGAGAACAACGGAGCTCCCAGAGCTGGCACTCACGAGGAGTACTACAGAAAGTAAAAATCACCATGTATATATAGCCTAATCACGAATGTATGAAATTTCCTGTCTTCGAATCGTGTTCCTTGCAGTCCTGTGTGAGTGGTAGTGGGCAGAGAGATGGATTTATATAGGGCTCAAGCACCGCCAAGAGTTTATGCTGAGAGGACAACCCTGTCATAAGCAGTCCAACCTGTCTAACCTGCACCGCTACACCAATACGCAGGTGGGAGATATTTCAAGTCTCGCCAATGATCATTTATATCCTCTCACTACCTTCAATGTACGTCTAACGCTTCACAGATGCATATGTGCATCTCCTTTCAAGTTTATGCCGTTGAAGCTTTAAATCATGCATCACTAGAGATAGAATTACAAACATCGAGCCTACTTTATAAATCACCAGAACACCAGAGCACCAGAGCACCAGAGCTCTAGATTACCATGCTCTGATCGAACAATTGAGTTGGCCACACATCTCTATATGTATACGCCTTGAAGAGTTCCTAACGCGCTCCTTGCAGAAAATAGGTATCTGACTGTCCGTCCGTCCAGTCTTGTCGAAGCACACGCCAGAAGCAAGCGAAACCTCGGACACCAACACCAACTCACTTCACCATATTTGAGAATCTGAGGCCCAACATGCCTGCTCAACACACCCAACAACCAATGCTGCTTCTTGTTCAAGGAGGCTCAAAAATTCACATGCACCGGAATGACGCAAAGGGTCCCCTGTTTCTCGGCGGCACTCCGTCGCAGAGAAGGTTGGGTTTTCGGATTCGGCCAAGATCGTCGGACGTCATCTTTCAGATTTCTGAACCATCGTCTCTTTTCGAACACCTTTACAACGCCAATCATAAAGGATGTTTTTGTTGCTTGGACTGTATATCGCAACACAAGAGATGTAAGTTATTATTGTAACAAAAGGCAAGTCACATTCATCATCATTCTCTTTTGCCAGCACTATCTCTCCTCTCAGAAAAAGTTCCGGTGGTTGTATGTATTAGGACCGATACTCGCAATTCCACCGAGTATTGGCCTTTGCAGCAAGTGATGTGATTCAACCTCGAGCGATGATGGTGAAATTTTCCTGCTCAACGTTGCGGGGAGAGTATCTATGTCATACTTTTGATTCTCTGATAAGACTTCAGGAGTGAGATGGTAGAAAGTTGCCATCTTACATATCCATCCGTCGCAAAGACATTCCTTCGATCTACCCCCCGGAAACAACACGACTACACATTATGGGCCTCGACAGAGAAGCAGAATTCCTGAACGTGCTTGTGCTCGCAAGCTTGTTCTACAACACTCTCAAGTCATTCGACAACATCCACAGCTCGCTCAATGACTTCAAGGATGAGAAGGTTTACCTTGCTCAGCTTGGTATCGAGCAAGCAAGACTCTTGATCTGGGGCGAGCAGATGGGTATCTTCTCTTTGCCGCCATCGCTTACTTTCCTCGAGACCGAGGAGGGTAGACAGAACATGACACCTCGCGACTCCCGTCTCGACGACGATGAGGTCAGAGTCAATCTCGAGGGCTTGATGAACAGCATTATCCACACTCTGAGCAACCCCAACGACAACGATGCCGACCTTGATACCACCGGTCTCAGACCCCTTCCTCGTGGCGGCGCACAAGCACTTGAGCAGCCAGCTGCTGACTTGACCCGCATGAAGAACTTCGAAGATTCCTACAAGCACCTTGTCCAGTTGGCATCCAACAAGGTGTCAGTCAAGAGACCAAACTCGCTTGCATCGCAGCAGTGGGTTATCCACGACACTCTGCGCTTCTCCAACTTCGTCAAGTCCACCAAGCGCCAGGTCGACACCCTGTTGCTGGCTCTCAACATCAACGACAGAGTTGAGAACATCCTTCTGGGCGATATCCGCGACCTGGGCAAGCACGCCGGTGGCTCTCCTGGCAGCAAGCCTTCACCATCAGCAGTCAAGGACATGGCTAAGCTGAAGCTTCTCATCAGAGCATGCAAGGGTCGCTACCCAGCACTGCTGAACGAGGCACAGCAAACCTTCAACGCCCTCCAGAAGGGTGTCAGTGTAGAGCACGACATGGCTGCCAAGGTGCACAAGCTTCTCGAGCCTGTCCACCCCGACTCAGCAGTCGCCAGCGCAACAAACAGCGGCGCCGCAACACCCGAAAAGAGACCTGGATTCATCCGCAGATTGAGCACACAGACATGGAACAAGCTGCCTGGAAGAAAGACACCCAGCTCGAGTCGCCCATCCTCTCCTGAGCGCAGAAAGTCGTTGGTTGGACGTAAGACACCAGCTGCCAGTCGACCCGCCTCTCCCGTACAGGAATAGGTGGGAATTGTAGGAAGCTGACGAGATTTACGAAACCAAGGAAAGAAAGAGAAGGATATGAGCAACAGCAACAGGATATTGACGAGGAACGGATATATCACTTAGCAGGACGGATGTAATTACGAGTAATACCTAGCGATAGACATACAAAGCGAATGATTTATACCAGCGTACAGATCCGTGGATGATTCGGTGTGTCAAGTGATAGACAGGCACAAGTATAGATTGGTTGGTTCGTCCTCGGGTACCTAGTCAAGGCGGTGTGCACGGTATCCCCGCATTCGTGCCGTCGAAGCGCGTCATTGCTGTCAAGCAGACTGGCTCGGCGCACTGCTAAAATTCGTACAGTGTCGACTTTGATTTGAGCATTGAGATGGCAACGTCGAGATGTAAGGTTCAAGAAGGAAGACTTGACTTGTGACGAAGCGGAAGCACAGGATAGAATTGGAGATGTAGAGGATGGATGGAGTAAACAGAACAGGACGGTCCACTCTGCAGGAAGGTCAGGTCTGTGCTCGCCCTATCACCGGCCGAGTTTGCAGCACCGTCTTGTCTCTATTCTCTAGCTGCCATCACCCAGCTCTCTGCTTTGCAAACAACCTGTCTGTCTGCTCTTATTCTTCACACATCTCACATTCCCCATCACACTCACAACAATGGTCTCGCCGCGGCGGTCAGGCCGCACGCCCTCCGATCGCAACTCGAGATGGCACAACAAATTGTCACCCCGCCAGAAGTCGCCCTCTCCCACAACCCTCTCCGACGACACCATGCACCCTCAATCAGGTTCCTTGAACTCTCCCGAAGAATCTCGCCAGACCCGTCGAGCCACCAGAGCTCAGCACACACACCCCGACGACGTCGATCAACAGAGCCATCTCAATGACGCTGACCCCGATGCCGACGGCGACGATGAGATTACCCGTTGCGTCTGTGGCCTACAAGACTACCCAGGCCCACCTCTGACCGATGACTTTCCTACCATAACAGATCCTTCACAAGCCGAAGATGCTGGCGGCCTGTTCATCCAGTGCGACAAGTGCCACGTCTGGCAGCACGGTGGCTGCGTCGGCATTATGGACGAGACAAAGAGTCCCGACAACTACTTTTGCGAGCTCTGCGACAAGAAATTACACAATGTCTTGACCGATGCCAAAGGGTGAGTCCCTGTCTCGTACACCTTTGTCGTCGGCCATTTACTGACACAGCATAACTCAGACNAACGTTACTCGCGCTACCTGCCCGTCATGAAGCCAGAGCCCAAGAGTGCTCGAAAAGCCTCTCTTACAAAAGAGACAGAGTCCGCAAAGGCCCGTCGGGAACAGCGAGAGAGCCAAAACAGAGCCAGTGTCGAATCGTCAACAGGCAAGAGGAGGTCCACAATGAACAGCCGCCAGGCCTACGATGATGAAGAGACATTACGCCGAATCATCGAAGAGACGAAGGATGACGGCGAGTCAACTCCAGCAGTGCGCAAAGGAAAGCGCGGACGGGACGATAGCGAAGAGTCAGTGAAGAACCTGCTCATCACAGCGAACAAGCATCTGACGAATTTCGACAGCTCCAGACACGAAATCAAGCGCCAACGAACCGGCTCAGAATCCCCCAATCCTCCATCCACACTCAACACAGGCTCGTTGGACGCGGACTCAGATGATGATGGCACACACCCCAAATCAATTAAGAAAGCACGAAGCGCAGCTGCCGAAGTCTTGAGACAGAGAGAAGCTAAAGAGCGAGAACGTATGCGTGATGAGAAGCGCAAGGAGGCTGCAGGAAGACGCAGCGAAAGAGCTGGGCGAAGGAGAGCAGATGGTACGCTGGACCAAGATGAGCAAACGAGACCAATTGACCTGACTATTCGCGCAGAGTCAGATCCGCTTGACGACACACCGAAACACATGGGCACACCCAACCTGCCTGCATCACAACCTCCCAGCCCACCTGGTTCAGCGCCGCCAATGGTCCCAGGAAGCTCACACAAGAAGGGCACAGCCAAGAAGCAGAAACGACTAGGTCGTAACCAATACTCAGCAGCGAAAGCCACTTCCAATCCCACAGAGGCTGCTTCGGTCAATCCGAACGCTAGCAGTGGTGACGATCCAACGACCAACAGCACATCCGACTCCAAGAACAGCCCCAGTAGCAACACCGAGACACCCGCCGTAGCAGCATCCGCTCCTCCTCCCAAAGCCAAAGGCGGAAAATGGGGTGGACGTGCCAAAAACCCGCGACAAGCTGCCATCCAAGAAGCCGAGATTGTCACCAAAGACAATCGCGACAGCAAGAGTCAGATGACCATAACCGACATGAAGAAACGCACAGGCATGATGATGGACTACATTGCAAAAGCACAGGTCGATATGGCGGGCGACCGCACACCACTCAACAACACCCAACAAGGAGCCGACAAGTCTGCCGACTTCAAGCAGCTCAGCAGCAGGGAGATGATGGATGTCTTGACCAGACACATCATGACATGGCAANAGGAGTATGCAACTGAGGCTGCTTCCACCACTGCCTCTTCGCTCGTCGTATGATAACAAGACCCCGATGCTCTACACTCACGGTACTCACGAACGGCGTTTTTCTACAACTGGACAATGGATTACTACACACTACTACTTACTATATGGGATTCGGATTGGACTTTGGCCTCAGGGTATCTGGATCGGGATGGGTTTCTTCTTTGCTTCTCTTTCTTTCTTGCTTTCTTCGCCTTTGCTTTGGCTTACGGAAAAAGCACTATACAGTACTACTGCTTTGTGTTACATGTCTTTACTTCGTCCATGCAGACGAAACTAATGTGTCATCTGAATTTCTGCTACACTCTGTTTCTCCGACATGAAAAGTTGAGGTACTGGTCAACTAGGGAACTATGTGCCTGTAACATATTTGTTGTTACACACCTTCTACTTATTTACAATTCTTGCAGGGATGAATACGATAATGCTCGATCAATCATCACCGCCCTGTGCCATTCATGTCACATAACTGGCATCTATCTTCAGTCAAAAGGTATGTATACGCAACCATCCATTAAGCAGTGGCATATAGTGCAGAGTGATAAAGATCTCGAAGACACCAGGGTACTTGCTAAAGAGCAGGGTGACATAACCAACGCGAGAAAAGAAAAACACAAAAAGAAGAAAAAAGGCCAACGTACATCGAGAAGGGATTTGCAAACGACATCGAGAGACTTGACATATACATCTATATAGAGCGATGGCGGCTTTGTATCCTAGGGGTTAGTATCTCTACTTGACTTAAAAAAGTCTAGATAAGGCTATCTTAAACACGAAGGTGCATCCGTAGAGAAGACATATAATTCGCTTGTCTATTTCTTCCTCTAATGATTATAGATGTATGCAGTTCGAGAAAACTATCAAAAGCTGAACTAGCTCCGCTCTTCTGTGAATTTACAGGAAACCACTTGCTCCTAGTCAATGAACCGTAGAGATCTCATAGCATAAACATCCCCGCACTATCTACTTAGTAAGAGGATGGTGGTCGTCTTGGTATGGAGTCTACTCCGAGTTGTCCTGTCTATCGCCGAGGCTTTCGTGCAGTTAATGCCTATCTCACCTCTTATCTCCATATACTGTATCTATATAGGTAACCACGATAGTCGAGTCCTGCACTCTATACTATTAACCGCAACCTAGACCAAAGCTCGCGAACATGGCCACTACATACGATGTCCAGACTTATCTACTAGATAAGTCCAATATACAAGACACTGTAACACGGATGGTGAGTCTGATCCAGTCCAACCCTCGATATCAATAACATACTGATGAAACTCTAGNNATGTACGCCTTCGACAACAAAGACTCCTCTGTATTGACCGATCAAGTGTATACCTCAGAAATCCATCTCGACTATGATACACTCTTACTCGGCGGAAAACCAGAAATCATAAGTAGCAAAGCGTGGACAGAGAGATTGGAACATATGCATGATGCTTATGATACTACACAGCATACTGTGCAGTAAGTCCATGCACCTGTTTTGAACCACTGGACTGGAGATTGATCTTGATATCGTATGCAGCNNAATTTGCTCATCGAATTGCCTCAGCCAAACAAAGGGGTTGCAAGGCCAGATAGCTGTGCAGTCTACGCACATGCTGATGGTTGGTTCTACAACCGCAATGCAGAGAGAAGACCGCGGATTATGTGTAGACGTAATGGAGTAAGTCCCGCTGTCTGCTTTCTCTAGTATCATATCAGCAAGAGTGATTGACTGACCACTCGACAGGGCAAATATCATCTGGAAGTTGTTCGACTGAAGGATAAAGAAGAGCAAGGAGAAAATCCTTGGAGGATTTGCAAACAGCGTGTAGAGTTGTCGTGGCAGGACATGGGTAGCCAGTAGCGACTGCCTGAATGGGATGGCTAAGATCCACGTGATGGAGTATGAACTATTGTGAGGTGAGGAAGTCATCACATATGACGACCCACGAGAGTATCAAGTCTGCAACCTGATATCTTGCATATGACAGAGCGAGTTCGAGGTATGACTTCCAGCTCATTGTCAGAGTGAGGTTTAGTATAGCAAATATACTCGAAGTGGATTCTGTTTTACCAGTCAGTCTTTGCTACTAGACCTCAAATACTTGCTGAGCAAAACTCTACTATTACTTCACAGCCCTCTTTATGCAGCCTGATTGTTATCAACGAAACCAAAAAACCCAAGGCTGGCTTTGTTGTAGCTAAACAGTACTGCAATAATATCTGTACAACAGCAAAACAACATGCAACAACGGACGGGATCAAAAGCAAAGCATCGCCTGGCGCAGCAACACTGACTGGAATCAAGCCCAAAAGTCCAAGCCAGATGTGCAAGCGTTACTGCAAGGCACTTGTAAGAGGCGAGGTGCATGCATCTACTGTACAGCCATGTCATGCCAGTATGTCAGGCTGCGTCCAAGATATCAATTGAGGCTGAGTATCAACTACGGCGCCGAATATAGATCTCACCTTGACGAAGCAAAAGCCGTCGTTGCAAACATTCCAACACAAGGCGCTCTGGTCAACGGAATGCTGACAGTGTCCAAGGAGCATATGGACACCATGAATTCTTCACGTGTTTAGTTTTCAAGGCGCCACACCGTGAAGACCTGCGAGTGTTATCGAAAGCTATTGCAAGCTGAAGCACGCCTTGAGCCGTGGGAGAGCGAGGACTGAATATAAGAGAGGCCGGCCCTTGTTCCAAAGTTGCACTCTACCATCGGACAACCACCAGCAAGAACCAACAATCAGCCTTTACAAAGTACACAACTCTTCTGTCTTGCTTCGAGTTATTGTTCTGACTTGTCTCTAGTCAAACAAATCAATATCTCAACATCAAAAAACGACTCGAACCGGGAACATGCGCTTCGAAATCGTCCTCTCCGCCCTTCTCGCCACTCTCGCCATCGCGGGACCCGTCATATTCGAGAAGCGCGACAGTAGCGAGTGTTGCTGCCTCCAAGGCGGCACATATTGCGTACGTTTGCATTCATGTCTTTTCGCTCGGGGTCTTCAGCTGACAGAATGGGTTTCGTAGTTTCTTTATGCCGATCAGACCGCCAATGGTTGTGGTGACGTTGATTGCGAAGACATCGAGGATGAAGATGCTGGACTGACCGAGGGAGAGACCGAGCCTCCCTAATAAACTTGTTAGGCTGGAGGTCGAAAAGAGCAATGAGTGACGTTCTTCCTTTGCCGGCCGGTGATATCTGCTCTTCAGACGACGTGAATACTCAATGGATAGGTGGGGGCATGGGAGGAGAGAAAGAAGGGGTTGATGGACTTAGAAGAAATTCCAAGTATTTCAGTTTGTCTCCCACACGTTGACAATGTGTAGTGACATTGTGGCTCTGCATCTTCCTCAAACGGCTTCGAGAGGTCAGTTACACATTTTTAGGACGGTTTGGCATCTTCGAACGCGTGTATGAGGTCCAGGACGCAGTGCGGTAGGATTTGTACCGCAGTCTGCCTGCTTTCCTTTCGTTCCAGCGTGTCGGTTGTTTTAGGGTTCTTGAGGAGAAAATCCACTACCAGACAGCAAAGACAAGACCAGAACCTTATCTCTGTTGGTGTTGAAGACCTCGTCTTGCGACAAGGCTCACTCTTGCTATTCGTGTCTGGTAAGAGCGAACGATTTGTGAGCAACTGAGTAGCTAGGCGAAACAAGTTGCATGCCTGTGCGAGTTATGAGTGCTTGTACACGGCTACGAGAACTCGAACGCAGAAGCATGTCTTAGTCTCCATATTCACCGGGCCATCTCTTTCTGCTTATCTTGAGTGTGGTGGCGAATTCAGGACTCTGTTTCCTGGGTAGAGGGTTGGAGAGGTGCTCAGGAACTTGTTGAAGTTTGATCGAAAGTTTGTCGGTTTAAAAGCGTCCACGAGCTGCTTTGTGGGTAGTACTGGAGGGAAGATACGGTGTAGCACGAGAGGATTATATCCATTGTCATCGCCCTATGTGATACACTATTGTGTGAGTTAATCATGCTTGAACCAGAGATAAGAACAGGGATGAAGGCAGGATGAGGTCGAAACAAGAAGCAGCCAAGATCGCAAAACAGTCCCAAGAACTGACAGATGACCTTCGCATTCGGCAGAGGCTTGATCTGCCCAGAGCTGCTTGATCGCCTGCCACGGCATATTCGTCAACGGCCAAGGGCTTGGATGGATCTGAGGCGGTTACCAAAAAGCATTGGATAGTGGTCGGGAGCTTGACAATCATGCTTGACTTGCAGCCACCTCCTTGGCTTGCTTCATGATTGACGACATGCCTTGATATCGTGGCTGTATGATGAAAACCAACTGGTCGAGATGGTCTTTGAGGGACAGATGACCTGGGCCGAGCAAAAGCAGAGCGTCGTTGACCTCACTATTCGCACGCCCAGCTTCACAAGATGAGAACGGCAGCGGCGAAGAGCGACAGAGCGGCGCTCGCCTGCTTCTAGAATCGATCAATCAGATCCACTCCACCACTGCACCCTGTTCTGTTTTTGCCTCGGAGCGTATCTTGCGTGCATCGGCGGCACATATCCACCACCTGACTCGAGTACAAGCTTCTTGTTGGTTTTGTTGTCCAGGCCTATGTTTTTGCTATTGTAGCTCAAGTTTGGCTCAGCCATTCAGTCCAAGAAGAGCCAACACATGTGCTGTAGAGATCGGTATCCTAACGTGATAACATCAAGGTCTAATGAGAATCTGTGAGACTCGGAAATTGCAATACTGCACGTGTTGTCCCTGAGGCTGATTTCACCGCAAGGATTCACAAAATAGCCGCCGCCGTTTGAACAGGACCGAAGAACAGAACTTCGTTGAGCGAACAGAAGTTGCCATGTTTGAGGTCATTTCCGACGGAGGTAGGAGAATGCATTTCTCGCTTCCAAGTCCCAAGCCGATTATAGTGGTCCAATAGAGGCCTCTTAGTTCGAAGGATTCCGGTTGAATATGGCCCCTGGTGATGATGAGCCAGCATGCGTTGCGCGGGTGACAAAAGTTATCCACTCCAAAGTCTTGGAAGATCCATTCGCAGCGTAGTTTGATGCAAGACACGAGATGTTCACACCGAGGGAAAAATTTCCTCTGCTGGATGTCACTGAACCCTGAGGGTGAGAGGAAGGTTAGGACGAAGTGGCTTGTGCCAAGCAAACGTGGAGGAGACGGTGTCTGGCCACTTGGGGAAGGCACGACCGTCAACGTGGGGATCTCGACAACGTTGATTGGTTCAGTCAGACTTCACTCGAACAGACGCCTCTTCGACTTTTCGAGTCTCGCTCGGCTATCTGCAATAACCGGCCCTGGGACTCGCCATTTTGCGGCAAGGAGCACACTCCTACTAGGGTAATATCGCACAAGTGCAATTCTCCTTCGGTCTTGCCGTTCCACGTGTGAGTGGGACGACTACCCAATAATTGGTCCGGATCGAGCAGACCTGACACTGCATGTACCATCAGCTTGGGTTGGTCGAAGATCCTACCATGCAGGTGCAGTCTTGCGAAATGATGCGAACGCGAGGGCGGAGGTTTTGCGATGATGATCGCCTGGACTGTTCACGCGACAATATGGTTTTCACAGAGGCGAGAACGCGATAGTATGCTAAGGTTTCTGCTTCCACGAGTATCACAAATCTGGCCGACCACGAGTTATGGACTGTGGTTCGCGAGGTCCCACGCGGGCGATGGCTCACTCGACATGTTTCTCGAATCGGCCGTTGTGCTAAGAGAGCTAAGATTAGGCTTTGGGGAGCAAGAACCGTCAAGACCGTGCAAGACGTTCTCAAGCACCCCAAGATCCAAACCTACGGCCTTGGCCCTCTCGTGCGTGATACAATGCAGATCGTTGATTGGGTCCCAGGCCAAAGCGCCACAGTCTGGGCCTACATCCAGTTGAGGAACAAGCAAACAGTCGTCTGACAGCCAAGTCAAAATTCTCGAGTAAAGATGCAGTAGATAAAAGAAGGCAGCTGCTCACCCCTGCTGTGTTCGTCTCGTCCATCATCAGCCATTCACTTCTGAAGACAGATCGTTCACAGTCAGATCTTTCTGACTATCCTTTCCCTACACTCATTGCTTCTACCACCCTAGGTAGTACCTCACCATAGCAATGGCCGCCAACAACAGAACCGCTGGTGGAAACGCCGCCTTCCACAACTTCAACAATGACTTCGCTCACATCGAAGACCCTAACGAGCGTCGCAGACTCGCTCTTGCCGAGATTGACAAGGCTCCCTTCGGCTGGTACCACGTTCGCGCCATCATCGTCGCCGGTATTGGTTTCTTCACTGATGCCTACGATATCTTCGCCATCGGTCTCGTCACCAACATGCTTGGTGTTGTCTACTGGCAAGACGCCAAGAAGAACCCTGGCAAGATCCCCCAGACTGCCGACACTGCCATCAAGGTTGCTACCTCTGGTGGTACCGTCATCGGTCAGGTTGGGTTTGGTTACCTTGCCGATGTTGTTGGTCGTAAGAAGATGTACGGTCTCGAACTCATAATCATCATTTTCGCAACCATCGCTCAGGCTCTCTCCTCGCACTCTCCCGCTATCTCGATTGTCGGCATTATCATCTTCTGGCGTGTTCTCATGGGTATCGGTATCGGTGGTGACTACCCCCTTTCATCTATCATTACCTCTGAGTTTGCTACCACCAAGTGGCGCGGTGCCATGATGGGCTCCGTCTTCGCCATGCAGGGTATCGGTCAATTCGCTGCTGGTATCATTGCTCTCATCGTCACTGCCGGCTTCAAGGAGTCGCTCATGACTGCCAAGAACCCTGCTGCTTGCGATGGTGTCTGCCAACTTGCTGTTGACAAAATGTGGCGTGTAATCATCGGTTTCGGTGCTGTTCCCGGATGTGTTGCTCTCTACTACCGTCTTACCATTCCTGAGACTCCTCGTTACACCTTCGATGTCGCCCGTGACATTGTCAAGGCCGACACTGACTCCAAGGCCTACCTCAACGGCAAGCACCACGGCAACCCCGATGAGATCACCCGTGCTACCACTCAAGCTGCTACTGCCGGTCAACTCGAGGTTCCCAAGGCTTCATGGTCCGACTTCTGCCGCCACTACGGCCAGTGGAAGAACTTCAAGATTCTCCTCGGTACTGCTGGTTCGTGGTTCTTCCTCGATGTTGCTTTCTACGGTGTCTCGCTCAACAACTCGGTCATTCTTTCTGCTATCGGCTACAGTGGTGGTGCCAACATGTACGAGACTTACTACAACACTGCTGTCGGTAACTTGATCATTGTCTGTGCTGGTGCCATCCCTGGTTACTGGGTCACTGTTGCCCTCGTCGATACCATCGGTCGCAAGCCCATCCAGCTTATGGGCTTCACCCTCCTCACCATCTTCTTCTGCATCTTCGGTTTCGGTTACAACGTCATTGGAACCAAGGGCAAGCTTGCTGTCTACGTTCTCTGCCAGTTCTTCTTCAACTTCGGTCCCAACGCTACCACCTTCATCGTTCCCGGAGAGTGCTTCCCTACTCGCTATCGTTCCACCTCCCACGGTCTCTCTGCCGCCTCTGGTAAGATCGGTGCTATCATTGCTCAGGTCGTCATTGGTCCTCTCCGTGTCCGCGGTGCCACCAAGACCAACGCCTCTCCTTGGCTCAACCACGTCCTCGAGATCTTCGCTCTCTTCATGTTGATGGGTATCTTCACCTCACTCCTCATCCCCGAGACCAAGCGCAAGACCCTCGAGCAACTTGCCGGCGAGGTTCCCGGAACCCCCGAGTACGACGAGCACACCCACGGTGCCGTTGAGAGCAAGAACTCGGACGACTACTCTCAGACCAACATGGCTGAGAAGTCTGCCGTTTAAACGATGATGTTGTTGGTGCTTCTTTCTATCTCTCTTTTGATACCAAAAAACTGTTCATGATGTATATAAACGGGCTCTCTCCAAGCGCTGGGGTTGATGTTTTTTCTCTCTTCTTATTGCTTAGCGGTCTGGTTCCGGTTGGTTACAGTCCTGGCTTTGCTACTCTAATGTCAAACAACCTTCACTTTTACAACATCCTTTTCTCGTGCCTACTTTTTGACTGTGACTTGACTTCCTCTATATTCAATTTACAACAATGTCTTCAGACTCCTTGCCTGATGTTATCTCACACGACCAACTCTCCAACCCCAGATCAGGAAGGTCACCAAATACACCTCGCTTCTCTGCATGTATCTTTCCGTCTCCTATTGTTTGATCTTCCAGACCTTGACATGTATGTATGCATGCACCCCGCCTCTTTAATCTTGCCGAATATCACTACTGCAAGGCGATGCAAGCTCGAAGTCTCGTACAAACATACTTTTCTTAGTTGGTGTTTTCGCTTATGTACTTTACTTTTCGATCCCACTTGCCGTTCGACTGCTGCTACTACATGCACGTTGTTGCATGCTTTGCGGTACTTTTAAACTGTCTTTTACTTTATCTAGAGCCGAGGTTGGTGTGTTGGTTGTTGTGTGGCAGGTTTGTGCTTTTGTTGTTGGTGTTGGTAAGAAATAAAAGACGATAATTCCAGCGATGGAAAACTCTTGCTTACGAAAATCAGAGCTGCAGCGATGGCAGAGTTTTCAACAGAACGTGTTATTAAAGACATGTGAGCAAGGACTAACCAATGAAGGAATAATCTAAAGTTCGAATCCGGGTCTTGCGAACAGAGGATACAAGTAGGTATGGCGTGTAATATGGATGATGATAGCAAGCTGTTTAGTACGCAGATGCTGAATTATTCGATTTGTGATAAGAAACAGAACTCCACTCGAGTCCGTTGGTCCGGAAGAAGGTTTGAGCGGTACTATGCAAATACATACCCATCACTTGACTACATAGCCTATATCGCCGTGATAGCTTGTTTGCATAAAGAGAAAACATGGAGATGAGATATCTGGTTCTTCGTTGATGGATACAATAGAAAAGTGCTAATTGAAGAGCTGTGATGGTATCTGTTTCTAACAAAGGAGTACTTGATGAGAAGTAAAGCCACGGGTACTGTAGTAGAAAGCATATGAGAGAAAAAGGCGAAGAAAAGAGAAAAGAAAGAAATCAAAATGCAACGAAGTTGGGTATCGCTCGCGGATGAAAAACAACCATTCCTTATGCTCCTCATGCACCTGAGCCCTGAAGAAGTCGACAGTGTGTAGTATAAAAAGTACGTCCGTTTTGTAAGGTGTGTGGGTCTACCAGCACTTCAGACTTGAGAAGAAACCACCCTTCTTCTTCTTTTGTGGCGATGTAGCTGCAGATTCAGACTCGGAGAATCGCAGCTTTTCAGACTCGCTGGTGATGTTAGGCGCAGGAGCGGATTGATGTGTTTCGGTTGCTGCTGAGACTCGCTGGGAGGCGGGTGTGGGATTGACGAGGGAAGGAAAGACCGGTCGCTGGCCTGCTGCGTGCTGTTCTCTGGCCTCGACTACGCGCTTGACGATTGCNTGTGTCATGTCAGTTTCTGCTGTTTGCCTCCGATTGATTATGGAGGGCTGAAGCTTACATGCAAAAGTCTCCTCGATGTTAACGACCTCACGCGCCGATGTCTCCATGAAACCGCAGCCTCTGCTCTTTGCCCACTCCAAACCTTCGGCAGCGCCGACTTGTCTCTGGCCTTGAAGATCGCATTTGTTTCCAGCAACCATGATGGCAGGCCAGCACTTTCCTTGCTCTTGTCTGTTTTCCCTCTCCATATCAATCAATTCGGCAAAGAAGTCGAGGTTCTGCAACGATTGGGCGTTGGTAATGTCGTACACGAGCAGGAAGGCGTCGGAGGTCAGGTTTGCGGCAGACCACATGCCACGGTATTCTTCCTGGCCTGCAGTATCGGTGAGGAAGAGGGAGTAGGTCTGGCCATTGATGGTGCGCGTGACCGAGTACGAGTCTTCGATTGTGGGATCGTAGTCGTGAGTCCAGGCGGAACGGACGATACGTAGTGTGATTGATGATTTACCNTAGCGCATTGCGTTAGATGGAATTGTGGCAGGTGCGATTGAGAGGTACATACCACAACCGCCGTCGCCACAGATGGTAATTGAGATCTTGTCGTCCATTGTTGGTGCGCGATTGTCGTTGTATGGGAGTTGTAGAAGGATGAAGATCGAGGATGAAGCGAGCGCAGTATAGTCACAGGGATGTCGAAGTAACAGAGTACAAGATGTCGAGGTCGCGTGAAGTGAATCAAGTGATACAAGTAGCGGAAGTCCGAATGCGCGCCCGAGGGATGAAGACAAAGTGAAGATTGCAGGAGACTGAGAGAGAGAGCGTGAAACAATGACAGCCGGTAGAACCAAGTACGCCAACGAATGCTAGGACAGAAGGAAACGAGATGGAAGGAGCAAAATGTGTCTAGTCCATCTTGTCAAGTCATGTCAACATTGACTTGGTGGAGACTCGAGTTGGTCCCTGGTTTGCCGACGCTCGGTCCGTTTTCATATGCTTTGTCGATCTTCCTACCTAACTTGATTGACCACCCGGATCTGCTTTGCAGTCGAACGTCCATGCAGGAAACACCTGGTGCTTGCTCTTGCTCTGTTATCTATCTTCTCTGATCTCTGCAAGATATCCTTCCTCAGAGAGGCTCAATGTCAAGATTCAAGAACACAAATCACCAATTCATCTCAACGGCCCGGAGCTTTCATGAAACACTTCCGAACCATGATGCCCGAGAGCTCCACTTTTTAAAGCCCGATGCAGTTCGTGCATCTTGACTCGTGCTCCTTCTCCTGATGTAGCGTGACACTGAACAATCATACATGTGTAAATCTCTCGTTTCTTGCGACAATACTGTCTGATCCTAGTACATGTTGCGTGCCCAGTCTTTCGTCTGAATGTTCTGCAACTCGGCCATATCGTATGTTCGCGCTGGAAGCTCTACATCCTTCGGCCCTGTTATGATACCGAATTCCTGAGTGTAGTATCCGCTGTTCCCAAAAAATCCGACGATCTTCTCTCCTGCTCCAGCCTCCAGTACCTTGACTGCGCTGTCCTCAGACGCAAGTCCGGCGAATCGGCAACTGTTGAGTGTTCCTGCCTTCGTGCCATCTGACAAAGTCATGGATATACCACCCAACACCCTGTGTCCCCATCCATATTTGTTCACCTCTACCTTGACGACGTCGACACCCGATGGAATATGCAGCGTTCGAGAGCTGCTGCCACCAAACTGGTGCGTGGAGCCGTCGTGTCTAAGACGAAGCCCACAAGGTGTCGAGTGTCCATCTTCGTAGTAAACGACTGCTCCGTCGAGAATGGCGCCAACTCGCAGGTCGATTGTCTTTGCCCGACTCAGCTTGCCGTCGGCACCTCTCTCCTGGAGCATCACTGCCCACTTGTGGCCGTCGAGTTCTGCGTCTGTTTCATCGTCGTCTTTCGCAGATTGAACGTCATTCGCAGAATAAAGGTCGTTACCAATAGCCGATTGTTTGCGCAAGATGATTTTCGAATTGGGAATGCGGACGACATCCGGAATCACCATCTTCCAGGCATTAGAACACCGCTTGACACGGCCATTGCATCCAAGTATCTCCAGGCGAAGTGGTTTAGACTGGTCGAAGTCTTCTGGCATGATATTGACCGATTGTGTCTTCTGTCCACTCAATGAGCAGTCATATCTCATTGTCTCAGTAGTCGTGCCATTGGTGATTTTGATTTGAGCAAGTCCCGATTGACACTCGACGACTATGGCATCGCATTCGAGATCCTCGGAGAAGTGTGGCGTGATCGAAGGAGCCTCGATTGTCCTTGTGGGAATGGGGCTTTGCTTCGACCTGCGTCTGCGTACTGCCTGGTGTACACTACGCTGTCTAATCGTCGAGATACGCATGTTGATAGCTCTGATGTGATTGAAGAGTGATCTGGTGTATAGAGAAGAGATAATGAGAAAATCCAGGTGTGAATGAGATGTGAACGACAATGGAGGTCGACAACCATTAAATATCAATCACAGCATGGCGCACAAAGATATTGCCTTATCTCAAACAAACTCATGTTGCCTGGAATTCATATGGTTGGAGGCAGCATTGCCTTAGGTGCGACGCTTCTCCAGGCATCAGCAGCTATGGCTGTCGCGAAACAGGCAGCGACGCGAATCCACGAGTCAGGATCCGATTGCACAATTGAGCCGCGAGCAGATCCCGACAGACGAACATCGGCTCGAGACATGACAGTGTACATTCTCGGAGGAAAAAGTACCAAATCGCGTGCTTCTTCGAAGAAAAGACAGAATATGAAGTTGGTGGATGTTCCGAGGGTTCGTTCAGTAAACAGCACCCTTTCGCTTGCAAAACTCTAGGGAATGGTTTAACCACACGTCATACCTCGGTAATCATCTATACACATCTTCAATCCGATCGCGTGTCCTGAAAACACATATCAATCCCATCAAAAATGGGCGACAAATATGAAAAGCAGACAAAACCGATAGTGTCTGTAATATCCGGCGGCATTGCTGGCGGCGTGGAAGCTTCAGTAACATATCCCTTCGAGTTCGCCAAAACCAGAGCTCAATTACACGTCCGGAAAGCAGGAGTACCATATCCGAGAAACCCTTTTGCTGTGGTGTTTCAAGTGTACAGTCAAGAGGGACTACGTGCGCTGTACAAAGGTTGTGGAGCTTTGGTGGTTGGCTCTGTCGGTAAAGATGCAGTCAGATTCTTATCGTTCGATACTGTCAAGAATGCCTTCAAAGATCCTGAGACTGGGACTCTGTCGCCAGTGAGGAACATGCTGGCTGGAATGGCTGCTGGTGTTGTTGCCAGTGCCACCGCAGTCACACCCACAGAAAGAATCAAAACCGCTCTGATCGACGACGCCCGAGGACCTAGACAATTCACATCCACCATGCACGCCGTCAGAACAATCCTAGCCGAAGACGGCTTCAAAGGCCTGTACCGCGGCTTCGCAGGAACAACCCTAAAACAAGCCTCAGCAACAAGTTTCCGCATGGGCACCTACAATATCCTCAAGGACTATGAGAAGAACCACCACATTGAGCAAAACACAATCACAAACTTTGCGAATGGTGCTGTTGCGGGTACGACTACCACGTTGGCGACACAGCCTTTTGATGTTATCAAGACTAGGTCGCAGACTGCAAAGGCAACAACAACGGTGGAAGCTATCGCGGGTATCTGGAAGGATGATGGTATTCGTGCTTTTTGGAGGGGTACGGTTATGAGATTGGGTCGTACTGTGCTAGCTGGAGGAGTGTTGTTCACGACGGCCGAGGCTGTCGCGAAAATCATCAATCCGATTTTTGATCGATAATACGGTTGTCGTACCGAGGTCTTGATTGTCTCTGTGACCTTCTAGTCGCGGTCGGGGAAAATGGAGCGTTCTGGTTCCCTGATTTGTTGTGGCGTCCATAATGTTCTGATCTTGGAATACGAATCAAGCCCCTTCTTCCCAGCATATCTTCCCTTGTACCATTTGGAAGCAAAAGAAGAGATCTGGCGGGTGTGCCCTTCCCAAAGCGTCGGTCAGCTTTAAGGGAAGCGACAAGTGAAAGTCGTCAACAGAGCTCTGCATCTGCAGAATCTCTCAATGCTTTACTGCTTTCTTCATTTGATGTAGCTTCTTTCTTAATGCTGTGGCAGTGGTGTGTTGTGAGAGGACTGCTCGCTTGCTACAGCAGTCCACGACCGTTGAACCAAATCAGCCCACTCTTTCTTTGACTCGGTCAAGATCGGTAGTATGGCGTGCACAAGTCGCTTTCCAGCATCCGCTGCCCACCATCGGTCCCGGAGGAGGTGGGTGATGATGCCGTAGTGTGCGAGTATCGCCAAGGCCATGGGGTCTCTTGTCTCGATGAGACTTACATAGTCATCGTTCAATGTCACTGGCCATGTCATGATGCCGGACATTATGCCGCCTGAACAGTAGGACCCCATGGCTTGTAAAAGGTCGGATATGGCGTTGGAGTGGAACTGGCTATCCACACTATTCGCCGCGTCAACTCGCAGAATAACAAGTACAGAATGCACTATGCTTCAGAGTGTCAGCCCATAATCTTCAGTGATTGCTCGTATGTTCGCCTATATACGGAACCAATCTTACCTGCACATTTCGGGAAGCGGTACACCTGTACCGTTACCAGATTCTAGTCCTGGCGTGTGCGGATTAAACAGAGTTCCAAAGCTCGATAATCGTAGGAGATCGCTGTAATCTCTATGCACCAAGCCAACACCAGCAATAAATTGACGTAACTCAAGAATATCGACCAGAGCATCGGATAGCTGATGACCATGTTGCCAGTGAGATTGTGCCAACGAAAAGACCATGATAAGTATAGAGCACGCAAATATCGCTTCGCAGTTACTAGAGTCGAGGGAGCCCAGGGCGAGCTGGAAGCCCGTAAGAGCTTGGTTTTCATAATCCAAAGCAGCCCAATCCCATATCGGATCTTCGAAAGATAGTTGACGAGCGGATAATGCTAGCAATGCATTCAAGAGATACTCATGCGATAGAGCCAGTTCCGGAACGACGACTTGCCATAGATGAGTTTCATCGGAATGTTGTCTCAGCGATTTGAATGCTTTCGTTGACCAATTGTGCATTAATCTGAGCTCCAACATCCTTGTTTCTGCGGATCCGGCGGTAGAGGAAGGCATATGTCCCGTTTGACCAGAAGGTGATGCATTTAAGCTTGTTGCGTTGTCGTCGCTGGGAGCAATGAAGCTGCATGTGATCTCACGTTTGAGGCAATATCCACAACTAGGCGTAGCTTCGTCGCACTGTCAAGCAGAAATCAGCAAAATATTTCCTGCTAGATTCAAAGGAGATGCATCGATTGATATATTTGGCGATCACATGATGTGTATTTGTCTAGCGTGTATGCTGACCTTGACGTGACGCTGCTTGCATTGGATGCATCCTCGACGAGATTTTGTGTGCGACCTGCGCTGCGGCATCGACGTTACCAAAAGCAATTGTGTTCGAGTATCTGGCTGTACGTATAGAACACGAAGGGTCTCTGTCGAAGAGATACCCCATGTAGGGCTTGTCTCGGCCCACGGAAGTTGCCTGAGCCAATCAGATCATGGAGGCTCTATGAGCCTCTATAACAGGCGTGAAACATTAGTGCAAAAGCGAAAAGGAACTGGTCAGACATCATGAAGCGATGCCCTTGTACTAGCTACCATTTGGTGAGCAGAGCTATGTTCGGGTGAACAATTTTTAGGTATGCTGCCAAGACGGCTCGTGCACAATGAGTGATCTATCACTACTTCGTTACCTGGTCCATACAACATCGAGTGTATTCTGAGAGAAAAGGAAAGCGGAACGGAACCGTCTGTCATCATACTCCAAAAATCTCATTGTCATCTCCATTGTACAGCATTGGAAAGAGATCGATCTGTATCTGAGTCCATAATTGATGAAGCTTTGACGGAGAGACTTTGAGTATGCCTTTCCAGACTACACCACCACCGCGGCCTCTGCTGGCACTCTTGTGGACCTCGCCTTCTTCTCCGCTTGTGTAGCCAAGTTCCAATGCTTTGACAAAGATTTCCTTCTCGCCATTGGAGCTTCTGGTCCTAGCATAGTATCTCGAGTCTGTGCCTGTGTGTTCAGGAAGGCTAATCATAGGTGGAGGTCCAGCTCGTACGCTCTCCAGTACCTCATCGTCGACAACAAGAACGACATCATCTCGAAGACCGACATACTCTTCGGGATTGTAAAGATTGGCTTTGAAATGCGAGCGGATTTGGTCTGATGATGCGCCGTGTAGTGGCACAGCTTCTAGGTGCAGGGCTGCATCCATTTGCTCGCCGTACGGTTGCTTGAACAGGTGTTTGAAGTACGCTTCCGAGTACCCTCGCAACTTTGCTACCACCGCGCTGTCGTCAACTTCATCGTTTTTGTCATACGTAAGGTATACGTAAAAGCCCCAAGTCTTTTCCGTTGTGCCTGCACAATCTCTCATGAAGGAATCGAACTCCAGCTTCCAGGCATCTCCAGAAGCCATATCGATCGATGAGCTTCGTGACGACCTATTTGTGATTATTTTGGGCAGGATAATTCTCGGAAAGAAGTAGACCGAGAATCGTGTTGTTGTTGTTAGAATCTGGTAGATTAGTCGTGGAAAGGACGAGAGGGTGTTCCCTTCCACGCTTTGGGCCAAGCAAGTGGTTGCCTAATCTGAAGTCTGGCGCTCCAATCTCGCAGTTTCATGTGTGTTCGATGATTCATTCAATACCTGACATTTGTGGAAGAATGAGTCGGCAGCCTTGGTCGCTTCTGACCTTTTCCCATTCCCAAGTGCGCGTGGTTTCAGTCGCGACATGCCGCGCGCTAGGCTCAACTCAGCCTATAAAGTACCCGAGCCGGTATTATCATGGAGGCTACCTTGATGTCCATGGCAGGCGCTCGGCCACAAGATGAACAGAAAAACAGTTGGTCATCGAGTCATTATTATCTGACACCAGCAACAGGGTGGTGTGCAGTGCAGTGTGGTGCAAAAACAACCCCGAGCTTGGCTGCCAAGACATCGGTTGATACGCAAAATACGCAAGATACGCAGATACGCAATACGCATTGTACGCAACACGCATGCACAACGCCTGTCGAGCATGGGGCAACTTTTCCTCACTTCTCACAGGCACTTGCACAGCTCAAGGGCAGGTCACCGATCAACCACGATGAAGTTTCTCATTTGGTTCTGCAACATGATCTGCCAAGCTTATACGCATCACGAAGGTTGACTTGCGTTGAACGGCTAATATACACTGCGCCTCTGCATCTTAGGCTTAGGATAATACTTATAATGGTGTATCCCTCGAAGAATATCTAACAGACACTGATCATCTTTGTTTTCTTGTTTGTGTGTTTACTTGTTACTTGGTACCCTCCTTCCTAGATAGGTACCCTTGATCTCATCCTCAGGACCTTTCAAGCCTTGTGCTATCACAACTTTGCCTACACCACAGTAATGTCAGACTCAGGGACTCAGTATGGCGACTTCAGGTTGTATCGCTATGATCCCAGCATGGCCGCTGCCGTCATCTTCATAATCGCGTTCATTGTGGTTACTGCCTTGCACTTCTACCAAATGATCCGAACAAAGACTTACTTCTTCGTCCCGTTTGTCATTGGCGGGCTCTTCGAAGTCATCGGCTACATCGGAGTAAGTCGACATTCCCCCCAGCAAATATTCAAGTAGCTTATGTCTTGCTTCCAGCGTGCCGTATCGAGCCAGGAAGCTCCGAACTTCAGCATTCCTGCCTACTCCATTCAAGCCATTCTGATCCTCGTCGCACCTGCTCTATTCGCTGCAAGCATATACATGGAACTCGGACGTATCATTCTGCTCACCGACGGCGAACAACACAGCATCATCCCGAAGAAATGGCTCACGAAGATTTTCGTAATTGGCGATGTGATCAGTTTCTGCCTACAAGCGGCAGGAGGAGGTATCATGGCATCGGGTACGCTCCAAGCTCTCGAAAACGGCGAACACATCACCATCGGTGGTCTCGTCATCCAGATCCTCTTCTTTGGCTTTTTCATCATCGTCAGCATCACCTTCAACATTCGCATGAATAGGATACCGACCAGCCGCAGCATGATCCGCTCCAACCCCTGGAAGAAACATCTTTACACTCTTTACGGCGGCAGTGCGCTCATCTTGATCAGATCGGTCTTCCGTCTGATCGAGTATACTCAGGGCAATGATGGATACTTGATCTCGCATGAGTGGTTCTTATACATTTTCGATGCTTGCTTGATGCTTGCGACCATGGTGTTGTTCGCTTGGTTCCACCCGAGTGAGATCTGGGCTATGCTCAACAAAAACGGCGGAAAGATGGTCAGCCACGGCTACAAGATCGAGGCAGCGATTCCTATGATGTGAGAAAGAAGTCGATGTCAGGGAGGTTATGCAGTGTTTCCATCAAACGAGAAGCAGTCTGTACAGCATACATATGTGATCCACTTTCGTCGTCTAGGCTAGCGTATTGTCATATAGATATAAAACAACTCCGCAAGCTTCAACTCACTATGGTCGTTTCTATGTGCTCTCGGGACTAATGACTGCGTTTCTTGCCAAACAGCTCGAAGGTAGTGATCCAAGCAACCCATGCCCATGCTTTGAGAGCAAGCCTGAGTTTATACTTAAAGCAGAGTCGACAAATTGCAAGATTTCTTAACGAACCATCATCCTATCACACCTCAACCTTCGAGCAACAGTCGATTGTTAAAAAATTGGATTGGGTACAATTTGTCCTAAAGAATCAAGACCACGTGTTCCTGCATAACATTATTTACTTCTTTTTAGAGCCTAAGTCATTGAACTTCTCCATCAACGCAATCACTTGGCTTCCCGTCCACTGCTGGTGTTCTGCTAGCCATTGACCTTCGGCAGCGCGCTGTGCTTCAACCAGCTTGCGAGACTTGTCGTACACCGCAGACCGTATGCTCTTCGCAATACCGACGGTTGGGTACGCCCACAAACCAACGAAAGCATGCCCGGGCTTGGTCACGAGACCGGCTAGTCCCTTCCCCAGTCCACTTGCTATGCCGACAGCCCCGGACTTCTTATAATCTTTGTAAGGCTGTATACCAAGACCCGCGATACCATCGAACAGGCCGTATGCGAGAGTTTTACCACCCACAGCAAAACCGCTTCCAGCTCCTGTCACTTTACCGTGGTCTCTTACTTCATCGCCGTAAAGTTTGGGTGCGGTGCGGAATCCTTCAGCCATGGCTAAGGGCATGTCCACAATCATCCCTTTGATGGCTTTTGGTGCCAACCAGCCTAGGCTCTTCGCACCTGCCAATGCTGCTTTGCTTCCTGCGGATGAATCTTTGTCGCGGGATTTTGTTGATGTGACGGTATGTACGCTTGTACTTGATTCTCCCACCTGCTGGGTCCCCATGGGTGTGTCAAGCGCTTTGGATTTGTCCTGTCGTCGTTTCTCGTCGCGGTATGCTTTGATTGGCTCAGTGACCATGCCGGTGAGGCAGCCTCCAATGTCCATCGTAGTTCCCACAAAAGCGGATGTTGGGCCACTCACAGGGTCCCAGCGGACAGGGTCGATAGTCAAAGGTTTCGTTTGGTATCTGGAAGCCGGTCAGCAAATTTCTGATAATGTGAATGGCGATGAAGCTACATCTTGAGATNNCTTTTGCAAACTACTGCGTTGTGATATAGCAATTTCGGCGGCAAGCTTAGATATTTTAACTTGCTTTCGACCAGACTTGACTGTCCAAACTGCTGGTTGGTCAGAGATGAGATCACATTGCATCATCTCGAGAGGAAGATGTCTGTGGAAAGAGTTCACGGCGGCCTGGACTCCCTGCTCGCGATCCATACGCTCAGCAAGAACCTCAGCTGCTAACGATGTCTCTTTCTTCATCAGGAAGCGGATAGACTCAGCTAGCGTGTCCACAGTCATATAACGTGGTGGTAGAGGATCAGGACCAGCACCAGCGTTAGCAACCATATGTCCCCAAAAGGTTGACTAAACGACATCAAGTATCAGTCCTTGTGATTCAATGAGTCAAGCGTTTGACTTANNCTCTCCGAAGAATGGGCACACCAGCGTCGGACATCCGTTGCGCAATGAGCACGCGGTAGTACCTGCACCGCCATGATGCACAACAGCTGCCACACGTGGGAACAACCATTCGTGTGGACAATCACCAATATAATGTATGTCTTCACTCGCTTCGCCATCGAGCTCAGACCATCCTTTCGAGATAATTGCTCTCACACCGGAAGCCCTTACAGCATCGAGAATTATAGACAGCATCTTGGCAGGATTATCGAGGACAATGCTACCAAAACCAATGTACACAGGTGGAGGTCCTGCGGCCAGGAACTTCACGAGACCAGGTTCGGGGTCGTAGGCAGGTGTATCGCGGAAGAAGAACCCGCATACGTCTGGAAGAGCGTAAGTATGATAAAATAGAGTGATCTCACTGTACTTACCAACATATTCTGGCCAGTCTTTGGGCTTAGGCACTAAACCTGGTGAAAAGCAATAGGTGAAGGGGACTTTGAGCATTTGTGTCAATGCTGGGCCATCCCAAAAGTTGATAGGCTCAAGCTCGATGCTCTCTCGCCAATCATTGATCACATCACCCAATCTGTGTCATTGTTAGCCTTGTGGTGTCTTATGAAGGAAGTACATGTCATCAACGACATACCCTTGCCAGGTCATCAGCTCGACCACATGATATGACATGTAGTTGGCCGTTGCATGACTTTCGTCAACGTTGGTCAAATTTGCCAAGGGGTGCGGGAAGGAGCGCGTGCTTGTCCATGGCATCGTAAACATGAGGTGGACAGGGATACCCAGAGCTTGCGCGCAATGTACATGTGCAAAACTTGGAGGGTTTGCAATTATGGCATCCGCAACAAAAGGTTCACCACTGAACTGGTCCGGCAGGACGCATGAGTCCCAACAGCCCGAAAGCATCTCAGCGACCATTTGACGTTTGCGACCAATCTCGCCTGACATGAGTGTCTTCATCGAAGGCATGAGACTAGGATTCTTGACCATGTATGCCATCAGGGATGCCGGATCACCTCCGATAGGATAGAACTCGAGTCCAGCTTGTCGGACGAAGGCGGCAAATATGTCGTGAGTAGCAATTCGGACTCTGTGGCCGTAACGCTGCAACTCATTGCCTAGAGCGATGAAGGGTTGTACATCGCCCCTCGAGCCCACAACTTGAATAACAATGTTGAGCTTGACCGTCCATTTCAGGTTCGATGCAGTACCAAAAACAACTGGCTTTTTGGAATCGTAAGCAGGAGGAGCTGGTTCTGGGTCTTCAGCTGCGGGAGAAGGAAAGCATTTGGAGAAAGCTCGAATGACACTTGAGTTGAAATCAATGTCCACACGTCCATCATCTNNAGAGTTTCGGAGATCAGTATCGTTACTTGATGCTCGTCTAGACATCCGAATACCTCTGATGTGGTAGGGACCTTCTCCTTCGGGTTCTACCGCCTCAGGATCGTGACTAGCGTCGTAGATCTGGTCGTAGCGAGGGGGNGGAAGCAAATCTGATTCAAAGTCCTCACTTAAAGTGTCGTCGGAACCGTTGGATTCATGTCCTTTCATCTTGGTGCCCGTTGTTGTTATTGTATTCCAAAAGAACAGAGTGAAGTGACTGACAATGAGAAGCGTTGCCGTCAGGAGTAGGTAGGTGACCAGAGTTCACAGTGTCCTGAGGGCTCGACGTCTTGACCAAGGCAGCCACTTTTTGCCTGAGGGACGGCTGAAGAATCGATGCGAAGTACAGGCCGACTGATCTCAATGGATAGGACGATGCAGCAAATTTGTGGAGGAAGACGGGAAGGCGCGACCACGAGTTGTTGGCACAAAAAAGATGGAAAGTGTGAGTATGTCTGGGTTCAGACACGACCTTCCAGTTTTGCAACATTTTTATGTCTATCTTGCAGCTTGCTCCGCCTCGACCGTAGGCTCCTACATTACGAGTTCTCGAGTCGCAGTAGCATATCGATGTACATTGCGGGTACCCACAAGCTGTTAGCACGGCCCCTTAGAGGTCCTTAAGAGGTTGCCTAGCGTATTTGCGTATTGCTCGTAGCCACATTTCATTGGCTCTTCGAGTAGGTGGAGAATTTGAAGCTGATTCCTTCGGCCAAGCGAGCAACGAGCTCATCGCTGGAGGTGGTCGAAGCACAGGTCACGTGCACTTCAGACACCACAGTTTGTCGCCAGCCTGCACTTTCTCTTCTGGTCTTGCACTACAATGGAAATATTTCGAGATGAACAATTTTGTTTCTCGCAGGCTCGGCTCTGAAATTGGGACAGGCCGCCATCGCTTGCGATTAGCATTCAAGCTAGTGAATGGTTGGTGTCAAAATTTCTCATTGAATACGCAATTACGCATCAGGCTCTCAGCATCGGCGGGCCTGTTAAACTTTCAAGATGCTCGGCCTGTATAACAGCTAGGTCTTGTAGTCAAAGCACCAGTCCAGACCACCTTAAAAGACAAGGTGTGGGTTGTAACTGGTCCAAGATCGTATTGCGTACCGATATACAGCCGTCAACCAGAGGCCAAACTGTGCTCAGTGTGTTGAATCGCAACACTGCGCTCTTCTCCTACAAAGATATTAAGCAATCATCTTTCTTCAAAATCCACCGTGCATACGCTTGATGCGTTTCCGTACAACCTTGAGTTCAGATGTCACATCACCAATGCGGCAACATATATACCCAGGTCTACGAGATACTTATCACAGGTCAGTCAACTTCCTTCCTCTTCCGTCAAATCATCATGTGGCGCCACTTCTCTTTACTACTACTTCTACTCTGCTTCCGAGCTACTGGGGTGTATGGTGATTTAGTCTCCGCCCAAGCAAAGAATGGCACCATTCATCTCCATTCTGATGGTACTCAACCCGCTCATTTTATCATTGACCATGGTCATGATGTCAACGGGTTTACTACTTTCCACGTCGTAAGGGCTTCTGGGAATACCTCTGCCTTTAGTATTGCGCATAGCGAGTCAAGAGCACTACTCGACCACTCGCAGGTGAGTTGCACAGGGCTGCTACCAGTTCACCACTCAAGCTGACGAAGCATAGNNACTGATGGTCCCATTGCGATGGCTGCTGCTCAGAGCACTTTCAGGGTGCAACACTATGATATTTTTGCATCCAACATCACTCACACAGACCGCTTGTTACAGGGCGGAGTCAGATGGCAGATGCTCACTCTCGCTTCAGCAGGCGACCTTACTCTTTCGGATGTGGGTATGATTCCTTCTTACTATACGACTAAACCTCAAGGCTTTTTCGAGTGTTCAAATGCAAACTGGACCAACGTGTGGGACACTGGCGCGCGAACACTAGCATTGAGCATGATCGCTGCTGAATCCGTCCCGGAGTTTTGGCAGATACTACCCCAAGGGGCCCTCGTCGAGAGCGCGGCACCTCAGCCTTTTGCTGGTCTACAGGCGCAATCACTGACTTCTTACGAGATAGAATTTGATGTCAGACCTGTCGTCGGTGGCTTCAGCTTCAAAGTCCTGAGCGATACACTGGGAGATGGCATCTATATATGGCTCGATATGACCAACTCTACTGTGCAGGCCTTCAGTGGGACAACAGAGGACGGGACACTCCTCGCGACCGCCAACTTGAACAAGACAAGTTGCTCCATAGGATCTTGGCACCACGTCTCTGCTTCCGTCAATCTCTTGAGCATAGTCGTCTCTCTCGATGGCAAACCAGTGCTCTCTTTCTCCCAAGCTTTCAAGTTCTATGGCTCCTTTGGGATCGGTGCCGCAAATGGTCAATCCGCTATTTTCACCAACATGACCGTCACCTCGGCTGGTACTCAAATCTACGCTTCGCCTTTGACCTCTAATTCGGTTCTGGAGGATTTCTTGGTGGGCACCAATCCTCTTAATGCCATTGTCGATGGCGCACGTCGTGACAGGATTGCATACGCAGGTGATCTGGATGTTGCTGCTCGGACGGTCGCCACGAGTAGCCATGCCCTCGAATATGTCAACGACACTCTTCGTCTCTTGAGTTCTAATCAAATGACCGCGGGATATTTCGTACCCACTGTGAAGATACAACAATCTCCGAGACAAGGACTTATCGACATCAATCAAACAGGCTTAATCGGATATAGTTTCAATCTTCTAAGTGCAATGGGTGAATACTACATGGTCTCTGGAGATGTTGCAGCTGCCAGAGCATATGCACCAGCTGCTTCTCGCATGCTCGATTGGGCAGCATCGCAGACTCTGGACAGCGGTCTTTTCAATCTCACCGATATCAGTTTTGGAGGCGACTGGAACTACTATGACCCCTCTCAGTCAGGCATAGTTGCGAAGTTCAATGCGGTTTATGCGCTTGCTTTACAGGAGGTCATGCCTATGCTCGCTGCAGCTGGTATGAAGATATCAGTCTACGACAAGACTCTCAGCATCCTTCGACAGTCTATCGATCGGCAACTCTTCAGTGATGTGTTGGGTGGGTATCTTGTCTCGGAAGCTCAACCCCAAGGCATTGCTCAAGATGCAAACGCCATGGCTATATTGGCCAATGTCCCTCAGGGCAACCACACAAGGCTCCAGATCTCACGCTCCATGGCTCGACTTCTGTTCGTGGATCATGGTGCCCTCCCCTTTNCCAATGGAACAACCGGTTTCTCAAAACTTATCAGCCCTTACGCGTCGTCGTATCATCTACGTGCTGCGTTCGCTGCACAAGACGCCGAGTCTGCTGCTTATCTGCTAGACCATACTTGGGTACCCATGACACTGCAAAGTAATGCCAATTACAGCGGCTGCTTCTGGGAGACTTTGACTCTAGATGGTGGTCCTGGGTTGGGTGATGCCACATCTCTGTGTCATGCATGGTCATCAGGTCCGACCGCAGAGCTGACCAGACACGTACTTGGCATCCAGGCAGTAGCACCAGCATACCGTGAGTGGAGTGTTATGCCCCAGTCTCTTGGCTTGAAGTGGGCTAGAGGATCCCAACCTACACCTTATGGCAGTATCACTGTGGATTGGCTTTATGACGACAATGAGCTCCTCACCATGAGTGTCTTCTCGCCTTCTGGTACCAATGGAACCATTAGTCTGCCCTTGCCGCTCAGGCAGTCAAATGCTACTGGCACAATCGTCACACTGGCAAATGGACAGCTAGTGTCTGGATCAACTTTCGAGATAATCGGTGGTGAAGCATTTGAACTCACGCAGTATCTCGTTTGATCGACCTAGTTGTCGAAGTGAGGTTGGGGTTTAAGCCTGCAAATTTACGCGCTGGGCTTAGGCTTCAATATTGCCTGTCTCGGCTTTTCGTTGCATGCGCACAGTTTTGATGTCGAGAGCAATCAACAGGCACCTAGAAATAGCGTGTATGTTAATCCGTAGTCCATCTCAATGCAGAATTCGACGCTGATCAGTCGTGCAAATGGGGTCAAAGTAACAGATCGCTGCTTCCAGGATATCCGTGCAGGTTTTCGAAATCCCTTGTGTGTCACTGTGATGGTATTTAGCACAAGAGGAAGAAGGCTCTGGAAGCGTCGAGCGAAGCGCTGCATGATTGGGCTGCAGATGCGCCCTCGACAAGGCGGAGTGCATGCATGAGGGCCGAGGCTGTGGCATCCTTATCATAGCATATCAGCACCCAGTACGCCGCGAGACTTTTCAGCGACCTTTATTCCACCTATCTAAACATATATACCACCACCTGATCACAAAATGGCCGAGGTCTTTGGAGCTGTCGCATCTGGCATAGGGATCGCAGGCGTTGCTGCACAGGCTCTCGACGGTATCCGGAGATGGAAGGCATTTTGCAACGACGTTCGCGATGCTCCCGAAGAGATCAAATACTTGACCGACGAGCTGGAGATTTTGCTGGGGACGATAGCCAGTATTGAGGCTCAGATCCAACGAAACTCTGCGATCTGTCGAAACATAGATCCGGCGCCAGCATTGCGCTTTGTAACTCAAAGCGTGACATCCCTGAACGATATCATTGCAAAATTCAATAAGGAGATCGCGCGGAAAAGGACGCTGGGCTCGATGAAGATGGCGTGGAAGAAGAAAGTCCTTGAGTCATACTTGATGAAGATAGAGAGGTCAAAGACTTCGCTGGGGCTCGCAGTATCTGCACATTCGACGTGAGCGGTACACACTACTTCTTAGGGGTCACTACTAATAATTTTTAGCGAGCTATATCTACAAACCATCGTGGGGACTGACACAAAAACCGATCAAGTGAACATGAACATGTCGACATTAGCAATCCCTAGGCAGACCCGTCTAATGCCAAGGCTCGGCCCTCAAACAATTGACGCTCTGCAGATTGTAAGTAGTCAACAGCTTGGTGTCGACGAAGACGACCGCTGGAGAAGTATCAGGAAGAGGTCTAAATCCTCAAACATGTCCCCAATCCTATCGTTTTCGCTAGTGCTACCCTCCTGGCTCGCGCAACACTCATTGAAGATAAGTTTATGCCGAGCAGCTCAAAGCTGGACCTTGAGATTAAGGCCCTACCGGGAGGTTTCGCAAGACTGCTGTATCTGGAAAGCCATTTCGGACGGGGACTTCGACTGGTTCCGGGATCTCATCGAGTCAGGACAAGCAACAGTGTTTGATCGATGCGACTACGAGGGAACGCTTCTACACGTATGTTCCAGGCGAGTGGTATTATGTTTGTGATCTGTTGACCTCAGTATAGGCACTTGGTGTACGCGCGTGTNNAAATATGATCTAAAGACCTTCTCGCACATCGCTTCTTACCTGATCAATCGGGGCGCTGATGTCAATGAACCCAACAACTATGGCAGGTGAGTTGGGCGAATGATTAGACGATTACGAGGAACTGCTGAGCGAGCAATTGTACCTCAGTCTAGCAATACACGAATTCTGCGACGACATTTCTGGACCACTAGGATTGCATACCGACCTCCAAAACAATCACGTTCTCCAAATACTCGGTGACGATCTCAATATGGACGCGGACTTGTTCTGGAAGGCATTTCAGAGGACTTCCATTCTTACTAGTCCACCCCTTGAAGAAGAACTTGGACGTCATTTCCCGTTGGACACTCTAGATTTTCATGCGATGACAACGACAGAACGTTTATGGAAGATTCGAAACTCCCCAGATATTTTTCTACCACGAGAAGTAGCGTTCTATTGCGGCTTCGAAAGCATCAAGATTGCTTATCTAATGTCGACTGACGACACGAAGCGCGATCTCTTACGTGTAGCTCTAGACAAGTGGGGGTATAGTTTGGGAAACGGAGATGCCATGAGCAAGGAGTGGGAGAGGACGATCCGAGAATTATCCACCTTGGGAGCTAGTTTCGAACTGCTAGGCAGCGGCGAGGGCAAGAAAAAGAAATTGAAGTTAATGGAAGCAATACACGAAGTGACACGTCACTTCGTGGCGCCATATTGCGAAGGCAAGCAGGAAAACAGGCATATCAGCCAGCACGACGCTCGAGATGTTGTTGACGGATTTGAGACTTTCATCTCGAAGACGGAGCATCTTGGCATCAGGCTTGGACCGAGTCGGTCTTGCAGAAGGTTTGAGTTCTGGTACGACTATTCATGCGAGGACCCGAAAAATCCCTGGCAGCTGTTGCATGAATTCAGCCTATGTTATGACGATGATTTGTCGTCCTGGGTAATGTGGGACTCAATGTATGAAATCTTTTGTGGCGAGTTCTGGGAACTGTCAGAGCACCCAGAAAGAACATTGCCAGGTAGTTGGGTTGATTAAAGCTATATTAATTAACTCAGCGAATAGATATGCGGCGAAAGCTACCACTACGAGGATGTCTCCGAGATTAATCACGCATTGACTGAGACATCAAAATTGTTTCTTGTATTCAAGGTAGCATATAGGAGACGCTCTCTCATTGATGCCATGCACACTGGTCATTGAGTGCGAGTGTTCTTTAGGAGCAGCGTTCGATCTTATGCTAAACTGAATTGATCAGACGAGTAACACTCGTTGGCCCAACGACTCCATAGCCGAAGCCCAGTCCCATGAACCAGATCTGTTTTCGTCGCGTGAAGCCCAGCATTTCTGCATGATCTGTAGAGTAGTTCCGGTGTTGCCGAAAGCATGTGCCTCTTCGCCAAGATCTTGAATCAGACTCTGGAAATATGTCTGAGTTGGCACATCCTCAGCCATACTACCGGCGATGCATATTGGCCAAATGAGATTTCGCAAAGCTTGGGCATCACAGATGAATTGCAATTCTTGTAGAGCATTCATCGTGTCGTTGACACTACTTCGAACATCATCGAGCTTCGGATCGGCTCCCGAGATGATAGTATTGAGATAGACTTGAGCAGCGTATGCGAAGACTAGGGTTATTGCTCGCTTGATGGCTTCTTGTTGAACACCAGGATTGGTAAGAACCAGGTAAGCACCCATGGTACCGAGGTGAGAAATGCCTAGGGAGGCGAAAGATTCGTTAATCTCTGCGCGGAGGCGAGCGATCCCGTCACCTAAGCGTCTTCGAATGGGATCGGCTTTTTCGAACAGTTTCCAAAAGCTTAGACTGCTAGTGGAGACCGCATCGTCTTTCCAAGCACCGAGCGCTGCAATGTCACTTATGGCCAAGGCAACCCATGGCTGGCAGGGTATGATGTTCGCTAGATCAATTTTCCCTTGGAGCAGACGAACAGCTTCTGAATGAAGACGAGGAGCATCGCTTGTAGAAGCACAAGACAGTATGTCAAACCATAACACAGCTCCCACGAGGAAGTGTTCCGCGTTATCTTCCAAACTATGAGACTCGAGTCCGCTGGAGGTGACTGGCGTGAGATCCCCGGGCGAGCTGCCAGTATCTGTAGCGTTCACGACTGGCATACCGCGAACTACTGTAGCCAAGGCATCAAGATGAACCTGCCATTGGCTTGTCCCGCCACGAAACAGTTCAAAGCTGATGAATTGTACGCCACAAGCAAGAATCTGCAATCTTCTCTTTCTGCCTGGTTGCACCTCATCAGAGACTTCGTAGCTGCTCTGCAAGAATATCTGGAGCTCTTGCAGAGCACGATTGTGATGCTCGTTGAGTTCACTCAAGGTATCATGATAACGATTCCCTCGAGCGGTACGAGCAAGTAGCGAGTGCTGGTGTAATGCTCCTAGACTGAGAGCCGCATGATATAGTGGTTTTGTCTCCGTCAGCAGCCATAACAGCCAACCTCGACCACCATTGTGTATAGATGGAGAGTAGAATCGGAACTGAAGCGCGAAGACATGATCCAAGTAGTGCATCAACAACTCTGCTTCTCTATGAAACCCGAAGCGGAAGTAGGTAGTCGCGCTTGGAGTCGGTGCTATCGAGGGCGTTCGGCTTGAAGTTTGCTCGAGGCTTCGGGGTTGGAAATCTTCCTCTGACAGCTCAAGGTGTAGTTCTGAGGTCTCGGGTGGAGCATCAGCCCAATCTTGCTGCGCATCGTAAGTCCCTGCTGATGCGCTGTTGATGCCTGACAGTCGTGGTTGCCTTGGACTACCATCTTCTGATTGTACTCGGGACGCCTCCCTCTTGCGTTTGTTGTTCTTCTTGACAGCATCTTTGATCTTCTTAAGTTCAGCCTGCCGAGTCTCTACAGTGTTCATCCATTCTGGTCGGTCGTCAAAGCCATGGCATGTGATGTTGCGTAAATTGCACGCATCGCACGTTGGCTTATTTCCATCGCATTTTTTNCGTCGTAGTGTACATGTCCAGCAGCATTTAGCATTTCGACGCGTACCGATACTACGAGCTGTTGACATGGAGAGCTTCCATGAACTTCGATCTGATGGCGATGATCGCCTGACCGTTCGTTATCTGATGGAACGTGGATGGAAGTGGAGGTTGAGAGAGTCATCACGGCAAGCTGGCAACTGCTACCGAGCACGTCTACCGAGGTTCAGCCATGACCGGCATGCTTAGACGAGCCTTGGATCCTTCTCAAACTTGCATACCCCTTTCCATCTCCATTAATATTTTACTGCCTCCGCATGAGATCCGGATAGGGGCGGTTGTGGCTGCAGTATGCCGTGTGTATCGTTGTTCCAACAAGTTGCTGCTCTCGCGCCACATCCACCATGGCAACCATCTCAAAGACTCTCGGGGATCCATGTTGACTGCATCCAGCTTGTTGGAACTCCTGCGTCTTGCTTGCCAAGTGAGACAAAATGCAGCAACTCGTTGCATTATCTGAATTCGATGACATTTCTCCCTGACCGGAGATGAGGATACAACGTCCCATCGGTCTTAGCATCCTTCGTGGACCGCAAAATCAAGGAACACGAAATTGATCAAACGAGCTCGCAGTCTACAAACCTTTTCACGATGAACTCGTCTCATGGATTCACGACTGAGAATGCAAATCAATGCCGGAAAATCAGAGATGAATTTGAATTCTCAGTTGCAAGACAGATCTGGAGCTTGGTGTCTCATCAAGAATGTCCAATTGCGCTGAGGATTTTATGTATCATTCATGGGCTTCTGCATGCTGGGTAGACGTTGCGCGTACCCTTGTTAATGCCTTGGTACGCAATCGTTCTTTCTTGTCTGCAGCTACGCTTCACTCCTCCTGGAAAGTGCATCTCGTAACTCTATGCTCTGTCTCCGCCATGAGCTATTTTGGTAGGTGAAGGGCATTATAAGTAGAGGGCTCTATCATCACACTTCGGGCATATTCTCTCAGCAAGCACATCTCCTCATTCCAGACACCAGACCATAGACCACGTTCCTTACCATGCTTTTCTCAAGCCTTCCACTCCTTTTCGCAGCCACTGCGCTTGCAAGCCCACTTCATCAACACAGTAGTCTCTATAAGCGTGCCTGCGCTACCGGTCCTGATACTGCAGCCGATTTCGTCAATTACGCTGGATACTCAGACCCAGCTTTGAACGCAGCCACTCCTCCTGGCTACACCAACACCTTTACCAATCTCCAAGCTAGCAGCAATGCAGATGGCTATGGCGGCTTCATCACTCTCCCCAGCTACAACGTAACTACCTGTGCAGCTCAATGCACATCCCGCGCCAACTGCCACGCTTTCAACATTTTCTACGAGCGTACACCAGTTGCCGCTCCCTCCAACTGCACCAGCAGCGCCACCATCAAATGCGTATTCTGGAACGGCGCCGTCAACACCGCCAATGCCAAAAACACCGGCTCCACCCAGAACAACTTCCAAATCGTCATCGCAGGATCAAATGGCTATGTCGCTTCTGCAATCTCTCCTTCTGCTGGTTACGCAATGCCTATCTACCTCAACAACAACGCTGTCCAAGCACCTTTAGACTGCAACGGCAAAGACACCTATCTCGGGTTCCAGACTTTCAACACTAGTTTTGATGCAAGCAGATGTGCAAAGGCTTGTTCTGCTCAAGCTGCGTATGCAATTGCTCATCCGCCTAGCGATGGCAGTAAGCCCAAGACCTGCCAGTTCTTTAACACGTATGTGGAGAGCAAGAATGGGGTTGCGCAGGACCAGAAGTGTGTGTTGTATAGCCAGACTTGGGGCAAGAGTGTTGCGTCTAACACTGGATATGCGTATGGCCAGGATGTTTATACGATGGGTATGTCTTATGCTTACTCCAATGCTACGGATGCTGGTGTTTGTGTCAAGGCTTGATTGTTTTTATAATCAGAACAGAGGAGATATGAACATGGATGGTACATGATGGATTTCCCTGAACAAAGAATACATGATAAGCAGGACAGCTGAGTCATAGGGATCAATGATTATGAAATTTTAAATCGGTGTATTTACAATTGCATGTTTGGTTATCTGACTAAAATCTGATTCAATGTCTTTACATGCACATAAATAGCCTCTTGAACCTTGAAAGGTCTGGCAAGATCGTGAGCCGAGATTCGTTCAGTGTGAACAAAGGGCATTATGTCGTCCCATATTGTTCAGACATCTGACTTTGACGCTTACATATGCACGCGTTCTTCTCTCGTTCGTGCTCGCGGACATGATGCAGCAGGGATGAAGACAATTAGTATCAACCACACGATGGGCGAGGGAAATCTCGACAAGATCTCTTGTTGCATTATCTCTGGCTTCATATGTGTAGTTGTGAGAGGACTGAATGATATGAGACATTTCATATTGTTATCTCGAGCTTCATGATATACAACCCTCTCAGGTGGAAAAGATAGAGGCAGTCCATTGGAATGCAGATCTAAGCAAGTCTCAAGGCTCAAATGCTTTCGGATACAGTCTTCCGTGAAGGGCTTTGACTCCAGGCTCTTGCACATCATACACATCATTTTTGTGCAGCTCGGCCCAGTCCTTGGGCAGACGCATATATGGTGGCACGCGATATTGATCAGCGCAAGCTCCCAGGTTGCAACGAAGATCGCACTTGCCATAAAGTCGGCAATAGCAGTCGGCGGCACTGGGACATGCTTGCTTGTTCAATTCATCCAAGTCTACAAGGCCATCTTGTTGCGGAATGAACAAAATGTGCCAAAGGTACGACAGCACTCGTCCAGCGATGCGGTCGTCACGGGGAGCAGCATTGGAATTTCTCGACATGCCGTAGCTGCCATCGAGGAGCCACTGTCGTATAGCAACATACTCTTCGCGCGAGTGTCGGTGTATTGATTCTCTGGAAACGACAAATTGGGCGCAACATTGTGCACGCAGTGAATCACTTCTTCCAAGTTTCAATCCCTTGCTCTTTCCATGCTTAAGGTACTCGTCTCCACCAAACAAGACGGCGAATGCTTGCGGCATAGCAGCGTCCGAAACAGATCTTGCACTCCAGGGTTGCAGTACAGAGTTGATGGTGTTTTCAAGACTGCCCTGCGGCGGACCAAAGTCTTTGTCGCATGTGCCCGCATTCCAATCGCATCGAAGGTTGTGATAGCCAGTAGGTGCGAGTGCAGAGGGNACGTTCAGAGCAGCCAAGCTGGCTGCATTGTCGTACAACGGGTCGTCATTGTGCCATTGGAACCTGCTGCCGTGAACGAAGACTGCACCAGCTTGCGGAATCGAGTCGTAGTTGTCGATCAGGAAGGTGAGATAGGTAATGGACTCGTGGCCTCGGTTGGCAGGCACGCGAAGGTTCTTAACGGTCGGATCTGAAGGCGCATCGACCTCGTAAACACAAAGGTGGTACTTGGATGAGAGACGGTCTAACCACTCGATATCACCATCAGCGGCGACGTGCGAAACGACTAGAGCAGGCTTGGAGGCATGCTCAAGACCAGGACATGTGCCTCGAGCTTCAGGGAGACTTTTGGCCGTTGTTCTGTAGCGTATCGTGGTCCATGAGAAGATTTTTGGTGCAGATGGCCGCAGGAGCGAGACGAAGAAGTAGATGATTAGACACAAGAAGGCCAGTTGCAACAGCGACTTGCGCGACCTTCGTAACATGTCGACGCAGCTGTCTTTGCTCTCCTCATCCTGCCTCCATGGAGCTTGGTCGCTTGCTGCAAGCTGACATTCTCCATCTTCATCGACCCGCACGAGCCGTTCCGCATCTTCTGCTGCACTGCCACACCCCTTCAGCCACAAAGCTTAGTGCTCGCATCTAGACCTTTGAATTTATATTGCACACCGCTCCAACTCCTTGTCAATTGACTGGTCTTCAATCTTCATGTCTAGTGAACAGAAGCGAAGCCATGTCTACCGCCTGTGCTGCAGCAAGACTCGATCGGGAATGCTCGGTCATAAGGCTGGGTGCCCAAAAGTCGTTCCGGTCGTGCCTAAGTTTTAACTTTACCCACACACTTCCTTGATCTGAATGATCCACCGAGTCGCAAGCATCGAAACTTATGCTGCAATCAAGTCACGGGGCTCTAGCGATGCTGACGTCTTGCAGGCTATATCAGTAGGTAGTCTAAAGAAGCCCTTCTGACCACGCGACATTGCATTGCTGTCCCGACTTGTTGTCGACAAGCTTGTAAGGCGGCACGCCTGGTGGTCGTCGAGAGAACCACGAAGAGATAAATGAGAGACCAGCAACGGCATCGCTGCTCATACTCGGTGACTTGACAAACTTGTCACCTAAGGCGCGGAATACATACACGGACGTCTCAACATTCCAGCATGTCGTGCAATGGTGGAACTCGATGTGTAATCATGTTCAATAATCATGCTGTCCAAGTCGCCAAGTCGGAAGCAGGCGGACTACCTTTGTGATATGCCTGCCTTGTTACAACATCAACACGACTCGCATATGTCCAAGTTCCTCATGAGGGGTAATGGTAGAAATGAACCAACGAATCGTGCAGCATGTACTGGTCAACCGCTACATATATCCATGCACTCGAAGATGCAAAGGTGATAGCCGGGGAAAATGCATGTGATAAGCTCGGCAGGCTCTGGGATTGATGTGTGTGGATCTACGAACAAGATGAAGATCAGCCGTATTGATTTGAGATTTGTTACGCATTTTGCGAAGCAGACTTTGGGACCAAGTGAAACACGAGCAACCAGGACAAGCAGAACAGCGACAGTCGATACACCAACAATCGCAAGTGGCTTTTTTCGTCTGTCTTTGTTCACTCATGGCCGTTTTAAGTTGGCACGCTCCATCTTGCAACCAAACAAACCGGCCAAGGGTCCGTCCACGTCATTGATAGAGCGGCCTGGGCGCTGACGTACAGACAGTCTCTCCACACAATTCCATCATTACGCGACCCTTTCCCTCATACCGCTCCACCTTTGCATCTTTGCCCATTTTTCTTGTCTTCTGCTTCCTGTGAGATACCCCCGATACCCTCCTGCAATTGAATGGTCACCATGGCTTCGTACACACAATCACCGCCGCAGAATGGCTACTACGAGTCTGTGCCGCAGCCACCTGAGCCCCTCCAGAACAGGGGCTACGGCAATGCTTCGCAACACGATTTTGCCATCGGTAAGTCACCCTGATATGTTTTGTTCGAGTCACCGGATATGCTGACTTGCGCAGAGGGCGAGAAACCCATCACAGTGGGAGGCACTGTTGGTAACCCAACCCCTATTGTCCTTGAGGATGGAGGCATCAATCGTTCAGCCTCTACCGCCTCGACTGCCGCATACCAAGACATGACTCCGTCGCGCGGTGGTACTCTCAAGAAAAAGACCAGCGTCAGCCGCAAGTCTAGTCTCGGTCGCAGCGGTAGTCGCAGAAGTCGCGCTGGAAGCATTGCTGGTGTTGGTACTCCAGGTGCTCGCGAAGACTACAACAGTGCCTTGTCCACTCCTATTCCTACCCATGGCAGCCCCACTGATATTCTTGCAAACCGCTTCCAGGGTATGTTTTATCGCTTCGATTTGGGTTTCCCCGATTTTAACTTGTCTTGCANNGCGTGGCGCACATTGTTGAAGTCCTTGATCACATACTTCCGTGAGATTCAATCCAGCTACGAGACGCGCAGCAAGGCCTTGATCAAGGTTTCGAATGTCTTGTCCAATTTCACTCACCCTTCCGTTTTCATTACCGATGGTGGCCTTGCAGATGCCTCGCGCATTCTTGGTGACTACCACAAGCACTCAGTTGCCGAATCAAACAAATCGCGCGATATCGAGCAGGATGTCATTGGCGCTTTGACTGATCTCCGAAGCGATCTGGCCCACAAGATCAAGGAGATCAAAAGTCTTAACGGCGATTTTAAGAACTCCGTCGACAAGGAAAGGGAAGGGACACGCAAGGCTGTTGATGCGCTTGCCGAAGCCTTGCAACACGCAGATCATGGTGACAGCAGCAAGAGTGATCCTTTCATCATTCGTCTCGGAGTAGACCGCCAGGTTGAGAGGCAGATTGATGAGGAGAACTACCTGCATCGTGCATACCTCAACCTCGAGAGCTCAGGCCGTGAACTCGAGTCCATCGTTGTGGGTGAGATTCAGAAGGCTTACAACGCCATGGCCAGCATCCTCAAGCGTGAGGGTGATGATGCGTACAACACCGTGGAGCAGCTCCGTGGCGGCCCCATTGCCATGCCCAAGGACCTCGAGTGGTCGCGCTTCGTCGAGACCGATCCCCACTTTGTTAACCCTAGACTGCCTCTTCGCCGCATTGAGGATATTGACTACCCTGGAAAGCACGATCCAGCGGCTGCTGAGGTCAGAGCTGGCATGCTCGAGCGCAAGAGCAAGTACCTCAAAAGCTACACCCCTGGCTGGTATGTCTTGTCGCCAACTCACTTGCATGAGTTCAAGTCGGCCGACAAGATCTACTCGCAACCTCCTGTTATGTCACTTTATCTCCCTGACCAGAAGCTGGGTTCTCACTCTGAGCCCGGATCCTCGTCGCACAAGTTCATGCTCAAGGGTCGCCAGAGCGGCGGTATGCACCGTGGTCATTCGTGGGTTTTCCGCGCCGAGTCATACGACACTATGATGGCTTGGTATGAGGCCATCAAAATCTTGACTGAGAAGACTGGTGAAGAGCGTGACGCCTTTGTGCGCCAGCATGTGCGCAGCATCAGCCAGAACAGCCACCGCAATAGCATCAGCAGTGATGGTCTAGAGGAAGATGAGGCTGACCAGGTTCCCTACTCGGCTCAATCCAGCGTCGTCAACCAACCCATCGGCGAGACTCGTCTCCAGCGCCCAGTCCCAGGTGAGTATGTGCTGTCCCTTTCATAGCGTTGATCTATGTTGCACAGAACCATAAACTGACACGGCATGAAAANNGGCGGACGCTTCCCGTCTGATCTCCAGATCCCTCGCACTATCGCCGCATCGCCTGACAGTGAGTCTGATGAGGCCGACCACAACACCATTCCTGGTGTGACTGCCCTCCCCGGTGTAGCAGTCGTTGGACCAGCTCGCTACGAGGACCCTTATCGCCTTCAAGGTGTTGCAACCCACGAGCAACCTGCATTCACCTCTGCCGCTCCTGGCTCTGTCGCTCATGCCAGAGAGACTTTGCCTCTCAGACAGGAAAATTCTACACCTGAGTCTTATCAGCCCAATCCTGTTGATAACTTCAATACCACTTCTGTTCCTCAGAACAACGTGGTTCAGCCAACTCAGACGTTCGTCTTGCCTGTCCAACATGCAGCTCCAGCTCACCAGCTCCAGCCCGATGTTCCCGTCAGCCCTATCGAGCAGCCACAATCTCTAGCTCCTGCTGCTAAGCCAATGAGACAAAACACCAACTACAGCGACTGGATGGCTCCTGCAGCCGCAGGAGTCGGTGCAGGCGTCTTGGGTACTGAAGCCTACCGCCACCAACATAACAAGGACCAGCCTTCTTCCAATGCCATTTCTGAAGAACAGCAGACCCCTTACGTCGACGAGCGTCCTCGTGATCTGACTGGTGGTCACACCACCATGCCCACCACTAACGAAGCTGCGACTACCAACCCTTCGGCTTTTGCAAACAATAATGGCATTTCAGGCGCCACATACACCGGCACTGCTCCCTTTCCTGTCTTGATTCCCAGCTCTTCCAACGTTCCTCAATCTCCTGAATTTGTTCGTTACGCCCCATCCACTTATGGCGGCGAGACTCCCGGTGCTCAGAGCTCTGACGGTCTTGGTGGCCTCGAAAGCGAGGGTGCACACGAAACTGGCAATTTCTTTCCCAAAGTCGTTAGACACGACACCGACATGAGCGTGAGCAAGCTTCACGTTCCTGGCGAGTTCCCTCCTGCCACTCCTGGTTTCATGCCTACTGAGAACCAGCCTGAGAGAAACGTGTCTCCTCGTCCTACCGTAGGCTCTCACGGCACTTTCATCGCTCCCTCTGCTTGGGACCTGGCAAGAGAGTAAATTAAACAACGACAGCAAGAAAACAGCAAGCACGGGAAGCAAACAGGCCTGTGGTGAACGACATGACTTTTTCTCCTGACGACATGATTTCTTTTATTGTTATCTTCTGATCTGTTTTTTATGTTTTGATTAGGTTTTGCTTTCGCGTTTGTGTTGTTGATTTTTGGTTTTTATGAACATTGCGATTACCCTGTGTATTTGTTTTTGTTATTACTATAAACACGTCTCCTAGTAATGTAATCGATAGTTCTTCAGCAATGTTTTGTTACAATAGTTCTTTTCCTTGTGCATTTGTCTAGTTCACTTTGATATCTGTGCAATTCCGATCTTGTTAAGTGTTATCCTGTAGATCTACAGATAGTAAGAGTGATGCGCAACCTTGATGGTGAGATTTTGAGTGTAGGGGATTCATCCTGAATCAGTTCAGTCGTCAATCACTAGATAGAGGCGAGGTATATGATGGATATCAAGATCAACCTCCGGTGCGCGTCGCTATTCTTGCAGTTCAGGCGTTCTAGAAAGTCAATATCTGTCAAGTTAAATGTGAATGTGAGATGGAAAGACTTGGGAATTTTCTGGCCAGGGTGGTATATCCGACAACCTTACTTGGTCGTAAAGAGATTTATCATATCTGTCATGTCTGATCCGGATGCGACTGCGTAGTTGACAACGTGTCTCAATATACTTAGAAGGCAATGAGATTGCGGTAGTCAGAGATAAAAGCAAAGGTGTTGTTAAATTACTCTTAGGCACCAATATTCAAAAAGCACAAGGTATAAAGGCCAAAGTCTCCACGTCATTCATCTAGGTACTTTACCTCTTTGAACAACCAAGACAAACAACCATCGCATATTTTCCATCACATCCAGAGTCCACTCAAACATCATCAAAGTCAAAGACTCCCTTGTTTACAGAGAAGCAACAACCATGCCGGACATAGCTACCCGCCGGCAAATCTGCGAAGACACGATAAACAGATCCGAGCACATAACAACAACCACACCAGGAGCTTCTCTATCCAGTTCCTTCATCACCTCAACCACATACCCCGAACTCTCACCCCTGGACCCTGGATTTCCAGACCTAACCCTCCAAGGCATGCAAGTCATTGACTCAGACACCTTCCTCTGCGCGCGAAACATGCTAGCCACGAATCCAAATTTGCAAACCAAGATTGCAGTCCTGAATTTGGCTTCTGATGAACAACCTGGTGGTGGATGGAGGTATACGTTGAGTATGACACAAGAAGAAGCTTTGTGTTATTCGTCGACTTTGTTTCAGACTTTGAAGAAGGAATATTATCCTTGGCCCAACACTGGGGAAGNNGGAAGTATAGCAGGAGTGTTTTCACCGAATGTGGTGGTATTCAAGGATACTCTGGATAATGAGTGTCGCGAGCTGGAAGAGGAAGAGAGGATACTGGTTTCGGTGATTACAGTTGCGGCGCCTAGAAATCCTGCTCTCACAGCAGATAAACAGGAATTCGAGGATCAGAATGTGTTGGAGGGGTTTAGGGAGAAGATTAGATTGGTGTTGAGATGTGTAGCAGCAGAGGGAAAGACTGGGTTGGTATTGGGGGCTTTGGGGTGTGGTGCTTATCGATGTCCACCGCTGCTGGTTGCAACAGAGATGAAGCAGGTGTTGGAGGAAGAAGAGTTTAGGGATTGGTTTGAGAAGGTGGTGTTTGCGGTCTATGGCACGGGACCTGTGGGCAAGAGAAACCTAGAGGTGTTTCGGAAGGTGTTTGGCAGTGAAACTTGAGGCTTTGTATCTGAGCTATGGGATGGCACAAACCTGAAAGTCAAAATCGCAAAGGAGCAGAATGCCGTACGACCTTTGCTACGGAGTATGTTCCTGGACAAATTCTTGCTCCTTGTGTAGAAGTCCCTGAATACTGGGTGACTCTTGTGTGCATTGCGAGACAAGATTGTTCTCTTCCCTGTACCCGTCGTAATGCACAGGGATCTAGTGCATTTGAAAAGATAGCAGAAACTGCTGATCGTATGCAGCTCAAGACAAAACAATACGAAGAGGAAGAGATTGCGAGACCGAAGACAAAGCGCCGTGTCGTGAATTTTCCGCTTGTCGATACCAAAAGTTTCACACAACAATACCTCCGTTTGTTTGCTCAGCACTCGCACTTCACGCACTCCTTAGCAAATCACTGAGATTGCATCCCTCGAAAAACTCTCTGTTGCTTACTCATCATGGCGGATATGAAAGAACTTACTGAAGAGCAGATGGACGACCTAATCGATGCTGCCGTCGATCTCTTTAACGATGAGAAGTATGCTGAGAGCGAAGCTGCCGTGCGCGCAATCCTTCGACAAGGAGTCTCAAGATGGCAAAGATATACTGCCTTACCCTACTCGCAGAATGTGTAGAGGACTGGTACGAAGCTGAGGTAAGTCGAATACAATGACAGCTGGCTGGTGTCTCACCAAACCTACCTCTTTGCCCTAAGCCTATCTCACTGTCATGAATGTATCACCTTACGCTGAGGACGACCCCCTATACTGAGCCCTCCCCTTCACAATAAAGGCAACACTGAGCCCTAGACCTTTCCTCCATATCTAGCTTTTGACTGTATGCTAACCTGCAGCAGGAGGAGCGCTACAATGCCGAGACTATGTACGCCGATGCGCGTTTCTTGTGGCCGCCAGGCAAGAGTGCTCGTGTCGACAGACGACTGGAAGATTTACGAGGACATCTTGACAACCTGAGAGAATCCCAGAGAGAACATCGACTCAAAGACTTGGACTTGGATGATGATCGCATCGACGAATGGATGGCTGAACAATACCAGAAGCATTCTCATGTCATCCAAGCCGAGGGAGAATGGGCCGAGAGACTTCGCATACGCGACGAACGGGCTTCGGCAAAGGAGGAAGCAGAGTGGCGTGAGATGGAGGCAAGAGAGCAAGACAAATTGCAGGAGGATGCCATCGAGGCCGCTGCTCAGATGTTCGATATGGCCGCCAGCAACCAGCCGCGGGATCACCTCGATGAAGATCGGGACAACAGCGAACTTTCGCACACTGCCATTGAAGACGGCGATGCCCCTCTGAATAAGCAAGGAGCAGAAGAAAACAGTGGACTGGCGAAGGTAAGTAGAGGTTTCGCAGCAACAGATCATCCCTTCAACATACCGGTGCCTAGCAACAACCACAAAGTCCAGGGCAACATTGCTAACAGGCCCTCGTCACTCAGGAATCTTGGCTCGAGGAGGTCGCTCGAGCAGGCTACAGAATCACAGGCTGCCCTACTCTGGCCGAAGTCGAATTCATTCTCCTATCTGATCTCCCAGCATCCTACGCCGTGAGTCGCTCGGCCCCCCTTGACGACAGCCGTAGTCAAAAGAGAGAAAACGACAAGAAGAAGAAGTCGAAGGAGAAGAGCAAGGACCAAAACACATACGATGCGATGGATCCGACACCCTTGATCGAGTTCGACCGCATGATGAATCCACAGGGCCATACCTAGATTGTAGCGGCTCGCAAAAATGAAACAAACATGGGATCGTAAGCCCCTGTTCTCTGTTCACAAACATACACCTGAACCAGGGGCAAGTTGTAAGTATACCGACTGTTGATGTATGCTTACTCTCCCGCACATAGTGTGCTTATCAAGGATTCCGTGCCGCATCTCAAATGTCGAGTCGTGAATATTTCTTCAACCATGGACAGAAGATGAAGCCCTGAGATTCTGGCCAGCCACTCCGTCATTAGATGACTCGCGAGATATGGATCAAACAAATGCGGCAAAGAAATGTAGAATTTATTGCAGGATGTATGAGATCAAGAAGGGTCGATGTAGGAAGAATTGGATTGTTGCGCTACTGCAGGTGCATCGTGTTCAAGGGTGCCGTGCATAGCCGATAAAATGACAGCGATTGATGATTCGCTGGTAAATATTGCAAGGATGAAGGGACCGAAGGACAGAGTTAGTCGGCTATGAAGGGCCGTTGCAACGTCTAGTTGGTTAAAGTTTCAATGAAAATAATAGATCCATAGCGAGATAACCAAATATCGCTTATGCAACAGAGGGCTTGATGGGAAAGGAAGAAATGCCAACTTGATTTGCAATAGCAAGGCAGGATTGCTAGGCCTCGAAGGATTGATTGATGGACCGAGTCAGGTCTGTGGCGTGGAGATCATCTATCTTGGGCTTGGGGAAGTGCGCGAGTGGAGACGGCGCGACGGTTTCGGCAATGCAATTGGAAAGTTGACTTTTCCATGTGGACTCTGTGGCAGAGGGCATACCCACTCTGCTATAACCGCTTAGGTACCAATGACAATGGAGACGAGCAGAAGGCTGCGAGGAGGGACTCCTCGTTCGGAATCGCGCCCGCTGCCTCCTCCTTTGTCTTTGTCCAGCAGCAGCAGCACCGCTGCCCAATCGTCCCTGCCTCAGAACCGAGTGCATGGCCCATTGCCTGAAACTCCTTCCTTCGACCACTCGCACCAGGCACAGGATGCTCCTTCCCCTGTGACGCCCTCACAGCCGTCGCATCCTCCGCAATTGCGGCCCGAGTCGTGGCAGTCGGTCACCCAAGACTCTGTGCTGGACAATCTGCTGCTGTCGTTTGACCGAATGCCTGGCTCTGCTGCAGGCCCGGCCGACCGCCGTCCAAACATGCCTGATATTCACACCAACGACTTCGATACGACCAATACGACCTTCACCCCACCGCGAGCGCTGCAACGCCTGCAACAACGCGTGCGAGGTCACACATACTCGTCCTCTGCGTCGCACGACTCCGACACCATCAGCAACCACTCGCAGCTCACCGCCCGCATTCGCACCAACAGCCACTCCGACTCACGCCCTTCCACTGTTCAGAGTGTTGACTACGGCTACGGCCAAGTCCTCGGCACTACACGCATTGGTGGATACGACAAGTTCGATCCACGCACACAAGGCACCCCTGAAGTTGTCTCGAATGGTATCCTCGACCGCGGCCGTCCCATTCCCAGCATGTTCAGCACTTACGAAGCCCATTGTCCCGAACCAAGAGTCCCTGGTGGACCATCAAAGACAAACACAACCAAAGAGCCGGTCTCTACAAACAACTCGGATATTCCCCAGAGCATTCGCGATCAGGCACTGGAGTTTGTGCGACAGTCCAACATGCGCGCCCAATCGCCCTCGAATATGCTCGGACAGCCTCCGACCAATTCTTCCGCATCCATAGCATCCTCGCTCTCCAAACAATCCTCTGCCCATGATGCTCCGAAAGAGCGTCCTGGTTTCTTCAGACGAGTTNTTGGCTCTTCAACTCGCACCAATTCCTTTCCGGAACAGCAACGGCCTACCATTAGAGATCAATCGACTCAGAGTGCTGAAACCACTGCACCACCACCTGTGCCTCCAAAGACTCCGGCCAACCCTACCGATCTTCCTCATAATGTTGTCACCAAGAAAGCCTCCTTTTCAGACGTCGTAAGAAGTCGATGTCTGATGCTCNCTCCGCCTCCACCATTGCCAAACCCTGCCGTGTCCGCTTCACATCTTCAAGATCATCCTCAACCTGTAAGTCCAGGTGCAAGCAGTCTCCGAATGGTCATGGATCAGTACTTCGGCGATTCTGATCGTCAATTGAACAAGACTGACTCTAACCAATCCAAGCCTGTCGACACCCCCGTCAGCCGACCTACTCGTTCCAGCATACTCAGTCATGACACAGACGAGTCCTCGGAACTCGACATGTTCCACTCTGGATATACTCCTCCGCCGGATGCATCTATAAGAAGAGTAGGAGTAGAACCGCTAGAACCTCGAGCTGGCGGCATCAGGGTTGTAACTTCGAGCGCTCAGCAGAAGCCTTTCACAAGTCCAAAATTGGACGATATGGAGCGCAATTTTGGTGGAGTAAACGAACGTCTACAAACTGGAATTTCTCGCCCGAACTTGGCGCAGAGCAACTCGTTCTTGTCTGATAAGAGCGATGCTGATGACAGCCATGCTCCCTCCATCATCTCCGCTCTCAGTGAAACCTATATTGAATCTGCAGAAGCATTCAGTCCTGTTTCACCACTTGCCAACTCACCTAGGGCCACCCCAGTCGAGAGATTCGTCACATCTCCGACTTCTGACATGGAAAGAGAACCTGTATCGCCTAGGTCACACTTCTTCGAACACAACCGAGATAGCCTTGGTTTACCGATCGAAGGCGTTAGAGCACCGCAAAGCTATGTTGTATCTAACGATGAAAATGACCTGCCTTCATTCCAGGTCGATGGTCACACTGTTCGTCCATCAGTAGAGGTAGCCCGAGGTATGCTCGGCACCATCGATGAGCCGACAGCCGACGAGAGAGAACGCGCCCGTCAAATATACCAGGGCGAAGAGCAACAATTGCTCAAAGACGAAGCCGCTCCATGGCTCGGTGACAAGAACCCTGTCAGCGCTCGCACTCTTACCGCATACATGGACCTCTATGACTTTGCCAATCGAAACATTCTGAGTGGCTTACGCACGCTCTGCGATAGACTCGTCTTGAAGGGAGAGAGCCAGCAGGTTGACCGCATCTTAGATGCCTTTTCTAAGAGATGGGACGAATGTAATCCTCAAAACGGCTTCAAAGGGCCAGGTGTAGTACACGCCATTTGCTACGCGCTGTTATTGCTAAACACTGATCAACACATGGCCGATATCCAACACAAGATGACACGATCCGAGTTCATCAAGAACACGCTGCCTGCAATCAAATCGGCTGCAGAAAGTGCAACCATCCGACCCACTCGTTCTCAGAGACCCTCTTTGCCTTGGTCAGACACCACACCAAAGTCACCTGATGATGACGACCGTGACTCTGTTGATTTCAGAAGATCGACCAAGCGCCTTTCATTCAGACCGGGTATGGGCAGGTTCGAAACTGATCCTGGCCCGGGCGAAAATGCCGAATTTGGCTCAATGAACCATCTGGTCACCCGTCCATTTGATGGTCCTGAACACAAGTGGCTGTCAGAGGTGGAGTCGGTACTCAAGGCATATTACAGCTCGATTGTTTCGCTCGCTCTTCCTCTGCATGGCTCTCAGAAATCAAAAAAACATCCCGGTTCTTCGCATAGCCCTGCAAATCTCACTGTCGCAGGAAATCTGAGACGCACTGGTTCGGTTATATCCAAAGCACCTTCTGAGGGTTTCTCATACCGAAGCAAGAGGAACAACAGCGCCCTATCATCTCATTGGAATGCAAACAAGAACAGGTCGAGGCAAAAGGTATACCCTGCTTCAACTGTTGGGTCAACCCGTACATCGATCGATGATGGCCAATCTGTTTGGAGTCCCTCTGCACAAAGCAGTATGTGGAGCAAGATATCTATGGGCAGGACCCAGACAACTATGAGTGTCGAGAGCTTTGCCGTTCATCCGGACTTCAAACAAAGCCTAGGATTTACCAACGCCTTGTCGCAAGCGATGATCCGAGAGGAGAGCGCAGGTGATACCGAATCGGTCATGAAAATCGGTACGGTGCTCGAAGATGAAAGCCTGGAGTTGGCTGGTGCGCCTTGGGCCAAAGAAGGCATGGTTAAGCACAAACACCACCTGGATGGTCCGGAGAAGAAAGCCAAGGAGCGCAGCTGGAGTGAAACTTTCGCTGTGGTTGAGAAAGGGTACTTGCACCTGTTCAATTTCAACAGGACTACAACCAAGATCAACGACATGCGCAGCACTAAGCGCCAGCTACCAAAGACAGGCAAAGCCGCTAGCGTAGCGCCATCTGTTGTGGGTGGCGGTAATTGGACCGACAACGCGGACGAAACCGATCAATTCCTTCTGAGGCAATCTCTTGCGACTGTTCTACCACACCCGGGCTATAGTAAGACTCGTCCGCATGTTTGGGCGTTGAGCTTGCCGACTGGAGCTGTGCATCTCTTCCATGTTGGCACTGCAGAGATCGCGGAAGAGTTCGTTTCTACTGTAAACTATTGGTCTGCGCGTCTGAGCAAAGAGCCTCTAGTAGGTGGTGTTGACAATATCGAGTACGGCTGGAGTGATAACATCATCAATCCTGCTCTCATTGGCAACAGCAATGGAGAACCTCTTACGAAGCCTCCTTCCAGAGCCGCAGGCAACCACGCACACACAGCCTCTGTCAATAGTATTGGCAAGCAGAGTATGCAGTCCACTGTTCGTGGCTCTNTTGACCAGACTTTTGGATCAAGATCTAGACTACCAGGCGACCGTGCTCACATCGCTGATTGGAAGCCTCCTGCAGCATCTATGCTGCCGTCACAGCTGCTCGAAATCGATCAACTTCGCAGTCTCAAAGCGTATGTGGCTTCCGTAGAGACTGAACTGGAGCGTCACAATGAGTTGCGAAGTGCTGTGAATCTTGCTTACACGAACCACTACGGCCAGAACTGGAACAAGGTCACAGGCAACTGGGAGAAGAAGAGCGCCTATCTTCTACGCGAAGTCGTCAAATTCAGAACTTACATCGAAGCTCTTGAGCGAGCTGGTCGCGAGAAAGAAAAGGTCTACGAAGAGCGCCATACTCGCGAACAAGAGAGAGCTGCCCTCGGCTCCAAGGACGGAAAGAAGGAGAACATCAAAGCATGATTGAAGTCATCTGATCTGTCTTCTCCGACCCACAATACACATTGCATCAAGGTTATTTGACCTTGCCTTTTTTTCATCAACCTTTTCTTATTTCCTTTGTTTCATCGAGAGATGCTTACGTTTTTTTTTCTCGCTTCTTTTCTGTTCAACCATGCATGTTTGTCACGTCCGAGGATACCCTTTACTCATTGTTCTTCTTTTCACTTCGTCTTATTGCATAATGCATAAACAGCCATTTCTTTTCTTCGCATAATATACCATCAATTCTTACGAGCACGTTATAGAGAACCAGATTACCTATCTTCCCCTTGAGGCAGAACCGAGTTCCATCATTCCCGACCCTGAGAGCTTGTGAGATCTTTTATATCAACACAAACTTGATACAAGTGTTCTTCTCTCTTGTGTCTCTTCTTTCAAAGGAAAAAAAGGAAAAAAAGGAAAAAAAGATACGATACTCTAACACCAGGAAGCAACCAGGACAAACTATACTCCCGAGCAAGACACAAGCGCAGAAAACAAAGATTACGAAAGAGGCCAAAAGCATATTACAAACAAAAACAGAAGACAAAGACAATACCAAGGTAAACTGGTCTCGGAGACCAGTCCTGGGATCCTGTAGCTGTGCCAAAGGGCCAAAGGTAGATGGAACAAATCCTCTACTGAGATCTGCTGGCCAGGTTTGATCGACGGAAGTCTACACGGTGCGAAACCGGCGTGTCGAGTTGGTAGTGGTATGGTAACGGTCCTCTTGACTGCCGCCCTCTATGCAGGGCAGATAACCCAGCTAGTCCAGGGAGTGAGCACCTGGATTGTCGCTCACAGAGCCACCCCACCTCTTCGATCATCATCTATTCGATCATCAACAAATGGAAAGGAACGGCGGGCCTGAGGAATTCGAACCGTCTTCGTCGTCATCATCGTCTTGACCTTCGTTGTCGTCTTCACCATCGTCGCCTTCTCCGCCATCATCGCCTTCCACACCATCAGCGCCTTCCACGGCCGTGTCGCCAGTTCCTAATCCCAATTTCTCAAACTCAAAACTCGCAGTATGGCCAATGAGATATGGATTTCCTTCTTTATCGTAACGATACTGGAGAGGGTGTACCGGATCACCACGCTCGTCTCTTTTCGGCAAAGGATCTGTGCTCCAAAAATCATTGTAGGGGTATTCGAGGTCAAACCGTTCGTCGGGAAGGACTCCTAGCTCGAGGAATTTTGCTCGTTTGGCTGGCTCCCATGCTCGCAGGTAGCTATGTGCTTCTCCAAGGCGCTTCCGCTTTTGGTCGCTGCCTCGGTCTCTTCGGGTGTCGGTGGTTTGTTTGAAGGCGGAGGCTCGGAAGCTTTCCTCTTGTCGAATTTTTGTTGTTGCTCCNTCGAACCACGCATCATTGCCAAAAGTGTCCATACCCTCCCGGTGCCGCAAAAATACGGAACTCTTTGTGATGGCCCTCAAGGCATTTTTCGAAGACGGTCGCTTTGTCAAATCAAACTTCAAGCAGATGGACAATAAATGTCTCAGGTCCTCAGAATAATCCTGACCAGGAAGCTTCCCCTGCCAATTTAAGATCTCGGGTTCCATTTCCTCGGGCTTCTTCCCAAGACGATAATCGATAGGGTCAAAACCCAATTTCAACTTCATCATTGCTTCGGCCACTCTCGCAATCTGCCATACGTTCGTCCAGTCATGGCATCCCATATAAGCGGTATGGGGGTTATCGTATACAGAGGGTCCGAACAGCTCCGGTGGTACGAAGCCAGTCGTCGTTTGGCAGTGTAGTTGGCATGCGCGATTGAGTAAATCATCAGCGCTAGTCAGNACCTAGAGCGAATGGGTCAGCAAGTCTCTCAAAGGTGTGTATGGGCTCACTATCAGTCTCCTTGGATATGCTGCTCTTTGGAATACCACTTGACAGCCTCGACTGCGTGGCATAGGATCAAGCAGCTCCACAGGTGATACATGGCGATTGTCAAATGGGTTGAACTTACATCCGCCTCCGAGATCAGCGATGTGAGGGCGAGGATAGATGGGAAATGTCGACTTCTGTGAGGGCGGGGCAAGTAATATGTTGGCAGGTTTCATATCGAAAACGACAATGATGTCTGATGGTGTGGATCCCTCGCGTTTGTGGGCCTGCTCTTGCAATTGCACAGCTCCGCTGAACAAACAGTAGAGAGTGTGCCAGATAAAGGGCTCTGGTATTCCTTTCCCGCACTCCTTGTGAGCATGTATTACCCACTCCATGGTCCCGTAATCATACAAAGGCATGTATAGTCTCCAGTGATTATACTCGGAACCTCGAAGACTAGGTAATCGTCTTGAGTAACCCCATAACGGCACGGAAAAGATCTCTTGGCTCGATTTAGGCTCAGTCATGATGCCCTGCAGATAAGCTTCCTTGCAGAACCTCATTTCGCGGCGAGCGTTTCCTAGATCACGTTCTGGATCGACGTCAAAGTCGAGGCCTTTGCGAACAAGCTGGTGGTAAACGCCTCGATAGAAACCCTTCTCTTCAGTAGAGTGGGATTGGGGCTCGAAGCTATCCTTGATGGCGCAATGTTTGATCGCTTTGTTTGTTGCATTATCAACCATCATCCACAAGGTGACCTCGCCAAAAGTGCCTCCACCAAGTCTGTAGCCGCCGATCCATGTTGTGCCGAGTGGTGGTTCAGGGAGGACGTCGATGTACTGAGTCCCCTCGCGATCAGCAAGAATCTTAGCTTTCTGTGAATTGGTGAGTGGTGGTGGTCGAGGCATGTCGGATGTAGTGACAGTGTGATATTGCAGAGGGGGAGTTGAACATGATCGAGTGCGAAGTCTGTGTGAGCAGACTCCAGGTCATAAGGATAGTTTTGTCCGTTTCCGATCATGGCCATTGTGCTTTGTACTGTATAATCGAAGACATTGAGCAGACAAAGGTCAGAAAGACTGGTGAGGGTTCAGCAAGACAATGAAGTGGGATGTTCTAGCTCGTCAATGTCCTAATGAAGCATTTCCGCATCCGGACATGTCGATCGAGACGCGCGAGCAAATCTTAGGCAAAGTCGCAGAAAGCTCATCATGAGCTCAGACTCATCAAGACATAGTTGATGTGTTTCGATGAGTCGAAGCGAGATGTGGAAAAAATGATCAGGCGCCATCGCAGGGTGGTGCTGGTAAAGGCCAGACTATACTTTGGTCAGAAGTTCATCATCTTCGAGAGACGAACTCGGTTGAAACAAGATTCAACATGCAGATGGTGATAGGCAACATGGCAGTAATAAAAAGCCAAGGACAAAACTCTCGTAAGATAATGATGAGACGGTTGGAAGGAAGTGCCTGTGGAAAGAGGTGCCCATGGGTCGCACTCACCGCCTTTGTCGGCAGACCCCAGATTGTGGACGAAACATCGTCATTCCATCAATCTCGACTTTCAAAGCAGCAGCAGCAGACGATTCAGTCCAGAAACATATACACACACCAGCCATCATGACGATACCGCTACTACCGCGCCTCGGCGCACAATGCGCTCTCAAGACGATAGCCACAACCACACGCGCGCCCCTCACAACAACAGCGACAAGAAGCTTCACCTCACTCCCGCCCTTCCCACCCACGAACCGAGACACACCCGCCCGACCACCACGAGCTGCCATGCCCATGCCTTTTGTTACCGAGACCGTCGGTGGTGGCTGGCACACCTATGACATCTTCTCGCGCCTCCTCAAAGAACGCATCATCTGTCTAAATGGCGAAGTCGACGAAACAATCTCTGCTTCCATAGTCGCCCAGCTGCTGTTCCTCGAAGCCGATGCTCCGCAAAAGCCTATTTCCTTGTATATCAACTCGCCGGGAGGTATCGTGACGGCTGGGTTGGCTATCTACGATACCATGACGTATATCCGCAGTCCCGTCAGCACCATCTGTATGGGTCAAGCTGCTAGTATGGGCAGTTTGCTGCTGTGTGGTGGTGCAGAGGGTCAGAGATATACTCTGCCGCATAGTAGGATCATGATTCATCAGGTCAGTGGTGGATACCAGGGTCAAGCTTCCGATATTGCCATCCATGCAAAGGAGATTTTGCGCGTGCGCGAGCAATTGAATGAGATCTATCTCAGACACTTGACCAAGAAGCATACCATGGAGGAGATTCAGAAGTACATGGAGAGAGACTACTTCATGGGTGCCAAGGAAGCTCTCGAGTTCGGTATTGTGGATAAGATTCTGGAGAGGAGAGAGCAGGTTGGCGAGGCACGATAGACCAATAATTCGACATGCCAGAATCATGTATGGCCTGGGCGCGGCAGGCTCATACAATGACGCTCGCCACTGCATCTTCCATACCTAAGCCGAACCACCAAACCAACATACAAAGACTACCTATCCAAGTCCCGAATTGTTCTTTAAGGCAAGCGCTGGTCGATCTCGGCTCCTTTTTCGAACTACGATCAGCGTTTCAGGGAACGTCCAATCTATTCTATACATCTTGGACATGCAGGTAATGTCTTAGAAGCATCCTGCACAAGCCCTAAGGCTGTCCTTAAGGCTGAAACATACACAACTCAAGACGTAACCAACCCTCCATATATCTTATGTGAAATTTACCTTCGTAGTACAGTAGCCACTGTATACGTTGATGCGTTTTGCCTCGCATGCACGGGTATCACCATGTGACTGGCTTTGACTATGCCAGGACGTTGAACGAGTAGTCATTGATGTATTGATAGAGTGAAAGTCGGAAACTCGTGATAGAATGGGTATATATACAAAGAAGATAAAGAAGAGAAAACGTTTAAACTAAGTACAAGAAGCTGGGTATTACATATCATTTCCGTAACAAACGAAATGGGAAGTGTTTTGCTTAAACAACTTCCAACAAAGACTCTTCACTAGACTCACTCCGTAACCGATGGCCAGAGCGAGCTTGATGTTGCGACGCCGGACCCATAGCATGCAACTCCAAAGTTTCTCCAGCCGTACTCGGCCTATCCCTAAAAATCTGCAACTCCCTAGTCACAGTAACAACACCATCATCCTTGACAAGCTGTCCCAAGTTATGTCCAGAAGTGACATACGACCCAGAAACACCTTTACTGCCATCCAACGCCATAGGAGTGCTTCTGGGAGTCCTGCTGCGCGAGGTGGAGAAGCCTGTTCGTGCTTTGTCGAACCAAAAGGCGAATAAAGGACGCAAGGTTGCGAGGCAGGCGGCGGTGATACCGAGTCCGAGTTCGACGATGGAGACGATTGCGTAGTTGGGGGCGGACACGAGCAGGTCTTGCATTTGGACACCGATGACATCGACGTAGGCGAGACGCACGATGGAGCAGATGCTGCCCAGCACTCCCAAGCCGAGGATGGTGCATACGGTGATCTTTTGTTGTTTGTGCATTTGTGCAGATCGGACGACGAAGATGGGGACTTGTGGTTGGTGTTAGTGTGTTTGCTCGAAGAAGTTATGAAGACTTCGTGACTTACTGATTGCAAAGATCCAATCGGTGACAGCGTTGAGTACTCCATGGGTGTAGTTGAGAGGTCGCAGGACGGTCTGGAAGGGCAAGCACTTTCCTTCCGTCTCGTTCTTGCCATAGTCTCCTGGGTTGCCGCATTGGAAGATGGCAATGAAGAGCCAGGCAGTTCCAAANAGAGTGTATAGTGTCACCGAGCCAATGATGACCTGACGCTGCCACCGTTGGTTGACAACACGAAGAAAAAAGACCGCTAGACTGAGCTTGAAGATGATGGTTGTCAGGATGTAGAGACCAAAGATGCAAACGACCAANCTAGGAGTGTGGTTAGAGGTGTAGTATGAGAAGGATCCCGAGCAACATACTGTCAAGATGCCATCAACGGTGTCTGGATTCGCAACACCAGGAGGAACTATCTCTGATCTCGCAATGCTTATGAGTAATGAGGTTGTCATGGCGAACAAGGCCTGTGAGAGTCAGGATCAGATTCTGGGAACATGCATGCATAACCCAGGACTCACCCAAGTCACCATCATAAGCCAATCATCCCATCCGAACGACCGAATCATCCAACCTCTGACGTATACTCTAGCAACCACTGTGATGGCAGACAAGGCTAGAAATACGGCTGAGGTCGCAAGCATGCCATACGACTTTAGCTCATGGAGAGTCGGCGTTCCTTTGAGCTCAGCCATGATTGCCAGTCTTTCACCGAGAAATGCCTAGTCGAAGAGCACCGTACCACAAGCCAGACGCGAACTCCAATTGAGATGATCTTGATATAGAAGAGTAGATTGTAATAAACGCGAATGTCTAGGCAGACCAAGAAGAAATCAAAGAGACAAGGGTAAGGAAATAGCTCCTGTACTATACATATTGGCTTTGGATAAGCTCGACCAACCACACGGATAGGAAGCGAGAGCAAATTTAGTGTTTTGCGATGGGTCTCAGACGACACAACAGGGTATCGCATCAAAAGCCATCCCCCACGGCGGCCACGTTTTCGGCAAGCATGTTTAGTAGAAGAGCGTGGCATGAAATCTCCGTTCTCAGGTTAAATCCGCTCTTGAATCAAGTTGAGGCGTAGGTTAGTGGCAAGCCAGAACAATATTAGCACCTTCTACAGGCTCAACTTGCACGAAATGTGATGGTAGATTCGAGTGGCGTGGGAGCAGCAAACGGTCTAATGGCTCGTGGGTCAAGGCTCTTCTCGTAAGCCGTGATGGCTGGAAAGAAGGTATCGCTTAACAGAGATATAAGCGAAGAGACAACAAGAAACCGAGAGCGGCAGTCCAATTGCATGAACAGGGTTACTTGTTTGAGGTCACCGTGTAGGGCTTAGTGTCGCGCAGGTCTGACCAGGGTCTGATCCGAGCACGAGCGCGGAGGATCTGCCGGGCTGCATCCCAAATCTCTGGGACGATCGCGCAAGAATGGTGATGGCGGAATGGGCAATTCACATAAATACCATGATACGGGATCGCAATGAACAACAGTCTTGACAGGTAGGACGTTGGAGACTTGTGAAGCTGTCTCCGGGCTCGAAATCAGACAGTAAAAGACGGGCACGGATGAACAACAAGATGTAATTTAACAATTCAAGATCACGGCAGTCGGATGCTGTATTCTTGCGAGGCGCAACCCTAGGATGACCAAGCAGTGAGCGGCAGAACGGGAGATGGATAGGAGACAAGAATTTGGAAGCAGAGGGGAATTGGCTAAGATGACATGTTGAATTGAAATAAAGCTGATACATAGACAGCGTGGATAGAGCAGGGTGATGTTTGGCGAGCAACGCTCTGATTGATGTTGCAGCCATGCAGAAAAGCCGTCTTGTTCTGGCAGAGACGTTGATTACAAAGGCAAGAGGTGTAGAGCGAGAAACGCGAGCTGTTGCCGTTGGCACAATAGATCAGGTTTGAAGTCTGTGCCCAATGGATCAATGGGGAGGTCGCCGTCGGCTGTTTGACAAGAATAGGCAAGGCGGCAGGCGGGGCATGATGAAAAGCCGAACGCGTTTATGAGAACGGGCGTGAAAAGCAAAGCATGCTGCAAGGTACAGAAGCAAAACCAAGAGCTAAAGTTGGTTGGCAAAGGTCAGGCAGGTATGGAAGGAGAACAATTGATAGCTACAGGACATGGCAGTGTCAGTGCATGTATTTGCTTACGAACGAGTTGACGACTGAGGTTTCCAGGGCAGGGTGGCAGGGTACTGAGAAGGGCAAGAGGAAGGAACAGAGAAGGGCCCCGCCGCTCTAGAACCACGTGTCGGGTGGATACACTACGAGGGCGGCGTTCGCCGTTCGGGAAGACCGCCGTGCACTGGGGCCTTTGTGGTCCAGCGACTCATCTGGAGCGCTGACTGGATGCTTGGTTTGGTGAAGTGCAACGCTTCTGGCTGCCTTGTCCAAGCAGCTTGCGTGTGCAATGAAGCTGTACAGACAGTGAGCAGCAGCTGCGCTCCTTCCTCACTCGACAGTCGACACTTTCTCTGGTCTTGGGCCGGCCGTCATGGCGCCAAACAGAGATGACAGCCCCAGCACCCAAGTCGCTTGCCATCTGTCGCAGCTAGACATGGTTGCTCACGATACTCCGACCTCAAGAAAGCGCCCAGCAGACATGGCTGAGATCGACGAAACCCCAGGCGCATACGACAAGATCATGCCCTCTCCCTCTCATACCAAGTCGCCTACACCCAACAACCCCACCTCACCGCGGGGTCGCTTCGTCCTCCATCCTCCTCGCCGTGTCACTTCTCCACCACCTCCTACTCCCATTGCTTCGCCCAATCTTGAAGACGACCACAATTTATCTCTACCCACAGCTATAAGCATTGCACAGGACAAATTGTCCGCCTTGCGCTGCGATTCTCCAACCAACCCTACCGAACATGATACCTGCACCCAAGATGAGAACATGACCTGGCAACAAGATGAAATTACCGGACACCATATTGATCATATGGCCGATGACGATGGCGAAGGCATTAATGGCATCGGCTTCATACCAACTTCTGCTACTGTCACCAAGCGCTCTGAATGGCGCCGGCGCCAGATTCTGGAATATCGTGCTCGCGAATCAAGGGAAGCAAGACAACGCCGCTACGACAAACGCAAGGCTTCACACCGCGATTCTGCCATCTCTCTCGATGAGGGTGCTTCCTTTAAGCGCCGTATGGTTAGATTCGCCGAGGCCTGATCATCACCATACCACTCTTGCTATACGAATTTTTACGACCTGCTGGGTTAAGTGTTTCTAAGAAGCTGCTTTTATTGCTTTCATTGGCGTTGTACGGCGTTGCTACAGGATACCCATAAATAAGAAGGATATTAGGCTGGGATCAGGACATGGCTTTTCTTTGTAACATGTCAACATGAATGATATGTTTGCTTTTTAACCTCTACTCAAAATGTGCCTCTTCACTTCTGCTACGAGGCTCTGTTGTCACACGACTCGAGAAGAGTATTTCTGCCATCTTCATTCCGATTCGTATTCGTATTGGTGGATTCAGAGATGCCTCATCTATGCTGATACGAAGTGTACGAAGTTCGTAACATCGTACACAGCCAGCATTAGCTTGAATGTCTCTTTAGCGACACCATGTTATAAGTAGTCTGTTGACTCCATCGACACACTCTACATTCTTTACACTTCTCAGATCTGAAAACCCTTGATGTGAGCTTCCGAAGCGTCGCGTTGGTGAAAGGATCTCTTCACGGATCACAACAATGATGTCAGTAAGGGTACCTCGAAAGACATTGCACATGACTAGAAACCAGAAGCAGTCAAGGAAATCTGGTCCACGAGAGTCTCATATTCTACAAAATATGATTCTTAGTACTTGAACGAAATAGTAACCGTGATGGTCGAGCAGCTCTTGGAGAATGGCAGGCAAGCAGGAATGCTGCTTGGTCCAAGCTCCACGGGATCTATAGTTCCCGAACTCCGTCCGCTGCGCGCTACTTGTGCCTGCCTGCGTAACTTTACCCTGATCGAACTCTTTGTCAACAATATTCTTTCTATGCCTCGGGAGTTTTTCTTTCCTGCCTTCCGGAGCGACAAGAAATACACCTAGGGACCCTGATCAGCCGTCGGGGAGTGATGTTTGATCGAAATTGATCCTATTATGCCACCAACTCGAAAGGCGTAAGATGATACGTCAACTGCACAATCTCGATGGTCGCTGACTCGCTTTAGCCATCACAAATCACGAAATGGTTGTAACCAATGCAAANAGAGACACGTAAAGGTCGATATGGATCACAGCTCGTTCAGTTGAAAATCTGGGCTAATTTTTCCGAAGTGTGATGAAGTGCGGCCAACTTGTGGGAACTGCGTGAAACGAGATGCAACTTGCAGTTTCTCTTCGAATGACCAAAGCCCTTCCACTGGCCATGAGGACCGAGACACGCCAACAAATGTTGTCGAATCGCAACACAAGATTCTCTCACGAGCCGAAGAGATGGATCTGATGCACTTCTTCACAACCACTACCATTAAAACTGTCTGTCATGATCCCAAAGACTGGCATATGTGGGAACACAGTATCCCTCAGCTGGCCTTTCAGCACGAGTATTTGCTTGACATCCTGCTAGCATTGGCTTGCGTGCACCGTTCTAAGCTTCATCCAATCAATGCTAAATTTTGGGTTCGATGTGCTATCGAGTATCAGAACCGAGCGTTGCCGATTTTCTTCAAGGTACTCGGCGATGTGAACGATGAAACCTGCCACGCTGCTTTTGCATTGTAAGTCTCACTCAGCCGCAAACTCACTAGCCCTGGAACAACCAGGTGCAGATGAAGACCCCTCCTGCCCCAAGTGTATCTAGCTCTTTTCCAATACTAACAAGGACGACCTCAGCNNTCTTTTGTCACAACGATGGTGGAGATCTCGATACCTCATCCGGATATGGATCCTATTGAGCAACTGGTGGGGCTGCGCAACTACTTTAGAGGTACAGCAATGCTGTATCTGACCATGCTAGAGCCTCTCAAATACGGCCCCATGACCCCGTTCTTCAAACCCAAAACCATTACATGGGAGTACGACCCAGAAATTCGAGAGTCTTTCCATGACAGGATCACCCAACTCTACGACGTAGTTGCTGGAAGTCCCGATGAGAAAACCTACAACGAAACCATTGCTCTTCTACTAAGACAATTTTACGACTCGCCATTCGCCGTTATGGCCTTTTCATTACTCGTTGGGCCAGACTTCTTCCAGCTTGTTTGTCAGCGCGAGCCTCTGGCCGTGCTGATTTACATCTATTGCGGTGTCTTGTTCACCAATATCAATGAATGGTGGTGTGACGGTCTGGGGAAGCGTATCGTTGATGATTTGACAATACCTTCAGAAGTGCTGGAGAGCAGCCCAAAGATTGCATCTGCTCTTTTATGGGCCAAGCAGCAAGCCAGCAAGTCTACAGAGTCAAACAAAGTCCTGTTTTGGCGAATATTCGTGAGTCTAACTAGCTCCGAGACTGCGTGATGGAATTTGCTGACGATTTACAAGGACTCCACACAGCCTAACGAACGCGTCGAGGACTTGCTGCACCCAGACGACAACCTACATAGTCTGCGTTCGAACAACGCCTCCGCGGTAACGACGCCTGATACTGGCCGACCAAGAAACGGCAGTGTGAGAGACTAAGACATTCGGAACATCTCGTGTCAACATATCTTGCATATTTACGAGAATCAAGAAATCTAGGTAATGCACACTTGACTCGAAGATAGCACGCTCTACCAATTCTGAAGTTCGCACTGGTGGGAGTTTCCCCGCTTGATGCGAAGCATTGTTCACAGGGTCATTGTTTAGAGAACCCCTCGCAGTATAGATTTCATCTGGGAGGCGCTATAGATCTATGTAATTCATCAGAAGGCCGATTTCTAACTTGTCTCCGGCACTCTTGGGCTGGCCAACTATCGAGAGGGATTGGAAGTTTGCACCTGGCGCGTAAGCTTGCTTGCTGCAGTGACTTGTGTCACCCACTCCAGGCTGATTCAGCACTACCACAAGGCTGGGCATACATATTACCCCACTCGCCATTCACCGGTCGAGTCGCGACGGAGCCCAATTCGATGTAACCAAAACTATAGCATTACAGCCTTGGATCCTCAGCTCGTTGACTAAATCATACTCCTGTCATTGCCGCTTTCAACTCAACAATGACTTCCTCAGATCTCGACACTGTTAACACCATCCTCAGCCAGTCCGAACTCATCGATCCGTCAACAGATCAATACAGATCCGAATCGCAAACATGGCAAGCCCATCGCAACCTCCGCCCAAAGGTCCTCGCTAGACCAAACTCGATCGAGACTCTTGCTGCTCTGGTTGCTTTTCTCGCTGCTTCGAATCTGGATTGGGCGGTTCGGTGTCAGGGTATTGGCGATGCGAGTGCAAAGGATGTGTTGATTAGTCTTATGTCCTTCGATGGCTTTGCATTCGATGCTCAGAGCGAGAGTATTGTAATCGGAGCAGGCATGGCTTGGGGAGAGGTAGAGAAGAAGTTGGAAGAGGAAGCACCGGGATATCAAGGTATGTCTCTTCTGGTGATTCACAGTACACTTAATTCTGAATGAACTATTATCTGATCACTTTTGTTTCTCANNGCTCTGAGCGCACGTTGCAGTTTTGTTGGTGTGGGTGGGATGATTCTGCACGGTGGGCTTTCTTGGATCTCATCTACTTACGGTCTCGCCTCCGACCCTCACAACTTCCTCGATGCGCAAGTCGTAAAGCTAGATGGCAGTATCATCTGGGCATCCGAGGAACCAGATCTGATGTTTGCTCTCCGCGGCGGTGGTCACGAGACCGCCATTGTGACGGCATTCAAGCTGAAAGTGTACAAGTATTCACAAACGATCTACAGTGGGAGTATCAAGTTCCCTCGTTCCGCGTTACAGGAAGTGGCAGACGGGATTGAAGGGTTTGTGGGAAGGGNNATGGAGGAGTGGCCTGGTACGGCAATGTATCTCTACAACACTGACTTGATGGAGGGGTCTTTCATTGGTGCGCCTGCTCAGCCTGGTATAGCCATCTGGCTCTTCGATCCCAAGGGCGAAGAACACGGAAGAAAAATATTCGACTGGGCATTCAAAATTGATGGAGCTGTAGACGAGACCAAAGTCATGAACCTGAGACAGATAAACATTCATGGCGGTAAGTTTCTCATCCCTTTATCTGGATCTTAGCAAGATGTCAAGGGCTAACGCAACAACGACACAGACAGCGTCCTAGCAGCCAAAGGACTGTGTTCAGCAAGCATGTCCAACATCACCATCCCATCCACCGCAATGACAAAACAACTCATCCTCCGCGCCTGGGACTGGCTCGAAAACACCATCGCCCTCGATCCCACCAAACTCCACATAGGCACTTTTGTCCTACTCGAGCTATTCCAAAAACCAGTATTCAGGTCTGCAGATGGGAATGATCAGTGTGCATGGCCACACACAACCAACCAGCATCTTTTGCAACTGGGCGTTGGAAGACTGGATGAAGGTGATTATCCCACTCAATTGGATAAAGATGCTCTTGATATGCTCAAGAATGCTGGAAAGTTGATTGTGGGAGAGAGGTTCTCGCCTGCGGATTATTTTATCAATTTTTTGCAGCCATGGAATGATCGTAGAGCGGTAAGACTTCAAGCTCACGCAGATGCTTCTCTATGTCATTTGCTGATTGGTGTGTTAGNNGTTTTTGACGAGAACTACGACAAGCTGCAAGCCATCAAGAGGAAGTATGACCCTAAGGGTGTTCTGATCAGGAAAAACGAATGATGCTCGATGAGGCGTGTTATGAGCAAATTGCTCCCTTTCATTGTGATCTCATTAGTGTTCGTTACCCATTATTCGTTATATGCTCGCTAGAAAATATTAAATGCCACAAATCATACGATGCGTAACCGTTCTCCCACATCCAGTCTGACAATCTGTGTCTTGTAATTCGCTCTTCCATGCTTCCTGTCCTGGTGTGATGCAATATTCTTGGTTTCCTCGTCCAGCTTTTGCTGTGCTTCCTCGGCAGAGTACACTGAACTCTTGATCCATGCTACAGACCAACCTCTGTTATCTTTGACTTCATCATGTGCGCTGATCCAGTAGCAAGCTCCCAACTTTCGAACGATTTCGGCGCCTCCAGGATATCCTGCTGCTACAACACCACCCATGAACCAAGGGTTTTCCTCGGTATTGATGGAGTGAAACAAAGCAGTCAATGGCAATGCAGACTCCNNCCTAGCCAAGAATGATGATGCGTAGGGCTCGACCGCAGCATATGCTACACCGTGGGGACTGTATAGAACGCTGATAGTCTTCTCAACTGGCGGAAGAGTAGGCGAGTCTACTTCAGGTTCCATAGGCGAGTCAGGAGGTGTCAGAGAGTCGTTCCTATCAACCACAAGGTCCAGAAAATTGCCTGCCATCGGAGAATCTTGAGGTGTTGGTGGAAGGTTGAGCAGGTTAACAACAGAGCCATTCACGGAAGTTGTCTTGCTGCTGGGGGCTCGATACGTGAGTCCGATCGCATTGTGAAGTCTTGTGGGGTCCATTTTCTGTGGCATGTACGAGACTGTGACTTCACCACCCTGGCTGGTGAGCGAGTATCCTGGGATGGGTATGCGTATAACAGATTTGTCGTCTTTGCTGTTGTATGGTTGCATCGTTTGGATGGTCGCATGCGTGAAATGTTTCCATGACTTGATTAGTTTGGCAGCTACCGGAGTTGCCAGGATGTGAACTCTAGAATCTGCTGGGAGTGTGCATAATGTCTGCTTGTGGCAATGATCAGGTTTGTCCTGGGATATAATGATGAGATCCGGTTCTGGTATATCTCGTAATGATGAAATGCATGGCGAAGTTGTGTGATGCGATATTTGGAAAGACTCTTTCCAGACTGAAGAACTCCCCGTTACCCAGGGATCGATAAGAACCGTAAAAGAACCAGGAAACCCAGCCGAGGCATGAGCAGGCGCGAATGAAGGGATGAAATCGATCAAGAACGTGGTGTCGGCATTGAGAGGCTTTACATTCATGGCCATATCGACAAACCACACAACTCCTCACAAGAGTAGCAAAGGAAAGTACAAGACGACAAAAGAGAAAAAAGCGAAGGTGTTGAGGCATGTTTGAGTGAAACTTGGAAAAACGACCTGAATGTTTCCCCGTTGAAAGACAGAAACACGAACCGAACTAAAAGTGGATTCGGGGATCCAGATCTGCATAGAGCAAGAGCCAAGCCCAGGCCACCGGATTGCGGCTTCCCTGCTCGAGGCAGTCAGACGCGGGCTCAACAGCTCAAGATTTCTAGCAGCTGAACAAGAGAGGCAGAGCTCACAACGACAACAACCTCGCTGCAGAGTTTTTAGTAGCTTGTCCCTCTAATCCCATCTTCTGTCGACCTTCTCATGTGCGATTACCTATCTTGGACGCTCATGTCTCAAATCCTATCCACAGAAACTTCAAGCGAATTCGATCGGGGACCTCGCCAAAGATTACTATCGTCGGGGTTCGCTTGAAGTCTCTCGCGAGATCCGAACGCATCCGGCAACTGCTCGCGACTTGGAAACTCAAATGACTTCATGAAGCAGGCACGACCGCGTCGAGCTGACAACTTCGCCCTTGCCTGTTATTGCGTTGGAATTCTAGGGGTGTAACGAGGTACTTTCTGCCTGTACCGCTCATAGCGGCTCAAAATCGTGTGAAATTTCCCATTCGACGTCCNNCTTGCGTATGATGCCTGTCTGAGAGCTGATTGACTGATTCTCATCAAGACCTCGATCGCGATGCTCATGGTGTACTGACGTCCTTGTGCCGAGCCTCGAGCTCAAGCTTGGCCCATGGGCTGCTGATCGCACCGATGCGATGTGATTCCGATGATGCGACTTGAGGGGACCCATCAAAAGATATGCACCATTGACCTCGTTGCGCGAAGCACTATGCGAGTCGTCCGTCTTTGCGACGGTGATGTTGTCGAATGGACTCATGAACGACCGGAACGACGGTATCGATGCGCTAATCAGCGACCACGCCAGCCATATCTGAATGTAGATGACGGGTGGTATGAAAGAAAAGCCCTTGTCTTTCGCGCGGACCGTTTGCGAGAGTCGTCGCATATGCATGATGGAAAATCCGATCACCCTAGGCTTTATGAGAATGGGAACCCATTATATCCAGATGGCTACTCACGCGAGTCTGAATGCGAAAGCGGTCATAACAAGCATCTTCGGTCGCTTACCTATCAGGACGCCAGATACTAGGTAGGAGGGGACGACCATGAGAGCAGCTTCTGTGACGATGTCGAATATCGTTACGGTTTGCCATCGAGAGATCTGTCTTGAGATCAGTGGGACACTCGAATCGCAGTATGGACACACTAACNNATAGGACGGACAATTCTCTGCTTGAGCGAAGAAATGATATGGCGAGCAGTTGACAAGAAGAACGAACAGAGCAACTACACCCCATGCTATCGTGATACCCAACAACGACCAGCACAACACAGCATTGAGTCTTGTGTTGTGGGTGAAGAGACGCCTGACGAACAAAGCAAGCGAGACTTTGGAAAGCGTGTATGCCAGTACGAACATGACTTCAGCTGCGTACACGGTCTGCNNGTTGGTCAGTCGACAATGTTTATCTTACCGATATCCTTGGAAACTCACTTCATCGATATTCTGGATCTGATCTTGCTGGAGCATTTTGCTGGACTGGCCGAACCCCGCCTTCAAGCCAACAAAGATAGGGATGTGCTGACAAGCAGCCATGAACTGTATCTTGGTCAGACGATACTAGAGCATACACTTCAGGATAGAAGCTCAACTCACAGTTGCCATTAGCAACACCCAGTCGTCAGATCCATAAAGGCCCCATCTNACCACGATCGCACTTCAGTCGGCAATTCTATGTCTTGTTTGGTCTCCAACTCACCTGACAGTTAGTCGTACCAGCAAGGTGCCAAATGGATAGATCAAGGACAGCAATGCGACGATCCAGACATAGCCAGCATGGTCTGTATCGCTGATGCGAGAGAAGTAGGTAATGCCTGGAGGCAGTGGAGCACCATTGACTGTGTTTAGGTTCGTAGCCATGTGGGCATCTGCAGCTGCTGCAGGTCAGGTTCAAAGTAAGAAGACTGGTAGAAGCACATCGCCAAATGCGTTCGTGAGGTACGTGTGCTGCTACATGCTCTCTTTATTGCACTGCCACTTGCTTTTCTTATCCTTTGAATCAGGGCTCATGCCTCCTGCTCACGTTATCGTCGATGGAAAGGCATTTGAGATTGATGCTCGGCTTTTCGGCCTTGACGAAACATAAGCTCGAGACCCTTGGCCTGCTTGTGGCTATTGCCCCTGTCAGCGGAAGCAACCCTTGTCGAATTGCAAGTCAGCCCAGAGCACGCAAACCGCTCGCGTGGTCGGTTCATCTCGCCAGACGGGCCGTCCAAACTACGGTAGGGCCACACGGCATACGATACCGCTCCTGCTTAGCCGTGCTCTGAAGACTGATCGACGGAAAGCTTCATGGCGTCTGCAGGTGAGATGAAACTCGCTTGTTCTCGACTACGAACTCTACTTCCCGGTGAGAGAAGCTTCGGCTGCAATCTACGTGACTTTGAGCCGTTGGTGGTAAGCACCGGACTTCCTAGATGGCACTACAACAGAATTGTGTTGACGAGTGGATCCTTCCACGATAATATCAGGTGAGAGAGGATGAGGTTCGAATCTGTGATTTTGACTTCGAATCCTGCATCTGCGACTTCGCACGTTCAATAGTTCATAGTCTTGGAACCCAACCCAAACCTTTCGCCGAGAGACGATATTTTGGCGGCGCAAATGAGCATATACCGAGGGTTTGGTAAGTGTCTGGCGAAGATGGCAGCCACATCAAGCAACTCGTCAAACACTCATGGTTTGAGATATTGCTTGTAAAAGCAAACCTACAGGCAACATCCTGCTTATCTCTTAGCGGGAGCGGAACAACTTCAAATGGTCGAGCATGTTGTGCGGCACAGCAAGATCCCAGAGATGAGATCCCCATGTTGTGGTTTCAACTCTTGCAAAGTTTACAATAGCTTGCTTCACCCTCCAGGATCAATTGAGTTTTTCGACTACAAGGCCTATCATTTGCTTCGTGTTCCAATGCCCAGCCAGTATGTCGGGCCTTTGCGAATTTGATTCGACAAAAAGCGATGTCCTTATCAGCCGGCTAATCTATCTGGTATAGCAAAAAGCCCAGACCCTCCGACTCCGCAGATCTTTGGAGGGGTCAAGGATGCTCGCCGAAACACCATCCGCGCAAACCATGTTCATCCTTCAGGACTTTTTTAACGTGCGTAAAGTGGGCAGACAAGACCCGGAATAATCTATCCAAGACGCCTTGAGTACCTTGCTGCCGTGCGCGGACAGTGTGGCTTGCATACGCCAAGCGGCGAAACAAAAGGCTTGCCTGTGGGTGTACTATGCAGAAGGAACTCTGGGCCCGGGCTATTCGTCAGAGTGATAGTCCATGCACTGCGGCATGGTATTGCATCAGCAGAGAGGCGTGCGGATGGTCGGTAGTGCTCATTCGCTTCTTGATGTCTTTCTTTGCCTCAACATGGAAGGTGGCTCATGTGTGCGAGTCGTACTAAAATTGATTGGTGAAGGGGAGTGCAACTATATGACTTCTGTGATCCTTGGGACATTGTTTCCTTGCGTCCTTTTTCCTTGTGCTGTTTTGAGGTCTGTCCTTCGCAATTGATCTCAGTACTCTTGCCGCCATGTCTACGTCGATGGAAGACAACAAAACCAGCGCTATTCGCTTCGGCGAGCGTGAGATTGGTGACTCTGACAATCGACCCACAAAGACCGCTGCCGCTGCCCGCCATGCGCAATTCGAATTGGGAGACTACAATGACTCTCCCAGAGATGAAGAGATGGACGAAACATCAGACGTATACGGCTCTGTGCCAGCAGATAAGCGCGACATGATGCGCATGGGCAAGGAGCAAGAGCTTCGTGTAAGTGCTTATGTTCAATGATGCTCTTTCAGCAGGTTTTGTTAACGCCGCGCTGTAGNNAGAGTATTTCGACAAGTCTCCCTGCTGTCATTCACTGCCATTTTGATGGCAACATGGGAATTCGTTCTTATGGCTTGTACGCAAGGTCTGGTTGATGGCGGTCGTGGCGGTCTGTTCTGGAGTTATATCTGGGTTATGATTGGATACGGATTTATTGTCGCCAGTTTGGCTGAGATGAGTTCCATGGCTCCTACATGGTAAGTCGTTATTAACCGAGAGGTCAACTGTAGCTGATTTGACCTTTGCAGTGGAGGACAGTATCACTGGGTGTCAGAGTTCGCGCCTCCAAGTTGCCAGAAGTTTTTGTCGTACATTACTGGATGGGTGTCGACGCTGAGTTGGCAAGCTGGGTATGGATTGTATCACAGCGTACTCACTAGGCATGCTAACAGACAACCAGAANACGCATCTGGAGGCTTCCTCTGCGGAACACTGATCCAGTCGCTGATCGTTATCAAGAATCCTGATTATGCTGCCCCCGGCTGGCAAGGCACATTGCTCGTCTTTCCTGTCATGCTGGTTTGTGTCGTCTTCAACATCTGGTTCAACCACTGGCTGCCCAGCATGCAGAATGCAGTCATGGTACTGCACGTTGCTGGATTCTTGGCGATCATGGTCGTCTTCTGGGTACTAAGTCCACACGTACCTGCAAGAGAGGTGTTCTTGGACATCCAAAACGGTGGCGGTTGGCAGACGACGGGCCTCGCCCTCATGATCGGTCAAGTCTCTGCAGTTGGTTTTCTTGGAGCCTCGGACGCAGCAGCTCACATGTCAGAAGAAGTCAAGGACGCCGGGTTGTCGGTCCCAAGAGCTATGGTAAGTCGTCATGGCATCCATGTTGATCCTCGAACATGCTAACGTGCGTGTAAGTGGTGGACTTATATCGTAAACGGTGTCCTCGGTCTGATCATGCTGGTTTCGTTCCTCTTCGCTATGCCATCTGTCGACGATGCCATCAACGATCCGACTGGCTACCCGATGATGTACGCCTTCCAGCAAGCAATGCCCATGACCGGTACCATTGTCCTGTCCGTACTCATGATGATCTTGTTGATGGCTGGTAACATTTCCTACCAAGCGTCGACTGCAAGACAGACATATGCCTTCGCTCGCGACCGTGGCTTCCCTGGTTCGCGCTGGCTGGGATATGTCAACCCGAAGCTGATGATCCCAGTGAATGCTGTGGTTCTCTCAGCAGTGTTCACCATAATCCTGTCATTGATCAACATCGGATCCTCGGCTGCTTTCAATGCAATCATCTCGCTTGGTGCTGTAGCACAAATGGGAACGTACGCCATTTCTATCACCTGTGTGCTGTACAGACGCCTGACAGCCCCGCACCTTCTCCCAAAGGCAAGGTGGAGTCTTGGCCGTTGGGGTGTGTTGGTGAATCTTCTCGGCCTTCTCTTTGCATGGGAGGCCTTCTTCTGGTGTAAGTTATAGTTTTCCTTCGAGTTTCACCGCTAACAAAAGATAGGCTTCTGGCCTAATGCTCAACCGGTCACTGTCGACAATTTCAACTGGGCGCCAGTCATGTTTGTTGCAGTTGTTGTAGGAGCCCTGATCACCTACTTTGTCCAAGGACGCCGCGTGTACAGCGGGCCAGTAGTGATTGTGCAAGGCCGTCAAGAGGAGTCGTGATAGAGTCAACAAGACAGCGCCAACCTCGCTATCTTCTCCTGTACATAGAAGTTGGAAACAGTGGTTGTTAATGTTCATAGATAAACGGTCAAAATTAGGTTCCGACTCTATTTTGGCGTTGCTTTTCGGCCGTCAATGACCGTGCGCTCAACGAGCATGTGAAGGGCTTGCTCGGAGCTGGAGGGAAGGAAAGAACACAACAGCTGCTGCAACCACTGAGCGAAGGAGATGCGACGACGTGCAAGATATGTCGATGGTCCAGAACGCAACAAAGACGAAGTCCTTGAGTGATTTTGTCTTGGACCAAGAGCTAGCTGAGTCACAACCAATGAGTGATTGCGAAACGGGCGGTGAAGTCATTATTTGCTGGGATGGGTTTCGGCGGCGTCGCGGTCAGAAGAATCGTCCAAGGGTCAGGTCGCGTCGTCGCTCATGTCTGTTTTGCAGCCTCCTGAGCTGCCGTGGCCTGTGCCTTTTCTGCTGCTCGTCCTCAGGTGCTCGCTGCTTGCCCCGCGTGTGTGGGGCGTTTGTGTCCAGCTTCTCTCAACTCTCCTCCTATCGTCACGTATCTCTTCGAGTCGATACCTCTTCAACGCGCTCTGTCTGCCACGTACACTAAATTGCTTCTTTGGCGTGCTGTGGATAAGCTTCAGTGAGCTCCAATCGAGCTCCATGACAGCTCCTTACCCCTCGCGAGTCGCCGGCCGTACCCGCCTGAGCTGGTAATCCGACCTCCCTCTGTTCCTTCGCCCCGACAGGCTTCAATCATCGTCATCCGTTTGCGTAGCTTGGATCAGGTGCCTTGCGGCTGGTCAAGCTGACAGCTCGAGCTGCAAGCCTCGACTCCTCAATCGACATGCCTCCCAAGTTGAACCACACGTCTAACCATCACGCGTCTGATCCGGACAATGAAGTCGTCTGTCCGATCAAGTCTGCGGATGGCAGCAACTGTCGCAAGAAATGCTTGGGCGTGCGTCCCCTATTTCTTCTCTCTGCTTTTGCTCCGTCTCCCAATATTCACTGCTTTGCTGTCTTTGAACGTGTATTCCTGTCTCTGTATTTGTCCCATGCACCATGCTGTCCCGTCTGCCCCGCAAGTCGTTCCTCCACGCCGCAATGCTTCGTCGTACTGTATTGGTCAAGTCAACATGGGAACGCGACTTACGAAGACATTATAGGAGAAGCGTTTCCGCTCGATGCAAGAGCACATCCGACGAGCGCATCCGGAATATTATATTCCCAAGTTGCCGGCAACCAAGGAGAGCTTCGATTTGATGGTTAACTCACCACCGTCTGAACGGCCTCCTCGAGTAGAGCTATGGTCGCCGACGTCTGCCCCTCGCCAACCGCGATCACAGCCTGCAGATCACCACCATAACAACGACCAGTATGCAGTTGGAGGACCCTCTGCAGGTGTGTTCAATGCGCCCATGAGCGTTGCATATGACGGGCTGAGCTCATATGGATTTCAAGGCGGGCTGGGTCCCGTTCAGATAGCTCCCGACGGCTACGGCTTGCCAGCAGAATACCGAAGGGGCTCCCTTATCCCGGCTGCGAGCGCGGCTGCTGCCCTGGCACAGCTGCACTATGCTCGACCAGACGGAGAATGGGAAAATGATCAAGTAGGCCCTGACTGCGCTGATGACGCTGCTCCGAGCGCTAAGTACATGCGTCAGAACTATTTCAACGACCATGTGTCCGACGCAAAGAGAGCTCACATGGTAGACCCAACGCTCTCAGCCGGCCAGCAATTCCTCGATAGCCAATACCAAGAAGATCAGGGCNACCCCTCAGGCCTGTCGCTGCTCAAGTCGCCGTCGAGTCGTCAGAACACCCTTCCTCCCATGCAGCGTTCCATTTCCCATAGCTCACATAAGAACTCGCTGACACAGAGTGCCCGCAAAGCAAAGCACGAAAGAGACAAGATCAAGAACGAGAATCGCAAGGCCCTCAGTGCCGAACCTAACATGTACGGCAAGAGATGGGAAGATTTAATAGACGCTGCGACGTCTGCTACAGAAGAGGATAGGGACCTCACACCTGTGCGTTGGACACAACTCTCTTTTGTCACGATCGGCTGCCACTGACTATCTGTAACAGNNCTACCCGTATCGCCCTACAAGTCACCACAAGTCGGTGCACGCACACCACTCGCTCCCTTTGCCCTTGGCTCTCAATTCCAATCATATACTGCCTCGCCCTTACAACAAACCCTTACACCTCCTCCTGCCGATGCAGATGGACCACCCNTCGACATGGGCCCGTTCCCTTCGGTCGAAGACAACGCCGTTTCATCCTCCATCGACTCGAATCAATCAGGCAACAACTTCCACATCATGCCATCACAAAATCTTTCCTCGGACTCATCACCCATGTTCTCGAACCCCGTCCAAATATACTGCGCAGGCTGTAGGAGGCTCAGTATCCTCAAGGAGTGTTTCGCTTGCACAGAGTGTATCTGTGGCCTCTGCGCAGGTTGTGTCGATGCACTCATGGCAGAGCAATCCCGCGGACGCATAGCACAATGCCCACGGTGTCGCACGATGAGTGGACGATTCAAGCAGTTCCAGCTCGACATACGCTAGGGACTGCTTCACTCCATAACTTCTTCCATTCTCTCTCCGACTTGTTTAATATAGCACAACTTCATTGTTATCCTTTCTTGGTTGCTGGCTGTCTGATCTGGGGTTTGTTTGGCGCTGGTAGGCGTTTTGCTGGTTGTTGCTTATGCATTGTTTCTTCATGGACAAATGGGATGGGATAGACTGCTGTGGGAAGCTGGATCTGGAACGAGCAATAGGAAGAACAATCATTTCTGGGACATCCGGACAATTGCATGTTTATTTTCTTTATTCCATTTGCGGTCTGCGTGCGTCAAGCGGAAGTGTTTTGAATCGCGTCGCACTTTCCTCTCGCTGGTCTTGTTCACTCTGCAATAGTGTCTCACTGGACGTTGCTTCCGTGCCAACTTGAACATCAGCATTCACCGCGCATGCCGCCTCCACCTCCTCGTTCGCATCAGCATCATCTCAGTGACGCAGACGAAATCCACCTGCACGCTGGCTTTGGTCAGCTATTTGTCGCTTCCCTTCATGGGATCTGTTGCTGTCAACATCTTCCTCATCACTCTTTTCATCATGTCAGTTGCAGCGGTTCAGCAAAGCGCGGCCAAGCCATCTTCAGGCGCTGCTTCAACACCTAACAAATGGCCCTCGCGGTATGACTATTTTTTTACAGCACTTTTTGTCTATGCTGTTTCCACTCACATTGTCAACAGCGAACACTTTCAAGAGACAGTCACTCTCATAGTCGGAAAATGGAAGAAGCCCTATGTCGTGCACAAAGACTTGCTATGTTTCTATTCAGACTATTTCCGTGCAGCTTTTCAAAGTTCATTCAAAGAGGCTACTGAGCGCAAGATCGATCTCGTTGGCGTTACGCAGGACACCTTCGAGGAGTTCCAAGTCTGGCTCTACACTCGCAAGCTCGACTTTGAAACTCTTCGTTTCGACACTATTGTCGACCTCTGGATCTTCGGTGATCAGCACCAAATCCCTCTCCTCCAAAATTATACGATTGATGGCCTATTCGACAAAAGAGTCAAGGAGAATGCGTTTCCTACATACGTGATACCATGCATTTATGACAACACTCCGGCGGACTCCGCGCTTCGCAGAGCTGTCATCGAGATAGCTTCTTCGCTCTCCCTTCAGGACCGCGAAAGAAATACCCTGAACCCAGACAGGTGGTCGGTCGAGAGTCTGACTGACCTTGTGCGTGTACTCGACGCCCGTCCCAAAGACCTCAAGAAGTATACACTGCCANAAAGAGGCACGTGCTTCTTTCACGTTCACGGCAAGGACGAGCATTGTTGAGATCTCCGGCACGACCAACAAGAACACGAAGACTTTTCTGAATCCAATCAAGGTATGATAGAGCCTTGTCCGACAGGCTGAGATCCCGTCTGACATGTCCAAGGAATAGCAGCTGAGCTCATAATTTTACCATCAGTCACTGTATTCACTCGCCAGAGGCAGAAAACATATCGAGGAGGGAGCGTTTCCAGGTCAGCACGTTCATTCACTTTTACAGAATGCCACACAATATTTGCTCCTGCAGCGTCATAACTGTTTTCGGAGAGTTCACACAACTTGCTTGCAAACATGCCGCTTCCTTCCCTCTCTCAATATCTTTTGGCCGATAATGCCATCGCTTGGTTATCTTTGCTACATAATAGATTCACAGCTGATAGGAGTGAGAAGCTGCTCCAATGCTCTCTCGCGTTGTCATCGTCATAGATAGTTGTGTTTGACGCTTTTTGAGGATGTAAGATGATCTGAAACCATACCGGACGCTCAGTGAGACACCATTAATGCAGAGAAGAAAGTCCTGCTGCTCCACTTCATCCACATAGGAAACTTCTGGACCCATATCTGGTTGTCACTCACCGAACTGACTCACTCTGCTAAATTGTCTCACTGTGCGTCGCACTCACACTTAAAGAACATCGCGAGTCCCGCGACCTCTTCCACTTTTTCTTATCAACCCTCAACGAACATCCTATCATCATCTGGTTGTGCCCACTGTCACCATCAGGAGCTCTCCATCTGAGCATCAGCGTCGCTATGTCAACGCAGGAGCAGCAAGGTGCATCTGCGCCATCGACAGGCGCTGTCTCGGTGCCCAGCAAGTCTCCTACAAGGTAACACTACAGCCTGAGCGCAAGTTCGATATGCTTACTATCANATAGCGAGTACTTTCAAGGAATGGTCACGATCATTGTCGGCCCTGACAAGAAGGTCTTTACAGCTCACAAGTACCTGGTGTTCTTCTACTCCGACTACTTTCGTGCAGCCTTCAATGGATCTTTTGTCGAAGCAACTCAAAACAAGCTCGAACTTTTCGACGTCGAGCAAGAGGTGTTCGCGAACTTCCATTCCTGGCTCTACAGCCGCAACTTTCTTTCTCACGACGACTGTTTACGTTGCTTCCGCATTCTCTTTATGCTCTGGATCTTTGGCGATCGCTTCCAGGTGCCCATGTTGCAGAACTGTGTCATTGATGAGATCTTTTCCAAGGTGAGACGCGATCTCATGTTTCCTCTCGGCCTGGCTGCGTTTGTGTATCAGAACACTCCAGTCGGATCGCAACTTCGTAAAGCCGTCGTGAACATCATCGCATTCAGGATGGACGTTGGAGATGGCGAAAAGAGTGTCATGAAAGCAAATAATTCTCAGCACTACACCGTTGAGATTCTTCAGGATACCGTCAGAGAGCTTGACAGCGTCCGTGGAATCATAGTGCCTGTGGGAAAGCTGCCAAAGAGGGACCAGTGCTTCTTCCATGTCCACGGCAAGGGTGAACACTGTTGAGTACCAGCAAATGCCTGTCGACTCTTTCTCCCATCCTGATTAAAGCGAAGTAAGCACACCTAACATACACTTGGTTACAGTCAAGCTAACATAGGATAGCGACAGTTGAACCCACGACGCTAGGAACGCTCGCCGCGATCGACAACCAATGCCACACAATTACACAAGCAACATCCGGACTCATCCCATGCCTGACATAGCTCATTTTCTTCAGTTCAACTTGGCGGAACGTCAAAGCATTGGGGGTGACAACGTTACAATAGCACACTCGTTTACATGCACGCAATTCTACACTCTTTCCTCGGTGCCAAAGTTTGTCACTGCTGCCTTCATCTGTGACTGGTACTGAGCAATACATACGCCATTGATACCAAGTACTCTGCACTGTGTTCTATAGTCATAGCACTCTTCGTTTTCGCTCTTCAGACTAATTTTCGACTATGATCCATTTTCTCTCTCTTTTTCTTCTTTCTTCTCCTTAGGGGTTTGGGTGGTCAGGGTCGTAGCCTCGATAGGTATCTTGTACATCAAATCGTCAATTTCTCGACAATCACTAACCTTATGGTTTCCAAGTTGTAGTTGAGTCGATGAATTAGTGCCTCAGGACTAGCTTTATATGTTCTTGAAGATGTGGATCAACAACGTGGCTCAAAAATCGAGAAACTTATTACGTATCAAGCTCACTCTGGGCAATCGAGTCGATACCGATGTTTGTCTCTTGACCTCGAACCAAATGAACACATGAAGAGCCAGAATTCGATAGACCCAATGGACTTATATGATAGATCTCTTGTTTAGGTGAAAGCTAGTTTGAAGGAACCCAAGCAAGCGGCGGAGCGACTGACCAATCTCAATATATTCTCTCAATCCCAAATGGAAGTACAAACAGCATGCACAGACACGTGAACCTTGGACACTAGTGTACATGGCAAGGAGGTATATGTGAACAAAAGATGAATTAAGCACTATTCATTATAAACCTCAACCAAATATGAAAGAAAAAGCCTTCATAGATTCTCGACACATTTTCCACCTACTCAGGGACGATTTTCGCTACGGCCCGCCAGAAATCACATCTATAACCCCTTCCTCCCTCCCAATCATACGCATTAACAACCTCAAAGTCATTCGTCAAACCAGGCCCCTGATAAACAGTAGCATTAATACCATTCACCCCAATAGGGCCATAAACCTCATGTCCACCAGTCTGATTAAGATTAACCTGCACAGGATTCCAGACATTGAAGCGAGGGTAATTGACAGCAGCTTGGCCACCAGCACCGGCAATGTTTGAGGGGATCGAAGGGTTGGAGTTTACGACGAATTGGCCCCAGATGGACATGAAGGCGCGCTCGAATTCGGGGCCTTGGGTGGGTGCTGCGGGGCCGAAGTAGCCGGAGACGTCGGCGCCGTGTTGGGCGACGGGGATGGAGTATTGGTAGTGGTAGGAGGATCTGTCGCCGGTGTAGGCTTCGGCCATCCAGTAAGAGGGGCAGACGAAAGTTGTCTCGGCATAGATGTTATCGGCTCTCTGTTGTTGGCCAGTGGCTACGGAGGATTCATTGATGGCTGTTGGACCTGAGTTGCCGAGTGTTGCAAAGTCGACTGCGGAAGGCGAGTCTGTGGCGTTGGAGCTANNGGGTCTGATGTTGTGTTAGCGTTCAGAGCGAGAATGAAGAAGGAGAGGATGCTCACAGTAGCGGAGGATCCTGGAGATATCGTCGTTGCTGAAGAGAGGGAAGGTGAGTTCCAACCAAGCAACGAGATCGGCCTCGGTGTCGATGTTCTGAGGGACGAACAGAGGACCTTCGTTGGCGTTGTTACCGACAAGAAGGTTCTGTCCATTCACCTTCTTCTCCAAGAGCTGCTGACTAGGCAGTTGCTGGATGAACACATCATCTGTGACAGGCAAGAAACCCCAAGTACCGAAATTTCCAGAACCTGAAACGTTGAAACTGGCGTACTGCAGAGTTTCAGTGTCTTGGTTAACCAGACATTCGAAGATGGTACGAGAAGAAGATCCATAAGCAGTGTTAGGCATGCAATTAGCCAAACCTGCAAAAGCGTAGTAAGACTGCGAGGGGACCCAGTCGTTGTAGCCGTACTGCATAGGCAAGTAAGGAGAAGCTGCAATGGCGTTCTTGAACAACGAGGTGCCCAGAGTGCCACCATAAGCCATGCCTTGCAGCATAACAGAGCCACCTCCAGCTGACTCGCCTGAGATGGTCACAGAGCGTGGGTCACCTCCAAAGGAAGAGATGTATTCCTGGACCCACTTCAGGGCAAAGGTTTGATCGAGGATACCAGCATTGACAGTGCCAAAGCGATCGACCTCGTCTGAAGAAAGGAAACCAAAGGCACCAAGACGGTACTGAATGGCCACTCCAATGAAAGAGTTGTTGTTAGTGTTGATGATGGCTTGCATGTCTTGACGGCCATTGCCGAGTCCATAACCTCCGCCATGGATCCAAACGAGTACTGGAAGGTTCGTTGTATTCTCCGGAGCATAGACGTTGAGGAACAGGCAGTCCTCAGTCGAGAGTGTGCCTTTGCCTCCTGATGAAGGACTCTGAGGACACTGGGGAGCATAGCTGTTGGCCTGAATGACCTGACTACGATTCTCTGCAGGAGGTTGTGGTTCTTGCCAGCGCAGAGATCCAACAGGAGGTGCAGCAAAACGAACACTTGGAGCCAATTGTTAGCATTGGGATCGAACGGCAAGGAGTCTGTTGACATACCCGCGCCAGATGTTGATGCCTGTGGTCTGGTTGGTGAAGCCCTCGTAGACCTCGTAACCAAGATCGACTTCTAGGTTACTGTTGCTAGTGGTATTGCTGGACTGTCTTTTGGCCTTGAAGTGTTCAAAAGGTTGAGCAGGCACAGCGGCACTGGCAGCCAAAGAAGCTGCACCTAGGAAGGCGCCAACGAGGGTCGAGAGGGAAGGCATTGAACCGATAGAAGAAAGCACCACCTACATGGCAACACCTGGGAAACAGCTATCCTACTTATACTTCAGCTCACAACGGGTAGCAATGGTCCGAATTGCGACGAGCTACTACCCCGCCGGTTATGTCTCTTGATCCGTTGCATGGGCACTAGAGAGACGAATAGCCGTGGAGTCCGTGATTCCATACGAGGACGGGCATGTATGCAGCAGGTGCGGAGGTCAGTGTCAACAAAAGACGGCACACCACATTGATGGGACATGCACCCCAGCCTGATCTCCCGTCCACGCAAGGCATCGGCGGAGATACCAGCCATGTGCCGTAGCATGTAACCATACCATCGGCCATCTGAGACATTTGACGTAAAAAGTTCACCAGCCCTAGAATAAGTCGTCGGCAAGAAGCACATTGCATGGCTATCCTAAGTGGACATTTGGCCCGTATGTCCGTCGTCGATAGTTCGCTGTGACTAACATGCAAGTCCTTGCTTGTGAAGATGATCCCGACGCTTAATAAACAGCACGCGGTGACTGGGTAAACACAAGGTGCATTTCACCCACGTCATGACTGCCAACCCCACTTCCCCAGTTTTTGGCAAAAAAGCCTTCCATGGGACATGTTTGATGGAGCTTGGAGGTTGGCTGACAAACATGGCGGGGCCGCTATACAAACCTTGGTTGACCAGTGATGTCTTTCATCCGAAATCGGTGGAGCGGTAAAAAGACGCGTTCCTGAGCTAGCAACTAGCTATGGACTACCAGACGGATCGCTGACATCCGTCAGGCACACCAAGTCTTGTTTCATAGCGTGGATTTGTGAACATTATCATGCAGGCCAAAAGATAGCATTGCATAGAGGATAGAGAAATATCAGATGTGGGTATGGGTTGGCAATACTTTTCGTACTCCGAATCTTTCCATGCTACTTGCTTTACCTGCTCTACCAACTCATCTATCAAAAAACCCGCTAAGAGCAATAAACATAATGCAACAGCATTAGCTCAGCAATCGTTCAAGATCAGCCTCAGGTGTGAGAGTCTAGTTCAATAACTCTCTTGATGTTCTTGGCCACTTTCTATAGTGATCCATTAGGTTGTTGGGCTGGAGCTTGCATTGCAGCTTGAAGTGCTGCACTTCCCATGGGTGCTGTCTGCGCCGCCAGTCCAGATTGAGGTTGCATGGCCAGTGCTGCACGCTGTCTCTCCATCATCACTCTCTGTTGTTCAGCAGTCAATGTACTGTGGAAGCCAGAAGGCCCAACTGCTGAGGGTGTGTTTGGGTTCGGAGGCTGGGCGAATGTCGGTGTTGCGCGGCCAGAGGAAGGTTGTGGTTGAGAGGCTGCAAGATTCTGCGGACGGGATTGATAGGTTTGTTGTGTTACAGGTGTACTGGCAGAACCATAAGTAGGTCGCGTTTGCCCATAGTTTTGTGGGGTATAAGCAGCGCCAGTAGAAGCACCGTTGGCAAAGGTCGAGGCAGTGGTGCGAGGGGCATAGGTAGTTTGAGGGACGTTAAAGCCTTGACGAGCAGGATTGGAAGGCTGAGGAGTCTGAGTGCTGTACTGCGAGGCATATGTCGGTCGCTGCTGACCATAATACTGCGTGCTGAAGGACGAGCGGCCATTGCTGCTAGTGTTATAAGTGTTAGGGTAGCTGGCACCCGCACGTGGGGCAGTAGCAGGTGCATTGTAGCTCTGTGCAGCACCGCGATAGTTTGCGACCGGAGTCCTGGAATTGTAGTAATTCGCTGATGCGCGACTGGGAACAGATGGTGTGCGTCCGTATGAGGCGGTGGGGTCTGGTTTCTGGGCAGCGGCAGCCTGCATAGCTGAGGAGCGGATCACGCGAGTCAATTGGTCTTCCTCCATGGTTCCACGGTACTCCTTGCCCTGAATGACAATGTTCTTCTTGACGGCCAAGTCAGCGAACTTGTCGCCATCGAGTTTGGCAACGGCATAAGGTGGAAGCTTGGAAATCAACTGGGCTAGTTGCGATCGCAGAGCTCTGTAGGTTTCGTTCTCTTCGGCTGATGGAGCAGTTGCTGTACCGACCATGGCACTCAACAGTGGACTGGGACTTGCTGGGTTGCGCGAGCCAGTGGGAATGTAAGAGTTGCGAATCCGTTGATGTGATGATAAAGCTTTCAGAAGGTCTGAGATTTCGACGAGCATCTGTTCGACTTCGCGCTCTTCTTCATTGATGGTGGACACGACTTCAATTTTGTTGGGCTTCAAGGCGTCTTCATCGAAATCCTCGATGGCCTTCTGGATTGCTTCAAGGTCGTCTGCACCCAGAGTGTTTTCAGCTTCTGTAACAGAGGCCTGCTTGGCTAATGCCTCGGGATCGTCGATGAAGGGCGATTCCTGCAAAGCCGGATCGAGAACGAAGTGATCATCAAATCGTCTCTGACCCATTCTGTGCCACCAGACCATATCCTTTGTTTCTTTGGCCACCAAAGCCTTGGAGTTGTCCTGGGTCGGAGCAAAGCCCGAATATGCGGCACGGAATAGAGCAGTCTCTTGAGCGATGATGTCGGCAGGGGTTACTTCTTCAGTGGGCTTCGGTTGTTCCTGGCCATTCAGAAGACTTTCCCTCCGCCTGCGCTTGATTGCAGATGCGGATTCCTTGATTTCGTTGGCACCATAGCCTACCCAGGTTCCCACGGTCAGGGGTTGTAGAGTGTATCCGGCCTTTCTCGAGGCTTTCGGAAGTTCACCACGCGTCCATGAAATTGTAGTAGACTTGGATGAGGAGTGTTTAGTCGGCTTGGGAGGGTTGAGGGTTGGCAGAGTTGCAGGCGAAGGGAAGACATCGGCAAAAGTAGGATTGGCCTTTCGCGTGACGAGAGCGTCGTTGGAAGATAAAGGTACGACTTTGGTGGCAGAGAGCATGGCGGGTAGGCCGAGTTCCTCGATAGAGAGGCCAGGAGCTTGTGTGGAGGCGTTTGAATGTGGCAGACTCGAGAAGAGTTGTCTCGCTTGGGGAGCATTTCCGTACAGACTCAGGACGGTCTTCTCAGATTTTGTCGCAAGCGAATCTTCGTCCTCCTTCTTGATGGGCACCTTCACATCCTTGGGTCGTTCGCGATCTAAACAGTCCTTGATGAGGGTACGGAAATTTGAGAGGGTGCGCATTGTGGTGACATCCTGGTTGGCAAGACGTTGGGCGCTCTTGGTGGGATCCTTAGCCTTCAGTGGCTCGACGAGGGTGTCGAGAGCGTGGTCCAGATCATGCTCGAAGTCGTCAAGACTTTGGTAGAGGTTGTTCTGCAAGCGTAAAGCGATAGTGTTTTGATCGTCCTCGTGGTCAAGTTTTGGACGCTTGGTAGAATCGCCATTGGTGTGAGAGAGTCGCGACGCGTTTGGAAGTGGCAGGTGCAAGACTGAAGGCTCGGGATCGTTNTCTATCATGGTTGTCAGTATGAGAAAGTCAAGATGGTTGTTGATGGACGCGACGAACGTCTTCAGAAGCTCCCAAAGGTCTTGGAACAGCTGTGTCTGTGTCTGTGGTTGTGGTTGTTGGGTGTTCTCGGACTCGTGGCGCTTTCGCTTGATGCCAGTGGGCGAAGATTCGACTGGAGCAGTTGGGTGCTCGGCGACGAGGTCGCCATTGCTTTGGTGAACGTCAGTCATGGTGATGTCGCCGGGATTGGTCCCCGCGTCTTTGGTCGCAAAAGTCGCAATAAGGGAAGACGCGTTGTGCTTTGGATTGGCAGCCGCCCCAGCTTTTGCTCAATAATAAGCTCGCAATAATACAGAACGTCGATTGTTGGACCGCTTCAATGGCAGAGCTCAATAGCGACAGCAATTCGATGACAAGACAATAAGAACAAGAACAACCATTCCTGCGACAACCTGATCTCTCTCTACCAACTCAGACGTGGCCCTTGCGTGCAGCGGCTCTCTCCGCTCCCGCTTCGGCATCGACGGCTTTTGCTTTGTTTGCTTGGCTCTCCGACCTGGTCGGAGGTCGACATAATTTTGAACAGCTGGAGCAGCTACGGAAGCAGACTTGTTGCGCACGACCTGATGAATGCCAGTTGTTGGTGCTCTGTCCCTCGGTAGACGGGCCCAATATGCTACTCGAATCAATCATGCTTGTTCCTGGTCGTTTGGCAACAACGCCCGTCGCTCCTTCTCCAACTACGGCCATGTAAAGAGTGAGCACCTTCCTGCTGGCAAGCAGCGGTCCTTGCTGCGTAAAATCGCCGACGACTTCCCTGTGGACCGCTCTGCTGCTGCCCATTTCCATTCAACTCGCCAAGGTCAAGATGGTGTCCTCAAGCCATCGACATGGCACCTCTCGTCGACTCCTGGCCACGACGCTCTAAAGAAGATTGTCGACCGCCGCTTGCAACTCCTGGCCGCCTTCGAACTATCTGACAGGTCCGAACCATCCAACAAGCTCGATCCATCCGGCACGCCTGATGATACGACCATCTCATTGTCCAAGCAGGAACATGCTGTTCTCCGTTCCTTGGGCTACACACAACATCACGTTGACTATTACTCCAACATCCTCTCTACCAAAGACTCGCTCCTAGCTGCTCGCTTACTCACAGGCACCCACGTCCCTCCATTCTTCGTCTATCGTGACTTCCTCGCCCGAAAACACATCCGCCCTGAGGCTCTCGGTCTTCTATTGGAGCATTTGCCTTGCTGGCACCCCGATACACCCCAACTGTTCGATCGTCTTGTGCTTCCAGTCTTCAAGAGCTTGTTGTATCATTGCCGTCGCGTCTGGCCTGCTTCTATTCCCCTCATGGCTACTTGGCTGACCCAGCAACTCCGTTTGTCTGATGACCGTCTCCGTCGTTTCCAAGAATCCGCCATATACGATGATGACCTCTCATTCGTCTCGAACTTGACTGCTCAGTACAACCACGCCCTCCATTTGCTTTCTCAGCCCTCACACATCTCTCCCTTCAAGAACATCGCCTTTCAAGAGGCTGCCCAAGCCATCATTCTCAAATACATGGCCGATCATACTCCTGCTCTTGCCATCGATCGGATAGGGTATCGCGCCGTCGTACGCGTCCAGCTGGCCACTAAAAAGACTTCGTCTGAGCGAGAATGGGCCAGGCTCAAATCCCCCTCCTGGCCTCCGTGGAAGGNNGAAGATCGCACTGGCATGGATGCACGTATTGATCTTGACTATGGTGTCAGTCGTGCTCACCAAATCTTGATCAGGATGCAGGAGGCTGGTTATCCGCTCCAAGGATGGGATCAGGTTGCCATGATTTATGCCGGCTGGGACACAGATCGCAGTCCGACGATACAGAAAAGGATATTCCTGGACAATGTGCCCGAGGATAGGATTGTGCAAAGCCTCTGGATTGCTCGCATCAAGACGACTCGTACAGCTCAACAAGCATGGGCCTGTTTCTTGGCTTATCAGGATGAGAACCTACCTTCTGACCACCGCATCTATCATGCCATGTTCGAAGTCTTGATACAGGAGCGTAAAAGAGTTCGACTCGGCCCTGAGAACATTGGTCATGAAGTCGATGACGATGATATGAATCCTTTGTATCCAGGCGATACCATGGAGATTGGTTCACCTCCGTCATCTGCTCATCAGTTGACATATATTCGTGCCGAGATACCTTCAGTTCAACAGCTCTACGACCACATGCGCGAAGATGGGAAACATCCTTCCGACGACACACTGGCTATGCTTCTAGACAGCGCTGAGACTCTCGCAGAGGGCTTACTGTATCTCGAGACCGGCGCCGAAAAATATCGCATCGCTGTTGGCGCCCTCCTACATGGGTCGAAAGATTATCAGGCTTTGCATGTCTTGCCTGATCACTTGTTCGCGGCATATATACGCCTTCTCTGCCGCTTTCCTCATACTCCACTTGACAGAGAACTGACGCTGCTTTGGCGCTACGGCACCATCGTCAAATCCAATTTCGACCTTCGACAACCTCTGGCTCGCGCTCTCTACCTGCTTGTTGAGCAGAAACGGACACATCGTCCATCCTGGAATTGTGTGTTCGCTGCATTGGCTCGTAGATCTGCGCCAGCCTTGGCTTCGAGCTGGCGATCTCTGCATCTTCGAGGCGACGAGTCTCTAAAGGCGGAGAACGAGTTATACGACAAGATCTTTGCGTTCAATCTTGCCCGCCAGGTTGATGAGACCATGTGGGAGAATGATCTCACGCTAGACGAAGATGGATTCCAGAGCATCTGCGTCATCACTGAGCATGCGGCTAGCGCTGTCCATGTTGTTTTTCAAAAGTATGGATATAACCCAGAATTTGCTCCCAAAGCCACTACTGGCCTCATCAGGAATGCGACCGCAATGTTTAGAGACGGCCACGACTGGTTGAGAGAACAATTCCGGACCTTGATTGAAGGCGAGAAGGCTTCCATGTCAATTATGCCGAAAACAGTAAATTCTACAGTCAAGCTGCCTAGTTTGTACACAGTTCCCCGTCCGGCCCTACTGCACGCTTATGTTCGCGCTCTGGGTGTTCTGCGCGATTACGATGGCCTCTATGAGCTGGTCCAATGGATGGCTAAACATCGAAGCGAGCTTACCAAGCGTTGTGCTATGGATCGAAGAGGCCACATCTTGATGCGGAGAGCGCTGATTGCTTTGCGCGTGTTTGTAGAAGATCGATGGGATCCCCCAAAATCTGATCTTGAAGAAGAAGAGACTCCTCCTTCCGCATCACCTGAACAAATTGAGCAGATCAAGAGGGTTGTGGAATCGGTAAAGCAATGGGGCGGGTGGCCGTCGGACGAAGAGGTTGAGATGTATGTTGAGTATGGTCATGGTCGAGGAGATGATTGATGAAAAAACGGAATGGTGCTTCTGAAGTCTGATTGGTGATTGTACATATACGCTTCGGTTCTGTGTAATTATAGTGTGGCTCGGTTGGTAGAATACAAAAAGTAGAAGGAGGCTGGTGCATATTTAGGATGTCTGGATACATATGTATAGACACGGCTTACGACAAGCAATTGGCTGTATTTGTACAACAATGAATTTATCATTCTAGTATACACTTCCTGTCCAGCATTCAGACCCCATCGCTGTATTACCCTAAAAGCAAGACTCTTTCTCCCTTACCCATTCCCTTTCCCACCTTGAACGCCTTTTGCACCTCCCTGCCGCTTTGAGACAGTATTCACATGACCAGATACTTCTCAGCAATCTTCCTGGCCGCCTTTTCATTACTGTTCATAGCAAGAATATGCATCAACGCAAACGCCGCCTCCTGCGTAAACTCCTCCGGATCCACATCTTCTCGCCCATCTTCCTCGCCATCACTTTCCTCTTGTCTCTTTTTTTCTCTAGCCTCTTGTCTAACTTTATCTGCCAACGCCAGACACTTTTCATACTCAGGAATAGCCAAATGCATGATTCCCAGCAAATGCCAGGATCGACCTACATTATACACTGCTTCCTGTTCATGAATCGCTTGTCCTGTACTCAAGCGCAAGGAAACGTATCGCTGTAGAAAAGCAACACCTTGATAGATTTGCCAATGGCGGTTTTCTGCTTGTCGTTTCATTGCCATTTGCATGTAAGCAGTTGCTATACATAGATTGATGGAAACGTTGTCAGGATCCAATGTCAAAACTCTGAAATAGTAATTTAGTGCTGACGTCCAAGATTGCGCTGCTGCCATGATGTGTCCATACAGAGAAATAACGCCAGCATCAAGGTCAGGGNNAAGACCATAAGGATTTGCATCGCGTTTTCCAGCATGAGTGTAGGAGGATCTCTCTTGGCCTGTAAAAGCATACAAAGCGCGGGATTCTGGATCTAGAAGAGCGTAGTCTAGGGCTTTTACTTGGCGCAAGATGAATTTTTGGGTGGGTCCGCTGTTGAACCAGTTACTGTAGCCAGCGAAGAGACGGTTTACGGCTGCGAAGAGTTGGTATGCTGCACCGCTGTGTGGCCATTCGATGATGAAGAATCTTCCTACTTCGCAGACTTTTTGCTCGTCGTTGAGGAGAAGGGCGCATGCCATCCATGTAGCATGAATCTGCGTTTTATGCGCCAAACTGTGGTAAAACACCGTACAACTAAACGCCGTCGTCAGAACCTCATAGCATTTTTCCCGATCAGCGGCTTTGGCGAGCAGTAATGCGTATTCGCAAAACATGTCTAACCACTCTGTAAACTTTATATCGTGGAAGTTGTCGGGGATGCTTTCGTCAGGGACTTGTTCTTCTACATCCATGCCATCTTCTGCGATGCGCTTNTTCATGGCTTCCATTTCGGCAATGACGGGGTTTTTGGTGTTGCGTCCGTAGCCAGTGAATTTGATGTGCTTGTCGCGGCCTGGGTAGAAGGCTCTCACGGTCTTGAAGTCGTCGATCATTTCTTGGGCGGCTTCGAAGTAGGTTTGTAGGGCGTCTTCATCTTCGTCTAGGGTCTCTCTGGCTGAGTTGACCAGGACGTGGTTGGCTTTGATACGCTGGTCTTGTTGTTGGAGACGTTCGAAGGTTTGGGACACACGGCCCCTGGGAGCTCTGGATTTTGCAGCCTTTGGTCGACCGCGTTTGCCTGGACGGAAAGCGATGAACCGCTCATCATCATCGTCACCCTCATCTTCGTCTTCTTCTTCCTCGTCTTGCCCTTCATCCTGGTAGTCACCATCGTCACCATCCTCAGGCATGGGACCCAGGGAGTAATGCCTAGAAACTGGACCTGCGACTCTGCTTGGTGGAGCGGATTGTTCAGGTCGGGGCATGAGAGGCGCAAGAGCTCGCGGCGGAGGCGGCTTATCGACAGTAATCTTGGCCTTCTTCACTGCATCACTTCGGCCAAGCCTAATGACCTCGTGTACCAGTGGAACAGCCTCTGCCATTCTCTGCTCAGCTTCATACAGTTTAGCCAACGCGATACGCGACTTGATGTCTTCTGGATCGTTATCGACAATGAACTTCCAGCAAGATTCTGCGTCTGCGTTGCGATTGAACATCATGTAGCAGTCTGCGAGCTTCATGTAGTAGTCGTGATCGCATGCTTCAGGCACGAATCTGATGGGCTCGTAGAAGATAATGGCCTCTGCGTAGTAAGTCTGCTCGATCAAAGCCTCGGCAACATCCCTGAACAGATCAAAATACTCTGCAATCTCGTCCTTGAGGTCGAGAAGTGTTTGGAAGTGGCGCATGGCCTCAGGGAGATCGGCTCTACTGATCTTGACGCGGAAGAGACCAAGTTTGACGCGCAGTTCCAAAGGTAGACCTTCACCGTACATCTCTTTCTTGTTTGCATATCGACTGTACTTGAACTCCGGAATCTGTATCCTTCGAGGCACGTCGTCATTGTCGAACTCTCTGTCATCGCTTATCACGTTGTCCCAGAAAGTGTCTTCCTTTCTTCCAAGCAACCATCTTGAGAGCTTCTTCAGGTGGAAAGCTGCTTGTGTAGGATTTTCGCATTTCTCGACCAGATCAAGGTAGACATTGAGATGAGACCATTGCGTCTCAGGAACACCGAGAGATCTGCCCTTGAAGTAGAAATTGATTGCCACATCGTAGGCATCTTTTGCACGTTGAATCTCTGGCAAACTTGCCGAGTAAGCACACAGATCGGCATACTGTTTGACGATGTTGAGGTCATGTGGCTTCTGACGAACCATCATCTTGGCTTCTCCTCTTGCTCTCGCAGGTTGCTCAGACTCGAGAAGTAGATTGAGCTTCTCACGGCGAGCATCGTAGTCATCTGGGTCGAGCTTGATCGCCCAGGCGAAACAATAGATGGCTTGTTCTAGAACAGCAGGGGTGCGGTCCTCCCCTGCTAATTCCAGCGTTCGTTCGGCAACAGTCCACCAGAGAGCCGGATCACGTCTCGTGTGAGCACCATGCAAGAGCACAGTCAGCGAATCCTGGTCTTTTCCCTGTGCCAGAAGAATTTCAGACAGCAAACTGTGAGCAGCGAAGATCTCGGGGTTGGCCTTGACAGCATCACGCGCATAATCTGCAGCAGCTTGATAATTGTTATTCAAGAAAGCTTGCGTGGCGAGTGACTGCAATCTCTTGAACTCTGGATCAGGCTCTGCAACAGTGTTTCGCTTGTCACCATTCTTGCGACGTCCTTCTCCACGGGGGACACCATTTCCTCTGCCTCGACCTCGACCGCGACCTCTTCCACTAGCCATCTTGGGATCGTGTTCTGTTCCTTTGATTGCCCATTTCCAGCCACGTCGTCCTCGTCCAGAACCTCGTCCACGTCCGCGACCGCGGCCTTTGCCACGACCACGGGATCCTGCCGCAATTTCCTCGTCCAAAATGTCGTTCAAAATGTCGGAGTTGATGGACATGTCATCTGAGCTGTCACCGGCTGCATCAGACATGGCAAAGTCAGGGTCTATGCGAGGATTGTCTCTAACATCCAAGAGTTCGCGTTCGACGCTGTTGAGACGGCTTCGCTGAGGTTGGAGATCTTCTTCCTCGAACTCATCTTCGTAGACGATGTCATCTTCAGGGCCAAACTGGTCGTTAGGACGAAAGTCTGAGTGAGAGCTTTGAGGGTTCAAGACAAAATTCAGACCGTACTGCGCCTGTAGAGCACCATAACCAGCACTGGGATCCTCATCAACATCAGAATCGACATCCATGTCATGCCTAGGCATGAAACCCTCATGCATCAAAGGTTGAGGACCACGCGGCATAAAACCTTCATGCATAAGAGGTTGAGGCATGGGAGGATAGAAATCCTCTTGCGGTTGAGCGTAGGCATAGCTATAAGGATCGGTCTGGTGTGAAACTTCAGGGTAGGGAGTTAGATGGTAGCCAGAAGCAGGATCCGGGTAGGAAAGATCGTGTTGTTGGTCGTTCATGATGGATGGATCTTTCAGCTTCCAGCAGATTTATCAGAGCCTAGTTTCCTTTTGCGTACGCACTCCATCAAAGGTCGAGAAACCCAGTGCGAATCAGATAGATTTGATGCTGGCGTATGGTCGTAGAGTTTTGTGACGACGGAAATAAAAAGAAGTGACCGAGATGGTCGCGTCAAATTCGAGATAGCATAGCGGGGCGGTCGCCATCACGATAGCAATCATTTACTTCGCGTTGCCATCCAATATCGAGTCTTGGCGGTGTATCCATCACGAGCAGCAGCAGTGAAAGGCAATTACGATAGTCAGAGATTTGGTGGACAATATGTGATTTGGGTTCATTCGGCGTGATATTGGTACAGTATTTTACATATGATACAGGTTCGAGACATGACTTGTCCTTGCTCCTCGTCGTTCAACTTCAACTCGAACGATCGTCTTTGCCACGCAAAATGTCCAGAGTCGAGAACGACTAGCCGAGAGGCACCATATAGATGATGGTATATCGGAAAGTGGTGAATCGAATGCAGCGATGTGAGGGCGGCTTGGAGAGGGTGTATGCGACGTCTTTGAGAGGCGGGGGTATGTTTAGTGTCGACGAGAGGATTACTTTTGCTGAACGGCAATGTCGCTGGCACCTTCGCCTTGTAGTCTCTTAAGTGTCTGGTCGCGCTGGTATTCCATGACTCTTCGCTTCTTGAAATATTGAACNCTGGCGCAAAGTCAGAGGGTGAGTCGCACATAGTATAGGATAGAGCAAAGACTTACCCAACTCGAAGCACAGTTCTGGTCAAACTTGGTCGACTCAGTCGCACAGAGACTGTCTGCCTTCTCAGCTTGCTTCACGCTGTCGATGATGTTGTTCTTGTCGAGGCAGGCAAAGTAAGCGTCGCGAGCCTCCCAGCAGTGTGCACGCTTTGTGCGGTCGGGCGCAATGAAACCACCATCGCCGGATGCCTTTGGTGCCTCGGGGGCATTGGGCTTGTCTGAACCGAACCAACCCATTTTGAATATGTATTGGTATGCGAATATCTCAAAAGTTGATTCGAAGCTCGAAGCGGCGATTGGCAGCTGGAGAAGCGTCGGCGAGTCGGAGTCGACGTCAGCGAGGGTGAGGCTTCGGTGTTTGTTCTTGTCACAAGCTGATGACCTTTTGTTATTCTAAACAATCAACAATAACTTTTTCACACGGAAATGCCTCGTCGAAGGCGTCCTGCTCGTCCAGGTGCTCTCGCAGACCTCGCGCCAAAACGGATCCTCGCCCAGATCGTCATACTACAACTCCTATACTACGCCGTCGCAGCTGCCTTGATCTTGTTCACCACTCTGGTCGCAGGCAGAGACGTTACTGCAGACCTCCTCCTCAGCTGGCGCACTGTCCGAAGCGATGTCACTACAGGATGGATGCTCGGTCTCTGCTGGATGATGGACAGCCTGATCTGGTATGCCGCAACTTGTCCTCGAGTGCCTGTCCCTGCCTTGCTAACACATTTGCGCCAACNNAGTGTCATCTTCCTGCTGCTTTTCATCGCCCGATCCAAACTCGTCCCCGACTTCGCCATTACCATCCACGTCATCAACCTCGTCGTCACCACCTTCTACACTAAAGAGTTGCCGACCCAGCTCTTCTGGTGGGGCCTACAGTTCTGCAGCGCTGCCCTCATGACATTCCTCGGCGTTTGGGCTTGTCAATGGAGAGAGTTGAAACCCATATCTTTCGGAGGAAAATCGAAACAGTCCGCTGCTAATTCCGACCCAGCTGCTGTAGAGGAGGGTGCTGGTTTTGCAAGAGAAGGCAGGGGTGCTGGGAATGATGGAGCTGGAGCATATGAAATGGTTGCCATGTCCGAAAGAGACCACGCTGCATGATGACAATACGACTATCACGACAAAAACCTAATACTAATACAACCTTTCGGGCTTTTTAGTCCACGATACGCAATCAGGATTGCGCCAACCACTCGAGAAGCGACCTTATGCACCTCTCAATTGGCTCAAAAGCATTCGTAACTCTCGACCCCNCTCCCCTCCAGATACAAGGGTGAATTTGCTTCATTCAGCCTCACTATGCCGTCCGCTTCCTGGAACACCGCCTCCAAATTCGCTTGTGTATCGAGGCGCAACCTGTTCGCTCCAGCCGTGATCATGCATGTGACTTGCTGGTGCTTGCGTCTGACGGATGTCTTGCTTGACGACCCTAGCACGTTGGCTATTCGCGCCGATATTGGATGTAGCGGGAGAACTGGATAATCGCCTACGAATCTCTGGAGTCAGATCCGATCGCAGCTCAAGAGCACAGGGAAGNNATGAGACATACGCGTTGATATACGTTTTCCGAGCGGCAGCCAGACATGAATCATCTCATCATCGTCGCTAGCGGTGAACAACAATTCTGCTGATATTGGCATACGGTCAAGATGTTGTGTCAATGGATGCGCCGCATGGTGAGAACCACTCAGCAGTAGAGGTTTTTGATCCACAAGAATTGGTAGACGTAAAGGTAATGCGGCGACCAGGCTGCAAGCAAGCAGGAAAAGGAGTGGACGCTGCATTGCAGTTATATGATCTTAAAATATTTATCAGATTTGTCGAGAACGTTTGGAATTGACAAGAGAGGTTGATGGTTGCACCGCAGGCTATTTCAATGCCTCGACCGAAGGAGTAGTTCAGGCTTCAGCCTTGCTGCAAGGAATGCATGAATGTCCCTTGGGCGCCACGATACATGCAGCTATCTGACGTTTCAGATCCTGATGAGATTCCCGCGTTTCTTGTTGGATACTCGACTGTACCTTGATACTTGTTTACAGCCATAATAGTTCTGGGCCGGCGTATCATGTTGCGCTGGCAATTCGAGAATCACGATCTTTGGCCAACTGAATTTACTAGACCAAACATGTTTTTGACTGGAGATCTCCAGTCATGTCCAACAATACATAAACATCTCTTTCAATGGCCACCCAATTGTAAAGAATAGAATCAACAAATGCGATGACTCTCGAAATGGTATGCTGAGCACAGACCAAGGTCTTGCTTCTGTGCAAGACTGACTTGGATTCTCTCGACACGATCTAAACTCAACTCAAAATTATTTCAACTCGAGTCTTGTGACAGAAAAACTCGGAATGAAGACATGGCGTGGCCTTAGTCAACGCGCCCTCTGGGCAAACCAATCTGTTCGCTGGTCATCAACGACACAGAAACCAGCCAACATTGCATCGCTACTGAAATCTTCTGCCGAGAATATTGAGGAGACCACGCCAGAAATCGAGGTCAATGGCTATGTACGAACCATCAGAAAACAGAAGCGGATAGCCTTTGCTGCGGTTGGAGATGGTTCGTCCTTGCAACCCGTTCAAGCTGTCTTGACGCCGGATCAAGCTTTGTCGTATGTTTAGACCCCGAGTTATCTATAGCGAATGCTAAGTCTGGAAATCTNNAGTCTATCTACTGGAGATGCAATCAGACTTCGTGGTAAATGGCAAAAGTGCCCTCCAGGTAAAGCCCAAACACATGAGCTGCAAGTGTCAGAAGCCACAAAGTTGGGCTACAATGACCCTAGCGTACGTGTCTGCATTGATCTCTCTTGCTAAGCATGAGCTGAAACCCTTCTACAGACAAACCCAATCCAAAAGAAATACCAAAGTCCGGAGTTTCTGAGGACCTTGCCACATCTTCGATCTCGACTTCCTTTCAATGCACTCGTACTACACCTCAGATCACAGGTAATTGGCAGCATCACAAACTTCTTCAACAAGGAAGGCTTCGTACAGACGCATCCGCCAATCTTGACATCCTCGGATTGTGAAGGTGCAGGCGAGGTATTCACAGTATCCTCCAATGCTTCCAAAGACAGCACACAAAAGTCGGACGATGGTGAGGTCGAGCACTTCTTCCGCACACCAAAGTACCTCACGGTATCATCGCAATTGCATCTCGAAGCCCTGGCACAATCTGTTGGAAACGTATGGACTCTTTCACCGACCTTTAGAGCAGAGAAGAGTGACACACCTCGTCATCTCAGCGAATTTTATATGCTAGAGGGCGAGATGTGTTTTGTGGATGACGCCAACCAAGTTATGGATTTGATTGAGAATATGCTGTCGACCATGGCGACAGAATTGCAAGGATCACATACAGTACAGCAGATTCTACAGGCCAAAGCAAATCAAACATCAGAAGAGGCGGCGGAAGAAGGCGCTGTCACTGCAGAAGAGCTCTCCCGTCGCTGGCAAGGTATGGCACAGTCGAACTGGCCTAGAATTCAATACGCCAAAGCCATCGAAACGCTACAGGAAGCCGTCAAGCAAGGCACAGTCTTCCAATTCACCCCATCTTGGGAGGAAGGGTTTCAAGCTGAGCATGAACGCTTCCTAGCAGAGCACTTTGGCAAAGGCCAACCTGTCTTCATCACCGACTACCCCATCGAGCAAAAGCCCTTCTACATGTCAAAAACACCTGGTAGTGATCGTACAGTGGCTTGCTTCGACCTCTTGGTCCCCGATCTCTGTGAATTGATTGGCGGTTCAATGCGCGAGCATGATCTATCTGCAATTCAAAAGGCCATGCAACAGCGCGGTATGCTGCGTGAGTTGACGCCAGAACAGCAAGCAGCTGGTGAAAGCGAGATCCCCGAGCACAAGCTGTTTGAGGGCAAACATGCAGGAGCACTCGACTGGTACCTGGATCTCAGACGCTATGGCAGTGTCCCTCACGGAGGATTTGGTTTGGGCTTTGATAGATTGTTGTGCTACCTGGCTGGTGTGGGCAGTATCAGAGATGTGGTTGCTTTCCCACGCTGGTATGGGCGCTGCGACTGCTAATAGACCTTCGCCTGTGCTATACATCGTCCATTAAACATAGTCTACTCAAACAAACTTCATGTATGACAATTCCAGACTGCAAGGTCAATAAATCTAGCTTCCTTGTGTATGCGCGGATAGCATTTCCACAAACAGTCCGCAAGCGACTTCGGAGAGCTCGCTTTGCTTGTCCCGCCCTGTTTTTTAAGTTATCTGATTGATAATATCTGTTTTCGGTTAATCTATATTGGCGCGGCATGCATGGATCTTCGACTGGTTGCTGTGTTTGGTAGTGTTTGCATGTGTTATCGAGAACAAGAGGATGGACATGCTGCCATCAGTAAAGTGGGATAGCAATGAAATAAGAGTCCATGGTGGTCAAAGGAGGTTCGGACATGCCTCGGTACAAAGAGCTGAACACAAATCGCATGGCAGCTAGCGCGGAGATGGTCTCATAGTTCTCTAGAAGTGCCAAAGAAGGTTTCGCGGGTCACGGCCTCCCGAGGCTTCAGCAGTCGCTGAAGAGCACCGGTCGTCATACGGCAAATGCCATTGTATTGAGCATGCATGGTGGATTGCTCGTTTCCATCTTTTTCCCGGCCAGGCTGTAGAAACCAAAGACAACGAGGTCTCTTTGTTTCCTCTACTCACAGCCAAGCAGCGATATACGTCTCGCAGATCACTAGCACGAGAGGACCAAGCATTGCCCCGAACTGAACGACTCCGGATTTCTGTCTCTCGACACTTTTACAAATATCGGCGCGTCACCACTGGTAACCTTTTGCAAAGCTTCCCAAAGGCCACCACTTTTGCCGCATACACATATAGCGACGACAGCTGTTTCGCGCATAAACGCATACACCTCTTCTTTCTCCTATCACACGCCAACCTGGATTCCCAGAGTCTCGCCCCTACGGTCGGACACATGTCCGTGCAAGAGAAATTGATCCTCGACGAGGACAACGNNAATATGAGTGAGCCTCTTCTGCGAAACGCTTTGCGACGACAAGAATAGTCCAATTGACGACGATATCACTACAGCTATGAGGGCCTGCCGCCAAACTTCAGTCTGGCGGCCAACATGGCAGCCGGTGCTTTCGCTGGTGTCGCCGAACACTCGGTCATGTACCCCATTGACTTGTTGAAGGTGCGTTGAGGAGCGCGGATGGAGTTTGATTAGAGGAGACATGCTGACCTCGAGACCCTCAGANCACGAATGCAAGTCATGAGCCCGACGCCTGCGGCCATCTACACCGGTCTTGGGAATGCGATCGCTACCATCTCACGAGCCGAGGGTTATCTGTCGTTATGGAGAGGCTTGTCGAGTGTGATTGTCGGCGCTGGACCTGCGCACGCCGTCTATTTCGCTACATACGAGGTTGTCAAGCAGCAGATGGGTGGAAACGCAGCAGGCCACCACCCTCTCGCAGCAGGTGAGATTCTGTCATTTTGCTGCTCTGCTTGGTTGGGTGCTGACAAGATGTATANNGCAACCAGCGGTGCCTGCGCAACAATTGCCAGCGACGCCTTCATGAACCCCTTTGACGGTAAGTGGCCGCCTGACATATTCTCATGATTTCTACTAACACAGTTTGCAGTCATTAAGCAGCGCATGCAAGTCCACGGAAGTGTCTACACATCAATCACCCAATGCGCACGCTCCGTCTTCCGCAACGAGGGTCTCCGCGCCTTCTACGTTTCATACCCCACCACTCTCGCCATGACCGTTCCCTTTACCGCTCTCCAATTCACCGCATACGAGTCTATCACAAAATTCATGCACCGCCGCCCTGGCTACGACCCTCTGACCCACTGCACTGCTGGTGGTCTTGCCGGTGGTATCGCTGCCGCCGCTACCACTCCTCTCGATGTTATCAAGACTTTGTTGCAAACCAGAGGTAGCTCCACTGATGCTGAGATCAGAAATGCCAGGGGTCTGTTCGACGCTGCTGGCATCATCGCAAGAAGAGATGGCGCAAAGGGTTTCTTCAGGGGTATGAAGGCTAGAGTTGTCACTGCTGCACCTAGCACTGCTATCTGCTGGTAGGTTTTGCTCCGTCTTCGATGTGTGTCGATAACACCCACTGACTGGTCTAATAGGTCTGCCTACGAGGTCGCCAAGGCATACTTCATTCGCGCCGAGGAAGCCAAATGAACTTGACCGGTTCCATTTTCGATCTTTCTAGCATCTCGACTTTTTCGTTCTCGTTTCTCCCGCGCTCGCGACTGTTACCGGTCCACTCACAATCTCGGTTCCTGCAAGAGAAGGCGTTGATATATTTTGGAGTTGCGCAACGCCTGTGATAAGACAATCGAGGCATAGACGGCTGTTCATTTTCTCCCTGGAGGATTCTCTCTTTTGGACGATCGAAGCGCTTCTTCTCTCTGTTCTACGCCTCTGGTTTTCGTCCACATCCAATTTTCGCGCCGGCCACATCTATCTTGGAGATTGCGCCTGGGCTACGGAAGATCTGTGTTTCTTTCTTGTCACATTTTTCGCAGGAGTCCCGGCGATTTGTCCAAAGACGGTGGTTATGCTACGATGATGTGGAGCGTCATGAGTTTTTCTCAGCCATATAAAAAGACGGCTATTGTAGGATTAGGTGAAGGAGAGGGATCTGGGATTTGCGTGTACAGCAAAAAGGAAAAGAAGGGCAAAATCATTCGAGCAAAGCAAAGAGCAAAACCCCCACGAAACCTTCAAAGACTTTTCTTCTGATTGCATGATTACCTATCTGCCGCTGTTGCAGGAGTATTGTATGAGCGGTTCCTGACGTGAGCAACATGTTTTTGTGTGATGGGTGCTTTTGCACATCAATCCCTGCCATCTCCCAGCCTCTCCCGCGTCCAACCAAGCAGGTTTTCCCACATGTCATTCACTTTCTCCCCTTGTGTACCTGCATCTTTTTGACCTTTTCTTCTCCTCTGCATATTGCTCCATCATTTGAGGCTCTGTTTTTATCAACTATCCATATCTCTGGAAACCGCAGTTCTAGGGATACTGCTGATCTTCAAGGTGTTGACTTGCAACCCCGCCAACCAGCCACTTTACTGGGATTGCCAAGGATATCACAGTCGTCACAAACCACGCCTGTTACTTTGAGCTTCTTTCGGCAACGGTTTCTTCTGACTTTCAACGGGAATTCGGGATAGCCGTTTTGATCTTTGACGGCTTTAACATCTTCGACAATTTCCTGCTCTGAAGGGACGAAGTTGATTATTGCGATTGTTGATCGGCACGGCCTTTGCTTTCACATTCTGTGAGCAATTCAAGGACCTACCTCGAGTGAGAAGCTTCACTTTCGTCGCGAAAACTGTTTTCAAGGAAAATCACAACTTCTGCGCAAATTCACTGGATCTCACTACTCGACCAGAAGCATCAAACCTCACATCAAACCCTTCACTTATCTGAAACTTTCCAAACACTCCACCTACTTCTCTCTGAGGATTTCTTCTCACCAACTCCGGGACTATTCAACAACACAAACAAGCAACAATGGCGCGTACAGAAACCACAGTCTCGAGGGAGCGTGTGACGGTGGTTCGCCGCTACCCTTGGCCTGAAAACCTACTCAACTGGTGGACCATTGTCATGCTCGCAACCGGCGGTTTGATCACCGGAGTCTTTGGCGACTTCATGACTATACAGAACAGAATGGGTTTGGGCACGCCTTGGTAAGTTGTTTCTTCTGTCAGCACACTAGAAAGGAAGTCTTTGAGGGTGTGGATGTTGTGGAGAGCATGATGCTGATTTTAGTGAACTTAGGNNTTGTTTCCTTATGCCGTTACTGTCGGTTCTCTTACTCTTTTCTTCGTTATCCTCATGATCATCTTGCTCGCACAGAAGAAACTCCAACCCGCGTGGGTGATGCTGGGGACTTTTATCCTTATCGCTCTGTTCCTGGCCGGTCTCATCGAAACAGCAATTCAGCTTTTCGGAAATGTAAGTCTTGCGCTGTTCCCCTCTTCCCCATCCTCCTCTTTACTTGTTCTTCTTTGCAGTGTATGAGACTGATAGAGGCTATCCAGGNGCAATGTATCCACCTACTGCAACCGCTACGTCAACAACAACAACATCCGCGGCGTCTCCATCGATACTCTGGCCTGGCTGGAGCAAAACTCCATCTGTTCGCAGTGGGACGCGGCATTTGCTTTCTGGATTATCGGATTGGTGTTTNTGATCTGGATGATGGTTATGGCTGCTCAGGTGAATAACAAGCGTGGTTTTTATGATTGATTTTGTTTTCGTTTGCGTTGTTTTTTCCCTTTTTGCGAAGTTTTGGTGTTTGACGTATTTTTTGTTGCATACCCCCCTTTTTTTCTTCTTGTTCTTTGTTTGTTCTTGGTGGTTGTTCTGATCGGTTTTTGTCCTTCTGCTGTTGGCTGTTTTACGCATGGTCTTGTGAGACTATTATGATACCATAATCGGGGAAGGACATGCCACAGGAATTGTTCTTGATACATACAATGACGAAGATGTCCTCTATATACATACACCAGTTAGTACCCTCTTGGGGTGCTACAATGAATACCTACATCTATATATCTTTGTCTTACGAGACATGCTTCTCGCCCTATTGACCAGTCTGCCAATGGCCGCTGGAGAAGGGAATCATACAACCTCCTGATCCTGTTTTCGAATCAATCTCGTATTTTCGTCTTTTTTCTTCTTCTACAACGTCTTGTTCCGTGTTACCTGTTCTATATTCATATCATCTACTAACTTTCTTGTCTTATAACAGATCTCACATCTCAACTCCAAAACCTCATCATCCACAAAAACGTGGTATTACTTTATCGACAAACCTTCTTCTCGCCACACCTGCTCTTGCAAGTATTCCCACAACTGCTCTTGCAAGCATTCCCACAACACAAACCAAGATCTGAGAGGAAGAAGCGGTCGTACTAGTGGTAGAGCTACGAGGGGAAATAGCTGTGAGGTTGAGGGTGGGGATGGCGGTGGATGTCAAGTCAATTCTGCTTACTGTGATGGTGGAAATACTGGTGGTGGCAAGAGAAATGACGGTGCTGGTGATGGCCGTCCTAAGACACGCGAGATGAGACACGGTAACAGAGAGGGTTGGTGGTGGAGAGCTTAGGTGCGTTGATGAGACAGGAGATTGAACAAGGCGCGACACAAACACCAGATGGAGATGATGGAACGCGAGATTGTATTTGCTGATTGAACCACGACCGAGGAGGGGTTAATTCAAGCATCTTGCCACCAGCTACATCGTTCAGAACCTCTTTGATCACATCCCAGTCTTCTTCAACGCTGGACCTCCAGTTCGAGATGGCGAATCTACATGCTGGCTCTGATTGCCAAGATGTCCCTGATACGTAAATTTTTCTCGTGGCATTGATCCTCCGTACCAATGTTACGTTTAGGTCGGTGTCCACCGCTCTGAACAGGACAATCATGAAGATACTCGGGTAGGTGGCATCGTCTTGCTGCTCCAAAGGAGGCAAGAGTTGGTAAGCATCACTTGCATGCATATATGCAGCAATCGTACGAGCAAGTTTAATTTGTCGCTCAAGCATATCGACAAATCCTTGTTGGCCATATGCGACCATATTCGCATATACTGGCAGTGCTCTAAATCGTCTCGAGTTCTCAATGCCGATATTGAGTGGCGAAGGTACACTACCGGCAGCAGCATTCAGATATGGTGCACCCGGGTTTTGAAATACAGCCGTGGCAAGATCCAAATGACGCGAGAGAAAGATACCGCAATCATAGGGCACATTGAAGAGCTTGTGTGCGTCTGCAGCTATCGAGTCTGCGAGTTCGAGGTTGCTCACACCGCGTTTCAGAAGTTCGTATTCTGGTTTGGATGGGAGGATTCGAACGAGAAGACCGAATGCTGCATCTACGTGTAACCAAGCATCGTATTGATCAGCCAGTTTACGCAAAGCAAGCATGTCATCCGCTTCGGTAGCAAACAGGCCGCTGTTAACTTCAGAGCAAGATATCGAGATGATCGAAGCAGTGTTTTGGCTCTCCTGTAATGCTAACTCCAGAGCATGTAGATTAAATCGATGCGGTGCGTGAGCTGCATGGTTGCCCATATCTCTCACACTAGAGTGTCCAAGACCAAGTATTGATGCTGCTTTCCTGAGCGAGCTATGAGGCATAGTAGTCAGGATCTGAATCTTGTTGATGCCAGCAGCTTGCATAGCACCAAAAAGACCTTGAGACGAAACATCTGCGGTAACACCATTGCGCGCCGCCGCAGTCTTGATGATATGCTCGCGAGCACAAGCAAGGCCGAGAACGTTGCTTGCAGTAGCGCCAGTAGTAAAGGTTCTGTGGTTCCACGCCTTAGGGTCTAGGTCAACCAAGTCGCACACCATGTCCAGGGCTGCAGCTTCGACATCCGTGGCTATAGTCTCATTGGGCAAATGTACTTGGACGTTCTGATCGTACTCGGTAACCATGTTGTCGGCGAAGACGGCAGCAGGAGTTGCGCCTCCAGTCACAAAGCCATAGTAGCGGGAGGATTGGCTGTTCGCATTGAGGGCAGGAGCTACGTCTTTCGTCAGATGTTGTTTGGCAGCATCAAGGCCGAGTCCGGTAGAAGGAAGCTGCCTGTGTAGTTCAAGCAATGACTCAGAAATTTGGGATGCAGATGGGAGCACATGTGAAGGGCTCGATGATGCTTCTGATTCCATACTGGTGCGGTCACTGGGATAATCAGAATCTATGCTGCGTTACAATTCTGTTTGATGGAAAGGCAATATCCACTGTGAGCGGTTGGAATGTTTATATATGCGAAAGCTGCTCCTGCCTTCCGGCTCTGTCCAATCATAGACGTGGTTTGAGAGAAAGTGCTGAGGCCGCTAAGATGAGTGGCTGACAAACTCGCTCCTTCCGATCCAGGAGATGCACGCGAGTTAATCAATATATCTACACGACTACAGAGCTACAGAAGACCAGAGACATGGGAGCATTAAACCCTGCCAGACGGTAGAATGATAATAATAGTAGGCAACTGTCTAGGTGTTTGTCAGAAGCGCTTGGGAGTTCTGACACGGTATGGTAATTCTGTAGACAAGACAAGAATTCACGACTGCTTTTCAACCAGAGGTATGCCCCGACATGGACCACAGAGTAATCTATCAGAGCTCACTATAGGCAATACAACTTCATCTAGAGACGCATTGTGTGTCTCCATAGCTACACGTTGACAATGTCTTGCACACGAAGAAATTGGAAACTCGACCAGGGTGGGAGCGCTGACAAGGGAAACAGCGCCAAGAAATTGGCCGTATCGAGTTAGCTTCAGGCACGTGAGGTCGCGGGTTGTCGCGGGCAGTCGCGTCCGCCGCGATTCGAGATTCCAGAACGAATTAATCGAGCAGGAACAGGCGCCACTCGAGGAAGAATCGATCCATGTCGGAGGAGCAAGACAGACGACATCAATTTCCGTGATGCTCAATGACTAAGAACAACCTCCGCGAGCAGCTTGGATGGTTGCTACAGGAAAAACCGTGTATTCCGAAACACTCGCCTTCGCTACCGCCAATACCTCTGTCTTCTGGACCATCTTCGCAGACACAGCTTTCGCAGAACGTAGCCGGGAATGTCAACTTGCTGCCGACACGTCCTTCGACACAAGCAACGCGTCCGACCACTACATCCATTGCAGCAGAGCGACAAAGACCGAATCCACTCCCGCGTGGCGAGCCCAGTGCGAACATGGCAAGGTTGAGAGCCGCTGCCTCGTCCTCTCCCACTAAACCGAACCCCATTTCCCTGCCTGAGAGGTCATCTCAATCGAATAATAGACCAACCACTTCCAAGTTGTCCAACCGTCTCGATTCGTTTGCTCAATCACCGGCCTCGCGTACTGTTAAGTTTTCGACCACCATGTCTCGAACAACGCCTGCATTGCCTTTTGAGGTTGATACTCTCGACCTTACTGAAGATGCTTTACCCACGCCGGCTCGACTCTTGTCAAATTTGAAAGGCCAAAAGAGAAAGAGCGATGAACACAGGACTGATACATACAACCGCTCGTCTTCGAAAGCCCCTCGTCTAGAGACAATCCAACAACCCGATGACGATGACGATAGTTTCATGTCCATCGATGATTTCGTGGATGATGAACCAATTGGCCCACCTCCTCCATACTCCACCGTCGCACAATCTCCGGCTAAGNCGCCCTGCTCAAGCGCCTGTACCGTCTTCGAGTTCAACCATGGGCCCCCACCACAAGAAAGACGAGTCGAGCGTCAAGTGGTCGATAGCGAAGACGAAGATATGGAAGACGTTCAGGAGAATGTACCTGAGCCACGTCTACCTTCTCCCGTCAAGTTGAAGCAACAATCGGTATCCCCAAAAAAACCATTGCAGACTCCCGCACTCAGACGTGTTGCTGAATCCCCTGCTATCGGCTCGCAATCCCCTGGTCTTGCACCACTCTCCTCGAGTGAAGATGCTCTTATCAACAAGTTCCTGTCCTGGACCCAAGAAGACTTCGAGTCGAAACTGGCCGAGGCTGACAATCGTCACGCACAAGCTACTGACGACTACATGGCGGCCATAGAGTCCCTTGATATTGATGAGGTACCAGCTCATATCACTGAGGCCTATGAGCGGGCAGGCGATGTCGATGAAGCTCTCAAAAGTCTGAAGAGCTCCAAGGACAGACTTGATGCACTAGACTTCGAAATGAAGAACATCTCAGATCTTATGAGAAAAGCTCTACGTGCTCGGCAGAAACCTACCAAAGAGCAGGAGGAAATAAAACAACTCAAACAACGTATTCGCGATACACATACCGATATTCTGCCGCTTCTACAGAGTCTGGATTCTGCTGGTCTCATGTCCACTTTCAAGAAGCCTGCTGCTGTTGCGGTCAAATCGACTCAAGCTGTACCTAGAGCGAAGACCGAGATCTTGCGCAGCCCTGGCCCCGAAAGAATCAAGCAGACTCAGCTACCTAATGGCAGAAATGTCGAAAGCTTTCCTGGTGTTGAGGACACCCCGCCCAGACCAGCGAGAAGAATCAAGCCAGAACCAGATGTGGAGGATCCCAGTGTGATGGAGATTAGTCCACCTCGTCACTTTCCTGAAAGGAACGTCCGCCATATCAACAACCACAATGCTCCTCTTTCACCATCAAAGCGCAATAACACAACTTCGACGAGTCGCCAAATCTCGACAAAACCAACAACCTCGACTAGAGATTTTGCCCAACCTCACAGACAAAGTGACAAGGAGAACTATGGCGTGCCTGACGAATTTGACGAGTTCGAGGAGGAAGACGAGAGCCTCTTCAGCAATATCATGGGTACACCTCCAGCGCAGGTCGTTGATGAAGAAAACTACGATGATGAATTTGGCGACGACGAAGATCTCATGGAACTTGCGACCGAGTTTGAAGATCACTCCACTTTCCATGGCGTATCCCGTCAGTCTCACGATCGATCTGCCATTGTCCCGATTTCAAATGCCTCAAAGTCACGACCAAAGAAAGCCACTCCTGTCAAAAGACCAAAGACGCTCGATGAAGAACTCGGAAACTTCCCATGGACGAGAGAGGTCAAGAAGGGACTTACTCAGGTTTTCAAACTGCCTGGATTCCGATTGAACCAAGCCAACGCGATCAACGCCACACTTGCGGGTAGACATGTCTTCGTGCTTATGCCGACTGGAGGTGGTAAATCTCTATGCTACCAACTACCAGCGATCGTCAAGTCAGGGAAGACGTCCGGCGTCACTCTTGTCGTCTCACCATTGCTGAGTTTGATGGAAGATCAAGTCTCGCACTTGCGAGCGCGGAATATTCAAGCATTTTCACTCACAGGCAACACGACGATGGAGGAGCGCAGGGAAGTCACAAGTACCTTCACGAAACCCAACGTACAGGAATTTGTGTCGCTGCTCTACGTTACGCCAGAAATGTTGAACAAGAGCGGCATGATGAAAACTGCCTTCAAAGATTTGCACCGTAGGGGCAAGCTTGCGAGGATTGTCATCGATGAAGCCCACTGCGTCAGTCAATGGGGGCACGACTTCCGCCCTGACTACAAAGAACTTGGTATGGTTTTGAACGAATATCCTGGTGTGCCCATCATGGCCCTCACGGCTACTGCTACCGAGAACGTCAAAGTCGACACCATTGGCAATCTTGGTATCAATGGATGTGATGTTTTCTCACAGAGTTTCAACCGTCCAAATTTGAGATACTATGTCGACAGCAAGCCCAAGAAATCAGCGCTACTTGACAGGATCCAAGAAATCGTCGAACAAGAACATAGGGACGAGTGTGGTATCATATACTGCCTTTCGAGAAAACAATGCGAAGACGTCGCTGCAGAGCTTCGTGCACGTCGTATTAAAGCTCATCATTATCATGCTGGAATGGAACCTGNNGAAGCAAAAAGCAAGGTTCAGAGGGATTGGCAACGAGGCGAAACTAAAATAATCGTTGCAACCATTGCGTTCGGTATGGGAATCGACAAGCCAGATGTTCGTTTCGTCATTCACCACACGATCCCCAAGAGTCTTGAGGGATATTACCAGGAGACTGGTCGTGCTGGTCGCGACGGCGCCGCTTCCGACTGTTATCTGTTCTATGGTACTCATGACTTGTTCACGCTACGCAAGATGATCGATGAGAACGAGAGTGGCAGCAAGGAACAGAAAGACCGTCAACATGACATGCTTCGCAGAGTTGCCCAGTTCTGCTTGAACAAGACAGACTGTCGTCGCGTTCAGGTCCTTGCCTACTTCGCAGAAAGTTTCTCGAAGGAAGACTGCGACAACTCTTGCGACAACTGTAACACAACTGAAGAGCTGGTCGAAGAGGACTACACTGAGCTTGGCCTTGCTGCTGTCGACCTTGTCAAGGAGATCGCCTCTGTTCGTAATGTCACCCTCCACCAATGTCTTGATCTATTCCGTGGTACTGGTCGTAACCTCGACCCTGAGGATAAAAAGGCCGAGAACTTTGGTGCGGGTAAGGATCTTGAACGAGAAAACGTTGATCGTCTGTTTGGTCTTCTGTTGGCTGAAGATGTCATTCGCGAGTTCTCTGTGTTCAACAAATCAAAATTCGCCAATCAATACATTGGACTTGGGCCAAAAAGGCACATGTTCGGACATGGGCATGGCAAGCAGAAGCTGATGCTCTACGTTCCAGTAGCAGCAGCAGGTGGGAAAGCCACCAAACGAAAGCCAAAGGTTGCGACAGGCACTGGCGTTAAGGCCTCCAAAGCAGCCAAGAAAGGTCAACAGTATCCTTCCACCAATATATCCTCTCCAGTTCAAGCAGGACCGAGCCGGAAGCGCGGCGGGCTCACCCACAATGGTTACGAGCGTGACACCTTTATCGTTGATGATCCTGACGAGGATGAGGACTACGCTCAATCTGATGACGAAGAGGATGAGGACGATTGTTTTGAGCCTCTTCGAACAGAGGCAACTTCTGGCTCTCGAAACCAGAGAAGGCTCGGAGAACCGATCACTAGGGACGAAGCTCTTCATAATCTAGATGATGTCCATCAGGATGTGATTGCGTCGTTTGTTCATGAAGCCAAAGAAAAGATGAAGCAGCTCATGCAGAAGAAAGATTTGCGCCAACAGCCATTCTCTGACACAATGCTGCGCGAGATGGCCGTCATGTTCCCGAAGACTCTCCAAGCCATGAAANAGATTAGGGGTATCGATCATACCAAGGTTGACTACCACGGTACAACCTTGCTTCCTCTGATCGCCCAATTCAAAAAACAACTCGACACGATGATGCAAGGCTCAGAAGACGTGCCATACGATCCTAATCACGCCACAGTCATCTATATCGAGAGCGACGACGAGAAGGACGACGATGACGACGAATTCGGATACGATGGTGGATTCAGTTCCGAGCCCGAGGCCGCGAGTCAAGAAAGATCCTCCTACTTCAAACCCAATGCTGAGGTTGAAGCCTTCAACGCTCGGTTCTCACAGTCACAAGCTGCGCCTCGAGCAGCTGTACCACCACCAACAAGCGCGCCTCCCGTGCCGGGTCTGGTGGCGCTAAATACGGTGGTAAGAAAGGAGCTTCCCGTCGGCCGAGTTATGGCAAGGGCAAGTCCGCTGCTGGAGGAACGACCAAGAAACGCGCTCCAGCTGCAAAGAAGCAAAGTAGTATTGCCGCTAAGTTCTCGTACAACAACGGTGCCGGCCCATCCAAGAGAGGGGGGAGGCGGCGGTGGCACTCTAGTGGAATTGGCATGATGCCTCTCTGAGGGACTTTTTCATATTTCTCATTGTATTGTGTTCTCGCTTTGCTATGGTTGGTTTCAGGAGTTGAAAGAGAAGGAGTTGAGCATTGCTTTTCCTGTGCATACTTAAGGTGTTAGCTTCAAGAGGCGTTTTCTTGTTTTATTGCTTGCATCTTCTTAGACCTTTTCATGAGTTACGATATGGAAGAATTCATTCAACAATATTTGTTCTCAACATATGCGAAAGCAAAAACGTTCAGCTCGCATGTGATTCTTTTTCATTGATGGAAGTATTGCTGCAGATTAACTCTCAATGAGCCGCCTGTACATCAATCCGTCAAGTCAGCCATTGAAGCACATTAAGAAAGCAACGCAAAAGTGTCTCGTCACTCACCGCAATCACACCTATTCGTCCTTGAGCAGCTCTATATGTTTACCTCAGCTCTTTTATCACTGTGATGGTTTGAGTAGTGTAACAGCTTAGATTCATGCCTTGTATTATTGGTAATAGAACACCGAATCAGATTCTGCTGTGTAATGTCTTGAATTGCTTGGTGCAGCCTAACATCCACCACTGGGTGATTCTAATCGATGACTTTGGTAGGAGAGTTTCCCATGAAACATGTTTTTGCTCTTGTGTTGGAGATGGGATAGTCAGCCGGATGCTGTACATTGAAGCTCTGCTTGGATCTGGATCTGTCTCAGGTGTGTCCACCTGATTTATAGCAAGTGAATGTTTTGCATTGTAATTGCAAATCTAGTTTTTTTCTTCTTTGTTTTCTTTCTTGCATTTTGAAATCTCGACTTTGGATTAGGCAACAGAAGGTGCTTGTGTACTAGCAGCCAACTCCCTCTCAATCCTTAATTTGCGGATCTCTTCCTCTTCACTACCACCCGCGTCCCTAAACACATGATCCATCTCTTCCAAACTCTTTCCATTGGTCTCTGGAACGCAGAAGAATACCCAAATGCCTGAGAAGACACAGAAAGCAGCGAAGAAAATGTAAGCGCCGTAGTTATTTGTGCCGGAGATTAGAGGAGGGGTTATGAGGCCGATAATACTGGGTTGAGATGTTAGTTGATGGATGGTCGTGTTAGGAGGAAGGGAAGGCGAGACTTACAAGTTATTGAGCCAGTTTGAACATGTGGATAGTGCTACTCCCTTAGCTCTGAGTGAGGATGGGAAGATCTCGCTGGGAAGAGCCCATGGTACTGGACCCCAACTGNNATTATCGTCAGTGACAAATGGATAGGCCTTCTTAGCTGCCGAGACTAACCTGGCTCCGAATGCGATCATGTAGATGAGCAAGAATGCTACTGCTGTCCAACCCATCCCACCATGTGCATTCCAGTCCTTTTGGCCTTCACCGACGAGGCCGGCAATAATTATGTGTGACGCTGCCATGAACAGACTACCCCAAAGAAGAAGCGTGCGACGGCCGAAACGATCCATCGTCCATATTGATGTTGAACAGCCAACCNNTGAAAGTAACAAAGTGTTAGTGCGTTACGGGAATGCTGAAAGTTGGCATGCACTTACGAGTTGCATGATATTGAGTACGCCAGACATGATTAGTTGCATGCTTGAATTCAGGCCCATGGTCTCAAACAGTGTCGGGCTGTAGTAGATAAGTGCGTTTATGCCAACGAACTGCTGGAAGAACATTATGCCCACTCCCACATGGGTTCGTCGCCAGCAACCTTTCTTGAAGAGATCCGCCCAAGACGCAAGTTCGAGTTTCAGGCGGCTGGTTCTGGTACCGTCCTGCAAATGTGGATGGCGTTCGTTGCTGATTTCCTTCACCAGCCTGGCTTCGGCGCGGATGTCGAACCATTCTTGCTGAACTCTGGAGTCTGTGGTTGGCAGGCGGCGTAGCCGACTCAAGGCAATCAGGGCTTCCTCATCTCTGCCTTTGCTACCAAGCCAGCGAGGAGAGAATGGAAGGAAAATGATACCGACACCAAGAACCAGTCCAGGTAGAATTTGCAGTAGGAAGGGCAGTCGCCAACTCCATTCTGAAGCGATTACCCTTGTTCCGTACGTTATCCAGAATGCCAAAACGATGCCTACGATGATGCTGAACTCTTCCAAGACCAGCAACGTGCCGCGGATCTCAGGTGGAGAGATTTCCGAGATATACATCGGTGCAACAGCGGATAGNTCTGACATAAATGTCAGTTGACTCTACGCGTCTCCAAGCTCAAGCACTCACGATCCGATCCCAATTCCGCCGATCAATCTGGCTACAATGAGCATGTCGTAATCCACTGAAGCTGTTTGCAGAGCAGATCCGATCACAAAGATCACAACTGCTATGACGATACAGTACTTTCGCGAGTACTTGTCTGCAACCCATCCAGTGTTCAAAGCACCGAACAAAGCTCCGAGTTCAATCATGGCAGTGAGCAGTCCCTTGTTGAAGCTAGCTCCACTTGAACCAGGGGCAATCTGGTGAAAACGTTCTAGGAAGTCGTCCATGGTAAGAGTGACTGAGACAACACCTTGATCGTACCCGAAGAGCAAGCCACCCATTGCTGAGAAGGCGGCACAGAGGGCTACATAGGAGTTACCGAAAATGCCAGCGATGCCTNNGGTAGATGTCAGTCCTGGTTTCCTGACGGAAGTATAGTACTACTGACCAGCAGGGCCATAGGCCTCGCGAGCCTCAGGTGCAATGATGGTCTCATTTTTCTGGACATCGACGTCGTCGACATATTTGGTATCACTCTTGAGATCCTCCATGATGAACGAGGCGACTTGACACAGGGTTGTGAATAGAGAAGATGCCTCTTGACTCAGCACAGAAGAGCTGGGAGTTGTATATAAGGCAATGTCGGTCAGAAGCCGATATCATAATGGTCACGCGGCCCGTGACGCCCATTGGTTCCACGGACAAGATGCGATGTTCGTACAGCCAATGAAAAAGGTGATAAAACGAGCCTTGACCAGCAGCATGAAAGACCGGCAAGACATCCGTCTCCAAAGTTCCCCAGGATGGACATATCGAGAGCAGATCTGCACTTGGTGTCGTAGCAAGTCGGGGTTTGATGTGGAGTAAAGTAGGTAGGTATATTCTTGGCTGTCGCGTCACTCCTGTTAGGTCTTTCGGTCAATCAATGCACAGCTTCAAGCTGAAAGAAAGGCGAGTTCGGAGAACTTGAGTCGTTCTTGTGTGCAAGTATCGAAACCTCGCACGAAATGTCCGAGCTATTACTCGTAGATCACATAATACGAGCCTGAAGTCTTCACCTCTTGTTGAAATTGCTGTGTGACCATCACGGAATGCATCATTGTCGTCATAATCTTGGTGGCTGGTCTTTGGGACAAGCGCAAGTATGGCCTGCAACGAAGACATGCAAAGATGCTCGCCATTTGTTTGCTTGAGCAGATTGTTACTGACCTCCAAGATCCTCTCGCATTTGCCATACGCCGACATTCGGAAAGCGGTTTCCTAAGGAGGAGGTGTCGCTCTTGAGGAAAGATCAGCGTTTGGGGGATCGTCGCTGCCTCCACAAACACCCGACTGACGCGTGCGGTATGGAACGTAATTGCCAACTGGAATCTGAGTTGCCAACGCGCAGAGCTTCGACTTCTCTACTCGAGCATGCGACTTGCAACACACGCCTTATACAGCAACGGTCATGCAGAGTTTGCTCATCGACTTAGGAGGGCTTCCACGGTGATACAAAACATGAGCATCTTGCTTATGCTAGCTTAACGGTAGCGTTAGTGCTCATACACTTCAGCAAGAGTCACCACAACCACAGAATGCAAGGTCAGAGCCAAGCGATATCAAATGAATGCATACGGAGAGTCACTTTGATTCAGAAATCCACCTGACAGCTAAACCGCCAACTGAGTGGCAGCAGGCCCAAACTTTCCAAGCCCGTTATCATTACTTTGCAGGAACTCGACAGGATGTTGGTGGTCCTCAACAAATCCTACACCTCCAACAGACTTGTAATACCCTGCCAATCGGAGTATATCCTCTGGTAACTTGCGGGCAATCTCAATAGGAGTTGAAATGGCTTCCTCCTGGTCTTGACGGAAGTAGTCTCTTTGGCTGCAGTTCTTGTGTCAGCTCAATGTCCATGTGAGCCGCAGGTCAGGTGCAGTCTTACCCNNAAACACTGCGAACAGAGTTCGCAAAGCATCGGGGTCGTCCTTTCCACATTTGTTCTCTCCGGCACCATGGTATGTTNNGCTGCGGGTAACATCGTCAGCAATGCTCTGTTCCGACATCAGCTTCTCAGCCGAGTACTTACACCCGAGCGTAAAAAGAGCCGAGCCAGGCTCCATCTCTGCATATGTGACTTCGTCTGTCTTGGGAGCACGATCGGTCCCCCAGAGATGGCTTCCTGGGATGACAGCTGTGGCCTGGGACATGTTATCAGGTATCGCTAACCTTCATCAAGTGGATATGCTTACACCGTTTTTGTAGGTACATCTCGATCCCGCGATCAAACATCCAACCATTGGCGTGAAGAAAGGATTGTTAGGGTCAGGTCTGGTCTGGTATGCGATTTGATCCNNTATGTCTCAACGTCAGAGAGGCAACATGTCGTTTCTTCGATCCCATCTTACACGATGCAATGGTTGAGGCTTAGCTCCTGGTACCAGGCGTAGAGCTGCAGTCGATGCCAGCATATACCCACTCTTTTGAGGCACGAGAGTCTCTCCTGTGTAAGAGGCGAACTCGTCGTTCAAGAAACGTGCCATGATACCTTGCCAGACTGGAAGACGCACAATCTTAGTCAGCTGATCCGGTATCTTCGCCAGCAATCCNCTGGATCTCACATTAGCATTCGTCGGATCAAAGATTGTCGGCGCTTTCAACAGGCTTACATAGACACGCTGGGATCCTTCTGGAAAGAAGTCGGCACCAAGCTCGTCATGTGAGGCCTTTGAATCGTACAATTTGCGGCCAATGAACGAAGGCTCAACTGCCAGAAGTCAGCTCGACATTGAACGAAATTATGGTCCAGACTTACTGGCATCCATTGACTCTTTCAAAAGCTCTGGTGACAGAAAATTGGTGACGATCGCACCACCATCGCGCTCGATGACTTTCAAGATCTCATCAAGAGGTTCATTGGCATCAATTCGGACAAGAGATGGCGGCATGATTGAGTATGTATTGGAGTTGCTGTAATGAACAATAATGTTCTGTGTTGAGTGAGGAGTCTGGTCCTTGAAATACCCCGCATGCCACTTGATAGGCATGCGATAGGCTGATCTGTTTATCTACAATCATGATGTACCGCTGCACCTGGACAGGGTAGTCACTCTATTAGGAAGTAGAAGCCCGACTATCACCCTCAATTTGGCCGTGCCGACGTCTGATTGCGCTTGCACCTTCAGTCCTTACAACCCCGCACCCCTACGCTTGTACCTTCCTACATTTCGACATCAATATTCCTCCATCCAACGCATGTTCTAACATATCAGGCTCACAAGCAGTGCTACTATCTGATCACAAGATCATCTCAGCAATCGTTGAACATGAGATCTGCATATCAATACTCAAAAAGCAATTCAAAAGGGTCATTTGTCCAGTGAGAGCTCTCCATTCGTCGGCCACCAATGATCCTTCAGCTACACAGCCTATCTTGGCCTACCATGCAAGTGAAAGGTTTGGGCAAGCTGGCCGGCCGGGGTATGTACTACTATCTTTTTGATCCCAGGACCAAGCCGTAAGGTATCCTTTGGATTCTGCCGCTCTGGAACTCGAAGAGTCTCGGCCGTTTGATAGTCACATAGTATATAACAGCCGCAGAAGTCGGGCGATCTGATCTCTGAGATCCAACGCTTCCTCATCTATTTGCGCGATGGAACGACCGAGCTACTCTAAGAACGATACCCAAGATCACTACAAGAATGCTGTTCCCGAAGGTTCAAAGGTCTCAATAGACATTGGGCAAGTCAGTCTGGTATAAGGTCTCCAATTCTTACCATATGGTTCCCTATGGCTGATTCCAGTAGGAGAACGATCCTNNGAACATCCAGACCTTGACTCTGCTGTCAGAGATGCCGTGAATCACCGCCGGCTTAACCCAAGGCAACTGCAATTTACCGCTATTGCTGGATCCATTGGAGCGTGGGTTTCGATGATCAGCGTTCAATATGGCATCCTGCTAACGCAACCCAACCAGTNNGCACTCTTCGTCGCTATAGGTTCTGGTGTGACTTCTGGTCCCTTGTGCCTCCTGTGTGGCTTCGTGTTCTGGGCAACTGTTGTGTTTTCTGTCGCTCAATGCCAGACAGAGATTGTCACGCTGTTCCCACTTGACGGCTCCTACATTCGTTTGGCTGGTCGTATGGTTGACCCGGCTCTAGGGGTGACCGCAGGTTGGAACCTTTTCTTCGCTCAAACATCGTATGTGATTTTCGAAGCCACCATCATCAATACCCTCGTATCATATTGGGGATATGATCTGTCACCAGCCATCTTGATATCTGTCTCTTTGCTCTTCTACCTGGCTCTCAACATATATCGAGCCGATGTTTTTGGGGAGGCAGAGTTCTGGCTAGCTCTTGGANAGATCTTATTGGCCACTGGCCTCATCATCTATACTTTCATCGTCATGCTTGGCGGCAACCCACTACATGAGTTGGTGTATCCTTACCTTCCTGATTACCTCGCTAACGTTCATCAACAGTNNCGTTTCGGCTTTCGCTTCTGGAAAGAGCCAGGCCCTTGGGCTGGAAACAGCCCGTCTACCCGACTAGAGTCTTTCATCAATGCGGTAAACGTCGCTGGGTTCTGTATGGGCGGACCTGAATATCTCTCCATGATCGCTGGCGAAGCTGTAGATCCACGACGCACCGTACCTCGCGCATTCAGTACAATCGTTACCCGTCTTATCATCTTCTTCATTGGTGGAGCCATTTGCGTCGGCATACTGGTTCCATCCAATGATAGTACCCTGACCACTGGCTCGGACACGTATGCCGGGGCTTCGCCATACGTGATCAGTATGCAAAGACTTCGAATCCCTGTGTTGCCTTCGATTATTAATGCAGCATTGATTACATGTATCATTTCTGCCGGCAACGCATACACGTTCAATGCCTCAAGGAGTCTCCACGCACTATCACTTGACGGTCAAGCACCAGCTTTCCTGCGTAAGCTGAACAAGCACGGAGTGCCATATATGGCTGTTATAGTCGTCATGTTGCTGTCATGCCTTGCGTACCTAGCGCTAGGATCTGGAAGTAGCAAGGTCTTATCCTGGATTCTGAATTTTTGTACGGCAGCAACGATGCTGAACTGGGTCATAATGTCTGCAACATGGATCCGATTCAATGCCGCAGTTAAAGCTCAAAATATTGATCGGCAAACATACCTGCCCAATCTTTCGCGCTGGCAGCCGTATGCAGCTTACTGGGCCTTCTTCTGGGCATCGATCTTCCTCTGGGTCCAAGGGTATGCTGTCTTCTTGAGGGGAAATTGGGATGTTGCAACCTTCATCTTCAACTATGGCATCATTGCCCTGGCTGGTGGGATTGGCATAGTATGGAAGATTGTCAAAAGGACACGGTTCCATCGTAGTAAGGAGACTGATCTTGTATCTGGCTGCGACTTCTTTGATGCTCTGACGGAGCACTACCGTAGCCAGCGAGAGGCTGATGGTGTTGCTGCAGACACACTCAAAGGTCGAATCATGGCCAAGATATTTTAGTTTCAGTATCTGTCAATAGCTCTTGACCAATGAGAAATGGATACATGCAGTCTTGCAATTAGCGAATTTTCATTGTCAAGCCCAAAAGACCGGTTGAACAACTCCTTGATCGCAAGCATGACCATGTATTTGATAGAAAAAGAGTTCGAGTGTTACAGAATATGTGTACGGTACAGAATGGGCAGGGCGGGGACTCGAGGCGGACTTGCTGCGGGACGCTCGGACCCTATCTGCGTTGCCACAGTAATCCTAACCTTGATTTTGCTGCACCAGCCACCTCCTAGCAAACCACCGCTCCCGCCTTCAGCAAGCAGACATCAATCCCAATTGCCCAAATATCTCAAGAATCAACATTGTCATGCAGTACTGAGTTATATTCAACATGTTCAACTACGACATTGGGACACCTTGTCCAGCACCCGTCCACGGTGGGCGTGAAGTCGCGTCGCCGTTGGAAGTAAACAAAAACAAAAGCATTTTCGACCATGCCTTTGACCAGTTCAACGACAATACCACCCAAAACATTGCACATCTGGTACAACAGGAATTCAAAAATGCTCCGCCTCGTAGAACTCAAAATCTAGCAAGAAAGCCTAGACGTGCTCCTACCACCATTTTTGAGGATGCCAGCAGCAGCAACAACAACCAGCGCGAATCTTACCGACGCGATGAGCCCGCTGGAATGATGAGAAGCAGCGCTATTCATGCCAGACCAGCTCAGAGAATTCGCATTCAGCCGTCAAAGGACGAGAAGCCGGCCNCTCTACCAACGAGCAACAGCAATGATATCGCAAACTTCAAGCCTAATATCAGCACAAACAAGCCTACAAATGAAGACAGAAGACGAACCATCTGGATTCCTGAGGATACGACACTACTCTCAATTCACCCTGGAGCATATGACAACACACTCCGCGATGAGACGCTTGGTCTACCTTCATGCAACTTGGACATTACACCTATGAGGGAGACCCCTCAGCCTATGCGACTGGGAGCTAGTGCTATGAGGCAAGCTCAGAAGATGGCGTCTGCTTCGAAACGCAATGCCCTCCGATCTGTTGCTCCATCTCAGCCGAACGTGTCGCACAACGTGATGGGTACTGGTGGAGGTAAGGAGAACATGCTTCCGGGTGCTCTGCTTTCTCGAAACTCCAAGACTGAGAAGCCTTTGGTTAAACCACTGAGTAAAGCTGCACCTCTGGGTACCAGCAAGTCACAGTCGTCTCTGAGACAGACGACACTCAATTCAGCCACGACAAGTAGCGTTAAGAAGCGATCTGCACCAGAGCTGAAGGATGCCCCGAAGCCAAAGGTTCAGGCTAGAGCTCTGCATGAACGATCCAGTGTTCGTAACGAAGTTCTTCCTCGATCTACCAACTTGGATCCATTTTCCAGGGATTTCAAACACAAGCCGTCCACAACCTCCAAGCAAACCAACAAACCTTCGATAAGCAGACCTGTTGCGAGCACAATAAAATCGAAGAACATTAGTTTACCACCGAACACCATGCCGCCGAGAGACATCAGTCTACCAGATGTCAAACGTTCCGTGTTCCTTTCCGCATCGCGATATCCTGTCCTGAGCGATGATTTGGGCCAGCCCGAACTGTACGAGGATAATTGGCTGCAGAATCAAGAAGTCGCGCTCACACAACTGGTCAACGTGGTCTTCCAACAAGCACATGAGTCGCCTGCCATAAATGGTGTGGCTGCTCTGCGAAGCAAAATGTTGACCTTGTATCATGATGCGTCGGTGGCTACTCTTCATCAGCGCTTGAAAGCTTCTCTGTCATGCGGTGCCCTCAGCATGCCAAAGGATGCACCTCACTCTCCCAAGCTCAGAGACGACATTGGTCTTCGCCGCCAATTCTTCGACCTCTTTGGCAACACCTACGATCCGGACGCATTGCAAGCCGCGGCCGAGGTAGTAGTTGGACGAGTTGTAGCTCCTGCTACCAACCCTACACAGTCAAAGCTAGGCGCATCTTCGAGTGGCGTCAAAGAGTGGAAACGTTTCTGTTCGACCTTTNTCGTTGACCATGAGGATTCTGCTGAGCTTCTACAAACCAACAGATCGTCTGAGGATTCTACGATCCAGCCTGGTACAGCAGAGTGGTTCTGGCAGAGGACTGTTTTACGTGGACTGATGCTCATTCATCTACTTGACCAGGCGAAGACTACCGGCAGCTTCCCAACCTGCTTGTTCCAAGCATTTTCGCCTCATAAGTCATCTGTTAGTGTGCTGCGTGCTTTTGCGAAACTCATGGTTCCTTCTGTTGGAGACATTGCTCGACCTCTTGGACATCTCGGCTACTCGGTTCGTCACTTACAGGAGCCATTGGAAGAATACACATACCGCATCGATAATCTCGCTGTCGATCTTCGTGATGGTGTACTGCTTACGAACTTTGTCGAACTTTTGTTGTACCCTTCTAGAAGCCTGGATGAACGTTCTGACCGCACCGTTACTCTTGACCTTCCTGATGGTGCAACACTTACCAGCTTCCTGGATACAAGCCCGACAGCTCGTGTCCTGAGCCAGCACCTCAAGTTCCCCTGCAACAGCAAGGCACAGAAGATGCACAATGTTCAGGTTGCATTAAGCGCTCTGGCCGGAGCTCGTGGCCTTGCTGGTACCGCCATCGAGACAATCAAGGCCGAAGATATTGTCAATGGTCATAGAGAGAAGACTCTGAGCCTCCTCTGGGCGTTGGTCAGTAGATGGGGACTTGGATACCTGGTTGATTGGAATGAACTCAAGAAGGAGACTTTGCGCTTCTCAAAATGCTCGATACAGCCTGTCGGAATCAACTATGCTCTCAACGAAGAGCAGCCAGATGCGAATGAACAAGGTCCTTTGTTGAAGGAATGGGCTGCAAGTGTTTGCCAGCAGCACAAGGTCATCGTGACCAATTTGACAACTTCTTTCGCCGATGGTCGTGCTTTGGCAGCCATCATTTCAACCTACGCCAGCTATGTCCCCAAACCAGCAAAGAAGTCTTCGGACAAGTCGTCGACGGCCGACAAACTTCGCAGCCTTGGATGCAGTGAATCTTTTGTCGCGCTCTTCGCCTCACAAGCAACCACAATCCCAAGCCGCAGCAACACGATTGCTCTTCTCGCCTTCCTTGCATCTCGTCTACTACCTTTAGCCCGCACTCACAGAGCCGCTTGCATCATCCAGAACGCCTATCGCCTACGTCTTGCCCGCCGCAATATCTCTTTGCGTATCCAAAAGATGAAGGCAGCCACCGATTGTGCGGCCATGGCAGCAAACAAGCAAAGAGAAGTTGAAGCGGCAGTGATTTTGCAAAGAGCTTGGAGAGCTGTTTTGGATCGTCGTATCGAGTGTTTGGAAAGAGATGTCTTGATTTTCCAATCTTTGGCCAGAGGTTGGGGTGTTAGAAGAGCTACTGCAGGTGCTTTGGGCAATGGTTCAGGAAGACGAGTTATGGGTGGATGGTGATTGCTTGCAATTGTTGGACTACAAGAACACTTTGAGCACTGGATTGTTCTTGACAATGCCTGAAGGACTTTTGTTTCTTTGTCCGAATGGCCTTTTCTTATCTCTTTGGCGTTGTTTCTTGTTCTGGATATTGTATACTTTTTAACGACTTTATGATCATTCACTACCTTGAGGAAATACTCTATATCGTGCCCTGGCCATCGATAGATGTCTATTGTCTAGAAAATTTGAGGCAAAGGCAAGCAAGGAAAGAACAAACTTACAACCTTCCCAAGTCAAAGATCCACCAGAAGCAGTGAGAAACGGCAACGGCAGCGGCGAACGGGTGGACGAGGTCACGGAGTGGTGCTCCCGAGGCTTCGTCCTTGCATGCTTTTCCAGCGCCTTTCCCAAAGTTTTGGGCGCAGGGCAACCACCCGCTTCCCACGTTTTTCGTCTGCGACAGCCCATCAAGGTTCCGACCCAGGGGACAGTGCTCAATTCATACATTTTCGTGAGAACGAACACGGGTGAGCAATTCCAGTCGCTCTGAAGGTCGGGGAGGCATGGAATCATAATACCCAACGTATGCTTTGGTTCCATCTGAGGGCAATGCGTCCAAAGTTACTGATCAAAACCGCCCACTCCCCGCTTATCTCGACAACAAACGCAAGCCACAACCCAAGCCCGTAACACACAACCCAAGATATCGGTGACAAGATTACAAGTCACACGTTCAGAGGCTTAACTCTAGCTCAATGGTTCTTCGCCTTTCTTCGCTAGCACGAACGGTTCTAGAGCTCGGGGCCCCCGGTAGGTAGGTGGTGTGGCTTTCTGGGGCTTGACCGCTTATACTCTAGCACGTCGAAGCACGCCATCTATATGCGTTGCCATAGGACCTTGTCGCCAAAGTCTTATCGCTGCGATCGAATGCAGATACAATGGGCAACCAATCCAACCGAATAATTCCAGAAAGTCGATGGGAGAGCTGGAAAAGTGAAATGGTGTGCGTTGGAGGCCTACATAAACCCTGTCGATCTGCTGTCCTGCGATGTTCTGTAGATCTTTTGTTCTATTCCATCCTTTTATTTTCTAGTGCTGTGATCTTGCAGTAGATTGCAGGTCAAACATGTCGACGACACAGGATATAGGTTTCGAAGAGAAACAGGTGTATGATGCTACAGTGCAAGACGTCCCCAGCGATGGCGCTTCCTCCATCGACACCATCACTGCTCTGGTGAATGAAGGTGTGTATCCATTCACCTCCAACCCCCTCCCTCCTCAACCCACAAACCCCAAAACTGACATGTCTCTCCCACAGNACCACACCCACGAAATCAAACTACGCACCATGTCATGGCAANAAGCCGCCTGGCTACTCTGCGGCGACCAAGTCTGTCTCGCTATCATGGCCCAATCCTGGTCTCTGTCTGTTCTCGGCTGGGTCCCTGGAATAATCACCATGCTGGTTTCTGGCGCTTTGTTCTGGATCACATCGCTCACGATGCATAAATTCATCATGAAGAATCCGTCGATACGGGATATTTGCGACTTTGGATATTTTGCGTTTGGGAAGAGTAGGCTTGCGTATGAGTTTACTGGGTTTATGCTGTAAGTTGGCCGTATATCTAAGATATACAGGACGAGTTTCGCTAATCGGTGCCTAGACNTTGCTAATAACATACTTTTGATTGGATTTCACGTCTTGACTGGAGCAAAGATCCTCAATACGCTCAGTGATCACAGTATGTGTACTGTTATCTTCTCGGTTATTGTGACTATCATGGGTGTCATCATGTCGGTGCCGCGCACACTCAAACATGTCTCGTTCATGAGCATGTTCAGTGCTGCTTGCATGGGCATTGCCATCTTGCTCTTCCTGGTCTTTGCTGGTATCGAGGATGCTCCTGGATATGGATACAACGGCACGTACCCTAAGGCTGGCCCCGTCAAGACATACGCCTTCCCTCCCGCTGGAACAACATGGGTTGCTGCAATGAACGCCGTTCTCAATATCACATTTTTGTGGGTGCCGCAGATCCTGTTCCCTAGTTTCATCGCCGAGATGGAGAGGCCTCAGGACTTCCCTAAGGCGTTGGCTGTTCTGGCAGGTGTTTCCGGATTTTTGTTCATTATTCCTCCGGCCATAGGCTTCAGATACCTCGGACAGTACGCCACGGCTCCCGCGTTCGGCAGTCTTGGTGTCGTGGCATACAAGAAGGCTTCGTTTGCCTTTGTCATTGTGCCTACTCTGGTTATTGGTGTGATCTATGCGAACGTGTCCGCAAAGTTCGTATATCACCGCATCATGGGCAAGTCTCGTCACGCCCACTCCAACACCGTCGTCGGCTGGGGAGTCTGGGTAGCCGTCATGGCAGGTATCTGGCTCATCGCCTTCATCTTCTCCGAGATTGTTCCCAGCATGGGTGACTTTTTGTCACTCCTTGGCGCCGCCTTCGACTCCTTCTTCGGATTTATATTCTTCGCAGTGGCATACTGGCAGATGTACAGTGGAAAGCTGTTCAGTAACGCCTCGAGAAGCGTCATGACTGTTGTCCATGTTTTTGTCATGATTTGCGGTTTGTTCTTGTTGGGACCTGGGTTGTACGCTGCTGTGGAGGCCATCATTTCTGATTACTCGGGTGGCACCCGTCCTGCCTTTTCTTGCAAGAACTTGTCGATCTGAGGATACGACTCGGGCAAAGGGTTTGATCTGGCGTTTCGGAATTTGTCTTGGGCGATTGAGTTGTGTAGATGTCCTCCAATCTTGATCTCTTTCCTTCTCTTCAATTTGCCATTGTCCTCATAATTCTGACAATGCACAACTTCTCCCAACCAGCTTTCTTGCCTGAGCTGCCAACCGTCTCAGCTTCCCAAGCACCGGGCCATTGTCTAATCTTACTCTTGATCTCTTCAGGCTTGTTCTGAGCACAGAATAAGACGTATGCAACGCCTCTTTGACTCAGGACGCGCGGTATATCGTCCAACAAACGCTCTGTAACTTCCATGCCATCGACACCACCAGCGTAGCTCAAAGCCAGTAGATGGGAGTCGCGATCAAATGCTTCAGACGAAGATAAAGTGTCCGCAGTGTTGTACTTCGCATGCAGGCTCAAATCCGGCAGTTCGGCAGGGACATATGGTGGGTTGAACACCAAGACGTCAACCTCTCCGTCTTTGAGTGCAGAAGTCAGATCGGCATTAGCGACAGTCAAGAAAGGTGCAGCTTTGTTGTCGCAAGCCTTNTGCACGGTCTTGGAGGCAGCTATACAAGCCCGGCGATTGAGATCGGTGCCTAGCGTGCAGATGGAACGATTGAAGATGGCGGAACTGTTGGCAGCGAGGAAAGCGAGAACGACACCACTGCCAGTGCCGACCTCGACTACGAGTGGAGCATGGTGGGAGCGAAAGTGCGAATGTAAGAAAGCGGTTTCCGAGGACGATGAGAGCGTGTCGAGGAGGAGGTACGAGTCTTCGGCGGGTTCGTAGATTTGGTCGTAGTCGACGTGCGATGTGTCTGGCGTGGGCAGCATCGTTGATGCTGTTGTTTTGCAGAGAATAAATTGTGATGGGAACAATGACAAGCTTCGGGGGTGCCATGCGGAGAGTTTGCGATCGGCGAATGCCAAGGCTGTCTTTAGAGTGACGCAACCATCTTTTGTCTCGCGACTGCCATTCCAGCTCTCAATTCAGAGATAACCTAGCCAGTAACCATGCGCGCTGCTTCACGTCTCCTAGCGAAAGCCAGTACCGTTGGCACGCCCTCAGGCGGTCTCGGTGTCGTCCCCCACGCCCTTCTCCCGCCGATCCCGCTCTACCGTCGCCTACTTCGTGGACACCGAAAGCACCTCCCACCAGAGATGCGTGTACTGGGAGATGAATATGTCAAGAGCGAGTTCCGCGCACACAGAGGTGTCGACAACCCTATCCATATCGTAAGCCACCACCATAGGAAGAGCTCTCGGAGACAAGTCGAACTGGACCAGGAAGACTGACAGAGAGACCAGATCGGGTTCCTGACGGAATGGCAAGGATACGCACAACAGATTGAAGGCGAGAAGTGGAGAGGAGAGAAGATGGACAAGGCAAAGATTGATAAGATGAGCGGTTCGCATTCCACTTGCCTCCTCCTCGAACCATGTGCTGTACTAACAGCTTGACAGNACGAGCAAATTGCCCAGATGTACGAGCTCATGCAAGCCATCAGAAAGCAAGAGTTGGAGGAGAATGATCCAGAGTTCCAGGCAGCGACTGGCCAAAGCCCTGACAAGCAAGACTAGATGACTGACCGTAATGATACCCCTGTGCATAACAACAACCATTCTTCCACCCAGTCTCCACATGAGTGTTGTGCCATGCGTTAAACCTGCGGTACTTTAACAGGAGCGTGTATGGAACACTGGGCATAAGACGCAGACTTGGTCTCGTCGGTGATGAGGGAGCCACGACGTGAGATAGCATAGTCGTTTCAGAGCTCTTCTTCTTCTCTCGGACCAACCTTTGCCTTCAAGGACTCCTTCCTGCCTGTTCTCCAGGCCTTGTCCCATACATCAACCTTGCCGCCAAGAAGTTGAGTACTGGTAGGGTCAAGTAGAATCACGCCTCTGGCAATGGTCATGTTCTTCAATATGAGTTTAGCGCCAATGCCCAGATTCAAGTCAATGCCGTCAACGTCAGTGACTTCGAAGCCGTAGATCTTGGTTCCCTTTGCGTCCTGTAGAAGTAGTTTGTGAGGACCGTTGCTTTTGGTGACTGGAGCAGTGCCATCTCTGACTGGGTCTGCTTCCTCGCCAGGAACGACACGAATGACCTCTCTGCCTTTCGTGGTTTCACCACGTTCTTGAGCCTCAATAGCTTCGACTTGGCTCCAAGCGCTGCGGCCTATGTCTTCGATGTCGAGAACCTGAAGGGGAATACTATCTGGCACGCGAAGTTCCTTGACGGTAGGATTGAGAGCATTGGGTGGTAGAGTGTTGGTCGGTGTGGCTTTGATTGATGACGTGAGATCCGAGGCCAGTATACGGAATAAGGCCGTCTTTTGCAGAGCAGGCAGAGGAGTTCCTTGACGACTAGAACTGACAAAAGACTCAATCCACGCCGGTGTGGCAGACAGACCTTTTGAGTCTAGAAAAGTTTTGACAGCCGATTGGGCCATGATGAGAAGATTATGTTGAAAATGTCCTCAGCATGAAATCAGTCGTTGTCGATGTATTGTCGTGCTGTCGTGGCAGATGTGGTCTATCCTCAGAAGACACAAGACATACCAAGTCAGCTCGTCGTAGTGCAACAATCCGCGGGCAGACGGAGCAGCTGGGGCTGAAACGACTTTCAATGTTAGAGCGTTTGGATGTTGTGACTGAAGAGGCGGTGGATGATCTTGTCGTTGTCGGGCCCATGAAGTCACGCGCACCGGCCATCTCCGCGAAACATGGGGGTGCATGATTGACCATTTGATTGTTCTTTCTTCGACTGTGAACAAGAACATCTGCCCAACTGCTCACCTGGTCCATCCAGCAGGCGCCTTGCCTGTTCAACCACCGTACATCTCTACCTGCGTCTTCTTGTCCTCGCTGTCCCAGAAACATCTAAACCAGCGACTCTCACATCTCGTATTCACGCCAAAGAACCCCGCCATCTTCTCTACGACTCTCGCATACTCTGCCTCGCCATGGCCGACTTCATAACCAACCTTTGGGAGGCCGTCTTCACCCCTGGCCCCACTCCTACTCTCCTGCTTGCCACCAACATCACCTTCGGCGCTCTCCAGCTCACCCTTGCCGGCCTGCTCGCCGCTACCTACAGCATCCACTTCTTCATTCTCAGCATTCTGAGTGCCGGTCTCTGGTGGGGCATCAACTGGTTTGCCTACGAGTTGCAGCAAGCTCAGCAGAAAGAGGCCGAGGCTGAGCGCATCAGGAAGTCCAGATCTTCCGGCAGCACGCCTAAGAAGTCTAGTTCACAAGCTGGAGACATGGCCGATGACGAAGCTACTGAAACCGAGGTTGAGACTGCTCCCGGAGTCAAGGTCAAGGTTTCCAATGCCGAACTCGACTTCAAGCCCACCCAGGAAGATGAACAGATCAGATCCAAGATTCTCAACGACTTCAAGAGCGGTACTTCAGCTGGTACGACTGGCTTGCAGGCCGCAGAAGGCGAGAGCAGACAGCGCAACGTTCCCAGCGATCTGGGTGCTTCTTCGGCCGATTTTGCCACCGACAGCGAGTGGATCAAGGTTGATGAGGAATGATTTGTTTGATGTTGCATTTGGCATGGACCGGTTCTAAATGGAGTTTTGGTTTTGACGCATCCCTGAATATACCCACCTCGAGAGCAATCGCATGAACAAGGTCTTCAACACCTTGACATCTTTCTTCCCACAACTTTTCAGTATTGCATTGTCAAGTCTCATCGGCATGTGCTTGGGCGGCTCTTCTCCACGCTCGTAGATAGCATTCTCCCGCTACACAGCTAGAGTCATAAGATGGCAACACTACTATTGTGCTCTTGTATGATGGTCTCAATATGCTTAACACGACTTTCATTATTTTAAGAGCATTGCCCTAGCATTTCATCAAGGTTCCACGTGATCGTCGGCGGAGAAGATGGTGCCAAGCAGCGGACGTGGAAGGAGCGTCACAGCGCCAGTTGCCGAGTTGAACGACTGCGAACGCGACTGGCAGCAACTATCAACCAACCATCTCACCTTGTCTACAATCCTCCCACAACCAGCGCGCATTTCTTAATTGAACCAGTGCGCCCAACATGAAGCTCGTCAGGTGCGTTCCTCTACCGCCGTCGCTTGTCGATGCGCATTCTCGACTTGTCGCAACGCAGCTAACTTCCCTCCAAGGTTTTTGATGAAGTGTCAGAATGAGACTGTCACAATCGAGCTCAAGAATGGTATGTCGGCAGCAGTCGCGCATATCCGGTGTCATCACTGACGTATCATTATAGGCACAATTGTTCACGGAACTATCGCATCAGTCTCTCCACAAATGAACACAGCGCTCCGAACAGTCAAGATGACTCCCAAAGGCCGCGACACCATCAGTCTGGATACCATGAACATTCGCGGCGCAACCATCCGCTACTACATTCTGCCTGATTCGCTACCCCTGGATACACTGTTGATCGACGACGCTCCCAAGCCCAAGAACAAGGCTCGCAAGGAAGCTGCAGACAGAGGCGGCCGTGGAGGAAGAGGCGGCGGCAGAGGACGCGGTATGGGCGGTGGCCGTGGCGGCGGTCGTGGAAGAGGCCGTGGCGGCAGAGGCTTCTGATCAACCAACAAACATGAGCTGGACTGAGAACAAGCATTGCTCCGACGCGACCTCGATCCGGAATTTATCTGTCCTGGAATAAGCAGACGACCAGAACGTCGACATACCACCGATTATGTCCAGCATTTGCGCGAGCAGGATACTACCCCAGACCACAAGTATGGTCAAGACTCGCTCTGTCGTTGAATCAGACTCGCGAATGTCGCTAAAAAGGAAAGGCCTATCAAGGAATACTACGACCAGTGCAAACCCAAGGTTGTTACTTCCTTACTTTTATGAACTTCAGAAAAGAAATGCAGTTTCGTTTACGATCAAACCCTATGGGCTTTCTCTCTTATTTTGCTTGAAGACGTACTAACCCCAGTCTCAATTGCATTTGTTCTCTTTCTCTTTGCTATCTATCTTTCTCTTCAAGCATCCGTCTGTCAGAGCCTTCGTTCATCCCTCAATGACGGGAATGCTGGCCTCTCTCATACTTGGCCTGATCCATGCGACCCTCATATTTCCTTGACCGCAAGTCATCAGGACAAAAGAATCCCATGGCACCGGGTATGTACGGACCATATACAACCTCATCATCACTGTAACAAAGAGGTGGGAAGTGAGAGCCACATTGGTACCTTGTCAGTACGATGACGAAGGATACTACTGTCATGGGTACCGTCATGGTATCGCGGTGCATCGTCTTTTGTCTCTTCAATGGCAAGCGAGTCTTTGCGCCAAAGCTATACCACAAGTATGGTTGCGGCTCAGAGCGCAACAACAGGTCAACAGGCCCAGGCAATTGTTACCTTCAACGCGAGAGCATCGTGGGAGTGACAGCGCTGTCGAGTGATGGCTACACAGAGCAGCCATGTCGTCGTCATAACATCCACCGCCTGGCATATTGCTGCCTCCTGATTCGTCCGGCGAGTAAGGGCCCGCTACCGGCAGCGAGGTAGCCACTCAGCGCCGGCCGGCATCTCCCATGACCATCCGCGGTGAATATCATAACAAGTCGCTTCACTACTACTCTTGTATCTCTGCGGCAGCGCAACTTCAATCTTTTCTACCACTCGCACACCAAACTCGCACCACTTTCTGGTACATCTCGTTCCATATCATACCTCTATCCTCTTTCACGAATACGTATCAGATAACAACCATCAACCATGGCTCCTGTTACTCTTACCGAGCGTGAAAAGGAGCTCCTTACTTGCGTCTTCCAGTGCCTCAAGAACCCTCCTGAGGTAAGCACCTGTGCCTTGTCGCTGCTTATGACTGCCCCCATCAAGATCTCACCGCCTAGCGGTGATGTGTTTTGACAACGACTCTCCTAATAACCACTCCCTTTTCTCTCTTCCCTCCACTGAAGATCTTACACCTCGCTAAGTCCTGAGATCGTACTGACTCATTCCTCAGGTCGACCTTGACAAGCTTGCTGCCATCAGCGGCTACAAGACTCGTGCTTCTGCCAACACCGCCTACCACAAGCTGAAGGCCAAGATTGGCAAGGCTGAGAGTGAAGAAGATGACGCAGATGCTGCTGATGATGATGCCGAAGCCGACGCTGAGGACACTCCTGTTGCTTCCACAGCCACCAAGAAGGCTCGCGGCAAGAAGGCTGCCGCTGTCAAGGCCGAAGAACCCGAGACTGACGAGGACGATGAGTCTGAGACCGTCGCCGTCAAGGCTAAGCCTAAGTCAACCAGAGCCGCCCCCTCCAGAAAGGCTGCCAAGCCCGTCGCCTCGCGCCGCAGCACCCGCAACTCTCTGAAGGCCAGTAAGCCTGTCATCAAGGATATGTCTTCTGGTGATTCTGAAGATGAGGTCCCCGCTAAGCGTCCCATCACCTTGAAGAGAGGCATGATCGTCTACCCCACTGAGGAGGAGATTTACAACTTCTCCCGCGACCTCGTCTCTGCTGACGCTCCTCTTCCTATCCCTGAGGTATGTGACTTGATGCTTGCTCCTATTAGCGCATGCTAACCCACATGCCAGAACACTGCCGCCAACACCCTGAAGCGCGCTGCCACCGAGCCCGGCAGTGACTTTGACGAGCTGGCCTCCGATCCCAAGCGTCCCAAGGTCGACACTGAGATCACCCCTGCCGTCGAGCACGTCGAGCACGTCGTTCCTGCCGTCGACAACATCGTCCCTACCATCGTTTCCACTGACCCCGTCGTTGAGACCTACGTTGTCAACGACCCCGATACCGTCGACGTTTCCACCGAAATCCGCATGGCTGTCGACGAAGGTTCTGACGCTGCTGCCTCTGACGTTGCCTCTAACGTCGCTTCTGCTGCCACCAGCGGTGACCACGATGACAACTAAACGCAGGGTTCGTTTGGGGTTGGTTGTATAGGGGCGTTTCTTCACTACGGGTCTAGAGGACCGTTCACCTGGCTTTAGATAGGCAGTGAATTCACAAAGGTTTACTTGTGCTTGATGGTTCCTTCTTGTTTCGTATCGTGATTTGTTTGATTTTGTTTGTGACTAAGGAGTGATCTGTTTGCTCTTGTTCACTTGGGTGGTTCTTTCACTTTTGCCCCTGATTTTCTGACGTCGTTTGTCTGTATCCCAGATACGCATGTTTCTATCTCAGGTACCTATAAAAATGCAGAATATTGTCACATTCTAAAGCTTATCCACTGAGAGCCCTAGATAATGTACAGATCTATCGGGCTCTCAGTGGACAAGCATCAAACTAGAACATCTTTGTGACTTTTTATAATATACTTTTAGAAGTCCATTATAGTTAAGATAAAGGTAGTATATTTGATTTAGACTCATATCTTAGATATGCAGGCTTTATTTGACATAGCTATTAAAATGCAGGATGTTTATACACTTTGGAGCTTGTCCATTAAGAGCCCTAGATGATGTATAGTTTAATCGGGCTCTTAGTGGATAAGCATCAAACTAGGACATGTTTGCGACTTTTTACAGCACACTTTCACAAGGCTGTAAAAGTCGAGATGAAGTTAATACGACCTCATACAGACTCTCATCTCCGAACACACAAGTAGTGCTTTTAACTACCTATTAAAATGCACAATATCTTTACCTTCTGGAACTTGTCCACTAAGAGCCTTGGGTAATGGTCAAAGGAATCGGACTTTCAGCGGACGTGTTCGAGAATCAGAACAGTCTGTGACTTTTTATAGGATGTGTTCGTGTCGTGCGTCGTAACTGGAGATCAAGAATGATGAATGACTGAGAGAGTTCCTAGTTAAAGGAATGCTTGATCGACTGTGGAACACCACCTCACCCCTCGCGGCTCAAAAACCCATCCTGCCTGTTCTTGCATTCTTTCCATAACTCACTTGTCCTAAAGTCATGACAGTATCATCAGCATGACAAGCCGCCGAGATAGCCATTGAACAAGTCCCCAATACAGGCATGCCGGTATGAAGTTTCCTGTCCAGTCCAAACGCCAAAGCACACAACATGACGAAACCAAGTCCCAAAGCCAGAACCGCAGAAGAGGTCGAGATCCCGTAAGTGATGCGTTGATGCGAGTACTGGCCCATGACGTCGTAAGTCTGTACAGCGACGACATTGAGAGCTCTCGTTGTGAAGAAGTGGATCAAAGTCAAAGCAATGATCAACAATGCAGAGTAGTGAGGTTTAACGCTGAGATAGTATGTGTCACGAGCACCTTGTGTATGCAAAGTGACCCGTAGAGGTGCTCGAGTCTTGACGAAGGCATTAAGTTCGGCGGCAGCGAGCATACGTGACCAGATGTGGTTGTAGAATAAATATGTTACAAATATCATCAGATGTATGGACCCAAGGCCGAGAAGATTGGCGAGAAGTCCTCGAGTGGACGTTGGGGTTTGCAGAGTAAGCGGCCGATAGTTTGACAGCTCATCGTTGTTGTATACGATCAGGACTGCGGTCGCAAAAGTGAAAAAGGCAAGGAAGAGGCAGTTGATGAATAGAGCGCACGTTTCGGTGTCGACTGCTGCTCGCCAGACTGGCCACTTGTGTCTCCACATATTCATGTCTTTTTCAGAACGTCGGAAACCGAACTTGTCAAATTTACTGCTTGGTGAGTGGACAGCGGGAATGGCAAGTACCGCAATCCTCGAGGTCAAAGGATCTGGATGTTTCAGGAAGCTTGCTACTGCATCGCTAACAGTGGCTTCAAGACGTCAGCCGATGTTGATGACAGGTGACTAGCATGACTTACCGAAAGGTTGGAACCTGCTTGCGACCAGACTAGCCAAGCATCCAATCTCCACGAACAAGCAAACGATGATGCCGATGAGGATCCGAGTATTGATATCTACACCACACTCGGGCTCGAACGTCTGAGCGAGGCAGTACTCAACGGGATATGATGTTACCGTACAATAGTAGTCCCAAACAGGAACGTTCCAGATATCGCCGTCACCAAAATCGAAGTCCGTGTCTATGCAGTGATTGTGGAAGATGGAGGCAGTACCGTTTGTGTTGAACCAGTCAATTCTGTGTGCGCCCTGATACTTTGGGTCCACGATCATCTCCGGATAATGAAGTTCACAGTCGATGAGCCCATCTAATGTATTACTGGTATTAGAAAAACTGACCAGTAATACGTTCGAGAACTTGGAGGGCATCTGCAAGGACGAATATGCTGTACGGCATTCAGGGGGAGATAGATGGACCAAGTTCGTCGAACCAACCCGTAGCTGCTCGAGCAAGGCATTATAATGGATCTGTGTCGGCGCTGCTTTGGCCGACAATGAGACGGTAAGGTACTTTTCCGCCTTCGTGAGGAACATAGACTGTTCTGTTGATGTATCTAGTCGAGATCCCTTGAGGTAGTCTACAGTTACGAGAGACGCTACCCTGTCTGTTGTTGCCAAGGTCGTGAGAACCAGCGAGTTGTGGCTTTTCGAAAGTCAGCTCAGAAACGTTTGTATAAACACAACTTACAGAAAGGGCATGAGTACAGCGGTTGCTGCCAGCAAGATTGCTCGGCACAACCTGCGCTTAGAGATCCATTTCATATTCCGCAATCCTCCAACACCTATGTGCACCCATCGGTCTCGCGAATGAGCATTCTCGACTTCATCTCTAGTCGGCGAAAGCAGTAGTTGGACTCCATGTGAGCCTGCAGCAAAGAGCAGAACGGCGAAAGCACATGTAGCAAAGTGGGCATACGCCCCTGTCCTCGAAGCTTGGGAGCAAGCACCATTAAACACCTTGGCCAACCCATGCCTAAGATGAAGATTGTTGTATATCCATATCAGAAATGCGAGATATGTGACCAGTAGCAGACTAGCGAATATGATGTTGACAATGATGATGACGCGCCAGGTAGGATGCTTACGGGTGACGGGAACCCGAGTAATCAGTCTTTCGTGATCACCATCCATGGCAGCGAAGTGAGATCTGGAGCTATGTGATTCTACGGCACAGGTCGAAGATTATGCCAGCGATGGCATTTGGTGTTACGAGCTTGCCGTAGAGGTGAAAGTCGACCACACAAGAGCATCATGTTCAGGTGACAGTCGACTGAAAGTATTCGGGCGAAAAGATGACCAGTGGCTGAGTAGGATCAGGCTGGAATAATGCATCGGTTGGACCATGATGATTGGACGCCTTGCCGCCAAGATGTGACTATCGGTGGTATACACATGCAAGCCATCGATTGCTTGGTAGCGGAGTGAGAGTCTTAACCGCGGTTATCACACCAGTCTGGAAACCGCTGATGCGGAAGAGCTTGTATTATTCTGTGTCGAAACACCTTGTGATCATATTTTCAATGTTGGATGTCTTGCGCATACGCTGAACTGTATAGTTCAGTCACTCATTATGGCGGCTCCCATGCGTAGGTATTCCCCATGAACTGAGAAGCTGGACCATATGAGATTCCAAAGACATTTTCTCATCCAAAGAATGCCTTGTAAGTTAAATCAAGAAGGAAGTCGCTGGATGTCAGCTGAAGATCGTTCTTGGACGTTCTTCACGTTGGTAATGACGTGACTTAATGTTGCCAACTTCGCCAATCCCCACCTTTGCACCTTCTGCATCGCGAACTCGACTTCCTTCCTTTGCCGTGCTTGCTTTGCAACGGAATATGCGAGCAGACATTACCAAGTCGCTGGAAAGCGGGCACCTCTAGCAGCCCTTGGTGTATCATGCATCGAACAGAGGAGCACACAACCAAGACTTCAGCCGGAAGGTCGTCGGCTCGGTTGATGGATTGTTCATAGAGTTTCCCCGCCATGAACAAGGATCGACTCGCTCATCTTGCATATCACCTTGCGGAGAGGGGCTGGGGTGGAGTCATGATTTTATCCAAGAGCCGAAATGTCTCGTGGACAAGAAGAAGCAAGCAATTGCTGAGCATTTGACTATAAAGGTAGGGCTTGAATCTACTCTTGTCTGACTTGTTTCTAAAGACATCAACTGCCAACATGCGTCATACCTCTATTCTCGCAACCTCTCTCCTGGCTGTCGGTGCTCTTGCATGGCCGAGACATGCTGTGGGGACTGACCAGTTGACAGTTCAAACATCTTCCGGTCTGGTGTACGGAAATCAAGATCCAGAGTTTCCCAATGTTCGTCAGTTCTTTGGCATACCCTTTGCACAACCTCCCACAGGATCACTCCGCTTCGAGCCTCCTCAACCCTTACCGGTATCGGCTTCGAAGAAAACCATCAACAATACCGAATTGCCACCAAGTTGTATGCAATACCTCAATACTGTAAGCCCTGGAGTCTACGTTGATCAGATCCTCGAATTTGGTCTCCAAGGCAAANACGGCACGGGAGCAATCAGCGAGGATTGCTTGACCCTCAGCGTATGGACACCGACCAGCAACAGCAGTCAGTCCTGCTCGAGCAATGAGCTGCTTCCAGTCCTCATCTGGGTATACGGAGGTGGCTTTGTCACTGGAGGACAAGATGTGCCGTACCAGATTCCGAGCCAGTGGATTCAGCGAACACAAGACCACATTGTGGTCGCCATCAACCACCGTCTGAACATCTTTGGCTTCCCCAATGCGGCAGGATTGAGCGATCAGAATGTTGGTCTGTTAGATCAGAGGGCAGCAGTCGAGTGGGTGCGTGACAACATTGTCAGGTTTGGAGGTGATCCTTCGCGAATGCTTCTCTGGGGTCAGTCAGCTGGTTCGGCCAGTGTAGACTACTACAACTATGCCTACCCCAAAGATCCCATCGTGTCTGGTTTCAGCATGGACTCTGGCACAGCCTTCATCGGCATCAACTCCGCTGATCCTCAACACACGAATTTTACTTTTGTCGCTTCTCAGCTCGGTTGCGCCAATTCTTCTTCTCCGACCGATGAGCTTGCCTGTGTACGCAAACTCCCAGCTTCAACCATTGAGGACTTTGTCAAGAACTACCAGGAGAATGGCACCACACCATCTATCAGTTTCCTCCCCTCAGTCGATGAGAAAGTGGTCTTCAGCAACTACACCGCCCGTGCACTAGCAGGACTCCAAGCAAACTTGCCGGCTATCATTGGTACAAACGCTCAAGACGGCGTACCCTTCGCTCCTTACAGCCCGTCTGGCCCCAATGCTACACTCGCGCAACTAGCACTCTTGAGAACCTTCTTCTGTCCTGCCACTGAGTCCATCCGTTTGCGCCAATTGACCAACCGTCCCACATACCGCTATGTCTACAGCGGCAACTTCTCAAACATTGCGCCCTCAGGTTGGTTGGGTGCTTATCATTCTTCCGAATTACCTTTGCTTTTTGGCACTTTCGACAACTTCAGAGGCCAGGGTCCTGCCCTGGAGAACCAGACCAGTGTTGCCATGCAAGATGCTTGGGTGGCATTTACCAAGGGTGGTATGACTGGTATCGAGCAGACTGGCTGGCAAGAATACGAAATGCTTGGGGAGAGCACAGTGAGAGACTTTGGAGACGGTGTGGCTGTCAAGGATGTCGATTTGAGGTATCTGGAGAATCTCTGTGATGGATCGAAGCCTAACTATAGTGCTTGAGGTGGTTGATGGAGATGACTGCTTAACGAACAACATGGTGTATGGGGCTAGATTGATCAGTCTCGATATTATTTGATCTTCAGATATCTTGGTTCCTACAATCGACTCTGCACCATCTCAGTCTTTTCCGTGCACTTTGCTATCTTGCTCTTCTCATCATCGTTCACACCTCTGACAATTTCCTCTATAACCTCGGCTACTGCCAACAACCTCTCCTCCCTCAGTCTTTTGCCGACTAACTGCAGGTTCACCGGCGCATCCTTATACTTTTCCGCCCCTCCGTCGTCCCAAAACTTTCTGTACATAGCATCCTTGTCGCTCTTGATGTTCGGTGTATCCCGATCCCAAGTATCTGTGGGCAAAACCTTCGTGACTGGGAACACCACGCCAGGCAGATCTGTAGCATTGAACACAGCAGTGTAACCCCAATACTTGCTTTCGTCATGCGCAGAAGCCACAGAAGCATTGACTGGGCACAACAGAGCATCAATACCTGCTTCCCTCCACTGCAGTGAAAATGCCGTTCGCAAGCGATCACGCAAAGAGTTGAGTTCCCATGTCTGCTCTACGGTATGGCGGGTTGGTGCTGTGCTGTCTATCAACCATTGAATCATAGGCACTGCCGGGTCGGAGTCTTGTGTCAAGGTGGATGTGTACTCCTCGGCACCATCGAGAAAGTATGCGGTGTTGATCCATTTGAGCAGTGAGGCGTGAAGGCTGGGGTGACAGGCAACGACTTCATGGCCTGCTGTTCGAAGCTTGTGGACTGTGTCCCTGAGTGCGCGTTGGATGGGCGGGTGAGGTGTGACTTCACCATCATGCCATAAGACTCCTATCCTCAACTTCTTCGGCAAATTTTCAGGAGAATCGTTTCGCCATGGTAGGTCAATGAGACTGGGCTCGAAGTCCCAGGGTTGTGCATCCAGAGCTACTTTACAGAACAGACGCAGGTCAGCGAGCGAGTTCGCCATAGGGCCCACACAACCGATTATGTTCTCCATGCCGGCATGCAGGCCGCTGAGGCCTGAGTGAGGTATTCTAGCAACTGAACACTTGAGGCCCCAGCCACCACAGAAACCACTGGGTCCGCGGATACTGCCACCGATATCTGTGCCGATCCCCAAGGGCGAGCCTCGCATAGCTACCAGCGCGGATTCACCTCCTGAACTACCTCCAGAGGTTAGGTTCGTGTTGTGAGGGTTCGTCGTACGTCCGAAGAGATTCGAATGTGTTTCGAGAGCCATGAGAGTTTGTGGGTTAGTAGTCTTGACGTGGAAAACTGCTCCTGCTTCTCTGAAAACCTTGCAGATCAGAGCATCACCAGGACTAGGTGCATCAGCCCATGAGATCAAGCCGGAAGTGGCTGGTGTATCTTTCAAGTAGATATGTTCCTTGACCGAAATAGGCAAGCCGTGGAGAGGACCAACTGGCCTGTTGTATTTTTCCATATACTCGTCTAACTCCTTTGCTCGCTCAAGGGCAGAATCGAACATGATGAGTGCGAGGCAGTTAGTGGCTTGATGAGCCAGAGCAGCTCGCTTGCAGAATGCCAAGGTCACTTGGTAAGATGTCCACGTCCTGGTGCGGATGTGGGCTAGGATATCCACCGCTCGTTGCTCAGTGATGAAGAGCTCCTCTTTGGACATGATGTTAGGACATCTCTGAGGCAGATCCATGAAATTGTGGCCACGGAGAAGATCCTTGTCAACTAGCCATGCTGAGGGAATTGCATCGAAGATCTCTTTCTGTCTTCTGGCAGCAACGTCGTGCCATGACGGGGGTGTTGATTGGGACATGCTTGTACAGCATTCGGTTGCAGGACAATGAGCAGAAGAGGAGGAAAGGACGAGAAAGATAGATCGAAGTCAAGCTAACGACGAAGAGACCATCAGGGCGAAAACCTACCTTTATAGACCCTTGACCCTTGATGATACGGGATCTCAACGGCAGGGGCACTCCGAAAGTCAACTTTGCAGCCATTATCAGTCGTGATCTTTGCAGACCTCAGGGCGGGAGATGATAACCACAGCCTGCAGATGAAATGTGGAGCGGTGAATGCGCTGGCTGCGCTGGCTGTGCGAAGTCAGAAGGTAAGGGCGAACCGAGGGCTCCGGTTCGCACTTCCTTTCCAAGAGATCGAAGCTCGGACACATCTGATAAGGCAGCGTCAACGGATCAGATAAAAGGTTGCGCGGACTGCAAGTGGCGGTTCAAGAAATGATTCGTTTCGTCTTTTGATACATCTCAGTAGCGAAATCTTGGGAAATGGCAGTATTGGGTAGCGCTGCTCAATTCAGTCTGAAAGCACGAACGGACGAAGGTGACAATACCTCGAACTCAACGCGTGCGGACGACTGCAGTTTTGATTCCACTTCTGGACGCCTCCACGCCTTCCCTTCCCGGCAGCTATGGTTCGTCACCCTACCACAATTAGACGTCTTTCCCACGACGAGATTTAATTCTCTGAACAATCGACGCCAACTACATCCCGCATCTCCTCCTAAACCCTGTCTCTGTCATGAGCCGGCCTCGTTATCAAAGACCACCAGCCAACAGCCAGCAGCAACTCTTCATTCCCATCTGAACCGGTTTCCTTTTTGACACCTTCATCGCAAAGGTTGCTTCGGTCCAGCCCCAGCGCCTGTTTAATCGACTTCCAAACGACTTCAGCCTCTCCTTACTCATGGTCGGCTCGGGATGCGGACGATGGAAGACCATCGAGCGCTTCTGTTCCATCTCATCTACGTGCGTGAACGTAAAGCAAGAGCCGCCACCAGGCATGACAGAGCAACCGGAATCGACCATTGCCGAAACAAACTCGGTCCAGTAGATCTCGCTTGGCGCACTAGGGTCTGTTGTGAACATGCGTACAAGCAGACCCAAACTCTTAGAGGACACCAGAATTGAGGAAGCTTGTGGACTTGGAGGAGAGACGATGGGCTCAGCATCCCATGTCATGTCGTCTGCCAAGGAAGTAGGCGGTTCCGATGGCCTCGTTTTCACCTTCAGCTTTGCTCTGGTAACAGGGCCGGCAGCCGGTGATGCTGGCTCGCCCCAGGTGGTCTGCAGTGGTGGTGCAACGACTGATGTTGTGCTTGGTGGTTGGGCGGCCTGTACTTGCTTGCGGATTTTCTGTAATCGTGTCAGTATGGGCATCTTCTGAGCTACTCAGACATCCTCACCTTGCTCATCAACGGCCCTTTGTAAATCAGCGTACCACAACGCCTTTCGCTCCACCTCTGTCGGCAAGGTACCGTACATATGCAGGTGTATCGGGTTCGAGTAAAGCTCCTTCGGATGACCGGTTTCTTTTATCGCGACTACGAAAGTAGCACACGCCCACTCCCAGAACTCTCGCGATGCCTCATCAAGGGGCCTCAAATGCTTGAGCAGTACAGCAGGCTCCTCAGATGGCGGCGGAGGCAATTCCATGAATACCTTGAGTTTCGCCCACATGAAATCACTGTATGCATAGATGCCCCCAAANGCTTTTTGCTGGCGTCCGGGCAGTGTACGTGGCCGCCCCAAAGCGAAATTAGCAAATACCTCCTCGTCGACGGTGACACCGAGCCGAGGTCGATGGTGCAACAGGCTCGACATGATATCGTCTACGGCGACCATGCTGGAGATGTGCGTAGCAAGCAACGATGAGATACGGCTCTTCTCATTCTTTGAATCTCCGTGCATGAGATGGTCGACGAAAGCCAGGTGAAAAGTGGGTGAGTGTGCGTCGCACTTGGTGCCGAGCTGAATCAAATTCCACAACATCGGGTTGGCCAGGAGCATCTTTTCAGATGACAACTTGGGTTTGGGCTGGCCATCTTCCAGGATGTCGAAGTAATTCCGGAAAGCTTTTTCTTGTGGTATCAGGTATCTGAGATCATGCAGCTGACCATGGAACATCTGCTGGAGGTTCATCTGAAATACCTCAAGAATGGCCTCGTACTCGGACGGTGGCGACTTCCCCGGGCACACTTCACGGCTAAGCTCTTCTTGCACTGTGAGCACACCTAAGGCTTGTGTGAGAGCAATCTGGAAGTTGTCGGCCCACACACTGTAGCACAAAGCAAGCTCCAACACCCGTTCTTTGCGCCACTCCTCCGTCATGCGATCATGCACTTCACTATTCTTTGCTTCCATCAAACGGGCGCGGAAGTATAGCGGATCCGTTTGCTGCAGCCAGAGTTCGTCGAACATGATATCTCGTTGGTCAGTCAGGCTTTTGACAATGGTAGCCATGTCAAGCCGTGGTGGACTGCGGAACGCTTCGGGACGCCTGTATACGAGTGACTTTGAACCAATCTTGCCAAAGTCAGACTGCACAAGTGCGTCCCATTGCTGATGGCCTTCCGCCGACCCTTGATGGCTGGGCTCAAGCACAATTTCGACTGTCTTGCGTAGAAAAGCGAATAGTGTCGCTTGTGCTTCCAGGGTTATCACAGCTCTGGGGTAACCGATGATGTCGTAGCGATGCGCCGATTGCTTGTTCCATGGAATCAAACGACCGAGGTTCTTGCCATACATGATGACGCAGTGTGGATTGAAAGCAGGTGGTCCCATAGCCCACTCGAAGCCGATACTAAGATGCTCGAAGTCATGCATGATCCAGTCAGCGATCTCGAAATCACAGCGATAGTGTAGCAGAGCTAACAAGCTCATGTGATCTTGGGATAGGGTCTCGACGTCGATAAAAGGGAGGAGGTGCTGCTTGCGATGCGCATCATTGCGAATCTGGATTGCTTGCATGCTCTCCGTCATGCACTGCTCGTATCCACGAGTTCTGGCCTTCCTGTGGTCTAGAGTTGAGAGATGCTCTTCGAAGGCTCGCTCGTTGTCGAACCATAGCTTGGCGCTCTGGAATCGGCGAGCGTAAATTTCAGGCATTGCTGTACATACAATCGTAGCACGCTTCTCAACACCTTTTCGCTGCCAGCGTCTTGAAAGGAGGTCACCTTGCATCTCCAGCATAGAGCGAATAGCGTCACGGTCGGCGTTGATGCTCTGAACGTAATCTGCAGTGATCTGGGCGGCTTCGGCGTCGCTGTGAGGAATCATAGTGCGTGGGTTCACCGGATTGTTGACGACAGACGACGGCAGGTATTGCTGGGAGCAGATCTCACACGACTCCGGACAAGTTGGAAGCTGTGCTTTGGAGGTGAGCGTGTAAGAAGGATATGAGAACGGAACCTCTACCACGCTTCTGAGCTTCTCCTCCATTTGGTCGATGGAGCCCTCATTGCGCTTGAAATGGCGCAATCTCAGTGCGTTTGTCCGCTTCCTCTGGACCTTTACGACTTGCGCGATGCGGCGAGGCATAGCGACTAGATGNAAAATCCTGTACAGGCCAGATATGTGGCAATGGCGATTGGATGCACGTTGTGCTATGCGAGGATGTAGGAAGATCTGTAGAGAATCTCTCAGGCTCGACCAGCACAAACGCGAGTGTCCGAGTGAAAGATGACTAGTGGACTTTCAAACGCGGTCCCCCTGACGACCACGACAAAGAGTTTTTATTGGAGGTTCGCGCAGCTAAGACCCGTCTCTGTATGCAGGTACCCGGTGGTTCCTGATGTGACAGCAAAATTTCGTTTGCGCATACATTTCAACACTGGGACCACTCGAATGCTTTTGGGCTCTCAGTAAATTCTGTTCGGAGTAAAGACAATTCATGCCTTTTCGAGAGACATGTTTGTTATATCTATTGTGGTCGAAATGTGTGTGGATCGTGTGGTCGATTGTAGCTAATACTATCAGAGAGACCTCCTTTCCAAACAACAACCTAGTACAGGAGTCTAGTGGTTCAAGGCGTCTTGCGATTTGAGGGGCCTAATACCGAGAGCACACTGGTGTCAATTATTACGGTATCACGATCCATGGTTGTAAAAAGGAGACACAAGTTCAGAATCTGGCTATGTCAATCTCTTTTGCTTTGGGAATCACTCTCAAGCAGCGACAATGGAATATTTTCAGCCAGAAAATGAATTGAGAATGGATTCTTCCGTAAAAATTAAAACTGGTGTCTGAATTATACTGTCCGTATCTTCCTCCCACTTTCACTCCTTCCACTTGACTAGAAAATATCCTCTCTTGCTCAGGAGTCAAGACAAGATGTATTCGAGGCATAGACCGGTGACTTTTCTTCGTAGATGCGCAAAAGAATTGAAGATGCAGGGAGGGGGTCAAACAAAAACCAAAGACCCAGCGGTTTTGTCAGGTGTCACATCTGCCGGTTCGTGCTTTCCTTCAATCACCTTCACTCTATCCACTTGAGCAAACAAGATTGGAGAAAGCTCAATCACAAACAACAATCCGGCTCAGTGGTCTAGTGGTTCAAGACACTTTGCAAAATTACAGATGGACCTGGTACCGCGCGATCGAGCCTCGATTGGGTACCACGGTCCTGAGCTGTAAACAAAGAAACCCGGGTTCGACTCTCGGCTGTGCCATAACCTTTTGCTTCTCTCCTCGTGATGGTTTTGTACAATGCATGAGGTATAGGCTCTGCCAAGGAGAATGAGCTGCGCACAGTAAGCAACGCATCTGTGGAGACCCGGGCTTATATAATCACTTGATTATACAGCATGACAAACCCCTCTTTCTCAGCAATTACCTACACTGTGGAACGGGGCAAGACCATGAAATAAGCTTGCTCAACTCCACCACACAAATCCGGGCATGGTCCAAAATACTTTCTCATTCTCTCAATCTCTGGAAGACATTGTTCGAGACTCGCTACTTAGCATCTGTAATAACTCCTGAATACTCATCCTTTGCATCGCATTACTAACTTTTTTTAGAAATATTTCATCACAGCAGTGCCATGTCTTCATTCGATGACAAGGGCTTCCCTGTAGTTCAGCTATCCAACGATGGCTGGTCCTCCGACCAAGAAGCGACTGCGACCTGCTTTTGTGGAGCTGTGCAACTGGTCCTGGTGAGTTTGTTGGAACTTGATGTTCACTGTGGCAGTTTGGTCCCGACTCTAACAAAAGATCCACAGCCCCTCCAGAAGCCTGGGTTAGTCAATCGTCACGTCTGCCACTGCACCGACTGCCGCAAAATCGGTTCCGCATTCTATCAATCCAACATCACTGTGATGGATTCGCATCTCAAATATACCCGTGGCGAGGACAACCTCACAGCCTTCAGCGAGGACAAAACGATTCGCGCTAACGCACTCATGACAAACTACTTCTGTAAGACATGTGGGACTCTGATGTATCGTCGCGGCGCACGTTTTCCTGGGATGACCATTTTGCGCACTGGAACGGTTGATGATCTCGCTCTTGCAGAAACTAAACTGCGCCCCCAGGTCGAACAGTTCATTGAGAGAAGGGTTGCCTGGTCGGTGCCTTTTGAAGGCACGGCGCAGGTGGTGGGAATGCATCAGCCCTCTGATATCGAAAATATCCCCTAGGACACTCGAATTCGATGCCAATGTTGTATCATCACCGAGGAGAACTTGTACGAAAGTTATCTAGCATGAATTGAGAGCTAGAGACCATGTAATTTCGGTAGCTACAGAACCAAGCGGCAACAAGGAAGGGAGGAGTGAGAGACGACCTCAACGAGTTCCTTTGTCGTGTCAGATACCGAAGACATGCGGATGGAAGCTTTAATAAGCAACATCAGCGACTGTAGGTCTTCATGTCCTATTCAAAAGAGCTTTGAAATAGATACCTGAAGATCAATGGCTGCCATAGCCGTCGTAGCACTCGTCACAATATCCACGTTCATGTGCTTTCTTGTAAGCGTCAAGAGACGGGAGGATATGCGTTGTCTGCGGATGGTTTCTGCAATAGCTGATGTGGTTGATCTCGCAGACCTCAGAGGTTGTGTCTCCATGTGAACTGCAGAAATCTCGATCACATAAGACGCACCTGCGACATGGGCCAACTGTCTCGAGTCCACCGTGCTTCTTGAGGTTGTTCCGTCGCATGCGCTCGCATACATGGCATGGAATGACGTCCATAAACATAGACATCTTGCTAGAGTGAGAGATGATGGGCTGAAATAAGGATTGTATGGTTTATGGTGACAGGTCTGGTCTTGAGTTTGAGAAATTACTCAAGACAAAAAGGGAAGAGCCTTCATTTGTAGCAGGAGTACAAAGCTACAAGGGGTTGCTGTCAAGATGCTACTGGCTGGCCTGTTAACAAAGTATTGCATTGCTGCCTGTCATGCCAGGATTAGGAGACAGCTCTATTTACCTATACAGAACCCCGCACCATGCGTTGTTCCACAGACGTTGTTGACCAGATCTCCAACAATGGTCACCCTGATCTATGGAAAACAATCTGACCCCTCTGATGTATACCCAAATTTATAACATATCATAACCACATAACTTCATATCCAACATCTCCCCATGACCTCAAGCCTTTCCCTTCTTCCCACCAAACACATCCCTAGCAAACTGCTTCNNCAAAAACCCAGCAGTCTCAACAACAGGCAACACAACCGAAATAGCAGTACTAGCAAACACCCAAATAAAGCTAATGATCACCCAAGCGGTAAAGAAGCCCTTCGAAAACACATAGTGACTAAAGAACATGGGCATAGGAAGCAAAAAGTCCATGATAAAGGTCAGGACAAACGCAGCAATACAAGCAAGCTTGAAGGCACCGCGAAGCGATTCTGGAGATTCTTCGATCAGGCGGTCGGCAGCGCGTTCGGCGTCTTCGTGGTCTGCGATGGTGGGGCTTGGGTGGTGCGATTGAGGTAGTGGTTCGGAGATTGATGGTGCGGAAGAGGTATCCTTTTCGGGTGTTGGTGTCTTTTCGTCATCGCTGGGGTTGACTACTGCAGTTGTTGTGTCAAGTTTTCCTTCTTGCATTTGCTGCTGTTGGAGTTGTGACTCGACTACCATTGCACCCTCGGCATTGATGCTACGAGTAATGGCCCAGTCAAAGTTCTGGGGCTTGATGAGAGAAACCGCGACGGTGAGAATGAGACCAGACGCGACCGCTGCGAGGTTACCTGCCAAGGTAGCATATTCCGTTCCTGTGGTGGCAATAGTGAGTTCGCCAAAGTAAACTTTGGCAACAGCAAGCCAGGCAGCGATACCAACGATCAATCCGCCAATGGCACCAGTGATTGCTCCAGCAGCAGATTGTCCTCTCCAGGTGATTGCGAAGGCGGCAGGGAAGACTGCACCACCGATCAAAAGTCCCATCACCAGGAACAGCCAGCCAAGGTCAATGCCAATAGCGTTCCAGATACAAGCGAAGACAGCCATTGTCAGACCAAAGGCGCAGATCATGACGTGAGAGACAAAGATCAAAGATGAAGGTGACGCAGTCGGGCGGATGTAGCGTTGGTAAACATCAAAGGTCAGCAGGGAGGAAACAGCGATCAGTTCAGCTGAGGCGCATGATGTGACTGCCATGAAGAGGACGATAAGGAGGGCTACTGCACCACCCTTGCCTAGTAGAGCCTGGGCTGAGTATGCTGCTGCCAAACCAGCCGAGATATCGCTGCTCGAGGGAACGCCTGGGTAGGTCGGGAAACGAGGGTTGTCGGTCAGTGCCACAGCGGAAAGACCAAGAGTAGTAGCAAATCCAAAANNCTATACTTTCAGTCAGAGAAAAACCCATGACCGCTTCAAGATGTTAACTTACGGAATAGCGAACCAGGCAATACCTCCCAATATGTATGCTTTCACAGCAGTGGTGGGTCGAGAAGCAATGGCACGCTGCCAGTAGGCCTGGTCGAGAAAGACGGTGCCACAACCAGAACAAAGCTGGATCACACCAAAGACCAGGGCATAGTTCGACTTGAGTGTCATATAGGAACCTTCAACGTTGCCTTCTACCGGTCTCTGGATGGCTGCCTTNTTGAGTAATTCGAACATCTCTCCTGGGGACCCGATAAGATCGTTGGTAGCGTATGCGTTGAACATGAAGTAGAGGATAATGATCATCAGAATCAATGTATGGCTGTAGTCGCAAAGGAATGTCGCACGCAGACCACCAAGAACGACGTAGGCACATACTCCGACTGGGATAAGGAAGATAGCTGCATAGACGTTCATGCCAGTCAAACTGGTTACGACGGCTGAGCCACCCAAGAGTAGTTGCGAGCCGACCAAGATATTGGTGACAAGAGCGAAGAAAAGGAAGGTGATGTGGGCGGTACGTCCGTAACGAGCCTGGACAATCTCAAGGTATGTGTGAGCGCGAGGTGCATTCATCTTGACCTTGCAAGCAAGGATGGCGAACATAAAGATTTGCACCGTGGCACCAGCGGCGTACCTGCATATCTTGTCAGTGATGAGATTCAAGGTTAGATTTCCCTCTCTCCCAGCAAGGTGGAGCAGTATTCTCAGCTACAGCAATGCATGACCTCTTCTTGAGGCAGAATCAAGTCCACAGAGAGCTGACTAGATAAGGTCTTTCCGTGGCCATTGCTCCGGATGTCGAAGATATGTTGCACTCTGATAGCTACACAAGTGACGTACTCCTCTCAGAGGAATTAAGGAGGGCTTACCAGAAAGGTCCAGCAACACCGTATTGATACGCCACAGTAGCGCTTTGTAACCTAACGTAAAAGTCAATAAGATTTCTCGACCTTTTGATAACGTAGACCCTCACAAGGTTGCGGCCCCTGCGAAAAATTTAGCATAATCTCACAAAGTCGGACTAAGTAGACTCCTTACATGTCCAAGCAGACACAATCCTGCATTGAAGGCACGATTAGCATGACTCCACGAAGTTTGATGGGCAAGAACACCACGACTTTGGTGGACGGGTGCGTCAAGGCAAAGTGCCAGCACTAGTCGTGGTATCTGTACCTTCAGCTTAACTTACCCACTAGCAATCAATCCAGGTTTAATGCTCCGAGAAGCAGTGTTGAACTCCTCGCTGGTCTTCGTGTCGAACCGTGTATATTTGTTTTGGAGGTGAGAGATTCCCATCATTACCTGAAGCCAGTATGAGTTCACAATTCCATGCTTGACAAACAATTAGAAGAAGACTTACAAAAGCAAAGAAGAATCCAGCTCCGATAACAACTCCATATCCAGCGCCGGCTGGTAGAATTTGTGCTGAAGACGACATTGTGTACGGCAATATCTAGAAGGAAGGAGCTGCTCTGTGCCCTAGATTTGGGGAAGGCACGCCATTATATCTATCCGAGTCTGTATCTGCAGATATCGCGTTGACCTACCCTGTCTTGTGTCCTGATAGCGTGCTAAAGAGGCAAAAGATACTGCCTATTATCGTATTGCACCCATGTCGACTCACCATCATGTTACACTCATCAAGGTATCCCGATAAGAAAGTTGGGGTAGTCGCTATTGGCACAGTAAACCATATCGGCCTGTTGGAGAAGGTCAAAGTGTTTTGGGTGGTGGGGTCTGGGGTTGCGACAGCGTCGATCGTTTCTTCTCTGTCGCAGCGGGCTGCCGATAGGCATAGATAAGACGAATGGGCAGCAATTGTGCGATAAACAGTGTTTCTTTGCATGTGATTGATACATGGTCCTAGGAGATGCAAGTGCTTGCCATCTTGACTAATTCTTGCTCGTTTATGTCGGGGTTGGTTCGGAGTTGAGGATGCGCGAGAATTGACGATTGATATTTGTTCCTTTTAACAGGTACCTGGATGGAAATGGCTCAAGGCACACCACGACCTTTACGTGTAGCCTTCGCCAACTCACTCTGCGCCTTATCATCGGCATATTTCTGGTAAATGCTGAGGTACTTTTCCTTTTCGCTCGTGGTCTCGCGGACCGAAGGACGTTCTTCAATTGCCTTGAGCCACTTCTCAAACCGTGACCAGACTGCGCTATCCTCGCCCCCCNNCTTGGGAATGTTTAGACCGTTCTTGTAGTGGTCGAAGACCCAGAGACGAACTGCANNAGCAGAAGGTCAGCATTTTACGCTACGACGCTGAGAGTCGGATGGGGTATACGTACTGGCCCATGGCGCAACGACCAGATCAATGAGGCCGACATCCTTGCCCGAAAAGTATGGTCCCTCAGAGTCCATCTCTTTNGTAAACTCCTTCAAGTGGCCGAGGAACTCCTGCCTCACTTCTTCCAGACCTTCGGTGTCTGACATTGGCTGGAATTGTAAGAATCGGTGGAATGACGGAATGATTCGTGAAGTGCAATAGTCTGTCCAGATTCGGGTACGAGCGCGCTCGTAGGGGTCGTCGGGTAGCAGCTTGGGTCCATAGTTCGGATACGCTTCTTCAAGGAACTCGCAAATGACCGTACTCTCGTATAGTGGCTTGTTATCGTACTGAAGTGTAGGTACCAGACCGCGAGGGTTCAGCTTCAGAAGCGATTCTGGTTTGTGATATGGGTTCACNCTTGTCGCTGGTCAGCTTCGACTTGCTGGCCATGAACGACACATGCTCACCTCGATGTATTGATATGGGATCTTCTTCTCTTGTAACACAGTCCAAGCGCGACCGACAAATGGACAGAACCATCCGGCATACAACTTTAGAGGTTGCTCCGCTTTGTGGTCTTCGACGGTCTTCTGGGCAAGACCAGTTGCGTGAGGGAACAGATCGGCGTCGGGGTGGGACTTGTTCGACATGTTTCTGATGCTTGACAATTCTTTGGTGTGCCTATTTGTTGTCCGAAGTAGGTTTCTTAGCATTGATGTTGTTGCGAAGAGAAATGTTCGTAGCTTGGTTATGATGTACAGGTCGTACAGATGACGCAATCGCGGGGTCGACTTTCGCAGTCTTCACCCGAGCATGCTCTACCAAGCACAGGTTTTTGTTGACTCGCCAGATGATGATTAGACTGTGTTGCTAACCTGGCGTTGAGAATCCTTGAACTGTTGCTGAATGCTGTTCCCGTTCACATAACGCAGCAAGGTCCTTTCTGATAATCCGGACCATACTTGTCAATCGCAACAGCAAGCTCGTTCGCCTTCTGTTTCTCCTTGACTTCATGCGGGAAGTACTTGACCAGATGTTCAGCTCGTTGTTGGTCTATAGAGCCAGAATCAGCCGTAATGACTGCAGTCGATCTGCACATGGGGCACTTCGAAGCCGACTTCTGTAACTCAATCATACAGCGAATGCAGAATACTGTGTTGCAGCATTCGAGACGGATTGGTCTCCAAGCAATGTCGCAACAGACGGGACAACTGTAGTCGTCCGGTTGAGGTACAATGGTGATTACTTGCTGGGACATTGCTGCACACATGTCTGTTGCGACAGATTTGGCAAAGGGACCACTGATCGCATGACTCTGGTAGGCTTTTGTTGCTCCCAAAGCAGTTCGTTTGTCGAATTTCTTGAGGATCTTGCGTACGGCTTCCATATTGAGTTCTTGGAAGCGCATAGCTTTGAGGATATCCAGATTGATGGCCACGAAATGATCAAAGGCATGTCTGCTCGTCTTGTCTTTGAACTTNTTGACAAGCCCCTGATCTACCAGATCCTTGGAGAAGAGCTCTAGCTGTGACTTCGCTTGGTCGAAACCACGAGAGCCGCGATTTCTTTCGTATGGCGAGAAGAATATCGCATGCTGCACATACAAAGCAAGAATCTGGCGCCAAATCGTGACATCTGATCTAGCCTTGAACTTGCCCTTCTTCTGATGAGCAGGCTCAGTGAGCGCTGTGACTTCGGTGCTAAGCTCCACAATCTGTGACTCCAGTCGCTTTTCCTCTGCCTGCTGGATGACATCCAATTGTGCTAGTTTTGGGTCCAAGAGATTGAAGAAGTTTGCTGCTGTGTGTAGATGCACATGAGCCCATTGCGCACCCGTCTCAGCCGAAGATGCGCGAATCATGGCATTAGACTGTTCATGCTCAGAAATCGAAGATCCATCGGTTCCATGTGAGATCTGACTAGCACGTTTCTCCTGGGCATTTTGCGAGTTGTTGTTCTGAGCCAGCCAAAGGAAGTACTGTTTCGTCTCCTTGGTCAGATGTGCATCCAGAAACTCTCCACTGTCGCCATCAACAGCGACCCATAGTTCCGGTACGAAGTTTGATCCAGAATCATCTCCTGGTGCCTCCACACCAAACTCGCTGTGTAGATGTTGGAGTGTCGAAACGTCCAGACCAAGACCGCTCAACTCTTGCTCAACTTTNTTGATCGATTTCTTCAGTAGCCGGTAAGAGATGGCAGAAGAAACCCATTCCTCAGGAAACCCTTCACTAGCCAGTAACTGCGCATATTCATGACCGTACTTCATCGTAGCCGAATGTTTTCGTCGCAGCAAGCAAGGGTTCAAGCGGGTCCAGGCGCAAAGATCTTCAGTGCATATTCAAGTGCAGCTTTCCAGCAAAGGCGTTAGGCAATCAACCAGAGATGTCGTCGAGATCCAGGTCATTATATGTATTTACCACATCGGTGAGGTCCAGAAGCAATAAAAATCTCAGATCTTTAAACGGTGTTCACGTGCTGGATTGCTGTCTTTTCTGAGGGTGGCGGCGCAAAACGTCGAGTCAAGGAGATGAGAAACGCGGGGATTGGATGATCCGCTCCGCAGTATTGAACTTTAAATTTGCTGTAAGTAACACCCTGTCCCTATCGACTTCGAACACAAACATCAAGTCAATAGATCTGTATTGGTGCGTTAAGTAGGTATATGTCTAATAGCAGCTTTACTCGAGTGATGTCTGGAGTATGCAGGTTGTCAATCTTGGGAACCTGCATTTCGTGTGACTCGTCCAACAATCTTACTCCTCATCAACAACAGCAACCAAATCAACCATCATCTCCGCACCAGCAGGCATAAAAGTAACCTGTCCAGCAGTCCTCGCAGGCCTCTGTGGAAAATACTCAGCATAAACCTCATTAACCTCTTCAATCATATGAAAATCCTTGACAAACAGATTAACCTTGACAACGTTCTCCAGCTTCGAGCCTGCAGCTTGTAGAACATGAGAGGCGTTTTGAAGCATTTTGTGGGTTTGGTTGCTGACACTACCACCGACCAGTTTGCAGTTTTCGTCGGCGGGGAGTTGAGCGGAGAGGAAGACGAAGCCGTTGGCTTTGATGGCTTGGGACNNTGTGTGTGTTGATTGTTAGTGTCGTATACGTATAAAGTGGGCAAGGGTGGTATGTACATAGTAAGGGCCAATAGCTACAATACATGTTAGCTGAACATCATACAAGATCAAGATCGGATGAATGGAATCATTACGATGAATTGCTTTCTCAGAGAACACCTGGGTCAAGGTCGATTTTCTGGCGATGAAGGAGCTGGGCAAGCGGCTGTGGAGGATGGAGCTGGCACCCACTCTGATGCTTCTTGCGACGTAGTTCATCATCGTGTCTTTGAGTGATTATATCGATGGATGGTGATGTTGTCTATGAAGTTTGGGTATGAGAGATTCAGTTCACTCTTGGTCAGTCGAGTGGTTGGAAGTTCGGGGTGTTGCTGGGAGTCTTGGTAGGCAGCAAGCGAATAGTGGAGTCGTTTCGCGTCACTTCAAAGCCCAAGACGCAAGATATACCAGGATTTCTATTGGACGATTAAAACATAGCTACGAATGAAGCTTTGATGTTGATCGAGTCATCGATTGGTATATGTACCATTAGAGATAATGACATTGTCTCGTAATCATCCATGAAACTCCTTCCAACGCCTAGCTATGCGGACCCGCTAATCTGAATATTACCGCCTACTTATCAAGCAGCACCGAAGTTCAACGTCGTCTGTCCACGCTCTGGATCGGCCATCTTGTGAACACTCACATCCTGCACACCTTCGGTATACTTGCCCATGGCTTGTGGCGTGATGAGCACGAACTGTCTGCCAACGGACCTACGAGCAGCCTGAATCATCATCTTCATACTGATCTCTCTGTTCGCACTGTCCATGAAGACATCAAATTCGTCAAGACAGCGGATAGGCGAACCCATGGCCTCCCAAATGGAAAGCAACAGGCAGATGGTTGAGAAGGACTTTTCTCCACCAGAAAGAGTCTTGGTTTGACGGCCTTTGTCACTGTTCTTCGAGATGTCAGGCTCAACACTAATGTCCAGTGTTTTGTCGACATGATGAACCAGAATGCGACCACGGAAGTTGCGTTCAGACAAGAGATAGCTGAAAGTAATCTTTGCTCTTGTCGTGATATGCTTGCGGAAGAGCTTCCAGCGATTCTTGCGGTATATCAGCGATGATTTGAGTTTCTGTAGCAGTCAAGTCAGCGTTTGTCGATGCATCAACCAGATTTGATTTCAAAGCACCTTTGCCATGTCCTTCTGCCTATTCAACTCTCGCTGAGCGCTAGCGAACTTTTTGTGTGCGGCACGCCACGCCGCGTAGATCTCTTCGCGACTACCACCGATACTGTATTGTATTAGTCATTGTTTCTCAAATCTGTAAGGAATGCATACCTATTCNTGGTATCGCCTGTGTTCCTCCTCGAGCTTCTCGAGTCTCTGGTCCAGCACTTCGACTGTATTGCCGGGTTCGACAACAACCCTGCGACTGACTTGTTCTGCTCCCGGTAAGTACTCTTCATTGATAAGTCTGTCCTGCTCGACACGCTGCTCTTCCAGTGCTGCCTTATCTTGCCGAGCAAGATCAACCATCTCAAGAGCTTCATTCTTCTTGCGAAGTGCGAGTTCCCGTTGAGTGGTCTTATCTTCAAGCCTCTTTTGTGCCTTGGTAAGTTGTGCCTGAGCTTCCTCGACCTCCTGAGTAGCAGCATCGAGCTGCTGCTTGATTAGCCTGTTGTCTTGGCCCAACTTGTCCAAGGCATTGATTGAATCCATCATTGTGTCGTTGGCAGCTTGCAGATTCTGCTCGGCCTCCTTGTACTGCGCATGTAGCTCGTCCAGCGCACCTGTGTCGTTGGCTGCATCGGCGTCGAGCTCTCCCTGCAATTGTTCGATTCGATCTTCACATCTCTGCCTCTGCTGGCGAAGGTTCGCCGTTTCTCTATCATAGCGAACCTTTGCCTGCTTGGCGCGGGTGAGAGCGGTCTCGAGGGTTCGCACATTGTTTTCAGCTTCTTGGAGGTCCCGTTTGGCGTCATTCAATCTCTCTTGTGCGATGCTNACATTGGTTAGTCATGTCATCTCATGATGCATTGATAGAAAAGCTCACTTCAGCTGTGCTTCTAGACTAGCTTGCATGCGCATCTGTCCTTTCCACGGCTTGACGGGACCCGAATTGATACCACCACTTCTTGTAGTGTTGAAACGAACACCCTGTCCACGTACGTGGTCGTGGTGACCGATGGTGCCTTTGACGTTTCGTGGATGCGACTGAGCAAATTGATTGGCAGCCTCTCTTTCGGGTATGAGGACGGTCTGCTCAATGGCCTGGTTAATAATGAGACAGTTGCGGACTGCGTCGTTATCGATNCTGTCACAAAGTAAGCCCCTTTATGGTCGACCTTGGTACTACGAGTCACTCACCTCCAACACTCGGAGTATCGTAACGAGATGCTGTTCAGGCTCATGCTGTGAAACATCGATACGATATCCGTTGTTGGTCAGTATGTCAGAGTCGCTGTGAATGTGTNNTAATACCGAGTACATCCTAAGGCTAAATGGTACTGACCAATTCTGCTGTCTCAAGATCTTTAATAGCAACTGGCGATCTCGAGCATTGCTTACCACGAAGGCATTCAGATTGCGACCGAAAGTCGTCTCGATGATCGAGCCCCACTCAGGCTTGAGCAGTTTGACGTGCATGCCCATTGGTCCTACTGGCTGCTTCGTGAAACCACGNCTCGTTCCTAATCTGACGAAGAACATTATGAATTTGTGGTGGATAGGCTCTGGCTTGTTGACCTTCATCATCCCGCAATCGTTGCAGCATGTTTTGTGCCTCTTGAACAGCTCTCTTCTTTGCTTCCAGACCCTGTCCACGAGCATTTCTCACTTCATTTTGAGTTTCGGTGACGCTGTTCTCAATCTGCATTTTTGTGTTTCATGCTGCTGTTCCTGTTGCTTGATCTCCTGGAGTTGGTTACGAGCATCCTCCAGCTCGGACACTTTCTGAGCATGGGCGGGACCACTGGCGTTCTCGATTCTGGTCCTTTCAGCGCCTATCTTGTTCTCCAGGTTGGTCAAGGTTGCCTTCGAACCATTTATATCTTGCTTGATGCTCCTCTGCTCGGTTTTCTTTTCGAGCATTTCTTTCACATTTGAATCGAAAATGCTCTTGACCTCGGCGTAATTGTCCTGCAAAGGACCGAGTTGTTCTTGTAGATCAATAATGACACTGGCGTTTGCTTCACGTGTAGAGTGAGATTCGTCGTAAAGCCTGCTAGCTTGATCGGCTTTTGCTTGCTGCATGGTGATCTTGTTCTCGGCCTGATGAATCTGATCGTCAATCCTCTGGAGCTCGCGTTCTTGCTCTTCGACTTGTGCCCAAGCATGCTGCCAGCGCAACTGGTTGATCTTCTCCGCAGTGGTCTGGCTACGGTCTATCATCTTCTTTTTCTGCTCGGCTGCTCTTGCATCTCTGCCCATGATCTCGAGATCAGTCTCTCCAAGCTCGCACCTGTGCTCGATAGTGTCGAGTTGGTCTTCGAGGATGCGATAGTCGCCGTCGAGTTGTTCAAGTTGAGTGCCTTTGATGAAGAATTTGTACTTGTCGTGAGGGGATGAGCCGCTGAGGAATTCTCGAGCCTTGTCTTGAGACAAGACGTTCATGGGGTTGTCCAGCTGCAGAGCGAAGAAGTCGACGATGTTCTCGAGCTCGGCTTTCTTTGTAGACATAGTTCTGCCCTGAGCGTTCTTGATCTTGAAACCACTTCCGCTTTGTGAGAAGTGTCTCTCGACTATGATGGACTTGCCGTAATCGTTGGGGTGGTAGGCCATATCACCATCGTTCTTGATCTTGACGGCGACGTGGGCCTGCTCCTCGCCAGACTTGATGAAGTTCTTGAGACTACCAGCGCGGTTTGTCTGTGCAGCCTTGACACCCAAGCAGATTGTGAGGGCTGTGAGGATGGCACTCTTTCCACTGCCGTTGTGACCGATGATGAAGTTGATCAAAGGACCGAGCTGGATGCGGAGCTTGCTGTGACACATGAAGTTTTCCATGTAGACCTCTTCGATGATGCCCTGTTCAGCAGCTCTGTTTTCCTTGTTCCGCTGGTAGTGTCGTTGGACAAGCTGAGTAGCGCGGATCTCGCCTTCGGGATCCTCACCTTCGTCGGAGGAAACATCGAGATGGAGATTGTGGTCCTCGTTGACATGACTGTGGTACTGGTAGGTGTAGCCTCCGTCGACTTCATCGGTCTCGAAGGGAGTTTCTGTCGCACGTTGACCGTTGATGCGAGCGCGCTTGGGAGAGGAAGGCGGAGAGGAGCCGTCGGCCTCGTCGTCGTCGTCGTCGTCGTCGTCTTCGGGACTGTGTCTGCGTTTGTTTGCCATGGTGGATTGTCTCTCGGAGTGCTGGCAGGGAGAGGTTGAATGAGCCGGCGAAGAGCTCAATGGCTGCCTGATGCACGCTGAAAGAGAGCAGAGTTGACTTGGTCGAAGCAAAAGTGAAGCGACAGCAAGCTCATTCGTTCGATGCGACTGCCGGACGACGCGCACCAGACCGCGGCAGGCAGGCGCGACCCACGCGTTTGAGATGTGCCAAGACCGCTCTTATCTTATCAAGCTTGCATAATTATAATTATGCATCTATCCGCCGTGACGTGTTCGAGGCCGAAAAAGTTGCATCGCTCATCTGTGCCCACAAAGACTTGGGAGCTGGAGTGAAGTAAAGAGGTGGAATAATGGGTGCTGGACAGTCGTCAACGAGCGGCGCTCAGGAAGCCGCGCCCGAGGCACAGAAGACGGGCTACTACACCCTCCTCGGTATCGAGCGCGATGCCACCGAGGACGAGATCAAGAAGGCCTACCGTCGCAAGGCTCTCGAGCTACACCCTGACCGCAACTATGGAAACGTCGAATCTGCCACCGCCTTGTTCGCCGAAGTCCAATCCGCCTACGAAGTCCTTTCAGACCCACAAGAACGAGCTTGGTACGATTCACACGAGACTCAGATCTTGCGAGGAGATGATCCAACCACTGGAGGCTCTGGTGGTGGCGAGTACGAATATGGCAACGTGAAGATGACAAGTGCCGAAGACCTGGCTCGCATGCTTCGAAAGTTCAACAGCGGCGTCGAGTTCACCGATGCTCCCTCAGGCTTCTTCGGCTACCTTCGCGAGACTTTTGACCAGCTGGCTAAAGAAGAGGAGGCTGCTGCTCACTGGGAGGGGCTTGATCTGCCTGACTATCCCTCCTTCGGCCACAAAGATGACCCATACGACGATGTGCCCAAGTCCTTTTACGCCGTTTGGTTGTCCTTCAGTACCCGCAAGTCTTTCGCCTGGTGCGACAAGTACCGCTTGTCCGAGGCGCCCGACCGTCGCTATCGCAGGCTGATGGAGAAAGAGAACCAACGCTTCCGAGAGCAGGGTGTCCGCGAGTTCAACGAGTCCGTTCGCGCCCTCGTCGCTTTTGTTCGCAAGCGAGATCCTCGGTACATTCCCAACACTCAAACAGAGGCCGAGCGACAAAAGGTGCTCCGAGATGCTGCTGCTGCTCAAGCTGCAAGAGCAAGAGCTGCCAATCAGGTCAACACAGAGGACTCTGCCATTCCTGAATGGGCACAAACAATCACAAAAGATGAGCATGAAGGCGTCATTGGAGAGAGCGAATCAGAGGTCGAGGAAGTCTTTGAATGTGTCGCATGCAAGAAGACTTTCAAGAGCGAAAAGCAATGGGATGCGCATGAGAAGAGCAAGAAACATCAGAAGGCTGTTCAAGCACTGAGGAAGAAGATGCAGAAAGAGAACGCGAACTTGAATCTGGAGAGCGAGCCAACAAGCGGAGATGCCACACCACTCGATCTCGAAGACTACGAACGCCTACCCGAGGATCAATATCCTATGATGGAAGATGAGCCTTTGCAAGTGGACGACTATCCGGTCATTGACGACGAAACTGCAGCGAACATGAACAACCTCACGCTACATGATGATGTGTCTGAGTCTGGAGACGACGAAATTACACAATCAGTCAAGACTATGGAGGCCAGCGAAAACCCACCAGAGGAGACTGCAGACACGATTGACTCCTCGGACGATGAATACGCCCCTGCATCGCAAGTAAAAGCTCGCCTTGGTCAGGACCCTCCCTCGAAGCCAGATATTGCATCGACCATCGGGGACTCCGATTCAGACACGACACCTGTACAAGCACCAAAGAAGGGCAAAGCTGCTCAGAAGAGAGCAAAGAAGGCCGCTGCCGCTGCAGCTGTCTCCGCGGAGCAAGAAGAGAACAAGTTCACATGTGCAACGTGCGACGCCATGTTCCCTTCTAAAACTAGACTGCACCAGCACATCAAGGACTTCAAACATGCTGCTCTCAAGAACGTCGCTTCTGTTGGCGGTACGAAAGGCAAGAAAAGCAAGAGATAGCCTGCAGTCACATGCATGGCTTGGGCTGGTCCCTCTTTCTGTCCGTCAGCATCTACGGCCGTAGGCAGAATCCTTCTCATTCGCCGCATACTGGTCGCAGATGCTGCCACCGATAGATCTACGGCCATAGCTCCGATACATAGAGCTTTATGCTGAGCCTCATCGATCCTAGAAGCACAAGCAGAGCCTCATATCCACGGCTCCCAGGTATGCCGTGGGTACAAACGTCCACGCACCAATAGAGGACATGACAGCCCACCACATCGTAACATATGCAGAGGCTCATCTCGAACCTCGAAGACGTGTCAATCGATACTGTGCGCCGAGCGGATCTGGGCCCGTTCAGCCTCTTCTGCTCATGAACATCTGTCAATAGCCACGGGCTCAAGTTCACCATGGGGAGTTTTGGGCATGCATCCGAGGAAATGGTGCTTACTACCGAGCTCATATATTGCCTGATCTATGGAACAATCGAACAGCAGTGGCTGGGATCAGATGTTCCCAGTATACATCTGTCGGCTAGTGCAAGACAGGATACAGCGTAACAGCATGTGGGCCACGTTGATCCATCGGAAGTCGGATCCTGCTGCCTGCTAGAGGGGGAGATTGAGGAAGCGTTGCTTCTCTTCTCTTTTCTGGTCAATTCCATAGGTTTATTCGGCCGAGCAGTCTCGCGATTAAGACACCGTGTACAGGCGGCATCCTATTCTTGATCATGGAGTCCAAAGGAGGAGATCGCCATGGCTACCTTGTGTTAGTTCACAAGACATTAGTTACAAAATGTCGACCAAGACTATGTGCCGGGCCTCATGGATAACCAGTCATCTTCAATTTCATCAGCGCAAGTGAATTTTGAGCTATATCTTCAATCTCCATGATATCGCGAAAGTCGAGTGTAGCTGCGAAGACCGCAAGAAGAGCATCTGGTTCGTACTACCTGCAGGTAAACCCTTTGAGCGTGGTAACCACCATCTTGTGGTTATGTAAGCGTCGCTCAAGCGTTGGCTTGTCCCTCAGTACATGCCTATTCTCTGATACTACCATCAAAGTCCATGTCTTGAAAAATATGTGTTTATGCACAACTCGTCCGTTTTTAGTAGAGAAGGATCTGCGATCATGGTTTGTACCACCTGAGAACTGGATCAAAGATAGGCGGCCCCGGAGCAGATCTCCTAGCTACGATCAGTAATCTGACAGAGTGAGTAGTGCTGTACATCGCGTTTCATTGTTCATCTCCTTTTGGTGAAACTGAGGAAAGAACGTTCCAGAGCTCAAAGGCTAAAATGGAATTGGCTTCGATTGGTCGAAAGTCACTCTTTCCTCGTGGTGGGGCCGTTCGATTCAAACATCCATCACACCACACAACCTGAGGTTTCAGACCACAGTGATATTTCGAATCCATCAGCACCAGAATATTTGTGCCCCTACTCCATTTCAATCAACTTGGCTATCCCCCATTTGGTTTCGCATGCTGCAGATCTCTCACTGTACTTCGTGGCTAGAGCTCTGGTCATTCACCAAACCCAACCATATAGCTTCCACTGAGTTGTATCTAGATCTAAATCCGGATCTGCCCCCGTCACAAAGTCCTCAAGATCGATTTCGACAAGCGAGCATCGGTAAAAGACCTCAGAAGAAGTATCCATAGGATGATCAACCAATCAGAGAGTCTCGTGTCATAATTCACTCTATGGACGCAAACTCCCTCCCTCCGGTACATCGTCTACGCTTCTCGTATCTATCGACACGTGGGGCATATTACGGTCACTCAGGACCATATACGCATCCGGTCTCGATCATGCCAGACCATCCCGCGCTCCAGAACAGGATTTTACGGCAATCTCGACTGTTTGGAATCCATGTACAACTTCTACTGTCAACGATTACTCCTTGGAGAAGAAGCAGCGCTTTCTAATGTATTGTACACCCCAAAGGCATTGCAATTTCTGGCAGGCCCCACACGATCTTCTGGATTGTAAACAAGCAGGCTAATTGAACACCCAAAGCGAGACCTGCACGTGGCTTTCGCCGCTGACGCTCCTCGAAGGTAAATCGACGATGACCTGGCGGAGACTATAACATATAACTAGGGTTATCCTTACGTACCTATGCCTACGACATTGTATCCTGGTTATTGTTTCTCGAAGTTGAACAACCGGGAACGTTGTGTTTCAAGTCAACCGACAGCATCACACGACAGCATGAAGATTCTCCTCCTCTGTACAGCACACAACTCTCTGTCACAGCGACTATACTTGACCCTGATTCTCAAGCACGAGGTTACAGTTGAGTATGCATTGTCAGCAAACACCATGATCGAGGCTGCCTCACTTGCCCACCCACATCTTATCATCTGCCCCTTCCTTACCTCTCCTGTCCCTGAGGAAGTCTACACGAAGTACATGACTTTGATAGTCCATCCAGGTGCTCCCGGAGATGGTGGCCCCAGCGCTCTAGACTTTATGATCATGGGCGAGGATGGGACAGACGAGGACCTCGACAGAGTCATGTCCAAGGATCTCTGGTCTGAACACGGCCGTAGCCACTGGGCCGTGACAATTCTGCAAGCCATAGCGCAATATGATGCAGGTCCAGTATGGGCATGGGAGCAATTCAAAATCAACATTGACGACCATGCCATCACCAAATCTAGTCTCTACCGAGGAGACGTTACGCGAGCTGCCTTGATAGCATGTTTGACTGCTATCGAGAGGATCGAGCTTGCTGCCAGACAAGCCAAAAGCACCGAGACTAGTGAGGTCGATGACTGGGAATGCATTGCCCCTGATTTGGAAACCAAGCCTGAGTACGGGACTGCATCCGCCAGCACGGGCGAACCCTTCTTTGGCGGACACACTTGTCCCCTTCCTCTTATGAAAGCTGCTAATAGGAGCTTTGATGTTAATCGGCATTGCGCCCTGATGATATCGAGACTTATACGAGCATCAGATTCGCAACCAGGTTGCCTCACTAAGAACTTCTCTCCAAATCTCTATGTCTATGGTGGCGTCATTGAAGATGGCGAACACATGTCATCTATTGACGTTAAGCCAGGCACATTCATTGGCGTTCGCAACGATGCTGTTTGTTTCCNNAAGACGCTCGATGGCAAGGGAATCTGGATAACTCATGGTCGGCGAGTCAAGAAGAAAACAGACCCCACACTGTGGCCAAAAGTCCCTGCCATACCATTGTTCTCAGCTGTTGGAATTGTGGACTCGAAGAACCTACCTCAACTTCTTCCTGAATTGCCGAAAGACTTTGCCAGGCTCGATTACCCGACGTTTCAAGAGATCTTCGTTGAGTACGACGAGATAGCGACAGGTCAACGTGTCGCTTATCTGACGTTCAATTTCTACAACGGAGCAATGAGCACGAATCAGTGTCGTCAGATGTGTGCTGCTCTTCGAAGCATTCTGGAGACACATACGGAGTCGAATCCCTTGTCAGCAATTGTTCTTCTCGGAGGAACTTACTTCTCCAACGGCATACATCTCAATGTGATCGAGAGCAGCCCAGATCCGGCATACGAGTCTTGGGCCAATATCAACGCGATCGATGATGTCGTCCTCCTTATTCTCCAAGACTTTGCTACTCGCGGAATCACCACCGTGGCCGCGCTGCGAGGCAATGCTGCTGCTGGAGGTGTGGCGCTCGCTGCTGCCGCTGATCTCGTACTCGCTGGAGAACATGTTGTCGTAAATCCTGCGTACCGTGCTTTGGGATTGTTCGGTAGCGAATATCATACAATCACCTACTACGGTAGGGTAGGTTATGATACTGGTCGCCATCTGTTACGCGATATGTTGCCTGTATCGGCACAACAAGCCAAGGATATCGGTCTTATCGACGTTGTACTACCTGGCTTTGGAGAGTCGCTAGACAGCGCCATCCACGACCACGTCAGCGACCTCATCTCCACCAACCAAAAACCCGGCCAATGGAAACACAAACTCGACCTCAGCCCCACCGCCCTCGCCACCGCCCGCATGCAAGAACTCGGCGAAATGGCCAAAGACTTTTGGTCCACACGCTCCATGCGCTACCACTCCCGGCGCAGCGATTTCGTCCGCAAAGTCAAAGCTTCCAAAACGCCTCTGAGGTTTGCACGCCACAGACGCAAAGTTGGCGAGCTTGACGAAGAAGAGTCTGATAGTTTTGATTTGATGGAGACGTTTGCGATGATGTTGAGGGAGACGCAGGAAGTGGCGTTGCAGCAGACTATTGAGCAGTTGAAGGTGCAGGCGAGGAGGGCGAGTACCCCGGCAACTGTTGAGGAGAAGGATAAGAGGCAGTTGGAGATGCTGTTTTCGTGTTATTATAATGCTTGAGGATTTATGTATGGTGTCAATGTAGCTCACCGTAATTCAAGCTGTTTTTCATGCATGAACTGCACGCTCTGCTTATGTTGGATAAGCTTTGGGAAGTGCTTGTTGTTTTCTCGTTTTGGCTGTGATCTCATGCTACTTTCAGTCAGCATGACCATAATGAGTAAGGTAATCAACGGGAACCTCAACGATCTTACGACAACCGCACCGATGTTGCTTTTTCCCTTTGCTATCCGTGTAGCTTCACTCTACACTGCATGGTTGCCTCGTTCCCGCGAAACAGAGGAAGAGATGGAAAGGATCGAGAGTAGGAAGTTGGAACCATCGAAACACGACTTCTTTGTGACTGCGAGATTCGTGTTTGTGTACAGCAGTTTGTGATGGCTGCGACTGTGGTGTCTTTGCTTCAGACTCTAAAGGCTTGAAGCCGTTTTGTGCGCAGAGACAAAGAAGCAAAGCAATCAAGAGACACAAAGGCGCAAGCAAACGACTCGGAGCGTAATGGTTGCAATGACAGGACTAGGGTGATGATAAGGGAGTTCAAATATCTGAGGCGCAGGGGACGTACACAGATGATTGGAGTTGTTGCATACCATCAACAAGAAGATCTGTCCATTTGCTGAAGAGAAAAAAAAGAACCAAAACATTATGGCGTTCAGGGGAGCAAAAGAAACCACCCCCTCCAGGTGGAAAGAAACCCGGCAGCCTCCGAGTTCTCTTATTGAGATCCAGCCAAAGTCCAATTCCAGTTTCAAATCCAGTTTCAAATCCAGATTAAATTCCAAGAGTAAATCCAGAATAAAGTCCAAGATCCAAGAAAGTGAAGAAAGATTCCCAGCACGAGGTTCGAACTCGTGCTAGTTTGGCGCAGTGTCGGCGCCAGCCAAGTGGGCCAAACACACCTAGGCGTGTAAGGCGGGACCCTTGCCTGGCTGGGGACGGGAGTGGAACAACTAAGGGGGTATATAAGGGTAGGGGAGTGAAGGGGGCGTGGAGTGAGATGGAATGGATGGCGTGCACACAAACATTACCTTAAGGACTCTCGGCGTTTAAGATTGCCATAACAACAGTGCCTGATGTCTTCGAGTTTGTGACTGTACGCTATCTTTGCAGTTTAAGCCAGACCTTTTCATGTGCTCGAGTGCCCTTCGTGCGGCCGATTGTGTCGGACGGGTCGACGAAGATTTCCCACTTGAATCTGCTATTGAAACAACCAGGTTCATTGCGCTTGATTTTGTCCTTCACGTCTCCGTTTAAAAACACACGCCCTTGTTGCGTGATAACATTGCCAGAAAGCATCAATTTGGTCCAAAGCGTGTATATGACCATGAAAACTGCTTGAACGACATACAACTATCAGTCGACGATCTACGTGAGTCACCACAATTTCCAGTATTATGAAGTGACCAAAATCCTTAGTGCTGTTGGAAGTAAACCAGTGTCGAGGTTCCACAAAGCATAATGCAAAGACGATGGAGTTTTGAAGATACTTGACACTATTCAGACAACTCCGGTGTATTTTCTCATCACAAACCGAGTCCTAAGGAATGCTGTGATCACGATATATCAAGCATGGAGATCCATTCCGGAGCCAACGTACAGCTGTAGAGCCGATGTCCTATGGTGAGATAAGACCAAGCAGTGTTTAAGTCAAGTCCAAATACAGGTCTGCAAGACATTTTGCAGTTCTCAAAGATTTGCTGAGGGCCTGGAGTCTTATTGTATTTTTTGAGTAAGGTATCGCAGGTGACACAAAAGGCTCTGATCAGGATAATAGCAATCATGTAGATTCTAGCATCCAAAGATCTGCTCTGAATGGGGACAAGCTTGAGAAATCGGTCTCCTGCCTCATATGTGTGGACAAATAGGCAAGTAGCTGGTGAAGGCAGGAGATCAGGTCAAGAGGAAGTCGGGTCAGGGTGATGAAACCCCGCCGCGCTTGGACCACCACGCGGCGGCGTTTTCTGCCGTTCCGGGCCCGAACATGCCCGCCACCAACCTCTCGTCTGCATCGCTCGCCAATAGTACTTTCTTTCTCTTATATCGCGCGAATTGGGGAAACAATGTTGGACGATCAAAATCGCGTCCAGGAGGTGGACACCGACGATGAAGAAGCCCAAGATTTCGGCGGCTTTGGAGGAGGCGACGGGTTTTCTGATTTCACCAAACGCCTACCGGACGACTGCATAGAATACACGATTTTCGTCATCGATTCGAAACTCAAGACCGACTATGCTCGCAGAGAGAAGCTGAAAGCGATCCAAACAGCTGCTAATGCTCTGCTCAAAACTGCGGACCTTAGAGATTATATCTGGCAACGCGAGAAGTTCCAACTAGACCTGATTGATGCCAGAATTGACTCAAACATCAATGGTACCGAGGCTGGAGGAATACCCGAAGAAAAGCTACAGATACCTGGTCACGATTATTACCTCCATGGACGAACCAATTTTGGCGACTCAATAGCCGACGAATGGTTGATTGTGTGGCTCCTTCTTGAACTCAGCCAGCGGCATACCTCGGCCTGGATTCAAGTTCGTGATCCGGATGGTGAATTCTTGCTCGCAGAAGCTGCGAATGCTCTGCCCAAATGGTTGGAACCTGAGCTCGCCGACAATCGCGTGTGGATACATCGTGGACAACTTCACATCATACCACTACAACGAAATGCTGGAAGTGGAGCATCCGGACCCACGACTCCGGGCATATCTGGCAATGTCGACGTAGCACAAGCTTTGTTGTTCTTGCAACAAACTCCCCACTCGACCATGCACTCGCCCATGATTGAGGAGGAAGCTTTCCACCGCTTGCGAGACTATCCAGCCGCTATCGCTAAGAGCCAACATAGTGCACTTCTATCTGTACCTCGTCGCCTCGCCTACCTGCTTCGCCGCAATCCAGCCTACGTAGCCCCAGCTATTGAGGCATTCTACCTCCGCGATCCCATCGCTGTAAAGCCCTTGGCCACAAAGGACACAGCAACTCTTTCATTTGCACCCGAGGACTTCGTCACTATGAGTGTCCGCTTCCCCAAAGTCGGCTATGCACAGCTTGTAAGCCAGGACTTCCCTCCGCCGCCAGCTTGGGTGGGCATAACCCCTCATATTCATAAGAAACCCGTCCTCTTGGGTATGAAGCTATCTTGTGGTTTCGAGATGATGTTGCGTGATCCTCAAAATAAGGACAAGCGTGAAGTCAGAGAGATGAACATGTTACTCGAAGACGTGGAGGAAGAGGAAGATGCTTTGCCCTCAGACGAAGAAATCAGATCATGGCCACAAAACGAAGATGACGACAAATGGCTCGACATCGACTTCAACGATTTTGACAAAGAGCTCAAGGGGCGCAGTGGAGACGCATCAGCAGGCGACATGCCTGAAGGCCAAGGCTTTGGAGATGAGTCGACACAAAAAGACCTCCAAGACATGGTCTCACGATTCGAAAAGTTCCTCAATGAAGACGAAGAAACCGGCGCCGAAACTTTCTCCTCTGGCTCTTCAGCCTTTGATTCAGATGATGAAGACGAAGACGAAGACGACGAAGGTGAAGACAAAGCCGCCTCTTTCACAGATGCAGAGTTTGAGCAAGCGATGCGCGAGATGATGGGCATGCCTGACACAGAGAAAGAAACGAACGGTTTGAATTCAGAAGCTAGAAAACTAGCGCTAGAGATGGAAGACGAGGAAGAAATGGAAAGAGATGACGAGAAAGAAGCGGAACAAATCTGGAAAATGATGCAAGAGATTCACGAGTCAAGGAAGAACGGAAGTAACGAGAAGAGCAAGGACAAGGGTAAAGGCAAAGCATTCACACCACACGCCGCACCGGAGACGAATGCAGCTGGCAAGAATGTCAGATTTGAAGACAAAGTCCGCGAAGACATTGAGGGCAGAAACAAGAACAAAGGCAAAGGAAAAGCAAAGGCACGACCGGTGACTATAGATGATGAGAGCAGCGATGATGAAGATATGCTTGCAGGTGAAGACGGCGATCCGCAATATGAGATGCTGAAGAACATGCTCGAGAGTTTCCAGGGACAAGGTGGTATGGCCGGACCTGCCAGCAATCTCATGGGTTTGATGGGTATCGGCAGCAAATTGCCGAGAAAATAAGACAAAAGATAGCCTGAGCTTGGATGGAATGTCGCATCAAGATAGCATCTGGGCAGGTAACACGAAGGAAACAAGACATGAACCGCTCAACCTTGTCCTTTTGAAAACTCACGAAATTGGTGTACGGACGCCACTGAACAAGTGAAGACCGAATTCAAAACAGGGCAACATCAAACACTCAGATGGTGCGCTTGACAGCAAATAAGTTGGCAACAACGAACTCTGGAGAGGACATCAGCAAAATTACATCGAACATCTACTAGGAACAGCATCATTTCCGTAGGCAGATAGTGAGAGTGGTAAAGTGAAGGAAGAGACGTTCAAGCAAAATACCTTTGCGTACAGAGGAAACTGGGCCCTATCTCATTCCGAACGTGCTCCGACTTCTACTTTCACTTCCATTGTTTTTGTTTCACTCAAAGAAAGCTCACCACCAGCACCGTCAACCATTAACCTTCTTTCTCTTCCTACCACAACCATCTTATCTCCGAGCATCAACATCACCCTTCTTCAAACAAACCTTTACGCACCATGGCTCGTCTGACCGACCTGCCGCCAGAGGTCAGACTGAAGATCTATGAACTCCTGCTGGTCGATCCCACCCGCGATGGACTGCGCATAACTATGACATTTGACCCTTACCGCGACCCTAAGCCGGTCTGGAGCCGCGCTCGTTGCGCTCAAGCTGAAACACCTCACAAAGCTGGCCACTACCCTCATCCTTGTCGTGTCGAAGTTCCGTTCTTCACACTCCATCACCTCGACTTCACAGACCTTTGGGCTTTGGCTCGAGTCAACAGGAAGTTCTATGCGGAAACAAGCCAGACGATCTACAACAATGCTGATCTTGCCTATGCTTATGCCACCGCGGTGTCCTCGGAACCTGCCCTGGCCTTCCTATGCCTCAGCCGCTATCTCGAACAACACACTCCCAAGTCCCGCGCCATGCTTCATTCTCTAATCATCCAAGCTCGAGCCCCCTACATCATGAGACCTCGCGATACCAAATTCCTTGTCGATCTTGTCAATGCTCGCTTGCCGAACTTGCGCGTCTTTGGCTACCAGCTCACCCCGATCATCGCATCCAAACCTATCGACCGCATATGGCCGCTGTTTTCGAACCTCTGCAGTCTTCCCTATGCGATTCGCCCACTTGCTCAGCTCAACACCAACCTGCGAACATTCCTCGAGCTGCCTTCTGTTGAAAACTTTGGCGGTTCACATCCGAACGTTAAGATGTATGAGTACATGCTCATCATGAGACGCTCACTCAGCGATCAGTATATGAAGATGACAGCGAATGTGGTCAAGCTTCGTCGGTGTATGCATGATCGTCACACCCTGGCCCTGAATCGCGGTGATTATCTTCAGATTACCTCAAGGCTTCGTTCCACGTCGGATTTGGAGGAGGAAGAGGCTGATGAGGAGACTGCTACTAAGGAGAAGACCATCAAAGACATGTTAGACAATGCTCATCAGCTGGGTCATGGTCTTCGTCAATACCGGGTGTGGCCAAGTGAGATGTGGACTCGCGCCCGTGAGGAAGCTCACAAGGATGACGGACACTTTTGACACTTGAAGCACTTTCACACAGAAAGCGATCATGGGCATGGTATGGTCGGTAACTCAGAGAGAAGCTTCGAAATGAGCAGTTCTGCGGCAGAGAGACGCGTAACATGGCGGGGCTTCAAACGAGATCTCAGACGAGATTAACCAGTACTGCAGGAAGGGTCAGATGGCTAGAATGATTTTCATAACAGAGCAAGACCATAGGATTGTCACTCAGTCAGCAATTAGACACGACAAATCAGAAACACTAAACAACAAATCTCCAAGCTGCACCCCTACCCGATCTGACTTGTGGCTTGTATCCAGTATCCAACATCCGCTGCTGCACAGTCCAATGTAAATTTGGTTCTGGTTCTTGCACAGCTCTGTGCCTTCCCAAGTTCATCCTCACTTTCTTGATCCAAGTGTCCTCGTCCTTTGACTGGAAGCGAACCTTGATTGGCCACAACTCCAAGAGCCACCAGGACTTTGCTTGCACGAGTTGGTCGTTAATTGGTGCAATAGCATCAAAGTAGTCTTCAATTTGTTCCGGCATCCAATGCTCAGATCTCTTGCATGTTTCTGTATCTTCGTAGAGGTTGAGGTTGTAGAGACCGTTTTCGTGGTTGCTGTTTTGAGCTTCTAGAAGAGTGGAGCGGCGAGAGATCGGTGCCAGCTCACCTTGGTGGTACTTCTCCATTGTGTTTGGGGAGGGGCCAACTGTGGGTCTCTCGAGTCTTTGGTAGACAGGGTAAAGCATGTGGACATCGAGACCTTCTTCAGCTAGTCGGTGTGTATCAAAGATGATGCCTGCATTGCACTCAAAGCATTGACGTATCATCCATCGGAGTGGGATTTGAGATGCTTTGTGGCGCTCTTCATTGAGTACAGCGCCGCCGCCTACATCGGCATGACAGCCTGAGAACCAAACTTCGAGGCAGTCGGCTTCACGCACAGGCTTGGATGCATAAGAGTCTTTTCTCATCCTATCTGGGCGATAGTCAGTGTAGGTGTCAGCAGTGCTGCTGGACTCGAGCCTCTGCCGTGGCGATTGAGATTGTCCTTCAGTGGCTGCTTTCGTGACCCATTTGGCGTCGGGGTCCGTATGGTCTTTNTGCTGGTAACGGCATACTTTGAACTTCGCTCTGCGCTCATCCAAGGCCATGGCATGCCGGAAGTAGCTTGGCTTGTTCCTTGGTGTACTGCTCAATGGCAGTTTCCTCGGGATAAGACCCACACTGGCGACACTATCGAATACTCCGACAAAGTGGACGTTGACATCCATGCAGAAAGTCCGCTTGAAGTCGTGACTCATGTCCCATCCTTTCTGAGTGTCGTCTTTGTAGAACTTGTAGGCAAATGGTACCTGAGCTCGGTTGTGCTTGGGGAGAAGTCCAACTTTGTGGAGCATGCCAGCTAGGCATCTGGCAGTGTATGCACCTCTCGAGAAGCCGAAGAGGCATATCTTGTCGCCTTCACGGTAAGTCTGCATGAGAAAGCGATAGGCATCTCGCACGTGGATACCGAGACCACTGCCAACTGCCATATCAACAGCAGCAGCGATGCCGTTGCTCAATCCTCCATTGTTGTATGTGCCAATACCAGTCTGGTAGTAAGTGATCTGGTGGGGATCGTCTTTCTTGAGGCAGCTGACGAGATGTACGATGTTACTGTTATCGCCGTCGAATTTGTCGCCAGTGCCATCCAGACAGATGATCAGAGTACGGCCTTTTGAAGTTGCTCCGTTCTCGGTGGCATGAACGTATCGAGGCAACTGAGGCGTGTTGGGTCTGTCCGAAGCTTGAGCGGAGGATGTGGTCGAGGCTGGCGACACATCAGGTGCTGATTGTATGGGGTATGAGGCACGACAGTCCATTGTTGCTGTAAATTGATAGCGGGATAGAATGGACCCGATTGACCTGGGGAACTGTGAGGAGCAAGCAGAAGAGCAGTCAACAGATGGTAGCATCCACTCACATCGTATACCATGTCATCGTCCGCGTGCCTGTGACCATATTCAGCATACCGTCAATCACCAACAGATTCGTGCTCTGAACAAATTCAGACTAGAAGTTGCAGATCTCGAGCATTTTCCTGGATGACGGTAGCGTTCCGATCCGCTTTACCAAACATGTGCGATCTACCGGCGAGCACGATCTCGACCCACATAGCGTGGCACACCAGACTTTTGCTGTACAACAACGCTTCTTGAGAAGTCGAACGATGGTGCATATACCTCATACGGAAGCTATGTGAGCTTCACTAGGTCGCACTACAGAGACATTTTTGAGTCCTGCATTGACTGGTGTCAGAGAGGGGTGACAGGTCGAGCAATAATACGAGGCAGGAGCCAATTAGCTCTGGTTTTGGAAGTTACAACCTTTCAGTCTTGTGGAGATCAGCCACTCAGAAGTCACGCAGCATGACATGGCGAAGAACAATTGCTGACAACTTGCAGCAACGACTGTGACAGCGTCGTTGACGAGATGTGAACTATCTCCTTAAGCCTCTGGCTCTGTTCTCGCTCCAGTCTATGGCTTTATCTCCATGTCTGCACAGCGCAGACAACAATCTTGACTGTGCATCAGGTCAAGCTACTGTCAGATCAAGTCGCAACGAGATGGTGCAGAAACGATATTCGCCTATCTGACGCTAGCAAGGATAGGTATCCTCATGCACGAGCGTTGTGGAGAGCTGTTGTTGTTTTGTGTGCACTTCTGGCGTACCGTCGCCAAGTTGCGAAAAGCTGGTGCGTGCACGCTTTTTCTACGACTGACCGCGACTCGTTTGGGCTGATAGTCCCTACAAATCAATGATCGACCTCTGCGATCTTCCTCGATGGCTATGCATGGTCGCAAATAGGACGACCGTTTTATCTGATGAATGAACAGCAGACGTCTTTGCTTCGAAGATCATACGACTACTGCACGTCTGCGACACCAGCTAAGGTTGAGATTACACAACCGACAGACCAACAGCGCATCAAGCTTCATGTCATCACGTTGCGAGCTGTTCGCTAATCCAGTGACCTTGCTGTTTCTTTCATTGTCTTGTCGATCAATATGCTCCCTCACCTCAACAACTGTCTGTCTATGCATGAGACATAGCACGACATAGGTCCGACCAATGATCAGACACGATTTACAGAATAACGATTGTCATGCGAGCATGTTACGGACTTCAGAGTAGTGATAGGCACTAGCGATTCGCTGATCCCTACGGCTCTGAATGCCATGTGGATGGCCCACTGCGTTCACGGACCATTGACTATCACAGTGAACGGTAATCAGGGCTCGTCATGATGTAGAGGCAAGACGGACCAACTTGCAGTATATCTGTAGACAGCTCCGCCTCTTATCACGAGAGGCCTTTGTGAAACTTCTTCTTTGTTTGTTCTGGACATTACTCCTAATCTTTTCTACTCAGATCACAGACGACGATCATGGCGGTTGGTCAGCTCAAATCTTTGATTGGATCAATTCGGAGGAAGCCTTCCACCGCTCCAGATCGGAAGACCAATGGTGAAGCAGAGCTAACTCCTATCAACGAAAAGACATCTATACTCCATGACATCACTCATATGAGTGTGAAGAACATGAGCACCGTGGCCCAAGGCTTAACCACGATTGCGTCTGGTGAGCCCATGGACGACAAAGAGCTCTTGCTTGAACATGGTGTAGCTGCACTTCAAACAGCGCCACCGAACAGTGGACTTTCTACAATGGTCTCAGAAGGTTTCATCAAGATGCTTTACAACGACCTGCCCCATCCACCAGTAACTCTGGCTGGTCCAACGGCCAGATACAGAAGACATGATGGCGGCAACAACAATCCGTGGAACCCTGAGATGGGCAAAGCAGGAAGTCCCTACAGTCGGAGCGTGCCTCCCATGAGGCCCAGAGGACCCAATCTTCCCGATCCCGAGCTTGTCTTTGAGCAATTGCTCAAGAGAAAGGGCCCGTTCCGTGAGCATCCCTCTGGTCTCAACAGACTGTTCTTCTCCTTCGCCACAATTGTTATTCACGAGTGTTTCCAAACCTCTCGAACAGACCATTGGATCAATGAAACCTCCAGTTATGTTGATTTGAGCACTCTATACGGAAACACAGAAGTTGAGCAAAAGCGTGTGCGCACCTATGAGAATGGAACGATATTTCCAGACTCAATTGCTTCCGAGAGAATCATGATGATGCCGCCAGGTGTTATTGCAGTCTTGGTGATGTTCTCGAGAAATCACAATAGCATTGCTCACTCCTTGTTTTCCATCAATGAAGATGGCAAATACAAGCCGTGGGAGACTTTGAATAAGGAGGAGAGGATCGAGTGAGTTTGAACTGAATTATCAATCTTGTTTGGTCGGCCACTGCTAACGACAATATAGANNCAAGACGAAGATATCTTCCAGCTCGCTCGCAACATCAACGTCGGCTTCTTCGCCACCGTTGTCCTCAAAGACTATGTTGCTGCCATTCTGAACACTCCGAGAGCCAACTCAGAGTGGTCACTCGACCTTGGTGCTGAAATTAAGCAAGCTGGCCAACGAGTGGAACGTGGTACTGGTAACGTCGTCTCTGTCGAGTTTGCTGTTCTCTACCATTGGCATGCGGCTCTGAGTGCTGCTGATGCAGACTGGATGGAAAAGCTGCTCAGGGAAAACCTCCCAGAAATCAAATCAGTAGACGACATCACACCGGAGATGTTTATGAAGGTTCTCAAGGACGAGGGCCACAAGTTGAAAGACACTCTGCCTAGAAAGTGGACCTTCGGAGGCCTCGAAAGAAAAGCAGATGGCATGTTTGATGATGTTGACCTTGCGAAAATCATCAAAGACTGCATTGAGTCGCCAGCCCATGCCTTTGGTGCACACGGCACACCGGCCAGTCTGAAGATAGTCGATATCATGGGTATGCTTCAAGCTCGCAACAAGTTTCAGGTCTGCACGATGAACGAGTAAGTAATCGTTGACTTCAAATAATCCAGAACAAGGATCACTGATATTGCCAGATTTCGTCGCTATCTCAACTTGAAGGCGTACGCAAGCTTCGAAGAGTGGAACCCAGATAAGGAGGTTGCCAGGGCTGCAGAGCTGCTCTATGGCCACATCGATAACCTTGAACTGTATCCAGGACTCATGGCTGAAGTCACTAAGCCTCCTATGGCTGGAAGTGGTGTTTGTCCAGGTCAGACCACTGGACGTGGTATCCTTGACGATGCTGTTGCGCTAGTCAGAGGGGACCGTTTCCTCAGTTATGATTTTAACAGCTCGACGTTGACAAACTGGGGTGTCGTCAAGCTTAGCATTTCTCCACCAGNNGGAGCTTATGGAGGCATGCTACCACAGTTGCTACTCTCGGGACTGCCCAATGCCTTCACGGGTACATCATCCTACGCTCTGTTGCCATTCTACACACCAAAAGCCGCAGCAGGCATTCTTAAGGGTAACGGAGTGATCGATCAGTATGATCTTGCCAGGCCCAAGAGCGACAGGTCCGTCGTCTCTGTCCACACACAGGAAGGCTGCAAGAAGGTCTTTGAGGATCGTGAGAACTTCCGCGTAATGTACCAGGCGGCAATCAGGCAATGTACTGATGGTCACGATTTCATGATTGGATGGGATCAGCAANAGAGGCACGACGATAGATCAAAGATTCTTCACAAGGTGTTCTTCGAAGAGAACTTTGAAGCGAATGTCACGAAGTTCTTCCGCACGAATGTCGCAAGGCTTATCAAGCAGAGTTCGCTTAAGTATCAGGGGACTAGACGATCAATCGACATTGTCCGAGACGTCACCAATGTCACACCCATTCTCTGGCTGGCAGAGAGATTTGCTGTTCCAATCAAGGATGCAGAGCACCCTCGAGGCTTGTTGTCAGTGCCCGAGCTCTTCGGTATCTACTTGGTCCTGTTCATGTATCAGAGCTTCAACATCCAACCTCTAGTTGAAACCACGCTTCGGGAAGGGGCCACCAAGGTCGCCCCGGTCTTGTGCAAAATACTGCACACTCATCTTGCAACTCAACAGGGTGTCAAAGAAACAGTTGTGGACTGGCTTGCCAAGGGTACTGCATACGAAGTTGGCCCAGATGCAGATCGCATCTACCACGCTTTGAATGCGACGAAGCTTCCCATCGGTGACTTGGTTGGTGACTGTATTGGCATGGGTGCTCCAGTCGCAGGCAACATAACTCAACAAGCATCGCTGCTCATTGATCTCTTTCTCAGCCCTGGTTACGAGGTCTACAGAGACCGCATCGTCGAGCTTGCTCACAGAGATGACTCAGCAGCAGAGCGTGAGCTCCAAGGTTTCGTCTACGAAGGCATGCGACATGCAGGAGTAGTCCCAGGCCTGCCTCGTGTAGCATCACAAGATGTCACCGTTAACGACGGCACCCGCGGCCCTGTCCATATCAAGGCCAACCAAACCGTCCTGATTGCAACATCCAAGGCATCAATGGACCCTGTCGCATTCCNNCCTAACCCGGAGAGGTTGGACCCGCACCGTCCGTTCAGCTCTTACATACTTCTTGGCCACGGCCTGCACTTCTGCTTTGGTGCGAGATTGGTTGGTGTGTCATTGGCTGCTACGCTGAAGGAAGTTTTCAAGTTAAAGAATCTGCGTCGTGCCAAAGGTCGCGCTGGACAGTTCTCGATTGTTGAGCATGAGGTTGCTGGTGTCAAGATGAGACAGTATCTTGATGCGTCCTCGAAGGAGTCACCTATCCCCACCACACTCACTCTTGAGTATGACGAGTAAGAAATCCATTGAAGCAAGAAAGTGCCATGATATCGGAACAGCTCATCGCATTTGAGATCCTCCAAATATTGAATTATCGTTTCCGTTGCTGTATCGCGCCTGATTAAATCTTTGTGACTTCCTAATAGGACAAAACAAGCCTTCTTCAATGCAAATGGCAGCCACGAAGCATCTGACTAATTGCTTGGCTGCATGTCACTTCTGCAAAGTACTATATCAATCGAGGCAAGTGCATCCCACTTCTCAGCTCGACCCCGCATCAATCCTTCACGCTTACTCCAAGCTGGCAAGTTAAGACCATCGCACCTGCCTGACTTGCTGTTAGCTACTTTCCTATCAAGCTCTCTCAATATGCGTGAAGATATCTCATTCCAGACCTCCGACAATGTCACGCTTCGCGGTTGGTTCTACAAGCCATCCGAGTCGGATGGGCCTCTGCCTTGTCTCGTCATGGCTCAGGGATTCTCAGCCTTGAAAGAGATGGACCTGGACACTNTTGCCGAATACTTTGTCGCTCATCTTCCTATAACTTGCTTGGTCTACGATAATCGCGGTTTTGGAGACAGCGATACCAAAGAAGGACAGCCTCGTCAGGAAATANTTCCTGCACAGCAGACTAGCGACTTTACAGATGCTATCACTTATGCTCAATCCAGATCAGAGGTGAACAAGGATAAGATTGGTATCTGGGGTAGTTCTTATAGTGGCGGCCATGTTCTTTGGGTAGGAGCCGTCGACCGGAGAGTCAAGGCGGTGCTGTGTCAAGCTCCTCTTGTTGATGGTTGGGGAAACTTTCATCGTCTGATTCGACCAGACTTCGTAGCAGGGCTGAATCAAATGTTCCAAGATGGTTCGTACGACATTGGCGTCAACTATGAACATAGCTGATCCTTCAATTCAGACCGTCATGCGCGCGCAACCGGCAAACCTGCCGCAGTCATCCCCGTGGTGGATGCTGATGCCACGAAACCATCAGCTCTGCCCACTCCTGACAGTTTCGAATTCTTTACAGCATGGGCTAACAAAAGCAATTGGAAGAACGAAGTAACAGTCAAGTCGTAAGTCCCTCGTTACTGTTGGTGCTGCATCTTGTTAAATGAGTCATATCATTTANGCGTCGAAGCATTCCGCGAATACTTGCCATCTGCGCATATACAGCATATCGCTCCAACACCACTTTTAATGACCGTGGCAGATAATGATGTCTTGACCCCAACAGATCTTGCTTTGGAAGCTTACAGCCGGGCACTTGAGCCGAAGAGATTGCACCTCTTGTCTGGAGGACATTTCGAAGCTTACTCGGGTCCTAACTTTGAGAAAAGTGCTCGGGTGCAGACTGAGTTTNTGCAGATGTACTTATGCTCATAGTCTTGGATCTTGCTTGTAGTACATCTGTTAGAAAATTCTATTGACTCTTGCCGTTCTGTGCATTATTTTTGTTGTGTCTATCACAGTAAGATTCCACTCTCTAGCCACGACTGCATTTTAAGCCAGGAAATCAAGAGATATGTATATGTCTTCGCCTAGCAGCATAAATTGCACACATGTTTCCACGAAACTACATACGATACAATGATGAGGATTTGCAGGTAAAAGAGAAGAATGAAGCTTTCCCCTTCGTACCGCGGATGTGCATGGTGTTGTATAACATGCTAGGCCTTCAGAAAGATTACTTGTGCAGCTTGCTACTCAAGATCCATCGTGCTCTCCGAGAAGACAAACGTGTGTTGCTCTGTGCGGGTGGCCTCAATTCCTCAAGTATGCAATCATGAGATCCATCTGAGCTAGCAATCCGGGCACAGTCAAGCGCAGTACGTCCATGGCTATCAAGAATAGTTCTGTGAGCGTTCGCCATGACGAGAATCTTCACAATCTTGAGATGCCTGTTCTCAGCAGCAAGGTGAAGTGCAGTCATACCATATCCGTCCGTGTCATCAATTTGGGCACCGAGATCAAGACAACGTTTCGTGGCAGTCTGATCGCCACGATATGCTGCCCAGTGTAGCAGGGTCTTGTTGTAAGCTGCGTCTCTTTCAGCAACCATGTTCTTCTGTATGTAAGATGATAGAGACCGAGATAATGGAGGGGTCTTGGTGCTATAGAGATAGAAGATGGTCTCGATATTGAGGCGTGTTTTTCTGTCGAGCAGCATCTGTACGATCTTGTCATGACCCATCCCAGAAGCTTCGATGTGTGCGATGTCAAATTTTCCATCTTGGGCGTGAACGACCGCATAATGTGCCAGTAGCATCTGTACAATCTTGTCGTAGCCCCGTACAGAAGCCGCACACAGTGCAATGCCAAGAAGTTCACCCTGGACTTGGACGTCGGCGTTGTGTTCCAGCAGCATCTGTACTACATGGCTGTGGCCTCTTGCAGAAGCTGCTTGGGTTCCATCCTGGACTTTGGCGTTGGCATTATGTTCAAGCAGCATCTTTACTATCTTGCTGTGGCCTCCTGCAGAAGCTGCTCGGATTGCACCTTGAACATTGGCGTCGGCATTATGTTCAAGAAGCAGTTGTACAATTTTATAGTGGCCACCTGCTGAAGCCGCTTGTAGTGCGCTGTCATTGGGTCCACTCCGAGCATTGACGTCCGCATCATATTCAAGCAACATGTGTACAACTTTATCGTGACCCATTGCAGAAGCTGCATGTAGTGCACTGCCATGGGGTCCGTTCTGAGCGTTGATGTTAGCATTGTGCTCGAGTAACATTTGTACAATCTTTTCGTGGCCCATTGCAGAAGCCGCCTGTAGTGCACCGCCGTGGTTGCCACCCTGGGCGTTGACGTCTGCACCTCGTCCGAGCAGTGTTTGCACAAGTTTCTCGTATCCCCTCTCTGAATACACGTAGAGTGGTGTTCCTCCGTAGACATTCCCCACATTTACATTTATCTGGTCAACGTTGAGAAGCAGTTGTACGATTTCTTCATGGCCTTGGTATGCCGCCCACGAAAGAGCTGTTGAGCCATGCTCGTCTGGTGAGTTGGGATCAATGCCCTCAGTTGACAATAGAAGTTCGACCTTCTCGATCGACCCATGACAGGCCGCGGCACGTAGATGCGCATCGAGGACGAAGCTTTCTTCGTTCTGATATTGGTCTACCACAGTTTGCCGTTCTTCATGGCTCTGTGGTACGGGGCTCCCGTCTCGCATTTCTTTCCGAGAAGCTCCTGCACTTCCCGCGATTGTACTGCTTCTAGCGAGTACGACCCTCTTATGGTGCTGCTGCATTATCTCGCGTTTCTCGAACACTGTTCTCAAATAAGACTTGATTGCCTCAAACTCAGGATCGAAAGGTTGGTAGAATTTTTCAGCCAGTTCAAGAGCACTTTCCAGGACTTCGATGCAGGAGTCGAAATCGGCCAATTTGAAACGGGCTACGGCGAGGGCCTTCCAGAAGCATCAGATCCATCCGAGAGCTTGGCCAATCTGCTCCGGCTTTCATGCGTTGATACTCGAGAGCATCTTGGAAGTCTCTTTCAGCCTCTGACAGTAGGCCGCAGGAGAGGTCGACTTGGGAAAGGTTGACGACAAGCTCAGCATATTGTGGACAATACCTGCCACGAGGAGTTAATAGGTCATCCTCGGGGATTTTATCCCGCACAAGGGCAACACATTGTCTCAGAGGTGCAAGGAAGGCCCTATCGAGAGTACGTCTTTGGCGTGATACGTTGAGCGTGTTTCTGGAAGATTTCAGTGGAGGCAACAAACAGGAACATATCAACCACTCACGTCTGCTGATCGTAACATAGAGTGGCAGCGACTAATCCCCGAGCTGCCTGTAGTAGCCAGACCTGTTTGCCTTCCAGAGAAGTTTGCAGAGACCAATCTCGAACGGCTCTATGAAGCATAATAACGGAATCCCGCTTGACTACACATACGTTCGCGAGTTGCGAGAGGGCAAATTGGAGCGCTTCTGGAGTACGCAAAGTTTCAACTAGATGCCGAGATTCCTGATCGTCTTCTGATTGTATCTCAGGCAGGAAGCGCTGGTATTGATTCAAGAACGTTGTTGGAATCTTCCATGTTCCTAAGATCGCGAGGAAGATAAGTAGTGCGCCAGCCTCAGGATGCTTACTTTTAACTTCTTGAAACAGCAAGTCGAAGACAGTAAAGATGGAATGGTTTTTGTCATATGAGAGAATCCCTCTGTCAGGAAATTTTGTCAGCAACCATGTATATCGCTCTCGATAGGATTGCAGAAATTGTTGAGGCGTAAGGGCAGTTCGTATTAGTACGCCGGCGTGTTCAATGGCCAGAGGGATTCCATGCAATTCTTTTGCAATCTTCGCAGCCCAGTCTGGTAATCTGTTAGAGAACACGACCAAACAGCCGAGATGCTGACTGTACAAACCTGTTTCTAGAGTCGCGGCATTGCCAACAATCTTCTGTAGCAGCTGACTTCCACTGCTTTCGTCCAAGTTGTCGATTTTCAAACTTTGTTCGAACTGAAATACTTCAGATGCATTTGCCCGGATGCTCGTGATGATAACCGAACCATGACCACAGTTGGGAATACATGCTCTGAAGTCATGTTGATTCAGGTCATCTACACTGTCGATGACTAATAGCCAAGGAGAGCTTCTAGGGTCACAGAGTTTGGAGACCACCAGTTTCTGAGGAGTAGCTGTACGAGAAGTCCGTGCAGTGCTGTCTGGCCATTCGGATAACAGATCTGCAGCTTCAGCAAAACTCGCTTCGAGATCTTGTGCACTTGAAGCGTTGATCCAGACAATGGCCTTGTAGAGGCTCTCATGAGTTCGTATATATTGGAGTGCGAGTTGAGTTTTCCTGAGCCTCCGATACCGTACAGAACCAACCCTCTGGGTTTAGCCTTTTGTTCGGCCTTTTCTTCGGCCTTTTCTTCAGCCTTTTTCCAGGCTTCGCAGGATGAAGAGCTTCAGCCATCGTCTGGAGTTCCACTTGGCGACCACAAAACGTATTAGTGCTTAGGGGCATATCACTCTTTAGAGGCATATCACTCTTTAGAGGCATATTCGATACTTTTTGAGTGGGGGCTGGCGGGTGTTAGTCTTAAGTGTTTGTATGGTTTTAGATTGCTGACCGTCGTTAAGATCCAATGTCTTCCCGGGTCCTGTCGGAACTACCTACCTAAACCGGCAATGACCAGATCTTCTAGTGCAATCTTGACTGGCGCATATCTTTGGTTCTCTGACGCGAGAAATTTGCAAATTGTAGCATGGTTCGATCCAGCCAGTGGTAGAGCAAGCTCATTAGGAAGATTCATTGTTGCTGAGCTTTCGTCAACGACCNNTATACACAGCAAATAAGTCGTGATACTATCTGATAGAAAACTTGCAACACTTACTATGACATTGGCAAGCCTGTCAGTCTCGTAGAAAGTCCGGATCTGCAACGACGTAGCTCTGTGTACAAAGTCTCTACTGATCCGCATCCAGTCTTCAGACTTGCTTGATAGACTTTCGAGGAATTTGGGGTTGCCTCGAAAGCCTAAGCTGAGGCATTGGCTGATCTGAGCTGGAAACTTGGCCCAGTATGCAAGGTCTGCTCCATGATGAGGAACACCAAGGAAGAGACAGCCTTTGACGCTTTCCAGAATGTCATCATAGTATTTGTTGCGAGTCCATGCCTCGATCATGGCTTGTTTGACTACCAAGCCGCCGAGACTGTGCGCAATGAATATGATTGGACGACCTTGCTCTTCTGATGTTCTCCTCTCCCCTCGTAGTCTCGAAAGGAGCATGATTGCCGCATGATTGATGGTGGTAACAGACTTGCTGAATACAACAGCAGAGTCATATCCATATGAGAAGATCCGTGCCCGTACACCGATACGACTGAGATCGGCTGGAATCCTGTCTCGCAGAAACATGGGGTCGTCGTGCGAGTTTCCGGCATTCCATGTGTTCGCCCAGTGTCCCATCAGTCCATGGACAGCGACAATACTGACGAGGCGTCAGATCCAGCTAACAATTTATCTGCAGGAGACGTCACTCACTCGACCTGACGCATCGATTCCTCGTCGACGGGTCTTTCGTTTCCAGCTTTTGCGTCTGGGATCTCGAACAACCCATAGCTCTCCTCTGGTACAGTCGTCTAACACCTTCGTCAACTTTCCCAAAGTCGTATCCTGGAGGTCATCGATCATACCTGCTGCCCTTGGGCTTGAGCCGTAGGTACCTCTTCTCTTGCGGACTTCGGTCGTTGGGCAAGTTTCGGAAGAGCGACATACTGTCCAGGACGAGAAGTATTCAAAGAAGGCCAAACAAGAGAACAGAGTTATGATGTGAGCAGCTTTGTAGGATATGCCTGAGAAGTATGACGCGGATTTTGTTCGACGGTTCTTGTTCTATCCATGGGAAATTGTGCACCATGGAGAGGTTTCTGGCACAACCTTCGGATCGGTGGTAAGGTACTCGTGAGATTGAAAAGCATGGAGCGACAAAGCTGAAGACTCAGCTTCAGCTGCCAGCAGGTGCGGGGTCAGGCAGATGCTGCAGGAGCCACCAGATTGGTAGGCGATAGGCCGGAAGGGGTATTCGCACCTACCGCCATCACAGGGTGTATCTGCGTCCGCTAGATAGTGCACGGCTTGCAGACTGCCTATTTTGACCTTGGTAATACCTGCGATTTGCTGTAATCCTGATACGCAGACGCATGGATGTGCACGCTATCCAACGGATGTGAAGATACTCTGTACATACAGGTTCGTGGATCCGCTGCAGTCAGGCTGCCCGCAGACCCCGACCATACAGCCAATTCGATTGAGCTGCTGCAATCGCAAAAACTACTGGAGGCTTGCAGCCCGACCAGCAGATACGCTTTAGGAGGCGTCACGTCACCGCTCTCTGTCGGAACGGTATCCCCATTCCCTGCTAAACGCATTTTCACACCCGAATCGAGTTTTTCAAAACAAGTGGTCATCAGGTCAGACAACGAGGAATGAAAGCAACATAGGTACCAATCAGGCATATATCTCGAGGCTTGGCAGATGACTAATCCCCAAGCTGAGGGGACAAACCTGTCTAGACTTCTGACAATCCAGAAACCTCCAGCTGATTATCCAGGAGATCCAAGATTTCATGTAGTGAATATACTTTCCATCCATTTTCGTAACTGGAGAAAAGGTCAGACTAAACCTCATCTCGCTGCTCTCTCATCTCTTCTTCCTTGCCCTACATCTCTATTCCCTGTGATTCTTGCAAACGTGCTTATACTCATTAAAACGTATGAGCTCAAAGCTTTGTTTGTAACTGTGTTTGGACGAGACTTGCGGTGTGGTTTGTTAATTCTCATGACCATAGCGACTCCCATGAATCTGATGTTGAAGAAGAACGTGAATGGAAACTACCTTCCGAGGGTCCCGATTACACACGACAGTCAATGGTGTGTGTTTTCAACATAAATGACCCGCTGTTCACCCACGAAACCATCTTAAAGAATGTCTGTTCTTCCCAGTAGCCACATCAGATGGCGATATGAGCTTCGTGGTTGAAACTGTGGCTGCATATGGCCACATTGGAATGTCTCTGCCCACATGAGGCTGCGTTCGTAATGCTGTCACACCTCTATCAGCTTCCTCGTCGAAAATCATTCCTCAAATCACTGGAGTGTTGGTTCTGAATCTGTTTTTTTTTTTGGCTCACCTAGATGCCCATGATTCCCTAGGGTCCATCGAGACCTACATCGTCTAACAGCTAGGCGCGTTCTCGATATAATGACTAGCATCTTTATAAGACCCGCTTAACCTCTTTCTAACGGCTCTATCGTTTTGCGGCTTACTCTATCGATTCGTAGGCAAATGCGTACTAAACTTATAGAAGGGCTTTCTTACTTCTTAGTAAAGGAATATACGACGACATAGGATACTATAGAGGTAGGTTCTCCTAATAAAATCTATTATCGCTAACTAGTTACTCGGGAGCATCTATTATTAATCGATTGTTTTCTATCAATAAAGGAATAAAATGCATAAAGTCCAGTTTTTAGAGTAAGAAAAGAACTATTAGAGTTAGAACAACTAACATAGGCCATCTATAGCTAATAGTCGCTATCGTCTAGTGCTAGGATAGTATAACTTCTAAAGCGATAGCGATACGAAAAGATAAGGAGTTAATGTAGACGATAAGATAGATAGTCTATAGGAGAAGAAAGAGGTACAAATAACTATAATAGCGTTAACCTTATCCTCCTATATTATTATAATTAGTAGTAGATTATACAACTTGTCCTAACCTAAGCGATAATACGAACTATATACTACTAGATGCTATATATTAATCTAGACTCCCTATATACCTATTATCTATATAAGGAGTAATATGAAAGGTTTATAATAGTTAGAGTAGTTCTAAGCCGATATCTATACCTAAGCGCCTATACGCTATCTACTAGATACATTACACCTACTAGAACGTTAGACTATAGCTATAGATTCATTTGCCGGATAATAGACGCCCTTTATAGGAAGTAGCTATAATGTTATAAATTTATAATAGAAGAAGGAGCTAATAAGTGTAGCTACTTAAGCGCCTAGAAAAACTTCGCGCCTTAGTTACGTATCTTATACTCTCCTCGTAGGCTCGTATAACATATCTATAGTATTTATTTAGTACCGTATATATGTTAGAGAGTAACATAATCCCCTAGTAGGTCTACATTATATTTAAAAAAGCAGTTATATTACTTACGGCCTAACTCCTCGTTAGTTTAACACATTAATAGAATGCGAATTAGCGGACCTATTAACGCGTCTAATACATTAAGGCGCCTAATAACTACGACTCTTAAGTGCTTAAAGAGACCGTAATAAATAGTTATTAACTACCGAGAAAGGGTAGCGTACTTACTTAAAGTAAATAAAGAAAAAGCTATAAAACATAATATAATAAAAGATACTCTTTATTACTATACGACTACGAGGTGTAAAAACATATAATGCTAGAAGAATGTAAAACATATAGTAGTAGGGATTCCTACGTAGTTACCTACCGTAGTACTAATCTACCGTTTAACTACTTATATATAGTAGAGTAGATAAGATACCTAGTTTTTAGCTAACTATAGCTATATGTGCTTATAATATTAAATCCGTTTAATATAAAGCTACATTATTAGCGTCGTTCCTACTTACCCTCTAATACCGATCGTTACTCGCTATAAATCTATCTAGAGACGTTAGTACTAGAATAATAGGTACTTACTAAAGCTAAATTTATTCGTTAGAGTTATTAGGACGATAAGGTATATCTACTAATATCTTTCTAAGAAGTGTCTTATAGGTACTAGCATCTATAGTGTCGTAAGTAGATATTATACTCTTCTAGTTTACTAGACTAACTTATAGCCACTTATAAGGATAGACGAAGGAATCTCCCTTCCTAGTATATATCTACTAATTGTCCCTATGATTAAGTAACACCTTACGCTTTTTAATAGGTCTTAAGTTCTTATACTTACTAATATCCTAAACCTAGCGTATCGACATATTCGATATATAAACCTTATCCTTACCGAATTCGTAAATGTACTAATATATATATATATAGTCCTAATTTCTTATTCTAGTTATAACTAAAGATAATAAGACTTAATAGTTTACGACCTTAGTTTTTTCTTTTCTTATAGAAGTAGAGAAAGGTGTAGATAGTATTAGTAATTAATAGAACCTAAGGATATAATTAGCGACCTAACGATAATAAAAACGATTTATATATAAAGAGGCGAAGATAGATTAGTTTTAGCATTAAGGTAAGGGCTTAGAAAATGGATTAGGCCTCCTTAATTAACGAATAGCAGTTTTTAAAGATGTTAGCGGTTCTATAAGTACCCGCTAAGGAAAATATGTTTTCTAAGTAGGTTCGAATGTATTTAGGTTCTAATTTATCTTACCGTAGCTAATGTAGTTATTAAACGCGCTATATACGTCTAATGTTTATTTTAGTTTACTAGAGATTTAGCATTTAAAGATAATTATTCTAAAGTAGATTAGTAGGTCGAGGTAGTATAGGGATATAATAAATCCCTCTAGTCGGTCGGTTATTAGAGGTAATTTATACTAGAGCTAATAGGGTTTACTAAGAACGTACTACTATACGAATTAAGGCCTTAGTACGAGCGAGCTATAATCGCTATAAATACTGCTACTATTTACGACTAGCTATTAGAGACCTTATTTATAGTTTATAGGAGGTTATAGTAGTTCCTAAAGGAACTTACTTTACTAGACTTTTTATAATATATAGGTCCTTAGGTGTCTATCCTATAGTTAGAACCCTAACTCCTTCGGTTTTATCTATCTAGTTAGATAAATAAAAGGTTATATATCTAGTACGAACTACTCTAAATCTTTAAGTCTTAAAACTTTATTTTATAGGTCTTCCGCCTATAACTACTTTTAGGCGTTTATAGTGCCTAATAATAGCATTACGTCTTAATAGAAGCATAAACTTCGTAGTAATGCGTTAGAACTATTAATATCTATAAGTACGTTTATAGAGTAGCTAACGATAGATAGATAATTAAGGCGTAATAAGAGTAGGAATAATACTATATTATTATTAATCTTAACAGATTTAGTTATGTTACGTATAACTATATTTAGTATAGGCCTAAGAACTTTTCGATTAATAATAAGCGACTTTAACGAAGGTAGTTTAGTACCGTAGTTAATAAATTCTTAGATAATACTATCTCCTATTAAGGATAAGGATTCTAGTTTAGGCTATATCCTAGACTATTTAGCCTAGCTTTTATTACTAAAGGAGAGTGCTCCTTATAATAATAAGTGTTTAAGCTCTAGTATAGCTCGGCTAATATCTATTAGTGTTTAGGTCTACTCTTTAATAGTAGTTACATTATCTAGCTATTAAATCGAATCGTAGAGACCTAGGCTAACTTCTAGATAGCGTAACTTATTATTCTTCTCTAAATTCTAAGCAAATATCTTAGATAGTATGTCGTTCTACTTCCATTCTAGGGTCGAGTTTATATATAGAAGCGTAGTGCTAAGACCTTCTATTTAGCTAGTATCCTCGATAATATAAGGATTTATATCGTCTAGATGTTTATCTAGAGTAATGCGTACATTTAATAACTTAAAGGTAGTTAGGAGAGATAGATCGAAGGATCTACTAGTCGCTTAGTTCCTATTATCTATCTTTAGTATAATCCTAGTACCGTTAGTATAAACATACTAAGACATACTAAGTATACTATAGACTTAAGAGATTATTTACCTTATACTCTATAGGCTAGATAGATGTAGTAGGATTCGTTAAAGTGCTTTATATATATAGCTTCGGGATTAATGTTACTCCTAAGATGTCTTATATAATATAGTGATTTCTCGCATATAATTATAGAGATCCTAATTAGATTCTACGAAGCTAAGGAGCATAGTAGAATTAATGTCTTCTTTGCTACCGTAGTCTATAAGTAAGAGATCGATGCTCCTAAAGAGTAATAATAATGCGATTAAATAAAACCTTTAGTAGACTAAATTTAAGCGTTATAAAACTAACCTGCGTCTATTGCCATTAATTCTCTCGAAGCATAATGTTAAGAGTTTAGGACTTAGATCTTATATTAAGACCATAATTGTAAAGATGTTAACTAAAAGGTAAATTATAGATGCAATGAGTGTTGGTTTTTTTTGTCGCTTACAGATTGACTGCGCCGTCTTAGTACTCGAGTATAAAGGCGAGGTCAGTGAGGAGAGCACAGAAGTATGAGATCATATAGATACGACTTCTACTGTTCTAGAACGAAACTCGGCTGAGCTGATTAAGGTATAAGCTAACATCACAATGAAACACGCGGGCGTAACCGAGCGAGTACTGATATTCCACGCTCGTGTCCGTTCAATTAGTCGTATATGTGGGAAGCTGTATTCTGTCTAAGAACAAAAGAGAAGAGAGAACCTGTTTCTCAAAGGCCCCTACGGTTACCATGGTCCCGACTTTCTCTTCCAATACTCCAATCGGTTTGCACCATGATGCCGGTTATGCCCCTCCCGATCGGTGCTGCTGTAGCAGCCAACGGCGCAATATCGTCATGCGGCGTGTACGAACGGTTCATGGATCCCTCTGAAGAATCCTCGGCCACGGTGCTTCTATCATCTCTAGGGGAAAGAGGGTTGCCCACATCCATCTCGTACTCATCGATCTGGACAAAGTCGTTTTTGCGGTTGCTAATGCTGCTCAAGCGCGAGCGTGTATCTATCTTGGAGCCGCCCCAGCTGCGTTGGGCAGAGTCGGCTTTGCTCTTGCTCTTACTGCTGTTCTTTGTGTCTTCGTAGTAGGATGGTTGGGTAACGGGTTTGGGCCAGATCTTTTGACGGACCTGGGCGAGGAGAGAGCGGATGGCGGGTGCGCAGGCGACTATGATACCGACTTGGGCTTCGACTGCGGACCAGTATCCAACAGGCAGGTAGTCCCAAGTCACATTGTCTGTGTGCGCGAACTGGATGAGGTACTTCAAGCGGAGGATGNNCTGACGATAGTGACGCTGGCGATGTAAGTTAGCATCTATATTGATACTGACAACAGACGGAACTTACAAGCCACCACCAAGGAACATGACTATTACGCCCAGCTTGCGCTGCCAGCTCATATTGAGTACTGTCAGTTGCTTCATCGGTAGGACGATAACAATCAGATCGAGAATGATGTTTATGGAGGCAGACGCCCAACCATCGGCGTTCAAATCCAAACATTTCCCATGATGCTCTCCGTCCCATTTCAGCCAGGCCATGTTGACGGGAATACATTGCAGAGCGGTGACGGTGACGAAGACGACAATGTATGCGAGACAGACTCCGATCATGGCATGTATAGCGCGACGAAGCTTCCAGTCAGGGAAAATTCGAAGGTAGAAAAGCAATATTGACACCTTCGTCAGTCCAATGGCTGCCAGATAGAGAAGTTCGGCGAAGTAAAAGATCNNTAGTTGTGAACATATTAGTTGTGTCTAGGTATAACTTATGACGAGGAAACGCACCTTGAGAACCTGAGTAATGTGATGAAAAGACACGAACCACATATCCTTTCCCATACCAATCTGGTTTACTTAGATATTTAGTAGAATTTCAGACTACAGCGGATACGGAACTTACAGGCATATGCGCAGACTGACAGTGGGATGACGAAGAGCTTGGATTCATTAGTATTGGTCCATGGAGAACTGAAGATTGGAGTACTACCATGGATAAAGTAAGGGCCCAGTCGTCAAGACCCCACTTGGAAGTGGAACCAGGGAGGCGAGAGATCACTCGAAGAACATAAGCCAGAATAGAAACACCTCCCACGATCACTGTAGTGTAAGTTCCAAGTGCCTCCTTGTTACGGCGTGGAGCGCCTAGTAGTGTTTGGAGAAATGCCTTCGCAGCTATAGTAATCAGCGATCGAACTCGTCACAACTTAGTCTGAAGCTTACTGAGTGATTGTCTAATGGTGCAGCTAGCCCTGACGCATACACTCAATTCATCCTGAAGTGGTTTGTTGGCTTTGATACAGGCGAGGTCTGTAAGCTCGCATGGCGAGTCGGGTCCATTAAGGGTCGTTATTGTGCATGTGAGCTATAGATAATAAGCCTTAGTGATCACTACTCCGAGCCACTCGACGTACTGCGCAGGTAGGTAACTCTTGTGCTGCAAGTTGCAAGATGTCTGCAGCAGTCGCATTCTGCAATTGTTGCGCGTCAAGTGCCTGAGATAAGCAAGCAAAGACAAACAATAATAATGTCACCAGGAACTTCATATTTGGAGCTGGACAACTCAACGCCGTATCCGAAAGCTGTCCAGATCAGGTGAGGCTCTTGTTCCGAAGAGGTGTCGTTGGAAAGAGAGTGTCGACAAGCAACGGGTCGACGTCCGATAGACGGGAACCAAGCTGTAATAATAAGGCCATGTCCGACAGCAACAGGATTTGGATGGCGTTGAAACTGAGCGGCTGAATTATCATAATCTGCAGACCAAGAGTCATGAAGACATCCCAATTCTGTCTCGTCACTTCATCTGTGACCGGTTACAGGGTTGACTCGTCAGGTCAGTGTCTGTTTTAGTCTTGAACCATAAGATTTAGCGTTGGAGTATCAATGGGGAATTGGGAGACCCAGCAAATTGATTCACCAGGTGTGATCCGTGAGCGAAGATCTTTGACACATCTCAGCCTTGGATCCTTGATATGTACCAAAAGAGGTCCGAGTGTATGGAGAAGAGGAAGCCTGTGCGCACATGACTTGGCGACGGCAATTGTAACCTGGACGTTGCTGAGACTGACTGGTGAGAGTTTAAGCCGGAGTGTCAAACTGCGTTAACCGTTGAAAAGCAGGTCTTAGGTGCTCAACATTGCAGAGAACTCAAGACTCCGACACAAGCAGGCATATCTGACTAGCAACGAGCCAGTAGCACGTGATGCAGCAGAGATGGAGATGAACAACACACGGCAGTTAACCCGATACCGAGAGGGAGTGAGCATCAACCAGAAAGCATTGATCAGAGAAGGGAGCGATAGATGGAGTAATGCTTGTCCTTGACGATCTGTTGCGATTGTATGTTAGTGTACCGCAATGAGGTGCATGCTTCAACAACTCCAGAGTGCCGAAAGCAAGATGAGAGCAGATGCCAAGGTAGTAGGGTCGTCGGCGAGTGTTTACACGTCGAGGCTGTCCTGACTCTTTCGAAACAATGTAGTGCAAAAGATGACATAGAACTGTTCTGATTACCAAGCACCGCGACTGTCACTCATCTCAGAAGAGACCTTATTGTGGGGGACAGATTTGCGTGTGGAAGGCGCTGTTGCTAGATTCGTACATCGAAACAATGGATTTATTCAGGAAGGTGTCCTGAGCAGCCTGTGCCAATTACTCACTGGTCCGTACTAGGCCGACCCTTCTCCCTCCCGAAGTACGCCCACTGCTATAAGGAGTGGAAAAAAAGCATTCTGGATTCTGCACCATCCTATTTGGACGTCGTGGCATGAGTCGGATGCAAAATGGCGGGCCCTGCCGGCGTGGCTCGCAATACCATCGAATGAGCGAATGGAAGCAAGTGAAAGAGCCACTTTGCTTTGCCTTGAATAGAGCCCTATTGACACTCTGACCACGCGAAACTTGGGTGCACGTGGAGCTTAGGTTCATGACTCGCTGCGAGGGTCCAAAGCGCGACGATCTCTCTGGTTGGATGCCAACACTCGTACCGCGCCCGTACATGACTCTGATGCGATGTCAACATACATGTCTTTGATGAGAACACGCCCGCTCGTGTCTCTTCCGAAATTCGGATGAGATTGGAACACTCGTGCATGCTAATGGCAACGACGGCCTATACCAGCTCTGTTAAACAGCAGTGCTGTCTTGTAGCAAACATAGTTGCCACTCACGCACATGCGCCTTTAAAGAGCCTCTGCATCGTATCTCGACGAAAGCATAATTGCCATATGTTTCCAAGCATGACACTCTCATACCGTGTAGAGCTGGACCATTTTCTGAAACAGCGACGATAGCAACCGTCAAATGTGAATATCTCTACCAATCGTCCAGCCAATGACTTCTAGGTCAACCAGAAGCTGCACATACCACTAAAGATATACTCTACAAGGTCTGCTCAAAGATAAAACCTACTGTTGAGCTACAATGTCGTCGACAGTCTGGACAAGGCTTGTATGTGGTACGACCCTGGCATTACATCCTCGGCTCCACTCGGAATTGTGGAGAAAGCTGTCCACAACAAAACCACCTACCTGCCTCAGGCTACCTGCACAGAACGAAACCACCAAAACTCAAATCGTTAAGGCCAAACAAGCCACAGCCTTACTATGAAATTCAAGCACAACCATAGTTCTTCGAAAAGAGCAAACCATTGATCGCCATTCGCCAGGTCTCATGCAAACCTTCTTCCGATCTGACATACGATGGTCGTTTCACAGCAAGTCACAGCAGGTGTAGCTTTTTGTGGTGCTTGCCAAGTCAAAAGCACGGATTGCGTGCACACACGAAGGTTTACAGGCGGCCAGCCCTGTGCAAGCATGCGACAGACATATATCTCGTGTGACCCCAATGAAACAAAGCAAAGACTGGAAGACAGTCGCAGCTGTGTGATACGCTACCGAACGTGGGAAAAGAAAAGATCAAAAGAACATAAACTGGTCGTGGAGGGACAAAGAAAAAGTTTGATATACACACAACAGAGATCAACCCTCTGGCTCTGAAAGCACTCGATATCCTCAACAGAGAATCACAATGCTCTTTTCATGATGGCGCAAAAACTATGATATAATTAAAGGGAGGTCAAGTCAAATCTAGATGCCGAAGAGCATCTTGCGGGGGTCCTCAATGTACTCCTTGACCTTGACGAGGAAGGTAACGGCTTCTCTGCCGTCAAGAAGACGGTGGTCGTAGGTAAGGGCGAGGTACATCATGGGGCGGATCTCGACCTTGCCGTTGACAGCGACGGGACGCTCCTTGATGGCGTGCAGACCCAAGACAGCGGCCTGGGGCAGGTTGATGATGGGAGTACCGTAGAGCGAACCGAAGACACCACCGTTGGAGATGGTGAAGGTACCACCGGCCATATCTTCAATGGTGAGCTTGTTGTCACGAGCCTTCTTGCCGAGCTCGGCAATGGCGCTCTCAATGCCGATCATGTCCATAGATTCAGCGTTGCGGACGACAGGGGTGACGAGACCCTTCTCGGTAGCAACGGCGACGGAGATGTCGACGTAGTCGCGGTAAACGACGGTGTCACCACCGTTGGGACCCTCGATGGCGGCGTTGACGGCGGGAAGGTCCTTCATGGCGAGGACGGAAGCGCGGGAGAAGGCGGACATGAAACCGAACTTGACGCCAGTCTTCTTGAGGATCTCATCCTTGTACTGCTTGCGCATGTCCATCAGGGCCGACATGTCGACCTCGTTGAAGGTGGTGAGCGAAGCAGCGGTGTTCTGCGACTGCTTCAGGCGCTCGGCGATACGCAGACGCATGCGGTTCATCTTGACNCTGTGATCATTTTGTCAGCCATGGCTTCTACGTGTAGGGAAGCAATGTTCGAGTCTTACGCGACGCTCCTCGCGGCTGCCGTAAGCAGACTCCTCCTTGGGCTTCGAGTCCTTCTTGGGCTCAGGCTTCTTGTCGTCCTTCTTGGGGGCAGGTGCAGGCTTGTTGTCCTGCTTGGGCTCCTCCTTCTTGGGCTCGGGCTTCTTCTCCTCCTTGGGGGCCTCCTTCTCCTTTCCGCCTTCGGGTTGAGATGAGGTCTCTTGCTTGTCTGAGGCGGGTGCCTTGGGCTCCTCCTTGGCCTGCTCCTCCTTACCACCAGAAGGAGCACCACCAAGCTCCATCTTCAACAGGTCCTGACCGACAGTGACGGTGTCATCCTCGTTGACCAAGAACTCCTTGATAGTACCAGCCTCAGGAGCGTTGACGGCAACGTCAATNCTGTGGATCGCGATAGGTTAGTTTGGTGAAGATAAAAATCGCGCATATTGGTCGTGATGTACCTTGTCGGTCTCAATGGTAGCGATCTCCTCATCCTGCTCGACGTAGTCGCCGACCTCTGTGCTGTGTTAGATGGCGTCGTAGTAAGTTTGTCGAAGTTAGCACTCACGTTTTGAGAACTGCTTCAGGGTACCCTCTGTGATGGATTCGGCCATGGTAGGGACCTGGACGACCTTCTCAGCTNNGCAAAATAGCTGTTAGTACACTGGCAGACGCGCAGGCAAGCAAGTTGACGCACCATAGCCGCGAGTCTGGACCTGGGCAATGGGAGAAGAGCGGAGGAGGTGTGCGGGTGTCCTGGGTNNATGTGATCAGGAGGACATCAATTTTTGAGTCGTTGTTTGGCATGTTTACCTCGGTTGTTGTGACAGGAGAGCAGAGGAGCGCGAGACGGACGAGGTAGAGAGGCATCTCAGAGCGGCGGCAGAGCGAGTAGCGTATCTGGGAGCGGCGCGAACAGCAGGGCGCATCGAAGCACCTGCGGCCAGGCGGAGGCATTGACGGCTGGACATGGTGTGGAAGAAAGGAAGCAAGCAGTCGAGAAAAAGAGGCGAAAGCGACAGAGTCAAGCAACAGAGGACGCGATGAGGCGGTGGTCCTAAGTTGGAGCAGGTGGAGTTGCGGTATAGAGGGGCTAGGGGCAGCAGTTGATGCTTTGCAGCAGTACTTGTATCGAGTCGGCAGCGAAAATGATCGCGATGTTCACAGGCCCAGCATCCAGATCAGCCGCAACCAAGCGCGGCCGACGTCAGAAACCCGATTTTGTCCGACGTCTAGCCGATGCCTTCCAAGTCTTGCCGGTGCAGCCCTACGAGCGCCAAGAGGTCAGCAACTGCAGCTGCTGCCCTGGAGTCTGGCTGGCGCGCATACCGAGTGCCAATTGGGAAGTCGCAACAGGAGCATTTGCATCTGTCGAATCATTACACACTCCGGCTGACCATCCGGGACCTCTCACACAATGGCCAACATACCCGCAATGTAATTGCCCTCTCTACCCGACACCCGGCCCCTGTGTCTTTGCGCGCGTGCTGATTCTCATCGTCACAGCCGTCTATACCGCCGGTCACTCAAGCTGGCCCTTGACTGGTCCGTCCACCGATACCTCTGGCGCGGCCAGGCCATGTACATCCGTTCTCTCTTCGAAGCCAACGCCAACGTCCGCGAGCCCAGACAACAGAGAGTGAGCTCTATCCAACCTTCCAAAACCACGCGCCTTCCTTCCTCGGAGTCCTTCAAACGCTATCGCTATACTCTACTGGAACCTCGTTCGCTGACTGTTCTCTCTTTCTCTTCCCACCAGATCCTGTTCGACCAGACCGAAGAACTCCTCAAGCAGTGGAAGCACCCCGACCCATACCGTCCTCCCACCGCTCCTGGTGGCAGCAAGTACGAGCGTAACTTGCCCTGCCCCATCCTTGAGCGTACGTCCCCTCCGTCCAATATTTTCGACCATCTCAGTCACTGACAAGTGCCGTCATACAGCTCCCCCGCCAGGCTGCTAAATGTAGATACCACGAGCAACAAATCGATACCTTTCTTTTCTTCTGTTCATCAATTGCTTCTTCCTCTCTCTCCAAATCCCTCGCCAGAAAGACTTCTCTGCAAAGCAAACACATACACAGACGAATCGCTTCTACATGATGATAAAAAGTATAGAGTCAAGCACTGAGTTTCTCACTTTGGTACTCTTTCAAGAGGCCGAGGCTGAGTTCATTGATGCTACGTACGATATCTGAATGATCGATTCAAGACACACACACCTTTCTGCTCTTCCACTTGATGCCAAGATGCAACTTCCCTCTCTTCTGTGCTCGTCTAAACCGCTGCTGCCCTTTTCCCCTGAGCATATTTATGTCCAGTGCAATGGCTACTTTCAGGAAACATTGTGGTTCAAACCGATGGTGAGGCTCGCTGGACGTCTCATCCAGCGTGCAACCCTTGCATATCGACCTTATGAACATATGGCACAATGTCAAATCTGGGACTCCTTCGACAAACAGATGGATCTTCTGGATACCGTTGTCGTGTTGATGGTGTCTTCGACCTCAGCGTAGGTGCTCTACCATCTGTAACATTGCCGCTTCTGCATCCCTTCGCAAAGTGCTAAAGCGGCAAATTCTGTCCCTTCATGACTGCAGCGCCTTTACTCCGTAAGCAAGTAGCGGCAGCTGGCTCGCAGGCTCGAGCAGTTCACGTCTTGCTTTACAAGCTCATCATTCATACCCATGTACATCTACATGTAATCTCCACCCTGTTCTTCTTTTGGCTGTCTTCATCCTTTGCTGTATCTTGTGCTCAAATCCATTGGCTTGATTGCTGTTTCTCGCCGCGCAAGCTATGATCCTTTCTCAATATTACTCCTTGTCTGTTCTCCAGGTTCGTGTCGTTTTTTCGAATAGCCGTCTCAACATCTCTATGCCTGCTTCCTCTATCTTGATCTCTTATGTCTACGTATGGTTGCTTGTCTCTCCTTCAACAGAACAAAGAAGCGGCTCGTTCGACTGCTAATGCAAACCCTCGGACAATAGCTCGAAGTCACACATTAATTCTGCTCTTTCTCTCTTGAATCGTCAAAGTTGTACTGTTTTCGTGAGTTCCTACTTTAGCCACCTCCACGCTGTTCTTCCTTGATCAAGAACGGAGAGAGAAGAGTAAAGCCTGCGTCTCGGTTTTGAGAGCGTAATTGATTCTGTCCTGCTTTTTCATGCACTTTCCGTTGCTTTCGCCTGCCCTTTCGCTTTTGGTTTTTGGCCGCTCTGTTGCTGTTTGTGCAATCTAGCTCATATATTTCTGTCCAATCTCCTCCTTGCAAATATCGATCTTGTCTGCTGTACACCTGTTTCCGCATGTCTTGCTTCTGCTTTCTGTGTTTCTGGCATGTTTCATCTTACTCCTGTCTTCCCAAATGCCAAAGAACTGCCACAAAAGCTGCAGAAATACACAATACTCTCTAAGAATGTAGTATCCACAGAGAGAACTCATTGGAGGCTATCTCCATGGCCAAACTTGTATTCGAATCGCAACTGTGCATTTTGGTAACTTATGATAATCCACCTCGAAATGCAACGTTCTTTGGGGCCTGTTTGTCATCCATGCCCATAATCAATGCCTTGATTCCACGGTCTGCCAGAGTTCCATCTTCGTAGCCTAGCAGATCCTCTGCGTGATAGATACCGTACCTGTCCTCGCCCGACACCACTGGACAAACCAGCTTCGCAAGCGTACTTTCTTTGCCAGTTTCCCCCAAATGACGACTAAGTAGAAGTCGTTCTTGCAGTCTCTGATCCACTCTACCAACCGATCCTAGCAGCCTGAGAACCCATCGTATCTAGAGTAGACGATCATATTGGTTCCTGGTCTTCGAACAAAGTCTGTCACAAAAGACGATATTGAATCACATCCAGAAACTGGCTCTTTCTTCCTGATCGTTTTGTTGATCACATCCTGTTGTTGAATCCTTTCTTCCTTCTTCCTGCGGTATCATGCGAGGCAATGTCGACGAGGGAAGTTTAAACCCCTCGATTGCAGAAACCTCCGTATCTGATATAGACGCCCTCTGCAGACGCCGGCAGCTAGTTTGCAGAGGCCTGCGTCTCTCGAAATATCGCTGCGATCGTTGGAGTGACGACATATAACAAGCATGTGGTCAACTTGATAGGCGAAGGTTGATGTGGTGAGTATGGCGGGAATGCGCAACTGTAACTCAAAGAGTAGATATGCAACTAGAACAATCAATCTTCGCTGTGTGGATGTTAGTGGATTGATAGCGAAATTGATTCTAAGTCAGGAGGGATTGGCTGCGAGATCGTGACTGTCTCTGTTCAAGTCGAATTTTCTGTATATTTGCTTGTTGATGGCTGTTTTTGGCTGATTCTCTCGCGAACTTGAGTCCTGGTTGTTTCTCGCTATGCAGTTCGATTTCAGTGTTGGTGGTGTTCTGCTGGTCGATTCTGATGTTGGTGGTGTTTTGCTGGTGGTTGGGTGTTTGCATTGCGAATGTCGCGTGTCCTCGCTGTCGGTGATGCGTTTGCTGATCCAGTTGAGCCAGTATGCGTTTCCTAGGAGTGAGTGCTCTCAAATGTGGAGATAGAAACAGGTGGTGAAGAAAGCGGGTGCAGCGGAGAAAGAGTGGGCAAGGAGTGTGTAAAGTTTAACAAAGCTGAATTGGTTGATGTAATGGTATCAAAAGCGTGTCATTCAGCTAATTCCCCTCCAGTCTCATTTACCCATCCGTGGCCACGGTTGGTAATGTACAGCCCTGTTCTTCTGCAAGCACCAATGGATAAAAAGGTTGCTCCGAATGTGTGTCTGAAAAAGAAAATGCTCTTCCCGTTAATAAAAAATCACTTGTGCCCAGTCCGTTAAAACCCCATTATCGTAGCTGAAGAAAGCAGCACCCCGCGCGCCGTAAAACCCAAAGAATCAAAAGTTGTAGCGAGTTGCTTACAGCTCCTGGCTGGGGCCGCCGGCAGCCTTGAGGGCAGCGGTCTTCTTGGGAAGAAGGTCTNNGGAAGAAAGCATGTTAGAATGTGGGAGTGTGATTGTGGAGGTGGCGCGAAACGTACTCTGGTGAATGTTGGGGAGGACACCGCCCTGGGCGATGGTGACGTGTCCGAGAAGCTTGTTCAACTCCTCGTCGTTGCGGATGGCAAGCTGAAGGTGACGGGGGATGATACGGGTCTTCTTGTTGTCGCGAGCGGCGTTACCAGCCAACTCGAGGATTTCGGCAGCCAGGTACTCAAGAACGGCAGCGAGGTAGACGGGGGCACCTGATGAAGCGCGTTAGATGTGGTTGATTTGGGTTGAAAGATGCGATTTTGACTCACCAGCACCGACACGCTGGGCGTAGTTGCCCTTGCGGAGGAGACGGTGGACACGACCAACGGGGAAGGCGAGACCAGCCTTGGAAGAACGGCTNGAGATGGATGTCAGAATGAGACTCAGATGATTCGAAATGGAAAAACGCGTTGTTTTGAAGCGGAAAAGCGCGTCAAATGAGGCGCAAAGGTGAGAAGTGAGTGAAGGAGTGGATTTTGCTTACCTCTGAGCGTTGCTCTTGGTGCCAGTGGCCTTGCCGCCAGACTTGCCTCCAGTCATTTTGATTGATTTGGTTGGGGTGGTTGAAAGGTTTGGTTGAGTAGTGGTGCTAAAAAGCGGCGATGAATACGGCGAGCGTGAGTTGAGAAGCGTGGATGAAAGATGAAGGAAGAGACGACAGGCTGTTCGGGGAGCTCTCTAGTTAAGTACTCGCGGCGACGCTTGACGTTGCTTCCCCAAGATCAACAGCTTCACTTTCAGTCAAGATCAATGAGACGCCGAGTTGGTCTGTGCATTGCGTCAGTCCACTTTTCATTGGCTCACAGCCGAGGAAGGAGCAAGTCGCTAGGCCAAATAAAAAGTCTTGGCATCTCACTTGTGATCTGGTCGCGTTGGAGAAGTCGCGTTCGACGCTTCGTCACTTTCCGTGATTCGAGCTTGACCCGCGATTCTATAAATGCGAAGCTGTTCCCCGACGACAGCACCCTCCTCCCTTCTTTCTTCATCCATCATCAACACTCTGCGCATTTTACGTGTCAACCACCTCTAACCACCCAACCAACTCAACAACTCAAGTCTTTTCCGACTTTTCAAATCACATCAATCGAAATGGCACCCAAGGCAGCTCAGAAGACTCCCACCACTGGCGGCAAGGCCCCCGCCGCTGGCAAGGCTCCTGCTGAGAAGAAGGAAGCTGGCAAGAAGACCGCCGCTCCCTCCGGTGACAAGAAGAAGCGCACCAAGACCAGAAAGGAGACCTACTCCTCCTACATCTACAAGGGTACGCCACCTCGACCTCCACTTGTCCGAATCGAATCGCGTCTTTTCCTTGATCGCATCACTTTGCTTCATCGAACCGACTCTTTTCGCATCAACAAGTCGCGTCTTTTCCACTTACTGACGCGTTTCTTCANNGTCCTCAAGCAGGTCCACCCCGACACTGGTATCTCCAACCGTGCCATGTCCATCCTGAACTCTTTCGTCAACGACATCTTCGAGCGTGTTGCAACCGAGGCTAGCAAGCTCGCTGCTTACAACAAGAAGTCCACCATCTCTTCGCGTGAGATCCAGACCTCGTAAGTCACACAACCTCATCCATCACTTTTCATTTTCTGACTCCCATTTCCANGTGTCCGTCTCATCCTCCCCGGTGAGCTCGCCAAGCACGCCGTCTCAGAGAGCACCAAGGCCGTCACCAAGTACTCTTCTTCCACCAAGTAAGAGTTGCTTTGATCAATTTTTGATCTGACGGCTTCCTTTTCTCTGTGATACCACCACCTCAAGTTTCGGCAATGGTCTGAATCTGGGCTTTGGGCAACGGGGTGGTCTCCAATTGGGACGGTGTTTAGCGGGGTTACTTCTTTCTGATAATGCGGTCATGGGAATGGGGTATAAGTTTATTGCGCAGTGTGTTTTTCATTTTACAACCATCCGGGTTTGTTTTCTTACGACGATTCAAGAGAGAAGAGGGCGCATCAACAGGTTCGACGATACGAGCTGTACATCAGAGCCAATAAGAACCATGGAGGAAACCAAATCGATTTTTCCAAACCTTTACTTCTATCTTTCCACTTTCCCTTTCTTTTCTTCCAGTCCTATCACCTCATTTCCAGTTTTTATCTTCACCAAGATTCGCATTTCTCATGTTTGAGAAACAATAGCTCTTTGTTGAGCGAAACTGCGACTTCAAAACGCAATAATAAAATGTGAGAAATGGCCTACGAGATGGGTTTCGAAGTCAATGAATTCAACTCATCTAAATGCTGCCAAAATGAATCTCGAGAAGAAGCACGAATCATGTATAATCGCCTATATGCTACGAGAAAGTAACACTAGAGAGATACCAGATGGAGGGGAAACGCGAAACTGTCACGGTGGTCTGTTGCTATGTCCTTCTGTCGCAAAAGGAAGAAGAGCTCTGGGAGTCCGAGCTCTGCTGTCTCGTCTAGATCTGGCATGGCAACGCAGCAATTTATCAAAGTTGAATGCTTCTGCTGTGATTCTGTGGGTATGCTGGTGGAATGAGATGTAAGTGGGAAGGGAGGAGTGTATGTTTGATGGTAGGGATGTGTAGATGAATAGATAGGTAGGTTAAATGGTTGTTTGCAGCTGGTGGTTGGTGCTGGGGTTGGCTTGTAGCTAAGTCAACTTGGTTGAAGACTGTCACCCTGTCTCTGTCTTCGACCATGTCGTGTGCCAGCAACCATGATATATACCTTTCCATCTTCTTGCAATGAGATATCTTCGACTACGCTGCACCTACTTTTCTAGTGAGAAGTCCTGTCTATGAGATACTGGTGTCGTTGGATAAAATGCTGGTTCATCTTCTTTGCTGTCTATGTTTCATTGTTGATTGAGTGCATATTCATGATGAAGCATATCAGAAAACTTATATTTGGATATACAGCATCGACTAAGCATGATACCATCCCAAAGCACCATTCAGCATCATCTGGAACATATACAAGATGCAGTGAAGCATTCATAAGAAGAAGATAATCAGTGGTGCGGCCGTGACATCGTCGTCGACCCAAAATGTGCTTGTATGTGGTACAACCCTGTCTCCAAACGCAAAGCCGACTCTTACCGAGAGTCCTGCCTCCCAACCACCTCGAGACCTTCGAAACATCACCACCAACCACACAAGCACGTCGCGTCAAGCGAGAGAGAAAACCGTGAAATTGTCAAATTGGTATATTCTGCTTGTTGCTATAAAAGTCAACAGACCCACCTTGAGAAACTCCCATGAGCGCCTACTCGAGTAGGCCGAGCACATGAATGCATATCGCGTCGCGCCGAACGCGCAAAGAGAGCCTCGACTCAAAGAAACAACCAGCCCTTACCCAGTAATCCAAGACAATATGGAAATAGCGAAGAGAAAGAGAGAAGAGAAAGAGAGAAGAAAAAGAAGCACCACCGCCCAGAGAAACGCCATCGGAATCGTCGTAGCAGTATGCAATCATCAGATTATGGCGTCGTCTTCCTCGTCTTCGTCACAACTCTGTACTTCGGCAATGGCACGTTCATAGTCGGCCTCGGTAGTATCGCCCGAAAGTGAAGGCTCTTCCTTGTAGACATGGATGATGCTCTTAGTACCAGTAGGTGGAGTGGCGTCGATAGCGGCTTTCCAGTTGGTCCAATCTTCCTCGTTGCGGATCAGGAAGCCTAGGAGCATAGAGGGATCCATCTCTTCCAGAGGTATCAGACGCAAGCGACGTGTATGACAGGAAGCAATGTCGACTTCGGAAGGAGAGGCAGGCAGCAGAGGACGCGTGGTGTGTGGATCAAGGTAGAAGAGGTGATCAGCTTGGGTGCCGATGAAGTAGTGCGATGAGGACGGCCGGCCACTGTGAATCAAGGTCAGTCGGTGATTAAAGGTAGAGCAGCGATGACAATGATCTTACCCAGCGATGCCGACACTATGAGGAAGACGTAGAGCAGCCTTGATGGCCTCTCTGTAAGAAGGAGTCACACCACGAATGCCTAACATTGTACCCAACAAGATCAGAGTTGGTTGGAAAGAGCCATCGGTAGCACGAGCGATGGTCATGAGGCTGTCTTCGTAGACGCTCGAGTCATCAGGGCGAATGTAGACTCGCAGCCCAGAAGAAGGATGTAAATCTACCAAGGCTNNCTGTGGATGGTCAGTTAAGGTGCCTTGGATATAGAGGAACGAGGTAGCATACTTGATGCACCGAGCGGCTGCTGATGGACCGAACCACTCTCCAGGATGCTTGCCACAGGCCTTGCTACCATGTTCGACAAAGCGGTGTATAGAAAAGGGAGCGGAAGGATCATCTGCGAACAGAGCCAATAGTCTTCGCTCGGCATCGGACTGCTCTCCCTTGCGCCAGTCTCTTCCCAGATCAAGTATCTGTAACGTGTTTGCCAACAGACTTTGAGCACTTCGGATCATACAGCCCCAGCCAGTGTCACTTGTGAAGCCTCCCTGGTTACCCAACTGCATGAGGCGAGTTCTGAAAGATAGAGAGGAAGAGGCATCGGGGTTGGTAGACTTGGCAATTTGAGAGAAGTTGGAGCGGTAGGTCAGCCAGATGCGAGACTCCAGGTCGTCGAGAAAGGCAGGTGGCCAGGCATTATCGTTGGTAGCTTCCTGGGGTTGGATGGTTTCGAACTCGTCTTCTTTCTGAGGGACCGTCGCCGAGTCAAAGGAGATAGTTTCGGTGGCAGATGTTGTAGCAGGGGTTGTCGGAAGAGAAGAGGGTTGTTGGGTGGACTCGGGTGGGTTGGTGTCGGGGTGTGAGTCGTATCTTTGGCCCAGGCACCAGATGTCGTCGTTGTGCGTGTTGGTAGGCATGGGGTCCCTGATGTATCGGTAGAGGTGTCCGGCGAAGCGGACAAGGTTGTCGCTGTTCATGGCAGTATCTACATGAGATGGGCCTAGCAGCAAACAAGTGGTACCGTCGTCTCTTGACCAAGACCGTGATGGTTGCGTGACGGGCTGGGGTTCGGAGTTAATGGCGGTGTTTAGCGTTCAGGTCAGGCACTCACGGACCCTGAAGGAGGATGAAAGCGATGATGCTGATGCTGAAGATGCGGGTCCGCATTTGAACGCTTGACGCTTTCCACTTTCGCCTCCCCTCTTCGATCCAACATCCTTGTTTCTGTTCACCACACCTTCCCTCTCTGTGCATTGTTTGCTCTTGCCACTCAGCACTCCATTATTTCTTCACTTGTCCTTTTCTGTTCGATTATTCCTCCAAGATGGGCAAGAAATTGAGACAAAAGGCTGCCAAGTACACCCCACCTCGCAACAAGAACGCCTTCGCTTTTCGCGACGAGTCATCCAACAACCATACTGGTCAGTCCTTCGAACCCTCGATGGCCACCTCTGTCAGCTGAACCTCTTCTCTCTAGNGCTCAAATACCCCCAAGCCGTATTTCTCCTTGAGAGATGAACTCCAGAGCACAGAGAAGCACGAATGGACCAAGGAATCACGCCTACGAGACCACAAGATCTCCTTCGTCAGTGCTGGTTCCATGGCCCCGTTAGATGAGCCCAAGGTCGACAAGCCACTTTTGAACAAGAACGAGAAGAACGCCGACCACGACAGAGATTTGCGTGGCTCAGAAGACGCAATGGCTCAGATGGACATCAACGCTCAACCTTCGGTCGCAATGCCATCATTAGACGGTGTCGACGAGGTCGACATGGAGATTGACGAATCAGTTCACATTCATGCCCATGCCGAAGTCACAATTCCTGNNTCAAGCAGCCCGCGCCACAGCAACAGTCCGCACCCTCGCCTCAGCNCAGCTGAAGATGCTCCCATGTTCTTCGTTGACACAGCTGGTGATGAGTCGCTCGCATTCAAGGGACCCAAGTCCATCCCCGCACCTCGCGCGCCCTCGCCTGCCAGATCGTCGTCAAGTGATGAGGTTGTCTTCCGTGGTCGCAATGGTGTGACCGTCAGAGATGATCCTCCCGCCGTGGCTCAAAAGCCAGCATCGAAGCCCGCCCCCAAACCGTCATCCAAGCCCATCGCTCAGCCCACCCCTCAAGTCAACCCTCAGTTGGAGAAGTTCCTCAAGTCGCTGGACAACCCTCCCGAATGGGCAAAAGAGATGTCAGAAAAGTCAAAGTCAAGAGAGTCGCCGATACAGCCAGCAGAACACTGGCCTTCGATGGAAGAGGCGAATGGTTTCGCTGACCGTCTCGACCAAGATCTCAGCGGTGTTCGTGCGTCTCGCAAGTCGAAGAAGAACAGGAAANAGCAGAATCGCATCTTCCGTCTTGAGCAGGACCTGGAAGACGAGTTGTTGCGGGATTACATCGACAACATTGCTGCAGAGGACATGCCCACTCGTGCTCGCGGTCTGGGTGGCGACTCTGGCGACGACACCGACGAGTTCTTCGATGACCTTCTGAACGAGGAAGAGAAGGATCCAGATGATGTCGATGTCACTGGTTTGGAGGATGAATGGGAAGACGAGTCTGGCTCTGAGGATGATGAAGATGACGATGACGATGATACCGGCAGCGAAGACAGTTCCGAGCTCGAGGAACGCCTAGCGCGCGAAGAGCGTGAGGCATGGGAGGACGACGCCGACATTCGCGAGCGACGCGCACAAGCAATGACGGATGAGGAGCTGGCCCTCTTGTTCATGAAGCAAGAAGAGCTGGGCATCGGCGGAGATGATATCATGCTTTACGACGACCGCTTCGGAGATGTCGATGGTGCTAGGGCTGGTCTAGCAAACTACTCGTTCAAACAACCAAAGAGTGGCAAGAAGAAGAAGGGCGGCAGAAAGAGCGACAACTTCCCAGACGCCACTCTCATGGCAGATGTCTTGGAACAGGACGCGTATGGCGGCTTCGATGTCATGGACTTTGATCGTCCTAGTCTCAGAAAGAAGAACAAGGGCCGCAAGTCTGGACCACTTCCTGAAGAGCTTGGATTATCAGATTCAGACCTTGTCGAGGAACTGCAAAACCAGTGGGCCAACGATCGCTCAAAGAAGGCTAGCAAGAAGGCCGAGCGCGAGGAGTTGCGTCAAATGGGTTTGCTCGGCAAGAAGAATAAGTTCAAGCCTGATATGAACCAACGTTACACAGAAGGTATTACCATGAGTCAAGTCAGGTTTGAGCTTCAGGACTTCTTGGAGCAAGAAGACCACACGTCAAAGGCATTCCCACCAATGCAGAAGAATGACCGTAAGGTACTTCATGAGATCGCCAACCACTTCAATCTCAAGTCGAAGTCTGTTGGAAGCGGCAAGAATAGAGCGCCTGTCCTCATCAAGACATCGAGAACTGTCGAATGGAGCGAACAACATTTCGCCCGCGTCTCGAACTTTGTCGGCAAAGGATACATGAAAAACTCATCCAGGAAGCCCAAGACTACCATGGCTGGTGAGAACAGGAGGACCAGGGCAATGGGAGGTGGCGGCGGTGGTGCGGCCGCATACCGCAACGGCGATGTCGTCGGCCATAATGCATCCGAGATCCCAGCCAGCAACTTTGGCAGAAAGCTCATGGAGAAGATGGGCTGGGCGGCCGGTATGTCGCTCGGAAAGGAAGGTTCTGGCGGTCTTCTGGTTCCTGTACAGGCAACTGTCAAGTCAGGCAAGGCTGGTCTTGGCTAGATGACTGTCAGTCCCGATACCTGTTGTCGTTGCAAGGCCTTGTTTGTTGTGTTTCGGCGTCTTGGTATGCATGGGACTTATGGTGTACTGATGGGTAGATGAACGATCATGATACGGCGTTGGTCGACATTAATTTTCCACTGCAGGAGCATGAGAAAACACATCAGGTTTTGTAGACGCTTTTCGTACACTGCATCAGTTAGATTGCATACATAGAAGCACAGGAGCATATTTGACGAACACTGTTTCCCTTTCTTGCCCTTTGAATCCTCTCTCTTTCTCATATCCTTCAAGTCTTCCTCTTCAACAAACCCCTGAAGAAATCAAAACTGTTGCTATCGCTCTGCAACTCCCACTTTCGTCCCGTAGGCCTATCTTCCCAACCCAACTCTTCCGCAACCAAAAGACCCCAATCGCTGGTAATACCCTTGATCCTCGCTTTTACACCTCCCTCCTGCTCGAGAGTGACGATTTGGTCACTATGCAACCAGTGTTTGTAGTATACATCCAACAAGGGCGTAAATCCAGCATGACAGAACCGCAAATACAAAGATTCGAAATTTACAAGGATGGACGCGAGAAGTTTTTCTCCTTGCATAGGAGCTAAGTTGGCGGCAGAACATAATGCGTTGAGGGAAGTTGTTGGAGCTGTGTTGGAGACATTTATACCGATGCCGCAGATGAGTGTGTAGTCGCCTCCTGAGTAGGAGCTGTTTACCAGTATTCCACCGATTTTGACGTAGTTTTTGGGGTCGGAGGTATTCGCATTGCGGCCCTTTGTGGGGTCTAGGGCGTAAATGTCGTTGGGCCATTTGAGCTTTATGGGCAGCAAAGAGTAGCCGCGGTCGTAGGTGTGGATGCCGTTGACGATTGCCAAAGCACACAGGTATTGAATGAATACCACAGGCGCGGTGGAGGAAAGAGCCATTGGGTGCCTTAACACGGTACTAAACATCAAAGACCCAGGAGGCGAGACCCATACATTGTTACCTCTGCCTCTACCAGCCACTTGAGTTGTTGCCGTTGCCGTAGTACCTGTAGGCAACTTCTCAAGCAGTGTGGGATTTTTTTCTAGGAGCGTGTTTGTAGAGGTAACGACTTCTCCGTACATCAACACGTTTCCAAAGCTTTCCGAGGTGTTGTGGTGGTGTTTTGCTTTGTAGGCGCTGAGGTTTGCAAAGTAGGCGTGGTGGTTGAAGTAGGGGGTTTGTTTTGTGTCGGGCAGGGAAGTGTCGTGCACCAAGAGGGTTTTGGTGATCTTGTCGTAGTCGACTATGCCGGTTTCTTGGTTTGCGGGTTCTTGTGAGGTGGTTGGAGTGGATGATGGGTTGCTGATGGCGCTGGGGAGGATGTCTTTGACCACGGCAGGTAGAGCATCGGCGACTTTTTGGAGGCTCAAAGTGCTGGAGTCTTCGGTCTTCCATGGTCCGCTTTGCTTTTCGAGGCTGAAGGTGTCGTTTTCACCTTTAATCAGATGCTTGCCGTCGACTTCTTCGACGATGTCAGACCATGAAGATGCGATATTGGAAACCTCCGAGGCTTCAAGAGTCGACAGATGCAAGCGAGACAATGAAGGCACTCCTTGATCGTCCTGGCTAGGGCTCAACCCGAGCTTGGCTAGACATGCCTTCATGAAATCGACACGTTGCTTGTCATCTGTAGCAAGAGCCTCGACGATTCTTGGGTAGGCAGGATTATCACCACCCTTGGTCAGATTGACTGCAGCGAANCCTGTGGTTGATCAGTTCTTTGTTCACCAATACTAGCGTCGAACTTACTCAGGATGTGGGCCAGTTAGGACAACAGAGCCTTCGCCTACTTTGCGGTACACCACTGCAGCAGTGCCTTCGCCAGAATCGACGTGCAGACGCTCGGTATAGCTTGCAAGCACCTGCACACCTTGATCCTTGTACTTTTCAGCATCGACAAAGACACCACCACCGTTGTAGTACGAGCGGAAAGTTTCAGGCACAGCTCCTCCAACAGTAGTCAAGGATTGCTTGTTCACACTCAACTCGGCTGCCCTAGCACCAGCTTCGCTATGGTAGACGAAGCCAGGGAAAGCAAGTCCTCTGCAAGTGCCGGGATAGAAGCCAAGTTCTCTATCACCACATACCTCCATTCCCTTCTTGCCGGGTTCGAACTCGCAGCGCTTACATGCGTAGTAACCGCCAGCACAGAGACCAAGATAAGCACCTCCCTTGTTGACATAGGCGGAGATTTTACGATTGCCTTCACCGTTCAGAGTGCGACAGTAGCCAACATCTGCTCCACCAGGCATGACGAACAGAGCGCAAGATGCAGTCCATGGCTCCTTGAGAACAGATTCTCCAGTGATGGGGATGACAGCATAGTTTGGACCGAGAAGCCGGCGCAAAGACCAGAGACAGTGACGGACAGATTCGACAGTAGAGCCGTTGCCTNNAAACCCAAACATCAGCAGATACAAATTAAAACATCAAGAGACGTGCATACCCGAGTAAACGAGCACGTTAACTCTTTTGTCAGCCATGATGATTGTTTTGTGGCAATTACTTGATTCGTAAATGGCCGAGAATCCTGGTTGGTTCTTCGATGACCAGCACTTCTTGTTCCTTTCAACACGCGACAGAAATTTGAAGTATGGTGGCAGAAAGAGATCCCAAGCAAAACACTGCAAGTGCGGTTGTAGACGACGATGAGCCAGATGAATGGTATGTTCTGCTCTTCCTAGATCCTCTGAATTGACTCGAGATGCTCAACAAACGCCTGCAGGNNGACAAGCGTATCTTCAGCACTGGCTGCTCTGGTAAGCGATTGAATGTGATTGTCAACGAGGAAGCAGAAGACTAAGATGAAAAACAGNTCGAAAACACACGTCTGAACGACTGCTTCTTCGAAAAGAAAGATTGGAGACAGTGCAAGTCAGAGGTGAGTTGAATCGAGCAGAGAGCGACCTCGGGTTTGAGAAGTCTCGGACTTTGGGCTTCGGTTCTCGGATCTCTTCTTTCGCAAGCGAATACTGACCACTCTTAAACAGNNATGGAAGAGTTTAAGCAATGCTGGAAGAAGCAAGGCAATGATCGTAGAACCGATCAGAAGAATGTCTGAAAAGATTGAGAGTTTGGTAGGAGTGTCAGCTCGAGCTGTTGATTGCACTGCATAAGCTTGGTGGCTCGGAGCATGATGGAAATGCAACCGCCATCCATGGTCCCTCTGAACCGATACACTACACAAATGTACTATATACTATTGTCATCATTCCAGCTCTCATGAATCACTCGTCTCAGTATTGATGAAGTCACCCGTTAGATAGACGATTTTATTGACGGTAAGTACCATGGTGGTTCAGTGACGAAAACAGCTTCGACTTGGTTGCCTCGCCACGCCATATTTGCTTGACCATCTTCCACCTGTAGTCTTCACGCCCAACAAACAACGCATTCCAAGATGCGCACCACATTCGTTCGTGAGGTCGTAACAGGCCTCGAGTCGGCCGTCAGATCCTCGCAGCGCAACACCACTCGCACGCGTGCATCGCATCTCGCGCCATCAACCTACAGAAGTTTCAACTCACAGACTCGCCGCTATGATGGAGCCACCCCTGCCACTTCGAACACTGCTGCTCCTCGCGCCCCTGCCGCTCAATCATCATACGCACCCAAACCCGCCGCTCAAGCTCCTGCTGCACCAAGCGAGCCTGTGCGATCGCTCACCGACGGCCTAAGTGATCCTCCACCTACCCTTGACGAAGGCGAGAAGCAAGTCGACTGGTCCCGTTCGTTCCATGGCATTTCTTCAACACCTTTTAGCTCTGAAGCTGCCGCTATTTTGACACAAGAGATCCCCTTTGACGATATTGAAATCAAGCCCGACGGAATCATTTATCTACCCGAGATCAAGTACAGAAGAATTCTGAACAAGGCCTTTGGTCCTGGCGGCTGGGGCCTTGTGCCCCGTGGCGAGACCATCATTACTGGCAAGTTGGTCACGAGAGAATACGCACTAGTTGCTGGAGGACAGTGAGTTTTCGATCTGGGGTGGATGGATTGTCGCATTTTGCTAACATTTCATTGTTAGANNCTTGTTTCGATAGCCCGTGGCGAGCAACAGTACTTTGACCCTGACGGCATTCCTACTGCGACCGAGGGCTGCAAGTCAAATGCTCTCATGCGCTGCTGCAAGGACTTGGGTATCGCGTCTGAACTCTGGGACCCGCGATTCATCAGAAGATACATGAAAGAGATGGGCAAGGAGATTATTGTCGAGCACGTCATGACAAAGAAGAGGAGAAAGCACTTTATGAGAAAGGATGACGAGTTGAAGTATCCCTTCAAGGAGGTTGTTATTCCTGGCCAGACTCCTGCTAGGAAGTAAGAGGGCTGTATACGGATAGAAGAGAGCAGCCATAGAGGCTGAATTGTACGATAATGTAGAAGTAAGATACCACAATATGTTCATCGCGACCAGACTTTCTACCTTTCAAGTGTGATTTGTACAAAATATGATACATGGTTAAAAATACAGTTCATATGCTCGTCTCAAGGAGCACGTCTCTTGAGTATGACACAACAGCTGTTGCGCAGCTCTATAGTGTTTGGATTGGACCACAGTCTTCGATGGACCAGAGCCTGCGTCCAACGCATCTGATCAGGTAGCACATTCAAGTGCAATCGTGACAGATACAAAGTGTCGCAAAGGATGCAAATGACGAGGGTCATTCTCATCCTTGTTAAAAGAAGCAGCTTTACCACAACTTCCACGAAGAAGACTTTGGCTCGCCTGTGCCTGGTGTGGCATTGCCCGCGTTGAGCTCTGCAAACTTCTGAGCATCNCTCCTCTTCCTTCTTTTGACGGCGCAACTCTCTGGCTCTCTCCAGACGAGCTTCCTTTGCTTGCGCTCGACTTGCTTGCGATCGATAATCTCCATGGCGCGTGTCATGCCTTCCTTTTCGGCCAGACGCTTGTACTGGCAGTATTGGTACATGCCGGCGGATCCAATGACGAAAGTTCCGACTGCCCAGTTGGCAGCAGATTGAATGGGTGCTGTGGTACTCTGTTAGAAGATGCGATCAAGAGAAGCAAGATGTTCGAGTAATTTACCCCTCCAGATTGCCCTTGAGCTGCCTACAACAAAGCCAGCGGTGATTCCAGTGAGGAGTGAGTCTCGAACACAAGGCTTCTTGGGCAGAGCAGCAAAGTCCTCGATCTTGATAGTCTTTGCAGCGTCGGAGAGAGTGACATCGGCAGCTGAGCCACCAGCGGTATGCTGTGATGCTGCGGCGGCGTAGACATTGGCGTTCTCAGGTTTGACTGCGTGGGTGGGCTCGGCGCCCTTCCATTGTTCTGCCGTAAAGGCCTTGTCCGTTGTTGTGGTCTGCCGTGTTGTATCGTCCGACATGGTTGTGAGTGATTGATTGGAGTGAATGAATGACCAAAGTCTCAAAAGTCGATGAACTCATGCGGCAAAGCCACAAGGCCAGGCCAGACCCTGACCTCGCGCGTGCTGCCGAAAGAGCCGAGATCTGATCCAAGCCCTAAATGTGTTTCGCGTGTTTCGGTCGCGAGTTTCGTGTGTCGAGCGCGCCTCTGGCTTTCGTTTACCACCCTCTTTGTTTTTGTATGCCGTCAACCATATGCCACATTCTCCTATACCAATACTGCTGCAACCCTTACGACTCATGATTTTGCAATTCAGAAGGCCTTAATCGACATTCTTTACAGACACATCAACATTAATTCGAGAAGCACAACATCCATCCACCCACCATGGCGAGACAGAACGGCCAGACCTTCCGCCGCATGGGCAAGAACGGCAACACCTCGTACGGATCACGGAAGATGAAGACAGCAGATCTTGCCACACTACGAGGTTCAGAACAAACGTCACAGAATGAGAAGCTCGAGGCCACACGGCTGGCCCACAAGATCGACGAGTCCATGGGCTTTGAACGCTTCGAGGCCGGCAGGAAAAGAGAAGGTTGGCTTATCAACATGCACAGCACTAGCATTGAGGACAGCAAGAACCAAGGAGGTCGCGCGGGCGTCGACTTTTACTTTCTCCAGGACGATGGAAATACTTTCAAGGCTACCGTTCAGTATGACCCTTACTTTCTGATTGCAGTCAAGAGAGGCAAGGAGCCTGAGGTCGAAGAGTGGTGTAAGAGGTCCTTTGAGGGTCTAGTGAAGACTGTCCAGAGGACAGACAAGGAGGATCTGTCAATGGTATGTTCCAAGCCTCCATAGGCCTCAGAAGCACTCGATTAACGTATCCTGCAGCCGAACCATTTACTCGGACACCGACGAAACTTCCTCAAGCTCACATTCGCCAATGTCGACCACCTACTACAAGTCAGAAGGGGCATCTCGCCCATCGCCGAAAAGAACAAGAGCAAGATGAATGCCATGGACACATACGCCGAGGTTGCAACCGCAAATGCTGGAATGGACATGTTTGACGACGACTTCGAGCAGGCCAACAAGGCCAGCATCTTCGACGCCAGCGACTTCATTGTCGACATCAGAGAATACGACGTACCATACCACGTACGAGTAGCCATCGACAAGGACATTCGAATAGGAAAATGGTACACTGTCGAGGCGAAACACGGTCACATCAACTTGACTTGCATCGAAGAGAGGCTACAACGTGCAGACCCTGTCATTCTGGCTTTCGATATCGAGACTTGCAAAGCACCTCTCAAGTTCCCTGACGCTGCCGTTGATCAAATTATGATGATATCGTACATGATTGATGGTCAAGGTTTCCTCATCACAAATCGAGAAATCGTCTCTGAAGATATTGCCGATTTCGAGTATACCNCCAAGCCAGAATACGAAGGACCCTTCTTGATCTTCAACGAACCAGACGAGAGGACTTTACTGGAACGGTTCTTTGACTGCATCAAGGAGGCACGCCCAACCATCATTGTGACATACAACGGTGACTTTTTCGATTGGCCATACGTCGAAGCCAGAGCTAGTATCCAAGGCATTGACATGTACCAAGAGATCGGCTTCCGCAAGAACAGTGAAGACATTTACCAGTCAAACTACTGTGCGCATATGGATGCCTTCGCCTGGGTTAACCGTGACAGTTACTTGCCTCAAGGAAGTAGAGGTCTCAAAGCTGTCACTGTAGCCAAGCTCGGCTACGACCCTGATGAGCTGGATCCGGAACTCATGACACCATATGCCCAGGAACGACCACAGACTCTGGCTGAATACTCTGTCTCAGACGCTGTCGCGACATATTACCTCTACATGAAATACGTCCATCCTTTCATCTTCTCGCTATGTACCATTATTCCACTTGGTCCTGATGATGTGTTGCGAAAAGGTACTGGTACGCTTTGTGAGATGTTGCTCATGGTCCAGGCCTACCAGAAGGAGATTGTCCTACCGAACAAGCATCAAGCACCGCGAGAATCTTTCTGGGAAGGCCATCTTCTCGAGTCAGAAACTTATGTTGGTGGTCACGTCGAGAGTATCGAAGCTGGTGTTTTCCGTGCTGACATTCCATGCAACTTCGCTGTTGACCCGGCTGCAATCGATGAACTGATCAAGGAGCTTGACAATGCGCTCAAGTTCAGTATTACAGTAGAAGAGAAGAAGTCAATGGACGACATCGAGAACTATGAAGAGGTCAAAGCCCAGATTCTGGAAAGACTAAATCAGCTCAAGGAAACGCCCAATCGCAAGGAGAAGCCTCTGATCTACCATTTGGATGTCGCCTCCATGTATCCAAATATCATGACAACAAATCGTCTGCAACCAGATTCTATGATTCAGGAGGCAGATTGCGCTGCTTGTGACTTCAACAGACCTGGAAAGACTTGCGATCGAAGGTTACCGTGGTCATGGAGAGGTGAATACTTGCCTGCAAAACGTGACGAGTACAACATGATCCGTCATGCCTTGGAGAGTGAGAAGTTCCCAGGCAAGAAAGCGAACAGTTTGGCTCGAAGCTTCCAAGACTTGTCTCTTGACGAACAATCTGTGCTAGTCAAGAAGCGACTACAAGATTACAGCAAGAAGATTTACCACAAGATTCACGAAGCCAAGACCATCGAGAAGGAAGCCATTATCTGTCAACGAGAAAACCCTTTCTACGTCGACACTGTCAAGGACTTCCGTGACAGAAGATATGATTTCAAGGGCAAGCAGAAGGTCTGGAAGGGCAAAACTGACGACTTGAAGAAAGCTGGTGCTTCGCAGGCTGAAATTGATGATGCCAAGAAGATGATCATCTTGTTCGACTCTCTTCAACTTGCTCACAAGGTCATTCTGAACAGTTTCTACGGTTATGTCATGAGAAAGGGTTCTCGCTGGTACTCCATGGAGATGGCTGGCGTTACTTGTTTGACTGGCGCTCGGATCATTCAAATGGCACGTCAACTGGTCGAACGCATTGGAAGACCTCTCGAACTCGACACTGATGGTATCTGGTGTATCCTTCCAGCGACTTTCCCTGAGAACTTTGCGTTCAAGCTTAAGAATGGCAAGAAGATTGCCATGTCGTATCCTTGTGTCATGTTGAACCATCGCGTCCATGACGGTTTCACCAACCATCAGTACCAGGAGCTGGTTGACCCTTCAACTTTCCGTTATGAGACACATAGTGACAACACCATCTTCTTCGAAGTCGACGGTCCGTACAGAGCCATGGTTCTGCCCACTTCTAAGGAAGAAGACAAGAACTTGAAGAAGCGTTATGCTGTGTTCAACCATGATGGTAGTCTTGCCGAATTGAAAGGATTCGAAGTCAAACGTCGTGGTGAGCTCAAGCTGATCAAGATCTTCCAAACACAAATCTTCAAGTTCTTCCTTGAGGGCACCACACTCGAGGAGACATATGGAGCAGTAGCCAAAATCGCCAACAGATGGCTAGATGTGCTGGACTCTCACGGTACAACTCTGGCTGATGAAGAACTTATCGACCTCATTTGTGAGAACAAGAGTATGACCAAGACACTCGAGGAGTATGGCGCGCAGAAGTCGACCGCCATTACCACTGCAAAGCGTCTTGCCGAATTCTTGGGCGAGCAAATGGTCAAGGATAAAGGCTTGAACTGCAAGTACATTATCTCGTCACGACCCAGAAACTCTCCAGTCACTGAACGTGCCATCCCGGTCGCCATCTTCTCAGCTGAAGAATCAGTCAAGAAGCATTACCTTAGGAAGTGGATGAAGGACGACCCGGGTGACATGGATCCTCGTACCGTCATTGACTGGGCCTACTACCTCGAGCGTCTGGGTTCAGTCATCCAGAAGCTTATTACCATCCCTGCTGCTCTGCAAAAGATTCGCAACCCTGTTCCTCGTGTCGCTCACCCCGACTGGCTGGAGCGCAGAATCAGAATCAAGGATGATGTATTCAAGCAAAAGAAGATGACAGATTTGTTCCAGAAGAAGCCTTTGGAAGCTGCCGACATCAATGCTGTCAATGGAAGAATTGTCGGAGACCTTGAGGACTTTGGTGCATCGTCGTTGACTGTGCCGAAGAGAGCTATTGTATCGAAGGTCGCCTCATCTCAGAAGAGAAAAGCTGTAGAGGTCGAATCTGCTGCACCTGTCAACCCTTACGACAGCCTGCCACCGAACATGCCTTCCATCACTGAAGACTACGAGGGCTGGCTTCAATACCAAAAGAAGAAGTGGAAGATTCAGAAGCAGGCTCGTAAGAGAAGACGTCAGCTCTTTGGTGAGAAGAGAGTTGACAACACTGATGCCATTGGCAACATGTTCCGCAACCAGAGTGAGTTGATGTACAATTCAACTTGGCAGATCTTGCAGCTCTGCGAGGGCGAGAGCCCAGGCGAAGTCAAGGCTTTCGTTCTGATCGATCAAAAGATACATCAACTCAAGGTTGTGGTGCCACGTCAAGTCTTCCTTAACCTCAAGGGAGACGATCTGCCTGACGTCTCTGTCGATGGTGTGCAAGCTGAGAAAGTGGTCAACTACACTCTTCCCAATGGTCATCCTTCAGTGCATCTATTCAAGCTTAGTATGCCTGAACATGTGTACATTAAGGACGCCGACAAGCTTGCAGCACTCTTCAATCACTCCAGTGTTGAAGGAGTATACGAGACGCAAGTACCGCTGGACATCAGAGCAGTTCTGGAGCTCGGCAGCACTTGTACCTTTGACGAGAAGCAGGCAGGTGTTCTGGGTAAAGGTATGACCCATGGTTTCGACTTGTCAGCACTGCACTACGTGCCTCCCAAGCAGCCTTACCTGTCTTCTTCTACCATGAGCTATCTCTACCTCTACCACGTCATCGCTGGAGAGCGCCAGATCTTCGCCTTATTCTGTTCGTCGAAGAAGGAGGCTCAAATCGTTGTGCTCAACAGATCTCGTGCTGATCAAGGCATGCCCAACGTCGATCGCATCTATCAAGACATGTTCGCCAAGAAGCTTGAAGAAAGCAATGGTGAGCAATGGCAAGATGTCTTTGAGTACCAAGAAGGCATTCACTTCAAGACTGTCAACGTCACCACCAAGAAGAGAGCACTTCAGGAAGTCGGCGATACCATCAAGAAGATTCAGAAGGAAGAGACTAACCCTCTGATGGTTGTCATCCAATCTCAACAACCTCGTCTACTCAGACATGACCTGCCCATTCTGCAAGATTTGCCTATGCTGCCTCTGAAGTCCGACGAAGACGACAAGAGATTGCCTCCTCTGGGATGGCAGTCGTTCGTCGCANAAAGGCTGGTTGGCCACTACCTCGACCTCGGATCGTGGATAACACACTTGATCGAGCTCAGTCGTTATGGCAACGTTCCGCTCTGCAATCTCGAAAAGGACGACCCTCGCTTCTTGATTGATATCTCATATGCAAGAAGATTGCAGAAAGAGAAGGTGGTGCTGTGGTGGTCGGCCAATCCACGTCCAGACCATGCTGGCTATGAGAAAGATGATATCCTTGCTGCTATGGAAACTGTTGATATGCCTTCGGTCAACAATCCTGGTACTTACTCTTCGGTGTGCATTGACCTCAGTGTCAAGAATCTTGCAATCAACACTATCTTGTGTTCTGCAGTGCTCAATGATGCTGAAGGTAGCGACTCGATGGGTCTGTCAGTGCCGCCGCCCAATGAAGAAGGTATCGAAGACATCTCCCACGCTGTGTCTGGCGAGAACACTTTCGCACAAGCTGGCATCATGGCTCTAAGAGAGATGGTCAGGGCTTGGTGGGAAGAGGCGTGTCATGGTGGTGGCATGGCAGATGTCATGGTCCAACACTTAGTTCGCTGGATTGAGAATCCAGGCTCTTTCTTGTACGACAAATCGTTGCACTACTACGTGCAAATGATGTCAAGGAAAGCACTGCAACAGCTCATGTCCGAGTTCAGACGCGTCGGTTCGCATGTCGTGTATGCAAGTGCAAACAGATTGCTCTTGCAAACCACAAAGGCTGAAGTTGGCAATGCTTACGCCTACAGTCAGTATATTCTCAAGACTGTCAACGCAAAACCTTCCTTCAATTTCTTGGATCTCAGTATTACTGAGTACTGGGACTACCTAATTTGGTACGATGAGTTCAACTATGGTGGCAAGGGATGTGCAGAAGTCGTCGAGGCTGAAAACCAAACACTCAACACTATCATGGAGTGGCAGATTGGCACTTTCCTGCCCAAGATCTTGCAACCCATGTTTAATGATTGGGTTGTAGAGTACATTGACCTCATGCATGGCCGCAAGAGACCTTCAGGCATTGGAGCCAACGGCGCACCCCGACCCACCCAACTCCCCATCCACGCATCCATCTTTGCCTCCGAGAAAGACGATCAAACCACCCCTGGCGACGTGCTAGCAAAATCCTTCTCCAAGCCTTTAGCCAAGCAAATCAAAGCCCTGATAAAACGCCAACGCACAGAAGCCATGCACGAAGAACTAGCTTCAGACTGGACATTCCCTTCTCTGCCTGGCTCCTCCCACAAATCCACAAACCCGGTTTTGCAATTGGTAAAAAGCGTTATGCAAGTGCTTTCCCTGGACAAAACCATCACACTGGAAGCCCGCCTCTTACGCAAGGAATTGCTGCATCTGTTTGAGATCCGCGAGTTTAGCGCTGAAGGTGCATTTTCCAATCCTTCCAACAGTCTTGCTATTAAGCAATTGAGTTGTCCTGAATGCTGTTTACCTCGCGACATTGATCTTTGTCGTGATGGCGACGTTATCCCTTCTGCAGCTTCTGCACCTCATCTCCNNCTCACTATCCGGTGCCAGAACTGCGATGCACTGTTTGACCGCCTTACCATTGAAGAACGCCTGCTCTCAGAAGTACAGAAATTGGTTCTGCAGTGGACGACGCAGGATATTAAGTGTGGAAGGTGTGGACGTATACGTCAAAATGAGTTTATGGATCATTGTAGTTGTGCTGGGGAGTGGGTTGTTACTTGTAAGAGGGAAGAGCTTGTGAAGCAGTTGAAGGTTTTTGGAAGTGTGGGTGGCTTTTATGGTATGAGGATGTTGGAGGATGTTGTTGGGGGTGTGGTTGCGAGTGTCTAGAGGGAGGTTTGGTGTGCGTTTTGCTTTGATGGAGAGGTGTTGGGGAGGAAAGGGGATGGTTGGTGGATGGCGTTTAGGGCATTGAAAGGTTGCGATGGTGCAATGTATACATAGGAAGGAGTTTGCTGATTAATCGTACAAGACTTTGTCTGACTTCAAGGCTATAATGCGTGCGTGAGAATGTGAGATCCATACTTGTTGATGGCGATGTCTATCCTCCTCGTGTGCTAAAGGATGTAAATTCCCTGTACTCCGACTATAGCACAGAGTAAGCAAGAAACAGCCAGCAGAAGAACCATATCATCCAAATACCAGGCTGGCAATACCCATAGATTCGAAGCATGGCAACGAAGAGATGTCACCCGCGCGTCAAACTCGAGATATGCCTCGGAGTCGAAATCGTGTCAGAAGCTTCATCCAACATCCAGCAGTTAGCATCAGAATCTAGCGTGCATCGTAGGACTCATCCGTCGCCCATGAATCAAGTGGTATCCGTAAGGCAAGAAAGCTTGCTCGCGACGAGAGACTCGTCCACGCTACAAAAATTCAAGGTTCTATGCAGAAAAAATCTATGGCCAAAGAGAGCTTCGCTTCTTAGTGGACACTATCCTGTTTGTTAACGATACTGTGTAGTTCTATAACCACACGCATTACATCCTTTTGCATACAGGGAGGATGCATGTCCAAAACTTGTTACAAATCCGATTGATGTTGTTAGAAATGAATGCGTGTGAGGCAGAGAGTTGAGTTAGTCCAATTGAGCCCTGAAGTTCTTTAGGTGTGCCAGATTCGCAATGGCATAATAACAAGGGATCATCGGATATCTTCTTGGACGTGTATGTTTTCGTGGTGCAAAAGTTTGTGTCTAGGAGCAAAAGGAGGGCTAAAGATTAGCCGCCACGAGGCGATAAGCAGTGAGTACGCACGCTGGAAAAGTGAGTGTAGAAGCGAAGCAGCAATAGTATTATTAAAGCAAAGATTCTTGAAGGATGTGATGATGGTGCTGACACAAAGAGGAAAGTTTTTACATCGAAGTAGAACTTGAACTGGTCTGGATTGTTCTTGTCGAGGTAAGATTAGTATGGCAATTGATGTGGTCAATGTAAATTTCGAGAGACAATCATGATCCGAGTGTTGCCGGGAAGATAGAGTGGTTGATATGATGATATGGGGTGGCGCAATGGTGGTATCTGAGTGTAAGAAGCTAGAAAGTGTTTCGGAATGCTTTGCAATATGATTTTCGTACAGTAATCTCATCAGAATTGCTTGAGTTGCATCTGATTGTCAAGTGGCTGCTGATGTGTAGTTCGGCAGAGATACATCGAGCAAGCCCGGGTTTACTAGGTTTGGTGCTGCCGATATCCGTTTAGAAGATTACCGTGGGCCGGCACTTTTCTGTCGGATACAAGTGTAGGCAGGTGGGTTCTCAGGACCTCTTACCATTAAACCAAAGCGTAGATTTGAGTGGCAGATTAACGCAAAGAAAGTCCTCTCGTATGAGCCCGAGATTCGAGAAAGCGCCGAATGATGTCAAAAACAGCTGAGTTTTGGAGGGCGACGCCTCGATCCCTTTTGGTACAAAGGAGGGGCACAAACCATCAAGCGAGAAGAATCGTCAGAGGCTCAGAGCATCATGTTGAGTGGATTGGAAGGAGCAACTCGTGGCATGTGAGACAAGCGAGCATATTTCGATCTCGTGCCAAGGGTTTCGAGAGCGTGAACGAGCTGGNGTACATGCTGTCGGTACACATTTCTGGCGCTGTTGGGAGAAGCGTAGGGAAGGATCACGACGGCTAAGAGGGGGCCTCAAGGTGAATTTGAACGACGGTGATCCAGCGAGACGACTGACGTGACAGTTTGGAATTCGCAAAGGTCTTCTGGAANNTTGAAAAGAGTAGATTGGGTAGTGTATCACTAGTCGTGCGTTGTGGAGCTTGCAGTGTGATTGCATGTCCGCGAACCAAGAACAAGATCCGCGCGCCTCTCGAAGGCACGGTGTCCCCCTGCCGAAGATGACATATGTTTGCCCTTTACGGNNGGTCTGGCCATCCTCTAGGCATTTTACGTTTCCCCCATTTCTTCTCTGTATCTGACTCTGTTTTTGAGAAGACGCAGAAAATGGACGTGGGTTGACGGGAGGTGGATAAGCAGCTGCACAAGCACAAGCACAAGCACAGCCCTGTGGAGGGTCACGGGACTTCTGATCTTGTTGGCCGAAAATGAGGAGAAGGCAAGCGCGACGCTCTGGCACGGGTGGTTCTTTCCAGACAGAAGGCACTCCGAGGCATCAATACGCGCGTGTCCAACGACTCGACAGACCGACTTTTTGTTTTGCATTAGGTACGTTTGTTTATTCTACCTCTGCTCGGTCCATTTGCGCCAGGCCCAGTACCCCCATGGCCTACCCCAGTCTGAAGAGCAAGACACCTCATCTCCCGCTCGACCACCGTCACACACCCACGCCCACACCCCCGACACCGACACCTCCACCGCGCCCATCCGGACGCGACTGTTGCTTCACATCCAAGCTTTTATACCAATGCCTTGGCCATAGCACTGTCGCGTTGCCGTCCAACACCCGTCTCTCCCCATATATGCTTGGTCGCGTACGGACGCGTCACAGGTCGGCATCCCGAACGAGTAGCTAACCTACCTATATAGGGCGTGTGCCCCATGCTGTAACCAGCTTCGACCATGAGCGCGCCGTGGCCCGGTCAGAGCAATGGCGTCTATATGAACCCAGCAATGTCGTCGCTCTATGCGAACCCCAATCCCTCCAATATCGACCTCAACTCGTTCGCCCAGAATGGCAGCATCAACCCCCAGCAGGCCTTTGGCGCCCCGCAACAGACCTACAACGTCAACTCTGTTGTGCCCTCGAAACGTCCGCGTCCTTCAGAAGACCAAATGCATCAGTCACCGCATGCCCCGTCACAGTCGCTAGACATGTCGCGATCGCAAACCCCAATGCAGGCTGGTGCTCCCTTCGGCGCATTCAATTCTCAGCAACAGCAGCAGCCCTTCCAAGCTCCGCCTACTCCTTATCAGCATCTGCAGCAGAACCCATCGGCATCGTCGAACGCTACTCCGTCACCAACCATGCAGCCTCAGCAGTTCCGTCCGCCGCAACAACCACCACAACGCATGTCGACAGCTTCACCTGCTACCTTCGCACAGACCATGTCTCCCGCGCCATCTACCGCTTCCAACAACATGATGCAGCCTGGCACTTTCACTCCGCAGCAGTCATTTAACACAAACTTCAATCCTTCTTCATCACAAGCCATGAACATGTCACAAGGCATCACTTCTGTCCCTCAGATGCAGCAGCAGTATCAGCAGAAGCTCTACCAACAGCGTCTACAACAACAGCAACAGCGCCTGCAGGCCAATAGTATGGCTCAGGTGCGCGCTAACGCTGCTCAGACAGCTGCTGGCTTCAACCCTACAGCCGCTGCGGCCAATGCTAACGTTGGAAGCACAAATGGTATGGTCGCTCCTGGGCAGTCGTCTTCGCAATCAAATCAGCAAAAGCAGGAACAATGGATGCGATCGTTGCAGCAATTCTGTCAACAAAACAACAGACCGTTCAACCCTCAACCTCAAGTTTGCGGACGACCATTACCTTTGTACATTATTTGGGTAATTGTCCTGCAACATGGTGGCTCAACTCGTGTTACCCAATTTAATGGATGGCCCACGATTGCGCAGAAGGTCGGCTTCAACATCCAACAATATCCTAGCGCCGCTGCAGAGTTGCAGCAGTTGTTCGAATCAAATCTCGGTCAATATGAACGCGTGTTCATGCAAGCAAGGATGCAGCAACGCCAGCAGGCAGCTTCGTTACAAGCTCGTCAATTAGCTGGACTAGGAGGTCCAAATGCCCAAGGCTCTCCTGGCCGTCCAAACGACCAGCTTTCTGCTCAGCAGNCAGACCATGATGCAGCTGCAGCAAAAGCCCAGCAGCAACAGCAGCAGCAGGCCCAGCAACAGGCTCAACAACAGGCTCAGCAACACCACCAAGCTCAACAGGCTCAACAAGCACAACAAGCTCAGCAACAACAACAACAGTTGCAAATGCAGCAGCAGCAAATACAAGCTCAACAACAACAGTTGCAACAACAACAAGCTGCCCAGCAGCAGCAACAACAACAGCAGCAGCAGCACTCGACTCCTGTGCCTATGATGAATCCGCAAAGCACGCCAATGCAGCGCCCAACTCCCACGCCTGTCAACGGCATGGCTACCCCGCAGGCTGCCATGCAACACTCGGCATTGAACGAGTTCCGCCGTACTTCAAGCGTTGGCAAACTTGACTCTGTACCGCCACCAGATCAAGAGCAAGCTCGAGTTTCTGCTTCGCCAGCAATCAAGGCTCAGTCAGAAGCAGGCGGGACTCCGGGCATCAAGCGCGAAGCTAGCACTGCCGAGTTGAAACACATCACGGGCCAGGAAACAGAGTACGAGCCGCACAAGCGCACTTTGGATTACTATGGTGGCTACGACATCATCCCATTGGCCAAGCTTGGTGGTGAGATTGCTCGCCTTGTTCCTGATGTACCCATGGTAGACGAGATGGGGCTTATTGACATCCGCGCTCTCACTTTGAGTCTTCAGTCTGGTATTCATGCTGAAACCCGTCACGCCTTGGATCATTTGACGTTGATCTCGATAGAACCGCGCATCAACTTGGATCTTGATAAATGCGAGGATTTGACAGACGTGTTGGTTGACTGCGCCGAAGCTCAGCTTGACATTCTTGCGGAGGGTGCTGCCGAAGTATCGGACGGCCTCGACTTGCCATCTTATGAAGATCTCGTCAAATCATGTCGCATCGAAAATGAGTCCTTACAGGACATCCCTGCTGTTGGTACGCAGGAGTATGAACTCGATCGTGCTGCTGACCGCCTCATTGCCGTCACGACATTGCTGCGGAACCTTTCCTTTAACGAAGCAAATCACCGCCTTCTATCATCCAATTCTGTTGTTAATTTTGTCTCGAACGCAATTCGCTTGCTGGGCACTCGCAACACCTTCCTCCGCACCTCGAGAAACGTCGCGGACTTCTACAAAGATATCATCACGTTCCTCTCTAATATCACCGGTGTCCTGGAGTTGCCGAGCCGCGATGATGCTCTTCATATTCTTCAGTTCATTTTGGCATTTGCTCCTCAGCCAGCGCCTACACTCTCATCTGATTCTCCGTTACTATTCAACCCTTACATACCTTTGGCGCAACGACACCTTCCGCTTGCAGTCGACTGTCTTGCGAAACTCTTGGCTCGCCAAGAACCTAATCGGTCATTGTACCGCAGCATTTTCACCTCATCACAAACACTCAACCCGTCAGAGTCTGTTCCACCAGCAGACCTGCTTACCTCTGCTTTTGCTCTGAGTATATCTGTCTTACCGGAACGCTCAAAACGAGTCTTCTCCACCACGGTTGAGCTCAAGATGGTAGAAGCTAGAAAGGCTTTACTGACGCAGGGCATGTTGGCTGCTGATATCCTGGCGTCAATGGTCCCAGCGGCACATTCGTATGAAGGGACGGACGAAAAGAATCTTGCTCGTGCATGGCTTGGTTCTGACGACCGCTGGCCTGGAGGTCTGTTGCGTATGGCCTTTGTGCTCTCGGTTGATCGTACTGCACAAGCACACAGACAACAACCGGGACATCCGCACATGCCACCAATGGACCCAGACATGCAGAGTTACGGTCTCATAACACATCGTGGGCTTGGCATGTTGGCACGGTTGGTAGAGAAGGCCGGACTGCCTGCTTCAGAGAAGGCAAGAACGACTTCTGAAGATGATGAGTCACGAGGGAACGGCGTGCGCGGTGACGATGACGAGGAAGACTCAGATGAGTTTGATGAATATGACAAGCCCACGCCAAGCTGGATAGCAAGGTGTAACCCGGCTCCCCAGCGGGAGACGGTTCTCGGCGCTCTGCTGTCGCCAGACGCAGACAAAGTGGCCCTGAAGCTCCTGTGTAAACTTTACGATATGGCGGCTGCATGAGCCTGTATGAGAACAGCATAGCGAATGGACAAACATGGTAGAAAAACAGACGTTGGCCAAAGAAAAGCAGACACACTAACTGGGTTATGCATATGGGAACTAGCGGTATAAAAACACTCACGCATTGCCTCTTGTTTCTCTCTTCTGTAGGATTCGTCCTTGTCGTCCAGCATATTCTTCTCCTTGACTATGATGGTGGTGTATGCAACGTTTTGTAGCTTGTAATGCTGCTGCATATGCATATTGCCGATGCGGCTCTTCACAGAAGGTCCTCTTCATCTCATCCACGTGCTAGCAAACTTCCACCTTATCTTGACACGATTCGAGCTCGTATCCATCGTTGCATGACTTTTGAGTATAAAATTCTCCTTCCGCAAGCCTCAACCTAGAGTTAGAAAAAGGAGACGTTCGTGTGAGTTCGAACTTTGGATCGCGTTGCAGGCTTGCAGCAAGCAAGACGGGTCGTAGGTTGCCCTATGACCGCCACTTTGTTCGCACCATTCGATGAAGGCGCTTGACAAGGGCTTGCCTGCAAATCAACACACCCACGGCTCCTCAAATCGGAGATTTACCAAAAACCAATTGTTCCGCCATTTTTTGCCTCTCCTGCCATGGCTGGCTGAACGTTTTGCGAAATTGCTTTACATGACACCCAAGACTCTGGCACCCTCCCCTAATATGAACGTTTATACAGTTTCAAAGTAGTGCGAGTCAGCTGGGCAATAACAGAAAGTCGGCTAGAAAGGATCCGCAACGTTGCGATAAAAGGGACGATCGGATTATCCGATAGCGCAAGGATTTTAAGCTTTTGCTGGCTGACAGCGGTACAACCCCTGTCAAAAGAGTGTTAGGCCGCTCGCTCTCTTTGCTCTCCTTTGTCATGTGTGCCAGCGCAGCAAGATGAGAACATAGCCGCAACGGCTTTTACGGGGGGCGCTCATTTGCCGTACGCTTGGGTTGTTTGGCTTGCCTTTGCTCGTTTTGAAGGAGTGTCGCGTGTGAAATGGTTTCTCGTTGGAAAGAGATCAGCCGCACGGTTTGAGCTCAGCGCATGTCTAACACGCCGCTGATGATGGTGGGACTCTGCGGCTTAAAGGGTTAGGCCCGAAGTTGGAAGATGTAGAATGGAGGGTTGTGTTGGTCGTTGGCGGTGTTGGTGGTGACCGCCTCTAATGTAGGTAATTATACGAGCAGCGGCCCGCTTGACCACTATGGATGATAAGGAGCATCCTTCCAAGGTAAGATCGTACCGTCTTTTGTACTCTGTTCCTCTTCATTCTTGTGTTTGATCTTACTTTCCGCTCTTTCTATACACTAAAATCTGGTACATGCGATTGCGATCGATGGTGTGGATGCTTTAATACTTGAGGCATTGGAAACAAAAGAATAGAAGGTCAAGAGAAGGAAGCGTACGATGGGTTTGTCGTCTTTCAAGACAGGCTCAATGGAGAGAATGGGCTATGGTGATGAGTCCAAGTATCACCAGCTCGAGTCGTTAGGAGATGCCTTCGAAGCCTTACGGACGAAAGGCTCGCGAATGAAGCAGAGGATTATCGCTGGCTCGATTGTCTCTGTGGTAATGATCTTTATCTTCTTGGCTGTAAGTTGCTTCTCTTGATCTCTGATATAAGATGGAGCAGAAGTATTAATGCTTNTCCAGTTTTCACCTGATTCTACGACCGCATCGCTCAGACAAGAGCAACTCGACAAATGGTGGAAGCCTACCGATCCAACGGACGCAGCAATGGAGACTGGGATCTGGACTGAGAGACCAGAAGACGAAAAGACAGAAGCTGAACCCGAAGCTTGCGACAATGTCCCCGAAACCATCCAAGTCGCCATCCTCGAAACCGTAATCGCACACGACGAAGTCGACGCTGCTCTCGTGCACTCCCTCGCCTCGCAACCAAATGTAAACCTCACCTTCTACCAACAATACCCCCGCTTCGGCAGCGAAAAGATCTTCAAGGCGTTTGACTTGAACTACACTGGTCCGATACACCCTGATGACTTTATGGGAACCGATAAACACACTACCATTCCTGATTTCTTGGTTCTTACAACTTGTGAATTGGCTTTGCGTGGAGCACCTAAGCGTCTGGAAGCATTGCTTGCTCAAGGCACTACTCGCATGATCTGTGTTGTTCACCATGCCGACCATTGGGCTGAGGAACAGCGCAAATCTGATATTAGACCCTGGGTTGAAGCCAACATGGTTGAATTCTGGACATTGTCACCTCACACAGCAGCCTTCCTCTCCAACACAATCGCTGCTTGGGATTCCAATGCCGACGAGCCTTGGGATAGCCCGCCTTCTCCTCCCATCCGCGTCTTCGCCCCCGTATTCCCTGTTCCTGTACCCAACGTCACAGCAACAGAGCAAGCAAGCCAAGACTTGAGTTTCGCCATGCAAGGCGACTACGATCCTCACCGCAGAGACTACAAGCACATTTTCGAACGCCTAGGCAATTTTTTGTCTGCAGGCGAGGGCGATAGAAACATTTCTATGCACTTGTTGGGCCAGGGACGCAGACCAGAGGTCCCCAAGAACGTGTCTAGCCATGTCTTCTTCGACCAAGGACTCAATTACGTGGACTTTTATGGTTTGCTTGCTAAAGTATCTGCTGTGTTGCCTGGATTTGCTTCGCCTGAGTATCTGGATCGTAAGGCTTCATCGTCGGTGCCTGCATCTTTGATCGCTGGCACACCACTGGTTGCCGACAGACGTCTTCTTTCTTCTTACGCTTATGTTGAAGAAGACTCAGTATGGCTGCAAGAAGACGACGAGAATGAGTTTGACGTTGTAGGAAGGATGTTGAGCGCAACCNCCGAAGAAAGAGCAGAGAAGAGCAAGCACGCCAAGCAGAATGCTCAAAGAATCATTCAAGGCAACATCAGAAGAGTGGGTGGATGGTTAGGAGAAGGCATCTTGAAGATGTATTGCCACGCTGGTTATGAGCAAGAGGACGACTAGAGTCTCTTGCTTTGTTTCTCTTCCTTGTATAAATCAATTTAATTTTGTACCATTATTTATTATCTCTTTTTTCTTTCCACGTTCAGGAGCAACTTTGTACATGCAACTCATTTGGATCCAGATTGACTGGGTTGAGAAACCTAGTCCATGAGTCAAAACAGCTCGTTTCAGAGTCCCACCTCTCTTTCAACAGGAGATTGGCCAAGAAGACAAGATCAAACACAAGAAAACGTAGACTTTCAGGGGCGCATATGCAATGATAAGCGGAAGGAGCAACGGAGTATCTTGGCGGAAATGACGAGTCGTGACTTCGGAAGGTACGAATGGAGGCACGGTACTTGTAAATAGGCTGAGTCAGAAGCCGAGTGGCTTGCAAGGAGTTCTTCGGCTGAGAAGAGCAATCGATTCCAGAATCGATTTTCTGCCCCTGCACGGAAATTGAGCAAGCAACATGGGTCATGAGAGAACATACAGATGGGGGATTTCTAGGAACGGTTGAATCTCAGGTTGACATGAAAGGTATAGACAATATTAAAAGGGTATATAGAAGTATCACTCTGCATCAACGTCCGCTGACTCTGCGCCATGGACAAGCTCGCCGTTCCATCTTCCTTCAGCCTTCTCCTTCTCGAAGAACATCTTGGCAAAATCTTGTGCCTCATCAATGTCTTCCGCTACTCGTGTGCAAGCACAGTCTTTCGTCCATGTGTCATGGTAGTTGATGTTCTTGCCCAATTTCGAGTCCATGACTACATGTGGTGTGCCAATTAAAGTGCTCAAGATGTGTCCATGCAAACGGTCAGTGATGACAAAATTTGCAGCTCCAAGCATTCTGAAGCCCTCTGTTGCTTTTGCCCAAGCGCGCTGGTTCTTGCCGTTCTCACGGTGCTCGCCATCGATCTCAGGGGTGGGTGTGAACTTCCAGTCTACTTTCCAGTAGCTGACGTTACCGATGCTGCCACCAAGGTCGAGGTTGCCCTTGCCGAAGGGAATTGACTTGGAGTTGCCATCGGAGATCTCCATGTCGTCGCGTGCGAGGATCAAGACATCGTACTCCTTGGGTGTGTTGATACGGAAGTCTGGACGACTGCCCCACATGAATGCGATATCAGGGGTGAGCACAGTCTTGACTTCACCTTTGCCGATGCCGTCTGTGACCGCGAGGTCGGTAGATGGAGAGGCCACTTTCTCGCCCTCAAAGGTGTCTGCCAACCACTTGTAACTGGGCGCGTCGCGTGCAGCGAGCTGCAGGTTGGGGTGTGTCAGGAAAGCTTCTTTGGTGCGGTTGATGCGGTCGTTGTGGGTCATGTGAATGCTCTGGGGGAAAGCGCGAATGGGTACTTGGGTGAAGTGTTCGATCATTGCGATTCTTGATGGTTGATCCTCCCAGTAGTAGTCGTTGAAGTTGCCACCACCGGCCATGATGATGGCAGAGTTAGGCTTGTGGTCATCGAGTGCTTGGGTGAATTTGGTCATGTTGCAGCCTTTGTCCATGAAGCGGCAAGCTTCCATGGTCTCAATGCCCATCATGCTCAAGAGAATCTGCTGTGCGGACCAGATAGCGGCATCGCCCTTGTTCTCAGTTTCGAGATAACCCCAAACGTTGACATAGCGGATGCCTTTGAGGAGTTGTTGGTACTCTGAGATCAGTTTTTGTTGAGCAGCATTAACCACAGCTTCGCAGCCTGTTGACGGAGGTGTAGTCTTGTCGTATGAGATCGGCACATTTGAAACAGCTACTGGTGCTGTTGCTGAAGGCACCGCTGAAGCTGAAGACGATGCTGACGGCGTCTGTTGTGTGGTGTTTTTCTGGGCCTCATCCTTGTATGATGAGAACGGAGACGACACGAAATCTGTCACATCATCGAGATGTAATGATGAAGGGGTTGAAACTGTGCCAGTCTGGAAGAGAGCAATCAAGCAGAGGAATACAGCCACCACTACGGCGATGAACGCGCATCGACTGGGTACAGGCATTTTTGGTCGATGAGAGACGAGTATCAAGTCAAGATAGATATTCTGCTTACCTGCCCAAGCCACGGCCTTTTACTATAATCATGACGCTCCTTTCCGACTCCTCGTCCCCTAAGCAAGGGTAATCTCTACAGTACAATGCGGCTGAAACAGGCATGATGCCGCGTGAAGACGTTTGCAGCCTGATAATCTGGATATCATAGGTAGCGGATACTGATGAGCCAAGAAACGGTAGTGTGCATGGCCGTTTATAGTTATCCAACAGGCACATGGTGCCTTTCTACCGCCGATGATCCACTCTGGCAGGGATAGGGGAGCTTGGCACTCCGAAAGAACATGGTTGCTAATCAGTTGGGGCCGATGCGACTGTAAGAACGCAAGTAATGTAAGCTGACATGAATCGAATAATGCCGTTTCGAGGCGAGGTTATGCGGCGGGATACAAAGTAGGATATTGCAGTTCGAAATGACGGTGGTGGGAGATTTTCTCAAACGGGTGGCTGCGGCAGAGCAGAGTCAGTCAGTCCCTTGCCGGTGCCAAGCCGCCAGAGCCTTATAGACGTCGCTCCGCTCCTGCAGCAGCCTTGCCCTATCAAAGTTCTCTTCAGTACGGTTCACGCAAGCGATGGGAATCTGTGCCAATAGTTTTCTGATACAGGACCAAGAATGGCATCAAAACAGTTGCTAGACAGAACAATTCTCCCACGAGACCTGACACCATTCATCATCGCCACCAGTCTATTGACACAGACCGAGTCAGAATAATCGTGGATCAACTATAGCTCGAGTCGATCTTCAAAACGCTTGAATATAGTGTTCAATACAACACGGCCCACTTTAGGGGCTTGCACGCTTACTCAAGATCCGACCTCGCGTGGCTGCATTTGATTTCTGTCTCTAACGTTGTCATGCCGCAAGAGCAAGGGAAATGCCTGTTCCAGTAATAACCCTCCCGCGCAGACGAAAAACAAAGGGAAATCGATCTTCCAATCTTGAAGCCCTGGTCATTTGGTGCCTGCCAAGTCGGACGTGGGTATGTCTAGTCAACGGCCTTCTCTAGTTTTGCTTGGATATCAAACGCCTTCACTCTCCTGAGGTGTGCTGATGCATGTTGGCTGTCACTCAACGACATCGTGCTAATCACAGTCTCGGTTACCATTGCATTAGATGTGCCGCGAGACGGGCTTTGTTATGTCCGGACTCGGCTGACTGTGATACCATGAGCTTAGCCTACCGGTTCCTTCTTGATCGACTCGCCTGTCAGGTCGTGTGTTGATAAAGGAGAAATGAACACCGGAGCCAAGTGGCAAGGGTCGGACTGAGACTTGGTAAGTAAAGAGAAAGTCCCCCTCGGCTTCTCAGAAGCTTGTCGTGTAAGTCCATCAATCGCAAAGATGTCCGAATCATCATCACCATCACGAACAAAGGTCGCCTTGACAGTGTTGTTCCATTCAAGCTGCGCTGTATCAGTGACCTTGATCTCCAAGTCTGCACTCAATGGCATCGAGGCACCTGTTACTCTGCTTGCACTGCAAACTTTCGTACAAGTCGTGCTTCTGACCCTCGTGGGAAAGCCACTTGGATGGATTAAGTTCAGTCGTCCTCTTTCTGTAAGTGCAGTTGCCTCTTCATCTGTGCTGTAGACCTTCATTAACAACCAACAGGCTTGGAAGGGATTAATACCTTTGATGCTCGCACGTCTTATCGGCATTCTTGCAAAGACCTTCTGCTTGGCTAGCGTCGATGCTTCTCTATACCAAATCGCACGAGGTCTACTTCTACCATTCACTCTGCTCCTGTCCCACTTCTTCCTCCACCCTCCGCCATACAACCCACCTCTTTCCTTGTTTGGATGTGGAATGATTATGATGGGCTTCGCAACCGGCATGATTACAGACTTGGGCGCAATGCTCACGAGTATCAAGGGTCTCTTGCTGGGTGTCGGCTCCAGCTTCACCACTGCTGTTGAGAGTGTCGTAGTCAAGCGCTTCCTCACAAAAGGCGACGAAGGAATGTGGCAGATGGTATGGATGACGAACTGCATGGCGTTGGCCTGCTACTTCCCTCTCTTCATCATCTCCGGCGAGTACGCAGTCTTCTCTGGTCTCTACAACAGCGCAATGGATCTCGAAATCGCCAATGCTGTTGCTGCCGCCGAAGCTTCTGGACAACTCCACGCTTTCTTGTACACCGCTGCCGCCACAGGTGCTGCAAGTTTCCTCTTGACTTTGGCAACCTTCCTGCAGATCTCAGTCACCAGTCCAACAACACACATGATTGTCACAGCCGCGCGTGGTGTCGCCCAAAGCGCTCTTGCCGTGCTGATTCTTCACGAAACTGTCACTATTGGCAGAGTTTGGGCCATGGTCTGCATCCTGGGTGGTAGTGCAGTGTATGCATGGGGTAAAGATAGAATTAAGCAACGCGCTGAGAAGGCCGATGGCAGAGGTATGTACGAGAAGTTGGGCGAGATGGAAGCCAGAGAATCAGAGGAGGACGTTGAGCTGAGGAAAGTCTAGCTTTGACATATTATGAATATATATAGACAATAGATTGCATGCACCGACTGTTCTATTTCATCTCATACTTTCCTCCTCTTTCATAACAAAAATGTAACAACCTCGGTGTGATCTTCTTGCTCGGCGAGTTGCAAGGGAGTGAGCCCTTGACTGTCCAAGACATCGAGCTTCGCGCCAGCTTCGACTAGTATTGTACAGATCTCGAGCCAGCCATGCTCGGCTGCGTGATGGAGTGCAGTCCTACCATCACAGTCTTGCATATCTGTCCTGGCTCCAGCGTTCAATAGAACTTCCGTGCTTCCCTTAAATTTACACTTCGCGGCCTCAGAAAGAGGAGTCTGCCCATCTCCGTCTACTTGATCAAGCAAGGCGCCTGCTTCGATCAGCGTTGTTGTCAAGTTTGGGCTTCCTGAGACTGCTGCGTAATGAAGTGGCGTCTGACCTTGGTCATCTGCTTTGTTCACATCAGCTCCAGCAGCTACCAATTTCTCCAAGATTCGCAGCCACGCAGCTTGAGATCCCGAGAGTCTACCATCACGGAGAGGCTTGGCCATCGCTATGATATGAAGAAGTGGTGTTCTTGATACTGACGCGTTGTGAAAGCTTCGAGAGGAAACCTCTGCTTGGTCGAGATCGGCCTCATGCGCAAGCAGTATTTTTACGACAGATTCTCGACGTTGCATACAGGCTAAAATGAGAGCAGTCCCATATGCTTCGCCGACTTGATTGATATTTGCTCCTCGTGCAAGGAGCAGTTCGACAAGTCGCTCATAGCTTCTGTCACATACTAACATGAGGGCTGTATCCAAGTCTCCACCTTGGGCGTTGACGTCAGCGCCATGGTCGAGTAATAATTCGACTAACCCTTCGTGTCCTTCCTTGCATGCTAGGTACAGAGCACGAACATTGCTTCTATTTCTGCTCTGCCAAGCTTGATGGACGTCGGCGCCGTGATCCAGGAGCAGCCGCACGACTTCCTCGTGGCCATATTCGGACGCTGTGAGAAGAGGACTCCCGAAGCTGATATGAGGTACATTTACGTTGACTTCGTGTTCCAAGAGAAGTTTTACGATCTTGTCGTGTCCACCATTGCAGGCGGAAATCAAGCATTTATCGAGTGAACCTTCGTCGAAATGCAGTGAATTCTCACCGACATGCTTGATAAGCAACCGAAAGATTACTTCCTGGCCAAGATGGCAAGCAGCATCCAGGGCAGTCTTATAGTGGTATTGACCAGACTGATTAGAGATGTTGGCACCGTTTTTGAGAAGTGTTCGGACAACTTGTTCGTGGCCCCAGTAGCACGCAGAGATTAGAGCACTGCCGTTGGGCTTACCGCTCGAATTTACATCAGCATTGTGCTCTAGGAGCTTCCGAACGATTTCATCGTCTCCATAAACAGCCGCTGCTTGAAGGGCTTTCCTTTCTTGATTGTCGATAGCCTCAACCTGGGCACCTTTTTGAAGAAGCGTATCGACGATTCGTCTGTCTCCATGTGCTGCCGCTTGAACAAGTGGGAGCCCAACAACTTCGTCACAAACATTCACATCAACAACATATTGCAACAATGCTTGGAAAATCTCGAGCCGTTTTGTCGAAATCGGAGAGGAGATAGCAATGCTCAGCTCTACCCGTCCAGCTCTCATGTTAGGCCTAGCCCCGTGATAGAGCAGAAGCCGGACGATGTCCTCATGTCCTCCATATGAGGCCGCATAGAGCGCAGATCCCCATACTGGACAGAATACGTTTGGATCGGTGTTGCAGAGCAGTAGTGATTCCACAGAATGATACAAGCCGCACGCCGAGGCAATGGTCAACGGGACAAGCTTTTCTGGACTTGCACGAAACCACTCTGTGTACCACTCTCGATTAGGGATCAATTGGTCCTCGCTGTCCTTCATGCGAAGCCAATTGAGACGAGCCCTCTCGCGCTTGTCGGAAAAGAGAAAGTCTTTTATCAATGCGAGGAGCTTGTTGTCCTGCGCCTTGACTTGCACAGCATACTGCGTCCATATTCTTGCTGCTGTGTTCGTGAAAGGCCTCTGCTTCAGGTATTCATCATCATAATCCAGACCGTCATCCTCGATACCGTATCGATCTAGATCGAAACAATAAGCAAGACACAACCTGGCGTTGCTTGCCTTAGCATGAGTCTCTGACAGAAAATGCTTCCAGCCTGGATCTACTTGATCTGACTTGAGGTATTGCTGAACAGAGAAGTGTGCAAGTTGAAGCACCTGCCGGTAGTTGTCTGGGCTTAATATGTCAACCCGTTCTATCATCACCAAGCTCGTGCAAGATATGATGATTTCTGTGGGTACTGGGGTACGATACTCTGGTTCGAAGTAAGGTTCCGCAGTAAGGTCTACCGCTAGGGCATCCACCGCTTCCTCCAGATCGAGAGGCTCATCCGAATATATGAGCAATTGAAGCAATCTAATTGTGTCGTCTTTCTGCTCATCTGGGATAGACTGCAGCATACGCGAGTACGTATCATTCAGTGTTGCTGGTAACGTATCGAGGGCCTTTTCGAGTGCCCGTTGATTCACGCATCTAGAGAGTGCGTCAAGTTGGCACACGGCCCATCGGAACCTGCGCCGTCAGCCGCGGCCAGATGGAGAGATTGAATTCACTTACATTCCGCCAGACATTCTCGTAAGTGAGTCTTGAATCTTCTGCTGAATATCTGCCCGATCTTTCCATCTCTGAAATTCTTTCCCTGTTCCCAACCTGTGCTCCATGTACGCGCGGATGTCTTTGTCAATAATGTCTGTTTGGACAGCGATGATTTGATCCATCAAATTGGGACGACCAAGCACTGAAGAGATATCGGACTCTTCGCGGCTGGTGACAAGCAGATGTATCTTCGGGGAGGTAAGCTCCGCTATCATCTCGACCCAAGCAAGTAGGTCCTTCCTTGGAACGCCGGATTCATCAAGAGCGTCGAGTATAAGATACGTCTTACGATTTGCGCTCTTGAGAACGGCCAAAACCATCTCTAGTAGTTTCTTAGGCGAAGGTTTATAGTTTCCCCTGTCACACGCTTTTCGCATCATTTCTAGAGGCTCTTGCAAGCTTCCAACCTGACAATGTAGGCGATAGACGAGTGAGAAAGCCATCTCTTCTAGTGACTGCTTCTTTGAGTCGCGAAAATCGAAAAAGTAGTATAGCAAGATCGGACTAGATGGAGTAAGAGAATCTGGATGGATCTCTTGCTCCAGATCCTCGATGATTGAAGAGGTGAGAACTGTCTTACCACAGCCTGCAAGCCCATGCAACCACAAAGATGCTCTGGAGCGATACTTCCATTGAGAATACTGCTGACTTTGCAAAAACCATGCACCTGTACCCAAGTGACGTGAATCAAGTGCTCGCTTATAGTTGATGTAAGGATCGGCGGGAGCAAGCCAATTTCGTATTTGTTCATTGTTTGTTTCTTGACGAGACTCTTCGTTCTGTTGCTTCATCTCTTGTATGTCCTGTTTGATCTTATCGACGGCTTTAAGCTTGTTAACNAGGCGTCATCATCGTCGTGACAGATGGAACTAACTTTCTCGAAGCACGACAAGAGCTGTTGGGATTGCTTCGACCTCAAGGACTGGAATTGTGCTGAGCAACTCCTTCGCGTATGCTGCCGCCGCTAATGCGGCATATGGCTGCCAGCGCTTGTTCTTGTGCGAATCGCTGTAATCGCAGATTCCTCGAATCACAAGACAGGGGNNGAAATCGTTCATCAGGCCGGCAGCCTCCATCTCAACACACAATATGTTTTGCTGTCCAAGCAGATCTCTCTTATGACTGTTCTTGACAACTCGGTTACCGGAGCCGATGAGACCATAATGTATGACAGGGTTCTGAGTATTTCGGCGATCGCGAGCAACAAGCCGATCAATGTCACAACGCTGACAGGTGAGAGCTTGCACAGGNGTGTGGTCGTACGCTGCCTCAAACAAACGATCTTGCTCGAGGCCTGGATGTTTGGCTTCGTACTCCGGAAACTTCTTGTAGGCTTCCGATATATATCTGGGCACGTCTATCGAGCGACGCAGAGCATGCCTGGATTCGAGTAGTGCGATCGCTTTGAGCAAAGCGTCGGGTGGCCTGTTCAGTGACCCGGTCCTCTCGAAACCTGCGTTGGTCTCTTTGCCAAGGTCAAATTGCAGAACACCACCTGGACGTGTCAATCATTGTACCATAAAAAAAAGGGGGCAAAAAAACTTCAGCGGTGACCTACCAATAGTGCCTTGAGGTTTGCTAACGACAACATCCCCAAGTCTGATATCTTTCTCTTCACTAGGAATGCCACCACCGATGCCAACAAGTAGACCGAATCGAATGCTAGGAAAACCGAGCAGCATCTCTTTNGCTGTGGTCGCAGCGGAAGTCGTACCGTAGGAACCGTTTGGGAGGGTTGCAATAACGATATTATGATTGCATACACGTCCGAAGACGTACACATTTGAATCATGAGTATTCTTTGACGGCAGGCTAGGGTACTCTTCGTCCAGCATTGCCTGAGCAGCTGCCGCTTCGGTCGGCAGGGCGCACACNCATCCTACAGTGTACTGCTCCCTCCGAGGCCCAGAGTCGCTCATCTCAGAAACGAGTTAGATCCGACGAGTTGGTAGATTGAGCCTCAAAAGAGTAGTCGAATAGTGTTCTGACAGACTTTAGGAGCATATGGCTGGAGAAAAAGAAGGTAAGTTAGGTGGGACGGCGCGTCTGGCATCAATACCTCCAGCCTCATTCATGCAAGATGCAGCCTGACGCCCATCAGAGGGGCTGGCGCGGGGTTCCAGAAATAGCATGCATGTTGCTGGCTGCAAACAAAGATAGTTGTGGTCAACCATTGGTGCCATGAGTTAAAATCGAATCTCGAGATGAGGTCGTTTGCAAAAAGAGGTATCAGAAAGCTGTTGGGAAGAAGTTTCACGGTTCAGATAATGTTGTTACTTGGGATGGTTAGGTATATCAACAGAGCGATGACGCTGTTGGTCGCACCTTCTACCGTGGACACGCGCCATGTGCGCTTGAACACTCACACTCCAGCCCGGATTAGGTTGAGTGGGCGATATACGACATGGCTAAGAAGTCAGCAAAAGATAGATTTCAATAGTTTACCTCTGCCACGCATAGGTAGCCTTGCTGTTTAATACAACTGCATTTTCATCCATATCCGAGCTGAAAGGCTCACCTGCGCCCACATGACCTCTTGAGCCACTTTCAGCAAGGCGCGATACAGCGTGGCTTCACCAACTCCACGACGTGGCTTGCAGGTCCAGACAAATTCTCTGCTCTTTTGAGCAGTCGCGACTTCACAACGATCAAAAGGTAGCTTCTTAAACTGCGCCGCCAGCAGCCTTTTCNATTACCTCCTCGTTAAGTCTCTTCCAGCTGCCAAAGAAGCCTACGATGGTCGAGACACCATAAGCAGCTGTTGTAATGGCAAACACAGCTTTCAGCCCAACCATGTACGCGTCAAGAACAATTGGTACTTGTGATGCCGTAAACTCTTGACGAATTTGTGTTGCGCCAATTCCAAGAACAGTTACTGGGTCGATACTAGGAAGGTTCTTTACGAGTTGTTTGATGATTTGGTTGTTGAATGCGCATTGTACAGCGGAGATGAAGAAAGCACCACCAATGGTGACGAAGACTNNGTGATAATCATTAGACAAGGTAATGATTTTTGTTTTTGATTATGACTTACAATTGATTATGGCGCTGACCTGCGACAAGTCTTCAGGCTTAGCGTGAACTTGCGCATTTGCAATAGCGACCTGAAAAGTCACGCCAGTAGCAAAGCCAACCAAGATCTGATAGCCGATCCATTTGCCAGCAGAAGTACTAGCGTCCATGGTGTACATGAGTCCACAGCCAATGGTTGCCAGTGCACCGCCGAAGATCCAGAATGCAGGCACGATGCCGATCTTCGACAGTGCAAAGCCTTGTATGATAGCGGTGACGGTCAACGGAATAATTAACGCAAGCATCCTGACGCCAGATCCGATCGGACTAGCTTCGTGAATACTTTGGAAGTAGATCGGAAGGTAATATAGAAGAATAAAGTAGCCTCCTCCAAAGAAGAACATGAAGACGGAGCCGACCCAGATGTGCCGCTCTATAAACTGTGGGTTTGTCAGCTCAGTACAACTTGTTGAACTTGGGTCACATACCAGTCGTGGGACAATCATGGCGCGTTCCTTTTGGAACATCTCCCACAGTACGAAGACTGCCAAAATGACAACGAATCCAACCAACAATCCGATGACCTGACTGCTATTCCACGAGTGTGTCTGCCCACCATATTGCAGTGCGAGTATGAAAGAGATGATCAGGCCGATCATCAGAGTGGCGCCAACGAAGTCCATCTGTAACATCTTCTCCTTGAATGATGCTTGCGCAGGTTTGGCGCTGCTTGGTGGCTTGAAGAAGAGAAAGATGATGATAGCTGCCAATCCTCCTACCGGTAGATTGATGTAGAAGCACNNTACAATATCGTTAGTACTCGAGCAGTACTCGAGTCTTTGCTGACTTACCCAACGCCATGTAACCTTGTCAGTAAAGGCACCGCCAATGAGTGGACCTAAGACGGCAGCGATACCATAAGCTGCTCCAGTGAAGCCTAGGAGCTGTGGACGCTTCTCAGGTGGGGCGGCAAAACCCAACATGGTGAACACGCCAACAGCGACACCAGATCCACCAAGACCTGCAATTGCTCGACCTACAATCAAAGTTGTCGGGTCTTGTGCCACTCCGCATATCAGACTGCCAACTTCGAAGATCATCAATGCAATAAGGAACCAAAGCTTGAGTGGGAAGTATTTGAACACCTTTCCCCATGTTGATTGAAAGCCTGTANNGCTATCAGCGAATCGCTCTATACTCTATAGAGGTGTCTGGATGATGTGCTCTGTATCGGTCAGTGACATGAAATAGAGATATTAATAGTGCAACTTACTACCACCAAAAGTCATAAAGTATGCAGAGCCATACCATGAGACTTTGTTCAAATCATGAAATTCGTCCGTGATCTTGGGGATTGCAGTGCCAATAATAGTCTAACAGGCCATAGTCAGCTCACTATCTTGTGATCGCAAGGAATTGGGTATACGAACGTTGTCGAGAGCAACTAAGAACATGCCCAGCAGAAGCGATACTGTCAATGCTATCAAGCGAGATCCATGCAAGTAGTCGTCAGGAGTGGATGCATCTTCTTCTGGTTTGACAACCTCAATTGGATCATCCTTCGGTTCGGACATATCTACTTTTGGATCTTAGTAGTGTAACGAGATCGTTACAGCTTCTTTGGGTTTGTCTGTCGTAATACTTCGAATTGGTGTATGGGCAAGTAAGCTAGATACACAAGTGACACAAGTGACACAATACTAAATACTTATACCTACAAACAGAGTCGGCCGCGGGCGAATGTATTCAACCGCCTGACACTGTACGACCGAGTACCTACATGTTCGGTCCTAAAGGATTGGATGGAGTCGTTCGTCCGAGAGTTGTTGAAGCATAAGCTTATCCTCTTCTTAACGGCATGGGGCAGTACGCGAGCTATAGAGAACTCTCTCAAAAGGCTACACGAATGCCATGGTAACTAAGAGTGTCATTGATTCCTTACAGAGAGGATGTGACTTGAATCAGACCGTGTGCTTATACAGCCATACAATGGCAGATGTTCGTGCAGAGAATTCGTCCGCAAGGGTTGATTGATGTTGCCAATGGATGACTTTGTGTTGCCAATGCCCTATTGTGCCAGAGAATTCGTCCGAGATGGCTCGGACGAAACATGTAAGCAACGACCAGGAAGACCGGTGTTTGTTTGCGGCAGCAAGATCTTCTCTGGCGAAGGTCTTTCTGACGGACAACTTGTAATGCCGAAGGTCAGAAAGGGGACGCACAGTTGCTGGGAGTGCAGACGAAGGAAGGTGAAATGTGTGTTCGCATCACCCATAGACGCCAGGTGCATCACATGTCAACGCCGAGACTCGATATGCACCAGTCAATCGACCGACTCGCCAGTCAATACTCCTCAGAACAGGAGATACACCCAAGTACTGCATGACCAGATCGTACAAGGAATAGATGACGGTCAGGATGTGCGATCGGCAACACCTACACTGGTCTTGAATGGTAGCACGGAGGTTGGTGAACCAGATCCTTCTTCCCTCTATGCTTGTTTGTCGTTTCTTGGTTGTCAAAATACACAATACCTTTGCGAAACGAGCAGTGGCCACTGAAAAACCTCTTGCGAAAACATCCAGTTTGACAACGATCATGCGTTTATGTACCTTGGGTATTGCTCCAAGTCAAGCCTGAAGACACAGGTTTCCTGTGTTAGAAGAGGTTATGCAATTGATATGTACTGATCATTGCTATTTAGGTACACCAACACAGANNACGGCACCGAGGCCACTGAGTCCCATCTCAAATGGAATTTCACCTGCAGAGTTGCGGGCGAATACAACAATTACGCAAGAACTCCTTCGCTCTTTCCCTANNCCTCGAAAAGACATTGAAATCCTCCAAGAGAGAGTCACCAAGATCTCTTCAACATGCTATCAATTCGATTATAAGGCTCCTCTCTCAACGCTACACAAAACCCCTGAAGCATACATTGTCAAGCCAAACATTCTGTGTCCAGAATCTGATCCAGTGCTATTAGCAAAACAAATGCTACTCTTTGCAACAGCATTACGATACATATCTCCAACAGAACAGATACATGGCCTTAAAAAGCATCACCACCGGATCATGGAAGAGCTTGCTGGTGCAGCTATAAAACTGGTCACTTCAAACGACTCGCTGCTGGGGTCGTTGGAGTGCTTGGAGAGCATCATTCACGAAGCCTTTTACCACACCGACTCCGGCGATATTAGAAAAGCTTGGATAACGATGCGTCGAGCTGTCATGGCTGCGCAACTGCTAGGTTTGCACCGCCGTGGTCACTATCGGTACAAGGTCATTGACGATCGTAATGCTGTTGACCCCGAGGCCATCTGGAGTAGCATTGTGTATATGGAGCGTGTCGTCTCTCTACTATCTGGACTGCCAACAAGCACAGACAACATAGTATTGACACGACAGGAAGCTACAGACAATGCTAGTAACGATTGTGGTCTGCTCACTGACCTGGGAAACGTAGCTGGCAAAATACTCGAGCGAAATCAGATTGAGCTGCCACAACAAGCTCTCGAAATCACAAAGAGTATAGACGATGAGTTGCTACGCATTTCCACCAACCTCTCACCAACATTCTGGCGACCGACAGAGTTCTCAGGACTTACGCAAGACTCATCACATGCCTTTGATGAGATCAGACGTGTTTTTGATCACAGCTCTTACTACACCTTGGTCATCCAGCTACACATGCCACATATGCTATGTCCAAGCCACTCCACGCAAAGGATGTACTCTAAGATGGCCTGTGTCAATGCCAGTCGCGAGATTCTGACGCGGCAGATTGCATTGCGCAGTTTCAATCTCGTCACGGCTTGTTGTCGAATGAACGACTTCATGGCCTTGATCGCAGGCATGACGCTGATGCTGGCGCATGCTACCAGTCATTGCGATAAATCAGCAGGAAACGTGCTAGCACATCAAAGGCTAGGCGACCGGGCGATGGTACAGCGAGCTCTAGAGTGCATGACTTTCATCTCAGAGCTTCAAGAGGATCAGCTCGCAGTCAGATGCGCTTGTTTGCTCAAAGACTTGCTAGTGATTGAAGAAGGTGCTGCTCGGACGCAAGATCAAGGCAATGCAAACGACGGAGAAGATCGCGATTTTGTGATCACCAGAGCCCCTTTCTTTGGTGGCATGAGGTTGTCTAAAGGAGGAATCGCCACTGTGAATCCTTCGAGATCAGAGCAGAACCAAAATCTCTCAGAAGTCGTTAGTATCGGTGGGATTGGGTCAATCCGTGTCAATACCCCGAGCTCTAACAGCAATACTCCCGCGAACGTCACAAGCCAGCACACAACCTTGGAGCCACTGCAGTCACAGCAGGACTTCATCATGCAGCCGGACCAAATATTCTCGGACATTGCTTTCGACGATTGGTCGGTATTGGGGATGGACACTGCATTCTTTGAGAGTTTGATGCAAGGTAATAGAACCATTGCACTTGACGCGACCAACCCCAATTAAAGCGTTTTCGATTCTTTTTTGTGCAAACCGTGGACTTCAACCTGTCTTATCACAGAACGAAAGAGCAAGAGACGCCTGAGTCAAGGCAGATATACAGGCATGACATCGTGAGTACAGATCTATATGCTATTAGTACATAATGGAGCCCCAGACTCCTTTTCTATGCGCCAAGACCTTTCCAGTGGTGGCGATGAAGACAGTATTTTACAAGCGAAGAACGAGAAACTTATGACAGACGGATCATGCCTCTGAAGCGGCTAGCGACTCGTTGGAAGAAAGTACGGTCGGGGACTTCGTCAAGCTCCTTCACGAGGGTTGTGTAGTGGTCAGGTGCTGAGGCAGGGTGCATCATGGCGTTGGACAAGGGGTACTGGATATATGTGTTAGATGATAATCTTTTATTATGTCCAGTGCGCGTTCAGCGTACAGCAGAAGAATATCTGTTCTCGAGCAGCGAGTATAGGGCATTGACTTCGCGGGCCTCATTTCTTGGCTTGGGAGCTTGTGTGCGAGCAGTGTTGGCCTCGTTGATTTGTGCAACGGGAGCAGCTTCAAGGCGCTTCTTCAGAACAGACTGAAAGGAGACCTCGGGGCGCAGACGGTCGACAGGCCATTGTGAAAGGATGCGGGCGTAGTGCTTTGAAGCTTGCTGTGATTTGCCTGTCAGTCGGTTGCCTTTGTCGAGTGACAGCACAAAGAACGACGGCTTACAGCGCGTGACATTGTGTATGATGTGGCAATTGGGCGATTGTTGTAGTTGAGGCAATAGCTACGAGAATTGGTGATGAGAGCAAAAGGACAGTGACGATCTCACAAATTCATCGTCGACATCATCATCAAAACCCTTCGCGCAGTGTTTCCCCAGATTCGACTGAGGCTGGAGCTGTGGCTTAGCGCTGGGCGATACGCGCTCGGAAGACGGAAGCCAACGGATACGCATCTTGCGAGGGTCCTGCGTGGTCCTGCTGAGGCTGAAACTAGGCACTCACTCTGATCGCATCAGCAAGCGACTCGCTCGTCGCCCGTCCATTCTCTTCTACCACCATCCGTTTCTGCTCCATATATCAAATCATCTTCCCGACTCCGTCTCCCTCTGCTCCTGAGGTTTTTGCGCCCGACCATCTGTCCCTTTTTCCTTCGACCACCACCTGGCATTTCTCGACGTCTGTTTACTTGTTTCGCCTCCTTTGATCGACCCCAGCGACCCTTTCTCTCCGCGCCCGTCGGCCCACTCTGCTTATCTCAAGCCCCCGACCACATCGCACCCTAATAACAATGTTCTCTTCCAACTATGAACGTGTGAGTTGTCTCAATTATGCTGTTTCGTATTCGTCAATACTGACTCGATCCCAGGTGCAAACACACGATGACGACGATCACGTAGCCAGCCAGCACTCACAACCCATCCCAAACTCGCCGCCACCATCTTTCCGCTCTCGCAACTCTTCTCGCAGAAACTCTGCTCAACACGACCAGCACCACGACGAGGACGCTGACCGAGATATTGACGATGCCTTTGCTGCTCCATCTGATGACGAGTCCGACCATGACGGCCCCGACGCCGACCGTAGGCGACTTGTTCAGTCCAACGATCGCGACGACTCTCCAGAAGCCCCGGCCTCCCAAGTCCGACCTCCCCGACTAGGCCGTCAGGTTACCGAGATTAATATGTTCCTACCTGGTGGAAGTCGCTCGTCCAATAACAGAGTCGTTGGTGGCGGAAGCAGTGCGAACGATGGTGTATTCGCCAATATCTCGGCGAAGCCCACTCGTGGTGAAGAGCTCGAGGAAAAGCCTCCGGTACGTTCGCTTGTGTATCAATCGCTTCTTGAACGATATACTGACCTTATCGCAGNNACCTATGAGCAAGCAGCCGCTGACTCGGCGCCTCCATACTGGGAAACCTCTATTTTGGCTCCTGGCGCCTTCAACAGCGACGACATTTTTGTTGATGGCCTCGTCGTTGGCAGTCTATTCTCCTTCGTCTGGAACGCTCTTATCTCCATGTCTTTCCAACTTATCGGTTTCCTCCTCACATATCTTCTTCACACCACACATGCCGCAAAGCACGGCTCCCGTGCTGGCTTGGGTATCACCTTGATTCAATACGGCTTCACCTTCCGATCAGTACCTGCAGATCCTGTCTCTGGCGTACCAGCAAACGACCCATCTGGCACTATCCCTTCAGACCCCAACGCTCACAACTTTGATCCTTCGAAGGTTGGAGATGCCACTGGAGTTGAAGCTGCTGATGGACTCCGCGCTCAGGATTGGATCTCGTACAGTCTCATGATCGTTGGATGGTTCATCTTGATCAGGTCTGTCAGCCAGTTCATCCGTGCCAGGCGGCAAGAGATGATTATTCGTGGCACCAACGACAGAGGTCTCGGCACGGCTGTTGTGGCAAGCAACGAGACGCCCGAGCAAGCTGTCTAGACACGGGTATATGGATGCGGAGTAATAGGTGATTCGGACATGGTGGTGTACAGGAGGGAAGGAGTTATTTCCTATGTGGTGATGAACATCTCACCCATTTTTGGTTTCAGATTGCATTTTCAGCGTATTGGGTGATCTTCTATTCTCACTAAGATCAAGGTTCAGGAGGGTTTCTAGCCGTGCTTCACAGAGCAACAAATTCAGCTGCTTCTCCATTCTTTCCATCTTGCATGGTCCTGTCTGTTTCTGCCATTCCGATTTCATGATCGCGTGCCCACTTGCTCCGAGTCTGACAGTCGATGTCAGACATGCATGATTCTTTCCCAGCCAGCCCACCTCATCTTCTGGAGATCATTCTCTCCATGTTTCTCCACACACCCATTGGGGACTTTCTCATGAAAGCCAGATAGTAAGCAGCACCAAACACCAAACCGCCCAAATGACCAGCATGAGCGATTCCCGAAGTCGGCGAATCCAAGAAGTAAGAGTCCACCACACCATAACCAGCCACAAAGACCCAAAGAGGGAAAGTGATAGGGATCAACATCAACTGCATGGGAGCATTAGGGATCATACATGCCGTCAAAGCACCTACACCCATAACAGCACCCGAAGCACCCAAAGCTGCAGAATTGTAGTTGCGAGTTTTGGATTGCCAGTCATTGCGACCGGCTTCTGCGATTTTGGTCTTGCGGTGGTAGAGAAATCCTAGCCCGCCTGTTACTGCAGAACCTCCTGCCACAGCGAATAGATGCAATCCACTCATTCCAGGGATAAACGCACATAAAGAGCAGAAATTGTAAAGCGACAGCATGTTGAAAGCGAAATGCACTGGATCGACATGAGCAAATGCGGATGTAATGATTGTCCACCAACGTCCTGAGTCCACACTTGCGGCAGAGAGTAAAGTGTTACTGAGAAGGCGTTTNTCCAGGCGCCAGTCTTTGGTGTATTTTGCGTAGTTTAAGGCGCCGAAGACTAAAGCGTTTGTGGCGAAGAGGNNGAAGTAGAAGGCGGACATTACGCCATTGGATCGATGGCCGTAGCCGCCTGAGTGGTAGAAGCGTTGAGCTCGTTGGAGGCGTAGGCGAGTAAGTAAGTCGGGCTCTCTGTTCATGGTTCGAGTGGTCGACGGGGTGAAGAAGGTATGTCTTGGTTGAAGTAGGGATGAAGCCTTGCGAGTTTGGAGGTTTGAAATAGGGGTTGGCAAGCCCAATCTCTGGCGTAGCATTTGAGAAAACATTTTGAAAGGAAAGTTGATCAGTTAGATGGAAATCAAGTCGAGATTAATATCGGGTCATCGGGGGATGTTCGCCTGCAAGGGTGCGGCACGAACAGCTGTGGTGGGCGCTTAGCAGGAGGGAGCTCTTTTGACTTTTGTTTCGATCTGGAGCTTTCCAACCAACTACGCCAAATGCCAGAAATGGTTCTTCTGAGTTGAGAATATAATTTATATGGAGGAGTAGAAGGTACGATTGATATACCAGATGGTGAGCTCTCGTGATTGGTCCGACGTGTGCCAAGGCGCGAATTCATAGCTCGATGTTCCACATGGCGAGAGCGGCGCACGACGACTTTCTACCATCGCAACTTGATCCTCCTCGCCGCCCTATCGTGCTCCCCGCTTGACATACCACCAACTCGTTTCTCTCCCGATCCTCGTATAGACCTGCAAACACTCCCGCTGCTCGAGTCGCTCCCCCATTGACGCGAAGAACTGTGTAACACAACCACGACGAATCATCTCCCCTTGTCCGACACAAGCGACAGCTCACCCAAGCAAACCAACTACAGACAATCCTCTCGTCTGAACTGCGCCTACCTTACTCAGCCTACCACTTCACTGCGCGTGTTTGCTTTCACCTCCACGCCAACTCACTCGGCATCCTTTAGACATTGCCTGTCTTTCGAGCTCACCTCTCTTCCCTCTTCACAATAACACACACAGCATAACCTACAATGGCGGATCAGCTCGCAAATCAGCTCGAGGCTGCCTCGCTCAAGTATGCCGATATCGGTCCATAGCTCCTCTGGAACCACGTGCTGACAATATCCCNNCTCAGTGAATCATCCCAAGCAGACGGCAACTGGAGGTCAGGACTAAAGGTACCTGCCAAGGATGGCAGAGTCCAAACAGAAGATGTTACAGCGACCAAGGGTCTCGAATTTGAAGATTTTTACCTCAAGCGCGAACTGCTCATGGGCATTTTCGAGTCTGGCTTTGAAAAGCCTTCGCCCATCCAAGAAGAAGCTATCCCCGTCGCTCTCACTGGCAGAGATGTACTTGCTCGCGCAAAGAACGGTACCGGAAAGACCGCCGCTTTCATCATCCCCACTCTCGAACGCGTCAACCCTAAGAACAGCAAGATCCAGGCCTTGATCCTGGTACCTACGCGAGAACTGGCTCTCCAGACATCGCAGGTGTGCAAGACGCTTGGAAAACATCTTGGTGTTAATGTCATGGTCACTACTGGTGGTACTGGCCTGAAGGATGACATTATCCGTTTGAACGAGGCTGTACATATCCTCATTGGTACCCCTGGCAGAATATTGGATCTTGCCAGCCGTGGTGTCGCCGATCTGTCGACCGCTCAGACCTTTGTCATGGATGAGGCCGACAAGCTCCTTTCTCCCGAATTCACCTCGACTATTGATCAGCTGCTTTCGTTCCACCCTCCAGACCGCCAGGTCATGCTCTTCTCGGCCACTTTCCCCGTCATTGTTAAGGAATTCAAGGACAAGCACATGAAGGACCCCCACGAGATCAACCTCATGGACGAGTTGACCCTACGTGGTATCACTCAGTACTACGCTTTCGTCGAGGAGAAGCAANAGGTGCACTGTCTGAACACCCTCTTCTCGCGCCTGCAGATTAACCAGTCCATCATCTTCTGTAACTCAACCACTCGTGTTGAACTTTTGGCAAAGAAGGTCACCGAGCTCGGCTACTCATGCTTCTACTCGCACGCACGCATGCTGCAACACAACCGTAACCGTGTCTTCCACGACTTCCGCGCCGGCCACTGCCGTAACCTCGTCTGTTCCGATCTTCTCACCCGTGGTATCGATATTCAGGCTGTGAACGTTGTCATCAACTTTGATTTCCCCAAGAACGCCGAGACTTACCTTCACCGTATCGGTCGTTCCGGTCGTTTCGGTCACCTTGGTCTGGCTATCAACCTGATCAACTGGGAGGACCGTTTCAACCTGTACAGAATTGAGCAGGAGCTGGGCACTGAGATCAAGCCCATTCCTCAGCACATTGACAAGGGTCTGTACGTTTACGACACTCCCGAGAACATTCCTCGTCCCATCACCAGCGCCCCGCAATTGCAGCAACAGCCTCAAGAGCGCCGTCAGCACCATCAGCAGGGCTACCGTGGCGGCCGTGGCGGCAACTACCAGGGACAGCAAGGTCAAAGAAGAGGACCTCCTCGCAACCAGTACCTCTCTCAGGGTGGTCAGGGCGGTTACCAGCAACAGCAGGCTCAGTACAACCAGCAAGCTTTCGGCGCACCGCCGCAGCAGCAACAGCACCAAGCTTCCTCTTACCCTCAGGGCGGCTTTGCTCAGCCCAATGCTTTCCCTACACCTCAAAGTTTCCCTCAGCCTCAGGGTCAACAACCTAGCAGGTAATCGAGAGTCGTTTCTTCTTTTTCTGATCTATCTGGCGTTTTTCTGGAGTTTCACGGAGTCCAAGCCGGGCGGGTTTATTTGCATTCTCATGATGGGGATGAGGAGAAAGGGAAAAGCAAGACATGGATTTGTTTTCGCCACGCTACCACGAAGTTATTCTATCCTCCTTCCGGTCCAGCACAACGTCGACGCCTCTATATTCAACACTACCAACCACACGCGCGCTCTTGAACAGAGCAGACCAGAACCACCTTCATCATTTCGACCGTCTTCATGCGCCATATCGACCTGACGAATGCCTTTCCATTTCCCAACCCCTTTCATACACATGTACCATTACGTTTCTTGCCCATTTCCCCATCTATCCCACAAGACTTCTTGTTGGCCTGAAACCGGCTGGGCCTGAAGTCAACTGATCGTCTTGTTTCTACTTTGCTTTTTATTCCCCACCTCCCACCTGTGCATTCGACATCACATTGCACTTCACAACAAGACCCTTGATCGACATTTTCAAACCAAGGTCGGCATACATTTTTTCGAATCCGATTTTGGATTGATCACCAAGAGCGATACAACAATCCGTTATTGTGCAGCGGTTTCGAGGAGCTGCCGCATTGTCTATGAACCATACGAGACCAGCCAAACAACTCAACCTCCCCACTCGTAATGTCTCCAACACACCAAATGTTAACTGTTGATCATCCACCTCAATCTGCTTAGCCCGCAAGGCTCTCTGAGATGCGAACCAGATCAGTACCAGGATGTCCTCGACTCGCCCTTTGCGAATCTCTGCGTTGAACAGACTTTGTTCCCTACAACTGTCTGATTGAATGGGAAAATGAAGGATCAAGACGAAACGAGACCAAACTGGTTGGAAAGAAGAAATTAGCAGAAAAGAATTTTTGAAAGAGGATGGAGATGATATCTCAGTAGTTCAGCTAGTTCTGTTATAGCTTGCTGCTGTCGCCACTGGCAAATGACAATCTTTCTCTTTCAATCTGAACACTGACGGTATTCGACAACATGCATTGTGTCTTGTGTTTGATTGCGTTCTGTTTGACTTGCCTAGTACATACCCGTTAGATTTGTAACTGTGCTTGACTACTTCCGTCTCTCCACAGTCAAGAGGAATGCTCTTCTGCTTCGATGGCTCCTTCTCATTTCACAGCAGCATGTGGCGGCTCATGAGTCACCAAACCACCGTGGCTTCTTTCATAGACTTGACAAAGCATTGCCTCCGTTTCCAGACTGCCATATCCGAGGTTACCTTCTGTCCTTCCACTCCTTATCTCCGAAGAACGTGTGGAGCCCCCGGATGGTTCATCAAACTTAAACTCAATTGATCACCACGTCATCTCCAACCACAACGGTCGACGAACCACCGAACACTTCACCTTCCCACCTGCCAGACCATCTTTCCTTGTCATTTCGTCTTCTGTTCGTCACACCGATCACCATGCCAGGCACGACTGCCATCCTCTCAGTAGCTGCACTAGCAGCTCTTTCAGCCTACATTGTTCCGCCCGTCCGACATGAACTCAAAGTCTTAGGTGTTGGGAGATCAGTAGTGTCTACGATTGCCAATGCCAATGACTATGTCAGGATAGAAGATACAACACATTGCGAGGACTTGCATTACTATGCACCTGCGAATCTGCTGTTTACGGCTTGTGAGGATAGACATACTCGGTTCGACTGGTTTCCTCCTTTGGGAAGCTTTGATCCGCCAGAAGATGGTACACAGGGCAGTATCCATGTCATTGACCCTGAGGTATGTGTTTTTTCCTCTCGTTCTCTCGTTTTGGAAAGGATAAAGGGCAAAACTGATTGATTTTGCAACAGANCCATGAAAAGCATACGTCTATCTTTTGTCAACTTCGACAAGACTTTCGTTACTCATGGAATTGATGTTATCGCCGATCCTCAGGCCAAAGATGCTGTATACATATTTGCAGTGAACCACTACCCGAACCCCGAGTTTGTGTCTTCCCGCCGCGAACACATAATTAAGTCAAACTCTCGTGTCGAGCTGTTCAGACATGTGATTGGCAGCAGCACACTCAAGCATATTCGTACAATCTCACATAAGCTCATTGAGACTCCCAACGACATCTATGCCGTCAGTCCTTCAGAGTTCTACGTCACCAATGACCACAGACACAGGGAAGGTCTGATGAGAGAGCTTGAGGCCGTGGCACCCTTCGCATGGTCGAACACAATTCATGTATCGATCACGGACCTCTCTGCAATTTCCGAAACTGCAGGTTTGGAAGCAAGTATCGCTCTCACAGGCACCAAGAACAACAATGGATTAGGCCATGTGCACGACTTCAATGAAGTCACTGTCGTCAGTGCAGAGAGAGGAATTCTGTACCGCTGCTTTGCCGACCCTCAAAACAAGACTTTGCGTATCGAGGAGACTGTGCATTTGGACAGTACACTGGACAACCCTTCTTGGTACCACGACCCTTGGGCTTCTGCCGATGACGACAAANGTGGATACGTGCTTGCCGGGCTAGCACGCGGTATCGACCTCGCTGGAAACACGAGAAACCCTTCGGCCAAGGATCCAACTTTCGTATGGCTTGTGCAGCGCAAACAGTCTTCCAACATCGAAAAAGACGCAACAGCAGAGGGTGCTTGGGAAAAGAAACTTGTTTTTGCCGACGACGGAGCAAAACTCAGAACAGCCAGTGCAGCTGTGATTGTAGGCATCGATCCCAAGAAAGAAGGAGGCAAGAAAAAGGGTTGGTTGTTTGCCACTGGCTTTATGTCTGAGAATGTGGTTGCTACGAAGATTGACCTTTGAGTGGAAGCATTGATGTACTTTGTATATCGTTCTGTCAAGAAATGCACAATAGTAACAGGAAACCAGACACTTATATTGAGAAGCGAAAACAGTTTATCGGGTCTCTGTGGACACGCCTCTACTTCGAACACAATTGTGCCTTTTTATAGTCTACTCTTGTGCTCTTAGCTGTAGTTGGAGTACAGTGAAAGTTATATCTTTTAGCACATGGGGAGGTCTGGATCCAAATTGCATAAATATGCAAAAAGAATAAAAAGATGTCGAGCCGCGATGATCATGATTTGACCACGGTGCATAGTGCAGAGCACTAACACGTAAGCCGTTGTCCCGAATGTAGGTAGTAAGGTGATTGTTTAACTATAAGAGGTAGTTATTGAACTTGGATTCATAGTGAAACACAAGTCGGAACGAATCCAAGTTCAATAAATGTGCAAAAAAGGAAAAAAAAAGATGGCGAGCGCTTGAATTGAACCGCGGTGCGGTGGACAGCGCGGATAGCAGTGCAAAGCACTAACACGTGAGTCGTTGTCCCGGATGTAGGGAGGTGAGGCGATTTCACAACTATAAGAAGGTGCTTATCCCACACCAAGAGGATAAACTATATCATTCTACCTTATGAATCATCCTTAATCCGAGTTGTAGAAACTCTCAACAAGTATCAAGTCAAGCTTGTTCATTCTATACCACAAAAAAGACGAAAGAGGCAAACAAACAACCACAGCGGCAAAAGAAGATTCTACAATCCGTAAGATCGTCTACCAGTCAGGTCTTGTGAGAACGAGTTGAACCGTGGTATGGCTTGCGATGTAGCTTGGGCATTGTACAGAACCGACAGATAAACCATCTTACCGATTGTAGGGAAGGGTGGTTATTGGAGAAACAGAAGAAGGTGTTTTTTCTAGAGGGTGTATCAAAGAGTCTTTGGAGCAAGTCATGAAAGTATTGTGAGTTGGAACAACAGATAGGAGACACAGCTTTTTGCGTAGTAGGTTTGACAATTGGCTTTCCTTTGATCTGTGAAGCTTCATGATATTTAATGAATAGGGAAACAGCAACTGGAACCAAAGGAGAAAAGAAAAACGATGATCGTTCGATGAAGCTGGTAAGACCCTGTGAGCAAAAGAGCCGTATCGTTGAGAGACACCAATCAAGTGCTTTGAGATACATGCGGCAGCACTAGACGCTGTGCAAGGGCGGCTGCCATCTCATCGCCTATATGCACACACTGCGGAATCGCCGATCCCCTTGGAGACGACGTATAAGTCATCTTGCACCATCTCATCTTTGCGTCCCTGTCCGAGACCACAGTGACCTTCCTCTGCTTCTCATCAATCTCAAAGATTCTTCCTGTAATCTCTCTCAGCCAGTTCTTCTGTTCCTCAAGTTTAAACCTTGCAGTTCCAGCAATACATCGATCAACAACCTTCCTCCCCTGAACCAACTCGAACAAATCCTGTCTTTCCATCACTCTATCCATAAAAAACTCCATACCAGTTTTGGCATTCCCACTAATCAGGGCACCATAAATCGTAAGTTCATCCATAAGTACCGAAAGCTGTAGTTGCAACCACACAAACTCGTCGTACGCGGTTCCAGAAAGCCAGATGCCGTCTGGATGATTGAAAGAAATGACGTGCACCCTATCTGCCGGAGGTGAAACGGTGATGTTGATGGTGTCGAGGTGTTGAGCTACGGAATACAAAGTCGCGATGGTGGGCCATGATTGTCGCAGGATTCTGCGGTCGTCGAACCAGTGTTTTCTTTGACTGGTTTCATAGTAAGGATCTAGACCTATGTCCAATATTTTCAATGAAGGCAAATCTGTGATTGCTCTGGAAAGAAGCTGAGCCATGTTGTTGTGCCATAATTCGCCTTGGAGTTGGATGGTTCTGATGTATTGAGTTGCAGGTTCTGGCAATGAATCGAATACTTTGGCGACGAAATTCGGGTACTTGCTGAGACCGCCATAGTCGTACATAGGACGCCAGAGCCCCAATGGTGTTGCTGCATATACTACTGGTAAGGCTTCTGAGTAGAGGGCTCGGCAGGTTGAGAGAATGGCGAAGCAGTGCTCTCCAGTACCAAATGCGACACCAGGGTTGCCGAATCTGCGGTCGAAGGTGACATGTTCTTGGCAACTTCCTACAGATTGTACTGGCCAGTGAGGTTTTGGTCGTTTGATGCGTGTATCATATGTGAAGGCGCCAGAGTTGTCAGGAATACATCTGTATATCATCTCACGAAGTTCTCGCGGCAGGTCCAGGAATGAGATACCAGGGCGCTGTTTTTGATCCGGACCCTCCAGCCCTCGTGCCATACTCGCGGTTAATCGTCTCTCAGAACCATCCATGATGAATTAGGAGCGATTTTAGAAGTGGAAAGTATCTCGTACTGGGCAGCTACGAGATGCACCGCAATGTTGATGCCTAATCGGATACCCCACATGAAATCCTTCAAGCTCACCTGTTCAAGATTACGTCTGACTGAATACAGGAGATTAAGTGATAAGTCTATTGAAAAAGCAGTTGTCAATTGGCTAGAGTTTACAAAGGTAGCAAAGTGCAGCGAGCCAGATAAGAAACTTGTTTAATCTTGTGATTAAGGAATAACATGCCATTAATTTCTCCGCCTTTTTCAGCCATCTTGCATACCACCGAGCAACCCTTCGACCGTTCCAGCTCCCAAAACCTTTCCCATGCTTGCCGATGACAACTGATGGACGAGAATGCTCATAGGCGAAAGTGTGTTGCTAAGGATGTCTTTGCTGTGATTGACCCGATGCAACACGCTGCAATCAGTCTGATGACTGGTCGAAGTAATGCGGAAGAAAATCTCGGAGACGAGGTGCTGAGGTGTCCAACTTAGCAAGCCTTGCTGTCGCCAACTTTTCACGCCACATTTGAACAGCATCGTTGAAGTCCAACTTCTGTTTATCGAGATGTCCTGGCCACGGTTCCCTACGATTCATCCATCTGACGGACGTCGGCAGATTCTCGAGCAAGTCCAAGAGAGCAACAAAATGCCTGAGATAAAGATGTGGGCGTGCCCGTGAGTGTTGCCCCAACTCGAAAAGAGTGAGACTCCCAAGCCTGGGGCTGGACTGGTTAATATACGAAGCCACAGCTTCTGAAATATCTGTGCCACTTCGGAACTCGTAGCACGAGTATGTGAGCTTCGACGAGTAAGCTCCTTGGGGCTGTCGCAGGTTTGTGAGAAATGCGGTTAAAGGCTCGATAGGTCCATAAACACCAAAGGCGAGAGTACAATCGAGTGAGATGTGTATGTGAGCCAGTGAGATCGCCATGGCTTCCTTGAGAATTGCTTGACATGTTTGCAGAATGCCGGAGTGGGTGTAGTTGTCATTGATGTGAAAAACAGGCTCAAAGCCATGAAGCCTTGTAACCCCTGGATGACAGATGCTGTGGTCTATTCGGAGAGAACAGCAGCGACATGTTCGGCGAAACCCCTGNAGACGGCCATTATCGCGGTCAGCGTAGATCGTCCAACAAGTCCCATCTCTCACAGGAGTGAAGATGTAGTGGTAGATCATGTTGCGAATCTCAGGCGGAAGCGACAAGAAGGATAATCCTGTTTGAGTGGGCTTGGTGACTTGGAGAGCAGACGCATCGGCGATGGGGACTGGTTCTTCTTGAGGCGAAGACATATTGCTTGCGTGCGGTTCTGATGGAGCCGACGTGTGATGGATATCAGGGAAGNNCGGGGAGGGCGATGGTGAAGGATCAAGTAGTTGGCCAGAGGCAGGTGGCGATGAAGGCGCCATGATGGCGAGGATGTGAGACAGAAGAGCGAAGATGGAAAAATTAGGTTGTGAAAGTGAAGAAAGTCGAGAGCTCGCGAGAGAAAGCACGAAGAGCAAGCGCAGACGTCAGCGCGGAAGGTTGCGTTGCGAAAGCTGTGAAGGCAAGTACGATGTTGGTATCAAGGAAATCACAGCCCACCACACAACCAATTCGATCACTTCTTTTTCGCTCAAAACTAAGGAGACGTAAGTGAACCGAGGTGTCTGCCGTAGACTTCAACTGAGAGCGTAAAAATTGTCGAGCGAAGCACTATCAACTACTGAGTTCCACTCGCTTTCCAAGAACAGCGCGAGCGTCACTTTCAGTCAGGACTTCCAAGCCCATTTCTTCTAGCACATCTCGGGCCGCCTCATTGTCCATAAACACTCTTCTCTCAACCTCGAAGAGTCCCCACTTCTTCTCTGAGACTGCTTCACCATCACCTCCCGCATCGACTTCTACAGGAATCTCTCCCCTCACAGGTAGATCGAGTAACGTAAGACCGTTGTCTAGACGCTGCATGACATTTTGACCTGTGCCAGCACCAAGATAGCGATCAAATACGCTGCAGATACCTTTGAAGTCGGACATAAACTGTGATGCGCCAGCAGTTGAGAACGAGTGTCGGAGCAGTACACTATCCCAGAGCGTGATCTGGAGACTGTGACCAACAACGCGGCAGATGCGACGCAATGCAGGCTTGGACAAGGCGCGCGACAAGAACGAGAGATGAGTGCCCAAAAGAGTGAGAGGAGGATCCAGCTCAGCAGTCAAGCTGGTCTCTCCACCACTGCCTGCAGCGGAGAGAGATGCCCAAGGGTTGATGCGGCCGTATGGTCTTAGAACGTCGCGAAGGTGGTAGATCAGAGTCTCGCAGATGACTTCCTCGCTGCGAACACGCAATCTACGATAGCTTGCTGCCATTTGTTCAAACAAGGCTCCCTCGAGCTCTTGGTTCTCGCCAACGTTGTTGATAGCGGCGTTTGTCTTTGCTGCGATCTCTGTCATGTTAAGATCACCCTTGATATCGATCTTGTTGACAGCTCTGTACTGCAGCTCCTCCCAGATCTCGAGGAAAAACACGTCGTCACTCCAATCACGCATAGCCTTCTCAAGGTATTCTGCGGAGCCAAAGATACGACAAAGGTGATCCATGCCCTTGACTCCAGCGAGCTCAGCTTGCTCCTCTTTAGTAACGCCGTGAACGGCACGTCCAACGGCTGTTGTATTTGTAAGGAAGATTTGCAAGCTATCATATATCCGGCCACGGAACCGGTCAAAAATCTCGATCTGGATTTTAGTCAAGAATTGGAATCTCTGACTGAACGAGGACAAAGATTTGTAGCGGTCGGTGATGGTCTCAAGGAGATCATTGACACGAACAGCCGCTTTCGTAGGTTTGGTACTATCAGCAGATACCGAATCGTAGTCAAGCTCTCCAGTAGAACGATCTGAGATGATGTCTTGATAGCGCGCCAATGCAAAGTCTTTTTCCACAGTCAGCCATCTTGTGTAGTAGCCTTCTTTNTCAAGGATGAAGTATGCGAGACCACGCCAGACAGTGGCAGGAGAAAGTGGCGTGTAGTTCCATTCTTCCTGAATTGTTGCATCAAAGGTCATGACTTCATGCATCAAGTTGCTGAACAGTTGAGGCTGCTCCGAGACTTGAGGAAGGATTGCACGGAGTTTTTCCTGCAACATAGGGATCAAAGCAGTGATTAGAGCTGAAGTCGCGTCAATGTAGGCAGGAATTAGAGCAAGGTCAGAGCCTCGGAAGTTAGCCAAAAGCTGTGGTTGCAGGTTTGCCTGGAAGAATGCGCAATAGCTGTTGATCAGATCCAAGACATGGTTCAAGAAGTACTCGGGCTTGTCTAGACGATTGGTAGGACGATCTCCAGAGAAGTGGTAGTTGAAACGAAGCTCAAGCGATCTGACCATGATCTCGAGAGGGAGCAAGACAGCAGGTTCATCCTTTGATGTCTTTGAACTGTTTGCTGCATCTGCTGCAATCAGCTCCGACTTCTGAAGATCGATGAGTTTCTCGATGTGAATATTCCATTCTGTCTGCAAACCCGGAGGCACCGAGATTCCCTGCTTTGGCCAGCCCATCTTAGTCAGGGTCTTTTCGAAGTCGGCTGCCAAAGACTGCTCAATCTGGGTGCGTGCACTGTGGGCAGTCCTCAGGACATGAATGATGAGATGAGGAGCAGCGCCCTCTGCGGCTTCAGACAGAGGCTGCAAACCGGTAGCGAGAGCTGATAGCCTCTTGTATGCAGTCAAGGCAGCCTTGTCTGATTTGCCCAGCTGTTCGCTGATCTCTTGTCGCAAAACATTCACCTCTTGCAGCATCTCAGCATAGCCTGAGGCCATGTCAAGCTTCCTCAGTCGTTCCATGCTGGATTCGAATTTCTGTAGAGCATCATCACTGGTCTCTGACTGTGTGACGACCTGGAGGCGGCGGTCGAGATCTTGTTGGTCTCGCTTAAAGGCGGCGCCTTTCTCTTTGATCGAAGTCGCATGTTGATCCGAGGCTTGCTGGGCGATGTTGAGGTCATTGCGGGCATCATTCAANCTATCCAAATGGTCAGAAATTGCAGCAAAGAATATATTGCGGCTCCTCGCTCATACCTGCTGCTTAAGCAAGTCCTGTTGTGCTTTAACGCTGTCCAGTAGTGAATCTAAGGTTTCCAGGTCGGCAAAAGCCTGTAACTTGTCGTCAAGGAAGTCAACCAGCCGGACATCATTGTCTTGATTTCGGCGATAGTCGTCGAGCGCCATTCTTGCTGAGTGTAAATTGTTGATTTGGCAAGCTGTTCGCTGGTGCCAACTCAAGGCTTCTGATGACGCGCTGCGAACGGAGGTTGCTGGCTACGGAACCCTCTCTTCCGAACGCCGATCCAAACACGACCTGACATTCTCCATCCTTCGCGCGTTTGCTGCCTGCGACTGAGTCGAGAGCTCAAATATATAAAAACCATCCATGTAAGTCAGAGTTAAGTAGACACATCCTCTTTCTTTCTTTTCATCCCTCTTTTTCTTTCGGTCATCTCTTGTGCACAATGACTCCATCACCTCATCTCCTCGTTGAGCCTGCCTACATCCTAACCATGCCACACCTCCCCGAGGTAGAGCGCTGCATTGTGGGTTTGGCTCTTCGCTTTGCTCTGCTCGGTAGGGTGGACGCCGCCCGTCAATTCGTTGAACTTACCTGTTCCCGTCCGATGGTGCAAAATTACAGCTCTCCGGATTTGCGCGCACTGGTCGTGCATTGGCGATTGACTTATTTTCCTGCCAACATCCCCGAGGAATTGAAAACCGATGCCTATTTCGATGACTATATGAAGTCGAAGGATCAAGAGATCTCAAGATGGCCTCACTACGTCCAGCCAGAAAATCGTACTGAAGACGAAACTGGCTTGAGATTGATGCTGGAGCCTGGTCAGAATAACTCCAGTTATTCCGGAAGAAAACCAGAACTCGGACCTGCTTTGCAGCTAGCTGTCAAGCTGGCTGAAGCCCGCAATGTTGATCCGTTGAATGACCCCAAAGTCAATGAGATCCTTGAAGCCCTTCCCGGACCTCTCAACCACAACCAGTTGCAAGACGCCTTCCTGGTCGGTTCTCCCCGTTGTGCACCAATCTTCATGTCCGGGGCTTTGGCCAAAAAATTGGGGTTGTCTGATCAAGAGCTTGATTCTCGAGCTGCCGAACTTCTTGGGGCATCTCAACAGCGCTATTGGCATGGTCCGTCATCTATGGGTCCAGAAACCATATCTGAGCTTCTTCAATCTTGTAATCATGATACCTTGGCAAGATCAGACTCGCACTGGAAAGAGATGGAAGAAGACAAGCCCACCTCGCTCTACAACTCGCCCGCCTCAGAGAAGCAAATAACGGATCTTGAACAGAAGCTCGATGCAACCCTCCCTGAGGATTTCAAAGCCTTTCTACGTATCAGCAACGGCTTTGGAGGGATCTGGAATGGTTGCTTTCCCGGCCCTTACCTGCGTTCCACTGACGAGATTGACTGGTTAGACTACGACGAATGGGAGCTTGAGTTTGATCAATTGACTCTGCCTTCGCTTGAGTGTTATAAGATTGTCAACGACGCCGAATTTCCAGATCAACCCATCTTTACCGATGTCGTCCGCATAGCAAGTCAAGAGATCGATGATATATGGCTTATTCCTCCTGGAATGATGCAGTATATGCGCGAATACTACAAAGAAATATACGAAGTGGTGAACGATGATGGAAAACGAATCATCGATCGTTCCATTAATGACTTCGCTGGAAGCTGGGACGAATGGAACAAGCTGGACTGGGGATGTGTGTACTGGGCCAGTGGCACCGTTATCCAGCTGGAATCTTTCAAGAGCTTCAAGGCATGGCTGGAAAATGCCGCTTGGAATGCGAAGAACGCAGGGAGAGAAGGTGATGAGGACGCATGATCGCACGGATCATATGCATATCTAGGTGTTTCTCAAGTACTTGGTCTTGAATAGGTAATTTGCATCTCGAAAACTCTTGGTCAGGTCCCTCTCCAGCTTCTTTGGTAGATCGCAGCTTCCACTTTGAAAGTGAGCCAAGATCAACAACATACTTTCTCCTACAGTGCGAGCAAACTTGGGACAAAAAGCGGAACACTTTCCTCCCCCAATCAGCATCACTTCATGGCAACATCGCCGTCCTCCCGCATCAGCAGAGGGCTTTTGAGTATACTACAAAAATGCACAATTGTTTTCGAGACTGGAGAGGGTCCAGAGAGAGCCGGAAAACTATGATCCCGCTCTAAGATGTTTATCACCAAGGACCACATCACTTGTAGATTCATCAACAGCGAGTTTGAATTATCTCCTGTAGCGGTCCGTGTGGCGCAATGGCTTGCCTTCGCGTCATGTTCTTGGTTCGATCCCAGGCGAGGCCGCTATGGCTGAACATTTCACCTTATCGACTGACCCGTGCCCTGCTCCGGAAGCGGAATAAAGGCGGTTGATGAGGGGGTGTGGGAAGTCTTCTTTGCCCTTTGCATAAGGCCTCATTGCTCGTCTCAAGTGTGCGAAAGAGTCTCGTCTGCTCTACTCGGTCAATATCTTTCATGATATCACAAAGACAGGTTGCAAGCTTTGGGAAGGCAGGATAATGTTTGCGACTTCTTTCGACAGGATTGCCTGCGTTCGATAGCTCAAAGCGTCAAGTTAGCTTCACGTCCTCTGATTTTGTGATATCTATACACTGTCCTTGTTGCTCACAACCTCCCCATGTACTAAAAAATGTAACGCGTGTAGTTATGAAAATGCACAAAACTATGAGGAAACAGGAATATGTCCACTAAGAAGCGACATACTATCGGCTCTCAATGGACGTACCTCTTCTCTAGAAACATCTGTGCCTTTTTATAGTGTACATTTTGCTTGTCGTCGCAGGCGCAGTACGATGGAAGTTACAGACTTTAGAACACGGGGAGCAGAGATATAGCCATGAACTGAAAGAGCATTGAGTATCACCAACAACATGGCACATCCATACGCGCACAAGGAGTGTCATGCTACGAACAAAGAGGTCGGATTCCATGTACCCGCTGGTATGCCGATATTCTTTCGCCTTCTTGCGACGACACGTTGAGTAACTCGGAGGCCAGGACAAGAAATTTCCGGTACCCAAAAGTTCGTCGTATAAAAGGTCATACAAACAAAAGCTCACCGACATCGACAAAGAGAGAGTTCGGGCTTAATCTCTTCTCCATCCAGAGCTACAAGGGCCGTTGCAACCTATCGAAATGCACGATTGTGACTTGAATACAAGTCTGGCCATTCAGATGACCTTCGTTGGGGTTCCTTTGATGCATACCATGGTCTTTGTCTTGCATGGCTCTGCTCGATGTCTACAAATACTCCTCTTATCTCCGTTCCAAACTTTCACGACATAACCCAAGACCCAACACAGACCAAGGAATCATGGCTGAGAACGAGCATATCATGACGACTAGGTCCAAGCAGAAGTCCAGAGTCGACGCAGCCGACCAGCCAGACACCGCGAATGCCCCAAGTGCCACTAGTTCCAAGCACATCACGAGAAGCACCTCCATTACAAACTTCAAGGCTCCCAGCAGAAACATCGACCTCGAGACTAATTCGAAGGTCTATGGAAAGAAGCCTGTCTACAACCCTGATCCAAACTCAGACTCCGAAGACAACATCACCGTCTCCAAACCTGTCACTAGAAAGAAACAGGTCTACAATCCAGATCCAGGCTCAGATGCTGAAGACAAAATCACCGTTGCCGAACCTGCTAGCACCACAAAGCCCAGAGCTTCTAGAGGCAAGAAAGTCCAAGGCAGCAAATTGTTAGGTTCCATCAACGACGACATGCTGGGCCTAGCACTTGAAGACGACAATGCACCACTCAAAGCACAAGCCAGTACCAGCAAAAACACTGTCACCAAGCACAAAAGTACCACAAAGAAGCCCGAAGCCCCTAGAAAGCAAAAGAACAAGGCTCAAACCTCAGAACATGAGTTTCATGAGCCCACTTCTCCCTTCCAAGCCCCTGGACCTCGTGCAACGCACCCTGACTACCCGGACTTGCCTCCTGAAGTCCCTGTCGATGATGAAGGAATCCGTAAGTTGCATGCTCCCAAGTCAAGAATAGATTGTGACTGACCTTGAAAAANNGCCACATCATACTTCTCCAAACTCAATGGAAAGGTGCAGGTCTGGGACAAGAAGCGCGGACACTGACCTTGTCGCTGACCTTGGCTTTCTTGCGCGCTGCCTTCAGTGATGAGAGAATGTAGCAGCGGTCGCGTATGACACTAGTTGTCTCGGCATCGCACCACTCTGGAGATGGTGTGGATTGCCATGGCCCATCTTGTCTTGAAGCAAAGAGGATTTTATAGTCGGGGCGCCTGAACCGGCAAGGTCGTGAAGTGGAGATGAGGGTGAAATGACCAGCTGGAGGTGATAGCAGAGTAGATGAAGGCCGAGAGGCAGGTGCGATCGAAGGTAGTGAAGTAGTGGCTTACAAAGAATACCATTCCTCGAGCCAACGTTATCTGATTCACAAGACTTAACAACAATGAAGTTGTTCATAAAGTTTTCAATGGTGTCATGGAGCTCAGGCTGACCGAGATGATCGGTCAGTCTTGCGTTACATGGGCTCACCAAGACACAGTGACGCTATGTATCAACGCCATGCACTCAACAGCAAAGCCCAATGTACGACTTCAGCCAGCAAAGAGCAAAGCTTTAAAGTTGATGTACTTTGCTCAGCTATATCATGCTTGATTCCTGACGTTTACTGTTCTCTTGTTCGACTTAAAGAAGTATTCTTAACTACTCAAGGTCTTCAAATCCTCTGCAGACAAAAGATTGCAAGCCTCAACGTCCACACTGTGCAATATCCTGATTCCTAAAACCTCCTTCTACTGCCAAAATGGATCAATCACTACCCATTATGTATTGCTATGGGAAATATTTGATTTTGTATCTAATATGGCCGTTCTGGACCATTCTCAACTTCTCAAACCCAACTCTGCTCACATCCTACGCCTGGCTCCCATCAATCCTTAGGGTTTTTAACAAAACGGGTCCACCTCATATTTATCTTTCGGCACAGTGGCCAAGAGTCTCATGACCATGCCACTAAACATCTTTAGAAAGCTATTCGCATTGCTACTGATATTCATCTCTCTAGGCGTGCCGCTGTCTAATCTATTACAATTATTTGTAGCAAAAGGTTAATAGAGCACACCTACCTTCCTTTGCACACGACATCGATCTAGAGTTGCATCTTCTTCGTAGATCTCGGCCAACTAAAACCCTTAGGAAGATACTCATATCTATACAAATTGCCTTTGAGACAACACTCCGCATCAAATCTCAAACTATCTATGCAGTTATGCAGGACCTGTGCCTAGTCCTTATGCCAATAGAAGTCAATGCAATGGCACATGATTAGTAAAGAACGTGCTATTTCATGGACGAGGTCGACTCTCTATATAGGTCGCTTGACATCTGGCTCTAGATCCCCAAGAAAGAGGCTAATGGCATTCGTCGTGATCAATCTCGGGTAGGTACTATGTTTAGAGCTAGTTCCCAACATGCGCATGGGGTTATATACCTCCACAGAAATCGTTGAACATGAGATGGGTGTTCAAGATCATCCAGGAGTTCACATCTAACATGCATTCATGTATACAAGGTAAAGAAAGTGGCTGGTTAAAATTAGAAGACCTGTTAACTCTCCAAGCGTGGTACTTTTGGAGAAATGCACGTGCATGATGGCGATAATATGTATCGCTTCGGGGAGTGTGAAGCAACAGCTCTACCAACCTCCACATGTGCTAAGTATAGTCACGGTTGTAGCTGCCGAAATACACAATACATTCGCGAAAACTATGGTCTCCAGTGAGAAAACGTTGACGAAAGCTATCTCAATGGCCAGACTTGAATTTGAATCAAGACTGTGTATTTCGATAGCTTATAACAACCCTTATAGCTTAGGTTGGAGAAGGGGTCAGTTGTATTGTGACTGTCTTGAGCGCACAGGGAGGAAGTATCCAAGAAACAAATCGAAATTCGTATACAAACATTAAGACGTGACTCTCTATAGTAACACTCTCAAGTAGAGTTGGAGTTATCAGCACAAGAAAAAGCAGATCCGATCTGCCCTGAAGCATATGCCTCCTTGATCTGCACTACAACACCATAAGTGCCTCCAACACAGATAAACATGCCCAATGGGATGAATAGTGCATGCATCCAGAACATGATTTGTTGTCCCGTACTGCCCCTGCGATGCTCCCAGTGGTCGTAGATCCATAGCCAAGCAGGAAGTGAGATGGCAAGAGGAGCAAAGCAAATACTGCCGGCAAGAGATAGCAGGTACTCGAAGATGGGGACTGCTTCTGCAAGGACGAAGGAGATGATTGCGAGTCCGAAGGTGCAGGACAACCAGGTGCCCCAATGAACGATGGTATTAGATTGAAGGTGTTGTGAGTCGCGAAGGACACGAACGAAGATGTATTTTGCGGCAACGTGGAGGTAGAGACAAGCGCTGACGACCAGACTGGGTAGAGCGATACCGTAGCAGATCATCTTGATGGTTTGACCAGCACTNCTGCCAGAACTGTTAGTGACTTTACACAATATTTGGACAAGAGAACTTACGCCTAGAGAAGGACTAGCTACCCACTTGCCGCACCAACGGTAGACGACAAGACTGAAGCTGAGGTATGCAGCTGTGACGATAGCCATACAGATAAATAGAGCTTTGCGGTAGTCTTTTGGGTTCTTCATCTCCGAGATGACGGGAAGCATGGCACTGGTACCAGCACCAGACACAAAGATCGTGCAAGAAGCAACCATGCCAGCAGCAAAGCTAGGATAGGCTATCGCATAGAAGCCGAACTCGTAGTCGCCAGTCTGAGGGGCAGCTGCAGGACGGTCGCGGGTGGTGACTGCAACGACAATGATGAAGACTGCGATAAAGATAGAGGCAAATCCGATCCAAGTAAGCCAGCCTATCTGGTGGAACTTGCGCACTGAGGCTGCTAGAGCCACGCAGACAGTGGCTAAGACAGCCCACCAGACAGTACAAGCGCTGTGGTGGGACAAGGCATTGATACCAATAGACACACCCACAATACCAGAGCCAGTGAGGATAACATAGGCGATGATGAACAGTGCACCCGTCAATTCCTTCATGATCGGTCCTCCGACGACTCCTGCCATGTCTGCGATACTGTGACATCTTGGGTGGTTGTTTCGGAAGTCTCCTTGTAGTACTGCCGTGTAGGTATTGAGAGCTTGCCAACCAACGACACTTAGCGAACCTCCGACGGCACCTAATGTGTACATTGCTGCCGGGATAGATAGAACACCGAGAGCGAAGATAGTCTTGAGGAAGATGACGGTAGCCATTGGCCATCCTACGGTTCGGAAGTTGACCCCATCTTCGGTCTGCTTGAAGACCTCAAAGTCCTCGGTGATGCCTTCGAGTTTCTCGGGTTCTCCTGGTTGTGTTCCTATATGAAGGCCTTTTTCCTGGATTGAAGGCGTGGATGACATGGTTGCTATATCGTCACTAATGGACAAAATGCTGAATGCTGGGGATCAGAGATGTCAGTGGACACTCGTACTTGAGTAGTTCATGTTGGAGTGCTAGTCATGACTTACCCCAACAGGGATCACAGTCACATCGTATCTTGTCGCGCCACGTGAGATGATAAGCAGGAACTCAAAGATAGTTCGAAACGGTATCATGGCGATTGACCAGGGTTACCGACCAGATACGAGCACGATTGGATGAAAATGCTTCTTTGCTGCTTTGATGGCCGTCCAGAGCCATGCCATGACTTGGAGTCATGGAGATAAGGGGAAAGATAGGCGATGTTGGGGTTCGCGATCTGCGGGGAAGTGTCAATAGTTGGGGTCGTTATCACATAGAATGTGTCCTGACTCCACGCCTGACTCGACCTCGATGTCCTGGAGAACATGAAGGATTGCAACAACATAATGACCTGAATGTAACGAGAAGGTTTCCGATTGATCACTTAGGTTCTGATGCACTTGATAACAGCCCTGCATATGTCAAACGGACCGTGCCTGATGAAATCAAAAGCCGGCGGTTCACGCCAGCGATGAAAGGGTTGTACCTTCCATGCTTTTCCAAGACAATTTAGCCAGAATGAAAGGGTACACGGGAAGCAACTAGGTCTGTGAGTGCAGTCTAGGGAATATAAAATGTGGTATGGCGAGTATCTGCAAGTTTGGCTAGCGTGTGCAGCTTGCATGCTGCTTCTTTCGCTCTTTGGTAACGAATCCCAATTTTGTGGGACTCACATCTTGCAGAGTGTCGAACAAACATGAACGCACCTTGCATGTGCCGCGGTTCATCATATTAACGCACGATATACAAGGAGAATTTGAGATCCGGCCATCGGGCCGTCGGCCATGAATCTGATTGTCTTGGATATGCCGAATCATGAATGCCACCATGTTGACGGGACTCGAGGTCTGCTTTGGCTTTTAGAGTTTCGGACGAGTCGGGCGCTGCATTGGCGACATGGGAGTACGCTTAGGGAAATGGTATCCCAACCCCTCCTTCTCACAACCACACCACCACCACCACGACCCTGCAGATCTAATCCGAGTACGACGACATGGCCTTTTCCCGACGACATGGCTTTTATCCCATGCTCACGAGCGAGATAGCAGTTCGAATGCATGAGGATGACCGCATGCTTGATCGAATCGTCCACCGCCGTCCGGATATAACGCGTTCCAAGAGATACATATTATTTCACCGATAATTCATCTTCGGCAGTTGTTACATTGGAGTTTGTCTCATGGAAGGTCGAGGTTCAATCCCTGCCTTTGTGTTCCAAGATCAAACCCACCTCCTCGTCAAGTGCATCCAAGATGTGTTCGGCAGGATACTGTGGCTGCCATCCAATCTTTCTTCCGTTCTCGGCAGTGAGCATGCATTTCCCTCCCAATTGTAGAGCCACGAGATCTTTACCGCAACCGAGTCCGGCAGCCATTTTCTCGAGCGCTGCGTCATCGGCTGTATGAACCTGAGGGTCAGTAACAACACCACGCTCAAACAGTGTTTTGGCCATACGGGCGTAGATGTCGTCCCAAGCGATGCTTCCGGGTGAAGCGAGGAAGTAGCCGTCCTTTCCGTGGCCTTGTTCTTTGCCTGAGAGGATGTTGCGAAGGATCTGAATATATAGATTGGCGTTGTCGCCAATATGACAGACTGGCCAGACCTGTGCATAGATTTAGCGATCATTCAGGTAGGATCGAAGCGAGTGTCTGCGTACAGGACGATCTGCGTCTACTCTGTAGACTTTCTTTGCTGCTTTTGCGGCTTCCACTATGGCGACGGTCTGTATGGAGATTGAGTTGCCGAAGCCTTCGCCCTTCCCGTCTGCATGTGGAGGTTAGCTGTCATGACAGAAGTTCAGCTCTTGCAGAAGACATACANNAACGATGCACGGGATGAAAACATAACTGCGGACGCCCAGGGACTCGCTCAGCTCGGTGACAGTGTTGTTCGTTTCGACGAGCTGANNACTGTCAACTCCATTCGCGACCACGAGCAGCAGAAGACTTACCTGGGATAAAAGCGGGCTTCCAGGATTCATATGCTTTTGAATCTTGTAGATTGTTTGATCAAGATCAGAAAATGGTTCGTCCACAGGTGCGTTGACATGTGAGGAGATTGACTTGGCTCCGCTGGTCNNTTGCCTTCGTCAATATCGTCGTTTTAAGATGGAACAATCCCGGGCTCACATGTAAAGATGCACCTCTGTCCCAATCTTCGCTTTCAAACTCGAGAGGCCTTTGATGAAATTGACTGCAGCATTTGACTTGAGCGCATCATGAAGCAAAAAGACAATGTTGATTTCGTATTTCAGCACAGCATCCTTCACCGCTTCGACATCATAAGAATTGAAGATGAGAGGTTCAGCGCCATATTGCTTGACGGCTTGAGCTTGGGATTCGGTCCTGACCAGAGCGTAGAGGGTGTTGTAAGTTGGGAGTTCAGCGAGCTTCAAGCGATGGAGAAGAGTTCCGCCTAGATAGCCCGAACCTCCGGTTACAAGAATGTTGTTGTTAGGCATTCTGAACTTTCACGAGTCACTGTACTGACAGGCGGAGAGGTGAGAGCCAGATATATAATTTGAAGGTTGATAGACACCTCACTTAGGCAAATCATGTCCCCTCGAGACTAAGGCTTATTATACTTACTAGACATTATAGCTTCTAGGTACGAAGACGCACCGAACTCCATATTTCTTTCGAGTCGCTACAATTATTCAGCATGTCGGCTTGCAAGTTGCTCCGAGGTTTTAATATACTCGTGGATGGTTACAGTACCGGTTAGCAAGACTTGATGACTAAGCTCTGTCGATGCGATTGATCTTACCTAATCAACAGAGGGCAACCCCGCGAAGCCCCGCCATCTCCATACAGAAGTGACAGCTCTAGATTGAATCATTGACGTGCTCGAGCCTCTTACAACACCACTCACACAATCCTACCAATCATGCCAATTACCTCTGGAGCACCCGCCCACGGCAACCCAGCACATCTGCTGCCACCATCCTGGACCAGCGTCATCAGCGTCTGGCTAGCTGAAGACACACCATCCTTTGACTATGGCGGTTTTGTCGTAGGCGCTGCACCCGCCACTGCCCGTCTTCTCGCCAAGTCTCCTGGTATCCTTGCTGGTGTTCCTTTCGTGGATGAGATCTTCAAGCAATTGGAGTGTAAAGTGGAGTGGTTGGTCAAGGAAGGCGATCTCGTAGGACAGAATGGAAAGCAGCATGTAGCCACAGTCACAGGACCTACACGGAACCTGTTGTTGGGTGAGAGAGTAGCTTTGAATGTGGTCGCCAGGTGTTCAGGCATTGCTACGAAGTATGTATCTACCTGTTTCTTCCTCCAGTCTCATCGCAAGAAGCTAACACCGCAACAGANNTCCCACTCCCTCCTCACCCTCCTCCGCAACGCTGGCTACAAAAACACCCTCGCCGGCACCAGAAAAACCACTCCCGGTTTCCGCCTCGTCGAAAAGTACGGCATGATCGTCGGTGGCTGCGACCCCCACCGTCAAGACCTATCCACCATGACAATGCTCAAAGACAACCACATCTGGGCCTGCAACAACAACATCGCCACCGCCGTCTCCGCCGCAAAAGCCGCAGGTGGTTTCGCCATCAAGGTAGAAGTGGAATGCCAATCACTCAACGAAGCAGAGCAAGCATGCGACGCAGGTGCCGATGTGGTAATGCTGGACAACTTTACACCCGAAGAGATGAAGAAGGCAGCAAGAAGTCTAAAGGAGAAATACGGCAGTGGGCCTAGAGGGCCTTTGGTTGAGGTTAGCGGTGGCTTGACTGAGGATAATGTGAGCGATTATGTTAGTGATGATGTGGATGTTATTTCGTCGAGTAGTATCCATCAGGGTACTAAGCATGTGGATTTCTCGCTTAAGATTGTGCCTAAAGGGCAAGAGGCCAAGGATGGCAAGGGAGAGAGCACTGCTACTTGATTGACCAGAAGGGAAACAGCATATATAAACTGTATAAAAGGATTCATATGCACATTACTCGTGTTTTCTTTCATTACACAAGGCGAGTGTGTCAACAGGGGTGTCTCCAACAGCCGAGTAGCATTATCACCCTGCTATCAAAAGGCAGAGTATGTTCATAATACACTGTGTGTCCCTTGAGTATATACACACAAGACAACACTAAAGGCAGTTTGTACAAAAGATCCTAACCCCCATCATCAGATCTACAGTGGTCTAGTCTTTAACACCCCACTGCCCAACCATACCCATAGCCTCTTCACCACCTTCAGCAAGCAACCCCCTNTCATCCTTCAACACACCAGCAACACAATGCCATCCATCCCTACCNCCTCCATGTCTCAACACCTCATCTCTAAACCTTGCTCCGGCCTCTGGATCCACAGCCCCNATATTACTTCTCTTAAACACATCTTTCCAGATCTTTCCTGCAATGGCGCGATCAAANAGATAGGAATAGTATGTAGCGCCATAGCCAAACAAATGTCCGAAAAAGCCTTGCCAAGATGTGCCGGAAGGTTCGGGAAGAGATGAGTATTTGTGCCATACATCGTGGTAGGTGCGAGTAGAGTCGAAGGATTGGTTCAAGGGAAGTTTGGAGTGGTAGGTTTGATCCAGCATAGCTAGTAAGATCTGTGCTTCGGTTTCTGTGCCTTGGCTGTGTGTGTCTAGGTTTACTCTTTCGGCAACACGTGTTGCATCAAGTGGTTTGTCTGTTTCCCAGTGACGGGCGTATAAGGCCAAAACTTCTGGTGCAGAAGCAAAGTGCTCCATCAGCACTGAAGGCAGTTCTGCGAAATCGGTGGCGCAGCGTGTTCCACTGACATTTTGAAGCGCTGTGCGGCCGCAGATAGAGTGGAGTGCATGACCCATTTCATGGAAGAGTGTTTGGACTTCTCTGAATGTGAGTAAGGCAGGTCGTTTAGTGGCTCCCCCCNNTTGCGGGATGGCGAAGTCGCAAATCAATGCGATGGTGGGCAGTTGGTACAATTCGTTTTTATCAGTGTTGGATTTGTTGATTGCTAAGCCGTCTGTGGCGGCTTCTTGTGCAGTGTCGAAGAGATCACCTGTTGCGTTTCGCAGGGCTTCTGCTTCTTCCAGTTCGTCGGGGAGAATGCGGCGGCTGCAACGCAGGGTGAAGTGAGCTGGATTGGGAGACTTGCCAGCTCGTTCGAAAAGATCGCAGTAGATGACTGCGACGTGGCCTTCACGATCGTCAATGACATCGAGACGCCGCACGTCGTTGTTCCAGGTCTCGCCAGGAGCGGTCTCCTTTGGCACTAGACGGATACCATAGAGACGGTGGAAGAGGCGTGATAAGCCTTGCATGACGGTACCAAGTGAAAAGTAAGCTGAAAGCACATCCGGAGTGCGGGTCTTTGACCTCATAGATGATAAGAGGCGATGTTGATAGTAATCTCTGTCCCATGCATTAAGTTCACCAGGGAAGTTACCACTACGAGCATCAGAATTCTTCATCTCTAGCAACTCTTGGATTTCTGATTGCACACGCGGAGCATTGTCGGCGGCCAGCGCGTCCAAGAACTTCACCACGGCTTCTGGGCTTTTCGCCATCTTGTCTGACAGAGCCATGTGGGCAAAAGAGTCATGTCCAGATAGACGAGCGAGCTCAGCACGTCTTTGCAAAAGATGCTCTAGACGTTCAATGTTCGCTCTGGCCGACGTGCGATTTGCCATATAGATCTCTCGTCGTGTGTCTGCATCTTCTACAGTACGGAGGGCGAGAGAAGCAGGCATGCCAATAGTAGGTAATGAAACACTGCCCCATCTAGTCAATTGACGTACCACCAGAGGGTCCATACCCTTCAGCTTGCTGCTAGGAAGCTTAAGTAGTGGCGTCTCTGGTACCATCTGATCCACAAACTCGGGTCCAACCTCAGCAATCTCGTTGGAAAGTTCGACAAAAGCCTGACGGTCGGTATCGGACAGATCAATAGCAGACTTCGCAAAGTCCCTAGCAAGAATATTTGCGACGGTCAATTCTTCCNNCTCACTCCAAGATGCGACAACCTCAGGAATGGCAAGAGCAGCTTTCAATTGGTCGTTCAAGCCAGTAGTTGTGTTTAAGACATTCATGTACTCAAACATCTGAGCATATGCCTGAGTAGCAGCAGCTTGAATGTTCCTGTCTGGATGTGTAGAGCGAACAAAGTCGGAAAGGTCGATGACTCGACATAGCAAGTCACTCAGACGATCCAGATCTTTGGCAATGTTCTTGTACTGCTCTACACTACTGTAGGCCAGGACTTTTGTGACTATGCGCTTGCATTTTGCGAGAGTGATGGAGGCAAAGTGCTCGAAGCCTTCGGGTCTGGTGAGGTAGCGATTCTGAAAGAGACCTAGGGATTTCTTGGAGGGGTGAGTTTGCCTGGCAGAGAAATCCTTCCAGAAGGGCTGTGAGTCGAAGATCTGGCGTAGAGTGGCATCCTGGTGCGACGTATTCGGGTCCCGATGCGACACAAGCGGCGGCGGGGCGGAAGCGGATTGAGAGGTCGCGGAGGTAGCGGCGGTGGCTAGACGGCGACGATGTTCATAGCGGAGGCATCTGGCACATGTCCAAGGCCTTATCGGAGGAGGCTTGAGCATTCTCGGTCCTTGTGTGAATGCTCAAGAGACAAGCAGCGTCATTTGATATTTCTGGTGTTGGGTGACGATTATGGACCGGGGACTTCAGGTCCCGAGGGTGGAGAGTTGCAGCCGGCGCAGCTCACACTTCAACTTCGTCTTGTCTGTAGATACCAAGTCCAACCCGCCGTCGACGACCTCACAATGGCCTTCCAGCCCCTCCTACGGCATGTGAGTGATTAGCGAGAAGATGCGCTCGCCAATTGACCTCTGCTGACGCTGTATGCAGNNCGCGCCGCGCCTGTGGCAGCCCTAACCATGGCTTCGCTCGCTCTCTACCCCAAGAGAACCGCCTACGCCGAGGAGCTCCAACACGTACGAACATTCGCTTGAACATCTTCTACCTCTCTCGTCTCACACAATGCTCCAGNNCACACGCGCAAGCCCATCTACGACAGCCCTCTCGAGGCCACTCCCTCCCCCGCTGCTATCCACGCGACCACCCTCAACCCAGAGCCCGTCACTCCCCCGGTCCGCGACAACCAATCCCAACAATCAAAAGTCACTGCCGAGACCGTCGCCGCCAGAGTCCTCGGCCAACCCGCAAGCCCAACACCCACCCAGCGCCTTGCCGAGCAAATCAAGCGCGCCCGCGTCTTCATGCACGCTCAAGCCGTCAAGGCCGAAGACAACATCGATGCCGGCCTCACCAAAGCTCTCAACCTCGAGCACTCGTTCGTTTCCACAGTGCAATCACTTGCTCCCCCCAGAGAGAGCGGCGAGCGTCTTCTCCCCGGTGGAGTCTACGTGCTTGTAGCTGCTATGGCCGGCAGCATCATTGCTCGCAACCGCAACATCCTTTTGCGCGGTATTGTTCCCGTGGCCACTGGTGTTGGTGCCTCTTACGCTGTCTTGCCCATCACCACCCGCAATGTCGGCGATCTTATCTGGAAGTACGAGGAAAAGTACCCCGTCATTCGCGACAACCACATCCGTGTCCGCGACGGTGTTTCGCACTTTATCAAGACTGGAAAGGCACACTCGCAGATGGGCTACTACCAGGCTGTCGACAAGGTCCAGGGCGTGCGTGAGGCCGTCGAGGAGTGGGTTAGAAAGGGCAAATAAATCACAAGAGTTTTATTCCCTTTTGTTTTTTCCCTCATAGACTTTTGTTTCTTTCTTACCTATTTTCCTGCTTGTCATTGTGGAAGAAAAAGTCTGTATATTACGATAACTTTTGCAAAGCACAAATTCCTCGTAAGAGTGTTGGTTCTAAGTGATGCCAGATCATACAAACGTTTGCAGTAAACTATCTTAGAGAATATTGATATTGATATATGATGCTAAATGATTCATCCTAGGAAGTATCAATTGTTTTCCAAAGAATCATGACGCCAGCCTCTAAATCACGGAACCATTTCCTTCATTTTTTCAATCCACTGACTTTTGCAGCAGGAGGACTCACATACTTGCTGCGAAGATACTCCTCTACATTTCTATCACCCGTAGCGTCCACTCTAGGATCTTCTGGCTTTTGAGGAGCCTGCTCTTCAACTGCTTCCTTGTTTTCTTCCTTGGTGCCATAGCCCACAGCAGCCAACGCGCTAGCACCAACATTGGCAGCAGTGCTATACGCTTGACCGGCAACCTCCTTAGCCTGATCGACATAAGTAGGTTGCATCACCTCGGGCTCGGGCATGGGATGTTCCTTAGGCGCCTGTCCGATCGTGTTAGGTTCGTTTACGCCATAGGTGTCGCCGAAAGTGCCTTGGCGCGTTTCGGGGGTGCCGTTGGCGAGGGTGCCGTGGGCGTGCGTGTGCGCTTGCGCTATGTAGCTCGTACCTGAAGTGCCTGTTCTGTCTGTGCTGGGCTGGTTTGCAGATGTCTGCGTGGAAGAGACTTGGTGGTGTTCGCGCACGGGGAGAGTCGTTGCGGGGGTTGCGGATGAGGGAGTGCCGTCGTAGGAAGGAGGAGGCAGGGTTTCTTGGCCTGCAGGTGGGCTTGGAGGGTGTGTGTTGAGGCCGCTGGTGGTTCTGTAGAGGTCTGCGTCTTGTCTGGCCTTTTCGCTTGCGGCTGGAGCGGCAGCTGAAGGTTGCTGAGAGGCCTTGACGATGGCGACCTTGCGGTCGCGAGGCTTGCCGTTCTCTGTGCCTACTGCGACGGCGATTTTGTCGCCGTTTGGCTCAGTCACCCATCTGATGGGTCCGCTAGGAATTGTGTCCATGCCATTGAGCTTATGCGGTGCAGTCCACTGAAGCACATTGTGTAGGTCTGGGTCAATATTGGGCAGCTCTCCAAACTTGTACTTCAACTTGCCGCCATATTGTTCGGGAATGTTTTCCGGATCAATGTACTTAGAAAGTGTTGGGTACATTTCCTGCTTGGAAAGAATGAAGATTTTGGACTGTNNTGATGTGTTAGTGTTTCTTGAACTCCATTGGTCATGGTTGTTTTGGAAGGATCCAAGACTTACGACAGTGATGGGGTCAAACCACTTCTTGATCCAGCTCCAGACGGTAGGGAAGAATGAAGGTGCTCCAATAATGAAGATTCTGTCCAGAGTTTCAGGGTAGTGTGCAGTAGCCAGCTGACTGGCATCTTGCATGTGGTTCTTCAAATTCCAGAACTGTCTCAATCCAACGTTGGAGATGTCAACAATGTTGCTCGATTGTGATACGGGTGTCTCTGGGAAGGGGCGGTTTGGCATTTCCGAGCAGAGAGGCAGCACGAAGTTTGTGAGGTTCTCATATAGAGCGAACAGGCGGAGCATCTTAGCAGGAATCTTAGACTGCACGGATTGGTTCTTAGACGAGGTTGAGNNGGCTTCGTAGGCCGAGACGGCCTTGCTGTTCAAGTGGGCGACTTCGAAGATGTATACAGGAATACCGCGGCGGTCCTGTCGGCCAGTCCATTGAGGGTACNNTGCAGAGTGTCAACAGGTTGACAACTTGTCGCTGTTTGATGGACCAACCAAAACACGAGTCTGCTCGTACTCGCCAACATCGATGGTGTCGTAGAGCTTCTCGAGCTGATTCTCCTTGCGCCAGTCCTCTGTGTCCTTGAATTGGCCAAACGCTTCGCCGGGAACAAACTTGCGAGCACGCAAATACCGNCCTGCCTGAGTCAGCAGGTGTCCTTCCAGATGGTCCTTCTTTTCTCACAGCATCGTCTCGTCGTCATGACTGGGAAGTCCATTGGGACCTCCTGTCGGGTTGTAGTATCCCTTCTCCTGACATAGCTCCTTGAAAGCGAGTAATGCCTTTTCTTGACCAGCACTCAGGTGTCCCACATGGGTCGCCGGGTACNNTACGTTGCAGCTGTCAGCTTTGGCTGTCCTATTATTTTAACTTTGGCCGATGTTCATGCGCACTTGGTACGACTCGATACGCTGCAAGTCGGCTCCAGACATGGTTCCTGTGGTTGCGGCTGTCACTCTACAGATATACGATAGGTCCTTAGGAAGCGAAATTAATGATAAGAGTGAAGCCCGTAACTAAGCAATAGCAATCCTACTCAGAATCCAGCTCATCGTCTCTCCTGGGCATCGTCATTGTTTCGGTCTGTTCGGAAGCCGTGGCCTCGGAAGCCGTCCCCGCGCATCCGCCGCAATACTGTGCCTAATGCTCTGCCAAGCATCCTTCTGTCTGCTTTCAACTTCCGCTCCTCAGGACACAAGGCTTCGTCAATTTGGGTCGAACATATGGCTTTGTCGAATTCTCTGAATGCCATGTTCCTCACACAATGCAGGGCGATTTTAGCACCTGCACCTGCAGAAGTCAATCTTTGACGATTACTCATCTTTGCTTCGCTACCACACATTTCGAAATGGCTTTGGTCCATGAATCGCAATCCTGCTTTTAGGTGCAGCCTGTGTAGCGAGAGAATAGGCATATGCCCTATGCAATGCACTCTCTCCCCACGACCGTTGCGGCAATCTGAGGTCCGATCCAACCGCGCGTACTACTTAATTAGGTATTTTCTGCCATTGGACGAATCAAAGGCGCTTTGGGAACAAGCGAAACAAAGTGGTATCCACACATCTTCACACTAATCATCGTACAAACACGAGAGCGGCACATTCTGTTGTTTGCCCGTTAGGAGACGGTGTTGTAACAGATAGCCAAGTCTGTGGAGAGCAGTCACGGTCACTTGTCCGATCCTCGGATAGCAGCATACCCCATGAGTTCTCCCATCTGAGTTCACCATCGAAACCTGCTTAAGGCCAGCTGCAGCTCGAACACATCATGACTCACAAACTGAAAACACCGGCACGAGTCACGATTGCCGCGTGTCGTGCATACCGACCGGCGCGGGCCATAGCGCTCATCGTGCCACCGATCGAGGCTACAAGCTGGCACCCTGGCTAATTGCCGATGGTATTTTGCACGATCGACGGGAACTCGGATCGTGCCTATCCTTCCTTAGACTTCACCAACATCCGATCGTCCAGAAAACATTATTATCCACTCAATCAGAGAGACCTGAATTTTATCCACAAATGGCAATAGGTACCCTACTTATCGGCAAGACCTCGCAGTAAGGCACATCATTCACATGCCAGACCGCAACGCTGACAAAGCTCATGGCTCCGTCAAATCGCGAGACCAACTTGGACAAGGCGCTAGAACAAGACCACCATTCCTTAGGGGCTTCTGTCGTTCGTGGTGTATGGTGCCCAGACATACTGACGAGACTGACAAACGGCCTTGTATGGTCAGACTGTGGAACAGACAAGACCTTCTGTCGAGATTGTGACCAACTATATTCTAGTCGCGTTACGATTCGAGTACACCCAAACATGCTCGCCAAGCCCATGTATCTGCAATGCAATACAGCAAATAGCCTGGTCTGCATGATCTAAGGTATGGCTTTTCGAAGTGGCCGTCATTTAGAGATGATCTTGGCGTCCTTGCATCACTACCTACATGTGCATACGTCCACTCGGCCTCGGAGCATAATTTCCCTTTACGCAAAAGGGTTTACTGACAAATTCGTCAAAGAACGTGGCCTGTATTATAAACCGCATGATGTGCGTTACGCGAACCTGAGGCTCCATTCTCGGTTCCCGCTTTCCAGCCACAATTAGAGTGGGCTAGTAGTTATGGGAACTGCGACATGTTCTGACGTAGGCGCCTGACAGCATAACGGATTAACATACATCTACTCCGTACCTCGCGCTAAGCAGCCTCGGTATTGGTAGGCATGCAAGCCTTGTTTCCACCACCTCCAGTGAGCCAGCCAAAGCTGCCAGGCATGTCTGCACTCAAGCCTGTTTGTCCTTGTCGTGGCTCAATGGATCATGTTCGGTCAAATTACAAAGTCCGCTTCCGAAGCAGCCAATGGATGCCCGGTGGGTGTCTCCATAGACCGAGGGTAATCGCTTCCCTGGCGTCAAACCACTGAAACCATGCCCCGTCTGCATCCACTTTCCCTTGTTGCTTGATTTATACACTGCACTTGAAAGCGACGATCTCATGCTTCCCAGCGCACCACACGAACGCATGAAAATGTCCTGTCAGACACATAACCGGACACATAACCGCCTTGAACCTGTTCTGACCTAGCCTGATTGAGGAAAACGCATCGCCCACAACCAGATAATGTGCTTTTTTTGACGAGGCGGGGAGTTCTCAAGCACACAGGTTTAGATAAGGCAATGCAGTAATTGAGGCAGGTCGTGGTGGTATGCGGCACGACCATGCCCTGGGCTCTCATCATTTCCCTTTACACCAATGCCAACGTTGTCTGTCGGGCTTACAAGTACAGACCACCGACAGCAGAGGTTTCAGGCTGTCCTAAAACAAAAAGCTCGTCCCCTCAGCAGATCAACGATCTCTTCATACTTAGCAGACATGGCTGGTCGACAAAGATATCAGATTTGCGTCAACGACGACCGCAATTTGTACGTCTGGGCGGACACATGGAAAGAGGACACCATCGGAGACTTTTTGACCCGTCTATCAAACTCTACAAGTCCCCGGCTTGACCGCCATAGGGTACATCTGAGCTTTGACGGCGTTCGTCTGGGTGAATCCACGACCATGAGAGAGGTGAGTTCTGGTTGACCTTCCGGCCATCAGATAATGCAGACCTCTGACTCAGAAAACACATGATAGACCGGTCTGGCAGATGGAGATGAAATAGCTCTTCATTATGGATCATCACACTCATGCAAGCTATGCACCGGTTCACGTAAGTTCACGTCAACGTCGTTTCACCCTGAGTTTTTCTAACCTAGAGCACTGACAGACAACTGCAGACNNAATGGCACAGGGTACATGACTCGACAGAGAGGTTGATCAAACTCTCCTAAGGCCTTCGACGACTGAAATCGACATAAGAAACTCGAAGAAAAAAAAGGGGACAGAAACAAGCAGCAGATCACGATCACACGACCAATGAGCACACAATTAGGAGCATCGACAACGAATTGATGAGTGCAGTTATCAGATCACACGAAGTATCTGTGGGGGAATCTCGACCATGCGATAAAAGGCCGGTAAACGGCTGCCGAGGGTTATGTCGGTATATGCTCAAGTACCGACATGGATTTTCCGTTTTGGAAAGGGGTGAAAGAAAGAGTAGACACCTTGCCCAACCGTCTGACCATGTTCGATCCAGGGTCTGAAACGGCTCGATTCGGAAGGTGGAGACCTTAACATGGAGTACGCTTGATCGAAGGTGGAAGGCCACTTCGCGCATATTGTATGGCTCGAAGAGGAAGGGAGTAGCAGTGGCGTACGGTAGTGGCTTAGCGACGGCTAAGGATCGAAGGGCGAGGGTAGAGGTTAATAGCTAGTAGTCATTAAAGTTAGCTATATACAGTCGTTACTATAGATATTAACTCCCTACTAAATGTAAGTAACCTCCCTCTAAGGAACTAGAATAGCGAAGTTATTAGTCTTAATGTACTATCGTCGACTATACTAGTAGCGCTAACTACTACTTAAGATTTAACCTAACTAACCTAAGCGCTAGAGTTAACCTAATAGATAGGACTACCCCTAGTACTATTAGCTAGTAAAGGAAGAAAAAGAGAAAAAAAGAGTATAAGGTAGAAAGGTAAAAGAAAGAGGTAGAAGGGCGTAAGTTAAGACCTAAGTTAAATAATAAGAGGTCGTCGCTAAGAGCTCTTAGTTAGCTTAAAGTTATTAGAAACGAGGTATAAGGCTTACTAAGGACGAGTAAGTTATACTTATAGAAATAGCTACTTCTCTTAATAACCTCTAGTAAGACCTAAGGATAACGAAGGAGACTATTATAGCTAACTATTCTAGGGAGAATAACTAGTTATAGGATTTATACTTATAAAGAGGAGTATTAAGTAAGTAAAGTAAGTAGTATATTATAGTGTAAACTAAAGGGACTATTAGAATAACTAATTAAGTTAAACGTAGGACTTCCTAGTAAAGACCTACCTACCTATATACTTATACTAGCTTATAAAGGAGTGTATAAGCTATACGTGCTTAGGCCTAAGAGTCCTAAGCTATATAGGCTTAGATAGCTTATAACTAAGCTATCTAAGCTAGCTTACGCCGATTATCCTAAGCCGGCGGAGGTTAGAGGTATAACCCTAACCTAACTACTACCTAGGCTTAGGAATCCTTCGCTAAGCTAGAGCGGGGTTACTCCGGATCGTAATAGAGACCTTTTAAGATAGAGTGCGTATAAAGTTTAAGAGGGTTACTAGGCGTACCTATTTAGTTAGCCGCTATTATTTAACTATCTAAGGACTAGTTAGTAATTATCGGACTATACTTAAAGAGGCTAAAGATAAGACTAGCTATAATAAGATAGAAACTAACCTTAATTATACTATTAATAAGTAGATCTAAGTTATAGAAGGCGTAGAGGCCGAGTTCTAAGCGTAGTAAGAGAGGTCTTCTTAAAGTTAGTATAAGACTAAGAAGTAAGTAACCCTTCGTAAGAATTTAATACGCTCGTAAGAAAGGATAGCGCGCTAGTAGGCTTAAAATAACACTACGCTAAGAGCTACGCTAGTAGAGGAAGAAGGTAATATTACCGATAAGGTAAATACTACTATATAGAGGTAAAGGGGTCGAAATAAGCGCTCGAGTAATATCGTTAAAGTACTTAAGTAAAGTAAGTAAAATAATACTTAATTTTTAGACTTCTTAATATAGTTAATAACCTCTTCTTTACTAATATTAATGTCTTTACTATTAGTACGCGGTAGCCCTCCTACTAACTATCGGATTAATAACTTATACGTAAAGGTTAATAGATTAGACTTAAAGATTAATTAACTACTTAGGTTAACAATTTAAAATAAGTACTAGCGTAGAGACTCTAACTACTTAAAGGCTTAACCTTCTTACTTAGAACGCTTAGAACCTACTTAGGACGATAAATTTATTAATATCGATGCTATATATAGTCCTCTTAAGGTAGATTTAACTATCTAATTAAGAGTATACTTACTAACTAGTAGATATTACTAAACTAGTAGAGTATCTAACCTAAACCTTAACCTAACGACATTACTATATAGATATATATAATAATTACTTAAAAGGACCCTAACCTTAAACGACGTAGTAACTAGTATCTAACTAATACGTAGACCTATATAAAAACTAAGATACTTCTATTACTCTATAACTAACCTAAAGAAGTTCTTAATACTAATTCGGATACTTAATAGGGCCTTATTCTATTAACGTTAAGGGATAGTTAGAGTCCTTCTACTAATAAATAGGGTAAGGTATTATCTAAACGACTAATATACTAAGTTACTAATAAGTTAAATAGTATATTAACCTATATACATTTCTTCTATCTTATCTTTAAAGCCTAAGCGTCGACCTAGATAGACATTATTACGCTTACTCTTAAATAGACTATAGAGAGAGATATAGAGGCTATTAGGTACTATAATTACCTAGTATTTAAACCTATAAAGTTTCTTATATCTAGTATAATAGTCTTACTAACTAACGAGAGGTTAATAGGTAGCTCTAAAGGCCCTATTAATAAACCCCTATTAATGGTTTTAGGTAACTCCTCTAAAGTCGTTAATAGCCTCTAAGTATTTAGCTATATACTTAAAATTTAGTATTAGGTGCTAGCGAAGGAGATAGCTAAATCTAATAATAAGCTAGTCGACGATATTATTATAAATTCTAGATAGAGTAGTCTTATTAAGGCTAAAGAGGTCTTATAATTAGAGTAGTCTTCCTAGGTAAGTAAGCCTTATAAGAAGTACGTAAAGTAATCTAATAGAGTCCCTTCTATAGCGGTGTTAATAAGGTATATTATTAAGCTTAAATAGCTCTATAAGGAAGTAGATATCGTCCTTACTAAAGCGTAGATATTGTCTAATTTTAGTGTCCTCCTAGGCTTCTAGATTAAAGATTAGTTTACTAAACTTAGGTTATTTATCTAGTATATGCTCTATAAGCTTAGTAAGCATAATGTTTCTAAGGCATTAATAGCGCTTATATATATATATACCTAAGTACCTATAATCTATTAGTAAGGGTACTACTAAAAATATATAGATCTAAGGGGATATAAGGTATATAATAAGACTAGTAACCTACTATACGTAAGTAGCGTATAACAACGTTAGTACTCTACTAATCGACCGCCTAGACGCTACGAACCTTAGTACTAATGTAGAAGGTGTTTAGAGTGCTTAGGTAGTAAGAAAATGTCGAAATTTAGTTAGGTAAGGTGTCTAGTACCTATATTTACTAACTTTAAAAAAAAATCGTTCGATCCTTTTACCACCTGACGTAAGATTGACACAACTGTTATTTCCCCAGATATAAAGTGAATACCCATCAGCTCTGTTTCTCTTTCGACATTTTATATCGGGATACCGGGGAGACGGTCGGTCGCCCGAATCTTCCCTCGTCGAAAACGCCTTCAGAGACTTTTTCTCCAGATTCCACGAGCCAAACGGGGACACGGCGTTCGCTCCGCCTCCGATACGCGCCCTTGTCGATACACAGACTCGGAATCCCCGACATGCCTCATGCCACTGCCCACAGGATCCGCATTCTTAATTGCTTTGCAGTATACTGTATGCAGACATTGCATTGAGGAGCGCGCTCCGCGTGCCTGTGACTCGCTTAGAATAATTGAGCAAGATTCACGCCCTTTTTCGGTTTCCTTTGCTGTCAGCTCGTGCTTGGCTCTGCAAGCGCTATTCCCGGCCCCCTCCTTCTTGCAATAACAGGATTTATTCTATGGCTGGATGTTAAATGCCATGGCGGGTTAATGCCCGATTGCAGGCGCATCAGCGCTCGTGGAATAACGTTCAATGGTTTTGCAAAGCACATCGGGTTCACTCGGTGGTAAGATGGCGAATACACTGTTGTGGTCAGCGGAACTGCAATCCCTGTCAACAGCAATATGGAAATAAGCCTCCCCAACCCTAGTTTCTCAGGCGACGAGAACACCATCACGTAGGTATGCGAGACTTACAAGAGCCGCAGAAAAGCGAAATATCCAGGGACCGACCAAAAACCAACTCAAAATTTTTCTGATTGATTACCGATATAATTCCCCGACGGCTCATCAGCCCTACACACTACACCCTCTCAAACACCAAAACCTGAAATTTCAGATTCTCCAAACTGCCTGGATATCTCAATTTTTCGTCCAAACGATTGATCTTCATTTCTTCGTGGATGCGTTTTTGCCATTTTGGGGCTGGGAGGTTGGCTTCTTCTTCTTCGATGGCTTTNTTGCCTTTTCCTTGTGTTTGGAGCGGTTCTGCTGGTTTGCCGAGGAGGACGCGGGAGAGCAGCCAGGATATGGAGTATTCTGTTGCTTCGTCGGATGAGGGTGTTGGTGCTGAGACTGAGGCGCCAATGCTGTCGATGACGAGGATGGTGCTGCCAATAGGTAACAAGGCGTCGAGCTTATAAAGCAACGCGGTTGTTTTGGGAATGGAGGTGTTGTAGAGATCTCCTAGAGTCAGGAAGAACGTGGCTAGCACTGGTTCTTCTGTGCTCAGGAGTTCTTTGAGTTGAGTGGTTTTGAGGTCGAAGATGTCGTGATGTTCGAAGTTGACGGTCAGTCTTTGAGGCGCGAGCAGAGCAGTGTTCGCGGCTCTGGCAGAGGCGGATGCGTATTTTGACAATGGCGGTGGTGTTGTGGTGGCTTTGACCAGTTTATCGAGCACAGAAGACCAATCCGCAGAGTCGACAAGTGTGATATCCAGTAACGAATCAGTAATCTCTGGCGTAGCTTCAATAGTCAAAGCATCCAGTTCCTGTTGCTGCCTTCCAGAAGCATCCGGTCGCAAATGTCGAAGCAATCCAGCAAATGCCATAACCTCTGCAGCACCGCCTCCAAAACAAATCGCTTTCATCTTGCGTGAAAGTGCAGAATTGGTGATTCGCTGCACCCAATCGTCTTCAGGTCTTTGCTCACACAACTCAGCCAACACATTCGCATACGCCAACGCCCTACTCGGACTCCACCTCACAGCATACGCCTCCCTCTTTGCTTCCTCCCCAAACGCCTTTTCCCACTTCCTCTCCCCCAACTCCTCATTAATCTCTTTCAACACCACCTTCAACTCTTCAAAATCCATTAGCTGCTCTCCAAACCCGTCTTTGAATACATTCAACACCAATTGCTGCAATTCCACAGACAAATGCTGGGACTGGGCTATGGGGATGGGTTTTGGAGCGTCTAAGTGAGGTTTCGGTCGTGATTTNTTGGTGTAGCCACTTCCCNNTCGCCATTCGGGTTTTGTGGATGGAGGCAGGCGTGTGGGTGCTTTTGAGGTGCTGCTGCTGTGGATGGGCCCGTGTTTTCGTTGTGATTGGGCTTTTCTGTCGTATTGGCCCATTTTGTGTTTGTAGTATTCAGAGTTTTCAATGTTTTTGTCTTGATTCTCTATCAGGGCTTCCTCCTCGTGGATCTGATGTGTTTTTTGGTGTTGGTGATTGGTATTGTGAGAAGTTGTTGCGTTTGGAACGTTTGGAAATTTTCGTCGCGAACATCTGGGATGCTGACGCTGTTTGACGGGGATAACATGGAAATAACGAGCTTCATTGTTAAAATGGTTCAAGTTCAGCCACCAGGATAGTTTTGCATTAAAAGGTATAGTTCATATTGATTATGAAAAAAGGTGTGCATCAGACTACCAACTAATCTTGCAAAGGAGGAGATGCTTGTAAGATGCTCAGGCGTTGAAGCCGCATGTGCTGTCTCGCTAACTGACGGAAAACAAAAAGAGCAAGGGGGTATCTCTGGAACCAAAATGCAATGCTTGTGATACTTGCCGTATCATGGTTCACCGCTCGATTTCCTCATCTAGCAGGGGTTTCAGGGCTTCTTTGTCTACGAGGGCCTGCATCCATGCCTTAACGAATGAGCCATAATCGTGTCTGCGGTGCATGGATTCTTCTGCGTCCATTATCTCAGCTTGTTGCGAGTCGCGTACCTGTGCTCGACAACCAGCTTGATTGGTTGTCAGCTCTTGCCGTACCTTCAAGAGGCTTTCCAGGCAGTTGGAGCGGAGCTGATGCGCCATAGTTTCGGGTATGCCGGCTTGTGCGATCATCTCTTCTGTTAGCCCGTACTCCTGACTCGCGCCGAGCAGGGTACAGTCTTCGTGATCGACGGCAGTATAGCTACACCAGTCTTGAGATGCTTCGTTCAGGAGAAGTTCGGTCTTCTGTAGTGACAGGACATTCTGGGCAAGAATGCGGCGATCTTCGACGACTGGATCTTGAATAACCGCCATTAGGCTGAACTGAATCTGACCCTCCTCATACTGAGCCATGCGAACGCTAAGAGATGTCTGGACGACGTCTAGCCAGTCTCCACCAGACAGTATCTTTCCAATGGTTGTCGGGAACGAATCAAGACCATCGAGCTTCCAGACGTCATCACCAATCGGCATATATGCGACGAAATGAAAGCCGGACTCCTCTGATTCTTGCTCCTCTTCTTCCTCGACCACTGATTTGCTGGTTCTAGCTTTGCGTGAAGGGTTAGATCTTACGGCACTTNNGTGTTCGGATCTGTTTTTGCAGCCCTCTCGGCCGCCCTTTCTGCTGCTTTGGCCACTCTAGCAGCAGTTGCGGCTTGTGTCTTTGCTTTTGATTATTCTGTCATTCTTCTCGTGCATCAAGGAGTCAACGATGAGCATGTCAGTATCCCGCGCGAAAGAATTGTGTATCTTGCGCACAAAGTCAAAGCTGTCAATGGCATAGCCTCTGGCGATGGGATCGAATGATTGAGTGTAGTCCTTGAAAGACTCTAGAGGTTGACCGAGTTCTAAATTGGGAATGTTGTTGATGATGTTGAGCAAAGCCACAGTTCCACATGCATATTGGGAAATCTGNATGTGTTAGAATTGAAGGAATATAGATTGACAGCAACAACTCACTTGATTGGCGAACCAGACATGAGATGGACAGGTCTTTTCTTGGACTTGCTCGGCAGTGCCGTCTTGTTGGTATTTGAAGAGGAAGATGACTGCATGTACTGGTTTGGGTAGAACGGCAAGATTGTCATCGTCAACGCCAAAAACCTCGTGAACTCTGAGATCGCGGACGCCCATGTCTTTGAGGATTGTTGTAAAGAAGGCCNNTGTAAATGCATGAGTGTTTGGAACATGTTGAGTTGTAAGATGCCAACAAACTGGCTCAGACTCGATCTCACACCAACCAGGCCATGAGTCTAGAGTAGGGGTGGTGGGCTCAGGAGCTGGTGAACCCTGAGGTGTATCTAATCCATTTGTACGCCTCTTCTTCTTAGGTGGCATGGCGGCGACCTGTTGATTCAAAACGAGTTGAGATGGTTTGTTGTAAAACGTCACGGCATTGCGAATTTAATTCGGACTGGAGACATGAGTGAATGTTCATATGAGACTCAGGCATCAACCAGGCGTCTGGGTAGGACAGGGTGACGACGCGTTTCAGTCGCGCTTTCGCCAAGAGCTGTGACGAGCTTGATTGTTTTGTACATGTTTTGGAGAAAGCAGTCCAACTCGAATTATTTTCATTCTTAACCTCGACACCACACACACGAGGATCGCGTTGGACAGGCATATCCAAGATCCACAGCATGCGATGAACGGCACACCTCGTCTTCGCTCCGGCGCCTTTCCCTCGACGCCGCAGTCGACACGGCGCAACAACCTCACTCCTCAGAAGCTCCCCGACATCAACCAGCTAAGGGCTGCTCCCACGCGGCAACCGCAGCAAGACAACAATGAAGGTCCATTGATCCCCGTCGATACTCTGGACGCTCCGACCCAGCGCCTCTATGTCGTTGGTTTCTATCTCGCCCTGGTGGGCTGGAAGATGTACGACCACTTTTACCTGAAAGAGGAGGAAACAGAATCGCTGTGGCTGTTCATGAAATGGGTTGCCTTCGATGGCATTTTCTTGTTTGGCCTACCCGAGTTGCGCATTCCCTGGCTCGAGTGGTCTTCAGCGACCATGCTGCTTCTTTTCTTGGGTCACGCCGCGCTGGACGCAATTCTCATGTTCCGCATTCAGCTCCCTGTCGGCGCCGGTCTGGCTGCTATTGGCAAAATCTTCTACGATCGCGAACTGGGTGTATCAGGACACCACGTCAAGCAGTCGAGCATTCTCCACAATTCGTCCTTGATTTTGGGCAAGCAAATCATTCACATCCTCCCAGAAGGCTCTGCTATTCTGAACCCGGCCAAAACCTCATTTTGTCTCGACTCGTCAAACTCACAAGTCTATCTTCCAATCCAGATCAACCAGACCACTCCAGTCAGCATTGACCTGCTGCGCTACGAGTTTGACGGTGCAACAAACGAGACCATCCACATCTCGGGCAAGGAGATCAAANAGTTGATGAAAGATGCCTCTAGACAGGCCTCACACCCTGCTCCAAACCAACCTCTACTGTTACGCTACCCGACCAAGAAGACTGGCAGATACATTCTCGGCAAAGTCATGGACGAATCCAAGTTGGAAGTTCAAAGAAAGCGCGTTGGCGACACCATCATTGTGTCCTGTCCTCAGGCCATCATTAAGTCCACGACCCCAGACGCTTGCAAGGGTGATCTGTCCAACATAGATCTTGAGGTTACTGGAACTCCTCCTTTGCGCATCAAGTACCGAAAAATCACCAATCAAAGAGAGCAGGAAGCTCACTTCCAGAGCATTCAACCTGATGACTTTGTTTCTCCTCTGATCCAACAATCCTCCGATTCTTTGGCCATCCGAAACACCAAAGACATCTCCTGGGCTCGTGCTCAGACTGTCACTGTTCCTCTGAGAGAGCACATGGGAGAAAGCGGCAAGTGGGTCTACTCTATGGATGAAGTCGAGGATGCTTTTGGCAACATTGTATCCTATACCGAACGCCAACACGACGACCAGGATAAACCCTCCGCTAAGGCTGCACATCTCCACCAAGTCGTGACTGTTCATGAACGTCCAACTGTCGTCATGAAAGGTTGCGATTCTCAGCATCCTCTTAAGGTCGCCAAAGGTTACCCTGCTACTCTTCCTTTGAAATATGGCTCTACTGCAAACAAGGGCAACGGTGATTTCCTCGGCACTCCTTACAACATCGAATACAAGTTCACTCCTGAAGGTCAACTGTCTAACGGCGACCACAGCGAGTCTGCTCAAATCAAGTCCATCTCGATCAAGAACCAATCGCAAAGGCCTGAAGTCCAGGACGCTGGCTTGTACACACTGCACAGTGTTTCCACTGGAATATGCGCCGGTGAAGTTCTAGAGCCTGCATCTTGTTTGCTGCAGAACCCTGCTGAGCCTAGTCTTCGTATTGACAAGGAGGAAATCTTCGACAAGTGTGCCAACAAGCCTATCGGTCTGCGTGTCGATTTCCACCTCACAGGAACACCTCCTTTCCACATTCATTACGAGATCACCGAGAAGGACAGTCCCAATCGTGTGACACATGTTGAGAAAGTCAACGGCCTGCGTGGACAGATTGAACTGACCNCCNCTACTGCCGGCCACTACACTTATCGATTCACCGGTATCAGTGACAATGTTTACAAGGGACATGATTTGAAGGGAGAAGACATGGTCATTGAACAGGACGTCAAACCCTCAGCTTCTGCACAATTCACGGAGAAACATCCTTCACGTAAGGTTTGTATTGACCAAGCAGTCTCCTTCGATGTCGGACTTGGTGGAGAAGGACCCTGGACTGTCGAGTACGAACTCGTCCGTGGCAGCAACAGAAAACGCCATGTTCTAAAGGAGATTCATGAAAATCGATTCACCATCAACACAGAACCTCTGACCAAAGGCGGCGATTACACTCTTGCCCTGGCTAGCGTCACTGACAAAATGGGTTGCAAAGAGTTTTTGGNNAAGCAGGAGGCAAAGATCAATGTTCGTCATCAGAGACCCAAGGTCTCCTTCGGTCAGATCGAAGGCTCGCGTGCTATCAAGACTTTGCAAGGCAAGACCATGAAACTGCCACTCAAACTCACAGGAGAGGCGCCATGGACTGTCCGTTACCGAAACCTCCGCGACCCAGAGCACTCGCACAAAATCAAGGTCGACAGCCCCAACGGCCTTTTCGCTACTTCTGAAGAAGGCACCTACGAGCTTCTTGAAGTCAACGATGCTATCTGTCCTGGTGCTGTTGATGAGAACGCCAAGAAATTCAGCATTGATTGGATCGAACGTCCACAATTGAGAATACCCGAGACTTCGTATGACCGAGTTGAAGGTGGCAAGTACATCAAGAATGATGTGTGCGAGGGCGAAGATGACTTGGTCAACGTTCATTTCTCCGGCGCTCCGCCGTTCCAATACAAGTACGATGAGAACATCGTGTCCGAACGTGGCGCAAGGTCAAAGCGAAGCAAGGCCGTCACTGCTGCACTTGGTGTCTCGTCTATCAACCTCGATACTTCGCAAGCCGGCGTGATCGACTATGTGTTCACTGAGCTTGCTGACGACAACTACGATCATAGCTCGAAGCACTTCACCCCGGTCACTATCCAGCAGCGTGTCAACCCCCGACCTTCTGCACGCTTCAACAACCCTGGCAGGACATACAGCTACTGCTCTGTCGAGTCTGCTGGTGAAGAAGTCATTCCTATCACTCTCGAAGGACAACCTCCATTCGCCATCGATGTTGAGATCAAACACCACGGCTCTGCTCGTCCGGAAATCTTCTACGTCAAGGACATTAACAAGAACACGCACGACCTTCGTGTTCCTCATCAGTCTCTGCACTTGGGTAACTCTGCTGTATCCATCCGTAGAGTAACCGATAGCCGTGGCTGTAGCCGCATCCTCGACACCACCTCGCCCAGAGTTCAGATCGCCGTCCACGACGCTCCTACGATTCGTTCCCTGGAGAATCAGGAGGACTTCTGCGTTGGTGATCGCATTTCGTTCGCACTCTCTGGTCAAGCTCCTTTCCAAGTCTACTACGAGTTCAATGGTGTGGCCCGCAAAGCCAGCTCTGGTTCAACAACCTTCAAGCGTCTCGCAGAGAAGCCTGGTACATTCATCATCACTGGCGTCAGCGACTCTGGTTCTTCCTGTCGCGCATCCACTAGCATTGAGAAGAAGATCCACGGCATGCCCTCTGTGCGCGTGGGCAAGGGTGTCGAATCTCAAGTCGACATCCACGAGGNNGGCGGCGAAGCCGAGATCACCNTTGACTTTGGCGGTACACCACCCTTCGAGTTCACTTGGACACGCAGCACAAATGCTCGTCGTGGTCAGAGGTCTGAGGTGCTTGAAATGAGAAGCGAACTTTCACAAGATCACCACATGTCTATTCGCGCGAGTGAGGAGGGTACTTATGAGGTGGTATCTATTAAAGATAGATACTGTGCCTATGCCAAAGAAGGCATCGATTTGACCAAGAAGAAGGGCAAGCTGCTTACATATTAAGCGGGTGATTCATCTTCTCCTCTTGCGTTTTTCACTGTATAGTATATACCTTGTTTCTTCATCTCCGACTTTTTTTTTTGGCGAGTAAAATCAAATTAACGACATGTTCATCAACCATGATCCCTATTTCCGCATAATGCCCAGCTTTGAGCGGATAATACTTTGCTTTTTGGATGGGTTGCATTCTGGGTGGCATTGGCTGGGCCGAGTGCAACGGTGGCTGATGCATGCACCCAGTAACCGGGAAGAGGGGAAGCCGTATCAGCCTTTCAGCTTTGTGACCCTGGTCGTGCCTTCTTGATTCACCGCAGAATCGTATCTGGCACCATGAACGTCGCCTTCGGCATGTCCATAATCTCTCTATCTCAACGGCGACTTTCACACCCCCAACTCATACTCGATGGTTGCTCTTGATTAGCGTCTCTCTTGCCGATGGCCCCGGATATCTGCAATTTTTGTCACGAACACAGATGGCATGCCCATCGTACTTTCATGTTGTTCGAAAGGGCTGGCCATGTCGTCTGCATGCAGATCTAACTGCGCCTTGTCGCTGCACTGTCTTGTTTTGGGAGGTGCGGCAGGATAGCAGATCTATTTGTAGTGCCATCAACCAATGGCCCCAAACTTGCAGGTTCACACTCCAGTATATCTCCGCCAGGATTTCTCACTTGTTACTGGACAAGTTCAAGTCTGCCAATATCAAGCCGAGAGCACAGTGGTCCTGATCCGACAATCATTACTAGCAGTGGGCTGACGAGACGAACGTTCGGCCACTGCAGTTGCAACAATCATGCCTGAGTCGAAAACATCGGCAGACTTACGCCCACATCACAATGAACAGCGGGCACAATCTATAACCAGCATCGGTGGCCCCCTTCTAGGCTCTGAATCCGTCCCTTTTCTTTCTAACAACAAAGACTATTCGTCACCAGACGATGGAAATCATTGTAGAGCTCAATCATCTGTAGCTCGCCCAACAGGTCCATGCACGTGGCTCCCTGTCACACTTCGACTGCCCTTTCTGTCTTTTCTGCTGGGCTTATCACTTGTTTTAGGTGCTCTGGTACTGGAACTTACAAGCTACTCGGCTAAACATAACGACTCTTCTGTTCTGCTGTTTGGTTGGAGGTTTCTGCCAACTCTGATCGCCACGATCTATGCACTCTTGATGGGATCCATGCTCAATGACGTTCGGAGAACAGAAGTCTTTGCGCGTCTGTCGAAAAGCGGCAGAGCAATCAATACCATATGCTGCCCCGCAAGAGCATGGTGGAATGATCCTTTCGATGCACTGAGTAAGAAGAAGAGCCATGGATCGCGCAGTTGGGTTTTGTTTTTGCATCGATGGGTTATTTATTGGTGCTTCTGTTTGTCTCACCACTATCTGCTGGCTTTCTCGCACCTGTCGACATCCAGATCACGAATCCAAGTGTTTTCAGAACGGCGATTCTAGATGACGATTTCAGCTGGCAACTCGATTTGGAGGATCTCATCATGTTCCGCACGATATCTGGTGCGATACTCAACACATCCACGTCAGCATGGCTTCCAGACGGCTATACTGTCTTACCTTTTGGCCAGCTAATTATTCGAACACCCCTCTGGGGTCGGTCTTTTCGAGTGATCATGCGACCCGGGAGTGGACTGCCAAAACCAGCGTCTATAAGGCTGTATTAGATTGTGAGCCAATGACTATGACACAACTGTCCTATGTTACTCTCAACGAGACTTTTACTCCGAAAGGTGCCACGGCAGAGCAAACAGAGACTCTCAATCTGACTGTTTTTCAATTAGAAAGTCAAGATGGGTGCTACGTAACCATCAGGGGAATCACAACTGAGGGGTACTACTTGTCGTCTTGGGCGAAATTAGGAGGAGGGTGGTGGTCTGGTCCGCCTTACTACAACAGTTCAATTTCTTACCAGAACCTCAGCGACAGTTCTGGAACTTGTGGCGACCGCACAATGTTCTTCATCGACACTGGCAGCCAATCACCTCAGCCAAATCGATTTCGTGCTCATTTTTGTTCGACAGGATTCTATGCCGGTATTGCTACTGCAACCGTGCAGCTTAATAAAACCTCGACCGTTGTAACTTTAGATGAAGATGAATACAGTCGCAATGCGAAGCAGCTGAATTCAGAAACATACAGAACCTCTCAATTGGTGGACGCTTTCATCAGCCCGCATTGGACTTCCTTGTTCATACAGAGCGAGTTCGCTGGGCCTCTTTTAGCGTTGGCTTCTAGTCCGGATTATGATAGTGATCCAGTGAGCATGATCAACAGTACCAGTCTGATGGATCGAGCTTCCAAACTATTTCAGCACTTTTTCGGAGAAATGTTGCTGATGACACTGCAACGAAATTCACAGTTGAGTATCGACCCTGCAAGTTCTCAATTAGAATCGAAGGCTGTCATAGGCAAGAGCTCAATCACAGAACGAAGAATCGTGGCCAGTCTTGGGATCGGGATCACAATAGGGTCGCTGTTCGTGATTTCTGGCTTCTGCATCGCTGTTGTTGCATACAACAGTCGCGTTTGTCGAAGACCATTGAATTTGTTTCAGGATCCGGGAACAATCGCGGCCGCCGCCTCGACTGTGATTGCGAATGACAAGGCTCGAGCCATATTTGAGGATTCAGATCAATTGTCGACAGAAGAATTGATCTTGAGATTGAAAGCCTTCACTTTCTCCTTCAAATATGGCAACCTGATCTTGGGAACCAGTGATCGCAAAGTCATACACGATGGCGAGATCCTTACACTCGGAGATTCGCCCAGAGAGTCATCAACTCTGACCCAATCGGACCAGACCACCTCCACCAAAGTCATCCCTGGACGTGAGGATCCTAGACCAGCAGTTCTTCGGAGCTCCATGGGTCTGTTACTTGTGACCATCCTAGTTGCTCTGCTTGCATCGCTCATTGTACTGTATAGCATGTCTCGCACTGGTGGCATCTACCAATCAGCTTTTGTATATCAGCTGAACTTGCCTGTCGGCACGTTCGCGCCATATTCGATTCTTACAACTCTGCTTGCGATTCTGGTAAAGTTGTGGTTCGGAGCAGTTAGTGATACCTTGAAGAGGCTTGAGCCGTATGTTTCGGCGACAAAAGAACCCATCACTCTTTCGAGATCTGTGTTGGCTGAATATGTCAATACACCGATCGCAATCGCTATGTTCAAAGCAGTCAAACATTCTCATTGGACCCTTGCCCTTATTGGACTTGGAGCCTTTGCCACTGAAGCCTGTAAGCAAAATTCAACCTCAAGTGAAACCGCTTTACTGATTTTAGACGTTTTAGTCACTGTGGGTATGTCTGCACTATGGGACCGAGAAACACGCATCATGGACCGTCCGCATAATATCTCTAGGCAATACGAATTACGTTATGTACCGAGGATATTTGAGCAATCCACATATGCTCCAGATGCACCACCAGATCCCGATCCTAAACGAACGACGCTTCTCCAAACCGTTTACCAAACGTCTTCACTTCAGAGCTGGCTGTACGGTGCCGCTCTTGAGATTTCTCAGTCGGGCCCCACGCCCCCATGGAGTAAAGATACATGGAGTTTTGTTCCTCTAGATTTAGGAGAACTGCATGCCCAGGTGCTAGAAGATGTCCATCTGATCACCGCCGGACAAAACTTCAACATGTCCGTCAAAACACCAGCATTACGTGCAAGGCTCCAGTGTTCACCGCTAGACTATTTGTCTGATAAGTCGCTTTGGCTTGCAGAACTGGACTTCAGCAACCAGACCAGGTGGAACGATACTAACAAACCCAAAGGAATAGACCATGGATATACCTTGAAGGGCTATCAAGGTTTTGCTAACATTGGTGGTGGAGGCGTGATGCAAGTAGCCTGTTGCGCAAATGAGACGAAGAGCGGGTTTGGAGAAGCAGCTGTTGGTTACTGGTCAAACCTCTTTCTGCCGGCAATGGGCGCTACGGACTTTACCCCCATATATGAGACATCAACGACTGCGAAGTGGATCGTCGGCCGTCCTTTGAGTAACCTCTACGTTCCCACTGCGGGCGATGCTACCTATTATGTCTGGATCGACGAACCGAAGTTTGCAGGCATCAATTGTACGCCCATAATTGAGCAAGCTAACGCTCGTGTGACCATAGATGTAGGGACTGGCGTTGTGCAAAACTATGATATACTTGACATACCGCAGAACGCTTCAAATGCTTGGTCAGATACCTATCTCGAGCACGACATGTCCGTCGACTACACTGGCAACTTTACAAATGTCAACTTCATCGGCATACAGAGCGTTGTGCACAACATAACAGTCAGGTACGCGAAACTGATCAAATGGCTTCTCGATGCTGACACTGGCAGTTACGGCAACATCTTCTGGGATGCGCTCATGAATTCTGGTCGTGTAATGCAAGCACTCACTCCTGATAGGCCAATATTCATGGGGACCGAGGACCTTGATGATGACTTATTCAGATTCCGAACACGAGGACTGAACGCCGACTTCATGTCTTATTCGATGTTACAGCTGGCGAACAACGATAAAGAGGCTTTACTGGATCTAGACACACTCATCAATCTGACCGACAAAACCCTTGGCACATTTTTCAAGCATTTTGTTTCAGAGAATGTGACAAACACTTTTGGAGGTAATGCATACCAGATGATTGGAGAGAGACTACCTTGGAGCCTGGGAGTTGTGAGGGGCCATATTATGAAGCTCCAGTGTTTAACGCGAGCCAAGAGATGATATGGGATCCTGCGGCATACCAAGGAGCTCTTGCCCTGGAAAACCATACAACATCGCTGTCCCGAACAACGGTTGCCATACTCCACATACCAGTCCAGCAGCTGGTCATGTCACGAACTGCTGTTGCCTTGTGCATTTCATTGCTGTCATTCCTTATCTTGGTGATTGCCGTCGCTTATCCTATCAACCGCAATCGCGTCAAGGCCATTCCACGAGATGTGGACACCCTGGCTAGCACACTTGCTTACGTCCATGGCAGTGAGAGACTGCTCAACTGGGTCCAGCAAGAGGCGCCAGTCGCTTTGCCATGGTACCGAGCATTCTTTGCCAGCCGCCCGGACATGAATGTGGAGCATCTGAAAGCTCGCCTGGGACCTTTTGTGAGCGCCGATGGTAAGCAGAGGTGGGGAGTTGAGCTTTTGGAACCAAAGAACGTTGCAGATGACAGTGCTCCCATGTTGATGGACGAAGGCATAGAGTTACACAGTATGGCTGAAGCTTCAAGGGACGGGGATAGCGACATTGCTTTGCAGACTCCTCATCTGGAGCTTCTCGGTTGGGAGCCGGTTGGCAGGAGAACCTCGAGAGAGTAATGCTTGTATTGAAAAATCTATGTGACCACCCCATATTGTTTACAGCACCGAAGATACTTTGAAATGCGAGATCAAAGATTGTTCCACATAGTCCTCAGTCTCCCTCCCTTGATCCTGGGCGTTAAGGCCTCGTCAGGAACAAGTCTAGTCGCCTGTTTAGCAGCATCCACATCTCCTCTCCTACCAGCATCCAAATCAATCTCTTCCAACCTATGAAACCTCGTCTTGTTCCAAAACTTGTACACCACATATATGATCGGGAACAGCGGTATCAAAATATACGCATCCACGAACCCTCCAGCGTCAAAGGGCACAAAATTACCCCATCCCTGCACCAAAGCAAGGAAGATATTCGCAAACAGGCCGAAATATGCGTTCCAAGGATATAGCAAAGATTTGAATGGAAGCTCGTCCGGAGTTCGACCTTGTCTTGCCCACGCAGAGCGAAATCGTATGTGGATGAAACTTATACTGCCCCAAACCAAGAATGTCGATACGCCAGAAAGATTGACGATGTAGTTGTAAGCTTTGCCAGCGCCGGTACTGACATTCATCATGGAGATTGCGCCGAACAGATTTGTGAAGACGATTGCTGCGACAGGGACACCGCGTTTATCAGTCCAGCCCAGGAATCTTGGTGCTTTGCCGTCTTTAGCCATGAACAGAATAGTCCTGGAGCCAATGTAGATAGAAGCGTTTGTAGCAGACAAACAAGTAACGAAAATGAAAGCGTTGATAAGATGGACACCGCCATTCCAACCTGCATTCTGGATTGCGACTGTCATGGGTGATTTGAGAGCTCTGCTGCCGCCATTAGCGAGACCAGCTGCGTTTGCAGGACACACAAGGCCAAAGAAAAACGCAGAGCCCATGTAGACAAACAGAATGCGGATAAAGACCTGTCGAATAGCCAGTGGCACTGCAGCACCCGGGTTTCTGGTTTCCGTAGCTGCGACAGCGACAGATTCAATACCGGCGTAAAAAGTGCTGCAAAACACAAACACGGTAGCAACTCCTCGGAAGCCATCTGTAAAGGCTCCAGGATCGTGGTAGTACCTAAAGCCCAGCGGTTCAGTTTGTCCAACTAAACCGCCAGCAGCATAAACAATCGCAAAGATGAAAAAGGCAGCCAGACCAGCCAATTTCAACACTGCAAGCCAAAACTCCGCTTCTCCAAACACTTCCACCCCAAGCAACTGGAACCCCAANAAGAAAAACCAGAAAATCAAAAAATAGCCCCAAAGCGGGATTTGGGGGCCCCAAAAAGTGAATATGCTGCTGACGGTATTGTACTCGTTTGCCAACACTGCAACCCAAATGATGAAATAGTTCCAACCTACGGCGACTCCAAATGCTTTATCTACAAATCGTTCTCCGAGGTGTGTGAAGGCGCCTCCAGAAGGGTATAAAGTAGTGAGTTCGCCGAGGGATTGCATGATACTAAATGCGATGATGCCGATGACGCCGAAACCGATGAGGAGGGAGGCAGGACCGCCATTGCTGAGGGCTCCGCCGGCGCCAACGAGGAGACCAGGGCCGATGATGCCTGCTAAGCTCATCATTGTGAGATGCCGGGTTTTGAGGCCGCGTTTTACGCCGGTTTCTGGGTCGAAGATGTTGGCATCTGCTTCTGTGTCGTGAGGCGGGTCTAGTGGTGATTGTTCAGCCGGGAGGGCTGTTTTGGTATCCAGCATCATTGTGGTTGTTTCTCTCAATGTCCAGTGTAGTGCTAATCCTTGAGAACACCGGGGCTGGTCTAGAAATCCAGAGATATGTGATACGCTTGCCAATTAAGCGTCCAAGTCCAGCTGTATGACAGATGGACGCGATAGGACGGGCAAAAGGCGAAAACAGGCGCAGACAAAAGAACAGCACAGGTACAATTACTTGGCCTTCTCAACAACCTCTCTTACCTTTGGCACAGTCTACCTGATAGGCCAAGCGCCTGCCGACTGGCACGCATTTTTGCCTGTATTGGTCGATCATCGAATGACGACATCTCAATGGTGTGTTGCGAAATTTGCAACTCCCGCAGTCGGATAACAAGAGATTATGTAAATACAGCGGCCTTGCTCTCGGTGTAAATATATTTCTTGAGAGTCGAAAAGTTTAACCCGAAGTTCTGTGGTCTACTGAGAAAACTCAAAGAGCTAAGCGGGGGAGAGGTTGGATTGTGTTTTGTTGGAAGATGAGGCTGAGAGGGTTATCAGATCTCATCGGAGTTAAGCTCCGCAGTCACCCTGGTATGAGATTGATATCTACATGAGATAGCTGATGCTTTGGCCATAGTGACATAGTGAGCGCGTTTGTGGTTACTGCTCTCTTCAAAGTTACTCTGTTTTCCGCCACATTCCACCATCGGGCCACATGGGCGGCATATGCCAGCATAGTATTTTCTAGACCTCCTACTTGTTTTGGTGGGCAACCGCAGTTCATCTTTCGACTGGCACGAGTGGGGTGAAGATGAGGACAAACTCGAGACGAATACACACTTAGTCTGTCCTAGACGATAGGCTGTCCCAATTGCTTGCTCCTCCCAGATTGGATTGGAGGTGAAGTCGAAGATGGTAACGACCCGCTGAATATTGTAGCCAAGACCGCCAGCACGGGTTGATATGAGCAGAAAATAGAGCTTGCCATGAGCCATCGATTCAAGATTCTTCCTCGTTTGTTCAATTTAAGCTCATGGTGTCGACTGTCATCCATTCGAGTACCTAGGTCGCTTAGGCGCATACTGAACGTGGCGATCCCAGTCTTCCAGTCTTTCGTAAGGTGACCTCAACCAAGCCTCAAGTTCGTGCAAGAACAATGAGGCGGCATTTGTTCCCAGGAATTCAGCTACCAAGGCACTCGCAGAGCCAGAGGCATCTTTNACCTCGGTCGTCTTGAGAATAGCGACAATGTACTCGATTAGAAAACCAAGTCTGGCATTGTTGTCGGCCAGGAAATCGAAGACATGCAGTTCGCGACGCATAAAGAGGCGAGCGCGTGATTGAAGAGCGGGAGAAGTGGTGAAGGTGGCGGGTGTGAAGTTGCGGTATTGCGAGGTACGGTTTGCGCCTACGTGGAGGCTGTAGTTTTGGTCTGCATAGATGCGACGACGAAAAGCGAGAGCAGCATCTGGATTTGTGTGTAGCGGACGGTGGGATGTAGCAGGTCGTCGGCGGGATGGACGGATGAGAGAAGTGGCGGATGCGACAGTGGGTGTCTTGTCGGCTTCGTCCTGCTTTGGGATGGTATAGACTTTGCGGTCTGTTGGAGAGCGCCAGTCGTACTCAATGGCAGTCAAGGGGGCCTTGCATAGTGGGCAGGAAGGGTGTTCTTGAGACCAACTCAATAAACAGAGAAAGTCGAAATTCAAGTGGTTGCAGGGCACAGCGACGGCGCGTTCAGTGACAGCATCCAGGCAGATGACACACGTGTCTTGAGGAGCTTCGCGCAATTTGGCCTTGCCTTTGATGCGGAAGCCGATGGATGGATCATAGTCATTCTGCACTTCCATACGTTGAGAGAAGGAAGAGGAAGGAACCGAGATCTGAGAAGTTCGTTGGAGAAACTGCCCCAGATTCACAATCTCAGAATGAGCTCATCTCGCGACAGCATGAAGTGCTATTTTCAGTTGTAAAAATGCACAATACTTTCTGAAATCGAACAGTTTTCAAGGAGAGAAGGCCGTCTTAGAGTGTTTCTATGGTCATACTTCTACTTCAAAACTATTGTGCATTCCAGCAGCTACTAAAAGGGAGAGTCTTGATGCTGGAGAGAGAAAGCACCCACGTCATGCAGGGAGAGCGGGCCGAGCCTTCTGTTGATCGGCTTCGGCTTGTTCGAAATCGAGTCGCAGCTTCCTTAGATTTTGTTCTCGTCATAGACACAGATCCCACTTTTGTATGCGCATCTCTCCTGTTGCTCGCTACCTGTCCTCTATCGCGCACCGCTCGTCCACTACTCCCGCCATGGACGGAAGCGCATCGCAGCATACCCTTACGGGTCTCAAAAGATGGTCATGCCAGGACCCTACCATACTTCCGGATATGGATAAAATCAGGGCTATTCACGTCTACGATTTTGACAACACGCTATTCTGCAGTCCTCTACCAAACAAACAAGTCTGGGCCAGTCCTAGCATCGGAACTTTACAAGCACTCGAACAAATCTCGACCGGTGGTTGGTGGCACGATGCGAACATACTGGCTTCTACGGGCAAAGGTCTGGAAGAGGAAGAAAAGACAGCCTGGTCTGGCTGGTGGAACGAGAACATTGTCGACCTCGTGCGCCTATCCATGAATCAGAAGGACGCCCTCACAGTCTTGTTGACTGGTCGCAATGAACGAGGCTTCGCCGACCTCGTCACGCGCATGTTCAGAGCAAAGAAACTCGAGTTCGATATGGTCTGTCTAAAACCTGCCGTCGGCCCCTCTGGCCAGCGCTTCTCGTCAACAATGCTGTTCAAGCAGGACCTGCTGCGCGATCTGGTTTGCACCTACTCTGATGCTGAGGAAATTCGCATCTATGAGGACCGCCCAAAACAGTGAGTGGGCTTTTGTTCACTTTTGTCATTGAGGGTCATGTATGCTAACCTTTTCACAGTANCTAAAGCATTCCGCGACTTCTTCGCTACCTTCAATCGCTCCGTGTCCTCTCGTTCACCCATCCACGCCGATGTCGTACAAGTTACAGAAGAATCCACCACTCTCGATCCCATCGTAGAAGTGTCAGAAGTTCAGCGCATGATCAACACACACAATCAAGCCGTACTGGGTGGAGAAGTGCCTGGTTTGGTGCCCTTGGCCATTAAGCGCAACGTCTTCTACACTGGCTATCTCATCAGTCCACAAGATACAGAGCGCTTTGCTGCTCTAACGAAGAACACCTCAGATCGCGACTGGCGTACGCTAGCGAACAACATTCTCATCACTCCTCGTCCTGCTCCTCAGAGTATCCTTAATAAGGTTGGCGGTCTCGGCCACCGCATGACCTGGAGAGTTACCGGCATCTCACACTTTGAAAATAAGCTATGGGCTGCTCGTGTAGAACCTGCAGACCCTAGAGCCCGCTTCCACTCAGAAAATCCAACCCCAACAGTCGTCATCTCTCTCCGTAACAACGCTCGCCCTATCGATGCGAAGTACGTCTCAAATTGGCAACCCACCACTCCTGAGCAGTCGTTCGAATTCGACACAGTCGTTGGTGAGAAGGTCTTACTACGCATCGAGAGAGAGACTCACGATGAATATGATTACAACGCGTCATCAAAAGCTAGCAACAAACCTCAGTACAGGCATCGCGACGAAGACTTCCCAGTTCTTGGTTCAAATTCTCAAGCACCAAAAGAACACCATCCTTCTCAGCTCGATCCAACAGCCATGCAATTCGGCCCTAACGTTCCTACAGGCCCTGGCCAGAATCGTGGCAACTACACCGGCCACAATAGTCGAGGTGGCGGTGTCTCGAAGCCTGGCGGCAACAACAACGGCAGAGGTGGCCGCGGCGGCAGAGGCAGAGGAGGCAATAGGTTTGGTGGTAAGGGCAGAGGTGGCAGAGGAAGAGGCGGCAGCTACAGGTCGCTAGATGACCGTCAGGAGAGTTACGGTGGCGCAGGGATGCAGTACTAGCAGCGCTGGTCTCCTTATTAACCACCGATCTTCAGGAAAGGTATTCTGACTGACTTCAAGTGCTTAAAGAGGCATGGCGTTTGTGGAGAGGCCGGCATGGTGTTATGGCGTAAGGTGGTATCAGTTATGTTTATATGATCATTGCTCGGTGAGATGATAGGTTTACCACTAGCATGGCTGGAGTTTACACAGTTAGTTGAGTATTTTAGAGAGAGCTTCTTCCTCCCCGAGTGCCAGGCACTGTCATTTTGCAACTGTAGAAATGCACAATTCCATTGCAGAAAGGGGTCTTGACCAAGGAGATGGCGTGTTTTGAAACATTTCCTTGGACACATCGCTATCTGGAACACAACTGTGTATTTTTACAGCATGAAATATCATCATATCCCAGTGTGAGATAAGTGAGATTGACTCCTCATTGCCATGTTTCTCTCATTCTAGCAACCATCGAAAGTATCATATCATCTATCCTCCTTTGCTCCCGTGTGCCAAACACTGACATTTTACGGCTGTAGAAATGCACAATAGCTTCTAGAAAGGAGTCTTGTCCAAGGAGAGAGCATGAGTTGAGGGTATCTCCTTGGATACATGACTGTTTGGAATACAATTGTGTATTTTTGCATCATAAAATCATCATGTCTTCCTGTGGGAGAGGTGAGGTGCATTAATCATCGTCAGATCCCCATTTGATCGAAACTCGTAGGTGGTAACCGAACACTCTGAACTCGGCAACAGGCGGCTACTTAGCCTTAATAGTGTCATCTCGGATCTCGAATGATACAGAAGGCCACTAGGTGTCTGGATGTATCTTTACGAACATCATATCACTTTGATAGTTGTTTGCAGCAACTGCACCGTACTATGCGTACGTAGCATCTTCCTCCGTTGCCCTATAGTTTTACGCGATGACATGGACTCAGTGTGTGTCGCAAATCTTCTCAAAGGCAATCGGGTAGTCCCTTCCAAGGTATTCGCCGGCGATGACTTTAGGAATTTGCCCATAGACATTAGACGATTCGGTAAGACGAAGGTCTTAAGGTATTCTTTGTCCAATTGGAGCTAAGGCTGACACAACGTATAAAACCACAACTCGCCAAATTCCATGGTCAGAGACTTGTGTCCCACTCACGGGTACCAAAGTGTTGATTGCAGAAGATCCAAGAATGTTCAATGGTAAATCTCGAAGGCTCGGCATGCACAATCAACAACTCCCCATCTATTGCGGATATGGAAAGACATCTGGGCACTAAAGCCCATGGACTCGATAAGGACGAGGCAGATCCGAAGTGGCCAAAGATTACGGCATCCGTGAAGAGGTCGAGAAAGAAGTGAGGCTCGTTCAGCAGGGACTTACTCGAATACGATTCCTTGTCCACAGACTGCAATCACGGGCGCGACACCACGCATGAATCTATCGTGGCATCAACCTCCGATCATGCGAATGCTCAGCCGCTGTTGTAGAGCCACATGGACTCAGGCCTGCTTTCACTACAGCTCGGTCATTTGAGAAAATCCTGCCTTTTCAACCCTGGTCTGCATACACGATGTTGTTACCAGCAGAGATCCTTGGCCGAACATTGGCGGGTGTTCCTAGCCTAGCACCTGGTTGGTGGAGCATAATAGTGGAAAGTCAGGAAATCCAAATACCTTTTCAATAGCAAGATCTTCAAGCTACCGCCAGTCATTATGTTGTAAGTTGCAGTGTTTTGAGTCTGTCGCTATTTTGATACCTACAATGATCATGACTTGCTCTCCTGGTTATGATTCCGTACCGGCCTTCAACATCCATTGTCACATTCCTCACTCTCCAGACTCAGTCACGGTATTCTTGGTAAACATGATTCTTCTGGACAATACTAGTTATTTCTCTCTGGATGGTCAGCCAGAAGAACTCACGTTGGTACAGTACGTCAAGCTTCTGTTGGGAGGTCTTATCAGTATATCTGCAAACTTCACCATTATGTAAGACGAGATAGATGTCTCCCCAGGCAGAAAACAGAGCATTGATGCGCCCGGTTATAGCGTCTGAATGTACAGCGAGTTTGAAGTCGAGATCCACGATGGTGAATGTGGAGGTGCTGAAGCGATCCTCTGCTTGGCCTTCGCCGAAAGATTGTGAGGGAGCGTTGATCATTAGTTTTGGCAGAAAAACTATACTTGATATATACTGACCTGGGCATTTTTCCCTGATCTTTACAAGGTACCTGTTTCTCTGCTTTGCGAGATCAAGCTGTCCTCCACACTCAGGAGTTCGCAATCTGTATCATGACTTTGAAAAATACTGAGGCATCTAAGCCTATTGTCTATAGTGAAAGCTGCTATACTGCCAGAGCCCAGCAAAAGATCTCGCCGAATTCCTTTTGGTATCTACCTCAAAGCACACATACTTCTCTCTGCACAGTTGCATACCCATAAGCAAAGCTATTACAACAAGAACGGCAAAAGATCGTGATTTGGCGCGAGGTTAAGGTATGAACAGTGTGTGAATTTGGAAGTTAAGACATTACCTTCTTTCTTCCCATATCATGGGCAGATATCAATGACTTCCGTCAGGATGAGACTAGACAGCGTGCACAGGTAACGGGCATCAGATACTGGATAGCTGCAGACCGATTATGACGGCTCTCAGAGCGTTGTGTGGTACTATATTATATCACACCCACATTGCGAGAGGGAACAGGGACAAAGCTGAGGCGAAGTTTTTGATTTAGGGTCATGTAAGAATCATGTTGATTTCATCAATGTCCGTCGTGTCCTGCCTGGTCATGACCTTTCTCATGGTGACCTCCATCCTCTTCTTCGTCGTCATCATCAGTATCTTCACCATCTGGGTCGTCGTCATCGTCTGGGTCCTCATCATCATCCGGGTCGTCGCCATCTTCTTTCTCAGGATCAGGGTCCTCATCATCATCTGGATCGTCCTCTCGCTCTGGTTCTGCTGGTTTGTCTGGGCGACTCGGTACGATATATTCTTGCCAAGGCATGTTATCGGTGTAGGGCTCCACCTCCACTTCTGGCTCTATCATGCCATCGTAATACGTCTCATTCGGAAGACGGTCGAAGGGACACTTCTCGTTGGGTCTCCACATTGGTAAGATTGCAGCACACTTGAGGTTCCACCAAGCCGCCCTGGCAAAACTCTTGACCTTGGTCCAACGTGAAGTGCTAGGCTCCATGGCCTGGACCAACTTGTGATCGGAGTCGAAGCAGCCGAAGGTTCTTGTCTCTTCGTTGGTCTGTGGTGCAAGTGATGCCAGATGTTTTCCCGAGAGTCGCTTGAGGTCGTCTGGGATGCGGAAGAAGAGATACTCTGTATCATCAAGATCGAAAAAGGGGCGGGTGTCAGGAGTGACCCAGTCCGACCTCTCAGTAGCTGGGGTATCTCGAATAAGGAGGCATTGAATGCGAGGATACCATTCGCCCATGTCTTCCGGAAATCTTTTCATGTTGTTGTTGGTATCGTAAATTGAGATGAATCTTCGCCCGGGAAAGCTCTCCATAAGTCTCCTGACATTGTGCTTACGGGCATTGAGCATCTCGCCGGTCTTGGTGAAGTTCATTGGACGAAAGTCAAACGACCCCTTGGGATACTTGTCGAAGATGTGATCGGTGTAAGAGCTGGATATGGCCTCGGGAGCGTCTGTCAGATAATGGAAGTGCACATTCTGGCCTTCAGCCTCGATGCGTCTCTTGAGATCCCACAGCACCGCCGGCATGTCTCTCCATGGCATGAATGGACGAACGAAAACATTCAAGAGTGTTTGTTTCACATTCCAATTGTCCGTGACTCGCAGTACGTCATCCAGGTCGGCAATGATGGTAATACCTCTTGGAGGGACGAACAAGACATCCGCAGAGTTGGGAACGTCCTTGTCGATGCCGGAACCGATACGGAGATTGCAAGGGACAAGGGAGAATCTCTGAGAGGGGATGTCAATGGAGCTCTTGTTGTTCGCGAGAGCACATGAGTCGGATATGGAGGTCGTGCCGTAGAACGAGCCTTCCTGGTTGCTTGCAACTGGGAGAATAGAGCCTTCGCCACAAGCATCAATGACAGCGCCGATGGTGGCGTGGCAGATGGGTACTGAGGCAATTTCGAGCGCCAGTGGCCTTCCTTGTGCGAGCTCCGTTTCTGTCAGTGTGTGGTAGCCAGCTTCCCAAAACTTCCACTTCTTGACTTCGAGGCGAGTACGGATGAGGAACCCATTGAGAATCTTGTTCAGTTGAACCTCATCGTAGGGTTGTCGACGGTGGATATTGCCGTGAATGTGGGCTCTCCATCCATCGTCGGTTTTGTGGGCGTAACTCGGATAAGTGGTGATGGTCCAAGGCTGGCGTTCAGTCTCCTTCTTGTTCTTGTAGGGAAGTCGTTTGTAGAAGGCATCGATGACACCTCGGAGAGGCTTGAGGAGAATGGCGAACTTTGAGTTCTTGGGGAATATGACTTGTGGAGCCTGGTCTCCGGTAGCGGTGGCACAGACGTCAATCGATGCTGAAGCGATGCAGGCGAGAGCCAGTAGATATGCAATGATGAATGGGAAACGCATCGTGATAAGAAGTGCCAACGAACAATGAGATTGCTGGTGATGGATGTGATGTGTGTGGAGGAAGAAGAGGGAAGGTCGGACAGCGTTGGGATAAACACTTGCCTGCTGAAGCTTCCAACGGAGCAAGAGCATTCCATTGTGCTTCCTGCCTCTCTTGACCACAGGTTCGTCGGCTTGGCACGCAACCACTAACAAAGACGGTCACAAAATCACGGCGGCCACAAAATCGCAATTCAAACCGAAAGCTAGACAAATCGAACAATACACTGAGTGCACATCAATCGACGTACACAGTTTCGGTACATAAGCGGAGCGACAGATGACTACTTATCCTGCTGGTATATAATATCATGCATCTCCCACTTCTGCTTCGAGCTCTTCCGATGCTGCATCAACAGCGGGCGATTTGGTAGCTCTTGGTGGGCCACCTGCCTTTGGTGGAGGTGGCAGACCTGCAGTTGGTTTTGGTGTAGGAGCGTTATCCATCTCACGACTCTTCTGCTCTCCCTCGGCGAAATAGTCGTCAAGGCCACCTGTGGGTGATATGGCATGATGTACTCTTTGCTTCCTGGCACCTCTCTTTTCTCCGCCCATGCTGATGCTTGCAGGTGGTGTTGTGGCGCTGAGGTTCAAGTTGGCAGGTACAAGGAAGTCGCCAGCTGGAGTGGGAGTCGACCGAGGCTCTTCATTGCTAAAGCGGGCCGTTTCGAAGAGTGTTTCCCCAGGTGCTTGTGCGGGTTCGTTCAAAGGAGCAGGCACGCGGTGAAGGGCTCCGAAGCCCAAGACGCAGCCCAACGCACCGTCGCCGCCCCATCCTCTTGTGGGTGTGATGGTTATCATACGAGTCACATCATACTCGTTGTTGTAGACGTACAGGCGGAGTGGGCGATTGAGGAACTGTTGTATCATGTCAGTTCCAGCTCCAGATATACGACCATATATTCATACGTCTTCAATGAGCTCACTAAGCCCACTATCTCCTCTCATCAAGCCTTCCGGGCTTCCAATCACATAGTCGCTGTATGGCAGCAGGCCAGCGGCGTCGGCGGGCGAGTTGGGGATGACGTCGAGAATGTGCCAGACGGCTTCGGTTGTCGTGAGCGGCGACCACTGCAAGGCGAGACCTAGCGGCGAGTTGTCCGGCGGGATCGAGATGAAGACTTCGCGAATCTGCTGTCCTTTGGCACTGTACACTCCCAGGCTGATGTTGGTGCCGGCGCAGTTGCGCAGCTCCTGAACGAAGAGGCTGGGTTCGGGGTTGTCNCTGCTATATCTTAGCGGTCGGATCATGCTGATCAGAGAGGTATTTGCGCGTACAATGGTGCGACCATTGATGCCAATGATCGAGTCGAACCATGGCTCCAGGGGTAATTCGGGGTTAGTGTTGCGAAGCACCTGGAATCCGTACGTGTCATACCCTCCGCTCTGCTTCTGAGCTTGTGGATCAGCGTCCAGGCGCGAGATAAATCTGTTCAAAGCCCCAAACATGTTCGCCATGATTGTTGTGTTCAAGTTGCTGTCGCATTCAGCCAGTCCAGAATGACATCCACCATCTTGGTCTGTGCGTCAATCAGGTTGTCAGGCTGAGGTGGTAACCCTGTCGCCGGGTTCAAATGCACTCACTGAGACTCCTGAGCTGAACCTGGGTACAAAGGCTTCGGTATATATCCTGTGATGCAGTCTTCATCAGGAATACTAGGTTTCAATTGCTTCGGTGGGCCATACAGCAAGATGAGTGGTTTGGATAGCTTTTGTGCAAACTCGAGGCTCCTCGCTTACATTAGCAAGCAATCTTTTCGTGACGACTATGCAAACTGAAGATTCTACCGACTGCGATGATATGACTGATATAGAGAAGCTCGGATAATCATTCGAAGCACCATTCGAGCAATATACATGTCTTGTTGACCATATATCTGTGTACATCTGTGAATTGAAGTCACTCCATACCCCAGTCGTTCAAGCCGTGATATGATCTGCAGCGGCTCAACGGCTGTGGCGTATAACCAAAGCATCAGAGCTTCTGGTCGAACTGGGGTTGCACACTCTTCTGCCTCTTCGCGTTCGCTTTTTCACACCAACCTGCTGGATGTCACCCTTCAGCTCTTTGCTCGTCTTGTCAGTCTACGGTCCTACTCTGGTTAGAAACCGGAGGACTTTGCAAACACCTAGGTGACCTACATTCCTACACCACAACAGAGTAATAAGTGTGATTCTGGGCCTTGTGCAGCAATGCATCTGATACATGTCATCAATGGAGAACCAGCAGAACACATGTTTCATGGTCTGGCATTTCGATATGCGCGTCTCTGTTTGGTTTCGGATGCACTGCTTGGAGCTTCTTCCATGATCATTGGTAACCTCAAGGACCGGTCAGGCAAAGAGGGACAGAGACGAAAGTTTCATGTTCCGCCATATGAGCTACATGTAGCATACCCCGACTCCCACTCCTCTTCACTCATCGACGATCGCTGGACACTATCACCACTCAAACGAGACCACCGTGTCGGGCAAAGACACAAACCACCACCTAACATTACGCCTGCTCAAACATCTCGTACTAGGAAGAGTACAGATTCGGAGCCTGTCCCACATTGACAAGCTTCAGATCTGAAAGCATTTCTTCATCGCCAGGTTCAACCGCCGCTCGGAGAGGATTGTCGTTTCGATCTTGAAATGATTGTTTGGAACTTGCTTATCAAGGAGCCTACGTCGTGTACCGCGGAGGTATCTTGTCTCTTCTGCCTAATGAAATCCGAAGCCGACTTTCCTCCCTATCAAACGATGGAAGTCGTAATATTGTCGCTGATGTGCTGAAGAGATCTCTATGTTTCGTCGACATCTCCAGTAAGAGACATGATTTACTCCTGCTCATGGCATACGATCCCTGGATCCGAATTACATGGCCGGTGTTCTTCGCCCAATCTCAACCCCATTCGAGCTCGCCGAGTCTGTGTCAGTTGGGGCATTAAGGGAGTACGCACCGGTCGTCGTCATACAGCCGCACTCTTCAACTGGCTATGGGTTCGAGTCCGCAAGTCACATAAAGACCCTCTAGCAGCAGACCTTTGCAAGTCACCATCCGCCACTGCCTCAAGCATCATCCGAGTCTGACATACCTCTCTCTCCTCCTTGGTGGGGATACTCTGCGTCCAAGCTGAGAGAGGCAACAATATTTGCGACTGAGACCGGATTGGCCGCCAACCTCCTCCGTGAACGTCTCAGTTCCATGAACCATACTGCCGCCGAAAGACAGACAAGGGCGAATAGTGCACTCGTTACAAGCACACTTGACAGCACTGGACCAGATCCACTCTTCTGGAGCTATCTCGTGACTATGTGGCTCCACCTGCATTTTCGTATATGCAGCCATATCCATTGCTCGCTCCAAACTCAAACTCCTCTCAGCTTCAGAGGCTTACTCCACCCGTGCAATGAAGTGTGTATGATGCCAAGCTCCTCTCACATCTATACCCTCCTCTTGCTCATGAAGAGACACTTCTCGTTCAAAGAGTCCAGTGCCTTACAGAACATGAGAACTCGTGATCAGAGTGCCAGAGTCTGGCACACAAAAAGGTCCTTGTCGTGAAACAGCAGATAAAGCGCCTTGTGAATTTGGAGAAGCGTAGTGCTATCCAAAACTACGGCTTCCAACAGCTACTCATCATGCAGGAGTAGCTTTGTGGAGTAATACATAGGATCTCTAATATGACAATCCATTTCTACATATTCTGAGTAAATAGATCGGAAGAGCATACCCAGAGGTACATTTTTGTATAATGGGATTGCACGAAGACTGTAGTTGTGTGCTGGCTTGCTGCGTATAGTTGAAGTGTTGTTCTAATTTGTGAGTGCGAAGTATTTGTTCAGCGCTTAGGAGGGTGCAACGCCGAAGCCACGCCATACCCCAGGCGTTCACGCTGAGAACGGTAACGATCTGCAACTTCAACGGTTGTGGCGTCTGGGGCAACATATAAAATGTTTCTGTAGTACAAAAATCATCACTTTCAAATTCACATTCACTTGTCGAAAAGTGAGTCTCTGTCGAGCACAAAGTGAGAGTGAACGCGCTGGAAGGTTCCGCCAACACGTCGCTTATGTAAGCGGGACTTGAGCGCTGGCCACCAGAGCTCCCTATAAAAGCAGCTCCCCTCTCCACCACTTCTCCTCTCTCTCAAGCCACTCCAGTCGTCTGTAGTGTTGATACGAGCTTCTCTCGTCTGCAGTCTGATGTTGGTCTTTCTTCACAGTGGGGTCCCTTTGAAGATGATCAACTCATGTCAGTTCTGCCAGAAGTCTCCAAGGTCATCAATTCGCTTTGTGCGATGCGCTCTACTAACACATCCTCCAGCAGCGGTCTTTGGGGACGCCCTCTGACAGGACTGCTGGGTAAGGATCATGCCGTTGTGCGAGGGCACTTGCTTCTGAGGACTTCATCCTCTTTGGCAGGTGTTCGAATCGCCAGGCGAGCGTACATGGAATTAAGATAGAGCGAGTACCAACAATCTTGTCAATATAGCAATTCAATCGTGTTCTCCTTTGCTCCATCAGATCTTGTTGGTGCCATTCTCGTGTGCGCGTGTGTTTTGTTTTCGTGTTGTTTCCCAGTTGTTGCCGAACGCGTCTCTTCGTGCGTGCCCCTGAATTTACTCCCTCCAAGACTGCACTCGCTCTTTCCAGTCTTCTACATGCTGGATTCTGTCTTCTGACCGTATGTATACACAACATAAGTGAGACAGTTCATGCTCGACGCGCTCCAGTAACCAGAATCGGAAGCAAGAAAACTCGTGGACATTTCCACACACCCCACTTCTTGCTCGCATCGCAGTGAAAGCAGGCTAGGCGTGGCTCTCCGGAAGAGCTCGCATTGGCGTCAGTTCCTCTTGCTGTGTGGAATCATCACGACTGTCTGCCCGTGTTCGTCATCGTTCCTATCTCCTGCCGCACTCGTGAGATTACTCCGACCATCCAGGCCCACCTGAGCTCGAGACATTCACTTCTTTCGCAGCGTCGACATCACTTGTACATCGGTCAGTAAGACCGTCTCCGATATATTGATCCTACTGACATGGAGTGAATCCAAGATCAGACACCATGCTACCCGCACGCCCTTTCATGACGCGGGACCCTGAAAAGCCAGGCACCCCGATCTCAGCTGAGGGGGATTCAGATATGCGTGGCACCTTGCGAATGCGACCATTGTCAACAACAATTCCGCCGACTGGATCTGCAGTGCAGAAGCACTTTCTGGTAAGACTCAGTGACCACACCTGCTGCCGCAAGCACTTTGCTTGCCGACCTCACCCGCAAAATCAACACCGACAGAACTTATCTGGCGAGTCTGTGCGACAAGTTTGGAAACATAATCTCGAGCAGATGGCGAAAGAAAAGCCGCGACAAGCGTGAGGCATTGTTGCTTCTAGCAGATCCGACCATCGAGAAGAAACCATGGTTCAGAGTCCGAACGGAAACCGAGCAAGTCAAGTCGCTAGCAACACGTAACAGCAGAAGAAGGAGTTGGCTGCTTCCTTACATGAGCACTGCAGTTATGAAGGCGAACCCTTCGGTCCTGTTGGGTCTGATACACCACCGTATTCATCNNATTCATCATTCACCAGAAGAATGGGCATCGTTTGACAACTACGCGATCAGACAGGGCTGGGTTACTGGAGATATCGGCCTGGAATACTGCGGCCAAGCCTGCGTTGTAATGCATGGCATCGACTACGGTAAGCTTGTTCCTTGGGAAAAGCAGGCTGCAGAGCGCTGGGATATTGTCGGTTATCCACGAGCTCGATTGATCATCGAGGCGCAAGCCTTGATGTTTTCTCGACTTCGTTCCATCGTGGATCTCATCTTGGAAGGAATCGACCGAAACAGCATAGGCGCCTCTGATAAGTGGCAAGATATGGTTCGCACGGGCTTCAAACAGACCAGCACGATCGAGCTGTGGTCTGACTACATCAATCAGCCATTCTCCAGTCCTCCAAAATTCGATGCTGATTACTACTGCTCCATCGCCGAAGCTCGTATGAGGGCAGCTGAGGACCACTTATGGTTGTTACAAACAGAACCTTCCTACGTCCGTCGCTTCATTAAGGTCATGGCTGCGGGTGAGGTATACAGGTCCGAGTGGAAGGATCTCCTGATTACAGGAGATATTTGTGTAGACGTGCTACACTGTCTACGTTGGAATCACTTGAGCAAAGAATGGTCCAGCGTCCGAAATCACTACGGTCGCTTTCGAGACAGTATCCATCCAGGCCAACCACTTCCGCGTGGCCTCGAACTAAGTCTTGCTATTCTGGAACGAGCTCTTGTCGATGGCATGGACAAGCTGGCCCAGCACCTCTCAGTCTTCATCCCACAACGTCCTGGCTTCCAGCAATACTATAAGTTCACGATGCCCAAAAGAGATATGGGTCGCACTCCGCATGAAATGTGTATAGACGTCGAAAACATCATGGGATGTACAGAGACGGAGCAATACTACAGGGATCCGCTCGATTGGACTCTGATGCAGCTCCTAGGCGAGCCAGACACAGAGCTTCGCATCGATCACGCCGAGCTTTTCGCTAAACTCGAAGCCCATCTGGCTGACGCAGATTATCGTGAGCGCANNACAGACTGGATGAGACGCTGTACGCCAGATTTTCTGATTTTGCGGCACAACAGACTGGATGAGACGCTGTACGCCAGATTTTCTGATTTTGCGGCACAACACGAAATGTTCTCTGCTGTCAGAATGCACCGTCCTGCATATTCTCGACGTGAACCAGACGATATTGAGAGGATGCTCAAGGACAATTCGACTCCGTTCACCAGGAGCCTGACTTCTCGCGATTCTGGTCCTGAGGTTGGATCGTGTGCACTCCCATCGCGATTCTTCAAGATTTTCGACAAATTAGAGCCTGCAGTCGGCCGCAAGGATAAAGCATGGCTCGACCGCAGAGTTGAAGAACGCAAAGCTCTCACCAACTTTTGGGAACAGGTAGGTAAATCTATACGCGAGTCGTTGGGTTACACGCGTATGAAGCAGGAAGAGATCGACTACACTGTCTCGCTGATTTCTGTTTCGACCAGCAAGGAGTACCTTGAGATGGTCGAGATAGAGCGAGCAGAGGTATTGGATCTTATCGCGGCAGCAGCTCGGTCCAAAGAAGCCACAAGCACTGCGACTCCAACGGACACTTTTTGGGAGACGGGTCCAGATATGTCGAAACTCGCCATCAATGAACAAGCACCAAAAACGAAGACACGCCCTTCTCAGCCAACCAACAGATTGCCTGGTGAATCAGACTCTTCGAAACTTGCGACCAAGGCAGACATTGAGCCGCACAGCACACTTCAGATCTCCACAACCCCGCGCGCACTTGAGGTCATCAGGAAGATGTTCCCCAGTTCTGCAGAAGAAACCTCAGCCAAGGACACCGATTGGGACCATTTCGTCCACGCAATGAACGATCTTGCTTTCAGTGCTCGTAATGTCGGTGGCTCGGCCGTCGCCTTCGAGCACGCCTCCAACAAGAAGATCATCTTCCACCGTCCCCATCCTGTTGCCAAGATTGACAGCATCATGCTGCAATCCATGGGCAAGAGACTCAAGAAGCACTTTGACTGGAGCAGAGAAGCTTTCATCGGAGTCTGAAGAGCTGACAAGTTGAGACGAGTCACAAAAACGTAAGAACCAGAGAAGCTTTCGGCGAACATCTCTGAAGACTGCACATTCCGCAACAATGAGTGTATCTCATTTCGTAACCACTTCTGTTGCACTCTCAAGTCACGCCCTTGTTTGTCTTTTTTATCTCGTGGATGAGTTGGAAACTCAGAATCCTGGATTGATGGTTGTCCGCACTCGTTCTGCACAAGACCGATACAGAGAACATGAATGTCGAGAAGGAAACAGAGAATATGCACGTCGAGAAGGAAACAGGAGAAAAGAAGGAAAAAGAAAAGAAGATAGAGAAAGGAAACAAAACTCTCTATGACCCGAACCGAACGGTAACAACGTACGATAGACACGACAGGAGCAGATCAAAAGTGGGAAAGCAGAGCAAGGAATTTGGGAGAAGGACGTTTTTTTCTTTTCGTAGTGTAGTAAGAGGAAGAGGAAATTGAAACACATCCGAGTCTAGTTTGTTCCACAGAAAGCCTTCTGGAAATAGAAAAATAAAAAACACCACTTTGACATGAAATTCGTATATTTGGACACAAAGAAATAGACTCTCATCACCCACCGTCCTTGTCTGGAGACTCAAGAGCCACCTTTTGACTTCGCCATCAGCGCATCAATTTCAGCCTGCATGGCATCAAGTTCAGCCAAGATGTTACCGCCTCCTGCACTACCGCCGCCATTCTCACCAGCATGTTGCGTCTGGGGTTGTGGGGTAGCATTAAAACTCCTATCTTCTCCCGAATCACCTTCGTCGACTGTAGGAATGGACGAAACAGAGGGTGTTCTGCCTCCACCCGAGTAGAAACTAGCTCCACTTGATCGACGGCTGGTATCGCTCATGCGACGCGAACTGGGAGCAGAAGCGCTAAGCAGTGTGCCATCCAAACTTCGTCGCTTGTTTTCACCTCGTCTTGGTGGAGGAGGGGGGAGGNNCATGTTGGTTTGCGAGCGACTGTTCAGTGAAGTTACTGAGTTTGTGGATGGCGTGCGGCTGACGCTCGGAGGTCGTTGTTTTGTATTGCGGGATGGTGGGGAGGTGGTGGCTGTCCTGACGGAATCGGCAGATCTGTCTCTACANGAATGAGGTCCTCGCCTTGCCGGCGGCGGCGGAGGTTTCACAGGAGGTGTCGCTGTGCCATCTGAGTAGTCGTCAGGGACAGAAGATCGTGAGAGATTGGAGCTGCTACGGGGCCGGCCGCTTGAGCTTCTCATCTGACTGCTTCTGCGTGACAATGGTATCGGAGGTGGTCTTTTCGAGTTGAGGCTGAAATCCTCGGCAGGCAGCTGTGGTGACTGAGCAGGACCATCAACTTGCTCTGGGATAGAGGGAGTTGCATCTGGGCTGGGCGAGTGTTGCGGTGGGGGAGGTGGAGGTAAGGGTTTGTTCAAATCAGAAGGACTCCGGACGAGTTGTGGCTTCGGCGAAGCGATTGATGGTGAAGGTAGAGCAGGAGGGGTTGCAGCAACGTCAAAGTCAGCGAATGAGACAGTTTGCGGGCCTTTGTTAGGAGTTGACAGAGCCTTGCCGTGGTGATGCGCAGGAGGCGGCGGCTTGGGCTTCTTCGGCTGGGTATCTGATGTTCTGACAAGGCCTGTCAGTTGCTCGTAGTCGGGTTCCGGAGGATCATCGTGATGGTCGTCGTCGTCGGAAGCAGGAGGAGACTCGGGATGCAGGTCTCCGAGTGAGTTGGCAGCAGCAGACGGAAGGCCAGCTGATGGTGTCATGGGTCCTGGTGATGCAGAAGGAGTGTTTCCTGTCAAGAGCATACGCGTGAAGGCATCAACGTCCATGGCCGGCTTAGCGGAAGCAGTGGATGTGTCCTTGGAGAGACCGACAGGCACCGAGGCGGCATTCTGAGGATCGATTGTGGCCAGCGTTCTAGCGAAGGGATTGTATGGTGCTTGCTGCACGGGCTGAGATGATGTTTCCATTCTTTCTGGTGCAGGAACAGGAGCTTGAGCAGGAGCTGGAGCTATTGGTGGAGCTGTCGGTGGAGCTATTGGTACAGCTGCTTCTGAGGCTTCTCTATTCGGGACGGTTGCTCCTCTTGCCAGCGAGTCTATGAAGGACTTGCGCAGCTCGCGCGCAACGTCTATGTCTTGCTCTTCGGTCGTTGGTAGTGCAGGCTGTCCCACAGGGTTGAGGTATGAGTTGAAGGGGTCATGTTGATCCCGGTAGGCGGCGGGAGAGTCCGGCGAGATGACTGGACTCTGAATGCGAACCTTCTTCTGCACCTTCCCTTTTGTCTTGGCTATCGAGCTNCTCAGTGAGTGCTTGTCGAGGGCAGGAACAATTGCAGGCTGGTCGCTCTTACCCTGAGTGCTTGTGGATGTTGCTACTGGCTGACTCTGACTAGTCTCGAGTCCCGCTGCCTCACGCGCCGCAGAAACGTCGAGCGACAGAAACTGTGACTTTCTGAAAGGATTGCCCGCCATCGTGTTCCAGAAATCGCGCTGTGCTTTCTCTACCGGCTCATTGCTTCATCGTGCATACCTGAATGATTGCGATCATCGCTGCCTTCACTTGGCCTGACGATGTGCACTCCGCTGCCGTCCGTGTGTTTTGCTTCCGGGCTCGCCGAACCCCGCGGACAAGAAACTCTTTTGACCATCTGAGACTCCGAACTTTGTAGACCTCTGACGGCATTGCCAGCAACATCAAGTCATGCGCCGTTGACGACTGCTCGTGTTGTTTATTTCCGACATCTACAGTACAATAACCAACTGACATCATTAATCAACGTATACATGCCATCCGTACTCCTGACCAAACCACCGCCTTGCTAAGGCTGTGCCCATCTCGGTAGGTTGACTAAAGGCAACCATATCTTTCGATGTAACCTTAGGTAGGAATGTCTTCGCAACACACTTCAACAGTGCTCTTGCGATGCCCTTCTTCCTCGATCCTCGAGACGTCCAGATTCGCGATATTCCAATTGCTGCTGCGTCTGTCTCTTCACTGATAGACAGTAGCTCAGTTGCCCGCACTTTGTCTGAGTCCGATACCTTCATTTCTTGCTCTGTTTCCTGTGCCTCCCTCTCCTTCTTCACCTCTGCCTTCTTCTTTGGCTCGACCACTCTGAAAGCCTTATCAATCCCTTCCGCAAGACAAAGACCTACGCATTTACCATTGTCCACGTAGAGATACAACTTGTATCTGTCATCGTTCTCCTCATTTGCGCCGGTTCCTTTACTTCGAGCACTTGATGCAGCGAATTGAGATCCCCATAATTTCTCGTCGGGTATATTTACGGCGCCCAGATCTGCTGTTGCCATGTCGAACACAGCGCGAGCTTTCTTCAGCCAGTGTTTCGGATCCTGGGAACTGAGGCATATGACGAAGTCCCCTTGCGGGCCATGCCATACGGCCTTGTCGGATTTGATCTTGGTAAGGAAGTCTCGATCCATGGAAACGCCGTTGATATGTTGAGAGTGGAACTTCTTGTGGAGGGCAGCGTCTTCTGGTGCAGAAGGCACGTACTCCATGCGACACTCTTTACAAGTCTTCCGCATCGACTGGCCAAAGTTGAGTTGCATTTGAACAAGTGGTTTCGATGTCGTACGTTCAGACTTGATAGCTAGTGCTGGCTTGCCAGTATCCGGCTCCGGAAGTTGTAGCTTCTGGGGCGCAGCTTTTGGAGAGATGGCGAGACTGGGTGGTGATGAGGGAGGAGTCGCGGGTGGGATATTCTCATCGGAGAAGTTGGCAACATCTGATGATGGTAGATCCGATGAGGGAGCAGATTCGACTTCATCGCTCTCAATCACTGAGACAGGTCGTCGTTTGATTGTATCATTGAGGCTATCCTGGTGCTTCCCTTTTGGAGTACGTTTTGAATATGTCCTTAGAGGTGGTCTGAAAGCTATATCAATACTTGTTCGCGATACAACGCAGAGATACACTCACCTGGAGCTCATGATAAATATACTATAGCTATCAATGATGTGTTGTCGTCGTCAAAAGATGGTATGAGACGCGTCGCAGAGCTGAAGACGCGTTCGCGTCGAAATTGAGCGAGCGATGCTTGGCATCAAGCCAACCCCGAATTCGGCGGTCTATCAATCCAACTGCCTCCATCATAAGAGAGACCAACCTCTGTTGTGGTCGTGGAATCATTCTTACAAACAGAAGATTCAAGCAAATTACACGCGTCTCACTGTGAGAATGCTGCCTTACCTCACCGCGCCAAACCTGGATCTTCCAGTGCGGCCCTTGACTCAAGATGCCTTTGCTGAGTTTGGCACCGTCGTCGAGAATCCAGAGGGTGCGACTGGGAGGTCCCAACAGCTCAAGGTTGTCAAAGCAAATCAAGGCTCAGCTTTGAAGTACATCGACGTTTCGCATGTTTCCAACTACTATCATCTGGCTCCTAGTGGCAATCCTGCGAAGGCTGTCATGAACATGTTCGTTTGCTCGCCGCGCCAACTGCAATCTACAAGCAGCGGTTCAGATATCACTCAGGACCGTCCATCCAAATTTCCTGTGCAGATTCTGGAACGACACCCGTTCACGCCTCAAACCTTTATTCCTCTTGGTCTTGCGGCCGTAGATGCGACAACGGCGTACCTTGTTATCGTCGCCCCTACATGCAAAACGACGGACAAGCCATTACCCTATCCCCAACATGCCCCGAAACAACAACGGAGCTGGACCGAAATTTTCTCCAGGGCTCAACCAAGTCCGGTAGACAACTCTACTTCCTCGCCGGCGGCATCTGGCCCTGAGCCCCAGCTTCCAAAAGGTCCGGGCGAGCCAGATCTCAGCCGTGCTTGCGCGTTTCTTGCCAATGGTTCGCAAGCTGTCACCTATGGTCCTGGTACATGGCACGCGCCAATGGTTGTGCTTGGCGCGAAAGCTATTGGTTTTGTAGTGATACAATATGCCAATGACGTTGGTTTGGAAGACTGTCAAGAGATGGAAATCAGGACAGAAACCGGATCAGAAGGACTCAATGTTGTCATTGACAATGCTCGACTCAGTCCCAAGTTGCAAGAGAAGGCCAAACTTTGAGAAGTCGTACCGACATGACTACGTGCTTTTTTAGCCTGTGGTCGGTACTAAGCTCCCAAATATCCCATCGATCGTGTCACCCATAAGTCGCACACGGGTTAGTTAATATTTATCACGCGCATGACTCGATCATTGGCGCCCCCTGAGAACATAGCCGTGGACAGAATCCGTGGAAACTCCCCAGCCTGTCAAGCCCACACCATTTGTGTCTCGGCCTCGACATGCCTCAAAATTGTACAATAGCGGCACTTTTGACGTCGCGGAATGAAATCTGTATCGCGGAATTTTGTGCCGCATGTCATGGAGCGCTCTGGATACCACATTGGGGAACGATGTGCAGTCCAATTTTGGTGTCAAGCAGACCTTGCCTAATCTGAAACCAAGAGACAAGCTTCAATAAGGCACCCTGATCGTGGGGGCGAATAATGAAGAAAAAAAAGCAGCAAGGCGAAGCTCGAGCATCTGAGTCGTACAACGCTATTTTGTGGCTGAAATCGGCGGTCTCACTGCTGGACAAGCTCTTGTCGAGCTTGCGTCTCTTGGTTTGGTTTGCTTCGTATCTGTCATGGAGATCGAACAACGGTCTCTACCCCGAATCAGCACTTATTGACTACCATTATCGCAATATAGCCAGCAAGTCCAGTCCGATTCGGTGATTTGCGGATCATCGAGTCCGTCCAATCTTCTACGATGGCAAGAAGCTCAAGCTCTCATCGATCTTAGTGCGCTTAGAAGCAGACTACAAGTTTCGCACGTGAACAGAGATTAGGTGAACACCTTGTCCGTACTTTTGGAGCGTGTCTTCCATACAGACTCAAGGTTAAGCTTTACTTGACGACACCGCCGTCCAACCGTCTGCATGCCAAAAGCCCTTGAGAACAAAGACCCAACTATAAGCGATGACTGACGGTGGAGTACGGGGCAGTTCAAGAGGCTGAGATTGACCGGTTGCTGATTGTCCATCGTGGTTGCTCCGCTGGCGGAGAGTGCTAGAGTATTGTGAGGCATCAAATCGACAGCAGGGCACGGCCACCTCGATGACTATCTAGCCCGCAGTCACGCCATATGCTTGCCGTCCTAGATTTCAATTCACCGGTTTGTGTTATGCCCATCTTCAGGCATCCACGTTGTCTAGACGAGAATGCCTGGCAGACGGCGTCGAAATTCTGGGCACTCGGGCGATGCGGGGATAGCTCACTGACCAATACCAAGCCGGGACAACTGGCTCGCAAGGCACTAACCCTTTCAGGAGTCATTCCGCGAGGGGACTTTCAACCATGGCAGGCTGCCAGATACCTCCCTGTGGGCTACATCATGGTCTCAGAGCGCGGCCCGAATGTACCAAGAAATCTCCCGTCGTTGTTTGACTGCTTGCCAAGTGCAAGAAGACATTGAATCAGAGAAGAACGGGAATAAATCGGTCACCAGCGTCAACTTGGCAATGCTCTGTCCCGCACCTTACCACGATACTGCTGTCACGTTTATGATGCAGACGACCATTCTAATGATGATTAGCACGCCTCAGGTCTACAGGCTACAGCCGATGATAACCTTTGCAACGCCAGGAGTACGGCCCGACGGTTTGTCGCAAACGAAGGCTCCAACGGTCGAACCGACAAACCAAGCATCAGTGTGGGACGGAACCCAGCCGATCCCATTCTAGCACAGGTGCATGCCTGCATAGGGCGCGAGACCCTGACCCCCGCTATTCGGTCGCAACCACTCTCCAGAGCAAGATGAGCCCTTTAATTATCGTTGCTCGTTTTGATTACTGTTCGGTCTAGTCGCAGTCCGGTAAAATTCTGCCGATGCCTCCCAAACTTGGTGGATGTCGAATGACAACAAAGCTGTACGAGTCGTCGATATTGGCGTCTGACGAGGCTCCGTAAGCGATGCAATCACATTCATATAGATTTTGAGATGATAGAAGAAACAAAAGGATCAGCAGAGGAAACTCTGTGTGACGAGATGTCAAGCGGCGTTGGTGCTCCACCCACTCTTATTGGTCCAGAATATCGAGTCAACTCATGTTTGAGAGCCTGGTACAGCGTGCGCTCTGTTCCTAACTTAGGCGTCCACTAAGATCAATCTGGTTGCCGGCGGGCACGCGCCGACCACCTGATATTGCCAAAGGAGAAATCGCGGGTCCCGGCAGCCCCTCACCTCAACCCTCTTCTTGACAGCCTCAAACTACTACGCCAAACCTCTCACTAAACTCAATCTATGACTCGAGGTGGTAAATGGTTGCCAACGTTGCAACAATCTCATCAAGATCTATCCAATCTTCATCGAGAGGCTCAGCCATCCCCTCGGATCCACCACAAGAAATCATACCACAATTGAATGTGTTTTTGGTCGTGCTGATGCCTACAAACCTCAATTCTGCATCTGGACATATGTTAGCTCCAAGCAGACCCGTGCGCAGCTGTAGATGGAGGGGCAGGGGTCCGTAGGTTATGCCCTGGAGCCCCGGGCCAATTAGCTCGGGCGATGCCTGGCCATGTGTTGGTGGTTGCGTGCTCCCGCCGTTGCTTGTTGGAAAGCCCACTGCGCCTTGTCAGTGTTTAAAACCGAACCAGCACCCGAGATAGTCATCCTGGCGTAGATCACCTCCGCCCAAGACGTCTCATGTCAATGCGGCCTATGAAAAGTAGGCCAGCATCCTCTTCCCGTCCTGGTTCCTTTATCTGAGCAATTCTTATATCCGTCATGACCTCCCCGTACCTAAGTCCATCCTCTTCATCAGATCCTAGATCAAGAACAGACAGCATCTTTCCTATACATCTTCAAGATACTGGTGGTATCAGAAAACGAAGCAACTCTCGATCAAGTCGTACTCGATCCATCTCGTCGGCCAACATTGAACGCCATCCAGAGCTACTTCCCGACCAAATACAAGACCGCCTCAACCTGAACAGCAACGGTTGGACTGCCGCAAAGCACTCGCCTCAACCTCAACATCAATCAACTTCACTCAGCTCGTCTTCGAACGCTCCACCACTCCAGCCAGCTAGTGAGACTCTTACACTACCTGGATTCCAATCTCTGCAAAACAGTAATACTAGATTTGGTTCTGCTCCTCGCGATCATAAAGAGACTCCTCATACCACATCCGCAGATATGGCGTAAGTATGTCCTATCAAGCAACCAAGACAGCGAGCTAACAGCATATCCAGTTCTCTCAGTTATCTTCCTCCTCCTCACTACGGACACATGGCATTCCAGGACCCATCATTTGACCACAGTAAGTCATGCAGACGATCTCAAACAACCGTATTTCGCTGACCACGATGTCTCAAGGCTNACCAGCAGTCCGAATCGCACTCGCACATTCACCCTTCGAGCAACTTTGGTTTCATCTTTGGAACTTCTGCACCTTCGCAGCAAAGTATTTACGCATCAGGACCCTTGGACATTGAGCCCTCTTTCTCTGCGGCGCGATTGGAGCCATCGCTGAACCACGTATCTGAACCGACGACGATGAACAACCTCAACAGGGCAGTTAGTCCCTTCCACCCTTCGAACTACGACAGTCTCGAATATCCCCTGGCATCTTCTACAAGCCGCTCGATGGTGAACAGAAGTATCTCACACAGCCCGCTTTCCCAGCATATGGATCCTTTGACTCCTCCTCTTACGGCAGGATTAGACCCGGTGCAACCACAATTGGCCGGAAGTCCAGGGGCACAGGCTAGCATGGACCGCATGCGATCACCAAGCATCTACGACGGACAATCATACTCCTCGTCATACGCAGCACCGGGTGTGCAATCAGAACCAANNCCCCTTTCCCAGCTCCCCAGAGCTACAGCTACCCTCCCCCCTCGANCGATCAGCGCGCGCCAGCAAGTACCACGAAAGAGCAGTGATTCTCAATCGAGAGGAGTGGTAAACCAGAAACCAAAACCACAATGCTGGGAGCATGGTTGCAACGGGCGCGAGTTCTCTACATTCAGCAACCTCTTGCGACACCAACGCGAAAAGTCAGGAACGGCCGCTAAATCATACTGTCCAAAGTGTGGAGCGGAATTCACCCGAACGACAGCAAGAAACGGGCATTTGGCCCATGAGAAGTGTTCAAAGCAACGCAGAACGTCAGAGGCCAAGTAGCGCAGGCGCTATGAGTTGCTGATCGCAACGGCACACAACTACCATCCATCGGAGGAACCGACGCGCTTATGCATCGCGTGAACGATTAACCAATATGATACCCTTCTTTGCCAATCCATTATCCCAGATTTCTTCAAACAGTTTTGTTATTTCATCTCATTTGACTCTCGAGTCACATCATTTGCATGGTCGCATGTCCACTTTACCGACAAAAGTTTTGAGTTTTGTTCGTCGTCCTGAGGCGTTCCTCGCATATGCATATGAGTGGCCCATTGCAAATTCGAAGCGTTCTGTGTATTGATTACAGGTGCGGTTAGCGCTGAAGATCAGGCGTGGAGCTGCCTGTCTCCCGGAATATTATCTTTTCGCCTATCGCATGAGGCTTGCTCTTCCAAATAGCTTTTAGATGGGCTGCGCTTTAGACGACCATGCGACATCGAGTAGGCTGCAGAATTTTGACACAGCACGTGAATGAATTCGTCTGCATGTCGATCACTCTTTCTTTTGACTTGCGCGCCGCATCTTGTGTAATGGTTCATTTCCATCACCACTTTCCAATTCGGACCATGCATTCTTGGTCTCGAGCCAGTGCATCATTCTCTGAATCGGACAACTCCTCATTCCGATGCTCCAGCGCCCGATCTGCTTGATGAGAAGAGTGGAATGCCCAGCCTCGTATGTATCACCATGTCATTGGACTTTAGGGTCCCAGAGACCCCGACATCGTAGCCATGGCATGCAGCCTGATGCACACGATGAACAACGCAGACAGTGCTCTAAATAAAGCTAGCCAATCGGAGAGACTGGGTCGAGACTTGGCCTTTTGGGGCGGACTCGCCGTCCATCAGGGTGGAGACAAACTCTGGTGGCGCAAGCCAGGGGCTACCCTTTCCATTTTCCTATCACAGATGGCTTGGGAGCACCGATCGACAATCACGCTTTCCCCTTTTCTGATAGAAGTGCGAGGGCAGGTGTAAGCGGCCTCGTCGACGTGGTCCCCATGTCTCTTCCGCGCTGCTAGTCAGCCGGCGTCAAAAACTCAATTAGCAATAAGACATCGCGTAACGTCTTCGGTCCATTCGGCCTTAGAACACCGAGCCTTGTCCACTCTTCTCTCTGATGGTTCACCGGCTAATATAGTGTGCCAGTCTGAGCTCACCGGTGTGCGCGTAAAGGGTAGGCACATGCGGCGGCGGACTCATTATCGGGTAAACAAAGATCAATCAATTGAAAATTTGCTTTCCCCATGACTCTTTCGCGCAGACGACGTTTCGCACATGATAGCTCGCTTGCAGGGCTCGTCCGCGTGGCGTCAAGCGCGCGTCAGGCGCGCCGAGTGCCGACGGCCGTGACTGCTGCCAAGCCTGTTCAACGTCGAGTCGTCCTTGCTGTGACTGTATCGCATAGGTGTCTGCATAACTGCTTGAATGAAGATGGCCTCAGGCTCCGCCAGCACAATGAACGCTCAAGTCTAATAGCCTTGACACCGACTCGACATTATCTCCATACCGTGCTCACAGTCCACCGCTATCGCCACAATGCTGCCATCATTAGCAACACCTTCTCAAGCTAGACATCACACCACTGATTCCTCACTCAAAACAACTTCGACGCGAATACCAGAAGTGCACAAATAAGCACGAACCATTTCATCTACTCTACACGCTTCTTCTTGATTCTCTTTGCAGCTTATACCGCTGACTCATAGCCGAAGTGGGTGTCTCTCTCCAGCCCAATTTACCTGTGTACACTTCAAACGATTGTGTAAACTCGCAACTGTCTCTCCAAGAGTTTCAGTAGTCTTCCGAAGCCATGGCCTCAGCATCAATATTCTCATTTGATGAGACTGAGCCACGAGTATCTTCTCCATGGCTCAAACAGCTCGATTCCATGAATAGCACTAGAACTTCGTCGCGTAACAGTAACTTTGTTGCCGATTCTGAGCCTACCGCATACTTGGATGAAGCTGGCCATATCACCAGACTCGAGGCTGAACCCCAGAAAGGTCCTGTTGAGTACAAACTTCATCTTCTGATTCGACCCCGTCGTAACTACACATACATGAGTACTGTGACACGAATATCTGGTTCGAAACACTCCAAGTACAACGGTCCATCCCGTACTTCTTCTGGAACAGCACTGCCAGCAAAGAGCGCTTCTCCCTCTGTCACTCCGAATTACAGGCAGGATAGGTTTGAACACCTGACTACCCAGCTTCTTTGGAGACTTGGTCAATCTTGTCCACATCATTCGAATGCATCGACCACACTCATCTTACCACAGCTGCCAGAAAGCACAACAGAACTACAAGCGCCGCCAAAGCCTGGACCAATACATCCTGGCTTGGAAGAGAGCGAGGGTGCACTCTATGAGATTGGTGTTTCCGATGATGGCACTCTCGTTGGTCTTGCTGAGGATGAGATGCAGGACAGTCTGAACAATCTGCGTGCCATGGCTGCAAGTTTGGGCTGTGTCGTTGAGGTACAGAGAATGGTGAAAGTTGGTACCTGCTCTTACATGGCACAAACCGATGCAAAACTCTCTTCGGACTTTGTCGAACAACAGAGTGATCTTTACGTTGCAGAAGCTCTGGTAAAGCCAAACTTGACGACGGTTGCGGAGAATGGGCGTTTAAGCGCGGACAATGCGCTGGAGGACAACCATCCAACCGAGACCAAATCGACAAAGCAGCTTCGAATATCGCTCACAGGAGCCACTATGTCTGGAAAGTCGTCCTTGCTGGGTACTCTATCTACGTCAACACTAGATGATGGTCGAGGAAAGAGCCGCTTGAGCATGCTCAAACATCGCCACGAGATTACTTCTGGGATCACGAGCTCAGTCACACAAGAGCTGATCGGATACTCCCCACCTTCGACAGGCGACGTAAAAGTCATCAATTATGCTACGGAAGGTGTAACTTCGTGGATCGATATGCACACAGCTTCTGCCGATGGACGTTTAGTGTTTGTAGCAGATTCTGCTGGTCACCCACGTTACCGACGAACGACAGTCAGAGGTCTCGTGGGCTGGAAGCCGCATTGGGTACTGCTTTGTGTTCCTGCCGATGACGAAGTAAAGTCTTCTAGCAAGGTTGCAGAGGTTTTGGGTCCGGCCGCCAGCGATGTTGACCTGTCTGCTGCACATCTGGACCTCTGTCTGCGTCTTGAACTGCCTCTAGTCGTCGTGATCACGAAATACGATCTGGCACAACTTTCCGTGTTGAAAGCCACACTGGGAAAGCTACTTTCAGTTTTGAAGTCTGCTGGCAGAAAACCACTGATGATACCAAACTCACCGGGCACTGTTACCGAGGATGAATTGCAGAGCTTCTCGCAGAAAAGATCGGCTGGTATACGTAAGACTATCGATGCTTTATACGACGATCCTCTGTTAGCAGTCCCGATAGTCTTGACAAGCGCCGTACAAGGTGCAGGTTTTGACAACTTACATGCTGTCCTAAACGAACTTCCCATACCCGATCATCGGCAGGAACCTCTAGACAGCGCAGGCACCACGACCTCCCTTTTCCATGTCGAGGATATTTACAACAAAGCACAAGATGCCAACACCATCATTTTGAGTGGGCACTTGAGTAGAGGTGCGATATCAGCAGGAGAAGAGCTGTTCCTGGGACCCTGCTCTCCGTCTGGCGGAGATGACTCCGAGGACTCAGACACCCAACAGCGTCCTCGACTCGCCCAAGCTTTACCACCATCACGCTCCTTCCCAGGTGCGCTCAAAACTCATGGAAACCTCAACCCGTTCAACAAAGCATCCGAGCAAGAATGGCGTAAAGTCAAAGTTGCTAGCATCAGGAACCTGCGACTTCCAGTCTCGACTCTGCAATCTGACCAAGCAGGTACCATTGGCATTGAGTTGAGTGACGACAAGACTCTCGACACATGGGCCACTGTCAAGGTGCGAAGAGGTATGGTGCTTTGCAACAAGCCGGCGACCTCGTCTAGCACCATTGTCGCACAATTTAGACGGGATGATCTAGGCACATTGGCAGTGGGAAGCCAAGTTGTAGTATATCTTGCAAGCATTCGATCGTCTGCAAGAATCTTATCCTGCAGAACACCTGAGCCTTCTGAATTAGTAGGTGAAGACACGAGTCTGGATATAGTTGATCAGAACAGTGGCTCGCAGGATGATGAATTTGCCGACAGGGCTGCCGCTGGTGCTATCACACATCAGTACCTGCAGGTGACGTTCCACTTCGACTCCACAAAAGAATGCGTCGAAGTCGGCTCTCAGATCCTTGTCATGCCCGGAGGTGGCCCAGGCTTATTCGGTGGAACAGAACGTGGAGAAAAAGGTGCGGCTGGTCTCGAAGGATTCGTCGGAAGGGTTGTCGAAGTACTCCGCTAAAAGTCGAAACTATGCTTCTTATACTTGTTCGGAAGCTGATCGATAGCATGGCGAAGGTAGCTTGAGAATGTTCTGCTTGCACAGCGGGCAAGTAACGTGTAAGGCCTCAAACCAAGTATCCATACAGTTCTTGTGAAATACATGCAGACAAGGCAGTCCGCGGATCAGCTCTCGGTCGCCGATGGGGTCGAAGCAGATTGTGCATATTGCATGGCCGATGAAGAGGTCTGGAAATTTTGTCTCCCACTCGGATCGCCAGTCTGCGAATTCGCGTTCGGCTGCTGCTTCGTAGACGGCGTATGGATTTTGACTCTGGTCTGCGCGTAAGGCTTTGGTGAATCTGTGGTCGAGGATGCAAAGGCTGTTGATGTCGAGTGTTAGCTTGGCTTCTTTTCTATATTTTGATGGTCGCAAGTAGATATCTTACGTGAAGATGAGCAATACAAGAATGGCTTCACAGATATAAGGGACATATGCGCCGTCCAGGATGTCGTCACTCCGCGACCATTTCCAGTCTGGAGAGTCGAAGCTTGAATTGGCGGTGCTCACCGCCGCGTATGCGTGATCCACAGGCATATACTGCGGCGCCATTTTTTTGTACTTGTTGTCGCAGTCTTTCTGTGGTCTTACATTTTTCCCGGAAGCAGAGAGTCTTCCGTAAAGCTTTTGTATTGTAGTTTGGAGAAAGTTAGTGACTGTGATGCGTGAGTCTTTGAGTCGCATGGCGAATGCACCGCTTTGTGGCTTTTGCTTGTCCAATGTCTCGAGGTAGTTGCAGCTGGCGAACGCGTGATGTGAGCTTTTAGTCTGGGTCTCGCCAAGTGAAATGATTGGCCAATACCTGTATATAGCGCAAGGTCATCTGAGGAGGGGTCCATCAAGGTGTTACAATATAATATTCGTGAGATGCTAAAACAGCAAAGTAGTCGTTAATGTACAAAAAAATGATCGTCTTCAAACACCGCCCCCGAAGAAAACTCCAAAATAGTGCAATCAGCCAGCCGAAATGCGAAAATACCCAATAGTCGTTAGATGGGAAAGGGAGGTTGTGGTCTAAGCATCCCAACCGTAGATCTTCAAAACTGGAGGCTCCTTGCGAGGCACGAGTTCATCGACGCGCTCGTCCACCTTCTCAACTTCCGAAAACTTGTACTCGACGTCGCTGAAGCTGGCAGTGGGGAATACATAGAACCACTTCAACTCTTGGTCTCCAGTGTTCTTGATGCCGTGTTCAGCATTTCCAGGAATAAATACCGTGCTGCCTCCTGACACAGCATGTACCTTGCCATCAACAGTAACCTCGCCTTTGCCAGAGATGATATAGTAAATTTCTGATTGAGCGTGGCGGTGGTGAGCCAGATAACCGGTGTTTGCAGGACAACTAGCGATTCCAGCAGACATGTCTTGGGAAGAGGTTTGGGGNGCTGAGAGCAGGGTGTGCCATGTCACCTCGCCGTGAGATTTGTCTGAAAAGCTCTCAGGTTGGGTTTGGGATGTATAGCTGGCATCTAGTACGACGGCTTCTTGGGCAGCAGTCTTCTTTGGCTCTTCTTGTGGAGGAGTGAGGGGTCTTGCTTGGTGGAGGCGGGGCGAGCTTCCTGTTCTCTTTCTTGGCAAGACTGACCACATTGTTACAGCTGTGCGAATTCGTGGATTTAAAGGTAAGAAAAGATGTATGAGTATCTGATTTGGAGGTCAACAGGCTGTTCAGAGAAGATCAAAGGATTGTATTCTGGAGTTCACGTCAAGGGTTCTTGCATTGTTATATCGCAGCTTCGGCACAGCGATACGCGATCAAGGAGGAGTCGATGGCCTAATCCGGAAGGGTTTTCCGCAGAGGGGTCACTCAAGCTCGTTACACAGCGAATGCTTGCCCAAACCAACAATGCGGTCCATAAAGTCTGGACTCATGCCGTCGCAAATTCCACATGCGAAACCATGTCTAGCAGACATTTTCGAGGTTCTGCTCGATGGAAAGAGAGGAAGCCTTTGGCCCGATCCGAAGTTCTTCCGTTGAAACTGGTGATATACAGCTCCGGTCACGCCACGAGTTTTCGATCTCGAGCGGATCGTTCCAATCATCTTTCCGAGACGGTATGCTGAAATTACGAGTTGTGTCGTTGATCTCATGATGTCTTGTGTGGTAAGGGCGTCTCCGGGCGTCAGGTAGGTATATACGCATTCTCTGCTCGTCCACTGCCCAAGCTTCCTAGCAAAATCTCAACCTGTAAAATTGTTCGAGGCAAGAAGAACAACAACCGCTCTGTTTGGAGATATCTATCAATCAGCATGGCTTCGAACACAAATATCGCTGTGGCACAAGTACTCAGCCTATTCCCACACGCCACAGATATTACTCCAGAAGGTAACAAGCTTGCAACAACACTCTCAACATCATCACTGACCTATGCTGCAGAATCAGCAAAATTCGAACAAGAAGTTCAACTGGAGATGGACCGTCGCGGCAACTTCCACGGCAATCATGGCAACGATATTTGCTGTCGACGACGACAGTCAGTACCAGAGGTAGCAGAAGAAGAGCTCGAACGACGTTTGCTATGGGCAAAGCAAATGATTCTCCAAAACCCTGCTTTGTGCGCCAGATCTTGCCAGTTGCCTGGCCTACAAGAAGAATCTCAGTAGTATCTGGTCGCGAATCTGTTTTCTCTGCTTGGATATGGCTGTGAAGGGAACCAAGGTGTACGGAGTTATCATATCCAGGCGATGTCTTGTTTCCATGCCTGGAGCAGAGGTCTTAAATAAGCAGCGAGTTGAGGCTCAAGAATACACCATGGCGCAAAGCTTGTGTGAGCGGAAGAATCGTATATCTTGTCCTAATGACTCACTGTATGTGAGATACGACCTGAATGGCAATCGATTTGATTCAATGCACACTTCTTCTCCTTCTATGGAGGATGCTGAAACTCAGCAAAGCTCGAGACGGATAATGGTCGCTCTTTCCACAGTTGTATCAACAACACGACGAAGCTCTTGCCTCCTAAATTGTAACCAACCAGATGCAACATCTACGACATGTGAAACTGTATTGTCAAAAAGCAGACAACGAAAGAACCAAGTGAGGCAAAAATCGCGTGATGGTGGCACTCCGTGATGTTGCGACTTTTGCTGGGCGTCAGGTGAGGCTAGCTTAACCGCCCCGGTTGAATACAGAATATCTCATGTCTACGAAAACATCTTACGGACGCAATCGGTATACAGATCCATTGCACAATGGAAGGTGTGCTTATAAGAGAGCAACGATTCATACCCACGATGTCTATATCTCAACTCAAAACACAAACACATACTTTATCAACATATATCAAAGTCACCACACAAGACCATCCCACTTTTTCTCATATAACTGATTCAAATGTCAAACTGGAGCCAACTCTACGATCTCGAACCTCTCCTCCATACACCTCCCGAAGAACCAATTTCGAAACAACACTCGTACATCACCTGCAAACCCTACAAACGCTACGACTCCGACGCTTCCTCTATCAGCAGTGCTGAAGGTGTCGACGACTTCGACAGTCCCATCTGGTGGGACATTCTCGATCACGAAGAGGAAGCCATCGCTCGCTACAAGAAATTTTTGCGCGAGCAGATGGCCAAAGGACGGAGTTTGAAGAAGCAGGAAGAATCCGAGAACATGATGGCGAGAATGGAAGGTAAGTTGAAGCTATCCCGAGATCGAGATAGCAAGTACTGATGCATATGATAGNCGAAACGCAAGCCTGCGCCGAGTCCAAAGACTGTCTCTTTACCAGAAAGACGCAAGGAGAAAGTCGATCACACACATATCGTTGAGAAGATGCAGAATTCACGAGATCTGGCTGGACCAGTCGAATTTTGTTTCTGGAGTATGAACGGGCAAGAGTGTCGGTGTGGAAAATGTTGATTGGCGCTTATCATTCGAGGGATGATTGTTTCTTGAAGGCGTTTGCAATGTTGCTGGTTTTGGAAAGGGCAGTCCGGTTTGATGTTGGCATCAAAGCACGGAGGTGCTCATTTAATGATTAGATCTGGTACAGAATATACTTTGATTTACCATCCATGTCCGATTCGCATGTCTCTGTTAGATCAAGAAGACATACGTGTCACCTCTTTGTGGAAGGGAGTTGGCCTCGGCCTCGCCGACAACGGAATCGACAGCAGCTTGTTGATGATCCTAACGGTCGAATTGTTGTCCTGTCTCATAGCTTTGACGTCCTTTGGGCTACTTGCATACTCGAGCACTCATGCTGTGCTTCTTTTCCAGTATTGCTTTCGATTCCGTAACGAGCCACAAATCTTCCTAGCCAAAGATTTCCGTGGTGTAAGGCCTCAACCAGTTCCTCTCTCTGCAGCATAGAGCTCACTCACATGCAATCATGATGATGGTTTCGCCAGCGGACTTGTGAACCAAGACTCGTTGCTACACTCCAGAGGGGTTGCTTTTTCTAGAAGTGGAGCAAAGTTTCTTCAGCGCAGAAGCATAGACACCTCGCGTGAATGGACGTTGAAAGAGAGTTTGAGAGTCCAGAGACTAGTCAAAAAGGAGCTTACCGGAACATGCGCCAGAGCCCAAGCGCGCGACTGAGCTTGTCGTATATGGCTATATTTGCGTCAATGTTGGCTATGCGAGTGCAAGACGCGAATGGAACATAGAGCACGATGGTGTTTTTTGTGGTGAAGGGAGGAATAGGAGAGATGAATGATACTGTAGGTCTATATGGAAAAGCTGCAAGCACAATATCGGCAAAGCTTCACCACATCGAATTTCGTCTGTCCACCGAATTGATGCTCGCAGGGGGTCTCTGGCTGCAAACGAATACAGAGATTGTGATGTATTAAGCTGTATGTCAGAAACCACACCTTTGCGGCAAATTTGCCAAGTCGGCATGCTGCTGTAGTAACCCTGTTACAGAACCCAAATAGTTCTGTGCTATCCTAAATGTGACGCCAATAAAAGAAAGCATCATTTTCGTAAAAGTCGTATAGTCGTGAGGCGCTGGTTTAATCATCATGCGCCGAAATGCTTGAAGATTAAGCTCTGTTGATCTGCTCTACTCAGCGTCGATGGCGGATGATTCTTCGGACAAGGACTCCATCGACCATCGTCGTTTGATATCGTCGAAGCTCTCTACAGATTCTCGTCGAGATGAACCGATAGGAATAGTGTGTCGTGTGCTCGAGTGTCTCCCCTCGCTATCATTGTGCGCACTCTTGGGTGCTCGAGGCATAGTAGGGCTCGTCAATGCATAGGGTGACCAATGTTTGTATGAGTCGGAGAAAGAGTCCGAGGCAGTTGAGCTGCGTCTCTTCTCTGTGTAAACTTCTGGGGCGAAGTGAACATGTCTGTCAAGAGATTAGCATTGGCATAAATAACATCTTTATAGGAAGACTTACTTGGTAGGTCGTAATGTAGTGCTAGCCATGTTTGATGTGAGGGTCTCCTGAGAATCCGTTGTATGCATAGTGAGAGAAGCTGGCATAGTGATGTCGTGTAGGCGTATATAGAGATGGAGTTTGATGTAGGGATGGGACAAGAAGGAACGAATTCAATGGCTATAAGTATTCCCTCCACTGTGCTAAAATTTCTAGAAACCCAATGACGGCAGGTGACCTATTGGAGGCCCGATCTGAATCGAGCCGCGCAAGCAATCTGCTTAGAATAGGGAAAAGAGGAGTAAATTGCTAGCAGCGAAACCGTAGTCAGGCCGGTGGTGTGATGGTAGTAGGCGATTGCGGAGAAGTACGGGAACGTGAGGCTGCAGATGGGAGGCAGGTACCCCCGGAAGTCAGTGTTTAATCAGGCGAGTGATGCAGAAACACCAATGGGGATCGTGAAATCGGCATGTATCGTAGCCGTGTTTGAGCACATTTTACCTACAGATCATGATCCGAAGGCCAGAGTGGAGCAGCTGTGCGTGCAAGAATGAGGCTCTCCGGAAGCTAAACTCTATGCCATCGTGGCCCTGAAGATCGCTACGACCGACAACATCATTTTTGTGGGTTGAAACACCCATGATGTGCGAAGGGTCGATCTGGTGTTGCCACAGGACTGAAAATCTTGGGAATGAAGTCACTGCATGTCGTGCTTGCCATCGAGCAAGTTCAGCAGCGACTTGTTAGGGTCTCCCAAAGTTGTGTGGCTACTCGTATTGCTTGGGCATTTTGTCAAAGTGGGACCGGTGGAAAGCAGGGTATTCGGAGAGCCGATTCCAAGACATGTTCGGCGCATAGATATCGTCGCGGTACGCGAAGATCGTGCCATCGACCTATCGTGTATTGTGCTTCGGCAAAGCAAGGAATCCCCCTGGGGGATGTTTTCTGATGCCGATGGAGCACCGCATTTCTATTCCGTCGTCCTCAGGGCACACTCGAACGTTGAACACTCTTGCCTCGATGATCGAAGCTGTTGTTTGTATCACAGCCAAACGTCATGTCAGAGGTGAAAATGAAAACTTGTGTCCGAAAGAATCGGCGTCATCGGGCCAGTTGCGGATTGCGGCCTGTGCGCACTCACCTATCACTGAGCCACCGACAGGACCCGCCCTGAGTCGTTCACGTCTATCTCTCTCAAAGCACTCCACTATCTTGATTATATCCGGGTCGCTAGCTTGGATGCAAATGCCTATTACGACAAATCCTTCTTATTGTGATGAAACTAGGCACAGCCCTGTACAGAGATTAGGTGCTGGACCAGTCACTTTCCAACCTGGAAGGGCGTGACGGTTGTTCCGATTTTTGAATTAACGAGACAACAAGCACATCATCGCACAGTGAACATGGAGCGATCACTCTTCGGCTTTCTTCTGTGTCTCCCATGCCGATACCTTGATTTCCTTTGAGCCGACTCTCTTGGCCTCTGCATTCAACGCTTCGATCTCTGCTTCAACATAGGGGATCCCCGATTGTTTCCGTTCTTCTTCTGTCAATTGCTCAAGCTCTCCTGGCATGTAGATGCGATCGACTCCAGCCATTTTGTCCGAGCCGACAACGCGTTGGTAGAGATACTCCATCCTTGCTTTGAAATCCTCCATGCTCATGAACAAGTCTGGTTTGATCGCGACCAGAAAATGCCCAACATCCGCTGGCCTTGACGGATCATAGGGGTTTGTGACATGACCTGCAAAAGCAGAGCCAGATAACACTCCACTGAAGACATCCATCATGATCGCCAATGCGCTTCCTTTCGGGCCACCCATTGGCAGCATGACACCTTCTAGAGCTGCTGATGGGTCGTCTGTCTGTCGTCCTTCGGCATCTAATGCCCAATCTTTTGGTATCTTCTCACCACGACGCTTTGCTTTATAGATCTTGCCGCGCGCGGCAACAGACGGTGCCATGTCCAGAATAAAAGGATGTTCGTTTCCTGGAGCTCCGCAAGCGATAGGCGACACTCCCATTAGCTTGGACTTCCCTCCCCAAACTGGCAACGCCGGAGAAGAGTTGGTAAACACAAGAGACATGAGGCCAGCGTCCAGAGCTTGCTGAACCACCCATGCCGACATCCCGAAGTGGTTGGAGTGTTTTACCGATACCATGCCGATACCGAATATTATGGCCATATCAATAGCTTTCGCCATGCCGAGTTTCGCAGCCACAAATCCAAACCCATTCTTGCTGTCGACTTGAGCAACGACAGGTGTAATTTCCTTGAGTTCTGGTTCTGCTGCCGGGTCTAGCACGCCTTGCCGGATTCGAGCCACATAAGAAGGTATTCTATTGACACCATGTGTATCCACTCCTCTCAAATCTGCTGCAACAAGGCAATCGGCGACTGTCGAGGCATGTTCTGGAGAAACTCTGTTTGCTTCAAGTACTGCCTTGACATATGCATGTGCCTCAGAAGAAGGGATTCTGACTATGCGAGAGCTGGGCTGTTCTTCAGACATGTTTCAGGTCGTGTGTTTGATCTGGACAATTCGAAGAGCTGACAAGATCGTCGTCGGGTTTGTATGGACAGTTTTTGTCAAGCGGACAAGTATGAGTAAGAAGTCGGTATTCGGGTGGGGAACTCATCTGCCGGTGACGGCCCCGATGTCCGTCAAGATGCAACACCACATACTATCAAAGGGAGTAACGAGATCGATTCCTGAGCGTTTGTGTCTCTCAGATAAGTATCGCTGCTGATCTCTTTCACCAGAGAGCGGATAGCCTTCTAAAGAATCAGAAACTGCGATATGCGGTATTGAAGCTCGGTTAAATGCACAAGAGTTTTGGAGAGAAGTGCGGAGTGTGGGGCATCTCCAAACACATCTCCATTCATCACTCCTCGAAGTTTTCTACTCTTGCCTGCCAACTAAAAGCACTTTACCTCAGTACAAGGTTTACTGGCGAATGTTTTTGCAAGAATCTGAAGCCTCAGCTGTTGATATAGTAGACATGCGCTCAAAGTCCACGTTGACCCCATGGCATTGACTTTCTTGCCGAACCTGTGCTCTGGGCAAGGTGAGTCAACATGAGGGCATTACGGTAGCTATGAGCACTCAGTGGCCTCCCGAGTCTTGATTCTTGTTTCCTTCACGACAAACGTTCTTGTGCTTGCTTGAGCTCCAACGGGAAACTGGCAACCACCTCTGCCCAAGACTTCCGACTACCTGCGACACTTTCATATCACCCTGACCACACTTTACAATGTGCAACAGGAACCTTTCTCCTGACTTCTGGAATGTGAAAGCGGCGACTTTCGTAGACTTGGCAGCTCTAGACGATGGGATGGCCTTCAAGAAAACAAGGACCAACAACCAGCGCAACACGACCCGAAGCCGATTTCAGTCCCGATTTCAGTCAACCACAGGTATCGTGACATTAAAAGCGCAGAACCTTCGCGAGTTGCGCCCACGCAACGAAAACCATACCTGCGCAGACATTGAAGTCCCTCACATCAACAGCAGCGTTCCAACGGCGCACTCGGTTGGCTCAAATTCAGCAGAAGAGAGTGATATGGAGAGTGTGGATATATCTTCAGAAGACGAATCCGACGATGGCTGGTCGGTCATCAGCGATGACAGCGACTTTGTTGTTGTTGATTCTGCTGAGACCATACACCGGAGTTCGAAGACCAAGTCAAAGAGGAGACCATCTCTACCGAGACGCGTCTCAAAGGTGCAGGCCAAATTGAGCACTGCAAGCGTCCACCAAGAGAACATGATGGCGAGTGAAAACGATCGGGAAGAGCTTAAGTTGGAACCTGCTGTAGACGATAACAGTCAGGACATTGTTGATGATACACAACGATTGGCCGCACCTAAACCTAGTGGTAACACAATAGACGTCCTTATCGAGCGTCTTACCAAGCAAGCAAGAGCTCTAAGTCTTGAATGATGATGCAAGGCACATTCTAAAGGATGCAATATCGCACGAGCATTTAAATAGTACTACTAGTCCATATCTGTACAACTTGGCTCGTCTTTACATGCTTCCCGAACTGTTCGAAATTTGGTCAAGTCGAATATGAGAGTGCGGAAGAAGTTGAAGTCGTCTCGAAAGACTCGGAACCTAGACTCGGGAGAGAAGTGCGGAGGGTATATATAGTGGGGTACGTACCTCCCAATCACATCATCGTCAACATAGATGACCATCTCGTGGAAAACTATCCTCTCACGACTTTCTCGAATCCATCAAAAATACTCAGCATCATGGGCAATGAAGAAAACAAAGTCGACCCCCAAAATGACTACGACCTCTCCAAACCCCTAACCGCTACCACCGGCCTACGACAAGGCCTCACCTCCTACGGCGACGCCCACTTCAGCCTCTTCCTCCGAAAAGTATTCATAAAAGCCGCGGGGTACGGCGAAGACGCCCTCTCCCGCCCCATCATCGGCATCATAAACACTTACTCTCAATTCAACCCGTGCCACGCCAACATACCCCAACTGCTCGAAGCCGTGAAACGAGGAATCCAACTGCATGGAGGTTTGGCAATCGAGTTTCCGACCATTAGTATACATGAGAGTTTTGCTTCGCCCACGAGTATGTTTTTGAGGAATTTGATGGCGATGGATACCGAGGAGATGATTAAGGCGCAACCGGTGGATGCGGTGGTGGCTATTGGGGGTTGTGATAAGACTGTGCCTGCGCAGTTGATGGGAGGCATTTCGGCGAATAAGGTTGTGTTGCCGTTGGTTACTGGACCTATGATGCCGGGGTCGAATAGAGGTGTTAGGGTTGGTGCGTGTACGGATTGCAGAAGCCAGTGGGCGGCGTATAGAGCTGGAGAGATTGACATGGAGGATATTGCTGCTGTGAACGAGGAACTCGCTCCTACGGTAAGTTTGTTGGCATATGACTCCGCCTTCTAGTGTGATACTAATTGTTGATAGTCAGGAACTTGTGGTGTAATGGGTACTGCAAGCACCATGGCTTGCGTGACTGTTGCACTCGGGTTGATGCCCTTCGATGGCGCAACGGCACCTGCTGTTTCTTCGGCACGCCTGAGGATCGCTGAGCGGGTGGGTGCGAACGCAGTCGCAGCAGCTGCAGCTCAAAGACTGCCTCAGTCAATCCTTACCAAGGAGTCTTTTCTCAACGCTATTACGGTCCTTCAGGCTATTGGAGGATCAACCAATGCGGTGGTTCATCTGATGGCCATTGTCAATCGTCATCCTGATGTGGCTGGCTCGATCACGCTGGAGACTTTTGATGAAGTTGGAAGGAAGACACCACTTCTAGTGGACCTCAAGCCGAGTGGCGACAACTACGTATGTGACAAGCAGCGAGAAAGTGCGCAGAATCTGAACTGACCGTACACAGNNATGAACGACTTCCATAATGCTGGCGGTATGCTTGCTCTATTGCATACACTCAAGCCACTACTTCACCTGGAAGCCAAAACGATCAATGGCAAGACTCTAGGAGAAGAACTTGAAGCCACGCCGTTCAAACCATTCAAGTACTCAAGCGAACTGATCAGACCGCTCTCGGATCCGCTATATCCAAGTTCTGCACTTGTGGTGTTGCGAGGAAACCTTGCGCCGAGAGGAGCAGTGATGAAAGCAGCCGCTTCGAAAGAAAGAAGCCTCCTCACCCACACGGGCCGCGCTGTAGTCTTCAAGAATACGGCAGACATGGCACAACGTATTGATGACCCGAACCTACCAGTGACCAAAGACTCTGTGCTAGTCTTACAAGGGGTGGGACCGATTGGTAATCCCGGTATGCCAGAAGCCGGAGTCATTCCCATCCCTCGCAAACTCGGAGCTCAAGGCGTCAAAGACATGTTGCGGATATCCGATGGACGCATGTCTGGCACAGCTGGCGGCACAATCGTTTTGCACATCTCGCCAGAATCTGCACTACCTGATTCGGTGTTTGGATGTGTGGAAAATGGAGATTTGATCGAGTGTGATGTTGAGCAAAGACTTCTCAAGCTGCACGTGTCGGATGAAGAATTGGCGCACCGCATTGCTGTGCGATCAGCGGCTAAGAAGAAGGAAGAGCATGGCACGAAGAGAATCCACGGAAAGCAGCGTGGATATAGGGGATTGTATGAGCGATGTGTAAACCAAGCAGAGGAAGGTGCTGACTTTGACTTCCTCACAGCAGCAGGACCTACGTAGACGTGATAAATCGAATATGTTCTCTTTGTAGTGTCCATATCGGAGGTGTTTGAGAGAAGAGAGAGTTCGCAATGGTCGAAGAAGGAGGTCAAAGCTTACAGGCTTGGCAGAAAGTTGGACTCGCGAAAGATGCGGCGAGAGACAAATTGACGACGACAGGTCACGCCAACACCACACTCATAATGTCGCGGATATCTACTTTCGGAAGGGCTGTCAGCCAATTGGCGACCCCTAATGTCTCCTCTACCACCTGCAGATCATGCCAGCTACGACTCAGCGCCGCCTCGCAACAACGCCAATTGCAGACCTCCGCTGCTCGACCCGCACTCGCCGACCGCTTCAAGTCTGTCTTTGGCGGCAAGAAGAAGGAAGAGGACTCGACAGAAGTCGCTAGACCTGAATTAGCAGAATTCGACGACGGCACACCACGAAAGCCCGACTTCCCTGGATGGTATCTACCAAAGGAGAATCTGCCCGAAGGATGGGCCAAGACACCGCAAGAGGACACAGCATACGTTATGGCATCTGAGGGCAAGGACTTGGAACACGTTGGAAGTGAGAAGTGGCTCGAGCAGCAGTTCGACGACAAACCAAAATACAAGGNNGGTACAAAGCACATCACTCTGGCCATACAGGGACTCATGCTGACGTTTCGCAGATGGGCAAGAGTAAAGAAGACCAACGGATTATCCCCCAAGGATGCTGGAGAGCAAGTCCTGAAGGCCGCAAAGGAGGCCGGCCTCAAGGTGGACCAAAAGGGTTTGGATTCTGCAGTAACAGAGATCAAGGACAAGTTCAAGGTATGTGGATAAATGAGCACGACGACAGAAAGGCCAGTTCTGACATGATTTCGCACAGNNCTCACCAAGATCCTACGAACAACCACAAACATGCAGATTCCAGACATCGTCATGCACAGAGCAACAACACTTAAGGACTTCCAACAAGCCATTCTCACAAAGCCCAAGCCCAAGAAGTTGGCCTTCACCCTCTTAGCCAACGAGGAGTTGATGGCAAACCGCAACATTCAGGTTCGCGGAGGCCGTCAAACATCGGTTCACAAGGACAGAGCCGTTGGCAGGTGGAAGCTGATTGAGGAAGAGCTTATCAACAAAGGCTTGCCTGTATTTGGACATGGAATCAAAGCCAACAGAGGCTTCCAGACTGAAGAAGTCAAAGACCAAACCGCATAAGTCAACCCGACGCGTGCAGTATTGGACAAAGCCATCTTGTAAAAATACCAATGTAAGCATTTAGCGAGGCCTTCGATGACAAACATGCTCCTGTGTACTATATGAAACAGTCAAACAACATGATCCCTGCCATACACAAGTAGAAAGCAAACGAGACTCATCTGGAGGCTGCAGAGAGTTGGGAGCATTCGGCAAAATGCCTTTACTGTAGCGATAGTCTGTACTACCATTTCCCTGCGTCCAGCACGTTGATAGGTTGATGAACCTGCCATGATCTTGGTAGCACAATTTGGACATGGTCAAAAACATGAAATAGCGCACGGGCCATATCTAGCGCAAAAGTTGATGGAGCGCTGCCCCGCGGATGACGGACTGGTAGTGAGAGGCGTTTGTCTACAGCGGAAAAGAGAATCAAAGCAGGCACCTCACTCCGGAGGCGCATGTTGATATTGGTTTATTGCCTCTGGAGTACGAAGCTCGTCGCCATCTCATCCCTCACCATGAGCTCGAAGGCAATGGCTCGGCAGCGCATCGTGCCTGCCATTCCCCATCAACTGACTGTCCGCCGCGCAAAAGTCGTTCCAGCAGGCAAGAACGACCAACAGACCGCCCGCGACAAGGGAAAGAGCGCATCACCTCCAACCAGCGCGGACAACTCGGAAGCTGCAACGCGCACGAACGGCATTGAACACGAAGTTGCGCAACAGCATGACGAGAAGGCCGTCTTGCTCAACGGGTCTAAAGACGAGCAAGCCAAACAGGTGCTCGCTGAGGAGGAGCCTGTCGCAATCAAGGAGCTTGCTGTGAACAAGGAACCCGAGGATAAAGAGAAGCTTGTTGAGACCAAGGAAGAGCTTGCCGCCGAGAAGGAAGTGATTGATGAGAAGAAGGAGGTCAATGNNGTAAGTCGTCCATGGTACCTTCTCTCACATGGCGTACAGAATACTAAATGATAAGTAGGAGTGACTGCCCCCATTCCTCGTCGTCAGCCTCACCACCAAGACGCTCAAGCTCTTCCATTCATTCCCAAGCATAAGCACAAGCATAGCGAGTCTCTTGTCTTTGGCGGCCTTCAGGACTCGTCCAGCGCATCGCCTGCTGCCATGTCAAACTCGGTCTTCTTACCTCCTCCACCCATGTCCGCTGTTCCTCCTGCAGTGAATCCCTACGACAGTTTCTCTGCTGCTCAGCAATATCCATCCGCCGTTCCTCCTGCACCTGTCGCTGTAATGGCTCCTCCTCAACTGACCAACGGCCACGCCTTTGCACACACAAATGGAAGTGCCGCCCACCTTGGAAGCATTGCATCTTCACCCTCGCGCACACCATCAGTCCCACTTGGCGATTCTGCCGTCGCTACGCCCGATGCTTATGTGCCACATAAGCATCATGCTCCTCAACCATCTTACCTTCCTCCTCCCCCTCTCAACAACAACGTCCAGCATCTGGCCGACTATGTCCTCTCGTACTGGAACCAGCATGAGTTTGCTGACTACCTTCTTGAGCTTTACTCTGGCAACCAATCTTCCAACCCTCTGATGCTGCCTGTGCACGGCATCGTTATTGCACGCTACCCTGGTTTCCTAAAGCTCATCAACAGCCTCCCTCAGACTCGTACTCACTCGCGTGCCACCATCGTCCACGTCCCTCGCAGCTACTGCTTTGCCGACGCTTCTGCTTTCGCCGATGCACTGCGCTACGTCTACGGTGGCCGCTTGATCGAGCCCATGTACATTTTCAGCAACCCTGCCAGCACTCCAACCACCCGCATGCGCTACGTCCTATCATACCTGGCTGCTGGTCACTTCTTGGGCGCTGAACCCATCGTCATGCATGCCTATAACATGGCTTTGCGCATTCTTGGTTTTAACGAGCTCGAAACTGTTCTGTTCTTTGCAGCATGTGGCTGGTGCCTTACTGAGAATTGTTTGTATGGTCCCTACGCCGACCAGCTTGTCTGGCAGGCTCTGTACATGATCGTCTCGAACATCAATGCAGACTTTGTCTTTGACGCCTCGGCCCCTGAATTCTCATCTGTCCCTCGCCTCCCTGTCAGCTACAACTCGACCTCAACATCTCGCCCCGACTCGCGATCCTCTTCTGTCTTCGCTTCCTCAGACGTCCAGTCCAGCCAGCGTCCCGTGTCAGGCATCCGTTTCGGTTCAGCAACTCCTAGCAGTTCGGACACTTCCTCGCCTAACTACCTTCTGTCATCTGCACTTGTCTCTTTGTCCTTCGACTCCCTGAAGATCGTCCTGGAGCACGACCAGCTGGCGGCAAATTTGGGCATCGATACACTGCTTGCCATCGCTGACGATGTTGTGAATGAGCGCGAGCGTCGTCGTGTCGACGCTTGCAACTCACTGCACGACCAAAAGAAGAGCCCGGAAGGCGTTCTTCTGCTTGGAGAATCGGTGGGTCGTGATGCAACTGGTACACGCCTTCAGCTTCACGCAACCCGCCTTGGTTGATACTCTACAACATCAACCTTGCTTATGGAACGCTTTAACGAGACTCTGCTTTTTTCTTTTCTTCCTTTCTACTTCTTGCTTCTTTCTTATCTACATTCCTCCCTCACAGAGGAGCTCTTGGGTTAATTAGAGCGCTGGCACATGGGAGAACAACACAAAAGCGAATCAACATATGCGAAACCATCGCTAACTTGCTCGCGCTTTTTTCTTTTCTTAATATGTTCTTTGTTTCGCAAGCGTGGCATTCTATTGGCATGGCGAAGGTGCTCAAAAATGGGAACAAAACGGGGACCGCACAATTCAAAAATGATACCAAATCCAATTTTTCAATACAAAACTCCAGTTCACAAAACCATTTGTCTTTTGCTATCCTCTGCTGTTTGATGAATCTGTATTGTCGGTGTAGAGTTTGCGAGAGCGAGTCTCGTCGTCTCTTCGAAAAGAACGCCCTAGCTAGATGCTCTTTCATCTTGGCAGCAGCACATGCGAGGAAGACAACACGACGTAGAAGAGAGGAGTTTCATGTATAGACTAAGCTAAACGAAAGAAGCAAGTCATAACCATCAACATCATCCAGCATAAAACCAAGGGCCCTCTTGTGTGTATCATAACATTCGTGTTTCTCATCCTCGAAATCCCTTCACCTTCTCATCCTTCCCAAGCACATCCCCTCCCTTGCCCTCATCACGACTCCAAAACCTTCTTGGCCCTTAGCGCAGCAGCATTATCAGGCCCACCCACAGCAGCTCTATGCATAGCAGCCGCATACGCCTTTGCATTCGCAACTTTGACGTCTTCTTCATCCGACTCTTCTGCTGTTACCTCTGCTTGTTCTTGTTTTCGTCTATTTTGTCATCGTTTTCTGTAGCTGCTGATTTTTCGTCTTCGGGTTCGGCTTCGACTTCGTCTTCATCTTCCGAAGAGGAGATTTCAGAGACATTGGCAGAGGCTTTCGCGGATTCGNGATTCACGAAGCATGCGGACTTCTTTGCCGCGTTTGTGGCAGTACCAGAAGACGAATAGGAGGACTNNGTGAATTGTCAGTAATGCATCCAGAAAAGAGATAAAAAAAGGAGAGGACTCACTGAATACAGCCAAACTCATAACCACATTCGTTCCAGTAACAAAAGCCGGAAACCTGACTTTCAGGAAATTGACGATATTGGTCAACATACTAGTGACAGTACCCTTGGAAGAAGCCAAATCCTTGATGTTGGGAACTTTTCTCTTTTGCTTTTTCTTGAGGTTGAGGTTTGGCATGTTGGCTGCTGAGNNGGCAGAAGATGAGGCTGCACTGGCAGCTTCCATTTGTTTCTTGAGGTCATTGCCAGGTTTGTCTCCAGCCATTGCCATAATTTCCGGTCCCATCGACGTTGCAAACTTGGACGGGAGAGATTTGACCAGTGTTTGTACAAAGGGAGGCATATTCTTGAACATTTGCTCGAGGTGTTTTTCGTTTTCTTTGAGTAGGGTTTCGAGGTCTTCCCATGCTGTGGGTGCACCATTGACGATGTCTTTGAGGATCAAGGTGAATTCGGAGTAGAGGCGTTGGGATTGGTCGCTGAAACTGAAGACGCGGTTGTTTATGGCGGAAAGATTGAGGCGGTCGAGCAGAACGGAGACTTCGCGTTCGTCTTGTTCTTTGGCTTCGGGAGTTTGGGCTTTTGCGGCTGCTTCTGCTGCTTCGTGGGCTTTTGCGTTGCGGCCGAATGAGGGGATTGCTGGGACTGTAGGGATGTAGGAGGCCCAGGTGCGTTGAGTGGGTTCCGAGGTCTTCTCGTCCTTTGAGTCTATGGTTTGAGCCTTGGAGTCGTCGGTCTCCTCTTTTGGCTTGACGTCTTCCTTTGGTTCGGCCTCGTCCTTTGGTTCAGCATCCTCCTTGAGCTCTGTCTCCTCCTTTGATTCCGACTGAGGCTCTTGAGGCGCATCCTCAATTTGCTTGATTGCAGGTTCTNNGATGTCGTTGTCGACTCGTTGGTAGGCTCGTTGGTGGGCTCGTCACTAGTCTCTTGCGTGGTCTCCTTTGCGGTCTCAGCTAGTTCTCCGACCTTGTCTGCAGCGGCGTTCTTATCGTCCTGGGTAGGCGCCNTCGGAAGGTTTCTCTGAGGCAGCATCTTTGTCTTCCGTAGCAGCCGCTGCCTCCTTCTCCTCAGTCTTAGCAGTTCCCTTGTTGCCCCTCAACGAGGCGAGAGAAGGCACCGACGGCACACCAACACTAGGGATATAACTTGCCCACGTCCTCTTCTCTTTTTCATCGCCAGGACTCGCTGGTAGAATCATTTCAGCAGCTTCCTTTTGTGTCACATCTGCTTCCTTCTCGTTGCCTTCGTCGTCAATCACTGTAGGCTCGATGGTGGGAAGTGGCGGCGCAGGAGCCTCTTGACTAGTAATCCTTTGTAAAAACTGCTCGTCGTCGTCATTGAGAACAGGGTTCTGAGGGTTGGTTTTCTCCAGCGCTTCGCGGTTCTTGCGAGCTCGTGTCCAAGATAGGACGTCAAAGTATGAAGACATGTTGATTGTTTGCATGTGTTGTAAAGGTTTCAGATGGCAAAACGAAAAAACGGTCTGTAGGATTCTTAGGAAAAGTTGGGAGTGATATTTATTATTTCTAGAGGTGTCATGGGTGGTCGTTTCATAAGTTGGTCACTCTGCCGTGTTGCACTGTGGCGCAAGCTGTCAAAGGGTGACGTAGTGAGGCGTTCGCATGTGATACAAACCGAAGTCTCGACCCAACCTCCTCCCGTCTCTCCTTCCTTGACGACAGGCTGAAATGGCATCCAGTAGTAATAAGACGTATCAGATTCTGATGCTGAGGCTTTTCCTTCCCTTTCGCTCAACCCGACATCTTTTGTCATATATCGACCAGACTGGGTCACTTCGGCATTCCACTTTCGACCACAAACGCTGAGCATACCCTCCGTTCCAGAAGTACTGGTTTGAAAGAATGCACTCAGCCTACCAATACTGGCTATGAGTTGCATTGAACTCAGTCAACCATGAGAGAGCGCATCTCGACCGTAGCCTCGAGGATGTCACCCACTTCATCTCCCTGCTCCTTCCTCGCCAGCTTTTCTCTACGTCTTTGACATACTGACTCGTACTCCGTTCGAAGGGACTGTAGATGCGCATTCCTGGGCTCATCTTTCCGTGCCGCAGCAGCTGTACAGACAGTGTTCCATTGCATTCTTCTAGTGAGTTTGCCAGTTGGATATGTGCGCAACTCAACAGCGATGTGTGAGGGTAAAGTCCTCAAAGCTGCTACACCTGGCGCGCAAGGGTTGAAGCCTTCTCCAAGACTAAAGCCACCGGTTACGATCAGCTGCTCAAGTTGTGAAAGTCGTGCACGGATGAGTTTGACAACCTTGATTGTTTCTGATGGCGACCATTGGCTGTTGCCAATGTCGAATTGTAGGGTGCGGATGTAGTTACAACTCTCGCTGGTCAATCTGTCGTAGAAGATACAATGCAGCTCCTTGTAGTTGTCCGGTGAGTAGATGTGTACATCTGCGTTCGACCAAGCAAGAGCCAGAAGTTCTGATCTGATCAGACGGCAGGTGCTCGCGAGGAAGAGGAGGTCATCGATATCGGCAAGGTGGATGGTGCAATCGGCCATTAGTATGTGGCCAGCTGGGATGGATTTGGTGTCAAGGAATCCGATGTTGCCTTGTGGACCAACTCGTTTGAAGGGATGTTTGTGACGAATACGATCCGAATAAGCCCCACAGCGTAGAGGGTTGTGGCCAAAGTAGAGGATGCGTGTGTCTTTGGCGAGTGTGTGTTGCAGCAGTATCTTATAGATCGACAAGCGGATCTCTGGTGGTAGGTCGAAGATGGATAACATTGTTGTGGTGGGATTGATGTTGGTTGAGAAGAAAGAGAAAACGAGTTGTTCATAAGCGCAAGAAGTGAGTGTGAGGTGAGTGCAAATTGACACGCCAAGTATCCCACTTGTCTACCTAGGGCTTTTCACTTAGGTTGGTCCAAAGCATTTATGATTTTATCGCTATCACAATTTCACGTTCGACCTTCACATCTCAACTAGTCTTCTGGCAGCACAACTATATCAACACAACCCCGCCCCTCACAGGTCCAGCCAACCTCCCCCTCCCCCTCCATCTCTCTTACTGAGTCTCACAACCCAGCACCTTCCTTTTGTGTTGTCGGGTACACCGGCAGCACTTTCCTTCCATCCAGCCACAATGCCGCCCACCAAATCCAACGAACTTGATAGCGCTCGCAGAGACGACAAAATTCTCAACAAGACAAGAGAGACCAGACCAAACAAGCCAGGCTTGCTGCAGATCGCAAAAGCGATACATGAGAGTGACACAGATCGGAGTACCAGTCGGCGTCACAAACATGCACGCAAAGGGCGGACCCGATCAACTCGTTTTCTACGTTGCGGACAGGCACGACAATGTCTATGCTAGAAGGGCCAAAGGACCGACCTGTTCTGAAAAACACGTCATCTTCAAATCACCATTCGACCGGGAGGAAGAGAGACGTCGTGCAGTCACCAAGCGCGAAGAGGCAATTACTCTGCAGAATCTTGAGCTGAGTGGGCACATGACAACAGCAGAAGCTGTGATGGCTGATCGTCACCTGGGAGCTTTCCAAAGAGCCTTGAGACTACCCGCTACCAAGCACTTCTATCCACGCGCCGTGCCATACCCTCAGGATTACATAGACAACCCGATCGCCCTTGGCCTCCTCAAACGTTACAATGACACATATGGACAAAACATCTCTAAAGAGCTTATGGCCCACGCCTGCGCTTTCTATTTCTGCTGGGAAGACGAGTTTCCGACACGATTCGATGCGGCAATACACCTTGACTACTTCATCGTCTGGTACAAAAGCCAAGTCTATATTCAAAGACACAACACAAAGCCACAACTGGACAACACCATTCGCCAGTTGTCACTTACGACTATCCTTGGTTCGATCAAGCAGGCTCTAAATAACGTCGATGAGATAGCACAGTACAATCACCGCATTCTAGCTCCTGGAAACTATGATTGCCTCTGTTCACTTAGCCCAGTTGCTGCTGATGATGCAAAACCCGATGCTTCAACAATGGAACACGTTTACGAAACCGTCGACCAGTTCAAAAGTTTTGGTTTCAATGTGGAAAGAAGCTGAAAGAGCTTTTCATGCTCTGAATGCACACATCATTACTGCGAAGGGTCTGCTGCTCTCGAGATTGGTATCTCTTGCCTTTGTACTCCAAATACTGCAACCTTGCACTCGAGACCGTCCCCATAGTCGTTCAATACATTTTCAAGAAATGTCATTTCGATCTGAAACTGTCTAGTCACAATTCTACGTGATCTCCTGTAATCCACCTTCCTGAACAATGAAATCCTCATTCCCAACTGCCAGTGGACTAGAATAGAATGAACCGCAAACCAGGCGGGTCAGACCAGAGAGAGCTGTTGACATAGAGCAGCTCCACTGATCAAAGTTGGGTATGCAATTAGTTTTCGCATTTCTCGTACTTCTGGCAAAACCGTATGTCTGGCTTGGAAACCATCAAGCGAACATCTCTTGTACGGTAAACGCAATGCCAATTATCAACCCTGATTAGTCCTCTATCTTTTGCTCCCATTCCTTGGGAAGCAGCGAACCGAGATCATCTGATTCTGGTGGGGCACATCTCGTAGTGATTTTGACACCGGGCAGGTGAATCTTCCTCATGTGATTCTGAGCCTTGTGATCGAAACAGCAACCAATCTCTTCGTAGTGAGTGGAAGAACGTAGACCAAGTGTCATGTGGATATAGTAGTCGGCATCCAAGCAAGCACTCTCAACCTTCTTGCGCTTTCTTTCAATGGCTTTTGCACGGCCGATTGCATGATTGCTTGTAAGGAGTGCAACCAGCTGGGAACACGCCAGGGTGTGTGCATTGAAGCTACTGTGGTAGTGACTGTATGCAAAACGCATTACGTGGTAGTAAGCTTTGAAAGCCACAAGCAGGTCAGGACGCAGAGGAAGGAGTTGTGCAAGTATGGCTCTAGCTGGTCGACAAATCGAGAGCATCGTGAGCTTGCTTCCCGGCACATGAAGCGTGAGGTGTGGAAAGCTTAGAGTAAGTACCTCCAATGCAGGTAGATGGGTGTTGATCATTTCAACGATCTCCTCCATGGCTTCAAGACCATTCACCTTCCAGGGTTTGTCGAGGACCAGTTCTAGAGATGTGATGGAACTCTTGGTAACGAGTGGCATGCAGAGAGTAAGGCGAGGACTAAGTAATCCACAAATCATGTCGAGAGTTCCCTGAACTCTGAAATCTGAAGCTTTCCAGGCAAGGTCTGAGACTTCCTTGTGCAAAGACTTGCAAGTTCGAGCTAGAGATATCAAGGGCGCAGTGTCTCGATGATGGATAGCGGGACACTCTGAGCCAAACGCACCAAAAGGTCCATTTCCCTGGCGTCTGAAGTTGCTTCCTCTTCTGTACGTGATCGCAAGGGTCTGATGATCGATGTTCTTCTCCAAGATATCTGGGACCCAGAAGACACGTTTGTATTCTCCAACGGTATTTGCCAGAACGTTGTCGTAGACGATCTTGCGAACCTCGAATGGGAGATTCAGGAACCCTGTCATGATTGAGGACTTTGACTGTGTTTAGGGATGTGATAAAGTTGGCGAATTGGTGAAGGTATACCCAGCCCATCAGCCTTGTGGATCTTTCAAGAACTGGCATGAAAGAACGTTGGCAAGCGTATTAAAGAACCGTCTTCTTCTCTCTGCTAGTCATGACTATGAGCTGCTTTGTTAGCAAATAGAAAAACGATCGAGTATACAATGATACATGAAAGACGCCTCTGCAGCATCCGTGACGTTCGAGCCTTCTAAGGACTCATCTGTTCTCCGTACACAACTGTGCATTTCGATAGCTCCACGAAGATGGTATTAGTCGTTGAGGGAGAGGTCAAAACGTGATGTTAGCATACAGCAAGACCCTATATAACAGACCTCTGCATGCTAAGAACCACTCCCAGAACACCTCTAGCTTCTCCTCGGAGTAGCCAGGCCATCTTTCCCTCGGCCTACTCTCCCTCACAACCACGCAAGCTTCAGCGACGAAGATCCGACCTTCTCTGCTGCCTGCGAGGATAGTAGTACGACCTACGTTCGATGACCGGGTCGATATCGACATTGTTCTCTTTCGACTCGCTCGGAGTGTCGATAACGAGGCAGAAGTCACCGGCGTAAACCACGAGTATCACTTTGGCACTCCAAATCCATGCCGGATGACTATGTTCAAGGAGCCTTAGTGTTCCTGCCATAATTTCTCGTTGATGCACTCGCCTTTTTCTGCAAAAGGACTAGATATACGGAATAAAATCACGGTGTAGCAATTAGATAGAGCACGACGACAAGAGAAAGTTGTTGAGAGAACAGGCAACCAGGTCCAAACTCAGGTCGATAGGAGTCGTGGGCGGACGGAACAACAATTTCGTATCACACGCATGGTGATTGAGGTGTCTTTCAGTCTATGTCTTGCTGTTGTTCAGACAAAGGTATGTGAATATGCGACAGAGAAGCGTGAAAGAAAATAGGACGAGCGGCGGCAGGAGCCATCAGTGAACAGGTCAATGTCAACAAACCTTTCCAGTTGCGGCGACATTCGCACTTTCCTTCATTTCCAGTGTGCATCACCAAAAGAAGCAAAAGAAGAAGAGAAGCAACAATGACAACAAACTTTCATTTTTGTCAACCAGGCAAACCATCAAATCTAGATCTAAATAGAAAACATTGGATATCTCGATACAAAAAAACAAGTCCCAATAGCCAAAAGCACCCAGCATAGTCGTAACAAGTCATTCCTGAAATCCCTTGAGTCCCTAGTAATCCCATAATCATAATCAAAAACAACTTCTCTAACGGCCGCCGATCTGACCCTTGGGGACAGGTCTGATCCAAGCGGTCAAAAGACCGATACCCATCATAATAGCACCAATAGTGTAGAAGCTGCGACCATACAAAGTCGTCTTGCCTTCCACACTGTAACGGAAAATAATGGCGAAGATGATACCGCCGAGGTTACCACTGGCGCCAACAACGCCTGAGACGAGACCGTTGGCGTGAGGGTGCACGTGAGGAACAAGCGAGTAGTTGAGGCCGTTAGCGCCTTCCATGAAGAAACCAACACCGCCGGTGATGAGACCGACAAGTGCAGGGCGGTTGTGGGGNTTTACGACACCGGTGATGACCATGAACATGCCAGTGAGAGTAACGTAGGTGTGGAGCAGGACCTTCTTGCCCCAAGGTCCCGCCGCCCTGTATGCGTAATCTGAGGCCAGGCCACCTAGCGGGCGGAAAACAATGTTCATCAACCCAAACATTGCGGCCCAGTTGCCAGAATCTTGAAGACCGAGCTTGAGGTTGGCGGTGTAGTAGTTTCCAAGGATGCTGTTTACCGACAACTCACAGCCGAAAGTGCAGAAGTAGCAGAGACCAAGCACAAGGGTTTGAGGTGAGAAGACAACAGGCAAGGCGTCCTTGAACGAAGGCTTCTGAACAACTTCACCACGGACGGTATCGACCATTTGTTCTTCACCCATCTGAGCCTCGTTGTCGGCGAAAGTGCCGCGCATCTCATCGAGCTTCTTCTCTTCACTGGCGACGTCGGAGGTAGATGGTGAGCGGGAGGATTCCTTTCTAGCCTTCTCGGCGGTGATCTCACCAGTACCAGGAACATCAACAATGGCGCCTTCGAGGGCATGGGAGCGGAGGTTGGTCTCGGCTACTTGGAAGCGGTCGGACCACTTGCCAGTGGGAGTGTCATCACACAAGAAGAATAGAGCCAGGGCGACGGAGGTAATCAGAATACCTGGAACGACAAAGGCAACACGCCAGGAGACGTGGGGNGTCAGGCCATCGTCGCGCACGAGCGAGTTGTAGATGGCGGGCATGACGAAATAAGTGATACCACCACCAGAGTTACCAAGACCGGCAGTCAATGAGTTGGCAGTACCGATGATATTCTTGTCATAGAAGCCCGTTGTCCATACTTGGCAAGGCACGAAAGAGCCACCAAGGATACCGATGAAGAATCTGATGACATAGAGGCCAGCAGCGCTTGAGATGGTACCAGCCAGGAAGGTAGGGAGAGCACCAACAAGCAAGCATCCAGCGAATGTGTATCTAGGACCGAAGCGATCGCAAGCAGGACCAGCAACCAGACGAACGAGGAGAGTGGCAGTCAGAGCGATGATGTTGGAGTTGGCGATTTCGTGCTTGGTGAGTTTCAAGTCCTTGGCAATGACATCGCTGAGCAGTGGAGGAAATGCGTACNNCTTTCAGTCGGGTCAGCCACAGTCTGGGGTGAGTGATGTTTTGTGGGGACTATGTTGTACTTACCAGGACCAGAATGCCAACAAGAAGCCGAACCATGAGAAGAAGAACACACGTCCATAGTTGTTGATAGGATTGAGGACAGGAATGGAGCGAGCCTTCTTGTTGATGGGGTTGACCTCAGGGGCCGACCACAAAACGTTGATACCCATCTTGATATGGTATGTGATATGTCCGGACTAGAGTTGAGGAAGAAGACTACCAGAGAAGATTCCTCGAAGCCAGAAATAGGACGGCCTTTGAACCTCTTTCGGGTTGTTGGTATGTAATAGAATCCGGATGGAGAGACCAATTGCTGGGGCGAGGACGTGGAGGTTTAATATTCACCCTTCACTCACCTTGACGTCGAGCAATTTGTTCAATGTATCTCCGGTACACAACTGATTACCACAACGCCAAAGCAAAAACAAGTCCGCGGATTTGTGACTGCCGTCAGTGTGCAGATCTTGGGACCTCAGCTAATTCTGGGGTTGGGAGATCTGGAGCAGCCGGCCTTTCCTGGGCTGAGATAAGGAACCGCAGTGGAAATGGTCGAACGATGCGTGTACCAAAGTCGTACACAGAGCCGCATATGGTCAGCAACGTGGGTTCGGAAACGGGTTGACTTCAGGCTAAGCCGTGTAGAGATAAGGAACCGGGACTTTTAGGATGCTCTGCACATGAACCCTTGATCTACCACTTCTCTTTCTCCTTTTGCTGCTTTCAAATGATGGTTATTCATGTAGACAACAAATCTGCCTTTTGAGCTTCAGTGAGGTATGCTCGTCGCACAGAAGCAGACCTACATTCAGACCAACACAGTCCAGTCTGACAGAGCAATGTATCGAAAGCGGGCTGCAATGAGTGTGGGTGCCTGAATCGACGAATGGTTGTCCACGCATTGGGTTGGCTTATCTTTGGGCGCACAGATAACCACAGCTTTCCGACGGGAAAAGTGGATATGGCACATCCCCCTGCCTTATCAGTGGCTTGTCATAAAACCTCTCATCATAGAAATACTTGACCATCTGCGATGCAGAAGTGAACTCTTTTGGATGCATGTTGAGTTTTTGCTTTGTTCTCGAAGCAATTCTTTTGCCGTGCTTGCCTACTTCGCCTCGAGGATTGGTGNNGTGGTACTGGACGATTGCTTGACTAGAGTCGTCATTAGCACACTCATTCAACCTACGGATCGAAGTCGAAACGTCAATTCCTATTGCGGAAGACTCGGATTATTCTATCACTGGCAATTACCATTGCCTTTGCGACAGTCATCGCATGTGTAAAGCGAGCTTGCTGGAAGCAGAAATCTGTTGAACAGTGTCGTTGCGTTTGACGTTGACGCACCTTCCCGCTAGCTCCCGTCGTCCCTTATCTGTAGTCGTGATTGACCAATCACAGCTATCTGGCCATCAGCCTTTTAGACCTCTATCTATGCTGATCGTCTCGTGAGTTGTGCTCGAGTCGTTAACATGTGAAATGCTTGGTAGCAGAATACCACTTTATACATGCTATATAGAGGACGCCCACCATGTCAGGATGCATAGTGATTGCTTCTGGTTGCAGCTTGATATCCTACCTTGCATCCTATGATGTATGCCAATCTTGAGAACACGCAGAGAGTATTTGTTTGCATCGAGAGATCTTATCAAGGCAAGGGGCGAGTGGCTCGAAGGGTAGACATCGAGGTAATACGGTACTTTCTACCGTCTCCCCCTACTTGCAAGAGAACTGGTTCTAGGCGGAAAGCCACATGCCTTGTTGAATGCTGGAGAAACTCGGTACAGTAGCCAAGTCGTCCTGCTGGTTAACTTGTGATGAAGAACCATATGGCACATGTACCGTATCTCGTCCTCAGGATACCCGCGGAAATCCCACTATCGGACATATCATGATTGTTAACTACGTGAATTTCCTCTTTGGGCAAGCAAAAGCTGTGCTGTATCACTTTAGTGTGGTGTCGGACCGACCTGATGGCTAATACTTGAACAACTGAATGACAGGAGCAAGTCTTCAAGACACTTTCTCTAGTCAAAGATCTTCTGGGAGTTCTCGTCTGCTATTTGCATGGGTGAGTCGGTCCTCGGCATGCAAGCCGATATGGTCAGGTAGAAAAGCAAGTCGTGCCCGCTAAGGATACACACTCTCTTCGCAAGCATTGAACCTCCACAGGCGCTATTGAGAATGGGACCCACGACACAGAGGCATCTCCTGTGGCATGGCCGGAGAAACAGCATAGAGGAAATTTGGTTGAAGTCTGCAATTGTCTTTCCTGACTCTCCTACAGTATGGACCAGGGGCTCAACCAACCTCGTGAACTCCACTCGCTGGATCTGCTTCTCCGGGAGCAGAATCAAATGAATGAAGGTATCTCCGCGCAGCAGGTAGGTACGTGCACAGAGTAGCAATGAAGTTGCGTGGCGAACCGCCGAGCTGTTGGCTTGGCGGCAAGGACATGTTCTCCAGGGGCCCAGGCTCGCGAGGGCTGGATAGATAAGAGAATTGGGAACTGGCTTGCTTATACTTTCCTCTGCAATGCTAGGATGTTAGACCGTGGCTTGCTAAACATCTCCATTATCTGTTTGCCATAGGTGGGAGTGTTCTGAAGAGTAAGTCTTTATGAGGAGTGTTTATCTTCGCAGACCGTCATGCTCAAGCCTCAGCTGCCTCATCCTTTGCAGCTACAGCTGAGTGTTCGGTTTCCGCTTCTCCGGCTGGCATGTCAATCTCTTCTTTGACAACATGTGTCTCGTCCTTTTCATCGGGCTTTGGTTGAGCAATCTCCACGGGTTGCTCCTTGGGTGCTTCAATCTTCTTNTTAGGTTGTTCTTTGGGAGAAGGTTCAAATATCTCGGCCAAGTTGTATCGCTTCAGTGTCTCGTAGTCGTTGGGCACTACGCTGATACCGCAAATGCTCNNTGCAGAGGTTAAGTATAAGTGACATGACAGAAAAAGAAAATTCGAATGACTTACAGTGTAGATCTCGACCAAGATGAGGACGTCTGGGTTCTTGAGGTCGACTTGGTGTCCTGGACCGACCATTGATGCAACCTTCTGGATGATATCCATTCGCTTCATGACGGTGTGATTGCGGATCGTAGGACGAATAGCGAACNNTAGAAAATTCGTTAGCAGTCATGAAGACCACACGCAAGGAGAGAATCCAACCTTTGTAGGTACACGCGGTTCTGTGTGGAGATGAGGTGCAAGAACTTGCTTGGCTGTCTTTTCCAGACCATCTTCAGTCGCCTTGCCCATCAATGTCATCGGTGTAAGGCGGTTGCAGAACCTAGTGCGCTTGGGTGCGTTCTCTTTGGCAGCATCTTCGCATATTCTTCGTACAAATGAAACAGGTTCAACAGGTGCCCTGGTCTTGAAGAAGATAACTNNAAACCTAGTATTAGCAGAGTAACAGCTTGTGAGGCAGATTCACATACCGCACTGAACATCCAGCTTTATTGACCAGAACAGTGGTTTGTCCTGAGGCTTGCGGATGTCTGCTAGTTCTTGCTGGATTTCAGCTTCGATGTTGATCTCACCATCACCCTCATCATCAGAGCCGGCAGCACCAGCTTCTGCGGCCAACTCATCTCCGTAGAGCAGTTGGGCATACNNTACATCTTGTTAGCGAAATAAATAGTTGTCACGATCATTATGTACCTCATTGAACAGATCACGAAGTTCTCCAGTGCATTTGCCTTCTCTGCCTTTGTCGCATGTAGCCCAGATGCCTTGATCGCCTGGCAAGATCACTTTNTGCGATGCGTATTGGTCGGCTTTGCGAGGTACACGCCATTGCTTCTATTACCCTGTCAGTCTCTAGATGAGCAGAATGTGCGATGCAGAGATTTACCTTCGACTTTTGTTGCTCTTGTCGGCACCACCTGCGGGTGCGGCACGCTTCTTGCTTGCATCAGCCATGTCTTGATATTATGATGAAGAGTTGATAAGGACGATGGTGTATTTTTCCAAATGCACTTTGCTGGTTGGCAAGCGAGGTTGAAGTGCCAAGCAATTTCAAAAGGAAGTCATGATCAACTTTCAAGTAAGCAAAGCGTCACTGCTTTCTATGGCCGAGCGAATGTAATTGAAAAGGAAATCATTCATGCGTTTTGTACAGCTAAGTAAACTGCCTCATACCCGCAAAGGGAGGCATTTTTGGAAAATCAATAGTAACGAATAATGCTTTCCCACTCTCTTTGGCCCAAATCCTCAACGCCGACGACGCCGCTACTCCGACAAGATGGCTTTTCGAGAAATGACAGCCAATCTACATGCTCTTCCTTGACTTCTTCTTTTCCTTCTTGTCACCGTCAACGCCCTCGCTCTTGCGCTTCTTCTTCTTTTCCTTCTTGTCGGCTTCGTCGTCTGAGTCGGCGCCCATTGACTTTCTCTTCTTGTCCTTCTTCTCCTTCTTCTTCTCATCCTTGGACTTCTCCTTGCGGACGGCCTGCTCGGTTGCTGCAGCAGTGACACCGTCAGCCATCTCGACGTCCTCGGCAGCGCCAGCGGTGGGGTCCTCGACGTTGATGTCTCCAAGAACAGCGTTCATTGCGGCTTGCTGGTGGGTTGTTAGTCTGGTTCGTTCCATACAAGATCGTTAACTGCTGCTTACCATTGCTTGCTCGTTCTTGGTGGGGGCCTCGCCAGTGGCGTAGAAGTTCAGTCTCTCCTCGACCTGAGCCTTAAGAGCCTCACCAAACTTGGTGGTGGGAGTCTCTGAGAAGTTGTCGATTCTTGAAGCGATCGAAGTCTTGTTGGCAAGGAAACGAGAGATACGACCCTTGTTCTTGGCTCCAGCACGGCCAATGAAGGAAGAGTGGTAGATGATACCGAACTTGGGNGTGTTGCCCTTGGTCTTGAGGNNGGCTCTGAAAAGGGCCTTCTCGGCACCGAGAATCTGGACGGTAGAGGCGGGGTACTTTGCGAGGTTGGTCAAGGAACCAGCCTTGGAGATCAGACGGGCACCGACAGTCTCGCCGATGAGAGCAGCCAAGTTGGGGGCGACAATGCTCATCTTGGAGACGAGGTAGTTGCCAACCGACTTGCGGTACTTGTTGAGCGAAACGACGCGCTCGGCGAAGGCCATAACGTTCTCCATGTCAGCATCGGAAATGTCCTGACCCATGGAAACCTTTGCGGCGTCGATGATGCTGCGGGCAATGGCCTCGTCATCGTCGACAATGGCGGCAATATCGTGGATGTTGTCCTCGGTAAGAGACTTCTTGTCCTTGATCAAGAGAGCGAGCTGGGCGTATTTTGTGTTGTCGGAGACAATCTTGACCAGCTCAGGGAAGTGCCATCCGTACCATTCGCGGACACGCATGGAGAAAAGGTTGACGGCCTTGTCGAGGTGGTCGATGGTAGCAATAGCCTGGATGATGTGGTTGTCGTTCTTCTGGACGCTGAACTTGACCTTGGCGCGCGAGTAGGCGTGACCAAGACCGAGTTGGGCACGGTCAACATCACCGGTCTGGAGCTGCTTGAGGAGCTTCTCGGCGTGAAGTCTCAAACCACGGAGGAGGTCGGCGCAAACTTCGGAAGTCTCAGAGGTCTCGCACTCGAGCGAAGGGAATCCAGCCTTGATGCTTCCAGCAAGACCTCTGTCGGTAACACCGAGGACGGTCTTGTTCTTCTTGCTAGCCTTGGGCATGTTGGCCTCGAGGACGGTCTTCAGGTAGTCGGACATGATGCCCTCGGAGACGAGGTTAGCGTTCTCGAGAGCCTGGGCAGCGCCCTGGAAGGGAGCGAAGGAGACGAGCTCGACCATCTTGCCNTGGGAGGTATTAGGGCGATTGCGCAGACATTTTTACAATATACAGGAGGCGATACCGAACTTGGCGAGGTCCTGCGACTGCTCCTGGACTTCCTTGAGGCGCTGACCGACCGAGTCGGCCTGCATGCGGACCTTGAAGATAGCATAGCCCACACCGGACTCGTGCAANAGGTAGTCGACAGACATGGCGCCGAAAAATGGTTGTCTATTTGATATAGGGCGGCGCAAAGGTCTCGTCGGGTTGACGCTTTACTGTAGAAGAAAAAAGCTGGAGGACCAAAATTCGACGAGAGAAAACGCCAAGCATTCGAGCTTGCGGTGCCGTAGGGCTGAAGGCACCTCCGCGAGACGAGAAAGTTGTATGCTGTAGACAATCAGTATACAATATTACTCTCAGCTCCTGTACTCTGCTTAATCAACAGGGTTCTTGTCAGATTCTAGGCGAAGTCGTATTCACACATCGCCATCATGTCTGCAGCCCAACTTCTCAACCCCAAGGCCGAATCAAGGGTGCGTCCAGCCAAATAATTATTATGCGCCCGCCAAACAACCACTGACAATTGTATACAGCGCCGTGGTGAGGCCTTGAGTGTCAACATCGCTGCTGGTGAAGGTTTACAGGGTGTTCTTGCCTCCAACTTGGGTCCTTCGGGCACCCTGAAGATGCTGGTCGATGGTGCTGGCGGTATCAAGCTTACCAAGGATGGCAGTGTCTTGCTGCGCGAGATGCAGATCCAGAACCCTACCGCCGTCATGATTGCCCGCGCTGCTACTGCACAAGACGACATCACTGGTGACGGTACTACCTCTGCTGTCATTCTGATCGGTGAGCTCCTCAAGCAGGCTCAACGCTACATCTCCGAAGGCCTTCACCCCAGAGTCATCACCGACGGCTACGACCTTGCAAAGACCGAGACCCTCAACTTCCTTGACCAGTTCAAGCTTGACCGCGATGTCGACCGCGAATTGCTCCTCTCCGTTGCCCGCACCTCGCTCTCCACAAAGATCAATGCCACCCTGGCTGAACAACTCACCCCTGACATTGTCGATGCCGTCCTCGCTATCTACAACGCCCCTGCTAAGCCCGACTTGCACATGGTTGAGATCATGACCATGCAACATCGTACCGCCGCCGACACACAACTCATCCGTGGTCTCGCTCTCGACCATGGCGCTAGACACCCCGATATGCCCAAGCGTGTCGAGAATGCTTTCATCCTCACCCTCAACGTCAGTCTGGAATACGAGAAGTCCGAGATCAACTCTGGCTTCTACTACTCGAGCGCCGAACAAAGAGAAAAGTTGGTCGAGAGTGAGCGCAGATTCGTCGACGAGAAGTTGCGCAAGATTGTCGAGCTGAAGAAGGAGGTTTGCGGTACCGACGGCACCAAGGGCTTTGTCATTATCAACCAGAAGGGTATTGACCCCTTGAGTTTGGATGTCTTGGTCAAGAACGGCATTTTCGCTCTGCGTCGCGCAAAGAGAAGAAACATGGAGAGATTGCAACTCATTTGTGGTGGTATTGCTCAGAACAGTGTCGATGACTTGTCACCCGATGTCCTTGGTTACGCTGGAAATGTCTACGAGCACCAGCTTGGCGAGGAGAAGTATACTTTCATCGAGGATGTCAAGGAGCCCAAGTCGGTCACTCTTNTGATCAAGGGTCCTAACGCACACACCATTGCTCAGATTAAGGACGCCGTCCGTGACGGTCTCCGCAGTGTCTACAACATGATTGTGGATGGTAGCGTCGTACCGGGTGGTGGTGCCTTCCAGATTGCTGCACACGCACACCTGAACAGCGAGGCATTCCGCAAGACAGTCAAGGGCAAGGCTAAGTGGGGTGTTGATGCATTTGCCGATGCTCTTCTTGTTATTCCCAAGACTCTTGCCGCCAACTCAGGACACGACGTACAAGATTCAAGTAAGTTTCACAGTTCACAATTGACCGTACTCATACTGATTGGTCTAGTCGCCGCTCTTCAAGACGAGCAAGCAGAGGGCAACATTGTCGGTCTGAACTTGACGACTGGTGAGCCCATGGACCCTACACAAGAAGGTGTATACGATTCGTTCCGAGTGCTCCGCAACTGCATTGCCTCAGCCGCTGGTATTGCATCAAACCTACTACTGTGCGATGAGATGCTCAAGGCAAGACAAATGGGTAGAGCACCCGGTCCTGGTGGAGAGCAGATGGAGTAAAAAAGTCAAGCAAGTCAGATAAAAAGTAATCATGACGATCATGGCATAATGCGCCGAGTCGCAGCATTTCGTATGTTCCAGCATTCGCATCAGGTTCAGCAAAGGTGAAACTTGGAGTTTTGATCTCGACCAGCCACCAATAGTGAGAGCATGAGAAATTGGGAAAAGAATGCACCACGAAGACAACCCCCAGATGATGAATGGGGACCTGGTGCAGAACAGGCCAGCCATTGCAAGGAAGGCTTCAGAACGGCATTAGCAGTCATAAGAAGTGTTGCACGATGGATTGTGTGAATTTGATGCCCCTCGAACCCCACATTCGATGCCGCGGAATGGCAATGGAATAGGCGCTTGGCGGAGGAGTACCGGGAATAGCAGCCAAGAGTCGCATCACTCAATTCCAAAACTCGACGACACTGCGAGCGCGTTTCTTCTCGTTCACATAACTTGTGCTGACATTTGCTGCGTCCTTCTTCCCATCTTCCTCTCCTCCTTGGTCGTTGGGGTTCCCCTTGGTTCAGCGAGCGGACCCACAGGCAGCTTATTCTTCCCCATCTTCTCTCGGAGTTAAGTCACACGACCGTCCCAATATCTGCATGTGCACATAGCCGCCTAGCATGATTCGGTATAGACGTTACAGGGCCTTCATTGCCTTCACTGTCATTGCCATCTTGGCCACATATTACTTTGTAGGATATGGCAGCATAGACCTGCCTTCGGCCATCGGCGCAGGCGCCCTGAAGCAGGCTGGCAATGACGCTGCAGCTGCCGCCAGAGAGAAGGCTCAAGCTGGTCTTGACCTGATCAAACCTGATGAACCCACGAAAGAGGATATACTTGGAGCTCTGCCACCGCTTCCGACCACTAAAGCAGCTGCTTCTACCACTTCAATTCTTGCTGAAGCGCCGATACCCTTGACCCAGGATGCGTCCACTTCGTCCTCTTTATCTTCTTCCTCCTCGTTCTCAGCCGCCGCCGTCGTAACGCAGTCGCTCAGTCGAACTCAACCTCAAGATGCTGCCGCCATCTTACCTATACACGAGTTGGACGATATGACCGAGATTGGCGAAGGCAGGGTTGAGATACCTCCAGTCAAACAAGGCATGGTCAGTGTACCTGCCATACACTGGTCTAAGATGCCCGAGCATTTCCCCATCTCATCAACCATTCAACTACCCACCGGCACTCCCAAGGCTATTCCTCGTATCCAGCATAAGTTCAAGAAAGAGTCGTCTGCTGAAAAGGCCGATAGAGAACAGAAGCTGAACATTATTGGGNGCGCAGTCTCACATGCTTGGAGCGGATACAGAGAGAAAGCTTGGATGAGAGATGAAGTCCGACCTGTTTCAGGCGGAGCTCGCGATCCTTTCTGTGGATGGGCTGCCACTTTGGTTGATGCATTGGACACACTCTGGATTGTTGGCCTCAAGGATGAGTTTGATGAGGCCGTCAAGGCAGTCGGCGAGATTGACTTCACCACTTCTCAGAGGAAAGATATTCCTCTTTTCGAGACTACCATCCGCTACCTTGGTGGTATGCTCTCGGCTTATGACCTAAGTGGTGGTCAATACAGGATTTTGCTGGACAAGGCGGTTGAGCTTGCTGAAGTTCTGATAGGTGCTTTCGACACGCCCAACAGGATGCCCGTCACTTTCTACCGCTGGATGCCGACTTTCGCTTCTCAGCCTCATCGCGCTGGTACACATGTTGTCTTGGCTGAGATCGGTTCTCTTTCCGTGGAGTTCACTCGTCTAGCACAGCTAACGAAGGAGCCTAAGTACTACGATGCTATTGATCGCATTACTGATGCCTTCCTGGAGTGGCAGAACGCTTCTGGTTCCAATGCGACATATATGCCAGGTTTGTTCCCCGTTCACATCGATGCTTCTGGTTGCGAAAAACCTGCTCAGATCAAGTCCACCTATTCTCATCCTGCTGGAAAGGNNGGTGGCGATGTGGCAGTAGGTGATGGCAAGCCAGTCATCCCTCAACGTCCAGTGACTCAGGGTCAAGGCACACGCACTGGTCCTTCTACCGAGAAGGACGGTTCTTCTCAGCCTGTCAATGCTGGTGGATCACAGATGGGCTCATCTTCTGCCGGTGGAGTGAGCAAGATTGTTGGTTGGGACGATCCTTTGACCGAAGGCGATCTTGATAATCGCCGGCCAAAGGACAAATCCTCTCAGACCAACAATGCTGGTAGTTCGCAAGTAGATACGTCCTCTGCTGGGGGTGTGGGCAAGATCATTGGTTGGGATAAACCTCTCACCGAAGGTGATCTTGACAGCCCTCAGGCGAAGGCTGCCGTCCTTGACTCGAACAGTGCAGAACTCAACAAGCGCCAATTAGGTGATCTCGAGAACCAGAAAGAAAAGGCTGCAGAAGATGTCTTCCAAAAAGAGACTCAGGCTAGGATGCATACTCTCCAACAAGATGTATGTGTTCCTCGTGGACTGGCTTCGAGCGGCTCTGGTGGCTCTGAGACATTCACCATTGGTGGCATGGCCGACTCTTTGTACGAATACTTCCCTAAGCAGTATCTTCTGCTCGGTGGATTGGAAAAGAAATACCAAACTCTGTACGAGCAGTCTATTGATGCCGTCACCAAGCATCTCTTGTTCCGACCCATGACTCCTCAAAACGCAGACATTCTGTTCGTAGGCGAATATAGCGCCCACGCACCCACCAAAGAAGGCGCTGTCGAGGGTTCCTTCAAACCGGAAGGTGCTCACCTTTCTTGCTTCGCTGGCGGCATGTACGCTATGGGCGCCAAAATATTTGGACGTGACGAAGATCTCGAACTGGGTGCTAAGTTGACTGAAGGCTGCGTTTGGGCTTACAACGCCACAGCCACTGGCATCATGCCCGAACACTTTNTGATCTCGCAGTGCAAGAGCATGACAGACTGCAAGTGGAACGAGACCAAGTACTGGGAAGAATTGGATCCTTACGCCGAAGCTCGCACCAAAGTCAACCTCCCAACATCATTAGGAGGATCTCGTAATGCACCTCAAGTCAACAGGAGAGACCTTGATGGCCCTGCTGCAACAGTCCCTCACGTCCCTGCTCCTGCAGTCCCCAACAGCGTTCCCGAACTCGACATTGCTACATCAGCAGAACAAGCTCTACACGAATATATCCCTCCCACACCGCCCACCCACGAAGAATTTGTCCTCGCACGTATCTCTGAAGAACGCCTTCCCACCGGCATGACACGCCTCCTCAGCCGCAAATACATCCTCCGCCCCGAAGCCATCGAATCAGTCTTTTACATGTATCGCATCACCGGCTCACCTCATTGGCGCGAAGTCGGCTGGCAAATGTTCCTCGCAGTTCAGAAATACACTTACGCAACATATGGCGCTTCTGCCATTGACGATGTGACGAAATCTCTTCCTACCCAAGAGGACAGTGAAGAGAGTTTCTGGCTAGCAGAGACGTTGAAGTATTTCTATTTGCTTTTTGAAGAGGAGGGGGTTATTAGTCTTGATGAGTGGGTTTTGAATACTGAGGCTCATCCGTTTAGACGACCGGATGCTGGTGGTGTTGCTTCTGCTTCTGCTGTTGATGGGGTAGAAGAGGCATGATTTGTTCTCGTTTGATTTGTCTTAGGGATGTCTGTCTAGTTATGTTTGCATCTACAAAATTTACATCATTGCACACCTCTCCATATTTAGATTATGCATCGTGTGTAGCTATCAAAATGCACGATGGTAACACGAAACAGGATAGTATCCACTGAGAGGCGGAGACTCCATCAGCTCTCTCTGGCCATGCCTCTCCTCCCAAAAGAAAACTGTGCCTTTTTACGAGTATGGTTTTTCCGTTTTGCTGTGGCCGGGAACACGTGTAAGATCTATAGACTTTTAGCAACCTAGAGAGACATCGTATATGACGCTTACAAGTTGTGTTCCCAGATAGAAAGACTTGTGAGTCTCCAACTTCTTTGCGTCCTAGCACGAAGTTGATTTTTGGACAGTATGTCAGAGTGCGGTCTTGCAAGGGATAGGTCTTGAATGGTGACCTGGTAATCGACTACACAGGGCATGTGTAAAAACTGGTGTATTTTGTTTCTGTTTTGCTGGAATATTCAAAGCATGTACCTGTAAAAATGCACAGTATTCTTAGGAAACAGGACATTGTCCGCTGAGAGCAAGATCTTATTGGGCTTTCTCTGGCCATGCCTTTACTTTAAAGATAATCGTGCCTTTTTATAGTATACTTTTCGCTGTTTGCTATAGGTCGGGATACAATAAGATCTACAAACCATTAGGACTCCAGGTCAAGAAATGGAAATCTATAGTGGTTTCTTGCGTCCTAGCACGAGGCCAAACTTTACAATCGCACGAAGAGTTGCGACATGTCGAGTATAAAGCCGCCGATATCGACCCGATTGTCGAATATACCGGTTACATAGCTGACATCGCCGCACAAAACATCACTGTCAATGTTTGTCCACTCCGCGGTGCGTTGCTGGGAACTTGGTGGAGCTGGGGATAAAAAGACTGTAGTCTGTTGTTCGGAAGAAGGGGTTTTATACTGCTTTAGTTGACGGGGAAGACACCAATAATGGTTTCATTGGGGATGATGTTGTGAAAGAACGGGTTTCCCCTTTCCAGTTTTGGGTTTCTTAGAATCCACCTGCTCTTCTTGTAAATTCGATATCGAGAGAAGTGTTTCCCAGAACTTCTATTGCCTCTAGCAAGACCTTGTCTTCTATACTCAACGTCTTGAGGTTATCGGATTCTGAAAAGGGGGTTTTGTTGGGCAAACATGTTGTGTTAGATGGAGGAAGAAGGCCAGTTTGGAAGTATTCTCGGACGACTTTTGCTGTGCAGAGGGAGGGAGATGACCAAGATGTGTGCNNTACCAAGACAGATCAGTATCGAATTTAGACTATCCTAATAGGACACAACAAGGAGCATATACTTACACCTTCTGAGTCTTGTTGCAAAACAACTGAACCAGGGAAGTTCTTTGCCATTTCTCTTGCACTNATCATTTTGTGTGTTAGCAAACCCTTTCTTTGTAGCCTCTTCAAGACAACATGGTATGAGACTCACTTGGACAATGGGGTGACCGGATCCAGAGTATTCCCAATCAGCAAAGCCGGATGAGACAAGTTCCCAGCGAAAGGACCTTCAAACCTATTCTTTGCTTTTGTTTTCCACCCAATACAGCCTAGTCTGGTGTGTGCCCACCAATCTCCCAATACTGAGCTCTGCTGTTGCAATGCATGCCAATACTCTTGAAAACTTGTCTCATCAATGTCGCCTAGACCCGGTCCATCTGTACATAAGATTGCTAGTGTGGCGTCTGGGCCATTGTCACCTTGGTCGCATTCATCGCTGAAAGGACCTGCGGAAATGCAGTCTTCGCTAGGGCAGCTGAATGTGTTGGCCATGGCTTTGAAGTCGGCGAAGAGACTACCGTTTCCAGAGGATATGGAAGTAAGAAGATCTGCGACCATTGGCGAATAGATGAGTGGTTGGTACATGCCTAAGCGGACCATGCTTTTCACGTCCGACCAAGTAATCACGTCTGGCCCTCTTTTCTTCGAGCTAGGTACCACTACTGGCCGCTCAAAGATCTCGTTGAGCAAACCATCGTAGTTTTGTTTTATTTCTGCAACAGTTGATGAGTAGAAACTGCAGGCCTTGGGACCAGCAGCATGGCAGTAACCAAANAAGCGATCGAGAATGGCGTCTGCGTCAGAGAGATTGCTGAACCAAGAACCAAAGAAGTAATCATGGGCGTTACATACTCCATCGAGAACAATTCTGTCGACGCGATCTGGAAACATCGAGGCAAAGGTTTGCCCAAGGATGGTGCCGTAGCTGTTGCCCCAATATTTGATCTTTGGTCCGCCTCGGATGTATCGGAGTTGTTCTACAACAGTCTCATCTTTGCGCTGTTCATGAGGACTGTCGCTTTCTCTTGTGAGATGAGCTTGTTTGACTACCCATTCTGCATGTCGCTCAATGATCTCAAGCATATCACGAGCAACCGGAGAGGTATTGACGTGCTCGCCTATGGCTTCAGAGTCATCATCAGTAGTCCCAGTCGCGGCCGAACAACCCTCAGCCAACGCTCTTGACCGATACCAATTACGATAAAACGAATCTTCCGAGCTTCCTAATAGTCCCAAGGCTTCATTCTGCAAAGTCCAGCTCGAGCGTGCCAAACTGTCAGGGAAACAGTGGATTCCTGGCGTTGTGTGGCCAACACCTCTAGGGTCAAAACTGATGATGTCGTGGTATTTGGCTGTCTCGAAGTTCAAAGTATCGTTGGGGCGGTTGTCTGTATCGACAATGGTTTGTGTCGCTCGACCACTGCGCAACATCTGCGCAACTCCACTTCCACCAGGACCACCAGGGTTCGTCAGAACAGCACCTCCATAGCGTGGGTCAGTCAGTGAAACTTTTGCTGGCAGTCTTATCACAGCTATTGAGATATTCTTTCCAGGCTGTGTGGAATCGCGCCACCAATCCATTGGTACCTGAAGTTTGGCACAATGATAATCATCGTAGCATTGATGATAGACCAGCTCAGGATTGGCATCGATATCATACCACGAGAATCCATGTTGGTCGGTAGTTTTGAGCTCTGTTATAGGAGTGGCATTCGGGTGATGGGTTGGCACGATATCCCATCCAAGGAGAAAGGTCAAGAACGAAAGGCCAGCTGCTAGGCACAGAACAACCTGTTTCCATACAAATGGAGACTTTCTTCCGAAAAGAACGAGGTCTGTTCGTTCTTTGGGTTTTACAACCTCTTTTCCCTCGAGGATAAGGTGATGCATTGCAAGCCTATAATGCTAGAGCCGTAACAGATGCATTTGAGAAAGTGTTGAGTAAGTCTTCAGGATCGGTAGGTGACGGATTGATCTAGTTGAAAGACGAGCACGAGATCACATCGAAGAACGGAAGGAGCGGTAAGGGGAACGAGAATGCTGCATCACGGGATAGTGCAGTAGGTTCCGGTATGCGATAAGGATTGTCAAGCGTTGATCCTTTTGCTGTGCCGGCGACTTCCCACCACGTTTCGAAAACCATGGTCATTCTCGTGATAGCTTTCAATCCTACACCGAGATTTCTTATAGCTGCTGGACAGGTCAATCATGCCGTCGCTTTCCAGAAGACGGCGTTAGCTAGATCCGCATCAGATTAGACGCGGGTTGAAAGATGGTTGGCGTTCGTGGTTCAAAAGGAAGGGCGAACCGGATCTCGGTTCGCCCTGCCCTGGTCTCACTATCCACTCAGCCCTCGCCATTCAGGTTGATCAGAAGAACATCTCCACTCCGTAGCGGACCACCACAATGGTGCTTGAGGATTAGTAGTCAATACGCTGAGGTAAGTCGTATTTGAAGGTAGGTCTTTCTTCATTATCTCCTCTTCTAGCGCTCATGTCTGTCTATTCTCTTCCTCTTCCTTTCCATAGCTCTACTCGTACTCGACTGCAACAGATAGCTGGGACATTCACCCAACTGCCTCGCCGCCATTTACCAAGTATATCAACCAGCACGTACTCCAGCCAGAGATCTAAAACCACAATGGGAGCACAGAAGATCTCCTCAGAGGAAGGATATGCCCAAACGCCCCTCAACACCATCAAGGTGTACAAACACAGAGGTATGCTCAGCCCTTGGTCTCCCTCGACACTCAACTGATCATATTGTTTCCAGNCTGCATACGATTACCAAACCGTCCACTCCATCTTCGCCTCCACCCTCGTGTCGCACGTCTCATTCATATCCACCGACGAAGACGGCGACCCAATACCCATCAACCTCCNNCCCTTGACAGCCGTACTAGGCCGCTACGATCCCTCTCACCCTCTCCCCGAAACCTTCCATCCACAAGACTCCTCATACCACCAAGACCTCAACAAACCACTCGACCTCTACCTCCACGGCAACATAGCAATGATGCTCCGGCGCGCAGTCCTCAAAAACAAAACCCTAAAAGTCTGCATCACATCCACAAAAGTAGACGGCGTAGTTCTCAACTTCACACCCAACGGCCACTCCCTAAACTACCGCAGTGCAGTCATCCACGGCACCGCTTCCCTCGTGACTTTGCCTGAAGAAAAGAGATTTGCTATGCATTTGCTGACCAACCATATGATTCCTCATCGCTGGCAAAACACAAACCCTGTGACGCCTTCAGCAGTAAAGGGCGTCCAAGTCATGCGTGTAACCATAAATTCCGCTTCTGCAAAAGTGAGAGCGAAGAATATGGGGTTGGCGGATAGTTGCGATATCGCTGCAAAGAGGGATGATATATACACTGGTGTGTATCCTTTACACGAGGTCCTTGGTGAGCCGGTGGAGAGTGGGTATGCACCGGGTAGACCTGTGCAGAAGCATCTTGAAGAGTGGAGACAGAGGAGGAATGCAGAAGAGGAAGGGTATGCAGTACGAGCCGCGGAAAATGAACCTGAAGAGGCAGAGACGATCGTTGAGCACGTCAAGAAGATTGACGAGATTAGGAGGCTGAGGGGTGCTGAAGCGGGTGATACTCGGGTTAGTGCTCAGTTGTGATTGTCTGCGATTGATGCTCTTCAACACGCTCATTTATGAATATTCACTTAACTTCGGTTATACTCCGACTATAGCAACAAGCGAGATGTGTACTATAAAAAAGCACAATTGTTTTCGGAGCAGAGATGTGTCCATGGAGAGTCGGGTGAGAGGTACAGAAGTTGATCACCAGCATGCTCATCACAGTACGATAAGGAAGCAGGTGTAGTAAAAGTCTGTTTTTACTTGACGTGGTCAAACGAAGCTACTTATTCGCGTCCAGTGTAAGAAGCGGTGTCCATTACAGGCTGTGAGTTATGTGCGTCTACCATGACTTGGGCGTGTGTGTGTGAGAGAAGGTGAAGGAGTGGGTAGGATGGGTAGTGTTATATGAACAAGAGAGAAAAGTAGTAGTGAAGAAAAAAGGAAATCAAAAGAAAACACAAGGAAAAAGGGATCTCTGGCGGATAGAGCAGAAGAAAGCGCTCCCATTTCAACACGAAGATGGCACAATAAAGTGTTCCTCATCATTCAAGATCAAAAAGCGCTCCAGTACGCCGGGCGTTTGCCCATCCTAGAAAACATGTGAGGAAGAGGAGGATTAAAGAAAAACGTCAAGGAAATCGGGTGATCGATATTGATAAAGTCGTTCAAGGTCGTGGATGTTGCAGAGTCGAGCGCTCATCGGATCATCAAGCGTTTGTGACCTGAGAAATGTTAGTTCACATTGCTTCTCGATGTGGCGTTTCATGGCATCGCTTCAACGCACCTTCAATATTCTTCTCGAGTAATCCTCGTTATCGGCAATGCTACCGTCGCTCATTCTCCTTGATGCCATGGCGTCAGGGTCGATGCGAGAATCAGGTCCTGAGGCAGGTCTGAAAGCCATGGGCTTTTGGGATGAGCTCGAGTAGTCGCTGAGTTGCTGGTGACCAGATTCTGTCTCGCGACGTTGCTTGCGGCGCCAGAAGAAGTATGCAGCACCGAAAAGTGCAGCAACTGCAACTATGCCAACAACAACACCGGCAGCAATTCCAGCAGTGTTTGAGCCTCCCTTCTTTGGCTTTTCGGAGTCGGCAGAGCTGGTACCTTGAGAAGTAGGAACTTGAGTGATGATGACGGTGGTGCCAGGAGCAACGCTGGTGATGACAGTAGCCCCCTTGGCTGCTGTAGGGGTTGTGCTGGTGCTTGTGACCATTGATGAAGGGGCAGAGCTAGATGAGGAGGACGAGGATGAAGCAGAAGACTTGGCTGCGGCAGACGATGAGCTTGACGAGCCAGATGAGCCGCCGCCGCCATAATAGGCAATATTGGTGTCGGTGGTTGTGAAATAGACACTCCAGTAACCATCGCCGCCANNCCTAAGCTCTAGATTAGTCGATGCACGTGTACAGTGTTGGAGTGTCAACTTACACATGTCATCAGGGTATCCAACACAAGTTGTGCTGCATTTTGAGTCGTCGCTCTGCAGACTGCTCTTTGCTGGCAGTGTGGAACCACACCAACAGTCGTTGCCGTCAGTCATGGCCATGACAGTGGCACCAACGCCGATACATGCCTCCTGGCAATGACCCTTGGATTGGTAGTTGAAAGTGTTGTTCTCCTCAAGACCAGCAGAAGCACTGAAGCAGCCAGCATCTGTGACTGGACCAGCGGTGATTGCTGATACTGTCTGGAGTGAGAGAGCGGAGAGGGCGAGAGTGACTGCTGTCACGGAGCGCATTGTTGACAGCATGGTGCGTGTGTGAGGAAGAAGTTGGCTGAGAAGGTTCCGGGGTGCGGGTGGTGATGTGTGTGAGAGTGTCGGATGGTGCGACTCGAGTAATGTCAGTCGCCTTGTCGTGCAACCAGCAGTAAACAGGTCAAGTGTCAAGCTCGTATGCGTATGAGCCAAGAGTCAAAAGCACACGATCGTGACCAGCACGCGGGTGTGTGTATTTTCCGGTCTGTAGAGGGATGCTGTACAGAGTTGGCTCGGAAGGAGTTTCGAGTTTGCCTCAGCGTGTGTCGCAAGATGCCGAGGGTGGTGGAATGGTGTTTTGGTCAATACACGGTTGAGGGAATGTGCAGTGCAGTGCAGTGCAGTGCAGTCCAGGAATTAGTGTGTCGGTGTGGAAGTCAGATAAGTAATAGCGAATGTCGTCTGCCAGGTGGACAGGCAGTGTCGGACGGGGTCTAACTAGTGCAGTAGTCGATGATGAATTGATGGAAACTTGGACAGGGAGCGAAGACGGAGAAACAATCAAAGAAGAGAAAGGCAAGAGACGTCCGTGTGCGTGACCAGACACAAGCAGCGCAGCCGCTCCCTCCGTCCACCACGCAGACGCAGCATCCACTGTCCACTGATCAACCCAGCCCCGTTGCGCCCTGCCCGTTGCGCTAAAGCAGGAACCGCCTAGTGTCCCTGATGACCCCTGGCAATATTGGAAACACAAGACCATGTCAACACAACCTTACTGCTGCTCTCAGAGCCAGAGGAGACAATCCCATTGTTTACTCTCTCTGTCTACAACTACCATCATCCATTCCTCGCTGCTCTGACTCCCAGCTTCTGCGTGACTGCTCGCACCTTTGATTGCGCTCATCATCCCATCTGTTCTAGACCCCCTTGTGCCAAACGCGTATCCTCGCGTAGTCTGCTGCCAATCTCATGGCCAGTGCACAGACTCTTTCCGATTTGGCTGCCTCTTTTCGCGGCCGCCAAGCTCTGCTTCTTTAATTCCCTCTTTCCTCCATGAGAAACCGTTCACAACGTCCCTTCAAATGACAGGATTCAAGACACCTGCAGGATTCAGGAAAACATCAGTCACCATGGGGAAAAGAGGGGAAAGACAAGAAGAGCGAAAAGAAAAATCCGTCGTCGCTTACGATTCTCTGTCTCCCTCCCCCACGCCTCTTCGTGTTTCTCGTCTTCGGCTTGTCGTCGATCTCACTTTGTACGAAGCAGTCGCGGCCTGTTGATCATCTGTTCTTTTGCAGCAGCCTTTTTACCTTTCTGGCCGCCCGCATGTTTGCCATGTGCCCTGTCTTTTCTCATGCTGACAACCGTTGGTTTGGGATTGTCCCTTTTCATCTTCACTCAAAGCTTGGCCTTTCTCTCATACCAATGCTACAACGAAGCTATCGGATTGAGTTCGGTCTTTGAACAGCCTTTGCGTTACGAAGTCGGGCTTTTCAACATGACAGCCCAGCGCGGAGGTTTCAGACTGCGTTGGGCTTCCAAAAGCAACGTTCCTTGGCTGTTTTGTATCCTCGGTCTGCTACAATAATGACAGATTCCTTCACGGTATATGTCATGCTTCAATTGACCCGTCCATCCTGTTCACATTTGCAAAAATGCTTTCGTAGAGGACAATTGACGAACTACATCGAATGATCAAGGTCTCAAACCTTCTGCCTGTATGATCGTCTGGGGATATTATGATCCAACGGCAGTGCCACCACAATCGTTCTCGCGCGATAGGCGATCTGGTACCAACCGGAACATGAAAGAACTTCAGGCCTACGAAGGAAGAGTTTTCAACCAACTCCATCTTCTAGACTCATGATCACCTACTAATGCATGGTCTTTGCACAGCGGTGCGATGCATACGGTGTTTCAGCAAAGTCATTGAGCTTTATACCCGTGGGGCTGAATCTGCCTAAACCACCATGAACTGCATCTATCAGGCCTCCCAAGCCTACAAGTGAATCGACGATACCCGAACTCCAGGTTCTTGGGATGGTGGAAATGGCGCAAAACGATTTTTTATCTCTTTCGTCCATTGTTTTCCAGGGTAGGTCGCGCAATACTTTCCGCCTAGTCGGCCTGACTATTGGAAGGACCCTTCCCTAAATGTTTGGGCTTGACAACCTATGCGTAGTGTGACAAGCACGACATGTACTGATACAGGACTCGTAAGCTGTGGGATGATACTCCTCGGTGTAGGTACACTCAAACCTCGGAGGTTGACAAAGAGGTGCATCTCATACAGCTGATCATGTTCTCCATTATACCACTGCCCTGGGATTATACAGTGTCTTGTCAGTATCAAGGCAATGCATGATAGTCTCAACTATCTCTTCATGGAAACTCATGCCAGAGATCTGGCGAGATACAGCCTCGACCACAATCTGTATGAGACAGTATCAATTGCATGATCACTGGTGCTGTGCCATCAGGCTAGGGTAGCTCTATCAAACACAGCTGGAGGCGGTCAGACTCTCAAGCAACATGGGTGGCTAATCACTTGCTTGTCGATGGTTCAGATTATGCACCGAATATGCTGTGTCTCCCGACAACAACGTGGATGCATCGGCAGCTGGCAGCTAATCATCGGTGACATTGAGCCATCTAAAAGCAGACCGTCTATCACTTTACACACCCTGTATATACGAAATGAGAATCACCATCAACGACAGTCTGAGAATAGAGCTCTCGTCGATTGCAATTCACACCTATTTCAAGAAGCCTTCGTATTCCCAAATAATCACACGTACTCTCCACATGCTCCCTACGAAGGAACAAGACCCAGCAAAGCGTAACCCAATCTGCAGCTGCATCTACGTTACCACTACAGATCGATCATCTTTCCTGTCATACCCAGATCAAAAACCAATATCACATCGGCACCAAGCTCAACAGCATACACGTCTATCCGACCCGTTTGCCATCTAAATCAACGATAAATACCACAAATGACACAAACAATGACAACATCACCACCACCCACCTCTCGGACATCTTTCCTCCCGAGTATGCCGTACAGCACCGCCAACAACCCTCGGACCGTGGATACTCCGGCGTATAACTCGCAAGTGGTGTTGCTCCGTGCCTTTGCCCAATCTCGGCACGCGACTTCCGCGGCCTAAGAATTGAAGCCTCAAAATTTTTTCGCTCGCAACAAAAGATGTTTATGTTGTTGAACAGATGCAAAGAAGTATTTCCGACACGGGGAATTGAACCCCGGCCTCCTCGGACCTGGTTGTTTCTTTGGAAAGAAACGGTTTGAGAGCGAGAAATCCTAGCCACTAGACCATATCGGATTTGATGTAAGCACAATCATTCACTGTGCATATAGCCTACTTACGTGAGACTCAAGAAGCAGAGATTGGTAATGGTAACACCCTGGTTTTCATCATCATCGAGCATCCTGGTGCGACTAGATGCTCTACTCATTCCTCCATCACACTTTCAAGATACTTGATCTCTCAATTATCTTCCAAGGCCCTTTAACTGTGATCAATTATTTGGTTGACGAGATTAGGGCGAACAAGCCCTCAAGCTTGGAAATCGCACCAAACACATACAGTCTCAAATCAATACTCAAGTTTCGTCAAGAGGTTGGAGAACGAACACGAAAATCAATGGTTTATATGAACTTCTATATCATATGTGCCTGAGCACTCTGCAGGATGTCCAACTGTAACTCCAATGCCCTTGCTAAAGTTCACAATAGCCGCTCGCATCAACCAAACGAGCGAACAACGCCAGGCTTCACAGCTCAAAATCAGCCCCACAACCTTCCCATGTGCCAAAGACTGTCAGTGTAGCCGTCAAAATGCACAATATCCTTCGAATCAATAGTAAGGCTATGGAGATATCTTGAGAGAACAGTCCCAAACCCGTTCCTCGAAAGTATTATGCATTCTTACAGTGGGAAATAACATAATGCGTTGCCTTGGAAAAGCAATCAGAAATAAAAGTGACAGTCTTTCGTACATGGGAAGACATTCTGCAGTCTATGATACCACATCCCTAGAGTTCCACTGACATCTCGACTGACGAGCAAAAAAAGACAACAGACATGCCAGCTAGCAAAAGATGAATGCCGCTTCTGTGGATCGAACACAGTGCCTCCAGAATACTCCTGATACAGGAAGACGTGAAGTGGACTTCAGTCTGGCGCTCTCCCAGATGAGCTAAAGCGGCTTGTTCCGATATTGTCCGGCTTGTGCATATATGTACCTTGATCATCATCAAGAGTGAGCTGCAATTTCGAAGGATTGATCAGAGGAAAGAGGAAGACCATATGCAAGTCTAGTCTACAGTAGGAGAGCAGGATATCGTTTCAGCGAGAGACATGTACTTCTCTTTCCCTTGCGAGTCTCTATCCCTGTTCCCGATTTCTGCACTTGCTTTGTGTTCTTCTCTATACATCCTCTTCTTTGATTGCTATATTGCTTTGACTCTTGAAACCACCCATCCCATTCCATTCCAGCATCAAAAACTGTACCACTCTTTACGTCTCACTATGACAAAGAAATACACATGCGATCAGCACCGCCCCTGTTTCAATGGGCTCTTTCCAGTACAGGCTGCCAAAGACATTGACTCCACGTGACCCTGGCTTCAGCATGCCAAGATTTTGCTTTGAAGCCTGAAAGCTCTCCCACCAAGCCGCCAAAATTCACCAAAATCACGAATCCACCTCCCACCACCTTTCCGATCACATATATGCATGTTTTGGAGCAAAAGAACATATCCAACGGTCAAAAGAGCAAAACGAAAAGCCCCACGTGGGGCTCGAACCCACAGCCTCAAGATATCAGTCGATCGAAGAGATGCTTAGAAGTCTTGCGCGCTACCATTGCGCCAGCAGGGCTGGTTTGTTGAAGGAAAATGTGGTAGGCTCCAATATATACCTGACTCACAATGAGTCAGCACACCACCAGGCTCCTAATGACATCTCGCTCTGGCAATACCTACACTTATTCTCACCGAACGTTTACTAGACCCAGCATGCCAGTTTCTTTCCTTATCCACTATCATTCCGGACCGAGCCGACCAATAGTCGCACCCATATAGGACGACAAGCCGTGTTTGTACCAGAGAGCTCCGCCACTCTATCACCGTCTAGAGCAGTCGAGCTCTTCTTCCTTAACAACTAAAAGATACTCCACACTCTGATAATTATAGCCACACAAAGGTAAGTCAAGCGAGAAGGATTCAGAGGCTAGAGAAGCACAGTAAGCCATCTAGAACTGTGTGCCTGGATGTTCATGCATGGCTTTGCGTTGCCGCCCATAATATATGAGAGTCGAATCCTTCACCGAATCCTTTCACCCATTCTTGCCCATAACAGAAAACACACTCATGCGAGATATGAAGCCTCAGATTGTTTATCTGAGGATAGTGACAAATCTGGATGCATATCATTACAGACTATGTCTCAACCGCGTTAGGCTGACAAAGTCATGTGGTTTGGCCATTGGTTGTTCTTTAACGTCATGCACGAATTACACCAACACATTCCTTCCAAGATGCAGGCACGTTCTTGGTGGTAGACTACTATATCACAATCTGATATGTTTAAATGGTGTGCAGTATTGGATCTCTGCATCAGACATCTTCGTTGAAGCGGTGTACTGATCCTTCGAGTCTGCTTTCTCTTCCATCTGTCCCCTATATAAGCGTTGGTATCTCTTCCCTTGCCATAGTATATCCATCTCTTTCCAACTCATACAAAACACTCCTTCCGACATCGTCAAAATGATTCTCAAACACATCCTTACGCTCTTCTCTCTCTCATCTCCCATCCTCGCATTGTCTTCACCTCCAACCTATCCAAACACCACCACTCCCTCCTTCCAAACCCCCAACTTCACTCTCAACGAACTCTACAACCTAACAAACCGCTTCCTCCAAAACCACATGTACCNNCCCCTCAACATCGCCCAATCCCTATCCATAAACTCATCTCTCCTATCCTCCGACATCCTCGGTCGTGTAGATGCCACCCGCGACTACGCAGGCCGCGAACTAAACACCGAATACCTGTTTGGATTGTTTGCCAACATCGCTTTGAATCCTGATGCCTTTACGCTTCTCGGATATCCTGTAAACTATACGTTTACGAGGTTTTTGGGAAGTGGGAATGTGGTTAGTTTTGCGGCTGTGGTGGAGTATATGTTGCCGGTTACAAAGACGACGATACCCCAAGAGTTGGACTTTTGGGTTACGTTTAATGAGAAAGGGGAGATTTCGCAGTATGATGNNGGTGAGTGTGTCTCCATCCTTGCCATTTTAGACCTCTGTCTTGCGAGTCAAAGAAAGACACTGATGCAGAATAGTAACTTCCGCTACCTCCAATGGCAACTAAACAGCACAATCGCCAGCGTAGCCAGCTTCCTAAACCTCTCTTCCTCCACCTCCATCATCCCTCTCCTCCACCAAAAACTATCCCAAAGCATTTGCGCCACAGCAACCCAATTCTGCAACGGCACAAACCTCCAATATGCAAACCAAACAGCTTGTGAGGATTACTTGTTCACAAAAACAAGGTTTGGAGAAGGTTGGGAGTGGGGCATGGATACTGTGTCTTGTCGTATGGTGAGTGATTACTCGTTGTGTCTGTGATGAGGAAATACTGATAAAGGGGTAATTTACAGANTTCATCAGAATATGGTACCGCTTCGTCCGGATGTGCATTGTGCACACATTGGTCCTTCGGGTGGAGGTATGTGTGTAGATGACCGCACGTACGTCGGCAACCTCGAAGAAAACTACTTTGTCAATTCGCCTTTCCTGGCTCCTGGGCTTGCTGGTGGTGTGTTTACTTAAGCTATATTGGGAAATAGGATGATCTGCTGCTGGTATATGCTATGCTATGGTTACTTGTGCTCTCGAAGCATCTCTTAAGACACGAACTCGACGAGCTGGGATAGGTCACGATGGACAGATATTGGCAGCAGGGGTTGGCCTGGTGTCAACGGAAGTGGCAGTGAGCTGTGTTGTGGGTGAAGTATACCAGAAAGCAAGGAGCAACTCTGTTATCTTGCCATGTTCATGATAATGTGTGTTCACGCCGCTTGATTCTTTAAGTGGACTTTGTTGCTTTGCTATATTCGAACATTGAGATTTATAGAATCAAGCTCCTACAGGATATCGTTCCACGCTCTCGCATTGCTTGTGTACACATATCAAGATCTTTCACTTTCTGTCTCTAGTCTGAAAGCAGAGATGAAAAGAACACCGTGAACACCGTGAACACCTAGAACTCCAACCTCCATGGAAAGACAAAGTGCCTACCCATTAAAAAGACATCCCATACGCCATGCTGGAAAGAACAAGGGAGACCGACAAGATGCAACCTCCTGAAGAGGACCAAAGAGACCCCCATGAGCCAATAAAGACAAATTCGGATGATGCGAGCTTTTCATGCCTCCCAGACCTTAGAGAGAACTCAAACAAGTAAAGACCAGACCGTCGCTATGTGCTTAAAACAAGAAGAACAAACAAAAGAAGAGTGAAGTCAGATAAGACAGGCGAGAGATGAGTTGGTGGTGTTGTGATCCATGGCCCAAGAATCATCGCCTATATGACCCAAGCTTGGCAAGAATATCTGCCATATCAGGTTGTCCGGGGTTAGGCAAGGTTTGTGGTCGCTGTGGTTGAACTGGCGAGCGCATATTAGGCGTCTGAACACCCAGATGAGAGACATTGATGTTTTGAGGCGACTGCTGCTGCTGTTGAGCAAGCAAGCTAGCCAACGTGGGATTGTTTCTCAGAGCAGCGAGTGGATCCTGATGAGGGTGAGGGTGATGGGGTTGAGCGTAGGAGGGTGGAGATTGCAGACCAGGTGTCTGTATGCCTGGTGAGGGTAGCGGAGGTGGTGGAGGACGCACTGCAGCCGCATTACCCAGAAGTTTTGCCAGATCCGGTGTCAAGGCTGTGGCAGGAGGAAGGCCAGGGTGTGGGCCAGTCGGAATACCAGGTGGTTGCATGACACCAAGTAGCTTCTGCAAACCAGTAGGATCAAGAGAGGTGATAAGGTTAGACAAGTTGGGAGCGGCAGTAGTGACGCCTGCGCCATACCCATACTGTACTGGGGCAGGTACAGGCTGTGGTGGCGCATAAGCAGGGGCAGCCTTTGCGCGCAGAACCAATTGAGCAGCAATAGTAGGATCGAGGTTGTCATACTCGTCGAAGCGAACATTCTCGATACCAGCGCGACGATCGAAGATCTGCAGAGGTATCTTGGCTGTTTGTTGGTTGATGCGAGTGATGCGTGAGACAGCGAGAACACCCTCGAGGATCTGACGCCGGACGACTGCAGCTTCCGACAGACGCGGAGATAGAAGCAGCACGTCGACACGGATGCCCTGAAGTGTGAAGGAGTGTTCCAACCAAGCTATGAAGTTGCGATCGAGATCATCCAAAACGATGATTTGCACATCTGGCACATCGCGTGGAGCTCTTCGCGGCAGCGGCAGATCGTCGTCGCTGTTGCGTCTCGAAAGTCTTGGAGGACTAGGACTGCGGAAGCGACCGCCACGACTGCCATAGGGAGGTGTTCTTGATCTGCTCCTGTACCGAGCGTCATATCTGTCCCTGCTTCGATCGCGACCACGGTACGATCTAGGAGATCTGGGAGATCGCGGTGAAGGAGATCTTCCTGGGCGGTAGTCGCGCGATCTTCTGTCTCTGTTTCTGTCCCTATCTCTGTCTCTTTCTGCTCGTCTATCGCCTGGCAAGTAGCGATCTGGAATTACCGATGAGCTGCCAGCTCGGCCAGTGTCGGGCGAACGTGAGCGACGAGGAGCGCGAGGATCGGGATTGCGGTTCTTCTGAGGTTTACTGACCTCAAGATCTTGAATTGTCAGTATTGGCTACTTATGCTTGTTGGATCGCAACTTACGAATCTTCTTGCCACGAATCGTCTTTCCTTGCTCCGCGTTGATGGCTTTTGAGCATCCATTGGACTCCAGAAACTGTACAAAGCCATACGCCTGCTTGATGGAGATCTGGGCAAGATCACCGTACTTGTGGAAGACGTGGAAAATGTCGCGCTTCGTCACGCGCTCGCTAGAGAGGTTTCCCACGAACAGCCTCGATCCGTAGGGAAACTGTTCCCAATTGCCCTCAGTCACATACTTTCTCTCCTCGGTAAGGAAGTTGTCATAGCGCTTCTGTATTTCAGGTGTCCATGGCTGATCGTCCTCGTCTAGAGCTTCGCCTGTTGCTAGCTTTCTCTCGCGCTGACTCTCAAGCTTGAGGCCTTGCTGAAACGAGGCTACAGGTGGCGGTGGTAGACCATTGGCTCCTACTCTTACATTGTTGCCTGTGTGTCCTCCGTTTGGCTGCTGCTGCTGTTGCTGCTGCTGCGGTTGTTGAGTGTGGAGGTTGTTCGTGTAGGTCGAATAGGCTTGCTCGTGTTGAGCGGCGGCGTGTGCTGTGTTTGCGGCACCGGATGAGGTTTGCGCGACCTGGGAGGAAGGAGAAATGGACTGAGCCTGACTATGGCTGGGGTTTGACAAGTTGTTGAGCAGGCTCTGCAGACTATTGGCTTCAACACCTGGAGGATGCTCAGACGCGCTAACGTTGGCTGACAACGAGTTGCTTTGGCTCTGAGGCTGGAAGGAATTGCTCTGGAAAGAGGCTTCGTTGTTGGACTGGTTTGGCAAGGCAGGAAGATGGTGGGCAGCAGTAGAAGGATAAGGAAGGTCAGATGGAACAGATGCAGTGGCAGTGGCAGAGGCGTCAGAAGAGGCGACGACACCAGGGGCAGCAGGTTGGTAAGAGTACTTCTCGTCATAATGAACGACAGGAGGAACTTGATTGGTCTGACTATCCGTTCCAATCGATGCATGCTCTTGCGCCTGATGATAAGCTTGATGGCCCTGATCCTGCGCCTGAGAAGGAGCTTGGGTTTGACCCTGCCCTACTTGACCTGCCTGTTGAGTCATGTAGGCTTCAGGGTGGTTAGAATGAGCATGTTCATGTTGGACGTGTTGCTGTTGCTGCTGTTGATGAAGGTTTTGGGTATAGGAGGCAGCTTGCTGGTCGAGATACATGGGAGGCGGGAGTTGTTGAGGGAGGGGTTCAACCATGTGTGTCCCGGTCTGGTTAAAGACGGGGTCGATTTGGTTCTCAAGAACGGGAATGTTAGATGGCACTGGGTAATGGACAGGCTTGGGAGATACTGGGCTCAGGACGTTGAGCTCGCTCGTATACTCGGGTGCTTCTTCAGATGTCATGTATGCGAAGTGCGCTATGCGCCAACCATGCTAGAATCGGATAATTGCGTCGACAAGTGGGACGAGCGGGATGGAGGTGAGGAGAAAGGACGAAGAGGACAACGCGACAATGAGGAGAGGGACGTCGAGATGATGGCTGTATGACCAACAGAAAGAAAACGTGAAAGTCGAGGCGTGAAATTCACTTCAGCTGCAGTAGCCGCTAGCTTGTGCTTTCCCCGCAAAACCGTCGTCGCGCACGAAAATGGGCAGGGACGGACGAGCTATTGCTCTGAATTAGAGGCTGTCGGTGAACTGTTCACAATCTGCGCTGGGAAACGAGTGTCTGCACTGGCAAGAACAGAGTGCGAACGCGAGGGAAAAGCTCAAAGCCCATCCCTCCAAGACGCGGAATTGTATGCATGAGCACGAGCCATCTGAACGTCACCAGATCATCGAAAACATGTTGAGATCGCAGAACTGCTCGAGCCTAATTGTGCTAAAGACGACGACCACTGCTCTCCATATGCATGGTTTCATGGTCTCCTGCAAGACGTGATGAGATGCGAAACATCTGTTCACAACATTCTGGTGACAGCTCAGCAAAGACTCAGACCACACTTCCGGCTTTTCCATCAAAGTTTGGCAGAGGCGCGAGCTTTCTATGCCGATTTCCCATCTTCTAGAAGTCACGGAAAGAGTCAGCCGCAGGGTACAACAGCAATATTGGCGTTGGCAACCTGCATCTGAAGCATAAAATCAACCCTGTAAATTCCCAACCTAGTCTTGAACAAGCAAGCGGGACCGAAAGCAACCGTCTTCCGGGGGTCCTTCTCTGCATTGAGACAACGCATCGAAAAAGACGTGATCAAAGCCAGCTTTTGTGACAAGTGAGCTCGATCAACAGACCTGCTGATTCAACTTTAGCCCGATGCTAACCACACCAACCCCCTCTTCGCAAATAACTACACATTACAATCGCGCCATGATATCGTATCCGTCCATTACCTTTTGCGCCCATTCCCGAGAAGATTCGTCACGCGGACCCCAACATCGTTCTGCACGTCGACGCGTCTATTGGCTTCAAGAGCGAAAACCGGAGCAGTAGGCGGTGAGAATGGCGACGACGACGAGCTAGATGCGGCGAGGCGTTGGTTGGCAAATTTCGATGCCGAAACTATACCACGAAGCATCTGCGATGTGTCCTTCAGTAGATCCTCCGGCCCTGGCGGTCAGAATGTGAACAAGTATTTATACACCCCATGAGTCTTTGGTTAGATAGAGGCTGAGACTTTTGTGTAGANNGTGAATTCGAAGGCCACATTGCGACTGCCGCTATCGGCCTTGTTGCCAATACTTCCTGCTGTCCTCCGACCTGCTGTGTCAAAATCACGATATAGTGCCAAAGATGATTTGGTGATACAAGCAGATGACAGCCGAAAGCAAAATGAAAACGTCCATCGCTGCTTCATCAAGCTGCATGAGATGATTGTACAGGCGGGACGTGAGGTAGTGCCTGGCGAGACTAGCGCTGAGCAAATGGAGCGCGTCAAGAAACTGTAGGTACATGTCTTGCGAGACGTACGCTAGCATCTGCTTACAGGTGTTGCAGACNAAAAAGCAGAAAATGAGGGCAGACTCAAGATGAAGAAGAAGCACAGCGATAAGAAGAGTGCACGAAGAGGCGGCGGGAAACCAGACTATTGAACGGAAGAAGTATCATTGTATCATTATCATGTATATCATCCTGGTCATAAATCATGCAAGACACAAGACGTATATTGTGACAGGTCAAGTGCTATTGCAAAAAGCAGTGATGTATAAGCGATGTGCTCTTAGTTTGAGAACCTATATACGTGACATGTCAGCGAAAGTTCACAGAGAAGGGGTGTAAACAGCTGCAGCTTGTATATGTAGAATTTCAATCAGACATCCAAGGAAGATGTTGCGCTCAACGACCGTCTAAGATAGGTTCTAGGCGACGGCTAGCGTGAAAACTGCGAATGTGGTATGGGTTTCATCATAGAAATCCGTGCTGCAGATGTGAAGAAAAAGAGGATACATACCGAGAAGCTATTGCATGTTGACAGAGGCGAAAAGTCGAGATAGGTCAGCGCTGGCTTTGAAACGCTTTCTCTACAGCTTCCTGCAAGATTTTTGCAGGCGTGCTGTCAAGAGTCGCTCTGTGCAAGCGCTGGTGGAAGAAAAAGAGAAGGGTTTGAGCCGAGGTGAAAGTAGCTTTGAAGGTCACCGCCCTGCCAAGATGGATTCTGCCAGGGCAGGTCGGATGCAGGCGCGTCCGACACGAGGGCTCAGGGGACGGAGCTCTCGAAGATTGAAAGTCGTCTGTCCTTTTGTGTCTGACAGATAGAATTGTTGGAGACATGGCTCCGAAACACAAAGATGGCGACGTTGTCGCGGTGGTAAGATGATGTGATGATGGCACCTCGATTGACAATTGCTGACCGGTTTCAGNNATTCCTGGTCAATACATCTCGTGGCTTCATACCATAGTGGCCTATGCTGCTTTCCTAGGAGCCCTGATAGTCGGAATGTGTGTAGTTTGGTTACGGAACATCCCAATGAGTATGCTGACAATAGCAGTGNCTCTTCACTATGAGAAGATTGTGCAGAACGAGCATTTCGTACGTCTTGTCGACAGACCTTCCGTATGACCCATCCTGACACATACACAGGGCTACCCTATCGAATGGTTCCCTTCAGTCTCTGCCACCATTGGCGACCGGTACCCCGAACGCTCCGTCTTCCAACTCTTTATCGCAGTCACGTCTGGTCAGTAAATATAGCCATAAATTGGCAGAAAGAGCTTTGTCTGAACAATATCCTAGNGCCCTCGATTCCTGCTCGTCGCATTGTGGTACATCCTGACAGCAAGACCCAACCAAACACTTCCCAAGTTCATCCTGGGCGTCGGAATCTTCAGAACCTTCACTTGCGGAGGCTGGACCTATGTCACGTCCACTGACGACCACGACTGGCACGACATCTTCATGATCTCCTACCTCGTGGCTACTCTGCCCTGGACCCTTGGCTGCATTGCTCTGAGCCCCAACAACCCCAAGGCCATTTACTACCGCAAGGTCTTTGGTGGTGCCTTCTTCGCTACTCTCGTACCTTTGGTCTACTTCTTCATCCAGCACAAAGTCCACAAGGTGCCTGGTGCTTACACCATCTACGCCTTCTTCGAGTGGGCTCTCGTCCTCTTGGATGTCGCCTTTGACGCCGTTACTGCACTCGACTTCAACAGCCTCGAGCTGGTCGTCAAGGACACCAAAGGAACCAGCAAAGGGTATGTCAACTGGCTTCCCAAATAGTGGTATGCTGCGACCACAATGCTTGCCCAAGTGCATGAGCTAATCAATTCTATAAACAGCAACAACCAGAGAGTGGCCGACAAGCTTGCTGAGACCGAAAAGGACAAGCCCGTTGGTCAGATTTTTGCTACCACCTACTCCAAGGGAGACATGCTCGATGCTTTGGCTGATGTCTACCTTGGCTTCACCTTCTGGTCTGTTCTGACTGGCTTGGGCTTGTTGATCTGGTACTTCCCTCTCTGGCACATGGGTATCTCTGGCTATGAAGCTTTCGTCATGGCTCCCATTTCTCCCTTCTTGCTCGGTATAGCTTCCGTGCGCAGAGCTGTTGTCCACAACATCCGTATCGTCCACTTCCTCTCGCTCTCGGGTCTTGTCGCGTTCCTGATCCCCAAACCCGAGTACCGCCTGTTTGCCGTCGGCTTTTCCATCTTCATGTCAGCTCTTGCGTGGTCTGCTACTTGGTGGTCGGAGCGTGCTCAGCCTGCCCGACTCGAAGCTCGTATCTCGGCCTTCACCCTTGGTCTTCTCACTTCAAGTGTTGCAAAGTATGCTTGCCAAACCAACAACCCAATCTGGCCTGCTGTTCATGCAGAAAACGGTGGCTGGAACTACACTGGTCTCATTCTTGCCGTTGTCGCCATCCTGAGAGCCACTCGTAAGCCGCTTGACCCTCGTGCTGATGTGCCTGGCTACAAGGCTGTGACCGGCTCTTCTTTCCCTGCTGCTCTTGGGTTTGCTGGTCTCCTGTTTGGTATGCACTCTCTTCTCTCGGACTCGAGTACCATGATCTCGTGGGTTTGGGAAGGCTTCCCAATCCGCGGTCCTATTGCTGTACCCCACGGTAACTACACCTTCCTTGCCATGGGCTTTGGTCTGCTCATTGGTATCTACTATCCTGTCTTCGCTCGCAGCTGGACTTTCTATGGTATCGGTGCTCTTGGTGCTGCTTTCCTCACAGCCTTCTCTCACTGGTCAGGCTTCTATGGTGGTCTGGCACTCGCTACCTACCTTATGGCTGCTGCTCCTGTCTTGATCGGCAACGCTGCTAGATACCCACCTGGTCGTACTTTCTTCCTCGGCTTCATGTTCTACAACATCTTGGTTCTTGCGCACGTCTGGGTTGTTGCATACGCATTTGTGCCCGGTGGTCCCCTTATGCGCGAGCACACCGATTGGGTCATGACTGCCATGATGCTCTTTATTGGTTGCGGTATCTTCTCTGCAACTGCTTCTGAGACCAAGCGCTCTAAGTCTGCCCCTGCCAACCCTTATGCTCGCAAGCAACGTTCCCACTACATCTACATCCTGATCGGGCTTCAGCTTTTGGGCGCTTCTATCTCGTACCTTCGCTTCCCTACCTACGACTACACTCCTTACCACGCACCCGAGAAGAGTGTCACAGCTGGTATCTGGACAACCCACTTCGGTCTTGACAACCCCATGTGGACATCAGAGCGTCGCATTGGTGCACTTGTCAAGGAAATGGAGCTTGATGTCCTGGGTTTGCTCGAGTCAGACACTCAGCGTATTATCATGGGCAACCGTGACTCGACTCAATATCTCGCTGAAGAACTCGGCATGTACGTCGACTACGGCCCGGGCCCCAACAAGCACACCTGGGGCTGTGCTCTGCTCTCCAAGTTCCCGATTGTGAACTCTACTCACCATCTGCTCCCTTCACCAGTCGGTGAGCTTGCTCCTGCTATTCATGCCACTCTTGATGCTTATGGCGAGATGATTGACGTCTTTGTCTTCCACTCTGGCCAAGAAGAAGACCCCGAGGACAGACGCTTGCAATCCGAGTACCTGGCCGATCTTATGGGCTCGACCTCTCGTCCCTCCATCCTGCTCTCTTACCTGGTCACCAAGACTGGTCAGGGCAACTACAACACCTACGTTTCTGAGCGCAGTGGTATGAGGGACATTGATCCTAGCGACGACTGGGACAGATGGTGCGAGTACATTCTGTACAAGGGCTTGAGAAGATCAGGATATGCCAGAGTTTCCAGAGGCACCATCACTGACACCGAACTTCAGGTAAGACCTTTGCCATAGTTCTCGTCTCCGAGACATATGCTAACATTTTGTCCACAGGTCGGCAAATTCGTCGTTGGCCAGCCTGAAGGTGGCAATGAGCAAATCCCCGAGGATCAAGTCCCTGAGGGTCTGCGCTTCCCTGCTATGTTTAGGGGTGAGGGTGTCAGAGGACACAGATACCACGTCTTCGACGAGCCTAGATATTATGCTTGAGCATGGTCATATCTCTCCATAGACATGCATTTTGAGATAAAAAGTACAGTTTGCAGCATTGTAGTCATTTGTAGAAGTATCTTTCTTGTATCTTCGTTTTATCACAGATTTCGCGTTTCACCCTCAAGGTCCTTGTTGACTCAGTGAACCGTATCCGTGCCAGTGGGAAGGATCGTTTGTTTGCGTAGTCGTAACTGAGGAGGAGCACTTGATAAGGCAAGCTGCCACTTCCGTTGTTGTGGGTTTCTCACCTTGGTCTTTGATCCTTTTGCTCACCACCGGACCTCCACAATTATGCAAAGCACTTAATGTGTCCGAAAGGCATCGATGATCAGGATATCAATTGCCGTGTCGAGATTGTGGAGTAATTGATGAGGTTCAGGACGCGAATGGCATGCTAATAAAGAAAAGCGATGAAAGCCTCGACGTTGCTATATAACGAGCGGCAAAGCCAAGATCATTCATTCAAGTGCTTGTAACCTTAGCAGTTCACTATAAGTTTGGGAGGTTGATCCTTTGGAGGGAGAATGGGGTTTGCTCGTGTATGAGACGCTTAAGATGGTAGTAGTTCTGGTTTGACATTGAATAAGATTCCAGGTTGCTGGAGAAAGCTGAGAAGCAAGGAGGCTTGATCACTCGCATAAGGGTGTTGGATCATGAGATTCTTGTGAGAAGTATGTGCAAAAGAAATAATCATCATTGATTCGTACAGAAAGAGAAACAAAAAAACACTATTGGATATCTAGAAAAGGTCTCGAAAGAAGAACAAGCAAAAATAAGATCATCACAAAACCAGAGCAGACCATCCCATCTCCTCTGCCATTTACATCTTGGTATATCCATTGCCACCAGTAATAACCACATTAAACGAACTCCTCCACGAACCAATATTGACAGCATTAGCCTCAGACACCGCAGTCGAGTAAAAAGCACACTTGACATCCACCTGAGGAGCAGGATTAACACACCCATTTCCAGGCGCCAACGAAGGTGTTCTCTCAAAATAGATATTGAAGCCTTTGCAAGCGGTATTGGCATCACAGATGGCAGCGCATTGGGAAGGTGAGTACGAAGACAACTCGGTGTAGAACATGTAGCCTGCTTGAGAGATGGAGGCGTAGAAGCCTGCGAAACGCCAGACGTAGTTTGCGGGCACAGAGGCGGTCATGTATTGGGCGCGTAGAGTGGTGTCTTTGAGGAAGGCCGAGGGNGCGGGGTTGGTGGGTGTGTAGGTGTAGCCGAAGTTGGGCATGGTGGAGCAGGCTCCGTTGGCGGGTGTGGATGAGGCAACAACAGAGGAAGAGGTAGTGGTTGCTGCGCGGCGTTGACGCTTCTTGCTGCTGCTGCTTGTGCTTGCCTTTTTGGAAGCTGTTGATGCTGCAGTGGGCTTTGCTGAAGTAGGAGGAGCAGTGGTGCTCATCTTTGCAACTGCAGTGGGGGCAACTGGCGAACCGGTGATTGAGGTGGTGGTCAGGACAGCTCTGGGGCTTTGTGCGGACATCTGGGACAGGACCGATGAGATGGCGGCATCTGTGTTCTGGATGGTGACTGGGCAGGTCGTGCAGACACTGCTAGGCTTGCTCGAGATGGCAACAGCCTCTGCAACAGCAGCCAGTACAGGAAGAGCGAAGATCTCGAAACGCATTGTGATTGTGTTGTAATGAGTGTAATTGGTATAGTAGTTGTCGGAAAGAGCGTGGTAGTAATTGTTATAGAGAGTGACTAAAGCTTGAGCTTGTAAGAGAGTGTATTGGTGTTGTGAATGAGTGTAGAATTGCTTGATGATGGAGTGATCAACAGGGATATCAAAGGAACATATATACTAGAACCACCTCGATAAATCTTGGTATACTGAATCTCTCAGAGATCTCGACCTTCATGGTATATGGATCGGGTCTCACATCTTCAACGTTTGGGTTCTGTTAACGGCCGAAAGATCGGCGGGGTGGCTGTCAAAAGTTTTCTAGAACATTTACCATTTCCACTCATAGAACAATGCTTTGTGTTGTTGACTTTCTGTGTAGCTTTTGTTGTGTACCTGCTGAGATTTCGTCAGGATCTTTCGTCACAACCTTACTGATCATAGCAATACCAGCCCAGCAAAGCAGTACCTGCAGCACTCTTCCCTAACATGGATACGCAATACCAGCAGCAAGACCCTCGTGAGGCGCAAGGGTTTGACAGAAGCTTGAGGCTCAAACATACTCTTCGACATTTGTCAAAATCGAGAGAGTCCCACATCGCGACGAGATAGTACAAGAGCCATACCAAGCCATGACTTACCTCCCTCGCAATCGAAGGTAAGATCAGGGATAGGGATGTGATCAAACCGTTTACTAGAGCACGAGCAAGGACGAGACCGTTGTGTGGCTTGACTCCAAGCTCTATTGGTTGTCTTAGATCCTTACTCGACATCCGAATGTAGCCGGATCCACTGNNGTTCTTTCTATGGTTCTCTGGTTGCGAAGGATTGATGGGGCTTGGTATCTGATCCAGACCGNNAGAGGATGGCTTTGTATATGAATCAGGAGAGTCGGCGTAGGTGGTGCGAGGCGTCTCGGAAGATTGGCCGACGTATTTTCCAACGAATGAGAAGTTGTGGGAGGACGTGCTATTATTGCCANNATGTACGATAGAGTTCTCTCGCATCGCACTGCGCCTCAGTAGTGTATATATTCGGACTACATGCCAAGCGAGTTGTGAGAAAGTGACTTGGAAGGAATGTTGAGACGAGAGATGAGGTGGCTGGGTGTCTCACGGAGTGATTTCGTCCGAGCTCCGGCTGCTTGAACTGAAACTTTCGTGACCAAGAATTTCTGGTTGTAGAGTGTGACCCTGCCCGGTTCTCTTCACACTGTATCACTGTCGACTGCACCTTTCGTGGCAACTTCGGTATGTTTTCATAAGCATCCGACTGCTGATAGTGTCTATGTATAACTTCTTCGCTGCTCATGTATGCCTTTCTACTTCTGGCCTCCTTTTCTACTTGATGGGGAAGGTGGATACAATCTCGTGTAGCACGTCTGGACTTTTATGTCGAACCAATCTTTGAAATTGGAAATTTGAATTCAACTCACACCACGACATTCAATCGACAGATGGCTCATCACAGAGCTTCGAGATAGTAGCAACGTCTGGTACACACAGATCTCAAACTGCTAAGTGCTAAATGTGGCTCACAATGTCGTGTTGAAGCTGTTAAAGATACAAAAATATACGCTTCAGGTATGACCCTGGCAAGCGCTCCCAAGCTTAAAGCCGAGTCCCACTTCCCAGCCACCTTTCAGACTGTCACAAGCTTGTGATGAACTCTTCTCTCACAGTGAGATCAAGATAGTATATCCAGCTATCAGAATACACAATATGACGAAGAAACGAGCGGTGTCCACAGAGAGAACGCCAAATTATAGTGCTTCCGAGGCCACACTTCTGGGTGGGATAGCATCGTGCATTCAGTCAAGTGTCTCTCCTACTTTTCATACTCCGTCCCCACAGTGACATTGTAGTAGTATTCACAGCCATACACAACTCTGGCTAGAGATTAGATATGCTGTGAAAGTAGATTCACTTCAATCTGAGGATACATGACTAATACTTATGGCAGCGGACTTTCGTAGTCTGCAAAAGGGAAAAGAAGCAAAAGAACAAAGGAATCCGAACAATGGCAACAAGAGTTACATCCTTGACTATGCCCAACCTTAACCTCACTTCCGAGCCATGCAAAGATTATCCACCAAGATTTTTTCTTTTTATCCAGAAGTTCGACCATGCTCGAGTTCTTGCAAGGATTTGCTAGATTAACATGAGAGGACACAAGTGGCTGGTGTGGTGGCGGTATCGCAAGTCAAGGTCGAATTGGCCACAACAGCACCGAAACGCTGGTTGGAAAACTGAACCGCAACTTGGTTGGTACCATCATTCGATCCCTGAATACCAATGGTTGCAGTAGTCGATCCCTGTGCCTGACCGATATCGTAGTATCTATAGACAAAGACACCAGGGTTGGTGCTGTCATAGTCGACAGTAAAGTGGTAAGTCTCGTATGTGCCAGCACGAATAAGGCGATACTCGTAAGTGACGGCAGTGGATGTGTAAGTGTAGAAGATACCCTGTTCGTCATCGCTTCCCTGTTTGAACAGATCGTCGAAGAAGGGGGCTGCGGCATACAAGGGGAGGTAGGGGTTGGGAAGGCCAGGAGAACTATCGTAATCAGCGGTGCCCTCATTCAATGTGAGAACCNNTAGAGTGAAAGCGTCAGCAAGATACAACATATGGTCTATCGGAGAGATACATACGCCGTTAGTGGAGGGGNNGAAGGTCACGGTTGAGGATCCACCATACATCNNCCTCATCTGGAAGGGAAGGTCGATTTCACAGTACGAGTCGTCTTCGTCGGTGTTGATCGGGTCGCCAAAGTCACAACGAGTTGGGCTAGGCAACAGGCCGTTGTAAGTCGATGTTGAGCCATCAGGGTTGAGGACTGTAGAGCTACCGCTTCCAGAGGGAAGAGGAGGACCGGTACACACAGGAGACGATGCAGCAGCGCTACTACTAGCACTGCTCGCTCCTGATCCAGAGCCACTTCCGCTTCCGCTGCCGCTGCCACTTGAAGCAGCTGCGGGCATGGAAGTAGTCGCGGACATCATCGATACAGAAACAGTGGCGGGAGAGACCAAGATGGCCAAAGCGATGGTGCCTGAACCTCCACTTGATGTAGCGCCAATCGACGACTTCAAATAGCAATTGCCCATGGTCATAGTACTGTCACCCGAGTAAGTGAAGCCTGCACATCCGGAGGTGCTATCGCAAGCAGCGAAACATCCGTTAATGCCTTCTCCATTGGCACCGACGACGGCGATGAGACCACCCTGACTGTCACCACCACATGAAATGCTATACTTAGCACCATTGGCGTCCGTGATAGTTGAGCCGTCCATAGCGGGACATTTGGGAGGCCCTCCAGTAGGGGCAACGGTAGGTGTTGTCTGAGTACTACTTGGTGGCGGGCCAGAGCCATAAGCCAATCCGTTTCTGATACCGGCAACATAGCCATTAGCGGCAGGGACGAAGGACAGCGATCCGGAACCAGGGTTCTTGAGATAACAGTTTCCGGCGGTCCCGTCGTTGGTGGTGGTATAGACAAAGCCACCACAACCATAACTGCCATCGCAATAAAGCAGACATCCATTGAAAGTTGGTGAGGTTCCAGCTAGGACACCACCAAGTGTCGTGTCCGAGTTACATCTGATCTCGTAGCTAGCACCGAGGCCATCAGTGACTGTTTGATTGTCAACCGCGGGGCAGGAGTAGCTGGTCATTGACACAGTAGCGGTTGGCGCAGAAGAAGTTGTCGAGGTAGCGCCGACGACACCCTTTCTGATACCAGCAACAGAGTTTGGACCAGCAGGTACAAATTGAAGTCCCCCAGAGCCAGGTGACTTGAGATAACAGTTTCCATTGTATACGAAACCACCACAGCCATTAACACCGTCGCATATTGTCATACAGCCATTGAAGTCTGGTGAAGAGCCATAGTTGATACCACCCAATGTTGTGTCCGAGCCACACATAATCTGGTAGCTGGCCCCATTAGCATCAGTGACTGTTTGGTTGTTGACCGAGGGACAGGAGTAGGTTGTCGGTGCAGTAGAGGACGGTGTAGACCCGGTGATTGAACCAGTTGTTGAGCCCCCAGAAGTAGCCGAACCAGCCATTGAGGATGTGCCACTTGTCGAAACTGAACCCATACCAGCAGCATTAGACGAAGCGGATTGCGAGACGCCAGCGGAAGGTGAAGAAGTGGCAGAGACGATTGATGTACCTCCCAAAGCAGGCCCAGAAGAAGACGATACCGCGACAGAAGACACAATCGAAGTGGCAGAAGAAGGAACGACAGAAGAGATAATTGGGGCTGAAACACTTGATACTGCGCTCGGAGTATTTGTTGAAGCACTCGAAGATGAGCCTTTACTTGCAGAAGACAATATGGAAGCCACGGATGACGAGACTCCAGCAACTGATGATGATCCTGCATTCAGAGCTGAGGATACGGACTGGATGGCCGAAGAAGCAGGTTGGCTGACAGAGGAGCCCATTGATACGCCAGAGGAGATAGGTTGAGCAGCCGAAGATGCCATTGATACGCCAGAAGAAGCAGGTTGATTGGCAGAGGAGGCCATTGACGAGCCAGAAGAGACGGGCTGAACAGTAGAAGAAGCCATCGAGGCGCCTGAAGAGCTACTTCCAACACTGCCAGGACGAGCCGGCACGTTTCTGATACCAGAAACAGTACCCTGTGTTGTAGAAGGTTGGAATGTGGTGCCAGAGGAAGTGCTACCAGTTTGTATGTAACAGCTGTCAACACCATCGAAGGTCCATGCCGTACAGCTATTAGTCTGATCGCAGAGCGTCATACAGTCGTTGAGATTGGTAACGGTACCAGCACGTTGAGTAGCTCCACCTCCAGACAAAGCTTCATTGCAGCCAAGTTGGTAGGTACCTCCCATGTTAGACTGAACCGTCTCTCCATTGTTGACAGGGCAGGAGTAAGTCGTCTGAGGAGGCATACTGCTCGTTGAAGCGGCAGAGCTAATAGTGCTCGAGCTCGGAACAACGACAGGTCCGACTCCGCTGATTGATGCCGAACTGCTTAGAGGAGCGCTGACTGAATTGCCACCATTAGTGGCTGAGCTGGATCCTACAACAGCATTCGCTGAGGACGATGTCATGGACTCCATCATCGAGGGAGCAGACATCACGCCTGAAGACATACCAGAAGCCATTGAGCTAGGCATACCACCTGAAGGCATACTAGAAGCCATTGAGCCAGGCATCACTGCTGAAGACATACCAGAAGCCGTTGGGCTAGACATCGAGCCCATCAACGAGACGGACGAAGCCGACGGTGATGATAGTTGGGATGCGACTGAGGATGCCACAGCTGCAGCAGACGACGAACTACCACCACTCGGCAAGAGACCTGACACAGTACTCAATTGAACACCAGAAGCGCCAGAGGAAGCTGAAGACGAAACTACCCCAGTGCCGTTGTTTATCAAGGGTTCAACGTAGAGTATAACGGGACTCCAGCTTCTCTGTGCCTCCATAGGACCAAGGAACTTGGCCAGAATCAAGGCGTTATCGAGCAGACCAGGAGGCAACTTGTAGAACTGAGCTGTACCGTTGGTGAAGAGCGGGTTGGTCCAGTTCAACATTCTGTTGTGAACCGAGAAGGTCGTGTTGATAGGTAAATCGTAATCAGTAACGCTAAATGCTTGGTCAACGACATTGAAGCTCGTCGCGACATGGCTGCCATTGAGAGTAGCAAGGCGGCCTTCGTTGATGGTGTAAACTGCTGCCGCTGATGAGTTGGTAGTGGTGTTTCCATTGGCAGTCAGCCAGTAAGGAGCGGTATCTTGATTAGGGTAACCAGAGACATCAACTTGCTGCAACCGAATCACGAATGGTGCTCCACCATTGGCTGCTGCATCAGTCCATGGTGTAGGTTGAACAGTTACAGTCGATTGAATAACCNNGTAGTAGACGTGCCAGATGTGTAGGTTGCACTACAAGCACTGACATGAGTTGTCAGAGTGATAGTCTGAGCGTTGCATGCCTGCGAGAACAAGGAGAACGCGGAAGCGAGTGAAAGCAATTGACGAGATATCATCTTGTGTCTGCCCCTCGAGGCCGGACAGCGAGATGGAGAGGTATATCAGCAAAAAANNATGAATGTGGTACCACAACCAGCGAACGAGTTGAAAGGAACGGCTGAGATAAAGGAGGAGAGCGATCCGCGCGGAAGACATTGTGCACGCGACTGGCCAAGCGAGCTTGAGGAATGAAAAACATACCTATAGGTTTGATGGGCCAAGATGAAGAGGAATGCAGCAACCATCCCTCCCCACATACCAATAATGGACCCTGGACGGTCTGTAGATCGTGTCACTCATGCCAGAGCGTATTTAGTTCTAAATCAGATCATGCCGATTTGATTGCTTCAGGCAAATCTAGAATAGATCAGTTGTTCATGAATTAGTGGTCAATCGTACGGCACACAATGATTGAAAAGATCCATACCTGTTGAATACCAGGAGAGAATAGATATCCTTTGTGTAGTTGATAGTCGATAGTATCACTCAATGGATACATTCATTGCTAGTACATGGTTGCATTCTGAGCGCGAATCTTGAGTGAGGAGAAAGAAGCCATATTATTCGAAGGCCTGATCAGTGTAAAACAAACTGAAAAATGAAATAGAACAGACGTGTACGCCCTGATACTAGAAACATGAAGAGCGCATTAAGAACCAATCCAAGATGACCCGCGAACAATCTGCCGCGAAGCCTTTATTCTGATTCATCAAATCCACAGACCCGCAATGCATGATGAAGTCGCTTTTGATCATTTACAAAAGAAGAGCGGCAGCGCCAGAGAAGATGGCAACGAAAGCAGAGAGGCCAAGGGTGTAAGGACCGACTTGGACCGACTGGACGGACAATGCACCGGCAGCGCCCTTTGAGCCGGAAGAGCCAGAGGCCTTTGAACCAGAGCCGCCAGAAGCAGCGGCACCAGCTCCAGCAGTGGGAGAGGCTGTTACTTGACCTGTACCATCCGTTCCGGCCTGGGCCATAAGTGTAGAGCAAGCTCCGGTAGGCTTGGAGCCAGACTTGAGGGTAGCGGATCCACTGAAGGCACAAGCGCTAGCACGCTGAGCGGAAGGCTGAGCAGAGTAGTACTGGTCAAGAACGAAACCGAGCTGCTCGGTGGAGTTGCACATGCTGTAAGCACCGTAGGTACCAGTGGTGGCGTTCNNTGTTAAAATGTTAGTCTAGTTCTGACAAAATATGGTTTGGGAACAACTTACGTGTGCAATACCAGCGCAGGCGTTAGAGTCAGCACCACAGACGTAACCGAACATATCACCATAGGCCTCGACATCGACTGATTGCTTGACGGTACAGCTTAGAGAGTTGAACATGCACTGGCAGAGCTCCCTNATAAGATATGTCAGTTAATTGTATGAGACGCGGGATGGCGGGCGCACGGACCTGTTGGGGCTTCGCGGAAGAGGACTGGCCTTAGCAGCCCAGGCAGTACCAATGGCAGGGCAAGAGGCGATAGTGTTGGTGGGCGTGTAAGAGGCACTGTTGACACCTGAGGGAGAGACAGTTGCCATGGCAGACTTCAGATTGGAGTAATCGGCCAGGGTCGAAACGGCGTTGTTCTCGATGGAAACAAGACCATACTCGTTCGAGGTCTCGAAGTACATGTAGACGATACCACCAGACCACACTTCAGTCATGTTGTCGCCGTAAAGCGCTGCTACCTCGCCCCAGGTTCCTAACGAAAAGCACAATTAGCATGATTTCGCGAAGTTCGATGGTCAAGAACACCACGGCTTTGCCAGACGAATGCACCCAAAGTCCGCGAGTGCCTACACAATGAGACACAGCGCCAGCACTAGTCGTGGCATTCTGACCTTGAGCTTGACTTACTGNGGACGGTGGGTGTTGCAGCCATACTCACTATTTCAATGTTAGTTGTGGTTGTTCTCAGGTGGTGGGATTTGGGGGACGAACGCGAAGAAAACGGGAACGCTGTAAGTAGAGAACTCTTCAGTGCGGGCAGCGTAACCAGACTCCTGGTAGTTGGAAGGATCACACCAAGAGTAGACGTTGTAACCCCAGAAATCGATGTTGAGGGCAGTGTCAGAGCTGCAATCGAAGTAATCGGCCATATCTACACGAATGGTGGAGTCATCGGATGTAGCGTAACCGACACCAAGTTGTCTGTAGCCCTGAGTCTTGATGTATGCCTTGGTGTCACGAACAGCAGCCTTGACGAAAGCGCTGGCGTTGGTGGTGTTTGCAGAGTTTGAGACCTCGTTACCAGCGAAGAAACCGAGAGTGTTGGTGTAGTTGGCAAGGGCATCGACAACAGAAGTGTAGCGCTGGTACAAGTCATCGTTCCAGGCAGGGTCGTTGCGGTTGATCGAGGTATCAGGGGCGGAAAGGTCAGACACGACGTAGATGCCAGCATCTGCGAGCATGTTCATGCAGGCATCGTGGTTCTTGGTAGGATCGATGGCGTAAACACGGATGGTGTTGGTGCGCAGAGCAGTGAGGTAGGGAATATCACGTGCGCAAGTAGACTCATCAGCCAAAGGGTCGGTGTAGGAAGAGTCGGTGGTGTTCTGGACGTCCTCCTGGTATGCGACACCGCGCATGAAGAATTGGGTGCCGTTGGTCTTGTAGAAGAACTTGGAACCCTTGATGACAATGGGGTCGACATCAGCAGCGACCTTAGAGACGAGCATGCTCGCAGCCGCGATGGCTGTGGCAATGCCAAAGCCTTTCATGATGATGATGTGGATGCTTGTTTAGTTGTGAACTGGTGTAAATAGCCTCCTGTAGTAGGTGATCAGGGGCCTAGGTGGAAGGTGCGAAACGCAGGAATGAAAAAAGCTTCGAGCGAGCGATTATATGAGATTCGAGAATTGTGAACAATGAGTGAACGAAGGTCGATAACAGGTAAGTCGTCACAGGACACGAAATACCAGAAGATGCACAAGGAAAAGGGCAGGCAAACAAGAAAGGTTGCTGTCCGGGAGAGGTCGCGGACCGTGGCGACAGGGCAAGCGCCTTACATAAGAACGTGTTTGGCACTGGCCGCGCAAGCCCACCTCCTGGCCCATCTGATCTTCATCTCCCCGAGGAGCTACTTCGCCACAACGATACGAGTCCGCACGACTGTCTGGAATACGGAATTGACTGCCCTATTTCATTTCTCACTTTTGCCAATCCCCTGCCCAGAGCTTGGCTATTTCTGCGCAAGAGCTTTCAATTGCTTCTGCTGCTTCGCCTGAAGGTCTTGTCTCTGTGTTATATGTGCTGCCGTTCAAGCCCGCAATTTTAATAGAGTGACCGTGCCTCTAATGTCCCACTCTTGACCATGGGGAATAATCGTCAAACGAAACGCATGCATAGGTGGCGCAACTGCCAACAGCACTCTCAACTCGACCGCGTCCTGCTTGTTCCGGTTTCCTCGTCCTCTGCGAAATGGCATTCCGAGCAGCCGGGCCAAGCTTTGTATGCCTCAACGGCGGCTGCGTATCACTTTTAGCTCGGTCAACAAGATGCCGAGAGTGTAAACAGTCGCCTTTGCTCTGTTGACCTTTTCGAATAAAAATGCTGGCCGAACCTGCGTTCTTCCGAGGACATCAACCTTTATCAACTCGAACAGCTTCTCAACGTTTGTGTCATCGTAATCGTGAATAGTTCATGTCGTCACGACCAATGGGGATCTACAAATATTCTACAGGTACAGGGGGAGACATGTTCAGAGGTAACAACTCCGTAGCTGGTTCTGCACGATGGCTGGTGTTCAGAAAGCACCCATGTCTGCTCGCACACGCAGCTTGTCTTATCTTTCGTGCCGATGCTGTTCAGTCAGGCCTCATCGCTTTAGCCTGTAGATGTCTGGGCTCTACCATCAACGCATCTCCTCTAGACATGACTTGTGTCATGTTTGGGATACGTTTCACAGTTCAGGATGACGATGCAGGAGATTGCGAATGGCAAATCAATACACAGATCACGGAATTAAGCATTCTTATCCGAGACTCTGACCTTAAGAAGCATTGCCTTTGATATCAAGGACTCTTTCTGGAAGGATTTAGATATCTTGTTAAATTGTCGGATGTCCAGAGTTGTGGCATGCGTCCAGGAATAGCATACGAGGGTAAAGACGCCGTACTCGTGGATGTAGACTTTCTTGCCAGATGTGAACACGCGGCGACACTGAAGTCTGTGGCTAATCGACCATAACATGAATGCAGACCATATGTTCGATCTGCTTGAAGCAGAGCCTTCATATCTCAAGTAGTTCGGAAGGAACATCTCAACATAACTATCGCGAAATTTGAATGACGATTTCCGGGTACAAGCCACAGTCAAAGCATCATCCAAGCATTTCACGGAGAGCAGCGAACCGTTCAACAAGCACACGTATGAGGTGTGAGGCGCACTCGTGACAAAGCCGAAAATAGCACTGAATTGTTAGCAAGCATCCAGAAATTCGTCCACTCGAGTAGTGCTGGCGATCGTATTAAGATGTCTGTTATTTGCTGACAGCCGCCAATAAATCGACCATCCAGTCGGTCGGAGCGCGGCACAAGAACAAGAAGAGCAAGCAGCACAGGGCTGTGCAAGAGATGCGGTTCGGTGCATTGAGATTGAGAGAGATCGTCAAGCCTGATTTGCGTTGATGTCAAGTCATGGACACTGCTCAAGACGGTGTGAAGAAGTGGCCAAGAAGGACCATGGTTCCCCAGCAAGAATCGACGATTGACGGTCCGGTGCGGAAAAGAATTCGAAGGGCCAGTCTGGCAGTCTCAGAGGAATGGCAGGACGCATGTTTGAAGTGAGGCGCTAGAGGGCGAAGCGATGAGCAAATGGGAGGCCGGTGTGCGGGACTGAGGCGCGAGATGAAAGTTGGCTGGGGCGTGATAGCGCGACTCGCCCTGCCGCGAATGCTGGAGCTAAATTGAAAAGTGGCCTGAGCGTTGTTTTGGATCAAGGAGAGACTTGTGTTCCTGCTGCGGTGTTCGCTGCCCGGGATCCGGCCGCTAGGTGCATTTTTGCTGGGGCTTGCTTGAATCTTGGTGCTCTGTTGGTGCTCCGCTGGTGCTCCTAGGCAGTTGTCTGTCGAATCGCGTTGGTGCGGCCTTTCGCCTCCAAGCCGTTGAAACAGCAGACTACGATCAACCGAAAGCCCCCTTTCCCGCCCCTGCCTCGTGCGCGCGCCTTCTGTTCCAGCATCTTTTTGCTTTCGTGCAAACACCCATTCGTTCTCTTTTGTGTTCTCCTCCCGGCTGCACATCTGTCTCCCTTTCTTCCTCCATCGCCGTCACCCTCATCCAAGGTGTCGGATTGAACAGAGGTTGTTTGACATCTGCAATCCCGGACTGATCAAGAAGTCTATTTCTTGCATCTCCACACAAGCTGCCGAGTCTGCGGCCGCGCGTTCTCACGGCAACAACTGCGTCCACTTTTCGACCTACACCACCTCCGGTCCGAAAATATCAACATTGCCTCCTTCACCAAGGCATAGCTGTTGCTGCATCCGCATCAGTCCTCTCTTCGGACTATCACACTCGCTGCAACTTCGAACAACAAACGCTTTGGTAGGCTTTTTGGCCACATTCCCGCAATCAGCCCATCCCTTGTTTCACGGCGAATGTCATTGCTTTGAGGTGAGCATCGCCATCGTCAAACTGTCACCGGGACGATTTCCTGACTTGAAGCAGTAATTTCTTGTAATTGACTACAGCATGGCGCACCCTCAACAGGGCGGTGGCCATTACGCCGATGACGGCTACGGCCACGGCAATGATGGTTACTACCAGGACGACCAAAACCAGGNNCCTACTACGACCACAACCAGGGTTATGGCAATGGACAGGACAGCTACTATGACGATGGGTAAGTCGTTTTTGCCATTGCTGAGCCCCTGAATCTTGCTAACTCACTCATGTAGTAATGGCCAATACGCTCAAGGCGAACATGGCGGCCCTTACCAAGGTCAACACGGCCAAGACGGCTACTACGACGCTGGCCACAATGGCTACCAGGACGAGTACTACAACGACCAATATTACGACCAAGGTCACGCTGCTGGCCAGCAAGGAGCCCGTGGACCTAGAGGCCATTCCGAGGAAGATTCCGAGACCTTCAGTGATTTCACCATGAGATCCGACATGGCTCGCGCTGCCGAGATGGACTACTATGGTCGTGGCGATGAGCGCTACAACAGCTACAATGGCGAGCAAGGTGGCCGTGGTGGCTTCCGCCCTCCTTCATCTCAGGTTTCGTACGGTGGCAACCGCTCATCTGGTGCATCGACTCCTGTCTATGGTATGGACTACACCAACGCTCTTCCTGCTGGACAGCGTTCGAGGGAGCCTTACCCTGCCTGGACCTCCGATGCTCAAATTCCTCNNTCCAAGGAGGAGATTGAGGACATTTTCCTCGACCTGACGGCCAAGTTCGGTTTCCAGCGTGACAGCATGAGAAACATGTTCGACCACTTCATGACCCTGCTCGACTCGCGTGCTTCTCGTATGTCGCCTAACCAAGCCCTTCTCTCGCTGCACGCCGACTACATTGGTGGTGACAACGCCAACTACCGCCGCTGGTACTTCGCTGCTCACCTCGATCTCGACGATGCTGTCGGGTTTGCCAATATGAACCTTGGAAAGGCCAACCGCCGTACTCGCAAGGCCCGCAAGGCTGCCAAGAAGAAGGCTCAGGAATCTGAGAACGAGGAGGCTACTTTGTCAAGTCTCGAGGGCGACAACAGTCTTGAAGCTGCTGAGTACCGCTGGAAGTCGCGCATGAACAAGATGTCTCAGCACGATCGCGTCAGACAGGTTGCTCTGTACCTTCTTTGCTGGGGTGAAGCTAACCAGGTTCGTTTCATGCCTGAATTGATGTGCTTCATCTTCAAGTGTGCCGACGACTACTTCCACTCTCCTGCTTGCCAGAACAAGGTCGAGCCAGTTGAGGAATTCACCTACCTCAATAACGTGATCACCCCTCTGTACAACTACTGCAGAGATCAGGGTTACGAGATCTTCGACGGCAAGTATGTCCGCAGAGAGCGTGACCACAACAAGATCATTGGTTACGATGACATGAACCAGCTCTTCTGGTACCCTGAAGGTATCGAGCGTATCGTTTTCGAGGACAAGTCTCGTCTGGTTGACTTGCCTCCTGCTGAGCGCTATGAGAGACTTCAGGACGTTATCTGGAAGAAGTGCTTCTTCAAGACTTTCAAAGAGACCAGATCGTGGTTCCACAACTTGGTCAACTTCAACCGTATCTGGGTCATCCACGTCACTGCTTACTGGTTCTACACTGCTTACAACTCGCCTACTCTCTACACTAAGAACTATGAGCAGCAGCGCAACAACTCTCCTGAAACTTCTGCTCACTTCTCGGCTGTCGCTCTCGGTGGTACTGTCGCATCCCTTATCATGGTTTTCGCCACGCTCGCCGAATGGTCATACGTTCCGAGAAAGTGGGCAGGTGCTCAGCACTTGACCAAGCGTCTTCTCTTCCTCATCCTGGTCCTTGTTATCAACGTTGCACCCGCAGTGTACATCTTCGGTGTGAGCCAAAAGGGCAAGATCGCTTTGATTCTCGGTATTGTGCAATTCCTGATTGCTCTGATCACTTTCTTCTTCTTCTCGATCATGCCCCTTGGTGGTCTCTTTGGCAGTTACCTTACCGGCAAGTCTCGCCGCTACGTGGCAAGTCAGACATTCACCGCCAGCTGGCCTCACCTCAAGGGCAATGCCATGTGGATGTCATATGGTCTTTGGATTATGGTGTTCGGTGCCAAGCTCGCAGAGTCTTACTTCTACCTCACTCTGTCGCTGCGTGACCCAATCCGTATTCTGTCCACCTTGAAGATCAGACACTGCATTGGTATCAAATATGTTGGCAAGGTGCTTTGCTACCACCAGGCCACGGTCACTCTGATTCTGATGTACATCACTGATTTGATTCTGTTCTTCTTGGACACTTATCTCTGGTACATCATTCTGAACACCGTGTACTCGGTTGCTCGCTCTTTCTACCTTGGTGTTTCCATCTGGACTCCCTGGAGAAACATCTTCTCTCGTCTGCCCAAGCGTATCTATTCCAAGGTCCTTGCAACTACTGATATGGAGATCAAGTACAAACCTAAGGTTCTGATCTCGCAGATCTGGAACGCCATCATCATCTCGATGTACCGTGAGCACTTGCTAGCTATCGATCACGTCCAGAAGCTTCTTTACCATCAGGTTCCCTCGGAGCAAGAAGGCAAGCGTACTCTTAGAGCACCCACTTTCTTCGTTTCTCAGGAAGATCACTCTTTTAAGACTGAGTTCTTCCCTAGCCAGAGTGAGGCTGAGCGTCGTATCTCTTTCTTCGCTCAGTCGCTGTCTACTCCTATCCCCGAGCCTGTTCCGGTCGACAACATGCCTACTTTCTCCGTCATGATTCCCCACTACGGTGAGAAGATTCTTCTTTCCCTCCGTGAGATCATTCGTGAGGACGACCCATACTCCCGTGTTACCATGCTCGAGTACCTGAAGCAGCTTCACCCTCACGAGTGGGATTGCTTCGTTAAGGACACCAAGATTCTGGCTGATGAAACTTCCCAATTCAACGGCGAATACGAGAAGACTGAGAAGGACACTGCTAAGGCCAAGATCGACGATCTTCCCTTCTACTGCATTGGTTTCAAGTCTGCTGCTCCTGAGTACACTCTCCGCACTCGTATCTGGGCATCGCTTCGTTCTCAGACCCTTTACCGTACCATCTCTGGTTTCATGAACTACAGCCGTGCCATCAAGCTGCTGTACCGTGTTGAGAACCCTGAGGTTGTTCAGATGTTCGGTGGCAACTCTGATAAGCTCGAGAGAGAATTGGAGCGCATGGCTCGTCGCAAGTTCAAGATCTGCGTTTCCATGCAGCGCTATGCCAAGTTCACCAAGGAAGAGCGTGAGAACGCCGAGTTCTTGCTCCGTGCTTACCCCGACCTCCAGATCGCCTACCTTGACGAAGAACCCCCAGTCAACGAAGGCGAGGACCCTCGCCTCTACTCTGCTCTGATCGATGGTCACTCCGAAATCATGGAGAACGGTCTCCGCAAGCCCAAGTTCCGTATCATGCTCTCTGGTAACCCTATTCTCGGTGACGGCAAGTCTGACAACCAGAACCACTCTATCATCTTCTACCGTGGTGAGTATATCCAACTCATCGACGCTAACCAGGACAACTACCTGGAGGAATGTCTGAAGATTCGTTCTGTCCTCGCCGAGTTCGAAGAAATGACCACCGACAACGTCTCTCCCTACACTCCTGGTCTCGCCACTCCCAAGTTCGACCCTGTTGCCATTCTTGGTGCTCGCGAGTACATTTTCTCAGAGAACATCGGTATCCTTGGTGACGTCGCTGCTGGAAAGGAACAGACATTCGGTACTCTCTTCGCTCGTACTCTCGCTGAGATTGGTGGTAAGCTCCATTATGGTCACCCCGATTTCCTCAACGGTATCTTCATGACTACTCGTGGTGGTGTGTCCAAGGCTCAGAAGGGTCTGCATCTGAACGAGGATATTTACGCCGGTATGACTGCTCAGCTGCGTGGTGGCAGAATCAAGCACTGCGAGTACTACCAGTGTGGTAAGGGTCGTGATTTGGGTTTCGGCTCCATTCTCAACTTCACCACCAAGATTGGTACTGGTATGGGTGAGCAGATGCTTTCTCGTGAATACTACTACCTCGGTACTCAACTCCCTCTGGACCGCTTCTTGTCTTTCTACTACGCTCACGCTGGTTTCCACGTCAACAACACTTTCATCATGTTGTCAGTGCAGCTCTTCATGTTCTGTATTATCAACCTTGGTGCTCTCAGACACGAAACCATCATCTGCCGTTACAACAGAAACACTCCTATCACTGACCCTCAGTGGCCCACGGGTTGTGCCAACTTGCGCCCTTGTCTCGACTGGATTGAGCGTTGCTGTGTTTCCATCTTCATCGTCTTCTTCATCTCCTTCGTTCCTCTTACGGTTCAGGAACTGACTGAGCGTGGATTCTGGCGTGCAGCTACTCGTCTCGCCAAGCACTTCTCGTCCTTCTCTCCTCTCTTCGAAGTCTTTGTCTGTCAGATCTACACCAACGCTCTTCAGCAAAACTTGTCATACGGTGGTGCCCGTTACATTGGTACCGGTCGTGGTTTCGCTACTGCTCGTATGCCCTTCGGTATCCTCTACTCGCGTTTCGCAGCTCCCTCCATCTATCTCGGTATCCGCCTGCTTCTCATGCTTCTGTTCGGTACTCTGACCATCTGGGGATACTGGCTTCTTTACTTCTGGGTTTCGCTGCTCGCTCTCTGCATTGCTCCCTTCCTGTTCAACCCTCACCAGTTCGCATGGGGAGACTTCTTCATTGACTACCGTGAGTTCCTCAGATGGTTGTCTCGTGGAAACACCAAGGGCCATTCAGCATCATGGATTGGATTCGTCCGTCTTTCGCGTACCCGCATCACCGGTTTTAAGAAGAAGGTGCTTGGTGAGCCGTCCGCCAAATTGTCTGGTGATACCTCTCGTGCCCGCTTTGGCAACGTCTTCTTTGCCGAAGTCATTGGTCCGCTCTTCCTTGTTGCTGTAACTCTTGTCCCCTACCTTTACATCAACTCTGGTACTGGAGCATACCGAGGCAACAACCCCGATGCGAGCAATGCGGAAATGCAACCTACCAACCCTCTCATTCGTGTTGCCATTGTCGCCTTTGCTCCAATTGGTGTCAATGCTGGTGTATCATTCGCCTTCTTTGCGATGGCTTGTTGTATGGGACCCCTCTTCAGCATGTGTTGCAAGAAGTTTGGTGCTGTCTTGGCCGCCATCGCTCACGCCATCGCTGTCATTGTGCTCATCATTATGTGGGAAGTTATGTTCTTCCTTGAGGGATGGAGCTTCCCTAAGATGCTTATCGGCATGATCGCGTCGCTCGCCATCCAGCGCTTCATCTACAAGCTTATCATTGCTCTGACGCTCACTCGTGAGTTCAGAACCGATTCTTCAAACATCGCTTGGTGGACTGGTAAATGGTACGGCATGGGCTGGATGGGTTTCTCTCAGCCTGGTCGTGAGTTCTTGTGTAAGATTACCGAGCTGGGATACTTCTCGTCGGACTTCGTCTTGGGTCACCTGCTGTTGTTCTTCATGCTCCCGCCCCTCTTGATTCCTTACATTGACACCTTCCACTCGGTCATGCTTTTCTGGCTTCGTCNNCCAGGTATGTTTCCTGTTGTCCTCTTAGATGAGATTCTTGCTAACAAAGTTGACAGTCGCCAAATTCGTCCTCCAATCTACTCGCTCAAGCAGTCGAAGCTTCGCAGACGTCGTACAATTCGCTACGCCATTATGTACTTCGCCTTGTTCATCCTCTTCATCGTCCTAATTGTCGCACCCATGATCGCTGGCAAGTTCATGGGCAAGTCACTGACGGTTGATACACTCCCCATGAACCTAATGCAGCCCACCAACCTCAAGAACAACGACACTACCGATCAGACGACCGGTACCATCTTGGGAACTGCAGCTGCTACAGCTGCTGCCTCAGGTGACAGTGCTGCATCATCTGCAGCAGCACGCCGCTTTGCCCACTTCATGTACTAGAAGGGTTCAGTGGACGAGGTCAGATAATAGAGTGGGTGGAAGTTTTGGCGTCAAAATGATTGCATTCATCACGCTTCGTAGGCGTGTTCCTGTACAACAGCAAGTCGGCAGATGTGGTCGATTCGGTTGGGCAGCATAATGATGTTTATTTGTCTTTGTTTCTATTCTTTTCAGTTTCGGCGGGAAGACATTTTGGGAACTGATTATTGTCACTGTTAGAATTAAATGCTCAAAATGCAATCACCAGTACATATGCAACACCACTTTCGTCTACGCATCCAAGGCTTCCGTGAAGATCAAGCAAATGAAGGTGTTCGAAATGGACCTAGGAAGGCAGGCAGGTCACGTGCATGTCGCGGACAGGGCGTGCAAGCTTGACGAGTGACAGGCTCCAGTGTACATGTGGGACCAGCGACGGTCTCCAGNNTACATCGGACCTACTCGTACTATCCACATCGTGAGTCGCTCTTTCTTCCCTCTTGTGTCAAGAAGATACTTGCGCATCGTGATTGCACACTCGACATGGCTAACATGCAGAGCTCTATAGCACAACGCGATCATGCCTGCTATGCTGGATGACCCGACGGCGCCTGCCATCTACCGTGCATCTGGTGATGCGCCCTATCCCACGCCATATGCCCCGCTGCCCGCCAACATTGTCCCTCGTCAAGTCACTCTGCGTGATCGCTCAACCACCGCTACCCTTGTGCCTTTCTCCTCTCCGCACCAAGTGCCCCAGACACTGCTTCACTACCTATGCGCCCTCCTCAATCGCGAAATCGAGGGCGGTGATACCTATCCTATGATCAATGAGCTTCCACTCGAGTCGTTCGGCCCCTACTGGTTCGCCAACTTTGGTGCCGTCATGCTGCTAGGCGATGTGAGCAATGTCGACCATGTCTGGCAGATGGAGAAAGAGGGTGTCGATTGGTCCAAGCAATGTTTAGGCAGCTTCTACATCAAACCCAACTACCCGGGTCGCTCCAGCCATGTCTGCAATGGTGGCTTCTTGGTCAGTGATGTTGCAAGAAACAGAGGTGTAGGTCGCTTGATGGGTGAGGGATACCTGGAATGGGCTCCTCAACTGGGCTATTCGTACTCTGTCTTCAACCTCGTCTACGAAACAAACATTGCCTCGGTCAGGATTTGGGATGCTCTGGGCTTCAAGCGTATCGGTCGTGTTCCTGGTTGTGGTAACCTCAAGTCCGCTGATCACCTTGTTGATGCCATCATCTTTGGCCGCGATCTCAATGGCGAGGCTGAGGACTATCTGTCCGAAGAACGCTTTGACAAGATCCGCTTCTACCTCAAGACAGGCAACTATCCCAATGGTGCCGACCGCGCCGAAAAGAGCAGACTCCGCAGTGCAGGCGCTCACTACCGCCTTGTTCCTGACCCCGACGGCGGCGAAGAGAAACTCATGCTCAAAGATAAGGNNGAAGTCATCAGCGATCCTCAAAAGCAGTACGAGATCGCCATGAAGACACACGCTCTGACACACGCAGGCATCAACAAGACCACCGCATCGATTGCTGAACGCTTCCACTGGATCCGTATCAAGGAGACCGTGTCGCAAGCCATCCGCAACTGCGCAGTCTGCAAGGAAACCGCCGCCAAACAAACCGCCAAACCGGGCAAAGCAGCTTCACCTAACAACAACAAAGTCTCGGAGAACTCGCAAGCGAGTCCTGGTGCTGGAATGGAGCATCAACCACCTCTTCTCTCACCTGCTACCGTTGAGAATGCAAATTTGCAGAATGCTATGCAGCAGCATCATGCTGACACCTCACAAGACCATATGGATCTCTCACACTTTGACTACTCGAACATCCCTGTGGATCCGGCCATCATGACAGACATGTACTCCACTGCTCATACTCCAGGACCAGCCAACAACGCGTTCGTTGCTGAGCCCTCACAGCAAGAGGTACAGCAACATGGTGGCATGTACGGAGCACAGATCTATGAAGAAGATGCAGATGCACAGTTACAGGCCGAACTGGCTAGTGAGATGATCACAAGGGCTGCAGGTGGCGAGGAGTAGGATGCCAGCCTTGCTTAGTGGACCCTCTCGCAGGAGTGATACAAGAGATTGAGGATGAGACGTAGACTCCATTTGCTATTGTTCACAATGGGTTGCTAGGGAAAAGAATCGTAACGAGACACGTAGAACAGAAAATTCAATGACTGTAGAATTTCTATGACTTTGCTTCCTCTTGTCGAGATTGGCGAACAAGTGATGTAGAACAGCACCTCTGACAGACTACAGCAACGACGACAACCGCTTTCATGAACACTTGATAACCAAGCTGTCTTTTGTCTCCCACAACGTCAAGTTAGATGTATGCATGCGGCACGACCCCGATCACAAAATCGAAGGCATGAAACGACACACTGGGTTTATTCCAGCAAGAATGACCATCCCCAATCATCCCTCCCTCTTCCCTCCCTCACCCCTCAAAACCCAAACTTATGTTTAATCAACCCCGTAACAGCACCCCTCTTCTGCCGATTCACAAACTTACTAACATCATCCGCCCACCCCTGACTATTGTTTTCCAAATTCTCCATCGAGTCTCCCATGATATTTAGCTTTTCTGTGCGTTCTTGGATTTGGCGTTGCATGTAGGCGCCCCAGCCTTCATTGCTGCCTTGTGCTGCTGAGGATGAGGAGGAAGCAGGGCGGCGAGAGGCGGCGAGGCGAGAAGCTTCGTCTGCGCGGGATTGGGCGAGCATGCGTTTGGAGGGGGGACGGTCGGGGCCGCCGACNTGTTGAGGGGAGAGGTTAGTGGTGTTGATGGGGAGGAAGGGGAGGTGACAGGGAGATTTACTTAGAATGTCCATGTCTGCGGGTGTTATGTATTGTGTTCCTGCCACCCATTGGAAGTTTGAGATTGTGGGTCTGGGTGGGATGAGGGCTTCTGGGTTGAACAACTTGTCTAGTGACTTGNNGGTCTGCAAGAGTTGATTAGTACTCTACACACTTTGCTCTGGTCATGGTACTCACAGTAGTTGGCCTGTTCCCCACATGTTGATCAGAGCCATCTCAGAAGGACCAGTCCAACCGAAAATGTCTCCATTGGGAATGATGATGGAATCGGCAAATCGTCTGGTGTCCAGAATATGCGATATGTTGATGGAATTGAGCTCTCTCAATGCAGGCAAGGTATATGCACGCACAGTGCCATCGCCGAATAAGCCAGCAAGCACATAGCCTTGATCTTGGAATCTTACCACCGCTGCTGATTCGCAGGAATAGCTGTCAAANGTCTTGTGAGCGCCCTTGGAGGTTGCTGGACGGAAGATACGAGCTTCGCTTGTGGTTACGGCGACGAGAACACCCTCAGTCTTTACGCCGTTGCGAAGATTGGCTACAGCATCAGGAGTTGCGGATGCGGGTCTGCCTGTGTGGGTATCGACGGGTGAGATGTGGATGATGCGACCATCGAACGAGGTCACGCCCTTGAAGTCCACACAGTAACGCCCGCTGCTATCGGGAACGAGCTTGAAAGTCGCCAGTCGACCTAGGTTAGTGCCAGCATGCAGATTGACACTAGAGTAGTTTTCATCTTCGAGAGTCATGACGCTGAACTCCAGTTTCGTCACCCACTCTGGTTTGTCTGCTGGATGACTGCTCTTACGGCGCAGTGTGCCGAGCTTGTCACCCTTGCCAAACTCAGCAGTTGTGCCAAGGTGGATGACAGCAGGGCCACGCATATCAATGACAGCAAGTTTGCCTCCTTCTGAAGCAGCAGCCACGAAGCCAACCTCACTAACCTTGACTGCAGTGATAGGTCCACTCTGTAAGTCAAGCAAAGTAAAGGGACACAGACCCTCCTTCAGACTGGGATCAGCTCTGTCCATGATGTTTGTCAGAGCATTGAGACGATTTTCACCAGCAGAGGGTGGCACATCACGGCCAAAGTTTCGGTTGTTTCCCCAGCGGAAGATTGCAACTTCACCGCTTCTCGTGCCTGCTGCGAACTCGCTACTTGCGCTGGCCAGAGAGGTGTTGGTGATATCGACGCCCTCGATACGTCCCACAGCTCGACCAACACCCGCTTCGAGGACTTTGTCGTTCTCAAGCTCGTCACCATGACCTGCGTCCCACAATCTGACCGTGCCATCTGCATGCATTGTTTGGATGATATTTCGGTTTTCGTATCGTTTGAGAGGATGTGTTTGCTCCACGCCACCTTTCAAGATCTGGGGACCCTGGTTGCGAGTCTCAGTCATACCGAGCCACTTGACTCTGTCAACCGTAGTAACATTTGCTCGTCTGATAAACGGATGCACAAATGTCATGGATACATGCAGCTGATTGGTTGGTGTGATTGGGATGCCGCTTGGGAAGCTGAGTGTGATGACCTCTCCAGACGACAACAGCGCTAGAATGGCAATGGGGTCTTGAGCCCCAGCAAAGTGTGGTGATTCTCGAGGAATAAGGCAGAAATCGACAACTTCGGCATTAGGTGGGGTTGGAAGCACTCTTTGTCGGCGAGGCGACTCCAAATGGTCAGCAAGGACGTCCCAACTTGATGTAGCGTAGTTTGGTGTTCGGCCCAGTTCGAAGAATGTCATGCCTTTTGTTGGCATAGTCGTGTCTGCACCACCAGCAATAAGAAGAGCTGTGTCGTCAGGATCCTTGTTCGCACACCACGCAACCTTGAAGATAGGCTCTTTGACTGATACTGTCGGTCCAAGGGTCGTGGCACCCTTACCAGGCACGTTGATATGTGTTTCGCTGGTCGTTCGAGCCAGAATGATTCTGCCATCCTTGGGATCCCAGAATACCATTGAGCTGTCTTCATGTCCTGTCAAGATAAAAGTGCCAGTAGGATGCCAAACTGCTTGAGTAAGTTTCGGCCAGCGAGGAGTTCTTGATGTTGAAGGGTCCGCATGGCCACCCGGTGCTCCAGCAGGAACCTCATACTGGAAGAACCTCTGAGCTTGATTCTGTTTGAAGGAGAAGGTAACGGCACCGTGAACATAGCCGATCAGGAGCTTTCCAATATCTCTAGGATGGAACTGGATGCTGACAACTGGTGACACTCGTGCCCTTGAGTCATGCTCAACCCACAGGTTTGGGATACGGAAAGGAGCGGCTCCTTCTCTGTCCATATCATAAGCAAGAACGTCTCCAGTCTGCATACCAATCAAGGCATAGTCCAGCGCGGGATCCGTCGCGATGCATGTAGCGACACCAGGTGGAGAGTGAGACCCAATCAACTTCTTCGCCTCGAGCGAATAAAATGATAAGTCGTTCTTTGAGTCGAGACAGACAAGTTTGTCTGCACAGAATTGTATCTGCTTGGCTGATGCTCGTTGCGGTAGATCCAGGATGACGGCCACTCTGCCTCTACCGAAGATGTAGATTTGTCCAGGACCGAATTTGCTGTCCTTTGTGCCCACCGCCAGCAGTGATTGCACAGGATCGTAGGCGATGGCACCTATCTGACTGTTAATACCATAGCGCTCGATGTCGTCAATAGCGACATGCTCGGGCGTCAGTCCGGCGGAGAGATCGTTCTGTATACCAGCCTGCTTGCCTCGGATGAAGCTGGTCATTATAGCTTTTATCGGATTGAGAAGATATAATTAAGGGCGGTTCTTCTCGTTTTTGAAAGAAGTGGTTTGCCTAGCTATTCGTTGTCGCCAAGTCGGATGGGAAGCTTGGGCAATCCACCTGTTTCCAAGTCATTACAGGATTTGGGTGGATTGTGACCTCCTCGCTTTCTTGCACGCGCGTCAGTGTACTTATGAGGTGAAATTGCAACTTGGATTAAAAAATTTGAATGTAAAGTTATGTAGTGCATCGTACAGCAAGCCAATATGCCCATGGAAGTGTCTTTCCAGATGAGTTACAACACAATCATTTCTCACATGCCTCGTGCTTGAATAGTATGGAGCAACCAAAGCTCGATCGCAGCCCCAACTACAAATGTCAAGACACTGCAGAAAAGAAAGAGAGACACAGGAAGCGAGAGGAAAAAGGGCCAAGAATAGTGTTGAAAGTCTTAATGTATTCTTAAAGTGGTATCGAAACGGAAAGTAAACTCTGCCGCAGAGTCAAAACAGAAAAAACACCCAGAAATGCGTACTCCCAAACCATAGTCGTGAAGCTTTTGAACCCTTTCCTAATAGCGCCGTGCATGAATCATTGAGAGATGATGAGGCGGTCCATCTTCTAGTGGACCATGACATCGCCCTGCTGCTGAGGAGGCTGGGGGTTCTCAGTAGCAGGGGCAGCATTGTCAGTTTCCATCTCATCGGCAGCCTCTCCCTCGGCTTCACCTTCACCTTCCTCCTCCTCTTCGTCCTCATCTTCGCTGGCGCTGCTCTCGGCTTCGATGTCCTCGCTGCCAGCATCTGAGACTTCGTCTTCCTCCTTGGGTTGTTCAACAGGGTTGGCCTCGGCCATCTCAGCGTCTTCACCCTCCTTGACTTCGGGCTCGCCCTCAACTTCGACTTCGTCCTCCTCAAGCTCCTCAGCACCGTAAGCGGCCTCGTCATCTTCCCTGGTTATCGGCGTCGGGCTGCTCAGGAGGGAATTCGGCGGGAGCGCTGGCCTCGCTGTCCCACTTGATGGCGAAGCGGGTGACACGGGGCTTCTCGGCGAGGATGCTGCGACGGACCTTCTCGACGACAGCCTTGGCAGGAGGTTCGGCAATCAGTGCCTCATCGGTGTACTCATTGTTGACGTAGTATCCAACACGGACGAACTCGCGACCGTCGTAGCTGCAGGTCAAGAGGATGACGGTGACGCCGAGGATGTCGCTGTTGGGAATGCGGTTGAGGTCTGGGGGTCGGCTTCGAAGACGAACTTGTTGACACCGACAGGGATGGGGCCAACAAGGAGAGAGTCGAGCTCCTGGTCGTACTCAGAGCTGGATCGGCAAGTCAGCAGGATGATCAGGTAGCTGACATGTTTGGGAAACTTACGAGGTAGCAGAGCCGACATAGGTGAGCTTCCACTCCAGGTCCTTGTCCAACTTCTCGAGACATTCGAAGGTGATCTCGAACTCGTAGGGTGAGGTGAAGGGGGCAGGGTTGTTGCGCACAGCAACGTTGAGCAGCGAGACGGCGGCCATGTTGATGGATGTGCTGTGATGAAAGTGGGAGAGATGCTGCGCTTTGGATGATTGTGGAAGGATGCGGTCGATGTGGATGTGACGTGAGAAAGGAGATGCGTTTAAGCTTGGAGGTGAATGCAGAAAGGCAAAAAGTGACCAAGTGGTGAGAGCAACGTCAATGTTTTGTTCGACTGTTCAGTGAAGGCTCAATCGCGTCTCGCGTCGGTCGCGTTTCACACACACTTTGTTCCCAATTCGGCATCGACCAACCAAGACCCTGCATGTGACGTCTAGCTAATTCTCGATCCTGGTCACGCTTTTCTTATCCTTCCATCTTCCTTCAACTGCATCTCTCTGATTCCAATGCTCTATCAGCTATTAGATCGCCCACACATCTGCCTGCTGTCTGGTATAACAACCTGCCCTGCGTCTGCTGGCATTCACGATGTCTGATCTGATGCTTGGACCCCTCGAGAAGCTCGCTACTGTCGGCGTCGGCGCTTTCATAAAGCCACCAAATTTCAACCTCCCATCAACAAGCCGCTTTAGCTCATCTGGGAGAGCGCCAGACTGAAGTCCACTTCATGTCTTCCTGTATCAGGAGTATTCTGGAGGCACTGTGTTCGATCCACAGAAGCGGCAGCGATATAGCTTTTGTGCATTGCCTTTTGTCCAGGTTCTACCATAGACAAAGGGCATTGCTTTTACCAGCTGTATAGGCACAACCACAGGCTAGGCATCACAAAGCTACTTGATGATGGTAAGCTCTGGATAGACCATGGTCCAGATCTTGGTCGTATTCTGGTGACAAGGCGTGGGTAATTGTAAGAAGCATGCAAGATAGGTAATTAGCCAGAGTACTGGAGAGAGCGCAATTCTCCATCCATAGGGATTTGTCTTTCTACGATCCAGTCAAGTCTTCTGGGGAAACTGTCGAGAGCATCATTCAGATAAGTTCCCTGGAGGATCACTGTATAGGCTAGTAAATGCAGACAAGATGGTAGAGCTGTTGTTTCACAAAGACCTTGTCAACCAGAAGGATCATGAGCAAAGTCGGGAGGATGAGGGAACATCTCAATGGCCCCTGTCTCGCCTCCAATTGAAGTGGTCATTATCATACCTAATGACCAGTCGGGCTACTTGGATGGCGAAGGTTGAGAGAAGGAGAGTCAGCCATCAGAGTCAGTGCGCGTCGCGGACCGATTGCGGCAGCGGGTGCTCCGTAAAACTCCTTGACAACGAAAGTCAGCTTCACACGACGGCAGTATGCAAGCTCTTGCCTTATGGGAAGCAAAGGTCCCGTCAGAACAACTGCCGTGGATTTCTATATAACAATCAAGGCTCTCCTCACAGCCGCGGGTCTATGTATGGAAGGAGGAAGGACAATGTGGCTTTATTCGTGGTTGCCAAGTAGGGTTATGTTGCCAGACTGGGACTCCGCGTCCGGAGCAGCTCAGAAAGTCTAACACGCCCGCATGGGCAAAAAATCCCGCCCCACTGTTACTACTTATTGCTCATAGCTGTCGCCTCTCTTCTTTATTTCCTCAACTTCCTTCCAGTCGTTGCATACACACACATACACATCATGTCTACTTACGCCCTTCCCGAAAGCCATCGCGATGTCAGTATCCAGCGCGACAGTTGTAATTGAGGAGCTCGAGTACTGACTATGTGTAGCNTCATGGAGAAGTCTCTCGTCGAGACTGACCCTGAGATCGCCGAGATCATGAAGAAGGAGATTCAGCGCCAGCGCGAGTCCATCCTTCTGATTGCCTCGGAGAACGTCACCTCGCGCGCTGTCTTCGATGCTCTGGGTTCGCCCATGAGCAACAAGTACTCCGAGGGTTACCCCGGCGCCCGCTACTACGGCGGTAACGAGCACATCGATGCCATTGAGCTCACTTGCCAGGCTCGCGCTCTCGAGACCTTTGGCCTCGACTCTGAGAAGTGGGGTGTCAACGTTCAGTGCTTGTCCGGCTCTCCTGCCAACCTCCAGGTCTACCAGGCCATCATGCGTCCTCACGACCGCTTGATGGGTCTTGACCTTCCCCACGGTGGCCACTTGTCCCACGGTTACCAGACTCCCCAGAGAAAGTAAGAGATTGAACCTTCTCTACAACGACCTCGGAGCTTTACTAACATTCTCAACAGGATCTCTGCTGTTTCCACCTACTTCGAGACTTTCCCCTACCGTGTCAACCTCGAGACTGGCATCATCGACTACGACCAGCTCGAGCAGAACGCTCTCATGTACAGACCCAAGGTCATCGTTGCCGGTACTTCTGCCTACTGCCGTACCATCGACTACAAGCGCTTCCGTGAGATTTGCGACAAGGTCGGCTGCTACCTCATGGTCGACATGGCCCACATCTCCGGTCTGATCGCCGGTCGTGTCAACGACTCTCCCTTCCCCTACGCCGATATCGTCACCACCACCACCCACAAGTCGCTCCGTGGTCCCCGTGGTGCCATGATCTTCTTCCGCAAGGGTGTCCGCAAGACTGAGATGAAGGCTGGCAAGGAGATCCAGACTCTCTACGACCTCGAGGGTCCCATCAACTTCTCCGTCTTCCCTGGTCACCAGGGTGGTCCTCACAACCACACCATCACTGCTCTTGCTGTCGCCCTCAAGCAGGCTCAGTCTGATGAGTTCAGACAGTACCAGCAGCAGGTCATCAACAACGCTAAGGCCCTTGAGCACGAGTTCAAGAACCTTGGCTACACCCTCGTCACTGGCGGTACTGACAACCACATGGTTCTCATCGACCTGAAGCCCCAGAATCTTGACGGTGCCCGTGCTGAGGCTGTCCTCGAGCAGATCAACATTGCTTGCAACAAGAACACCACCCCTGGTGACAAGTCTGCCTTGACTCCTTACGGTATCAGAATTGGTGCCCCCGCCATGACTTCCCGTGGTATGGGCGAGGACGACTTCAAGCGCATTGCTGGCTACATCGACCAGGCCGTCAAGCTTTGCAAGTCTGTCCAGGCCGACCTGCCCAAGGACAACAACAAGCTCAAGGACTTCAAGGCCAAGGTTGCCTCGGGCGAGGTTGAGGAGATCAACAAGCTCAAGGCTGAGATTGCTCAGTGGGCTTGCACCTTCCCTCTGCCCATCTAAGCACCTAAACCTGGACTTGCATAGTAGTATTTTGATTGCATCTAATGGCGTCTTGGGATGAAACGATATTCAACATGGGATAAAACGGAAGGAGGGGTGTTAGGTTACGAAAAGCAGACACAGCTTCAACCTGTGACCTTGCTATGATACCAGGAGACTATAGTTTCCAGTGCTAGAAAAAAGCGACATGACAATCTATTACAGATCTGAACCATTTTCACCTTATCGTTCCTGCCTGCCATTTGTCTATTGTTCTGGTTCATGAACACTCTACCATGTCTCTTCATCATATTCTTCCCTTCAGATGTCGACAACGAGGTTGATGACCACGTTGAGCAAAAAGACGCCGATTGGCTTGTGCGCACGTCAGACGGCGACGGGAAGGCGGGTGCGGGAGAGTTCCCTGATTTTAGCGCGGTTGGCCGTGGTTCCCCACGCAACCAGGTATTTACCAACGATCATCACGGTCTTTGATCGAAGGAGGCTGGGACGTGGCAGGAAATTCATTTAGCACTTTGCCAACCTCGCCATTTTGTCGTGCAGCAAAGAGACAAGGGATACACGCGCCGCGTTTCTGTCACTTTCTCCCACTTCTAACTTTTCCTACGAACCCACGTTACATACGTTTTCTCGACGATAAACTGAATAGCCTTTTGCAACGACTATTCATCTCCACTTTTCAGGCCATCCAAACCTCCACATTCCACGAGTCAATCCACGCGAAGAGACATCAAGAGGCATTGTGTGTAAAGGCATCTGCATTCCTCCAACCTCTTGCTCGGGCACCGGCAGAAGGCAGGACATTGTCTAAGCAAAGAGGACATTCCAGAGCAAGCCATGGCTCCTGGTATTGGCTTTGCCGTTGGCATCCAACGTCTGATACCTTTCATCGGTTATCACCACATTCTTATGATCTTGATTGCCGTTGCCATCATTCTTCTTTGTGAGTTGGACTCTATAGCATCACTGCCTTCCCATCACTAACAAGCATGCCTCACAGCACTACTACTGGCAGGGTGTTCCTCGAGTTCACCGTTGATACCAGGAATCTTTCTCATTGACTTCTACTATCAAACATACACACCGACATATGATCCGGCGCAAGTCGATCCTGGCGTCACTGCCGCTATTGCCAACATTGTTGGACAGACGCAGTTGGAAGTAAGAGTCGGATACTTTGGCTTGTGCATAGCATCGGATGCAGGCAACTACCTCTGCTCCAACAATGCTACCCTGCTGGCCGAGCAGATTAGCATCGACAAAGATCCCATGAACTTGATCTGGGTTGCAAATACCTTCAAGAACTCAGTCGTCTTCCCCTGGCTGATGTAAGTACAGACCCAGTCATTCAAGGAGGACTCCTCGCTAATCAAGTCTAAACAGTNNATCATCGCCATCATCTTCGCCTTCCTCTGCTTCCTTCTTCTCGCCTCTTTCCCTGGCTGGCATGAAGAACGTGACCGCGCGACGGGTTCAGAAGTCGATGTGAAACCCTTCCCTTCACGTCCGGTCTCACAATCAGCTCTGGCGCTCGTCTTCATCGCCTCAGTCTTTGTCCTAGTATCCGTACTATGGCAACACACGGCGTCAGTAGCCGCAGCACAAGTCGCCCAAGACATGGGCAACGGCAGCATAAAATCTGGTGTCGGAACATCAGCCATGGTGTTGGGCTGGTTCAGCTTTGCATTACTACTCATCGTTACCATTGGTCTATTGGTCATGATTTTGAGTATCCATCTCTTGGACAGACTTACCGATGAATGATCTTGAAGACTGCACATGTTTGGCACATTACGAACACAACAAAAGCAATGATACGAAACCAGAGGCGATTTTCGACATATGCATCATGATCACGACGATAGGGTATGGCTTTACCTGCCCGAGCACACCAGCGCACTATACCCCCACCATGTTTCTGCGCAAGTTTCTATCTTCTTTTGTTTTCTTCTTCTGCATCTTGGGCTTGAACTCCTCGACCGCATTGCCAGCATGCAAGCATTTTTGATTCTGTTGTTTGAGGCCTTTCTTGTAATCTGCATCTACGGAGCATTTTGGGGCTCTTTCTTTTTTTGATTCGGAGGGATGGGATGATTATCTCGCCTGGCTGTTTTCTATTCTTGTGTTTCCTTTTTCTCTCTTTAAACCAGATTGAAATGCATGGAGAGAAAAGGTGGAATGATGGATTTGAGACAGACAATCCTTTCTTTGTACATGTCAGACTTTCGAAAACAGAATGAGTCGGATGGATTATATAGATGAATTGACAATGACATGGAAGAGATTGGCTAGATGAACATGTCCCTTTGATCACAATCCTCCGCCCATACTACTGTATCCTTTTGAGACCCATCTTCTATCGACCTTATTGGTCTCTTGACTACGACTCTCCTGCGAGTGGTTGTAAGTGACTTCGACAACGGTGGAGTCATCCAGAGAACTAGCCAAACAAATATAAATGCGGTGAATGAAAACATGGGCCAGGGTCGTCCTGTATGCCATGCATTGCAACAAACACCACTCGAAAGATGAGAGTTTCCATGTTCTCGAGGATTGATCAGACAGGAAACAAGAATCATTCAAGAAGCGAGCACAGAAAGCCTTAAAATATGGCGAAAGATTCAAGATCTGGCAGATGTGTGTTTACGACTGGTGAAAGTCAGAAATGTTTCAGACTATCCAACCCGTTGCAGGGACATCAGATATGACATGGCTAGCGAACAATTGGAGCATGTGTATGTCTTTGCTTCTATACGGTATATGTGCTTTGTATACGGCTAGTTGTACACAGATAGCTTGTGCTTCAGCAACAGACTCATTCAGTCGATTTGGGAGCCTCGATGTGAGATTGACCCCAAACATTCGGTCTGTGAAAGCAAAAAAAGTCAGCATATTTGAACATCTCCTCAAGAGACATAAAATTGACATACCTTGTAAACAACATCTTCAGAATCTCGCCGTAGTTGCCGTTGTCTCTCTTTCTGCCTTCGAGCCATTTGCCGAGATCTTCTTTCATGTCGCTTTCACCTCTGCCCACCACATCGATACCGCGTTCCTCGCATGCTATGCGTGTTTCTTCTGTACTCAATGTCAAGTGGCTCAGCACCCAGTCTTGTAGCAATAGCTCGTCGTCGATGTGTAGGTACCCCAGATGTCTCATCAATTTGACAGGGAATAAAGGATGTTGCACACCAATGCTGTCAAACAATCTGCCTCCAATCCCCAAAACTCGGGATATATGCATTGATTCCTTCTTTCCTAGCTTGACGATATGTTGCGCCGTACGCATAGACATGTATAGTCTAGGAAGCGCCTTNCTGCCTCCTGCAAAACTCGTAGGCATGGCTTCATCATTTTCCTCTGCAGGATTTGGCGTCTTTAGTCCCTCGCGAAAAGACTTTTTGCGTCTTTCTTCCACGCCTTTTCTCATATCTTCGATTTGCTTGGGGATTCTGCAGGTGCGTGGGACAGCAGAGGGCACAAAAGGCACAATCAACGGTAACCACTCTCCAAACAGGGCCACCATCAACGCAAACGGAGGTAGTTTTCTAGAGTCATATTGCTCTCTCATCAACAATTGAAACTCTGTCCTTGTCAATTTTTCCTTTCCTTCGTTGACATTGTTGTAGTAGAATTCGAGGTGTGCGAGTAACGGTCTAGGCATATTGGGAAGCCCTGCGGCGCGGTTTGCAGCAGTGATTTGTGTTTTCAAGGCTTTTGCGCGTTTGCGGTTCGCCCATGTTGCTTTTACGCCTGTCCAGTAGAACTTTCCGTATGCGCGCCCGATTTGGAAGAGGTGTGCTGGTGTGGAGCGAGAGCCTTTTTCGGGGAGATTGAGGGGTGGTGGTAGAGTAGAGAGAGGCCCATTGATGCCGTCTTCGTCTGGTTGGGAAGGTGGTTTGGGAGGTAGGTCTTTGGGTTTTTCGTCTACGTTTGAGGATGGTGGTTGTGTCGAGTAGGGTTTGAAGGTGCTGGCGCTGAGGAGTTGGTGGCGCTGGGAAAGGGGACGGAAGGATTGTTGGTTGATTGAGAAGATCAGAGTGGTTGCCCTTCGAGGGGCTTGGATTGTGCTCGTCATTGCATTTGGTGGTTGGGCAATTGCTGAGAGAAGGTCAATGGAAATTGATCAAAGTCGTGTTTCGAGTGACCCGCGTCTTGACATTTTGGCGCAATCAATACGTCACCAGCAAAATAATGGAAAAGAAATGAGGATTAAATATTTGTTGTTTTAGACTTCTTCGTATTCGAATATAGTTGAAGAGTATGCAGGAATGTCATATCATTTGGGCAGCATCATGACATATTCTCTCTCGCTGTCGCCAAAACCCACGACATCGCCGTCCCGCAGCTCGATGTATCGACTACCTCCAATCTTCTCGCCGTTCAGCCGCGTTCCATTTGCGCTGTCCAGGTCGATGAGATATGGCTTGACCTTGCTTAGCTTGTCGCCGTACTCGTTTGTCTTTGTGATGTGCCTGAATTGTATGACAGCATGTTGCTTGCTGATGCTCGGGTGTTCTAACTGGAAATCGACGATGGCTTGATCGCGTCCCATGAGCCAGCAGCTGCGCGAGTAGAGGTGGATGGTATCAATCATGTCTTTGCCCTTGAAGACGAACATGCGCCATTGCTCTTTGCTCGACGGCTTGCGTGCCTCGGGTGGCTCGTGATATTTGAGGACGGTATTCGTGCCAGCCACCGTGTTGGCTTCTTTCGCAAGTAAGCCTGTCGCGTTGAAGTTGGGCTTCTGCTTTTCTACGACAGGCTCGGCTGGAGCAGCACCATCTCCCCTGGCGGAATTGATCTTGCTGTGAAGGTAGAGGACCACGGGCGCGACGAGGTGGAGGTGACTTTGAATGCGAGTGTGAGCGTCTTCTTCGTTTTGGCGGCGGTGATGGCGATGCGTCATCCTTCCGTGAGCCTCGTTCTCTGTCGTGTCTTCGTCTCGGACTCCTTGAGCGACTGTGCTGTCTTCTCCTTCTGTCCTTGCCGTCATCGTCGTATCGCCGGCTTCGTCTGTCTCTTTCTCTTCTGTCGTCGTCGTCCCTGCTCACAGATCTTCTCCTACGATCGTGTGGTCTTTCAGAGCGCCTCTCCCTGCTGTCGTGACGTCTCCTGCGGTCTCCATCTTCTGATCCCATGGTGAAGTGATTGTGAAAGTTGTCTTGTGAAAGCAGCATTCACTCGGTAAATGAAGCAACCCTCGGCCGGGGATGACGCGAGCCTTGGCATCCAAATCTCGAGGGTCCAAAACTTCTTTTCGCGTTCACCTGCCTCTTTGTTCTTCCCAAGCACCATCCTCACCAAAGCTGCGTTTCTTTGCTTCCACACAGACAAATGAGCAATCATTTCGTCCTTACCTCTTGCAAATGAGAAATTCGGAGTAATCTTCACATTACCAAACCACTCACCTTGCAATCTTTCGCGAGTGCGCAAGCTCTGAGTCACTGCCCGCGAGGGCCTGACGTGACACGTCTGCACCTGGCATCAGAAATTTCAGAACGTCTTGACCTTTTGAAAGGTTGCTTAACGGCGGCTGGACAGGGAAGAGGTCGCGTTCTATGGGAGCCGGTGCGAAGATTGTATGCGGGTCCATGACTTGCGATACTTGAGTGCAATACGCAGCGTTTCTTCTCTTTTGAAGGGATAATTCGATTCCGATTACTCGGGTGAGGATGGTGTTTCAACACCTTTTTTTTTCGGTCGGCCAAAGAGAGACCACCTGTCCGTGGTGCTGACTACGAACCTCATGTCTTTTGATAGCATGAGAGCCGAGAGTCTCTCGCAACTTTTTCGATTGCGCTTCTTGCGTTAGTCGTTGGAGCATATTACGAGTTTGAGGCCATTCAACATGTGACCTCGAACCTATACAGCAATTCACAAATTTCATATGTTTCCCTTTCGTTTCGCCTTCATCTCTTCTGGATTCGAACATCAACTATACCAAGCTCTGCCGCCGTGACACTGCTGGCCTGTACAGTCGTGTGTCTTCCTCGCCCAGTGTTCACTGCTCGTCCTTTCTTCTGGAAGCTATTGCTGCATCGCATTGTTTTCGCCGAAAGAGCAAGTCTCCATGGTGTTTCTTTGACCCCACATCGCACTTCTTTGATGCTTTCTTTGATCTCTATCGACTTGCTTGATCGTCTTTTGTCAGTTCTACAATGCCTTTGTCTACACCTTTGTATCTTGATGTCCCTTCAGCCTCACAGCCGCCTCTCGAAGATGGAACGACCAACTTTAAATGCTGCATCTTAGCTCATAGGTAGTGTTCCACAGCCTTCGCGCCTTTCACAAACGCTAACACAATATTCAAACTCGATACGATGTCTTCATTCACTGCCTTTGACTTCGCTGCTGGTCAGCCTTCGATCATGGAAAACATGACGTTTGGTATCGAGTTTGAATTTTTGTGCTACGCACCACCCAAAATCAATCCTAGAAGCCACCTCTNNTTGGAAGCCCTCAAGAAGCCCGTTATTCTCCCTTGCGATTGTTGCGGTTATAACCACTCATGGTTGCTGCCTACCGAGGGCAGCCTCGATGGCTTTGTCCCTGCCTTTTCTACTTGGACTATGCACCGTGATATTACTGTCAAGGCCAGCGACGACGAGAAGATCCACGTTCCGGAAGGCTCTGTTTTCTACAACATGGAGTTGGTGTCTAGAGTTATGAACTTTTCCAAGTCTACGCCTGATCCTCTTGGCNATCCCTGTAACGGTGAGTTGTTTGAGTGGGACTCTCAAACCGAGATCAGCACTTTCATTCGCAGAGTTCACGAGATATTCTCAGGTCATGGGTTTGCTGTCGCTAACAACAAGAGCACTGGTCTTCACATTCACTTCAGCAATGGTAAATATCAACCTTCTGTCAAGACTTCGCTTGGAATGTTTGGTGTCTTTGCAGCCCTCGAGCGTCAATTTGATCAAATTCTACCAGCTTCTAGAATCTCCAGTCTGGCTTTTGAGGGTCCTACGCCTGGTTTACACAAACCAACTCCCGAGCACAAATACGGTGATGTCAGTGATTGGGTTGGCTCTGGCTCTAGGGCCTTTCTCGAGATGATGCGCTTGTCTGTTAAAACCGCCATCAAAAACGATCCCGAATTCAATCGCTCTACTATTACCGAGGCGCTCCAGGGCTGCAATGCTCCGGCCTGGCTTGACTCCCTCTCAAACTTTGATGAGGAGGTTGATGATTTCTTGAATACTTGGCCGCACGATGACAGTACCGGTGACGTTCTCAGCCGTCGTAGTATGGCTATCAATCTTCAAAATCTAACTTCGGGTGTTGGGAAAAGCACAGTTGAGGTCAGAGCAGCTCCTGGATCTCTAGACTTCTCCGAGGTTTGGGAGTGGCTTCAATTCATGGGTAAGCTTATGTTGTGGCTCTCGACTCCTGATATCGACCACAATGCAATCATTACAAACATTTGGGCTAACCCTATCAGCACTGTTCTCGACCTCCTCAAGGAAATCGGCGCCTCGCAATCTACCGTGAGTTTTTACACTGATCGTCTGTCTGCTGACTGGGCTGTTCGTCGTCGCACTCGCCTAATTTCTACTATCAAAGAAGACAACCCTTTCAAGATCTTTCTAACCACTATAGAGGACAATCGTCTAGCTGACTATCGTCGCGAAACCATTGACTCAAAGATCCTACAGAAAATCGAAGGTGGCTATTATGGTCAGATCTCCAATGCGCTCTTCAAAACCCTACCCGCCAAAACCCAAACCTCACACACTTTCTTAAACATGGAAACTTGCGATTATGAAAAATGGACTGATAAGGTTATAGCCGATGCCGCACCTGTTATTGTTCAACCTTCTTCCTCTAATACATCATCGTCTGACAGTTGATTTGTCGTATTACGGTTTGTAGTGCTGTTCACAAATAGGTGAGTTGGTGTGTTTATGGCGTTTGTGGGTGAGTTCTGCTTTTATATATTCACTTTGTCTTATCTTCTTAAATCTTGATATGAAATGGATTCTCTTTTTTCAATATGCTCGAACCTTTGCCACACTGATTATGTGAAATATGTGACATGGATATCTCCATTACTTTGACACGATCTTGCTCGTACCTTTGCCAACATGAAGATATTGCGCGTTCAGGCCTGCCAATCTCTCAAAAGTATTGACAAAACGCCACACCCTTTTTTGCTTCCATTGCTAACGTTGATATCTTACCTTAGTTGCCGTTCGCTGAACTTTGCTTGTCTGCATTCTCGTTCGATCACGTCCATGCATTGTTCTCCTTGTCGTTATCATCTCGGATCAAGGATGGACCATGACAAGACAAACTGCCGTTGAAACTCATATTGACTTCGTTACCAACTGGACAAGAAGACATGATTTGTAGGCCTTTCAACAGGCGTAAAACAAATTTTGGTATAGGTAAAAAGTGATGTGTATAAAACCCTCTTGTCTCCTTTGAAGATTAGAGGGGAATAGAAGAAACGAAACCCCCAAACGAACCAAAAGAAACTTGTAATATTACATCCTCCATTGCTCTTACCCACTGCTCAACAGTCTGTCTTCAAGCATCGCCCCTGAACAATCAATCAACACTACCCTCCCTCTCTCTCCCTTCCCTAGTCCTCCCACTAACCCTCGAAAGCCTACTACTTCTACCCTCCTCTGCCCCTTCTTCCCACTGCTGGGAACTCCCCATACTGCCTCTTCTGTCTTTTTCTCTCCAACATACCTCTCAAATCCTCAAGTTGAGAGTCTCGTTCTTCAAGTCTTTGTCTCGCGCCCTTGCGGTCTAGCAATCTACCTTCTCTTTCTGCTTTGAGTCTTCTTTCCAGTTCTTTGAGTCTGTGGATCCAGCGTTGTTCGGAAGGTTGAATTGGCGGTGTGGCAATCACAATAGCAGGGTTTTTGGTAGAGTTTGCTGGTGGTGCGTTTTGTCCTTGCAACACTTCAATCGCAGAACTTGAATGATGTCCGAGTAACGAGTTTGCCATACTAGCTCTGGGTGTGAGTTGATTGCTCGTGTCTTTTCTGTCTGCAGCTGCATCTTTGCCACTTCCGGTTTTCTCTGCAGCAGATTTGTGGAAGCGAATCTCGGCTTTGAGAACCTTAATCTCTTGCTTGAGTTTGGCGACTTCTTCGATGCTGGTTTTGGAGCTTCTGTTCATGTTTTGTTGAGAGCGCAGCTGTGCGGATTCTTGGGCTTGTGTTTCGATGGCTGATTGGGCTTCTTTGACTGCGCGTTCCAGGAACTCCATTTTCTTGACACGGACGTCGAGGTTTTGCTCTAGAACTTGGTAGTCTTTGCGGAGGTTCTTCTCGACGCTACGGATCTGGGCTTTGCAGTTTGACATCAAGGTCTCGATGGTCTTTATCGCGGACATAATGTTGCGGGTGAAGGGCTGGAGATTGCGAGATATGCTGTCGATGGATGCGGGTTCGCCGTTGATGCTGCTGTGGTGAGAAGCCCATGCGTTGCCGCAGAGGTCTGACAGCTTCGTCCATAGGGTGAACAGCAGTTGGTTACGCTCGACCAGTTGGTCACGGTATTGCTGTTCAAGTTGCATCATCTTGCGGCGATCTTGACTGCGAGCTGTCTCCAGATCCAAAGCGCGAGATTCGTGTTGAGCCATCATGCGTGCGTTGGTAGAATTGCCACGTTGAGACTGCTCGAACTGGTGGAGGTCTTTGCGACGAAGTGATCGTTCCTTGTCAAGCATTTCGGATAGTCTTTTGCTTTCTAAGCCACTGCTTTCGAGCAGTTGATCTCTGTTGCGTAGCAGACGATCCTTCTCTGCCAGTTGTGCCTTGGCCTCGCCGAGATCTTGGATGGTGTTCTCCAATTCGTCCTGCATTCTCTGAATCTCTTGAAGCCAGCCAGAGCGTCTGTCACCAAGTACCCGTCTGAGATTGGTCTCGAGTTCTTCCAGTCTGGTCTTGTACTTTGTGGTTTCGGTTTCCGCTTGACGTAGAGTTTGCTTGATGCTTCTGATTTCATCCTTCGACTTTGCGTTTTCGTCATTGAGATCATCGATCATCTTCTGCACGTCCTGCTTGGATTGGTTGTCGACAATCTCACGCTGGCGGCGTTCCTCCACAAGACTCTCCTCAAGCTCTTGCATCTTCTCCTTCTCGTCTTGAATCATCTGCTGAGCAGCGGCGAGGTTGTTTTCCAGGTCGCCTATCTTGATCTTGTCGCCTTCTTGCTCTTCACGAAGGAAGGAGATCTCATTGTGCAAAGATTCTGCCTGAACATCAAGCCGGCTGTTCTTCAGTGCAGTCTCGCGCAAGTTCTTCTCCATCTCGTCAAGCTCAATGTTCGCGTCTTCGAGCTCTTGCTCAAGCATCTCGATACGCTTCATAGCTGCTGTCCTATCATCTTCGAGCTGGACGAGGCTGTCGTTGAGGCTATGCAACTCGCGCTGCAGGGCCTTGAAGTCATCTTCGCGATCTTTCAGGTCTGAAGCGATACGCTCGCGCCCTTGTTCTGTCTTATCAAGACTGTCCTCCAGATCTTCGATGGCACTAACAGCTTCGATCCTGAGTTTCTCGTGGTCGGCCTTGACCTGTTCGAGTTCTATCTCTGTCGCTTCTAATTGTTGGATGGCTTCGTTGCGCTGGTTTTGGACTGTCCTCAAGTCTTCAACAGCAGCATCCAACTCATTCTCGGAGATCTGCACAGCCTCTTCGAGCTCTGCGATAAGTTCTGTTTGCTCATTGAACTGTCGTTGCATGTCCTGGAAGTCCAATCTCAGTGCGGCGTTCTGATCGCGCAGGATGCCTTCTCGTTGTTCATAACCGTCTCTTTCAGCATCGCTCATAGTGCCTTGAGTTTGACCACTAGTACGAGACGTAGATCGCTGGTATTGATTTTGCCGGGATACGGAACGGTCAAAGATGCTGTCACCTGTCATGGAGCGGCTGCCTTCAACCTTGCGATGCAACAGTTTCAAGTCCTCAATTTCTTGCTGTAAACGTTCTCTCTCACGGTTCCGAGACGTGAGCATTGACGTTTGAGCACCAAGATCGCGGCGCAATTCAGCATTTTCGTGCTGCAACTGGTCAACGAGAGTGGAGCTCGAGGCTGAGACGGCGCCGCTGCGATTGTCGATATGTTCTGACCCAATGGACTGGGACCTGATATTGCTCATCCTGTTGATGTTAAGTCCTCTGCTTGCTTCTGAAGCCTTTTCACTTCTCAGCATGATGACTTCTTCACGGAGTTTGCGAATGTCTTCTTCGGCCTGTTCCCTACGAGCAGTCTCTGTTGTGAGAAGGTCTTTCCACATTTCCTAGAGACATGTATCAGTGTTGTTGTCTTAGATATTTGAAACAATACTCACGGATTCTTCTTCCACAATGTCATGCTCTGAGCCCCGTCTCTCATTCATGGCAGTCATGTATTCTTTCATTTTGCGCTTCTCCACCTCCTTGGCCATGTTCTCGGCAGACAGGTGTGCAATCTGTATTGTCTTTCTATCAAGTTCTTCGCTCAATTGCAGTATTTCGTACTCAAGCTCTTCATGACCGTTGCCAGCCGCCTCCTGGGCAGCTTTACGGGCTTCTGCCAGATCCAGCTCTGATTGTTTGAGTCTCTTCTCAAGATCACGAATTTTGCGACGCAGTGATTGGTTCTCCTTTCGTTCGTTGGCGAGATCGGTCTGGAATTGAACATTCTTGTTAATCATGTCCTTCACACCTTCTTCGGAACGATTTTGCAAGGCCTGGTCGAGGAAATGAATTTTGAGTTTGAGGTCGAAGTTCTCCTTGGTGAGCTTGTCGATCTTGCTGTTCTGCTCCTTGAGGGTAAGATTACCGCCTGGACGGTTGCCAAAAGTCAGGGCATTGGATGAGGAGGCTGGTCGCTTGTCTGGAGAAATAGGACGGTTCTGCTGGCGGTACTCCTTTGCGACAGTATCTGGCACTTGGATATTTTGCACATGTCTAGTGATGATGGTGTCTGTTGGAGCGTGAAATTCGAACATGTCTGGTGGACGAGGTGTTACGGGATCCGAGGCGATCGAAACCTTGTCCTCCTCTTCCAAGTTCTCTAGGGCGCGTTCTGCGCGAATGCTTGCCAGGACTGAGTTTCCACGATTCAAAGGAGGAGGATTGGGTTCGCTGTCTCTGGACATTGCTGAAACGACACTACCAAGACTGGGCAGACGTGAGAGTGGACGGCCGTGACTGAATGAGTGGTCTTCTGGGATGGCGCCGCCTGTCTGCAGAGCGTAATCACCAGCTGAATATTCAGTATCGGCATTCGACATAGCAGACAAGTGGCTGGGGTTTCTTTGAGAGGTATAGCTTGGTCTCTTCTGCAAACGTGACGAGGCCGAGTGAAGGCTCCCCAGATCGAGCAAGCTTCTATCTGAGATAGGCAAGGGGACGTCTTCCGGCTTTGTTGAGGCTGAGGTAGTGGACAANAAGGAATGTTCAGGCTCTTGTGACGGGCCTCCTTGTAAGGCTTCTTTGGATGAACGAGTGGTTTCTCTGTACGAAGAAGAAAAGTTACGGTGTTCAGAGGAAGAGGGTTGTGCCAAGTTTCGGGATGATGCTCTTAGGTCTGTATCCTTGGAGGCGTCAGAGCGCAAGGTGAGTCTAGTGAAGGCGGTCGACAGGTCGTGGTCGTTTTCGGATACCCGTCGCACAGGCTCAGCACGCATTGAGGAACGCTCGGCGGCAGCAGCGGCAGGGGACGAGGGTTGTATGGCAGCAGCAGATGTGATGGATGCGACTTCGTCCTCTTCCCTTTCTTCTTCTTCTCCTCCTTCTTCTTCTTCCTCGTCATGTACAGCGTCTTCCTCAACGATGTCCTCTTCTGTTTGCTCATGAATGGGCGGAATGTCACTGTCTTGTTGGTGTTTGATGTTGAGATAGGTATCATCGGCACCGGTTCTTTCGTTTGGAACGCGGGCGGACAGCAGGTCGGGCATGAAGCTGGATTCGACGTCCATGAGTTTCCTCCTCATCTCGCGCTCATCGTAGACATCGCTGTGGGGGAGCAGCAGGCTGTCGCTGGACATGGGTAACGGCGGGAGGTCCGAGTCGTCTTGATTGTATAAGTCGTCGTGCTGAGGAGAGAAGGCATCGTCTTCATGTTCGTAGTCATGGTCCGAGTAGTCTTGGTCTTCGTCGTGGTATGTGTGGGGTTGGTCGGTGGGTTGTTTACTTGTTTGTTGATGGACTCGGTGTCTGGATTCTTGGTCTTCATGGTCTGAACTGAGTGCAGCGTCACTGGCGCGTCGGGCCAGAGGAGCGGGCGAACTCATCTCCTAGTCAATCCGGTTGGCGAAAGAGAGGAAGGCGTCGCTGCCAGATCGCAGGTAACCCACGCTTGCCCATGGATGAAGCATCAATTAGATGAAACGTCCGTCGAGCAAGAAAGGCTGGGGCTAGCTTGGAACCTTGCGCTTGCTCCAAACAGCTTTGTCGCCTTGTTCTTTCCACCACGATATTTTCTCTAGGATGATGATTTTCTTAGGTGCGCTCAGGATGTCTAGTATAGGTATAGTATAGGTTTCAGTTTGTTGATTCACATCAGAAGGTCATCACGAAAAAAAGTTCTTGTGTTGGTACCTGCCTTTTACGCCGCGACGCTTGCACTTGCCGAATCCGGATCGTCCCAGCCAGAGCAAAAGCTCCACAGACTCTCCACCACAGATCTGCAGGGTCAACTTTCCTTCAACAACCACTGCTGCACTTGTCCCTGCAGCTACTACATCGCATCATATATTCATGGAGTCATGGGTTGAAAACTCAGATATCATTGACCTGAAGCTATCGAAGCTACTGTGAATCGTCTTTACTCATCACTCTGCAGAAGGTTGCGCATGGCAAACAGGCTTCTCTCGAACATGTCACGATCTGCACCCTGCTGCGACATCAGTTTCTGCTCCCTCTCTTTACCTTCCCTCGACCTCGTGCTTGGCCTCCTTCAGCTGCTTACGGAGTTCATCGACCTCGTGCAACTCGTCCATCAAATCGCGGCACTTGTTTTGAAACCATACACGATCAGCCTTTACTTGATCCATCTCCTGCTTGTGCAGAGATTCCATCTCTTGCTCTTTCTAGCGCAGCTGGTCGATCTCGTTTTCGGCCTCCCATAGGAAGTCGGTAAGCTCTGTGCAATCTTGCTCGTATTCGTCCACCAGTTGCTCGCAAGCTTGCTCGTGCTGACGGTGAGCCTCCTCTTTCAGTCTGGCTATCTCTTGTTTGTGGTCAGCTTTGGTAGCTTGCTCCTCCTGCTTCAACTGCTGAATTTCGGTTACAGCATTTTCAAGCTGTTCTTTGAGCGAGCGGTTCTCATCGTTGACCTTGGTTGAGTTGCTCAGTACCTCACGCGCTTTCTTGATGAGACGATCGCGCTCTGTTCTCTCTTCCTCGTAGCGAGATTTGCCTTCCTCGTACCTAGATTTGACTTCCTCGAGTTGAGCCTTCATGACTTTGTTTCTCTCGATTTCAGCGGATAGAACCAGTGCGGCCTCCGCGTAGAGTTCGGCATCTCTGACGGCCTTCCGGTGACATCTTTCTTCGTCCTCCTCTGCGGCTCTAAGGATCCCTTCGAGTGTTTGGCGTTGCTCGCGCTTGAGCTCTTCGAGTTCCTGATTGTGTTGGCGCTGCCACCCGTCCAGCTGGTTCTGGTGTTCCTCTTCGGCGGCGTACAGGCGGTTGCAAGTATCTTGTCTGCAATCTTCAAGTAGCTTTTGGGCTGCCTTGAGCTGTTCCTCAGCTTTGTCGGCGCGTTCACCCTCTCTGTTGTACTCGACCATGTGCAGACGCTTGACCTTCTCGAGTTCCTTCGAGACTGTAACATGATTGAGGCGCCTGCGAGCCACTTCGGTTCTGTACAAATCGACTTGGTGCTCTTTGTCTTGCAACGCATTGGCAAGGTAGTCGACTTCTTGCTTATGCTTAAAATTCAGATCATCCAGCTCTTGACGGTAGTAGTTATCAAGACCGCACTCGATCTCCCAAGCTTGTTCCTGGCAATCTTTCAGCTGCTGCTGCATTTTGCGGATACGAATACTGTCTTCGGTGCAGTCGTCAATGTGCTCTTCCTCCTCGGTGTCGATGAGGGTGTTGTCGAGGCTTTCCTCGTCGTCGGTGCAGCCGTAAAGGTCTCCTTCCTCGGTTTCGTCGTCAAGGCTTCCTTCGTTGTTGGCATCAGCGGCGTCGTCGACACCATCGACATCGCGTTCGTCATCAGCTTCGCCGTCACCGCTGGAAGGGCCTTGGTCGTCGTCGATCATGGTTTCATCGCCATCGCTGACAACAGACCAAGCATCATTTTCATTGTCCTCAACCCAGCTGGTCTCGTCTTGAGCCATGCTGGCAGCCCACTGGACATCGTTAGGCCACTGGCTAACGGTATCCCACTCTGGCATCCGTAGGCCATTGGTTATGAATAGGCATAGGCCACTGGTCATCAGTAGCCCAATAGTCATCGGGAGTCCACTGACCCCAAGTAGCCCACTCATCATCGGCTTGTTCCTTGTCCTCGACTATGCAAGCCTTGTCTTCCAGAACCATATCAACAGTTTGTGCGTTCTCGGGTTGTGTGTACTTGGGCTCTTCGCGCTCCTCAACAGTAACCTTGTGGGTCTGCTGGGCTCTTGCAAGAACGGCTGCTTTCGCGTGTTCTGGAAGGAACTGCTCAAACCCTTGCACAAGGTCCGGAGCTGTTGAGCCGAACAGTCTTGTCACTTGAGCATAAACATCCTCAGTGGATGTCCACTCGCGTTGGTAATACTGCAGAATTTCCAAGAATTGTTGGAAGATGGCTGGTTGTTTGTGGAAACGGTTCTTGATCTTGTCGATGTAGTTGAGAGCGTCGTTGAATTCGACTTGCGGGCTGACCTTCTCGTGGCCTTGAGGCTGTTCGTCAGGGCTGATAGCCATTTCACCTTGTGTGCACTTGCGCTCTTCGCACTCCTTGACAGTGACCTCGTGGGTCTCAGAGTTCTTGCGAGGAGGGGTGGTGTTGTCGCTGGCATTAACATCCCAAACAGTGCTCTCAAAGAAACAGCTGTACTGTCCTGATGCTGCCGAAGAAGCCATGTTCGATTTGTTCAAGATAGGTAAGAGTAGGATAAAGTAAAGTAAAAAGTAGTATCGTCAAGACTTGTCCAACTTGTCAAAGGTAACCGTAGTATCCTTGCCTTGAGTAGTGGAAGATTGCGAAAAGAAAAAGGAAGCAGAGAACAATTCGCACATCCTAAATATCTTTGCCTTTGAGTCACACAAACTTGCAGTCATTATCTACGCTCAAAATACGGAAACTACCTCAATCTTGCTGGGTTGTGAGGGTAGAAGTGTAAGGACCAAGCAGAACCCCTCGGCGTTATCGGTACTGCAGCACGTGGAAGAAAAGCCCATGTGGTATACGCGATAAACTTTTACCTCGACTTTTTGTGCTATTGACATAGGATGGGATTTCCTGAGAGTCATCATCATCGATCTCTACATAGATAATTCACGAGTTTAGATATGCACATCACATTCCTGCTTGTGCTTCTGCCGCCATTGCCAACACTCACCAAGAAATGCTCAGATGTGTCTCAAAGTAAAAGCTCTTGAGCATAAAACGCAAGAACAATGCAAAGTTCACAGAAGTCATCTTTGAAGAAAGAAAAAGAAAAGCACATCATTGAAAACTATGTCTGCAATTATGGGAGGCATGCGATATTCGATTCTGGCTAAAATATATGATGTTGATGCAAGAGCCAACCATGACCAATGTGAAAGCAGAAAAGGTAACATAGGAAAGAGAGGCCGTCACGATCATTTCATGGATAAATGAAAACTGCTGATCGTCTCGAATCAAGAGAAGTTGTTTCTTCCTGAGTAGAATCCGTTGTCGAAGGAAGGGAAGAAAAAGGGTTAAAAAGTGTTGATTGTCTCGTCTTGGACATGTCTTTTGTGTGACCTGGAAGGAGCTCAAAGGGAGACAAGGCATCTTGCCGCCGACCGTGCTGCTGCTAAACCAAGAAAAGACCTGCGAATCGCTTGAATTTGCGAATATCATCCTCGATGTTCTTCTCTTGCTGGTCGAGTGCGATGTTCTCGATGGCTGAGTGACGTGAATCTCTAGGGATCTGGGAGTGATTGGAAAGACCGACCAAAGGAAAAGGTGGTGCGTTCACCGGACCTGAATTCTCCATATCGTTTCTGAGTCTGTGTTCAGAGACTTCGTTCCAATAGCGACGCAGCGATGGATTGCCTCTTTCCAGAAATCTTGCCATCACTTCTAAGGAGAGATCGCAGGATGCTTGGTAGAGACTGTTGGTGATGCGCTTTTCCCTAGCCTCTGGATCTGGCGTTGAACGTGTATTCACCCTAGCTCTGGGATCCTGTCCAGTGTGAGCTTGTGTGCGGGAAAGAGAGTGTAGCTCGTTGATCGTTTCTTGCTCTAGGGCTTGAGCATTTGTGGCAGCCCCATCTATCTCATTCTCTGGAGAATCAGAAGTTGCGCTGGGAGAGTTTGCACTTCCTTCTGCTTCTTCGTTGGCAATGTTGTCGTTTTGAAACGTTCTTTTCTTGTGATTGTCCTCATCTTTCTTGTTCTTGACCATGGTTTCGAGATGACGAGCTATGTCCGCGTATTCTCTACGAAATTTCCAGTTCTGAAACCACCTCATTCTGATGGCGGCAAGCGTCCGCTCACTGTTGTGTTCAGTCACAAGTCGATGATGAACTTCCCTCCAGAGTTCTTGCATGATTCCACCGTTGAATCCTTCGGCAATCAACTGACGGATCACGTCCATGCAGTGTCCGGTTTCCTTACGGGACCAAACATTTCGGGTTCGGAGGATCTTTTGATAGCCAGCTGCCATGCTTTCCGCCGCATCTGAATCATTTTTGATGGGCTTCTCTTCGCTTGCATAATCGCGTTCACTATCATCTTGCCCGTCGTCATATTGGCCCTTGCCATCGAATGGCAGCTTGTGCCTGCCTTTACCTTGAGGCCTGTGGTTGTCTCCTCTAGGAACGACTGGTCTGGGCTCTCTGTTTGGTGTGATGTGCTTTCTAGGGTTGCGGTCCAGCCATTGACTCTGGCTAGCTACTACGGCTCTGTACGCTAATTCGAGATCCACGTCCTTGTCGAAATGTTTCCGGAGGATAGGTGCAAGGGTACTGTCAAAGTACGCTCTCGATATGATGCGACGCTTGACATCACCAACTTGAGCGAAATCTCTAGCCAAGGAAGGAAATCGTCTGAGGTCTTCTCCGATGCACTGACGTAAAAGATCTGAATGAGCGTCTGCGAGGTTGTCGAACTGCTGTTCGGGCGTAGGTCTACGGCGGTTTGCCCACGCGAGAAGCCTCTGACTGTTGGTTTCGTTTGGCCAGATTCTGCGCAAAATGGTCTGATGATCCAAATAATCACCGATAGATTCTATTGCGAAAGTGGGATCGAAGTCGCCGGATGGGTTCCACACTCCAAAGATCTTTAAGGTCCGAGCAGCTTGTATACCTGCATCTGGGCCACCTACCCAAAGCGCAAGATCCACAAAATGTGCGGCGGACCATCGTCCCTTCTTCTCCCCATACATCATAAGAGAACCAGTGACTGCCCATTCCCGCAGATTGACTACATCCTGGCGGGGGACAACAAGGCGAGTCTCAAAACTGCCAGGTAGTGTAGTATCACCAGATAATGTGTTCTGAATGAAGTCAAGTACAGAGTTTCGATCAGGCTCATAAACGATTGTCTGGACCAGTGAAACCCACATAGCTTTGTGGTCCTGGTTCAACTTGTCGGAAGCCATGAATTGCTTCAGAGCTTTGAGGTCGCAGATTTCTCTAGTGAGACCACCCGCCTTGGCAGGCCAGTCGGTCAGCAGTGTACCTACGGCTCTGTCTCTGATAATTGTGGGAACTTCCTCTGCTGACGCACCGCCATGGTCATGGACGGACTGGTGCTCATTCGAAAGCGAACCTTGGTAGATACTGGTGCTAGGTGAACTCTCAGAGTCGTGTTTGGACGAGCCATCGTGTCCAGCATCTTGTTCCAACTCGCTATAGTGTGTAGCAGACTGAGGGCTGGTCCGGAACTCGGAACCATAACTCGGAGGACCGTTATGTCGAGGCTCGTCTTCAACATCGGCGTTTTGCTCAGAAAGCAAATTACCATCGTTAGTAGCAAGGAAAGGCTGATCTACAGTGGCCGCCTCTTCTCCATGGAACATATCAAAACTGCTAGTGGGGGAGGGATGTCCAACTCCAGGCGAGGAAAGATTTCCAAATCGCACCCTCTTGACAGGCTGCACAGACTTGTCTGGCGAAGACGAGAGCGTTCCACAGGGGCGTTTAGCTTTCATCCTATCTCGAAAGCATTGTTGTCAGGTACGCAGACTTATTCAGGATTGGATCAAGTGCTCAACTTACTCGACTGCTCAAACTGTCAAGACCGTGTTGAAGGTTGACAAGTCTTCCGACGGCGAGCGAGTCGTATAAGTCGAGCTGACATCAATGGAGAATCTTCTCGGCCTTCCTCCGGGCAAGCAAGCCGATTGTCAAAGACTTTGGTGATTTCTTGACCACCCGTTCGATTGAATTCCTGAAGTAAGCAGAAATTACACTGCTTGCAAGAAGCAGACGCACATGATTTGCATAGTAAAGTTGAACACACTGCTTTCAGCTCATCGTGTTATTCAAAGAGTAGGCTGTGGAGACAGCTAGAGTCAACCAAAACTTCAAGCAGGTCCGCAGAAAGACATTGAGGTTTGCTCCTTTTCATTGTAAGAACCAGGCCAATGGAGAAAACCAATCACGAGATCCATAGCGGGTGACGGAAGTTTGTGGCAGAAAGGATCGAAGCCGAGCATGTCTGCGTTCATTGTCATTCGTCTCCAAAGATGAAAATGATCAATGAGAACCGGAAGGAAGGCGAGAGCCAAGCAGTTTGCATGTTTGGAAGGTACTCCTGCCAGAAAAAGCGTGCACGACTGCAGACAGCAAGTTTTGTTGATTGCTCAAGAACGTTCTTTCTCTTTCTGAAACAGAATTACAGAGTTGTCAGCATTTTACAGCTCCTTTCACTTCTTTGCTTTTGTCCCTTTTTCTTTTCTGTTTTTCTTTTTATATTTCTTTTTTTTTTCTGTTATGAGACAGACGCAAAGTAGTTTTGGTGATGTTTCCATAGACAATATTCGGACCGTCTGGAACCTGAATAAGGAAGTGCCGATGAAAGCAAGAGCTATTACTGATAACACGGATAATCGAACAGAAGAAGAAAAAGAAGAACTGTGCACCTTCCGTGGGCTCTGCAAGACTACAACGACCTGCTAATCAATGATGATTGGGCTACAGGACTTCTTAATCTTCACCAGATCATCCTCAGCATTCTGAAAAAGCGCCTTGTCGATGTCTTTCTGAAAAATTCTGTAAGAGCTTTTAGAATGAACAGGTGTCGAGGATTCGCGAGGCCAAGGCAAAGATCCTTCGATCCACAAACCAGCGCTCCCCTCAACTCTCTGTGTGACCAGACTTCCTTCCAGTAGTTGGGCAGCGCTGGTGTGGGGCTTTTACTCTTGGAGAAGCTGTAGATCTTGTGTGAGGGCACGTCACACGTTTGCTCATACAAGTGATTGATGACTTGCTTGTTCAGTCCTGGGGACTCACTGCGAGCAGCAGAATTCAGCTTCGCGGCTGTCGCTGCTGCTTCGTTGGCAAGATTGCCCATAGGCGGTGGCTTGTTGGTTCCGACATCGATCTCGTTGTTTTGGCCAGTGATGGGCGATCGAAAATCGCAGGTCTGAGTACCACCAGTGGACTGATCATCTGCAGCAGAGCTTGCGGCCACAGTCCGTGCAGCAAGAATGTTATGCTCCTCGTATTCGACCTTGGTGTGAGGGATGGATCGTGCTAGAACGCTCTTGACTTGGGTTACAAGGCTGCTGGCGAACAAACTCGACAATACCTTCGTCTTGGAGGTCAGGCTCTTTCTTGACTGCTGCTGACCCATTGGGTCTTATTTCGAAATCCTCTTCATCATCTTCACCGTCATCTGTCTGGATTAGATTTGTCTCCCTGTTCCGGCCAGGCATTGGTGCACGACGACCACCCACTGCAGTTCTCAGGAATGTCGCGTAGTCAACCGTGCCCGCATACGCGTCGAGTGTACGTCCATCGATTCTATAGCCAAGAATTGCTTTAGATGCCGATTGGAGGTCTACACGACGATCGAAGTGCTTGTAAAGAACAGGTGCCAAAGTTCTACAAAACTGTGCCTCGGTAATCAGAGAAGCCCAGTTTGACTATTGTAGTTTCGGCCTCACTACTGCAGGAAACCGAGTGAGATCAGGTCCGATACAGAGCCGCAGAAGATAGTTGTGAGCGTCATCAAAGTTTGTGAATGTTTTTCCGTGGCTGAGCCGACTGGCTCGATCGAGTAATGGCTTCTGTTCGTACTCATTGGCAGGCCATATCTTGCTCAGTATCTGTTTTGGTCCCGGCCTAGCTTCCATTGATGGCAGTTCGTCATTTTGTCTTCAGCATGGGGACTCCAGATTCCGAAAATGCGAATAGCTTTGGCAGCCTGTATGCCTGCCTCGATGCCACCAGACCACATTGCAATTGCTACAAAATGAGCGGGCGACCACTTGGTTGTAGAGTTGCCATGGATCTCAAGACATTTTGTCACAGCCCAAGTGTCCTTTGTAACCACGAAAGGCGTATCCCACATATCTTGGATACTCTCGCCATCGTCTATGGGCGCGGCACCCGTGTTGATCAAGGCTTCGTCATCGAACCCATCGGTTCGCCGACGCTTGCGAGCAGTTGCAGAAGGTGCCCGAGGCGCAGATTTCGACTCTTGTTTGATCGGCCTGCTCAGCAATAGATCAGTATCTAGATCAATTCAGTACGGGTTGTTGCGATATCTCAACTCACATCGTGAACTCCGAGACAGATCTCTTGGCTCCAAGAACAAGAACGTAGGACACGATGATGACAGTCAGCCTCGTTCTACAGTTGAGATAATACGAGTATTGAGTCCGCAAAGGCTGATGTCAGCTCCCACATCAACAGCTCAGCCGAGCAGCATTTCCACCAAAAGTAGGCCTGAATGTCAAGGGACATTCTAGCAAGTCGATTCGTCTCATATCAAGGTTCTTTGTGATGGCCAAGCTTCTATTCTGATCCATAACAAGCCATGGCTCTGTGGTCTCTCGGATTCTGGTGGTATCGCTTTGATAGAAGCAAACACAAGAACAACGAATTCGTCAAGAGGATCTCGAAGCGATGACCAGAGGTCAACCGCGTTGGGCAATGACTTCACAGATCATCAAGTTCGATGATGGAAAGTACTGGATGAGAAGTGAGAACAATTTGTGGCAGAAGCAAAGACAAAGACCAGTCGCGAGAAAGACAGCCAGATGTTTAACGACGGAGCAATGGTCGGTGGGCAAAGCGTCCAGAAATTGTGAAGCAGAGCAGGGCCATTTGCAAGCTCCCAATAGCTTCTGGCAAAGCGACGATTCACAGGAGAAAGCAAAGGTCAAGCTAGCGATAAGGGATGTGATTAGGTGAGTTTGATGTTGGGAGTAACCTGGTATCATTATAATCATTACTTCGTGCTCCATGAAAAATTAGTAGCGATCGCTTGCCGTCCATCCTTGAGCTCGACTCAATCATCAGGATACTCGTCCTTGATGTTGCTGACAAAGACCTTGTTCTCTTGGTCCCAACGTTTGAAGTAGCGACCAGCGAGTTTCAGCAAGTTTGCGGATGGCTCTTCTTCAAGAACCATGATGTTCTCCTCGGCAACATAACGCAAAGATTCGTCCTCGCANTCTGTGATTGTGTCAGTATTGGTTTCACCGGCTCAGCTGTTTTGGACATCTTACATTATGTGGTAGAAGCTTTGTTCGCGGCCTCGAGGAAGATCTTCTACTCGCATACTTTGGATCCAGAACTCGCCAGCCTGGCAGCTAGGATCCCATCCAATGATTGCACCTACGTAACCATAACGGACATGTCTGAAAATTTGTCCGACTTTGTACTTGACCAGCTGTGTACGCTCATCACGAGGAGTGATGGGATTTGCATTGGAATCTGCAATTCGGATCTGTTGCAGAATCTGTGAGAGTCTGGCACTTGCTTCCACTCCATCGATGAGAGGCAGAACATAGCGCTCAAAGAGCACAGCATCGTCAAGCCAGAGTCCATCCTGAACATAACCCTCGAACCAATTTACTATCTGGCTCAGCCAATGTTGATGGCGTCCATACAGATCGCGATTCTTGGTGGCGTCGACCTGGCTCATAGAGATGAGGCTCCACAATGCGCAAAAGGCGATATTAGGGGTCTCCCAGCCTGGAGATGGTCTGTGAAATTGCATGGATCCGATAATATTAACACCAGTTCTCAGCACCAAAGCACGGGTGTGAGCTCGCGTCAAGCATGAGTATTGGCTTTCTGGTGTGTTGTAATGTGGCATCTGACTGAGCATGTCTCGCATGGCTTGCTCCGTGATGATCTCGTCGTGATCGAATGGGTTCATCCAGACGACACCGTCAGGAAGCTTGTGGGTGGCGCGCGTATCTTTGATGGATGGACCATACGGCGACTCAATGACGGCATGAATCTTGCCTGGGAAATTGCAAGGCCAGGCTTTGATGCCAAGTCTCATAGCTACACAGCAGAAGATGACTACTGATTGCATAGGAATAGAAGACTTGTCGGTGGGGTGTGTCAAGACGTGAGTGAGAAAACGGTATCGCATGAGGCTGAAGGTTTCAGGTGAGCAACCGACGAGGCGGTGTTCTCTCAGGTACTTGGAGACGGCGATGGCCTGATCGGTGTGGCTCTTGTCGCGCCAATCCGGGTCGGAAGATTGAATAGCATGAGCAATATCGTCCAACTCTTTCTTCAGGATAGACAGCTCGAAATCACTGCCACTGCCTTGGATAAACAGGTCGAAGGCGCCCAAAGCTTCTTCAAGTGGTGGGTAGTCCTGCCACTGCATCTTGTCCCATATCTGAACAGCCTTGAAGCGATGTAGCAGCTCNAAAGTAACGCCACTCCAGTATCGGCGGGCGAGAACGTCGTCGGCGTCGTCAGGCGTGCTAAGCTGGGCCACCAGCATATCTTTGGCGTCGTATGAGTAAAGTTCAACAATCTCGTGCATGCGTGCCATGCGGTTCTGCTGCGTGCTTAGAAGGTCGTTGAAGATAGCCAGAGTCTCTTTATCCTGCGTGACCTTGTTGGCGTATGCCTGTTTCCACTCAGTCTGCGAGTGAAGATTGTAGTCCGGGATGGGTCTGTCCTCTTGCTCTTCCCAGTAGTTCCAGCCTTGGCGACACCAGCGACGCCATAGTGAGGCGGTATTCGAGATCTTGTATAGGCGTTTCGAGCTTTGTCCAAACTTGGTGGCCGAGGATGCGTTCAAGTGGGCGAAGATGTTGTGAATGAGCTCGTCCGGCAGATCAAGTAGCGATGTGGTGGCCATGTTGATGAGCCGTGTGTGTCAGCTCAGTAGGGAGGAACGGCGATAGCATCGAGGAAACAGAAGACAGTCTTTAGGGATATGATGGCGACTCGCCTGCGTGACGCGATAACCCTAGACTTTCTGCAAGAAGCAACAAGCAAGACCGATGATGACGACCGCTGCGGGGTGGATAATCTTCGGCATTTGTTCGAACGGGTCCCGACACATCCGCGTCTTCGCGTTCACAGAACACCCCTACTCAAGAGACCAACACACGGTAGCACCAATGTCGACGACTCCCTCAATCGACTACTAAATTGAAGCTCAATAAAGTGTCTGGTCACCAACCATCATCCACATACTGTGATTTGACGCATCACAAGCACGACACAACTCTTTGCTTCCATACTGATTGATTCGACTACAAAATGCTACTCCAGTCATGTGTACCAGCGATTCTCCTTGTACATGGAGCCGTTGCTTTCTCATACAAAAACGACGCCCGCCTGAATAGTCATGTGCTACGCAGTGGTCGCGAATATTCATCACAAATCGAAGTATTGGCAATGCAGCATAACAACGACACTGCCACAACATTCAGTCAGGCAGAAAGTAATGCCACAAATGATACAGCAGAACTTGATCCACGCACTAGACGCGTAGCCGAACTGGAAGCATTAGGGGTCGAGTTTAGTACATATCCTTTCTGGGAGGGGCCTGAAGGATGTCCACCGCTACTACCGAAGTGTCCAGACTGCGGTGGGCGGGTGGATCTATGGCATAAAGACGTGATGCAACGAGGTGCACGTTGTTCTGGTGTAAGCCTTTGTTTTCGGTTTGTTGACTCGAACTGACAGTTTTTCCAGCTCACAGATGAAGGCATGAAGTGGAAGGACTGTCGCTGCGAGAGGACGATCCTCCTGGCGGCGACTATCAATTTATCGCAACTCAAGATATGCCACATCCTGATCTTGATGACTCGGATCTTTAAGGTATTCGAGCGCCAATGTGTTAGCGATCGCGTGTCGCAACTAAGAATATACATACGCCCGCGTGTTTCATTGTGATGTTAGCTTACACCGTAATCAGCTTAGCCAAGTTTCGTTCGAGAACAGTAGGAATCGTATCTATATTGTCTCATACTTCTATGGTCTCTTCACTAACCTCGCCTTTCTATACTAAGACGATGCATTTATCTTTAAGCGGCAAGAGAACCAATATTCATCGCATCTATACTTTACTTTCCGGTTACTATCCTTACCGTTATAGTCCTAATATAAGATCTAAGTCCTAAGCTCTTAAAATTATGCTTCGAGCAAATTAAGGGCAATAGACGCGGGTTAACTTTATAACGCTTAAATCTAGTCTACCGAAGGTTTTATTTAATCGCATTATTATTACTCTTTAGGAGCATCGACCTCTTACTTATAGACCGCGGTAGCATAGAAGACATTAACTCTACTACGCTCCTTAGCTTCGTAGAATCCTATTAGGATCTCTATAATTACGTATAGAACATTACTATGTTATATAAGACATCTTAGGGGTAACATTAATCCCGAAGCTATATATATAAAGTACTTTAACGAATCCTACTACATCTTTCTAGCTTATAGAGCGTAAGGTAAATAATCTCTTTAGTCTATAGTGTACTTAGCATGTCTTAGTGTGTTTATACTAACCGTTCTAGGATTATACCGAAGATAGATAATAGGAACCGAGCGACCGGTCGATCCTTCGATCTATCTCTCTTTACGACCTATAAATTGTTAAATGTGCGTATCACTCTAGATAAACATCTAGACGATATAAATCCTTATATTATTAAGGACACTAACTAAATAGAAGGTCTTAGTACTACGCTTCTATATATAGACTTAACCCTAGAATAGACGTAGAACGACATACTATCTAAAATATTTACTAAGAATTTAAAGAAGAATAATAAGTTGCGCCATCTAGAAGTTAGTCTAGGTCTCTATAATTTAGTTCGGCGGCTAGATAATATAACTACTATTAGAGAGTAGACTTAAATACTAGTAGATTTTAGCCGAGCTGTTCTAGAGCTTAAACACTTATTATTATAAGGAGCACTCTCCTTTAATAATAAAGGCTAGGCTATATAGTCTAGGATATAGCCTAAACTAGAATCCTTATCCTTAATAGGGGATAGTATTATCTAAGAATTTATTAACTATAGTACTAAACTACCTTTATTAAAGTTGCTTATCGTTAATCGAAGAGTTCTTAGGCCTATACTAAATATAGTTATACGTAATATAACTAAATCTGTTAAGATTAATAATAATATAGGATTATTCCTACTCTTATTACGCCTTTATTATCTATCTATCGTTAGCTACTCTACGAACGTACTCGTAAATATTAATAGTTCTAACGCATTACTACGAAGTTTATACTTCTATTAAGACGTAATGCTACTACTAGGCACTACGAACGCCTAAAAGTGGTTACGGGCGGAAAACCTATAGAATGAAGTTTCGAGATTTAAAGATTTAGAGTGGTTCGCTCTAGACGTATAGCCTTTCCATTTATCTAACTAGATAGACGCTACCGAAGGAGTTAGGGTTCTAACTATAGGATAAACACCTAAGGACCTATATATCGCATAAAGCTTAGTAAAGTAAGTTCCTCTAGAAACTACCGAAATTTCCTACGAACCGTAAATACGGTCCCTTATAGCTAGTAGTAAACGGTAGTAGCATCTATAGCGATTATACCTCGCTCGTACCGAGGCCTTAAGTCGTATCGTAGCACGTTCTTAGTAGACCCTATTAGCTCTAGAATAAACACCCCCTAATAACCGACCGACTAGAGGGATTAGTTATATCCCGTCTATACTACCTTAACTTACTAATCGGCTTTACGATAATCATCTCCGAATGTTAAATCTCTAGTAAACTAAGATAAGTGTTAGACGCATATAGCGCGTTTAAGAACTACATTAACTACGGTAAGATATATTAGAACCTAAACATATCCGAACCTACTTAGAAAACATACTCTCCTCGGCGGGTCCTTATAGAATCGCCGATATGTTCGAAAACTGCTATTTGTTAATCGAGGAAGCTTAATCTGTTTTCTAAGCCCTTACCTTAATGCTAAAACTAATCCACCTTCGCCTCTTTATATATAAATCGATTCTGTTATCGTCGGGTCGTAAATCACGTCTATAGGTTCTATTAATTACCGACGCTATCTACACATTTCTCTACTTCTATAAGAGAAAAAATAAGGTCGTAAATTGTAAAGTCTTATTATCTTTAGTTATAACTAGAATAAGAAATTAGCACCGCACATATGTTAGTACGTTTACGAATTCGGCGAGGACAAAGTTTACGTGTCGGATATGTCGACACGCTAGGTCTAGGATGTTAGTAACTATAAGAACTTAAGACCTGTTAAAAGGCGTAAGGTCTTACTTAGTTATAGGGATGATTAGTGGATATATGCTAGAAAGAGAGATTCTTTGTCTATCCTTATTAGTGGCTATAAGTTGGTCCGGTAAACTAAGAGAGCATAACGTCCACTTATAACATAACGGATGCTAGCCCCCATTCGACACTTCTCTAAAAATTGCCCCTAGATCGTTGTAATAACAAGACTTGTTAGGGGTATCCGATATAATAAATTGTAGGAGTGAGGCTCGGGAATGTCTACAGTTACTTGTCGTGAGTACAAGGTAATTCACCTTCTAACTGTCGGATAAGATGCCCTTGTCGTTCTTATATCAACGCGGGCCGGGGACGTTGAAGCAGAGGAGGAGTTAAGACAGCCTTGTGAAAATAATACAGGCAATCACGTGCCTGCATACATTTGTCTCAAACCCCTAAGCGTTACATAAGCAGTTCGGCTGAATCTGGGGAAGTCCCTGCTGCTATACAATTTGCGGTCTATCTAACCATATCCTCTTGCGCCTTGGTCGTTCTGTGTTGTAGAGTATCCTCTGCCGAATTGTGTTCCGCGGCTCTGATTTCAGCCAAACTGGGGCACCGTATGCCAAATGCGAATGTGCGGCTCGCCAAGGTTGAACAGATGGATCCTTCGGAGATCTTGGCTTGCAGGATCATGGAGAAGCTCCCAGCCGGTGCCGAGGACCAGATGTGAAACCCTACACGAGTCCGATAATTTGATAGGACAGTGCTATACACCAGTCGAAGCTTATTGTTGCCACTCGGCCGTGTGCATGTTCCCCAAAACGCTGCTTCCCCCTCGTGCGCATAGAAGGGTCGCGAGGAATGTTTTGAAGAGACATCTTCATTTTCCACTTGTTCCCTTCCCGCTGAATATAGCCGTGCCGCAGGGGGAGATAGGAGTGCAGGTACTCATCCTTGATCTAGGTGTTCTTGCCGCGCTGAAGAAGAAACTGTCGTTGTTTAGCGTCGCATCTGGAATCAACCAATTCTAGGCCCCGAGTTGCCCAACGAACCCATTCTTCTCCCTATATGTGTACATGCGACCGCATCTGAAATACATGAGGACGGCCGCTCTTTTCAACTCACGGTCCTACAGTTCATTTCCCCGACACGTTTGCCCCGGATGGACATTCTTGGTTACGACCGCGGTCTTCCTGACCTCGATCTCCCCAAAAACAACGACAAGGATGCCCTCGGTCACGACAGCAACATCCCGATAGACTCGCCACAACAATGTTCGAGCGATTTTTACTACTCAACACCCGTGGCAGTCACGATACCACACAATTTGACGCCTGTTCCCAGTGTTTTGCTGGAGAATCCGATGAACTTGATTTACTGTCACTATTTCATCAATTACACCGCCAATGTTCTGGTAACTCATCAATGCCCATCGAATCCTTTTTCGACGATCTTGCCGCAGCTTGCCATGGAGGATGATAATTTGTTGCGGCTTTTGCTGGCCTACGCAGCTTGTCACAGAGCTCGCCTTTTGCGACATGCTGAGCCTAAGAATCGTATCGCGACATGGGTCACCCCTGTGTTTCCTTCTTTGCGTCAAGCACTTTCAGGAAATGAGCCGATTACCGATTCAGCATTCGGATCTTGTGTCATGCTGGCCTCTCTCACTCAATCATACCCTCTAGCGTTCGACTTGCCGATTTCCTGGCAAGAGCATCTCAGCTTGGCGCGACGATTGTACAGTCTCAGACTTGGTCAAGAAGGTCTTCAACGAACCAATGCAACCATCTTCTTTGGCAGATGGTTTGCTTACCTGGACACTTTTGGAAGCGCGAGTAGCGATACTTACCAAGGTGCCTACTACGAATGGTCACGCGAGCTCAAGATGGCCGAGGAAATACCCGAACTTCAATGTTTGGCTGGCTTCACCACCAAATCATTATGTCTGTTATCGAGGACTGCAGAGTTGGCCAAGCGCTGCGATTATGAGCGTCGCTTGCATGGGCAACCAGCCGTTCAGACGATAACCATGTCGCAGCAATTAAGGATGAATCTGGAGCTCTTCACCTTGGAAATCAAGCACACGCGCTATGATTGTGCCTGCTCACAGTCATTGACATCCTCGACCGAGGTCTACCGCGCAGTCAATGCCGCAATCAGCCATGCAGCGTTGATCTACCTTCATCGTCGCGTTTACATGCTTCCATCCGAATCTCGCCTAGTACAATTCTCAGTCAATGCAATTCTGGACGCCTTCAACGAGCTTAAAGGATACAACGCATTCGACACTCCGGATATCATTTTGCCTCTATATCTTGCAGGCTGCGAAGCAAGAGATCCTGGTAAGGCTGTTGATGTGCTCCAACGCCTACAGAGTATCGAGAACGCTGGCATGGGACAAGTCGTTCGTGTCAAGGCTTTGTTGCAAGAATGCTGGGATACCAAGAGAGACTGGACCGAACTCAAGCACAATGTGCTTCTTGGCTGAGAGTGCCATTGAGAATCAAGATTCACGAAATTGCCAGGCCCAAGGTAGAGCACATGCGCTCGCGAGCCCTCAGCATCTGGATACACCACCTGCTGCGCACCACAAACACACTATCGTAGAATTGCGTTCTGCGTCGCTTGGAAGCACGCCCCCGAGTCTGGGGTCGGATCGATATATTCAACAAACATGACCTGCTTCGGTTGCTCCACCTTCCACCAGCGTAGCGAGCGACCTTCACAGCTTCGCCTAGGGAAAAGGCGAACGCCATCAGCTTCCACTGCTGCATGTGCCGCTTTGAAGGCACAACTCAAACGTCCCAGCAGCATACGGCGTCAAGCTCGCCACGCGAACCTAAATCGAGAAGTCACAGCACCAATGTCGACAACCATGGACTCTGTTCTTACGAACAAGATCGACAGGAAAGGCTTAATGCAAATGTCAGCATGAACTGCATGGCAGAACATCTTCCACAAGAGCGACGAGGGCCTCTGATCACAACCGTAAAAGTGGCATATCCACTACACAATCCGCAGTCAACGGCTAGACTTTCTTCCCACCGAGTTGTGGCGAAAGAAGAATCAATATACAGAAGAGAGTCAGAGAGAGTCATATAGACTAGAAACACCAATAGACAGTGTAATCCACAACCAATCTCTCATATCAATTGTCTTTAATCCATCTCATTCTTTGTATCACCTCGAAGCCTTGTCACCTGGTGTTCATGCTTCAGGTCTACAAAGCAAGCCAGCAGAAGTCTTGTGTTGTGATAGAGTCGTTTAGGGGCCGTTCGGTACAGGATCTTAGGGTTAATTCCGGCTGGAATTCAACGGATTCCATGGCGATTAAGAGGCGTTCGGTGTAGAATTAGGATCTTGCTAGAATCGATAGGATTTATATAGGGCTACCGGCAGTGGCGTTATCTAGACTAGAAAGGGGAAGGTTAGCGTAGTAATGAGCTATAATCATAATTCCGGCTAATGCTAGTCTCGAGCAGCATTAGCGGGAATCCTCTCTATTAAATCGTACCTATTATCTTAATACCATGTCGTAAGCATCGCTAACACTCTCTACTACGCCGGCGCCTAAGAAGAAGAAGCGAGTACTACCCCTTCGATAGATAATAGAGATAGATAAGGTGTTTATTAACTACTTTATTAAGCTTAAAGACGCTACTAATACCTCTAATTACGACTTTAAATAGGTGCATTATAAGGCCGTAGCTAAGGTCATAGAAGATGTAATAAATTAGAAGGACCTCTATAAGAAGAATAGGATAAAGAACTATATGTCTTTACTTAAAGCTAACTAGAGAAGCTAGATAGCGATATATAGCAAGTTAGAATAGAGTTAGCGCGATAATAGCTATCTAACTATACTAGATAATATAATAGAGAAATACTATAAGACTATTAATAATAACGTAAGGAAGTTTAGATATAAGCCTCTAAAGTTTACTAATAAGCTTATATACCTCTTTAAAAGGTCGTTATAACTAGGAAGTTTATAATATCTATAAAGAAGTTAAAGAGGAAGAAGAGAGATATAGAGCTACTATAGACACCTTTTACCCTTCGAGTAAGGCGCTAAAGGATAAAGGACTAAAGGAAGGAATACCTATTTAGTAGTTAGTTAAGATGTCGCCTTTACTAGCGCCTATGCTAGCGCTAGTAATATAAGAAGTTATATATAAAGTAAGCATATTAAGCTTACCCTTACTACTAAGAGTAGTCTCTAAGATAAGTTAGAATAATATACTAAAGAGAGGTTATTATAGTAATGCTATAAGTACTAGTATTAGTTAAGTTACTATTAAATTATCGAAAATAAATAAGTATAAGACACTAATTAGTTATGCTATTACGCTCTTTAGTATTAAGTTTAAAAGTCTATCTCTAGAGGTATAGATTATAGTAATAGAGAAGTTAACTATACTATTAATAGTAGAGTGGTTTCTTAATATTAATAAAGAGGTGCATAAGGTAATAGTTTATAGCTAGATAGTTAGAGTTAATAACTAAATTCATATAATTATTTTTACTAAATTAACTCGCCTCTATGTCTTCTTACTACTAAGTAACTCTTCTATATATCGTCTACTAATTAGTCTCTAAACTTAGCTATCTTTAATATATTAAAGTGCTCTTCTTACTCCTTCTTAACATTAGCATTAAAGTAGTTATTCTTATCTTACTCTTTAGCGCTAAGCTTAAAGTGTTCCTTCCCTTATATCCTATTTAGTACGTTATAGAGCACTATTAGCGTATAGACTAACTAAATTTACATATAGATATCGAAATTCGGCGTAGTATTAAAGACTTTAAAGTAACCTTTAGACACACTAAAGGTCCTCTTAATAACGTTACATAGCTACGAATGGCGTAAATTAAATAGCTCTTTTAGGGTCTCTAGCTTTAACTTTAAGGCTATCTATTCCCTTAGATAATACCTTATACCTTAGTATAGAATAAGAGTTAAAAGGAGTTTAAATACCTAGCGTTAGTAAGGTAATAATACCTATCTAGTGCCCTAAATCCTTCTAATATTGCTATAGATAATACCCTCCTATTATGCGTAGTCTTTTTTAAAACCTATAAGGATATAGGTAAAGTTTATATTAAAGTTAATAACTACTAAAACATTCTATAAAATCTATCCTTTTCTATTACGCTATAGGGCCTAATTTCCCTTAATTTAGGTAGGTATATAGCTACTATCTAAGGTACTAACTACCTCTTTAAAGAAGGGAAACATCTTAGAGTCCTATCGAATTTAGGAAGGTATAATATTACTAATAGTTATAATAACCTCTTCCTAGTATAGGTTAACTAGAGCATTAAGGACTTTATAGAAGACTACTAATACAGTTAATAGCGAGTATTAGAAGGTCCCTTAAAGTATCTAGAAACTTGTCCTATTTATAGTAATACTTAGAAACATGGCTAATTTCTAAGCTACTAATAACCTCTTCCTAGGAAGTAGAGGTAGATTAGCTTCGTATTTAAGCTAGTCTAAGAGGTAATTAAAGGTATCCGGCCTATAACGAGTAAAGTCGTATAACTACTAAGGGTTAAGAAACAGCTCGCGGGTCGTCCTTATCCCTTTCTTAGTAAGTATCTAACGAGTTTCTAAAGGTACTCTTAATGACATTTAGGTTATATACTATGTAGCTACTTTAGCGACAGTAGTAGCGGCCGCTATAGCTATCCTCTGCTCGTCGAATTCGTCGTCCATAGTATTAGAAGTAGCTTACGTGCACGAATTACAGAAGATTACAGCTATGCTACTAACATCATGCCTAGAAACAAGCGAAATTGACTATCTACGCCACTTCCGAGCCATGCCGACGATTAAGAACTGGAATCAGATCCTGTACCGAACGCGCCCTTAGGCTGTCAGAACTACACGGCTTACCAATCTGTCCTGTTGCTCTAGAGAGCAAGTTGTTTCTTGTGAGGATACGCACATCTCGTGGGAAGTGCCAATCACAATGCTCCAGAAAATAGGTTTTGAGAAACATACACCACGACGGGGACAAGAACAGACAAGAAGAGTTTCATGTCAGCAAGATTGTGTATCTGTATTAAGATATTCCTTTGCGTTGATTTACATATTAAGTACAATGTTGACAGAAAGGCCAGTCTATTACGCACGACATTATTCCGCAAACAATCTGACTCGACCATCTCACAGAGGCCTTCACCTCCAAATCATCAACCCATCTCAAAAGTTTCAGATAGTCACAAGAAGCAACAACCACTTGCACTTGCTTACAAAAGCATAACAGCACCAGCAGCAGCACCCAAGAATCCCATTCCAGCACCAAACTGAGCAGCAGCACCGGTGTAAACAGCAGGCTTGCTAGCAGTAGCAGTACCATTGGTTTTTCCTCCAGCAGAAGTCATCATACCGCCAGAAGCAGAAGCAGAAGCCATGGATTTAGCAGGCACCATTGAAGAAACAGTGCACGGGCAATCAGTAACGGTGATTGTGGTTTGCGAGGAGACAGTGTATTCCTTGCTGGCGATGGTGGTGACGTAGGCGCCGGCGGTGGGGGCTGGGCATACGGTGGTCAATCTGTAAAGGGGAGTTAAATGTTATAAGATTGGAAATAAGGATTGAGGGGGTTACTTACGCAGTAACGACTTCGGTGGTGTAGACCATGCCGCCAGCGCTGCTGGAAGCNNAGTAGCAGTGTAGGGAATGAAAGAAGAGATGATGCCGCCAGTAGATGCGATGGGGTTCTCTCCAAGGCAAGTGGCATACTCGCCAATGCATGCAGCCTGGTTAGCTGACAGGCCATCGGCGCCAGGGGTGGTCTGGCACTTGATCAGAGCTGCATAGCAGTCGCCCTGGCACTGAGCGTTATCAGCAGAGCATTGGGCCTGGTTGGCGGAAAGACCATCAGGGCCACGAGTTGTGCGGCATGCATTGTCCTTGGCAACACAGCCAGAAGCAGAAGCGCTAGCAGAGGCAGAAGCAGAGCTCGAAGAGGCAGTTGCGCTGACAGTGGCAGTGGCGCTGTAGGGAATGAAAGAGGAGATCAAGCCGCCAGTGGAAGCAATGGGATTCTCGCCGAGACAGGTGGCATACTCGGAAGCACACTCAGCGAAGTTGGCGGAGAGACCATCGACAGGAGTGGTTCTGCAGGTGTTGTAGGCGGCATAGCAGTCGCCCTGGCACTGGGCGTTGTCGGCAGCGCATTGAGCCTGGTTGGCAGAAAGACCATCCACGGGTGTGGTTCTGCAGGTGTTGTACTTGGCAACACAGCCAGTGGCAGCACCAGTAGTCGAGTTCTGAGCAGCGGCAGCGCCAACAAGGGCGAGAGAAGCAACAGCAGTGAACTTCATATTTGCAGTAATGTGATGATGTAAAAGTTGAAAGTATTAGAAGATATAGTATGGTGCTTTGGATAGCGAATGTGGAAGTTGGATCAATTAATGGATAGGATGAATGACCGTGGTTGTGTGATGGAGAGATCGACTGGGCAATGGTCGAGCAGCTCTTTTATACCACCGAGGTGTTCTTGCCAATACCATGACACAAGACTGATCGAAGGTGGTTCGCTTGAGCTTAGCTCCAGGAACCAGGAACCCGTTACGAGGAGGTCAGACCTCGTATCCATAACGGCCCCCTCATCTCTGAACCTTCACACGTTCGCAAGAAAGACCCAGACCAGCGATGCAACTTTAGCCTGGCTTACCTTGATTTGAAGTTTCCTGCCTCAAATCGTTGGAGATCATGTACTTACGGTTTTGAAGCATACGGGTTCCTGCAGAAGCGTCCTCGGCGTGGTAGATCCTAAGCTCGCATCTCGAGAAACACAACCCATCATCCTTGAGACACACAATTATGAGATGCGCCACTTACAGATATCGAGAAAGCTGTTTTATTCTCAATCCAAAGATAGCACACTTTCAAACTGTCGCCGTTCCTGTTGTCACCCAAGGAAAAGCGTCGAAGAGCCGAGGTCGATCCAGCGTCACGACACAGCCAACGTTACCTCGATCACACTCTCGTATCAACGCCAGTTTCGGAAGGTCCATTCGTTTGCAGCTTAGATTGGGTTCTCCAAACCTGCTCAAAGACCACTCTGCTTAAAGAGAACAACGTTTGACCCCCCTCGCGAGTCTGAACGTCAAAAGTGTTTAGGGCAAGAAAGTAAGATTCCGAGGGCTGAAGACGAAGAGAATAGTTTGTCGAAAACGTCTCGTTCCTGGCCCCTTGGGCTGGTGTATTTGAGATGGAAGAACCTCGCATTGCGGCAGGGATACGAAGGGTCCTCGAGTCTGTTGTTATTGTTGTTTGATGAGCAAGAGGAGAGAAGAAGCGTTCTGCATTGCAGTTGAAGCCGAACAGCCTGCTTGGCAATCGCAAACAGTGCAAGCACGTGAGTTGGTCGATGTTTCCACCAGTCTGTTCAAAACAATCTAGCAGCGACTACTCACCTACGATCTACAAATCCTAGCGAACGTGAATCTCAGCTCACCAAAGAATAATGCAACCCAAGCCTCTTACGCACGAATACGAAAAGCAATGCAACTCTATCTCCAGGCCAAGACCTGGAAACAATCGAAAACTACTATCACCGTTGTCGAAAACAGCGCAAACTATCGGATTAAGAGCTGGAGAAAAGAGGAGAAGCTGGAGGTATTATCCCCAGGCCAAGACTCGCAAGCTCTCCTTCTTGAGAGTCAATCGCACGATCGACGCCTTGTTGATCACAAGTTTCTCGTAAAGAAGTTAGTTCATTGGATTGTAATTTTTTGGCTTGGCTTCTACTTGTTGTATGACATGACAGGATTTTCTTAGGCCTGATGGTCTTTGCCATTTTCAGACCTGGTATCAAGCAGACGATACTGCATCTGCAAACGTCTCCCAGCCACTTCTCTCCCAGGGTGCTAGAACGATTGCTCGCTGTGCATCCCGAACCACTCCTGTACCTGCGAACGCCTTTGCCAATTCCTGTGCTCCAAGATCTCCGTATGGTGGCACGGCTCTCTGCGATGTGAGCAGAGCCATCTGAGCAGGGTATGCCTCCTCAGTCAAGTCGGTCAACTGCGTCCATCCATGACTTTGGTGCGGTGCAAGCATGATGGCGCGCTGCGTCTCGACCAGCGCATCCATCTCTGATGCATCGGAGGAAAGTCCTGCAATGGCACCAAGGACTTGTTCGACGTGCTCGCGGTCGTAGATGGAGATGCTGTCGTTGGTGCGCAGTGATGCAAGGTCATCGCGCACAGCATCCAGGGCATCTGTGTCGTTGTCGAGTGCTGCGATTGCACCAAGAAGTACAATCGATGGAACATGAGAGTCGTGCTTCTCGATACAGTCAAACAACTGGTCACGAGCGACCGACTTTTCTTCGTCACCACCCTTGGCCCACAGGACTTGGACAAGTAGACACACAACGTCGGGATCAGAATTGCTCTCCTCAAGTGCCGATCTGAATGCCGCGATGGCATCGTCCATGTTCTGAAGATAGAAGGCGGCAAGACCTGCAGTCAGATGAGCCGACAGGCGGACCTTGCGTCTACTATCCGGCTCCAGGCCACACGCATCAGCTTCGGCTGACAGATCAAGTGCAGTACCTGCGTTCTCTGCAGCTGACTCAAAGTCCTTCGAAGCAAGCTGGTTTCTAGCGAGATCTGCCTTTGCCAGAGCAAATCGTCCGAGAGAGGTTAGCGACTCAGTGGCTTCATAGTCAGACTCGGCTGATGTGCAAAGACTCTCAAGCATCCCAATAGCAGAGGTATGGTCACCCACACGTTCTGAGAACAAGGAAGCAAGGTGGTTAAAGGCCTGGTCCGAAGGTACTTGTCTGTGCAGTTGCTCCAGAGCAAACAATGGTTGGATCAATGCAGTGATCTCGTTTGAAGCTGATGGAGTTGTGAGTAGGTTATCGAAAACCGACACGGCATATTGACGCTTTGAGATCAAAGAAGCAGAATCTGAGATCTCGAATGCATGAGTGAAATGTGACAAAGCTTCCTTCTTGTCGCCCATCATCAGCGCAATCAAGCCTTCACCGAGCCATGCATGTGCGTAGTCAGGATCTGTGGATTGAGCACGGCCAAAGGCTTGGTGGGCAAGCTCATAGTCGTTATTGATGAGGTATAGAACTCCGAGGTTGCACCACGTCTTCGCACTGCGCTCGTTCAGATGCAATGATCTGACGAACGAGTGCTGTGACACCTTAGGGTTCAGTCTGGTGGTAATAACACCAAGTGAATTCCAGAAATCTGAGTTGCCGGCTTCCAACTCGATGGCACGCTTGAAGCATCTAACAGCTGCACGGAGGAACTTCTTGCCAGCCTTCGCATCACTGCAGCTGAATGCCTTGTGCTCCGCCCAACCAAGGTTGTACCAAGCTACAGCTTGAGCGTGTACATCATTTGCACAGCTGAAGATAGCACGCTTGTAGGCAAGCAGAGATAGGGCCAAGTACTCTGGACAGGTAATAGCTTCGCCTTCTGTAGAGCTTTCGAGAGTTTTTGCGTCGACTCCATCAATTTCCGACAGGATACCGAGTTCTTTGACGTCGAAATCCTTCGTTAGCATTTGCTTGGTCAAGTCGCTAGGGAATATGTCGAGTCTATCTTGTATCCAGTAGAAGATTGAACAAGCATCACCGACAGCCTTCCACAGGTTGAAAGCCTGAGGTCTTAGCTCAGCAATCTTTTGAGCAAGCTCGATTGCTTGGACTGCACTGTGAGCAGCTTGGCCATAGAAGCCAGTCTCTACACATCTCCAGGCTTTCTCGTTGTATGTCTGCAAGAGCGCAATGAGAACACCAAACTCTTCGGCTCTGCCAGTGAGGNNGACTTCTTGGAGACCAGCAATAGCCTCATCATGTTCGCCAAGCTCTCTGTTGACATTGGCAAGCATGTATCGCGTGAACCAGTTCTGACCGGTGACGTTCATAGAAATACCATCGTGTGGCTCTTCAGCGTAGATGAAGGTTCGGCTTGCAGAGTTGTAACGACCAGAGTTGTGGTAACTTTCTCCTAGGCCGACATAGGAATGGTAGTCATTAGGACTGATCCTGAGTGCTGACAAGAATGAAACTATCGCCTTGGAGTACTCCTGCTTTGTCATCTGCACAACACCCAAAGCTGAGAATGGCCAACTGATACCCTTCTTCTTCGAACCAGGTGGAGGTCTGACCTTGCCTGAGTCAACAACTCTTTGTGCAACAATCTCGACAATATCCCATTCGCCTTGGTCAGCGAAAGATCTTGCCAGTCTCTCGGCAGCCTCGACCTCGGATCCTGACAACTCGAAAGCTTTTTGGAAACATTGACGTGCTCTCTTCTTATCCTTGGCATAATCGGCGTAGTAGTAACCAAGAGAAGTGTACGCAGGTGCAAGGTTGACGTTAGTCTTGATTGCAGACAGAAATCTGGCGTAAGCCCCGTTGCGATCTCTTCTGGCAGCCTTGGATGTGTCGAGGTTCCATATGCAGATACCAGTACGGTACAAAGTCTGTGCTCTGAGCTCTCGTGCTTTGGGGTCGTCCAGTTTCAAGTCAGGCAAACACTTCTCCATGGTCTCGAAAGCAGGACCGTAGTTTCCGCGCAGAGCATCACACCATGCTGACTCGATCTCAATACGAATGTTGCTAGGATCCTGCTCCAATGCTTGTGACAANAAGTTGACTGCCTCGTCAAACTCTTCTTGTTCTTCCAGGATCAAACCTAATCCGATGAGTGTTGCAGTATGTTTAGGCTTTCTGGCGAGTATGTCGTTGAAGAGTTCTCTGGCTTCTGGGTGGTTCTTTGGTGACTGGTGGTATACCAATGCGGTGGCGAGCGTGCTGTTGAAGGCATCCTTGTTATCCTGCAACACGAGACCAGACTTCCTAACCTCTGACTCGAGCATTTTGAGACCATTTCTGGCGACTTCGACTGCGCTCTCATATTCTTCGAGGTGGAGATAGTACTCTGCAACGAGACGATGTGCCAGAACCGACTTACTACCATCTTCAAGGCCTTCGCTCATCAGGAGGATTCTATCCTCCTGATTGAGTGGTGCCTCTACATCCTCGTCCTTCTGTTCCGGGTCCTTTGGTGGCGCGGGGAATGGTGATATTTCGCAGTCGAGGTAGGCCTTGAGCACTTTGCCTAAACTGGTTTCGGGGAAGAACTCGAGGTACTCTCGCAGAACACCGACATCCAGATCTGAGACATTCGCGACATCCTTCCAGTCCAGTTCGACAGTCCAGGCTAGAAGGAAAGGGTGCTTGATGATAACCATGCCGTGTACGATGCCCATGACCTGCTCGCGCTTTGCAGCCTTTGCGTCACCAGTCAAGACGATTAATGTATCGTAAGCTCTCTGCAGAAGCTTCTGCTCATACTCGCGGCGGACTTCATCATCGTTGGTCCAGTCAACCAACTTTTGGTACAGCTCCTCAAGGTTGCTTTTTGTGAAGACTTCTCGACGGACATCAGTAGTGACCTGGTTGATACGAGCTCCTAATCTGGTTCTTCGCTCGCCGATTTCCTTGTTGATGCGTTGCTTCTCTTCTTCTTCGGTGATTTCAATTAGACGAGTGTACGTATGCGAAGGGCTCGGCAGGCGGCCCTCCAGAAACTCGTAGATCGGACTTCCTGGTAATTGAGCCTCCAGAGCGCGTTTGTATTGAGCAGTGGTCCCGTTCTCCTTTGTAAATTCAACCAGCTTGTTGATGGTGGTTTGACATTTGTGAGCATCCTCAGCCGCAGCTTGAATTTCGGCAACCTTGAGAGCAGCCTCGCGGTATTGATCCAGTTTGACACCGCCCTGGCTCTCATATAGATTGCAAAGACCAAGCCATGCTTGTGCATCATCAGGCTTGATTTCTACGGCCGAATTGTATGTCTTTGCCGCATCATCTAATTTGTTCTGTTTTTGGAATGCGCGACCCAGGAAAAGCTTGCTGTAGTCGCTGTCAGTAACATTTGTTTCATCGCATCAGGAGGCAACATACGCGAAGTAGTTTTGAGAGTCTGATGCGAGGACGATTTGACATTGAGTGACAGCATCATCGTAGTTCTCAGCATCCAAGGCGACTTTGGCGGCCTTCAGCGCGGCCTTGTTTCCAGACATGGTCGGCTGTGGGATAAGCTGAGAGAGGTCTACTCAGAGACTTGGATGCGACAAACTGAACAGACAAACGAGTGAGAGAGACAATTGACATGTGACAGACAAATTGTTGTCTTTGACGATTTCATGAAGAGCAAGCAGCGCATCAATGACGTTTTTGGAGGGAAAGCTCGGACCTCGTCCACTTTTCGATGAGATCTCCCAACCTTTCATCTCCGACAACTTGTAACCAGACCAATCGAGAAGGCGGGTGTCCAGCGGTGCACTCGCAGGTTAATCACCGTGGTCGTAAGGTATTCGAGGGACCGCTTCCCGTTCCATCCATGGCTTCAATACACCTCCGAAGCTTGACACCTCCGGCGCGATTGGATCACTACGCGAATATTGAGCCGTAGAAAGAGGAGGAGATACCTAGCTATACACATATGCTGTAGTATACTGCCCGTGCTGTAGACCAAGTCTCTGGTCGTCCTGGATTCAGAAACTGCATATCTGTCGTCTGTCCGGTATCGATAGCGTCCATATGTGCTTCCACCTAGCAACGTGAAACCCTTAAGTAGCTGAATAGCTAACATCAATCCTTCATCTCCTCCCACCCACCAACCCCTCAAACATCTCATCTCTCCTTCTAACCCACCCCTCCAACTCTGCCCTCAAGTCCTGCATCATCCTTCTCACCTCCCTAGCCTCCGGCGGTACACCCTCAAACTCCTCAATCCTATCCTCTACATCCTTGACCCTCTGCACCACCGCCTCCAACCCCCTTTTCGCAGTCTCCACCTCGCTCAGCAAAGCTTCTGGTATCTCTGCTCCAGAAGCGTTTCGTAGTCTTTCATCGTATTCGCTGACTTTGGCTTTGAGGAGTTTGGTTTGGCGGGTGAGTTCTGCGGTTCTTTGGGGTAGGTTTTTTTCTGTTTGGAAGGGGAGGGGAGAGGAGGTCTTTGAGTTCTGTTTCAAGGGAGGANNGTGATGGGATCGGAGAGAGGATTGCAGTGATGTGGTTGCGGCGATTTGGGTTTGGAGGTGGGAGAGTGTTGTTGAGAGGCTGAGGAGGGTTGTTGCTAGTGTGGTTGCAGAAGTTGTGGGGGTGTTTAGAGTCACAGCTGTTGTTGCTTGAGCTATGAGATCTGAGGTTCCGTGTGCAGAAAGAGAGGTCTGGAGGGATGTTGTGAGGTTGTTGTTGAGTGTAGTTGTCGCATCTTGTTTTCCCTGTATATGCGAAATTGATGTATCAGCTCATGTTTCTGATACAACTTGTCCTACCAGTAAATCATCAAACAAATCAAATAAGGTTTATATCTCACCTCTTCTNTCCAGCTCCTCCAACTCCTTAACCCCCATCTCCTCGACGCGACACACCATTCCCCACCCTTCATCCGCCTTTTCATTCGCAGCAGCTAACGCTAACAACACCCTTAAAGTCTCCTCGTTCTCTTCAAACTTGGGCACTTTTTGTGGAGCAGGATATTTTGGACGCAGAAACTGGTGTATGTAGGTCCAGTCTTTGGCTAATCGTTGCTGTTCTGCGGCTTTGGAGGGTGAAAANAGGGAGTATTCCAGTGGTGTTGAGGTCGGAAAGGTCGGGGTTGGTTCATTGTGATACTGTAAAACAAGTTTTCTCGACAGAGTCGGTAGAGCTTGGAACTTGTTATGTTGGTGATTTTATGTATGGTTCAAGAAGTTGTTGTTTTGCGGTTCGAATGTTGACAGCTTCGTTAGGTCTTGGCATCTACATTGATGGACTTAGAAATTATGATGGCATTGCGTTCTCTTCAAGTCTTGGGGTTACATGAGACGATCATGGTGAAACTTGATGGCGGCTGTCATGAATCTCGTTTAATATGTTCTAATCTACTCTATCACATCTTCCAAACCAGAGGTACAGAAATATCGATTGCTTAGTATCCCATTCCGTACCCTCTGACCCTACTAAACAAGAAAGCCTTGTCGTTCTTCAAGCCAAACTCGCCCCAGTCGTCAGTCAAGCGGTTGTAACTCCAGAAACCTTTCCATGACAACTTGTTGCCCCCAGCGCTCTTTTTACCTCTAGATCCGAGACCGAATTGCATTTTCCACATATACTTCGGTATCACACCATCTGTCTCTATGTGTACGTCTCCTTCTATCTCAGAGGCCGGATCGTTGCCTGGACCGCTGAGGCGCCAACGCCCGCGTAGAGCATCCTTCATGACACTGTTTGGTAGAAGCGAACCAGCGGCATATGAGCGCATGTTTTCTTTGGTCAGGTGGTGAACGACATCTATTGGTTCGGTGGTGGTGAGCAGGGAGATACAAGTACCATCCCTGAAGAAACGAAGGTAGCGGAAGTAAGTCACAATAAGGATTGGCGTGCCCCAAGTCGATGAGGAAGTGTTCGTTGCACCAGGGCGTTGGTAATTTACTGTGCTTATGTAGCAACCGTTGAAGCGGAGACGGGGTCGGGAGCGGAACATCTGGCGCCATGAAGAGGAGTAGAGAGAATGTAGCAATACGTTGTCGAGTTCCGGAGTGGTCTTGGAAGGGCGAGGAGGAGTTGTAAGTTGGGTTTCTGAATCGGAATCTTGGTCCTGTCCTTCAGAAAGGTAGGCTATGTCATCGTGGAGGTCTGGCTCAAGCGGCTCGCCTTTGAGGTTGCATACATAGTTGTAATGCATACCTCCAAAGCCAAACTCTGAACCTTGAGCGATGCGCTTCCAGATGGATTCGTCTGTCATGACGATATATGCGAATCTNTTGCAGACACGAGAGACTTTGGCGAGAGAAGCCAGATCACTAACAGCAGCGTAGGTCAGGATCTCGGACAAGATCTCGCCTGGTAGCTCTGCAATTGGACATGGCGGTGGTGGATCAGCATCTGTGGGAGCTGGCGCGCCAGGAATGGAAAGGTGGGAGAATTGATCGACCAACTCTGTCAGAGTGGGCGGTATGCCGTGGGATGAGTGGTGCGCAGTACTGGGCACAGTTTGTGAGGCATTGGAAGGATTTGATTGTTGTACAGTGGCTTTTGGCTTTGGTGGAAAGGCCGAAGGAGGGAAATGCTTGTTCTTGTACTTTTCATGTACGCGGTCGTCCATCTTAAAAGCAGTTCGATAGAGAGCGACACTGTCTCCTAAGCTTCCCATTGTCTCTTTCTCAACAGCCTTCTCGTAGTGTTCGAGGGCAGACTTGGGCTCTTTNGTCAGGGCACCTCTCGCGATGGCTTGTTCGTGAGCGTCCAGACGCAACTCTGCTTCTTTGTCTGGCAAGTCATAGTATACTTGTGAGGCAAGATCCTCTTCGTCGTCGTGTGCATCGTGCTTGTGTTGTTGTAGTCTAGGCTTCGGAGCAGAGGACGAGGGATGAGTCGGCTTGTGATGACGAGTTGGGTGGGATTGTTCTGATGTGGATTGCTTGTTTCGTGATTCGACTTCTTGACGCCATTGTCGTCTGAAGGCTTCCAATTCAGCGTCGGTATCCTTGGGAGGCTCTTGTGAGGACATTTTGGTGGGTGGCTATGTCGGCGATTGTGGTAGATTGTCGTAGCGCAGTCTAGATCGAGAGGGACTCGTGGGCGAGGCGTGGTTAAGCGTGACGTAAGAGAGGCTGATGCAGCACAACGGCGAGGTGATGAAGCTTGGATTGTCGAGAGTGTTGATAAAGTGGCAGCCCGAGATATATAGAGTAGGTACCGAACAAGATGGACTGAAAGAGGCAGAGGTGAGCAGCGGTGTCTCTTTGCGGTTTCCTTGATCGACGACGGTGTGGTCGCTTATCGCCGAGTGCGAGGGTCCATAAGGCCGGGGCAGCAAAAGAAGCTTTTCTATGACGGCCACCGAACGCGGGCGCCGACGGGAAAGAACAAAGTCGAGAGGGCAAGCGCCGCTCATCGGCGGCCATCACCAACCAGCACCAGCATCATACACTCGTCGTCGACCTGCACTCGTCCTCTCCTCGTTCTCCTCACGCTACTCGACACCTTTTCTCGACCAAAACACTCAAGTCACTCAACTCAATCCACCGCTCGAACGCCTTTGTGTCTCTGCCCCTCCACGTCGACGTCAATCTTGCAGCTTCCACCGTCATAAAATCTTATCAATCAGGCGCGCCGACTCATCCCAAAACTCTCCCTGCTACACGACACAACCTCCCGTATCCGGCCGCATGGCCTATCTCGCTTCTCCTGCAGCAAATCAACCTGCCACCGATTTTGCACACATCCATCAACCTCCCGTGCCATCGCAACCTCTCGACGACACTCCTGCCGCCACCATGGATCAAGAAACTTCCATTACTCAGAAGATGCTGTCTGCCGTCTCTGGCAGCATCTTGACCTCGCTACTTGGTGTGTTCCAATCCTAAACTCTACTGCTGAATATCGACAACTAACCTCGCTCACAGNTCACCCCTCTTGACGTCGTGCGTGTCCGACTACAAGCTCAATCCGGTCCGTCTTCCCTAAATGCTTCTACCCAACCCTCCTTCGCGCGCCTGCCTCCCAATCTCGGCATATCCGCCTGTTGTAGAGAAATCTACTACGTCCCCAACCAGAGCCCATATTGCATGGCCTCGTCCGCTGGTCTTACTGTCGACGAAATGCTTATTTCTCAATGTGCGGCAGAGGAGACCGAGCGAAGAACTTTCAACTCAACCATTGATGGTCTGAAANAGATTGCCCGGAATGAAGGTCTTACAACCCTGTGGCGCGGCTTGAGCCCCACCCTGCTCATGTCCGTCCCTGCCAACGTCATCTATTTTGCTGGCTACGACTGGTTGCGAGCCAATCCCCACAGTCCTATGAAGGATCGCGTTCCCGACAACTACGCTCCGCTATTTGCTGGCTCCAGCGCCAGAGTACTCGCCGCCATAGTTGTTGGCCCAGTTGAAATGTTCCGTACACGTATGCAAGCCAGCCACCCCGAGGCTGCTTCGCCGACTGGTGTGTTCAGAGACACACTATCCGGGGTTCAAGATATGGTCAAGGCAGATGGTTACCGCGCTTTGTGGAGAGGTCTCGGTCTGACTCTCTGGCGAGATGTGCCTTTCTCTGCTTTGTACTGGTGGGGTTACGAATATGGCAGACAGACATTGCACAACGCAAGAGAAGGCCCTGCTTCCCACGAACCCACGGGCAGCTTGAAGAATCGTTCCGTTAGTGAATTGGATCACAAGACGGTTCTGATCGACAGTTTTATCGCAGGTGCAAGTGCTGGAGCCGTCGCTGCTTTTGTCACCACTCCTTTCGACGTCGGCAAGACTCGTCAACAAGTCGCTCGTCATTCTGCCGACTCTGGTTCTGCCGCTGCTGCTGGCGTTCGTCCTGAAAACAAGCTTATGCCTCGATTCTTGTGGCACATCTACAAGACTGAGGGTGCTGCTGGCTTGTTCAAGGGTTGGGCTGCTCGCACAATGAAGGTCGCTCCTGCTTGCGCCATCATGATCAGCAGTTATGAGATCGGCAAGAAAATGGCTGGCAGCATGAATGAGAAGGCTGTCAAGGAGTCATCGTAAAAAAGATCTGGACGAAAACGAAAATTTGTTCTGGACATGTAACATTATAACGGCCTATTCCCTTTTTGTTGGGTTTTACAAAAACTAGTGCAGCGTGGAGTTTTGGATTCTTGGGACATCAGCTTCTTTCTGGCATTTTCTCCTGTCTCTTCTTCACTCATCCTCCCAGCGCTTGTATCAGCGATCTGTTTTTCTTGCACCTTTCTCGCATACCCTCTCGTTTGAGAGTTTTACACTGGCTGTTTTCTTTTCTGTTTTTATACCATCATTGGGTGATTTCAGACAAGGTTATAGGAGTACGTCTTTGTATCGCAGTTCGAACGAATAATCATAGCCATACTTCTGCATGGTGTTCTCCGTTTCCCCCTCAGCTCGAGCCTTCATCTGCTTCTTCCCACGCCTCTTGCTTGTAAACGCAGTTACTGGGTGAAAGTCGAAATGAGCTCTTTCGGCAGACTGGGGACGCATTCTCAAGGATCGAGAGGTACAACCCTTCACACATATGTTTTCTCCTCTTATCATTTACTGACTTACTACAAGAGATCATGGCGTCAAGGACTCAACTGCTACGGAACGTCGCCGAGTAGACATCAACATGGAATCCTATAAGCAAGACATGGACCAATTTTGGAAATACGCGATCTGTCAGTTCCCAAGGTGACGACAATCATCACGCCAGCATGCCAAAGACCAACTACGACGTCAACTACTTTCCTAACAGTTCTAAAAACCATGCCACGATTTCTGAGACCAGAAACGTGGTTATCACCTTCCTCCCTCACCTTCCACCTTACCTTTTGCATCACACTTCGCATCACCTATCACATACCATTCCACCTCACCTGTTAGCTTGCGCTCCGCTTCGCCATCTTCTCATCGCTTGACCATCACCTTCCCTTCAATAGCCTTCACCCATCGATCATTTCAGGTTGTCGTTTAGCAGCCGCGACATGGACCAGCCAAAAGAATGGCCGTGTCGCAGGTGATAGCACATGTCGAGCCAAAGCTTCCTCAGGCCGGCAACATCGCCTTTGAGGATGTAATGAACGAAGTCTTGCTCTTGGAGCATGGTATCAATGACAAGGACGAACTGTTTCGGCGGACTTGGGACGCCTTCTTGAGAATAAAGAAGTATGGCCTCTCTCTATACTCATATTCTTCTTTCATCCTTTGCTGACTTGCCTCAAGAATTCGAGGCGGCAAGAAGGCAGATGGTCCAAAGCGTCAGCGATTGAACATCAGCAACCTCGCAAAAAGCCCATCCAGCCTTAAACCGACTCCTCTACCAGTTCTCATGTCACCGGCTCTTACGCCAGCATGTCTAACACAACCAGTGCCATCGGCAGTTCAGTCAACTCTCCCCTTCAAGATGTTACCACTGTAACCGCTACAACTGTTGCATCGAACCTTGACCCTCGGCTTGCTCAGCATTCTCAGCACCCTCCGTACGCGCAGCCTTTTGCAGGTCCCGCCCCTTACATTGTTCAGCCTCTTCAACATGCTCAGTACACGCAGCCCTTCGGAAGTCCAACCCCCTATCTGTACGGTCAGCAGACAGACCACCTCGGAGATCTCGCCTCTCCTATCGTCCAGGCTCCAGACAATGCTCAGCACACACACTCCACTCCTATCGTCCAGGATCCACAGATCAGCGGCATTGGCGGCGGAGGATGCAGAGAATGACGCACCTCCGCTAGATGGACTTTGTAAAGTCCCTATCTCTTGAAGCACTATGCGCTCAAGAGGAGGTTTATCTGAGTGACAACCAAGTAAAGGAGGTCAAGAATCTCGAGTACACATCTCGAAGTTCGCTACAAGGCCACAAAAGACCAGTCCTATGTCTTTGAAGGCATCAATGCACTATCGACAAATGCCAATCCTAGATGCTGTCACTGCCTATCCGCCGATATCGTATCATCATGCCATCAAAGAATCATCACTTCGTAGGACAGTTCCATCAAACCACTGTGAGTGAACTCAGATGTTCTTGTTGATGCAGACAGACAAAAATATAGTCGTTCGAACCAAATATATTGCAAAGGGGTACATTCGTCTCAGTTAACCACTATCCTGCATCTCTCATATCCTAGTTGTAAGCAACTACGGCCACAATACCCTAAACGCCAACTGTAAAGCCTGCACACTCCCACCCTATACATGCCATACCAGAATTTCGAAGAACCCTTCCCGCGCTCAAGACCCAGACAATCTAATCTCACAGCCGCAAAAAGCTTCAGTGATGTTTTTCGACGCCACGTAGAAGCCATAGTAGATCCCATACCAAATCCCAATCGCAGCGGCGATGAGAAGCACAACCGACACGACCCCCACAGTAATCTCGAGACAAACACAGTCTCTTTTCAAACGTATGGTTGGTTGTGTTACTGGTGCTGGGAGATTGGAGAGATTGGAATACGATGGTGGTAGTGTTGGTGTTGATCCCAGATCTTGCAACTCGTAGGCTGGAGCAGTCGATGTTTGGTATTGTTCGTCGTTGGGGAGTGGATTAGTGGTGGAAGAGGTGGGCTTGCAGGGGTTGGTATTACTTTGTGAAGTTGCCATGATTGCGTGGTAGAACTGGTGTCAAGTGCTGGTGCTGAAAAGTTGTAAGAACAGACAAGTCTGGACGCCAAACCATCGGATTTATATAATCTCGATGACGCATATCCGTTTCTCGTGGTGACTCTTCCTTGCGAAAAGGTTTTTAGTGCAGGTCAAATGACTGTATCAGCGGGTTGGGTGGCCAAGCCACCATGTCGTGAATTTGAGTTCGTTCTTCGTGGACCGCTCGTTGTGAAGCGCTGTGCTCCCAAACATGGAGAGATCGTGTATCTTACATCTCCTCATCATCCAGCTCTCCATTCTTCTCTTTTTCCTTCTCTTTCGCACCTCTGGCTTCCTGCTTCCTATACAACTCGGCCAAGAAATCACTTGTACTGGCCTCATCAATACTCTTATCCTCTCTGACCTTGAGGAATCGAGGGAAGCGTAATGACAACCCTCTTTCCTCAGATACCAAGCCAATAGCCGCAGTGTAAGTAGGACTCAAGGTCACATCTGCAAAAGCACATTCCCATACTTCTTGCGGGTTGAACCAGACATCGGGGTGACCGCCACTGTATTCCACATACGCTGGTTTGCCACCCAGAGTATTGTTTTTGGACTTTTCGTGGTCTTCGTCTGCATCTTCTTCATCACCGTCGTCGTCGAGTGCAGCATCAGGGTCGTATCTTGCTCTATTGGCTTTGTAGAATGCATCGCTGAAGCCGGCCATACATTTCGTTACTGCTTCCAGTCCGCCGGTTTCGGGGTTTCTGCAGGCGAGAAGGATAGGAGACCACCAGTTGCATTTTCGACCTGTGCCGTGCCAGGCTGCGATGGGGATGAGGTCGATAGTGTCAGAAGCAGAAGAATCATAGTCTTTCTTCACTTTGAGCCAAGAGTCGAGACGTTTATCTGGTTCATAAGTCGCGAGAAGTGCTTTCCTTCGTCCTCCTTTTTTCGTTGCTGTAGCACCTTCGGCTTCGGGAGGGGGGAGATGAAGGTGGATCTCCCGGTTTGCGTTTTGTAGTGCGTTTGCGTTTGGAAGGTGTTGGNNCGGTGGTTTTGGTGTTCCGTCTTCGTTGACGTCTAAAAGGTCGGGGTTGGGAAGGTTGTCCAGCACTTTTGCCATGAAGCCTTCGCATTTGTCGTTTATCGCTTGCTTGTAGAAGTCGGATATTGTCTCCACGTCTGCTGATGTCGCGTCTATACTCTTAACCCAGGTGAAGTGATGAGGCAGTTCGATGAACAAGCTTCTTAGCAAGGACCTTCTTTCGCGGAATGGTCTGTCCATCAAGCCCTCTCCATTCAGATACATCAGGTCGAAAGAGAAAAGACATACATCCACCGTCACAGAGGTGATGGCTACGTCCTTTCTCGCGCGATTCGAAAGCGTTTGGAAAGGAAGTAAAGCACCGGTCTCTCGATCCACGGCTACGACTTCGCCTTCAAGGATGAAGGAATTTACGCCTTCGCCACGAATCTTGGGAACGAGAGCGACGAGGTCAGGGTATTTGTCTGTCATTACTTCGAGGTGACGGGAGAAGATTGTAACTTTTCCTGCTGAGTCGCAGTGGACTTGTGCTCGTTGGCCTAGATGATCTTGTTAGCAAGTAGAACATGTAGTTCTGAGGAGGTTGGACCAATTCGTACCATCATATTTGTACTCGCAGGTGAATTCGCGGCCGGAGAGTTTCGTCAGCATTTCTCCCAAATCTCTGGTAATTCCACCCAGCATGGGGCGAAGTGGGATATGCATGGCAAGACCGCAGCGAAGTAGGAGTTCTTCTGTAACACCAATCTCTAGCAATGTAGGTACTAGGTCATTCNNTGATGATTGTTAGACAAGACACTAGTGCTGCACCTGAGAGGCGATACTCACATAGTTGGGACGACGAGCGAAACACGCTTTNACAATCTCCTCGGCAGGAGCCCATACTTCAACTAGTTGTTGCTTTGATAGTTTAGCCAGCTCGTGTCTGTCGCGAGTCGAAAAGTCTGCACCAGGTGGCTTTGACAACAAAAAGGCTCGAGATAATGCAATAAGCATAGTCGTCTTGACTGCACCGATGCGAAGCNNTAGACGAAAGTCAGGAAAAGTGTTTGTGGCGCATAGTGGCGAACTCACATGCTGCACTAGAGTGCGAACAACATATCTACTCTCCTCTGCTCCTCTGGCATCCTGAACAAGTCTTTCTACGAATCGCTGTTTAGTCTCGACGCTGCCATGACCTTTGGCCATGGAAATCTTGATCAACGAGTCGAAAACAGCTTTGATGGTCAAGGGCTTAGGCTTCCTCAACGTCAAGCTCTGTCGCTTCTTTGCTTCGAATGCAACATCTCCAGCATCGCCATACTTGTCGGATAATTTCTTCAAAGCAGCGTTATCTAATCCACAGACTTTCTTCAACGCCTTGGAGATGGCAGAGCCTCCTAGTCCGAGTTCCATATCAATGTATGGTGGTGAGATTGAGTTTGTCGCAAGCCATACAGCAGGCAGCAGACTCTGAGGGTCACCTTCTATGATGACACGCAATGCGTTTACTAGTGTATCGACAATTTTAATGCGACTTTGTGTGCTGTTGACCATAACGAAGCAGTGGGTGAGGAGAGCATATGTGGCATGTCCATTATCGACGACCCATTGCTTCTTCAGCTCTGGGATGTACTTCTGTGGGTCAAAAGTCAGAGGACTTTGATCGAAGGGGATGTCGTAGGTGATGGTGTCGTCGTCTGCAGTGGCTGACTGTAGCGACAATGTGTTCTTCTTCCCCAGTCCTGCGAAAGGGTTCACAGTCACGGGCGCTGAGGCTGAAGCTGGTGTAGGTGTCTCTTCCTTGATATCCCTCTCTTGCTTGACATGTTCCGGTAGTGCTGGTGCTGCTTCGGGAGCTGCAGTTGTCGTTGCTGACTTGGAAGGCGAAGAGGCTGGAGCTTGTGATGCTCGGTCTTGTTCGTCCCATTCTGCCTGCAGCTTCCTAGCCAGCGCCTCATCGGAGAGAACGTCGTGATCGAGGTCATCGTTNTTCGAGTCTGCTGTTGGCGCTTTGTATGTCGCTTCTTCCTTAGGTTGCTGTTTTGCTTGTGCTTGCTTCCCAAAGAAGTAGTCGAGGCCTCGTACCGGTTGCCCGTCGTTCTTCTTGCGTCGCTTAGAAGGTGTCGACATTTCTTCTAGTTCATTTGGTATTTGATGATAGAGAAGGAGTTTCCACTCAATCGCGACAAAGACACGGCCGACGAATGACGCGTTAATGGGTTTCGACATTGACGTCATATGGCTTCACATGTCATTTTTGGGGTGAGCTGAGAGACAGCAACAGCGAGCAATGTACATGTGTCTATGTATGTAGGTGGTAAACCTGAGCAGGTTGAGTGAGCACTCGTGCTGTCCTAGGAAGATCTTCCAAGATCCTAGAAAGAATGGTTTCAACAGCGAGGTATCAAAAGTTTGGGCTAGTCCACATGGATTGGCGAGGATGTTCAGAAATCGAAAGAGCTGTAAGCGTTTTTCGAGCATTGTGACTACCACGGCGCTCGCAGCGCTACAATACATGGTAAAGTCAACTATTCTGACAAGCAAGATGTATTTAGAATGCTACATGAAAATTGAGATGGGCTGTGGAAGCTGTAGATGGCGATTGATGGCAGCAGCATATAGTTAGCAGGGCGACCCTGTTCAAGCATGAGATACCAGCCACTCGCATGCAAACACAGGCCAGCGTCTCCGCCAAATGCACTCATCGTCAGATCCAGCACAAGGAGAACGCTTCTGATTGGAGATTTTCAACATAATCACCTTTCTAGACTGCGCTACTCTATACCACAAGGTCCAGCTCTCGGGTCACTGGACATCCGGAATAACAATTGTCGATCTCCTCGACAACCTTTCTTCTACTGAAATTGCCCGTGCCGTAAGTTCACCTGACCTACTCTCGTACAATTAAGAGACGATTGTATCTCCTTTATCCATAGGTAGTTCTCCCACAAGTAGATTGTTGTTGTTATGATGTCGTTTTCATCTCCACGAAAATCTGCCGTCATGCATAAAACTGTATGCAAGCTCACCGTTGTACGTTTTCAGCATCTCNTGGTCCCGTGCTTCCGTTCCTGCAGCTGTTGGGCTGTACCTGCAGCAAAATTTTTGTCATCAACGTGTTCCGCGGTCTTGACCATGTTGAAGGATATTTTTGACATGTAAGCATGTGTCGTGTGTCCTGACACAGTCGAGACGAGGCGGAAGTGAGGTNGATATCCCGTTCTTTAGGATCGGCACAGCCATGTTGTGTACAGTAATAACACGGGANACTCGGCCGGGTTTTGCAAAGAGGAGCAATACGAGCAAGAGATGGCCTTGGCTGCTAAGCTGCAGCACCGTTGTCACNAGGTGGAGGCTGTTGTCANNTCTTTTCTCTGCGGTGATGACTAGATGTTGCGATGAGATCTGTATAATGGCTCGGAAGCGGATCGATCGCGCGTTGCTGTTGCGACATCTGCGAGACCACAAATGGTGGAGTCTCTGCAACAGTTTTGCTAGAGTGGAGCTACCATGTAGGTCGCCGCGCAGTGAGCATTCATCAACGATGGCTGTTGCGTTAGGAAAAAGTGCACTTGAGAGAAGGGCTCCTGGTCACGAAGTCTGCCTGGCTTGATAAGAAAAGGCAATTGTGTTGGCTTGTAGTGAAGATTGAAGAAATGTTTCATCTGGAACGCGGTGTCGAGTACATTGCAAGAATGTCTCGAAGAATTACAATGGCGCTGAAGTCAGCAGTGTCTCGCATTGAATTGCTTTTGCGAGCCATAGAGGAAGTCCCACTGATCAAAGGCGAAATCCTTTCGGCAATTGTGAACTGAGTGACTGAGGACTTGTAGTGACAAATGCACGACCCTGCGATATTGTCTAGTAGTACAATATTTGAATCGTGTCGCAAGCTACTGAAGTGAAAACGATGGAGCTGAATGGAGTCCAGAAGTGCATGTTGAGACGAGCTGCGTGCGGAGAAGAATATGGCACCCCCAACAAGAACGCTGGGTGGGGTATGACCAGCTCCAACTCTATAGGTCGTATACACTACTCTATAACGCCTAGTCAAATAGGTCGAGACTGCTGGCGCGGTGATCAGCCCCAGTATCTTGTCCCTCTATGGAATAAGTCAGCTCAAAGAGGAAGGCGTGAATTGGCTAATTCCTCATGTGTTGGCCGCCGCGTGTAGACGTTCCAGGGCGACCGTTCTCGTGTCTCAGCCGAGTGAAAGATTTGATCGAACCGGAGAAGAAGAACGAAGGATTTTGAGGTATCAAGACATGCTTCTGAGATGTTGTTGCAGCTGTATTGCATGCGACAGATTCCGAACTCAGTGAGAAGTCTAGAAGACGAGCGAGAAAGACATGCTTGGCTACTCAAGGGAACCCGTGGTTGAAGGCTCTAGATGGCAACTATTTTGCAGCAGCTGGTGTACAAGGCATAGGAATGTCCTCCGCGAGGCAGAGAGACCAACCACTTGCGGCCAATATGAATACTTGTTGAAAAGGTGAGATTCGTCGTGCGATGAGAAAGATGCAGTCGCAGACAAGGTGTAAACGAGCAAGCGGCTTTGGTTGAGTGAGACAACCGAAACGGAAGTCTTCGAAAGGTGTTTCTCTTCCCTTTTCCGTCACCATTGATCCTTGACCGATAAGATGTGAGATGTGGAGTGGGTCGAGAAGCAATAAACCTACAGATTTGTACCAATCGGTCACCATGGTGCGATGAAGTACGCTGGAGAAGCGGAGATCCGAACTCTCAGATAGCGAGACTCGAGCTGTACTCGAGATGTACCTACTTGGCCTTCCTCTATTGTCTAGCCTCGATGTGTTGTCGACAGCGCATTCGCCAGACATACTCCCTCGGTGAAACCTTGAGGAACCCAGAGAGCTGCTGTCAAGAGGTAACGAACGACAAGTGCAGAGTTCGAACTTCGGGCTGAAGAGCTGAACAATGGCGTTCGGAGAATAAAGGCAAAACGAACATCAATTCATCCGCGAGCCTAGGTACGCTCGTGTGGAACTGCTGAATGTTCACCGTGGCCTAGCCGTATGATGACAACGTCTATTGTTCTTGGTCATGCAGGTTGGCGCAGCTCGACCGCTCCGAGTCAACACTCTCCAAGAACGCAGGTTCCGCCTGGTCGCACAGGGAGACTCTGGAGTGCAGTTTATTTACCGTCAGCAACGGCCAACGTCAAGGCTGTTGATCCCGTGGTCTCAGACCAGGCATTTTGTTGCGACGACGACCTGGCGGCCTGAGAGCAGCGAAGAGATGCGAAGACAACTCGTGTTTTCACAAGGCGGATTTCGGAACATTTTGAAGCTGTCCCGTCTTCTCTGCATGAAGAAGAAAGTCTGCTCAGCGGAGTCTCTCCACTGCGCATGCACGAAGACGCACCAGAAGCTCTGCAAGGTTGGCACGTTCGCTTCAAAAGTCCGAGTGGCTTGGGGGAGGTTCAGGAACAGGACGCGCTAAAGGCCTTGGGCAATTTCGGGAAGCCTCCGCTTGGGCTTGGTCCAGGCTACATCGAGTTAGCCGTGATCCATACTTTGATTATGTACCAAACGGCCATCCGTCGGCCGTTTCTGCCATCGATAGTCGAGCGTGGACCTCGCCCTCGTCTCTTGGTGTTTCTCTGTGCAATTATATGAAGCCGCTGCCTTGCCAGGTCGACACTCGTTTTTGCTCACAGGTCATCCACATTCTTTAACCCAGCAGTCTCTACCAACCCCCCGGGAGGAATTCTATCGTGCGCTTCGGGACAGCTGCCACATTCTTTTGAACATCAACAAACACACAGAGCAACTCCTTGCGTCAGTCAATTTCGAGACAATCTATTCTACGCCTTCGTCTTTGTTTAGGATCATATTTCGTAAGTTTCACACTTCGCCTCTTTCCACTATCGAGCACCGACCAGGTAGTTGGCTCGTGGCCTCGAGCTTCAATTCAAGGCTTCTCTCGAGGCTTCAAAACTTCTCTCTCCGCCATTTTCTCGGAATTGAACATCCTCCACACACTCGTTTGATACACAATCGCTGACACCGCTGGCCGGCCAGACTAAACTATCATTACCTCAAACTATTCATCATGATGAGAACCGGTGTTGCTGCTCTCGGCGCTCTGTCGCTGATCAACCTTGCTTCTGCTAAGCCTTCTGGTCACCACCGTAAGTCCATCAATTGAAGCTGATCCAATGGCACAGTATCCCTGACATGATCCCAGGTCNGTCACCAGCAGCTTCACGAGAAGCGTCAGGAGGTTGTCTACGAGACCGACTACACCTACGTGACCACCCAGCTTCCCGACGTTGTCGTCTTCGTTGACGAGAACGGCGCTCCTTACTCTACTTCCACTGAGGGCCAGGCCCCTGCAACCTCTGCCGCTGCCACCGTCGTTGCTTCCGTTGCCCCTGTCTACACTCAGGCCGCTGCCCAGCCCGCCTACTCTGAGGCTGCTTCTTCCTCCACCGAGGTCTACGTCGCCCCCAGCCCTACCACTTTCGCCTCTGTCTACAAGGCTTCCAGCTCTGAGGCTGCCTCTACCACTCAGGCCCCTACCCTCTCTTCAGCCGCTGCTTACAGCTCTGCTGCTTCATCCTCTAAGGCTCCTGCTTCTTCTCCTGCTGCCTCCAACGGCAGCGGTCCCCAGGGCTATGGTATTGTCTACTCTCCTTACACCGACAGCGGTGACTGCAAGTCCCAGGACCAGGTCATGGGCGACTTTGCTAAGATCATGTCTTACGCTCAGAGCAACGGCGACAGCTACGACTTCGTTCGTACTTACGGTGTCGACTGCAACCAGGTCTCCACTGTCCACGCCGCTTGTGAGAAGTACGACCTGAAGATGTTCGCTGGTGTTTACAATGTCAACGATGACTCGGCTCTTCGCGGCGACCTGAAGATCCTTACTGATGCCGTCACCAAGACCATGGGTGGAGACTGGTCCAGATTCATCACCATCTCCATCGGTAACGAGGTTGTCAACAAGGGCGAACTCTCCCCCTCCGATGTTGGTGACCGTGTCTCCACTGCTAGATCCGTTCTCTCCGCTGCTGGCTACTCTGGAAAGATTGTTGCTGTTGACACTCTCGTTGCCATGGTCGCCCACCCTGAGCTCTGCGACCACTCTGACTACATCGCTGTCAACTCTCACCCCTTCTTCGATGGTTCCGTCCTTCCCGAGAACACTGGCGAGTGGCTGCTCAAGGGTATGCAGGAGGTTTCCAGCGTCTGTGGTGGCAAGGAGACCTGGATCACCGAGACTGGCTGGCCCACTCAGGGTAACACCAACGGTGTCGCCGTTCCCAGCGTCCAGAACCAGAAGTCCACCATCTCTTCCATGAAGTCTGCCGTCTCTTCCAACATTGTCTGGTTCACCGCCTTCAACGACATGTGGAAGCCCAACACCNCTGCCACCTTCAACGCCGAGCAGTACTGGGGCATGTGCAACTAAGACTGTACAAAGTGCTTAGGAAAATTTCGTACGAGTCATGGTTATCTTTTCTTTGGGCACGCATTTTTGTGGAGTTCCGACTTAAACTTTCTTCTATTCTATTACCACGAAGATCAAATCCGTGTATCTTTTTCTTCTGTTCTTTGAGCAATCTTTCTCCAGATTCATGTTGATGATTTTGGCAGTGTGTTTGCGGGTCTACACTTCTTTGTACATAGCATTTGACGATGTCCTACCGGAGGAATTTATGAGTTTTACCTTGTTCAAGATTCTTCCTCCCTTGATGGTGTTTTCAATGACGATGAGTTTCTCAAGAAGAAGGCAATCGTTCTTTCTTTCTGGAATTCGACCGCGTGACGTCGGTCTTACCATAACCCCGCAGAGCATCAACATCAGCTAAGTACCTCCAGTACTAGGTAGGTAAGTCGATACACTCGCACCTGCCATCTCCCAACCTTGAACGCCGATCTCCACGGATTCCAAAGTATCCTTAGTATCTCCTCGACCATCAAGCTGTCTTCCATCTCCAAGTCTTCAAGGAGGGTCTTATCGGCAGCCAGCCCTCTATACACAGGAAAAGCTACTTCTGCACTTCTGCATCGTCAGATCAGTATGGCCTGGCGCAGCCATGGCTCAACCAATGACGAGATGGTTGATGCTCTGTACCGAAACGGCATCATCAAATCCGATAGGGTGAAACAAGCCATGAAAAATGTAAGCATCTGAACCACAGCTAGTTGGATCCCTACTGAGCATGACGCAAGGNTCGACCGTGGACACTATGCTCCAAAATCACCATATCAGGACCATCCACAATCGATCGGACATGAAGCAACCATATCCGCGCCTCATATGCATGCTCACGCCTGCGAAGCTGTACTTGAATTCTTACGGCCTGGAGCTCAGGTGTTGGACGTCGGATCTGGCTCTGGGTATTTGACTCACGTCCTTGCCGAGCTGGTGAAGCCTGGAGGTACCGTTGTTGGTGTTGAGCACATCCAGCCGCTAGTAGACCTCGCACAGAAGAATACTGCAAAGAGTGTTACAGGTCGTGAGCTACTTACTAGCGGTAGTATCACATACGTGAAGGGCGACGGAAGGAAGGGATGGACAGGAAAAGGTGGCGAAGTGGGCTACGATGTCATACACGTGGGCGCCGCAGCAGTTGGTTTCCATCAAGAGCTCATTGATCAGCTCAAACGTCCGGGAAGGTGAGTGCTCTTCGCGACTCTGACAGCTGCTTCATTTGGCAGCCGCTGCGACCAAGCGTGTACAACGTCCATGCAGCGAAAGTTTGATACTGACGAGACGANNGGTAGACTTTTCATACCTGTCGGAGAGCATGGCGACCAGTACATCTATGTTGTCGACAAGAAAGAAGACGGCTCTGTCGAGAAGAAAAGGCTCTACGGAGTCCGATATGTACCTCTAACAGACGCACCACCGGAGTAACGTACGGGTTGTTTGCACAACAACAGATCATCGTCAGCAGCGTCAACTCGCTACAAAGTCTGACAGTAAAGTGAGGGCCTCGAACTCACAAGTCATTGATCCAGATTCCTAGCACCAACTATCTCTAATTACACGCTTTGACCAATCTGACACGTTCATTCTCGGCTCCTACGAGCTGACCTGTCATCTCCTTCGATTTCTCTCTGATCTCTTCCAATGTCTCCATATCGAACTCAGTATCTTCCCACCCTTGCAACACCTGGAAAGAATATGGGAGGACGGACGACTTCCACAAAACAGTTCTTCGGTTTTGTAACAAAGTCATGAGCAATACGACACCGGCGCTTATGACTGCTACAGCTGGTAGCGCAAGCCACGCCCATTCGACATGGATGAAGGCGACAGACTCCCATGCCGTACCCATCGCTGGTGAGTTCTGATATTGCCTCCATACATTCGTCAAGCTGATAGCCATTCGATCAGCGAGCTCTGTAATGTTCGAATTGATGATCAAAGCATCACCCAAACCCGCTGAGGACTCATTGGAACCGGAAAGATAACTGTAAGTGGAGGACTTGAGGATAGTTCCTAGATGAGTGTTCATCTCAGCGTTCGCATCTCCATACACAATGAATGTGTCGTTGTGCTTGTCACTTGGAAAGCCAGTACCATTGGCTCGGAAGGTGTAGTTGCTATACGACATACTCGCAGGTGCTCCGTGGCCAGTCTGATGCAGCTCTATCGAGTCATAACCCAGAACATACTTGTGTAGCTGGCCATCGCTGAAGTTTTGACCTTGCGCAGTTGAGTTCTCATACACCCACGCGCAATAGTTCAGTGTACAAGTGGTGAGTTGTGGACGATCCCAGGTATCGTTTGTCACAATGACACTGAAGTTCAAAGCAACTGCAGGTTGGCCTTTGTAGTAGAATCCTTCATCGCTCCAGGTCATAATGTCAATCGCAGTGTCGTATTCCCAAGCAGAGGCATTGTTCGCATCGGGAATTTCTGGAACATGGCCGGTTGAATTCCTTTGTCTGATCGTGGTGAGGTTTCGACTACCCCAGTGGAGGCTGCCACCATCTCCAACGTAATTGCACACCAGTGTTGTTTCGTTGTATGTCCTATAGTGGTATTCGCCATTCATGAGATATCTGCTAGGGTGTTCGGTAATCTTGATCTCGCATTCCCTCGGTGTATCGCTGATGTCACGACAACTCGAACACAGTCCAAGAGTGACATGACTGTCCCAGGAGCATGAAGATGCAGTACAATCGAATGGTGATTCTGTGGTTTTGCCGTAGATGCTTTCCATCAAGCCGAGTCTTGACTTCAGCAGACGGTCAGACAATCTCGCATTTCCGCCCCAATACGGCATCTGCAGCATGTTCTGGATCACCGGAAATGACGCAGTCTCGTTAGCAACTGCAACTCTTCTCTCGGGGAAACTCAGCAACTGTTGGCCGAAAGTTTCCATGGCCAGCACCATGACTGTCACTGCGCAACCCAACGTGACGGCAATATTCAGGTATCCACTTCTACTCATCAGCAAACACAGACTACCATAAGCCCCTCTGCTCGCATCATCAAAACCCTCCAGGTCTTTGATTCTTCGAGGTTTCGATTGGAAGTGTGTCCATTTCAACTGCGAAACACAACTCGCTGTACTAATCATCAAAGCCGCTTTTGACGAAACAATCAACACGGAGATGACCGCGTTAGGCTGGATAGCCCAATGCCAGATAGACAGCCTTTTACCATCAATCCAAGCCATGATGACAGCAACAGCGATAAGACAAGCGAGAGAGAAAATCATGGCCCAGGTTTCTTGTTGCCAGGACAGGTACCAAGGATTATGGCGGTAAAGATTCCAGGTCGCCGTGGGGGACATGAAGAATGATGGAACTGATTTTTTCTCCTTGAGACTCCGGACTTTCGCTGTAGGTTCTGGTTTCGCTTGCTCGGGTTGTTGCTGGGTCAGGGAGTCTAGGGAGTGTGAGGATGAACTCGAGGTCGAGTCGCGTCTAGGGATAGACGTCCATCGTGATGGTGATGCCATGGCGAACCAACACAACCAGTAAAACCAGGGAGAGAGACGAGTGAAAAGACCGACAGAAAGAGAGGAAAAAAGACGGAGATTGAATGAGGCTTCTCGACTTAAATATATTAACACCAAAACTTACGCGCCTCACAGCCCACTACTCAAGCAGCACCTACATGTAACCCATGCGCAAGCCATTCTCTTCGTCAATTGGGTAGCAGATCCATGGAAATGCAGAGCTACATGAGTCGGCAGCTGTGAAGGATCTTCCTTGGCGGCCTTACCTCTAGGGTACGCATGATATGAAACAGACGGGCGCTTTGCAGCTTCTTTTCTTGTCGGCGGCGGCGCTTACAGTCTGCTATGCAGAAAGCGCGTCTATAAGTCTCACCATATTTGAGAGAGTTCACAGAGAACATTGAAGTCAGGCGAACGACATCGACATACAATATCAGGTTTGCAGCCGTAAACATGTGTGGTTGTTAGGTTGCTATATTAAATGGGCGAAAGCGGCCGAGGAGTTTTCCCGTGGTCGTGCTCTTCAAAAGGGACGGTTCGAGATTGTGTTGCCAACAATGTTCCGCGTTGAGATGGTCTTGCATAATTGTGCACTGGGATTAGTGCTCGATGATCATGATGATCATGATCATGATTATGACGTGACATCCATCGAGATCATGACTATCGAGATCTTAGGCGTTCATCATGGCTGCCAACATCTCAGCCACTTATCTACAGATCTGTATAACAAACATTCAACCATTGACTGAACATTCTGGTCATCGCTGTGAGTCAAGACCCATCTTCTTATGTGGTAAGCAGATGGAAAGATAACCTGTCCCGCTGCCAAGATCTCTTATCCTCCAGTCTCCATCTTTGACCTACCTTATCTTGTCGATCACGGACGAACATCTGCAAATACTTCCCTTACATTCGTTCTTGAGCTTCCGAACTCGGTATGCCTGTCAATACTGCGCCCTAGATGCCTTGATGGTCAGAGATAGGCGGATCGGCCAAGACCCGGGCATCGCTTGTATGCACTTCTAACAGCGTCACTTTGTCAATGGCCAAGCATTATTGATACTACCACTCGGCTGGAATGCTGCAGAAGCGGTATAGATTGACTTGGCATGTCAACAAGAGGCTGGTTTCTGGAGCACTTGAATGTCGCCGACTTCATACTCTGGAGATAGGACTCATCCATTCTCGTGTAGGATTCTGCACGGCGTAACTGTACACCGCAACCATGGCCCGTAGACCCGCAGCCCCAACCGGAGAGTGCAGGCTGCGTAGACTCACAGAGTATTGATGTTGGGACTTGCTGAGAGGGCATGTTCGTGTCGGTGACTTACTGCTGGATATATAATGGTAAGCCGCGACTCGAGTCCTTACTGCAAGTCAACATCTTCTTTCTTTCCTTCCTATAATGTCTATTCGCAAACTCTCGACAGGCGTCTTCGCCTTGTCGACGCTGATACAACATGCTGTTGCTGTTCCTTCAGGTCCTGTCGTCTCTCTCAGGTTTCCTGAGGTGGTAGAAGCAGGTGGTATGCACAATATTCACGTCGACTATCATTCATCTCATGACGGAGAGTTCACAATTGTTTACGGCGACTGCAGCATCAAGTCTACTGAAGATGCTCATCATGTTCTCGGAAGCACTCATATTGGAAACCACAATTTGGCAAAGCGTCATCTGAACTGGCACGAACAGAGACCAACCCGTTTCGTCTGGCTGGCTCCTGAGGATATGTCTAGTGATGGCTGCCTCCATGCTTTCTCTGGGGATGTTCTGCTGGGAAGATCTGCCCCTGTCAGTGTTGGCCGCAGAAACAACAAGAGACATCTCGCTGCCTCGGAAATCATGGATGCTATGGGGCCTTGGTTCGATGGTGTCACATATCTCAAGGAAAAGGAGCCCGAGTCAGTGTTCGTTGCTCAAACCAAGAGCAAGTCTGTCGGCATTCTAGGTGGTGGTATGTCGGGCCTGATGACGGCGCACATTCTAGACTCTGTTGGTTTCCATGACTGGCAGATCATCGAGGCTTCATCGCGTATCGGAGGTCGTGTGCATACATCTTACCTCAACGCTACCAAGCCTGACCAATACCAATACCAGGAGATGGGTCCTATGCGTTTCCCCGTCAGCCTTTCTATGGACAATGAGACCATTGAGATCAACGATCATAAGATGGTCTTCCAGCTTGCCGACGAATTAAACAAACAAAACCAACATGACCCTGCCTATGAAGTCAAGTTTATTCCATGGATTCAGAGTGCTCTTAACGATCCTTCCAGCACGACCAAGAGAAAGTCTGATGGTACTGTTCCTGGCGTTGCGGAGGTTAAGGAGAATCCATCTCTCGCAGTCAACACCACTGCTACCTACAGCAATGCAACTGCTGTAACTGAAGCAACCGAAGAGTATGAGAATTGGCTCGGCATGGATACCGAGAAGACTCGTCTTTACGCAACCAATGTCTTCAAGGCACACAAGCAAGCCGTTGCCGAAGGCTTCCTGGACTTCTCTGAATCTGGCTATCTTCGTTACAAGATGGGCCAGGACAACAACATTACCGATCAGATCGACTCTGTGGCCGATAACCTTCCAGCATGGCCTTATGAGGACGTGTACTTTGAAGCAACAGAATGGCGCACAATTGACCAAGGTCTGAGTCGTCTGCCTGCAGCCTTCGGTCCTCAAGTCCTGAACCGCACTCGCTTCCAAACTGCTGTACAGGCCATGACCTGGAACGAGACTTCAGAGAAGATGTCCGTCCACTCCCGTCCTGGAAATCCCTTCGACATGGAGACCGAGACCATCGATTTCGACTACACAATTGTCGCAGTGCCATTCTCAAAGGTTAGACTCTGGCGTCTGCCTGACTACTCAAGCCTACTCAGTCGCGCAATCTCCAGACTAAACTACTCTCCCGCCTGTAAAGTTGCTCTTCACTACAAGACACGCTTCTGGGAACACCTACCTCGCCCTATCATCGGCGGCTGCGGATCAGGCGGCGGCATTGCAGGAATCGGAAGTGTATGCTACCCGTCCTACCAGCTCAACAGCAGCGGACCAGGCGTGATTCTCGCCTCCTACCTCAGCGGCGACATGGCCAAATCACTCGGCGCCATGACTGAAGAAGACCACGTCGCCTACGTCCAACGCGCCATGATCGAGATCCACGGGCCCATCGCAGCTGAACAATACACCGGTGCCTACGACAGAAAGTGCTGGCTAAACGACGAATACCAAGCCGGTGCTTGGGCCTCTCCCACCGCGTTACAGCAGGATTTGTACTTGCCTGCGTATTTCCAGACGGAAAAGCATACGGTGTTTGTGGGTGAGCATACGAGTTACACGCATGCGTGGATTTTCAGTGCGTTGGAGAGTGCGGTGAGAGGAACTACGCAGTTGCTCTTGGATATGGGGCTTGTAGATGAGGCTAAGCAGGTTACTGAATTTTGGATGGCGAGGTGGATTAGCATGTAGAGGGAAAAGAGTCTTTTCCATGACATTTAAGCGAACATGGATGGTTAGAACATTGCCAGAATTTGTAGTCAGGATACCACAAAAGTCGACATGCTTTTCGCTGTTTCCGACGTTACCCTTCGCAGAACCATCAAGACAGGTGCCTTCGTTGACGAGGACGCGATGACCAAGCTCTTCCACGAGAAAGGCAAGACTAAGGTCATAATCATCGAAGACGATAAGGATATCGATGAGGACGAGACCGAGGATGAGGACGAGGACATGGCTGATATTGATGGTCCACCTTGTAGAAGGAAAACGGATCAGGATTGGAGGTTGAGATTGCTGATTGATGATCGCGACGGCTATTTGACGGCGATGGCGACGTAAGGAAGTAGGACATCATACTGCTGACGGATGCCCTTTTCTAGGCTTAAGGGAAAGTTTGTGCTGATAATGCTGGGCTGTTTCTTGTGCAAGTACATTAAAAATAAACAGTCTTGGGTCCTCAGTAATAGCCAGTTAATGTAATGTTTGTTACCTAGGAGGAAGGAAGGATCAAGCTGGCTGTCCAACTCTAGACAAAGACAATGATATTGTTAACATCATGGTTAGCAACAAAGGCGCCACAGTGAATACAGCTTCTTGTACCATGAACCGCCTTGCATCACCGTCGAATTTGTGAAAGAACATCAAGTAGTAGTCGGAAGTCAAGCTCACATACTTCACCCTTGGCGACAATGTTCAGTGGCAACAACTTTTCTAAGCAGGGTTGAAGAGAGTTCAAAAGAGATAAAATTAAGGAGTCAAGGTATTTCCCAAGACACTTCTTTACAAAACCACAACAAGGTATAAAGATAAGAAAAAACATTTATCAACAAATGGTTGGTAATGTACCAATCGACAAAGTCATACAATTCACTGCTCAGAGAGCAGCGAAACCCATGATGGCAAGAAGACCAAGACCAGCGCTGATGGACGAGGCAGCACCAGTGTACGAGGCAGGCTTCGAAGAAGTGGCGGAAGGAACGGTGCCGTTGGTGGTGAGGTTGACAGTGGGGGCTTGGCTGGCAGTGGCAATGGGAGCAACAGGCGAGGCCTTGACAGAAGAGACTGCGCTCGAGATGACCGAGGCAACAGAGGAAGAAGCCATCATGGATGCGCTTGAGACTGCAGAGGAAGAAGAGACCGAAGTGCCGGCGGCGGAAACCGAAGCACCAGCGGCAGAAGCAGCTCCAGCAAGGTTGGGGCAGATCTGGGCAGTAGCAGCGGCAGTCTTGGCCTGGTCCTCAGCTGAGCAGGCACCCTTGGTGCAAGTAGCGATAGAAGAGACGAAGCTCGAGCTGCTGCAAAGGCAGGAAACATCAGTGGCAGTGCAACCAGTGGCGGGAATGGCGCTCAAGGCGCAAGAGACCTGTTGGTTATGTCTTAGCAATGTTGGAAGAGCTAGAATAGAGGTGAGGAAACTTACAGCGCAGCTGGGGAGGAGAGCAGCAAGAGAAGCAGCGTCCTGAGCAGAGCAGGAGCCACCATGGCGGCGGCGGCAAAGGCGACGATAGCAGCAGACTTCATTTTGATAGGTATGTGTATAATATATTGAGAGAAGAGGTATCAAAGAGCGATAGACTTGGGTGAGATTTTGATGTTCTTTTGTGCAAGACAAGAGCGACTGTGAATTGAGATGATGATGAGAGAGAAGAAACAAGAGAGACGAACCAGAGCTGAGCTGGGCGGTATTTGAAGCAGCTAGCTGCTCTCACACCACAGTCACATAGTTGGAAAGGATCGTACCTACTACTGAGTCTATTGACACCACTGTCCTGTTTTGGTGAGTTGGCACAGGTACCCGACCCTAGCGACCTATCTGTACCGTTTTTACAGTTTGCCTTGTCTCCCCCTCAGCTGGAACCTGGAGCAGCCACCGCGGAGCTGACTGACCAAGCTGCATGCGGAAATCGTGTAGACAGAGGAATATAACGTCGACTGTGCGTCGCCTCATCTCCTCCAACTATCGTTTCATCAAACCATGCTAGACGACTCAGTCGAATGGCACATCGCCATTAAGCCCTGTCGTGTTCTACCCCACGCTGGCGTGTTACCCAAAAAGGAAAACGAGTTGCGAGGGCTAAACTGGCGGATAATCCTCGGTACACCCCACTAGACTGACGGCAGCAAACCTACTCGAGCTTCCAGACACCATCCCACGTGCCGGCTTCAGCAGAAGGTTGGCGGGTATTGTGCTGCGCCTGCGGATTGCGCTGTCAATTGCGTTGCGAATTGCGTTGTGGGTTGCGTTTCACCACACGCGGGTCTCTACCAAGATTCATGTCGTCTATTCTTGCAAAGATTGGCTTGACCGCAAGCGCCACTAGCTTTGGTTTCTCACAATGTCGGAGTAGCATTGCTTCTCATCAGTCACTGGTTCGCTTCTTCCACTCATCTCAATTCTGGTACGGTGACAATGCTGCGAACAACGCCAAAAACCGCGAGAGATATGCCAATGATCCAGAGTATCGCAACAGGATGCTTCAGAAGCAGCGTGAGTGGACCCGTGAGAGGAGAGCCAAGGACACAGATTTTGTTGCGAATCGCCGTCAGTCAAACCTTAGATGGATAGCTAAGAAACGACCGGCACATATACAAAACTATATCAACGATCCAGAGTATCGCAAGTCCCAGAAGCACAACCGTCGCAATAGCGAGGCGGTTGTACAGAGAGCAGATCTCAAACGCAAAGCGAACATCAACAACAGTTATCAAAAAAATGCGCTCCTTCACTGGATATTGAAAGCAACGTGGCAATGTCGACTCTTCTGGGAAACACATGAACCATTGATATCTGAAGAGCCCGATGGAACTCCAGGAATATGCTCATCCTGTAATGGTGTCTCCACCCAACGGCTCTGGTGGCGACGGAAGAAGGTTGACGAAAAGTCCGCCGAGAAGATGGGTGACGAGTCCAGTAAACAGGTACTTGACTGCCATAACTGCTTCTGTGACATGGACTGGGAGAAAGCCTTACCTTTGGGCTACAGAGGGCACGTGTTTGGCAGCGGGAAACGCCTGAGAGAGCCAGACTAGGCGAAGTATCCTCCTCCATCAACTTCCTCTTCGCCGTGATCACGGATCATTCACTCGCGCTCCTTGACAATATCTGACCTGTCGGGGTGGAGGCATATCGTCATGTCAGGATCTCATTGTTCGTCTACCTACTTCGTAGACAAAGTTTTGTGTTTGCAAATCATTGAGCGGAATATCCTATGGTCCCTTCTTAGACCAAACTCCATCGAACTCCTCCAATGTCCACAGATGCATCATATCGCATATTCATTTTGTTCTTCTTTTTCCTTCGGTTACCAAATCAAGGCTTGGGGACGTGGAAGGTCTTGCTGATCATAAGGCATCCATGGGCCACAAAGATCAAAGCAGCAGGGTGGAATTCGAGTATCGAGCCCTCAGCAATGACACCGAAGGGGNNGATTTGATCGTGGATCCAGCCCTGGCTGACCCAGTAGGAAATGACGGCGACGATGCCGAGCGAGGTAGGAGTTGGGAGACCCTCAAAGTACTTGGCCTTGCCATTGGCATCTTTGGGTACGCTGTCGGTGGTGATGTTGAAACGAGCAAGACGGAGGAGACCACAGAGGGCGAAGGAGGTGAGGAGGAAGTGGTCAAGAGGGGTTCGCATGCCAATTGCGACGGATGCGATGGCAGGAGAAACACAGAAAGAGATCTGTATTGTTATTGTGGTCAGCAAATGTCTCCAAACCCGCCATACAGAGTAGTAGCATACCAGATCAGCCAGCGAATCGAGCTCCTGGCCCATGAGCGAGCTCTTCTTTCTCCAGCGAGCGACCTTGCCATCCATGAAGTCGAAGAATAGACCGAAAGGCATGAAGGCCAGAGCAGCCCAGAGATTGCCAAGATCGTTGGGGTTACCCATGCAGTAACGGAGGGAGGACATGACAGAGTTGATACCACAGAAGCCTNNGTGATACATGATTAGTATCAGGAGCAGTGCCAACAGTAGCAAATAGGTCGTACCGTTTAGGAGGGTGATCAGGTCGGCAAGGTGCATTGCACGGATCATGGAGAAATGACCAGGGTCAGACTCCTCCAACAGACGCTTTTGCTTGTCCATNGGCTGTCTCTCGGTCAGCATTTGCTTGTATACCGTCATTTCCAGCAAGGACATACGAGGACTGGCGGTGACTTCTTTTGCGGCGTCGGTCGACGCGTTCACTCTGCGAGACATGGCGAATTGAGTGCTGAGGATGCTTGAGAGTGAGTGAAATCTCAAGACCAGANNGGTTGTTAGGAGTAAGGGAGGTAGTAGAGGTTGAAGTTTCGAGGATACACAAGGGAAAGCAGGTTTNAACTCAGACGCGGCGTTTGCTTGAATCTGGCCTGCGTCATTTGGACAAGCCACAAAAGGGACCACTTGCACCGCCACGGCTGCTGCTTACAGCCACACTCCAACATGTGACAAGCTCTCACCAGTACCTAAAGTATTCTGGACAGCACCTCTCACTAAACACATTACATCTAAAGCGATTCGCATCTCTACAGCACACATGTAACGAATTTCCTCTTTAGAGCCTGAAATACCTTGTATACCCTGCCGTCTGGTATTGTTTGGCTCCTTACAGGTTTTTTGTGCACATGTTGCATTAAGGGAAAACACGATAGTCTAGTATGTCAAGCACGTAGTGCGGCTATAAAATATCAGCCAACAGACCTTGTGTCTATCTACCTATGCTATCAGTTGAACATGGTCCTTGTGCATGTATACCATAGTGTGGCCTACCCACGTGCTTTGTCTTCTACTTGTGGATTGCATTGATACACCATACTCTGTATCAGGATGACTTCCCATGAGATATCATGAACACCTCTCAATTCTATTGAAAGGAGATCGCCAGTATTCTCAGTATCGTCAGAATAAATGAAGTTGAAATGATTTTTTGCTTCTCTTCTCTGTATTCAATAGTCCTGTACAGCGTAAAACATGAGAATGAACTGCCTCTTTTCGAAACAATGCCTCCTTGTGAACCATTTCCCAAGCCGTCCAAGGCTTCTGAACTCCGTGACGCCGCTGCCTGTTTACGCCCACATGCTCTTGCACTTTTTATCGTGTCAAGATGGCTACACTTAGTAACCACCGCGACCACGGCCACCACGGCTTCCACCACGTCCTCCGAAACCTCCAGAACCTCCACGGGACTGGAAACCGCCTCTTGAACCGCCGCGAGCACCACCACGGCCACCAAAGCTTGAACCACCACGGCCACCGAATCCGCCTCTTGATCCACCGCGAGGACCGCCGCGTCCGGCGAATCCACCACGGGCACCGCCACGGCCAGCGGGCTTCTTGACCTTAGGAGCACCGGGAGCGGGCTTGGGCTTGGGCAAGAATCTAGAGAAGGTGTTAGGGTTGAGTCACAGCAAGTCTGGCGCGAGGGAATGTACCTCTCGAGGGGGAAGGAGCTTGTCGCCGCCAATGTAGAACTTGTCGCCGTTCTTGAAGGAAGTTGCGACGATACCCTCCTGGGGCTTGATGGTGAAGTAGACCTGGTTGATGGGGCCGAGGATCTCGTCGACCTTGCCGACAGCAGTCTTGTTCTCAAGGTAGATAGGGGCGTTGAAGTAGGGGATCTTTGTGTTGGTCGAAGTGCAGACCATCTCGCCCTCGGAAGCGTGCATGAAAGTGCCCATCTCGTAGACCTGGTCGGGAGGACCCTGGGGAGCGAAACCGCCGCGACCTGCGCAAACCAGAATTGTCAGTCATGACTGCTCCTTGTATTCTCCAGCATATAGATCTCAATGCGCACCTCCACGGGATCCACCGAAACCACCACCGCCGCGTCCACCTCTGAAGCCACCACCACCGCGGAAAGACATTTTTTCTGGTCGGAGTTTGTCGAGTTTACGAAGCGATACGGGACAACCGGTGCGATATTGACCGGAAGATTTGGCGAGTTATAGAAAGCTGTCGGCGAAAAGACAGCGATCAGAAAAGTACAAGTTGGCGTTTAGACGGCGAGAGACACGGCGCGAGAATTGTGCTAGAGTCGATGAAGCTTGAGATTTTGCGCCAAGCCATGAATTTTGGAGGGGACGGAAGTCGCCGCCAGCGCAGGTCGCTCCTGCCCTGCGGTCACGCTAAACAGCGACCGAAGTTGCGCGGTATCAGAGCTAGCTGTGACTGTTTTCTGTATATGCTGTCTAGCTGCTGTCGTTACAAGAGGCTTCCCATTTCCTCTGCTCCGACCCGCTATCTCGTCACATCGCATACGCGCAATTCTCGTTCGACCTTTTCAATCATCAAATCACCTCCGCCCGCACTTTTACAGCTTTTTACCCCGCCGCCTGTAATCGCACAATGGACGCCGTCAAGGGAGCCGTCGATGGCGTGAAGGATGCTGTCGAGGGTGTTAAGAACATGGCCGTCAGCGAGGCCCAACAACAACAGTCCCAGCAGAAGAAGCAGCAAAAGAAGGACAAGAAGAAGGGTGCACAGGAAGAGGGTGATGCCCGTCCCCTGGAGATGACCCCTCCCCCATCATACATCGACGACCGCAACAAGATCTTCGACAGAGTCAAGGCCGAGTACGACCAATGGGTTGCCCAACAGCCTCGCGACGACATCAACATCACCATGCCCGATGGTAACGTCCGTGTCGGCAAGGCTTGGGAGACCAGCCCTGCTGAGATCACCCGTGGTATCAGCAAGTCCCTGTTCGAGCGTACCGTCATCGCAAAGGTTGATGGCGAGCTGTGGGACATGGACCGTCCTCTGGAGAAGAGCTGCAAGCTGGAATTGCTCGACTTTGAACACCCCGAAGGAAAGAAGGTCTTCTGGCACTCGAGTGCTCACGTCCTGGGTGAGGCTTGCGAGAGAAGATTTGGCTGCAGCTTGTGCATTGGTCCTCCCGTCGACGATGGTTTCTACTACGAGATGGCTCTGCCCAACCAGGAGCCCATCCTAGAGTCTGACTGGAAGCCTCTGGAGAAGGTCGCCGAGAAGGCTATCAAGGAGAAGCAGACCTTCGAGCGTCTCACTCTGAAGAAGGAGGACTTGCTTGAGATGTTCAAGTACAACAAGTACAAGCAGCACATTATCCAGGACAAGATCCCCGATGGCACCAGCACCACCGTCTACCGTTGCGGTCCCCTGATCGATCTGTGCAGAGGTCCTCACATTCCCCACACTGGCAGAATCAAGGCCTTCCAGATCATGAAGGTACGTTGTTGCGCATACCAAAAGAGCTAAATCACAAACACTGACATTTCGACAGNNAACTCTGCCTCCTACTTCCTTGGTGACGCCAAGAACGACTCTCTCCAACGTATCTATGGTGTCTCTTTCCCCGACAAGGCCATGATGGTCGAGCACAAGAAGTACCTCGAAGAGGCTGCCAAGCGTGACCACCGCAAGATCGGTAAGGAGCAAGAGCTCTTCTTCTTCCACGATATGTCGCCTGGTTCATGCTTCTTCCTTCCCCACGGTATGATCATCTACAACGCCCTCCAGAGCTTCCTCCGCAACGAGTACTGGAGCCGCGGTTACCAAGAAGTCATGTCCCCCAACATGTACAACTCTGCTCTCTGGAAGCAGTCTGGCCACTGGCAACACTACAAGGATGACATGTTCACTTTCGAGGTTGAGAAGGATCAGTGGGCCTTGAAGCCCATGAACTGCCCTGGTCACTGCTTGCTCTTCTCCCATCGTGAGCGCAGTTACAGAGAGCTCCCCATGAGAATTGCCGACTTCGGTGTCCTCCACCGTAACGAGGCTTCTGGTGCTCTCACCGGTCTTACTAGAGTTCGTCGTTTCCAGCAGGACGATACTCACATCTTCTGTACCGAAGACCAGGTCGAGTCTGAGATTCTTGGTCTCTTCGACTTCCTCCGTACCGTCTATGGTAAGTTCGGTTTCACCTTCAAGATGAAGCTCTCTACCCGCCCTGAGGGCCATCTCGGTGATGTCGCCACCTGGGACAAGGCCGAGGCTCAGCTCACCAAGGCCCTTGACCAGTTCGTCGCTGGTGGCGGTTCTCAGTGGGAGCTCAACCCTGGTGATGGTGCCTTCTACGGTCCTAAGATCGATATCACCATCTCAGACGCGCTCAAGCGTGAGTTCCAGTGCGCCACCATTCAGCTCGACTTCCAGCTTCCTCAACAATTCAACCTCGAGTACCGCAGTGCCGAGGCTGGTGAGGCTAAGACCAAGGGTGAAGAGGTCAAGGAGGCTCCTGTCCTCGAGCAGAAGGCTGCTGAGGCTGCTCCTGCTGCCGAGGGCGAGAAGGGTGAGAAGAGCGCTGCCAGCTACCGCCGCGAGTTGACTCCCGGCTGCCAGCGCCCTGTCATGATCCACCGTGCTATTTACGGTTCATTCGAGCGTTTCATTGCCATTCTCACCGAGCACTTTGCCGGCAAGTGGCCATTCTGGCTCTCTCCCCGCCAGATCCTCATCGTTCCCGTCATGCCTGCTGTCAACGACTACGTCGAGGAGCTGCAGACTCTGTTCCGCAGCAAGGGCATGCACGCTGACATTGATATCACTGGCAACACTATGCAAAAGAAGATCCGTACTGGTCAACTCGCCCAATACAACTTTATCTTCGTTGTCGGTGCCCAAGAGAAGGAGTCTCGCACCGTCAACATCAGAAACAGAGATGACCCTGAGACTCAAAAGTTGGGTGAGCTCATTCCTCTCGATGTCGCCGTTGAGAAGATGGAGGCATTGAGAGATGAGAGAANNAAGCTCAAGACTGAGCTGTAAAGGGGCATTTGACGAAGATTTCATGGCGTTGACACGGACATAAAAAGGATACCATCGCTGAGACATTGTTTGGAGCGTACTGTATCTATGATTGGTAGGTAGAATTACTATCAACACGCATCTTTTTGACTTACTATTCTTCCTGTGCCTTTATTCATGGTCAGAACTGATGAGCTGACTGTAGATTCATGACTGTAATCGAACGACAGACTAGATTGTGACTATCCTCCCCATGTGCTAAAGACAGTCGCAGTTGTAGCTGCCGAAATACACAATAGTCTCGCGAAAACTATGGTCTCCATTGAGAGAACTTTGATGAAGGTTATGTCGATGGACAGACTTGTATTCGATCAAAAGTGTGCTGTGGCCCTGTGGTCGCCGTGCGATAACTGAGGCAGTATCATCCTTCCTACCCATGTACGAAAGACAAGTTGTAGCTGCCAAAATGCACAGTCTTGACCCAGATACAAGTCTGTCCACTGAGAGAGCCTTCGATGAGACTCTCTCTATGGAAACTGCATCCTTTACGAAAGTATTGTGTATTTCGGCAGCTGGAACACTCAACGCTGCGTCGAAGTCGAGAGCACTTTCCCTCTCGCTCACTTGCCATTGAAACAAGCACAACGCAGCGTCCTCACTGTCACATGTATGTCTCACCACTTTGCAAACGGAAGGTCCAACACGGCGTCTTCCGCACCTCTTTCTCCTCTCTTGTTTATAAACCTTCCAGACCAACTTTTGACCATCAACAAGACATCCACATCGAACTCTCAACCCATCCACACTCAAAGTCATATCAACACCTTCACTACTCATCTACCATCAACAACCAAACAACCGCCAACATGAGCACCGACTTCGGACGCAAAGTTTGTCTCTTCATCCGTTGATCCATCATCACATCACTGACATCCATCTAGGATCTGTCTGACAAGGTCGGAGCCAACCTATCTCCGGTGCCCACGCACATCACTGACACACTCACAGATCGAGGAGAAGATCACCCCTCAGTCTGCCAAGGGCCCTATCGATGTCACCAAGGAGCATGCCACTGGCCACGCCGACCACATCGCTAGGTTCGTCTCCCATCTTTTCCATCATCACACGCTGCTGACATGCATTTCACNNAGAGACCTCAAGACCGACGAGCACAAGTCCACCGGCCAGTCCATGCACGACAAGGTCTCTCGCATGACCAACGCCGACACCACCAGCGCCACCACCACTACTGGTGACCACAAGTCTGTCGTCGACAAGGTCAAGGATGCCATTCCCGGCCTCCACTCTGACAAGCGCTCTGACGCTGCTGAGGTCATGGACCCCAACACCTCCACTACCACTTCCGACTACGTCAACAAGAACATCTGAGTTCACTCACAGTGGTTGCTCTCTCGATGGAACTGTCCTATGAAGCGATGATTCTTTGATGACATGATGATACGATATCGGCGGATACCCCTTTGCTGCTTTATGCACTGCACCTGAGACAGAAATGACATACCTTTGAACCTTCCGTCCATCTTCTTACTCTTGTGACTTGTCTTCTCTTCGTGATGCGTGTTTCGTGGTTTGGTGGCATATCGTGACTCTTCCGCTTCTGTTATTTGCACTTCCATTCTCCCCGGGTGCTGAAGACAGTCACAGTGTAACTGTAGAAATGCACAATGTTTTCGCGAAAACTACAGTCTCCATTGAAAAACCTCAATGAAGATTGTCTCAGTGGCCAGACTAATATTTGAGTTGAGACTGTGCATTTTGACAGCTTATAATAACCCCTATACCTTGAGAGGGAGAAGGGTCGATTGCAAGATTGTGACTTCTTTAGTACACGGCTAGGATGTTGCAATCTTCATGCAAGAACTGCCTCCATCTGTTCTGTTCATTGACGCTCTTTCCTTCAATACAGCACATGGAAATCATCGCCCTTCAGCAGGGACAAGCATCAATCTTCATATGTTCAGAATAATGTCTCGGAAAGCAGAAAGCATGCGACCTTTGCGATGCCTTGAACTAACGTTAGATTTATCGAAAATATACGTCCATCCACGAATACGGATTTCTTGATGCAGTAAAAACCCACGAGTTGTTGATCTTCTCCTTCAAAGACCATGCATGATACGTAATCTCTTTTCTTCAGGATGGGGATCGTCACTATATACATTCCAAAAGAAACAAAGAGCATTTGCTCATCGCAAGAGATGCAAAACATATATATACATACATATGAAAACCAGCAGGGACATTTCCAAACAGCTAATTCTCACAACATGATGGAAGAGGTTGCAACAAAGTTGTTCTGCTCTGCTCGCTATAACAATACTTATATATGAGGTAAGGTACCCTTTTTTTTTCTTTTTTTTTTTTGAGCCATGCATGTTGTAAAAGAACAAAACCAAGTAGTCTTCTTCCATATCTAATACAATCCCTAATACAATCCCATGTGTTGGAAAGAGAATTCGACGGACACTAAAAAGACATAAAAAGAAGGCATGTATTTTTTCTATATTGGTTTGCATTTGTCATTTACCCATAGGTAGACGTACTCAGGAGAACCTCAGTGAGCTGTAGAGAAAAGAAACTCAAAAGAGCAATCTAGTGCAAAAGAAAAGGAACTCTGGTGTATAATATTGGGTGGGTGTTATGATAATGAGAGAACCAAAAACAGGGGCAGAAATGACACATCAAACAGAACACATTCCCCAACGCTATGCAAAAATCGATAACAAAAACCCTTGATGGTCCCGAAATGGTGTATTCGAAAGAAAAAGAAAAAAAGTCAAATCACATCATGATACACTCCTGCTCTTGTTTGTGCTTAGGCACGCCCATCTCTTCAAAAGTCTTGGGTCCAGTCTTGACAGGCTTAGCAGGTGCTGCAGGTTTCGGCGTCGTGGTAGTAGGCGGAGGTGTCGCGACACTACTGCTGCTATCCGCAGAAGGCCCTGGACTCGGTCTCGACGGTGTAGCAGAATCGACGCGTGGAGGACGTGCCAGATTAGGATTGCTGTTAGACGTCTGCGGACGTGCGGAGTGCCTGCCTGATACAGGATTTTGTGGTGCGCTGTAAACCACGCTGGGAGGTGGGCGTGTGTCTGGCGGTGCGGTGAAACCAATGTCGAGGCGGGAATTGACGGGTGGTACTTGGGAAGTGGCACTGATGCGAGGGGAGCTTCCTGGNGGAGGGCGAGGACCAGTAACGGGTCCAGAGGCTATACGCTGACCTGATGGTCTTGCACCAGCGGGCATTGGTCGCATGCCTTGAGGTGCAGATGCAGCAGAGTCGGGACGTGGCAGAGCAGAGTGAGCACGTTGACGATTGCCCATTGGTGTGGTGGTCGCTGGGCGAGTATCCAAGAAACCACCTGTGGGGCCGGGTGTAGGAGTTGGTCTCGGAGTGACATCATCTATAGGGTAAGGCGCGGTAGAAGTAGATCTTGGTGGAGGCACAGTAGGAGGTCGGTCATCTAGAGGATAAGGTGCTGGAGTGCTGGAAGGAGGAGGACCAAGAGATGACAGACGCCTTGGGTGAGGAGAAGTAGAACCTTCAGAGATGGATTCAATTCGCGGAACTTGAGCTTGGAATCTAGCAGGACGTTGTCCACGCATTGAACCATGCTGTGACTTGATACGGGTCAAAGCAACATTTTCGTGATCCTTCTTGGACAGGATGTGTCGGTGAGCGATACTATCGATACGACCTTGGGCATCCTTGTTTCCGTTTGCAGCAGCCTTGTTGTACCATTGCAGGGCAAGATCGATGTTTCTGGGCGCATGAATGCCAAGCTCGTTGAAGTAACCCATGGCGAATTCAGCAGTCGGCAGACCAGCATGCGCAGCTCTGTTGGCGTAGATGTATGACAACTCTTCGTGCTTGGGGAAAAGACCTTCGTGACCAACGAGAAACCACTTGCTAATGGCCATGTCGGCTTCAGGCTCACCTTGCTTTGCAGCAAGACGGTTGTAATGCAGAGAAAGAGCCGGGTCAAATTCACATCCGAGAGAAGCCAGTTCATAAGCAGATGCCATCTTGAGCTGTGCTTTTGAGAATCTGCAGAAAGCCGAGTTTTCAATGTAGCGTCTTGCTTCTTGTTCGTCAAAGGGCAAAACGTTTTCGGGGAGCTTGATCTGAGGTGGTTGGCGAGCAAGAAGCATACCATAGACGTAGGCTCCTTGGGGNGCGTTCTCATCTATCGAGTCGGCAGATCGTGCAATCAGATCGAGACCAGTAGCAAAGTCCTTAGGCTGACCGTATTGTCCTCGCAATGTGATCATACCCAGGCGGTACAAAGAGGCGCTGTCTTGAGCAGCAACACCACGTCTGTAATTGTCCAAAGCTCTTTCTTCATCGTTGGCATTCTCGTACAACATGCCGAGGCGATAACAGGCGCGGGCGTAACCTCGATCGGCGGCTCTGGCATAACAACGGAAGGCTTCGCGCTTGTCGTGCGGACAGCCAAAGCGACCAAACTCGTTCCACATGCCGCGCATGAACTCTGCCTTGGGATGATGCTGGTCGGCGAGGAAAGTGACGATGTTGATCGCATCGACCATGATCTGGTTCTCGACAGGGGGGNNTTGCTGAGGGCGCGGCGGTTGTGTCTGTTGTAGACGCTCCTCGTTCTCCAGACAGATAGTGACATATTGCAAGGCGTCCTGGGCCCATGCCAATTGCATATCCGGGTCGTTTGAATTCAAGACGGTGACTCTTGCAGCTTCCAGGACGGACTCGAACTCGGTATCGGTCTGAGGAATATGGCGACCGCGGTAGGGGATCTGAGGGAAGGCAGCAGCTTCGTGTTGTGCTGTGACGGATAGTTGCATGTTTGCGATTCCTTCTTGGATCTGGTCACTCATCTCGGGCATGTGTCTGNNCATCTTGTTGTTAGAAGAGGTCATGGCAGGAGGTGCAGGAGGTGGGGTGTGATACCGCTGAGGGGCAGGTGCGACGACAGAGACGGGACTGTTGGGCATGTAGTAGTCGTCCATACCGCCTGGCACGAAGGTCGCGCTTGTGTGCTGCGAGTGGTACGCCATCTGTGGACGAATTAAGTTGTTGACTTGCGGGCTCGAGTATTGATGCGAATGAGTGTAGTCGTAGTCGTAGTAGTGATCCGGACGTTGATCTGTATAAAGTCACAAGTCTCAGCCTCGGTCGAGTTGTCTCTGCGGTCGCGCTGGTAGCAGTAAGGAGCGTGGTTTGGTATGCATCATGGAGGAGAAACAAAAACAGAAACAGGCAGAAAATAGTCAGGGTAGCTGAGGTGGTTCCGTACCATACAAAGTCCCCCACGCGCCTGCCGTTTGTTGTCGACTGCCCAAAAGCATCCTTTCCTTTCCCCACCAACTGCGAACAAAACGGCCAATTTCCTGCTTTCTTTGTTGAACAATCCTACAACCGCTTTTGCTGAACAACAATCACTGTCATTTTCTGCTGCTCGAGTCTCTGTCTCTTTATCACTTTGTTGCAGTACCTTGAAGCCGTACTTCCGTCCGACGCGTGTCTCAATTTCATCTCTCCCATCTTGCCAAACCTTCTACACGTATACTATTCAGGGGCAACCGAGACCCTTGGCACCATCATTTTGGCTTCCTTCTGTGCATCGCCACACGACTCAGCCTTGTATGCACTCTTCTTTGTCCTATTCTGTGCACAAAGACACAACACAGGCCTGACTTCCGGTTTTTCCAAGCCGCCTGAATCCTGCTGCGCTTTTCTCAAACACTAGTGCCAACTCATGACAACATCGGCGTGTGCTCGCCCAGCAATGCCATTGCTATAAACTGACATTGTGATAGACGTTGACTTTGTCCTTGGCTAAACCATTTTCTTGGCCCTAATCGCGTATTGCAATACGGATGCTTCTCTATTAATCATCGGGAATAAGATCTCGAATCGCTCTTGACATATTCAAACCCCTTCGCGATTCCACCCTTGTCTCAGAGACCTTTTGGCTTGCATGACACAACAAAAGCAAGTCTTTCGACGTAGAAAGTGGTCGCTCAATGCACTGCAACTTAGTCTCATGCTTTAGATTGATCACATACCCATAGGCTATAGGATTATGGCTCGACGGCAAAACCGCATTAAGACAACACGCGTGTCAAGGTAAGCCTCCATGTTGATGTCGCGCCCAACCATACCAACCAGACAAGACAAGACACAGACGTAGAGTATTCTTACTGTCTGGGATTGTTTACCTCTGTGATATTTATAATCCAGCTCCTATATCAAGGGTAGCATGCCCAGCCATAGATCCTCTGTTCGGAAGCCATACGCACCAGTCTTCGAAATACACCATGGCAGCTTTTTTCAACCACCTCACAGAGCAATTTAAAGCCCTTGTCATCAGCGAATTTGTCCCACACGACCCAGTCAACAACTTCATCAGCAAAACAGTCATTAACGACCAAGGCGACAACTCTCTCATCGGTCCCAACTTCCCTGACTTCTCAACAAGCACCTACAACGCACAGGGTCGAGAATTTCGCTTCTTCCCTGAACCGGCTGGTGCAATGAGACCAAACTGGATCCCTGTTGGAACCAGTCGCTATGATGGACGCTACTATCCCACCGGTACCTCATGCCCAACTTACACAGTCGGCGAGTTCAAGCAGGTTGAAGCTGTTGGAACTCTCAAAAGCCAAGTCACTGTGGGCAGGTGGAAGGCTATGTGCGATGCTTGTTTCGAGGATTGTGCCGAAGGCTTCTGGGAGAAGACTTGTCAGATTGACATGCAGACTAGACAGATCACTTTGAACACTCAGTTCATGGGACGATGCGACAAGTGTGGCCATCTGTTCCATGAGTATGTCCCTGGAATTTGAGCCTCAGCCTTAAATGTTGAGTTCTTTGGCACCTTTGTGTTTTTCGAGCCTCGGCATTGACAATGTTTCTTAGATCTACTGCCTAGTGCGAACATCGAGAACGTACCCTACTCTCTCGCTTCCGTCAATTCCTTGAAATCTTCCATCACAACTCTACAACACACACTGCGTCAGCTTGTGGAGATCCCCTCCCATCAGCCATGTCGAAGAGTTGTTTGGCTTTACAGAACGAACGACTTCTTTGTCACAGACACTCTTCGTCGAAGAATACCATTGTTATCTTTCAAATTTCCTTTGTTCTTTGTTCTTTCCTGCTCACAACTTCATTGATCTCATCCAGTATCCTCCACCATTCTTTATTCAAGCATTGTTTCCATTGTTTGCTTCTGCTTAGAAGATCGATACATACTTAACTACACTTCAATCCATTGTTTTTGCTCCTCCCACTTGTCACTCCCAGATATCAAGTCTGGGGCCAAGGAAAAATATAAAACTAAATCAACTAACACGGCAGAACTTTCTTCTCCATTTTCAAATACTACAATCATGTGGATTCACATTGACTGTTACTGCCGTCTCTGCGCTGGCCGCAACATTCCTTCTGATTCGCCTGTCAGTCCTCTCTCTCCTTCTTTCCACAACCACATCGGCTTTGACTCACCACCTAGCCCTCTGTCACCAACTCTGTCTTTTACATCGACTAGCCTTCCCCTTCCGAGTCCTGTGTCTCCTCTACTCATTGGTGCTGAAGACTGGTCTTTGAGTCCTGTCTCGCCCTTTGCACTCGAGCCGTTCAGCCCGACGGACAAAAGCAGCGCAGCTCCTACTTCTCCTACTCTTTCGATTGCTGAGCTAACATCTAGTGGCTTTCCTTCTCCGATCATCCTTGATACTGCATTCACCTGGGATCTCTGTGTGATTCCTCGTGTTCCCACTAACTTTGGCGTCTTTGCACCCAGCTGGCGTGATGACACTTCTCAGCCTTTCGATATGCCTGCGACAAAGCTCGATGATGAAGCTATCAGCCCCAGAACCCTTCCTAACGGTACCGAGGCCGTTCGCTCATCTCCAGCTCCTCCACCTCTCCCACCAAGACCTGTTCCGCGTCGCCCCAAAAGATCTCCTTTGCTCACATCCAAGTTTTCTTGGGGTAGCACACCTACAACCTCCCNNCCTTCTGTGGCTTCACCTGATTCTTTCCGCTTCACTGGACCGATCTACACTTTTGAAACTGTTAATGAAGAAGTCAAGAGCAGAGCTGGTTCTTTGTCTTTTGATTCTTCCGACAGTGTCTCCATTCACACACTCGACGCCGAGGATATGCCCTTGAAGTTTGAAAACAAGCCTTGGTGGGAGAACATCCCTGAAGTCTCGCCATTGCCTTCTCCTACTTTGAGTGTTCACTCTTTTGGTGGCTTTTCTGGTGTTCATGCTTCTCCTGCTTTTCCTGAGTTTACTTTCCCTGCTCTTTCGCCTCCTTACTCGCCTTCTGTTTCTTCTTTTACTGACGAGATTGATATCCGCAATGTTTATTGGACTGCTGTTACTCCCCAGACTGCTGCTGAGTATCTAGCTGTTTTCGGCATCTCGGTCTTTGAAGACGAGTTCGCTTGGATGCGCTATCCCGTTTCTGGTCCCCACGACCTCTGCTACTCTTCTGACGATGAAGACGACAATGACACTGCTGGCTATGATTGGGACAACCACAACCCTACTGCCCTTGACACTTCTGATCCTTTTGGAGAGGTTGATGATGTGTTTGCTTTGTACGCTGACTCTATTTCTTCTTCGTATCTTTCGTCTTTTGACGATGATAGTGATGAGGAGTGGAGTTTTGAGGCTGATGAGTATTCGGGGTTGNAGGATAGTGTGGGTTTTGCTGTGATGGCTGAAGCTGCGAGAGCGAGGTATGTTTCTTCGTTCCTTGGTAACTCGGCTATTTCTAGTGTTAAAGAGGTTTGTGTTGAGGNNGATGGGCAGATGGGGTCGATTGATTTGATTGTTGCGAGTATATTTTAGAACTGGTGAGTTTCTGTTTGGGATGCTAAGATTCTTTTTGTTCCCTTTTTTGTCTTTTGTTTTACGATAGTGCTGGTCAGGTAAGTACAAGATCAATCGTGGCGCTGGTTCCACTAACTTCTGTGTCTCTTCCAACTTCATACATGTCCATTGCTTGACAAACCATATCAGATTTTGATCCTTTACATCTTCCTTTTGTTCCAATACTTCCTCCCTTACTATCTTGACTATCGTGACCCCTAGCTCGGCATCCAAAAACCACACTCCTGGCCATTTATACCCTCTCCTTTCAAGAACCACATTCACTCTCTCTTCCCCTGCTCCTCGCTCTTAGCCAGTATATCAATCCTCCTCCTCTCAACATACCACCCCACCCAACAGACCACCACCAACCAAGGAAAAACATACAACTGCGGTTTGTCGTCTCCAAACTCTGGATCCGTCCATCCAGCCCCCGGATACAAGATGCCACTCAAACTAGACAAGTACATGAAGTTCTGAAGCACCAAGACCCAGTTCAGATGGACTTGTTGGATCTTTGGGGACGGCGATGCAGAGGGAAGCAAAATAAACAGGATATAGTAGGTCAAAAGGCCCACAAAGAGTCCTAGAGACATGGTTTGGCCGTTGTGGTAGCGGGCATGGGGTGGCCAGTTGGGGTTGTAGATGTGAGTTTCACTGGTAAAGATGATCAGTCGTCTATGTTTTGGAAAAAGTGCAGTATGTCAAAGAGAAGGGATGGCAACATGGAAACAAACGTACTTCCAATCTGCTAGGAACGGTCCGAATAGAGTTACTACATTGACAAGGGCAATTAGGCATTTGCCAGGTGTAAACACTGGCGATTGTTGTAATGTTGATCTTGACATGTTGGATTGATGGTTATTTGTGTCTGTGTGGACTGATATCTACTCGAGCAGTAAAGTAGAAAAAGTCAGAGATATGCCTAGCCACTGTCTTGATGTAGGTGTACATCTTTCGGACATTCGGAGCCGCAGCTGTTGTGCAACAACCCCGCCAAATGCCCACTGTTTTAGCCAACAACCTTCTGCTGCTGTCCTTGAGCCCTTTCTTTCTCCAAAGCAACTTCCTCACGCAACATATCGATGTACTTCTCCATCTCTGGAGTCGAATACATTGGACTCAACTTCAGGTCAGGGTTTTCTCTTAGTGCTTCTTTGAGCCATCCCTCAATCTCTTTTCCTGGGTTGCTTGTCGCTAGGCCTCTTCTGTGGATTTGTCCACTTGGGATGGTGAGGGTGTTGCCGACCCAGTGACTGGTTCTTGTGGTGTCAGTTCCTGTGGTTAAGAGGGCAAAAGCTGCTGCTTCGCGAGTATGTTGTGTTACTTACGGATGAGTGTCGCTGCTCAAAGCATCTGATTGAGGCACAGGGACTGCAGAGACGCCTTGCAGCAACAACAAAGAAGAAACAAATAATGTTTTGGTGGTAAAGAACGGCATTTGTTTTCTTTTTTTACCCTCTGAATGATCGCTGGTCAATGTATGTTTGACTGATGGGATGTAAGTACATATATATCTGAGTAGTTAGGCCGAGTAGGCGCCCAACTTTTACCCTTGCTGGGGGCGCAGTTGGAATCCTTCGAAGGAGAGGTTGGTTGGTTGTTCCATGTTTCAACATGGCGCACGGCTTCGTAGCGTGACTCGTAGGAACGCCTTGGATTGATTTATATCGATACGCAAATACAGAGCAGGAAAGAGTTTTGACGTGGTTCTGTTAGTAGTGGACTTCTGAGTGGTGTTTGACTAAACGATGGAGATTAGGTATGGACCCAAAGAGAAGCGTGGTGTCAATGCCACAAGAAGAAAATACATGGCATGTTTCTTAGCCTTCCTTACTGTATATTTTACACAGGGAAACTCGGGAGACTCGAGTCTGCTACTCGGTCTTTTCAGTTCCAGCAGCTTGTTCTGCAGAAGCATCTGCCTCGTTCTCTTCCTCAGCCTCCTCCTCATCCCTCTCCTCAACCTCTTCAACATGATCATTCTCCTCATCAGCATCACCCTCCCCATCCACCTCCCCACCCTCCCCCGCATACCCCTTAAGCTGCCCTCCCTTGCGCTTAGGAATCACGCTCATAAACGCCTCACCCCAATCCCCACACTCCAACCACTTGAGCATAATCTCATGCACATGGTTGGTAGTAAGCACTTTCCTACTCGCCATAGCCAAGTAATCGCCAATCGGCAATCTGGCGGTTTTTACTCCGGCGGCAGCGGCGCGTGCGGCACATATACCCTTTTCGCGGTTTTTGTCTACGAGGCCGCCGATTATGTAGGTGGAGAAGGGTTTTAGTTCTGTTAGGGTGTAGTCGCTGTCGGCGGAGAGGTAGATGGTTTCGGCTTGGGCGTGTAGGGCGGATAGTTCTGCTGGTGGTAGAGATGTGGGTTTCATGTAGATGGGGTGTTGGTGTTTGGGTTTGGCTGCCTCGGGTTTGGTGTCCTGGGTCTTGTTCTCCTCGGCCTTGGTTTCCTCGGTCTTTGCTTCGGCAGGTGCTTCGGTGTTGGAAACAACTTGAGTGTTGGTAGCCTCGGGTTGCTCCTCTGCAATAACAGGATTGGCAGGAGCATACTTCTCAAACACACCAGCAAGTCTTCCACCCTTCTTGTCATCAACCATCCACTCCTTTGCCTTTTCACTCGCAACCACAAAATCCTCATCCAAAAACCTCACACCCTTCCAGTTTTGATAGCTCTTGTTCAAGATACCATCAAACCTCTCCCTCAACTTTCCATTGAAACTGCACACGGCAAGATGGGCTCTAAACGCCGCTTTCCCATTATCAGAATAACACCTCGTCAATTGGCCGCCCAGAGAAATGCGTTCATTGTCTCTCATCAAATTGTCGAAATCGCAATCGATGAGTAGAGTAATGGGAAGCATGGTGGGTTTCACCCATTGCTTTTGCTTTTCCCTTCCAGGCGTCTGGGTTTGTACGTTTTTCTTCGCGCTTGCGTTCCTTTTTGGCTTGGTTCTTTTCCTTGCGCCAGATTTTGCGGTCTTCTTTTTGGCGTCCCATTCGGCTTGTTTGCGCAGTTTCTTTTGCATGGATTTGGAGAGGGGGTGGGCTGTGGGAGTTTCAGTCGAGGCTGTGGTGGTGGTGGATGCTGTTGGAGGTTGTGGAGGGCATTTTCGTGAGTTGCGGTGGCAGAGTTGACGAGAGAGGCGGTTGTTGTGCCAGCGGAGGGGTTTTGCGGAGCGGATATGGTGGACTCGGGGAGANTCAGCTAGGGGAGCGGTGGTGGGTGGTTGTGTTGGTGCGGTACCAGCAGCGTCTTGCATGACTGCGTCGGAGGCATTGTCGACAGAAGTGGGCGCTTGAGCAGGAGGCGTATCGCGGTCATGGTGGCTGCTTAGCTTGCGGATCTTTGCCGGTCGTTCGTCTGATTCCATTTTCCTATCTGATCTTGTAATGAAGTAGCCAGATCAAGTTGAAGGTTGTTCGATGGTGATTAGTGGGGAAAAAGTTGGCGGCATCAGAAGCTGCTCGAGTCATAGCTCGACAATTCCTCGAGTCATGTGCCAAGCCCTCACATCCACCTCTCGTCGCAGCCAACAAGGTCAGCAGCACCATCAGTCTATACCGTTTTCCAGCACCAATTGCCCTTTCAGTCGCGTCGCGATCAATCTTTGAACCTTCCCGAAAGCTTCAGGATAACCACTCGCCCATCATGCCTCAGGATATGCCGCCCACCGGCGGCTACGAGCCCGTCCAATACAAGCGCAACTTGCCCGCCCGCGGTTTCCGTCCTGCCACCTACCTGCTCATGGTCGGCGCCATCTGCACCTACGGTTTCTGGCGCGTGGGCCAGGGCATCCGCGAACAAAAGTATGCAAACCAATTCCGTACCTAGAAGAAAAGAGCCGGCAAACCACCTTTATGCTCAGAGAAGAGAGAAGAAACTACAATACAGTCCCAGAAGAAGACACACAAGACACGAAATCCAGACAACAAATCGCACACAACAAGAAACAGACGCAGAAACAGAAAAACGATCACATGGCTAACACACCTTTTCCTCTCCCAGCGAACTCGCCCGCGAAAAGATGTGGTCCCGCATCCATTTGATCCCCATGCTGCAAGCAGAAGAAGACCGCGACCAAGTCCGCCGTCACTTCGCCGACAAGGCCCGCGAGAGAGAATTGTTGGGTGCCGAGACCAAGGTCTACCACAGCGATCGGTATGTTTTTCTTGAGTCTCTGTACTAGCAAAAGAGGGGTTTTGTTTTCTGACACTTTGGATAGTTTCGTTCGTCCGACATTTGCTGTTACTCCTAATGAGGTCACCAAGTAGATGTTGGCGATCAGAGATGGTGGTGCGGTGATAGAGAGGGTGGGGAGGTGAAGATGGAGAGCGGGAGTTTCTTGCATTCACGTTCGAGGAGAGGAGGTGAACGTGTCAATGATCGTTTTTTCATGAATGCTCCGGCAGACGCAGAGGTCATGATAGAATCTTATAAGCCGTTAGGAGCGGCTCCCCCAATGTATCTAGATGAAGGGGGTTTTCAAAGCAAACATGTATACAAATGAGGCTTCTTTTTTTTCCTTGTGTGCCACCTTCGAATCCTCAATCTTACACTTCGAAATATCTTGCTTGCTCCTTCAAGCAGCATTTCTAGCTCCAAAGTTCCTCGGCAAGTGTCTGACCCTCNNCTTTTCTCCAAGTCCCAGTCCAGCTTCACTCGCATCCCTCTGCGCAACATACGGTCTGCTAGTCTTATCCTTCAAGACATTGAACTGTTCTTGCTTCTTGAACTTTTGCGCATCGCCACTATACGTGTCCTCCAAGAACACCCACCCAGGCGTGTCAAACTTGCCTCTGACCAATACAGTCCTAGACCCTTGCAAAGCTTTAATCTCCTTGACCGACATTGGTGTGATCAGTTGAAGTTCCTGTTTTGCAACGTTGATGCCACGGACAATGGCCAATCCTTTGCAGCAAGAAAAGCGTGGGTCCAAGGGTTGGATTAACCCGCTGTTGTCGGCACGGAGATAGGGTAATCCTTCTGGCGTTCTACCGATTCTTTCTGTCATGGTTTCGCCCATCTCCGCTGCTGAGGCAGAGGGGACATGAGGGGGTCTGTATTGGACTGTTGCATATGCTTGATCAGACTCGACCTCGCAGATTGCCACCGTGACGCCATCAATAATCGATGCCAAAAAGTCTGGGTTCACCGCTTCGCCATACGACATGATGGAGGAGATGCCGGCGTTGGGGCCATTGTATTTGACATGCCAAGGGTGGGTTTGTGTCAGCGGGGCGCTTGTCCATTGCGATAGTCCTTTGGTTGGGGGCAAAGAGTGGAAGTATGACATTGCTTGCATGGCACGCAGTTCGGCGCTTGTACGCGATTGAGCGGGTTTGTAGCGGGGCGGGATCATCAAGACTTTGGCCATTGGTAGTGTGGCTTCGATGGATGCGACTGTGTCTCTTTCCATGGGTTCCATGAGCACTACATCGGTCAAGGGGAATTGTTGTACAAGTTCCATCATGGCAGAGACTGCAGACCCAAGCACCCAACCTGAGCAGTTGAGAATCAGTGGTGCTCCCGGAAAGTCTTCCAAGGCGCGGAAGTAGGCGTCACGTAGATCCATTGCGCAGGCTAGGAAATGCACAACATCATCTCTTGGCGAGTTGGCAGCAATAGTATGTGACCGGATAGTTCTGTGAGCTGAACTGACATGACCAGATGGATGCGTATAATTAGGCCCAAGAACAGGCGATCGAATCTGCACCAACGACATCTGCCCAGGTGCCCAGAATTCAGGCTGTCCAGGATCAAGGTCCAACCAAAAGCAAGATGTGGATGCCGTCGCCTTTGAAGCAGTCAAAAANGTATTGATGATCCATTTGCAGATGGTCGACTTGCCAGAGCCTTTTGGACCAGAAACCATGATTACCGAGCTTGGATGGGTTGCCGTTTGTCTGCTTAGAACCCTGTTCAGAGTGACTTGACAATCTTGCTCTACTTCGAGTGCGGTGACGGCACGCTTCAAGGAGTCGTCTAGAGAGCTTCGAAGCAATGCAAAAGATCGCGAATCATCTTTTGTCTCCTTTGCTTCCTTGGAGGTCTGGGCATGCCAAAGCTTTGTCCATAACGGAGAGATTTTGCTCAATGGACCTAGTAAGGGAATGGTCGAAATGATGTCGACTTCAGCAGGACCGCCCTTTGCAGTGACGACTGGTAGGGCATGGGTGGTAGGAGCATATACGCGGTGTTTCTTTGGACCAGATCTCAGAACAGCGCCGTAAATCATGATATGGCCAGAGTTGACGCGTAGTTCGTACTCTCCAACAAAAGTGGCAGTCTCTCCAGCTTGCAGCTTCAGACTAAGCATTTCAGGAGTGTCTGAAATGACACACAGGTCGTTCGATGGTAAGTTGGACAGTTGACAGGGTTGGTCAGCTTTGTAAGAAGCTCCGTTATAGGCACGAGCGTAGTTTCCATCAGTGTCGATGGCATTTTCGTCATTGTCGCTAGACGCATTGCTGTCGAGCTCGTGAGCCTTCGCTAGAGGGAAACTGGATAACAAAGTAGAAAGGCCTGGGTTCTCAGAGCTAATCTGACCATTGGTATGAGAGGCCTCATCAGCATTGTCGGTACCTGTCAGATTCGTCTCAAATGGCTTGTCAGAAACTATTTGGTTTGCTGCTGCCTTTGCTTTGGCTGCGGCAAATGCACTCATGCGAGCTGGTTGATTTGTTAACACACCCATGATATACGCAAAGGTTACAGAGTATCTAGACTTACGTTTTGTGGTGGTTGCAGGAAATGCTTCCTGGGCTTTTTCTTTTTGCTGCATGGTCATGCTTTTGCAGGACCAAAACCTTGATCTCGCTTCGATGATTCTTAGCGATTTTTCTGTATGTACAATGTCCTTGGAGTCCAGGATATGGTTTGAGAGTCTGATCGCCTAATTATCGATGTGTTTCTATTAAGACCTGCCAAAAGGGAAGATTATGTTTGATGGTATAAAAAAGCAAAGACGTTGATGGGTTGCCAAATTGGGGATTTTGCGGCGGAGGAAAGAGCGGAGAATGTCGCTTGGCAGCAGCGAAGCTTTGATCAAGCCGCCAAAAATTATCTCGACATGGTCTTTTTCTCTTGCATACCATTCACAGCAGAAGACTCGAGAGGGTCGCCTGTACACAACATCCATATCGCCTGCCATACTTTGCCACTTTCACCCACATCAACACCACATTCAGCAGCAACAGCAACACTCTCTACCACATTCGCATGCTTGGTTAGCATTGACAACCACCATCACTCAACATGCCCAAGGTCAAGGAGACAAGGGTCGCCCTGACCGGTGACGCTGCTCTGAGTGCTCTGAGGGCCCCCAAGATGTCCGAGACATTGCGCAAGGCTCCTCCCCACTCAGAGGAAGTTCAAAACGTCAGCGACAGCGATGGATCCAACAGCGACAGCAGCAGTGGTCACAGCAGCGGAAGCGAAAGCGATGCAGAGAAGCGCAAGAACACAAAGAAGCCCAAGCTATCAAAGGTCAAAGAGACGGAACCCAACAGTCCTGCCGTCCCAAGCGACGACGACGAATCAGACTCGGACGCCGATCTCGAACGCGAAGTCGCAAAGCAAAAGGCACAGAAGAATGCTGCAAAGAAGGCTCCTGCTACCGTGACGGCCAATGGTACAGCACTGAAGACGTCCAAGGCGACCAAGTCATCCAAGAGCTCGGAGAAGGTGTCAGAATCAGACGACAGCAGTGATGAGGAAGAAAGCGACAGCGATGTTGAGATGGCCGATGCTGAGAAGCCTGCTGCACCTGCCAGAGTCGCTGGTCAGGCCGCTGCTCCCGAAACGACTGTCATCGTCCCTCCCCAGCCTTTTGTTCCTCCGCCAGGATACAAGGCACTCAACACAAAATCCGCCTCCGCAAAGACAGCAACCTCGCTCTTCGACCCTTCCACTATTTCATCCAAACAGATCTGGCACATCACCGCTCCTTCATCCGTTCCGCTGTCTCAAATCAAGTCTGTGTCACTCTCCGCCATTCAATCCCACCAAACAATTCTTTCACACAACGGAACCGATTACAACTTGGCCGAAGAGCCCACAAACAATGCCCGCGTTTTGCTACCCTCATCAAAGTCGGATGCCTACAATGCCGTCGAAGTCCCTGTCTCAAAGACCCTCCACCTGCAACAAACCATCCGCCTGCCCAACCTCTCTGCCTACCAAACAGATCCCAACACTGGCTCTAACGCTGCCGGAAGTATCAGAACCCCTGCCATCAGCAATCCTCGTCCTCAACCCAAAGGTATGAGAATGCGATACAAGCCTCCAGGTTTCGGAGACGAGGATCCTGGTCTCATTGGTTCCTCAGAGGACGAAAGCGATGCCAACGCCAAGCAGGTTGAGAAATCCGCAAAGGAGGCTCGTAGCAAGCGCAAGCGTGACGAGAAGGAGGCAACAGAAGAAACCGGCAAGGACAAGAAGCGAAGAAAAGCAGCAGAGGCAGCCGAAAAGTTGGCAGAGGGCACCAGAGCTGAGGTACCCGAGACAACTGAGGAAAAAGCCAGAAAGAAGGCCGAAAAGAAGGACAAGAAGAAGAAGGATAAGAAATAGATGGGGTTGTGCTGCATATACCATGCGTGGAGTTTTCTGACAATGTGTATTTGGGTCAAAGGGCGTTTTCTGTTGTATGTACAGCATATCAAAAGTGGGGAAGCATTGATTTTGTTCAAAACTTATGTCAACTCGCCCTCGTTCGCGTCCTGTTGTTCTAGTTGTGCTTGGGTGAAGCTTATTATGCTTACTTCTGCAATTCAGATCTTGACAAAAGCACGAAATTTCTCGAGTCTATAGCAGATGTTTCATCTGGCAGCCGAGTACGTTCTGTCTCATGCCTCTATCCAACACGAACCTTGTCATAAAACTTGTCAACCTTTAGAGACGAACTGAGCTATGCATACAAAAAATGTTCATCTGAACGATAGTATTTGTGGTGACCCTGTCAGGTCTTGATTAGGAAGTTGCACAGCCACGGCAAGCCCCAGCCACGTTCTCAGCCGCTTGTGGGTGATGAACTTATGATGCGCGACATTCGGTTTCGATAAATCGCAACAACACATCAAGATACAATTTCGACATATGATCTGATATGTCAGATGATGAGAGCCAGAAGATCTCGGGTGCTGCCGCCGTAGCAGACGAGGCTGCTCCTGATAGGACCTCGTCACAGCCGCGGACGACATCTCCAGACGCCAAAGACAAACAACATGAAGAGGACGTGATGGAAAACTCACAGGAGATTCGACCGCCACTACCTCCCAGACCGACAAATCTGGATTTGCTAGATGAACGGGGGTCTAGTGGTTCTACCAGGCTGCCCAAACGGATGGCCTCACGACCAAATCTACAAGCACGACCAACCACTGCAGTTTCCTTGACTGATGTCCACACGTCGAACAACCTACAAGATCATGGCTCCCCAACTCTCGCTCCTTCCAGCCGGCCTGTGTCTAGAAAACAGAGCACTGCCAATATGGACCGATTTCGAAGTCGTGTAGGCAGCGATGCAGCTGAAACAAGTAGTGTCCGCAGCTTCACAAACACTCTTGGAACAGGCGCCGAAATGGAAAGTCTTATCGGTGACCCATTCCCCACAAGTCCAGCTTGGAAATCACTGAGCGCACAACTGGAAAAGGAAAATCCGATGGATCACGTCTTTGATGAGGACGATATCTTCAGCCTTCGCATGCATCACGAGTTTGACGAGTTGGAGGAGTTTCGAGCTAACGGCACAAACGAGGAGTTTTTGATGAACTCGTGGACGTCGAAACTAAAGCACTTTTTTATTCTTTCGTCGTCGGGAAAACCTATTTGGAGCAGACATGGTGATGATCAAGTCATTGCAAATCACATTGGAATCCTGCAGACGCTCATCTCGTTTTATCAAGACGTGGACGATAATCTGCGCGGATTCACTACTGGAAATGCAAGATTTGTCATCTTGTCCAAAGGGCATCTCAATCTGGCAGCCATCAGCAGGCTCGGCGAGAGTGACTTGCAGCTCAGGACGCAGCTGGAATCTCTGTACATGCAGATTCTTTCGACATTGACTTTACCGAGCATGCAACGCATGTTTTCAAACCGCCCTTCCACAGACTTGAGACGACCACTCCAAGGCACAGAAGTCCTCCTCGGAGCCCTGGCTGACGGCTTTACAAGAGGCTCTCTACCAACTCTCCTCTCCGCACTCGAATGTCTCAAGATCAGAAAATCACATCGTCAAGTCATCAACAACACTCTCCTCAAAGTTAAATCACCAAATCTACTTTACGGTCTTATGGTAGCAGGTGGTCGTCTGGTCAGTGTAGTGCGACCACGAAAACACTCCANNCTTCACCCAGGAGACCTTCAACTCATCTTCAACATGCTCTTTGNNGAAGCAGGCAGTGTCAAAGCAGGTGGTGGCGAGAACTGGATTCCGCTGTGTCTGCCTGGGTTCAACAATACCGGCTTCTTGTATATGTATGTCAGTTTCTTAGATATTGGCCAGGATCACGCCAAAGTATCAGAAGAGCGACCGCAACAACCTTCGACATCACTTAGAGATGATGATCAATTGGCTATCATCCTCATCAGCGCGGACAAAGAGGCCTTCTACGAATTACGCCAGATGCGCGACGATTTGATCGAAGTGAGTTCCCTACTACAATTCTCCATCATCTATTCCTTGCAAATGAAATTAATGATTCTCTCTCCACAGCAACTCAACCAAAACGGCAGCATGTCCATCCTCAGCACCTCCATCCGTCGTGGCCGCCCTTCGCTACCCTCCATCCTCCCTTCCTCCCCCCTCCTCCACTTCATCTACAAATCACGCCCCAACGTCCAATTCTTCACTCCCTCCTTCAGCCCCCACTTTGGATCTTTGGTGCCTTTCCGCCGTTTGGTATCTCTATATTCGAGTTTGCATACTGCTGTTCACAATAGAACTGCGCATCTTAAGGTGCACTATGCTTGTGCTAAGGATGCCGTTGCGCTTGGGTGGGAGACTAAAGAGTATGAGTTTTATGGCGTTGCGGGCAAGGGGGCGAGTAGAGAGAGTGTTGCTAAAGCAGCACAAGAGGTGATCAAATGGGTGAGAAGGGAAGAGGAAAGGGTGTTTATCATTGGGNGTGCGGTATTTTAGCTTCTCATTTGCCGAATATATCTTTTGTACTTCTGCTTGCTGGGCATCAGATTTCCAACCGCTTTGGGCTAGGGAGTTTTTGATTTTTTGTAGCTTTTTGTATGCAAGAACACAATTGGTATCTTAGAGAGCCCTTTTTCCTGGGTTGGGTGTGCAGCAAGCATTAAAGATGATCGTTACCGCTTTCTTTCTGCTTTTCGGTCCCACCGCTGCAAAAAGATTCAAACCCCTAGAGAGAAGAATTGTAGATTTCTGATCTTGTAATGCAAAAAGAGAAAAAAAGCACAGCAAGTATACACAATCAACGCTTCTTTTGCACTCAGCGCACGCAAGAACAACCAAGACGGCCAACATAGGTAAAAAGGTCAAGATTCGCTAAAAGGCACTTGTGTTCTGCAAACGAGACACGGCAAAGACTCCCAAACAAACCAACAAACCACGCACAGAAAAGAACAAAGCATGGCAAGATTCTCTATGTTTGGTGAAACAAGAACATGAAAAGTGTAGATTTCCATCTAAGGCAGTTGTTTGTACAGATGAATTTCCTATTCTGGCTGGCAGGTATATGAACAGTGCTTCTATGGAAAGGAAAATCCCCATCTTTTTATCTATGGGCTAATCAGAAAATCGTCTTAGGGGTTGCTTTGCTCGTGTCTGCTTGAAAATATTTGTAAAACGTCTCTGTGTGTGGGTTGAGTCTAAGTAAAACACTCTTTGTGATTCTTCTAGGTGGTTGGATGAGCTGTAGAGCACCTTGACCGTCTCTACGGCTTGAATACCAGGCGCGGCTTTGCCAATTCGCAGCCCGATCTGTCGCGAAGACTAGTGCCGTAGAGATGTGCCAGCGTTTCGGCAAGTGCAGTGCTTGGTTGCGCAACAGTGAACCGGCAGTCAGATCTTGCGATAGCCTGACAACTCGGATCTCTCGAAATGTATAGATATGGATGACCCTTGCGTTCTTCAAGGATCAGTGTCAGGGCCTTGATGATGTTCTAGCCAAGCGAGACGCATGACATCGTAGAGGAAGAGAAATTGGGCTTCGCTCTGAACCATCATCATACGCTGTTTCCTCATGGCACTGACAGTGTCCAGAATCGGATCGACATCATCAGGGACGGATTCCAGATTGCCACGTGCAAGATGAGCAAGCAGGAAGTCCAGAGCGATGAAAGTGCCTGATCTACCAACACCAGCAGAGCAGTGAATGATACGTGGACTTGCCGTAGACGGTGCCGTTTGATCTGATGCAGTATCAAGAGGGAATGATGAGGTTTTGGACACATTTGGTGGTAGATTTAGAGATGCAGATTTGGTGATGAGATTGAGCATGGCGTTGCGATTTTCACCTTCAGGCACCGAAAAGTCTGGCCAACCAACGAAGAGCAAGTGGTAGATTTCTTTNTCATTCCAGTGGCGTTCTTCTCCTTCTTGAGCTGGGGAGGATGTGTAGTGTAGGCGTAGGTGGCGGATGGTGCATCGGCAGGCGGTGTCCTCTTCGGATGACAGAAGTTCAACTTTGCCTTCGAAACCNTGAGAGAAAGAGGTTAGAATAGTTCAAATGGTAGGATTGACGGCAAACATACCATCGTCTAGATCAGGATCGGGATGTAGCTCAAGAGGAGTGTCTTGAGAGTCGGGAAAGTACTTGAAGCACTTTTCACGACCAGCCTCGTGTGTTTGGGTGAGCATGACGACAACAGCAGGAGTATCGGAAGTAGATTCTTGAGCAAGCATGCGATAGAATTGCGAAGTCGAGGTGTTCTTGGGACCCTGAGTAGCGATGTAGTGGCGTGGGCCTAGTAGGATAGGAGAGGCATTGATATAGTCGTTAAAGCCGTCGGCGACGTTCAGCTTGACACGGTTGTTTGCAAATGGCTCGACGTTAACGTAGCGATTGCGGTAGGCGATGTGGTCGCCTGTCAAGCGTGACCATTCCGACTCTTTCTCAGGCTTCTCGTACTGCTCGGTCAAGCGATCACGTTGTAGGTGCTCGATGTAGTTGAATTTGCTGACGAGGGTAGGACGGTCTTGACGGAGGAATTGAGGAAGCGAAGAAGGTAGATCGGGCAGCGACTGGCTGGATGTTGAGCGAGTGGCCATGGCTCGTCGAATGCTGGCAGAACGTCGTTGGATAAACTTTTGTTGCTTGTCAAGTAGGCGAATGCGCCGGGGCGATGTGTGGTGAGCCAATTTGGCGGACGAAGGGGTGAGCTATATAGTCGTGTTCGCGAGTGAAAGGCGATTGGAATGAGCTAGAAGCGATGCTGAAAGAAGTATATGCGTCGTCGTGTGAGTGAAAGTGCAATGAGATTGTGTGAATTGGGGAGATTCGAGGCTGAAAGCATGAAACATGACATGGCCATGACAGACTGCCCCTCGTTCCGCTGCCCCTTCTCCGAAACCGTTTCGGACTTTGCTATGCCTAGAAAGACATGGGTACTTATCCGTATACAGTTTGTCTCAACTGATATTTGGCAGATTGAGACGTCTCGGTGACATTTTAGCAATCTGGACAGTCAGAAAGGTCGTGTTGCAACAGCGACAAGTGGCCAGCTGCATGCCGTGAAATCGAGTCAAGTTTGGGCCTCGGTTGCTCCTTCCCTAGATATTAAACGTCTGACCAAAAGTCCATTATCTCCGTGGTCGTCATCCAAATCGTTCCTTCCTTCTCTGACAAGCAGCCAACAATTTTTGATTCTATTGACGACCTTGGTTGTATATACTTGATTTTAACGTCAATATGGGTCCGTGGTTAGCAGTTCTAGAGGTAAGCATTGCCGCCGTCTGCCGGCCTGCGTCGCCACTCAGTCGCTAACCTCAGCACAGGCATGGCTAGTCAAAGAGTATGTGCCCTGGACGAACCACGAATGACACACTACTGATACTCCTGTCACCAGCTACTTGAGAGCCAAACATTCCACCAGGGTGTCCGACGAGTTCACAAGAGCATTTATCGCTTACGCCACGGTCCTTTGGAAGGAGACGAAGGCGGCACAAACCTCGAGAGTCCGTTGCCCCCTCAGCATCCTTGCCTTCGGCTTGTCACCAACTGACAAGACTATACAGGACAAGGTCCGGGATTTGGGAAGCATTTCTGGGACGAGATACAGGCTCAGGTCGGTCGCAAGAATCTAGAAAATCCGCTCGAGAAGCCCGATCCAACACGCACCACACGAACACACCACCCGCCCCCGAATCAACCTGTACAAGAGCAGACCACTCGACAAAGAACCGACCTTCCGCCTCAGCCACCAAAGGAAGGATTCTTGTCACATTTCATGGACGAGCTACGCTCGCAAACCCGCGGCCGCGACAAAAACCCTTGAGCCACGCCCACGCCACTTACCTCGATCTTGAAATATCAAAGGCTCGATGACATTTGAACATCTCCGGCCACGACTTCGCTCCACCCACGCTGATTTGGATCTGTCACAATCATCACGCCCGCACATTATGCCACAACCCGAGACGTTTTCGTTGAGGGACATACAGTCATTTGGACATTCGCTTCATGACAACAACGACCTTTGGTGGCCGAGAAGGTAGCGCTGTATAACCAGCGTCACTAGCCAATCCTCCCACGAGGCACCAGCATCACGCTGGCTGGGTCTAGAGAATGCAATGACACACTCCTGCTTGGCCACAGATCATTTCTGGATGCCTGGTCGAGCACTCATCTGACTGACCCTAACTTTTTACCATGGTTCATGTGCATAAACGAGGTCCATTGTATATAGGACCCTGATCGGTCCATATTTATATCATCCACCCCACCTTTATAACTACGTCATGCTTACAAAATGGTTGTTGTGACATGTTCTACTGCAGAGTACTTTAACCATCGCACTTCCAAACTTCACGTTGCTGCACTTAAGACCGATAATCAAGAAACACAGATCACTTCCTCAGCATGCCCAACGCAATTGTTACTGGTGCCACCGGTAAGCTTCAACTACCACTGCACATATTAGGTAGACTCAGGGACTGACAGACATCGCAGGCATTCTCGGCCGTGAGATTGTCTTTGAACTTGGCAAGGATACCAAAACATGGCCCACAGTATATGCTTTGTCTCGCAGCAAGAAAGAAGACTACCCGTCGAACGTCAAGCACACCCACCTCGACCTCCAAGGTAATCCTGAAGACATGGCAAAGGAACTTGAACATATCGACGCCGAATACGTCTTCTTCACTGCCTATCTAGCCCAAGATGACGAGGATGATGCAACAAAAGTCAACGGCGACATGCTCCAGAACTTCATCTCTGCTCTCAAGCTCACTGGTGCCGCAAAGAAGATCAAACGCTTCATCTTGACCACCGGCTGCAAACAATACGGCGTGCACTTTGGCGCTCCCAAAAACCCCATGCAGGAATCCGACCACTGGCTCAAGAACCCATCCTACCCCTCAAACTTCTACTACCGCCAACAAGAAATCCTAAAGAAAGAAGCAGAGGAGAACAAATGGGAATGGACAGTCACCTACCCCAACGATGTGGTCGGCGTAGCAAAAGGCAACTTTATGAATCTGGTCTCTGCAATCGGCATTTACGCATCCATCTGCAAGGAACTCAATCAACCACTCATCTGGCCAGGTTCCCCTCACTTTTACACTAAATTCGATAGTCTGACTTCTTCAACCCTACATGCGAAATTCAACACCTGGGCAGCATTTGCACCCGGCGCCGCAAACCAAGCCTTCAATGTCGTCAACGGCGACGTTGAGTCCTGGCAAAACCTCTGGCCCAAAGTCGCTGCAAAATTCGGCCTCAAGATTCCTGAANAAATGTTCGAAGATAAAGACTTCAAAAATGACTTTGGCGATCAAGGACTCCTCATGCCTCTGAAAGAAACCCCTCCCATTTCTGAATTTGCAGCTGAGTCTGGACTTCTCGAAACCCCAGCCCTTGAACAATCGCTCGTAGAAGCCAAAATCGATTTGAGCAAATGGGCACAGAAAAGCGAAGTCAAGAAAGCGTGGAAACAGCTCGCTGAACGAGAAGGATTGGATGCTTCTGCATTTGACAATGCTACATGGATGTTTTTGAACTTTGTGCTGGGAAGAAACTTTGATTTGGTGATTAGTATGAGTAAAGCTAGAAAAGCTGGATGGACTGGCTATGCAGATACTTGGGAGAGTATTGAGGAGGCGTTGGAGAGGTTGGTTGGTGAGAAGGTTGTTCCTGCTTTTGAGTGAATAGATTGTTGATTTCTAATCTTGAAGTAATGCAATGTCTTTCGTTAAAACCCCAGCTGTTAATGTCCATCAATGGAGTCGCAAATCCAACTCAGAAACTAGAGTAATTTCGGATTGATTGAGCACTTTGACGAAATTGCCTGAAGACTCACTCGCAGATATATGACGTCCAATCATCAACATCTCCTTGCACGTACACCGCTGTCCAAGCACACAGCTTCCTACTTCTTAGCTCCGGATCTTTGTATGGATTCAAGAAGGGGGAGCATCTGCGGTACCATTGAATGTACCGTTCCCAGAACCATCACCACCCATGCCACCAGCCATCCCCGAAGAAGTCGAGTCCATTACACCACCAGTACGGTAGTAGTTTCCCGCAGGACTGACTGTCTGGTTGTTTGTCATATCGACTCCCATCGATACCCATGCCAAGACGCCGCCACTGATGTCGTCGCCAACCAAGATGTATTCGACTACAGGGTCTACACCATCGGTTGCTGTTTCTTCGGCTAAGATCGAGTCCTCAGCGTTGGTCGTCCAGTCTTGGGTGTTTGTGTTGTAGGGGTATGTGGCTTCGACCTGTTCGAGCAGAGACATGTCGAAGAAGAGTTGGCCGACGTGTTGGATTGAGCCTGGAGACATTGTTCCGTTCACGTACAGAGTGGTGTTTGTATGAGTGATGATGTGAACGTGGTTGGCGCGGCTNAAAGAAAAAATCATAAGTCAGTTCTGTCCCCATCGATTCTTGAAACTAGAAGAGATCAAATACCTAGTGTAATGACCAGGAACAATGGACTCAAAGGTAGCCACGCCTTCAGTGTCTGTCTCTGCAATCCCGCGAAGGAAAGTCGTGTTCACGTTGGAAGCGTCGGAAGAGTCTCCATTTCCGCTGGCGACAATTCCACTATAAGTGCCGGTGGCGTTACAGTGCCAGTAATCAACATAAACATCTGGAACAGGCTCGCAAGTGTTGACATCGATGACTTGAATCTCGATAGTCAAGGGCACACCCTCTTGACCCTCGGTAATATTCTTGCGGATGTACTCGCCTTGCACGTAGTAAGGACCTTGAGTCACTTCCGGCACGAGGATACAAGAGCCATTGCCAAAGAGATATTCCTCGGTAACATCCATGTTGATGTTGGTGTCATTGGACAGATGAGTGGTGTTGAGTACAGAAGTGGCATCGCGTTTCTCTGCGCGCTGGTTAGCTGCCAAAAGTAACCGCTCGGCCTCCAGAGACGCCTCACCCAGCTCACGCTTCTGTCTGGCTGTTGTGGCTAGAGCTGCGCGGCGAGCAAGCGATCTTTGCTCAAGACCACGAGCCTTGATCTTTGCCTCACAGTGGCTCAGGGATCTTTTGGCCAGAGGTACGGAATCGTAGTAGGCGCGACGCTCAAGAGCTTCTTCGTGTGGATCGTGACCAGGATGAGCAGCAGCAATGCTGGTGAGAGCCAATGAGGCAAAGACAGTCTTGAGGCAGACCATAATGAGAAGCAGAAAGATAATGTACGAGAGATTGATAGTAAGGAAAACAGAGTATGAAAAGGAAATCGCAAGCTTTATACCCGATTCACCAACCTGACAACGAGGGCTATGGTTTGATACAGGCGCTGCGCAAGCAGACCTTGGCGGCTGGACATCATGATGCAGCGGTGAGTACCTCAGTGCTGCCGAGATCGAAGAGACCAGGCGCAGGGGCTTTGCAGCTTGGACACAACAGCCGGTGGAGTGCTTCCATCCACGAATCAAATCCCTCCTAATACGGTCCGCTGGCGCGAAATCTTCGTAGAGACGAAGGGCCTGTCTCAGCTAATAGTATAGATTTACCTTGGCAGTCTGAGGGTACCAACTAGGAGTGGGGCTTTACAGATACGTCGACTCCGTGCGCTCTTGAATGTGTTGAAGCACAGCCTCGTTCCTTGAGATATTACTGACCAAGGCACGCGTGTGGTTGTAACGAACATCCAAGATATGCTGTCCTAAGTGATATGGCTTACCGTTGGAGATTCTTTGATGCTTTTCAAGTGTCCAGAGCTCTCCGAGATGAGTCGATCCACAAGCATCAAACACCAATAGTGATCATCTCTTGTGTTGTTGCTGCTGCTTGTCTAACAGCGAGGGACTTGGCGAAAGTAGCGACTACCAGACATGCTGCGCCGTGGTGCAGGCGATCTTGTCACTTGCCAAGAGCGATACGCGTGTGTGTATACAGATAGTGACAGGGAGATTGGCAAGAGTGGACGCAACGCGTTGTGGTAGAATCGATCTCGCGACTCAACATTTTCGACGTCGGGGCCTTAGGCATGCTGCAGAATGTGACTTGTGTGGCGACATGGCCCAATGCCTATTTTCCGGTCACTCGTCGTGGTCTTTGATAGCCTGCAAGCCCTACTGATACCCTTCTCCGCCAGATGATTGTGAGTCAAAAGGTTGTTGTGTTTGTGAGATGGTAAGTTGATGCCAAGTTCCAAGAGTGAGATCTGGCAACATCGCGAAACCCCACCTTCCAACCTCAAGTCACCCTGCTTGCTGACAACCACGCTCTGTTCTCTACTAATCACACGATTCTCGAGATCGAAACAAACTTTACCATGGCAGAGCAGAAGACACAANAAGCCTCCGATGTCATTGTTGAAATTATCGACAATGAACAAGACTTCGCAACAGCTTTCGCCATTGCCTCCAAATGCTTCGGCGAACAGACCAACGATCTGTTCTGGAAGGCCATGAACCCTGGCTGGGACACCCCTGAAGGAGCAGCTGCAGGAACAAATCGCATGATTAAACGCTGGCAATCAGTTACTGTCAACAAAGCCGGCAAGCCAAATACAGTGCACCTGAAAGCGACTGTGCCTGATCCGAAAACCCCGGGACAGCGTGTGATGGCTGGCATAGCCATTTGGGCACAACACTCTATGGTTGATGGTATGGGCGATAGACCTTCGACTGATATTAGTACGACAATGGACCTCAATGAACTTTATCCGGGCAATGAAACAGAGCAGAGGTTCCTTCGACAAGGCTTCGCATCTTTTGTCAGTCAACGTGTGAAGACGCTGGAAGAAAAGGCAAACACTTCATCGCCTGCAACATTCAGTCTGGATCTATGCGTTGTGGATCCAGACTTCCAGAGAAGAGGAATTGCTAACAAGCTGGTCGAATGGGGGTTGCAAGAAGCTAAGAATAGAGGTGGGCTGGAATCGACAACTGAAGGCTCTGCTATGGGACGATTTGTGTATCGAAACCTGGGCTTTAAGCCTGTGGACGAGGTCAATTTTGTTATGGACCCCGAGTTTCAAGATCGCAAGCTGCCTTCGAACTTGTTTATGCGTACTGGATCGAGCATATAACCTTGTTGACGCCACGAAAATCATACAAGTCAGGATGGATCATGGTCTCCTAGGTTTTGGATGAGTCATCAAACATATTGCAACACTTGTGCTGAGCAAGAAAAGCTATTTTGGCCGGTCACTCAATATCTGAACAGTCTTTCCGTTCCTTCTCTTCTCAACATTCTGTTCTTGAACTTATAGAAGAACAACAGAGAGATGCAACCTGCAGCCACAAAGAATAACAAACCAGCATTGACCCAATGTCCCGTCGGATATCCCTTTTTCTTCTCGTCAGCCTTGTAGATCCAGACTCCGGTGATCTGGCCAGGTGCTCCAAAGGAGATATTCAAGGCAATGGCTAAACCAGCTGCAGCTGTACTATGCAGATTGGAAGAAAGCCAGCCCAACAAAGGCGGGATGCANGAGAAAGAGCCTGCGGCAGCGACAATCAAACAACCATAGCGAGCATTGTATGAATCAGGCGGGAGCACAGCTGAGGCTAGGAACCCGATTGCTCCCACCGATGCAAAAATGGCTGAGTGCAAAGCGCGTNNCTGATGTGTGTCAGCTTTTGCTTCGTAAAAGGACAAACCCTTCCCAACTTACGCATCGAAATGGTCAGCAGACCATGACACTAAAAGTGTCACTACATATGCAACTGCATAAGGCGGCACGGTCATGAGCTGTGCAGTCAGGTCCTTGAAGCCTAGACCAGCAGTGATGGTAGGGGTGAAAAGTGACAGACTCGAGAAAGGCGTTGAAATACCGAAGTAGATGGCATAATGGGCGTAAAGTCTCCAGTCGGTCAGAGTGGCTTTGGCGTCTTCCCAAGTCATACTCTTGCTGTTACCATGCGAGCCTTCAAATCTCAGCCTCTCTGCTGCCAGGGCTTTCTCTTCTGGTGAAAGCCATTTCACGGTCTCGGGATAGTCGGGCAGGAAGAACCACACTAGGGGTGCTGACAGTAGAGACGGTAGACCTTCGAGAATGAACAGCCACCGGAAGGCTGAAAGACCGCCAGTTCCATTCATGTGTCCAACACCGTACGCGATGGCTCCTCCGAAGGCTCCTGCCAAGGTCGCCGATGCTAGAATGAAGGCAACTCGGATACTACGTTCGTCTGTGCGATACCAGAANTGCTGAGAGTGGAGTTAGGGACTGGGAGTCATGTTTGTGCCTTGCATCAACCACTTACTAAGGTAGTACACGAGTCCAGGGAACAGACCGGCCTCGAAAACTCCAAGCAGGAATCTTAGAGCTGTTACTCCTGCGTAGTTGTGGACGCCGCCCAAGCCCATGGTCATGACTGACCAAGACAACATCAAGAAAGCAATCCATTTGCTTGGACTGAGGCGTTTGAGAAAGTAGTTGGACGGTACTTCAAAGACCATATAGGCGATAAGGAACACCATCAAGGCGATCGTATATTGGTAGGCCGTCATGTGGGTCTCAGAAAGCAAGTCATTGTGAGTCGAAGCATTCAAGACCTTAGCGTTACCAATGTTGGACCGGTCAAGATAGCACAAAAGGTATATGCCGCAAGAGATGGGTAGGATTCTCAGGTCTTGTTTCCAGACAAGCCTCTTGTCCTCGGCGGAGCCTCCCCGAGTGTAGGCTTGTTGTGAGCTGTCGGACTCGATATCGTTGACAAACTCTGGCTCGATATCCTTCTCATTCATGTTGGTCATTGCGACAGATTGGTAAGGAGACAAATATGGTCCGGGGTAAGGTAAATCTGGGGAAGATGGTCAGATAAATACCTAGAGGCGCAGCCCAAGAGTAAAGCGGTGCCGTGTCAGCCAGAAGAGATGTCGGGTAGAGGAAGGTAAGAGCGGACAGGCACGATTTCGGTCGCCGGCCCCAACTACCGCTCCTGCAGAGTGCAGATCAGACCAGATTGAGCGCACACACAAACCCCACACCGTGAGGGGTAACAGATCCTTCGGTCATGGAGGCCGATGCCTTTCCCCATATCTGTCCTGTCGGCCCCGGCCACCGCTTTTTATTCAACAACCATGCAAACTGCTAATTGCGATCGGTGTTATCACCGAAAGAGCAAATGCGACCGACTTCAACCCTGTACACCGTGTAGTAGAAGCGGGACACAATGTCACTACACCGACCGGACTAGAGATAGGGCGATTCGACCGGACGTCGTCAATCGCCTCGAGAGGCGTCTTGCTCAAGCCGAGAATCGAAACAGATCTTTGGCAGCTGAACTAGCTAGGATCAGGTCGGTTGGATCACAAAGCAGCAACGATAACTCCTCGAACACCATATCACAACACTCGGGGTCGAACAACAGCACGAGCAGGCGAAGTGATGTCGCAGCACAAGTCTCTATACTATCGACTAGTGCGGCTGGTGAACGGCAATACTTGGGATCCACAAGCGGAGTGTTATTTGCAGATCTCGTCAGAGCCAGCGTCGACGTGCCACACTCAAGACACCCATCACCACCATCTACGATACGTACAGAGGACTCACAAGATGATTCTGGAGATCTTCGTCCTGAGATACCACGGGAGCTTGCTTCCAGAAAGCTAGCGCAGAAGCTGATACAAGCGTACCTTGATCATGACTTCCTATGTTATCCCTTTCTCATACCTTCAGAGATCTTTAGAATTCTGGATTGCCTCTATAGCTCTGGAGTGGCTAGTCTGACGTGCTATGAGCTCTTCGTGGTCGACATGCTATTTGCTATCAGCACGGCGCAAGTCTCGAAGTATGACTGGAGGCAGCTGCCGAGTGCTGAGAGCCATCATGCTCGAGCCATGTCTACTATCGGCGATGTTTTACGGCTTGGCGGACTGCAGTCTCTACATGCCATCCTCTTGCTTTGTCAGTACAGGACTGGCAGCTCAATACAAGACAACTCCGGATCAATGTGGCTGTTAGTCGGTATAGCCGCTCGTATGTGCTTCGAGATGGGACTTCACAAAGAGTCAGCCTACCCATTAACCGGACCCGGTACCGAGGATGCTACAGCAAAGCAATATCTGTTACAGGAGTCGAAGAGAAGATCTTTCTGGAGTGTTCTCTGTATGGACAGAATCACTTCGCTCATTCTTGGTCGACCCTGTGCTATAAGAGACGATGACTTCGATCATGTTTGTCCTGAAGAAGATTCTACGATACTCTCCACAACGTATCGTGACAGACAGAACACCNCCTTTGTATTTAGACATATCGTATCATACCGACTACTCTGCGGACAAATTGTGTCCGCTCTGCACCGAAAGAAGGGCTCTGATGTCTCAGAACAGCATGTTATACGCATCAGGCAAGAACTATGTGCAGATCTTGACAGATGGAAACAAGATGTAGAACAGCTGCATCTAGAACAAACCTCGCAGACGTCCTCCTCCTGCCACCTGTCTATGGAATGGTACAGCTTGTTGTATTCCAATGCGATGCTCATACTGTGGCGGCCCTCACCACTCCTACCTGACATTTCTCACGATGCAGTATCCTTGCAACATGTATTCGACTCTTCGAAGCAGAGCATCACAATCTACGCGAGTCTTCACAAGTCACGAAAGATCAACTACAGCTGGATCACTTTGCAGTCAGTGTTTCTGGCTGGTCTCTCTTATGTCTATGCCTGTGGGCGTCACTTTCGCTCACGCTGGCGCAATCCCTCCGAATCATCTTTGCAGAAGGATCCGACGACCATCGAGGTAGTCAACGATACTAGAGCCTGCTCAAACGTGCTAGTAGCTGTTTCCGAACGTTGGAATGCACTCAGGAATTGTCATGAAGTATTCGATAGACTGGCTGATGCTGTGTTGAGCGACGCGATAAAGCTTCAGACTGCTCAGGCGCATCAAATGGCCCAGTCTATGGTACCGCCACCAGTCAGTGTTAATGACGGCTCTTTTGGCAGTTCTATGATGGCGCCCCGAGACTCATCGACATTCTCCCCTTTGGCCGTGGATACAGAATTCTTGCACTGCTTTGACGATCTTCAGCAACTTTATAACATGCAGCAGATAGAAGATCCAGTCATGGAACTGAGTCAAGACTGGCTCGGTTATCTGGGCACCGGCAGTGACTTCGTCGCACCTGCTTATCAAATGTCAGGATATTGAGTAGCCTGTTTATTCACGGATGTTATCAAAAGCATGTATCTACCAAAGTTACCACTGTCTTGGTAGGCATAATTTATATCGTGCCTCTCTGCAGAAACATGATAGGAACATCAACATGCTTGCTGCGCAGATACTCGCCCACGCCTTTACCCAACCCATCAATACGAGCACTAGACGCGATGCCACCGTCGAGGAAGTCCATGATGCGGCTGGAAAATGTCAGTACTCGTTCCTTCAGGATTCTACATTCTACACAGACTCACAAATGCACAGCAAGGATATTTGGAAACTCGCATCTCTCAACGCTGTTCCCAGCATAGTCTTCCTGCAGCAATTCCTTCAACTTGTTCACTGTGAGTAAAGCCTGCAGCCACGGGTATTCGTCGTCGTGCCGTACGAAAAAGCCAACGTTCGAATTGTTGGCTTTGTCGCCAGAGCGCGCGTGTACAATACTGCCAAGCGGCATACATTCAGTGGGCCCAAAAGTGGCGAGGTCAACAGGAGTTGCTGTTTCTGACGAAGGCCTTTGGACAGGATAATGCTGTGTTTTCTTTGGTCGCACAATCGAGATTCTCTTTCCCGCTACCACGGCTTCATGATTGATGGCAGCTTGCGGGATTGTTGCTGGGAAGATCTCGTAAAACTGCTTCGGGTCCATGGTGCGGAAGTCGAGGTTCATGTGGTAGCCGGGATAACTCTGCATGCGCAGCGAGTAGAGAGGTATCTTGAATTTCTCGGCGGCGATGTCTTCCTTGTTGCGCGCTTGCGCGAACACCCGCAGCATTACGGTACCTGCTTGTTGTGAAGAGGGGTTGTCGACTTGAGTGCCATACAGTTCAGCGGAGAATTTCGAAAACTGGCTACCACTAAAGATGTTTTGGAGTTGTTGTTTTATCATCTGTGCTTTCGCTTGTACGTCAAGGCCGTTGATGTAGTATGTTGTTTCTGCTTGCCAACCTCCTGGTGCTGCGACCATGACTTTTGTAGTTGGAGGTGGTGGGTAACCTTTGCAACCAGATACCAGGACATGATTTTCGCGGCCTGTGTCTTCTATCCGGACACTTGCAATATCCGCTACCACATCTGGATTGAGATACATTTGTCCCTGTAGCTCATACAAGAGCTGGCACGTGATATTTAACCGGTTGACCACTCCATTCATAGAGTCTGGCTTGGCGATGTAGCAGGCCCCGGACGGCATAATCTCTGCTACTGGAAAAGCCAAGTCCACCAGATCTGGCAGGTATTGTTTGAAGCCGGAGAAGTTCGCACCTGTGGCGTAGGGCCCACATTCGATGAGATGGCCTGCTATCAGTGCGCCAGCGAGCTGATCATAAGCTTGCTCAGACCAGCCATACCACCAAGCAGCAGCAGCAATGACTGGCGAGGCGTCAGTGACACGACCACAGATGATGATATCGGCACCCTCCTTCAGTGCTGCAACGATACCCCAAGCACCTATATATGCAGCGGCACATGTAGGCTCGAGGTCAGAATCCCAATTCTCCAGAAGCTGTTCCTCATGGTCCAAGTGAGGGAAGTCGAGGATCCGATCTCCGGACTTGCTCTTCTTCAGTAGATGGCTCACGTCATCTCCGAGTATTGTCGCTACTACCATATCATGTCCACGGCTTTGACAGAGCTCCTGAACCTTACGCGCCAGTACAGGAGCATTCATAGCGCCAGCGTTAGCGATGATCTTGATCTTTCTCTCCGCAATGTCGTCGATACATTCGATGAGTTGTCTGAGGAAGCCCACATCGTAGCCAAGTTCTGGATCTTCAGCCTTCTTGATCGATTCCCAGGCTATGTTCATCTCAGAGAGCNNCTTTCCCTCCTATCAGCTAGGCCAAATACTGTGAAGACCTTGGACATACCAGTCACCGGTAATGACATCAACTTCGGCCTCCCGTACCATGCGAGCCATGGCATGTGGTGCATCTCCAGTTGCTCCACTGCAGTTACCAATCCTGAGGTTTCTTTCTGTAGGCATTTTGTCCTCGACTGCAATTTGGATAATCGTTTTCTCTGAGCTCGAAAACAACAAGAAAGGTTCACATATTAACGAACGAACTTACCGAGACGATCCCAACAAGCGGCGGCCCATTATCCAGCTCGATCACCTGCTTGACCGGCATAATCTTAGTGTTACCACTCTTGATTGAAGGATCGTTAGCAGACGGCCGAAATATTGGAAGAGGTGGATGCTGTCGGGCGTCGGCGCCGAAAGCCTTCTGATTTCAGCCGCCGACGACACATTGCGGAGACCCCACAACCGAGCAAACACGGTGGCATTTTTCCTCTGCTCGCAAGCAAGAGAACTTGTGATCACCGGTTATCACGGACTCGAACTGCCGGCGGAGAGTCTACCACAGCGAGAGCCGTGAACTGGGAAGTGGAGATGTGACGTCCGTCAGTCATGAAGCACAGGCTGTACAGCCCGCTCAGCTCGCCATGATCGTCCAGTATAAAATCACCGGTATGCCTCTGAGAGTGCCTAAATCTTTGTAAGTTCGACTGGCAGTATGAGGTTCTGTTCCATCCTTGCCATTCTTGGTGCTTTCTCAACCTCAAATGCGCTGCTCACAATCAAGAACAATGATTGTGTGACATTCCTTCGTAACCTCTCACTTCCGGGAAACACTACGATCACGAATGCGACCCATCACCAAGCTCACACTGTCAACGTCACCAATGGAGCACAGAACATCTACAACAAATATGCTTTCTGCGAGGTCGATGGTACAGTCTCGTACGGCAGAAATTCAACTTTGCACTTCTCGGTCTATCTTCCAGATGCCCTGTCCTACAGTGGCAGTTTCATGGCCGTGGGGAACGGCGGTATGGCTGGAACATTGGACACAGTAGCTCTAATGCAACAACTAAACTCTGGTTTTGCCTCTGCAGCCGGTGACGCAGGTCACCTCGCCAGTGTCAACAATGCAGGTTCAGGAGCCCCGGATACTTACATACCTTACCTACACAACCCAGATGAAGTCCAAGCGTGGATTCATAACGCTATATCTCTCTTCGTGCCATCCACCAAAGCCATCATCAAAGCTTACTACAACAAAGCAGCTGAGTATAGCTACTATACCGGTTGCTCAACTGGAGGAGCACAAGGCTTTGCGTTGGCGCAATTCCATCCAGAGCTTNTTGACGGGATTATTGCTGGGTGTCCTGGGAACTGGTACTCGCATCTTGCTCTCTCGTTCTTGTGGAATGCGCAACATGCAGTGCAGAACACATCCTCCTATCTCTCGCAGGAGGTTCTGAATTTTACTGGGAAAGCAGTGCTGGAAGCTTGTGATGTCGATGATGGTGTCAAAGATGGAGTCATCGAAAATCCTCTGAATTGCAACTTCACCATCGACTCGTTGGCTTGCAATGCCACCACCGCGTCTCGCAATAACAGCAGTATATCCTGCCTTACCGCCAATCAAATCACAGCCGCAAAAGCAATTTACTCTGGTCCCAAGAACGCCAAAACCGGAGAGTCTTTATATCCCGGATTTGCACATGGCTCAGAGATCCAATGGATACTCCAAGAAGGCGACCTCGCCGATGCCTTCTCAATCCCAATCCTCCAGAACCTAGTCTACGACAATCTGACTTACGACGCAAGCACCTTCAACTGGGCAAGTGACGTGACCACCCTCAACACCAACGCTGGAGCCAAAATTGACGCCATAAGTACCAATTTGACTGCTTTCCGCAACAGAGGTGGGAAACTCCTGGTCTACCAAGGCTGGTCCGATCCCCTGAATGCGCAATTATGGCCACTCCAGCATTACGAAGACGTGCAGTCGTTCTTCGGAACCGACATCTCGGACTTTTATAACGTGTTTATGGTGCCGGGAGGTGGACACTGCGGTGCTGCGAGTTTTTATCCTCAGGTGCCTGCGACATATCATACTGTCTCTGCATTGATGAATTGGGTAGAGCGGGGGCAGGAGCCTCAAGAAGTATTAACCACTGATCCAGCTGATGGAGAGACAAGGAGTAGGAAGCTATGCGCTTGGCCGAGGGCTGCGGTGTATGTGCAAGGTGATGTAGATGATTGGACGTCATATGTTTGTGAATAGGTTCGGAGGCAAAACGAGTAATGGTTCAACCAGTACATAAAAGATATCAAGTGTTCTAAAGTGAGTAGTACAACACTGATTTCAGGACCAACAATGCTAGGGATGTTCGTTATCGTTGATCTCCTCGAACCTTGTCCGATGGAACCATGAATCGATAGAGGGCAGAACCGTAACCTGACCCGAGTCCACGCCACTCGTGTTTGGTCTTCCAGATAACCCAATGTACTCGTTCGGGAAGTAAGACGCAGGCTCGCAAGCATACACGGTGGTAGAATCTTGTATTTCAATGCTCAGTGTGCTATTGAGCATCCATTCGACTGGTGGCAGAGTTCTTTGCTGACCAAAGTCCTGTTGATCTAGCCTTGGTCTCTTGCAGCCTTCTGCTGCGTCTCTCAACTCTGCAGTCAAGGACATGCGACGCTTTGTAGCCATGGGCACAGGATGGCGGTAGCCAGATGCGTCATGCATCTGTTGTGGCTCGTTGCGTTGGGCAAGGTGTGGGAGATATTGATCATGATGCCCTCCAGCCAAACCCAAGTCTTGTGCGTAATGAGATTTCAGATATGTATTTCTCTGCTGTGCGCTGTCTGATCGCCTCAACATTTCCGGCCAGTTAGATCCTTCCGGAGGTGAGCTGACCTCGTCTGGATTCAAGTTGATTGCATCTGAATATTGATCAGGGTCGTCCGGAGGCACTTCTCGCCCATGTGGTTCGTTTGGAGGTGAGCTGACTTCATTTTCATCCGAGTCGACTTCATATGAACATAAATTGCAGTCGTCTGAAGACCAGGCGGATGACTGCTCGTCTCGGACACGGATCTCGCCGTGCGGCGACCATCTGGATGTTCCCACCCGTTCGCAGTCGCCCTGATACCGTTCAACAAGGGCACCATGAGCTATTATGGATTCTTCCTGGAGGCTCATCTCTGGCCATTTACCCACGCTGAAACGTTTTTCCAATTCTCACTATCGCGGCCGTAGAAAATGTGCTCGTCGCCTCCATAAGGACACGCAGGACAAGTGGATTGGACAGAAGACTCTTGACGTAACCAGAATAGATGGTGAAATGGTGTGTACCGTTCGGAATAGATGCTCGGCTGTTGTGGGTGTCGTATCATCCAGTCTTGATACTGATCGTCACGTAGCAGTGCTCGCCTGATCGCACAATAGATGAGATCATGTCCCCTCGTGTCACTTTCCATCTCTGCAACACCCTGCAGAAGTTGACTTAGGTGGGTTTCCACTCCATTGGAACCATGGGTAGAGAGTTGAACTTGATCATCGAAACCGAGATTTACTTGTGCATGATGCAACGCGTCATCTTGGACCTTGCGCTCGAGCAGCATATCGAGTGTCCGCCAAATGTCCGAAGGGTCAACGGCGAAACGAAATTGTGCGAGCGTGCACTTGAAGATGTGACTTCTCAAGTCGCCATCGAATTCGCGCAAAGCCCCACGTGAGTAGAGCAGACGTAATTTTGCCCAAGTGTCTCGAAACGAGTAATTAGCGCAAACCGCAAAATGTTCTTGGCTCAGGAATATGGGATATTGACTTTCATCCAGGAAGTCTCTCAAGGTAGTCTGTAGCATTCATCAATGTTGATTCAATAGTGATGTGCTGGAGCCAACATACACATGTGCCGCCGATGATAGCAGAGTCGATTAGGCGACGATATCCTTCCGGTTCGTCTTGGTCATAATCAAACCCTGCTTGGAGAAGCAAGCGCTGTATTTCGATAAAGCCGCGAAGACGAGTATGTACGCCAGAGGAATGCAGGTCCTCTTCTGCATGAGACAGTGCATTCGTGAGAAGAGTGTACATGTCGAAGCTGCTCGCGATTAGTACTCGATAACCTAAGAGCGTACGTCGTAGGGATCAACCTGGGCAAACGTCCATCATCCTCGGCCGGGATCTTCTCGAACAGAAGCTCATATGGAAGGCACTTTCCATGACCATTCACATCTATGCCCCGTTTAGTCAGGAAACGTACGATGTCGGCCTGACCACAAACAATGGCATACTAGGCTTGTCATTAGTAGATCAATTATCACCAGCAAGGCATCGTGCGACTCACAACCAGTAGACCACGTCCCTCCGGATCGCAATCCCAGATTCTGGCTCTTCTATGTTCGATCAAATTGGTAAACATGTAATAGTCCCCTTGTACTATCGCTTCAAATACCTTGTCATCGTATGGTAGCTTTCCGTGCATGATGATGGTAGCTGGCATGACTCTTGTGCCCTGACGACCAAATATTTGCAGGAGATGCATCGACAGCCAGAATCTTTTGTATTGAGTTTGGCTGGCGGTAAAGGTTATCACAGACTCCAACGACACAGGCTTGCCATTTGCAATCTTGCGCTTTGTGGTTTTGATCTCGAATATGCCTTCAGCAATGCTCGCGCTGTCTTTGTAGGTTTCTGTGATCAGGAGGCCTGAACTCTTAAAGGAGATGCGAGGCTGGGCTATGTGACAATTAGCGGTGGTCTCAGAAGGTTGCATGTGTTACTGACTCCTTTCATTCACTTGAACATAAGTATTGATCTTGATCATGGCTGAAATCTTTTCTATGTCACTTTTTCGGTGATGGCGAAGAACCTGAGGACTACGCCGTACGTCTCCGGCAATGGCTTCTGAGATTCCGGCCCCGCGAAATGCAGATTCGATAACCTCTGACATGCTTCTTTGGAGAATGTATGCGCGTGTCTCACACGGTGCTTTGGGTGGATTCATGGTGGCATCAACTAGCGCTTTCATGCCATTGATCACTCTCTCCTCGTCTTCTATTAAACGGTCAGTGGACAGTGTCGTTGTATGAGCATTGTACGTGTTATTTGCCTGGATCTGCAAAACAAATGTTAACGCTTTTCTTCATTGTTTCAAGCGAATACTACAGCATCGAGGCTTACATACCCTTAGAGCGAGCCAGCAACAAGTCAGGTGCTACCTCGACCATTTTCTCCAGCACTTCGCACACTGTTTCCNNAAAATCTTCCTCTAAGGGATCGTTGAACTTGTTCATTTCGAAGTGGTTTCGCGAGAGTGAATACTTGTCCGTGTAGGTACCTCCGTCGAGGCAACTTGAGCTCTCGCTGACAACAAATGTCTGGCCATCGTATCAACCAAAGCTCATTCAGGAAGCAGGTCGAGTCTTAGATTTGCTCGACCTCAGACACATCGTTATATGCCTACCTTTCTCTCCTTTNTGACCTATGAGCCTTCCGACGTCACAGGGCTTTGTCTCATAGAAGCATGCAATGCGCGCTTGGTTTGGCTGTGACCTGAGCTTCGTAAAAGTATCCACCAAGTCCTGAAGTAGCTCGTTGCCTGGATCCAGGATTTGCAACACTTCGGTTTGGATCTGGTCTTGGTATTTGCTCAACGCAGCCTGCAGTATCTCGCTCTGGCTTATGCCTTCCGCACCGCGGAACGGTGTACCAAAGAAGATCAGGCCGGTGACAGACTGGAATATGCCAGGCCATTCGTTAGAGTCGTGACGGGCGTCAAGGATAGCCTGTTATCTCAATGAGCGACCCAACCCATAGCTAAGAACAAGATTGGGCAGCAGGATGTGATTACTGACCTTCAGCGTAACCAACCCGCCAAAACAGTGGGCGATGATGATAAGTGGTCGATTCTGACATTCNCTACGGTCAGAATTAGTGTCGTCGTTTGCAAAGAGAGAACAGCGCTGTTCTACTTTTCTCGCTCGCCTGAGTGCTAACAAGAATCGCTTCGCTACTTGCGTTGTTTTCTGCTTGATGACTTCTGGTGCAATACGCGATGGCTGTCGCCCAGTGACTTCTGGTTCGCACCAGGCTGACTCGTATCCATAGCGCATGATCCGCGCATTTGGTGCTATTGAAGGAAGCATATCGGGATCATCGAGCCAGTTGACATAGTTTTCGGGCCTAGTCTTGTCGAGGTCCGTTTCACGGAGCTTACACCAGGTATCATCTGGATGTGCCCCGATGCCATGAATGGCAACAATGCTGTTGCAGAGTTAGATTCACTTTCGCGATGCCAATCATGGCGAAGTTCTGAATGCAGCATTACTCGATGGTTCTGTCNNATCTGCATTTGCTCCAACCAGCACCCTTATGCCTGTGTCCTTCCCCGTCACGACTCGCGCCTATTGGCCATCGTCAGTGCTACTCCAAACATTCCTTCGGGGCACGAACCATTTGGCAAAAGTTCATTCAAAGTTTGCTGGAGATCGTACTGCAGACGAAGGGAACGGAGAGGCGAGAAGATGGAGGTCTAAGGGGAATGAGAAGGGCGTTAATGTTGAAGCACTGTCTCTATCGGCGACCCTCGAGCAGTGCCGCGTAGGTCCTCATGGGATCATTTTAGCGCCTCGAGTAAGTCTGTCCACCCTCTACTTCTGCAAGGCTGGTTATGGCCCCAGATATGATAAAGCCGCCTGATTCGTTGCTCCCTGCAGTATGGTTGCAGAGCGGTAGTATTTTTAGATGCTCCATCTCTGGGCGGACATTCCGGTCACCCGGGTAGCAATGAAGATCATCATGGTCTTCAACAGGAATGAGCTGATAGCTGAACATCATGAGGTAGAGCGAGAAACACGATTTTCATTTTTGTGCTCAATAATATTATGGTGTTTGTGTTTGAAGGTGGGAACCTGTGCGACTGGAAGAGTTAGAGGGCACGGATCACCTTCCTACCCCGCCAATCGTTGGGAAGGAGCGTTGCCTACACAAGCTGGTCGATTGACAATTGTTACCATTACTCATCAACATCAATGTGATTTGCTTCTTCCATCCACCGCGCCTCCACCGCGCCACCACCGTCTGGGGCTGAGTTGGTCGCGCATGTCGACTTTGCTAAAAATGTGCTCCGATGACCCTACACCAACCGATCTTCAAACATAACTAACACCTCCAGCCTCCAGGCGGTGCAGCTGGCAACATCGACTTCAATGCTGCGATAAGGTGCCGCTCGCGCTCGACTCCGAGCGATCTTGTTCAGCACTCCAGCAGCAGGTCAGAGTAAAGAACAACACAGACAGAGAGTCATTTTCCGCCTCAACATGTCGACCTCGGAGCACGATACGTATCTCCAGGACTTTTATTCGTCTTTACAATCGGACCAAGTGAACAAGATTCTCGAGGTGCGCTCAACGCCTTGTACAGATACACTGGCTAGCTTCCACACCATCCGTGAGCAAAGATCATTTCGCTTGGAAGAATTGGATCAAGTCAAAGATATCAGCGATACAGAACGCGTCGTGGTTGTTATTGAGAACATTGATCAATCTTGGATCGCTAAGCTAGGCACCCTTTGGGGAATCCACCACTCTTTCTTTGCTAGACATGGTTGCAATCCCGAAGTGACATCGACCATCTGGCAAGCCATTTTCGGAAACACTGTCGCAGAGCAGAAACCCCCAACTTTAGAGAAAACCTCAACACACTCTCAATGGCACATCGACGGATTTTATGGACATAACAGCCACTCGCCCTTGTTTGCGGATAGCCTCAGTGCTACCAACTGGATTCCTCGACTCCTGAGCTGGGACAAGAAGTATGGTTGGCAAGCCAGCACACGTGTGTCCTGTTACGTGAGGCATGACTTGCCCCGACCATTGTGTGAGTGAGGTTACAGGGCCTAGCTCGTCAGTCACTAGTATTATTTGGCTAAATCTCCATCGACAGACCTGTTTCTCATCGATAGTCCGCTATCTCGAGCAAGAGCCGGTGCAGTGGGGAAGCAGGCAGAGATGACGCTCCATCTGCCACTTGCTGGAAACCGTGGCGGTCTAGTCATTCCAAGTCTCCACGAAACTGGCAGCCAAGCTCTCCACGAGTCACTAAAGCGGTTTCTATCCCATGCTTGGCACTTCGACGTCCTGTTCGCAAGCGAGAGGTGTTTGTCGCCCAAGATCTTTNTTTATCTATTGGCGTCATCGTTGTTCGAAGACAACCTGCGTTCTATCGACGGACGAATCAGAGACATTTCGTTCAATCAGATCAGACGGCCCAGTATAAAGATCAATGACAGCCTTCACGACCTTCGAGAAGCGCTTGTCTCTCTGCAGGATCAGGTAACCAGGACCATCAAGTGGTTGCCTTCATCTGTGCAGCAAGATCTTGAATCTGTTCAGAGCAAGCTCAAGGTCACCGACCTCTGGGAGAAGTCAGGAGCTCAACCGTATGTAGGCTTTCCCAGCAAAACCTTGCCGGATATACTCGAACGCTGTATCCATCTTGAGGACTTCTTGATGCAATCGTTCCAACTACTTGTTAGTTCAACAAGTGTCATGAACGCCGAATCAGAGAAGGAGCAGTCAAGTCGAAATCGGTCACTAACACAGTTGGCTTTCGTGTACGTGCCGCTGTCATTCGTGACAGGAGTCTTCGGAATGAACATCAAAGAAATCAACGGGTCTCCACTGTCTGTGTGGGTGGTGTTCGGCACACTTGCCATCACCATAGTGTGCACAGCCGCCATCTTCGTAGTCATTCGAGTATGGAAANAATACTCGGATGAACACAAGGATGAGTCGTAGCAGGAATTTCGTTGAACGAGTGGGTTGTTGACTAAACGGACTTCGCGCGCGCGCGACAGATGACTACATACAATCTCGAACTCAACTCGACAATCATCACGTCGTCGCCATGCCCGGATGAACCGGGTTTGACATGAACACGTCCAACCTTACCAAACGCGACCTTGCAACGACATATCCAGAGGCGTTTTGCGCTTACATGACTCTAAAAACAACCATCTCTCTACAAACCAATGGCACATCAAACCCACCTGCTTACAAAAGTCTACGAGCAAGTGCTGAATATACAATAAGAGGGGGACCTAGCCAGTTGGGTACTTGAACAATATAGAACGATGACACTAACCATCCTTGTTTCTACATAGCCTGATTAATAGCTTTTTAAATCAGGCAATATAACTCATAGAGCTCAATCCAGCTCTCAAACATATACGTTCTTTAGCAGCATCAGACAAGCTGAAATTGGTTTGCAGATCCGCAGTGTCGTGAAAATTATCAAATGATCGCGACTGCAGTACAAAACTCGAAATCATCTAAAACGCCGCCGTGTACTGTTCCTACGTTAGTAAAGTGAGTGCAGAGAAAGAAGATGGCAGAGCGGGTGTTAGCGATTAAACCGTAGAATCGAGAAACGAAGAGTAGGAAGTTGTGCGCTTGGCTGAGGACGGCGGTGTATGTGCAAGGTGATATCAATGATTGGACGTCATATGTTTGTGAATAATCACTCAGACAAGTTCATCAACGGAACCAGTGATGCCCAAGGTCATATAAACAAGACCCAAAACACAAGAATTGACAATATGAATCTTTCGCACATACATATACGAAGATGCTCATACAGATATTCCCTACATCTATGCCACATACATCAAAACACCAAGACAAACTCCCCACTACCTATTCGCCTCAATCTTCTTGACCAACTCCCCACCTAACCTTGCCATCTCAGCCAAGACACCAGTCTTATTGATCTCAGCAACAACCTCTTCGCCCTTCTTGACCGGCACGGTCGAATACGCAAGATTGACCTTCCACGCTCTGGCAGCAGTGACAGGACTCCAAAGACCCGCAATCGTAGTGCTGCCAGCGCCGCCATAGAAAAGCGCTAACGATTGACCATACACACTCTGCAATTCATGGAAGAATGCATCTGTGGGTGCGTAATCTACCAATTCTGCATTCGTCTCTTCGACAATGGCGAGGTTTTTGTATTTGCCGCTTGCGGTTTTGGATTTTGTCGTGGTGTATGCGGGGTTGAGGTGGATCACAAAGTCATAATCGCCAAGTGGTGAGACGAAGAGGGTCTCAATGTCTAGTGATAGCGACTTTGCATCGACTTCGGCGGTTGCGGCTTTGGCTAATGCAGTCATGCGGCCGCAGACGACCTTTGCGGGTGTACCGTCTGTCCAGGTTGTGCCTTCCAGGTCGTTGCTGCTGGCTACAAAGAGAACAACACGGTTGAGTGCTGGGTCTAACTTACGCCAGGCTTCGAAGCGAGTCGTTGCTGCTGCCACGTTGTCGGCGTCGAGATCACCGCCGAGGTCTACGATCAAGGGATCAGTGCGCCAGTCGAAGCGTGAGAGGAAGGAGAGAGTGCGCAAGAATGCGGCTTGTGTTGATGAGGGTGTGTTGTAGGGCCATGGGCGAGTGAATGTGTGGATCGCAAACAGTTCGATGACTTCTTCAGAGTAGTGATTGCTCAGCAAGTGCTCGGAGAACCACTTNTTCAACAATCGAACAGTTGGTGAGAGCACGGGGTATCTGGTGCAAAGCTTCTGCAGGGCTTGAGTATGCGCTGGTGACTTGATGAATACACGCTTGTAGGTAGCGAGAGCAACAGCTGCAGCCTCCTTNTCGCTGGGTGCGGCGGATTGCGACTTCAAAATACGTTCCACCAGAGTCTGCTCTCTATCGTGATGGATGCGGACGCGGAAAGAGAAGCCAGTAGGATAGATCACGTCGAGGAAAGCTTGATTCAGAATATCCTCGCCTTCGTTCTCCAGACCAATGCGAGAAGTGACACCCTCTTGTGTTGACTCGAAAAGCTCACCAATCTTGAGCAAGAAGGCAATCTTGGTACGTTGAATGGCGACAAGATCATCGGGCCAACGACCGGATCCCTCGAATTGAAGAACGACATCAGCAGGACGCTTCATCTGCTGCTGAGTAGACATAGGAGGTTCCACAGAAGAGTAACGGAGTTGCGAGTCAGCGGCCAGGATAGAACGAATAGTGAGAGGGAGATCATCCATGCCACGAATGTTGCTCTCCAAAGTCTTGAAAGCCTCCATCAAAGGTTGGAAGGCGGCAAGACCATTGCTCTGCTTGATGAGTTTAGCACACTCGTCACCAGAGAAGACAGCACTTGCGGCTGCATCCTGTCCAAAGTGACGGTAAAGCAAGAAGGTTAGGATTTGCTGAATGATTGACATGCCACTGTTGGTAGCCCAAACCAAACTCTCCAAAATGCTTCCATCTCTGAACCTGCGCAGTTCAGCCTTTTCACCCCAGAACTTGCGGAAGGCGGCAGCCTCCTTTTTNTGTTCAGCAGCAGGTCCATGATCAACAGCACGAGAAGCGTTGGCAGAGTCAAGGTTAATGGCAACCGAGACCTCGCCCTTACGCTCCATGTTGGGTCTAGCAGATCCGAGTGCCCAAGATTCGTGATCAGGAGATTGAATTACTACCTGGGTTGCGCGATCACCTAGACCCTGACTGAAGACGCTGAACATCTTGGCGTATCTTTGGAGAATCTGTCGATCCTCGGAGGCATCAGAAGTTAGAGCAGAGCAAGGCACGCGGACGGCTAGATCGTATCTCTTGAGAAGGCTGTCGGAGCGAAGAATAAAGGCAGAGTCGAATTGGTCGAAGAGGTTGTCACCCAGCATTTTAAGAGTGGTACGTGCCTCTGCGCGGAGGTGTTGATAAGACCAGGCAGTCATCTTGTAGAGAATGTTCTGTCCGCGGGGGCCATCGTAAAGGATTGGTTGACCGTCCTCAGATGTAAGGACAATGCCAGCAGCGTCGAGCAAAGCAGGTTCTTTGGCAAGGTCCTTGACAGCAATGTACTGGAGAGTAGCCTTGAAGAGCTGGTAGCTACTGTAACCGCTCGACAAGACTGGCTTTCCTGAACCAGCGCCAGTCCTGAGCAGATTTGCCATTGTCGCAGCCCACTCGAAGTTGCCAAACCCGCCCTTGTTCGTCTCGGAAGCAAGGCCACGCTGTCTCAGCCAGACACGACCAAGCATGCAAGCATCCGTGTATCCTTCACAAGCAGTGGAAGAAACATGTAGCAACTTGAGGTAGGAGGTGATGTGACTGTCAGCTTGGACTGAGGCGTTGTAGAATGGTGTGGCGGGCAGATCTTGGGTCTGCTCGTCATCTCCAGACTGAGCGGGACGGACGCAGTTCTTGTTTGGCAGAAGCTTGTTGTCGGCAAAGGTGCCGTCCGGAATGCCGGGGATGATGTTGATACGCCAGTTGTTCTCAGAGGTCGACTCCTTGGACTGGACCAGCAAGACGGGGTGTAGAGGGTTGTTGCGGAAGTTGACGAATTGGAAAGTGAATTGCTTGAGAGACGACTGGAGACCAGCAGCGATGCAGGCCAGGTAGTATGCACGCTTGTAGAAGTAGCGATGGTTCAGGTAGTCTTTGTCCTGGAACAGTGACTTGGGCATTGTGACGACCATGTCGATGGAGAGAGGAGCCTGACGATCGCGAAGGGACAGCTTGAGAGGGAAACTGCCGACTACGTTGATGTTCTGAGGTTTCTCGTAGGCCAGCTTGTACTTGACATCGTGGGCAGGACGAGGCTCAGGGAAGGGGATGGCGACCTTGGACTTCTTGATCATTTCGCGTTCAGCTTGAAGCAGTGGGAGGGCGTCTCTGTTGGGAATCGCATCGATCTGCTTCTTGATCTTGTGCAGGGCGTCTGCAGCTGTGGCCTCTCTCTTGCCCTGTCTCGGACGGATGTTGGACAGCATTTGATCGACCTGCAGCTTGAACATGTTGCTCTTGAAGGTCCCTCCAGTGTATGCGGCGCTGCTTGCCTCGAGTGAAGAAGCCTGCGACTTGTTGCTCTTGGGCTTGTTCTTGTTGTCCTTAGTCTTCTTAACCTTCTCTTGCAGCTCTTCCTCGCCTTCGCTCTCTTGCTCGTCTTCATCCTCGTCGTCCAGGTCGTCTGCGCTGAGTTCTGCGTCGTCCATGTCGTCGTTCTGGCTCATGTCGTCTTCCTCAATATCGTCGACCTGGTTCCCGGACGCGATCGAGACATCATCATCTTCCACTGGCGAAGGCGAGTGGCTCAGCTTTCTTCGCTTGCTCGACGGGACTGCCATGTTGATATGTTTGTACAGTAGAACAAAAGCTGTCGCAGCTTCCTTGTTCCCTTATGGCGGCGCAAAGTTCCGCTTGGCGTTGGACTTTTTCTGACGAGGAAGTTGCTTGGCGGGGTTAAGATAAGCAAGTTGCGGCGATAAGAATTCGAGGCAAGTGCATTCGTTCGACATGCCGACAGCGGCGTGGGGCGGGCAAGAGTCATTTGTCCACCACCAATGCCACTTGCTGTTTGTGCTTGCTAATTGCTGACCTTCTTCCAGCGTTCCTTCCTAAACTTCCCTGACATTTTCTAGTCATCATGCCCGTCCCTCTGGCGTTCAATGACAATGTCGGCGAGACAATCCCCGCCGACACTCCCCACGTACACAATCCCATACCCCAAGATATCTTGCACTGGCTAACTCTCCACACAGNNGCAGTCAGTGTGTCACTACCAACATGGGCCGCCAATGTCGGCTACGAAGAAGGTCAGAAATGGGTCATGGACAAGATGAAGTGTGGCTACCCTCGTTTCTTCATTCACAAGAGCATCGACCGTCTTGCCACCGAAATCCTCAAGCGCTACGGCAGTCCATCGCAAAAGGCCATGCTATTCCCCACCCACAAAGTCGCCAATCGTCTACTTGAATTCATGCACCGCATAGCCCCCGAGTCTCAAGGCACTGCCCGCATCATCGACTTCGTCCCCAACCCCAAGATCGAATCACACGACGAGTCACAACACGTCCTGCCACGCTTGTCCGCTGTCCTCTATCCCGCCGACCTCTGGCCCGTCGCAAAACAAGTCTGGCAGCACAGTGGAGATGGTGTGTCTAGCAGAAGAGCCGAGTTTGTCGAGAAGCATCTGCTTGATGGTACAATGGTCGACAAGGCTTCCATCTATGACAAGCCACGCAAGGGCCCTCGCAGATACCAGCGCCAGATGTCAATCGACACTCCTCACCAGTCTCCAACCTCGGAAAAGGACGACAAAGACAGCTCCGATCCATTTGCCTTTGTTGAAGAAAGATTTGGTCGCAATTTAAATGTTCAATTCGCTGAACAAGCAAAGCTCGCTATCCGCCGCCGTATTGCTGGTTCCCTGACTTCAGACGCCGACTTGAAGGAAGCCTTGAAGCACCCAGAAGATGTGGAACGCACGAGAAGTGCTGAAGGCTTCTCCGTCGACGATGTCTTCCTCTACCCTACTGGCATGAGTTCTATCTTCAACACACATCGCACCATGATGGCAATCCGACCCAAAAACAAAAGCATCAGTTATGGCTTCCCATATGTTGACACTCTGAAGATCCTTGAGAAGTGGGGTCCAGGTGCCCTCTTCTATGGAAATGGTTCGCAAGAGGATCTGGATGACCTGGAGAAGCGTCTTGAGTCTGGAGAGCGCTTCCTTGGTTTCTTCTGCGAGTTCCCCAGCAATCCTCTACTAAAGTGTCCCGACTTGCAACGTATTCGTCAATTGGCCGACAAGTACGACTTTGCCGTTGTCATTGACGAGACGATTGGCAATTTCCTGAATGTTCACGTGTTGCCATATGCCGATGTTGTGGTTAGCAGTTTGACCAAGGTCTTTTCTGGCGACAGCAACGTCATGGGAGGATCCGCCATCCTGAATCCTGCAGGTCGCTACTACGATGCTCTCAAANAGTACATGGCCCAAGATTACGAGGACAACTTCTTCGAGGAAGACGCCATGTTCCTGGAGCGCAACAGCAGAGACTTTGTGTCTCGTATTGCTCGCATCAATGTTAACGCCGAAACCATCTGTGACGTCTTGATGCAGCACCCTCGTATCAAGCAAGTCAACTACCCAAAACACTCACCATCAAGGAAGTACTACGATGCTTGTAGGCTTCCCAAAGGTGGTTATGGAGGTCTCTTGTCTGCCACTTTTTACTCGATGGACGATGCCATGGTATTTTATGACAATCTCAACACAGCAAAGGGTCCTTCACTGGGAACGAATTTCACACTGAGGTAAGGATTATGCATTCCTGTCAAGACTCCGGCTTGTACTGACTTTATATTGATANGTTCACCCTATGCGCTACTGGCACACTACACCGAGCTCGACTGGGCTGCGACATTCGGCGTAGAAGCCAACCTCGTGCGTTTCAGTGTCGGTCTTGAGGAAACCGAGGCCCTGAAGAAGGTCTTCAAGACTGCACTTGACGCCATACCACAGACGGAGACGAACGGCAACGGCAACGCGGCATAGGCTCACCAAGTCCCTTGACATGACATGGACGAGGATCACGAATTGAATTTTCCAGCAAAGCATATATCTGAGGAGGAGTCTTTCATCTATTGTACATATGTAGCGAAGCAAAAGCGATAACGTTGGCATGAACACAAAACATGAGATCTGAACAGTTCAACAGCTTCTTCACATGTGAGACCCGAGACCTCGGAACCAGGGGTCTCTTCGATCTCGCTTACCGCGACGGAACCCATGATTGGACGATCTAGAGAACGTTTGTCACACGATACTCGATCGCAATGTCAGATACGATCAAGATGCGCTGCAGCCGCAATACACGCGACCCAGGACAAGACGTGGCGCTAGACAAGAGGCGAAGGAGACATGCAAGTGGCCATAAGCACAGCCATAGGAAGCAGATGCATGAGCAGGTTTCAGCCTATCAGTTGTAGTGGGCACGCAACGATGCAGGGAACACTGATTGGACTCGTGCAGTTGACACGTCGTTGTGTGTCTGGGTGCAGTTGCAGTTGCAGTTGCAGTGCATAGCCGATGGGCAACAGTGCACTCTTGCAGCAGCAGCGCTCCAAGCACGTTTGCCGCTCAACTGGACAGCTACAGTACATTTGCATGAACAAAAAAATTAGATTGTTGGTTGCAGGTAGCTAGCGAAATCTGGCAGGCTGCTCGATCTTGGATCTCGCATGCAGGATTTAGATTGAGACAAAGTGAGATGGTGAGATGGGGCTTGCAGGATTTTCGCAGCAGGACATGTTGTGATCTCTTTTCTTTGCTCGATGTTGTCGTCTTTTGCTCTACTTAGTCTTTACTACTTTTGCAGGTCTTTGTGTCTCAATTCAGCGGCCGACGTCTACAGACTAGTAGCCTCTGTCCTCGTCATCTTGTCTCCGAGAAGACAGTTGTAGGCCCAAGCGTTTCTTCGGCGATCTCGCGCGGCCCCACAGATTGCAGCATCGGGCGAATCGGGAATTTTCTTTATCGGAGAAAAAAAGAGATTCCAAGCAAAAAACAGTCGCCCGGCTCGGGGAAAGTTTGCAAAGGGCAGTTTCGACCTAGACTTTGAACATTTTCGTGAGCGTCATCGCATACCGCTTATTCTTCTTGTCGCTTTCCTTACGTCTTGTCTGTTTGTCTTTCTCGGTCTTGTTGTTGCGACACTTGCACATCACACACACGACCATCTTGCTACACGGTCGACCATCACTGTGTTGCCGAGATGCCCCGCGAGTTGAAGAAGAGAGGCCGCAGAGGCGAGGAGAAGAAGAGAAAGCTGGAAGAAGAGGAGGAAACACACCAAGAATTTGCGCAACCGAAACGACAAAGAACAGAGGACGGTGTCGATGCAGCAGCCGAACAACAAGACTTTGTCGGACTTGGCCAGGACGGCGCATACACCAATGGCGACTACCAAGACGGAGAAGGTCATGGCCCGCCCGTGGAACAGGTTTTCTTCGGTATGCTGGACGAGGAAGAGCAGGAATACTTCAAGCGCGCCGATGAGATGCTCGAGATGAACAACTTTGCCGATGCTGACGAGAGGTCGCTGTTCCTGGCCAACGTGTATCGTGAAGCCAATGGCAAGGAGCTCAAGATTGCCAACAGTCAATCGTGCTCGAGATTGATGGAGAGATTGATTCAACTGTCGACACCGGCCCAACTCAAGACGCTGTTCCAGAAGTTTAGCGGCAAGTGAGTTGCTTTGATTGCACCCTGACACTACACACGACTAACCAACGTCACAGCTTCATGCACCTGTTCCAACACCGCTTCGCCTCGCATTGTTGCGAGAAGCTCTTCATCCAGGCCGCCCCTGTCGTCACCGAAGAACTGCTTCATCCCCCAAAGCCAGAAGACCAGACAACTGCCGATGATGACGTCTACGTTAGTATGGAAAACCTCTTCCTGTTCACCCTCGGAGAAATGGAAGGTAATGTTGGTTTCCTCATGACCGACCGCTTCGCCTCGCACACTCTACGCGTTCTGCTCCTTGTCTTGGCCGGCGAGCCTCTCTCCGACTCGACCAACAAGTCTCTGATGCAAAGTAAGAGAAAGGAACATGTCACTGTCAACGGCACCACCAGCAATGACAAGGAAGACGCCACACCCAAGGACAAGGAAGACCGTCGACCCGTCCCAAAATCCTTCACCGAAGCTCTCGAAAAGCTCATGACGGCTAGTGTATCGGGACTTGACACTACCAGCCTTCGTGCACTTGCCACACATCAACTTGGCAACCCTGCCTTACAACTTTTGATCAGACTCGAGCTCACTCATTTTGGCAAGTCAAAAGCAAAGGACGAGAACTCCATCTTCCGTACTCTCCTTCCAGACGACCCCATCACCCCAGAGTGTGACAGCGCTTCTTTCATCAATGGCCTTTTGTTCGATCCCATTGGTTCTCACCTCATCGAATGTATCGTCGAGCATGCACCAGGAAAGATGTTCAAGAGTCTGTACAGAGGTCTCTTGAAGGATCGCATGGCATCGCTGGCTCGCAACGAAATTGCTTGCTACGTTGCCTGCAAGGTACTCGAGAGATTGAGCAAGGACGATCTCCTGGAAGCACACGAGCAGATTTGCCCTCAGATCCCTAGTCTTCTTGAACGCAACCGCTTTGCAGTCATCAAGACCTTGATCGCCAGATGTGCTGTCAGAGAAATCGACAGCCAGGCCATTGCCGTACAACTCAGCGAAGCATATAACGGTCCCGAAGGCTTTGACATTGCCAAGTTACTCAAGCCCGACACTGATGAAGCAGCAGCAACAAACGGCAACCCACCACCTGAAGGCATGCCCGCACACATTGCCGAAGAACGCACAAACCCCCACACCATCAAGCTCCAAGGCTCTCTGCTCGCCCAATGCATGATCCTAGTGCCCGGAGCTTTGAGTGCCTTGATTCTCGAAAGCCTTGCATCCCTCCCTCCCACCACATTGCAGAAAATGGCCAGCGACACCATCATCTGCCGCACCCTTCAAGCCGCAATGACATCCCACAACGCCTCCATCATCTCGCGCCGAAAACTGATCCAGCAATTCTTCGGCCACATTGGCGAAATGGCACTAGACAGCAAAGCCTCGCGTGTAGTCGACGCCATCTGGGAAGGCACCCACGGCCTGGCCTTCATTCGCGAACGCATCGCCGAAGAATTAAACGAGAACGAAGCTTCCCTGCGCGACAACCCTTGCGGACGCGCCGTGTGGAAAAACTGGAAAATGGACCTCTACAAACGACGACGCGGCGAATGGGTCAAGCAATCCAAAATCAAAGCTTCCAACGATGGATTCCAAAGCTTTTCGGAAGTGGATACAAACCTCAAAGCAGCAAACAATGTACATGCGAACAGAAAAACTAGACATGGACAGCAACAAGCAGCTAATGCAGCAACACAACAACAACAACAAGCAGGCACGGAAAGAAAAGTGCGATCCAATTGGCGAGAGAGACATGCTGCCAACAAAGCGAGATCGCAACAGGCGAGAGAGAAACATGTGGCTGGAGGAAGCAGACCTAGTGGCAGTTCGAGCTCGAGTAAACATGCTTCGGGAGCGAATGCTGTTAGTAGCACCAAAGCCTAGACATTACTGTTTAGGTAGGTATTGGTTTCTTGTATGTAATTCTGAAAAAGGACGGAGCAAAGGGGAGGGGGGAGGGGTTTGCTGTTCTACGAGCTACTTTATCAAAGGTCATGGATAATCATTTAGTGTTTGTTCGCCCTTTACGATTCTCAGATCTGATCAAAACGTCCGCTTCGGTGATGTATGTTGTCTTGGTGATTTTGCCATATGCTTGAAGAGCCTGACATGCGTTAGATGTACCGATACAACCAAAGATGACTTAAGACGATCTTAGATACAGTAAGCTTAGTTGATAGAAAAATGGTGTAGAGCAGTCGTCTGTAGAATGTCGCCGACCTTTTTGGCTAATAGTCGAGGGATCGGCGATATTCGGCGATAACGTTAGCTAGCTACCAAATGTCGTCAGAATATTTTCTACCGGTGTCATCTCTGACGGGTACTACAAGAATATAGCCTTCTCTTTTCGCTCATTCTTTTCTGTTTTGTATAACAATATCAACATGGCATCTTTACCTTCCAGACCAGCTGAGGAAAAGCCATTGGTTAGAGCAGACGAGGTCAACGATGTATGCAAGTCCCCAAGCAATGGAAGACACTACCAATGACTGACGAGTGCTTTGTAAAACACAGCTCCTCAATTCGATCCAAGAACTCATTATTCCTTTTATCCGCTCTGCAGATGAAGATGCTGCTATCAAACACACTGGCCATGGTCTCGCCATCGAAGGCAAAGGTCCCCGAACCGCTCTCGTCGAACACCATCCCCCCAACAAGCTAAAATCGCTCTTCGACGTCCAACTCCCCGAAGCTTCGCAAGGCAAAACCGGACTCTTGGAAGTTGTGCAAAAGCTGTTGAAATACAGTGTCAACACTTGGGATCAAGGCTTCATGGATAAGTTGTACGCCTCCACCAATGCCGTCGGTGTGGTCTCTGAACTGCTGCTCGCGGTTCTAAACACAAACTTGCACGTCTATCAAGTCTCCCCCGCCTTGACGATTGTGGAAAAGACTACGAGTAAGGCTTTGGCAAATTTGTTTGGCTTTACTGGTCCTCACGGCGGTGGCATTTCTCAACCTGGAGGCTCGGCTAGTAATGCGACTAGCATTGCCATTGCGAGAAATACACTTTTCCAGAAACCAAAACGGAAGGGATCAATGGAAGGAGGTTTACGCTGTTTACCTCTGCGCATGGTCATTACTCGCTGGAAAAGGCGGCGCAAATGTTTGGATTCGGGTCTTCCGCTGTCATTGGCGTTGCTGTAGACAAACAAGGCCGCATGCTTCCTTCTGCTCTGGACGAAGCAATCCAAAAATCAAAGGATGCAGGCGAAGTGCCCTTCTACGTCAACGCCACTGCTGGAACGACTGTCCTTGGTTCCTACGACCCCATCTCCGCCATCGCCGACATTTGCCAAAAACACAAACTCTGGCTGCACATCGATGGCTCTTGGGGTGGCCCTGTGATCTTCTCCGCCACCCACAAACACAAGTTGGCAGGTATAGAAAAAGCAGATTCCATTGGCGTAACCCCGCACAAAATGCTCTCAGTACCCATGACTTGCTCCTTCTTGCTCGGAAAAGACATGAGAAACTTTCAAAAGGCAATGACTTTGCCTGCTGGTTATCTGTTTCACAACCCTGACGATGAAGATGCGTCTATTGCTGATGTTGGAAATAACACAACGACAGATGTCAATCGCCCTGAAGCGGAAATCTGGGATCTGGCGGATTTGACACCTCAATGCGGACGCAGAGGCGATGCGCTAAAACTCGCTTTGTCTTGGATATACTACGGCAGTGATGGTTTCGAAGCTTCCATCGATGCTGCTTTTTCTGCCGCTTCCACCCTCGCTTCCTTGGTCTCTACCAATTCTGCATTTACTTTGGTCTCAGAGAACCCACCTCCGTGTTGGCAAGTCTGCTTTTACTACAACAAGCAACAAGACCCGGAAACCAATTCGAGGATTACGGAAATGGTTACGAAGAGATTGATACCCAGAGGCTTTATGGTTGATTATGCACCTGGAGAAGACGGAAGGTTTTTCAGGGTTGTGGTTAATCCGGCGACGAGGAAAGGGACTTTGGAGGGATTGGTCAAGGCTATTGAGGAAATTGGCAATGAGGTCAAGGTATAGAAGTGATATAGATTTGGAAAAAAAGCCAGATGGATGTAAAGATGATAATGTTGATGAATGTTTATCTCTTGAACATGCTTAGGTATATCACAGTGGGATATTACAGTCATGACGAATGTACATATGCGTATGCGTGTGCATGTAAATCAAGAAAGCAAAAAGAGCGAGAAGCTGAGACGAGAGGTGGATGGTACAACAAACCGAGGGTTTGCGAGAACCGCAGTAACCAAGGCCGTTCAGTTGACCAAGGGCGAAGGAGGACGATCCACAACGCTCCACACTACCAATCTAGTATTCTCATCCTACACTGATCAAAAACGAGCTCTTCCGTAGATGACGACTCCCGTACGGAGCAGACCCATTGCTCCAGAGACGTTCGTTGTTGTTATCAACGCATCGATAGTCGAGTTTTTTTTGGCAGGCTCGAATGTCCCAGCTGCTGGAGAGCTTCTTACCAAGAGCATCAACGCTCTTCCTGTTGACGCCGATGTGAGTGTTGCGAAGTTCTACTTAGTTCACCTGCTGATCGTTGAATAGATATCCGCACCCGTTACCAAGCGCGCTGTAGCCATTGATCTCGGCGGTGTCGGTGCCGAGCTTAAGCAGCGCGAGGTTGCGGATGAGAAGCGTGTGTCTCCATCGATCTCGGCGGTGTTGACGCTGCCCTCAAGAACCGCGAAGCAGATGCAGAGGAAGAGAAGCGTGCTGTCTCTGTCGACCTTGGAAGTCTCGGTGTCGATATCAAGAAACACGAGGCAGATGCAGAGAAAGAGAAGCGCGCTGTCTCTGTTGACCTTGGAAGTCTCGGTTTCGATATTAAGAAGCGCACACTCCTCGATGGTCTCGACATCCAAGGCTCGGACGTTCCTCTGCTGGGAGAATTGCTGACCAAGATTGTGGATTCCCTCAAGGTGAGTCCGGAGTAAAGCTTCGCATCAGAGAATGATGACTAATATGGCTATAGGTGTCAGCACTTGACAGCTAGAGGTACAAATCAAGTCGAAGTGTTAGCTGTCACCCGCTTTACGAACTATTTTATGATTAGACAATATAACGATATTGACATTGTTGTAAGCTGCCGACGTCTTATTACGTGAACATGGCAATGTGGGAGTCGTGTCAGCAAGGAGTCCAACTACGAAATCGTGCGTCAGGCATCTCAATGCGAACTTTGTGGATTTCGAGAATCTTGAGAAATTCTCTGTGATAACTGATAGGACAACACCCACAGAGTAGCTGCTAATTCATGCAAGGAAGATTCGTGCTTGCCCGTCCGATACTGACATGCTAGAGGGAATGCAGTACAGGCCAGGGTCATGCGAGCAGCAATGTCTCAACTCAAAAAACCACAACTGCCGAGGATCTCGGCGCTATGGTACTGGAAAGCCAATTTCCCCACTCCCAAAACGATAGTATCATCTTGGTGCCCGCTGAAGAAAGCACACGACCTTGTGTCTGAAACACGTCTGTCTTAGTTCCTTTCTTCCTTTCCTGTCACTTTCCTGTCAAGTTCTATCTGGATTTCCTACCTTTTGCATCTTGGCTCTGGATTTTTCTGGTTAACTGAGGTCTTGGTGCAACAAACAATTGATCAGCATCTCAAAAGCTCCTGTGGTGCTAGAATATCATCTCCTGGCCCTCTGATACCCACGGAAATCTATTGAGAAAGCAGCTATCTGCTTGCAGGCGAAACAACATGTCCGACATGGATCCCATTCTCGCAGCGACAAAGGCGGAAGCCACTGCCCCTTCCCNNCCTGCAGCTCACACCCCAAAACCCCTGACCGCACGCATACGTCTCTGGCTGCGACTCTGGATGTTCAAAATCACTATCCGCAGCTTGCTGGGTACACTCCGCTTCTTCCGCTACAAAGGCATGGGAACCCTGCAACCAACCTACCGCAAGGCTCTCGGTTCCGCCGGTCTGGTCCATGATGTCTGGGTTCCCGAGAATTACAAAGAAGGCGATAAACTACCACTCTACATCGATATCCACGGTGGAGGCTTTGCCATTGGCGATCCTTTCCACGACGAGACGTGGTGTGATTTTCTGAGTAAGAGGGGAATCCTGGTCGTGTCTTGCGACTACAGAAAAGCCCCTTCTTATGCTTTTCCAACCCAAACCGAGGATCTAGTGGATGTGGTGACGCAAATCTTAGCTGATGAGTCTCTTCCTTTCGACGCGACTAAAGTCGCAATGGGAGGATTTTCTGCGGGAGGAAATCTTTCGCTGTCGGTTGCGCAGGAAAAAAGTCTACAGGGAAAGATTCAGGCGTTGCTGCTTTGGTACCCCTCGACAGACTTTTCGGCAAAGTACAGAGGTGAAATGAGAGATAGCCCTGACGGCTTACCTGATGTGCTGGCCAAAAGCGGAGAATTGTTTACTTATGGTTATTTACCTACCCAGGGAGTGGATCTTTGTGATCCGAGGTTGTCGCCTGTGTATGCGGATCGCAAACTCCTCCCTCCGAAGATGAAATTCGTGGGTGCCGAGTATGATGTTTTGTGCAACGAAGCCCATGAAACAGCAAAACTGTACTCGGAACACGAAAGCGGCAACAAGCAAGAGGGCGATGCGGCAGAGGATGAAAGACAAGGCGTCCAAACATGGAGAAAAGGCAACATCTGGTGGGAGATGGTGTTGGGAGCACAACATGGCTTTAATTATGTGACGAAGAAGGACCCGAGTGCCGAGAGGGAGAGAAAAAGGATCACAGCATTGGCGTACGAGAGATCGTGTGAGTGGTTGTTGAAAGAGGTGTATGCTTAGTCTGGGATTTTTTTGTTTTTAGTGGCATGTCGTCTCCTGTGGTTGCTGGCGTTGAAGTGAGGATGTTTCTAAATGTGATCGTAGCTGTCAGTCAAAGAGCAAGCTGAGATATACTTGAATTTTTATCAATGGAAAGTGTTCATGGAGCTCGCACTGCCAGAACCAAGGGCTTGAGAACCCGGCGTCGATCTGCACACAATTGTTACTTGTAGCTCTCCTGGCAGCAGCGAGCGCATCAAGTAAACTCGGTTTTCGTGAAGTCGTGTGGAGGTAAATGCCTATTCGGAAGCTCTAGCCTTTGTGTCTTCTGTTGTGTTAGTGTAGGAATTTGTAAATGCGAATGCCAACCATGTATGAGAAGACTTTCCACTCAGAAAATTGTTGATAGAGGTCGCACTGGCACAAACAAGGACTCGAAGGAACCCCGACGTCTGTTGCACAAACTTGTGACTCCCCCTGGCAACTGCTCCTCAGATTCACACTAGATGGTTTGCAAATGCCGATTTTGAGATTCGAAGAACCGAGTGCTGAGGGGTAGAAATAGCGCATCAAGAGGGACCTGAATTGCGAGAGTTATATGTCGATCACGAAGATCTTTTTGGGCCAGGTGGAATTGACGGAGAAGTTGATCCTCGAAGGGTTTTAGGTTTTGCAACAAAAGCTTATGCTGCATATAGGGAAAACAAACCGAAAGCTTATATAGCATATAGAAAAACGAACCGAACGAGACCGAACTCCTTTGAGTTTCTGTATCTGAAGGTTTGGTCTTCGAGTTTGAACTTGCCAACAAGCATGGACTCCATGGTCCGACGTCGATGGCGCGTCTTTATGGTGCTCTGATGGACACAGAGTGAGGCCATGGCCGTTGGGTGATTGCATGGCTTGCACGAAGTCGCGCAACGCTACGAGAGATGATTTGAGATACGAGTACACGTATACCGTACTCTGGCCTTTTGCCTTAAGAATTGATTATTGCTGCTTAAGCTTAGAACGGCGAGTAAGCATGGGCTCCAGCATGCTGGTTGCTCCCCTAGTACAATATTTAAGGGCGAGTCCGCGTCTCGTTGTATCTTGCATGATGCTTGTTTCCGAAACTTTGCAAACAGCCACGATCTTCGCCGCGAGCTTTGTACAGGGTTCCTGAGACATGTTTCTTGCAGGCTGCCTATCTTGATCAAGGCGACATCTGAGAACTGTTGTAATCCTTGTATATACAGACGTTTGGATACGCGCACTCAACGGAAGGCATGGATGTGCGCGTGGACTTTTCCTATAGTCGCATTGTGGCATTTGCGTACTTCCTTGGCTGGAAGCTTTCAAGGTCGATGCTGTTCTCTCCAGTCTGTTCCAGCGTCTGTCAGAGTTTGCTTGTATAGCGAAGCGCATTTAACCAGAGTTCAGGTGCGAGAATCCGAATCCAGCCGCCGACCAGACTTGGTTGGCTCGACACAGCTTGTTACTCTTCAGCGCTCTGGAAGCCGCTGCTCATGCCCTATACATTCCCACTCTGCCTTGGAAGAGCATTGGCTTTGAGCCTTTTGCGACAACCTCGGAGGGGATTTTCGAGTGTTCGTCACCAATACACACGTCGAAGAGCGAAAGCGAGGTCGAAGACCCTAGGCCCTGCCAAGTCATGGGGATCAGCAACTTTGACAAGCCAACCTCGGTTCTCTGTCAAAAGCCGTTGAAAGTGTGTTTCAGCTTGCCGAAAAGGTGTTCCTCCTCGGAATGATATGCAAACTCGTCTACGATGGCCAAGGAGCGCTTCGACTGTATGCGACTTGGCTGGAGAAAGGCTGTCGTGACTCAAGCACGGCGATGATGGCAAGGTGACCAAAATTGTACCAAAAACCTGATTGCAATCCTCGGACTGACGGCACAAGAGCAATTGGCATCCAGTCCTATTGCGCTTGTCTCAGTAGCGGCAATCTCAAGGACGTGCGGAGGTGATTGCCGCAACATGCAGATCAGAGCGACTCCAGAGCGACTCGCCTATAAGGTTCTTTCCTACATGGACTCTTTGCAGGAGATGCACCAAAAGTCCAATGCAGGGTGGGCAAAAGTCATGGAGACAGCTGTGTACCAGACTTTCGAGAAGGTTTTCTGACATGAACACCTTTTTCTGGCCAACATGCGTGTCAGGTGGGTCAACCTGGCTTGCCCATGACAAGTGGAGGTCAAAACAAGGTTGAGGCGCCCCATGCTTGATTGAATGCTTTGTTGCTTGAACGAATAAGCACGTTTACTGACCAAGGCGAGCAATACCCGTGGCCGATCACTCAAACCATGACAGAAATGGCAAAATGTCGCATCCAGTAGCGAGAAGAGTCGCGCCAGCGCGAACGTTCGCGTCCGCCGCGCGGTGGACCGGTGGTAGAATGGAATGTTCCATGGTGCTGCGTGGCGTGTGAAAGTGAAACAATAACCTTCTTCCCCATGCTGTTGGAGGCTTATTTGCGAAGAGTGTTAGCGTCAATCGGAAGCTTAATGGACTATAGGTCTCAAGACACCCGAGTCAAAGGTATATAAACACCTTGGTGTCTCGCACAACAGAAGCAACTCAACACTCATTCTTTCACCCTCATCACCTTCGTTCGGACAACTCATCTCCCAAACCACAATCATGCACTTCACCAACAGCGTTGTCATTGGAGCCTCCCTCCTCGGCTTGGCCACCGCCAGCCCTATCGACCTCGAGGTTCGTGCTGGAGCTTGCTCGAGCTACACTCTCATCGATACCCGCGGTACTGGTGAGGCCCAAGGCCCCTCGGCAGGCTTCATCACTATGAACCGCAACATTATGTCCCAGGTCTCCGGTGGCAAAGAGTACGACACTGTCTACCCTGCCGGCTCCAACCAGGACTCGTCATCAGGCACCGCAGACATTGTCAACCACATCAAGACCACCCTCCAGACCAACCCCAACGAATGTTTCATCCTTGAGGGGTACTCCCAGGGTGCTGCCGCCACCGTCAACGCTTTGTCTCAATTGACCGGCGCCGCAAACACTGCCGTCAAGGGAGTCTTCCTCATCGGCGACCCCCTGCACAAGAGTGGTTTGACCTGCAATGTTGACAGCAACGGCGGCACCACAACCAGAAACGTCAATGGACTTGAGTACAGTTATTACTCCAACTACATCCCCTCGACCTGGGTCTCTCGTACCTTGGATGTCTGTGCTTATGGCGATGGTGTCTGTGATACCACACACGGCTATGGTATCGATTCTCAGCATCTGTCCTACCCTCAGGATGCCAATGTTCAGAGCATGGGTACTAAGTTTGTTGTTGGCAAGCTCACTGGTACTTCTTAGAGCGGTATCGCCCATCCACCAATTGCGTCATTATGGTCTTGGAAACAGGAGAGACCAATTCTGCGGTGGTCGGACAGGTGTTCTGGGTGTTCTGTTCTTATATTGGCTTCGTTTTTGGCCTACTTCGTTTCCTTCATCTATTTGATACACCAGCTTCTCATCAACTCACAATATATTTTGATTCTTGTTAATCTTTCTCTTCTACAATCAAATAGGTCATTGCTCTCGCAGCATGCCAATCAGCAATGTTTTTGATTCAGACTGCGTTCCATCCATCAATGTCAAAGAGAACATCTAACCTTGAACTGATGATGGATCAAGTGCAAAGGTTTCAAGCACCAATCAACTAGATAATGCACAGTCATCAGAGTGGCTTGTGAATCTGCCCAGCCATTGAAGATACGTCCTCAGTCAGTCATGAATCGGCGATTTCGAAAGTCGCCGAAGTTATCGACCAGTCTTAGAGAATCTCACGTGTTCTGCCAGTCGGCGGCTTGATAGGACGAATAATTCGCCTTCATCTTGAGAATGCTCCATCCGTGATCAATAGAGCTCACTTCGGCGACCACGGAAAAGCCTGCACGGCTTCCCGACCTGAAGGTCTTTCTCTTGTCGAGTTGACTCTTCATACCTTGCTGATCTTCTTGACCCGAATTGACTACACTTTGTTTCAGACCTTCTACGACCGGAATCTTCTGCAATTGCATAATGCCGATAGCTCGTGTCACCAGCCGCTCTATTCTCGCTGCACGCACTTTTCCCACAACTCGGAAGTTCGCAACAGCATTACCAGTGAGCTCTGCCACCCGGAGTCACAAAGTAGTGGTGATTGGTGGCGGTAGTGCAGGCCTGACTATCAGTCACCAGCTCCTCCGATCCGGCAGATTTGCTAAGAATGACATTGCTGTCATCGACCCAGCGACCTGGCATCATTACCAGCCTGGTTGGACTCTAGTTAGCGGAGGACTGAAGACCAAAGAGGAACTGCGAAGACCGCTGGACAGCTTGATTGACCAGAAGATCAAGTTTTATGACTCCAGTGTGGACACCTTTTCTCCACAAGACAACTTTCTCAGGCTTGACGACGGCGGTGTCGTTGACTATGAGCAACTCGTCGTTGCTCCTGGCATCAGTATTGATTATGGCAGTATCAAAGGCTTGCCTGAGGCTCTTGCGAACCCAGACTCTCTTGTTTCGACAACCTATGGCTATCATACTTGCGACAAGGTCTTCCACTCCATCAAAAAACTTCGACAAGGCGTCGCTATCTTCACCCAACCTGCCGGTATTGTCAAATGTGGAGGCGCACCTCAAAAAATCATGTGGCTCGCGTTAGATCATTGGAAGCGAGCAGGACTGTATGATCCTGGTAACCCTTCCAATTCGACGGTCAATATCAGCTTCGCTACTGGCATCTCTACTATGTTTGCCGTACCCAAGTACAATTCCAAGCTTGAGGAGTTGCGCCAAAAGAGGGGTGTTGAGGGCTTATTCCAGCACGACCTCATTGCTATCGATGGCAATCGAGCGATATTCTCTCGTCCTGATGGAGAACACATCACCAAGCAGTTCGACCTCCTGCATGTGGTGCCTAAGATGGGGCCCCATGCTTTTGTTCAAAACAGTGGTCTAGCGGACGAGGCTGGATACATCGATATTCACCCGAGCACCCTTCGTCACAAGAGATTTCCCAACATCTGGTCTGCTGGCGATGCTTCCAACTTACCTACGTCAAAGACAGCAGCAGCAATTACTGCACAAGCACCAGTTCTGGTGCACAATCTGCTGCAATCTCTAGATGGAAACGAGACCAATGCAGTATATGACGGATACACATCGTGCCCATTGTTGACAGAATATGGCAAAGTCGTCCTTGCCGAATTTAAATACGGCGGTGAGCCGCAAGAGACTTTTAACACCTGGTTTGGTATTGATCAAACAGTACCGCGTCGTGTGTTCTATCATCTCAAGAAAGATTTCTTCCCTTGGGTGTACTACAAGTATATGGTCAAAGGCACTTGGGGCGGGCCGAAGGGCTGGATTAAGTAGAAAAGGCTGAGGGCTTGTGTTATTCGTCAATGGTTTCCAGGCTGTCAATGATTTTCAGATCAACAAGACCGGTCATGTGTCCACGCAATTCGGCATCCGGAGAACTTCGGAGTCAAAGTCAAAATATGAAGTTGACGGTATCACTTCTCAACGTTTGCATGTAGAAAAGGGTGAAGCATCGTATCATTCAGCACCGTGATGGCTCGATAACTTCGTATCCGAATGTCCACTTGGTTTGGAATGTGTGATAAGTTGTCATTCGAATTTCGAAAGAGGTGGTGATTGAAAAGAACTTGTAGGTTGATCCCGCTGTCAAAATCGAAATACGAGGCGGCATTGTACGGACAGGGTCCGACTCAAACCTTATTCATCGGTATGCAGCAACATCAGCAGCTCCCGACGTGATCCCCGACCTGACCAGACAACCAATTGAAATTGGTATTCGTGATCGGACTTGTGCTACGTGGTTATGAAATGGAGCGAATTCACAGGAATTCTGTTATGGTTATGGCTATGGCGAGCCTGTCAAGTCGCCGAAATCATCATGGTCGCCGATCATGAGCGATTTTGCATCGCAAACTTTTGGGGCTAAATGTAATCCCGGAAAACAAGTAGCTAGCTGAAGGACCCTACCGCAAGGCAACCAGTGAACAATATTCTCGATAGCAGACTCATACCATTACCACAGAAGAATGGATGCCAACAACCACGCCGAAGTCCACAAACCTTCTCACCTGTGGCGCTACCTGAAAGCGACGATACCATCAAACACACACATCATCGAAGTCGAACTCCTGCTACTTAGCTTTGCAACCGGCATTCAAGATGCAATTGCCTACCCGGACTTCTCGTGCTTCGCCTCTAACCAAACTGGCAATACTATCATCCTTGCTATCGGCGCTCTGGGCATCTCATCCAACCCATCCAGCCACGTGGACGTCATCAACGCCATCATCTCGCTCTCTTGTTTTGCTGCAGGAATCTTGATTCTCGGTCAACTCGCAAACTGGCTGGGCGTCAGACAAATCCGCTGGTGGCTATTGGCTTCGAACTTGTTGCAAACGGCTCTGATGGCTGCAGCTGCGGGTCTGTCGACTGCAAGTGAGCATTCCAAACCCCAATACTCGAAAGCTGCACTAGCAATGTTGGCATTATCGTCAGGTGCTCAGGTGGGCATGGTGCGAGCACTCAAGATCACTGATATCACTACTGCAATGGCGACAGCAGCTTACATCGACGTCTTCATCGATCCAAGTCTTTTTGCAGGCGTGACGAGGAACAGACAGAGAAATAGACGGCTAGGGTTTCTCAGTATGCTGATCATTGGGAGTTTCGTAGGCGCGGTGGCATACAGATATGTTGGCTCGTTGGCTACGTTGGGAATCTGTGCTGGTATAAAGGGACTTGTTACCGGGTTGTTTCTGCTGAATAAAGGTAGCGAGGGAGAGGGTGTTAGAACAGATCTGGAGGCGGCTGCAAGAAACAAAGCTTGTATCGGAAGCCATAGAGGGCGGTACATAAGAAGATAGACACACCCCTAAGGAATTGGAATGAAAGAAACACATCCAATCAATCTCATCACTCAGCCGAATAGGCTTTTGGCTCAAGAAACTTACCTTCAGAGACTGATAACATGCATCCTGAGTCGACGAAGCTGTTGCTTTTCATCGCACGCAATTCAGAGTGTCTCCTTGTTATGCATCATTCACAACACATAATTCGTCTTTCCGGTGCTTCAAATACAAACGCCCGTGCATTGTATGAATGAAAAGTCTCTATCGAAGACTAAATAAGTATCAATCTCACCACTCTACTCCTCCAAGATTCAACGGTAGGTGCAACATTCGTTCTCCCAACGCTGTGCGTTTCGGAAGTCGTCCAGCCCGAATGTTCATCTGTAAGGAAGGATGAAGCAGCTTCGGCGCTGCCAATGCTGCATCGCGCTGGGTCCGCAGAGCAACAAAGTCTTTCTCAGTAAGCCCGTCTTTGAGATGCTTGTTTCCTCTCTTGTGGTCACCGACGCTCCTGAAAGGCACTGCGATATCACGTTCCTCGGTGGGATAGTCATGCCCTGTCCCAATCTTGACATGGTCTGGCAGGCTCAAGAGCTTATGACCAGAGTTGAAGAGATCAGTCGCATCGCCACCGGGAAAGTCAGCGCGTGCAGTACCGAAATCAGGGTTTAGGATTGAGTCTCCGCAGAAGACGTTGTCTNNGGAGAGAATGTCAGCTGGCTTGGTCTAATTAGGAAGGGTAGGATAAGCCTCACCTCCAATCATATAACCCATATGGTCTGGTGTATGGCCCGGAAGATGAAGAGCCGTAACTGTAAGTTTCCCGAGGCTGAAAGTCTCATCATCATCGAGCAGTTTGTCGAATGCGCTCTCATATTCCTCTGCCGGGATTTGATACTTTTGGCCAAACAGTTGCTGAACTTGGACAATGCGCTTGCCAATACAGACCAGCGGCCTAGGGTCCTGTTCCTTAGCGAGTCGGTTTTGGAGATATGAGGCTGCAGTCATGTGATCTGCGTGAACGTGCGTTTCCAGGATTTTCTCCACACGAAGGCCTTTNTCCCTGATTAATGAGAAGATTGAATCAGCCGTGTTGGTCGTGATTGATTGCGTCAAAGTGTCATAGTCCAAGACCGGATCAATGATGACGGCGGCCATGGTGGAGGGATCAGACACTACGTATTGCCACGTGCCTGTTCGAGGCTCATACAGCGTGTGTATAGCAGGAGCGTTTGCAGCCGTTGCTCCAGTGGGACATGGAGATCGAAGCCTGGAGTCGAGAGTGACTTGGGCAGCGATGCTTTCCTGAGTCGGCAATCTCTGCTTTTGCATCGAGGGGGGATTGCTCAAAGGCAGTGGTGGGTTTCCTCGTAAGAGGCTGGGTTGCTGTCATTGCGTTTGTGCTAGCGAGTCGTCGGTGAACGAGACGGTGTTCTGCGGCGTGGCGAACAACTCTGCCAGCTCGGGGGATTGGGGTGGGCGTCTGAAGCAGACCTCCTATCACTCTCGGGCTGTGGATGATTTCGGCTTGGTTGAACTTGAACATGGCCTCAAGCCAGGGAATTTCTCATGGGAAGGGCGCACAAGATGATGAGCTCACAGCTGCATGAGTTGGGGCCTTTTGAATGATAGGAATATGGATGCATTGCTGGTAAGCTGGTTAATCGCCGAAGCGTTGTTGGGCTACACTTAGATCGCCGACATCGATACAGCGGGATTTGGATGGAACCGATGTCGTGAAAGCTGCACAAGCTTCTCGGGCTGAGTCTGGTTTTTGACTCATTTGGTATGCACTGGTTAAGATGATGGCGTCGACGGCCGTAGAAGCAGAATACGATAATCGACACAACAACCACATTCATAGAAGAATTTTGACAGTAAATGTGCTGTTCAGGTTCTGAGACCTCTTCGATATTTGTGATGCCGCATGTTATACGATACCACGAGGTCGCCGTCGCTTTCGGTGCCGAAAGAAGCGGCCGGAGTCGTGGTTGTGATCACCAATTGTTGGGCCGAATCATGACCCCCGCACTCTAATCCTCGATTGAGGCTTTTTCAAATCGATCGGACTGAGGTTACCGTCCTGCGATACATGTTGCGATACAGCTTTGATGCCGCTGTTTTTGGTGCGTGGTCGCCGATCTCGAAGAGGAAGACTCGGGAGTCTGGGGTGTCTCCGAGCCAGGGGCCGGATTATTCGCTTCCGGATAGCTGCACCCCTGCTTGATGACCCCCACCCTCGCGAGACACTTCTCCTCTGTTGCGTACTCCAGAACCTTGGATCATTGGCGACGACGCACAACTGAAGGGCGCAAGATTTCCAGTCATCACTTACCTGACAAACCATTGCAACACTTCTGCTGGAGATTTTACCACCAATGCTGGTGCCTAAGTCGACGGATACACACGTAGATTGCGAACTCAGGAGATGAAGTTCTCGCCGCATGTCGGCGCCACTTCGCTTGATAGCGCAGCCTCGCGACCACAGCAGCACAAACATGAGAACAAATGCGCTTGTCTTCCATCCTCTTCGTCTTTGAGACCTCAATTGTGCCATTCAATCCAGGCATGATCATCAACAATACCACTGCGTCATCAGCGTTGCGACCTGAATATCAAGGCACCCAACATAGTAGGTGGTATGCTGACCACGGCTGTTTTCACCGTCTTCATTTCTTGTCCTTCCCGATCGGGTCAAGGCTTGCTATATGAGGGAACGCCAGGGTTTTCTTCAACGGCGCAAGCCAATCTTATTTCTCCACATGCTTACCCTCTTTAAGCATTTTTCCATTAAGGTATGCGATGTTATTGGTCGCAGCAGGCGGCGACGTCGTTGGGTAGGATTCATAAAGTTCACGAGATTGATGCCGGTGAGTCGAAAGTGTCACCTGGTGGAAGATTATATATTGAACGGTGTGGTTCCTGTTTCCTGCATCTCACTTTTTACTCTCGCTCTCTCTCTATCCGCTTCTCGCTGCACTCACACCGGATCTTCAAGAGCCGCAAAATCACAATCATGAAGTACAACATCGCTCTCGCTGCTTTGGCCACCACTGTCGCCGCCTTGGACCACCCTCTTCTCGGCCGCCAGAACGATCCAACTGAACAATACATCCGAGAAGTCTGTTACCCGGACACCACTTCACCAGTTCCTCCTTGCCAGGCCATCATCAACATTGAGTCTGCTTGTCAGCCTAACGGTACTACTCCTTCGGCTTATGAGGCCCACCAGCAATGCATGTGCAATGGCGGATACTTCCCTAACTGGAGTGGCTGCTTGAACTGCGAGTACGTGCATGGCACCCGCAGCGAAGCCGTCCGCGAAGCCTTTGAGAACATCATCTCTTCCGCATCGTCGTCATTCTGCGGTGCTTCCACGCCAACAGCTGTGTTCGCCCAGTACTTTTCTGCAGTTAGCGATGCCAGCCCGCAAACAGCAACTGGCGCCGCTACCACCGTCAGCGACCAGTACCCTAGTCAGACCGCAGTCAGCCTCTACTACACCGCAACCGGTAATCAGGGTCCTGGCGCCATCACTGGCAGTGCTACTCAAGCTACCGCTGCAGTTTCTTCTGGCGCCACTGCTTCTGGTTCAAGCCAAAGCTCTTTGGCTGCCGGTGCGGCCACAACCAGCAAAGGCTTGACCACTGCCTCGAGCAGCGCTTCAAAGATGTCGAGCACCTCTACCCACTCGAGCAGCGGCAGCGCAACTGGCTCATCATCTGCCGCTTCTTCGTCGGCAGCTGCCCACACTGGAGCTGCCAATGTCGTCACTGTTAGCGAAGGCTTGCTTGCTGTTGTAGCTGGAGCTATGATGTTCATGTAAACGCTCACGGGTAATGAGGAAGGTCTAATTATAGTAATGTGTTAGGAACCTGTCAGCTCAATCAGAAATAATGTTCAAACTGTAACCAGGGTCTCGATGCGCTCCTGTGATTTGTGCTGCATTACTCTTATGCTTTGCGTTAAACAGAATATACACCTTTCACGCGTGCACAAATCCATACTTGTACGATTTGAAAGTTTGCTGTACTGGCTGGTTGCCTTTGTCTGTGTCGCAAGAAACTTGCTCAAGCTGCTGTAAGTGCTATGATCCCTCTGCCCACAAGATCAATCAAAACTGGCAAGATGTCATTAATAGTATATGCGTAACATGTTAACAAACAACTAAATACATGCCACTCATGCCGCGTCAAGTGGATAACCTACCCCAACCAAGGGCTCTGTCTCTGACTATGCCCATGTCGTCCATGTTCAGCACACCCACATTTTGTTCCACCAATGTTCTCCAAACCATGACCCTTATATTGGGAGGCTGCGCTGGTGTATCCCAATACCGTGCTAGCAGACCTCTAGCTTTGGCCGACTCTATCTGAGATGCAATCTCACTTCGAGATCTGGTCATCGCATCTCGGGACAATCCCTTGCTCCATTTTGTGGAAGCGTAGTAGGAATTTGAGATGTTGTATTGGTAGTAGTCGGCTGTATCCTGTTCCGAAACCAAGTGACTCAGATCGGCATCAAAGAAGATATCACGGTAGGTGTTGTCGTTGTAGAAGGGGGCGTTACCAGTTCCAACAATGGTCAAAGGGCGCATGATCCTTGTTGTGCCATCCCAGTGTGTAAGATAGCCAAGATCGTGCAAGGGCTGCAGTTGCTTGGATAGCATGGCATATGTGTCTGCGCCTTCGGTCTTGTGATCAACGAGAAGTACGACGGTTTGATTCCTCGCATGGTCAAAGATGCCACGCCAATCTTCAAGGGTTGTGTTGCTATTCCGAGCTCTTAACATTCGTTCCAAGGGGTCCAGATACATGTTCCGCAAGTTCAGTTCAGGGTGGAGATGCGAAGATTTATGACCAACAAGAAGGTCGGAATTGCGGAGGTGTACATCGGCCTCGACGCTGATGCATCCTGAGCCTAAGGCTTCGAAGAGAGGTATACGACGCCAGTAGTCGTTGTGTGAATGCACCGGGACTGGCTGGACCTCGCGTATGAAGAATTGACGATTGTTGTCCCATATCGAAGGGCTAATGGCGGAGATGTGAGGGCCGAAGAGATAATCAAATGCATCACCAGGTATACGACGAAGACCAGAAGATACGAGGGTGAGCCGTACACCAAGACATATACATCTAGAGATAATATGTCAGCGGGATATTCCAGCGAGACAAACCACATGCCTACGTACGCTATCATAAAGGCTCCACTGATGAGAACAAAAGGATCATACAGATGACGCAACTTGGGCCGAATCGCAGTACAGCCACTATGGGGCCGAGAGTTGGTTGTTCCATCGAAACGATAGGTGTCCCGCTCTAAATCTGTGATTGAAGTGTCGTTGCTCGAGACCTCTTCGTCTGAACGAGAGAATTTTCTCACCACCAATGGGATGGATAATGGCCGAGATGTCATGGTTGATGGAAAAGATACCCAATGGCCGGGCCTCATTCAATACTTCATAGCACAAGCGCAGGCTGGTAATTGAGCAGTCTGCACGCCAGCCAGGCAGTTGAATTGTGCTTCTGGTGTTCTTCTCAATTCTTCAAGAATCAGCCACCATTGCGTGTCCCCGGTCTGTAGGCCCACAACCTTAGGCTACGAGAATTGAAAGACAAAATCACTCTGAACCTCATCATGGCTCAGGCAGCAATATTCAACAGGCAAGTCGACACGTACGATAGTGGAACGATCGACTGTAGGCGACTGAGTAAAGCTTTGGTTCATGAATGGTTTGACAATCCATATTGTGCCCCAGGCCGACCAGTTCGTACATATGAATCGAGTGAAGAGCTTCATCGTAAGTAGAGTGAATCATTTCATCTTTTCTCAGATGTGACTTTGCATGCTGACTCCCGATCCTGGAGGTATCTTGTCAATGACAGACTCTCGATTTGGTACGAACTGGCGGATCATTCTGGACAGACTCACAAGCGCCGCGTCAGCTCGTTGGAGTCTCGATGGAAAGTCTGAACATCGTTATGTCTGGTCCGGCATGTGGAGGGTATGACGCTGGATCTCGACACCGTGATCATCCTTGACTCAAAGGCCGAGATAGCAGATGCGTGGCGCACTAGTGTTATCGCAAGATTCTTGACCCTGGTCGTTGCTGGAGTAAGGTATTGGGACTGTCCAAGGTGTGGATCTCCCAGCTTCGAAGGTGATGTTCATTGCATTCGAAGGCAGATCGATGATCGTCGTTTGAGACGAGTGCCCCTCGCACATCAACGGTCAGGACGCCTCTGTCTTGCGATGGCATTTCTTGCTGCCTGCGTGTTTCCCCAGACGGCTCTCCTTGGGGAAGCTTAGGTGCACAATTACCACCTCGAGGCTAGAGCTGATTCGGCATAGCCAGGCGTTTGACCATGACTAGAGACTGAAGAATTGAGATGGCCACGCACTGGTCTCCATGACGCGCCTCGAACTTGTTCAACGATATTGTCAGCAGCCTACAAAATCACGAGTCGTCCAAGCTTTGGAGCTATTCTACGCGACCAAGCAATTTAGGCGCCTTCCGAGCCTTCCGAGACGTAAAGCAGCTGCGAAAAGCTTCTTGAACATGATACTTTTGCTACTAATTATAGATGATAGGCCGAACCCCAGACTGGAGAAGGCTTGGTGAGCTTGAATACGAGCACAGGAACATCCACCATCGTTGAGTCGAGTTCACTCACAATATTAGGCTGCCACTTTGTCGAAGGATTTTTGGAACTTTCAACTCCGCTTGTGTCGTAAGCTCTACATCAACTTTGAAATGACAGTTCGAGGGCCCTGGGAGCAGAGAAGCGTATAATCTGTTGGCATTCGACCAGATGTACCTATCTGGAAACGGAGGTTCACGATGTGCGGCTTCAATTTGGGTGGAACATGATCGCCTGAGAGAACGAAGCGACGGTTTAACTCTGGGCCTTGTTCAATAGAAACAGTGGTTGATCCTGTTGATCAAGTTCAGTATCAAATTCTTGGCTGTACGCTCCAATTAACGGAAAATCGCCAATAACGTTGAAGACAGACAGGGTTGTACCAACAACAATACCTGCGAATGGTTTACACAGGTCTAGAGGCTTCGAATTCTGTTTGCATACTAAGCCGTGTGATCGGAAAAGGCTTAGCATTTGGGATGACTATCAATCGAAGCTTTGACGGGAATGAGAACTTATAGAATCACAATCGCTCCGAGAACCAATTTCAACAAGGATGGTCAACGTGATTTCGGGGACGAACCCCATTGATCACCACGATACTCGTACTATAGTCCTTTTCCGTCGCTGTCTAGGTTTATTATTCTCGGAACGAACTCTGTTGGAGGTGTCGCACACAAGAATGTCAATTGCAAGATGTCCTGTTACACGATCTTGGCTGAGCTGTTCAAGACACACCAAGCAGTGAATGCCAAACTCGAACGATGATACAATATCGTAGTGCTATTTCGTTATCCTCAATCGACCCCTTCGAGACCTAGACGAAGCACACCTTCCTAAAGTGGTTAGCAGCAATCTGGTTCTGGGCATCTCAGCCGACCGCGCTCCGCAAATGCTTGATTTCCGACGTTGTATCGCGCCCTCTCATCCTACGAGAAATCACTCGGCTCGGTTTTCTGGTGATCTTGGTTCGTTGTCGGGACTAGTTCCTGTACCACTTCTACCAACGACCTATCACATGCTCCTCATGCTCGGTCCCGTTACCACATCATGCTATACGTTATCTCGAGTGTCAATGGCGAATACGAGATGCTCTACTGAAGAAGGCACATATAATGATAACATAAAGGTATAGATTCCACAAGGTCCGGGTTCTGAATGATCTTTGTCTGTTCCTCACGCGATGAATAAATCAGCCGGCTTCATTTCTGTTCAACCTATCGACAACACCCACTCATCAAATACCGATATGAATCCTGGATTCGAACTTTCTTCGGTTACGGCAAAAGATGCAAATATTGACAAGAAAGGCGCATTAGAGCCAGAAATCATTGCCGTGCATACACCGGATGGCGCCAGCGATGACTACAACAAGTCTGACGACCCGGAACATATCATAGTCTCGGGAGCAGATGCAGCCATACATCTACTCCCTCTACGAGACGATGGTGATCCGTCAGTGACATTCCGTGGCATCTTCCTAGCGTCATGTCTATCGGCTTTCCAAGCCGTGATGAACCAAATCTATACAGTAAGTCATACAATCAAAGATTTAGAACCACTGAAACCTGATGATTTATAGTTCAAACCAACCTCAATCACCATCCAAGGCACTTTCATCGTCCTCATCGCTTACTTCATTGGTAATGCCTGGGCAAATCTTCTTCCCCGAGGAGATCGTCATCTGGCACAATGGAGATCGAAGAATGGCAATGGCAAGCCACCAGCCTGGATTTCATTCCTCGTCTTCGTCAATTCTGGGCCATTTGGGCTTAAGGAGCATGCAATTTCGTTTATTACCGCTACTTCGGCCTCCAATGCTGCTGCGGTGTCGATGGTCTTCGCAGCGCAGGAATTGTTCTACGATCTGCCTATCAGTCCTGCAACCGTTATCTTGATCATGGTCTCTATCGGCTTGTTCGGCTATGGTTTGTGTGGCCTGCTACGACCTATCGCTGTCTGGCACGTCGAAGCTGTTTATTGGAGCACTCTACCGACTGTTAAAACACTCCAAGGCTTGCACTGGCAGGAAGTGAAGAACTCGAAGCCCCTGCGCTACTTTTGGTATGCTTTCGTTGGCATGTTCTGCTACGAGTTTCTGCCTGCGTACATCTTCCCTTGGTTAAACTCGGTCTCTGTACCTTGCTTGGCTTCCATGAAGGCTACCGGTGAAAAAGCTGCAGTGCTCACAAATTCATTTGGCGGTGCGACCAACAATGAAGGGCTGGGGATGTTATCCCTATCGTTCGATTGGCAATATGTATGTCTTATCTTACCAAGTATGTTCTGGTACTGACCGGAAGATGTGCAGATCACGTCTTCCCAAACCTCACTGCCACTAATACTCCAGGCTCACATGGCTATTGGTTTGTTTTTGTGCATGATGGTCATGTTAGCAATCTACTACACCAACACATGGGGAGCTAAGTCACAACCTTTCATGTCTACACAACTCAGGTCACAGAGTGGCAAGAAGTATCCCATCTCCAAGGTCTTCGTCGGTGGGATATTGGACGAGGACGCTCTGCAGAAGTATGGCATTCCTCGTCTAACTGGAGATTTCGCATACGCCATGTTCATGGCAAACGCTGCTGCAAGTATTTCAATCAAGGCATTTCAATCGATAAGCTAATTATCCTGTCAGATCGGTGCTCTCATTGCTCACACGATTCTATTCTGGGGTGGAGACATTAAGCGCACATACAAGAGCGCCAAAGCTGGACGATACGACGACAGACACCATCAGCACATGGTGAAGCACTACAAGGAGGTCCCTTGGTGGTGATACATGATCGTTCTCGTCTTCAGCTTCATTCTTGGTCTTGTCGTTGTGATCAAAGAGAATATCACGATGCCAGTATGGGCATATGTCGTCTCGTTGATAAGCGGAATCATCATTGCACCATTCGTAAGTGATTACGACCAGAGAGGAAGAAACAGACTGACGTCGTCGGTTTCCAGANGTGCCCTGATCTGCTCTCGCTTTGGCAACGGCATTGCCACCAATAACTTGTCCAAGATGATTGCCGGTCTGGCGCTCCCTGGCCGTCCCGTCGGCAATATGTATTTCGCTGCCTGGTCCCATAACGTGATCAGTAACACTGTCAACCTTTGTAACGATTTGAAGATGGGTGAATATCGTGAGTAAGGAAAGTCAAAGGAGAATTCGACCGCAAGCTAATCCGACGTATAGNTCAAGATTCCTCCTCGTGTCATGTTCGTCACTCAGATCTATGGTACCATTCTCGGCGGCTTCCTTAACTATGCCATCATGATATCCATCGTCAGTGGCAATGCTGACCTTCTGACCTCTGGTAATGGTGACTCAACTTGGAGTGGAGCGATTATTCAATCTTACAACACGAATGCCAGTAGTTGGGCTCTGGCCAAGTATCTCTACAAGACTGGCACGACGTACTCGGCTGTACCACTTGGCATTATCGTCGGTGCTGCCTCAGTAGTAGTCCATCGCATATTTACTCAGGTAATATCTTTTCTAAATTGTTGTAGTCCATGCTTACCAGTCTTCCAATACNAGTTTGTCCCAAAGATACGCAAGTTCTCGACCTACGATATCAATATGCCTCAATTACTCGTCTACGCTGGTTACATCCCATACAATCAATCCCAGACGTGCGTCATCCTGAGTCAACTGATCGCTGGATTCTACACTCAGTTCTATTTGCGCAACTACAAGCCTCGCATTTTCAAGGACTACTCGTACTTAGTTACTGGTGCTATGGACGGTGCTAGCCTTCTGGCGCTGTTCATTCTGTCCTTCGCAGTGTTTGGAGCTGCTGGAAGCCCAAAGCCTTTCCCGTGAGTAAAATCTTCGGTGTCCTGTGAGGTGTTGGCGCTGATGTTGATGCAGANNTCTTGGTTCGGGAACAATGTCAACGGAAACTATGACCAATGCCCAGTGACGGACTAACGGAGATCAAGCTCGGTGTTACATTGCAGCTAAAGCAGGAAGAGGAGATATGAAGGCTTTTTGAGTGTCGTCATAGTCCTCCATTGGGCTGTTTACCGGAATATGATAGAGTAGCTGCCATGCTTCAACACCACGTATTGCCCATCCCTCTCCACATTGATAGTCTCACGGCCTCGAAGTACTTCAAACGAAGTCCCAACCCTTCTGGGAATAAGAATCGAAGCTTGAGTACCCACTGGGACTGAGACTTCAAGAGCCACTCTCTCAGCAGTCTGGTTGAACTTGACATCAATTCTACCATAAGGACAGTCCACATGACCCTCAACATCCTTGAACTCCGAGTCATACGGCGGCTCAATTGTGAACGTCTTGTACGCATCTCCCTGAGGTCTTATGCCCAACACACCAGCATAGAACCATTCGTGGATGGTGCAGAACAGATCATGGCTTTTAGATCGACACTCATCTTGCCAGAACTCCAGGAAAGTGGTCTCGCCTCTGCGAAGGAAGCGCATGTAGCTGGGATGTTCTTCCTGTCTTGCCATTGCTAAAACAATGTCGGGGCGGCGTAGATCGATGAGAGTTTCGAAGATGCATTTCAGGCCGAGCTCACCCGAGCGAATGCGGTTGTCGCTAATGCTTGCGAGGAAGGCATTCTGGACGGAGGAGATGCGCTGCGAAGGCACCATGTTGAATTGTAAAGCGTAGGCTTGAGCAACAGCTTGACAGTCTCTTTGACCGATATTGTCGCGAGAGGTGTAGTAGGCATAAGGCAGGTCTTTGTCATCTGTGACAAGAAGCTCCTTGTTGTAGACCCTGAGGACACGCGCAGCCCAGTCCTCATACTTGGCAGCTTCGTAAGTACGACCAAGGTACCTGGCCATCATTGCTGTGTTCTGCAGGCACTTGTAGTAGTATGCGGTCTCGATGTTGGCTTGCAGGTTGCCCCAAGCAATATCACGGCCCCAATCTCCTAGTCCGTGTTCAATCAATCCTCCGAGGCGTTCTTTTATCTTCATGTAGTCCATGTACCGAACAGCGGCAGGGTAGACTTGTGGTATGACCCAAGTAGAGCCATAGTATCTTACCAGCAGCTCCGGCAACAAGCAGAGTGCTCCACCCCAAGATATTGTATCATGCAGAGGCCCACACATGTATCTGATCTCTGGCGCCATAGTTGGAACAAGACCGCTAGGCTCTTGAGCGTCGATCATGTCGTAGATAATCTTGGTGTAGAGAGCCTCCATCCCGAAGATGTATTGCGAAGCAGGAGCAAGCAAATGCGTCACTTCAAGCCACCCGAACTTCTCGATCTGCGGGCAGTCGGTGTGGTAGCTGAATATGTTGCTCGATAGCGACCAATGAGATGCTTTGATCAATGCGTTTACATCTTCCTTATCCGTCTTCATCGAACCGACGCGTTGAGATGCAGAGGAGATGTGTCTTGCATATAGAGATCGAACAACAGGAAATCCCTGTCCTTCCTCCATGGCAACACCCTCAAGCTGGATGTAGCGAGCGGCGGTGAACGAGAAGTCAGGACGCCAATCTTCAGGTGCGCCAGTTCCAGCCAGATAGATCTTGGAGTAAACCTTGGTCTCGAAGTCCTTGAACAATGGGTCAGGCATTAGAACTGTTCCATCGGCATTTGCTGTTTCTGAGTAGCGAACGATGATCTCAGAGCCTGCTGGTCCTACTACAGACAGATGAAGCATGATAGAAGCGTTTTGCCCAAGGTCGAAGCAGACAACTCCAGGGCGGGGACTCGAGGTAGACTTTGGCTCAAGTCGATCGTGCAGGACAACAGGCGGTTGACTCTGATAGCGAAGTACTCCACGAGGTCCGGTCAAAGGCTTTGCAGGAGTCCATTCACTCTCGTCGAAGCCTGGGGATGTCCATCCATCGGGATACAAACGCATGTCATGCGTTTCGGAGGCATAGATGTTTGCAAGTGTGGTTGCGCTTTTGCGGACCTTCCATGATGGATCGGTGTGTATGATATCATGAGTACCATCTTCGTAAGACAGATGGAGCTCTGCAAAGAAGCACAACTCATTGCCATAGCGAACATAAGTGTTGTCTTCGTACATTGGCCAGAAGAACCTGTCTTCCTCTGTACCGCTACCAGCATAGAAGCCGTTGCCTAGATGCGCTGCGAGGACGTTTTCTCCAGCTGTTAAGTGTGCTGTCAAGTCGTACCCGACGTATTGAACAGTCCGATGATAATTTGACCCTNNGGAAGTGGTTAGTACAATACGATATGCAGACGTATGACTACACTTACAACCAGGATCGATAACATGATCAGAAGCAGGTCGACCATTCACGTGTAGATCAAAGTGTCCGGGACCTGATGCAAGAGCTATGGCCTTGGTTGGTTTGCAAGCTAAGTTGAAGCCTTTGCGAAGGTACAATGGCTTGTCGCCGCCGTCACCTATCCATACAGCTTTCCACTTGTTTTCGATATCCTCAAACCATGTGCGAAAGATAAGACTTGAATGTGGCATGTACTTCTGGTTCATGGAGTAGGGCGGCAGCAGCTGGGATCGTGGGTACGCGGTGAAGAAGGTCTGAATCTCAGAGTGCGTAGCGACATCGTCCCCATCCCACACCGTCACTCTCCAGTAATAGTTGCATGTTGAGCGAAAACCACCGTTGGGTTTGCAGAGGACATTTCGCTGCTGGTCTGTTGACACTTTGCCGGTGTCGACGTCTGGGGAGGGTTCAGCAGCAACGCCAGGCTCTGATGTGGAGATCACAACACGATATGCTGTTTGTTCAGCAAACTCATCGCTCTCCAGGGTCCAGAACACTCGTATCTCGTCAACATCGAGACCGACGGTCTCGTGAAAACCATGAATGCCACAACCTGCGACTTTCATGATGTCCGAATGAGACTGCCGAGATGCGGGGAATTTGCCACAAAGCGACAAAAGCAAAACAGGTGGTGAATTGAGGTTGCTTCTCTCATGCCCAGTATGGGTATGTTAAGGCTTCCCGTCTCGCTTTGATGTTCGGCAATCGCGGTCTGATGACATGCCGAAAGGGGTCCAAAGTTGGGTGCATCTCGCGCGAGATGCAGCGAACCGTTCGCTAGTCGCGAACCTCGCAAGAGATGTCCCGACGCTTTGTCCCTTTTAAGACGTGCTTTGAGGGCACACATCTGACGCTAGATCCTTCTCAGCGGTACATCCCAGGAAACAACGTCTTCCCCACAAGATCGAGACAGTTCAGAGTCCTATGAGCCGACACGGATGTACGTGCTTGCGATAGATTGGCGTTTCCCTCTGGTATTTTGCTCTAGTCGTTCATCGCCATGATCAACTTCCCTCGGATTGACTCCGGATCTCCACCCCGCTACTCTTTTCGTGTTCCCCGTGGCACACTTGTGTGGGGAATGGGGTTATGTGCACCATTCTCGTGCATATAAGTCACTGTAGATCCTCCCGATGAACCAGATCATCCTCAAGCACCTTCTCCACCACTTAGACTGCCATCGATCATGGGCAAAGCGACAGTCATCTCGTCGAGTGCTTTCCTCGCCATCGGAGGTTTCCTCTTTGGTTATGACTCTGGTATCATTGGAGGAGTCATCTCTTTCGATACGTTCGATGAATACTTTCACAATCCAAACAGCGCTGCAACCGGTGGTATTGTCTCAACCTTTCAGGGTGGTGCTATGCTGGGCACCATCATCAACATGGTCTTTGCCGACCACTTGGGACGTAGANGAACCATCGCTGCAGGTTCGATCGTCTCCTTGATTGGATGTGTTCTTCAAGCTGCAGCTGTCAATATGGCTATGCTCATGGTTGGAAGGTAAGACAAGCGAATATGAGGCGGTCGAACTCTGCTAACTTGCTCCTCAAGATTTATCGCAGGCGCCGCTGTCGGCATGCTCACATCTACTATTCCTATGTACGCCGCCGAAATCTCCGAGTCTCGCTTCAGGGGTTCTCTCTCCGGTCTACTCCAGTGGTTTTTGTCTTGGGGTTTCTTCGTCGCCCAGTGGCTCGGATATGGTTGTCAACACGTCAAAGGACCGTTCAGTTGGCGTTTCCCTCTCGCATTCCAGTGCATTCCCGCCGTCATCCTGGTTGTTGGTGTTTGGTTCTTGCAGGAAAGTCCTCGGTGGCTGGCGGAAAAAGACCGTTGGGAGGATGCCAGAGCAGTACTTCAAAAGCTACACCACGACGGCACCGCAGAGACCGACCAACGTATCGAGCTGGAATTCCGTGAGATCAGGGATGTCATCGAGGCTGATCGTATCAACAACTCGACTTCCATCAGCAAAATCTTTACCAAGCCAACCTGGCGTAAGCGTCTTCTGCTTGGATGTGGTGTTCAAGCCTTTGGTCCTCTCAGTGGCATCAACGTTATTAACTACTACGGTAAGTCTTGCACATCTGCGGCCAGGAATACACGACTGATATTGCTTCACCAGNGTCCGGAGATTTACAAGATTCTTGGCATCAGCAACTCGACTTCACTCATGATCATTGGTATCAGCGGTTCGCTGTCGATCGTGTACTGCACCATCGGTCTCTGGGCACTCGAGCGTTTTGGTCGTGTTAAGCCCCTCATCATCTCTGCCTTTGGCCTTGGTGCCGCTTTAGTCTGCAATGCTGCTATGTCTCAACACCTGGACCCCACCAATGAAAACATGCTTCGCGCCATGGTCGCCATGAACTTTGTCTTCTCCCTCTTCTATACTCCTCTTGGTATTATCTCTTGGGTATACCCAGCTGAGATTTTCCCTGTGGAGGTCAGAGCCTTCGGAAACGCAACAACTACGTTCACGAACTGGACACTCAACCTTATCTTTGCTCAGTTCACTCCTCAAGCACTGGACTCGATTGGCTTTCGCTACTTCTATGTCTTCTTTGCTTTCAACATGATCGCCATGTTGTGCTACATCTTCTTCTATCCTGGTAAGTTACAGTATCATTCGAACGTAGATGGGTTGCCGCTAACAGAGCTTCTGCAGNAAACCAAGGGTAAGACTCTGGAACAGATGGATGAACTGTTTGGTGATCAATTGGTGTCTCATGCTCTAGAGGATCCCAGGGGTGCTGCTATCGCCATGGAAAAGAACAACATCGAGATCTGTGAGGACATTGCAAAACACTGAGTCCTACCTGTTGATAGTTGAGAGTGCGTTTGCAACATGTCGAGTACTCTTGAGCATATTCATGAGCAAACACAGACCTGCGCATATCTAAGCCCCACATTCTGTCGTGTCTCGTTTCATGTGGGCGGCGAACATAGATTTGTACTGCTGTTAATAGCTGCTTCGAAGTTTTGGCAATAGATATCGAGTCCGTTAGCATGGAGCATGGTGTAGGTCGACACGCCGAGTCTCTTAGCCACCGAGTTACAATCGTCGCCTGCCTGAGGGGTATAGGAACCCGTGCATAAGGGTGGATTTGTGAAATTAGTGGGGACTTCGTCAGTTGCGGTTGCGTTGATTGCATAGGCTGTAGGTGAGGCATACATGTACCCACTAGCAGTACAGCTGGCCGTGAGAGTAGAGAAACCGCTTGCCAATTCATCATCGTATGCGGGAGGGTTGCTCAACTGGAGAGCCTGTACACCAAGCCAGCAGTTTGAGCAAGACTGATTAGTCGTCCATAGAGGCGAATTGGACCAATTAAGAAACTGCGGATCACAGTATTCACCAGTAGAGCTTCGACAACGTCAGAACTGGACTCAAGATCTCACCTGATACCGCTTACCTATCTTTGTAACAGGATAGTTTAGACGTCAAGAGATACTGATCCGCTATAAAAGTGGCGGGGTAGGCTATGTTATTGTATACGATAACGTCAGTATTTGCAGTACATGCGCTTGCGATCTTTGTTCTAGCAGACTCTAGATCTGTAGCGCAGGCTCCCGAGCAAAGAGCTTCCACCTGGTCAGTATCCAGGATGGAATTTCTTTGGCCAAGTCAGCTATGGTCTGTATGCATATCTTCGGATGTAGCAGTCACTCACTTGGAGAAACTGGTCTGTAGGAAGGTCGGACAGTCGACAGTCGTGTCAAGGGCTGCTACGCACGATTCGCTGAGGCCAGGATAACTCATCAAGGTACTATTCCTCAACTGCTGAGCCCATATAGGCCGAATGGACAGCATAGTGAAGGCTCGAAGAAAGATTGCGTGCATGTTGGTGTCAAAGAAAAGTGTAGGGCCTGGGATTTGCAGACGGGAAGCATGGAAAAGAACAAAGTCAACAATTTGAAGAACAGATCAAGGTGACGAGATCGGAAGTAGGTGGGCTTGGACTTTGATAGTTCCCAACAGTCGCGTTTTGCGTGCCTCTTTGTATCGAGGCAACACACTTGCATGATCGGGTGTCAACCCCCTGAGAGATGCAGGTACACATGCTGTGGTGGTCAGACAAGTGACTGGTCCGCAATGCGCATCATGCCTCACCTCTCATGTACATGCATCGTGTCACGGGACGGTGATGATGTGTGAACGCTAGGTCGTAGCCAAGTTGCGGAGTGAAACTGAATAACCTATCGCTGCCGGGATAAAAAGCAGCCTCGCCTCAGTTCTCCGTGATGACTCTCCGAAGTAATGTCTGGGAGGCTGAGGAATGTTTCATGAGGCGCCGTGAAAAGCCTCACGGCTGAGCCTGCATTCATTGGGGGTTCGTGGCTTGCAGACTGCTTGTTTCAAACTTGGTAACACTCACTATCTGCTGCAATGCCTCCATACACAGGCACATGAGTGCGCTCGTTTCCCAACGGTTGCATTTATACTTGGTCGTTTGTGTAGGACGATGCAGATGTGTAGTAAATCCTGCTCAGGGCAGAAGGGTCTCGAGTTTGCCAAGCTCGCCAAGCATGCAGTGCCAATATGTTCTGGCTGTCGATGGAACGAATCCTCCGCCTACTACTTGCTGGGACGCTTACCCTGTGTGCGTTCAGCTGGTATGGCTATTCCAACGTCGATACCGCTGGCGCCTTGATCTCTCCACGCACTACGGAGTATCAGAAGCTGGAAAACGGTCCTCGCATAGCGAATGTGAGCTTAGCGAAGCGTGAAGACTATACCTGTAGTGCAAGTGCTCCCTGCTCCAATGGTGCTTGCTGCGGTGCATCTGGCTATTGCGGGTAGGTATCCTTGTCTTGTCCAGTTCATTTGGCTAACCGTTCGTCAACTACATCAGATATAGGCCAACATATTGTGGAGCTGGTTGCCTGAGCCAATGTGATGCCACTGCCGAGTGTGGAAGATATGCCGCTGAACCAGGAAAGGAATGTCCCTTGAATGTCTGTTGTAGTCAATACGGTTTCTGCGGTACGACCAAGGATTTCTGTGACGACAAATGCCAGAGTAACTGAGACGAACATCCGGCCCCACCAAGCGGAGGATCTGGCGGGGTCTTCGATAAGGTCATCGGATACTATCAGTCTTGGAGCAATGGCAAGTCATGTCATGATGTGGGACCGAGCAACCTGCCACTGGATGCACTGACCCATGTTAACTACGCGTTCGCATACATCGATCCTGGCTCTTACCAAATCGTGACCATGGATTCTGTGACACCTGGACGTCTTTTCGACGACCTGACGACACTCAAGGCTATCAAGCCTGACCTCGAGGTCTGGGTCAGTATTGGCGGCTGGACATTTTCTGACGACAATACCCCTACTCAACCGGTCTTTGGTGAAATCGCTGCAGATCCGGCGAAACGTCAGCTCTTTGCCAACAACCTAGTGCAATTCATGCAACAGCACGCTTTCGATGGCGTCGATCTCGATTGGGAATATCCAGGAGCGCCGGATCGAGGTGGCAAAAGGAAGACACTGCCAACTACGTCCAGCTTCTGAAGACGTTGAGATCAACGTTTGACAAGTCGGGAGGTACAAACACATCCATACGCACACACCCAATATAAATACTCACATTCTACAGGAAAGTACGGTTTAACTTTCACAGCACCGAGCTCATTTTGGTACCTTCGATGGTTTGACCTTCCTGGCATGCTCAAATACTCGGACTGGATCAACTTCATGACATATGACCTTCATGGTGTCTGGGATTCTTCAAATCCAATTGGCAGCATTGTGCAAGGCCATACCAACCTCACAGAGATCAAACTCGCTGCTGAATTGTTGTGGCGTGTCAATGTACCTCCAAACAAGGTGGCAATAGGCTGGGGCTTCTATGGTCGATCTTTCACCCTAGCCGATGCAAGTTGTTCGCAGCCTGGTTGTCCCTTCAGCGGCGCCTCGAAACCTGGTAATTCAGATCCTCCTCTCCATGTGTGAGCAATCACATTTGCAACGTGCGCTTACAGGATCTACAGGGCCTTGCACTGCCACTGGCGGATATCTTGAATATTACGAGATCCAGCAAGTTCTGAAGCAGGGAGCCAACTCCAAAAGAAGAAGTGTTGAAGAGGTAAAGCCTGTCCATGATGCCGATGCTGCCGTCAATTATCTTGTTTTTGACACCGATCAATGGATTTCTTACGACGATGAGGTGACTTTCAAGCAAAAGGCAGACTGGGCCCACAGCATGGGCATCGGGGGGTCCCTCATCTGGGCTTCCGACCTTGATGACGACAAATACTCTGCCCACTCTGCTCTCCTGGGCAGGCCTATCAACCCCACAAGTTCTTTCCTTACTTCCAAAGATCTCCAACAAAAGTCTCAGGAGTTGGCCTTGGCTTTGAGTGTCAAAGATCAGACAGGCGAGCAATGCTTCATGTACGATGGACATTGTAAGAATCTCAACGACAATCGAGCATTGGCAGAAGCTTGCGGTCCTTCAAACACTGTAGTTGGCTGGGCTGATGAAGGTTGTGGAAAGAAGAATCATCACTATGGCAAGCCCATATGCTGTCCGAGTAACGGTGCACCAACCAGCTGCCAGTGGCGCGGTGATGCCACAGGCCACGGCGACGGCGCCAACAGTGATTGTAGCGGCCAGTGCTACGAAGGAGAGTCAATGTCGGCGGCATCTCGTCTTCATGGGGAGGCGGGTTCACCAATGACGGTAATACCAACAAATGCGGTCGGGGTTACAAGTCCTTCTGTTGTGTATCTCCCGACTACGCGGCGATCAGCAAGCAGTGCTCCTACACCCGTTGCGGCGAGAACTGCCCGGAAGGTAGAATGGCCATGTTCAAAAACCAAGACGACTGTCAGTTTAAAGGCAAAACCTACTGCTGCCCCGACCCTGCTCCGGTAAGTAGCTGTCACTGAGTGGGTCTTGAAGACACAGAATGCGCCAACGTGCATTGCCCTAAGGACGAGATCGAGCTTGCTCGCGATCGTTGGGGCGTCAATACAGTCAGATGTTTTTGGGGTCGATCGAGAGTAGCATGTTGCAAGATTAACCAGATCGAGGTCCAGCCTGCTACGTGTTCGTCTGATGTCTGCAAGGTGATACCAGGCTACTGCGACTCAGACGATGGTGGTACTGAAGACGACAACTTGGTCAAGCGTGGAGACTGGAGCGACCATGGAGCTCTGGAGAAGCGTGGCGGCTCGCAAGTGTATAGGGTCCCAAACATGCCGGATTTTACAGTGACAGCACGCCCATACCCAGGACCGTCAAAACTCTATACCACACGCCTCGCTTCTCAAGCGATTCCCTTGCTTTTCCGACTAGGCAAGGAATATTGCGCTGGTAATGCGTTCCAAGTCATTCCGTTCACACTTCCGGCCCCATTCGAGTATACTACGTATGGGCTGGAAAGATATTGGCAAGTTGAACACATACTCGACGTAAGTCACCCAAGATTCGCTGGTTGCTTCGCAGACTGACCGATTTAATAGCGCCAAGTCATCGCCAACAGCTTCCTCAAAACTGTTTCGTCGGGTATTTTAGCTTCCGGCAAGAAAGCTCTTCTGAGTTCGATTGGTCTCCATGAAAAGTTCTTCACGGAATGGAAGGTGTCCAGTGATTTCTTAGCCAATTGTGGTAGAATTGGCAATGAACTTTGGGGACCTAAGCCTGATACCATCGAGCAACGAATCATGACAGTCCTCGGTGCAAACGGGTATCGAGCTCCGTTCAGTCTGGTGGAAAGGTCTGTCAATATCGCTAAAGGAGCATTGATGAGTCTCAACAAAGATCCTGTCTCGTTGATCGAGATTCGAGACCTAGCAGCGAGAGCTATGAGGGACGACACTAACAAGGCAGCAGATGAACTACTATCTACGATTAGAAATGTAAGACTCGTCTCTTTTACGTTTCCCTTGACAGACACTGATACGTTGCCAGGGCTTTGCCATTTTCGAATACTTCAGGAACCCTCGGATCGTCGCTGCATTCAATGAACTCAACACTGAGATGCTTACACAGCTCGCCTACATCGAGGTGTTCACAGGCGACCCTACCCTGAGATACTGGTGGGATGCTTGGCTAAGCGATTTCAGTGACACAGTCGCTGTGAGAGCACAGACATGGGCCAGTCGAACCATTGAGATGGTGGCTAGGATTCTGGCCGAAGCCGGCAAGACCGCTTCCGAAAAGGATCACCAGCAGAGGTTTCGGCTGTGATTATGGCACAGCTTGGTGACTGGTCGACTGAAATCGCGCGAATGACCATGCCAGAAATCCTTTCTGACTATCAGATGTCCCTGCCGTCAGTGCCTGGCGGTATTGGCAAGAGGGATGTCATGGATGTTTGTCATCCTGGCGACGAAGCAAACCATACTCTCCCAGAGTTCGACAGGGTAGCGTGGCAAAGGTCTTTCCAGGAGGCTACAATGTCGGCAAGTGACGAGGTTCAGAATGATAACGATATTCGTGTGTAGGAAGCGCATCACTATGACCAGCATCGCCGTCGCGAAGAACGACTGATCTGATGTGCTGAGATGAGACTCGATTGGGAATCTGTGTAGCTGAACAGACTGAATTTGCGTTTGTGATTTTTTCTCGGGAGATATACTTAGGCAGCTAGCTGATGGTGGAACGAACAAGAATTCAATCTGCGAATCTTTGTCTGGGTTTGCCCCATCCGCATCGTTTCTTGGAAGAGCATCAGACCGAGAGCACATAAGGCGGCCTAGAATACAAGACAGTCCACGTGTTTGGATCCCAAAGATAGCTGTAAAAANNAGTCGGCATGAGGCATCTAAGGTGAACCATCATCCAACCGACATCCTCCTCCCTGTTGCCTTCAAGAGGAGGATATTCCTCGTCTTCGTCGTCCGTAAAATCACCTTCATCATCATCATCAGGGGTCTCGCCAGATAGTGCGGCGGTGTCTTGCTTCAACTTTCAGTCATCCCTGATCAAGTTGACCCAACGCTTACCATCACCATGGACTATGCTTTGGAGAGACGCGGCGTCAATCTGCACACAGAAGCGGTATCTGACAGCCATGCTTCCATATCCAGGCATGGGTTCTTGCCGTCGACTTGCGATTTCGTCGTCAGGTCCTTGCTCTCTGTTGAGTGCTTCCCCACACCACTCGTGAAAATGCCGGCGAATCGACGAAGTACCAGCGCCGTCGAATTTGCTCTTGTCTTCAATCACAGTAAGTTTGAAGCACTCCTCGTCGAGTAGATCCAGGGCGTTGCAGATTCTCATATTTCCCCGGACGTTGTCACGGATACGCTGTATGCAAGTTTGCCATTCTTCGTCGCTCGCATACGTGCAACGATATATGACGAAACCCCAGATTCGGTGACCGTCTGCTTGAAGAGCGCGCTCGATTTGGTCTGCGGGATTTGATTCGTATCCAAGGGTGTCGGGTGTACGCTTCGAGACGGGTCCTGTGTCCGCGGGCAATGTTTTCTTGACTTCAGCTAAGCGCTCCATGATCTGATCAATTTGTGCTTGAAGATTGGTCGCCATCGTGCGCACTTGTCTGCGGAGGTATCTGGGTGGACAAGCACGAACACAGCGTCCTGAATAGGGGAGGCAGTTTCGCAAGGCAGAGGAAGATTTAACTTGTGATGAAGGACAACTCAAAACTGCGCTGAGTTTTCGAAGGTGCATTACATCGGGTTGGAAGGGAGACGAGAGCGAAGCGCATTTGTACTGGAATGGAACAAGCAAGGGCAGCAAGGACAGCTGGTGGGGCAGAACCCGTGCCGAGCCGTTAAGAGTGCGGGACTGCCCGAAGCTAAGGCGCTAACAAGGTGACAGTGTCAACAACCATCCTTGACCAGCAATCTGCCCAAGATCAACTACGTAGGACATGAGTAAAGTATTAGAGGAGATTTGACGGCCTTATTCAGTATTTCTACAGGCTTTAGAACTTTCAAGCATAAGACAGTGACAACCTCTCGCAAATATTGCCACTGATCTCAATATTTGTGTTTCTGAGATCGGAGCAAGTCTAACTGTGTATCTTGTATTACGATCGACGTTGGTGATGTGGCGCAATCACTATAGATAAAGATGCATAGATAACTCTTTCGGGTATATCCTCCTCATATGGCTAAGCTCTGTTTTCGCAACAGGTCTTTCTGGATGACTATCTCCACTTAACTGAGGCAACTGCATCCTGCAAACACATCTCCGGGCTTGAGCATTGAGAATGGCGAAATGCTCCTTGACGTACTAGTATAGTACTTGCAGAAAGCCTGCGGCTCCTTGAATTTTGCCCTGATCAACGACGCAATCGACTGATTGCACTGTTTTTTGGGCTTCGGTGAGTACGAAGACCCGACTTTGAACACAGGCAGTGGTGCACTCTTGTGAGATACAAGACAATTGCAGGTGTCCTTGAGGGTGCTGGCGCTCATCTCTGGCAAGGGCGATTGGTTGCGGTTCGCTGTCAAGTAGTAGGCGCAGAAGTCGAAAGGGTTCTTCATCATCACCCACAAGAGTGCAGTGTGGAGTTCGAGGGTTTTGCAGGTCGAAGATCGCGCTACGATGCTTACTGCGGTAGAACCTGAGTTGGGGATGCATGTTGTAGGCAACATGCGTTGGTCAATTGTGAATGTTGAGTTTGCAGTGACTGTCGTGGCGTTAATGCTAACGATAGTAGTGGTTGTTGGCAAGATGNNGATAGGCTGACAGTCCTGCTTTCTATTAGTTCTGACTGGGCTCCCATCGGTACGATTCACTCACATATAGACTGTGTCAGTGCTAAGAGCAACCGTGGTCGTAGGCACGGAGTAGATAGTTGGTGGTCCATAACCCAACATCGTCGTCCCTTGAATCAGTCGTTTGTGATCCATACAAAGACAAGTGAATAGCAGATAGCGGATCACTCTCTGAGAGGGGTGTGGATGATCCAGTCGATGGAGTTTCTGTACTCGAAGCACCGGAAGATATGATGGTCGAACTCGTATCTGCGGTGGCTGCAACCGTGGAATTGGCTGCTGAGTCAGTGGTTACTCCACGAGATACTAGCTTTCCGGGTGACGGCCCCTTCGTGGCNNAGCGCTGGCCTTTGTGACAGTCGCTTTCCCATAGCATGAGCAGGCACTGGACAGCTGGGACGCTGGCCAGACTGAGATGGAGCTTGGGAAAGTTTGTTTCGAGCCCAAGATCTCTTGACAAAGATGACTTGCAACAGCGGGATAGCTAGATAGCGACTTCATGGCGGCGCCTGTGCTGCAGACGGGTAATGAGATTCTCTTGCTAGACGAAGTCGCTTTAGACGAAACCTTGGAACTTGTGGTCTCCAACGTGATCTTTGAGGATGTGTGTTTGGATGTGATCCGGGAGCTTGTTGATTCTATGAAGCTGCTAGACTTTGACTGTGTGCTGCTGGCCTTGCTCTTCGATAGGGCTGAGGATGATTTGCTCGAGCTTGCAGATCTGTTGCTGGTTGTCTTTGTGACCATCTTCGAGCTTGACAGCTTTGACGAGCTTTTAGTACTGATAGACCTTGTCGAGCTGATGCTAATTCTGGAGGTGGACGTCACACTCGTATGGCTTGTTGATTTGGACGATGACTTTGATGCCGAATTCGGTGTTGATGTTGAACGGCTGGATATCGACAGTGAATCCAGCTTCGAACTTGATGAACGAGAAGATGATGACACGACCCCGCTTGAGGAGGAGAGTCTCGTGGAGGTCAACAGCGTCGTTGGTGAAGAGGGTAGCAATGGCTTTGAGCACAGGCTGGCGGTAACCTGGCCGGACAGAGTTATGGTGGCTTGTACGGTTATAGTCTTTCCAAAGGTAGTCGACGTCTCAGTCGCTAGGTAGGTTGTTGGACCTGGCACGAGAATTGTGGTAGTAGTCGCATCTCCGGTCTCAGTAGCTGTTGTGCGACCGACATATATAGCTGATGTAGCTGGGTCATTGATGCCACCATCGATGGACAGAGTCACGGCTCCGGCACCTATCTGAGTGTTTGGAATCGGACACAAGATACTGCCATATGCAGTGTCAGAGTTGGTGGATGTAACACCATCCGAATTGGTACCAGGAAGTAACGCATATGACCTGACCTGTGAGGTACAAGTCACGGTGCTGACAATACTGGCGGTGTCCGTATATATGGCCTGGATCGTGTTGCCAAAGTATGTCATGGTTGCTTCGAAGCCTAGAGAGTTGGCATCCGAGGCGCCGACGTCGAAAGCCGAAGAAAATGGGCCTGCAGCGCCAGGCCCGNNGGCGCGGGAGACAAGTCCATCAGCGAGCGAGGGTGATGTGAAAGAGGAGACCGAGTTTCCCATTCTGAGAGAAAATGATGGAATAGCGTTGATCAAGAGAGCTATCGGACCATGGAAAGGACATGCGAAATGAGATCACCTCTGTAACGCACTGTGTTCCGTGAATTCTGTAGACTACTCTGAAAGGAAACAATGTCCTTTATCTAGTCTCCCAGATGACCTTTGCGAGGGTTGAGAGACTGTGTTGCCCGGCCTTGAGCGAGACAGCCGTTTCTCAGCTGCCGTTAGAGAATTGGACATGCAGAGAAGTTATTCAGGCGGCATATTTGCATCGTGCAAGCTCATATCACAAGCCTGGCTTTTTGAACACATCTCAGCCAACACCGGTCGTATCATCGGACAACCTACACATTAAGATATTTGATCCCTAAGGGACAGAACCACATTTGACCATGGCGAGGTAGCATTCTTGGCAGTTTCGAGGATTCGAGCCGTTGCGTTGTGGAAAAAACGGCGCTGCTTCAAAGCTGAGGCAACAGTTATTTCAGCCTCAGACGGCCATTCCGAGCCGTGTTTTCAATATTTTGTTTACATCTAAGGGCCATAATGTGATAATGTTTTATTTCAGCTCATTTCGTTTGGTGCAGAAGGAAGCAGAGATTTGGGTATCTATCTTGGCATAAGGAAAGTAAGAACTATCCTAACCTACAAGTGTGTCGACTGCCTTGAGATATCTCCATACTCACACTCTTAGTCAAGCTAGGATATTCAGCCCTGTAATGAGGTTTGTTCTAGAACTTGGATTACCATACAACGTTGCGAGCTCTATGATAGATGAGGAGAAGGACTTAGAGATTTGTAACTCCAATTTAACATTTAAGCATAGTGCTTAGACATTAGAGCGATCAGATCATTGGAGATACTTGCATCCTGAACACAACACCCAATTATGACCGCAAGCTACGACTGAGGATCCCCCTCAGCGTAACAGATCCTCATGCAGCTCATCTCTACAGTCATTCGTGATATCCTTGCAAACTCTCATCGTCAGCACGAATCGACTCTTTCCAGAGACAAGCGCGCACGAATCCGATCAAGATGCCTGATGCACTCCCATCTCGTCTTATACATGAGCGCTGGAATCGCAGCTTGAGTGACTCCGGAGATGAGAGCTATATCAGGAATGTGTATTCCAGCTTAGGGATCCAAACCTTGACAAAGAGCTTACTAGACGGCCCATGACGTCCACATAAGTGTCAGCACAGTACCACACATCGTCCGATTGCCATGATGTCCTCATGCACGAGATCAAGGTGGGTAGTAGATTATCGGTCAGGTCGGCTAGGAAATCACTGTCCGTGGTTTCTCCGAACCAGTGGCAAAAAGCACAACTTTGTTCTTATGCTTGTTAGACCGTGATTAGAAGTGCTGCCCAGTAATTTGATAACGAAGGGTCGCGAATATATTATGATGACAGAATAGTCCGTGCGCTGTATATGGGTTTGTACAGTAGGAAATGAAGTCTCCCATGTGCCCAGCAGCCATGCTTAACTATACGAAAACTCTATCTGTACGAGGTCGCGTGTGCATTGCGCAGGGAAGTTTTCTGACCGGGAAAGGCTCTGTTCGCAACAATAACCTTTTCGAGGATAGTGAATAAGGGTGCGATCGCCCGCAGAAAGTAGGTTTATATACTCCTCTCCAAGTCATCTCGAAAAACTTTTGTTATATTGCTCTTGTCAATCGTCTCGTCAAGCACACAATCTCGCTACTACGGAAAAATCGATATGCAAGCTTATCGATATGAGAAGAGCGATGGAATCATCCAAAAGAGAACAATCCCCATTCCCGAACCTGGCGCCAACGAAGTTCTCATTGCTGTGAAAGCCGCTGGACTCTGTCACTCAGACCTCCACATCCTACATGGTGGCTTGGAAAATCTCAAGCCATATGGTGTCCATCCTCCTCTCACATTGGGTCACGAAGTCGCTGGAATCATCAGCAAGCTGGGACCTGGAGTGACATCGTTCAAGCCTGGAGACAGGGTATCAGTAGCACAAGTTGGCTACCCAAAAGAAGAGGCGGCTTGGGAAACATCCGTCGGTCTCGGCGTCGATGGCGGTCTTGCAGAATATGTTATCGCACGCGTTCGTCAGGTGGTTCATGTCCCTGCGAATGTCCCGCTTCATCTTGCAGCCGTTGCTACTGATGCAGTTAGCACGGCATATCACGCAGTGGTCGCCGAAGCTGAAGCCGGGCCTGGTCGAAACATTGCGATCATAGGTCTAGGCGGCCTCGGTCTCAACGGCATCGTAGCTGCTTCACTAAAAGGTGCCAACGTCTACGGATTCGACATCGACACGAACAAATTCGAGGCGGCTCGCAAATGCGGTGCTATTGCTTGTCACCAGAGCTTGACCGATGTGGACGACGACTTCTTCGATTCTATCATCGATTTCGCTGGTGTCGGTAAAACTACCGCTTCGGCCATCGAGCGCATCAGAGTCGGTGGAGCTGTGGTTCTGGTTGGTTTGGGAGTGAATGAAGCAACTCTGCCGACTTCACTTCTGACTATGAAATCGGTTCACCTCAGAGGATGCATGGGTGCTAGTCTCCAGGAGTACCGAGAAGTCTTGAGGCATATCGAAGCCGGGGAGATTGATCCAGTCACAGAAGAGATCGGGTTTGACGGCGTTGCAGATGGCCTCGCAAAATTGGCTGCCGGCAAGATCTCTGGTCGCCTTTGGACGAATCCTTCAGCCAAGAGACGGGCTTGAGTCATACGGTGTTGATGCGAGATCGTGGATTGAGGTTCAGCTTTATCATAGGACGTATAGGTATGGCGATTGGATAAGATTTCTACTCTTGAACACGATAAACGATACCTGCTTATCCCACGGTTGGGAACCTCAAGGAGCAATATGATATAGATGCCTTGCATTGTGACTCCGGTTTCATCCTTGTGGGACTCTCTATGCAACCACTCCTTGTAGTTCCTGGATACTTTTCTTGCTTTGTAAGAGCCAGCCGAAACCCATGATAATGTCAGGCATCGCCTTCTTACTNAGCTGTAAGAAGGAAAAGGCGAAGTGCGCATGAGGCACTCCGGGCCAGACATTGAGCCTTGTTTTGACGCCATTATCACGTAGAACACGCTCATACACCAAACCATCGTCTCGCAAAGGATCCAAGCCAGCCACCTGGATGCAAGTTGGTGGTAGACCCTTGTGAGGAGATTTGCTGTTGAATGGGCTAAACAACGGAGAGTTGGCATCGGGTTCCAGATAGCCATTGATCGCTACAAGAGCATCTTTGTCCAGGACTGGGGCGGCAGCGTTCTGCTCGCGACTGATGAACGAGTCTCTGTACTCTGCAGGTACGGCCTTGCCATCTAGAGGAAAGATCCAAGGTACACAGAGCCAAATACCAGTCAACGGGTACGCCAGACTTGTATCTTCAAGCGTCTTTTGAGCGATACATGCCGTAAGGTTGCCTNNTGAAGCATCGGTTAGCCTTGCAAGGTCGCGTCCTGAGCGTTGTTTGAAGAACATACCTCCGGCACTGATGCCTCCCAGTATAAACCCTTTCGAGAGATCCGCTCCCAGCGTAGCCGCGTTCTCCGCTAGCCATAGTAGACTGTCCTCGACATCATGAGCAGCGGTGGGAAACTTATGCTCTGGCGCCAGGCGATAGCTGATCGCGACAACGACGGCATCAAAAGCCTTGGCAAGCGGGCGAGCAAGAGGAGTAAGTTGCTCCTCATTGCCCACAATGAAACCGCCTCCGAAAACCAGAACGATCAGGGGACCACCCGTAGCATCTGGGTTCACGATCTTGATCCGGCTGTCAAAGCCATCCCTCATTTTTATGCTCCTGAATGTCTCCGAAAGGCCTGGACCTGGGGGCCCCTGTTGTTGGAGGCGCTCTTTCTCGAGTTGTGCCCGCTTCGTGCGAAACGCGGCGAGATTGGACCACTCAGGCTTCGGAATCTGGTGTTGCTCTAGAAACTGTGTTTGTGTCAACAACATGGCTGTCATAAAGCAGGTCTTCCTCATGCTCTGACCTGAGCAAGCTCCGCATCCATCTCTGAGAGCTTTGACAATTGAGTTCGGTCCATTGCGTGTTTTGGTCAGGGAAGGAAATCGCAAAGAGCGCAAGAATTGCTGCTAGTAGGCAAAAACAGTGATGACCCCAAGTTCAGTTGGACCGGTCGTTAAATGACCGTCGACACAGGAATCGGATCGGAGCTGATCGGTCCTCCGTCCTATCGTATTGTTGTTGTCCTAATTACCACTATTCTGGATCGTCCGTCCAGAACGAAAACTTTCGAAACGCGAATATTGGCGCAGGATCAGACACTGGCCGTTGATTCGCAAATCGACGAACGATTCCTGATGAGACCCTCCTCAATTGCATCATCGGATGCTGGGTGGTGGGGTAAAGGCTTGGAGTAGAATAGAGTTTTCGTTCTCGACAAAACCCTAACTCCCTGACCCCGTTATCGATCGGGGGTAGATCTTCATGACCGACAATTCGCGGATCGGCGATTTTTGATGCCGTTGTATGTTCTGGATTCTGAAATATCACATTCGAGATGTTAGCCAGTGAAAAGTGATATATAGTAAACTTGTTGTCCAGAACATGAACCCCGCCCCATCTTCCCCCAACTCTTTTTTGTTCACAAGCCATCAAACCACCGCTCAACATGTCTTGGTCTATTCCAAAAGATTACCGCTCGCGTCCTGTGGTCATACTTGGAGGCGGTGTTTTGGGCCGTCGAATCGCTGCATGCTGGGTCGCTGCAGGCTTCCATGTCATCATCCGTGACCCTTCGGAAAAGTCTCGCAACGATGCTGTCGACTATATCAAGCAGAATCTCGCAACCTATCTCGCCCTCACTTTTGCTAAAGCAGGCTCCTATGAGGCAGTCGAGAACTTTGAGACTGCTGTCAAAGATGCCTGGCTTGTGTTCGAAGCGGTCCCTGAGATCCTCAGCCTCAAGGAAAACACTTTCCTGGACCTCGAGAAATACGCCCCTAAGGACTGTATTCTTGCCAGTAATAGCTCCTCGTACAAATGCAGTGAGCTTCTTGGCAAAGTCGCCGAGGAAACAAAAACTCGCGTCCTCAACACGCATTATATGATGCCCCCTCAGGTATGCGGTCACGTATGAGAGCCGTATCCGCTCTGAGCTGACCTCGTGCTAGNNGCCTTGATCGTCGAGCTTATGACTAGTGGTTCTACTGAAGAAACAATCTTCCCTTTCTTGGAAACCGAGCTTAGAGGAGCAGGTCTTCATCCTGTGTCCGCCAAGAAGGAATCAACTGGTTTCATCTTCAACCGTGAGTTTGCTTAGCTTCGAGCCTCATCATGGAATTGAAAGGGTCTAACGTATGTGCCAGGTATCTGGGCCGCCATCAAACGTGAGGTGCTTGCAGTCCTTGCAGAGGGTGTTTCCGATGCTAAGACCATTGATGCAATCTGGATGGAACAATACCAAAGCCCTGTCGGACCATGCACTATGATGGACAGCGTTGGTCTGGATACCGTCGAACACATCGAAAGCCATTACGTCCAGGATCGCGGGTTACCTGATGCCACACTCAAGTGGCTACACAACAACTATGTTGAGCAGGGCAGACTAGGCAACAAATCCGACAAGGGCGGGTTGTATCCTGTCCCTACCCAGGGTCATGGCACCAAGCTGTTGACGCTGAACATGTACCAAGGGTCCTACCCTGGAGAGCTGCCAATGGAGAAAATCATCAGCAGTGGACAAATCCTCGAGTTTTCAGTGGACAACAAATCAGCTCGCCCTGTTGCTCTAGTTACCAATCAGCGATGCCCTGATGGTATCGACGTATACGAGGACAGAATGTACTGGACCTGCATGGGTATACCTTCGCAGAACGATGGCGGAGTTTATTCCGCCAAGCTCGACGGCAGCGATATCAAGACCGTCATACAGCCAGGCGCTGTCCATACCCCGAAACAGATTACCATCGACAAAGTCAACAAGAAGCTGTACTTCACCGACCGCGAGGGCTTGCGAGTCCACAGATCTAATCTTGACGGTTCAGCACATGAGGTTTTGGTTCAAACAGCTGATTGGCAAACCGAGAAGGAGAAAGTTCAAGATCAGACCAATTGGCCTGTCGGCATTACTATTTCGCACAAGCTCAATAAGTTCTTCTGGACCCAANAAGGCCCCTCAAAGTCACTCAAAGGTCGAATTTTCTCTGCAAACATCGAGACACCGGCAGGCGCAGATGCAACTACCAGAAACGACATTGAGCTGATCCTGGGTGGGCTGCCTGAACCTATCGACTTGGAGTTCCATGAGGCGACGGGTGTGCTGTATTGGACCGACAGAGGCGAAATTCCTTTCGGCAATACTTTGAACAAGAAGACCCTCGTCGGCGAATCTCCGGAAGAAGAGAAGGTACTTGGCCGCCAGATCATCGCGCAGGGCTTCGGTGAGGCGATTGGTCTTCGTATCGACGAAGAAAAGCAACGTGTCTACGTCGCTGATCTGGCTGGGCGCTTGTGGGAATGTCACATGCAACCAGGACCTAAGGTAAAGATCTACGAGGCTGCGGGTCACGCTTACACTGGTCTTGTTGTTGTCAACTACTAGATGTGAGACCAGGAGAAGAGCCGTTGATACATATAGGATGCAGGCTTGGCTTGCAGTAGCAGCGTAACGGATACTGCCTTGGCCAATTTGTCACTCGTTTGCACTTAGGCTGTTTGCCAGCCGTAGATACTAGAGTACCCATTAAGCTGTTGAGAATGTCACGAACAATCTGTAATCATGCTCAAGTTGTCGTTCGCCTACCCCTCTTTGCAAGTAGTTATTCACGCTTGTGCAGTTGTACCCGCTTTGCATGTCCTAGCCCTCTGCGGTATGGCTCGCTTGATATCATCCCTGTCTAGGTTCGACATCTCACGAAAACAGAGCAGTCGCAGTTGTAGATTTAAGCCGTCAGAGGGCCAAGGCGAACGACAACCTGAGCATGATTGTAGGCCGTAATTAGATACTCCTATGACAGATTTCCACCGCTAGATATCCTGGACAGTTCCTACTGTTGGGCCTTCACCCTTGGAATCCAGACAAGAAGGATCCTTGTATGCAAAGACAACGCGTTAGTGTCTCATCACTAGTGGAGAGCTATGACCCCCTGGGTACGTCTGTTACCCAAACAAGACGTACAACGCGCAAACAACGGCCACATGAGGTCGGTACACGAGGGTAATGGCATTGCAAAGACTATGGAGCAGCTACGAGGGACAGCGAACATGACAGGAATATTTGACCAAGCATGGACAAGCAAGATGTCCAAGACATCAGATCTTCAGTTGAAGATATCTGCCCAGTATCGTTCACCCTTGGTCGAACTCACCCACTCTTCCGCAGTCTTTCTATCAACTCCTTTCGATTCCATCCTGATGCGCGCCATTGCATCCTCAACTCCTGAGCCAACATAACCAGCGCCACAAATGTACAATTCCGCATTGGCATGGAAGAGCTTGATGCACTCCTCTCGGTCGTGATACACACGATCTTGAACGAACTTGCAATCTTCGGAGGCCTCAGGCGCAAATGTGTATGCGCGGCGAACCGAGATGACGCCTTCTTTCTCCCACTTGTCGAACTGCTCCTTGTACATGTCATCCTCATCAGGTCGGTTGCAACCGTAGAANAGAAGCGCGGGGCCGACAGAACCACCACCAGCTTTCTTGAGAGCTCGCTCGGCGGCGAAGGCATAGAAAGGAGCTAAACCTGTTCCTGCACAAGCCATGATGATGGGCTTCGAATCATCATTTGGCAGATGGAAGCCTGCACGACTTGGGCGCAAACCAATGTGAACTTGGTCGCCCACGGAGAGCCGCTCAAGATAGGTGGTGGCGACACCAAGGAATCTTTGGCCGTTCTTTCTACCTTTTGCGGGTGCGTCGATGACACTGTAAGTCAAAGTGCAGACGGAAGGATCGGCAAGAGGACTTGAGGAGATACTGTACTGACGCAGGCGCATGGGAGGGACGCAAGCAAGGAACTGGCCCAGAGAGAATGTGGCAGAAGGGTAATCCTCGAGAACATCCAAAAGGGAGACTTTGGTCTTTTGGTAATCTTCAGATCGTTTGGAGAGCTCCTCAGACAATGCCTTTTCTGGGATGCTCGCGGCCACAGCACCCAGAGCTTTGCCCGTGACAGGCTGATTCAACTCCACCAAACTGGCAAGCACAGATTGGACCGGCAAGGCTTTGCCCGTGGGTAGAGCGGTGGACATGGAGGGATCGATCTCCATTATAGCATCCCAAGGAACCCTGAAACGAGTCATGACACGTCTGACTACCTCCACAGGATTGATTGGAAGCACTGCCAGGTAGTCGCCGGCGCGATAGCTCACACCAGTAGGTAGACGAATGCCAATGTGCCGTTTTCTAGGAGCTCCTGGGGCTGTGAGCAGGCGAGTCTCGCAAACCTCGCCAAGCTGGACATCGGACCGAAGGTGAGTAGAACGAAGTTGTGTATCAATGTTGATCTTGAGCTCTTTGACACCGCTTCCACCAGCGGCATTGGCTTTCTGTCCAGTCGCTTCGCGAAGCGCAGGCCAGAACTGGTCGTTCAGCCAAGCATCAAAATTGTCGAAGATGTTACCTTCGTTGACCTCAGCAGCATATCTGTCGGTGAGGCGCTTGGCACCAGCTGCTGCCAGCGTATCATCGACTGTGGTCGGAACCTTCTGGTAAGTAGCCCTCCACTCCTCTATCAAACTGCATTAGCATTATGCACGACGCACAGTTGTTGTAGAGAACATACTATTTCCAACGCCAAAGACAGCATATTGGATATCCTTGAGTTCTGACGCATCAGCAGACTTGAGCCACTCAACGAAGTGAGCTCCGTTGTCAGGCGGCTGGCCCTCGTAGCTGGGCGTGATGATTGCAAGCGGAGTTTTTGGAAGCACGCCTGTGACGCTGTCCATTGTCTTGACAGTAGCTGTAAAGCCGTTGTCATTTGCTGCGTCAGCGAAAGCTTGAGCGAGAGCTTCACAAGTGCCGGTATTGGAACCGTACAGGACAGTGAAAGGTGTCAAGTTTGCGTCATTGGTATGCTTGCTCTTGGAGTCCTTCTTCGCGGTTGTCGATTCTGTTTGCGTGAATCCTATGCCAGCCTGCTCGAGGAAATTGGGGTCTTTGACAGTGGCATGAATGTAGAATCCGGATGGCTTGATGGTCAAGGCGGTCTTGATCTTCAGAGTGTAGTTAGGGCTAGCCTTGGAGAACCTGAACACCTGCAANAGTGTTGCAGTCGCAAGCAGCGCTTCTTGCCAGGCAAAGGGGCGACCGATACAAGCGCGAACACCATTTCCAAAGGGNCTACAATAAGATCAGCAACAATTCCGAGCGAAGAAACAAGGGCTACACACCTTCCAAGCGTTGGCCGGTAGCTTTTCGAACGCTTCGCCCATCATGCGATCTGGTCTGAAACTCTCAGCATCCGCACCGTAGACCTCGGGATCACGGTGGATTCTGCTAAGCATGAGGTTGAGACGTTCTCCCTTTCGGACGGTATATCCATTGATCTCCTGATCAGACTTGGCTTGAACTGAAAATGCTGGAGCTGTAGGGTGGAGACGGAGGGTTTCTCTTAAGCAAGCTTCGAGATACGGCAACTTTGCCATGTGTTCGACAGTGATCGGTTTCTTCCCGCAGACTTCCATCACCTCTTGCTCAGCTTTCGAGTACGCCTCTGGACTCTCGAGTAACTCGTAGAACAAGAACGACAACAAGCCTGAGGTGGTTTCATGACCAGCAATCAANAAGGTGATCATGTTGTTGATGATAGATTCATCACTCAGTTTTTGTCCGGTCTTTGAATCGGTGTTGTTCAGCATGGCGTTTAACAAATCCTTCTTGTCAGTAGGATTTTTCTTGCGTTCTTCCAGAAGTTTCTGTGCGGTGCTTTTGAGGATGTCAATGTCGAGCTCGAATTTCTCATCCTGCTTCCTGTATAGGAAACCGGTCATGGGAGGTCTTCTGGATCTGGCGAATGACTCTGAGAGTGTTCCGACCATTGCATCAACAAAAGGGTGCTGATGTTCATGGTAGAACGAATTGAAGCGGGTGCCCATTGCACANGCTGTTTTGTCGTTCAGCGACCTGTATGGATTTGGATACTTCGGGTAAACTTACATGGCGATCGAATCCAATGTAAGCCGAGTGAAGTCGTCACTAGCATCGATAGGGTGCTCAGGGCCAAATCTGGCCCATTTGAGGACCATCTGCGAAACGATGTCTTGCATCTCTAGCAGCAAACACTCGTCAGTACTAAACTCACACCACCATTGAACGCTTTACGGACCTCCAAACATCTGCTTGATCGGCAAAGGGCCAAATGCGGGCATCAGCGTTCGATGCGCGACCGCCCAGTTAGGTTCATCGGGGTACGCTGTGAAGAGACCTNNATCCTCGTGTCAGACGGATGTAAACGCAATGCTCCCGGGTCGGATACCGTCATGGACCGCATGGCGAACCTGCTCAAGAGGGCCTGACACGGACTTCTGGAAGTTCTCCTCGTTGAACAGTGGCTCTGCGAACGCATAGTTGGCAACAAAAATACGTTCAGCTGGGAGTCTTAGCTTGAAGATTGGTCCTGGATCTCAATTAGCCTTGCATGGTGTATGCGGGTACGACTGATTACCATAGATGCCAGCTAGTCTTGCCAGACTCTGCACTGGATTTTCTGGATCAACTTCGAGGATGTTGCCCAACAATGGGTAGCCGTGAGGCGATGGTATGACCTTGCTCATCCTTGCGATCGTCAGGACTTCTTGAATGTCTAGAGAAAGGGGTTCATGTGTGGTGGAGGGGCGTTCATGTTCATATATGGAGCTAGTTCTTCGATGAATCCTAAATCGGGGAATGGACGGCCCTCGGATCTTCTCGTCAAGTCATAGCTCAACGATGAAGTGAGCCCAGCGTTGGTGATCCAGTAAGGAGTCAGGGAGATGGCTCGACTGTCCACGAATGAGATGACATCTTGAGCTAGGGTGCCAGGGTGAATCGCATTAGTGCTCTATGTGACATAAAAGTAACGGCGAGCGTAGGATCATCAGAGGAAAGTTCTCGTACACAGAAGTGCTCAGGGACGCCATTTCCCCCTAGCACAACCTGTTTTGGTAAACATCGCGACGTCCAACGAAAGCTGTCCGCTCGTGAGTTTTGAGTTTTCGTTCTTGCTCGCGGACCGTTACCGCGCCGATCCCGATGCGGGGCCAGCGAGATCTTGGCCGCCGTTGGGCGGTTTGTCGGGGACTCGGATCTAATGCTCCGGAATCAGTCGAAGCCCTGCCAGTCAAGTCTTGTTATCGATGGCAATTGACTGACCCTGAACCATTTGACATCGTCAAGAGGTATGAGAAGCTGATGCATGCGTCCTTGTCACTCTTCTTTCGGCCATTGAGCGAGATGCGGATGGTCTCACGCGAATTTTGACGTCGACCCTCTCCAGAATGCATGCAAGCTGCTCAGCCACTCACGTCAATATCTGGGGATCGCGATACGAAGAGACTGGAGAAGTGCTGCTGACTAATCGCGGTCATTGCAGTGTCTTCGCGATGATGGGGTTTCTCTACTTCAACAACAATCTTCATTATCACGTTCTATACTCATCGGAGTTTGTTTTGTCTCATCGGAAGCACAGACTACGTTCTCGATCCATCACAAGCGAGGGACCTTCGAGAGACCCTTGCCAGACCGTCTGCTCCGACTCAATTCCGAACCGTAGGAGACTGCAACAACTGTCGCGCTAGTCTGTTGACACACGCCTCCTCGCAAGCTTGTCTACTTGCGCACGAGTCGCAAGCTTTACTGTCTGTAGAGACTAGGATATCCACGAGTTCCGGCTTACAATGCGATAGCCCTTCCTGCATCGTCTTCCCGAACGCACCCGGTGACTTATACCCTACAATTAACTCTGCGCAGGCCGCTTCTCCTATCTATGGAGCGCCCAACCGAGGCAATGGTAAGAGCTCGGCGTGCACATACAAAATCTCGCATGGGATGGTAAGTATCACGTCCAAATTTGAATGCAATCTTCCTCATCTAAACAGTGTAGTGTGACTTGTCGCCAGAGGAGAATACGATGCGACGAATTTCGTCCAGCATGGTTGGTGATCATATCGTTGCCATTAAGCTCATATTGGTTCTAACGAATATCCCAGTCTAAATTGTACCAAGAAGCAGGTTCAATGTGTATACTTTGATAGCGCACCTGAGCCTGTACCAGACGTATCTTGCACGTCGGGTCAGCTTTTGCAATATCTATGCAGAGCAGACACCGTCCCGGGTATAGATTGGNNACATCGCTGGAGCCTTATCCAACCCCACCACGAGATCGATTCCTGATACACCAAACTGCCCAGCTTGCAATGCAAATGTCCAGGCATGGCAAGCATGTCTACTTGGCCTCACAACTTTTCCCAGAGTACGTAACCTCGAATGAACATGTTGGTGAAAGTCTTACATTGTGCAGGTTTGTTCGTCTATCTCAATTCGTCGATTACGCTCGCTACAGCATGTGTGCATTGGTGACTACTTACATCGGAATGCTCACAAAATCGAGCCAAATCGACGTAATCACCCACCAATATAGAGGTTTGGCTCTTCGCGGTCTTCGCACTGCTGTAAATGAACCAGTAGGCGAGAATATAGAGGCAATCATCGCGGCCTCCTTCTTGCTGTCATGGGCTGCAGATGGCAGGTACAGTTGATGATACTAAAGCCAAAGATACCTACTAATTTGGGAATATGATAGTGAGGAGTACGTCGAACTCTCAAAAGGGATGTTATCTGTAAGTGGTTCTAGCTTCCACGTCCAGAGATAAAACATACTGAACGTTTAGGCTCTCGAACTGGCTGATGACATGGACATTCATTCGCCAGTCATTGACTACTGGAGATTGCCCTATCACATTGACATTCTTCGACGTGTTCCGCTCGCTGTCGTAGTTCAAAGGATCTTGCCTACGCTACGACATCTCAGACATTACGTCCGTCATCACGAAGTATATCTCCGAGCTCTGAAAGAGCTCATACACTTCGTATCCAATCTACGCATGTTCCTAATGCCGGACACCATATATGGGCAATTGAGGGCCATATACCCAATACGATACTGGCTGCACTGGACTCCTGGCTTGCTCGAACACTTTTGCGCTCTCGATCCACTTGCGGCTATTTTCCTGGCTCATTATCACATGGTGATAATCGCTGTGATGCCTTACTTCCCTGCTGCGGCTCGCTACTTCGCGCTGCATCAGCGATGTCAACAGGTCGATGCTCTTTGGCAAATGCTGCAAGAGTTAGCTAAAACTTCGAGGGCTCCCTGGGCTTGGGACTTGGAAGAATTGATGAGGGAACCTCGATCGATAGCAGTCAGCATCCTCATACCAAGAAGAGGTCATGCATTTACCGATGAATGCAGTCCCCGGTCCACTCTACAGGGGCTGGACTGATCGGACGACCTACTTCGTCGTGAACTCGTCCGGCAGGCGAAGGCATCCCGCGCAGTATGAAACGGGTGAATTCAAAGATCTTTTGCGCGCTATGAAAAAGCGGCGAAGTGTCTGCAGATCCAATGATCGTTCAATTGTCCATTACTGTTATCACGAATTCATGACCAGCGTTAAAAGATCATTGTGCGTCTTCTTCATACTACCAGATCCTAATAAATGCTCGATCACAAGACTCGCTAGGTCTGACTCCATGTGCTCGACATGACAGCAGGCGAATATTGTCATGATCTCTACAACTTTGGCACATTTGTTCTGAGTGGGCGTTCGGATCACAGGAGGTTTGAATTCTCGAGTACAATGATTTCGAGACAGATCGAAGACGGAGCTGCCAGTGCCCAGACAGCAGCCAAGTCTGATTATGCTTTGATCCTTCAGCCGCGGATAAACTCCTGTACGTTACAATTATTGCGCTTGATGAACCCGAACGTTCGCATTGCGGCTCGTACCTGTAGACTATCAAAGATCAACGATCAAAATTTGACGGTAGAACGTTCTCAAATCGTGGTCAAGACCTCAATTTGAAATCCCACCAGTTAGAGTTATCGTTCCTGGCTGCGACACCTCAAACGCCTCATTTGGCTTCAAATATGGTTCGCTGAGCGGGCGAACCTCACAAAAGCGACATTTAAGCACAGATACCCTCAGGTTCCAGTCTCATTCTTCATTCTTCTTCGAAAGCACGATCCCACTGCTATCACAAGGCAGCTATCAAAACACCAGCCACCCATCACTCAATATGACAGAGCAGATCGAAAATCTATCCCGTTCAGAGATTCAATCCGCTAGCAATCAGCTGTGTAATCACGATCGAGAATCAATGGAGAAGCAGAGAAAGACGATTGTTCAATCAACACAGTCTGAGCACAGGATCGCGGATCCGTCGCCTCTGGGTTTGAGCGCTTTTGCTTTGACCACATTCGTACTTTCCCTGATCAACCTTGGTACGCGAGGCATCCACCAGCCCAACATAGTGGTGGGCATCGCTTTCTCGTACGGAGGATTGGTACAGCTGTTGGCTGGGATGTGGTATGTTACACGCCCGATGCACGACATCACAGGTCTGACATAGCTGACATCAAATCTAGGGAGATGGCACAAGGCAACACTTTCGGTGCTACCGCTTTCTCTTCCTATGCTGGATTTTGGATTGGTACTGCAATTATCTTTACGCCAGGTGGATTTGAGATCATCCAAACCTTAACAGAGGACTCTCCCTCTCCATTCTACAACTCGGTAGGCATATACTTCATGGTACGGATCGTTCAATCAGGCATGACGACGAAATCTGACTAATTACCTGCCTAGGGATGGTTCATTTTCACCTTCATTCTGGTCATTTGTTCACTGAGGTCCACAGTGGCTTCGCTGCTACTCTTCTCTCTCCTCGACATGGCTTTCCTGTTGTTAGCCATCTCTTACCTGCTGGGTGATGGAAACTTGAACCCAAATACAGCTTGCCTGCGTGCTGGAGGTGCCTTTGGTGTCTTGTCCGCTTTTGCTGCTTGGTACATCGCGCTAGCGGGCTTGCTCAACGAGAGCAAGAGCTATTTCAAGCTGCCAGTGTGTCCACTGCCTTGAGATTTCTGGAATTCCACATTGTTTATCGAGTGATGGTAATGATCTGGAGTGACAGAGAAGTCGTATTGTTATACGACTCACAGGTACTAGAACAGATCGGACAAAGCCAGGGCCAACCCTCATCATCACAATCATCCATTTTCAACATTGAACAAGTGCCCGAGATCGAAGCGGTCATGTAATTCGCAGATAGCTCGAATGCGTAACGTATCTCCGAGTTTCGACTCGAAGTTTCGCTTGATGGTTTCCCTGAGCGAAGCAGGTCTTGATGCAGCTCATCTCTGCAGTCATTCCAGGCCCAAATGCAGCTGCGACGACAAGGTTCCTATGTGTAGGCATGGAGCGTAATTCATCCAGCACCGCTAGAACTGTCGGACTCGAAGAATTGCCTCGATGTCTGTATATCTCACGGGTTGCACGAAGTTGTTCTTCTGTCAGACCCATGGCTTGTCTTACTCCGTCTATGATTGCTTGACCCCCAGGATGCAATGCCCAGTCAAAGTCACGAATATTCAAGTTTTGATTCCTTGTCTGGGTCTTGAGAGCGGCCAGTAAAGTCTCGAACATCGGCCCAACAGCTGAGATCGCATGTTTTGGGACGGATCTGTGCAGAACAGTTCGATATCCTGCCTTCAAAGTCAACATAGTTCAGATTTGACACGGGACTTATGTCCCGCATACCTTTGCTTCCGCATGAAACTGCAAATCTTTACTTGTGCCCGGAATGAGTTGAGTGGTCCAATCCAACAACTCAAACAGTGGCTTATCTTCCTTTCGTAATCCAAGATCGTTGCAAAGAACAAAAGCAGCTGCGGCATCGGAGAAGAGAACACTACCTATGCTGACTTGAGAAGTCCCGGTACACTTTGCAACAGCGTCAAGTTCGTAGCGGATGTTGGGTGTGCACAGTTCGCAAGCAAAGCAGAGTATCCTAGCCGGACGGTTTCGCACCGTGGCTCCGCAAGCGAGTTGAGCGGCTGTACGCATGATTGCCAGACCTCCAGCACAGCCAACGCCATGAAGAAGCGTACGGTCAACAGAAGGTGACAGACCAAGTTTCTCGTTGACCAGAACGTCGAAGCCAGGGTTGCCCTGGTTGGTGCAGGTGACAGCGACAGTGTGGGTTATGTCGGCAGGATGTCCAGACCATTCTTCGATGGCCTTCTTGCAAGCTTTGACGGTCATGTCGACACCAGCAGTACGAAACAGGTGATCCATGTCTTCGATAGAAGATGGCATACTATCAGCAGCGTGATCCAAACTGTAGTCAATTATTGCTGAGCGTGTTTTGATGCCAGTATTCCGATTGATGTTGAGCAATTTCTGGATGCTAGAGATCGTTATCAGCGCGTGCATGATCACGGGGCTCAGCTTCCTTACNCCAGGTTTGTTTGGTCCATACAACCGCTCGGCGAAAGTCTCGAAGCTCTCTGGGCCAAAAATATGACAAGGATACTCTGTACCGAGACCAGTAATCCATATCCCCGGCCCTGAGGGTTTCCAAAATCGCGGGATCCTGGTTGCGAGTGCTCATGACGAGGCGCAAGGTTCTGAGCGATGCTTCCGCGGTATCGAAAGATGAGACGGACGAGTGAGATGACTCTTAGTCCATCGCGAAAAACGCAAAAGGAAGCCGGACCTCATAGACAGTCGGATGATTTAGGTCTGCCCTGCATAATTGAGCTGTCTCCAGGCGCCTAGATGCAGATTTCACGTGAGTCTAGAGTCTCAAGTGCACATGGAAGCGTGGGATTGATTGCATTAGGCTGCAGGAAAATCAGGCAGCCTGCATAATGGCGTCGTTACACAAGAACGCCAAGAGACCACCCAAAATGTATGATCAGTCTGCAAGAGGCGGAATCAAATTCGAACTCACAAGGGTGCTCCCGAACAGTTACTTTGATAGGATCAACGAGTTGCAGCAGTTGAGCAAGATTCAATGCATGATAACCGAGATGCGGCGACAATATCTGCGTACCTATGTAGCAAGCTCAAGTCCATTCTCAGCCAGGCGAAGACACGCCCGGGTCGACGTCTTTCAGAAGCCCCAGTTTGTCAAAGCTTTATCGAGTGTTGCCATTTGCTCCTTTTTGCAAGCTTGGAGCTTCTCTTCAGTCTGCTTCTTGATCCATCGATCCATAACAAAATGCCACGGGCAGACCTCTGCCATAAACTCATATACCTTAGTGATTTCTTCCGCCCCAGGGATGTTGCTTGGTCTGGCGGCTCCAGCCTTGACCAATTCTTTCTCGAACAGTTCCATGAGCTCCCACTGAGGTGAAGCATGGTCTCTGTTCTCTGTTCCAGAGATTGGTTTAGACTCGGGAAGCGGAGCTGGATATTGTCGAAAAATGGCTGATGCGATCTCTGGTTCAAGCGACATGACGCAATATCTGAGCGAGAAGGATGAGAAGAAGTACTCATGCAGGGGATGACCAGTATGACTGCAATCATAGTCGACAAGGCCAGTAACCTGGAACGTATCCGGATCGAAGAAGGTTCGCAACAACTGTTTGTTGCGTGAGATACGATACACCAAGTAAAAGAGTCATCAGCTTTGCAACTCACCCACATCACCGATGATCAGGTTCGGTCTAACATCGCGAGGTAAGATTCTGGTCAGTACGTCCGCAAGGCCTTTCTCAGCAAATTTGTCCAGTCTGCTGCGAATCTCACTGTGTTTGTAGCCTTTGACCACTGGAGATCGATCGGCCTCAGCAATTTGTGCCTGTAACATGCTCTTGTACATGCTGATCATGTCTGGATAGGGACCATTGTACGGTTCGACGACATATGATACGTTGACAACTTCACCATTGTCACCAAAGGCTAGACCACCGAATCCGGCTGCTTTGGGAGGGAGCTGGAAGTCCTGAACAGTCTTCAAGATCGTAGCCATCTGGCTGAGTATGTACCGTTGACTTTCACGAGCAAGCTCAGTATGGAATCTGGACTCGATCTCGACATCACGCATATAATCCTCCAAGATCCAACCAGTCTCCGATGGCTCCCCTCCACCACTCCAGGCATAGACCTTTGGCACAATATCGAATGCCGACAAGGCCTGGCGTGTGAGCTGCATCATGGCAACCGTGTTCTCGACCTTGACAGCATGATTAAACATTGCAGCAGGATTTCCAACGCGAAAGACCGCTTTGCTTGTGCCTTTTGGAATAGCATTAGTACCGGGCCACACCGACAAACTCGTATCCGAACTCAAAGGCGTTGAAAATTTCACGAAATGGACGAAGTTGTTGTTGCAACGAGGTAGGGTCTGGATCGTCTGAATGGGCAACTTGAAAACGGAATCGAATAAGTTTTGTATGAATGCGCGATGACAGTCTTTGGTCGCTTCGTCCTGAGCTTCGCACGCCGACATCTTGAGAGATGATAGATAAGCCGACTGGGACGCAGGTGCGAGCGATGTCCTTGTCGAGTTATTGTTCGTGGTGACAGCTGACAGCTGTATCCTGCGATTTGCGAGTCAAGTCTCGTGGAAAGAAGAATCAAAGAACAAGAATTCAACTGCCAGGGACGACAGAGGCAAGGGATAACAACGTGATCGGCAGGGACAAAAGGGTATCCGGGGTTCTTATTCGCGGTGAACCCCATGGCGTTCTTATCCCCAGGAAGGATTGTGGGGATGGCGCTTTCCCATATTGAGTAGGAGTTATCGCGGGACCTTGGATTCAGATGCAATATCTGCGATACGTACGTATCACCAGACTGAGCTTGCGTGGCATGCCCGAAGTGCCGGTCACAGGTCGAAGAACCCTTGCCCACCTCACGATTTAGGTAATAGTGGATATCATCTCCCAACTCGTCCTATCCCAAACTTTCAATCTCAACATTAGCATGTACAAGAGGTCCTCCAGAGAGCGTCGTTTAGCAGCTGGACGACATCTTCGTCAATGATGTCGATATTATTGAACTTTGTCGTCCAGTGCCATCTGAATGTCTCTTTTTGATTTGTCTCGTCGCGACACAGGTGTAGCCAAAGACCCTTATAGTTGCAAATGATCTCTCCTTTTGCACACCTGTTGCGACTTCATAGCCTTACATGCCATTTCAAACGTTCAGGATGTTGTAGCCACCTTACATGAGCACACCAAAATATGCTGCATAGGACTCGTAGCGACGTAAAAGGTTGGGATCTGTCTACCAGGGTCGAGCGAGGAAGTCCTGGACCAGTCAATAAGTTTGTAAGTGTACTGAGGGCTGTAAACTCTACTGAAAGCGATAGAAGGCGAAGTCTGAGCGCTTTTCGGCGACTCATATTGTTCTCAGTGTGCTCGAACAGCTCGTTCCACTCTTCGACAAGCGACCGTCGTGATGTATGAACGATTAAGGTTAAATTGCATTGGCAGTACAACTTGGCGCTCCCAGCTCACCATCGTGCAGGAAGTCTTGTGACAATATGCTTTGACGGTCGGCAGGACTGTCGCTGATCAGCCCAGTCAAGCACACAGGCACTATGATAAGCCAGGGTGACCCTCGCAGCATGATGTGCACGAAGTGGTACACATCTAAAGCCTTATGCACGAGAGGACTCTCGAAGCTCGAGTAACCATATGCAGATACTTGACTTGCACAAAGGAATCGAATCGATACACCGCCCAGTGGTCAAGCAAGTCGAGCCCTTCCAGCAAGAAACGCGTTCCATTGTCAAACATCTGGTATAACGACATGATCGACGCTGGCATAGGAAAGAGTGAGAGGCAGCTGCGACTCGTGGTCATCAATCATGATGGGATGACATGCCTGTGTGGCTGAAGTAATCGACGAAACGCTGATTGCACTGATCGACGAGGGAAAGTGGAGTGAAATCACACTCGAGACTGTGACTTATATTCATGAAGTTGGCGATATCATGGAGAAGGCGTGGGTGTGAAGTAGGGATGAGGTCGTGATTGTCAATGCGAGCCTTCTGATGGTAGGATAGAAGAAGTGTTGATGGGCTGGCTAGATATTTGAGGCATCGTCGTCACCACTATGAGCAAGATCGTGCCGATGCCTGAGTAGCCTTCAGACGAGCTGTGTTCCTTGATGATGGACGACAAATCATGTCGAGCCCGTTATCAGGTGGAGGGACGAGAAACAAGCAGAAAGCGCGAGGGGACAAGTCGAGGGAGAAGACGGAAAATTGGGGGATCAGAAAAGAGTCGGAGCCAGAGCAATAGAAGTGAAAATCAGTGGCGCGGTGCAGGTGAACAATGAATGCGGACTATTGGGTATCAGCACGCACAGAACAAGAAGATTCTTCTTTGCTGTTAGGCATGAGAAGAAGCGGCGAAGGACGGCACAACGAAACGGATGGGGCCGCAAGACAAGCCACGCAGGAACAGGTGTCGGTTAAAACGGTCTCAGCTCAATCCTAGCGATGCGGTGTCACAGCGTGGCATTATTGAGATTGTTGGGTAGCTTTATTTGGCCACGAGCGAACGGCCGACGGACAGAGGACCTGCATAAGCGGCGCGGAAAAGTCTGGTGCATCTCAGATAAGGATTTTGCGAACATTGTGGGGGTGCTCTGATTGGTGACCAACGTTGGAATGGCCATGCACACTGCATCAAGTGAATTTCAATTCGAGCAGATTTTCGCATGGCTTATCGAAAGCTGTCAGTGCATGGCGCAAAACTATGAGAGATGTGCATGATATACAGACTAGATTAGGGATAAGCTTGCCTTGATAGCATGACGAGACGGAAGTTTTCATGACAGAAAACGAGGCGGATGAGATGAAGCATGCTCCACGTTCCAGAAGTCGACATTCCGTCCAGATTCTGTGGTAGGTGGCAATGGTCGTTGGGCGTGAAAACGCGCTTGCGCACACGGGTCGAGCTGAACCCCGTGGAGCGCGGGCGACTGAAGAGGTTTGGACTGACAGTCGTGGTGTTCCGGATCTCCAGTGATTTGCAGAGACGAACAACATTTGCTCTGGCCACACGCACTCGTTTCTACTTGAGCAATGTTCCCAATCTTCCTTTCCAGTCGAGCCTTCGCACAGGTGAACAGGATCGATGATGCCGCCTAGTCCTCGATGGTCTCGGGTGTCTTGCTTAGTGATGTATGCAGGTACCTTGTTCTGGGGTAGCATTGGTCAAAGAAGGACTAGGCTGGCGGCAGTCAAGTATGAAGCACAGTCGAAGTTCGCTCGGGTCCGATTGAGCCGCAAAAGAAAGTTGGCTAGCGTTCCCAATTCTTGAGGGGTCACTAGCGTCCGTGCCGCTTAAACTTGACTGAATCTTGTACCTGACTCATGGAAAATGATTGATAGCTAGATCAAATTTGGCTAGTCAGGCCTGATGATTATGCATGGAGATCTTTCCACGTCTCCAGGCCGAGGTACTCATACCTCAACCTTACACCACAACCTTCTTCGACACGACAAATTCGTGCCGAATGATATTGGATGTGGCACGGAGTCCTCATGGGGACCTCTGCTGTATAATTCCAAGCTGCGAACTCATGACAACAGGAGTATAAACAAGTTCATGGAACTTGGTGGGCGTGGCGATTTCACAAGAGTCGGGAAGAAGGATACTCCAGGTGCAATCATGGTTCCTGCTGCCGCTGCCGGTCTGGACGCTGTTCCCGCTGTCCATCGCGGTTGCCAAAAGCCCTACTCTCATCACTGATGTTGCCGCATCCGTACCTGCAGCCGTAGCTTCCCATTATAGCCTCCGCTTCGTTGAATGCTTATGCACAACGTCACAACCATCCTTATCACCGCCCAGACTCAAGTTTTCGCTTGAGAGTTCCCGCTGAACCGAGGTCGCGAATATGATCTACGACATTCGGGGTGCCTCCTGAAGGTTGGGGTCGCACACAAATCGGCAGGCGCTAGTACTGTAGCTGCATTGAAGAAGCAGCTAATCCCAACTAAGCAGCGGCAATAGACTTCAGCTCATGCTGCAGTTCAGGCCTCGATTTGGCTATACTGCGAACATGTTTCCTGATATGCATGCCGTATTGGAAAACTCGAGCTGAGTTGAGACGATCAATTCCAGATGGTGTAGGACAGGATTCCCAACATCCTGGACATTGGGCTTGCTCTCGATGGATATTTGTTGTATAAGAGCTTGATCTGCAAGCACTCCAACCACTCAGACCAACAGCCTTCTCCATCTCTCTCTGTATTCATTCGTTCGTGGGCTCAACTGCCTATAACAGATTTCAGGCCTTTGTTCGGACTTGGCATCTGAAAATCGAGATTGCTTCCGATCCTTCCATCACCTTCGCCTTGGGGTCTTTTCCATCATGGGCCTCAAGTCTTACTTCCGCAAGCCGATCAAGAAAGATCTTCAAGCATCGGATCCCGCACAGCCTGCAAGCAATGACTTCGCGCTCAGAGACCGAACATCTGGTACACCTTCGTCCAATGATTCCGCTGACTCACCAGTCATCGCTATGCATCGACTGAACGATGCCAAGCACGGGCTCATGGTAAACCACATCTGGTCTCAGCAGGCAAGATCGCTCTGGTACACTGGTGGCGAAGACGAGGGTGTCGTGCTCAAATCTTCACGAGACCAGTACGTGTGTTGTCCTCCAGACTTGGAACAACCTGGTGGCTTCTTCGAAGCGATTAAGGCTTTGAACGTCAAGGTGATTCCCTTCGATTCTCCCTTGCGAGCACACAGACTGATTAATTCCCAGAGCGCCATGACCGTCAACACGCGCGTCATCAGGATCCTTCTTGAAGACAACTATGGAAGCTCTATGCCAATCGGCGATAACCTTAGGGTTCAAATCCTTCCTGATATCTCGTCCCTCAGCCGCTGCGCCAAGCATCAATTTGCTGCATTCATTGCTGATCGAAAAATATTGGTTGTCTGGGACGATCAGCCAGAGAAACTCATCAGCCGAGTCGAGAAGATCGAAAGTCGTCTCATGTCAATGATCTGGTCCAGCGGAACTGAAGAAGAGTATTCAGAGAAAGAGAAACAAAGCACTAGAGTTTCTGTTCATGAGCTCGACACTACCGCAAGCGAAGAAGGCGTGGTGGAGAAACCTCGACGAGTCGTCCTGCTCCACTCGACCACAACTGCGTTCACCCTATGTCTGATGATCGTTACGATCGGCACAGGCTACAGGAAGCTTGTTAGTGAAATTTCTTACGATCACTCTTACACCCGTTTGGCATTGGTAGCGACTGTGCCGCCAACCGTCTGGGTATCATTCTTTNTCTTCCAGTCACTCGTTGCGACCGTGTTCCAGATCTTCGGACCAATTAGTCAAGTGCAAAGCAACACTAAATTCTACTCTGGACTACCACCAAAACGGCTTGCAGCTGGCTCGACCTTGCCACACGTCACAATTCAATGCCCGGTCTACAAAGAAGGCCTCCAGAGCGTCATCGCTCCAACAGTATTTTCGATCAAGGCAGCAATTTCTACCTATGAGATGCAAGGCGGGACCGCGAACATTTTCGTCAACGATGATGGCATGCAGCTTCTTCCAGAAGAAGAAGCGAAGGCTCGTCAGGAGTTCTATGAAGAACATAGTATCGGATGGGTAGCTCGTCCCCGTCATGATCCTAAAGGCGAGCACAATCCCATTCCATTCCTCCGTCGCGGCAAGTTCAAANAGGCTTCAAACATGAACTATGCTCTTTGGGTCAGCAACCGCATTGAAGACAAGTTGGGCAACCTGGATCCTAGACCCGAATACTGGACTCAAGAGCATGAAGCAGCTGCCTACGTCAAAGCTCTGGAGGAAGTCATTGAGGAAGATGAGAATCGCACCTGGGCTGACGGCAACATTCGTATGGGCGATTTCATTCTTCTTATCGATTCTGACACACGAGTGCCGACCGATTGCCTCCTGGATGCGGTAAGCGAGATGACGGCCTCGCCACAAGTTGCTATCATACAATACACTTCCGGCGTTATGAACGTGACCCAGAGTTTCTTTGAAAACGGTATTACGTTCTTCACGAACTTGATCTATACGCAGATCAAGTACGCGATTGCAAATGGCGATGTCGCACCATTTGTTGGGCACAACGCTATTCTACGATGGTCTGCAGTTCAAGATATCGCGTATGATTGTCCACTTGATTTCAAGGAGAAATACTGGTCAGAAGCGACTGTGTCAGAGGACTTTGACATGGCTCTTCGCTTGCAGACTGCTGGATATCTGGTGCGTCTGGCCGCGTATACCGGAGACGGGTTCAAAGAAGGTGTTTCGCTCACCGTCTACGATGAACTAGCTCGCTGGGAAAAGTATGCCTATGGCTGCAGTGAGCTAGTCTTCCATCCGCTACGATACTGGCCGACACGAGGACCCTTCACAAAATTGTTCCGCAACTTCATCACGTCAGGAATACCACTGCCGTCAAAGCTTACAACTCTGTCATACATTGGTACCTACTATGCTATTGGATGCGCATGGCTTCTCACTGTGGTGAACTATTTCATTGTCGGTTGGTACAACACCATTCTTGACAAATACTACCTCAACTCCTTCCAAGTCTATCTCTCCGTCATTGTGGTGTTCACAGGCCTAGGAAACCTTGCTCTGGGAGTCCTTCGTTACCGCATGGGAGAACAATCTTTGCTCAGCGCACTCCTCACCAATGCCATGTGGATTCCTCTCATGTCCATCTTCCTCGGCGGCTTGTCGCTTCACGTATCGCAGGCTCTCGTATCACATCTTGTGAGCATCGATATGAATTGGGGCGCAACATCCAAAGAAGCCGAGAACACCACATTCTTCCAGGAGGTGCCCAAGGTGATCAAGAACTTCAAATTTACGTTCTTGCTTTGTATTGTGCTCTCGATTGGCATGGTTATGCTTGCATGCGTGGTTCCCGACTTTTGGAGGATCAATCAGTTCTTCGCCATCTACCCGCTTGCTACTGTTGTCGTCAGTCACTTTTTACTTCCCATTGCTCTTAATCCTAGCTTGATGTTGTTTACTTGGTAGATTTGGTTTTAGATAGTCATATAGTCAGCGTATTCATTCTTTCCTCTGAAACAAGGTACGATGCAGTAGTAGCAGTGAATGAGCGGCCAGGTTGATTCCGATCATCGGATGATCTATTTCTGCCTGTCACGTATGTCGAGCTTCGCACCAATGAAGTTCATGGGGTTTCGCGAGCAACAAAGAACCGGAAAGTGATGTTCTGAAGATGAAAACTGCTGTGAGCAGTGGCTTTGAATTCTCAAGTTTACCAGGCCATAGTGAATGACGCGCTTATACATCAACTGTACTGAACGGCAAAGTATCGAGCTGGAACCACAATTCAGGATCTAGAGGAAAATCCATATCCGACGCGTCCCATTGTCTCGGCTCAAGTGAAGAGTTCGCAGACATCGCTTGGTGGTCGATGGTTGCAACTTGTCTGTTTGTGACTTCTGACTGGGCAATGTCCGATCTACTTAACAGACAAGACAGTTCCTGTTGTAGTTCTTCTAGGATGATACTATATCGTAAGCTAGGTGCATTCGCATTAGTGGCTCTCGCCAGATGCACTTGTACTGATTTTGCCAACTTGAAAAGAACCATCTCATCGTATTGAGTGGGGATGATAGACAGGCGACCTTGTTTGCGCTGCATGATCCACACATAGACTATGGTCAATGCATTAAACGTAACGTACTGAGTGTTCCAGAACGCTGGTATCAAGTTGTTATCTGCTGCGAGATCAAGAACAAGATCAAGAACAAGTTTGGCCGCGGACAAGCATTTCTCTATGTGTGGCTGCATCATGGCTGGCTCTGTGAGTTGCCCGAAGAGCAGAGGCCTGGTTATGATCATGACAGCGTGTGCACAGCCTATCTGCAGTACGGTGAGTTGTCTGCGAAAAACCGGGACGAGACTAGATGGATGAATGCCGCCCGAGAGAAACAGTGGCAATTGGTTTCTCCACTGTTCGATCTGGAGTCCTAATCGCTGTGCTGTCGCGATCATGTGCTGATCCCGAGCAACGTGGACCAAAGCTTGCTCCTTCAAAGCTTCTTTGACTATGCGAGTGAGTTTCGCATGCATGACTGGAGCCGCTTGGATGCAGTCTTTGGGTATTGCGCGGGTAACCGCTTCATCAGAGAGGAGATCATTGTCATCGACTATCTCTGGGAAGCGTTGATCGATGTATGTGTCGTTGATGTAAGGCGGTCTTCCTAACATCACACTAAGGTATGTATCGAGCATATGGACTGCCCAGAAACAGCGTTTTTGACATTCTCGGACAACTCTGGTTGAGTCCGCCGAGCCCGGAGCTCTTGCCCGATGGATACCTATGGACAGTGCGAGTTGATAGGTACTTCCCAGTGTATGCCACGCTTGGTTCAATCGTGATGTGTTGAGTTGGTAAAGAGACGTAGCCAATCGTGCCTGTACAGATTCGAGACGTGGTCTGCCAGTCTCACTTGTTATAGCTAGTTGTGCCGCTTGATAAAGTGTTTCACCCATACGCAGATTGTTGTCGTTGACCTCAGCAGTCCTCGAATCGACCGCATCGCAAGCTGTCGTGTCTGATCCATTGCCACTTTCGACGTTGTAGAGACAAGCGGTCGCAAGAACCATCAGAACGATAGCTCGGCGAATAGGCGCAAGGCTCACCTGATCCATGTCTTCTTGCTCGTGTAAGCGAGAAAGCCATGATTCGAATGTGGGCCAATGTAGGTAGCGGTAAGTGGGTGCAGCGAAATCAAAGTATCGCGAAGTCAAGCCATTTGTGACGTGGCGATCAGGAAGTCGAAACTGCGTCGAGGGGTTCAAAGCTGGCGCGCTTCTGTCACCATAGGCAAAGACTGAAGCTTCTTCCCTTNNTGACTCATGGCTCGGGCTGCAAGGTTCTGCCATACCAAAGCGACGCCAGGCTTTACGAAGAAANCTGAACAACAGGGTCAACCTTGGTATCCGACAAATCCCAGCAACAGCATGAAATACCGAGAAATTGCTAGTGGGCCCCTGGTAGCCTGCAGGAGTGATGCCTTCTCCGTTCGGCGAAGCGGCTCGGGAGGTGTCGTTGGTCTCACACGCGCCACCAGATGGCAGTACAGACACAGGTTCACCTAGCCATGGCGATCGCGCAGCGGGTTGAGTGACTGGCTCGGANGCATCGAGTAAGAACGAGTTGGCAATCTGCAAGTCTTGGTTTCTGCCATGCGGAGTGATATAAGTACAGATCAGTCCTTGCGAGACGCACAGCGGACATGGTTGTTCTCCTGAACATTTCCGCTTGCGCGATTTGCAGCCGTCGCATGCACGCTGGACCTTGCGCCTCTTTCCCCCACCGCTTTCGGACTCTCTACTGGGATGTTCGCGACTTCGCCTTGCTGCATTGTCAATTGGATCGTGGCCGAGTGTCGCGTGAGTCAAAGCCATGGTGGATAATCGTGCGGAGGTTGCAAAGCCGCTGAGGGGAAGATGTTGTTTGATGCTTCGCAAGCGGGACTGGGCGAAAGTGGAGACGTGCAGTCGGTGCGGAACACGATCCTGCTCAACTTCCGCGGCCTCCACGTCGTCGGAAGACTGGCGGATGCTGTCGGCAGTTTGCGGCGTCCTTCCGCAAAGCACCATACTAAGCGATGAACATCTGTTCAATCCGTAGCGATAAAAGCATCAAATAGCTGATTATTTCCAGACATACACTGCACTTTGCATCATCGTTCTCCATCATTCTCCAGTGCTCCCAAACATGTTGCAAGAACATTTCACACTCAACACTGGTGCCAAGATCCCTGCCGTGGGCTTCGGTACTTGGCAAGCCGCTCCTCACGAGGTCGAAAGAGCTGTCGAGGAGGCGTTGAAGCAAGGCTACCGTCACATCGACTGCGCTGCCATCTACCGCAATGAGAACGAAGTAGGAGCTGGAATCAAANAGTCTGGAGTCCCGCGTAAAGACATCTTCATCACAGGCAAACTATGGAACACGAAGCACCGACCCGAGGACGTTGAGGCTGCCCTCGACAAAAGTCTCAAGGACCTTGAGACCGATTACCTGGATCTTTTTTTGATGCACTGGCCAGTCGCATTCGTCCCTGGAGACAAGTTCTTTCCCTTGGATGAGCGAGGTGTGTTCGAGCTTGATAACATCGACCCGGCAGAAACATATAAAGCTATGGAGAAGCTTCTCCAGACTGGCAAAGTCAAGGCTATCGGAGTCTCGAACTTCACGATTGGAAAGCTCCAGGATCTCCTGAGCAAGACATCCGTTGTCCCTGCCGCCAACCAGATTGAAGCCCATCCTTATCTGCAACAACCTGATCTGCTCAAATTCTGTCAAGACAAAGGGATGCTTGTCGAAGCTTATTCTCCACTCGGTAACAATCAGACCGGCGAGCCACGCACAGTCGACGATGCTCAAGTGCACGAGGTCGGAAAAGAGCTTGGCATGGACCCTGGTGTGGTTCTTGGTAGCTGGGGAGTCCAAAGAGGCACTGTCGTTCTGCCAAAGAGTGTTACGCCTCACAGAATTGCTTCGAATCTGAAGGTAAAAGAGCTGCCGGCTGAGGGATTTGCCAAGCTCAATGCACTGGAGAGACATAAGCGTTTTAACTTCCCAGCCCGATGGGGATACGACATCTTTGGAGAGAAGGGTGACGAAGCAGTCAAGAAGATTGCACAGGAGGCTGGAGAAGAGAACAAAACAAAATTTGTAGTCTAGATAAATTCTGTTTGTATGCATAAAGAGAGAGACAATTAGATTTTGAGACGACAGATCTCTCAGTTCAGATCCTGAAGTGTTAGTCCCCTACATTACGAAAACTCGTGTCTTCAATGACCACATCTCTCGCAAAACCTGACTGTCATTTGTGATCATGGTGTGGTTACATCGCCGAATTATCCTCCGACTGCTCTGTGTTCGAGCTTCTTGCTGGTCTTTTGACGTGTCTTCAAGAGTGGGAGTCTTCATCTCAATTATTCTTATCGCGCAGTGAGACCTACTACCTCGGCATTCCCCAGATGTTTCCTACTCGCATGTGCGCAGGCAGGCCTCAAAAGCTTCTTCTGTTCCGATTCGATGTGCTCAGGATGCGAAGCCGTCCTCAAGCGCACCCGCTAAGAGCTTGTCTTGGTTCTCTGAACAGTATTGGAGCAAAACGCCTGATGTATTTGATCACATGCAACCACAAACAGATATATCAAAGTACCAGAATACTCCACTCCCCATACTAGCCATTGTATCCAGAAGGCCTGATCATCCTACAGCTTGTACTTGAACAATGGCGATCTGTCTCCCCATCTTTTGTAATTCCTCCTCGCTGTACTTTTGCCTGATCTCGGCCTCATCCAAAGCCTCTCTTTTCTTGTTGAGGCGGATGTAGGACAGCTCAAGAATGACTGTGCTAAACAGAGTAAAGGCTGCAAAGCCCAAGCCAATACCAAAGCCGGTAGGATATCCCGGCTTCTCATTGTCAAGAAACTGTCACCATATGTAAGTAACGCACACACCCCATCAAGATACATGATAAAAGACTTACGATGTAGGAACCCACAATTCCACCACAATTTCCTAGAGCGATGTTCAGGGCGATACCCATAGCTCTCTTCGATTCACCGGCAAGGTTCGATGAGATCCAAGCAGATCCAGCAGGGTTAGTGGGGTATTGACCAATACAGACAAGTACCACGCCAATATAACATGCGGGAATCTGATGCTTAATGTTGGGCGCAAGTGCTAGGAGCATTGCGAAGCCGAGAGTCACAACGGCCATCTGGCCAAATATGAACGGAGCACGCCACTGGAAGCGATCGGATAACTTGGATAGCGCGACTGCCGAGATCGCTCCCGCAACATAAGGTGGAATCGTCATGAGTTGTGCTTGTGAGGATGTGTAACCCATGGATTTGGTGATTGAGGGCATGGTGAATTTGAGGCCGTACGCGCAGACGGACGCAGTGAAGAGGATCCATGCTTGGAGATAGACTTTGTAGTCTGTAAGCAGATCTCTGAGGTAGTTCCACTTGAACTTGTCGGCCTTCTCGCCATCGTCAGATGTACCACGACCAGCGTTTTTTATGACGTTCTGGAGAACGAGATAGCGGCGTTCATTCTCATTGAGCCATCTTCCAGAGAGATTGGGTGTGTCTGGCATAATGAAGAAGCAGGCAATACCGACTATAACTGTGACCATGCCCCTAAGGACTCCAATTAGTATGAGCCTGGAGGCAGGAATTCTTGATTTTTAGCCACTTACTCAAGAAGGAAGATCCACGCCCAACCCGGCCTTCCACCGAGGCCGTCCATCTTCGAGATGGCAAACGCCAGAAGACCCGAGCAAGCACCAGAAAGAGCGGAAGCACAATAGAACAGCGCAAGACGAGTCTGCACCTGTCTTTGGGCATACCAATGAGTGATCAAATAAACGGCACCGGGGAAAAGCCAGCCTCCGCAACCCCTAGCAAGACCCTCGTCACCATCAGGCCAGCGAAGTTCTTGACCAGACCGGTGAGAGTCATGATGGTACCCCAGCTGACGACAAGTATGCCGATGTAGTGAGAGGGTCGCTTGAACTTCTTGAGCAGCACGTTCGATGGCACTTCCAGCAGGATGTATGGGATGAAGAAAATCGAGAGACTGTGATGATTGATCAACGTTAGCTGACATACTCTATGTTTGACGAGTGCACCCACACTATATTGTACTGAATGCCAGACATGTTCAGATCCTCCATCATACCCTCGATCTTGGCGTTACCGATGTTTGCTCTGTCGATGTGGGAGAAAAGGTAGAGTACAGCAAGGACAGGTACAAGTCTCAGATCGACCTTCCTGATCATTGCTTTTCTCTGGTCTTCAGGAAAGGTATCGTAGAATTCAGCCTCTTCATGCGTAAGGCCCATGCCAGCATACTTGTTGTATTCGTAGACATCGACTCGCTCGATATCTTTGGCAATCGAGCTTGACGATGTCCTTCCGTGCTTGTTGTCCAGATCGGCAAGCATATTTGCTGAAGGAGGCATGATGATCTGGTAGTGGAGCCAGTAGACTGAAGAAGAAGTCGACAAAAGTTGTATCAAATCCGATAACGATGTGAGTGCTTCCAACAGCACAGATATAGCTGGCCAACGAGCAACCGTTTACTCATTCCCCGCTGTTCGAAAGCCATGTCTCCTTACCAGATCCTGCACACGGTGTCCCCGCATGGGGCCCCGCGAATGTGGAGTAGAGAGGAATAGGATGCTAAACTCCTGATCCGCACCAATAGGAAGCACACGTCGAATGGAACTTGGTGCGATTCAGGGACCGAGGACAAGTATACCTTGTCGTGATCCTTCCGCACAACTCCCGCAACCATGCACTAGCGGAACCTATGGCGGGACTTGAATTGTGGCGTTGAGTTCCCCGCTTCCTCCTTCCGCTCAGACAACCCGCACGGGACTTAGTTTTGTGATCCTCCCGTGTTGAGGCCAGGTTGTAAGGGTTTTACTCATATAAGGTCTTCAGCTACATTTCAACATAGTTTTCGTGGATCAACACCCTCGTCGACTACACCATGATTGACGTACTTTCCATTCCAAGCAGGGCTGCTGCGCCAGACAGCAAGCATCCAAACATCGTGATCATGGAAACCCGCAAACAACATCAGACCGCCACTCCTGCAATGCCCTCTACAGTCGACGAGCTCATCAGATTGAGAGCTCAACAAGAAGGAAAAGACTCTCCGATCATCGCCTATCCTGAGGAAGGCACAGCATACAAGGATTATACTCCCTCTCAGCTAGACGAATTTGTCAACAGAGCTGCATCTTTCTATGCTACGAGCATCGTCCAGAGAACCACATCGGATGACCCAGTGCAAGTCATCGGACTCTTGGGGCCCTCAGACTTGAGCTATCTTGTAGCTTTTCTTGCGATTTCTCGCCTTGGTCACTCGGTCTTGTTACTTTCGACAAGGATCATTGAAGAAGCTCTCGAGTCCCTTCTCAGGACTACGAAAGCTACCACACTTCTCTATAACGAGGCATTCGACATCACCGCTTCTGTATTGACAGATCAGATTTCTGACTTGTCCACAACGAAGATCTGTGGAACCACATGCTTGCCAACTACAACTGAGAACCTGAAGCCTGCAAGATTGGATCCGAGCAGAGAGAATTCGAACGTATCCTTCATCATACACTCAAGCGGTTCGACAGGTCTACCGAAGCCGATCTTTCAAACACACAAAGCGTCTCTATATGCTTACTCACAACATTTCAATAGAGTTGGCCACATAACTCTCCCGCTCTATCACAACCATGGAATCTGCTGCCTGTTCCGGGCTATCTGGGCTGGCAAGAAAATTTACATCTACAATGCCAAATTGCCTCTGACATCCCAACACCTACTCGCAACTCTCACAGAGCATCAGGACATCAAGATACTCTATGCCGTTCCGTATGCTCTTAAGCTTCTCAGCGAGACTGAAGATGGTGTGAAACTGCTGAGCAACCTTGACATCGTCATGTTTGGCGGATCTGCCTGTCCAAAACCTATCGGCGACAGACTTGTCGAGTCTGGTGTCAACCTTGTAGGACATTATGGAGCTACAGAACTCGAACAGCTTATGACTTCCTTCCGCAATCACAAACAAGACAAAGGTTGGGACTGGCTGCGAGTGGGACCTCATCTGGAACCATACCTCAAGATGGAAAGCAGAGGTCCCAATCTCTTCGAGCTGTGCGTGACGGAAGGGTGGCCTTCGAAAGTGGCGACGAACCGTGATGACGGATCATACGCGACTAAGGACCTGTTCGAGCCTCATCCATCCATTTCCAACGCTTGGCGTTACTATGCTCGTCTCGATGACACATTGGTCCTCGAGAACGGCGAGAAGGCTAATCCCTTGCTTGCTGAAGGCGTCATTCGACAAAGCCAGCATGTAGCGGAGGCTGTAGTCTTCGGTGCCAACAAGCCTCGACTGGGCGCATTTGTAATACCAGCGGCCACTACACATCTTACAGACGAGGCTCTACTGGATGCTCTGATGATCTACGTGGACGAAGCGAACCAAGGGGCCCCTTCGTTTGCAAAGCTTTCGCGAGAGATGATCAAAGTCTTACCATGCGACGTTGACTACAGAAAGACCGACAAGGGTACCGTCATTCGTGCCGCGTTTTACCGAGACTTCTCAGATCACATTGAAGCCGCTTATGCAGACGAGCTTTCTGGATCACTTGTTCTGCCCAAACCTCAATTGCTTGACTTTCTTCGCGGAGAATTTTCTTCGCGTGTCGTTCTCAAGGAAGGCAGTCTCGATTCCGAAGTCGATTTGTTCAGCCTTGGTGTCGATTCGCTCCAAGCTATTCAGGCCAGGAGCAATATCATCAAGACGCTCAGAGTCGAGGCACAAGACATTGGTAGAAATTTTGTGTTCGACTTCCCGACTCTGAATCAAATGGCCAATGAGATCCTTCGCCTCCAGCAAGGTGCACCAAAGCTGATCAAGCTTAGTGTCGAAGAACGAATGGCAGCTATGGTGGAGAAGTATGCCGAGTTTGAGCAGCATCAGGCAGTTGAGAACCCAGCTGATGGAGCACACGTCGTAAGTAAATCTGTTACTCCATAATATGATTATGCTGAAATCTAGCAGGTGATCACCGGTGCCACAGGCTCTCTGGGTGCTCATGCCGTCTCAATTCTGGCAGCGAAGCCGACGACGAAGAGAGTGTATTGTCTCGTCAGGGCCAAAGACGTCCAAGACGCTGACAGAAGAGTAAAACAGTCGCTGTCCGAACGGCGTCTACTTCATACACTATCTGCAGCCGCTCGAGCGAAGATTTCATCCTACNCCTCTGATTTCGCTCAAGCTCAACTGGGTCTCAATCCCTCGCAATACGAAGACATCTCTGGGAGCATCACGCATCTCCTCCACTTTGCATGGTCCGTAAATTTCAACAAGAATCTCGAGAGCTTCGAAACGGACTGTATTGGTGGCGCGCGCAATTTGATGAGACTCTGCTTGCAAGCTAAGAGACCTCAACCTGCTTGTTTCAACTTCTGCTCTTCGGTGAGCGCAACAGCCAGAACTCCAGGTGGCATCGTGCCTGAGAAACTCCNNCCTGCCTCTTTTGAGTATGCACAGGGGATGGGCTATGCTCAGTCCAAATTGGTTGCTGAACATCTGTGCGACCGTGCTGCTAAGCAAACAAGCATGAGATGCCGCATCCTTCGGGTAGGTCAGATCATCGGTGACACTCGCCACGGTATCTGGAACGAGACAGAAGCGATCCCTCTGATATTCCAGTCTGCAGGTTCGACTGGAACACTACCCGCACTTGATGAGAATCCCTCATGGCTGCCAGTCGATTCTGTTGCCAATGCCTGCACCGAAATTGCTCTAAGCGACGCCGACAGTGGTGTAATGAACATTGTCAATCACAACTCTTTCCACTGGACTAGGGACTTGCTTCCACTTCTCCAGAAGGCTGGTCTATCTTTCGAAGCAGTCGATCAGCGGGAATGGATACAAAGACTCCGAGCATCGAATCCAGATCCTGTCGAAAATCCATCTATCAAGCTGATCGATTTCTTCGCAGCCAAGTACGACAACGATGACGTCCGGAGGTTCTTGAAGTTTGCCTCAGATGTCGCACGGCGTCATTCTCCATCCCTCGAACATGCCAAAGTCATAGAGGGTGATATCATAACGAAGATTGTGAATCACCTCGGGACAAGGTACACCTCGAATCTGGATCCCAAGCCCTTTGGTACGGCGATTGTAATCGGAGGCCCATGTGGTACGGGAAAATCTTCCCTAGCCGGGAAACTGTCCGAGGCGCTGTCATTACCCGTTATCGAAGGTGACGCGTTGCATTCTATCGCGGCTCGTACGCGGATGAGCAACAAGATCCCTCTACAGGACGAAGAACGGATGGAATGGCTGGCCCATCTGCGAGGCGCTATCATATGTTCCCTCACTACTTTCAAAGCTCCAACGGTAGTTATCACTTGTTCGGCTTTGAAGGTGGCCTATCGCGACGAGCTTAGGAAGCTCAATGAGCTTGCTGGCATCAAAACAGTATTCCTGTTGCTTGCAACGGATGATAGCGATGCCCTCAAGGCTCGGATGAATAAGCGAGAGNGGCACTACATGGACTCGTGCATGGTTGATGCACAAGTAGCACTTTTCGAGGAGATACAGGACCATGAAGTTGATTGTGTTCAACTTGATGCTATGCGTGACTTGGACGATGTTGTGGCTGAGGCATTATGTCTCAAGAATTCTTTGCTTGGTGAAGGTCCCTAGAAGAGAGGTAGAATCAAGGATTGCATTATGACATTACCCACTCTCACCATGGCCATCAGAACCAATCGATATGCCGCAAGAACAAGAGCGTGATGTCTGTGTGTTAATCAAGGGCTTGTTGTTTCTAGCGAGCGTGGTGGTGAAATTCACTGCTTGTCAAGCATAAAGACTGTCAGCAAAGAGCGATTGAACAAAGTGTAAGCAATCAAACGTGGCTATGCCGATGTACCGGCGCATATCCCAGCCGCCTCATCTCCTTCCAACACCTGAACTGTCTGAAACCCTCGTAGCCAATGACGAAGAGTGCAAGCACTGCAACGGAAACCATTGCCAATTGTGCAGGATCGCTTGCACGTACTTTCAGTCTCTCGAAAACACTATTGACGCCCATTTCCCATCCAAGATCGAGACTGTCAGTGATACCAAGCATCTCTCCATTTGCATCCAACGCAACGACACGAACGAACCGCATGTCTGCATCTGTGATGTCGAGTTCGGTCTCAAATCCCTTCTTGTTCGTTACAGAAACGTCTTCCCATTCCTCATCAGGACATGTGCTTTCATCAGCTTGTTGCAGTTTCCATGACTTGACCTCAGTCGCCCCATTCCAGCTCACAGATATGGAGGGGTGTCCGTTGTCGCCAGACGCAATAGTGGGTGGCCAGACCGGCTTGCCTTTCCAGGGAGCTTTGAGGACGCGATAGGATTGCACGTCTCCTGTGCCCCATGAGGACATGGTAGAGAAGCGATTGTCACAGAGTACATCTCCATCGGCAGAGAACTCTGTCCAGACGCCTACATAGCCGTAGCCTAGCAAGACTCGCGGATCGGAGCCATTGTCTGATGGAAGAATCTGCATACTTCCTTGACTGGAGGAAATGAATTGGGCAGGGTGGATGTACTCTCGAATCAGCTTGGCGGTGTATGCATCTTTGGCAGTCGATGGACCTTTGGTGGGATATTTGATCTCAATGAGGACGCCTCTCGAAGGTCGATGTCCAGTGCCCTCATTATCCGTTCCATTGTCAAAAGCAGACACCAGCATCTTAGTCACACCGTCTACATCCTTCGTCGGTTGGTACTTGATCTCGTCCGCCAACAGGACAGGAAATTCAGTCAAGTTGTGAAAACGAGCAAAATGTTGGTAGGCGATATTGGTAGCTTTGCTCTTTCCTTCACTCAAGTCGTTGAAATCGTTGCGTTTGCCACCCAGTATCCAGATGATCGCACCTGTTCTTCCATCAATGTAGGTGATGGTGTGTGTGTACCTCGCAGAGACCAGATAGTTGCCAAGTTCGTCTTTCTGAATGCTATTCATATGATACCAGTCCCAGGGGCGATTGGACACTCGTCCTTCATCTCCAATCTTCCGATACGTTTCTTCCAAGCTGTGGTGTTCGGATGCGCGCCATTGGAAGACAAGTTCGTTTGTCGCTATATCTATCTCTTGGAAGACGCAGTCCCAAACCCAAACCACATCTGTGTCGTCCACGAAGCCGGGCGAGGTAATCGGGTAGATCTCATAGATAGTCATGATGCCGGTTCCTTGTGGAGTGACGGTCAACTCATGCAGGTCGGCGTGTAGTCCATTCAGAGCTGAGATTTTCGCGATTTCCTCATATCGGGAGTTGTACTGCAACCTTGTCGTCAGAAGATGACTACAATCAAGACATGTTGCACAACGAACCATATAGTAGTCGCCTTCGCCATGGCCACCCACGCCATCATTCCCGACCCAGAACGTAAGCACCTGCTGTCCCATATATTCCTGGACTTTGAGATTGTATCCTTGACCGTCAACACAATGCTCCCAGACCAGTTCACCATCGCCGTCCATAATTGTGACTGCTGGATGCGGCACCTGATATCCTCGAGGTGTCAAGAAAATGTAGCTGTCGTCGTGGCACTGCGGCGAATCATTCGGCCGCCGTAAGATTGGCGATATCAGGTCGGACGAGCGGAAAGTCTTGTATGGGAACGACCCAAAGTCGTGCTCGAAGGCTTGTGTGTTCTTGGTATCGAAATACGCACCGACATCTTTGGCAGCTGTTTGGTCGATGTGTGAGAAACTTAGAAGCCCAATGAGAAGCGCTAAGCCAACCATGTTGAGAACAAATCCCTTGGCCGCCGCTTAGTGTCTTGATATGTTGATGCAGCTTGTTTAAGGTCTGAAAGACATTGGCTCAATCACACAGGATAGGTGCAAGACCAACAACCAAAGAACGGGTCGAGATTAGACGAAATGCAACAAACCTTCACAGGAGGCCCATACAGCAGATATCAGCCATAGCAGAGCCATAGATGTCGTGGACGGTGACAGCAGTTTTTGACCCACAACCGCGTGGCAAGGACCCCGGATGCCATTCGAAAGAGCTCAGATCACTCGCGGTCGCCATACGTACTGACACCCGCAAACATACCGAAGCATTCGATGTATCATCGTCATATTCGTCGGCACAGATTTATCAAAATGATCGATCACACGTCACCGACGAATTAGTGATCGAGCATCTTGGCGTTGTTGTATCTCTATGCGATCGCGCCGTTGTCGTGAGTATGAGACCTGGGAGCTGACTCTAGAGGGAGCCCAACACGCAACAGGAGGATTACGAAAGGGGCTCAGCCTGCTTGTTCGAAATTGCCCTTGCGACACCTCAACACTCGCCAAGATGTAACACCTCGCCAAACTGACACAGCCTGAGGCTTGTTGCAAAGACATATCGATCATCTACCTTCGAGTCGTCATCCTTGCAGTCAATCTCCCGAGAGACGAAGCCGATTTTCATTTGCCAAGCCAGGTGCGTCGTATACATATTTTAAATGCGGGGTAGTTATAGGACAACCTCTGGACGCGTTGAACTATGGATCTTTATCATCGGCAAGGCCGAAAGTCATTGCGTTTGGACTCGGCTGAAGATACCTGCGAGAAGGATCTTATCTTGCGAAGGGTTGATCTATTACCCTTTGCTCTCGTCTCAGTGTTGGCTGGCGAAAGGAGTTTGTGGGAAGCACGTCGCTCAGAACGTAGGAAGATAGCCGTGTAACCTTCAAAGATTGATCCCGACACAAGACTTCTCTATAGCCACGAGTTTCTATCTTTAATTGCCAGTGTAATGAAAAATCAAGTATCGTCTTAACTCACCTCTCACTGAAGACGCAATGGTACTTGATAGGTTCGTGATACCAGATTCTGAACAGACCAGGGTGATCCAGCTAGCTTGGAGTCACAAGCGCGTCGTTCTGATTGGCTCGTTCGTTTAATCGGTCATCGACGGCGCGTTAACAGTTTCAAGCCCTAAGTTTCGCGTGATGCTCAATCTGTTGACCACGCGTTCCTGACTCGAGAGGTAGGTGTAAGCGGTATCGGGGGCGCAGCTGGACGAGGGCAGAATATTCGCAAGAAGGGACCGACAAGTGCAAGGACAATATGGGAAGGAACGGGCGGTCTTCAGCTAAAAGTATAGAATGATCAAGAAGCGTTGTCGCAACCGGAGGAAACAGCAAGAAAGCGAAGCAACGCCAATACGAAGAACAAGCATCTCGTATTCTGTCGCTCTGATCCGCGAACGATAATCAGATCCGACGAGGTGCAGCTATCGTCACTCGAAAAGTCAGAACGTGATATGGAATCTGTTCTGTCTTCTGTTGTCCCCACACAGCTTCTCCACCGCTGTTGCTATGAGGAGGCGCAGCAATTGCGACGTCAATACTGTGCCCTGTTAGTCGAATTTTGTGGTATCTGTCTCTTTGCGGCTTAGGATGCGACGCAATGTCCTATCGCGGCAGGTTCTGGGCTGATGCGCCACCACCACAAAAGGTCGTCTTGTCGAAGCATCGGAAGCCAAACGGGCCGGCGCCGATGCTGGTGTACGTACGCTCCCCCAAAGGTTCTTTGATGCATAGAAACGATAGCGATCATCTAGGGTTCGAAGTAAGGTAGGAGAGCAAAACCGATGGCAGTTTATCGGCCTGCCGATCAGCTCGGTGATTCGGTCAATCTTGCGGATGTGAGAAATCGATTTCCCGCGCGTGGGAGCCGGCGTAAACCTGCCCTATACTTGATTGACTCCCTTGCCATGCGTACAAAATGGCGTCGGTCTTCCTGTCTCGTTCGCGAACACGAGGCTTCCGTGATCGGTTTGGAGAAATTCAAGAGCTACTGACAGATGCATAAGACGGAACGGAGCCCTTGTATGATGTCCGACCCAGATGCACCACACGATGACACTTCCCCATGCGACCTCAAACGCGAAGCAGTGACGGCAGCTCGCCGACAGGGAAATCTTGAGACCATACGCAAGCAGCCCGGCTGGTCAGACTTCCCTTCCTGCATACCGATTTCGATGCGAACAACCAAAAGCGGCAAAGTGACTGAGTTCGGAAATACCAAACTTCGCATCATTGAACGCATCGCTGTATCTACAGACTTCGATAATGCATTGGACTTCCTCAAAAGCTCGACAAAGGGAGACGAAAGGTTACTGAGTCTCAAGGATCTGGAACAATGTGCCGCACGATTTGACGCGGGCAAGAAGGGAAGACATCAGTCGGGGGACCGGGGAGGTTCGAGTTCAGCGCCAACGAGCACTGCGGTGAGCCAGGCTGACGAGAGTGAGCCAAGCTACCAGTCCATGGCGCAACCTCTCGACTCCTGGAATGGCTTCACTCTTGATGCCAGTCCAATGCCTTTGCAGACTGGATCTTCCTTTGCAGCTCCGCTCAAACGCCCAAGTCCTGAAGCTTTCCAGAACATGTCTGTATCCCCGATAGATACCAAACGACCTCGAATGGACACTCTCTTCGATACTCAGCATGCGGAGTTTCCATTCCACATGCCTGAACTGGAGTCCAACAACACGACAAATCTCGCCGTTCCCCAGAGTTATCATCAGCAGAGCAGTCCAAACATGCGAGCATCACCAGGTATTCCGCTACCACGCTCACCATCTCAGGATCCCGCGAGAGCATTGTTGAGCATACATCCGCACGCTGGAAGCATCTTTTCAAACCTCAACACAGCATTCGACGACCTGCTCGCTCGGATAGAAGACCATCAACAGATTGTCAAAACTGCGCTTGACCAATACCGAATGGCCACGAATGGTCTTAGCGTTGTGTCTGGATCTGGGACAAGCGCTGGTGACCGTGACTTGGAAGCTGCGCTGAGGACAGCACAGAGGAAAGAGGTACGCGCTCGTCACGATCTGGAACAAGCAAGGTCCGCAAGAGATGTGATCGATATAGAGTATGGCCATGTCGGGACATCGCTATCCCGTGCGCTGGTGGATACTGTACGAGCCGAGTACTCTCGGGCAGGAGTGGCCATGACGAGGGCTCAAGCAGATGTCGAGGCTGCCAGGCAAAGACTGAGCAGTGCACAAAATCGAGAGCAGGTCCTGAAACGAACGAAGGATGTTGCGGAAGTCGGGATCGATCAACTACAACGACAAACCAGATTTTGGCTGAAAAGATTAGCAGAGGCAGGTGTCAAATTGACGGATCAATTGAGCACTTTGCAGGGAAATGAGACGGCGCAGCGGCCGTCACAAATGTAGTATAACGAAGGTGACGATACTAGAAAGAAAAAGAAGAAATGCTGCAGGATGATAATGTAATGTCCGTGTATGATAAAGAATCGATCTCAAGTGCCGAAAGGGAGCCCAGCCTATTGAAAAGCGACAAAGGAAAGCATGAATCGACTACTTGACCAACAGCTGCGCATTCATCCTCACCTCGTCAGCGTCGTCAAATACCAACCACATGTTACTGTCCAGTCCTTCGAAGGCTGTTTCGAAGCGCTTGGCCGAATTTCTGTCAGGGTTCAAAGCACCCTGGATGTCGCTCTCGTCTGGGACGCGACGTATGTAGATGGCTTTGATCCAGCCAGGATGGCGTCTCGCAATTTCACCGTATGACTCGGGGTCCTTCTGTGTGCTGTCGCCAACGCAGATGAACTGGCGTTTCGGGAACCAAGTGTGCATCTTCTCCAGCCTGTCGACTTTATACTCTTGAACATTGACCGATAGACTGCTGATCAGACCGCCCAGATTTTGCCAGGAAGCGTCGCGAAGGATCATTGTGCCATCAGGGAAGTGTGCTTTGCGGAAATCGCGCAAGAATGGGTACAGGTTGTAGGGAGATCCTGAGAGGTAGAAGACGGGGTCGTGCAGCAGCTTCACCAGATCCGTGTAGAGCTGAGGCATGCCAGGGACTGGAGTGGGAGCATTGATGAATGTTGATTTAAGCACGGCAATGGGTGAAAGAGTGCCTGTGATCTTGATGGTGTCGTCGATGTCCGAGATGATGCCCCAGCCTGTAGGCTCAGCTACGACTGTGTTGCCTGGCGTCACGAAGCACGGCGATGGGTCCGCGTTCGCCGTCGTGGTAAGTTGAGTACCGGGTGGAGTATCAAAGTGTAGACGGAGCAGGTCAGATGAGATGCCAGACGAAGTCGAGGGGCCCAGTGTTTGAGTCTCGGTGTCGGCGATCTTGACGCGGATCGTGTGACGAGGCAGGATGGGGTTCAAGAAGGGCTCAAGGCGCTTCTTGACGAGTGTGATGTCGAGCTTGTTCTTGACTTCATCCAAGCATTCTTCCTCGCTTGCTGTCTCTCTAGCAAGACCAACCAAACGAGCAATGTGGGCGATGACGTGTGAAGGCTCGCGACAGGTCTCGCGCGAGAAGTATGCGGCCACATATTCGACTTCCCAGGACGGTGGAGGTAGAGGTTTGTTGGGATTGGCGATGAGTTTGGGGTCTGCGTTGTGCTTGTTGACCTTGGCGTCCTGGCTCCTGNNGAAGCAGTTAGAGAGATAGTGCAGATGATTTGAGGAGGAAGCGCACGGCTGGACGCGGTATGCAGTGTTGTCAAAGATCCAGACACTGTGCTGCAATGGATCAACGGGTCTTGGTTTGGACCATGGGAACGTCAGAAGCAAGCGACCGGTGAGGTCAGGCATGGAAGCGAGAAGGTCTTTGGGGACGTCTGGAGAGAATGGTGCGTCGTTGCGGAGCTGGAGACTGTCGACGACGGTGACAAGAGCGTCCTGGGCAGTTTGCAGGGCAGAGCCCAAGTAGGATTCGACAGAGCTCATGTTGGAGTTATGTAGGGAGCTGATGTTGAGGATGGCAGAAAGAAGGAGGAATCGAAGTTGGGCAGATGTGAAGCAAGCAGTCGCATGTCACATTGTGTAGGAAAGAGGGAGGGAACAGGCAGCGACGAGCCAAGAGCATGTTGATCGCTCATGGGGACCGCCCAAAGCTGCCATGTGGCTTGGGAAGATTCATGTTGATACTGTACCGGGAATAGTGCGCATAGCAGAGCTGAAGCTGCGGCCTACGTTTGACACTCGTGATGGGGCCAGAAATGCTCCGCAAACAGTTGTGCAGGAGACGGCCAAGAGCTTGGCCTTATACTGTTCAAGGCAGCGCTTCCCCCTACGAGTCAGGCGCATCCGAGAGAAGACACAGTGAACATGTCAGCGCAGGGGATCAGGTGTTGGCTGGTTTCATGAGGAACAAGACGCAGAACGACAGCGAGTGACAGGGCAGAAATCAGGGTCGTGTTTGAGGAAGGAGCGGCCCCGCACGTTCAGGAAAGCCAAGCAAGGCGGGATGCGCCCATCAAGCACCGGACAAGCACCAACCTTTTGCTCCTTCCGTCTCGCGAGTCGTCGCTCTTCCCAACTTTCTTGAACTGGGTCTTTGCGGTCGACAATTGTTTCTGGAGCTTGCAGGCATCAATCGCACTTTCCTCGCGCACGTAAACGAATCTCTCTACGTGAAACACGACTCTCTGCCCTGCCGTGCTCTCCTGATCACGACCCCACTTTCTCGTCTTGTACAAAGAGAAGAGCGTCTCACCCACGTGCTTTGGATTTTCTGTATCGTCGACCATGTCACAAGCTCAGATCCAACCGTGTCGCTATAAGACTGGCAAGACGCTCGGCGCTGGCTCATACTCGGTCGTCAAGGAGTGCGTGCACATTGACACGGGACGCTACTATGCCGCCAAGGTCATCAACAAGCGCCTGATGGCCGGTCGTGAGCACATGGTGCGCAATGAGATTGCCGTTCTCAAGCGCGTGTCCATGGGCCACCAGAACATCCNNCTCACGCTGGTCGACTACTTTGAGACCATGAACAATCTGTACCTCGTCACCGACCTGGCTCTAGGCGGCGAGCTGTTCGATCGCATCTGTCGCAAAGGCTCATACTACGAAAGCGATGCTGCAGACCTCATCCGTGCCACTCTGTCTGCTGTCGCATACCTCCACGACCACGGTATTGTCCACCGCGACCTCAAGCCAGAGAACTTGCTGTTCCGTACCCCCGAAGACAATGCCGACCTCATGATAGCCGACTTTGGCTTGTCTCGTATCATGGACGAGGAGCAATTCCACGTCTTGACCACAACTTGTGGTACACCCGGCTACATGGCGCCCGAGATTTTTAACAAGAGCGGCCACGGCAAGCCTGTGTCAGTCTTTCTCCTCCTGCCTCCCTCTTTCTGTGCTGACCCTTTCCCAGTGNACGTGTGGGCCATCGGCGTCATTACCTACTTCCTGCTTTGCGGGTATACCCCATTCGACCGAGACAGTAATCTCGAAGAGATGCAGGCCATCCTCGTCGCCGACTACTCGTTCACTCCTCTCGAATACTGGCGTGGCGTGTCGCTTTCTGCCCGAGCCTTCATCAAGCGCTGTCTGACCATCGACCCCACAAAACGCATGACATCCCACGAAGCTCTGAGCCACGACTGGATCGCTGGCCCTGCACAAGAAAGAGGCAACGAGGATCTGCTTCCCACAGTCAAGAAGAACTTCAACGCCAGAAGAACCCTACACAAAGCCATCGACACTGTTCGCGCTATCAACCAACTCAGAGCAGGTGGCGGTATGGGCATGATGGACGGCGCCCAGTCTCATCGTCCCGAGCGAGTCGACACTGCCGCACCCAGAGACAAGGACGGCGACGTTGACATGGATTCGAAAGCTAAGAGTCAAACCGCGACTGCTGCTTGATTCCAAAAGTTTCGGATTTCCCTTTCTTTGCCAGCGCATAGCATGCATTCTTGCTTTTCACAGCCCAGCAGACTGTGCATCCCTTTCCGTATACCCCTCCACATCTGCTTCCAGGATATATGTATTCATCTCTTTTCTTACATAGCCAATGGCTGTACCATCTTGACGCTTTCTTTTCAATCACGGCCGAGTTCTTTGTTTTATCTTGGCATAAGCCTGCCTGACATGTCCCGGCCTTCTCTGTATCGCGGTATTGGTCAAACAGCAGCCACAGCCTTATCGATGCACCTCTTCATTGGGCCCTTACCCCACTTGCATCCTTGCAGATAAAATAGTCGTAGCCCCTCAATCTTGTACCTTTGTACAACTCAAGCCCACTTTTCCCACTTCTTCCTCAACCGCAACTAACAACCATGCCTGCCAAAGAACTTGCCTGATCGTTGGTGCCACGACAGGCATTGGTAAAGAGACTGCTGAGCATCTAGCAAAGAAGGGCTGGACTGTCATCGTCACAGGCAGAACTCAAGACAAGGGCAAAAGGTCGGTTTTGGCCGCACCGAAACCTGAGCACCCTTTAACATGAAGTCACACAGNNGTCGTCGAAACTATCACACAAAGCGGTGGCAGTGCTTCGTTCTATCCCGTTAATGTCACCAGTCAAGAATCAGTCGCTGCCCTCCACAAGCACGTCCTCGAGAATTATGGCCGTCTTGACGCTGCTGTCAACAATGCTGGCATGTCGAGTACTTTTCAGCCATTCCATGTGACTCCGGTCGAGGATCTGGACTTCATGTACAATGTCAATCTCAAAGGCACCTTCTTTTGCATGCATGAGCAAATAAACATGATGTTGAAGCAAGACATGCAGGGCGAAGCTGGCAAANGAGGCATCATCATCAACATGGCCAGCATGTCTGGTCTCATCGGCATCCCTTATGCTGCTCCTTACTCATCCACCAAGCATGCTGTAAGTCCTTTCTAATCCTCCTCTCAAGTCGTCACTAACAAATATCGCTAGGTCATCGGCCTTACCAAATCGACAGCTCTCGAGTATGCTGCAGAAGGAATTCACATCTCTGCTGTCGCACCCGGTATCATTGATTCAGGCATGCCCGTTCTGGAGGAGAGCTATAACGGCGGTGCATACTCCAGAGAGCAAGCTGCTGCCATGCACCCTTTGAACAGACTTGGTAAATGTGCCGATGTTGCAAAAGCTGTGGATTTCTTGTTGGAGAACGACTTTATCACCGGTGGAGTGATCCCGGTTGATGGTGGCATTACTGCAAGATGAATACCGTCCAAATGACAATTGCTGTTCAGTCTATCGAAAGAAGATTGTTGTCGCGAAGTCGAGGAGTTGACCGGCTCAGTTCTGGTGGAATGTCACTGTCGTCGATCACGAGTTTTGGCCTGCGAACACAACTTCTGGCCACTTCGAGCCAGCAATGAGGCGCTCACCTCTACGAATCTATCACTACAACCATTTGCCTACTCTTGTCAATTTTTTCAAAGTACTGTCCTAATGGCGAATGTACAGGTTCTAGTATACAATGTGGCAAGCTTCGTCTGCGCCTTGTTCGTCCTTGAATTCGGCGCCGACAAGTTCATCGACCATACCGCCATCGTTGCCGAGCGCACAGGCATACCAGAATCCATCATCGGCTTGCTCACCGCAGGCGCGGAATGGGAAGAACTTGCTGTTGTCGTTATATGCATCTTGCAGAATCGCTCTTCTCTCGCTATTGGCAACATCATTGGCTCGGGCATCTCAAACATCCTGGGTGCCTTTTCGCTGGGCCTGATCTTTCGCAGCAATGAAGAAGATGTGGTGTTTGATTCGAGCGCCAGGATGTATACTTTGGTCATGCTTTTGGTCACAAGTCTGGTCGTTGGCCTGCAGTTCCTCCACTCTTCAGCAGTATCAAGAATCTTCGGCGCCAGCTTGATCGTCATCTTCGTTGTCTATGTTGGCTCTGTTGCTTATTTGATCTTCAAAGGTCGCTTGGATGCACCCGAATCAGATAGTGACAGTGATAGCGACAGCGACAGCGGGCGCGAGGAACATGAGGATAGCATCGCCTACGATGTCGGCGGCAGTCGAGTGGACTCAACGACTCCTCTCTTGGCGACAGAGCGCGATGTGTCTAGCTCGCGCCACAAGCACAGCACAGCATATCACGTAGCGTTCTTGCTCCTTGGCTTTCTTGCAGTTCTTCTGAGCAGCCTTGTCCTATCCACCGCTTCCTCGTCCATCGCGGAAGAAAGCGGCTTGTCCGAAGTACTCTTTGGCGTCGTCTTCCTCTCCATCGCAACAACGCTCCCAGAGAAGTTCATCGCAGTCATGAGTGGTAGTCGCAATCGGACAGGCATCTTGGTTGCGAACACCGTTGGTAGCAATATCTTCCTGCTCACTCTATGTATGGGTATCCTCCAAGTCAGCATAACTGGGTCATATGACAGAGGTACTGTCAACATTGTTGAGCTGTTCGTACTCTTGGGCTCGTCGCTGTTCATGACTTTGATTGTCTGGTTTGGCGCTCAGTGGTCTCGTATCGCTGGTCTGGTTATGCTTGTCGGATATCTTGTGTTCTTGGTCCTTGAGTTTACGACCATACATCATGGTTGAAATGATTCTACCCGGTCCAAAGCATCCAACTGCAGGTACTCTGTCGTGTTCAGCACGAATACGGGATCTGGGCTCATAGGGATGGCATCGATATCCTTGGAAAGTCTCGCTACGGTTTCTTGTGAACAAACCGCGACCCCTGGACTACTTCGCCAGGGAGCTGCTTGCCTGCTTGACATGAATCGTTTGGTTGGGAAGTTGTTGCGTGTTGTCAAGTATTGAAAACTCGTCCGCTCTTGCCCGTCTGCCAAGATTAGATCGTATCAGCATTCACAGCGACCACGATTCATCATCTGATAAGATTGAGCAAATACGCCTTCTAGTCTTGCTCAGAATATCTCGTCACCTCCTACTAAACAGCCAGCTTCACTACAAACAATATCATACGACTCGATCATCGTCAGAACCGAGACCACAACGAAGATCATGTCGGCTGTTTTGTAACATCCTGACGCCACAAGCTCTTCTTGGCTCATAGCCAAGCCTGTATGTCGCCAGATTATACCAAGAGCGGGTTCTTTTGACATGTTTTCCGAAGGATCACACCCGTGCGGTGGGATGCCCAGCACCCCAGCGGAGGATCACGCCAAACTTTAAACCAGAGTCACTGTTGCAGATAAAACCCAGATGGCTCCCTCCTTATCAATCTGATCATCTCAATCTGATCTGATAACTCTTTTCTGACGGCACCTCGTTCCTGCACCTGTCCGCTTTTGCAAGATGGGTCTTCTAAGTAGTACGTCTTGCTATGTCGTTTGACAAAAGTGAATGGCTTCTGACCTAGTACAACAGGAGATGCCACCCGTTCTCACCGGACTCAGGCTGAGAAAAAGCTTGTGAGAAAACTTGGTATGCGTCCGATCACACGATACATATGGCTGCGTCTAACAAGTTGACAGACCTCTTCATCATGGTACCTAAGTTCGTCTCCCTTCTCAGATGACATCACTCTGATCCTTGCTCAGACCTATTGCTGTGCCGGCTACTTCTTCAACTATCTTGACCGTCAATCATTCGCAAACGCATACGTCTCGGGCCTCCGTGAAGACTTGGGACTCGTCGCCAACGAGTACAGCATTTTGTTGTCCATGTGGACCGCAGGTAGTGTTGTTGGCGGCATCCCCCACTCTTTGATCATCCAAAAGGTCGCACCTCGTATTTGGCTTCCATTGACTATGATTCTCTGGTCAGGTGTCACGATGTGTCTCGGCGCTTGCAAAAATTTTGCTGGGCTAGCTGCAGCTCGCTTCTTCCAAGGTTTGCTTGAAGCAAGTGTCTATGGAGGTAGCATGTATGTCTTTGGTTCATGGTACACTCCCTCGGAACTGTCCAAGAGAGCAGCGATTTTCACTGCTGTCGGACAAGTTGGCAGTCTGTTCTCTGGCCTTATGATGACAGCTATGAATAAGTCTTTGCATGGCAATGCTGGTCTTACTGGATATCAGTGGGTGTTCATCATCAATGGCTTGATGGCAGTCCCTTTCTGCATTTTTGGTTTCCTCTTTNTCCCTGATCTGCCTGAGACTACAAAGGCTTCCTACCTTACCAAGGAAGAAATTCAACTGGCTCACGACAGACTCGGACCCAGGAAAGAGAATAGCCACAGTATTCACTGGAGAACATTGATCCCGAGAGTGCTCAAGACGCCACACATCTACCTCATGGCCTCCTTGTCTGTTGTCTCGGGTATGCTCGAAGCCTTTGCCTTCCAAGGCATGTTCCTTCTGTGGATGAAGTACAACAAANAGAGATTCAGCCAGACTGCTATCACGACATATCCCCTTGGCATCCAGGCAGTCGCGATCGTATCTCAGATCGGTGCGGGCATGTTCATCGACAGAACTGGGCAGAGAATGCCAATGGTCGTTCTGGCTTCTGCAATCCAGCTTGTCACAGCTATCCTTCTCTTGCAACCTCACCTCTCGGATGGTGGTGTGTTTGCTGCACACTATCTCAGTGGTACTTCATTCATCGTTAATCCTGTCATGTATGGCTGGGCCAACTCGATTTTGCAGCGAGTGGGTGATGACGCTGTTCGTTCAGTAACTCTCTACACCATGGCATTGAGTGGTCAGACTCTATACACTTTCTGGGGCCTTGTATTATATCCGGCAACGGATGTTCCGCACTGGAAGAAGGGCGCTATCACCATGGTCGTTGTTTGTTTCGCGTATGTTGCTATTGGCTTTGCTGTCAAGAAGGTATGTATCTTCTGCTGTATCATACATTGAACATTGCTAATGCTGTGGCAGCTTGACGACAAGACGAGGCCGACCATGTCGGAAGTCACTGGCGAAGAAGCATCCGAGGAAGTTGTCCTGGAGAACCAAATGACGAAAGTCGGATAAGTCCTACACCAGCACTGGCCCGCTCGCCTCCAAAATATCATGATTTCGCGTCAAGTATCTGTAGCTGTGTTCCCGAAAGGTTTTCTCAGATCTTCTACTATTACCAACATCTTTGCCGAAACTCTTCGGTTTCAGATTCCTGACTGGTACCAAAAAAAAACAAATACGCCATGCTTGTCTAGGAAGTTGTACTGTAAGCTTAGCCCTTGACTTATGTAGGCAGCTGAAAACAAGCCACCTTCATACGGCAATCATCATGCGGGGCAAGGCAACTTTGTTGTACAAACAGCAAATCTGCCGAGATAGGCTAGTGCTGAATATATCAGGTACTTCGCCTGGTCAATTCTTCGCCTGCAAATTCGAGCAGGCGAATCGCGTTGCGGCACGAAGGTCGCTACTCATTTCCAGCTGATGTCCATGTGGTCGAAGTTCTTCGTGATTGCCTGACAACGCACCTATGATATCAACAAGACCACACGAGCAGCTAGTGATTTCGACCACGTTTTAGACTACCTGTTTACCATCTGCTGCAGAAACTAATTCTCTGGTTTCGATATACGTGGTGACCTCCATGTCAACGTTGGTCGACTGGCCTAGGGTGGCTTGCAGGATCACGTCCTACTTCATGCCTTTCGTACCCGTAAGCGGTATAGATACAGGTTAAATGTGATGACTTTTTTACTCATGCACTACATTTCCCAATGAACTGCATTCACAACTTTGATTGAGACATCAACTCAGAGGCAAAGTGCACCAATCGAAGTGTACACGACCATTCTTTAGCCATGCCTAGAAATCCTTGACAAGCCTACAAGTGCGACACTTGCTTGGAGTAACAGACGATCCGAGCCACCATAGAGCCGACGTGCTTGCCCTGTTCATCGATCAAAGAGATATTGTGTGTCGCGCCCGACAACTCAGAACGTTCGCCCGGAATCACACGTCTTAGCTTTACCACAAGCATCTCACCCGCAACCACAAGTCGTTTACACCTAACCACAATGTCCTCACATAGAAAAGGACCACCACAACTATACCTACGAGAGCAAGTGCATTGCTAGCGAGAATAGCGATTGGAGCCATCGGCCGTGAGTTGAAGTGACCAGCCATGCGACTGATATCGCACAAGGAGATCGTTGCCGAAGCCTCTTCCTCTGGACTGTCTGAGTTGCGTACATGCCGCAACATGACCGGCTGACCGTATGGCGATGGTTCAGGGGGACACCAAGCACTGCCCAAGATACGATCTGGGTCTGGACAGCGTGTGACTTGGAGCAATCGTTCCTGCGTCAAGACGGCATACCGGAATTTTAGTCTGGCATACTGCTCGCCTGTCAAGGTGGTAGCAACCATGTGTGCTGTGACCTGTCCTTTTGCCCAACCCGTAGGCTCGGCAATGAATGCACTTCCCCCTCAATGTAGGGTGTTCTATTCGTATATCATTCATATGGAGTTGGGCGAAAAGTGCAAGATAGTAGTGCTTCTTCTTGGTCGGGTTTGTGCGAGCAGCAACGAGCGATCCAAGGATGGCAAGGTGCCTGCCGATCTCTGCTGCGTCGAAATAGGTGATCTGAAGCCCGGCAGGTTGTTCGCGGCTGAAGCTGCAGCCAATGCCTTCATGAGACTTTCCTGGCGGCGATGGTAAGATGGTGATATCTCTCAAAGCAAAGTAAGGTGGTGTGATATCGATGTACAGGATTGCGTCCATACTGGATCAGAGCAGCTTCACAGCTGAGAATGTTTGGTACAAAGAAGGTCGAGAGTTGATGAGAAGTATGCGGGGCGGCCGGCAGATTTGTAGTCGTGCAGTGAGATGGATTCACCCCAGGGCTGATTGCGCCTGTTCAAGCCACGCCACGTTGTTGTAAGGGCACACTTGAGTTCTCACCGTTTACCGGAACTGCTAATGGTTCGTGATTGACTGTCACTTGTTCGTCCGAGCTTATGAGAATGAATGTCGTACATCGTATAACAAGTAAGCATGGCTGGCGTCAATACACCAAAGGCGTATACAATCGACTCGACGACATGCATTCAGCTTTGGCAGCTTCGGAGCTCTTGCTAGTCACTAGCTGAATCGGGGGTGTCTGGTCTCCTGCATAGCTTCGACAACACGCTGTACGTATCCAATATGGAGGTACTTGCTATCTCATCAACCAGCCACTTGAGAAGCTACAGTACCTGTCAAAAGTCTTCGTACGACCCCGCACCTCCACTCCACATCTCTTATGCGACAACACATTCTATGCAAGACAGCCTCGATGTTGCAAACAGAAAGTGCATGCAAAGAATTGAGGCAAGTTCGGTTGTCGCTGGTGCTGAGACTGTCGAAGACTTAGAGCCTGCCAATATCTACAATGAGAAGAACCTAAAAGCAAACAGGATGATAAAGGATAGTTTGGTTGGATGGTATTTTCGACACACTGACATCCAAGTCAAACTTTTTACAGCGATTCTGTAATTTTCTATCTATACACCATCTTGCAATCTACTGCCGCCTAGACTCCGCCATATCATGTTGATCTGGCATAACTATACGCATCGGTGATGGTCACATGTTTACCATCTCTGTACTGTCCGTGGTTGGTAGCATATGTTGTGTTCCAGTTTGAAGAGTAGAAAGCACAGAAGGCACCCTCTGACACGCCGTCAATCTGCTCGGCATAAACAGTGAAGAAGTCGCAAGCATAATCTCCATTGGAGGATTTCTTCGAGTTACAAGTTGCGGCACATTGACTGGGGTTGAATGTGTCCAACTGACTGTATCCCATATATCCTCTGGGTGCTTGAATGGCGCCTGCAAGCGAGACTGCCTTTTCAAACCCAGGAATGTCGTAGTCGTTGATGATAGCGGAAGGGCAGCTGCGTGCCTTGTACAATGTAGCTGTGTCAATGACGGCGTTGCTGGAGGAGTTGACAAGCTCGTGTGTGAGGTGGCTGCAGTTGTGGAAGGTCAATCTTGACCAACCGTATGTCGCGTTGTCAATATCGATGCCGAACACCTGATACGGCTGGATCTGAGTGAAATTGTCAAGGCCGGCGTAATGACCGCCCAATCCATTGATGATATACCATGGAGCTGATGGGTTGTTCAGACCGTTGGGATCGATGGTGCCATTTTGNCCTATCGGCGTGTTGCGTTCGAATACGTGGAAGTGCCCGTTCATTACCAGATCAACATCGTACTCGATGAAGATATCCTCGAATGCAGCTTGGCACGATGCGCAGCTATCGCCAGAAGTGTAGTAGGGACGATGACCAAAGACAATCACCCAGGGAGTGACAGTACGATTGACGGCGGCAAGATCAGCCTTGAGCCAGGCGATTTGCTGTCCGCTTGGGGCGAATGGTCCTGCAGGATAGTCCGCATCCGGTGCGTTCGGGATGTCTGTCTCAGTGTCGACCGAAACAAAGTGCACCATGCCATGATCGTAAGAGTACCACATGTTTCCAACACCAAAGTTGTCAGAAGCTTGAGTAGCAACATCACTGGGCATGCGCCAATGGTTGACATAGCCGGTGAAGTTCTCCTGCCCTGGCATACAAAGATTGCTTGCCTTGTTGAGGCAGTTGGCTTCGTGATTTCCTGGGCTGACCATATAAGGTAGGCGAGTGGTGATCGGAGTGAGTTGATCGAAGAAATCGTCAAGGATTGACTCATAAGCTTTGTAAGCCTGAGAATATGTGGCATTGCCGTTGATGAATCCACCTTGGGTCTCTTTCAACCATGTGTCGGCATATGCATAATCACCAGCTACTCCGTGTCAGTCTGCAATGCTTTGTGATCATGGATGAACGCGAGACTGACGATGTGCGACAAAGTCATATGTAGACAACTGCGACGCCAGAGACTGGATAGTGTTCTGTTCACCAGGTAGAAGAATTTCCTGACTGGCAACACCTTTGCCAGCATAGTCGGTCAAACCTTCATCCCCCATGGCGCCCATATCGATGACAACAGCAACATTGAATGGGGTGGCGTCTCCCAATGGGCGACTGGTCTTGAAAGTGAAAGGTTCCGAGACAGCATCTGGTAGCAGATGTTCAGGGAGATAGTAGTACTGCATGTTTGGCAGCAGGTCAGAGATTTGGACATGGTTGTTGTAAGTCAAAGAGGTGTTGTAGGTGACGGAGACATCTCCAACCGCAATCTGATCAAGCAAATTAGGGTTCAAACCATAGTGTACGGTCGGATTTCTGAGTTGATTGTAGGTGTTCCAGCTGATCGTGATTCCTGTTGAGCCATGGAAAGCAGAATGCACTTGTGAGTTGAGCGACTTGTTATAATTCAGCGCCTCGCCAATTGCGAAGATAGAAGCCAGTAACAGGAATCCACGCGAAAACATGGTTGTCAATCAGCTGAAGTTGCAGACTACGCGTCAAGGTCCCTGAAAATTGGTCAAAGAATTGCGACACATCCAATGATTATATACCCATCCATCCGAAGGCCACGGCATGGCTTTCCGAGCAATCTGCGCCTAACGCACACTCCTGACTGCCATCGCGGGATAGCATGCAATTGACTCTGTGCCAAAAGGAAGCCTTGCGAGGAGTATTTACTTATGGCGGCGAGTAATAACATGGCCGTGACATGGTTCTTCGGCACACAGAGGAAAGCGTCATCATCCAGATAGCAATTGTCTCGCACACGTGCGAAAGGGTCTTGTCTTGTGTGGCTTCAGGGTCTTTTAAGCTTTCGACGTGCATGTGGGGCCATAAGCCTTTTAACCCTTCTCCGATGCACAGCGGCCGAGATCCTGGGGGTAAAAAGTATAGCTTATGTATAAGTCGTGCAGATATACGTTATGCTGTAGTATATGTCGAGAATGGTAGACGGGGCGTCTGGATTCCAGCATAAGATCCGATACTGTTATACTAGGAGGTAAATCGTAGTGATGACGCCGCCGATCAGCTATCTGAGAACGTCAGCAACCGCCATTAACAAGAACATGATATAGGTACAACCGACCATAATGCTTCTGCTTCACACTCTCAGGCCTTGACAAGGTAGCCAACGATGACGAATCAGGGAGTGCTGCTGGAACATCGTAGTCTCTAAAAGTCGTCTATGCAGATCTGTCGTCCATGTATGTTCTACGAGAGTAGCGCTGCACCTTTGTAGCTAATGTCCTGTCGAATTGACTCTTGGCTGTGTTTCATGCCAAAAACAGAGCACAGAACAAATGAGAGGATTGATGGACTCCGAAATGCACTGACACTGGTTTTGATTCAGTATGTTGTCTATCTTTATCTCTATCATCTTCATCTATGCTCGTTTAGTCTATCCATGACTTACCTGGGCGAGGAAGGACGAGTACCATGCCATGCATGATTATTGCATCGGGACTTGGCCTTCCTCTAGTGCCTGATCATGCTCAGGCTGTGACTTTTCATGGCCTCCATTATTTTCGCCGCTCTGAATACCCCAATGACCATTTCCAATGGCCTTGCCTCTGAACTTGATAAGCAAGCCAACAACCATTGGACCAATGATAGTGTTGAGCAGAATAGCCCAAACGGCAGTGTGGAATCCTGCGTCACTCACGTAGGGCGTAGAGTTGTATCCAATCTCAACAATGAGCAGACCGATTTCACCGCGAGCCACCATGGCAAAACCAAGAAGACCGGCGGAGGGCAGAACTTCTGAAAGCGATGACGATGGCCCGTCCACCTTCGGCTTGGTCAGAATGTCCCACAGAGGGATCCAGACGCCGACAACGACCTGGAAGAAATGTCAGATCTTGGAAGCATATGATTCTCAATCGAGCAACACACCTTTNGCGACCAACATCAGAAGCGTGTATACGATGCCGTGCCAAATGGCCGTCCCAGTCCAGAGGTCGATGAAAGGAATAGCGAAACCAATACTTGCGAAGAACAAAGGCTCCATGAGATACTTCTGGACATCAGAGAAGTACTTTTCGAAGGTATGGACGAAGGTGGGACTCTTGTCATCGTTCTGTTCGCCGTGCTCTCGAGAGTACACGACAAATGGACCCTCAGGATGCTTTGACGGAAGGTAGGTCAGGAATGATCCGGCAAGGAATGCACCGAACAGTACACTTGTGCCTGCATAAGCGGCGATTGAGATGAAAGCGCAGAGAATCAGTACCATCAGGACAACATTGGACAGATGATCGAAGCGCGCAAAGTGGTGTTCGATATAGCGGCGGAAAAGTGGCGCAACGATGTACTTGCATATTAGAGGAGTCAGTGCGGCCATCAGGAAAGATGCAAGTATCGGTCTTCCAATAAGCCATCCAAGGTTGACATCTCCGCCTCCAGAAATGGATCCAAGATCGTGGATGACACTTGACATGACGAGGCCTGACACATCATCGATAACGGCCGCACTGACCAGTACTGTGCCGACACGGGTTTGTGAGAGATCAATGTCCTTGCTTGCGCCTCCTATGACAGCGAATGTTGTTCCGAGACTGGTTGTTGACAGGGCAGCACCGATAATGAAAGTTTCAACAGCGCCGTAACCAAAGCCGAGATACAGAAGCAAGTATGACAACCCGATGGGAAAGAGAACGCCCGTGGCTGCGGCGAGCATGCTCAGGAAGAAATTCTGTTTGAGCAGATCCATGCGCGACGTGAGACCACCCTCGAAGATGATAAGGATGAGACCGATGTAGCCAATTGCAAGGAAGGTCTCTTGCCAGATCTCAAGAAGGATATCGGCCAGAGGCATGCCATAGATGATGCCGACGATGATGGGTCCTATGATGCCGGCCCGGATAACGATCGACGACAACCATTCTGCAAGCGAAAGGAAGAAGAAGAACGAGATCAGGACCAGGATCAGGACGACTGTTGAAAGGATCAGCGGTCATGGGCGTGGACGAAGGAANATGAAATACTTGCTAGAAGGCTCTTCATAAGCTAGGAATGAGCCTGCCATTGTGTTAGGAGATAGCGAAGCAGGTAACCGGAATGTGAGAAAGTGTGGATTACAGGTCTTGGGAGAGCAACGGGCATTTCGATGAATTTGTACTGACAGTGTAGTCACCGCGGACGACTGGCCAAGCCAGACCAAGAATACCAAGATATAGAGGAAGGATTCGTCATAGGGCTGTTGGACTCAGTTGGCGCGGCAAACAGCAGCGGTGGCATTCTCGCCGCTGCCGGATCACTCTGGCAGACAACAAAGGCGTCATGCTTGTTGCTAAGATAATGGTCCCTCAGTGAATCTGAACATCAAGAACACCATGTCGAGAATGCGACAGACTGTCGTGTATGGCTGAACATCGCGACGTTCCTCGACTGGAAAAGAAGGAGCCGATAGAAGGCAGGAATGAACGAGCGCAACAAGAAGCTCGTGAGCTTGGCATTCGCCGCCACTAATTGGACTCGGGCTTGGCGCACGCATATTCGTCATCTTCGCTCAACAGATCTGTTGACTACTTTCAGAAAGCATGTTGTGCTGGAGAGAAAGCCCGTGTAGGTTCAGTATTCAAGGTTGATAACATGTTCGTCGATACAATGAGCTTGCTAGACTTACGGAGAGACGTGACATGTCGATCTACCACGAGATCCCTCATTAGTTCTACAGTACCAAATCCTTGACTCTGTCAACCAATCCCTCCTTGGGCTGATACAGTGCAGGATGGTCCTGCTTGATGAAGTCGGCTCCTTTCTCAGCAACCATATAAACAGGATTCTGGATACGCGCATCCGGTATGAGAGGGAAGACGCTGGCATCGATCACGCGAAGGTTGCGGACACCATGAACTTGAAGACGACCATTGACAACGCCATCCTCGATGGTCTGACCCATTCTGCATGAGCCGCAGGGATCTGTAACATTTGCGATTAGCATCTTCACCACTCGACCACGTGTGTGAGACAGAAAGGGTTGGAAAGAGAAAAACGAAAAGACAAACTTACGATATCCACTGGTCACGCGTCCTTTCAACCATTCAGTCATGCCCTCGTCGCTGTCTCTCACCTTGTCCAAGCCCAACATGTGCTTAGGATCACCTTCAACACTCTTTCCTTCGTCTGCTTCGCCCTTGACAGCGCCATAGACCCCATCACCTGACCCCTTCGCCTTGGCTTCTCCTTTGACAATGCCACCGTCACCCTCAGGATATTCGCCGATGACAATGTCTCTCATGCCGTCGCCTTTGAGTACGATTTCGTCGACAAAGCGAACACCTTCGCGCAATGCGACGCCATCGAGCGGGTGGTCGAGATAGTTCATGTTGATCAGTGGGAAGTCGAGGGCGTCTGCGGACCTCAGAGTCAGAGAGCCGCGGGAGAGTGGGCGAAGTAGAGAGACGACGATTGTCATGTAGTTCCCTTTGTTGGGCTCGGGAACATGAGGCAAGAACGGTGAAGCAAAGCATGGCTGTCGGACATGTTAGCTCCAAGAAGACGGTGGAAAAAAAAAGACAGGTGCCAACGCATACCAGGAAGTCAAATTCGAAATGTGGCTGGCCTTGTGGACCAAGAGGATCATAGCCTCTCTTCTCCTCCTCCTCTTTCCATTCTTTGCATTGCTTCAGCTTGTCGTCTACTCGTGCGAAGCCGCTCATCTCCAGGAGACTCGAGGCCAACGGACCCTTTTTGGCGAGCTTGTATTCAGCCATCGCTTCAAGATTCTTGACGCCGGGTCTGAGCACATCGTCAAGACTGTGTCCATCTCTCAACTTGAACGAGTGCGGCGCCACGGGATGGTCTTGAATATTTTGACCGACATGTGGGGAGTGGACGCTGTGACCAATGCCGGACGAGATTGCTGTCAGGTCGGTCATGGATCCTTGTTCGGAAGGCCCAATGCCGCTCAGCATGAGCAACTTCGGGCTCTCGAAGACACCGCCGCAGACAACAACTTCTTGGCGGGCATAGTACGCGTGTGACTCGTCGGTAGCATGTGTCTGGACACCAACGCATGTTTCGCCGCTGAAGAGCAGACGATGAACCATGGTACGCGGCTTGACAGTGATGTTCTTGTGGCCCTGGAGGAAAACAGTCGAGGGAACACGATGGCCAGAATCGATTGTGTGGCAGACATGCGCAAGACCATTGACCGTCCCGTTGTAGATGTCGTCGCTGAGACGATGACCCTGTGACTTCCATGCTTCTTGCAATTTGGATGCGAGTGGGATGGGTATGGCGGGGTTGATGGTTAGAGGGCCGTCCGAGGCGACGTGAGCAGGATCGTGGTCGAGAATCTGGTGCTTGTCGTGCATTTTGCCAGGCTGTGGTTGTCAGTATCCTGTCCAGTCGAAAAGAGGTCGCAACACACCTTCTGGAAATAAGGGAAGCACTTGTCCCAACTCCATTCGTTGCCGCCGTGCTCGGTCCACTCATCATACGTGGGACGACTTCCACGCAACCAAGTGTAGTAGTTCAGACAACTGCTTCCGCCCAAGACCTTTCCTCTTGTGTTCTTGGCTTCATGCCTATTCTCGCCCTTTCTATCCCAGAACGTGATGGGGTACTGCCAGTCATATTCACTTTCGACAAGTTGGAATGCCAGCGCCGGAGTCGAGATCTTTTCTTCCTTGAGAGGATTGTCCGTACCGGCCTCGATCACGAGAACGGAAATATCGGGGTTTTCTGCCAGACGGCCTGCGACGCAGTTACCTGCAGTTCCACCTTTGTATCATCAGTCGCATGTCCTCTGGCACATCTCGTTTCACACTGACCGCCAACGATAATGAAGTCATATACTTTCTCTTCTTCAAAGAAACCAAGCACCATTTTGGCGATATACAAGGATTGACGAAAATGAGAAGAACGTGGAAACTTTGACAACAAAAGGCAAAGCTTGTTCTTCTACTTGGCCCTGAATACTTGACCTGAGGGAATACGGTCTAATTACCGAGTGCTGTCATGACTGCAGACAATCAATATCAAGGTCATGACGTTTGGCCGGCGTCAACCATCAAAGTGGTGCAAGGATGCTGTGGAGAAGAGTCGTCAGAACAATATACTGCACACATCGCTAACAGTCCGTAGACATCCGCTTCTCGATTGACGTCGAAGAATGTTGGATGCCATGGATGATCAACAAAGAGCTGATTACAACACAACGCATGGGCGAAGAAGGAGGAGAGGAGAAGCGACATTCTGGCGGAAGCTTGAGCCGCGGGCGGCTTCAGCTTGGCACGACGACGCGGAATCTTCCGTCTCGTTCCAGCCTCATAATACGACAAATATCCTGTAAAACAATGACCTGTGTTTAACCTGGAGTAAAGATTAAACAAAAGCTCTTATTCTAGAGTCACTATCAGGAAGGGTATGTATGGAACACACACTGTAGGTGAAGGATTCAGAAGAAGTAGGCCTCGATTAAGTTATACTCTGTCGTATAAACAGCACAATCTCATTACATCCTTGCGTCTCTCTCTCTCTCACTCCCTCATCTTCACCGCTCTGTCTGCTTTGTGACTTTGTTTCACGCCGATGATTTAGCAGAAAACGTCAACACCAAGGGAGCCGCCGGGTGTGTAGGCACAGATGGCCTTGCCTAGAGTGCCGTCCAAGTTGTCCTTGTCCGAAGTCGCGTTGTCAGCGCAGAAGGGAACGGAGTCAATGACACCGAAAGCCAGAGTCTGGACCATATGCGTCAGCAAGCGTTTCACTAGCGAGATCATAGTGGTTGGTGGATGGGGACTTACGTCAACAACACCCTCAAGGGAACGAAGGACAGCGGCGACAGGGCCGAGGAAGATGCTCTGCAAAAGGCCGGACTTGCCAATGACGATGTTGAGTAGGTTCTGATGGACCACAACAAACNNTACAAAAGAGTCAACACAAGAGGTCACGATGAACAGAGCGCGACTTACCTCGTGGAAAGCATCGCAGACCTGCTGCTCGGCAGCAGTGTCGGTGTAGGATGGAGTGCCTTGCATGTTGGTAATGGCAGTGGTTCCAGTCTGGATGATGCCCTGGAAGCCATTGATGACATCGTTGAAGCTGGAGCTGCCACTGCTAGAGCTGGGTCCGAGAAGAGGAACACCGTTCATTGGATTGAGGTTTTTGGCGACGGTGATGAGGCTCTTGGATTGCTGAGTGATCTTTTCAATGGTTTGTACCATTGTGTCGGAGGAGACCTCACGCTTCTCGATGGGACTGGCTGTGGCAGTGGTGGCAAGAAGGGCCATGACGGGAGTGAAGAGTGAAGAGAAGTGCATCTTGCTTGGTGTGGATGAAGGGAAGCTAAGTTGAAGATGAAGATGTTGAAGCTTGATAGTTGAGAAAGCTGTTTCGAGAGTCGATGATTAGACAAAAGACTGCGTTTTGCCTCCCTTATATATCCATATCCCGCGTCGAGACGAAGTGGTTTCTCATCCTGGAAAGCGAATATCTCCGTCACACCAGGCACGGATGAAGCTGTGATTGTCGTGCAAGACAGATTTTTCCAGCGGTCACATTGGGATAGCCAGTCGTTGTTTCCAGAATCAGGAAGATGGGTACGCAGTGTTGTCGCTCAAGAGGGAACATGAAGGAGTTATAGATGGACCATGCACACGCCTTGCCCTCGTGTTGGCCATGTTCTTCAGCTCCGCACCTGGAACGGTATGACAGCTAGCCATACCCAGTCAAAGCATGAATTCGATCTGCATGTGTCGAAGCTCTCCTCCAAATCATAGCAGCAAGGAAGTCCGCTATCATGCGGGTAGTGGAGCCCGACGTTGTGGTTGACGATCTTCGCGCCGGCCCGGTGCGAAGCCTCTTGACGCTTAATAGCTGATCGTTCCACCAGACACGCATCGATTGTTATAGCGTCACGCGAGAACGGTCAATGGCGCACATGGCAAAGCCGTATTGGACAGATGCCAAACAGTCCCGCCCATGTGGTTCAGGGAGTCGAAACAACGATCGGCGAAACAGTTGGACTTGTATGGGAGGGACCGTGCGAGTGAGATGCGATAACGTGCATGCAGAGCCCCAATCTGGTAAGCTTGAAATGATTGACAGGACACATGTATGTTTATGGCTCGAGTCAATAATGGCGATCGTCTCGTTGCAAAAGTGTTTGTTGCTGGCCAAGGGCATTTTCGGGCCATGGCTATGCATCTTCGTGTTCAGACAAGGTATAGCATACATTGCGCTAGCTTTCACCGAATCTCGAGGCTTTGTGGTACGGCCGCAAGCCATAAGACCTTGGATCAGATCTGCACCTTCCATTTTGTCATGTTCAGCACAGCTGACAGCTGAATACAAGCATGATGATGAACGACGGTGCTAGTCAATTCCGTGCAATGCGATATGAGATAGGCAAATCCGGCACTGACAAGCTTCGGCATCGAGCGACCATTGTGTGAGAAGCACAGGGACATGATAGAGAATGTCTTGTATTTCCGATCTTGTATGAATCTGCATGATGATCGTCTTGCTCTCATCCGACCACTCTATCATCCATCTTTGTCCTCCCCCTTCCGGTGCAGTAAGCAAGCGCCTAGACACTCCAGAAGGAAGCGTTCATGTATGCTGACAGTCTGTAGCGCATACTTTTCGATGTGAGATCTTGCGAAGCTGTGTATCTCTCCAATCTGTTCTGGCTTGTCCAGGTTCAACAGAGCGTGCTTGCCGATCATGAAGGTTGGCGTCGACAAGTTATGGAAGCATCGATTGACCAAGCACGAGTCTTGTAGCAGAGCGCAGCAGAATCCCTCGAAGAGATCGCATCTGACAACGAAATCGAGTAAGTCAGAGGTCGACATATCTGCCAGTTGGAGGGTCAGCCAGGCATCGGAACCACTCTGCAACGCTGTCTTGACGGAGTGAAGAAAGCGAATCTCTGCAATCAGATGACTCTCGTCCAGAACATTGTCGCCATGCAGCGTTGAGCGTTCGTAACCAATCTGGTTTCTGTACACCCAAGTGCTGTAGATGAATGCCAGGCCACAAACAAGGAGAACAGGATACGGCCACCAGTGGGTTGGGGTAACCATGGACAGAGCACCGGAGACAAGGCAGACGATCGCAGTGAGACCGGCATGCGCTTGAGTTTTCCGGATACGGTTCAGCAAGAGTTGCTTTACGAGATCATCATGAAGGTGTATAGTGGCAGCGGATTGTTGTTTGCGTGCTCGTGACCAAACGTGGACAGACCAACCCACATTGCAGAGACCGTACAGAGCAGGCAAAGCATTACCGACATAGCCAGAGAGTAAGTTGCTTGCAAACCAGACCTTGTGATTCGCACCTCCAATAGCCATGTAGGTGCCGACAGCGATGAGAAATGCTCCAATGCCCATGGCCATGTCAACACCGGCACGGTCAAAGATCTCGGTCCACAAATCCCGGTGAGAGATCTCCAGCTCGACTGACTTGTCGCTGTCCATACTTTTGAGGCATACTTTCTCCTCTCTCAGAAGCCTGATATTCTTCCAACTGCGCGTGATGTCACGAAGAGCGACGGAAGACATGACGAGAGCGACTGTAGCTCCGATGGCCATGAGGACGATTGCATAGATGGGGACTGGGACATGGTTGAAGACATTCGCAGCGAAGTCGCCCGAGTTGGCTATGTCCAGGAATCCAATGGCGAGAGGCGGGATGCTGCGAACGCGCTGCGGATGACGAAGATTGAATGTACCATGGGTGTTCCGGACGAACGTAAAAGATGATGCCGAAAGGTGGTGAATTCGATTTGGCTGTTGATGAAGGGACTCAGTCTCTTTCTCCAGATCGAGGACTGAGTCGGCGTGGACCGAAGGCGACAGTCCCGTCGTCATATCATGTTCAGTAGCGGGAGTGGCAGTCCACGTATTCAGGGAGTCATGTCAAGTGATGTGGTAGTCGAGTTATCTGTCGGCGGAAGTAAGGGAAATGCGCAATCACCGCTGCAGCAATGCGCGTCTGAATTTCTGAATTGTGTTGGAGCTGGCGAAGAAAACCGATGAGTTCCAGTGATGTAGAATGTTGCGACAGAAATGGTAGGGGCAAGGGGTGTGATGTTGTGCCAAGGACGTTTCCGGCCGAGCGATCCATTGGATTGCGCGTCCAGCGTCTTGTATACGAATTCGCATTTGGGTTCAACGTCGGTCTCGAAACTTGTTGTGTCAATTGTCGCTGTCATATCGGATTCAATGTCTGGAAGTGTGTTCGTGCATCAAGTGTCATTTCGTCTATGAAATCTATCATAGTGCCGGGATATCTAAGTGTCTCTTGCTTCCAAAATCTTCCAATTCATACAGGGCACCTACGACTTGATCAACAAGCTGGAGCCAGTCATTTCGTCGGGCTGGGGAAGACCCATGACAGCAAGAACGGTGGGAGCGACATCACCAAGAACACCATCGGTCTTCTTGAGGCTGTAGCCCTCAGGAGCGTTGGCCATGACGAAAGGAACCTTGTTCAGAGTGTGCGAGGTCTTGGGNGTGTTCTTCTCGTTGAGCATCTCCTCAGCGTTTCCGTGGTCGGCGGTGATGAAGAGGGTGTAGCCGCTCTCCTTGCATTGCTCGTAGACCTTACCAATGGCTTTGTCGGTCTCGGTGCAAGCAATGACAGCAGCGTCGTAGACACCGGTGTGGCCAACCATGTCTGGGGGAGCGAAGTTGTTCATGAGGAACTCGAACTTGCCCTCCTTGATGCGCTCACAAAGCTTGTCGGCGACGGCCATGGCGCTCATCTTGGGCTCCTTGTCGTAGGTGGGGACGCGAGGCGAGGGGACCATGTCTCTGTGCTCGTTGTCGAACTGGACCTCAACACCACCGTTGAAGAAGAATGTTACGTGGGCGTACTTCTCGGTCTCGGCGACGTGGCACTGGTGGACCTTCTGCTTGGCGAGCCACTCGGCGAGGACGTTGTCCATGGTCTGGGGAGCGAAGGCGAGGGGGAAGGTGTAGTCGGTCTTGTAGCGGGTCATGGTGGTGACGTGCATGTTGGAGGGGTAGGGGAAGTCGGGCTTGGGGCTGCGGTCCTGGTCGCCGATGAGCTGGGTGATCTCACGGACACGGTCGCTGCGGTAGTTGAAGAAGAAGAGGGTGTCGTTGTCTNNGGCGCATGGATTAGTAAGAATGATGGAGGAAGGAAGAGTGGACATACCCTGGAGTCTGCCGTCCTTGCCGTTGACAATGATGGGCTTGAGGAACTCGTCGGTCTCGCCCTGCTCGTAGCGGGCCTTGATGGCCTTGACGGGGTCGGACGACTCCTCGCCCTCGCCCTTGACAATGCCGTTCATGGCCTGCTCAACGCGGTCCCAGCGCTTGTCACGGTCCATGGCGTAGTAGCGACCGACGACAGTGGCGATCTTGCCGAGGCCGAGCTTGTTGGTGTGGTCGAGGACGGTCTGCATGTGGCCGGCGCCAGACTTGGGGTCGGTGTCGCGGCCGTCGCCGAAGAAGTGGATGTAGACCTCGGGCACGCCGACCTCCTTGGCGACCTCGAGGAGTCTGAGCAGGTGGTTGATGTGCGAGTGGACACCGCCGTCAGACACGAGACCGAGCAGGTGCAGGCGACCATTGCCCTCCTTTGCGCGGGTGAAGCTCTTGATGATGTTGTCGACCTTGTTGAGTTCGCCCTTCTTGATGGTCTGGTCGATGCGGACAACGTCCTGCCAGACGACTCTGCCGGCGCCAATGTTCAAGTGTCCGACTTCACTGTTGCCCATGAGGCCCTCGGGGAGACCGACGGCAAGCGAAGAGGCCTCGAGCTCGGTGTAGCCTTGAGTGATCTTGCTGCCCTGCTTGGCGAACTCGTCCATCCAGGGAGTGTCGGCGTTGAGGATGGCGTTGCCCTTGTCGGGCGAGCTCTCGCCGGCGACACCCCATCCGTCAATGCAGATGAGGACTGCTTTNTGTGCGACCTTGGCCATGTTGGTGTGATGCTGGCGGGCTGTTAGCGATGACGACTGCGGGAGTGCGGGGTCTTGTTAGGAGGCGGAGGTGAAGAGAGTAGAGCAGGCGAGATAAATACAGCAGAGGGAGGCGCAACGCACTTACAATTGAGTGGTATGAGGAAGGTGCAGGTGGAGTGACAGGAGAAGTCCAGGTCATGTCCCATCATGAACTGCTGAGGGGCCCTTTTCGGCCTTCAACCACCGGACAAGCTTGGGCCATCTGACTGAACAACTCACTCGGCCCGCTGTTTTTGTTGACGCGCGACCCGATAAGCTGATAAGCAACCGACGCAGACCATGACACCCTGGCCATCCATTTTCTCTCACCCCCATCGTCCGCTCATTTCCCTACGCATAGGTATCTGTCTCGAGCGCAATTGACATTAAAGCAAATCCAGAATGTGAGAACCGTCCACCATCAACATGTCGCTGTCGACCTTCCGTCGCCCTGCTTCTTCACCATGGATCCTCACGCTCCCCGATCATTTCCGCTTGATCGCCATATTTCGGGACTGTACTCGTACCTGAATCTGTCAGCCTCACATCATGTACCTCGATTCAAGATTACTCATGCTTGACCATACATAGTGATTACAGTGTCAACGATCCAGAGTCTGTGTCGGTCTGGCCGATCGATAAGGACCCTTGTCGGATACCGTCTTAAAGCACATCCCATTCCCATGCTGTGCTCAAAGCCAGCAGGAACAATAAGCACAAGATTGTCGCGATGCACAACCGGATGTTTGCGTTCGACGAGTTGACTTGCTGAAGTGAGCGCATGTTGTCTTCTGGTATCGGCAAACACTATATCTTCGAGTGTCACGATGGTTGTAACAAAATACTGCATTGTCACATGCGAGCGACAGCCCTGGTTTAATAGCCATCTCAATGTCCAGAGGCACCCATGAGCCACGAGTCCACCACATCCGAGCGCCTCCAGGTCTGAATGCGGTCTTTGCATATCGAGTCTGTATATCTATGCCACCCTCTCGTATCCCACGCCATTCGACAAGCCCAGAGAGTACCTTTTCCCCCTCAAGCACTAGCGTCCATACCGCTGCCGACTTGGCAGAAACGCGTCGTCACAAGATGCTTGGGAAGTCTTCGAGATTATACCACAAGTCGAACACTGAGGCCGCGAGGCTGACGCGTCCCTCGGTCCCGAACACGAGGGCGGCGTTCTCTTTGGTTCACTGTCGAAGGAACTGCCCTGGCGTTGCGGATGAAAGCAAAGAAGATATCCAGAGAGTCAGGCAGACATATTGTACCACAACCCATAAAGTCTTAGTCGCTCAGAAGATTCTACCGACGCGATACCATCCACAACGAGAAGCTCGATACACTTCGAACCATTTAATTAATCACATCAACGATTCAATCCAACAACTTCTCCCAGTAGATCATCCAACCAACGATCGACTATCATGCCTGTTCGTCCAGCAAGGTGGAGGGACCTCAAGCCAGCAGCTCGCATTGCTTCCTTGGCCTTCTGGGAAGATGAATTCATTGGCGGCTGCTTGCATCCTCATCGAGCCAAACATCCAGAAAGCTTCGAACGTCACTTTCTACATGATTTCTACAGAAGTTCCTTCGATGCTCATACCCAGATCATGGTTTCTTACCCCAGCGATAATCCTGAGAGAATCACTGGAATGGCAATCTGGTCGCGTGTGGGTGACGGAGGCAAACACATGGAAGCTTCACAATCCTGGCTATACTGGGTCATGAGTCGATGTATCGTCCCCATATACATCGGCGTTGATTCGTTCATCCGCCGGAATCGCGCTGCCGACTTTGCAGCCTGGAACGACATGAAAGACTCAGACCTTCCAATGGATGAACGGTTCGAAAACTCAGAGTACAACGAGACCTGGGACCTTGAACTGCTGTTCCAAGCACCACAATATCAAGGTCGTGGCTTTGGCAAAGAGTTGGTATCGTGGGGCATCGCAAGGGCCAGGGAAGAAGGAATTCGAGTCAGTGTAGGGAGCGCACCGGGCAAAGAAGGCTTCTACAAGAGTTTGGGTATCGATGAAGTTGTCGAACAGACTTCTCACGATGGGAAGAAAGATCCGTTCCCTGGCACGCTTCTGTATTCGAGAAGGTTCGACGAAGAAGTCTAGGTCTGACAGGGTTTTAGGGTTTAGGAGTTTGGTATTGTGACTGCTACAGACATTTAACCGTATCTAAGGGGCGAGTCTACCCACCTGCTTTCCAGGGTCCGACTTAGCTCAATGCAGCACGACAATCTCACCGGGCGAGCTATCAGTACCACACGAACTCCTCCTCGTTCGATCTGTTCCGCTTCTTAGCTTAACCATAACATAAGCCTAAAGGGACCCCAAAGAAATATCTACTAGCCCGCCGCTAATTAGTAAAGCCTATCTACTTTATCTACTTAGTCTTTCCTCTAGAATCGTCTAACTTAAAAGCCTAGAGATGAATCCCTAAAGTAAACCATATTCTCTAGATCGTCCTACTTATAAATGTTTAATAAACCTACCTAAAAGAAAGAGACTAGAGGTATAGTAGCTTACTACTCTATACGTCCTAGACTATTATCCTAAAGATATAATAGTCTAGCATAGGCGACGCTAGTACCTCTTAGATTTTATAGGTCCCTAGTAAGGCTATCTTAGCTAAAGAAAAGTAACTCTAACACTAGATTGATTGATTGATTGATTTAATTGATCAGGCTACTTGGTTCTACGGCAAACCTATTAGCCGTCTCCTACTGGTTTTACCTTTTATGTCCCTATCTGTCCTTGTTCCATTCTAGCTTCCCCTTACTCGACAGCTCTCGTCTGCCACGCAAACCTGCCGGACTTGTGAAGAAAATGGAGGACCGCCTTCACCGCCGGGAGGTTCGCTTTCCATTTTCCTTCGGCCCGTCGACTGGTCGCCCAGTTCTCGGGTCTTCCCAGGGATTCCAGCCCCCGAGTATGTAAGAAAGGTCCCTCCACCTGTGCCCTACTGCCTCGATAGCAATTTGACGATCTTCGCGTAGGAGGGGGCATTCGTATATGACGTGCTCAACACTTTCTTGCGTGGCTCCGCATTCGCACCTTGCTGAGTCCACCAGTTTCATCCGGCATAGGTCACTCTTTAGTCGGGAGTGCCCTGTCCGGCATTGGGCGAGTATCGACGCCTCCTCCGCGGACAATGCATTATACACTATCGCTATATGGGGGCCTGGGAGAGCTCCGTCTAGCTTCCACGTGTACAATCCAGTATGTAGCGTGTCTCGAGGTCTTGTCTTTCTGGCCTGTTTCCAGGTCTCGTCCAGCTTCTTTTGAAGTGTCTTCTTAGCCACCCTTAAGACCATCTTCTTCGTAACTCCTGTGTAGCGTTGTTGGTATATTCTCGACTTTGCCATGCTACGGTCGCGTGCGTCCGGAGGCGTTAGGGGGTTAGTAGGTGTTGGGGGGTCCGTAGATGTCCAAAGATCCAAAGAGGCTAGGGGGTTAGTAGGACCTGCGGGTTGCGTAGCAGGGCCTTCCCCCTCCCCGTCCCTCCTCTAGTGCCTTTTTCGCCTTCTTGTCTGCCCACTCGTTGCCGTACCACCCCTTATGGGCCGGTACCCACTGTAAGGTGACCGTTGCCCCTTCCCGGGCCTGAAGAGCATCGATGTGCTTACGGATGTATCGTACCACGTATTGTCCGTGTGGGCTTGCCCCCTCCGTGATATGTCGGATAGCTTGCTTGCTATCTGTCGCGATGATCGTCTTTATCGGGCGTGGCCTTCTCCTTGTTTGATATGCTAGCGCTGCCTCGATGGCTATAAGTTCTGCAACCGTCGAGTCGCCTGCTGCCCATCTAGGAAGTCGCTTTTGGGTGATAGTCTTTCCAGTGTTCCCTTGCACTACTGCAATGCCACTCTCGCCGCTCTTCCGTGCTGCGTCAGTATAGAATGTGCATCTCTCTTCCCTGCCTGCTTTCGATCGTAGTCGTCGAATGACTACATCCGCCTCGTCTTCTAGTCCCTTAACTAGGCATCCCGGGACGCCCTCTGTCCACGGTTCTTGAAGCACTGGCTCTACGGTCTCCATTAGGCTTTCGGCCGTCAGGCCTAGATCCGGGCCAAACTTCCGCGCGGTGATAGCTAGCGGAGACGGGAAGCTCTTGCCTTGGGTGAATAGCCTAGTTAGGCAGTCGAATAAAGGATTTGTGTTTGGTACTGTAAGGCTCCTAACCAAATGGTTAGTAACCTTCCTTTGTAGCCGGTCGACTGTGGTTTCGATGCCCGCTTCGGCTTGAGCCACTGTAAGGGCTGTAGCCTTAAACGAGAGTATTATCGCCTGGGCTCCAATGCGCTGCACCTTTTCCATATTGCGGAGCAGCGAGGTTGTTCCCCACTTTCCAGGTCCGTACCATGCAGAAGCGCAGTAGTCCATGATCGGGGTAACCGTCGCATTGTACAGCTGTCTGACTTGTTTAGGCCTAACTCCTCGTAGTCGTTTGATAGCAAGGCACTGCTTCATAGCTTTGGCCGTCATCCTTGCTACATGTTGATGGAATTTCATCTTGCAGTCTAAGGTGACCCCTAACAGCTTGATGTGCTCACTTGGTTCGATGTCTTGGCCTTGGAACTGCAGGTCCGGTCCATTTTGCTGGCCCTCTTCTACCCTTCGGGTGAAGTGGATAAGGCCTGTCTTTGACGGTTCGAACGTCGCTCCACTTTCTCTCGCCCACCTCTCGGTCTTTGTAATGACTGTCGTTTGGAGGGTCTGGATATTTTCGTCTACGTTGTCTCCCACGACCCACGGAGAGTAGTCATCAACGAACCCTAGGGCTCCCTTTGTCTTATCGATAGGTTGCCCAATGAGATTGGCGTTGTAGAAGATGTAAAGTATAGGGGATAGCGGTGACCCCTGCGGAATGCCAGCTTGAGCGATCGGCTGTCTTTCACTTTCGAACGCTTCGAGGGCGACCGTGGCCGTCCTTTCTTTGCAGAAGTCTCCAACCCAGCTGCTCAGGGTATCGGGTATTCCTCTCCGTTCGAGCCTTGCTTCAAGCACTCTAGGGTTAACCCCGTTAAACGCCCCTTGGACGTCGAAGGTCACTAGAGACACGACCTTCCTGTTTCTCCAGGCCTCGTATACGCGTTCTACGAGAACGTTGATCGCTTGCTCGCACGATCTCTTCTTCNNCCTAGCTCCGAAATGGTTATCTGGAAGAAGGTTGTGTCTCTCTGCCAGGTAGGCGAGTCTGTTCGCGACCACCGCCTCGAGGCCTTTGCTAATCGTAGCTAGTAGTGAGATAGGCCGGAAAGCCTTTGGCACTGTGTAGTCGGGTTTTCCAGGTTTTCGTAGAGGGACTATCCTCGCCGTTCTCCAGCTGTCTGGAAGATGGCTTAGACGTAGCGATGCCTTGTACAGGGCCATTATGCTACCCTTTGCCTCATCCCATACTTTCTGCCAGACTAGGAACGGTATGTCATCTGGCCCTGGTGCCTTTTTCGGACTTGATCGGAAGATCGCCGCGCGGACTTCGCTTTCTGTGATCTCTTCATAGGTCCTCGTAGGTAAGGGAGCCTCTACGCCTTCTAGGCTCTCCCCTTCGGGCTCCGGTTGTGGTGGGAAAAAGGCTTGGAGGAGTACCGTTGCTTTTCCTTCATCGTCGTCGACCGGCCCTTGGGTTCCCTGTAACGTAGGAACACCCCCAGATCCTGCGTCCATGCGAGTGTACCTGTTGGCCTTCCACACGTTCTCTGGGCTGTCCACAAACTTCCTCCAGTGGGCAGCCTTCTGACTCTGCTATTTGTGAGAGGTAATCTTTTCGGACTGCTTGGATCTGTTGATGTAAGTCCCTGCAGTTTGAGTCTCTCCTTCTCCGTTCTGTCTCCTGGTTCCGTAAAGATGAAAGTGTAAGCCGGAGTGCCGTAAGGGATGGTGTCCACCACCTTTTGCGTTTGGATGAGGTTTGGCGTATGGGATCTTATCTGCGACTATCTGGGTAATCGCTTCAACAAACCTCTCGGCCTCGTCGTTAAGCTGCTCTTTCGTCGAGATCTGTCGAGGTCGAGGTATGATACTAACTGCCTTGCAGATGTTTCCCCAGTCTGCTTTGTCGTAATTTCTCCCTAGTCTCCTCGTCGTCCTAATCTCCCAGGGCATCTGGAAGCGGGCCTCTATGACCCTGTGGTCGCCTCCGTGGTCTGTATCGGAGGGTTTGCACTGGATCATAGCCGCCTGTAGTCCTGGTGACACCAGGACTAAGTCAATAGTAGTCGGGTGTAGTCCGTTGTTGTGCGAGAAGGTGATCGTGCCTCTCGGGAGCATAGAGTCCAATTCTTCTTCGACCATGAATTGTAAAATGGGCCAGTCGTCCTTTCTTCTGTCTGGCGCTACTTCCTTCCCTCCCCACACATTGCTATGACGGTTGAGATCACCCCCTACGTATACGTGGAGGGCGCTGTCTGTTTTCTCCCGGGTTTTCTGTATAATGTCTTGGGCGCACGCTATACGCTCCTGTAGGTCGATCTCTTCCCGCGGTCTCTTGTATGGGACGTAGATCGATATGAGCAATATCGACGCACCTTCCACTTGTAAAGTCACCGCTGCTACGTCTGGCGACGTGGTCTCAACTTCCTGGTGCTTGATTCTGTCTGACACCCAGATCGCTGCTCGGAACGAGAATCGTACCGAGCTTGCCTCCTGATTGTATGTTTTCGGTGTAATCGTCGTCCACCCACTGTGTTGATTGACTGTGGGTTCCCCTGTCCTAGGATGAGCAAATATGTATGGTTCTGAGATGCACATGGCGTCGAACGTTGCCGTGCTATCGTCGTTGAAAATGCTCATAATGGGGCCTGGCCTAGCCCCTACGTTCGCCTGTAAGATGCTTATCTGGTGTCCTAACATCTAATAGGGGACTGAGTCGCCTGTGGTCTCGTATCAGGTGCTTGTTGTCTTGCCTCCTTGTGTCTCGGGTTGGCGACGCATCTCCTATCCATAATAGAATGGGGTCCGTTACACGCCGGACACTTAGGGTTACCTTTGTCCATACAGTCCCTGCTCTGGTGGTTCCCTGAGCAGTGGCCGCATTGGCGGGTTTGGTGCATCTGAACTGGTAATGGCCGTAGCTGTTACAGTTGAAGCACGGGTCGTTGTTCTCCTTTGCCTCATACGGGGCCGCGAATCCAGCTGTGGGTCCAAAGATGACGGTCATCTTCCTCAGCAGATAGGCGGCTGCCTCTCTTTCTTTAGCCATACAATCATCGACCCGTTAACCTTGTCTGATGGTCTACTGATCCAGACAGCCTTCATAGCTGTATAGTCGATGTTGTCCTTACTATTGTCGGTCGCGAAGTTGGCTACAATTTCTGGCTTTAGGGTCTTCGGTCCTCCGGCCGGGTCGAGTACAACACTCTTCGAAATGCCGTCAACCTTGATTGGGTACCAGGTCTCGCCGCGGATGCGGGCTCCTGGCATCGCTTTCTCAATCCTCACCTCCATGCCACGAACAATTCGACCTTTCAAACATTTTGACCCTTTCTCCGGAGTTTTGCCGCAACATCGAACCTTTTCAAATGCACACAACCTCATGGCCTCTATACACCTTTGCATGTTCGTTAGACCATATTTTCTAAGCTATCCACATCTCAAGATTCCATCTTGACCATCTAACCATCTAGCAAATTATTTCTAGCAAAGAAACATCGTGCTGCTAATAGCATAGTGTATCTCCGGCATCTGGGGGTTGCTAGAGCATTCAAGCTGACGCGCTAGTTCCACGCGCCGGATAGCGCGCATCGCGTCCTGACCACTACGCGTTCTACACTTCTTAGACATTTCTTACCTTACCTTAAGCCATCTTTTGGACATGCCTACCCTCTAACTTCATATTGATTGCCATCAAACTCTAAGCTGCTTCTTTTCGTCAGTCGTCATCCATGTTGTTTCCTAAGGACGAATTCGATGCTTATCTTACCCATCTGCCAAAATACAAAATCATAATCTGCAGGTCGTGTCGGTTTGCAGTCCCTCCACAGGCAATCAAAAGCCATTTGCGAGCTCAGCATTCGCCCGTCAGTAGTCAATCGATCAGAGGAATCCAGTCCATCATCGACGATCTAGGCGACTCTGTCGCGCGATCCGCCCAGGACGTTATATACCCAGATCCAGATGCAGAGCCTATCGAGTGCCTCAGAACGTATCAAGACGGGCTCATGTGTACAAGCCTTGATAGCGCCGGCCGGCAGTGTGGTTATATATGCAGGTCGGTTGCTAGGATGCAGCAGCATTGCAAATCTGTCCATAAGTGGGTAAACCCAAATAAAAGAGGTGGCGATGTGCGTGTAAAAGCAGCACAGACTTGGATTGTCCCGTGGGAAAGTTGTTCTTGCTGCCAGACGTTCTTCCGTAACAACCTCTGGATACGATTCTTCAAGGTGAACCCTAAAACACCTCAGCTTTTAGGTCTAAGACAAAATGATCCTCGCGGACAAGCTGGAGTTTTCAGATCTGAAAAGACACAATCTCCTTGCACATCCTATCTACGCTTGAATCGAAAGAGGAGACATACCGCTTGTCTTGTCAACAGATTAGTGATCAAGGCCAGACGAAAGTTGATTCCTCTCCTTGGTTAGAGATGACAAGATGGACTAGGTATGTGAACGGTCACGCCTTTGCCACCCTAGCACCGCTCGCCCACCTTGCGGATCCTACAAAGGAGGCCCTTATGTTTCCAGCTAGGAGAGAGCTTAGATCGGATTGTAGAGCAAGCATACGAGTCTATCTGCCAGGACAAGATCAACGTTTTCGATCAAACAAGGATTAATAGCTTTATGCAGCGTCCACGGGCCTTTGACCGACCACTCATGGTCAAGTTACAAAAAGCATCTTATCGTCAGTACAAGGGCCTATGGAAGCGCTTGATCTGCTTTGTCTGTCGGACAATAGCATTTAATCAGGGCATCGAGCTCGCACATCAACTCACACCAAAGCAAGGTGCCTTGCTCGATCGGCTTCTAGCTAAAGGAGAGAAGCTTTTGTCGTTTGTACAAGAAGTCGATACACCTTTGGCAAGCGAAAATCATTCTAGGGGCCATGACATTACGCAATTGGAGGCAGAACTCGATCGCGAATGCCTTCTTTTTGCATATCTCTACTTGATCATACGCTTAAGGGTGATCTCTTCGAGAGTGTGGTTGTTGGCTTTTTCGCTATAATGGCGATTGATGAGAAAAAGGCATCTTCATGGATGCAAACGCCTTTACACCTACCTTGTCTCGCTTTATCAAAATCAGTCAGATGCTCGTTGCACAAAGAGCCGTTTTGGCAGTCGCAGAGGGTGAGGTAGACGACCCTTGCGACCTTCTTGACGATATGCGAGATAGGTTTTTGATCCATGGAAGCAGATCCCCATTTGCCTGGGCAACTCGACTACGTATGTATGGCAGAAAGGTACGAGATAGCACAACCTGCCTTGGGTATATCAGTTGGTCAGACGATCAGGAGACTGTCTCGTATAAGGCGCTCGAGCTTTCTATGACACAATTCAAGCTTTTCGTCGCAGATTCAGTTAGTACAGGACAGAAGCTCCTTGCAGAGCTCTTTCTACTACATCCGGACGAGCAGCGGGAGGACATCGTGCCTATGCTGCAGCTTCTAAGGATTAAGGACAATGCAGCAGAAAATCGAAGGGGCTGGAATTTCCTCCAAGATCCGCGCAACAAGGAAGAACTCCCGGATGGCCGTCGGTGGCTGTTAAAACGCGTCTTAGACAATGATTGGCTTCGAGACGAGTTCGTTCAGATTAAAGGAGTCAATCGAAAGCCCGTCTGGATAGCTCAGGCTGCAAAAGATTACGACTGCAAGGTTACGCGCTTCTTGGACATCCTTTTGCTCTTAGTCCATATCACATCAGGACAGCCCGCGAGAGGTACAGAGACACTGAGTCTCAGACATACGAACACAATGCACCACCGCAACATATTTATCGAAGATGGTCTCGTAAGCACCGTGACCACATATCATAAGGGCTATAGCGTTACAGGATCTACTAAAATCATTCACCGATACCTACCTAGAGAAGTCGGCGAGCTAATGGTCTACTATTTATGGTTGATACTGCCATTTTCTGAGGCGCTAGGAACACTTGCTCTAAATCGTAACCTCACACATTCTGCTTACCTTTGGGGGGAGCCAGATTCGAGAAAGGACAGCTACAAGCTGACTTCAGTTCTTAAAGCGCAGACAAGCAACTATTTCAACACTGCGCTTAATGTTACGACCTATCGGCATCTTTCTATCGCGATATCCCGTACCCACCTCACCTGCGGTGGGTTTAAGAAAGACTATGGTCTAGAAGAGTGTACTAGTGATCAACAATCAGCGCATAGCTCATGGACAGCAGGAACGATATATGCCCGCGGTCTAGAGGAAGCAGCCGGTCATGTACAAAACCGAAGAGCGGAGTATCGGGCAGTAAGCCGCGAGTGGCATCAGTTTCTCGGCTTTCTAGGAGGACTTGGCTGCCGAAAGAGACCGAACAACAGAGATATACCTAGACCTAACAGAAAAGGCCTTAAGCTTTGTTGACAGAGGACACAAACAGATGGTCAGAACGTTAGACGCTCGGGATTCAGGGCGAGCAGGGTGTGACGGCAAGCAAGCATACATATTCGATGGTATTGCCTCTCCTAACTTAGCAAGCTAGAAATGTAGACCATCGGGTAGACGTACAGATCACAAGCAACTATAAAGGGGATCGATCGCTTTAAAGCAAAAAGATAAGTAGGCTATACATCGATATCTATAAGGCGAGCAATGCTATTAAATTTCGTAAAGCGATTATCTAGACATCTCTCTAGACCAGCGATAGTGCACGGCAGAAGACGTAGCATGCGACGTTTGTAAAGTGGCACATAAGGATAGCATCAAGCAAGCGGAAAGAATAGAAGAGAGCAGTGTGCACATAGGGTTCTAGATAATGCAACAAGAACGACTGCAGAAACAGACAGATCTAGAGCAGTATCGGCTCGACCTAGCTAGCGTCAAAGGCACATGCTTGCTCTGTAGGGCGATGAGAGTAGATTAGAACCACGCTTTCTTAACATGCCCTCAACGATTTGAAGTGTTTAGAGAGAGGAACAAGGCTAGGTAGCGGTACGAAGGACGCGGGCGGAAGTGGATACAGCCATACACGAGCTGCTTCTGGTGTCTAAACCCGCAATCGATCTGCCAACAAGCAGAGCTAGGAGGCAAAAGCGGAGGAGAGTGCGAGTATAGGGATGTAGTGCTTCCACTATGTTATGGGGTGTTCCAAAGCGTAGAGGGGCTAGGATGGTTGCAGGAACGATTTGAGCGGCGATTTAATATGATGGAAGAGTATTTTGACTGGCTAGGGGAGGAGTGTAGATTTGGTGGAAGTAGTGCTATACAAGCAGTACGGGTAGCGGGAGGTGCTCTTAGAAAGTGGGTCTAGGGTAGGAACAGAGGCAAGAGCTTTAGGGATTGGATTGTAGAATGAGAAAGCTAGCAGAGTAGGGGATTTTTGATGTTATTGTTATAGAACTGTACTTGATTCAATCTAATAGATCTATGGATAAGCAAGCAAGTGAGCAAGCAAGTGAGCAAGCAAGTGAGCAAGCAAGTGAGCAAGCAAGTGAGCAAGCAAGCAAGTAAGCAAGTAAGTAAGCAAGTAAGTAAGTAGGTAAGCAAGTAAGTAAGTAAGTAAGTAAGCAAGCAAGTAGAATGAATGAAAGAAGGTCAAGAAATGTTAGATGTTATTTCCTTGCTATGTGTACATGTCATAAAGGTAGAAAAGAGCAGTATTTGATCAAGACTACTTGTTATCATCCTAGCTAATAGGAACCATACCTAGCTAATAGGAACCATACCTAGCTAATAGGAACCATACCTAGCTAATAGGAACCATACCTAGCTAATAGAATCCATGGGTTGCACTACAGCCCGTCTAAAAAGGGTTTCGCGGGGTTATGCTTTCGGCGCTTGGCGGGGTAGAAGTGAAGTTGAACCCGTAGTAGAACCCCGATCTTGTAAGTTGTATGAACACGACTCAATATTTGTAAAACTATGGTAGAGATGAGTTAATATGATACAAAGGCAATTGCACCATTTAGATTTCTGATTCTGGCTGCGACTTGTTGAGTATCGTTGTCCAAAATATGGCAAGTATGACTTTCGAAGTTTGCCAAGAATTGCGCCCGCAACTCCACCCGACTTCTTGTAGGCATGCAAGGTCACCCCAACAACATTAACACCAAAGATCTGGGAGTAAGATATATGGTCAAATTTGTGATCTATATAGTGAACTCTTCAGTTTCTTCGTCAGAAGAATCTTGAACCACTCGCAGCAAGCGTTTAGATTTTTGCAAGTGAGGAGTAGGTTCTTGAGTGGTCCCATTGAGCGTCCGGCCTGGAACCACTTCCCGGTCACCAAATATATGTTTTTGACT